CCTGTCCTTGAGAACCTCCCACGACCCTACGATTCGCATCCCAGATGGACCGCTCCAAGTAAATTTGACGATTCGCTCACGATAATCCCTGTTTTATAGAATCCCAGTGCCCCTGTCTCCCGTGAGCCTCGTGGGAAGATGAACTCGCTGAACATCCTCTCCTCGCGAGTCATCGGGCAGTCTTCCACCTCTCCGCGTCCAAGATCGCAATCCCAGAGCGATAAACGGCGCGCGACTGCGCGGGGTGACTTTGACTTTGGCAAGCACCGGTCCTACAGCGAAGATAACTTCCGGTCAAGCGCCACTCCCGAGCCGAGCTACGAGCACCCTGCACCGTACGTGGAAGACGAAGGCTATGAGGACACGCATAATTCATTTGACGAGAAGACGACTTTACTCCACGGTGTTCATAAAGATGGTTCCTTCGCAACGAAGAGCACTTGGCGGCTCCTCACCAAACGGATCTTCGATGCGATAGCCGAGACGATTAAATTCATTCTATCTACGCTTGCTGCCCCTGGATTCTTCGTGGCTCAGTGCTTCCAAAACAGTGACGGGCATTATTCGCTTCTGGCCCCAGTGAGGAAGATCTGGAGAACGTCTGTTGATACAAGGAATCGGCCGGATAAGGGGCCTTCTCGGGTAGAAACGCGGCGACGAAGTGGCTCCACTCGCAAGCCCAGACCCCAGGCATCTCGTGAATCTCTTCATTCCAATACATCCGAATCAGAGACAGACCGCGGATCTATTAAAGGTCTCACCAGCGGGAAGACTCGATCAAGCAACAACCAAGCTCCCGACCAAGACCCCAACCATGATGAGAATACACCGCGCCGGTCGATACGGATCAAGCTGCATAACGAGGAATCTTTGAAAAAACAGAGGCAACAGCGACGGACCCAGAGCGCAGATCTGGGGCAACTGATGCCCGAGGGCGTGACTCGAGTCCAGGGGGCCGTTAATTTGGATAGCTTGAAGTCTCCCACTTCCCCATCCGTTCATCGCATTACGAAATACCCCCACTCTCCAGCTCCTCCACGTCCTCTTCTCCCCCCGCGACTGCCTTCATATACAGCTGCACCGCGCAATGCGAGGCTTCCGCAGAAGACGTTGGTGCTGGATCTTGATGAGACGCTCATCCACTCTCTCGCCAAAGGTGGTCGCATGTCTAGCGGGCACATGGTCGAGGTGAAGCTCTCCATGCCCGTGTCCACAGCTTTGACGCCTGGAGGACCACAGACCACGTTGGGTCCGCAGCACCCAATTCTGTACTATGTTCACAAGCGGCCACACTGTGATGACTTTTTGCGAAAGATCTCCAAGTGGTATAAACTTGTGATATTCACCGCATCTGTACAGGAATACGCCGACCCTGTGATCGACTGGCTCGAACAGGAACGCAAGTACTTCCAGGCACGGTATTACCGACAGCACTGCACGTTTCGGAACGGCGCGTATATCAAAGATCTGAGTTCTGTTGAACCGGATCTGAGCAAGGTTATGATTTTGGACAATAGCCCGATGAGCTATCTTTTCCATGAGGGTGTGTAACATGCGATGGCAGCTACTCTATATACCGACCTCTAACATTCTTTTCTAGATAACGCTATTCCCATCGAAGGCTGGATCAACGACCCCACGGACAACGGTCTGCTACATCTAGTACCAGTCCTGGAAGCTTTGCAGTATGTCACCGACGTCCGGGCCCTGTTGGCACTTCGTCGCGGTGAGACAGAGACATAGTCGCTACCGGTCTTTTATTCGCACTTTGTAACTATGGATGCACATTGTAGGTGTAAAGGGAGTTTATGATTTTTGCCAGTGTTCCTCAATAAGCGAAGCCACGTTCCAATTCACAAGAGAGACCATTGACTAAAAAATTATACCTTGGTTACGCGGACTGGAGAAGAGAATATACGGACGAGGAATGAAGCTATATCATCGAAGCGCAGTTTATTTTTAATGGCATGAGGTGTCTTGTTTATTGGAGACGAATGCTCCATACATACTAATCTGCATAGAGTTTATATTGGCCGTGGAACGCAGTCATTATTGCATTCTTGTGAGCATCTCGTAGGTAATCTCAGTGTGGGTTTATCAGATTAGCACGTGTATTTTGATCGGCCATCACACCCGCCCCTCACCTCGGTCCAGTTTCCTCCAGGACTCGTCAACCGTGCAACCTCAGAATTGGTCTAAAATAGTAAGACCCAATAATGTCTTAGAAGAGAGCGGCTAGTGTTTTGACTAGCATGTGACCACCTGGGCCGCTTTTTGCGTTGGCTTTTTATGTAGTGACCAATCGCCAGCGCTTAGTACGTTATAGTTGAGGCTTACCCAGCCCTAACCCTCGGTTTGAATTGACAATGGAGCGCGAAGCTGTCATGAACCATGTGGAAGGATCTACATAAATACTCTGATATCTCGAAAGGTAAGGAATCCTAGTGAATACCGTGCACCTTAAAGGTGCGCGTTATATGGGCTAAGAAGTCGCAGGATCTATAGAGGGACAGTACATTCTTCCAAGAGTCCAATTCAAGTAGACTTATGAGTACTCGACCTTCTCGGGCCGTAACTATGGGGAAGGCACGACCTAGGAAGGCGCCGAACTTATCCACTTACTCGGGTTGATAGATCATTGATACGGACCTTGATCTCAACCCTAGTCCAATGAGGATTGAAACTAGATGCCGATAAGAGAGTTATTTCAAGGAGATAGGCTTTCTTGAGTTACAATGAAGAATGCGATACTATCTCAAAATCGATCGGTATATTCAATAGAATCAATTAAAATCTATTCCCGGTACTAGCCCGTCCTTTTTTAATAAATCTCCCTGATACAGTATCAATTTAAAGGTTTCTCCGTAGCCATTCTCCTGATCGGGTTGTCTCGCTCGTACATACACGTAGCATGTCAAAACAAGTTGATTGAAAACAGTTACTGCGAGTCGAATGATATTGGCAAGGTTTACCCTCACTGGAAAGACTACACTCGCTTAAACAATCTTGTAAGTCTCATTTTGTCATTTTATCATTTTATCGTGTGACTGCAGACCCTCTACTTCTACTGCTGGGTAAGTGAGCGGGTCCGAAATATTTGGCAGGTGTACGGAGTATATGGTAAGGCACTACGGTACTGTATGTAGCAGCTGCATCTCATGGTGGTCACGATTAGGTGGAGAAGATGCTCCTCCAATAGGGTGCTATGTTCAATGATCAAGTGGACTGTTGCAACAAGCCTGGTTGACCTTCGCTTACGAATTGGAACTAGCGTTGGAGGCATTCGCTCCTGTAGGCCTGATCACATGGGAACAAGATATGTCTCAGTCATCGTGGCCATGATGGAAATACTAGAGCTTCGACTCTCTAATGGAGGTGGATGAAGGAGGGTTGAATTTGAATATTTTGGAAGGCTCGAGTTCTGTGACGAGGACATATCTCTCTTTTTCCCATCGTACGGTTTTCCTTGATATTCTTTTCGGTAGACAATATCTGCCTCGAATCTTGGTAGAGCCTGATAGGCTCATCACAACGGCCCAATTCCGCTTCAAGCACCCAGTCATGATAGTATCCTGATCAGAGAAGAAGATTCATGATGAATGCTGGTCTGTCCACTGCTTCGGATATGAAAGCAGCGATTGGTGCAGAAATTGGGGCAGCAACGATCGTCACAGGATCATGACAACCAGGCATTGTTAAACTGTGGATGTAACAGATTAATTGTCCAACATGGAATTGGAAAGACGGCGAGAAGTCCGGATTTGACATGGACAGCATTCGCCACGGGGGCAAGTTGGGAGCTTCCAGGAAATTGGCGGTAGATTTCGATATCTGATATCTCAATGGCTAACATCGAAGGAGATGTTTTCACGCTGCTCGGGTCAACGAGACACTGCGGCCTTGCATCCCCGTCGCGAGGGATCACGACATTTTTCATTCAAGTGGAAATTTTGGTTCATGGAGAAGAGATGAGGGGCCTAGTCATTGGTTGATATAGCCCCTACTTTGGGCCTGAATTACACAATCAACGCCTGATACGCGGCACGATTGTACTCCGTAGAACGAACGATAGTTTGATATCTCATGTTCTTCTGTTCCTGACTCCAGAAACACACATACATACCCCTTTCACATGCGATTGATCTTCTTGTCTCCAATTTTTTTTGTTCGTTTTTCAATTGTTGAGTTCGGGGGCTAGATCCACATGCTCCATCCGGACTAGTTTCTCCATATGTCAGGAGCTCTCCGCGGTGGATTCTTTCCTCTTTCAATGAAATTCTCAACGATTCCCCCTGTCCGATTTTCCCCGCCGTTTGTCTTTCTCTTCTAGCCACTTTTCGACCCTTTCATGAATAGAATGCCATAAAATGGCTGTAGGCCGAGCCATGAGGCTCAACTTCACGTAGACAGCTTCTGGGCTTTCTGGAAGAATAGCACTGTACTGTGTAACTATATCCCTGCTTGTTGTAATAATAATAATAGCCCAGGATCAGCAAAACCAATGGACTAACTTCATCTAGAAAAAGGGGAAGAAAAAAAAATCCAACGCTACTGAGGCGTCTCCATCAACGCTAGCGATTAGGCTCAAACCTAGAGACAGACCGGATCCAATCGGAGCCCAAGAAAAGAAATTAAATTTAGCGCCAAGATTAGAGAATTTAATGCTTTCCACGTAAATTCCGCGAAACTCAACGAGTTTCAACGGTTCTGTTGGATCACTAAGCGAGTCTTTGGAACGCGTCTCGGAAGTGATCAAGTCTACCTATCGCATTGGTGCGTTCCTTGACTCCATCCATGGGAATTGCTGCGCCACAGTCTGGAAAGGGGCAAAATATGGCTCCGCGTAGGGCTCCATGATTAGGGTAATTCAGGAACCAATCATTGGACCATGCGTTTATCGTACTAGATTAATTTTTTCTTTGACAGGGGGCGAGGTTCTCTTTTGTATTTAATTCGGTTGATTCAATTCAATTGTGTTTGAAGCAACATTGTACGCAAAAATGGCATCGTCAACAATTCAGACGGTCGAGCCGGTGACATATCGCCTGAAGGCTGAAGCCAAGGTAAGATCTTGTACTTCGAGAATGTCAATTGCAGTTGCGCTGACCTTGCGAAGCCTGAGGAGATCACCTATGGATTCTTGAGAAGCAAGATCCCTGCTCATTGCTTTGAGCGCTCTGCGATCAAGTCCCTCGCCTACCTTTTCCGTGACTTCGTCTACTCTGCTGTGCTCGTCTATGCAGCTCTTCACATCGATCTCTTGCCGACTACCACACAGCAGGTCTGTGCTTGGATTGCCTATACTTTCCTCCAGGGCTGCGTTGGCGTTGGAATTTGGATTATCGGCCACGAGTGTGGACATGGTGCTTTCTCTGCGTTCCCCATGCTGAACGATGTCGTTGGCTGGGCTGTTCACTCCCTGCTTATGGTGCCGTACTTCTCGTGGAAGATCAGCCACGCCAGACACCACCGTTACCACTGCCACATTGAGAAGGACACCGTTTTCGTTCCTCCTACTGAGGAGGAGCGCAAGGACCGCGTGCCCACCGTGCTTGAGAAGCTGAAGGAGCTCTTCGAGGAGACTCCTTTCTACAATGCCGTCGCTCTTCTAGGCCACCAGGTTCTTGGATGGCAATTGTACCTGATGTTCAACGTCAGCGCTGGTAGCAAGAGTCTGCCCGAGAAGGCGTCTGCCCCCAAGCCGCTCCGTAACAGCCACTTCGACCCTCTCGGCTCCCTCTTCACCGATTCCCAGGCTCACCTTATTGCCATCACTGATATTGGTCTTCTGATTGTCGGTGGTACTCTCTACTACCTGGCCACTCAGATGGGAGCTTGGAAGATTGCCCTGCTCTACGTTGTGCCCTACTTCTGGGTTCACCACTGGCTTGTTGCCATTACCTACCTGCACCACACTCACCCGTCTGTGCCCCACTACGATGCGGATGCATGGACCTTCGTCAAGGGTGCCCTCTCCACCGTTGACCGCCGCTTCGGCTTCATCGGTCGTCACTTCTTCCACGAGATCATCGACTACCACGTTGTTCACCACCTGTTCCCCAAGATTCCCTTCTACCACGCCGAGGAGGCCACCAATGCGATCGTCCCCTACCTCGGTGACCAGTACCACCTCGACGAGGGCCTTTTCCTGAAGTCCCTGGTCGACACCTTCACCACCTGCAAGGTTGTCTCCGACGTCAACTCGGACGGTGTTCTGCACTGGAAGTTCCCCGAGGATGGAGCCAAGAAGCAGAACTAGACTTTGATACCCATCATCTAGAGAGAGCGTTGATGTGCTCTGATCAAAAGCTTTGCTGTATATTAGAAGTTTAGACATAGATGCTAGAAGCGAAAGAATTGATTTGGATCTAAACAAAAACATCCAAGAACGTCAAACCTGATAGAGTAACCCCGAGGGAGCGAGCGGGATGGCACGAAAGCGGAAGATATGGCTGGCAAGCTCATTATGTCTCCAAGGGCTCGTTCACAAGCAGGTCTGTATTAGCAACCAGGAACTCGACTTGTCTGGCTACACCCCAGCTTATTTTGAAGCCACTTGCACCAGCACCGTAACAGTGTATCAGAGGAATGCCTCCGCTCGTTTTATCCCTTTCCAGGCGCAAACCGCCTCGTCGCATTGGTCGACGAGCTATATAAACCTGCCGAATGTCGAATCCATGAGAATTTTCAGTAGCGGAGTTCTCTTGGTTGATTAGCTCAGGGCAGATGCCTGCAACCCTTTTGAGGATTGTTTCAGTTGCAGTGTCAGATATGTCCTCAGACCTGCGCTGGTTAGTCATGTAGATATTTTAAGGTTATAAGGCAATGGAACTACACAAGCGACTGACCAATTGTTAGGTTCCTTTGTCCCACCAATGACTGTACCTCCACCCAAAGGCCGGGGAATGATCACAGTCGACGAGTCATCTGCCCAATGGTGACTGATCGTCTTGTCGCACTGATTAGACACAATGATGAACTGACCTCGAGAGGGAAAAGAGTCTGGATCATTTAATCCACGACCTGTCGCGTTGATAACAGCTCGGATGTCACTGTTTTCACATTCTTGCACCCTTTGCTGGAACACGGGAACTGCTTCGTCCATGGACGCTACATTCGCACGAACAAACTGGACACCCTGCTCTTCAGCCTGCTTCCGGCACCACTGCAAGTAAACAGGAGAATTCAAGACCCAACTGCGGTAGGTGACACCCAATTGGATCGAGTCATGATGAGCAGGATATTCCTCCGACTTTAGGATCCGAAAATCGGGCCAGTCAATATAGCCGTTCTCCTTGGCGAGAAATGATTTCGCATCAGCGGAGTCAAAGTACTCGATGGCTGGTACAATCTTCACGCCAGATTCAGGATGCTGCTTTGCCAGGACCTCAAGTTCGCTGTATGTATCTCGCATAAGTTGTTGTTCGAGTTCCTCTGCAGGCGTTTTTGCGGGGGGAGGGGCGGAAGTGGGCACCAGCCCATGGGGAGGCGTAGTCGATGTGGGAATCGCCAGGAAGATCTCGAGCGATGACTGTGATGCTGTGACCGGATCGAGATAGCTGGACGGCACAGCTGAGGCCTAAGACCCCGGCGCTGGTACGGAGTTGTAAATGTTTAGTTTGAAGTTTGAGAACGAGGTATGGGTATACTCACCCGACAATGATCACATGGCTTTTACTCATGGTGATAGCACGATCGAAGACCCAATCAATCAAAGCTGAAGATATCTGTAGGAAGAATATTGTACCGTCAAGGAAAATGGGTCTGTTATATCATTGGGATGGATACTGGCGAGTTGACTAACTAATGATGCAAGTGACTCATCGAGCGTTTCTCCGCGACCGGGCAAACTTCCTGCACTTCGGTGAACCGATACTGATATGATGCTCGAAAAGTTTGTTCCAGAAGTGTCATGCCTTGACTACATCCTGCTTCTTACTCGTACAAACGAGTCATTTTTGAAAAGCTGGATTGATGCCTGAAAGAACAGGAGTGAAACCCAGAGCCTCAAGTTTCTGATTTAGACTTTCCGTTCATCCAGAAACTCAAAGGACACGCCTCGTTGTTCTTCTTCGACTATTCGACTAACCATCCAAATAAGGCCCATAAACTTGCCTTGTATCTGCCTAGAATCTTCAACAAGTGCGCAATCTCATTCCTCGTGAACTCTGATGGCTCTCGTTCTTGGAGCCCTTCAGAAGAATGCCGATCATAACCTGCCTAGTTAAACCGAACTGCGACAAACGCGTGTGCAACTTTTGTTTCATGAGCCATGTCAATTCAAGGGATAATAATATTCCAAATACATTATATGATCCTGCTCCTTGAACACGTCAAGGGCCCGCAGTATTGACTATCGCCGTAAGGTGGAGTATCAGATGGAGGCAGGGGTCCGAAGGGCCCCCCATACAATGACATCAGATCCAGATATCGCCCATATCTCAATATTAAGCATAGTAGGTCTGTTCTTCACGAGACCCATAATTCAGGTACACCCCAAGTTCGCGATCTTGCAAATCCATGTCGATCAAATACAATCAAGTGCCTCAGAAATATGTCCCTCGGGTGGTTTACGTGTTCTATACCCACCGGCCAAGATATAGGGAGAAGGAGGGCTCAAATGATTGCCAGTTGTCTCTGTTGAGCGCAGGTACCCGCGAGCCTTATTTGATGCCGTTTATCTGACATTGAGGAAATTCGACAATTTGCCATCGTTTGTCTTTCACGTTCGACTGCCCAGTCAATATGTCATCCGAGAAAAGCATCGTCATGGTGGATTTTGAAGGGGACCACCCTCAAGATTGGCCACAGGGTCAAAAATGGCTTATCATGGTCACAGTGGCTATCCCATTATTCTTGATGCCTCTTTCCTCAACAATCACTACTCCCGCGGAAGAGGCTATTGCAGCAGAGTTCAATGTCACTTCCTCTGTCACCGGGCCGCTAGCACTATCCTTGTTTCTTTTGATGTACTGCCTGGGACCTATTCTTCTTGGTCCCTTAAGTGAACTCTATGGACGACTGCCAGTGCTACAGGCAGGCAACCTGTTTTATTTTGCCTTCAATCTTGCAGCTGGCTTCTCGAGAAATATGCCCCAGCTCCTACTCTTCCGATTACTGAGCGGAACGGGTGCTAGTGCTTCGTTGGCGGTACGTGTCCATGAAGTGAAGTGAATGTCTTAATGCTAACATTTTTCCAGGTCGGAGCGAGTATGATTGGAGATGTCTTCCAAAAGGAAGAGCGTGGCCTCCCCGTGGCTTTGGTCAGCATGGGCCCCGTTCTGGGATCATGCTTAGGTCCTATAGTTGGCGGATTCATTGCCGACTATTCGACCTGGCGTTGGGCATTCTACGCAACATCCATTGCATCAGGGTCATTTCTAGTTCTGTGTGCCACTATGTCTCGAGAAAGCTACGCTCCAGTTCTTCTCCAGCGCAAGAAGCAGAAAGCAGTGAAGGAACATATACGGGAGAAAGAGGGAACCGAGCTAATATGGAAGACTCCGTATGAAAAAGAGGACGAAACTCTTGGACAGCGCTACCGACGAACACTATTCAGGTCTCTCTACTTTCTCTGCACCCAACCCATTGTACAAGCCCTGGCTTGTTACTACGGATATCTCTATGGGATTGTGTATCTGCTTCTTTCCAGCTTCTCCAACTTGTGGAAAGACCAATACCATAGCAAGCTCAGCATAGGCACGCTCAACTACATTGCCCCCTGCATCGGTTATCTATTTGGAGCAGCAGTCTGTGCTTTTCTTACTGACCGAGTCTACCGATTTCAAGTGGCAAAGAACAACGGTGTCGGCAAGCCTGAGTTCCGCCTACCGATGATGGTCCCCGCATCCTTGCTCGTACCGATCGGCCTTTTGTGGTTTGGATGGAGCGCAGAGTACAAGGCGCACTGGATCATTCCCGATTTTGGTATTGCCCTGCCATTGATGGGAGCTACTATCGTTTTTCAGTGTGTCAGCGCGTATCTCTTGGACACCTTTCCCGTATATGCCGCCAGTGCAAATGGAGCAGTTTATATCCTGCGGGGATTGACTGGGTTCGGTTTCCCTCTATTCAGTCCAGAGATGTACTCGAGCTTAGGATATGGATGGGGAAACAGTGTTTTGGCATTGGTAGCATTGGTCGTTGGATGTCCCATTCCGTTCATCTTGTGGAAATACGGGGAACGTTTTCGAGCGAGGAGCAGTTATGCCGATCAAGCGAAATAGACAGACAATCTATAACTAGATACGCCATTTCAGATTGTGCGCAAGCTCAAATATGAAGAAGCGACACCTTGAGTTCGTCGTGAAATTGATACCGACAATGAGCTCTTTGAAGCCTTCGCTTCCAATATTTCCCAAACTTCCTGACGCGAAGCAAGTCTATCTTAAAGTCGTCTATGCCAAACTCTTACCGGCTGGTAAACCTACCAGAATCGAGAAACCCCGCATTTGTAATGCATGGCATTCAAAAAAGCAAATATGACTTCGCCTTGATCGTCAAGTGACGGCTAGCGCTCGGTCCCCCTTCGCCCGGGTGAGAACGCAGGGGCGAAGCACCCATCCAGCCAACCATCGCACAGCCGTCTGTAACTCATGTAAGCGAGCATGCGAGGCAGGAGAAGAAGCTAATCATCGAGCCCGAAGAAATCGAGTCACGCGGACTGAGGGCGGCAAGCCGAGCCTCATCCTGATTATTGGTGATAAGGAGTGCCCGGAATGCTCCTATTCGCAGCCATCCGACCACGCGAGAGCGACCACTACTATGGCAACAACCGACTCGCCAAAGTCCTTCGATGAGCTGTCGAATGATCTATATTTGAGGTTTCTGAAGAAATTTGAGCGACGGAAAGAGGATCAACATAGATTTGCGCCGATTGGGACCTCGAAGGAGGTGCTGCAACCTGATGTTTTGCGTTGTCTCTTCAGGAGTCTAGATTGGTCGAACCCCACAGAGAGTGATATCAGTGAGGAGGAACTAATTGAAAGAGTTAATGAAAGAGACCTCTTCGATTTTCTTGCAGTTTTGATATTCAGCAGTTGCACTGTCGACGACGTGCGTACATTTGCCACAGAGTTTTTGGCCAAAGACACATTTGCGACCGATACTTTCGCCCTACCTACCCAAAGCCGGACTCTTAAATTATTGTTCAAGGAGAAAGTCACCCGTGATAAGTTTCTCGCAAAGCAATCTATCTTTTGCCCTGTTGTTATTCACCAGGGAAGAGAACAGCGCGTTGAAGATACGGGACGACGGCGCCTCCCTTATCTAGAGGAAAAACGATTGGCACAAGGAGGCTATGGAACTGTTTATAAGGTCAAAATTGCCAAGGGACATTTTCATGATCATCGCAATCGAACATCAAACTCAGTGCCTTTGGAGGTTGCAAGAAAGGACTATGTCATCAGCAGTCAATTCCCTGCCGCAAGCAAGGAGCATGAAGTCCTCGAGAAGATCCTCGCCTCTGACAGATCGTGTGAGAACATCGTCGAAAATTTTGGCAGCCTTGCAATCGGCCCAGAAAAGTACAGCCTCTTCATGCCGCTTGCTATTTGTGACCTAAGTGCGTACATGATGGATTACCATCCAATCAAGCCCAGCACTACCCAGGAGAAGGCTGCAATCATTCTCTCTGCCCTAGGGTTAGCTCGGGGACTGCATTTCCTTCACCATGAAATGAAGACACCACAAGGGGAAGACCTGGTCTGTTATCATATGGACCTGAAGCCGAGCAACATCCTGATATTTCAGGGTGAGGACGACAGGAAGGTTTGGAAGATAAGTGATTTTGGCATGGCACGAGCGAAATTGAAGAAAAAAGGCGACAAAATTGAAAAGGAGAAAGATTTCAACAGTTGGTTCGTGAAGCGCTCGAAGCCTGGGCCTGAGCCGACTCCAACACCTACTTTGGCTTTGCATGGAGAGGGTACATACTTAGCGCCCGAATCTCTTGCGTCAATCTCAACCATGAAGACAAGCAGTGATGTCTGGTCCCTTGGGTGTGTGATGAGTGTTTTGTTTGTCTACCTGGAGACGGGCGCAGAGGGTGTGACTAGGTACTCGGAGGCACGGTCGGATCACGCCAAAGCAGACGGTGTTGATCGCTTTTTCCTTCGCGATAAAGGATTTGGGCCATTTAATGGACATCCTGTCGTCAAGGATTGGCACGAACGTCTGATTTCGTCCGCCAAGCGACGGGATCCCCAAGAAGGAAAAGCTCTAAAAGGGATGTTGCACTTTCTCGAGGATAACGTTTTTCGGGACCAATCTAAGCGATGTGGTGTTGCAGAAGTTGGGAACATGCTGCGGGAAACATATCAGATTTACTCAATATTGGAAAACTTCGACAGACTGATATCAAGCACAGATGAGCCCGACCAGGATCCACCGATAAAGGAAAGAGTACTTAACCGTCTTTTAAGGCGCAGAGCGGTTCGTGAAAACGGAAGACTCATTGGCAGATGGATGCTTAGAACGGCAAATCCTTTCAAAAATTGCGAGATTTCCAGTGATGGGTCTCTTGCTGTGTTCTGGACTGACAGAGAGTTAACGCTTTTTACGTCGCTATCGCTCACGAACGGAGATATCGAAGCAAGGCCGCAAGACCAGTGGTCTTTAGAAAGGGAAGACTCAAACTGGTTTTGGAAAAATATTCGATTGACAAATCGTCATTTACTAGCTTCTACGTCGGGAGGCACCTTCCAGGTAAGAGGTCCTCTATATTCATCTTGGCAAGACTCCCTGGCTAACGTAGCATCGGCCGAAGTGTTATGTCTTCGATTTGAAGAAGGGCACATCGGTGGATGCCAGCTTTGCCCATCGGAAGCGTTACTTCTCAAAACTACCGGAAATAGCGGACCTTGCTATTTCGTCTGATAGCAAAGTGATGGCGTGTGTATTGCAAAGCCAAGAGGGACCACAACACCCAGGGTCATTGTACATTGCGCCTGTCGCAACTCCAGATCAGTACACGTGGATGGAGAAGCTCGAATGGCCAGCCACAGATATCGTCGAGTTGTCTTTCCCGACGAACCATGACATTTATTTCGTCATCCGCCCGAGAGTCAACATTCATAGTCGAGAGGAAAGAGCCACCCTTGTGCATATATGCCTTGCATCTAAGCGGATAGAATCGGTCATCATCAATTCACAGGTAAGTGGTCATTCTATGAAACCGCCTTGAAATGCTTACGACCCTGACAATTGCATGGTAAAGGGTCTTGACAGCGGCGCCAATGTTGGCCTTTTTACCACTTTTGCGCCCCTCTACCAACAGCCTAGTAGATGTGCAGTTGTAACTAAAGAGAAGCGACTGTACATACAGGGCTTGGAAGAAGCAAACCGCGCCCTCGCCATCCAGGTAGACATCAAGAGTTATCGTATACTCAAATTGATGACCGGGTGGGATAAATGGAAAATGTTTGCGATTGGAAGACATGTGGCGAGTCATAACATGATTCTACTTGAGGTACACTTGCCTGGACCAGGAGTTGGTGATTTGTCCATAACAGAGTTGGCTCAATTCCCGGGTCTTTCCTACAATGACCAATTTGTCGCGACACTGGGCAACATACAAGGGGAAAAATACGTTCTTCTTGCGGCCTTGATGAGTGCCAACCAGCGGGCCATTTACAAAGTACAGATAAAGTGACTCTTTTGTGCCTCCCCATGAATCATAAAGTTAGTCATGGACAGATAGATTTAAATAAACCCATTGAATCAGATACTTGAAAAGAAATTCTCGGAATGATGAAGCTGAAGCACCGATAGCGAGGATTATCCGGGTTTATATCGGCGACGTCAAAATTGGTAGGGAGCCCACAACAGCCTCACATTTGAAAGCCTTGCAGTTCAACATCGCCCTTCATGCGACTTGTCCATTGCCGTCTCAAATTTTGGATATTCCACTCAGGAACTTTTGGCACCAGCTTGCGGAACACAAACCCATCGCGATGCAATAGCCAGTAGTAGAACAGGAACGTGAACGCGGTGAGTCCAGCTGAAGCGACCACATATATCCACACCATAGGAGTTCCGACAATGCGATTATTGGTTTGGTCCATGGCAAAGAAATTCATACCGAAGAAAGTCTAAACCGGAGAACCATTAGTTGGACTATTAGAGCAGATTGTATGAATGCTGGAGGAGACACACTCACGCCCAGAAACGAAGCCGGAAGGTAGAGCAATGTCAGAGTAGTGATGAAGACAGCCGACTTATTCAGCTGAAAGATATTCTTGTTTTGCTCCCTTGCGACTATTTGATCGCGGAGTAGCAGTGTATCTGCAAGCAAGCGGGCAATTGTTTGCACTCGCTCCTTGAGATGTGTCGCAGTTCGAGAAGAGACCAGGCACTTGCGACGATGATTCTGCAAGTCCTGGCTTTCAAAATCGGGGCGTGATATGGCCTCAAAAAGTGTACATAGCTCGTCGATGACTTCTGTCGTAGATGTAATCATGGCTGGAACTTGGAGAAAGCGAATTTCCAAGTTACTCAGTGTGCTGAGATTATCATAGTTCAGACGCAATGGCTCCTCGATGAAAGTCGCAAATGCAGTGTTGGCAATAGGCAGAAATCGACGCTCTAATGACCCGATGTAACCCCTCCAAGCCGGCGTATATATGGAGAACAGGATCCGATGTAGCCAGAAGGGCTCTCTCTTTGTCAATGAGGGAGAGCCACGCAGGAACCTTTCTACCTCATCGTGTGCGCGAGACCGAGGTGTGGGGTTGAAAAGAACGAATAGGCTTTTGGACGTTGCGATATCAAACCGGTGGTAGATTCCACTTTGTCTGATGGTCCATCTGTCCTCACTTTCTTTGTATTCTGGGTATCTTAGGGTATATGAAACCTCTGCCCATGCAGAATGTCAAATATTAGTATGCCTTATGCTGATGAGTTTTGGGAATAGGCCCGCTACCTATGACTGATTCTGTGCGAATGAAGGTGTATGGAACACAGAAGGCTTCCTCAATATCATCGTTACGTTGATAGAAACAAGAGGGAATTTCCCAAAATGAGGAATCAATACCATACTCAGCGACAACGGCATCAAGCATGGGCCGGGTGACTTGTAAGGGGCGCCACGAGTTCTTCTGGCAGATTGATCTGTTGACATCAGCCACAACCGTAGTGGGCTAAAGCCTTAGGGACCACTAACATAATACGGCATGTTTGGTCGTTTTGACTGGAACTTTGAAAATGCGCTGAGAGTTCTTCAATGTTTGAAATTTCCGCCCGTTGATAAGGCACTTCCAAGGAAGTAGCCGTTGTGTCTAACCCGACATCAAGAATCCGAACAGCCTCGGTCAAATGATTAACAAGGCAGTGATCTAAAGACAACATTGCAAGGGGGTTTGGTTTCAAGTCCGTTATCGCTAAAAATAATTGGAATTAGTTCCGTTGTGAACCGTTATAAACAAGCCCAAATGTTCAGATAACGCAAGGCACCCTGTGAAGATGCCTCGAAAATTCGATTGCCCCCCTGCGCCTCATATCCTCTGGCCCAGCCCCCTTCTGTGAGATCATCCTAATCTGCCTCGTATTCTTCGCATTGCCTTGGCGCTAGCACTTTGAATCGATTGGTCGGCTACTAATCTCGGGCGGCACTAAATATCGACGATCAGTACCTGGTGTTACAACCCTCGCCCCCTCTCGAGTCGCTTCTTACTCGATCTCAGCCTTCAGAACGAGTTTTATCAGTCAGTAGAAGCTTGCTACCGTGGCTGGTAAGACATATCTCCACACTTACATCGCTCACCATCCTCGGTGCCTCAAAGTACCATTGGTCCTCTCTCAACTGTGCCCAGAATTTAGCCTTGTATACTGCGCAAAGAAAATCCCATCAGACTATTCCGTACTCGAATATTGAACTCTGTTTGCCCTGGAAACAAGCGCTCTAGCAGTGCTTGAAGGCATTCCTTTTTGAGGTATTTCTTGGTGGTGTTTTGGGGGGTTTGTCCTTGGTCAGCCATCGTGCCAAAAGTGGAATATGAGCACGCAATGCGAATGATATTTTGATCGAATCTGTCAAGCTGCAGTGTCTGCATCCTAGATATGTAGAAAGGGGGCCTGGGACTGCCCCGCTCCAGTCCTGCGGCTGAATGTGAAGCAACTTGCCAATGACCACGTCAACACAACCCTGGCACGGACCGCAGTGAGCAGGGGTAACGGGGTTGCACACGGTCGCGTGCATCGTGGCGAGGTTCGGCCACTGCAGCTCTCACCTATCAGATATTACAGCACGATTAGGCTTTTCACGGGTTTGTACCTTTGTTCAGGGTACATTACGGTTGCTATCTAAGGGCATTATGCGCCCGAGCCGCCTCAAGGACCTCGTAGGCTGCTGTTGCCTACCAGAAGAGTTTGATTCAAGCGCACGCATTTCCACATACATGCGCTCGCTTGATGCGGCTCAGAACTTGCATTTTGAAATGGGGATTAGTCTTAGTCTTTTGTAGTCTGTCAACCAAGGCGAATGAGCACTCGCCGCGACAAAATGCCGGCCTTACAGGTGCCTTTCTGGATTCCCCTAACCAGCCCATCGACGGAAGCATCAGACTCCTCTGAAGGTGGACAACAGGGCAACGGCAATCGAAGACTAGTTTCCATTCAACTGACCCCTCCTACACCGCAAATCCTCTTGAGCGAACCACAGACCAAAAGCATATCCACACAGACCGAGAATTTCGATTCACCCTTATTAGTGCAAGACACACGGCAACATAGCGACAATGAATCCGATATCCGAAGTGTCTCTAGCCAAGCAGTTTCTTCATGCCCAGCAGAAACCACCAAGTTTCACATAGTGCCTCCGAAGCTGATCACCGTCACTCCAAGTCCTGATAGAACTGTGAAGCGCAGTCTAAAAGGCATTCACATTTTTGTATGTCACTAGTCTCCACGTGAGGACTTGATCGCTTTAGAACATCGCATCCCAGAAAATCTTGAACAAATGCTAGAGTCGAGCTAACGTACCAATATAGATGATCACGATAAATGCGGTCCTTGGAACTGGCCTCTATTGGCGAGGAGGCCAAGTGCTTGAACTTGGTGGCCCCTTGGCCGTCATTTTGTCGTTCCTCCTTGTAGGACTGCTCGCCTGGTCTGTCATGCAATGCGTGTCAGAGATGCTTTGCATCTGGCCTATACCTGGCGCATTGTCGGTCTATGTCAGCGAGTTTGTCGATGTTGAATTGGGCATCGCTGTTGGGGTTGCATATTGGTATGGAAACCTTCGTTGAAGCGGCTCAAAAGTAGCAAAGAAAGAAACTGTTTGATCAGGAAAAGTCAACTCACTCATATTTCTGATAGGTTCACATACTCGATGTCGTTCTCCACACTTCTTGCAACCTCAGCTGCCGAGTTTAATTTCTGGCCTGGCATCAGCAATAGTACTGGTATACACGCGGGTATTCTGTATCTTCTTATCCCTCTCATACTCGTCTGCGCCAATGCATTTAAAATCGAGGTACAGTTCAATCATTATCTTCAATCCGTTGAGTACCTTGGCAGAGTCAGTGTTGATAATCATCAAGATTTACGGCACGATAGAAGTCATCACAGGGTTCATCAAGCTGACATGTCTTGCGATAATAATATGCGCCTTGATTGCCATTAATAGAGGTGGTGAGTGCGGACCGATTTGGCTACTGCCTCCAGCCTTTTCTTGCTTTCACGAAAAGAAGATTAACATGGCATTTGAAAGCTGGGCAACAAAATTCCTCTCCACTCGGGTTCAAATGTATGTCAAGTCAAGTCATGGCCATTAATGTCTAGTACTAACTGAAGCAGATTGGAGCTCGCCAACCGCATTTGACTCTGATGCCGCCGAAAACTGGTTCACTGCTCTGCTGTAAGTAACATAGCTTATCTTTGTGTTTCCAGGCGGACTGATAGATCTGTAGAATGGGGATGTCCATCTCGACCTTTTCATATGTCGGCATCGAGATCGTCGCGGCATCTGCGCTGGAGGCTAAATGGCCCCACCAGAGCCCAGGGTCAAGAACACCGTCGAATGTGACACCTCGCCCGAATGCTACCCTGATCGGAAACAGTGTGAAATTTTCTGCAATCTTCATATCAATCCTTGCCGCAGTTGCCTACACTCTTGCAGGATTTTTGGTCACTCTAGACATATACCGAGGAGATTGTGAGCTTCCTCGAGTGAGTTGGCTGCCAAAGGAAGTCAAAGACCGTTGTCCTTCACCTGGCAGTAAAGCTGCATTCGTTGCTATTGCTTTGAATTCAGGTATCCCACATCTTGCGGACATTTTCAATGTTTTCTTAATTTTCACCTGCCTCACTTGTACCAGCACAAACCTCTACGTCGCCTCGAGGACTTTATTCGGTCTCACAAGTGGACTGGAGGGCGGCAAAGGACAGCGTTGGTATTTGCGGATCCTTGCGTGGTTCGGAAAAACGAACCGTCACAAAGTTCCCATTCGGTCCGTTCTGTTCTCGGCTATTGCGTTTTGGTGGGTTCTATTTCTACAATTGATCGGAAAACCCGAGACCCGTAACTCTATCAATATGGTAAGGCCTGCTTTCACGGGACACGACATCGGTGTGATATGGCAACTTACACTTGTATTTAGTTTGTTGAGGTCCTGAGCGAAATGGCCTCTATGGCGGTTCTTATTGTCTGGGCTTGCGAATGTCTGGCTTTCATTCGATATTATCACTGGTGAGTCGTGTTCCAATGGCGTTTGATTAGTATACTGACGAGGAACTTTGCAGCATCTCGACCCATCAGACCGTCCTCAGGGAAAAGGGTGTGTTCCAAGTTGAGCGTGATGATTATAACGAATATCCATATCGCAGTCATGGGCAGCCGCTCCTGGCTTACATAGCCTTCTCTGGCTGTCTTTTTATTCTAGTCGTGGCAGGCGGAGCTGCTTTATGGAAGGGTTTCCATCGCCTCCCTTTTCTCGCTCCCTACTTGACTGTAAGATCGCATACTATGTAGATTGGTGGCCGCTTTATTGGCGCTAACATTGGTCGCTATTTTCTAGATATTTGTCTTCTTCGGACTTTGGATATTGCTCAAGATCGCCCGGAAGGCTCCATGGGCCTTCGTAGATCTTTCTGATGGGCATATGGTTGCCAAGAAATTGCAAAGGCTCCACGAGATCCGTGGCGCGACACAAACTTAAATTGATTGAAGTGTTCCTAGCCAATAAAACCATCTATCTGGATAAACAACGAACAGCTTCATCTCGCTGCTAGTAGCAAAACGCCAAAGCCATCAAGCCCGAGAAGGTAGAGGAGACAAAGAACTATTTGTCAAACCATATAAAGAATAATTATTCCATTTAGATAGCAAATATATGGGTGACTTTCCACGTCAGGCTCAGAACAAAGAGTTTGCCCACATCCGTGAAACAAGAGAAACTTCTCAAGTTGCGGTGATTGAGAACGAGCTTCGCTCAGTATGTATCAGCTAATTCTTCATGCTCTTTCCTTTCCGCTTTCGCTCGTCACCAGTCCAGCATATTCACCAACCTATTACCAAAATGCAAATCCTCCCCACAGAGTGATACATGGCCATCCCATGACGATTGGAATGCTCTCAACAAGTCTATCGACGGATGTTTAATACGTACTGCTCCCGCAGCGTCATCCTGCTATGACGGAAGCCCTCTGAACTCGCCGTACAATTGTACTGAAGTGAAAGAACGATGGAATCTCAGTGTATTCCACGCATCGTAGCCGGAAAGGATCAGCTACTATGTGTTCACCAACAACTCTTGTATTCCCCCTGGCGAGACTGGGTACACCAAGGAGAAAGGATCAGCATTGGTGGACTGCCTCAGTATGTTGTCAATGCCACGAAAGAGGAGCAAATTGTGACGGCTATGGAATGGGCTTCGAAGAGAAACATTCGTATTGTCATCAAATCCACGGGACATGACTTCAATGGCCGGTATGTATTTATTGACGCGTTGAAACTGTGATTGAACCAGCCTGGCAGTCCCATCACCTCGATGAAATGATGCTAACCGCACTATCTCCAGGGCAACCGGTGCATACTCTTTGTCTATCTGGACGCACAACTTCCGCGACATTGAGCACAAGCCAGACTGGCGTATCCCTGGAAGCAAAGACACGGCAAATGTCCTGATATGCGGTGGGGGTACCAACTGGGGCTCCGCATACATTGCTGCCAACGCAGCAAATAGATCGGTTGTCGGCGCGGAGGATGTCACAGTTGGTATAGGTGGACAATTAACCAACGGTGGTCACGGTGTTTTATCTAGCTACCACGGCCTTGTGTCGGATCACCTCTACCAAGCCACTGTTATCACCACCAAGGGATGCCGTCTTGTCGTAAATGACGAGCAAAATCAAGACATGTTCTGGGCAATTCGTGGAGCAGGTGGTGGTGTGTTCGGAGTTGTTACCGAGCTTGTCATTAATACCAAACCCAGGCCTGAGAATGCGGTTAGCGCCGCGTTGACTTTCTACGCTCGCGATTCATTCCGCCCTATGGAAGATGCTGCGTGGGCGGCTATTGCTGAACTTACCTCGCAATTCCCAGATCTGATAGACACGGGCGTGACCGGCACGGTTGATACGATGACCGGGCAGATGGCTAAGAAATACCTCCCCTTGCCCCATGCTGTAGCTGGTCCAGCAGTGTCAGCCAAGCTCTTCGCCTTTAATACTACCGTCGAAAGTATGCGACACAAAATTCGAAAGCTGGTCAACAGCATTGAAGACGCAAGCAAGGGGAATCTGAGTATACTTGTGACAGAGCTATATTCTGAAGGTTTCTGGTCATGGGGGAAGCCCGAATTCCGCTCTAGGAATTTTGCAGGATCATCTCGTGTCTTCAGCGGGCGACTACTAGGGTGAACTGAGCTATCCGACCTTCCAAAAGAAGACCTGGACAAGTATCTTCGAAAAATCTTTGTCGCCCAACGTCCCGATGATGGAAATATGTTACGCTTCGATCTCCAGGCTGGGTCTGGCCCGGCCAAAGTCCCTAAGGAACGACGGGCCAGTGAAAACTGGTACTGGCGCAAGGCGTATGTCCTGGCGATGGCGTGGGGAGCGCACATCAACGCGACTGAAGATGCCAGCAATGCATTGAAGTCTGCAATAGACTGGTATGAGGAAAACCAGGAAGCTGTCTGGAGAAAGTGGGCTCCAGACGCCGGGGCATATCTGAATGCAGCAAATGGGTTCAGTCGCTCTTGGAAACATGACTTCTACGGTGACAAGTATGGTAAGCTGCTAAAAATCAAAGAGAAGTATGATCCAACGGAGAGTTTGTGGTCTTATAGTGGAGTTGGGAGTGAAAAGTGGCAGTATGATTTACACAGTGGTCTGCTTTGTCAAGCAGGCAAGTCGTGAGAGAAATGTCAGGCCAGCCGAGGCGGTTACAATTTCGGATATTGCTGGAAGAGCATTTGAAAAGTTTCTTTCTTCTTTACCGAGTGTTTAGTTTAATGCTAAATTAAAAGAGATTCATGTTTTCATTTCCATCAGATCTACAGCAACATAGGTTGGATATTAGAAGAATGCGGACCGTGGAAATGGACCTCAGAGTAGATCTGGAGCAGAGGTGTTTTTCCACGATTGATAAGAAAAGTGAAGTTTGAATTTGTAATCTATATTTTGTTCAAAACAGATATTTCTTCCATCATATCATAGCAGACCTTCTCACTGACATAGCTGTCACGATGGTAATCCTCATGTTGACGGACAAACTGACGCATCCAAGATGCTGGAGTCGGGTTGGTACTGTTCGCACGCTGCTGAATGAGATCCAAGTAAGGAGCAAGCTTGGCCTTTTCGACTGAAGGAACATTGGTGTAGTCAAGATACTCCCAAACCATGGCCAACAAACCTGGGAAACTTCCAGAATTTCCTTCGCCATTGACGATCTCATCCACAGTCATGAGTTTGCATTCCTTCTCGGCGTCTTGATGATCGGCCGAGTCCTTGCACATAGACTTGACTGAATGATCATTCCGATGATATTTGGAAGACCACCCAGATCGACGAAACCAGAAGCGCCCTTCTACCGCAGCATTGCGCTTCTGGGCCGTTTCCCATGACTCACCGATCATGTCAAATGGGAGATAGAAGTTCAAATGGAAGGTGGTGATTGCTCGCGAAAGCAGGTACATGAAGATTGCGAACGCAGCGTTCTCGAAATCGGTCAGTTGCACCTCCATCGGTCGGAATTCCACACACCATCCAGGACCATTATCAGTGAGAGGTGGTTTGAAGCGGACATGATGCCAGACGCAACCGTGAAGAAGCTCAAAGAGTCTTGTGTTTGAGTCATTCAGATTGTCCAGATCTGCTCGAGTCAGCAGGAGAGGGTCGCGGGTAAGGATTGATGCAAAATGCTCGGCGAGTGCGTCATCCATGCCACCTTCGAGTAGCCGGCTCTTGATGGTTTTGTCCATGGGCTGCAGAGGGGTGCTCCCTTCCAGCATCGGAGGCTTCTCTCGAGAGAGGTATGTTCGATTCCATGTCCAACGAGGTGGCTTTTCGATGTTAGCTTTCTACACGGTATCTGTCTGTGAGATATGATTCACGTACCAAGAAGTCCATTTCTCCTGGTCGACGATCGTCCACCAAGTCTCCGAATCTTTGCCATCGAATGTCTGTATCAACTAGATATCCTTTCCATATCGGGGTTGCAGCTGTCATGGCAAGAAGAACATGGCCGAGAGGAATGAGTTGATCGTATAACCATCGTGCTTCGGTTTCGTTGGCGGCTTGAAAGGTTGTCTGAATACTGCAGCACCCGGTGCCAATATCTAGCTCGTCCAAGCAAATATGGTCAGGAATTCCTTTCCCCGTTGGTGGGTCATCATGAAATGGACTTGATGTCAAAACATCCCGATAGATTGGGAAATAAGTTCTCATTCGACCTTGAGGGCGACTCTGGACATTCTTTGCCAACAGTTGATATCGAGGCAGCGGACAAATAAGACGATTGGGTTGGTTGGGAGTAGTCCATGTGCCTTCCACCCCGACTCGAGGGAAAACACAGAGAGACATGGCTTGTTGATGAGGCAAGAGGAACCGATTTATCAAATGTCTCCTAAATCGGATTGTTAGCTCATATTATGGCAGGAGAAGCGACACCATTACCTTTGACGCATATTTGTTTCAACTTCCAATAGATCTGTTGCCCTGTCGTGGTACGGAGCTTCAGGTGTGGTCTCAACCACATAAGTTGCCCACTCCCATTGTAACGTAGCCCTATCAAACGCTGTTAGCTGTAAGCTATTCGGTTCTTATGAGGAACTCTGGTCGTACCCATCACTTGTGCAACAATTTCTTGCTTCCCACTGCCGTATAACCCTCTCTTGCTCCAGTAACATTGTGGCCCGCGAATTCTTGCGGTCCAAGTTGACTAAAGCATATTCGATCTAGGTTATCGAGTTAGTAAATAACCTTCTTCAAGGTTTGTTTGTCAAAACCAACTTCATCCCCCCACAATGGATCAGGGTCATATCGATTCTTCTGTTGATGCCATACTCGAAGGAGTTGCTATTCATTTAGCTTAGAACATCGGTAGATACGAGTGGTAAATACCTCTGTGGCCCATTTGCGGATGATAGGAGCAACCTCTTCGGCTTGAGCCCAGCTTAATGCGGAGCCGTCAATCCTGGCACCCCGATTAGTTGCTTCACAGGAAATTTTTGTAACAACATTACTCACGCTCGACCCATCCTCGCGATGAAAGTAAACACTGACACTGAATGGAATACTCAATCGCTCTTCCAGGCCTCGACGGTTTAAATACTAGATGGATCATGTACAAAGATTTTCACGAGCCCTTCAGAAAGCCTCAATTTCGATGATCATCATAGATCCGCAGGACGATCATCGGCAGGGGTATGGACTATGACGCAAGGGATTTTGGTTTAGGAGCAGCGGGCTCTAGCTAACCTTATTCTCCATCCCGCCCGTTCTCGGAAGTGAGTCCAGAACAAAGGGCCAGCAATCCAGGGATGGCGAGCTGATCTGGCAAGTGGACCTTGTCTCATGCTTCATTGCGCGTTGTCTATTTCAAAATAGAAGACATCCCAAGAAGATTGGTCTGCTTGAACCAAAATATAGATCTGTCGGGAGATCTACAGGGTCCCAAAAACGAACATGGCCACACAACCCCGGTACCAATTTACTACTAACCGGCGAGAAAAATCTCGCAGACCTGAAAATAATGAAAGGAAGAGACATCTTCTCATTACGAACTCCGCAGCCAAAAATTATATGTATACCATGTGGTTGAATAGCATGATAAATTCCAAAGTGCCAAGCCTAGAAAAATGGACGTGGCAAGGCACCACGCGTTCATCTCCACATGACTCAGATGAAGATAATCCCTTGAAGCGTTTCTTGATTTTCAAAATTGATTGTGATTTTCAATATGATGATGTTCGTCAGCACGAAGTCGCTAATCAATCAATCAATCAATTCCCTCAACACAACCCCAGCAGATAGATTAAATTTACCCGTAGGTCTACCTAACCGAGAGAACCGAAGATCGGTTGCTGTAGAACGAACTATCTCTCAATTGAAGCCGTTCTCTTGACCTTCTCCCCAGTTGGAAGTGTGGAAGGCACTGTGTCAGACCATGTAGCACCATTGCTTATTATGCGGCCCGCTCGCCGTCATTGGAAGACCAACGTAGATCCTGAAAAATAAACTTCCTGACGAAGGTTTCAGGGACCGACAGGTCAGGATTGACGACATATCTTGGTTCTTTCGGTTTATGCATTGGACCCGTTGAATGCAAGGTCGGTTCACTCCGAAGAATATGCAATTATTATTCGTAGGGCTTGATTTGCAAAGACAATCGTCTTGGCAAGTAAAGTAGTTGACAATGACGATGGGCATGAAAATCAGAATCCCAGTGGATTCGCCAAGAAGAAAGGATTCTCATATTTTCGGCCGTAACGCGTAAGACTTGACAGGAAGGAGTTTGAATTGTTTGGGAAATCCGGTCTGAATCTCCGACTTTATCACGTTCATTCCAGCCTGGTCAAAGATCTGCTTGAATTTCGCATCTGTCCTTGTCACGCTGCTGTCCTCATCGTCGTACATGTCTTGATCGCCAGCGTCGGTGGATAGGTTTTCTTTGATCACCATGATTCCGCTCTCTGTCAATGAATCACGGCATCGTGACACGTACTGAATCAACTGTGAATCTGTGAGATGACCCACACACCATTGGGTCCAGATCAAGTCATATTTCTTCTCCGGAGACCAATCCTCAAGGCCGAGGGTAAAGATGTCTCCGATGACACCATCTTTCTTGAGTTGCCCGTCCTCGAGGACTTGAGTGAACTTTTGCACCGGCTCTACCGCGTCTACCACCGTGCAAACGTGACGCAGAAAGCCCTCAGTGACGCGTCCAACGCCTGCACCACAATCGACTCCGAGGCTGAACTTGCCATCTGTTTGGAGCGCAGGTACAAGGCGGCGAACTTTGCTCAAGAAGTTCTTGGAACCTTGCAATTCAATGCGCGAATACCATGGATAGGTGCCAAGCATGCCTAACATATTGCTAGTGGTGCTCGGAAGACTGCTCCAGTACCTGATGGAAGCGGCGTGGTCGATCTTGGAGTCGGCTGGTGCTGACGAATCTCGGGAGGCCTCATCGGGATTTTGTGTATTCTGAGACATGATTGGAATGATTTGAGAGATGAAGTGAATCAAACACAAAGGCCAGGAAATTTTTGATGATAAAGATATGCTTACATAATCAGATTGGCGGCGGGCGGGGCGTTCCCCCGCAATAGTTGAGAGTCCCTGATCTCCTCAAGAAGCAAACATCACCAACATTGGAAAATGCCGCTATTCCAGGACTGGAAATTATGTAAAGGCCTTTTATGCCGGGGTCAGAGGGTGAGCCGAAGAGATATTACCGTTGTTATTGACTTTCTTTTAAAACCGGCCGTGATGTCTCCCAGGGACCTAGTGAACAAGGACTGAAACTTTTATATGAAGAAGTAGATGCCCGAGTAGAGTATGAAAAGAGCAATGAATTAAATTGAAATCTAAAACCTACTGACGATCGTCGATAGTATTGTTGCTGTGCATGGGCTGAACGGCCACCGCGAAAAAATCGTGGACAGCGCCAAATAGAACCAATTGGCTTCGAAGTTTACTTCCAGTTGATTTACCTAGCTCGAGAATCTATACCTGGGGCTATAGTGCACCGACCGAGAAAACTAATGCTAGTAAGTTCTGGCAAGAGGCGGTTTCCGAGGACTTGATTTCAGCGCTATGGCAAGCAAAAGAACCGACCAATGTATTGAAAGCAGCCCCCCTCTCCCCTCCTCCAATATAGATTAGCATCTACATTTGCTAATACGCATCGTAGAGCCAGAATCGACCGATAATATTTGTTACACATAGCTTAGGCGGCACTATCGTGAAGAATGTACTTGGTCCTGGCATCTAAATTTTGCCTGTGAAGAGCAGTGTTAATTTATGTTTGATAGGCCCTGAACTACTCCAACTTATTATGCGATGAGTCTCTCAAACACCTCCACAGTATAAGGGAATCAACATACGGTGTTTTATTCATGGGCACACCAGAACTAGACACACGAATGGATGGTCTTCGAAGCTTACTAGCAATGGATCAAGGAGAGGGTCAGCGTGCAACTGACAGCCACAAGGAAGCGAAGTGGATGCTTAATGTGTTAGATCAATTCTGAACAACCACTATCCCTGCGAAAGCGGAGATAGTGATCCTTGTTACGGATAGTGGTTAGCAGGTATAGGGTTCCATATTTGGAGGAGGGATTGATAGGTATTGAATCTAGGAATTCAGTGTAAACAGGCCTTTTGATCAAATCTCTGATTATTCTTTCTAATCGTGTGAGGATGTGATGTCCTATAAGTCAAGATTGGTATATATGACTGGACGGGGGCTGCCCCACAACGCCGTGACCCTTTTAGTAAGGTAGATTGGCCCGACCGGTCCGATGGCCGACTTCGGGGACGAACCCGACGACACTCTCACCTTCTCGATTCAAGTCGCTCCAGACCCAAAGGCTACACAATACGTGGGAATCGATCCATGTCTGATAAAAGACGCTCTTGGGATTTCCAGGCGCTCACGCCAACGCCCCAGCTACTTCCGATCTCCGAAGACCTCCAAAGAGCCTCACCCTTTAGTGAGTCAATCATGGGCTTCGGAGTTTGCCGTCAAGGCTTAGAAGTTGAAATACTAACATGCCGCCAGTCAACGACGATCTGAGTGGAATTGCCCACTATGATTGCATTCAAGACGGGAATGCAAATCCTGAAATAGGATTTTTACACGATGGCTCTAACTTTGAGTTCGTCCCGTCGATGAATGATGGTGGACTTCCAGTCATATCGGACTGGCCAACTAGTCCGTGGGTCCCCGATGATTTCCAGGGTCCATTGGAATTGGCCAACTATGGTTTCAAGGAGCATCATGTAGACCTAACACCTCCCTTGGACAGCCAACAGGCTCAATTTGACCAGACTGAACTGCACCACCCTGGAATATCGCCTTCTTCCCTCTACAATACCCAACCAGTCGAACAGGACGAGAGTGCATATATGCCTTTTTTGGACAGTGGAGAGTCATCGTTCCGCGAGCGAACGGTGGAACCGAAGACAAACGTCATTCCAATACAAAATTTGAATCGTCCTTCAAGTCTGCCCAGGAGAAGAAGCCGCTATTCTCTGGGCAGGCTCGGACAGACAATGAGTCCAAGATATAGCCCAGACATCACAAACTCTCTTGATCCAATGCAGAGATGGCAGGAATCACCACCGGAGGATGAACCGGCATCATTATCAGCGATCATGCAGGCCGTCAATAAGTCGGAACAGGCTGGGGAGGGATTGTCTTTCTGTGAAGAGGTTTCGAACAGAATCAACATTTCATTCCGACATCATCGCCGGCCAGCCTCACTGGCAAGTTCTAAGAGTGGCACCAGCGCATCATCATGGCAGTCTTCGGCCTCAACACGATCTGCAGTGTCAACGCCTAGGAATTCTCAGTCACAACCTGGGAGTACGCGAGTCGGCAAGAGCAAAAGAAAACCCAAAAAACCAAGTGGACTGGAAAGCGACCGAATATTCTGTTGCACATTTTGCTGTGATACATTCAAAAACAAGTTTGACTGGTCGCGCCATGAAAAGTCCCTACATCTCAACCTGGGAGGCTGGGCATGCTCTCCACATGGAGGTGCGGTGGTATCAACTGTGACAGGAAGGTTACATTGTGTCTACTGCAATTTTCTGGAGCCATCCCCCGAGCATCTTGATGGGCACAACCATTTCCAATGTTCTGACTCGACTCGTATCTTTCGACGGAAAGACCACCTAGTTCAGCATCTCAGGCTTGTGCATAACCTGGAAACCTTACCCCTGATAGACGACTGGAAAATCCAGGGCCCAACCGTCACCTCGCGCTGCGGCTTCTGTGACCAACGACTCGAAAGCTGGGACGAAAGAGCGGACCATTTGACCAATCATTTTCGCCAAGGAATGACAATGAGTGACTGGCACGGAGATCATGACTTTCCACCAGATATTGCAGCAAAGGTTATAAATTCTTTACCGCCTTATCTGCTGAGCTGGGAGTCAAAGACAATGGTACCATTCTCAGCATCAAGTAGGAGTGCCCAGGATCACCTAGCTCAGATCTCTGCACGGGCGGATTGGATTGTTGCCAATGCGAGCGCTCAAAATCCAAATGAACCATCAGCCGTACCGGAACCTCCATTGCAATTGGCGCCGAGGGGTGAGACAATGGTGCCATTGAATACTTTTACAGGTATCTTGACACAACACCTCAGCCGCTATGCTCGTCAGCAAATGAGTCTTGGTATTATTCCTACGGATGAGATGTTCCAACAGGAATCGAGGAAGCTACTTTATGATTCGGAGGACTCTTGGAACCAGTCGATTGCGGATAATCCTGCCTGGATTTCTGCATTCAGACAACAACTCCAAGTCCATCCCAACAATGGTGCAACGGGAGGAACTGATGATATAGAAGCTACGATGGCTGGGTTTAGCGTCAAGCAATAATGAGCTAGAATTTGCGTCTTCTAAATCTAATGTCTAAGGACACTCCATGCTACTTCATACGTTGCGAAACTTTCACCTCATGCAATCTTCAGAACTATCAGGTAATTTTAAACGTATAGTGGAGAGCATATTTGCGTTGCGAATTTGACACTATTGGGGAAATTATGCTCTAGACTACTGAGTCACTTCTAGAAGTCACACAAAACTCAAAACTGTATGGATCAAAGACATACAGATAATCCGCATGTCATTGACATGTCTTGTGTATTCTCGGGCTTCTCGGATGATGTTACTACAGGTTAATTGGTACTTTATGAGCAGCGAGTATGCAATGAACAGGGCTTGTTGATCAATGATTACTGTACTTGCATGATGGCAGAATCAATGCCTCATACCACATAGATGGCGTTTCCAAGGTGAATGTCAAAGACATAACATATCTACTTCCTAACTAGGAAAGCCAGAACTAGTTCGCTTTATCCACTCAGGATACAAAGTTACAGGGAACTATGAGATGTTTTATTACAGTGAGACTTCTACATATGGCTTGAAAGAATCAGGTCTCGGAGAGATATGTAGATAACGGTATTGGTATCTGGGCGGAGACTGCAGGGTACGTAAGACGATATCAAGTAACTGATCTATGCATTCATGGGTAGATTTAATCTATCAAGTCTATGCCAGTCTATTGACCTGGAATTAGTTCTTAAAGGCGGAAGTTTGCCTTCGTTGCTCTAGTATCTACACGCTCTGCATCCAAACTTCCATCGACTTGCCTTGTCTAACAAGGATCCCCAAAATGAAAGCCTCGATTCTAGCCCCTATTGCAATTTTTCTCTCAGTCGCTATAGCTGGCACTCCCGATAATCCCGAGAACATGACACCATGCTTGGTATGTGTCCGCAATCAAAGAGTCTCAGTACGGGATTCTGAAGCATTGAATGACTGGATGAATGTAGCTTAAATGCAACCAGCAAGCAGCCGAGCAAGTTGGCTGTGGCACTTACCTTAACACCGATTGCACATGTGCCAGTGATCCTTTCGTGCTTGCTCTCAACACCTGTCTGTCGGCAGGATGTGATGCGACTGATGTTAAAAGTAAGCACGGTTGATTATTCCGATTTGACTCTACAGCATCATTCCTAACTTTGAATAGTGTCGAAGGATTTACATGTGAAGATTTGCCACGGAACCCCTGTGTGAAGCAGACATTATTGAAGGCTTTTCGGGGTTATCCGTGCTGCTTCGTGGGGGCCATTCTTAGGTAGAGGAACATGCCATTCCTGGGGTACCTTGATCTTTTTACAATCGTAGGAAGATGGTAATTGCTGACCACCTCATTGATAAATCCTAATCTGATTACATTCATCCTTGACAAACAACGTATGGTGGCATTTATGATGCACCTTTGACCCGTCACATGAAATGGCGCCATCCATTTGTAGTAGGCGGGGTTCTGCCCAACAGAGTTCGCGGGACAGGTCGGCCCCGGAGGCACAGCTAAACCCGACTACAATTACGCTGATAAGGCTGACATGTCGCAGCTTCTTTAACCTCCTCCCTGAGATGCGTCAACCAGACATGGCGCGGGTCAACGGGACATCAAATCATGGCAACCGCCGGTTGTTGTCATTAGCGACCGCAGTACTTATCAGCGCTATCGCATACCGTATTTACCTCCATGACACTTTCGCCCTGATATTCGGCTTTGGCCGGGTGATTCAGCCTATTGAGGACTTCCCTTGGGACTGCAAGCGCATTCAACACCCACTTCTCGAAGGGTGCGAAGATATTTGGCTAGACCACAACAACCGAAAGCTATACGGTGCATGCACCAGCCTTACCTCTCGAACGGGATGGAATCCGAGCGGGAGCTTGTTTAATGTTTCCGCGAGGTCGCGGACAGACCACATTTCTGTGCTGAATATCGACGAGCCAGGTCCTGATGGATTATACGGGCTGCACCAACTAAAGACCGATTATCTTGGAGACCTCGACCTGCATGGCTTTGATGTTAGTCGCGTCGGTGATCGACAGCGGTTTTGGCTCATCAACCATCGACCCCCTGTGGATCCAGCCACGGGAGAACCGCTTGATCCCCGCAAAGTGGGCGCAAACTCCACGGTGGAAATATTCAATCTTGATGCACCATCGAATACTTTAGTACACGTTAAGACTATCGCTAGCGAGGCGATTATCTCCCCTAATAACATTGCGGTCGATAATGATGGAGTTGGTTTTTTGGTGACGAATGACCACGAGGAGAAGGCTGGAATGTTTCGCGATCGCGTCATATTTTTTGGAGGCGGAAGCTTGACCTACTGTCGGTCGGATACTGGCAGATGTGAGATGGCCACCAATGAAGGCTGCTCGTTCCCTAATGGTGTCGTACGTGGGCGAGATGGGCTGTTTTATGTCTCCCATTCGGCATCGGGCGTGATTACTGTCCATGAAAACTCCGACGATGGCTTTGTTGAAGTTGACAAGATTCCTCTGGATGTTCCCCTTGATAATATTACCGTCGACAAGGAAGGAAACATAGTGGTTGCTGCTATTCCGCATTCAGTGGGCTTTATGCAAGCTGCCGATGACCCATATAACCGAGTTGCAGCGGCAAGCGTCTTCATGGTCAGGAAGCGAGACCAGAAACATGCGGGCTTGGGAGAGAATAACTATGAGGTCATCAAAGTTATTGAAGATAGAGATGGCAAGTTCCTTCCTACAACAACGGTGGCAGTGCATGATGTCCAAACCAATCGGTTGTTTTTGGCGGGAGGATTTTCCCCATTCCTCAGCATTTGTCAAAGGGGCAGTTGAATGAGTGATCATGTTGGGGGATCGGGTATATTGCTAGACGGCGATTGAGCATCTTGACTCGCATGGCATCCGTGTTGGAGTCCGAAGCTTGCCCACCATCCTCCGTTATCTCTTGAATCTCCCCTCGTGTCTTTGGCTCTTCTCATATACTCTAACAGATCTAGAAAGCGTCAGTCAGCTGTAACATGTACAAAATTGAGTAAAGCAAGTCTTGTTCACTGGTGAGAAATTAGATGAAAGCACTAACTTCCTGTCAATTCTTCTAACTCGTGAGCACATAGTAGGCATAGAATACAAATTATAGGTACCATGGAATCCATTATCGACTTCGGTGAAGTCCCGAGGTCATCGCCACTCCAAAACTAGAGTTTTTAAGGTTTTTGGTTGGCCCCGCTCGTATTCTCGTATTTCTTCGCTCGCATTCTCGCATTCTCGCATCCCCGGTTTCGCATGACCCTCAGTCGTTCAGATCCAAGTTTCGGGGGAAAGATATTTCATGTTGAAGGATAAGAGAGCTATTTTCAGCATAATATCGATGTTGCCTTCAGTATGGATTCGCTATAAAGCAAGCCTCATTTCGCAATGCTTTAGAATAACTTTATTTGACATCGTTGTCCCTACATAATTTGTACTCACTTTGTCAACCTGCCTACCATGAGCACCAATACTAGTGATGGAGGTATCGACTTCGCTCTTTACCGTTACACTCCTTCGATTCCGGCGGCAGTGGTTTTTGCAGCGATTTTCCTAATTGTCACAATTCTGCATGGTATTCAACTATGGCGATACCGCACTTATTTCTTCGTTCCCTTCATCATTGGTCTACTCTGTGAGTATCCCCCAGATCAGTGGCTCGAAACAGCCTGAAATTGGCCAGGAAAACTAATAATAATATTTTACATGCAATAGTTGAATGCGCTGGCTACATCGCCCGAATCTTCTCACACTTCGACACCAAAGCCCTCGGTCCATACATCGTTCAGACGATGCTGATTTTGGTCGCGCCGCCACTTTTCGCTGCCTCAATCTATATGACTCTGGGCAGAGTCATTGTTGCACTCAACTGTCACCAGTATTCAGTCGTACCAGTTCGATTTCTTACAAAAATATTTGTGGTCGGAGATGTGATCTCTTTCCTTCTCCAGTGTGGAGGTATGTGCCGGTTCTACGACGCTCTTTTTATTGACACTAACTTTGTCCCAGGGGGTGGCTATATGGCCGCTGGAAGTCTTTCCGCCATGAATATCGGTGCGAATATCGTCATTGGCGGTCTTGCTATTCAGCTTCTTTTCTTCGGGTTCTTCGTCATCGTTTCCGCGGTGTTCCACTGGCGCGTTAAGAGAAACTCGCGAAATATTTCACATTGTTTGGAGCATAGCAAGAAGTGGGAACCCATAATGTGGGCTCTCTACGCTGCTTGCTTCCTCATCCTGGTTCGATCCATTTTCCGTGTGGCCGAATTTGTCGAGGGAAATGATGGGTTTATCATGAGAAGAGAATATCTCTTGTACATTTTCGATGCTTGTCTCATGGCTTTGAGTGGGATTGTGTTGGTAGTCATCTACCCCGGTTCTTTTCTCGGTCGCAATGGTAACAAGCGAGATAGTGAGCTCCAGCTTATGTCTACAGATGAAGGCTATAGACCACAGAGATCAAAGGATTATGAAGCTTGAAGAATAAGCCTACATGTCGGCATAATAGCAACTCATCCATGGCGTCGGGCGAAACTATATAGATTTTATTATACCACAGAGAATGCATTCACTACCTTTCTTTTGTCTCTGCTGTCTACTGTCTAAAACTAAGTAGGTCAAAAAATTCAATTAGGCTTGCAGTGGATGAGATGACAATTTTCAGCTGTTCTGTTCTATTTGGAGTAAATTATTTTCACGGTACTGCACCGAATTTGCAGCCGCGAGTGCAACCTTAAATTCTCCCTCCGCTTCTCACACCTGACTTTACACTACCTTTTACGCACCTACCATTGTGTAGCCTACTTATCGGGACAGCCATATGTGCCGGAGACTATGTGAGCTCACCACTGCCCGTCCAAATCGCCAATGATGACGCCGCTACACCCGATACAAGTTGAGGACCCGTCTAGAAGCGCAGCCAAGTCGCGCTTTCGCCCCAAGCAACGAATCAGCCACACCAAGTCGCGAAATGGTTGCTATACCTGTAAGCAGCGTCGCGTGAAGGTAATTAATTCCACCAGGAGATATTCTCGATCGGTCATGACTGACACAACCAGTGCGATGAGGAGCGGCCAACGTGCGGTTCATGTCTCATTCGGGGGGAAGACTGCGTCTTCCCCAATCCAGGAGGCACACGTGACCAGACAAGGAGACAACGACCCTTCCTTCGACACAGAGTATCGTCGGAAAGTATCCATCTCCAGGCGCGTGAAAATATACGGGAAATACCGTTTCGTCCATTAAATTTCAATGTGCCTCCTTCCGAGAAATCCCAAAATGTTGGAGGTCAACCGAAATCCAGCCTCAACATGACTGATCTCAATTTACTCCAACACTTTATCTTGCATACCGCGAAAAAGATGACACTGCACAAGATGAAAACGGTGGTCTGGGAGCGTGTCATTCCTGAAATGGCAGCAGCAAATGAATTCTTGATGCACCTAGTCTTGGCCCTGGCTGGCTTGGATATTTTGACTACTGCAGACGCTTGTGCCCAGGATACCCAAGATCCTTCTAGTGCTTCCATGTCTGTAAATGTACCTCATCTTCAGTCTATCGTGGAACATCATCAACAAGGGCTGGCCGGACTACAGGAAGCGCTTTGCGCCACCAGTGAACCAGATGCGGAAGCCTTGCTAGCTGGGTCCCTGCTGGTGGTTAGCTTTGCGTTTGCATCTTTGGGGATCAATGGTTTGGATCCATCAATACCTACGCATCAGCATACGTCAAATTCTGGGCTTGGCTCACCATATCCTCCCTCTGATGTCGGTATACTCCACATACAATGGCTTCGCCTTGTTCGTGGTGTCACTTCTATCCTGAAACAATTTTGGCCGACCCTGAGGAAATGTCGCCTCAGGGCGCTGTTAATTTGCAACAATGCCAATGAGGACTGGAAGATGTGTGAAGCACAGGTGCGCTCGATTATGGTGCGTAGTCGGCATATCCGATCAAAGAGGCTGCGGGAGTTCGCCACGGGCGCCAATCATGCGGTCTCGCATTTATGGGACCTACATGCAAGCCTCCGTTTACGCAGTGATCTTGAAGAAGGCTCCGAGGGCTCGCCATCGAGCGCAACCCCTCGCTCTGATGAAACTGGCAATGGGAGTAAGGCTTATCTGGAGACATACGGACAAACTATAGGAGTGGTCGAGGATCTTTACATGAGGATCCTCTATGTCATGCAAATGAATCCGCTCGAATCTCACTCATCATCCGACCTTGAGCTCCAGACTGGTCTCGAAGATGCAGCAGTTTCAGGCTGGCCTCATCTTCTTTCGGAGGAATTCATCTCGTCCTTGGACTCGCACGGGACTTTTGACACGCTACAGGGGGTGAGCTTGGTGATTTTGGCACATCTGTATGTGCCTATCGCTATTCTGGACGAGCTCTGGTACTTTGGGAAGAGATGGGACATAGAAATCCAGAAGATTAATACCCTTGTTGTTGGTCTTGGTGATGAGAGACTTATGTCCTTGATGGAATGGCCAATCGATGTCATTCTGTGATGAGATCCGAAGACATGTTAGATAGGCTACTGAAGTTGAATACCAAGATCTTGCTCAAAACCTAGATCAATCTCTTCTATAATGGCACGGGGTCACATTATTCATCAGGCGTTAGCCAAAAAAAGACATTTGGTACCGTTGAAAATCTTAATGAGTCTATCAGCTGATAGAATTATTTGAAATCTGAAACCATGAACGGTATATAAAAATTATCAGCTCGTCGTCAGACGAAGCGGAAGAATTGTATTATGTTGAATGTATGTCATAAGTCATGTTGAAATTATATAAATGCCCATCGCTAGTATGCAGTCATGCAAAAATCTGCTTTTTAAACAGTCGTCTAAGCTTGGTTCTCATCCTGAATCTTGGAGTTAACATCCTCCGCTGTCACTTGAACCTCATGGCTGTGCTCAAGTTCGGACAAGACGATCCAGGTCGGAACCACAGCAAGAAGCGTGATTCCAAAGTTGAGACCAATGCTGACAAAGTGGTTGGCACCACCCTCAGACTGCATAGCCCAGGCAACAGTTTGACCCAGGGCCTCGAATCCACGCAGAATACCGCAGTGGTAGGACAATGACGAGATATCGGTGCTGTATTGACCGATAAGCCAGTACAGGAATTGTTGAAATGCCTGGCCGCCGAAAGTCCAGAAGAAGACGAGAGCGTAGGATTTTCCGAATCCGCCGGTGAACCAGTCGAAGACGGGCGATTCGGGGGCACTGTAGAATTGGTTCTGAAGAATCGAAGCCCAGATCCAGGTGCCGGTGAGAATGGTCACAATAGAGATGAAGGCGATCTTGGCGCGGGTCTTGATGTGGATACCCTGGCGATCGAGAAGTCCGGCGATGATGAATGAGGAGGCAATGCCGGCGAAGTTGGTGAAGAAGGAGGAGAATGCGCGAGCTCGGACGGTGAAGTAGGTGGTGAGCCACGTGCTGAGGAAGCCGTTGTAGAAGTAGCTGATGAAGAAGGAGGGTAGGAGGAGGAGGACACGGCGAGTAGCAATCAGAGAAAGCGCAGCCTTGAACTCAGCAGCCCAGGAGGCTTGCTTGTGCACAAGGACCAAGGTTCGGTCCTTGCGCTGCACCTTCTCAGCAGGGCTAAGTAGGAGGGCGATGGGGAATCCAAGACACATGATGACGATGAACACGATGTATGTGCTGGAGCTGACGGATCCTGTTGTCGAAGTTTGTGCGTTGAGGCCCAAGTTAATCGCACCTCCCACAATTGGGCCAGCGGCCTTTGCAGTTTGCCAGATTGCTATTCAAGATGTCAGTTATAGAATGATAACGATGTGACAATTTTTGAAACGTACCAAGGTAGAATGCACGCTCGTGGGGGCTAGGATATCCAATAATGATGGCAGCCTCAGCAGCCCAGAAGAAACCGGCAGAGATACCACACAAGGCACTGCCGAAGAGCATGAACCATGTGTTTGCCGAGTTGTTGTTGGTGTAAAGACCGGCACCATAGATGGGGTAGCCAATAGCTCCAAGCGTCAATCCATAACGGAGGCCGATGCGGTTGTTGATAGCTCCAGCTGCAACACACACAATCGCGAACAAACCATAGACCAAAGCATTTGCTGCAGAAACAGCATAGGGCTCTGCCGCACCACCCGCACCCAGATTGTTCAAGGCATCCCACATACCAGGTGCAGTGAAAGACACAGCGCTAGCAACGGCAATCTGGAATGGAATTGATCGAAAGATCGATCGGCGAGTGCTGGGTTGAGTTGACTCAACCACTGACCGAGCTTCATGCTCATCCACCACCTCCGGGTGGGAATTTGTGGCTGCCATAATCGTGATGGAGTCTGCAGACCCTAGTGACTGAAGGATTCTACCTGCAGATGGCGCTCAAAATTCAACAAGGATATATGGAAAGAGATACAAGTGTGACTACTGCATTATTATTTCAAAAGAAAATTTTCCGTAAGCAGATAAAGTGGGGCCATGGCGTGATTCGCAGCTCGGGACACTGTGTTGAAGTTTTTACGAGATGCCAAGTCCAAAAGGCCCTGGGGAAATTATTTTCGCGGAGTCGCTTGGCTTCCTGGCGTGCTACAGTAGTGGGGTAAGATCTAGTGCTCAGCAGCCAAGATGTAACTAAGGAGATTAAGTCTTGACGAAGATATGGCAGTTTTCCTTGACGTTATTTAGTTAAAAGGTAGCTCGGTATCCTTCATCAGCTGCAGGGATTAGCTCTCGAGGTGCCGACCATGTGGCGAAACAAGCTTAATTTTCGCCTGCCGCCACGTATATTTCGGGCCGGGTGAGTCAAATTTTCAGCCGGCCAAATCTCGCCTATCGGGCCGAGTTCGGCCCTTGCGATCTCGATTGGAATGAAGAGTCATACAGATGATTGAAATCAGCTGGAGTGGAGATACAGGGTTACATGCAGAGCCAACTAGTGTGTTTGTTCAAGTGCGCTCTAGAATAGCTGCGAATACTAGTTCCGAGGTTTTCGTTGGCCCCAACGCAGGAACTTCGATCTACGTACATGATCATCTATCCTTCTCTTACCATGCCTCCCATGGCCACATAATTGCAAAACTCATCCCCAAGGAATCGCGCGTTCTCTTGGGTCATAATGGCTGTAGTTCCAAACAGGGTCACTTCAATTGTGTGTCCAAGCGGCTTCACCAGCACCCAAAGCTGCTCAGGTCGGAACTCCATGGGTATGACACCGAAGTGAGTCTGTGCTCCGAAGAAAGTGACTTCAGGTGTCTCATCGATATTTTGGTACTGGAAAACGGAGCCGAAGGTTGTGTTTGCGGCCAGTCGGCACACGACGTGATGTCTGACAGGCCGGTGGATTCGAACGGCATCCCATTGAGCTGTTGCTGTTGGATAGTGGCGAAGACCTCATGGGGAGAAAACAACTTGTGGCCACTGTTCCTGGGCCATGTTACCCGTAGAGGGATCACATTCAAACATGGACCCGCGACAGGCTCCGTAATTATATTGAGAGTTGCTCCTCGTCCGGAGACGAGACGCCCGAAAACAATGTCGGTTTGCTGCATCGTGGAAGCTACGACCGCGGCCCAACAAGCCGTGAAAAACGTTGCCGCTGTGATCCCTTTCGGTAAAGGCGCAAGCAAGCTCACGGTTTTCCTAACTATGTGTGGGGTACTTTTGCTGACCTTGTCGGCGGGGGAATCGCTAGAAATTTTCGTCATTGACGATCCAGCCAAGAGTCGACCCCATTACCGAGAAGCCTCGTTTTTGATTGAAATTGAATGCCGAATAAACGACGCAAGTGACCCGCTGGGAGTCAATGGTCTCCCTTCAATAGCTGCTGATAGGGCTTGGAGTAGGGTGTCGAGGCTGATTCCATCATATAAGGCGTGAGACATCGGTTATGGACTCCAGTGATGGCCGTAGAATGTCAGCCACAGCTGCGGGCGAGAGCAACAATATGCATCGCGTGAATTGACGTGCTCTCGTATTGGAAAAAATTGGAGTTCATGTCGATGGAGGTAGAGTCCGTGACGCCTAACGCCTCACCACACAGACGTTGAACAAGTGCCTCCTTTGGCGTCATTGGCTCTCGATGCTTTTCAAATTCTTTGGGGCTCTGTAGAACGTGTGCAGGCGATATGGAGGACCCTAGCTGGCGAAGTCTAGATCGATCAACCTTTCCTGTTGATGTAGTGGGAATTCCACCTTCAAGCGGGATGAAGAGAGACGGGACCATGTACATAGGAAGCAATTCCGACATTCGCTTGCGGACGCTGGCCAACGACCAACTGGATACTGTCGGTGCAGGAGGATGGACACTGATAAAAGCAGCCAGTACTTCCTGGGCCTTGGCGGAACTCGGGATGAATCATCTCTGCCGCACAAAGCGTTCCATCCGGGAAGGTTTGTCGCAAGGCGTATTCAATATCTCCGAGCTCGACACGCTGGCCATTGACCTTAATCTGGCAGTCTTTTCTCCCGATGTACTGAATGGTACCGTCGAAGTTGTAGCGAACCAAGTCTCCAGTTCGGTAGAGCTGTGTTGCTTCGCCCTCCACTAAAAATTCCTCGAGCCACAAAGGCCTCTCCAGAAACGCCACCTTCGTCCGATCCTCATGTTTAGATATCCCCTGGACAAGAGGGGCCCGCCAACAAGGAGCTCCCAATTGCACCGACGGGCATCAGCTTTGTTGTGTTCCTTGGATCGACAATCCATGTGGTCGTAGGTCCCATGCCACGCCCAATATCCCTTAGCGAGTCATCAACGGTCAGATCTGCATGGTATGTATCCCAGATAACCGATTCAGTTGTGCCGTAGATTGTTGCAATTCGAGGGCACCATTCTTGCAATCGCTCTTTTGTGAGCGATTCTCCGCCCACTGTCACCTGGCACAGGAAGGGAACATCTTTAGGGGCCAGCTTTGCAAGTATGGTTGGGGTGATACAGATGTGGGTGGCTTTCATTGTATTAATCGTCCATGAGAGATCGTCAAGGCGTTGTTCTTCTGACGGCACACACAGGCAATCACCATCAAAGAATGTGGCGAAGGTGTCCTGACATCGAAACTGTACGACGAATACTGGAATGTTCTCGAGTTAAAATTCATTCGCATAGCTTTGGATATCTGTACTGCCGTCATGGCTACGGGCCCATGTTCTTGGACAACACCTTTGGGTATTCCAGTGCTGCCAAACGTGAAGAAGATGAAAGCGATCGTATCGTGGGTAACGGTTGGGAGTGAATTCGTGCTTGATTGAAGTGACAGCGATGGAGAGACGGGCACACAAATCTCCTGAATTGACGTTGTCGGAGTCCACGCATCACCCTTCCGAGCCATAGCTTCACTAGTCAAGAGAAATCGAGCCCCTGTTGACTGGTTGATAGAATTTACTCGTTCCTTTGGTTGATGAATATCGACAAGTACGCATACACCTCCGGCCATCAGGGTAGCAATCATTGCCACAACGGTCCATTTGGACTTCTCTCTTCGAAGTAGCACTCTGTTCCTGTATCTGACTCCCACCTCATAGAGATAGACTGCCAGCCACTTACATGCTTCTTCAAGCTCGTAGTAGGTCCAAAGGCCGTCCCAAGCCTTGACCGCGCACGCGTTTGCTTGCGTCTGCGCTTTTCTCTTCAGAATATCCGGCACTGACAAGGCTGGGTCCTGCGAGCAAGCTCGCGAAGGCATCCATCGCCGAAGATCTTCTCTGTTCTCTGGACTGAACAGATCAAGCTCACGGATGTCACTGTGGTAGGCAGCAGGGAGACAGCGCATACTCTGTTTAAGAGTGCTAGAAAGATTGTATACTTCCCAGTCACTGAACCTGGGAAACCGGTACCAAGTCGTCGCCAAAGTCTCACTTTTTAGCGTATCCTCCTTCACTTCGATAAAGATATCGCAGGCAGTTGCCGTCGTGGGGGACGGATGATTGCCGTTAATATTGTTGTTAGTGATCCAGGTTGTCGTCTCGTAATTAGCGTTATCGCTGCCCGCTCCTAAAATGAACGGCTCTCGTGTGCCATCTCTTTTGGCTTCGATGAAAGACGCGAGACACGGAAAGTCTGATGATTTTGCTCCTTCGTCTTGATTGAGATCCATCAAAACATAAGGAACCGCTTCCTTCCCATCAACGACACGATTCAAGGCAATTCGATCAGATCCGGTGTATTTTTGTAGCACAATCGCCCACAACACCTCAATTACATCAACAAGATCAATATCTGCAACGGCAGTTTCCTGATCTCGCCACTCAGGATTTCCAGGGACAGGTTCAGTGATTTCCATTGCATAGAGGTGCACTTGTTGTCGAGGCGTTGCCGACCTGAGGGTAAATCGCCCTCAAATCCACATTGATCTCTCATTGTCGAGGACTCAAGAGCTACCTATTTTGCACAGCCTCTCGTTTACAAGTGCGTAGTGTTTTGTATCTTTCGCTGATCAACCAAGCAAGCAACAGAAACCTCCAATGGTCCAGTATGGCCCAACTTACCTAACCTTCGAACTCCACTAGGGGTTACTGCTACTGGCAAGCCCTTTGAAACCCGACCTAGCACTCTGACAAGATTTGAAATTGGCAGTCTTGTATCGTCGCGACGGTACCGCATTACGACCAAGGAAAAATATGTCATTCGCCTTCTTCATGTTCGTCAATCGTGTTCCGATAATGTTTACTCCGTAAAGAATTTAGTTTTCTGTACCGGAAGTGCATGCGAGGGCCAAACTATGTCGCCCTACAGTGCATTAGCACCGCGCTATTGTACATTACAGTATCTTTGGGTATGGTAAGATTTAGTCTACTCATACATACACGGGCCACAGGTTCATGAGTTGATACCCCACAGTGCATTAGTGCTGCATAATTGGAATTTTTGAAAGTCCACGGTATTTACCCAGAGAGTCAATCGATCTAAAACTAAGATACACGTGGCTCTATTACTGTAGGCGTCACGCTAGGGACATCAACTCACCTGTTGCCAGGGTGTATGCCCGTTGTATGTACATACAATGGATACTGCAGAAGATGCAGAGAAAAGTTTGAATACGACCTGAATAATGTCTCCGGTAGGTAGGTACCCGGCCGGGGATACAGGCTTTTGATGACGTGGCAAATGCTGTGTAACATGATTGCGGCCACCTGGGCTCCGCAAAACACTATACCAAATCCAATATTTCACAACTTCATACTGGAGTTCAATACTCATATCTAGGTGATGAATTGTCTTAGAATATATTCGTGTTGAGAAAATTGTGTGGGGTATTTCTATTAGTCGAGAGTTAGATATCACAGGGCATCACACCGTAGATACATATACACCTTGATCAGTCAGTCTGTATTTTTTAGTGGAAGCAGTGTTTAATCAACTCGACATACGTAAATTTTAGACATTGGAAATTGTTTTTGGCTAATACCTAACTACAGACGGCTGGGTTCCAAGTCAAAAAGCTTTCTCGTTGTTGATATATGTACCAAGAGCTCAAAATTGTATTTAGCCCCGTTCCTTGGGTGGCCAGAGACGTTCGGTACAGTATGTTTAAAATACGATGATTTTTGGAGTGCAAAACATAGTGGGGCTCAAACTGTCTACTGTATCAGGGAGCGTACATTAAGTTACATCAGACCCCGTGAAACCTGTCTCTACTTCTATTTGTTCGGTCAAGCTCGGGGCTGAGGCCTAGTCATGTGGAGCTTGCTTTGTCGCTCCGCTTTTCTTTGGTTCCCTCAGAGTAGTTTGCAGATCAAGCGGGATGTCAACCCCTGATCATTCCAGTATGTATCTCTGCAGGGCCCACTTATCTTACGAGAGGAAATTGAACAATCCCATTAGGTAACTTGTGAGCAGACCTCGAGAAATGAATATCGAATACACTTATTCATGAAATATCCAATAGGAAAAATATTCGGTCTTCACCGCAAATCCGTGGGATGTAACGTAAGGTATAAGATCTGTTAACAAGCTGGGAGTAGCAACATTGAACCGACACAAGCAGAAAGACTTTTTTTTCACTTCTCTTAATACATAACACTCTTTTTCGCAATAATGCACCCCTCCTCGAGCACACCGTCTGTTCATGCCGACGATGAAGTTTCTCCTTTGAAGGCTGTCATTGTCGGTCGTGCAGGTCGCGCCTGCTTTCCAGCAGCGCCACCGGCTATGATCGCAGCGACGATGCCTGAAGCTCATATCCACCGCTTCAAACCAAAATCACCCTTCCCTGATAACATCATAGAAAAGGCAGAGGCGGAGCTGGACTGCTTTGCAGCAATCCTCAAGGCTGAGGGTATTCGGGTATACCGACCACCCAAAGGCATTGACTGGTTGGCCGAGAATGGCTACACAGGTGCCATGCCACGAGACGGACTCATCAGCGTGGGCAAAACGCTGATTGAAGCTCCCTTCGCCTGGCCTTGTCGGTCGCGGGAGATCGAGTTGGCGTATGGAGATATCCTCAAGGAATTGGCAGCGGAGGACAGCCACGCTCGCATCGTCCGTCGACCGGAAGAGACATTTGCCAATACTCTACTCGACGAGGACGAATCAGATGAGAAAGGCCCATGGGTTATCAATAACAGCCGCCCTGCATTCGACGCAGCGGATTTCATGCGATTTGGGACAGTCATACTGGGTCAATACAGCCATGTCACAAATCAGGCTGGCGTGGATTATCTGCAAAAGCATCTCCCGGAAGGATATCGGGTCGAGATGTTGGAAGTCAACGACCCAAATGCCATGCATATCGATGCGACCATCCTTCCCCTTCGTAAGGGTCTTCTTGTGTATAACCCCAAAAAAATCACCGAAGCAGCTCTCCGAGCGCATGAAGTACTGAAGAACTGGGATCTGCGACCTTATCCCTTCATCCCGCAAGAACCAACGGAGCCTCCACTTTACATGACAAGCCCGTGGTTGTCACTCAATGCACTGGTGCTGGATGGGCTGCGCATCGTTGTGGAAGCCAGTGACGATATAACAGTCGAGTGGTACGAGCAACTAGGAATGACTTGTATTCGATGCCCTTTCAAACACGTCAATAGCATCGGGGGCTCTTTCCACTGTGCCACGGTGGATTTGGTAAGAGAATGAATACAGCCCGTGCATGATTACTTGGGATACAAACACCCTTGTGAGGAGGGCCCTTGACTGCTTCCGCTGTTAATGGCTCACGATTTTGATGTACCTAAATTATCAATTAAATTCTAATAATTACCACTAGGTCTACCTTTATTTGCACTCCTCAAAAAAGGCAGGGAATTCAAGCAAAAACGAGTCTCAGCTTACTGGTCCTTACGCTTGTCTCAGGAGCGGAAAAAGTCTCAATCACCCCATTGGTGCGAAGTTTTGGTATTCCTGCAGACGACTTCAATGCCCCGCAAATTCTGCAGCATATCGCAGATAATATTTCGATGCGTGGTCTTACAGACATCTTACCTTAACAGGGCTACATAATACGGATGGGAGCCTACCAGCGTCCAAGTGATGCGCAGATAAGATCAACTTGAGCCTGGAATGAAAAAAATAGGCTATCCGGAATACGGAACAGCGGTGTGACGAGGATGGGAAGAGGCCGAGCTAGATACATCTCTTCAGAGGGAACACGGCAGGTAGTTTTGACGGAATGCACATGATATGCCTCAAGACTGCTACATACATACATAGGGAATATAAGACAGATCGACATGGAACCCGGATTTTTATCAAGCAGTTAGTGCGTGTTATTGCAGTGCTTCATACGCTAACTGAAGCCTAGCGTATTTACGACGGTCATTCAGAAGTATTTGAAACACAGTACTTTTGCTTCTTACCACTCGATCCTGATTAGTACTAATGTACCAGATACGAATGAGCTCTGACTGATCATTATGTACTCAAAAGTGGGTCGATATCTACCCTCTTGGCCGACACTTTAAAACCCTTTCTGATGTCAAGCAACTTAGAACGCTGTATTTAATACCCTGTAAAAATGATATTCAAACTTTACTAATACTGTGTACTGTAAGTAGGCGAGCGCTATATACGATGAGTGGACTTTCGGGGTTATTCGGGGAGGTCGGGATTCGCTAGCAGGTAACAGATGAACCCGAAAAAAGTGGCAGCTTTGTTGACTGGTAAACCTTTCAAGATACACGCAGCAAAACCTTGCACGAACCCAGCTTTTAAATATAAACCTGTTGGAGGTTCCATTTGAAAAGCCCTACAAACAATATTTTGAGAAGCCCTTCAATTGTTTAGTCCGATGCGGCCTTCTTCACCGCACGAACTTCCCCTTGGGGTGTCCCAACCCCGAATGAACATCATGTCAGCTGCCTCACCATCTCTAAAAAAGGAGATCATGAGAATGTTGTTAATGATGGTTTCTCGAGTAGGCTGTGAGTGTCTCACTTCCAACATGGCATTCCATCGTAAGCTGGTCGCGACGGGAGCCATGGGTGGTCTCACAGATGAGCGCCGGTTATCCACGGTAAGTGCCTCTATGTAGTACAGACCACATAGAATTGAAGGCTTACGGCGAAAACCAGACTTTTATCAATCGAATAATTCAGGAGTTGGGCGCATCAGTTCTCGAACGGTTTCAAGTGCTGAATACTAATACGGCGTGTGCGCTCTTGCCATCAATTCCTGCTGCGCAGCGTTTGATCACCAGTTTGACCGTCAAGGGTACGGGCCACTTTGTGTCCCCTTATATTCAACTTTTTGTTCCCTCCACTGCTACACGCGATAAGAACAATGGACGGGAGGAAGATGATGCTGATTGCCGCTGGGCAACATTCTACGCTATGCTATACCACAGTGATCTAACACATGAGGCAATGAGTGTCTGGCGCGAGACAGGCGATGGAATTACAAGTCGCCATGCAGAATTCGCGCTTGAATGGTTTCAATTTCTTGAGTCCCGGTGTATCAATGACTCATTTTGCGCAAGACCCGACCTCATCCAAGACGAGGCGCTGGGGAAGGACCTACCATCCCTACCGCCAGCTGCCACTACAGCTAAGGAGGTAGATGCAATAAAGGCTCTGCTTGCAAAGTCCGCGGCATCGGATATTCCTGGCCAGACCCCTGTTTTTCCACGCGATGTATTCCTGTATCCCAAAGGGCTATGTGGCATATATGCAGTTGCCAGGTGCCTGGTCCCTGACGGTCTAGCGGCGGAATCACAAGTAGTGATCTACGGGTGAGTTGTCATCCCTTTCATCTTATTCCTCTACACGCTGTACTCTTGAAAGAACATATATGACGATGACTAACTGGTCTTGTGAACTATTAGATGGCCATACGCCGAGACAGTGAAATGTGTCGAGCGCAGTGGATGGGGCCGTGTGATCCTCTATGGCAAAGGAACTGAGGCGGACCTGGACGATCTGGAAAAGAAACTGGTGGCAGGGGAACGGATCCAGGTGTTGTTTTGCGAGCTGCCCAGTAACCCACAACTCACGTCACCTGATTTAGATCGGATCAGGCGACTCGCAGATAACTACGGATTTGTGGTGGCGTGCGGCGAGACCTTGGGCACCTTCGTGAACGTTGATATTCTTTTGCCATGCTTACCATTGACAGCATCATTGTCGGTATTTTCGGCCACTGCCTCCTGTTCTCGGGCTGTCCGTGTTTCGATATGCGGAGACTTCATGAACGGACGAGGCTGAGAGAGATTCTGCGAAATCGTTTCCGCCTTCATGATTGTAAATGAGTGTTCCTTGATGAAGGGGGGTTTTCCCTGTCCCGCCATGTGTTAATGTCAGAGGACAGCATTGTCGTTGAACAGACAAACAGGAGACACATACCGTTGCTTGTATGTTCTGAATTGACTGCTCCATCTGATCAAAGGCATCTTGGAAGGTTTGGGGAAGATCGGGGTCAGATTGCAATCTCTGTTTTGCGGCATCCAACTGGGCAGTGCGGCGGAGCGTTAATAACTCCTTTCTGAAGTAGTAGGTGTCGATAAAAGGGCATTCAATTGCCTCAATTTCCGGGTGCGTTCGAAGCATTTGCATGAGCAAGTTAGATGCCGTTCGGGATGCGACAAGAGGAAAACAGGTTGAACTGGCTTTGTAGGCTCCGCCATGTTTGTCAGGCCCCTGATGTCTCTCGAAGCTATCTTGAGCTGGGGAGAATGCAAGATTGATCTAGAGATCAATGAAGGCACATGGTGAAAGAACCTCAGAACTAAATACGCGAAGAGAAAGGGCCTATTGAAAGTCTGGACCCAACCTCCGATAACTAATCTCACCACCTCCCTCTCAACTAGTGTCTCTGGAGGTATACGCATAGGGCTTAACATTCCTAAATCAACATCAAAAGATAGCGAATAGCGAATCAATAAATTTTCCTATCAACCGCCGAAAATTTGTACACGCGCCGTTCGTTCTGCATAGGGCTTCCAATTGCGTGTATTGCGCAGAGCTTCGGAGTACTCTGTCTGAAGCATCCAGATTGATCACAATATTGTATCACTAGGTTACTTCTTCCAATTCCACAATCATCCATCAATAGGAGTGTTCAATAGGCCCGTAGAAAAGCCATAGCATTGACGATTTGCAGGATTAGAAATAATCGCTGTCATTGTATTATGACTCGCCGTAGGTATGAAATTTTATTGAATGCTTGAGCTCACCGAGAGCCAACTGAGTTTCCAGGAACTAAGGAACCTCACGTTGTAGGATAACCGAACAAAGGCGGTTCGGAGGGGGGTAGTGTGCAGAAGACTACTCATCAGGGTAGAAGCCTGTCGATTAAGGGCTGGGAGAAGTGTGTGTAGCGAGGTCCCACAAGACTTTAAAGCTTTGGCATTAAACTTTCAACTCTACTCCATCCTGCAGGATGGAGTAGTTACAGCCCGTATTGTCATAAGAATCTCGCTCTCTGTGACGATCCAATTCGGATACAGGATTCTGGATACTGTAACGCGATTCCCGGTCGCGGATCCCGGCCCGGTTGAGAAATCGTGTGGACATTTCTTTGCTTTTGCTTAAATTCAGCTCGCCAATGTTGTTGTGGACGTATACACCATCTGGCCCAAACGTTTCTGATAGCCCAATAGTGCATGGTCATTGGATTATTAAAATTATTGAAATTTCATGGTTCTTAACAAGGGTTTACTACGCATAATAGAGAGGTAAGATTGATGTGGTGGCTGAGATACACGTGGCGCCATTGGACGCCACGGTGGAGATGTCAGGAATGTTGTGGCCAAGAAGTGTAGCTGGAGGTGATACGAGTTGCATGCTGCATGATGTTTGACGCGAGCTCAGCTAACACTCAATCTCCACCAGGTCCAAACTGCAGGTAGGGCAATCAATGGTTTTTCATAAACACATTAGAAGGCCATATAGACGCGGCGCATGCCCCTCGAGCGTGGTAATTTAATCTTTTCCTTAGCCGACATCTTTATCGCTTGACTCTTTCCATTGAAAACTAAAATGGAGTGCATGCCAGCTATCACAACCGTCTCCTTTGGTTCATGCAATTTTCATAGCATCACCGACAAAATTGACGAAGTCGCACGACATGGCTTCGGCGCGATCGAGCTTTTCATCGATGACCTTGAGTCCCTCGCCAGGGCCAACGCCAACTTACCCGTCGACTCTGCCCCTTCCCGTGACGCTTTGCTAGCTGCCGCCCATCAGATCCGCCAGCAGTGCGACAGCTTAGAGGTTACCATTCTCAACCTGCAACCGCTGCGCTTTTACGAGGGCCTCGTTGATCGGGAAAAGCGCAACCATATTCTTGACGAAATCATTCCCACATGGATCGACGCAGTCAAGATTCTTGGCGCAGACACGATTCTGGTTCCTTCCAATTTTCTACCTCCGAGCTCTGAGACCGACCTCCCTCAGACCACCGGCGACTTCGACACTATCGTCGAGGATCTCCGCGAACTGGCCGCACGAGGCGCCAAACACGAGCCTCCCATCAAGTTTGCCTACGAGGCGCTGGCCTGGGGCACGCATGTCAACACATGGGAACAATCCTGGAAAATCGTGCAGGCTGTCGATCGGTCCAACTTAGGTATCGCCCTCGACACCTTCAATATCGCTGGTTCTATCTACGCCGATCCCACAACAGAGGACGGCCGCGTTACACATACATCCGAGGCCGATCTGCGCAACTCATTGAGCCGCATGGCCTCTACAATTGACCTCAATAGACTCTTTATCGTCCAGATAGCCGATGGCGAGCGACTCAGCCAGCCCCTTCTTCCAGGCCACCCTTTGTACGTCGCTGGCCAACCCAGTCGACTGACCTGGTCTCGTAACTGTCGGCTCTTCCCTTGCGAGTACGACCGTGGAGGCTTCCTGCCTGTCACCAGTATAATCCAGACTATACTTGATCTTGGCTGGACGGGGTATTTTGCTTATGAGGTATTCTCGCGTTCATTGACAGACAGTGATCCACAGACACCAGCGAGGCATGCGGAGAGAGCAAGGCGATCTTGGCAACTACTCAGCCAGATCGAATGGCGCCAGAACAAGCAGCTAAAAAGCCCTGATAGCTTCGAGTTATCCAGAATTTGATTTGTTGGAAGTGTGGCTCATGAGATATAGAGTGGAGTGGACCGAGGACTCTGGTACAGAGAAGTTTCGCTGCCGATTTCAGCCCACCTTTAGAGCTTGAGTGGATGCTCATTCGGCATATATCCAGAATGAATGTTTTAACAAGCCCATCAATTCGCTTACCAATTATCTTAATATTGTAATGGTTTAGACTCACTTCTTATCATAAGCCCCGGCAATGGAGCCTTTCCCCGCACGCTCCTGTCCCACCACCGCTTTGCCCAACATTTCCTCTCTCCAAAATTGATGTAGAAAGCATGTTGGCCTAGTATAATCAAACCAACTCAGCTGAAGCCCTTCGCACCGGCTATCTATAATCGACGTAGGTAGTAGAAGCAATCAGCAGAAGTTAGGAAGGTTCAAAGAAGTCTCACCCTTGAATGAATCAGAAGCAATCACACTTCTCAAAAAGATTGTATCGGCACCGGCAAACGGCCTAAAAAGACCCCCGGAGATGCCGGTATTCGTCCGAAAAAGAACGATTAGCAGGCCGAAAATCAAACTATCACCCAATATCAGAAGGAGATAGGGTCACTACTATACGCCGGACCACCAGTTTCGGGAGTTTGGATGATCTAGTCATGTTGTCAAAGGAACTTGGAAATTACCCTTGCGTGATCGTCTAAGCTGCCACGTATAGAGATATTTTCCATCGGGTTATAGCTCAGAGGGGCTCCACCGATTTTTTCCCACTACTTCTAAGCTCGCCCGGCTACCGTAGGCTCAGAGGTGCTAGAAAGGTATTCATTATCTGTTCTCTAGTATGCAAGTCTATGCAATTCACCACGCGATTCTTATCTTTCAAGCTTCTTGCATTCTCGACCGTAGCTGTGAGGGGTCGGAAAAAGTGGGGTTGCCTCTGAACTGTAACCGCCCCTTCTGCAGGTGGTTAAGAATAGTGTCAGCTACATGCCCACTTCCCATCGTGGAAAACTTTGAGCTGCTTGGAGGGTCAAGCAGACTACTAGACGTATCTCAAACATTGAAGGCCCGAATTCACAATGGACAAGGGATGGGAGTCTCTTGGCTGGACCTGAAAAAGATCCTTCAACCAAGAGAGAAACACTCTAGTAGCTGTAGTGCTGGCAATTATAAATTTTCCCGACCCAATTTCGAGACCAACCACAGCCTTCCACACTCGTAGCCTATAGATTCCGCCCGATCCACCTTTCACCTACACCTGTAGACTATATGTGTGTAGCCTTGTCCGTACTCCTGACAAGTGCTGTTAGAGTACATAGGCGATCACCGAGGTCCGCGGAGCGGGGAAAGCAGCTCTATGTTTAGCTCCATGGATACCTACACCGATGCACCAATCGTAAGATGTCGCTACATTTATACAGGTTAAGATACCTGTCCAGATGTCAGCCAAGCTCAGGCGTACCACTTTTTGACTTTAACCCCCGCACTCTGGAGGCCCAACTTGGCCACGTTCGAAACAATGATGTTGCACAGCATATGCAATGCGAGTACAAATAAGAGGGGACATTTCCACGTCGCCCCTGCGCTTCGTTGCTTGAATTTTGATCCTGTGTGATTGCAGTATTTAACTTGCTTTTTGTTGAGAATATCTATCTATACGAATCATGGGTGAACAAGGCCCTGCACCGGGCGCGGAGTCGCCTACTTGCTCGATTGAGGAGTTCACGAACACCTCGTTCGACTATATTATTTGTGGAGGTGGAACTGCGGGGTGTGTCATCGCTGCGCGGCTAACTGAGAATCCCGATGTGACTGTTGGTCTTGTTGAAGCTGGAAAGTATCGCATCGGTGATCCTTTGGTGGATACGCCTGCGGCTTTCTTCCAGATGTTTGAGGATCCGGAGTATGATTGGTGTTTGTATAGTGCACCGCAGGTAAGGTCGCTCGATAGAAGATGGAAGTATGGATGAATCTCGAATCTGACGATATTTGCTACGAAAATAGGAAGGGAATCGAGGAAAAGTTCACCATATCCCCCGCGGAAAGTTGCTTGGTGGCTCCAGTGGCATCAACTACATGATGTATGTCCGCGGATCTCGACAGGACTACGATGACTGGGCCGAGCTGGTCGATGACAAGGGTTGGTCTGCCGATACCATGCAGCAATATATGCGCAAGCACCAGGTAAAACCTCTCCCTGAAAACCTCCACTGGCTCTATAATCATCTAACATCAATGGCAGACCCTCGAGCCTTACGACGAAGCGATCACCGACCGCTCGACCATGCCGTTTGTAGGCGAATTCCACGGCACCAGCGGACCAGTCCGAACTAGCTTCAACGACTCGATCCTGCCCATCGAGAACGATGTCATCAAAGCTTGCGACGAAGTCACCGGATTCACGAAGAAACCCACTGATCCCTGGAGCGGCGACCACATTGGTTTCTACCACACTCTTGGCTCCATCATCCGAACAGGCCCTAACAAGGGCAAGCGTAGCTATGCAGCTCGCGGATACTACGAGGCGAACAAAGCCAGGCCTAACCTTAAAGTTCTCTGCTCGACGCTAGTCAACAAGGTAATCCTCGACGGCAACAAAGCCACTGGAGTCAGCATCTCACACGATGGCAAGGACTACGAAGTCACCGCCAAGCGCGAGGTCGTCGTCTGCGGTGGCACACTCAAATCACCGCAGATCCTCGAGCTCTCGGGTATTGGAGACCCTGAAGTTCTCAAGGCCGCAGGTGTGGAGTGCAAGGTTGCCAATCCGGCCATCGGCGCCAACTTCCAGGACCACAGCATCACCTTTGCCGTATATGAGACGCAGCCTGGCACCATCACGCTGGATTCTTTCTATCAGAACCCGGAAATAATGCAGGGCGCACAGAAGCAGTACGTCGAGACGGGTGGCGGTCCGTTGAGTTGCACGTCGACGATGCAAGGATTCTTCCCGGCTAAATCGGTCTTGTCCGAAGCCGAGCTCGAGGCTGTTGTCCAGAGTATCCGGGATATCAAGCCAACAAGCGAATTCCATGCTCGTCAGCTCAAGCAGATCATCAGTCATATTGAGAGTGACGTGTCCGCGAATATCCAAGTGGTCTTAGTTCCCGCGACTGCGAATGTGGATGGAATCGAGCACCAGAAATACATTTTCCCGCCCGCATCGGCAGACAGGCCTGCGGGTCTGACATTCGCGCTTTGCTTGCAGTACCCTGTAGCCCGAGGTTATGTACACATCAACAGTGCAGGTATGTCCCCTGCCCACGCGACATTTGACAACCTCCAAAACATAGTGAAATGGGAGACTAACCTTGCCTCCAGACCCGACCAAACCCCCTGTCATCCAACCCAACTATGGAGGTCATGATGCAGACGTCACCATCCTAGGCGCAGCCTTCCGCTGGGTCGACAAAGTTCGACAGTCCGAGCATCTTAAATCATCTCTGGCGGAGCGATCATTCCCCGAGCCGAGCGTCGACCTCAGTGACATCGCTGCTGCCAAAGAATCAGTGCATGACGCTATCTTGGGCGAGTACCACGTTTGCGGGTCTGTCGCAATGGGTGATGCGCTGGACTCCCGACTGCGTGTTAAGGGTGTTGAGGGCCTGCGGGTCGCCGATGCCTCGGTCTTCCCGAACAACGTGAGTGGAAACATCGTCAGCAGTGTTTATGCGGTCGCGGAGAAGGCGGCGGACATGATCAGGGCCGACTGGGATTTTGCTCCGCTGAAAGACACAATGGTTTGAAGGACTGCGCTTGATATGTAATCATTGCCTCTCTCGCTGTCTGCGTTTGTTATCCCGTTGCCTTATTAGGAAGGATGGCTCGTGACGGGTACGATGTGAGTGGGGATATCACAGCCGGAAGCGAAGCAAAGTACTGTATGTGTGCCGATTTCGCTGTTGTATTAATGCTTGTTAGTTAGCATCTCACATTGAAAAGTAAGCAATGAATCAGAATTTCGTTGAGTGCGGCTTTTTAGTGACTCGCAGTCTGCAATTTTAGCCGAGCATCCACGTGTATCCGATGTCGTAGCATGACCAGCATATGCAGATCGAGACCCTTCGATGTGAAAATTTCGTCGCTGCCTGCAGTGTTTCACTCTTTCCCAGACAACGGTCGATTTTAGGCATTTATAACCACGGCCTTGAGTGGTCCAGATCAATCTTCCGTCAATCCAGGGCTCCACCCGGGTGGGTTCAACAATTGTAATCAGCATCACTAAGCAGCACAGCCTCTTGTACAACGCCGATGGCTATGATACTACTCAGCTTCTCAGCGATCAGGAGGCCTCTGCTCTGGAAAACGATTATATCGGCATCGAGGTAAATCCACGGCATGCCGAGTCCGATATTGGGTGTCCGAGCACACGGCTGCCGCCTGCAGGCACTGGTCGGCCAAGGCACACTTCTATCCAAGTCTCGACCCGATCGTAAGCATCTCTCACTGGCAAACAACGGGGCCGTCAATTTTCGCGGGATATTGTGGGGGTTTCGGAAAACCCGCCTCTGCCCGCTGGCCAGTGGGCGACACTGAAAGTAGCATGATTGGGCAGGCAGTAACAAGTGTCACGGTTGCCCCTCCGCGGCCCTTTGGGGGTGGAGGAGATTGGGAACCGACCAGCCGCTACTCCACGAATACCATCCCGAAAGAAACAAAGGCTTGGTGATGGGAGGCACCCGATAGGACGTGGCTCAGCCCTATTATGCGTCAGTGCATAGGGAGTCGAAGATGTAAGTATAAAGGACTGGTGATCAGACCGCAAACTCTTGCTTGATATTGAATTTTGGACGCCTGGTCGGCTGGAAGAGTCGTAGCGTGTCCGCCGTGTCGTGATAGCGGGCTCGTCAATTCAGCCGTGGATTCTCCCATTGGTGCGAGCTAGTTTCAAGTCTAAATGGCTAGCCGCAAGCTTGGGAGAAATTCGACCAATTCCATTGTGGGGGTGACATGCTGCAACGGCGTGCGAGGTATGATTCAGACCAGGAAAGATGGTGGAAATTTAAAGTATTTTGCACCATCAAAGGGCGTTGCAACATGATTTGAAGCTGTATCAAGGCTCAAAAGAGCTCTAGATGTTGGATGGATCCATCTTAGTTGGACAGAGTTTGACGGCGCCGAATTACACTTTCGAGGGTCTGGCCGATGGTCAGGTGACTGCAGTTGCATCGCAGCAAACGAACGAAGCACGTGCATCTGTGTCTGGCAGAGCTACACCGCCCTAGGCCGAACTTGGGATAGCGTGCTAACATTAGCGTGCAGCTCTCGACTTCCCTCGTCATCGGGGGGATTATTGGCTCCGCCCGACTGCACCTCGATCGCTTCTTTTCTCTTCGGTCTGACCTCGCTTCGCTTGACAGCCTTAAGAGAACTCGAGGAAAAAAATCCTTCACATCTTCCAGCCTCGAGCCCGACTCGTCTGTTATCGCTGATCTGTTCTTCTCGCCCTGCGCCTCGTCGTGATCCTCAATTCCACACCCAATCCCAATCCAACATCTGCCCGTTCCAATTGCGGCCACCGACCTCATCTCTCAATCTTCACCATGTCTAGCCAACCCCTCCTCCAGACTGCCCCAGGTAAGCGATACACTGCATTATTTTTCTCATCACAGCATTCAATTCCAATCCTCCCAATGGTCGCCGGGGCCGCAAAGCTTCACCGAGACTGCATTGCTAACACCTCACCCAGGCAAGCGCATCGCCCTCCCCACCCGCGTCGAGCCCAAAGTCTTCTTCGCCAACGAGCGTACCTTCCTCTCATGGCTGAACTTCACCGTGATCCTCGGCGGCCTCGCCGTGGGTCTGCTCAACTTCGGTGACCGTATCGGTCGTATCTCCGCCGCCTTGTTCACGATCATTGCCATGGCAGCCATGATCTACGCCGTAGTGACATTCCATTGGCGTGCACAGAGTATCCGGCGGAGGGGGCAGAGCGGTTTCGACGACCGCTTTGGACCTACAGTCCTTGCTATTGCCTTGTTGGCTGCCGTTGTGGTCAACTTTATCCTCCGCATGCGTGACAACGAGCTGAACTGAGCTTAAGCTTGGCTGGGCACATGTTTTTCGCTGCGCCAGATTTCTGGCCTTGTCCTTCTATGAACGATCTACCACCCACTTCGATATCACTCCTGCTCCGCCCCATATATGTCACCTCGCTTTGCCTAGCGTTCTCATCTCTTTTTTTTCGTGTCTTCTTATTGCGGATTTTTTTGACCCAGTTTGCCGTTCGCATAGCAGTCATCACTTCGGCCTGCTGTCTGCTATCTACTGTTACTTCTGTCTATGACTTTCATCCGTCCAAACTGGGTTTATTCTGGCGCTTTGGGTTTTGTGTACATCGGGATGTCACTTATCTATCGCATGTGATATGTTACTAAGATTTGACGGTTTTTATACCTCAATTGAAGCAGGTTATGCCTCTCTCGCCATGCTTGTTGTTACTTCGTATATTTACGTAGGAATTTGGTCCAGCTACTCCTAATTTTGAGTGTTCGGCGTGGATCCAAGGTCGACGCATAGGACTGCCTTCTTACGAAGTCAAGCCAGTCACGTCTCTCAGTCTCAGCCCTGAAAATGTGGTATATGATGATAATCACAGGATATTATTCACAAGCTTACACTCCCCCAATAACGCTAGACACTCTATTGACAATAATTCTTCACCAAAACATCCCCCTTCAAAAATCCATCCGCGATATACTCCTTAAAGTTCCAATAATCCTGCTTCACACCCTCCCCAACAATAGTAGCATTGCTCAAAAACTTAGCAGTCCAGTACGAACTACCACGAGTATACTGAGCCCACGCCGACAACCCAGCCTGCAGATTCTTCTTCCGCAGACCAAGTTTATTCTCCCCACCAGTCTCCATAGCCCACTCACCTACAAAAGTAGGGAACTTGCCATCACCAGCTGAAGCCTTGGCATCCTTGCAAATGTACTCGGTAACATTCGCACTGGTGGCCTCAGGATACTGGAAGTAATAGTGGTGCAGGTCAAAGACAATGTTCTCCGAAGCATCGAAATGGGGAGACCAGTACTGCTCCGTCTTGAAACTTCCCTGCAACATAACGGGGATCTTGGGGTTGATCTTCTTCACATGCGCAATGACAGCGTTGAAGTACTTCAATAACCAAGTTGCTCCGTCTTCGGTCAGCGCGGCGGCTGTGCCGAATTGAGAGAGATCATGGTTATCCGCGGGCTCGTTGATGGGCTCGAGAGTGTAGCTCTGCGGACTGCTGGAGGACTGGATGAAAGCAGCGACTTCATCGACGGCACGAAGCGACCACTCCAACGCGGTCTCGTTATGCCACCACCCCCAGTTCCCGACCTTCTCGCCGATATCGAGGCCGTTTGTACCGCCAGGCAGGGAGTGGAGGTCGATCACGACACGCATGCCGTGCTTCTGGGTTGCATGCTCGGTGATACGGCGCAGGTACTTCTGCTGGTGACCCGAGTGCATCTGCGAGCCTGGCAGATGAATCCAGGCAGCGTAGGTAGTCGGGATACGCAGGATGGAGACACCAGCAGAAGCGAGGTTGTCGATATCAGCGGTGGTGATGTACGTTGCGTAGCGCTCCTCGAAAACGGCCGAGCAGCCGGAACCTAGGTTCTCGCAGATGGTCCATTCGTCGGAGGCATTGGCGCCATAGGTCGCCCACCACCAGGTATCGATGGTGGATTCTTGCTCAAGCCAGCCGCCCAGGTTGACGCCGTAACCGGAAAAGGTGCGCCAGTTGGTGTAGCCAGTACTCTTGGAGTCGTGGCCGTTGGAGGAGACTGGGGAGGCGATGGCGGTGGAGAGGGACGCCAGGGTGGCGAGCCAGGTAAGGGAGCGCATGATGTGTGAGGTACAGAAGAAGATAGATCTATAAGATGATGCTTGGCGGGAGTTGTAGAATGGCGAATGTCCCTCAAACTCGAACAAAGATCACTCTGGAGGTAGATGGTACATCCCTGCCGGTACTGTCACCCTTATATACCCCCAGCCTGACAGGCGAATCCAGGGAAAAAAACTTTGCTTCCACAAATCACCGACCGAGGAGGACATCGCCGGTTCGTCTTCCCCATATTCTCAAAATGTGGAGACGCCCCGGATATCCCAGCTTCCACATGGAGAATGTGCGCCGTGCAAAAGGGGCATGCTCAACCGGTGGGTGGCAGGGAGAGTTGCCTGTGGGGAACACGCTATGACGAGCAATGCATTTAGTTGACCGTTAGACTTTGAGTTGATTTGCTCGGACATTCCAGATTGACGGTGCGAGTGATGGTGATGGAGAATTGAGTTCTTGGCTTGCCGAATAATAGCCGAGCCGGTCGGGAATTCCGAGATGGTTGATGCTTGTATGCCGTGACGGGAAAGCGAGCCTTGCGAGAGTTTCGAGTTTGTAAATCTCCCGGACAATTGAAGAGAAGATAGGTTTGCGTTTTGACTCTCGCTGTTGTTCTCATAATCGTTGTTATAAAGGCATACTGCATGGAGTGTTTCATCAGTGTGTCCGAATCCATCATTTTTGTGTGCTGACGAACATCCCCGGATGGTGTCAAGTTCTGAGGCCCGAGTTCGGCTAAACGTCGGTGGAGAAAGAAGAAGCTTAAGCGTTACCGTTGGTTACGCGGCTTAATATCTCCAGTGGACGTGTTTAATGAGTACATGTCCGCGGTCTTTGCGAACCTCGGATCTAATTATTGAGTCCAAAAATAGGGACATTGATCCCATCTCCTGCTCACTTCATCATTATCTAGTTGTCAACATGGCAGGTTGCGACATTTGACTTTTCTTCTTGTAACCGGCCCATATCGGCGGTAAACAAGCCACACTGACTGCTAGCTATCATCAGATTCAATTCAAGCTGGAAATACTTGATCAAGAAAGACTAACCTACAACACACTCTACCTGACTCCATATCCAAAGCCATGACTAGAAAGTTATCAGTCACTGAATAGACTAAGCATTGAGGCTGCGCCAGACGAGGGAGGATCGGCTCACAAAATTGATAGCACCGAGATGGTTGCGTCCAGAGAGCGAAGCATGAATTGCCCGTATCAGAGAGAATGCGATCTAAAATCAGAATTTAGTTCAGCTCCTTCGATGGGAATATAGACATACAACTATCCAACCCAAAGAAAAGAGAGCCACAAGCCCCGCCTTTTGCTTTTTGGTCGCATGCAATTCAAATAGGATTCGTGTGGGAAGGATGACAACTATAGGATTCGATCAGAAATTTGTATTTCCCGGTATCTGTGCTGGGATTACTTACTCATAACATCGGAGACTATATCCAAGGCAGTAGGTCCAGCGAGTTTCCCCAGCTCTCTCGACTGGCCTAAAACGAAAGTTCCTTTAAAGTCTCGGTGAGTATTTGGTTTGTTATGAGAAGAACATGAGGACCCGCTCAATTACCTGTAGTGACTGAAAAGTTATCTGCAAAAGGTAAACAGCCCAGAAACTGGATCAAAAGGCAACCCAATAGATTCATTGTCGTGAAACCGAACACGATATACCAGCTAATGACTGGATTAGTAAACTATTCTTGGAAGTTCTGTCAACACACAGAGTTTGGTGTAATCGGAAAGCAGATTTACCCCTCCATATAAGTGGGAATCGGCAGCAGAAATCTTCGAAAGAAGAACAACATGGAGAATTTGACACTCCATACCGCAAGCCAAAATATGACCAGCGATGCCTGTATTCGTCGTATCAGCACATCAGTAATCATAACGAGAAATTGTGCTATCTTGTGAGCATCCCGGTATTTGCACATACAAACGAATAGCGCAGCACCGTGGACACACTATCTTCCAGAGACGGATTCGCGATCCAGGTCCCCATAACGTGAGAGTTGCTGTGAAATACTGACTGTGCTTCAAGGTAAGGTGGAATGATTATAGTGTGTAAAATTGTCTGCGCCGTAAGAAGGACGAATGACAGGATAGAGAAATAGTCATCGATCTTTAATCCCTCACGAATCGCGATACGCGAGTGAATGCGGCCGATGATAAGGAGCAGTGCTAAGGCGTAGAGGCTCCATAGTAGCGCCTTGAAGAAAGATGCCTTTAGAAAGCCGTATAGAACTGATGAAGCTAGTCAGTAAATCTTACATATTCGCGCCCTCCTTCCATTGCTTCATTCAATATTGATCTCGTGAGATTGTATGCATGACATCGTTATGAGTACGGAAAAGCTTTTAGAAGAAAAAGTCTCCCGCCACGAATATAGCTCAATTGCTGAAACCTGCCCACGGTTACTAGTCATCAGTCACGAGACTGGTGACCGTTAACTTCCTTCCCTTGGGTGGATCCTCGTTGCGGGGAAGTAACCAACGGGGCGATTCTATACGCTCATAAACTTTGGGCGTGGAATTAACTCATCACCACCCTCTTCTCTGGCAGAGCTGAGGCAAAGGAATAATTGAGGCCAACAACTTGGTACTATCAGGCCAAAGACAGAGTAATTGAAAAGTATTGACCCCGATATTCATACTACGACTGTGGTTCTTGTATCCCAACGAGTCCCATTTCTCGTACGGTGGCTTGAACATCTCACGGCTCACCTCACATTCGACTATGGGACCCGTGCCGCCTTGTGGGCTGCGTCTGGTTCGCAAAGCGGATTCCAAACCCGTCTTTGAAAACTTCTCGGATACTTTCTAGCCCTAGTCCCGCAGTTTCTGGATAAGTGAATATAACAAGCAGCCAACCCGCAAAGCATAGTCCAGCATATAGTCCAAATGCTCCTGCAGCAGTCAAGCTGCCTACTAGAGAGAGAAAGGTCGCGGATACGATGATATTGCAGCCCCCTATATCAGCGATAGGTACCAGTTTGTCAGCGCTTCTTGTAAAATTGGCGAGGGACCCGACTCGGCAACGTACAGCAAACCATTGTTAGCAAAGAGGTACCAACTGCGCGAACCTCTAGAGCGAGAAGCTCATTCGCTGTCCAGGGAATATTTCCCAGCGCTATAGCGTAGAACGACACAAAGATGGATAAAGAGGCAAGAGCGAGAGCCTTGGCCCATGATGGTGCCTCGCCTTCCAGTTCCAAATCCGCGTTCAATGGGATATGTGAGAATGCCACAGCGGCCATGGCTAGGGAAATCGGAAGCCCCCATATCGTCCATACGAGCATTCGACGGCGGCCAAGGTCGACGAAGAAAAGGGCAACAATGGTGAAGAAGAAATTCGTTCCGGAGACGATGAGGCTAGCGGCGGTAGGATTGGTGAGGCCGACTAGAATAGCGGTAATCAAATGTCACGAGTTAATTCTTGGAAGCCAATCCAATGTATGTGTGATTTCAGTCTGTGCCTCTTGCACCAGTGTTTATTTCTTTATATATCACTCGACAAAAAAGGTGGTCGGGATTGGATATCTTACCAGCTGCAAAGAGTGTCGCAGAATAATACATCAAAGAGTTGAACCCACAGAGCTGTTGCACTGCCATCAATCCGCAGGCAGATATCAAGGATCGAAGGTTAGAAGGGATCAACCAAAGCTGCTTCCACGACCAGAGCAGCCGGCGAGCCCCTTGATCAAAGGAAACAGAACAACTGATATCATCACGAATGATCTGGCCTATTCTCTGAATATCTGACGGTGGGCTCTGAGGATAGAGTTGCTGCAAAACCACCACTGAGTCCTCAATGCGACCGCGATATATGAGATGCCGGGGTGTCTCTGGGTACACCGGAAACAGCGCAACCTGTGCCAATGCTGGGAGTGCTCCGAGCGCGAAAAGGTATCGCCATCCTAGCTCAACATGACTGAATGCAGTGCCACCTGCGTATGCCAAAGCCTGCCCTCCAGTGACGGCCATGGAGTAGACGGTAATCATGCGACCTCGGAGCGAAGATGGCGAAAGTTCTGCGATGTAGATAGGTGTGACCTATCCCAAGTCACTCATAAGCGAGGTTAATAAAACAGAGCCTCAAATCCCTGGCTAAACGGGGGCAATACCATAGTCTCAAAGCCGATCCCAACTCCAATGATGAACCGAGCAATACCCATCAGAAGAACCGAATATGCTGACGCGGCAACTACCGAGCCAACGGTGAACCAAATGCAGCCGATCCCGATCACCATCTTTCGTCCGACCTATCGTGAGATTATTAGATTCAGTATTATAGCCAAATCTCCTGCTAGAGGGCGACAATAATTTTCAATGAAAGGCCAGCCTACCGCATCGGTCACCAAAGCTGCCAACAGTGCACCCACAAAAGCACCTCCCCCAGTGAGACTCGTCAAAAGCTGCTTTTCAGAATTATGGAGAGCATGTCCCAGATCAGTCCGGAATAACACCAAAGCACTCGAGATAACACCGGTGTCGTATCCGAACAGGATACCTCCAATTGACGCGGAGAGAACACAGGTCCACACATACTTTCGCGAATAAACCGGTGTGTAGAAGGGAGTCTCGACATGCTCCAGCTCCAGCGCTTGGGAACCTTCATCGTCGTGGCACTGTTCTTCGGCGTTGGAGCGAATACGCTTCTGTGCGTGGAGATGCCCCGACAGCCACGGCTTCATAGTTGCGCGCGGTCTGGAGAGGAGCTTGCTCTCCCGTTGGCTGTTGAAATCACCAAGAGAAGACAAATATCATCATGCGACGTTCGTTCGGTATCTCATTCCGACATTGCGTGCGTGGAAATATCTTGTGATGAATTCTACTCGTCCTGTGTCGTCTGTCCAGTTTTTGATTCGTCTCCACGACAGCCACAAATTAAGGTTTCTTGGGCTTTACCACTACCGAACTGGCGGATGCTGGATCTGGGCTCAATTTTTGTCACCTTTTGAAGTTCTATGCATGAGCCTTTTGCGTATGCATTCTTTGAATCAGGATGGTTTCATCTCCAGTGGTTTTGTCAAAGTAACATTGAAAGACGTTCAAGACAAAGTTGAGTATAATATATATTTCGGCCACCTGGACGGCGTACCTAGCCAATCTATGCCGGGCCTACATGAAGGATGAATCAGAGATTGCAAGCAGCGAAGCTCTTTGAGGCGAGCTATCGATAGATAGTGGAAGACAAATGACACCTTCTTGACAGCTTATCTCCTCTCTTCCGAGGTTGCCCTGAAAGCAGGCCCTTTGCTAATCACAGTGTGCCCCATGCCCCAATGTAGAGGTAACTCGAAAGACAAAGCACAAAGAAACTCGCTGCAATGTCCACTCTTGAGAGTTGATGTTTAGTTGCATCGGCGAAGAACTTCACCACATTACAGTCACCTTCTCCAAGGCCTCCCGGATACAGTTTCAAACTAAGATCTCACTGCCCATGACGTTCGGGTATCGAAAGAAATTGCCGACGCTAACGTTCGCAATGTACGGCAAATACCGACCAGCACGTTCTGCATAGATTTGATCTCTCGGAAATTTTTCAAGCTTGACTTCGGGTAATTCCAAAGACCATTCAAAACATGCAATATCTCGTCATTGGTTACGCAATTTAGATACCACGATTGATAGTCTAGAATCCGTAAATGGCATTTGCATTTTGCATTAAACCAGGTAGATGCAACTGTATTCCTTAGAACTATCTTGAAATAAAATAGAAGAGTAGATAAGCTGCATGCTGATGTATCTTCGGCTTTGCACCGAGCAGCCGCTGATGAAGATGCATCCTGCGTATAGGTGCGGGGACTGATGGCTTTGACATGAACCCCGCACCAAGTCATAAATGGGCCCGCAATTAATGTTAGCCAAAAATGCAACTGTTGATCTTTTTCTCACTTGGGTAAAACTTCGGAAGAATTGTCGGTGATCCTCTTGAGGTAACAGAGTTCCACGAGAAAGGTGGTGCGATTCATACCCTTGGAAATGCTGAACCGGAATATGAACTTTCGGGGTAAAGACATGCGATCACTTTCTTTCAAGCACACGGTTAATCTAGAAATCCGTATAGTTTGTCAGAAAGTGCCTCCATGAAGTAAGCTAGTTAAGATGGTCCGGAAGTCGCTATCGCGTCGACGCTTAGTGATCCTAGGTAGCGTTGCACGCGGGACGATAGCCGCAAGATGAAGTTTGTTTTTGATGTTACCCCTGCCTATTGTCTATTGCTAGGGCCTTCTGGGATTATCATACGGTGATAGATGTCTCTAGGTAGCATGATGTAACCGTTTATGGTAACCTGCAAGGGGGGCACAAGCATAATCTGCATCGGACGACGATATATAATGGATCTCAGGTCCGTCCTCACGGCATTCATCCAGCCACCTACTCATCCAACAATCATGTTCTATCCCGGTTGTACCCCATGCCTCCGGGCTTTGCTTGTAGCTCTCCTCGGTCTTGGATCAGTCAATGCTGCACCTACTGGCCCCGACAACAGCCTGCCTGTTGTATCACCTACCCCTCAACAAATCTCCTCGTCCGGCAAGGGAGTCTCCCTGGCCGGTGGAGCTGTTACCATCGTGACGGGCAATGCCACAGACTCGGCCACGATTGATACAATCAAAGCGATCGTATCCGCTGCCGGTGGAAACGCCATTGTCTCATCGAAACCCACCGGTCATGGCACGCAGATAGTCATTGGCACAGAGTCCGAGAACAACCTTGCTACTACAATTGCAAAGGTTCTTACCGGCAAGTCTGCGGACGGCCTTGATGCCGACGGGTACGTCCTCGCATCTGGTGATTACCTAGGCCAGCCGAGTATCGTACTCAACGGTGTCGACAAGCGTGGCACTTTCTATGCGGCCCAGACCCTTCGTCAGCTTGGTAGCAGTCACAAGGTCCCCGGTATCAAGATACGTGACTGGCCGCTCATGCCAATTCGTGGCTCTATCGAGGGCTTCTACGGTGAACCGTGGTCTCACCAGGCACGCCTGGACCAGTTTGTATTTTATGGAAAGCACAAAATGAACACATACATCTACACCCCCAAGGATGACCCGCTGCTACGCGCAAATTGGCGCACACTTTACACAGGTGATGCCCTGACCCAGCTTCAGGAACTCATCGACACTGCTAACACGAACCATGTCGATTTCACCTTTGCTCTATCGCCTGGTCTGGACTTGTGCTATTCGTCCGACACCGACTTTAACTCTACGATCACCAAGTTTGATCAGGCACGCAAACTCGGCGTTCAGAGCTTTTATATTGCTTTCGATGATATCCCTACTCAGTTTCACTGTGATTCAGACAAGCAGAAGTGGATCGATACGGGCAACTGGCACTGGCTTGCCGACGCCCAGGCTTATTATCTGAATCGCATTCAAACAGAATATGTGATTCCGAATGGCCTCAAAGATCTCGAGACTGTCCCTACCAACTATGCTGGCAGTAAACCCGACCCATACAAGGAAGAATTCGGCACCATGTTGAACAAGAATATCAGTATCCAGTGGACAGGCGAAGGAGTATTCAGTGATCAGATCAATGACACAAGCGTCCAGCAAGCAGACTCGACATATGTTACTGACAAATTATTCTTGTGGGATAACTTCCCCGTGAACGATGGAAATCGTAACCGTCTATTCCTCAACCCGCTTACTGGCCGTTCTCCCGACTTGTACAAGTACTTGCTCGGTTTCACATCTAATCCGATGGAGCAGGCGTACGCCTCCATGCCTGCGCTCGCCAACTACGGCGACTATATGTGGAATGGGCCAAAGTATAACGCAGATAACTCAATGGCTGCAATTCTATGGGAACTCTCGGGAAGTGACAAGACCGTTCACGACGCCCTTCTTGCATTCGTCGACATCAACCAGAACTGGCCGTATCGCACTCCGGAGGTCCATTCCCCTGAGCTGAGCAAAGACATTGCGGCTTTTTGGGCTGCCCGTCAGGCTTCTTCCAAGATCAAACCTGGACCCGGTGATGGGCAGTCAGCATTAGAGAAACGCCTCGCACTGCTCACGACTCTTCCGAACGTCCTTCCACGCATGGCCATGAAAGGCTTTGCTGACGATGTGGCACCTTGGGCGACCGTTGCCATGCAGTGGGCAAAGGCATGTCAGCACTTGATTACCATGCTAGGCGCTATTGATGACGGAGACAAGACAAAGGCTGATAGCGAGTTTAATCTCGCTCAGGAGTGGGTGAATAAGACCAAGGCGAAGACTGTCAATGACCGCAATGATGCTGGTCAGGAGCTCCCCAATTCGATCACTCCTATTACTGGTGATGGGTCGTTTGATGCGTTTTTGGCGAATGCTACGACCATTTACGAGGGTCAGTAGATACGCGGCGGAGTTTAGGGATAGGTTGATGGTCGTTCATTTAAGACGTGAGCATTGATTGTATATAGTGTAGTGACTTGACGAAATAGCAACAGATACACATCGAGCCAGTCATCAAATTAAGGAACCTTTAATTTTAGTGCACATTAATACGGGAGCATAATTCAAGGACTAACTTTGATTTCGCTATCGGAGTTTGGTTTGGAAGGTAATAACTTCGGTTCTTGTGACTTCAGCTCTTGAGTTTGATCCCTTAACCGGGTGGATCTCATAGGTTCCGCGAGGGAGTCCATTTGGGAATCTATAGCGAATTCAGATGTTTGCCCTCTGTGGCATCTGCAGCGGGATTCAATTCTTAATTGAGGGGTTTAAACTGGCCAGCTGGAGTGTTTTAAGCGAGAAAGTGATTTCCGATACGGTTCGTGATAAGAATGTGATCTATCAACAACACAACCCTGAGTAGAGTAACTCACATAGTCAATCCTGACATTGCACGGTACTGTACTCTGAATAAAGAATAGACGTATTTTTGTCCACTTATGAAATGTTTACATAGGTTCTTACTCAATTCATAGTCTGGAAGTTATATTTACCTCAACTCAAGGAAAGTTCCTAAGAGTAGCCTCAACAAGATTATCCGGCCCCGTACAGAACAACACCTTAGCCTCAGGATGCCCACGACTAAATCCAATGCAGACAGCCATTATACGTTCAAAAATGGCCGTATGCTCAGGTTTCCCTCGAATACACCATCCGACAAGTATACCATCCCACGGATGTCCAGCGAGTGTCTCTTTCAACTGGTCCAATGCCCCAGTCACATTCTTTCCATCAAAATCGAATCCAACGTTATTGAAGCGATTGGCTTGGTTATCTGGGGCTTGGGACCAATTTTTGGTGATTATGTCGTTGATTGGGTGGCCGGTTAGATGGCGGCTTAGACTGATTGTGAGGATTTGGAGTTTTTTATCAGACATTGTATTTTTTTTGGGAGAATCTGTAAGGCTCAAGTTAGCACCAGACCAAGGGGTCAGAGTTCCCGGGAAATTGATACCATTTATCGGTGAGTTCAGATCAAATGCATGACTGTTAAAGTAGACGGGCTATCGCAAAATATAGTATGGAGATTGTTACTAGGAGAACCCTAAAACATCATTTCAAATCAACTCCGGAGTTAAGAGATCAATTCCCCAATCTCCAATCCTGCTACCCCATTTTTATTTCAATGACTACCCACTCACTAGTCTTGCCAGCTTTAGTTCCGGTTCAATAGATGCTGCTGACATCGACATATCAACATATCAGTATATCACGTGACTGTATCGTCAACTGACAAGCCCTGTGCCAAGCTCCACGATAAAAAAGGATAAAAAGTACAGTCAGCAACACTTCCGACCAAGAAACAGGAAATCAAGAACCACGACCCAAAGTCCCAGACCCAACGCAACTACCCGAGAGCCACCAAAAGATCCAACCAACGACAAGTCAACAACAGAGACTGAGCACTGACCCTCGTCTCCTCGTCTCAGGGCCGTCACAGACATCAGGGTCCGACCGATTCGACCCGATTCCATGTGTTTCGCACAGCTTCCAGACAAGGCTCCCACTCCGAGCATGTCGACCAGGGTTCTGAGTGGATGAAAAACATACAGTCTGTCCCTCCCACAGTACGGAGTAGTTGTTCTTGGGTTGATACAAAGCACAGCCCAATCTCTCTCCCACAGCCCACATCTGCATGAAGCTGCACACTGCCACACAGGGCATCCATTCAGCACTTGCCACTGACACTAACACCCTCAATCTTCAATTTACCCCGGTCGCGGGGGGACTTCTCCCAGTCCCGCGCGGCAGAGCATCATGGTCAAACTCTCCCTTGATTGGATACAAACAGCATTCCCTCCAATCAACGAGCCGGATCGGCTTGAGTGAGGCCCAGACCACACCTTATCCTTGGCAGGTCTTGGGGGCAAGAGAACCGACTGGTGGAGCCAGGAAGTCTAGCAAGGGAGATCATTGACTGGTTTGGTGCATGGCTGATTAACGATTCAGTGGGTTGGGTCTCTTCTTTTCTTGTGTGTGGGCTGGATACATCGCCCGGACATGGGTGGGAGCCGCACGCATCCGGCTTGGAGAGAAGTTAGAAGACGAGCAAAGAATGCACATTGTGATGGATCATTTTTTGACCGAAATAGGTAGTTGGAAGGATTTGGATTTGTGGGTTGATGGTTATTGTCATTTACATAGATCTTTGTTGTTTATCGTAGTTATTTTGTCTATACTTAAGATGAATATGGCTATCTTGTCTACTCTGTACTTTTGAAAGTATAAAAAGGACGATATAAGTGCATGACGTGTCGTAGATGGAGAGCCCTCCACGTCAGAAAGAGGTATGTGTCTCATTCTCTCTCTGTGAGAACTCTGTCTCGATAATCGTTCGGAGTTTGTATACAGTGAATCGATAGTTGATAGGAGAGTTTTTCTAGTTCAACAGTGAATCACATCATGGGCTCCACCTCCCAGTGGACTGCGTCAGCACTGTAGCCTGTGAATCGTCTTGATCCTATCGGCACTAACGAATGGAGTTCTCCGTCCTCGTAATCCGTAATTCGTATGATTCTCGTAGTCTCTCCAGGGGTGTTTGGATTCCCTTCCCCTCCCCCCCCCCTTTCTTCTCTTTCCACACCTTCCACGCCTTCCACCACCCAAAACTCTTCTCCATCTCGCACTCGCACCATTTTGGCTGGTCTGCCCATTTTCCAGTCTTCCTTCCTTCCTTCTTCTCTCTACCAGCTTCATCTTCTTCATATTTTCTCTTTCTTCTCTCCCCCCCTTTTTACCCTCTCCTCTCCTCCCTTCTTTCTCTTCCTCTTCTCTTTCTACTCTTCTCCACCTCTACTCTCCTCCACCTCTACTCTCCTCCACCTCTACTCTCCTCTTCGCCTCCCCTTAATAGATTTTCGCCACCTTCCGTAATCCCTCTCCACCAGGCCCCAACTCCACAAGTTGGCCCAACTTGACACGGTCGCGCGACACTCTTCCTCGTCGTCGACGTCCATTCCTTCCCCTTTCCCTTCCCCTTCACGGGCCTCTCTCTCTCCCCCAACCACAACCCTCACCACTATCTTGTAATTCCCGTTTTTGTCTCGACCAAACAAAAAAGATTTCCAGAAACAAGAAAACAAAAAACCATTTTCCAACTGCCATCACAAACCTCCAATCAAAACAAAAACACCCTTACCTCATCAACCTGTCTGACCGACCGTCTCCTCGCGCATGGACCCAGTCGTCTATCGCCGATACTAATCCTCCCTCGTTCGGCCCATCCCAGCCCAACTCGGTTCGCCTGCCCACCTCGCATGGCATGTTTCGCCTATTACCCTGGCCCGCTCCCATAGGAGGGAACAAGGTAATGACGGAGGAAGTCAAGATGCTGGCCCCGGCTGGCTGCGCTCCGGGCATGAATATGAATGTCAACGCTCTATCGCAGTCGCTACCGCCCTTGCTCAAGCGAAAACGTTCCGATTCCTCCGTGACTGAGGCCCCCGCCTCGACCAAGCCTCGCCCTGAACCGTCTGTTGTTGCGCCAACGCTGTCGACACCGACTCCGACCGTCGTACCTGCCTCAAATCCTGTGACAGCGCCCATAGCGCCATCACCACCATCGGTCACGACAGCGCGCGAGCCGGCGCCGGCGCCGGTCGCGAGTGTGCGCCCCGATGTGAATCGCCTGCGCGAGACCATCACCGCCCAGCTCAGCCTCGAGGTTCTCCTCAAGCACAACGAGCTGCGTCTGATCGACCAGGAAATTGCAAAGTGTCAGGTTGCGCTGGAACAGTTGCGACGCTGCGCTGAGATTCCTTATCCGGGATCGGCAGTCTCTGGTGTGTCGGCCGATGTGAGCGCTGGCACGGGCGCATCGGTGCTGCTTCCTGGAAATGGCTCAGCACCGATTTCGCCTGCGCCCTGGGGTGTCGCGGAAGGTCCCTACTCCCGACACTACGCGCGATGGCTCCTTCCGGACCCTCGGTTCGACGGTGGCGAGGTCGAGACGGGATCGCTGGCGGTTCGTGACGGCTTTATGGTTCCAGAAGGTCGGTCAACGCGTGGGAATCCAATGGACTTCAGCTCGCTGGCGGGCAAGACTCGGCCGTCGCGTGGGACTCCCCAAGCGAAGTTTCAGTCATTGTCTTCGGGGTATCCTGTTCCTAAGGAGAAGCCTGGACCGATGCTCATCCGGCGCAAGTCGGATCAGGTCTTGGTCAAGTTGGTTTGTCTAGACTGTCGTCGGGATAATTTCTCGAGCACCCAGGGTTTCATCAATCACTGCCGTATCGCGCACAACCGCAACTTTGCCAGTCATGACGCCGCTGCGATGGCCTCGGGTGAGCCTGTTGAAGTTGATGATGCGGGTACTATCATTGGAGGTTCTGCTCCTCGCAGCGAGTCGATGAGCAGTGTTCAGGCAACCGGCCTGGTGCATTCGCTGAACCGCTCCACTCAACTTCCTACTCCTTCAAAAGAGGCTGTTACCCCTCAGAAGCCTACTCTGGTCAAGTTGCCTACTGCAGTTGCCACCCCGCCCGCTACTGTCCAGCCAAAGCCCGCACCCGAGCCCCGTCGCCAGCTCGAGCCTGTGAAGGCTACGATGAACCCCTCGTTTCTCGCTTCGCCCGCCACGCCGCATTTGTCTGCGCTTATGCGCGATCGCGGCCTCGGTCTGAACATGGACAAGCTTGTGGCAGAGGCCAAGACTCCCGTCGACCTGAGTGCATTTTCCGACGATGACTCGGATGCCGACGAATCAACCAGCCAGGCACCATCCCAGCAGGGCATCCCCGTTGCTCGCCAGCCCATGCGCATGCCCACCACACAAGCTGCCCTCCAGCGATCGGAGAGTCGCAAGGGTATCGACAGAGGTCCTCACCACCTGCCCGACATGACTCCTTCTCGTCCGCCTTATCAACAGTCTTTCCTCGACCTTTCCTCGCTTGGTAGTAGGCCTCGTCATTCGCTGACCGATGTGTCTCGTGAAAGTGACAGCCTGGATCACTCGGCTAACCTGAGCCCGAACGCGCTGGAGTCCAACCAGGCTCCCAGCCTCGTTAGCGACGATGAGGACGACTACGAAGCGGCCTCGGACTCGGACAGCCCAAGCTCTTCCGAGGCTGATGAGGAAGAGCAAGAGTTCCGGCATATCGAAGTCGAGGATGACGAGCGTGCTGGTGCTCCCTCTGCTACTACTACTGAGCCCAAGCCCGGTCCCTCGTTGACCAACCCTGGCCCCCAAGCTGCACCTACGCTGTCCAACCCGCTGAAGCAAAGCCGATCCAAGAAGATGTCCAAGGTGGCGACATTCGGCGACCGCAGACGCGATGACCAGCAAATCAACTTTATGCACTCTAGCAAGGAGGATGCTCAACTGAAGCGCCCGAACGGACAGAGGCCACCCCCGTCGAATCAGTGATGCTGTCCTGCACTGCTTTACCCACAAACTCCCCTCTCTGCCCCTGAGCGCGGTACACACCGTGCGAATTCGGCATTTCTATTCGATAAAACCCTGTTTACACCATTACACTTGTTGATTTTAATTTCCCTATTCGTTCTCGCCTGGTCATCTACAACCCCCATCTTGACGATGGCTGGTTCCGACCTGGCAAAGAGCGCATGCGCGAGAAACGGATGATGACTACACACTTCCCCCTGACTTGACTGCCCCCTTCATGACGTGTCTGTATTTTGATATTATGTTCTTAACCTCCTCTTCTACTTCTTTTCCCTTCCTGTCTGAGTTCCTCACCCTTTCTTCCCCTTCTACACCTTTTCTCTTCGTGAAGACCTGTTTTACGGCTGGTTTGGTTTATGGTTTGGATGAGGTCGGGGGTTTGTACATAGGTGATTTTCCCTGTTTTTTTCTTTCCTCTGGTGAAGACTTGGAATGGAAAGATTCAAAATTTGATAGCTTGAGGCATAGAATTAAGAGGATTTGATTACCAACACTTCTCTTTGAGGGGAGGGTTTCTAGCGTATGGTAGTATGCGAATAGGGAATACGTAAGCTAGTAATTGTTCATGCGTGGCACTATTCACTGTGCCAGTAGTTCTATTTTGAAGATGTCGTACCAACTCGGTAGTTATAGTGAGAATAGTGGGAGTGGAGCTGGAGTATTGGATTCCTGAGGCATCAAGTTTGCAGTGTTTGCAGTTGATGGTAGTAGCTTATCGCGATAACATCATCTTCTCTGCTGTTTTTCTGCGACATCCGAGTACTGAGTTTGGTTCCACCGCGATCTCCAGATTCCTCACAACCGTGAGGCGGTCAATTAGAAACTATTGCCAATTGAACTTCCCTAACAGCCTTAACTGAGCTTGCAAATTACTACGGCAAGCCGTAACGCGATCAATCAGACTTCCTAGGATTGTCGCGATCAACTAGACATCTGGACCTTTTGCTACATCTTCTACCATCGAGCTCCCACGGTTTGAAATTAGAAAATCCCACATCATGGCCATTGATAACTCTTCTGTCGCCGCCGAGGCTGATGCCCCCGAAAAAACCATCAAACCCGCCGAGGAATTCATCGGCGACGCAGACGACTTCACCATGGAGGCAGCCTCAGATCTCTCCTCAGACGACTCCGACGAAGAAGACACAACCTCCGACGAAGAAATCTTCCACCCCCACCGCATGACACTCTCTACATTCCGCCGCCTCCTCTCCTGCTACCCAACAACAGTCGAGCAAGTGCACCGGCGCAAAGCCATGCTAAAGCTGCAACCGAAGCCGGAGAAGGGTTCCAAGCGTAAACCTGAGAAAAAAGCGGGCTCCGCATCGGCGAATCTGCGTGGTGCGATGTTGCTCACGAAGACGGAGTTTAATGCTTCGGAGCAGAAGTATATTAAGGAGGAGACGGAGAAGTTTTTGAACTTGGATAAGTGGCGGTATGAGGATATGCCGAAAACTATGGGGGAGAGGAGGGTGAAGGAAGAGGGGAAGGGGGAGGTGTTGACTAAGGATGATTTGATTACTGTTATGGATTGGAAGACGTGAGTTTCGCTCTCGCTTTGCTTGAATTGTCATTGTGAATGGGATGGGATGGGATGGGATGGGATGGGACGGGACGATGGCTGATATAAAACAAACCAGGAAACATGGTATCCCCCGCCCAACTCTCATGGGTATGGTCAAGTCCAACCAGGACAAGAACGTGATCAAGTGTTCTTCCACCGCCATGGCCGCGCTGTCCACTAAAGACCCTATGCTCGCGCCAAACGAAGCTTTCCCCAAGCCCAGCATCGACGCCTTCGGTCCCCTCCGCGGCGTCGGTGTAGCCACTGCATCGCTCATCCTCTCCATCGCTACTGCTACCGGCGATCCCAAGCAGCAGGTCCCCTTCTACAGTGACGATGTGTATCTGTGGTTGTGTCTGAAGGACTTCCCGGAGCCAGAGTACGAGGAATACGAAGAAGAACACACCGCCGAGCAAGAGGAGCAGCCAGACGCTGATGCTGACGCCGACGCCGACGCTGAAACCAAGGACAAGAAGAAGACTCCCCGCCCACCAAAGTTCAAACTCAAGCGCAAAATCTCCAAATTCAAGTGTCCCAACGGCGAACTAAACGTCAGGTACAACATCGCCGAATACCGCAAACTCTGGGACGCATGCTGGGAGCTCCGCGAGCGACTCAACCGCGCCGTGGACCTTGCATATTCCTCCTCTTCCCCTTCTACCTCTCCCTCCTCTTCGGCGCGCATCTCCCACAACGACATTGAAAAAGCCGCCTACGTCCTCCGCAACATCGCCGTCTCGGGCTACCTAGAAGGCCAAGATCCCGAGGATATCCTGCGAACCGCAGCTCCGCAAAAGACACGCGTTGATGCTGCGATGAAGGCTCAGAAGGCGCGGGCTGATGCTTCGGGTGAGACTGCGGCAGGGGAGAAGAAACTTGCGGCGAAGAAGCAGACGAAGAAGGAGAAGGAGGAGAAGAGGAAGATTGCTAATGGGGGGAGGAATGTTAAGAGGAGGAAGGTTGAGTAGGTAGAGAGATGAGGGGGATTGGATTGGGGTGAGATGAGATGGATGGGGGGATGGGAGGTGATGGATGGTGGAAATGTATATCGATATCGATGTGGATTTGAATTTGTTGGTGGATGAGTCTTGTATAGTTTAGTATAGTCTGGTAGAGTTATCATCTGCACACTTTCTTGAATGATTCTGGATTGTCTAGTAGGTCAAGTATGAGTTCCGTGAAACTGTAGGTATTCGATATATCCGTCTTTTATAGTCTTTCGCAATCCAACCACTGGAACTAGTCTTTCCTCCCGTACCCCCGAGCAGATTTCCAGCTTAGGAAACATCATCCCAAGTCTCAATCATCTTAGTAAGGACACCTCTTGCGAGTGGGATCGCTTCTACTAAGTTTCTACGTATTTTGCATCACAACAATGGGCGACAAGTTTGCTCCGAGATACGTGCTTATTTATAGTAACATTGGCTAACCCTATGCCTTGAGCTCTACATACAGATGTTGATAGAAAACTCGTGGTCCTTGGATGAGTCCAAATGGAAGAATCATTTTGGTCTGAACCTTAGCAAGGGATGAGGTGTCAACCAGCCCTAACCCCGTCAACTCACACCAGTCACTTTGTGGAGGTTAGCGAAACTCGATACCCTTATGATAGCTAACTGATCTGGAAAGGACACCAGCTGTCTCTATGTGATATATTGAGGGGGAATATTGTAATCGGCCTTAATAATGCACCATCTGTGTGGTATTGAAGTGTAGTTACTAGGTCAAGGTACTGCACTAGAAATCCGGAGGTGTGCACGCATTCAGAACAATCTCGGTCCAACTGACCGCGGAACCCTTCATTGCAAGCGTTATTGCCCCCGTACAATCTTATTTATCTACTGGAATCTAGCTCCCTGCGATCGTATTGGTAGTCCAGAGCTTGACATTCTTAAGGCTGTCTAGAAGATACATCATAGGTTGACTAGCCAGGGGTAAAAACCCTTCTGGAATGTAATCCCCAGACTCATCTAGGAATGTCTAAAGAACGCGAACAACTAATTTCCAACATGTTCCTCCTCTGCTGGAGAGGTCCCTTCAATAGCTGACAGCCTCGCGTAGATATGTCCGAAAGAATTCCCCTTTCCTTCATGGTAGAATGAAGCTATCCAACATCACCAGCCACCCCTAGCCATTGATGCTCCCGTCCTGATCTACTTTCACCCATCGATAACTTTGATGAATATGTGCAAAAGTAGCAAATTCCGATATAAACAATTCTAGCTGTTTCCCAGAAACGGACAAATTCGGAGTGTATGTCCATGTGTTCAGGATTAGCCCCTGTCAAACTATTTACCGAATTAAGCGTGATCACCTAGAAGTAGCTATATGTTCTTTTCCACAGACTAGGAATGGAATGTCTAACTATACTAAACCTGCCCTTGAACTAAAAAGCTACTAGACCTAGAATACTATAATAAACACCTCCCCCTCCGTAGAATTTTGCATCTTTTGTTTTCACAGTCACTCCATCAATCCATCCAATCGTCTATCCATCCCAGCTATCTATACCTACTCCATATACTTCTACATCAACCACCAACATGCGCTTCATCGCCACAAAGCTCCCCCTCCTCCTCGCTGCCTCGGCCACTATCGTCGTCGGCCAGGATCCGACTACTACAGGAACTGGCTCTGTGAGCACCGGTTCTGTTAGCCCGGGCTCTTCGAGTAAATGTGCTGCGCAAAAGTATGTTTGATATCCCCAAGTCCAACGTATCTACACCGAAAGGGTATGAGTGGATGCTAACAAGTCATGTACAGGGTCGTCGACCAATGCATCCAAAACATGAAATTCCAACTCGAAAACTGCGCTACATATGACTGGGACTGTCAATGCATCAGTAGCACGAATGTCGTCGAGTATGTTTCTTCCCTTGCAACTATCCACCCCCATCACTCCAAACATCCAACTCTATAATCTAACCACCTCCCTTCTCCTTATAGCTGCTACAACAACTGCCCCGAACACCCCGACCGAATCGGCGCCCAAACAATCCGCCAGCAAAACTGCGCCAACGCCCGCGCCTACAGCCCCAGCACCACAGCATCCAGCCCCTCCTCCACAGCCACAGACAAGGACTCGGACTCGTCCAGCATGTCCGCCAGTTCGTCTGCGTATGCGTCCGGTTCAACCAGCACGCCTAGCGGCCTGCAGAGTCATAACAAGAGCACTGATGAGGAGAGTGATAGTGGCTCTAGCAGTGAGCCGACGAAGTCGTTGACTGGGCTGGAGGCGAGTTCGAGTCCGTCGGCGGGTGCTGCGGTGAAGGGGGTTAGGGTTGCTGGCGGGTGGGTTGCGTTTTTGGGGTTGGCGTTGGGGGTTTTGTTCTAGATTAATATCTGTTGGAGTAATTGGGATGGAGGGAATGGGTAGGGGATGTGGGCATAGCATTGCGTTGGGTCTTATAGGGCCTGTTAATTTTAATTTAAATGTTGCATTTGAACTGGTTCTTGATCGAGGTAGACCTCACTGTGGTGTACTCGGGCTTTTATGTGCCAGCCTATAAGGTTGATTGTAGTCAAGTAGAGGTTCCAATATACTGGTGAGTTTACTGATGGGATTTCACAAAAAGCTTCATGGAGAACAGAGGGTCGTGACATCTAGATGCTTGTGCCAGGAAAATACCTCGATATCTGAAAGTTGATATCCGTGCCAGTTGAAGCTTATTTCGATCTTTTGTCTACTACGCAGCAGTCATTACATAAAACGTTGATCTATAGTCAGGTCATTCATTGCAATCTATGGACACGTAACCTATCACAATTCCACGGGTATACACAACACTCCCATCTACAGACCCTTAGCCTGCTTAGCCTCAGCCAAAGCCTCCTTCAGCGCCGCCAAAGCCTTATCAATATCATTGCGGTTAGGGTCCGAGATACTGACACCCATGTGACCGAAGCGGATATACTTGGTAGCAATCTCCTTGTGCAGACCAGCTGCGAAGATAACACCCCGCTTCAGCAGACCGGGCAGGACATCGGGCGGGGTCAAGCCGTCGGGCAAGTACATGGCAGTCATGCCGTGAGCCTGGGCGTCCGGGTTAGGGGCAACCTGGGACAGACCGAGCTCGGCAATGGCAGCCTTGACCTTATCAGAAGCGGCGGTGTGGATAGCGATGCGCTCAGACATGGGGCGGGAGGTGATCTGGCTGAGGGTGGTGTGCAGGGCGTGAACGAGCTGGGTGGGCGGGGTAGCAAAGTACGAGGGCTTGCAGGCCTCGTAGTTCTGCATGATGGGGAGCCAGTTGGCGATGGAGGCGTAGTAAGAGGCGGGAGGGGTCTGGCGGGACTGGGCGCGCTGAATGGCGCGGCCGGAGCAGTAGACGATGCTCAGACCGGGAGGGCAGCCGATGGCCTTTTGCGAGGCGGTAACGACCGCGTCGAGGTCCCACTCGTCGAAGGCGATTTCCTCAGATCCCACACTGCAGACACCATCGACGATGACGAGGGTGTCAGGGCTGACGCGGCGGACAACCGCGGTCACGGCCTTGATGTCGTTCAGGACACCCGTGGAGGTGTCAACGTGCGTGACGGTGAGCAGCTTGTAGGGCTTTTGCTTGAGGGCGGCCTCGATCTCGCCGAGGGAGGGGCGCTCACCGACCGGGGCGCGCAGGTGAGTCACCTCGGCGCCGTAGGTGGTCAGGCAGGTGCCGAAGGAGTCGCCGAAGTAACCGGTGTTCAGGACGAGGGCATTCTCGCCACGCTCGATCAGGTTGGCAGCGACCAGGTCCCAACCGAGGGTACCGGAGCCGGCGATGAGGAAGGGCTGAGCGGAGGGGTTGGTGGACTGGAAGAGCTTGCGAAGGAGGGTCAACGTCTCGCCGAAGACCTTGACGAAGCCGGGAGCGACATGGCTCTCACTGTATATCAGAGAGGGGCAATGGTTAGTTCCAATTGATATTGAATAGTAGTAGTAACGACTAGTGACTCACGCATAGTGGGACATGGACTGCAGAACAGCATCGTCAAACTCAATGGGGCCCGGGATGAGCAGAGTGTTGTGAGGGGCCTGGATAGACGACATGGTGGGCGACTTGGTAGTGGGAGAAGATGGAATGGAACGATCAATGGGTTTATATTCGACGTCGTCAGGAGCCAGGGAGTTTCTCTCGGTCGAGAAGGGTGTGTTAAGCTCAGGCAACGGCAGGCGCTGGTCCAGGTGTCTGGAGATCAGGCTGAGGCGCTGCGTCGTCGATGGGGGCGCCAGCTTTTCCGATTTGCGGCGGGGTGAGCCGCGGGGTTACAATTCTGGTTGGAGGGGGTTTGGCTTGCTTGTGAATTCCCGAGGGAAACACAGTAGAATGCTTGAAGGTTCGGGGATCGCCGCCGATAGGGGGATCGATGGGAGGGCAGCGATTGGCTGCAGAGGGGGTATGAAGAATAGAAGGAGGAGTGTAGCTTGAAAGTGGGATCTCAAGGTGATGATGATCAAAATGGAGAGGAATCTGGGGAGATATTTATGAAGATGAGATCCTGGCTATTCTTGCCTCCTCAACAAATTTTTGTTTTCCTTTGTCCGTCGCGGAGAGTTGACGGCCGGACCCTACCGGCCGGGCGATTCTCGTGAGTCTACAATGAGGACGGGGATGCCACAGCCTACGCGGTAGAGCCTATTCTCAGAGAAGATCTCGGTGAGAGGTTGAATCTGGGGTAGCTAGAACGGGAAAGTAATTTGATCTTTTTTGGAACTGAATTGTAGCAGCTAGCAGCTATTCCATACAACTTGGTTTAGCAGTGCAAAGTCCAGACCAAAAGCTACGAGTACAATGTATAGTTAGTTATATGTACCGTTGAATAGTATCTATTCTACTAGATATCGATTAATTACCTGGGTCTACTGTTGTTCGGATGCTCTATAGTATATCCAGGTATGACCTCCTCTGCCATTGACTCCATTCTGCAGTCTATAACATTCACCGTAATCGATGTCCTGCCCAGTTCTATTATGTGATGCTACTCTGTATCAACCCTACTAATTATCGTCCAGCAACACGGCGACCTCCGCACGGAATATCATCAACGCTAAACCATGCCTTTTATACCATTCTAGAATCGTGGATTGGACTAATCAACCCGCATGGCAATCGGGCGAGAGATTCGGCCTCGCGAACCAATGCGCATCAGCGATAATCGGGATGCTTCACGCGGATCGGGAGAGCATCCGTTGATGACGCTATCCCCAATTGGGGCATCACATAGGGCTCAGGGCTGGGCTCGTGGCTTCCCCGCGAAGCTTCCCCCCGTCAGGTTATCGCCGCGCCTGTCACTTGCTCTTGTCTGGACCTGCTTCGATCTGCTTGGACCCCCATAATTGGAATGGCCCATTGAATCACTTCCGATCTTCTAACCCCTCCCCCCACCAACCCCCAGCATGACCGCCCGTCTGGTCCTGGTCATTGGTGACCTGTTCATCCCTGACCGAGCTCCCGTGAGTTCCCCCAGTTCATAAGCTCAGGCACCCGTGATATCAGAGCTTCCCAGACAATGACAGCTAACCCATATCTCTTAGGACCTCCCCGCCAAGGTATACCACAACACCCTCCCATGATAATTCTATCAAAATCGCTTCAAACCCAGCTGACCCAGCTATCCTGCCCAGTTCCGGAAACTCCTAACCCCCGGCAAGATTGGCCAAATCCTCTGTCTGGGTAACCTGACCGATCGCGATACATATGACTTCCTCCGCCAGGTCGCGCCGGACCTGCAAATGGTCAAGGGCGACTTCGATGTCGACTCCCCCAACCTTCCGCTCTCCAAGGTCGTAAATCACGGCAGCCTGCGCATCGGTTTCACTCACGGACATACCATCATCCCGCCCGGCGATGCAGATGCGCTGCTGATTGCGGCGCGACAGATGGATGTTGATATCTTGCTTTGGGGCGGTACCCACCGGTTCGAGGCGTTTGAGATGGAGGGCCGTTTCTTCATTAATCCAGGCAGTGCTACGGGCGCGATGAGCCCGGGCTTCTGGCCGGAGGGCGAAGAACCTACCCCGAGCTTCTGCTTGATGGATGTAAGTGATAGTTGCTGTGTCCGTGGAGTGATTGCGTGTCAGCTGACAAAGGAAAACAGATTCAGGGAGATGTTTTGGTGCTCTATGTGTATCAACTGAAGACAGATGCTAATGGCGTCGAGAACGTGTCAGTTGAGAAGGTCTCATACCGCAAGAACCACGCTCCTGCACCAGAAGCAGCGCCGGTATCTTGATCTCACTCTATCTCCTCCTTTCCTTACCTTTCCCTACTCCTTCTACCTCACGTGTATATAGTCATCTTCCTATCCGTCCCTCATGTTTGTTTCATTCTAGCAAGCCCGGTTTCTTTGCTTCAATTCCATTTTCTGATACCTCAAGATTGATTGGGTTTCCCCAGTATTTATAGATCTGTCTATATGAATTCCTTGTGTATCTTGATATCTACTCTTGGGCTTCCTTGTCATGAGATGCGCCGGTAGGCTTAGGAAATAGCTCGTTTTGTGTTTTATCGTTGTAATTGATACAGTTTTCCATAAATTGAAACTCAAAAGATTCTAGTTATCTCAATGTCTTGACCTTATACACAACCCGAGTCAATCATGTTTGGTTTCATCGGGAGACATTAGGTGCCGGTAGGCGTTCGTCACAGAGCAGGCAGAGTCCCACTAGTCCCGATGCGGTAATCGTCCAAGTCCCAATTTCACCGCGCGCCTCATATCTCCTTCCGCCCCGCAAATATCTCCATTGATTGAATCTTCTTTGTACCCGACAATCCTTTGTTCAGTCCATTTTAGAGCTGCCTCTATTCTCTTATTCTTACTACGCTCCAAATTTCTCGTCCAGCTCTTGCGCATTCGTTCGATCGCCTTATCCTAGAGCTCCGACTGCTTCTCTCATCTCCGAGAAGCTTTCTTCAGCAGAGCTAACACCTCACTCACCACATATACAACCGCCGCCAATATGGCTACCGAGAGCACAGAGCTGAAGCCGGAGCAGATCCCCCCTCACGATGAGGGTGTCGACGATGAGGTACGTGAAGAACCTGCGCCGCTCTGCAGCAGCTTCGGCGCAACGAAGCTCCATGCTTCCGTCACAAAAAACCCATCTTTTTAGCATGAGCTGACATGGGATATTTTCGTTTCACAGGAGGAGATTGCCGCGATGAAGCGCCGAGTCGCTGAGATGGAATCCGAGGCTGCCAAGTTGCGCGACATGCAAGAGACGCTGGACCAGCAGACTGAGGGTCTCCAGGAAAACAAAGAGGATATTGATGCGCGGAGTATATTCGTCGGAAATGTGGACTATGGTGCTTCGCCTGAGGAGATCCAGGCTCACTTCCAGAGCTGTGGTTCTATCAACCGTGTGACTATTCTGCTGGATAAGTTTTCGGGCCAGCCGAAGGGGTGCGTTTTATACCCGGATTGAAGACGCTACATCAAGACTGCAGAAGCTGATCTTCTTACTCTACAGTTATGCCTACGTCGAATTTGCGGAGCCCAGTCTTGTTGCTCAGGCTTTGGTCTTGAATGAGAGTGTCTTCCGTGGTCGCAACTTGAAGGTGAGTTCGGCGATGCTCGCGCTGCCATGATTCATCAGACTAACATATATCTGCTTCTCTTCATAGGTTACCCCTAAGCGCACCAACGTCCCTGGTATGACCCGCGGTCGTGGACGGGGTGGATTCCGTGGCGGCCGTGGGCGTGGTGGTCCCCGTGGCAGCTACCGTGGTGGATATCGCGGTCGGGGTCGTGGCTTTGCTCCGTACTAAGCGCGGTGGCTCAGCAATGCATCTTTCTCGAAGAAGTCCACATCTCGATGCCGTCAATCCGCAGGGGTAAATGGGGATTGGGCGGGCGTGTCGAACCCCACAACCCTCTTCCGAATGTCCCGCGGCACTTGGCTTCCGAATTTCTCTTTTCTCCTACCTTTCCCAAAAGGAACACGAATTTGGTTGGTTTCTGTCTGCCACTGGGTACAGTCACATCTGAGTTGTGTATGCGCGGCTTTGGAGTTGTGGGTCAAATGGGATGTACAATAACCGCCTGGTGCACATCAAGCGCAGCCCCCTTCTAGTTAGGGGGAGGGCTGGCAGGTTTTGTAATCATGGGAATTTTTCTTTTTTTTCTCTCTATCATTATTTTCTGGCATCGGATAATTGACAATCAGATATATCAGCTGAGATTAGATTGTGCTTGGATGTGGATAGAGACACGGGGAGTAGACCACGGTACATTAGGTAGTGACTTGCTGACATGGATATCATCATCAGTCGAGTATCTAACTGCATGTCATCGGTGTTAAGAGACTAGTACCTAGTAATTGGTCTAGGCGCTTAGCATCAGTAGTACCTGCTAGATGTGGTAGGTATTTCGTAGTCAGCATTTAATTTCGCTGCCTAGACTCAGTTGTTATGTTCGAACTAGTGCCCGAACAGGTACTCCGTACATACAAGAAAAAGTCCGAAGTCGTTTGTTGTATGATGGCATTTGCTCTATTATTATCAGAACTTGCCACTGGCTCTTCCCGCACGCACCCGTCGGAACTGATTTTTCCACGTAGGAAGACTGAACTGGTATTTGCTTCATGATGTATGTTTATGGGTTGGTTTTTGAGATTGTTAAATGCTTAGTTACCAGATACTTTCTGTTTCGGTCAATGTGACCCTTGAATCCTGATCTGACCGCGGGCTAAGCCTAATAAAGTACGTAGACTTTTGGAATCGAATTAGGGCAAGATAGAGGCTTCTCGTCAATGTATCTTGAATTTTTTGGGTAGTTATACATGGACACCATATGCATAGAACATGCTATGCGATATCTTGATGCTACATCAGTGGCTGAGATCGCATTCAATTGTGGCTTAGTCGGGACTCGACAGATGCCCAACTTGGTCCAGCCGATAGCGAGGAGTCTCCTCTGTTGCTCGTTGCTCAGCCCCAATAGTTGTACAAGTGATCAAATAGCATCAAGTAAACGAACTGACTAATTCTTACTCTCCATAATCAAACTGAAAACTCAGTGATGTACCCGTCAAGTACCTCATACGGCCGCATTTCATAGTCGTTACGTAGGCGGAGTGTAGGCGGAGTACCTGCGGGAGACTGGTATCAATTACCATACCTTACCACTAATACGACCGCTAATCACAGCGTATAGACGCCTCGAATACGCCAAAGTACGACTAATCATACCAGAACTTACCAGTCACTGGCAGCTAAGCCTCCCTCTCCTCCTCCTCCTTCGATCTTCATCAAACATCACCACTGCACACGCACTTTCTCACCCCCTCTCTCTCTCCTCCTCTCCGTCTACATCACCGCCTTTTTTTCCCTCCAGGGCAATATCCAAAACCTGCGACTCTATCCCCGCCACTCCACCGCTTGTGGATGTGCGCTTTGCGTCTCTCGGCTTGGGCTTGATTGATCGGCCTTTCGCACCGAACGGTGTGCTGTGAAGCAACATGGCGTCCAATCTGCCAGCGTACGTTTCTCACAACAACAATCCCTATTTACTTGTATACCAAGTATTGTTTCATTTTCCGATCGGAAAATTATACACACAAGCTCAATGCTGATTATCACGAATTGTAGCCAGCCAAATCTCCGAGTCACGAGTAAGATTACCTCGTTCCCTTGTCGCCCTGCATCCCATGGCGGGATGGTTGCGGGGCTGGCAGCCGGCAACCCTCGAAACATGATATTAACGTCTTATGTTTTCTTGATATAGTTATCGCTGCAGACGGTCTTTACAAGCGCGATGTCTTCCGTATGTGGTTTTCCTTTCAAAGCGCCTTGATTCAAGGTCTCAGGCGGGTTTGCATTGCTGACCCAGTCCACCTCCTCCTCATAGGTTTCCCCGATCCCTTCGCTGTGGCTACTGTCGGTGGCGAGCAAACTCATACGACCTCTGTGATTAAGAAGACCTTGAACCCATACTGGAATGAGCCTTTCGACCTGTATGTTGATGGACGACCCCGCTTTTCGTTTGGGGATTGAAAGATCGTGTTGATTAACGGGTTTTGGTACAGCCGAGTCAACGAGGACAGTATTCTTGCGATTCAGATCTTCGACCAAAAGAAATTCAAGAAGAAGGACCAGGGTTTCCTGGGTGTGATCAATGTGCGCATTGGCGATGTCATTGATCTTCAGATGGGCGGTGATGGTAAGTTGGGACCAATCCTTCGATCTCATATCCACGATACGATTGTTACGATCCGATCTTTACGATCAGATTAGCACGATTTGTTTGCTTCGATCTTATCTTCGAGCTGGACCCACGCATAGGCTAACTCCTTCTCTCGCTTCACTCTAGAGATGCTCACCCGGGACCTCAAAAAATCAAACGACAACCTCGTCGTCCATGGAAAACTAATCATCAACCTGTCGACCAACCTCACCGCGACGACCCAGAACCAGAACGGCCTCCAACGTCAGCAGGCACAGTCTTCTACCTCAAGTGGTCTTGTGCCGCAGGTTGCGGCTTCATCCTCCACCCCGCAACCTGGCTCCAGCCTTCTGGATACACCTGCCGCTGCTTCTAGCTCTTCGCTCAACAACCGGTCTTCCGCAATTCAACCCCCGCCTGGAGCTCCCAACGGCTCTGCGCCTCCTGGTGCTAACGCTCCTTCCCGCGCCAACTTGAGTTCATTCGAGGACAGTCAAGGTCGACTACCTGCAGGGTGGGAACGGCGAGAGGATAACTTAGGACGGACATACTACGTGGACCACAACACGCGCACCACAACCTGGTCGCGACCTTCCGCCAACTACAACGAACAGACCCAACGCAATCAGCGTGAAGCGAACATGCAGCTGGAACGTCGCGCTCACCAGAGTCGAATGCTACCCGAGGACCGTACCGGTGCCAACTCCCCCAACCCGTCTGATAGCCAACAGCCTTCCACGCCGCCACCTGGTGCCGCCGTCCCCTCCGCTGCCGCACCCGCTGCTGGTGCTGCCGGCGGTGCAGGCTCTCATGCCAACGCGGTTTCCATGATGGCTACAGGAGCGACCACTGCGGGCACCGGAGAGCTTCCCCCAGGATGGGAACAACGGCATACACCCGAAGGACGAGCATACTTTGTTGATCATAATACACGAACCACGACCTGGGTTGATCCTCGCCGACAGCAGTACATCCGCATGTACGGCCAGAACCAGAACCAGGGTGGAAACAACACCACGATCCAGCAACAGCCTGTCTCCCAGCTCGGACCTTTGCCCAGCGGCTGGGAAATGCGCCTCACCAATACTGCTCGGGTGTACTTTGTGGATCACAATACCAAGACAACTACTTGGGATGATCCCCGTTTGCCTTCGTCGCTTGATCAGGGTGTTCCGCAGTACAAGCGTGACTTCCGTCGCAAGTTGATCTACTTCCGCTCTCAGCCTGCCCTGCGGATTATGTCTGGACAGTGCCACGTCAAGGTCCGCCGTAATAACATTTTCGAGGACTCGTATGCCGAGATTATGCGCCAGAGTGCTTCCGACCTGAAGAAGCGTCTGATGATCAAGTTTGACGGTGAAGATGGTCTCGACTACGGTGGTCTTTCTCGGTATGTCAATTATCTGCATTCCCTTGGTTGTGTGACTTCTAACTCTTTCACAGTGAATTCTTCTTCCTCCTTTCCCACGAAATGTTCAATCCCTTCTACTGTCTCTTCGAATACTCCGCTCACGACAACTACACCCTGCAAATTAATCCTCACTCTGGCGTCAACCCTGAGCATTTGAACTACTTCAAGTTCATCGGCCGAGTAGTCGGTCTCGCGATTTTCCACCGTCGTTTCCTGGATTCTTTCTTCATCGGCGCTTTCTACAAGATGATGTTGCGGAAGAAGGTGACTCTCCAAGACATGGAGGGTGTCGATGAGGATTTGCATCGCAACTTGGCGTGGACCTTGTAAGCTTTACTGCCTTTCACATTTGACGCTTGACATGGTACTGACTTTTGGCGCAGGGATAATGATATTGAGGGAATTGTTGAGCTCACTTTCTCCGTGGATGATGAGAAGTTCGGCGAGCGTCGCACTATTGATTTGATACCCGGTGGTCGGGACATTCCCGTCACCAACGAGAACAAGCCGCAGTACATCGAGCTGGTGACAGAGTGGAAGATCATGAAGCGGGTCGAGGAGCAATTCAACGCATTCATGTCCGGATTCAACGAGTTGATCCCGGCTGACCTTGTGAACGTCTTCGACGAGCGTGAACTGGAGCTGCTAATTGGTGGTATCGCCGATATCGATGTCGACGACTGGAAGAAGCACACCGACTACCGTGGTTACCAGGAGCAGGACGAGGTCATTCAGAACTTCTGGAAGATTGTCCGCAGCTGGGACGCCGAGCAGAAGTCGCGTCTCCTTCAGTTCACGACTGGTACCTCGCGTATCCCCGTCAACGGCTTCAAGGATCTGCAGGGTTCGGATGGACCCAGACGGTTCACCATTGAGAAGTCGGGTGACCCTGCGGCTCTGCCGAAGTCGCACACTTGCTTCAACCGTCTGGATCTGCCCCCGTACAAGACCCATGACGCCTTGGAGCACAAGATGTCCATCGCCGTGGAGGAGACACTCGGATTCGGACAGGAATAGAGAGATGATACCCTACCCCCCAACCTGCAACTACGTTCTGCGCCGCTGTACAATGCAATGCAGATAAATTCTTTTCCGGGCTTCTTCCTCGTCTTGCATCCCTGCCTAGCTCTAGTAACTCTCTTCTTTCTTCCTTCCAATACCCAACCCCTCCAATTCAACTCTCGCTCACCACCACCAATCTTGGTCTCATCCTCTCATCCTTATCCATCATACGCGATTCCTCATTCTCTTCTCATTCTCATTCTCACCTCTCCATCTCGCGTCTGTTCATCCTCAATTCCAAATATTCCACCCACCGTCCTTCCAATCGTTGCTCCTCCTACCTTTCTCCGCCTACCACTCCTGCCCACACCGCACCGTCCGTTAGCGGCAGTGACTGGCGAGGCTATGATGCATGCTCTGCTCGTCATTACTCTTCGCTTTGGCTTGTTGCGTGCTTGCTTTTCGCTCGCACCAGATTCTCTTCTCTTTTCTTTTCCTTTCCAAATGCTTATTGCGTGCTAGGTGGGTGCTGTGTGTTTAAGTTTAGTGCTAGTTTAGTGCTAGTTGAATAGTTCCGCCTGGTTTTGTTTTTGTTACTCCAGTTTCTCTTCTTTGCGCAAGTTGTTCTCTGTCTGTCTGTACATAGGTCTGAGTTTGAGCTGGTTGGGTGTGTTTCGTTTCTTTCTTCTTTGTATCATCCTCAACTGTGATGTGCACGTACTGCTGAATTATGCCCGTGGATAGCGGGGTTTTTGTAGCTTACTTTCCTAGTCGTCTCTTTCCTTGTCATGTATTGACTTTAGATCTTTCCTATATTCTATTGGGAGTATCTGCTTTGAGCCTTGTAGGGCCGTTGTAGCGTGGTCAGCCTTACGGAGTTCGCGGAAGGAATAGTCTTTTTCATTGGCATTTGCTGCATTTTGCGGGCTTCTTAAGTTCTTCCGCTTTTCGCGATGCGCTAGTGTCGGGCGTTCTTTCTGTGGGACAGTTCTGTATGGTTCGTTTGCTAGTGAGGGCCCGTTTTGGTTTCTGTGGTCGACGTCAGAGGTATTGTTGGTATCGATTAGAAGATATCTGCCTAAGTCAAGATTGAGATAGCCCTAGTTCTAGGCTGTCCTCCAGGGCTTCGAATGGATAGGCGTTTGTTTGAGGCTGGGGTGTTTAAGCAGGGGATTTCTAGTGTGTGATGTTTCCAGGGCTGGGAAAGGTCTATGTAAACGGGAATGATGAAGAACAGGAACGGCTTCATAGCGACTAGCTATGAAAAAGGTCCCTTGACTCCTCCTAACTTGAAACCATAGGTAGCATTCAAGTCTACATGTAAGTTGACGCAACTACCATCACTCCCCATATAGTTACTGACAGGTATCTTGTCGGATAAAATGATTTAAGACCATCAATTGCACTACTACATATCAAACAGTCATTGAATATAGGCCTCGGTCTCCGAGTCGGGTCATTCCTCACTCTCGGGCTCAAAGATCAACCCAATCTCACGGTTCTCGTTCTTTTCTTCCTCGCTTAGGGGTTTCTTCTTCGAAAGAACTTCGTGCATGCGAACACACCAGTGCTTTTGTAGGAATGTTTCAAATGGTAGAGACAGTCTCTGGTAGTCGGAAATGAAGTCTCAAACAAGGCATTTCAGTTCTTGAATCGAATCTCTCTCTTCTTCGTGAACTTCCCTGGCTTCTTCTGGGTCGAAGGGCTGGAATAAAAGTGTCTCCGAGTCTATAGATTCAGGATGGGCGCACGTATCGGTGAGTCCTAGGGCCCTGGATGCAACGAATCGAAGTACCTCTTGAACGACCTTTCTCTCAAAAGTTTCAGGGATTTTTGATCGCAGCGTTGCAAACACATTTGCCTTGACGGTGATGGCCCTTCTTCTAATGAAGTCAACATCACGATCTGTATCGATAAGCCTACCAAGAAACGTCGTGAGGGGAGTGCATCCACCGGAGGAGCAATGACAGTCACATGAATCGTGAGAGTCGGCCAAAAATATCGAATGCACCACGGCCTCGTAGCTCGACGTAAGTTGAGAACTTGACTCAGCCCACTCAGCTATGGACCAGCCGAGGGTGGCGCCCAGAAGATGCAGCGCCAAGAAGTCGTATATGATGGGACAGAGAGCAGTATCAGTACCTTTGTCAATGAGCCACGACGCCATCTCAAGGTGACCGAAAGGCGTTGTTCTTGAATGATCAGTGGAGTATCTGAGTTTTATCAGAGCAGTTAGGCCCTGGTCATCCGTGTCATCCACGTCTTGAAACCCGATATCCCAAAACTGATCTGCAAGCTCTGTATCAAGAGCTGCAGCTCCATAAACGAGGCATCCCTGCTTACAATCAACATCGCCGGTCTCAATGCCGTTGTCTTTCAAGAGCCCATGAACCTGGGCGGCCTTGTACCCCAACAGAGTATCTGGTCGAACTTTGAGCGGTAAAATCGTCTCCCGGGGTAAATGGGTCATTGCAACAGCCCATAATTTCTTCGCCTTTCGGCCAGTTCTTGAATAATGTCTCCCTGACGTCCGAATTATGACAGGCTGCCAGATCAGGAACGCATTGTTCGGGATCCAGATTCCCAGTATCCTGGAGAAGCTTGACGGAGGCGTAGGAGCCTGATCACAGGGCGCTCCACATAGTCCTTCCATCAGCCTCATACCCTGCTTGAAGGAGCGTTGCAAGCCCTTCTAGCCACACAGTGTAGAGCTCAAGTTCTGCTCGAAAATCGACACCTCTTTTTAGAAGTCTCTCCAACTTGGGTTGGGAGCGCAGAACAAGAGGAACTATAGGCTCTGGTATATCAAAGTCTGTGATATCTGGGTTTCGAAGAAGTCAGGAAGCAGAAACTCAAACTCAGAGAACAAGAACCCACCGTAGAACTCGACACAAGTTAAATTTTGGGATAGTACCTCCGCACCACGAGCTACTCCATAAATCCCCTTGTAATATTCACGAGAACCAGGCCACCAGGGGCCTGGGTTTTGGATGCGCAAAACCCAGCCTGAATTGAAAAACTCCGAGCATGTGTTGATTAACTCCTGCTGCGATGAGACCCAGCTTTGGCCCTCACCACAGAAAGGAAACCGGGTTATTCGACGGAGGAGAACGTGTCCTGGACAGGTGCCATCCGAGGTTGGTTCATCTGTAGATACACCCGCCAGGATGAGGCTTTGCAGTGCGCGCCAAGAAGAAATGTCCGACTTTGAAAGCCAGAGCCTCCCAGCTACTGCCTATTTCATGCGAGAGGAACTACCACAACCTAAACGAAGAGCCCAAACAACGAGGACAATCATAATATATGGGGTAGATTAGGTCAAAGCTGACATGCAGGAGAGTCTCTCCAGTGGCTAGCTTGTCCACAGGGAGAGAATTGAACATCTATGTGTTAAGGAAACTCGAATCTTGGTGGAGATACTAGACAAGGTAAGAAGGTATAAGAGAGCGCGTCCGTCACTGGGGTCTAAAGACCGCCAGGAGGGTGCATCTGTCAGGATGATCTCTTATCGCGAAAATCACCGGCCACTGAATTGTAGAAGGAAGGAAAAGGAACGAAGGGAGTAGAAAAATCTTGGAGTCTAGGGGGCCTAGGCATGGGTCATATGATATGATATCTATGGCAAACAGAATGGAGCGGCGGGAGATACCATACTGAATTCGAGCCCTCCAAGTCTTCCAGTTTCCTGATCCCTTTTGAAAGTCAATCGACTTGGATCAATAGATCACATTGATAGGTCGTGCGTCAATCGGGTTTTCAGATATCTTATCCGCTACACGTTCTATGAGCCGGTCCTCAAAATTTGCCTTCAACGTGGTACAGCTCGACCATACCATGTGTACCAATTGGAAAATTGGGAATTTATGATGGTTTTGTCTTCATAACTAAACTATCAGAGCTACCATACAAGAAATCTGCTCCATATGACTTCGCACCTTGCAATGTTGAATTTCGTGCCCTCATTCAGACACTTCCGCAAACAAATTCCCAAGTCTCCACGGAAAGCAATGCAAAACGAAGAATCTCTATTCTTTGTAGGTTCAAAGCGTGATTTAAAAATATCTTGAGCCATCACAGTTGATTGCAATGCTCAGGCTGAGCCTGTGCGACAACTATTCTCTTGTTGATTCACGGCTAAGAATGTACTGCTGGCGCTCGGCAGCCCACTCGGGAAGAACGACCGACAAAGGCAAGGGCTCACCTTGAGTGCCTTGGCAGATATCTGGATCCAACGATCTAATCCTGGTTTCTCGAGGAAGCCGTAGCCTGTTCTCGTCAGGTAGGCCTTCTGTCTCGAGCCTATCCAATTCACTCAGAATCTCCGGGGTTGCCTCCTGGCGCATCAAGACCCAAAAATCAGCGTCTGATAGAGTCCAGAGTGCTTCTTCCTTAACGCGCCCGGATTCAACCAACTCTTTGATAACTCGGCCTGTCCTCTTGTAAATATTTGCATGCGATCGATTTGACCAGACGTCTCGATCGGTGGCCAGGTACGCGCGAGCAAGAGCTAATGCGAGCTGGGGGTTATCCAAGACAAGTAGACGATTGGAAGAGGTGGGATCTGGAGCTGCCTTCAATGAATCAAAGACCTGGTGAATCTTCTTCAGACTGAATTTTCCAAAAGCGAGTGAGTCACGGAGCGAGTAGTCCAGCCGGTCGGCACACAAATGAGGCGACGGCTGTTCTACCAACGGGAATAGTTCCTCGTCAAGGGCTTTGAGATCTCCAAAGTCATGTCGAGTGAGAATCTGAGGTAGTTGAGTAGTCTTCAGATATCGAGACTTGTGGACCTCGTGGTAACTGTCTTCTCCGGGCTGAGACAACGCGTAATCGACAACATGACTGAGACTAGTATGGCTGATATCATGCAGAAGGGCAGCCACCTGCTCCTCAACACTTGCGCCGACCTTTCGTACGAGCAAGAATGCACCGACTGAGTGCTCGAAGCGGGTGACTTTGGGGCCAAAGCCAAGGAGACCTGTTACTCCATGTTGACAGACGCCTTTTAGACGCGACAGCTCTGGGCTTTGGAGGAGTTCTATGAGCACGGGCTCGGCTATGACATGCTCTCCGTAAAGCTCATCTCTGATAATGATTTTGTTTTTGTCGACCGTCTCGATGGTTTGGAAGACACCGGTTTGTACCTGTGACGCCATAGCGGAGCGGATGTAGAGAGTCGATAACACCCTCGGGCGCGGGGAAACGAGTTCAAACTGGCGCCAAATCGCAACGATCAGTCACCGAAACAGAATCAGTCAAGGATTCGATATTTGGAGTTGAGGAGGGAAGAATCTAAAATCAAGCTTGACTTTGAAGATATAGACGTCGGGTGAGAAGCAAGCAAGGGCTTGGTTGGGGCAGTTCGCTCTCCTGTTTGGGATTTGACAAAAGTGGCAATGATCGACGTGCGTCAAGTGGCGTCTAGGCAGAAGGGTCGTATCTAGAAGGCAGAAGTCATCACTAAGAGAAACTAAGCTGAAAAGAAAGAACCTGTCGGAAGGGGAGTCAGGAGCTTACCTACTGCCTTAGGGGAAAACCAACCTAAGGACAATCAAGGTTGGGGAATTTACCTGAAATCTCAGTGATATATTCCTGCAATATTCCGGCACTCTTTGCCTGCCTGAGCCGGAGGAAGTCTACCACGGACGTACCAGAACCTACCACAATTCCTAGAAACAGCGAATTGATCTCCGAGAATCAATAATTTTCTAGAAGGCAGGAAGGACTCTTCCGGTTGTTAAATGTAATATAGCAAACGGCGAGCACTAACAACCAGCAAACGAGCAAGAGGGAGGACATCAAAGATGTATCAAAGTACATACACGGGTTTCAGTCCCAACAGTTGGTCTGATAAACCTCACATCTCTTCATTAGAATTTGTGGGATCACAATATAAATTAATACTAATCGAAAAAAAGAAACTCAAAGACACCAAAACACCGAGTCTCAAATCAAGATCTTAGAATTCGCTAAACGCACTAAAATGGTATCATGTAATGCTCATAATCTTCTTCAACTCTTGAAGTGAAAGGGGCTTGATCAAATAGTCGTTAATCCCTGCTGCGAGGGCTTGTTGTTGCATAGCGTCCGAGGCGACACCAGTGATGGCCATGATGCAAGAAGGTTTGAGGCCGTTTTCTTTCTCATGTTGGCGGATCTTGCTCGTGGAAACTAGGCCGTCCATGACAGGCATTGAGATATCTAAAATATGGCGTCAGCTGGAGCCCGGGGATCTGAGGTTAGGGTGATGAGGATTGACTAACCCATGAGAACAAAGTCGAATCGCCGTTCCGAGGCTTTGTACTTCTCTAGGGCAATTAGGCCATTCGAGGCTGTATCGTAGCTGCAGCCGATTTTGCGCATGAAGGTGGCCAGGATCTTGAGGTTGATGTTGTTGTCATCGACGACGAGAACGTGGATATCCTGCGGCTCGTGAGATGGGCTAATCGGAAGGGCGTGGGAGGGCGCGAGATTGCGACGTGCCACTGGAGAGACCGGCATCGCCATGGGGAAATTGTCGCGGGTCGGAGAAGGTTGAGCTTCAGGACGGGAAAGCAGAGGTCCGAGGAGTATTGAAGTCGGAGGTGTGGCGGTTGGCGCAGACTCAAGGCGGGAAGGGCCCAAGTCGAGGATCTTTTGAATAGCGCTTTGAATCTTCTGCGGTCCAAATCTATTTTCGTTTTGTCAGTAACTCCAGAAATCACCGTGGGGGGATAATAACATACGGCTGCGAGACCCAAACAAAATTCGGCGCGAGGAAAGTTTCGAAGAAGGAAGCGTTGCTTCCCAACACAATGAAGAACCTGAAACCATGCATCGACGCCAGTTGATCCAGTGATTCAAGACCTTCTGCTTCCTTTCTCAAAACCGCCTCCTCAATCACTGCAATATCTCCCTTTCCCTTGCCGAGAGACTCCGCCAAAGACACAGTCCAACCGAAATGGGCCATGAATACATCGGCAAGTGTGCTCTGTATGGATAATTTTCTCTTTGACTCAACACTCAGCATTCCAGTTGGCGTTTCTTGCAAATCCGGATATCCATTGAATGCGACCAAGCACGCCCGTAACGGTGGCCCTGAGCCGCCTTGGGCCCTCAAAGGGGATGGAGAGGATGCTGGGCTTGCTTCTGGGCTGTCAACAAGATCCACTGGAATGTAGACGTCGACTTGTGTTCCGATACCAACCTCACTCCTAACATTGACATGACCATTGAACGAAGCGACTAGTTGACGAACGATGCTGAGGCCCAGCCCAACTCCCTCAGAAAGGGAATCTTCTTGAGAAAATGGAGAGAATAGCTTGTGTCGAAGGAAGTCGGGCGCAATACCGCTGCCGGTGTCGGTGACTGACAGATGTGCAATTGGCGTACGCGGCTCGATCGGGTTTCTCATCCTTGACAAAGATACTTCGACAAATCCTGACTTTGTCCATTTGATGGCATTGCCAAGAAGGTTCATCACGATTCTCCGCCATGCCCCAGGCAAGGATCGAATGAGCCAAGAATTGCGCTGCTCAATCCGGACAACCACGGACATCTCTGTCGGGTTGTCGTGGGGGAATGGATTTGTCCGTGTACGATCGGGCGAAGAGGTCTGCACTGTCTGGGAGACAATTTCGGAGGCGTTTTGTCCCGTATACAAAATGTCGGCAACCTCTTCTACTAACTGTCCAAGATGGAAGTCGGAGACCAGACTGGACTCTTCACTTTTGCTCTTCTTCTTTCGAGACATCTTGACTTGAGTCAGGTTGTTGATCTTGCAGAATTCAAGCCTGTGAATTGATTAGCACCTTATTGGGAAACATGCTTTGGGACATACTCACAAATGATCAGTGGTGTCCAACAAAGTCAACCCAGATGCTTCGATCATCTTGAGCATTTCCTCCTGCGCGGGCTCTAGGGAAGTTGCCTGCAAGAGTTCCGCACTAGCCAAAATTCCATGGAGCGGCGATCGAAGCTCATGACTGATCGAAGATATGAAGTCAAATTTGGACTTCTCGGTTGTCGCCCAATGCGCTCGAGAAACTTCAGAGACTATAGAATCACCGAAGATCTTGAAGTAGTGAAGTTCCTCAATGCCAAGAGCTCGGTGGTTGTCTTGCGTCCAAACAAGGGTACCTGCCATCCAACGGGATTTATTGTGATCCCATAGTGGGAAAAACAGAACCGAATTAGCGGCAGGTAGGATTTGGCTGAGCTGTCGCGTGGCCATCTGCATCAGTTTATTCTGGGTCTCCGAATCATTCAGGCCGGACTCGTAAGACAAGTAATCGTCGCTGTCCACAGAGTCGTCCAGGTTGAAGATTTGACCCTGTGGAAAGGAAGTGACCAGCAAGTTGAGAAGGTCCTCACGGAACGTGATATCGGCCTTGGAATCGAGTGTCTCGCCTTTTCGTACTTTCAAAGACTTGCTTAACACATCGCAACACAACTCCGATGTCTTTGATGATGTTGGAGAACGGCCTAGGGGACTAGGATATGGTGCAATGGGAAACTCAGGAACAGCGGTCTTGGGCAAGGGCTCCCAGCCAGTTTGATCGTCAGCAGGCAAACTACTTAAATGTCAGCAAAATCTTCAAGAAGGTCAATGAAGAGATGGTGACTACTCACAATGAAGGGTTGGTACGGGCAGCATCGAGGAAAACTACGCCGTCAAGGTCCATTGACTTCCTAAGCAAGACACTGGCCCTCTGGAAGATGCGTTCGATACGTTCTCCCAACGATGTACTTTCCGCCAGAGAAAGTTGAGAGGCATTGTTTGATACCTCGTCTAGCGGCTGAGAACCGGATTTGAGAACCTCATCAATGGACTTCTCTTCTCCGGGGGAGGAACGACGGTCGGAATTGAGAGATGACGGCTCGGTTGACCCCGACGCAGGGCCAGCAAAGAACATCGGAGATGGTTGTTCCGAGAGGCTGGTGGAGGAAGACGTCACGAAGCCGAACTGCTGGTCGAATGTGGCTTCCATAGGGCTCGGGCTATCATCTGGCGGCGAGGTATTGACGTTGGATGCGACGGCCATTGCTTCGAGTCGGTGATCATTCGACACTTCGCGCGGGTCAAAGTCTGCATGGTCTTTCACAAAATTCGTTAATCCCTTGATCAGACGCTCGGATCGACGGTGACAGTGGACTATGCGAACATGCTCTAAATGCCGAGCCACAGCATCTGCAACCTCTCTCAATGTGTTCACTTCATCTTCGCTGAATATCGTCCGAGGCTTATCATCAATCACACAGTATGATCCCAGGACGAAACCGGAGGGACTATACAGCGGTACCTCCGCATAGAATCGCATATATGGCCATGCTCGCACGTACGGTCGGTCTTTGAAAATTTCCTCTTGCTTAAGATCTCGGATAATATAGCGGGTACGATTGGCGGTCATGTTGTCGTTATCGATGGCGTAAGACATGTCTCGTCCCGTGAAAAGACTGATTGCATGTGGGCATATCCCCCATATCAAGTCTAAACTTCGCGTTCCAAGGTAGATTCCGTCATTGGGCAGATGCTTGTCTTTATCTCGTAGAGACATCGATCCTGTAGCTTCCGCGATGATGTGTTGATTACCGCCGTCGATTATGGAGACAAACGACCGATTGCACGCTAAACGATGTACTCCCAGTTGCGCCAGTGCCGTCAAAGTAATATCGGTAGAAAGATTGCCGACCGACTGCTGTTCGTCTCCCCGCGGGGAATTTTGAGCACACTCGAATCCATCATCATCATCATCATCATCGTTGGTCGGGGTCGATAGTGTCAATGGGCGATCTAAGGCACAGTAGTACCTACCCGGCAGCGGTCAGCGAATAATAAACCGGCGGGGAGATCAACATCAATAAACCCCTCTCACCTGGATAATTCCCGGATTCTCTCGCGCTCAGTACTACATGTGGACGGATGAAAGGCGAGAGAGCCCGGCTGATCCATGACTTGGAGTCCCATGCATTCCTACAAAAAGAGGGTGGTGTATATTTTTGATGTGTGGAGTGACACTGCGGAGTGAGATGGAATGTTTGAAGGGTATACAAAAAGAAGGGGAGATAAATTCCCGGAGAAACGTGCCACAAGCGAGTCGACTTGTCAAAAACGCCCAAAAACCTGCTTTCCGTCGCGGGCCCCCACTGACGCTATGCTATTGGCGGAATGGGTGGAAACTATACTGTACAAGGCCTCGGCTAGATCAGCCGATTTGGACGTTGGGATCCGTTGCGGTCCAGGCGCCGCCCAACTATGCGTGGTCACCGTGGTGAGAAGAGTCTCGGTGGTTCTATGACTGTTCTGATCATTTCTTGATAGCGTTTAGCCTGTGATCAGAACGGAGATGTCGTCCGAGTCTACTAGAGGCTTTCCAGCCCAAGTTCTAAACTGTTGAAAGGCTCTTATAGGTCCTCGTTCTGTTCTTCATTCTCTTGGCAATTCCAAACTAAGGCAATGGAGAAAACGCTAGAAGCAAATCTCACGGTTTGATAGGCTTGGTTTGTTTACCCCTCCCTCTACTGCTTGAAACCTACCCTAGCAGTGCATGAGCGGGTACCAGGGGACGGTTTCGATATTCTTTGATGCGTGACATAATAACAAAGTTGAGGCTTGGATGGAGTAGAGATCTGAGCAACCCTGAACAGATCATATACATAGCTCTATAAAATTGTCAAGTTGTGGTGGTTCATATACCATTTTCATCCGTACTAATTAAAGTATGGCGTGCTTTGCAAACGCAATTACTGAATCCCACAAAGCCCATAAAGCGAACCTCGGCCCTAACTAAGAAGATGCGGGGAAGATGAAAAAGCTTTATTTTCGCGCCAAATCCCCCTAGTCTATCATGCACCAACTCTATGGATCCAGAATTCAGAATCCGCAAGCGCATCCCGAAGTCGTGTAGGCGCTGCCACCGACGTAAACAGAAATGTGTCGGGTCCCCCACGTGCTCAAACTGTGAATCAGCCAATCAACCCTGTTCGCGGTCCGAAAGCGCGCCGTCATGGCACCATGGTATGTCGAAAGGGGCGCTTGTCCATAGGATCGAGATTCTAGAAGCCCAGCTGGCCACTGCGTTGGAGGGAACAGTACCTGACACTGGAGAGGAACCCCGGTGCGTTCCTACAGCGCCCCAACAAAAGAGCCCACAAGCCTCCATCGCGAGAAAGGCACATCTCAAGGGTGTGGTTCGCTTTCTTACACTGGGTCACGATGGAAATGGCGAACCGGCATATCTGGGACCATCGTCAGGGCTTTCTATGGCTGAGAATGTCAGTCGAATTGTCCATAACTCGGTCGGGTCTAGGCTATTGCCAATCATTGGCAACAACCAACAACCAGAAGCACTGCAAGAGACCGTGCAGGCCAAGGCCGCGCCACCAGACGATGCAATAGGGTCCCAAATTCTCGATGCCTATTTCCTGAATATGCATGTGAGACTCCCGTTTCTCGATCGTACGGAGATCCTGAAATTGCATGCGAAGAGGCATGAATCGCCTAATAATACGCCCGAGGCGCAATTTGGACGATTCAAATTATTCATGGTTTATGCGATCGGAAGCGCAATTCGTCAAACGATAGACGGTGATAACTCAACTTTGCCGAATCAATTTCTTCTGACTGCGTTGGATTTTGATCCTACTCTAAGAGAGTCAATCTCTATCGCTAGTATTGAGGCAATGTTGCTACTTGTTTTATACAATCTACGAACCACCTCCAACTCAAGTGTTTGGTATATGATTGGTCTGGCTATGAGAACCTGCTTGGACTTCGGGTTTCATAGAGAAACAAGCTATCGAAGACTATCACAACACGAGACAGAATTGCGACGACGTCTTTTCTGGAGTGTTTATATTATCGAGAGATATACAGCGTGGTCTCTGGGCAGACCATTCAGCGTTGCAGAAGAGGAAATCGATGCGGCCCCTCCTTCCAATATCGATGATTCCATCACCAATGACACCGCGATTGAAAGGATCCTACAAAACCGGGCGGTTGGCCGTGGGAGGCCGCACAAGGGAACGCTTGGAAGATTTATCGCTTCGATTCAGTTGCAAAGGATCGTGTCTCGGATTCACACGCGCATCTACCGCGTTGACGCACAGATTTCTGCCCTTACCTCAGAGATTCATCCCTTGCTGTCATCACTGCAAGAATTCAAAGCCACGTTAGCAGCGCTTGATGTGGACGAAGGCGACTTTCTGCATATGCATTGGAACAACTCGATTCGAATTCTACTTCAGCCGTTCCTCAGTTTCTTGCATCCACAAGATAGCTTGATAGGAACCTGTCTCTTTGCATCGGGCCAAATGTGTCAGTTCTTCAAGAAGCTTAGGCAGCGGGAGACATCTTCTGGATCTTCCTTCCTACTCGTGAACTCGGTTTTCATGGCTGGCATCACAATGTGGTAGGTCGCCCTAAAATGGGTTGAGAGACGACGATTGAAAGCTAATATGATAAAAGCTATTGTTTATTCCGGTCTCCAGGTTTGTGGACACCCGCGGTATCCAACGATTTACGTGCCTGCTCTTCGGCGCTATTTCTCATGGCAGAGCATAATCCGCGTCTGAAAACATACCGCGATGGACTCGAGACAATCATTAACCGAGCAATGGATTACGTTCAAGAGGCCTCTGTACCACGACAAGCAAACCAAGGCGGATTGCCCACACCAAGAACAGACCACGGACTGATGCCAGAGACAGCCATTTCTACGGAACCACTTCCAGGACCAGGCCCTCAGACGCAGCCATTGCAAGATAATACTCTCCCTGAGACAACTACCCAGCGGTTTGACTCGATCAACGCAGACATGTTCTCGGATCTTCACGAAATTCTCAACTTACAAGGCGATATGTGCGGCAATGATATGGATGGCGTCCTTCCTTTTCATGGCATCTTCACAGAGGATTTCTGGGCTGCTGATGCATTTAATCTGCCTACCTTTGATGGTTTTGGATGGCGGTCTTGATCTACCTGGCTTGGCGAAGCAAATTCTAATCAAAATGGTAGTCATAAAAGACACGAATTACACTTTTACAGATATCTTGTCCCAAAAATTTGAATAATTCAAGCTATATCATCACGGTAGTTCTCGATTCCCTACATTCATATCGAAGACTCCTATAACTGATTTGTATTGTCTACAAATGGCAAGGAGCAAGGTCCTCCACGATACCCAAGTCCTCCCGACGCGACTTGCTCTCAGGATCAAAGTAAGGAACTTCGCCAACACCGACCGCTCGGTTTCCACTGCGTGGTCCAAAGCCTTCGTGGTCGCCTGTTGCGGTGTGGAAGACACTGCGGTTGTCCCAAATAGCTAGTGGCCGTTAGCTGAAATCCATTTGAGATAGAGACTTGTACTTACCTATGTCGTTAGGCGAGTTCCACTTGAAGCGGACCTGGAGATCGTGGCCATAAGTGATAAGGTCATGGAACCACTGCAGCATATTTGCGCTCTCTCGTCGGTTGAGACCATTAATGCAAGAGGGGAACGAGCCTAGTAAGTGGATCAGCGTCCGGGCTTCGTTGTGTGAAGACGTGAATATTTACCAATTGGGAAAATGGATTTCCAGCCTGTAATAGGGTTGGTTCGCACAACCTGCATTTCCATCAGTCGAGCAACTCCGAAGTAAAAAATCAGATAAACTCACAGGGTGAACTGCATAAAGGTCCCCACCAACATTCTTAGGCGATCCTCTCTCTTTATCATAGATCTGGAATTTACCAGACTGAGCCATGCGCCTGAAACCCTCGCCGTCGTGAGTCGCAGTCAAAGTTTCCAGGAACTTCTGATAAGGCTTGCTGATTCGATCGTAGACCTCGTATCCCGATGCCCAAAGGGTGTCACCGCCAGTCTTCGGCAACTGTACTAGCCGCAGCGACGAGAAGTCAGCCGGGGCTGGCTCGAATGAAATATCGCTGTGCCAAACAGCTGCCATCTTGGTGTAGTTGGATCCTTTGTACAACTTCTTGCGTCCTTCGGAGTTGATGGTGCTGATCGCAGGGTCTGGGTCACCGAACTCGCGAGCATCATTGGTAACTGGGTGGATGTGCAGGCCATGGTCTGATGGGCGACCAGTCAATTGACCCATGCGGAGGACCAATTCCTTTTGGAGATCATTGGTAAGGTTGTCTTGAGCGCGGAAGAAGACAACACCTCGCTCAGCGACTGTTAGATTTTTGTTTCCAGTTATTAGCTGTCTTGTTATCAGGGGGTTGAGTGCTCCATACTCATGATGGCCAAATCACGAATGCGCTTGTCGGCATCTGGAGCGCGCAGGATGTCATCGACAATGTTGCAGCTCCCTTTGGTAAACTCGTTTCCGATGACCGGAGTTACCATCACCGGATCAAATTGATCCAGTGAGCCTGTTGAGTGTTGACGTGCCGGAGGATGCATCGTGACTGGTCAATGTGTTGTCGGATAAAAGTGCTCTGGAGTATCACTCTAAATATATCAATTGGAAAGGACACCGAAGAAGTTGAATCTCGAGCCAAACTTGATGTCGTGAGTTGACCTTCATATTGCGAATCTGATGGCTTTTTATTATCTTGAAGCGCAAAGAGAAAGGTAGTGGATCGTGATGGTTGTCTCCCTTCGGGCTTTCGGCGTTACGCAGAAGTGCTGGGCGAATTGCTCCACATCAGAGAAGATCAGCTCGAAGGACTCATGAGAACATATTCCCTTTGTGTGTCATTGCCGCCGAGGTATGCTCTTGAATTGATGCGGGAGACTCTCCTATGCCTTTGTAGACGAATGGATTGAACGGCCTGCGGATCCCCAGAATCATGTGTTCAATTGACTTCCCCAGGAAAATGTCTATTATTCCATCCTCAAACTCATATTGAGCCAAGCGGCGCGGGAAATCGGCGATAGCAGAAATTTTGACTGTGAGCAAGCTTAACGCCGATGGGCCGAAACGCCATCCCCGCCGCAGTGCGGGTCAATAGACTTTCAATCAACCAATGGTAACTATCATAATCTAAATCCAAGCTTGGAGCTTCATAGCTTCATCAACTTCCCCGCAAAATCCACACCAACTCTCGCTAAGATCGGTTGTGTTGGCGAAGAGCACGTATTGCAACATAACCGCTTTGTCTTTCACCATCTTGGCCTTGAGTATAGCAAGCGATGTCCCCTATATTTACCTGTCGAGGACCATATCTCATCTTTCTGAATGAATCAAACTCTTTTGTGATTTTTGACTCTTGATTTCATTATGACCACAGTAGAGGACTCAAAGATCTCGGAGGCTCAGGTTGAGCCTGTCGAGTCTCAGAAGCCGATGTTGAACAACATCGACGATGACCCAGTCTACTCTTATCGGGAGCAGCGCAAGATTATTCGTCGCATCGATGCTCGTCTGATAGTGATGCTTGGATTTCTCCACACGGTTTCTCTTATCGACCGGGGAAACCTGGGTACTGCATCTGTGGCTGGAATGGAAAAGGAGCTGAAGCTCAGGGGAACGCAATATGTAGGCTTGCTGGGTACAGTTCCACTCGAGGGCGAGACTAACATCATTCTAGAGCACAATCGCGGTAGCCTTTTTCCCTCCTTACATCTGTTTGCAGATATTCGGCCCCATTCTAGTTCGTAAGATCGGTCCAACCCGGTATCTCTCGGGAGTTTGTTTTCTGTGGGGAGTTGTCATGGTAAGTCCTGTCTGACAGTATCCACTTTAAAATCCGGGGCACTCTACTAACAGATTTAGCTATCTGCGGGCTTTATCAAGAAATGGACTGAAATGGTAGGTATCCGCGTGATCATTGGTGCTCTGGAGGCAGGCTTCTTCCCTGCGGCGGTATACTTGATATCCACTTGGTACACAAGATATGACATTCAGAAGCGATATGCCATTTTCTACCTTCTTGGATGTGTGGCTTCAGCCTTTACCGGAATCCTGTCCTATGGTATCACCTTCATGGTAAGTAGTGAGCTCATAAATCACCGCGGAACGAGCTGACATGTTACAGCACGGACTTGGAGGCCTCACTGCGTGGCGTTGGATCTATGTTATCCAGGGACTTCTTACCTGTGTCGTGGCCATCATTGGCTATTTCGTTCTCATCGACTTCCCTGATCGCATGAAAAACAACAAGCAAAAGTTCTTGTCAGAGGGCGAATACGAATTCATCATCCGACGAATCACCAAGGATCGAGCCGATGTTACCATTGAACCCTTCAACCTAAAGAAATACCTCAGTGCTGGGCTGGACATAAACATTTGGGCTTTCGGCTTCATCTATTATTCTACCACTACCACTGCCTACGCCATATCCTACTTCTTGCCAATTATTTATCGCCAGGGAATGGGTTTCTCCATGGGGGCTTCGCTGTGTTTGTTTGCGCCTCCCTATGCTGCAGCTGGAATTCTCATGTTCGCCACATCATGGATTGGAGATAAATATCACCTCCGTGGCCCAATTTTGATTTTTAACGCGATACTCACCATAATTGGTCTGCCCTTGATGGTCAGTGTCGTCTCAAAACGAAAGAAGGGTATCTGAGCTGACTTTCAACCAGGGATTCACAACCAACAATGGGACTCGTCTATTGGGCGCCTTTTTGACCACCATGGGCGCGAATTCAAACGTCCCTGCGGCAATGGCATACCAGGTGAGTGTTTATAAAAGCCATACGAAGACGCTTCCCGGTCTGACGTGGAATTTTTAGGCAAACAACATTCGAGGCCAATGGAAACGAGCCATTTGCAGCGCTATTTTCGTCGGATTGGGTGCTTCAGGCGGCATGACTGGATCTTTAGTATACCGATCGCAAGATGCGCCATTCTACCACCCGGGCATTCTGACCTGTGTAGGACTATCTTGTCTGGTAATCATTCTGGTCTCGCTCTTGTCAATTCGCTTCTATATTCTGAACCGAAAGATGGCTCGTGGTGAGATCGTCATTGCAAACCTTCCAGGGTTCAGGTATACCTACTAAATTAGCGGAGGGAGACGATGGCGGAGAGATTGCGCTCGGGCTGTGAACCACAATTAACTTTGAGAATCACGAAACATTGACCTCAATAGAATGAAGTTTGCTTTGCCTCGGACTCTTAGATAGTTTGTTCTTGCGTGACCTCGGCTGACCACGAAACCACTTCCTAAAGAGGTTAATTCGCCCCCGCAGCCGCTTAGGCTAGCTGATGGAGACTAGCACACTGCCACACGCCCATCGGCAGTCGGAGTTTACCAATAAACGTAGACGGAGACCTAGGATAATGGCGTACATGGTTTGAATAAAAGACTAAGTGGAGCCCGTATGAACTAGGCAAAATGGAGTAGATGTCGCGATGGCGAATTAACGGAAGGTCGGCGATGATGCTCCGTCCATTGGCCTGAAAATATATAAGTGTAGCCAACCTTCCTTGCTTTGACCCGTACCTTTAGTACATCCTTAACAAACCTCATACCCAGTCATGGCAACCCAACAATTCCAACCTTCCTTCGCCGACACAACCGACTTTGAAAATGCAAAGCGGGGTTTCATTGGCGCCCTTGATCCTTGCATCATTCGCTCTGCCGACGGCCGGGTCGTGTGGAATAATGATGAATACAACTTCCTCGCCGAAGAGTGTCCTCCAACGGCCAACTCGAAACTCTGGCGACAGGGTCAATTGCTCAGCATTCAAGGACTATTCAAGTCGACCAATGGTATCTACCAAGTCCGTGGATTAGATCTGTCCAACATGACGATCGTCGAAGGAAAGGAGGGTGTCATTGTTATCGATCCTCTGACCTCGGTGGAAACTGCTGCCGCGGCCCTGGCACTGTATAGAAAGCACCGTGGTGATCGCAAAGTGACCGCGGTCATCTATTCCCACTCGCATATTGATCACTTTGGTGGTGCTCAAGGGATACTCCCGGTCGCGAAGTCCCACTCTATTCCGCTGATCGCCCCCGAAGGCTTTATGGAGGAGGCAACCAGTGAAAACCTGTATCTTGGAAATGCAATGCGTCGGCGTGCCGGATACATGTATGGTAATCGGCTTCCAAAGGGCCCAGCTGGGCAAATTGGTTGTGGGCTTGGAATGTGTGTTCCTAGCGGTGTCAATTCCTTGGTCCCACCAAACACGATCATTTATAAAACCGGCGAAGAACGTGTGGTCGATGGGGTACGAATCGTATTCCAAATGGTGCCCGAGTCGGAAGCTCCTTCAGAGATGAACTTTTATTTCCCGGATCACCGAGCTTTGTACATCGCCGAATGCGCAGTGCATTCTCTACACAACATCATCACCTTGCGTGGAGCTCAAGTCCGGGATGCGAAAGCTTGGTCTCAATATCTGGATGAGTCTCTAGTTCTCTTTGGAAAGGAATCAGATGTGATGCTGGCTGGTCATGCTTGGCCGACCTGGGGCCATGAAGATATCGCAAAGTTTATCGGGGATCAGCGAGACCTGTATGCCTATATCCACGACCAAACGGTTCGACTGATGAATCACGGCATGACAGGCATTGAAATCGCGGAGCACCTAAGTCTGCCACCTTCACTGCAGAAGTCATGGTTTGCGCAGGGATTCTATGGATCTGTTAGTCACAATGTCAAAGGCATTTACCAACGGTACCTGGGCTGGTTTGACGGGAACCCCGCTCATCTCTGGGAACATCCGCCAAAGCAAAGTGCCAAAAGATATGTCGAGTGCATGGGCGGAATTGAAGAGGTCGTGCAAAAAGCAAAAAGCTTTGCCGAAGACGGCGATATGCGATTCGCAGCGACACTGTTGGACCATGCCGTCACATTCGACCCATCACATACTGGTGCAAAGACAGCATTAGCGTCCGTCTTCACAAAACTCGGTCATGGCTCGGAGAATGGCACTTGGCGCAATTTCTATCTCACCGGTGCTCTGGCCTTGCTTGCAGGAAACAGACCCGACCCTCGACAGAGCATGAGTACAGGACTGAGACCGGAGCAAAGTGTTGAACAATGGCTCACTTTGTTGTCCATTCGGTTGGATGGAATCAAGGCAGCTGAAGAGTGTTTCTCCATTCACTTCCACCTGACAGACGACCAGCGATGGTGGCGGGTGAATATTAGCAATGGAGCCTTGACTTATAGAGAAGCTGACAGTAATGAGGGCATCCACGGTGAAGCGAATCTGACTGTGCACTTGACGAGACTTGAGCTCTTGCAAGTTTTGAGTCGGGGCAATCTGGAGGGTACCTCGTATGAAGGAGACGTGGACTTGATCAACAAGCTTCTGTCATTGATGGAGGGCTCTGAGAAGCCCGGGCAGATGCGTTTATAGATTTTCAACAAGCGATGGAGGTTGGTCCGAATTTTACTGGTGAAGAAGGAGACCTGGATTATTGAGCAGTTTATGGTGCCAAAGAATATCGTTTCCCAAATTGACTTGATCTGACTTTAGACTCGATACGGATAGGGAGTAGTGGCATCATTGTCTTGTCGTACTACCTTCATACTGCCTGTTGAAGTTCTTCACGTTTGCTGTCTCATGTACTAATGGGTGCGGAACTGGAATTTCAGGTAAGAATGTATATTTAGTTAGCAGATCTCATCTACAAGGCAGAAAATGCAATTTGGAGGATTGAGTTAAGTCATATTGTTTCTGGGAGGATTCTAAGAAATATCATTCCATCAATCTCCACAATTCTCGTCTAGAAAATCATCGCCTTGTATCCCATATCTGTGACGACTCATATAACATAGCCATATTGATGTTGTTAGAATGTGTGACGGAACGCGTACATATATCAATATCATGATAAATATCATGATAAAGTGAATCAAAAGACCCAAGTACCTTCCCCGTCAGGCTCGCACCAATCACGCCACCACTTATGCGTTTGGGGAAGTCCAAAATTCTGCCGTTGGTTCGTCTCCACAACTCTTCTTGCCTTAAAGTCGTTCATGAGCGAACTGTGTTCCTCCGGAGACAAAGGGCCATCTCTTGGCTCAACGAGATAATTTTGCACCATATCCACGAGTTCCTGGGGGAGCTTCGATTGCAGAAACACGTTGATCAGTCGTTGTCTGGGTGTCCACCATTCCACTTGCTAGGGAGGAACGTTGGCGGTAGATAGGATGCGCATGTGTGGGTCGACGAGCGAAAGGGTGAGAATCTTGCAGCAGCCGGGCTCTAATTGATCCTTTATGGAGTATAGGCTTCGCATCTCCAAAGTGTTTGGGAAAGCCAAGAGTCGGCCCTCATGAAGTGGGACATTTCCGAGGCGCTGAAGACAGTAATCTTTTGCTGCTTCATCTGATACCAAAATACCTCTCGGCAAATATCGGCCCAGATTGGTTGATGCTCGTATGTTCGCTATTGAGAACAGTCCCTGTTTTTCATCGGATCGCTGCCGAAACTGCAGGCAATAGAACTCAACATCCTCATGACCGTAGCAGTAAACGGCAGTTGCACAGATATGCTCGTTCTATCGGAGTTAGTGTTGCCGAGAGCCATGCAGAAGGAAGCTCGGTTTGCAAGACACACCATGTGCCCTTGTAAATGCCAATCTTTCTTGATGACCAGGTGTGATTTTGCTCCGACTTTCGCTGGGTTAAGAGAAACAGTTTCTAGCCGAACGAGAACTTGAATCTCAGTGGGCCCAGACTACTGAACCAGATCGAGCTTTGGTCGGGGAAATTTGGAGCTATCGAATTCGGCGGGCTCGGGGAGCTTGATAGATCGACGTTTTCTCCACCTGTCAACTTTCCACTCAATCCAGTCCAATGCCCTGTTGTCAAAGAAGCCTTCTGGTACCCTACATTTCTCAACGGAGGCTGGAATACAACTCGTCGAAGTGGAATGCGACTCCATCTGGCGGTCCTGCCAGACACTCATTCCATGGCTGCACACACTGATTGATGATCTCTTCTATTACGGTATAGAGCTCTCGATGATGGGCGGGGTGCAAGTCATTGACGTAAGATGTGATACGCCATCGATCCTGGTGTAGTGACAAGTCACTGGGTAGAAATTGAACTTCTCATCACACCACCTGTAGGGCGAAAGTTCCGGTGGGCTGCCACATGGGTCGACCCTCGGTGGTGGTTGTGGTGGTCCTGGACATTCGGGTGTGGTTTTGGATCTTTGATTAATTTATTCTGGTGCGGCGAGAGGATCCGCCTCATGCAAGGACAGAGGAGCTCCTCGTCCGATCGATTTGAGGCAGTCATCCATGTTGATAACCTCGTTCTGAACCACTCTCGTGACGCCGTAGGCCAAGGGGTGTCTTGTCTGGATCAACGATCTTCTGGCTGTTGGATGACTGGCTCATGTCCCTCGTTTCCTCGAGTGGTAGAGCCAGCGCCTACAACTTCTGGTGAAGCTCGCTCGAAATCACGGCGTCGGACTTTATGATAGCGTCGAAAACGAGCGTGAGTCCCGACTGCTTGAAAAGAAACGCCCGCTAGCGATATTCATCAATCACCCATTTGATCATAGATTCAGTAACATCCTTCTCGTTGCTTTTGAATGACTGTTTGGACTGGTGAACCCACGTAGCGTTTGAGATCTGGATTTAAAGAGTGATGTGTGAGATTCGGTCAAGGTCTTGTGGTAGTTCTGTATGAGTACAAACATTTTCATGCCAGTTCTTCTTCTCGGCAATGGAGTTGATCCATCTAATCATGACTAGCTCTCGAAGTGTATGGAACCGACTATTCATCAAGTTAACAACAAGGATGGGCGGCATTCAGTCCAGCCACATACTTGCAAGCTCCTTCTTTCACCATTATTGCGTCGACACCACTAAGAAACATGATCTGTTTTCGAGAAGAAAAGCCGGTCAACTACACATCCCCCCATATTGCATGACCAGTCAGTCCACCTTACCTTGGTGTCAGGGGTGTAGTCTAATGGGAGAGTCAGGCCTGGAAGGCCCGGCTGCGTTGGCTGCACCTTGATTTCCTCTCAGCCACAGCTGTCAGTGAAATGCGGAGAGGCGGAGGACCCAAAGAACTTTGCGAGGTGGCTGAGGTTTGGGGTGTTGGAAGAAAAGGTAATGAGAAGTCAGGAAATGGAGATGGGTGAGAGAGTTCGGGAAGGAGAAGGGAAGTGGGCAGAAGGAAACATGGAAAGAAGGTGGAGGATGTTGGTCACTGGGTCTGGAATTTCCCTCTACACAAAGGGAAAGTATTCATTCTGGCTTTCCTCATTCTACACACCACAATCAACCTGTTCGAGTAAAAAAAAGTCATTTACTACTCTAAGATTCTGGATGCCCTTGTAAGGTGAGGAATAGTGGCCACAAACATCTAACACGACACTGCAAATTATCAGCCCACTTTTGCTTCTCAGTAACCGAATTCTCAACTTTTCCTCCCCGCCTAACACATTTGATAAAGCTCCTCATCTCAGTCATCTTGTTGCCATGCTTTATAAAGAATCTAACCTTATCAGGGCCCGATGTAGCCGATCTAGAAGGCCCATGATTCGCCCCCACTTTGACCCACCAGCAGATTGTCCCAATGCGCGATCTCGTATCCCTCGATGCTTCTGCAAGTACCAAGCCACCCGCCTCGGCCTTTACGCTGACGAGGAAATGGTAGGTGTTGGTGGTCGTAGCAAGGGCTGCAAGACCTGTCGGCGCCGAAGAGTCAAATGCGGTGCGATCATATTATGCCCCATCCTCGTCTCCAAGCTGTGCTGACATGACTTAGACGAAGCAAAGCCAGGCTGCGAGCGCTGTCGAAAAGCCGGCTATGAATGCGAAGGCTATGTACAGTTTGCCGAGTTTGTCGATGTAACAAGCCAATTGACAGGCAAAGAGTCGCTGAAACCTAAAAGGAATAATGGGCCCAGCCTACGTCCCAGTGCTAGCACTGCCAGCCCGAGCTCGGAAGGCTCAGTCCTCGAGCTACCGGTGATGCCCATATCAGTCAATCCAGCATGGAACGAGCACAGTATCTTCACATCGCATTTGGTGAGCAGATTGTTCACCTGGCATGATGATGCAAGCTCATCACAGGCGGCATCGTGGATCGAAAGACTGTTTTCACGCACAGAAGACCAAGCCGCACTATCTTTTACGTCGGTCCGTGCACTGGCTACAACCTATTTTGCAAAGGTCAATCACAACAGTGAACTGATGCGAAAGGGCGCGGGCTTCTACTCCAGAGCGCTCCGGGCTCTTCGTTCAGATTTGGAAGACCCGAATCTCGTCTTAGAGGATGATTTGATAGTTTCAATTATTTGTATGTCCATCTACGAGATGGTGACTTTCACGCAGCCCACAGGGTGGCTGCATCATTATAAGGGCTTGGCACGACTGGTAAACATTTATGTTTCTTTGCTCTTTCACATCTGCTAACTTAATTCAGACAGCCATGAGAGGCCCATATCGTCACCAATCGGGCGTTTCATTGGCGTTACTTCCGACTCTAAGGCCATGTTTTGTGAGTCAAATGATGTCGAGCTTGAGATTGAAGGAGCTTATACTAAATACTGCAGGCCGTTGGATACCTCGTCGAACGAAAGCATTGCTTTCTTGAATCTCCAGAATGGAAAACCATCCCCTGGGCCAAGTGCGACTTAACCACCAGAACGCCCTCAGACGAGCTTCACGATTTCCTGTGCGATCTTCCTGGGATTACGGAAGATGCCGACAGGATATTAAAGTGGAACTCGAATGAGTCGGGAATGGAAAAGTTCAAGGGATCCTTCTGCTCGCGAGTCCTTGCAACACTGGAAGCACTCTATTCCTGGCGCTGGGACTGGGAGCATAAATTTCCCAGTTCCACATCCCTGATCTCACCCGCGGACCTCGACCACGAGACATCTCTGCGTCTACCCCCGAGCCCGTTCAAAAGCATCATCTGGTTTACCAGTCCCCATCGTGCTGCAGAGCTGATGAGTTACAACGTGATCCGATTGATAGCTACCAGAGCCCTTGAGGTGGTGGGTGTACAAATTGACATGCCTTCTTCCGATATCCCAATCAGTGATCCCCTTCTGCCCATGGAAGGGAACAGACATGATGTTGCCGTCGAGATATGCCGAATGGCAGACTATCATCTTCACGCGTTCCGTCAGAGCTCCGGGGCATTTATGCTCATATTCCCACTCAATGTTGCCTATCTTCATTTGAGTCAAGATAGTGGTCAGATTAAGCCGTGGCTTGAGGCTGTAATATCCGTTGTTGCAGACTTGCACGGTTTTGAGCTTGGCCGGAGGGAGAATATGCCACGTCAAAGTGTGAAGGTGCGTTCCCTTTTCTCGAGAAATATGGGAAGGGTGGATTTCTAAGACCATAAATCTAACGATACACGCTATCTATAAGCACAACTCTAACGTTACAAAATTCGCCTATCAAAGCTCATAACGCTTTGTATCACTGTTGATTGACTCTTCGTTCGAGTCATCCGCGGCCCAGTCATCATCGCCCTGTGGACTTTCCTCCTCGGTAGTGATGAGAATCCAATAGATCTTTTTGATCTTCTTCGCCTCCTTGACATCCCGCTTTGCATTCTTTGCGTCTCGCTTCCGGGTACTTTTCTCCACCCGCTCACTTTTGCGAGATCTCTGCGCATCAAGCTGTTTGAGTTTTCGCTCGAGCTCCCCATGTTCACGCTGAAGCTCTTTAAGATGTTTTTTATAGCGCCGTTCGGTCAGATCCAGATATTGTATCTGGTTCTGAACGCCTTCCATATCCCGCCTGATCTTATCAAGCTGCCCATCATCAACGCCATGCTTCTTCTCAGCTTTCGTAAGTTTCTGCTCAGCTTTAGCGGCTTTTTCTTGGGCCTTGGTCTGTTTCTTCTCAAGCTCCTTGAGTTGTTTCTTTTCCGCATGTTGAGCAGCATATGAGCCAAGCTTCTTCGCCCAATTATCTGGTGACACGGGTGCCGCAATACTATCAAACGACAACTTCATAACCCGATCGCCTAGAGACTCCATCCTTCTTGCGATAGTATTCCCACTAGGCTCCTGAGCCTGCGAACTACCAATCATCGCCTGAAACTGGCTCTTCGCAAAAACAACAGTATCGCCTTCCATTCCAATCTGGGTAAGCATCCGCTCCGTCTTGCATATCTGCGCATGTAGGCCCTTTGGCTTGAAAATGGTTTCATTCGCCTTCTTCATGTACCGGTTTGTTCGGACAATGGACACCCCGGCAGTTCCTATGCCAGCAGCAACGTTGAGACTGGCGCCGACAATTTGGGTGGTCTGCAGGGGAACAAAGCCCACTATCGTTCCGATAGCATCTGTGACTTTCAAGGCTGGATTGGCCATGAATGCTTCGTTGAGGCCATCAATGAATGCGAGTAACTCGGATGAGGAAAGGCCGTATTGTTTTTCGAGTTCGGGTGCACGAGTGCGAACAAAGGGGCTCATGTATTCACCTCCTCCGACGCTCATGATTTCTGTACCCTGTCAGAACTTCTTGTTTTGCTAGAATCGTTTCGTTGGGGAAAAGGCTATCTCACGGGGAATAACACATGGCCGTTGTCTAGGAGATCGCTGTTGGGTATCTGGCTGGGATGGTGGCAGATATGGCTGACTGCTCGAGGGAGCAACATACGGCGCAGGCTGCCATTGATCCTGAGGGTGTTGCTGAATTGGATTATAGTGGGTATAAGCCGATTGAATGTTCCATTGCTGGGGCTGTGATGGATGTTGCGGCTGATCATAGGGAGGATGAGGGTAGGCGCGGGGCCGGAAGGGTGTATAGTTCGACTGCTGGTGGTGTATGGGTGGTAGACTCTGCTGTGTTGGGTATCCTCTGGAAGATTGAAACTTCTCCTCGTATGGCGGTGGTGAAACCACATATTGAGGAGATGCAGCCTCCATTGTGGCCAACTTGTGTTTATCACCGTTCATTGACATTTCCTTTTCTAGCGCAACGAAGAAGAAATAAACTTTGTACCGGAGACAATCCACTGAGTATCTCTATTTCTTCAGAGATGCTACCTTTTATATCCTTAATACACTAAACCTCAAAAATCATCATCTCGCGTTTGCGCAGCTCCCCTCCAGTCGAATTACCGTTTTTGGTGTAATCCGCGAGCGATCAACGGACCCACAAGTGCCAAGTATAGGCCCCACTATTACGGGTCCAAATCAACAGCCAATGATACGCATCTACAGCTCGCGGAATGCACTGAGAATGGTTTAGCGTTAAATTCCACAAAGCTTGGGAAATATCCTGGTTGGGTTCTTCAAAACTTCTAGACCTAGCAGCCCTGTCAGGGTGTGATTCATGCAATGGAACGCCCAGCTCAGCCTCTCAGCCTCTCAGCCCTAACATAGACAAGATCCAGCCTATAATATTAACTGCCGGGCTTCGCCTGATCACAGTCGCGCAGGGATAGGTTCGTGGCTTCAACCTAATCGAGCCCAATGAAGAGCCTATCTTGTCGCTATACTAGATATGGTAAATGCTACCTACGAGAATAATTCATCAGCACCGCGTTGAATGAAATATGGAGCTGCTGTGGATAGGTAAATAGACAAGGGTGTTATCTCGATTGTGAAACGAGGTTTCCCTTTTGCTTTCCAATGATGCCTTGTTTATCTCAACCCAGAGCCCATGGGAAATCATCAGCAAGCTATTTGTTCGACCAAGTCATAATTCAAAAATAAAATATTGAAATCCGCTAGGGCTCTTCGTATGGCCCGAATAGTTAGATAATGTTTTGAGATTCGATATGACTTTTAACGTCCTCCACACACTACTTCAATATGACATCTTCCCCTGCATGCTCGCTATTACAATGATATTATAAGACAAAGGTAAGCTTGATGTTTGCAACTGGAATATAGGAACTTGTGGGATTGATGCAGAAAATAACAGCCTCTGGTGCAAGAAATAGTCGCCACCTGTGGAGCCGAAAGACTAGAAACAGAGATCTGCTATCGAGGGATTTTATTTGTTCTGTATCAGCTTGTGTCCGCTCGCAAAAGCACCACATCTTTCAAATTTAACGCTCGATCTCTGTGGGTACAGTCACACGTGAATTTACCAGAGCTTTGCAAGAACCCAATCAGACGGACATCTAAGTCATCAGCCAATGAATAAAGTAATCAGGATCCGAACTACAGGAATAACCTATTCCTTCCACACAAAACCAGGTTGAACACTTAAGCAGCTTCGGCAGCCTTCTCCTCATGCGCAGCAGTAGCCTTGCCTTCCTGGATAGCAAGGAAGGTAATGGTCGGGGTCCAGGAGGTGGAATGCCTAGCACTGCTGACCTCGGCATAGAGCTCATCGACCTGCTCGAGGGAGAGCCCTTTAGTCTCGTAGATGAAGAAGTAGACGAACGATATACAAAGGAAGCAACAGGCGCCCCAGACAAAGAAGATTTTGGACTGCAGGTTGGCGTTACCTGGGCCGTAGTCAACCAGGTAGGGGGTAGAGTATGCAATCGCCCAATTAAGAAGCCAGTTGGTTGCGGTGGTCATGGAAAGAGACTTGGCGCGGACCTTAAGGGGGAAGATTTCGCCAGTGACAACCCATGCACAAGGCCCCCAACTGGCAGCGAAGAAGAAGATATAGAAACAGATAAAGGCAATCGCGGCCTTTTGAGCGGGCTCGTTATGGACAACGATGTTGCCGGCTGTATCCTGGCCTGTGGTTGTGGTGCCAAGTATGGCGACAATGAACTGCGACACGCACATACCGATGGCACCCCATAAAAGGACTGGCCGACGGCCCCATTTCTCGACGGCCCAGAGACCAGGAAATGTTGAGCCAACATTGACACAGTTGGTTATTAGGCTGATGACGAAGGAGTTGTGGAAGCCTGAGTTCTTGAAGAACTGGGTGCCGTAGTAGAAGATAAAGTTGATACCGGTTAGCTGCTGTAGGGCCTGGAGGCCGCAGCCTGTTGCCAGCCGCTTAAGTAGGTTGCCCTTAAAGCATTCGAGGTATGTCGACTTGCCCAAGGTCAGCTCATACTCATGGTTGGCCTGGATCTCAGCCAGCTCGTCCTGCACTGCCAAGTCGTCAGCTGGTAGGCGGCGGAGGCGGCCGAGAGCCTGCGCCGCGGCGGCGCGATCACCCTTGCGTATAAGATAGCGCGGAGTGTCAGGCAGCACGAGCATGCCAGTGATAAGTATGATGGCCCAGGCGAACTGGATAGCAATAGGAATACGGTAGCTACCGGTGTCTTTGCGGTTCTGGGTGGAGTTGTTGACGATCGAGGCCAGTAAAAGACCGATAGTAATAGATAGCTGGTAGGAGCCAACGATGGAACCACGGATCCAGGAGGGAGCAGTCTCCGACTGATACAAGGGGACTATTTAGTAGGTAAGAAGTGGGCACTTTCTGTCTCTTATTTTGTTCGCGAGAGTAGACTTACTCAAGGCAGAAACTAACCCCACGCCCAATCCAGCAAAGAACCGCCCAGCGAGAAACATTGGAATCGCAGTCGCGGCCGTTTGAAGAATTACACCCAGAATAAAGACATGAGTGGAAGCGATTAAGCTCCAACGACGGCCAATGCGGTCGGCAATTGGGGCGGCACCCAGTGCGCCGAAGAACGTGCCAGCAGAGAGGATAGAGACGATGGAGGCAGATTGCGACGAAGAGACGTTGAGATGGCCCGTACTGTCACGATAGCCAGTGGAGAAGGTATCCTGCCAGTAGGGCATGGCGAGAATGCCACTGATGGTTCCGGTATCATACCTACAATAGATGGTTTGGTCAGAGTGAGTATCATTTCATCGATCATGCCACAAGAGAAGTAAAGAAGCGTACCCAAACAGGACACCTCCAAAGGCTACGAAGAGGCCAATGGCAATGGCCGGCCATGCCGATCCTGGCGTGCCTTCTGGCTTCTGAATCAGAAAGCCCATTGTCTTGGACAGTAGTGGTAGGGATGTAGCGGGAGAGTCGTTGTGTATCGAGGGTGGACCACACTTTCAAGGGTATCCTAGCATAGAGGGGGAGGGATAGCAGGACAGCGGTATTTATACAAATCCACGCTGACTCGCCAGCCGTCTTCCTTGTTGTTCGTTCGGTCGAAAACCATAGACGCCAACGACGTTATCTTCCACGCGCAACTAGCAATATTGACTTTCTCTTCCGGCGGCTCGTACAGACACGGACAATTGCTCTTGTGAATCCTTCAGAAACTCACCGTCTTGCGTGTGGACGCCCCATGGGGTAACGGAGTAAGACCGGTGAGCCCTTGGGGTATGTAGTATTGAGGAGGGGGCCTGAGCGAGGAACTCGCAGGGTAGTAATCACATTCCCCGCATTCAGATTTTAGCTCAAAGTTTCTTACAGTAACTGCCCACTGACTAGTGGTCCAGGAACAAATGAGAATGAGAAAGTTGCTATATTCCAAGGCACCATGCTTTGCTGGCGGACCCGACACTCCTGCTGAGGTTAGCTCAACGATATACAAGCTCATGAATTTGCTAGAACTCGAGAATGGATCATGGAGAATGCATTTAGCGCTGACCATCATGACTGTGAACTATGAACCGGTCACAGGAAGCTTTGGTGGCGCCCTGAAATCGCCGAAGTATTCCCCTGCCGATAAACCCCCGGCCCGACTTGTCCTAAGGGGGATTATTCAGCCCCCGGTCCGAAATATGGCTCGGACCTACAGTACATCCCGAGGGCTTTTTCGTTCATCTTGGGCATGATTCGCAGGCTCCAAACATCGTTCTTCTCTTGCCGTTTCAGTGAGAACCCTAGTCCGGCGCTCTATCGACCCGCCATGTCCGCCCAATGATGCCGCAATACTGAAATGGGCATTGTGTACCGAATTGATCTCTGCTCTATTGGTAACACTTGATCTCCTTCGCCCAGCTGTCATGCAGTAGGCACGGATGAGACTGCTCCGGCGTAATCCTTGTCTGTAATGGCCAATGTAGATCCATGACCCGAGCCCTGCTCGGCTTCTCTCTGCCCTTCTCTGATTTCGACCTCCTACCTTCGCCATTCTATACGGTGATCGGATAGTTAGATAGAGTGATTGTTTACCACGAAGCGGTCCATTGACAGGTAAAAGCTCCGTCATAAGGCTCGACGTAAAAGACGCTTTGGGTGGTATCGATGTCTCCACCTCAGTCTCAACGTATGGTCAACTCTCGTATGGTCTGAGAGAAGTCCAGGGAAAGTGGAACTTTTGTTGCACGCTCTTACCGTCCGCGTCGGAGTTGTGTTCGTGCAGAGTTTCTCGCATCCGATATCCCTCGACAGGGATATACAATCGGATCCGAATGTCTTATGGCGCCATGCAGGGCCAACCTCATAAAGCCAGCGATAAGGGGCTGGTTAATAAATTGATTCAGACTTTGAATGTGATATGAACAGCTGTAGCCAATTAGCTGGTCTGAAGAAGGAGGAAGTGCGGAGTAAGTGGATCGATCATGGAGGATTCCTTCGTTGCATATGCAGCATTAAGATTGATTGTGCACTTAGATACGAGCGCCATGCATGGAAGAAGAGCGTGAAATACCATACATCAGCCGCTTCCTAGGTCCAGAGAAGCCACAGACCCCTTGTAAGCAGGTTCTCGGGCCAAGTCCGACAGTCCGTCCTGGTGTTTGTCCGTCGAAGGGAGAACGAATTCGTGGGGTCCGTTGAGGAAGGAATGTCTTCCTTTTGCTAGAATTTCAAAAGTCTAAACGCGGCATTTCCTGTCACCCCGCATTCACTAACGGCAGTCAATTGTGGAGTAAAGTATGCTGTAGTACGATGGATGAGAGGAGAATCCCAACTGGAGTATATAAGAGGGGGAGTTTTGTGGAAGCACAAATGATAATATGTACCACAAATTCATTGTGTCTTCCAGCAGAACCTGCCAAGATGAAGCGTCCAACTTCTTCTTCTCTATCGTATATCCTTCCTGCGTTATCGCTGTCCTTTGTCCCACCAGGGGTGTTTGGAAAACCAATTTCTCGCACCACTAAGTGTACTCAGGCTCAGCATCCTGGGCCTAGTAACCCCAGCTTTGAGACAGGCGATCTCACTGGATGGCAGGTGCTGAGCGGCACCGCCTTTGGCAATAGCTCCGTCACTGCTCTGACCTCGTACTGGGGAGGCCCCTTCAACCAGAAGGGGAAGTACTTTGTCGATAGCTTCGTCGCCTCTGGGGACCCTGCCATTGGGCAGCTCCGGTCTGAATCTTTTCGTGCGAGCTCGTATCTCAGCTTCCTCATTGGCGGCGGCTATGACCCCGTTAATCTCTACGTTGGCCTAGTGCGCGACAGTGACGGGGCCCTTCTGGTTAGCCAAACTGGTATGAACGATGAAGCACTTATTCGAATCATCTGGGACACCTCGGCGTGGGCCGGCCAGAACGTGCATCTGCTCGTGTACGACAACAACAGCGGCTCATCGTGGGCTCACATAAACATCGATGATGTCCGCACTGGATGCAATGCCCTCCAGGACGACAATGGCCTTACCTTTACGGTGTTCGGCGAGGCCAACCAGCCCGCCACGGGCAGCTCGCCCTCCTGCAACCTTTACGCTGCCGATGTCGTGCGTCCCCAATACCATTATACTCCCTACCAGGGCTGGATCAATGACCCAGCTGGTCTCATCCAGTGGAATGGCCAGCATCATCTCTTCAGCCAGTTCTACCCAGATGCCCCCCTCTGGGGCCCTATGCACTGGTCTCATGCTACCAGCCCAGACGCCGTACATTGGGCCGAGCTCCCTGCCGCGCTGTATCCACCATATCCAAACAATCCACAAGATACCAGCGGCCGCTGGACGGGTAGCGCCGTCAACGACAGCCAGAACCGGCTTCATCTCGTCTTCACAGACTTCACCGACCTTGCATTCCACCCTGGTGCCACGGAACAAGTTGTCTCAACGGCGACAAGCAGCGACGGTACATCCTACTCTCTATACCCACAAAACCCCGTCATCGGTACCGTCCCCCCAAACTCTGGTAACGGTTTCCGTGACCCCAAGGTCTTCCATGACCCGACGGATAACAGTTGGAAGCTAGTGGTGGGCTCTGGTGATGGTAGCCAAGGCAAGGTGCATCTATACCGGTCGACGGACCTGCTGTCATGGACGTACGTCGGGGTGCTGTTTGAGGGTGACGGTTTCACAGGCTCGATGTGGGAGTGTCCGAACTTCTTCCCGGTGGGCAACAAATGGGTGCTCTTCTACGGTGGCCGCAGCCTTGGCTGGTTCGAAGTAGGAACCTACAATGGTACCTCTTTCACCAGCGAGACACGCGGCCTACTGGACGCCGGCCCCGACAGCTACGCCATGCAGTGGTATCAAGACGCCGCCGGCCGCAACCTCGCCATCACCTGGCTGGGCAACTGGCCGACCTCTAAGTGGCCGAGTCGCTTGAACGGCTGGGCTGGACAGCAGTCAATCACCCGCGAGCTCTTCATCCGTCCCGACGGTGGCCTGGGCAGTCGCCCGATCCCCGAGCTGGCTAGCCTCGAACAGTCAGGAAATGCCAAATCCTGGACACAGAAGACCGTCGGCGATACCGCAATCGTTCTGGGCCATACCACCACCGCTCGTCTCCGACTCACCGTCGATGTCCCTTCTGCTTCCGCGACCTCCTTCTCTATTCGGCTGTTCTCATCATCCGCTGAGTTCGTTCTCGTGTCCTACAACTTCGCCACGAGGATCCTCACCCTCGACACCTCCAACGCCGGCTACGGTCAGACAGGGCAGTGGCAGCCTGTGGTGGTACCCGGAAGTGACGGCAAGTTGTCGCTGGATATTTTCCTTGACCGTAGCACGCTTGAGATTTTTTCGTCCGATGGCGTCGTCACTAGCGCGCGTGTCTATCCGCGGTACCAGGAGTCGCAGGACATTACGATCGAAGCGAGTGGGCATATTGTGTTTGATAGCATTTCACTGACGCCTTTGGGGTCGAGTTGGTGTTAGAACTTAGCAGGACGGATTAGATTATCGTAGAAACAATCTCGAGACGGAATCCCCTATGAAGGTACAATTATAAATGTGATCAAGGTCATCTCCATGAGAATCTCGTCAACCAAGAGTAAGGAGATGAAAGTGTTCTCATGTTGGTGGTAGCAATCAGTCTGGTCTGCTCGAGTTAGTACGGTTAGACTGGCTTGTATTGGAACGAAGTGGGTCTACGCCTCTACGCCACAATGCTACTTACCTACAAAATCCGAAGTACTTGATTACCTTCTGACCTACAAATGCGTGCTTAACAGAAGAACCTGCGAAGGATACTAAAGTAACTGGATGTTCATTTCTGATGGGACTCTTCAAAGAATTCCTGGGTCGAAAATTAAATCAGCGCTTATTAGAGCTCGCCAAATAAGCATCTAGTACATCGAAGTAGATAAACACGTTCCATGATTAAGGCTAAAAAGCTACATCCACCACCCGGTAGAAGAATGAAATGTTACTGTTCTAGACCATAAGAGTTTATGCATTGCTTACCTCGACACAAGAAAATTGTAGCACAACATGAACATGATTACTCATCCAAGTCACAAGTTTATCGCGATAACCGCGGTGCAGTATCTCCCTTACTAAGCACTGCGCTAAGGCCCGACCAACCAGAGCCAACTGCGCCCACGCGATGATGCCACTCTCCCAAAACAATCAGTCGCTCTGCCAGTCGTCACGATCGCCCATTCTCCCAGTTCAAGAAGCTCTTTCTAGAAATAACCACATCTGTCAGTGCTACACTCCTCTTGGCAGTCGTCTATCTAAGCTGCGTGCCTCTTACGCCTACATTCCACCCCCGACACCCCCCGCATTATCTCCGGAACGCGCTTCGCCAACGAATGTCCTGGCCGCGATATCGGCCTCGATTGGGCACTGGGCTTGACCAAGACATGCCACCAGTGTTTTCAAAGCTGACTGGCTTCATATTTCTAGACTATAAATAAATACCCCTCCACGAATCAAGCACAATGGCTGTCGAGGCCTCTCCCGTTTTCGTACGCGAACCCGATATTCTGTCGCAAACTATGGCTGTCCAGCTGCGAATTTGATACTTCTAGTCTTATGAACAACATTCGCTAATATAACTCGACTTTCAGCCTGTTCCCACCTCGGAGCTGAGCAAGATCATCACTGATGTACGTCTCTTCTCCCTGACCATGCGCCCAATCCAGACCGACCTGCACTCACCAGCCATGACCTGACCGTTCCTAACTAACCTATAAAATAGGCCTGCGACGCCGCCCTGAAGGACGTCACCGAGTACGAGCACGACAACGTCGGAACCTGGAACTCGCAAATCATCGTAAGCAAACTCCCCTCCCTCCCCTCCCCCTAAAACCCAACCCAACACCAACACCACCCCCGCACATCTTTATCTCCCTCCCATCTCAAACTAACACCACCCTCCACCCCCAGAACGGCGTCCTCAAGTCCCTCATCACCGCCACCGCCCCCAGCGAATCCACCAAACCCACCCCCTACCGCTTCACCGTGAACAGCACCATCGTGCAGCAGGGCGTCATCGACAAGACCGCCGCCGCAGACGGCTCGCAGAGCAACGCCGGCAAGCGCGGTATGCACTCCGCCTCCGGCGCTTTCTGGGACGTCAACCGTGACGGCATGTGGACGTTCAAGTACCCCGGTGCTGAGGAGCGGGGATTGGATATCGTTGTTAGCGTGACGTGGTTTTCTGTGAACTAAGCCTAAGCAGATGTGTTTTCATTTTTACTCTGAATTTTATTGGCGGTTTGAGAATTTGAATTTGTGAGACTGATGGGTAAATTGGATGGTATAGGGATTGGGTATAGGCTGGATCAGATGTTGGACCGGCAGAACTCGTTCTATTCTTGGTAGTGGAAGGGTATCTCCGATATGGATTCGAGTTAGTTGCTGTGATCGGTCCGATTCTATTGTGATGTATTTTGAGACCCGATTTATCGTTTTCATGTGAACTTTTTGAGCGATGGGCTGTGTCTATGATTGTTTCAAACGTTGAGTAATTGCTTAGTCTGGTCTAATGTAGGCAGTCATTCACAAGAGCTTAGTATTCTGCGAGCCGTAGACTTGAGAGGTACAATTAAACAATTTTTCGATGCGATAGCGAATCCCGAAGATAGAGGATCGTTCAAGGCCAGGTTGAGAGGAATGTAACCAATGCATGAGAGTAAATGATATTGATTTAAGAGACAAACGGCGAATTCACTACTGAGTGGTATCTCTCATGCGCTCCATAAATCATAAAAGGCGACCCGGGCCCAGTCGCTATGCTAAAAATGTCGAATGCCCGTCCCACGCCGCGCTATGTCCCCCCAAACGCCGCGAAACAAAACAAAAATAAAGAAAAATGGAAAAACCAGGGTCTGGCAAAAGCCAGAACGAACCCAGTACCACAAAGACCTCTTCAACGTGGCTCCGAGTAGTCGTTGAGCGCCACACACACCGCGCCACGGTGGTGGCCGCTGTACTGACGGATGATGGTGCCAGTACTCAGCTCCCACAGGCGGGCATAGTGGTCGCTCGACACCGTCACCAGGTACGCCGAGTCGGCCGAGAACGCACAGTCCCAGACCCACCGCTGGTGACCAGCCAGGGTGGTCTCGAGGAAGAGGGTGTTGTTGACCGGGTCCATGGGCGGACCATCGGGCTGCGCAGCGAAGGTCTGCTGCGTGGTCTCCTCTCGGGGCGCGTTGTCGGTCAGGCGTAGCAGGTGACGGTCCTGCTCGAAGACACGGAGGAGGTCGTGGGCATTGCTATTTGCGTCGGCCAGGGCTTCGTTCGGGTTCTCCGTCTCACCCGCCTGCGCCCGCTTCTCCTGCTTCTCCTTCCACTCCTTGAGGGCGGCCTTGGCCGGAGGGTATTCTGGGTCAAGGTTCCACACCTTGGCAGTGTGGTCGGCGGAGCAGGTAGCCAGGTGCTTGACATCGGGGGACAGGAGGACGCGATTGAGGTAGTCCATGTGGGCTTGGAAGGTCGCAATTGGGATCATCAGCGCCTTTTCTTCGGTCTGGACCATGCGCCAAATGTAGACATTTCCCTTGAGAGAGAGATTAGTTAATACTCGACCCGCAGACGAACAATGTCCAAAGGAATCATACCTTCTTGCTTCCAGCGCACAGCAACGATCCATCGGTTGCGACACTGACACTTGTAACAGAGCTGTTCTCCTCAGGCTCCAGCTGGTGAATGCATTTGCTCTCACCCAGGTCCCAGACGCGAACCATGCCACCACGATCACCACTGATCAGTTCAGCTTGGTTGGGGTGGATAACGACGTCATTGACGGGGAACTCGTGTCTGTAGTCGCGCTGAAGGCTGCCGCTGCGGACGTCCCAGACCTTGATGGAGCAGTCCTCAGAGCTAGTGACCATCCATTTGCCCTCACAGTGGAATGCGACTCCGGTGATGTTGCCAGTGTGGCCCTCAAAAGTCATGAGCGGGTTCGGGTTGCTCGACTTGGCGTCAAACAGCTTGACATTGTGGTGACCCGCAACGGCGAGGTACTTCTTGTCGGGGGTAATGCAGAGTCGATTGACCTGAGAGTCCGGGTGTTGAATGGTGCGGGAGCAGATGCCAGAGAGAGCTTCCCAGAAGCTGTTTTGATCAAACTCGGATTAGCTGCTGTAAAAGGTGACAATTTTGAAGCACAGGAGAGAGAGGCGAAGAGTAGCAGCAGTAAGCTTGTCAAACAATTACTCACCGGATGGTATGGTCGTACCCCGCTGCAGATCGCAAGGGATTAGCAAATATTCGGCAAGGAATGCGGGGAGGTGAAGTCCGCTGGATACGGTTGCGATAACTTACCGGTAGTAAGGAGGACACTCATGATGGGACAGAAAGGCACCTCGCACTTTGGAGGTGTTTTCTCGAGAAGGTCTTTGATCGGGTCGTCGGGGAGTTCAGGAGTGACGGGTCGACGAATCGGAGCAGTCGCAGCCACAGCACTCGCGACGAGGGAGTAGAAGTGCTTGGTGGTGTCGAAGGGTTCGGTTGGACGACGAGGAAGAAGGTAGAAATCGGAATCAGGACGGGAGGGAGCTGTATTGCGAAGGATATGGTCTGGAATCACTGGCAAATGGTGACGGGCTTGACGAGCGTTGGCTGCAGGAGTGACAATGTCAATCGGAGCAGGCCTGGCAAAGAAAGGAGCGGAAGCAGGAGGTGGGGAGTGGAGAGGTTGGAGAGTTGGAGCAGACTCGGGGAAACTGATGTTACTTGCCGAGCCACCAAGCATGCGGACATCCCGCCCTTTTTTTGCCGGGTTGGCCATGTTTGCCAAGGAGATCACGTGACCAAGCGTGGAAGGCGGTGAGTGGGGCAGATAGTATAGATAAAACTAGATAAAATGCGCCCGAGATTAGATGGGCAGGCGGTCGGCGAGGCGGTAAGGTAGATGCAGGAGGAAAAGATCAGATCCAAAGAAAATCAGTTTAAATAGGTGGGCGGTAAGCTAAATAGGAAGTAGCTAAAGGGATATGAGTCCAAAAAGGGCGGGTGCAGTGTAGTAGCATAGCTGAGGTAAAATCATATTAGATGGCAGTGGTGCCGCGTTGGCGTGGTTAGACAGTTAAAAGGAGATACACCATACACGTAGCACGACAATTCACAAAAGTATGAGCTGCCAAGCAAGCCGAGGGTCTTCATATTATCAAGATCATGTGCCTACGATCAAGCTATGGTATTATATTGAGAAACCCTGTTCATTACATTAGTTTTAGGAATCATGCCTCAAAACTAGCTCCAGTCATCAATTTAGTGCTATAGATAACGGTAAAGGCGGTAAACATTTTTGCTGGCAGAACATGAGCAGGTAAACAAAAAAGATCACTACAGGCAAGTGCAACCTACCTCTAGACAAACTGCTAGACTTAATGAACTTCACCACAATAACATCCCTACTCGTCTCTACACTTTTTCAGACACACCCACCCTGAAGACCTCTCTTAACTTCATGAACTTCTGATTCAACCCTTCAACCATTCTGATTATCAGACCGTGCCGGGCGGCTACAGCGCCACCTGTTTGATCTTACCTCAAGATGGAGAATACCGTGGGCCTTCGTGAGTCTATTTCCTTGGATCCCACCAGCAAGCCACATCATGATCTGGGGCTTACACTTTCCCCCGGGTCTCAGCCTCAGCTGGCGGTGCCCTTTTCCAACAACAACGAGGAGGATGTGGATGATCTAGCCTCCCTGTTCGAGATGGATGACGACTTCGACCCATTCAGCGACTTTGGTAAGCTCGCCCACCAAACAGATCCAAAACATGCCTCGAAGAAGCGCACCAGCGATGCGGCATTCGAAGGAGATATCGAGCTATCTCCAAGCAAGAGACAGAACCAGGAGCAGCACGTCTCGGTGGCGGCAGAGACGTTCACGCAGCCACCCGATATTCACCCCACCAGTCGAGGCTCCATTCCGTCTATCCCATCCCATTCCCCTTTTCTTACATCTGAAGCCCCTGCGTCAGCTAGCTCTACGATCAAGAATACATTCAAACTCAACCAAGAGAGTTTGGCTCGCGTTGCAGCTGTCGAGGCTTTCGCTCAACGCAAGTCGAGTGCAAAGCACATCTCGCCATATGCCCCTGTCGGGTATTATCCATCAACACCTAATCTACACTGCATGATTGGTGGAGAGACAGACTCGAATGAAGCTCTCAAAAGCCGCCTGGACAGTTCCCGACGTCGCCTCAATGTTGTCATCGCCGAGCGGAACAAGTACCGTGATGCCTTGCTCAAGTACGAACAGGTAGACCCTGAGACTGGCATGCTGGGAGTTCAAAAGTTGGAGTCAGAAGCCCTACGGTTGCGTCGCCTGGCCTCGAATCATCGATATCGGATGGACCAGCTCAAGGCAGAAGCTCAGGAGTGGAAAGATAGATACGCTGCCTTGGGAACGACTCACAATTGCCTAATTCGGGACTATCAAACACTTCAAGCGACCACGTTCCCCCCACCCTCCACTGGACAGGCACCCCCAGAGGTACCCACGGCTGCCTTCACCTCACCTCCAAACAATATCCAAAGCAGCTACGAGCAATTGTCCCAGGCATTCAATGTCTTGTATGCTGCCTACCTTCGAGCGACCCGGCCCTCCAACTCAAATACTTCCATCCCCTCCCCGTCTTCTCCTCTTTCCATCTCTTCTCCAACCCAAACCTTCAGATCTGGCAACCAAAACTTCAAAGCCCCTACCTACCACTGTGAACAATCTGAAAAATCTCCTGACTCGGATACCTGTTCACCACCTACTCATACCTGCTTACCACCTACCGCACCACCTACTGTCTCATCACCTACTCTCGCGCCGCCTACTCACTCACCACCTACCAACGCGCCACCTCTTCTCTCACCACCTACTCTTATGGAAGATCGTCCCACAGATCTTCCCTCGACTCTTTTGGAAGACCTTCCACCAAATCTTCCAACACCTCTTTCCGCTCCTTCTCCACCTGGTGAGCCCGCTACAATGGCCACCAACTACACCAACTCCATCCTCTCTAGCCCCCGCGGCTACTTGCCGCCAATGTCCCCTGAGGAAGCGGCCATCCTCCTACAGCAGGCCGGCATCCCCTTCTTTCTGCCGTCCCGGAACCTTGTTGCTTCTCATCAGGCAACGGGCCCCACCATGACTACCACCTCGCCGCCTGCCACCGCCGCCATCACCACCACCACCGCCGCCACCCCGCCTGCTCCTAATGTGCCTCCCAAGGACATCGTGGTCATCGACCTGACCGGCGACTCAGACACAGAAGTGAGCCCCCAAGGATCCCATACCCAATCTCCAACCCCCCTGCTGACCCAAGACCCTAGCCCGTTGACCGACTTCCGCCCCCGCTTCCGCAAGAAGAAGCTGACCTGGCTCCATGAGAACAACAGCCAAGACGAGGACTACGAGATTGCAGACTCGCTCTGCAAAACCCTCAATTCGCGCAAGCGCAAGCGCAAACTCGGCAAGAAGTTCGTCGAGACCACCTGGGCACAGTGCTACGGGCACGTCCAAGCCAAGAAGGTACTTTTGTCCTGTTCGCCGTGTTCGTCTGATCTTGTTGCATTAACCTGAGATGTTTTCTGTCTAGCACGTGCGCTGGGTCCTGGGGGGGCCGTTGTCCCCGCTCACCTGTGTGCCCTCCTCTTCCCCGGTTGCCGCCGAGGGCAATACTCCCTCACACAGCATCACCGATGACGATGACTTTGATGAGTTCGCTCGGATGCTGGAGGAGCCCCTGGCCCGCGGCAAGACCCCGGAGGAGGAGGGTATCGCCGCCAACAGCACCACCTCGCCCCCTTCGGGCCCTTCCTGCCCCGACATCGAGGCCAAGAGTGATACTCCCCCACACAGCATCTCTGATGACGATGACTTTGATGAGTTCGCTCGGATGCTGGAGGAGTCCCTCGCCCGCGGCAAGACGCCGGAGTAGGGGGGTGCTTGAAGGGGTCGAGACTGGTGGAGACAAGAGAGGGGAGCGGGCTGGAGAGAGGGATGGAGGGCGGGAGGGGGATAGGGATACTGTCGGAGGCTCGTCATCGTTTTGCTGTGCTGGGAGGGTGGGAGGGTGGGAGGGAGGCTTGATCAAAGGGGAAAAAAAAACCAAAAAGACAACCGTGATGCACAGAGAGGGTGGAAGGGCATCATAGCAAATCCTCCATAGTTGTGCACTTCTGGCGGGCACAACGACCTAATAATCAATCCCGTCACTTTGCGAGTCATCTGGTCCTGAGTATTATGTTGAGACTATGCTTGTAGTACCATCGATTAGAACCTTTGATCTATACTTTGCGAAAAATCAGCGATAATAACCCAACATATGCCTCATCTTCACCGTCAGCGCTACCATTACATCTCACAGCAATAGCCGTTACCTACGACCCACAATATCAGCAATATCTGGTAAAACCTGAGTTCAATATAGGCCCAAATCCCCCATCCCTCGAAGCTAGACCTAAGGGCCTACATAAAACACAAAACATCGAGTCTTACACACACCCCTTCCCAAATAAGCAATCATCAAACAGAATAGCGATACAACAACCCCCAAAATACTAACCAATCCCTCAAGTAGTCTAAGCTCGAACGGGAGAGCGCTTGGTTTGCTGATACCTAACGTACCTGATGTATCATCCCTTCCAAGTAGGCGTGGATTCGAGACCTTAATAGCACAAGGCCCCACGACCGTTCGCAAGTGTCCCTGGGGCCACGACGTTTACCTGCAGGTGCCACCTCTTTGAGGGGGTAGTGGTTTGCCATTCGAGGATTTGGATGGGTCTCTTTTTTTTTGTTTCTTCACTTTGTATATTGATTAGTCTTTGTAAGGGATTGTCGTTGCTCTTATTGTGGTTCGTGAGGTGGTTGGTGTACCCCGGACTTATACCCACTGGTTTTATATGGGTGCTCCCACAGTCCTCTCTCATGGCTACCAGTGGGTACACTTGGGCGTCCAGCATATGCCACTCGTAGTAATTGCTATGGCTGATGTAGTGAATCTTTATCAACAGACTAGGTACCGGCGCGGTAATGTAATAAGGTTATCGAAGATAAGGTTGGCCCATAATCACATTGCCTATTTTAAGCTCCCATTTGGGAACGTGCATATCTCGTCCGTCCATGGGTCTTACCCGTTTCAGGAACCACGGATGAAACCACCATTCCTACTTCATCCAATTGACAGTCAGTTTCCTTGGGAATTTACATACTCAACAAACACACCTGCAAATCAGCCACTGTTTCTTTCCGGCCATACCCAGAGCGAGGTCCTCAAAAACTATCTCGGATGGCCTCCACAACGGTTGACTTGGGTCTGCTAAACCTAATACCTATTGGGCACAATTGAAAAAAATAAAAGACGAGTCCAAGTTATTCACGACATTCAAATCTAAATTATGTATTTACACAGTCCCAAAGCATAATCAAGCGCCAATGAGCAGTCAATCCCACCCAAAAATGAGATTCACAAAGAAAACAAAAATTATGTCATAAAAGGTCATCCAAGATCAGAATGCAGATAGGAAGATCTGTACACCAGCCGCAATCGCCAACATCGTTGAGAAGCTAGCTGTCGACATACCCGGCACAGCGGCAGATTCTTGGCCACAGCAAGTACGGTTATAAGTAACGTTATTCATCTCCGCGGCGACTTCGAAAACGGAGCCGTTGAAGTTGCCGTAGTTGTAGTAGTCGACGAGTAGGAAGTTGGGTGGGCGGTTCCAGTCACCTGTAACAGCGTTAGTAAAAACCAGGTTCAAGAACGGGTGTATGGAAGAAGAAGGATGGCGGAGAGACTCACGGGTACAGTTATTCGCCATCCACCCCAGACTTCCATTGCCATTCACAGCATTAGTCTGGTTAATCGTAGCAGTGTTAGGAATCAACATGCTAAACGAGCCCAAATTAAGCTCCAAATTCAAATTATGATTCGCCATATACATGCGACTCTTCGCATCCTTCTCCGACAAATTAGGAGGTCGCTGTTCCGTGCACGGGAAGCTAGCATCCGTCGGCGAAAAAGGCGTCTCCCAAATCTGCGAGAATTCATCCATCAACCACGGGACGGCTGTTTGATTTGCCTGGTAATCCATAAAGAAGACGGCTCGCTTGCCGGTGAGAATCATCTCTGACAGGGTGGGCCAGTCGTCCAGACCCATTGGGATCTTGGGGGGCGTGTAGGCTAGATCGTAGAGGCCGGAGTTCTTGATTGGGTCGGTGAAGTTTTGCGGGGAGACGTAGTCGTAATTTCCGATTAGGATGGTGACGACGTCGTAGGGGTTTTTGCGCATCCATTGGGCGACGGTTGTGAGGTAGGCTTCGAGGGTGCCGACGTTGAGGATATCGCAGGAGGTGTGGCAGAGCATCATGGTGCCGTTTTGGTAGTGGGTTTGGAATTGAACTGTGAAGATGTTAGCAAGGGCAGTTCCTGAAAGTCGGGAAGCTTTTCTTGAGAGGATTCTTACGCATGCGAATGCCATCGTCGAGTTGCGCCGTCACATCCAGTTCCTGGTTAGCGGCAGCATTGCCTTTGCGCACGAATGGGCTGTTGTGAGCTGCGACCATGGTGATGTTGGAATAGTTGCGCGCGCAAAATTCGGCATAGTTGTTGCACGGGCGAGTATTGACGACTGGTGTCTGAGTCGAGGTGGACGACGCGGTGGCCGTCGCATTCATAGTTCCATTGCCGAGGGTTGTTGTGTGTCCGCCGCCTATCAGAACTGTGAGGGAGTCGGATGTGGTAGTCATGGTTTGGTTGCCCGAGGTCGTCGTCGCATTCGGCGCGGCTGTCGTGGATACCAGGACGGAGGAATTGCCATTGTCCAGGGTAATTGTGGTGCTATAGGTGATATAATTGCCAGAGGGCAAGGCGACTGTGGATGGGTTGGTCACGGTAGATGCACTCGAGAGGTCAATTGATGTCGAAGAATCGGACTTGCTGGTAGTAGATGATTCGGAAGTTGTTGTGTCGGCCGCAGTGACCACTCCTGCGAGGAGGGCCAGGGCTAATGATGACCACCTCATGGTGAAGGGTGTCGCGTGTACGACGAGAATGAGGCGGAAGGGGGAGGGATTGTTTTGGTAAGTATCTAGAGAAGAAAGCGAGTGATATTCCCAGTGAGTGGGAGGATTTCAATGGACAATGTTTTTTTGTCTCTCTGCCTAGCGAGCAGGAAAGTGCCGACTTGATTCTTTTCTCCGCCCAGATCCTCCAACAACTTGCCAGGTGCAATCAGTACAACTAATAATCCGGACTATCAGCGGAACCCTCTCGACCCAGTCTCCAATTTTTGGCCCAACCAGGGTCTGGTGGGGAAGGGCGCAGTGTTTGATGACGTTGCCAGCCAGTGTTGCTGGGTGATGGGCCAATTGAGTTGAGGCTTGCGGATCTCCACCACGGCGCATTGAGACATTGAGACACGCTCCCTTGGAGATGTTCTGGGGGTCTCGGCGTTAAGGGTTATTATCCATGTGAATGGTACCCAAAGGTACGGCAATCCCTGTTTACCCAGAGTCAATCTTACTGACGTATTTGGATCCAGCGATTTCTGTTATGATTCTATGCCAATTCATATTCAACGTCCTTGCGACAAGGTCCAAATAGCCTCCGGTCGGCAAACACGCTTGCATGATCGCCGGGGCATACGGAGACTAGCGACAAGCCACTGACGATCCCACGGGAGCTTTGGGCTTCAGGGATTTGGTGGATCTCGACACCCGTACTCGTACGGGTAACGATTTGCTGCGGATCAGATCGACCTGGGCCCTCTTCTCTGCAAGCTGGCAAGGCAGTGAAAAACTTTCGACTCCATACAGAAGCTGCGGCTGCTGGCCTGCTGCGATCTGGTAAAAATCTCCGGCCCAGACTCTGGCTTTTTTGTTTCGCTTTACCTTCTTTTGCTTTCCCAAGTTTATGGGTGCCTAAACGTCATTCTTATCACTGCCTCTTTTCTTCTTTACCACTATCCTAACCGATCGCAGACTCTCCCTGAATCTCTCCCCCTTCTCTTCTTTTCGCTCTTCATCGCACCGTCCTCTTCAGTCGACTCAATCATGGCCGACGGGACGGATGCTCCCGTCAATGGCAAACGGCACCTTCCTTTCTTCCGTCGCGCCTCTCCAGATCGGCCCGTGGCTCGTCGACGCCAATCTACCGTTCATTGGCACCGCGCTTTACGTTCCCTGCTATACCTAATCGCCTGGATCTTTCTGGTGCTGGTGGTTATTGGCAATGTCGCCAATAAGCCGGTTTTGCGCAGTACATACTTCCTCTACCTCGACCTTTCCAACATTATCCCATTATCCGTGCCCAATGCCGTCTTGATCAATTCCATTGCCCGATCCATTGGCTTGCATGATTTCTACCAGGTTGGCCTGTGGGGTTTCTGCGAGGGCTATAACGATGAGGGGATTACTGCTTGCTCGAAACCGAAGACCCTGTATGCATTTAACCCGGTTGATATTATTTTGAATGAGCTGCTGGCAGGCGCAAGTAGTATGTTTACTTCTATCTTCTATCTTGAGATTGAAAGGTTCAATTGATGCTAACCGCTCTTCCAACAGTCGCCCTGCCCAGCGACATCCAAGAACCTCTTCACCTTGCAAAGGTCGCATCACACTGGATGTTCGGCCTCTTCCTTGCAGCAGCAGTCTTAAACTTTGTCATGATTTTCCTCAGTCCCTTCGCCGTCTCCTCTCGACCCCCGCAATCCATCAAGTCATGGGTCTCCGGTGGCCAGGTTACACCCTCAGGAAACCCACCCCACCGACGTCGCACATTCGTCCTGTTGCGAGCATTCCCCTTCCTAATTCTAGCTTTCTTCACTGCGCTAGTCACTATCGTCGCCTCCGCTGTTGCAACAGTCATGTTCATCATCTTCGCCAACGTCTTCACCAACGCCGACCCCAGCCTCAACATCAAGGCACACGTCGGCAAGCAGATGCTGGTTTTTATGTGGATTGCCTCGGGCTTCAGCTTGGTGGCATTCATCGTTCAGTTCGGCTCCTGCTGTGCGGCGTGCTGTGGTGGTCACAAGGCTCGGAGGCAGCTCAAGGCTCAGGGTATTGATTTGCGGGAGAAGAGCTCTGTGCAGCACAGTGCCTCTGACACACCGGTGGATGCTCAGGCGCCTCACGCCATAACTAGGGATTAATTCTTGGGGGTTTTTGTGCATGTCCATAATTGCGGACTCGACGTGATGTCCCAGTCGAGTCTGCCATTAGTGTTTTGTCAGGTTTGGTGTATTCCATTTCCCTCTTGGTTGGATTTATGTTTGTTTTTCTTTGGGTAGCAAGGTTTGACAGCGTGCCGGCCCTCTTATGGGCTTCAGTTCTCATGACTCCATTTAGATACATACCCAAGTGCAAAATTCATGATCTATACATAGAGAAAATCATACCATATTCATACTTGAAATTAGCGTGGCAGCCATCGTTCGATCATATTACCTCAAGCCATACCGACTACAGTACAACCTTATCGTTTATTCTTCCAATACAGGAAGGAGCATTGTCAGTCTCGTCTCGTCTAGGCCCTTCCACCTGGAGGTAGGTGCTGTGTAGTTTACCCGCTCTAGTCCTTCCTTCGGTAGGATGAAGCATAACAAGGAAACTGGGAGGGGTTATAAGGGGTCAAAACCTCTGTATTTTCAGCAAATCTTGGCCTAGTGGTAAAGGCGCGCTCCTGCCATTGCGGCGACGGGTGTACCTGACGCAGGATCCGAGAACTAGCCAGGTGCGAGAGCAGGTTCGAATCCTGCGGGTGACCAATTTTTTATATCGACTCCATTGCTACGTTTTTTGATGTGTAGGGGCACCGGATCTGGTGAATATGATGGATCTCAAAAGAAGATACATACATACTTCATGATGAAGCCTCCTCGGGATAAACCCAATAACTGCAAAGCTTTCCGTAGTAAATCTTGATTCTGCCATAACGAGAGCAAATTTTGAGACACCCAACTAATGGACGGCTGTAGCTGTCACTAATTCCAGGCGTTATATCTCTGAACTTGATGCATTTTTTTTATAGACTCGGGTTGAAATTTGTTACCCCTGAGACGATACCCGGTGATCCATTTCATGATATTCTAGAATTTAGTCCAGGATATCCCATTTCTAATCAAAAATTTACTCTCAGAAGAAAATCAAATTAATGCTAAAACAGTCCAAGTATTGTCCATCCAACCCTATCTTACTTACAGTAACAAGCTCAGCCCACACCCACCAATCACATGACCCCATAATCCCGCGGCCATCGGAACACCACCGAAACCGCAAAAGCCTCCAATTCAACACCACCTACTCTCCCTTGCCCTCCAACCTCAATCTCACCCCGCCACCCTCCACCAACCTGGGAGGAATCGCAACACCCAATCCCTCCCTCCCGTGTCCAACGCACCAAAAAACCTCCACCGCCAAGATGGTCGACATCGTCCCCCTCTCCTCCTACCCCTCCTACATCGACCTCCTCCCCTCCATCCAAACTTGCAACATCACCAACCTCCCCGAAAACTACTTCCTGAAATACTACCTCTACCACGCCCTGACATGGCCGCAACTGAGCTTTGTCGCCGTCGTCCGGCCCAAGAATGGGTACAAGAGCGGTGGCTCCGGGCCCGGTATGGCGGGCGATATCTCTGGCCAGTATCCTAAGGTTGTCGGGTATGTGTTGGCGAAGATGGAGGAGGAACCGTCGGATGGGTTGCAGCATGGGCATATTACTAGTTTGTCGGTTATGCGGACGCATCGGAGGTTGGGAATTGCGGAGAGGTTGATGCGGATGAGTCGTGAGTTTTTTTCCGGATCCTTTTTTTTGTCTGGGGTTGCGGGGCTTGCGATTGCTATTGCGAGCTTGATCGTGCATATCTCAGATCATCTTCGAGTGGTATTTGATTTTGATTTACTAACATTCATCACAGAGCGCGCAATGGCCGAATCCCACCGCGCCAACTACGTCTCCCTGCACGTGCGCGTCTCCAACACCGCCGCCCTCCGTCTATACCGCGACACGCTGGGCTTCGAGGTCGAAAAGGTCGAGAGCAAGTACTACGCCGACGGCGAGGATGCCTACGCCATGAAATTGGACCTGCAGAAGCAGTGGCTGGACTGGAAGGCTATCGAAAAGCGGGACCGGGAGAATGACAAGGCCAAGGATGACGAGAACGCTGATGAGGGTGATGAGGTTGGTGAGTTGGGCAAGAAGGAGGATGTCAAGGAGGGGGAGAAGTTGGTTAAGGTTAAGGTTGGTCGTGGGTTGGGTGTTGGTGATTTGGTTGAGAGGAATGAGAGTCAGCAGTCATAGGCTTGGAGTGTGGGAATCTATTGTGGATGATGGGGAGCTTGTGTGGAGTTAGGATGGTGCTGGTATACAATGTCCGCGACACTGAACCTCACTGAACCTTGAAATTACAAAAATGGAAGTACATGATGCTGAATGTGCAATATGAAGATTATACCAATCTGCCTGCCATGGACTCGTAACATCATTCACCCCAATTCATCCAACGAGATACCTACCCTCGTAAAAACGTAATATGCGCCGAATGCTTCAATATATACATACAAAAGATAGAAAGTATTAATTCCCAGGCCAAAAAGCTCTACCTCAACCACTAGGATCCTTCTTCGAATCCTTCCCATCTTTCGAATCCGAAGGCTTGTGCTGCTTCTTCGCACTCCGCGGCTTCAGCATCTCTTTAAACCGATCTTGCGGCCTAGCCTTCCTGCCAGGAAGCTCGGCTGAAAATTCGTTCACACTAATTTGCGACTGTGGCTGCGATGCAGACGATGATGAATTCACAGTACCCTGCGCACTGACATCCGAGCTTAGATTGGGCCGAGAAGGTAGATTTCGTTGCGACATCTGCGAGGAAACAGGTTCCGTCTGCGAGCGGACTGGGAGTGGGTTGGGTGTATCGGCAAGCGCCAAATTTCCCATACGGTTGTCTAGCAAGGTGTTATCTTTCGCATTGTTCTCTGCGCTAGCCAGGGCCTGGCGCCGATGATTCCATTTCGCACGCCTCCTATCACGCTGTTCATCACGCGCGCGACGCACGATGTCGCGGAATGCTTTCTTGGTAGCGCGCATCTCTTCCTTCATGGCGCGGCGCTCTGTCGATTGACGTTCTTGTTGCTCGGGGGATTCCCAGCGACCCCAGTCAGTGCTGTCTGTGGCGTTCGGTTGCTGTCGGCACAAAACACTGCGCCAGTTCTGCCGGCCAGATGCCCTGGCCTCACGGCGGGATTCTTGCAGGATGTCTAGCTGTCGTCGGAGGTCGACTGCTGCTTCGTATAATGTGCGGTCGTGCCTATCGTGTAGATCTTGTAATTGCGTACGAACGGTTGCTAGATCTGAGGGGCCGAGGTCGGAAGTTGTTGAGATGGAGTCGATGGAGCTGAGTGAGGATTCGGAAGAGATGGAACTGATGGAGTCACGACGGGAGCGACCAACGATAGGATCTTTGTTATCGGCCTTGGTTTCACTGCTGGACTGGTCGCGGGTCTGATTTGAGTTTGTGCCAAAAGTGGTTTGGCTTGGTGTTTGGGCTGGAGATTGATTTCCTTGGGGCTGGGCCGGAGGGCTTGGATTGTTTGGAGGTGTTGTGTTTTGCGTAGGGCTTGTGGCGTGGCCCGGGTTCTGTGGAGGCTGCTGGTAAGTGTACGGGGCCGACGGTTGTACACCTTGCTTGCGTCCATGAAGCCGTGCCTGCTCCTCAAGCCAGCGTCCATGCGCCAATGCTTGTTCCTCGACCTGTCGGCCATAGTGCATGGCCTGTGTACTTATTTGGTCCCCATAATGCTGAGCCTGCTCGGCGAAACGTTCACCGTACTTTTGCGCCTGTGATGTGAGTGAAGAGATCCACCCCAATGGACCACCCGTCTTTTGTGTTCCAGAATTACCATATTGCGGCTGAGTATAAGCCCACTGGTTCCATTGCCATGGCGGAACACCTGGAGGTGGCGGCGGTGGAGGGGGATAGTATTGAGGAGGCTGATGATTAGGAGGTGGACCATGTGCTGGGAATGGAGGCATCACTCCAAATGGCCCATAGTGACCCGGCATCGGGGGGTAAGGGTAGTGTTGGTTTGGAGGGACAGGCCAGGCAGTCGGCGATGGTGTGTGCTGCCCTGGCACAGGTGACGGCGCATTCGGATTCGCCGCATGTTGGCCTTCCAGAACCCCAGCAGCGCTAGGACTCTGTGTAGCCCTAGTTGCAGCTGGGTAGCACCGAGGACAAAGAGCAGATGAGGGCGCTGCATCAGATTCGCCGACATAGACAAAGTCAATGCGAGCGGCGCGTGGTTCAAAAAAGCATTGATTCCATTCCTCTACCACGGCTGCAATCCGGGCTTGTCGCTGCTCATCTGTCTCTTGCGGTCGGTCCTTGCGATCTCGCTGAATCTCAGCGCGCAGCTGTCGAGGAAGATGCTGCGAGGCAGCCGCCAAACCTAATTGTGGAGGAAACAGATATCGCAGGAAGGTGTCCCAGTCCTGCTGGGCAACATCGTCCACGCCCGAGGTCCAGCATCGAGGCCGTCGAGGAAAATCTTTTGCTGAGCTGCGGGGGTATATCGTCATATGATGGTGGAGGAGATCCCGAGTCTCGTCCAAAGCCGTTGGCGGCCGTTCCTCGAAATAAGTCACGGCGGAAGTAAAGTGGGTAGGCACAACAGCTGGCCTGGATGGTGCTACAGATTGACTAGCGCTGGAGCTGCCAGCACCTGGCGAAGATGAAACATTCCCACGCAAAGGTGCCGAGGGGTTGCCACTGCGACTATTCGCAGGCGCCAGCAACGGGTCAACGGCCGAGTAAGGCGGTGGAGCCTCCTCTTGGTCCATTGCGCGAGAGGCGCGAGGGGGCCCTCTCTTTAGATTGTCGATCAAGCAGAGACACCAAGGTTAGATTAGAAGCAAGTGAGGAAGCCGGGAATCTTGAAACATCCGACAATCACAGCGGATCTTCCATAGTCGAGTGAGATGGGCGAGACTCAAACGGTAGTAAGACGATAAGATAACGTGGAGGGGGGAATTGGAGTCGAAGGCAGCAGAATTTCCACCCTTGGCGGTGTCCGAAATCAAATAAAACACCATAAGAAGGGATCTTCAGCAATTAGCGAGAGATTTTGAAGGGTATTTAATCTCATGTAAATATCTCTTATCCAATGCAGATTTAAACGAAATTTGAACATGATTGCATCAGTTCACATGGTTATTGGAGTCTTGATTGTCGATATCTGTAAAGTCACATGATCTATTCCATGTGGATATAAGCATAATTTGACCGGCAGAATTACCCCAGAAGTTTGATGTCACAACAAAACTTCAAGCTCGTTCCACTTGTCCCGAGTAGACTGATAGCCCGAGGATAATATCAGAGCTATTTAGAAATATCCTCTGAAAGATATCAAGCCGAATTGCCTGTCAAATTTCCGCTGTTGCTCAGGTGGCACCTGATTGGCCAATCGTTGATTTGCTGGAAGGAGATCTCCAGACCGCCCTTCTAGAACCCATCAACCAATCAATCCACGCAACCCTGTTTTGACATCCTCATACTCCATAACCACCCACCCTCTGTTAGTCCGATCCCTACTAAACACAGTGCTCAAAGAAGAAAATTGATGATTTATTAATTGAGCAGACTAGTTCAGTCTGACTTGCAAAACATAATGAGCGTATATGTGCGTCAATCGCACCCGAATATCTGATACTAAATACACGGTGACAAAACCAACAGGAAATCCAAAACATTCTTCCAAGACAAGGTCGATCGATTGCCAAGGGCATTTCCACCAAGCAGCGGCCTGTTTCATTTGAAGATAATTTATTATCAAGCCAACAGCTGCATATCCACGTCGAGATCGCGAATTTTACGCAGATGCATTAGCGGAGGCATTCGCGGAAGCATCCGCAGAGGCCGAGCCCGAAGCGTTGGCATTCGCAGAGGCGTTGGCACTCGCATTAGCACTTGCATTGGCAGAAGCGGAAGCTTCAGCCTGAGCAGATGCCTCAGCCTGTGCAGATGCCGAACCACTGATTGAGCCCGTCACGCCAGGGAAAGAAATGCTGATGCTGGTGCTCCATGTCTCCGGGGCAGTGCCCGTACCAGTGCCGGCTCCAGCGCCTACACTACCAGAGACGCTTGAGCCAGTTTGACCAGATCCGGAACCGCTAACACCAGTGGAGCCAGAGCCAGAAATGCCAGAGCCAGCAGAGCCCGAGGTGGAATCACCGGAGCCCGTGGAGTCCGAGGTTGAGGAGGTGCTCGAAGAACTCGCGCCGAGAGAGCCAGTGTCAGATGTGCTACCCTCAGCACCACCTGTACCAGTTGCGCTCACTCCGGATTCACCAGAGCCTTCACCAGAGTTTTCGCCAGATGCCTCGCCAGATGCCCCTCCAGAAACACCACCTGAAGCAGTTCCCGAACCAGAGGCACCAAGAGAGCCACTACCCGAAGCACCTAGGCCACCGGAAGTAGTGCCGCTGGCTCCACCAGAAACACCACCGGATGCACCGCCGGACGAGCCACCAGAAATACCGCCTGAAGCAGTGCCTGATCCAGATGCACCAAGAGAACTACTGCCCGAAGCACCCAGGCCACCCGAAGTGGTGCCACTGGCTCCTCCGGAAACACCACCGGATGCGCCGCCTGAGGCGGTTCCTGATCCCGAAGCACCAAGAGAACCAGTACTCGAAGCACCACCGGTAGTAGTGCCGCTAGATCCTCCAGAAATGCCACCGGATGCGCCGCCAGAAGCACCGCCAGAAGCAGCTCCCGACCCCGAGGCACCAAGAGAGCCAGTACCCGAAGCGCCTAAACCACCTGATGCGCCACCAGAAATACCGCCGGAAGCGCTGCCTGATCCCGAGGCACCACCAGTTGCACTAGCACCAACTGAACCAGTCCCGGTAGCGCCCAGGCCTGACGATCCACTGCCGAAACCACCCCATCCAAGTCCACCAAGTCCGCTCAGACCACCGCTGAGTCCAGCACTCGCAGACCCAGATCCCGAGCCGGAAGCCGAAGCCTCGCCAGAGGCCTCGCCCGACGCCTCACCAGAAGAATCAGCCGAGCCACTTCCAGAGGCACTGCCTTCGCCGAAGATGGACGTAAGACCGCTGAGGCCACCGCTAAGGCCACCGCTCGCGGAAGATTCAGCGCTTCCAGAGCCGCTACCCTCACCATTGAGGAGTCCATCAAGGAACAGGCAGGGCTTGCGAGCCTCGAGGGTCTTGGTGACGGGCATCGCGAGGGCAGTGCCCGCGAGCATGAGAATGACGGTATTTTTCATGTTGATTGAAAGATAAAATTTGAGGGGAAGAGAGCGAGAGTCAACTCTGAGAGATCGAAAAGAATGAAAGAAGGTATGAGAAGAAAGAAATTGAAAGATTGTCAAGTTGAGCCAGTCAACTGAAGCGAAAGACGGTTGGTGATGATGATTACAATTGACCGTGGATAGATGACCATCTTTATAGTTCTCGAAGTGCCCGGTCTGAGAGATGATTCCGTGATGGCTCGGAAATCTAAGCCTGTACGTGATGTCGAAGAAACTGATTTTGTGTCGTGCTAATTTAGTGAAACGAATGTCCCCATGTCTCATGGCATCCTGTTTCAAGGAACCGTGGTTGACATATTTTCCCGTTCACTCCGATCATCCTGTACCCGAGGATTCAGAAGGTGACATGGTACTTGACGAAAAGGATCAATTTCATCCATCAGAGGTTGGATCTCTAGTATGTCATCATGAAGTTATGCAAACAAACATGAAGGTTGAGGTAAACATCGTTAGTAGCATACATATCCAAAGGTACATAAACATAAACCAGGCTTAGCACCCTTCTCCCATAAGCTAAAAAATGGGCCCACCAACCTATGTGCATATTCGTGGAACTAGTCGGTTTCGAGAGCCAGCACCCTGTATTCAACCGGGGAAGACTACGGCTCGCAGCTCAGCGGTCTCACACTCAAACCTGGGAAATCAATTTTGCCGCGATTTGCAGAACCGGTTCCCCTATTGTCTCTTCATTCCATGTTATTTTTAAATAACTCATGGCTCGGAATTCGTAGATAATGCTTCCATCCTAGGATTCAAAATAAGTTGAATCAAAAATTATACAGCGTTAGAGTAGATGTACTTTATACTATAGTCAGTAGTCTCAAAGTTTGAGTCTTCAACTTCCTATCTCTCACAAGATTTCTCCAAATGCCTTCTGAATCGTCTTCATATAGCCCAGAAAATATCTCTTGAATAGTGTACGGAAATAATTGAGAAGATCAGCCTCAGGATGGACCGAAAAATGAGGCGTTTCGGGTGTTTAGCCGAGTGGGTCCTGGGGGTTGTTCGCCCTAGTGCCTGAGCATCCCGAACACCGAACCGTTCATCACAAACTCAATTTATGCAGAAGATGCTTATTTTTAGGTGGTCATGGTGTTCGAGACATATTAAGGAGAAATGGGTTTATTGTAGATCTCTCGCTGATCAAGTGTTCATCCGGCATTAGTCTTATCCATCTCACGGCAGGTGCAAGAACATTAACGAGCATTATTGACTTACCGTGGATGATGCAGTCTATGGACACAGCCTTCATTGATCTTCAAGTTGGAGATAGAGCTTCAATGCATAGTTTTGGGGATCTGTATCCGGACATTATGGGCTACAGAAGTTGAAGTCACGTCTAACTAGAAAGATTTAGGAGTAGTATCTCACCCTATTAGGATTCCTTTGCAAGCACGGACAAACGACATAACCCAAACATCATGAGTATCCGTGAATTAGCGGGATGAGACAGGCTGCGACCAACATACTAGAGCATAGCAGAACATGCACGGTCGAGTAATGTTATCAAGAACTGGAGGTGAGAATTCCGGAATTCTCGCGATCGCTATACTTCGTTTCAGATTTAGGGTGTTTGTTGAGACAACTTCTAACGCCGCACGTTCCCTCCGCTTGTGGAACCACCCAAATTCTTCAAACCTCTCAAACAGGACGTTAATTATAGATCACCGAGTGGGCATATACTATAGACCTGTAAGGAAGGAGACAGTTGAGACTAAGCTGTATAGCCCTCGAAAATTTCAGCGAGAAGTTCCGCTCATTTCTTGTCCTGATGTCTGTTTGTGTGGACTCTTTTTGGACCTTTCGCGCCACTCAGAGAAGACGCACTCCAATCTCCTGGGCGGCTCTGAGAAGAGATGCTATTCTCTTCCCTGAGTCAATACTTGGTTAATCCAAATCCAATGCATTTAGCAGTCTACACAAAATTGGAGGTGGTTTCAAAGCGGTTGAGCGAAGGCTTCGCGCGAAGTCCTGTTTGGTTCTACCTAACCAGGGCCTACGAATGGGCCGAGGACTTTACCCCCAGGCCCTGGCCACAGACCATCATTAGATAACCTCTACTCATAGGATTCCATTTTGCCTAAATTTAATGCCAAGGCACCCAATGTGCTGATCAAAGCAGATTTGTTATCCGTATTTTTGCCGTTCTAGTTGTGTCGTAATTGAGACTCAATTATCTAAAGCGAACGAAAATATGGTTATGGGATGGGCACATAATCCAACCCGAGGCCGTTCGTAATTAGTTAAGCATCAAAGATTTACGATTAGGTGACTAGTTAGTAAGTATGTTCTATCGGCATGATGTTTGGTAAGTCGCAGGAATCATTGAGTCTGAACTTGTAGGTAAACTATATGGGATGGGTGTGCCATGGCTGAGAGATGAGTATCCTCGCGTAGCCACACTAACCTTTTTGGTTTGGCCCGAGGATACGAATACCTCAGAAACAATATTATTCCTCCGCAAGGTGCATTTCACAACCATAATCAAGGCCTTTGGTAACAGCGTCTCTTTTTTCCGGGGCACCTTGTGGACTCATGATGAGAATATCATCCACATAAATGAGATAGGGCTGTCATCCCGGACGCACAGGCAGATGTCTCACGCTGCTACTCATAATTCAAACGCAGACATCTCTCGAAGCGTCCCTCTACCACGTCCGTGGTAATCTGTGTAGGCCATAAGGGCCCTCTTAATTGTTCAATACCTTAACCAGCCAATTTCAAGGTCAAGATTTGCGGCAAAGGGAGAGACAGCCTGGGAGGCTCGGACTCCAAAAGTAGCCGAACCCTTTTCCTTAGTTGAGGACAGTCGAGTCATGGAGCGGCAACTTACGGCTAGGACAGGGGTTATATGTACTGAGGGATTAATCCCCGGTTAGTTTAGCTATAAACTAGACGACGATGATAGGTTATTCCCATGCCTTTGCATGTAGCGGGGCATGATTAATCAAGTAAGCCAGAATAGATCAATACAATTGGCCACAAGATCTAAGCGTGGTGCACGGAGTGCATACCAAGACACAAAATAATGCGCTCGCTATTACAGTAGAAGAGGCTGTAGATGATTTCGCCCCCACGCTCAGCCTCCCCGGTCCCCCTCGGGTACCATCCTCCTCTAGGGTAGGCTCCCCGGAGTTCTACACATCCAGACTCCGGAATGTATTTTAGATTTCCTTCCGAACTCCTTTTCTCTGAGCACATGAACGACACCAGAGTCTAGACTTTGTATGTAAACTTAGATCTAAAATCCATTATACCCGGTGGAAGGATCGTCCGAACACTGAAAAGCTTTTGCACGGACCGTGCAGTTCCTGGGTTTCCAACTTTCCAGAGTCTTAGTCTGCCTCTAGGGTGGCGTGGGAAATTATGCTAGACGGTGATTGGCGCTTAGTGGTGGATAATTCGACATCGAACTCCACAAATTCACTGGAGGGTTGCTGAAAGGTAGGATCAAGATCATTAGAAGAGCCGTTAGCGCCAGTAATGACTCAAGTCCGAAATAATAATAGGCAGGCCACGGACAGGAGGCTGATCAAGCAGGGTAAAAGGGTCGCTTATTATTTATCCTATTACCCCTATTATCGTCCCTGTTCCTGTTCCTGTTCATCTTTTTCTACATCTAGAAAAATTACATACGAACGATCTTCACTGTTCACTCCTCCTGCTGCAGATCCGTGACGATCCGGAGAATTTCACGACGATCGGCAATCTGTACGACGGCAACGATGTGGGGAGCCTCAATCTTGTCCCTGGCTACCTTGGCTGCTCTGCCATGCGCCAATGCAATTACACTACACAAGCGGGATGATCCGGCTGTCTTTGCGCTCCCAGTTACCCGTAGTGAACGGTCCCAAGCTTTACAGAAACGGAGTTCTAAAGTTGCCAGCACGGATTTATACAATGAGGTATGAGAGAAAGACAAGCAGCCGCAAATGGCAAAACACATGATTAAAAAAGAGAGATAAACTAAACTTCTAATAGCAAAACCTGTACTATATGGTGAACATCACCATAGGCACCCCACCCCAAAATCTCTCCCTGAGTCTCGACATCGGCAGCAGTGACATCTGGGTCAATGTCCCCAGCTCCGATTATTGCTCCGCAAAGGACGATCCCTGCTCATCGACCGGCTTATTCAACAGCAAAGACTCGTCTACTTTCAAGCAATTAGATTATAAGATGAACGCGACCTATGTCAGTGCCTTTTTGGCTGCGGGTCACTATGCGACCGATACGTTGGTTATTGGGGGTGTTAAGGTGAAGGATATGGAGTTTGCGGTTGCTGAGGAGAGTCAGAATCCTCGTACGTTCAATCGGGGTTTTTAATTGATTTGCTGTGAGAATGTGGCATCTGTTTTAGCGTGCTAACCATGAACCGCGTACAGACGGTATCCTCGGAATCGGCTACGCAATTAACACCGACGCCGCAACCAGCCAAGGCCACAACTACGCCAACCTCCCCGAAGCACTCGTCAACAGCGGCGCCATCAAATCCCCCGCCTACAGCCTCTGGCTAAACAAATTCGACGGCACCGGAAACCTCCTCTTCGGCGGCGTAAACAAAGCAAGATACCAGGGCGAACTGCAGACCGTCCCCGTCTTACCTCTCTATGGCAAATACTATTCCCTCGCCATCGCGCTCACAGATATATCCGTGAAAACATCCAGCGGAACCAAGGATTTCGCAACCGGGCTTCCCATCGCCGTAACACTCGATAACGGAAGTGCCTTCATCGCGCTCCCGCAAGAAATAATCGATCCGATTTTGAAAGAAGTCGGCGCTGGATATTCCAAGAGTGATGATGTCGCTTATATCGACTGTACAAAGCCCACGCCCGATTATAACGTGACATTCTCCTTCTCCGGCGCTAAGGTCAATGTCCCGCTCAGCGAACTCGTGCTCGATGGCTACGCTCAACCCGGTTTTCCCAAGGGAAATTGTATCTTGGGTCTGACATATAGTCAACCGGGCGTGAACCTGATGGGTGATTCGTTCATGCGTAGCGCATATATCGTGTACGATCTGGCCAATAATGAGATTTCGCTCGCGAATACTAACTACGATGGGGGCGATGATGATATTCTTGAGATTGGGACGGGATCTGATGCGGTTCCTGGTGCGACCCTGATGCGTGATCCTGTTACTTCGGCGACGGGGAATGGGGCTGTTGCTACTGGGGGTGCGGCTGCGGCGCCGGGGACTACGATTTATGTTACTGGGACGGGGACTGCCACTGGGACTGCCACTGGGACGGCGACTGGGACGGCGAAGGGTGGTGCCGCCGCTACTAGTACCTCGAAGGGATGGGCTGCGGTGCAGACTAGCAATCCTGGCCATCTGTTGCCTGGGCTCTTGGGTGCGGGTTTGCTTCTGGCATTGTAGGTTAAGGGACTGCCAATGTTACCGGTCATCAGTATCCTAGAGAAATGATTTGATTACATTTGTATCTCAATTGCTCGATTTAGAGTTAATGGACATAATTTTTACCCAATTTCCGGATCTACTGTAACGGGTAGATAATCCACCCCGGCAGACTCGTCCATGTAGGGCGATTCAAAGGACCTTTAGAAAGATATACAAGTCGACGCCACCATGCAAGAGCGCAGGGGTTCTACATTACAACCTCGAAACGGACCAAGACCCGGTTCACAAGAGGAAAGTGGCATAGCCAGTAAATTACTACCTGCACAGCCAACCAAAAAAACCCAACCAAGTAACTGCCAAACAGAATGCGAGAACATGGTGAAAAGAAGAGGGGTATTAGTGTAAAAGGCCGAGCGCAAGGGAAAGAAAGAAACAAGCGCCCGAAACACACGCACAAGGGCAGAGTTGATCTTGGACCAAGATACATGGCACGGACACCAGAGGGGGGAGAGGGGGAGAGAAAATTCAAGCCCAAGTGAGCAATCTCAAACCGAGAGAATCATCAAGTAAAGAGATGATCCAAAGGCCGGAAGCACGGACAGAAGCACGGACAGAAGCACGGACAGAAGCGCGGTGATAGCAAGTGTAAGAACGGAGTGTGGGTAGGTGAAAACAAGTTCAGATTCAATCATAGGAGACAAGCAGAACAAAAATCCAAAAAGAAAGACAGGGTATCGATGGAATATGAGAAAAGTAAATCATAAAACAAAGCGGAATATATCCGAGCCGAGATCAGTGCAAAAAGTCCAGGTAAAAGACAAAGATCGGATCGAGTCATCGAAGAACGGGGACAGGAAATGGATGACATCCAAGTCCGTCAGGTCCAGCCACGGCATCGATTCGCAGAGCACGGCAGAGGGAATAAAACACAGCAAATGACGATTCAAATGACAACAATGCAAAAACTATAACAATAAATCCCTATGAAAAAAGAGGCGACATCCCTCTCACTCCCGATACGCCGAGTAATCGGTTCCTCCAGACGCCGAGTATGCAAATCGAAGTCATTCCATAATGCAGGCCAGGAATCCAACCGGCCACAACACAGCACAGCATAGCACAATAGAACCAGACAAAACGTCTAGTCTAGCTCATTTCCATGCCATACTCATCCTCCTCCTTGAAGCTCATAGCCGCATGGCCGGCGCTATTCCAGTACTGGGGTTGACCCGCACCATTAGCGCTGCTCGCTCCGCTATGGAACGAGGGGCTCATGCCGGGTGGTGTCAAGCCATCACTGCCACCCTGGACGGGGTCGCCAGCCAAGTTGGTGTGCTTGGGAACGCGGAGACCACTGCCCGGCCCGCGGGTGTAGCTGAAGGAGGTGGGGTCGTTCTTCTCGAGGGCGTCAAGGATCTCGCTGCGCATGCGCTTCTCTTCCTCTGTAGGCTCGAATGGCCATGTTCCACCTAGGCTGCTGATCATCTCGGCGAGCTCCGCTTCTTGTTGGTACTTGACGTGCAGGGCCCACATCAAATCGCGCATCCAGCTGACTGCACCGTTGAGAATATCACCCTTGTTCGGGCCCTTCTCTTTCTCTTCGATGGGCAGGCCCAACGTAATGTTGCCGGGTGTGGCGCGGCGGCCATTGCCACCAGCCAGAAGAGAGGTTGCGGCATTGCTGCCGGCGCCGGCCATGGAGAGAGCGGTGTTGTTGACGAGTTGCTTGCGGACCTTGTCATCTTCAAGTCGGTGTTGTGGTACGAGATGGGAGAGGTCCTGGATACGCTCATTGATGTTGTCGCGACGACGGCGCTCGACTAGGTTGTGTGACGCACGGCGTCGTCGGCGCTTGGCCTCTTGAGACTCGAGATCCTGGGCGCTACCAGGAAGGTGATTGTCAACCTTGGCAGGCAATGACGCATGCTTGCCCGACTTGAGAATCTCCGAAATGCCAAGCTGCTGTGCGTGATGGTTTGGTGATCCAATCGGAGACTCGACATATGAGTGTGCACTGCCGGGGGTTCCGTCCCATTGATTGGAGAGTGTCTTCTGGTGGCGGTGCTGAATCCCGGATGTTCGGATCGGCTGGCCGGGGAAGCTGCCGGATTCCGGGGTACCCAGAGTCAAGGAACCCAAGGCGGGTGTCTTCGGGGTCATCGGGCTTCGTGTGTCAGATGAAGTACGATCCATGTTGGCCAAGCTCGGGCGAGATTTGGCATTCAAGTAGTTCTGATCAAAGGAGCTCGCATTCTGCAAGTGATGGTTATGGTTCTGCTGGTTCATGCGGAACTGCTCGTAGTTGAAACTGCTGTTGACGAAAGGGCTAGCCATCGGGGCGTTGTCCGGGGTATTCGAGTACATCTGTGACATTTGGCTTTGGTGACTCATGGCGATGCCTCCGGACTGATCCTGGAGATAGTTGATGTTGTTGTCACGCTGGACTCCGTTCTGGCCGCTGATCTCGAGATCCAGTAGTTCATCGGTGTCGATTCCGGAGTTACCGAAGTTGAAGCTGGAGGACATGTTCTGCTGCGAGCCGTAAGAGAAAGGCATGAAACCGCTCTGCTGCATCGTCAAGTCGGATGGGTCAACCCCCTCATTGGGGTTCCCGAAGTGATTACCCATGTAACCGGAGTGAGACATCATGAAAGGGTTGCTGTGATCGTCAGATTCGTGCTTGATGAAGAGACTTGCTCCTGCCATTGTGCAGACTAGACCTTAACCCAGTAGATAGTGTGGGGAACGAACGTGGAATTGGCGAGGAAGGGTGACGAGGTCGTCTTGCTGAATTATTACTGACCCTCTCTCTGATGTAGTGATGGGCCCAGTCAGGCAGCCGTCAATGCGGGATTAATAAAGCAAGTATGGATGGTATCGGAGATAAGATGATATCTGCGAGGGTGAAAAGAAATGTTAGCTCGACATGCGATTGAAAGGAGAGGTAGGTGGCAGCGAGGATCGGGTCGGCAAATAAGATGCGCTGGCTCGCTTCATCCAGCCAGACGCAACGAGGCAACCGAGGTGGCCCGCCACGAGGGTTTGAGGGGATGAGATCAGCGGAAAGAATGCGGGAATATTCATACCTTCCGAGTCAAGAGCGGAGGAGAAGCGACAAGATGTCTATGGTTGATATGCGCTCGCGTTGACAGGAGGGGAAAAGTTCGAGGCCAAGGGTCGGTGGGATGAGTCGACAGTCTCGGGGAGAATTATCGGGGGGGGGGGGAATGCGGATTCGCAACCACGCTGAGGCGATCGCGCAGAAGATAAATGGAAGAATAAGATAGTGCAGTCTAGAAATAGAGAAGACACCAATTGTAAGCAACCAAAGGCCCAGGGCAGATGGGTAGGAGATGCGGAAACGTGGCGAGTCAGAAAAGAAAGGGAGAGGGGGAAAAAGGGCGGGTGCAGATAAGCGCGGGCCCTCAAGGGAACAGCGCAGGAGAGAATCAAGCCTCGAGTCGCAAGAGCAGTGGAACAGCAACGAAGCCCGGGTGAAGTGAAAGAGGAGTTCAGATAGATAGATGACTATCCTGCCTCTCTCAGATCAACAGCTGGTATCAATTCTGCACCAAAAAGGGAAGACCCCAAGGAGACTCGATGTCTTGATAGCTTGATAGTTTGATGTGCCCGAGACCCGAAGAGTGGAGAGAGGCGGGGGGGGGGAGAAACAAGCGGTGGAGAGAAAGAAAAAAGGGCGGGCGGTGAGTGGTGGCGATCACTGGGATGATTCACCAGTTGGTTGACACTTTCACTTGTTGGTATGTATGAAAGTATAGAATAAATCACACTTGGCAAGTTACCAGTCCACTGGACAAGCTGGAAACTCTGTGAACCTGCCAACTTGGATCTGACCAAAGTGTGTCTGTTCTCTCCTCGGCTGAAAATGTCCTTTGCGCCGGTCTGAGTGCGCCTTGACCCTGCGCATTCAGCCTCTCCACAGGATCACAGCTCCCGAGGAGGGCCCCCGGGTCTCAAGCCCCGAATAGTCGTCTTACAGCAGAGGCCCCACCGTTCGCTTTGCAATGCAGAATACGAAGCCATCCACGTAATCGAGTTCTTCGTCTGTCTTCTCTCCTCTCCTTTGCTCTTTGATTTTCTGGGGCAGACAAATGGGGATGGTGCTCGGGTAGAAAGGCAAAGTGTAGTAAAGTATAGAAATGTAGGCTTACCAAGCTGAACAACCTTCCAAGGTTTGTTCTCAAGGCTGGTTTGAAGGTCTGAGCAATAGTCTGCTGGTCGGAGAGACCGAGACTAGGACAGTGTTAGAAATTTTCTCCAACCGTTGCAAGTAAAGGACCAAAGTATATCGAGCAATAGGATGTGATGGCCTCGCATCAACACAAAGGCATTCAACAGTAAACAGCATCAAGACAAGAAGCAAGAGTGCAGTCCATCGACATATCACCACGTCAACAACCGCAGAGCCCCAGCACGTGGCAGCCAGCTCGTGCAGGCAGCAATCATCCATGCAGGAACAAGCACCAGAAGGGGAAAGGGGGAAAGAGGAAAGGAAAGGGTCAAGGCAAGGAACACCAACTGAGGATCCACATACGTACCTGCAATAGAAGAATCGAAGAAGATCTCACGATCCTCTTGGTAAAAGCCAACCTACAAGATCCACAAGCCAAGCTATGCGAATCATGAGGCGCGACACAAAACCGTGACGGTGACGTGGAACGAGTCGAGTCGAGCGAAGCTTACAGCACAGAACAATCTTCGAAGCCCTAGAAGAGCGGATGATTTCTCGATGGACCAGTGATGCAGTGCCAACACAGCAAGCGTAGAGAGGGGGGAAAGAATTCAAAAAAAGCACTTGCAGATTGCGAGGGAAGGAGACTTTAAGAACTCTGCTCCCACAGACTCTCGTCCTGCACCTCTCATTTGATATATTACAACATCGGTCATGCAGCCCGTCGATCGGTGGGAATCGATGAGGCTTGCCGGCCTTCGGCATCGGACATACTACGCTTGTTTTGGGAGAGGTTAAGGGGGGGTGTGGGGGATTTATTTTAGATAGAAAATGTAGAATATGAATATAAATAATGATTTTTATTTGATTTATTCTTATCCTTGACTCTTTGGGTGTTTATTTTTAAGTTTTTGTTTCCTGTTTTTGCTGGGACGTTGATCAGATGGTGGTGGTGTGTAGTGTGTGTAGGTGTAGGCAGAGGGGTGTGGGTGTCTATGGTGTGGGTTGGATAGTTCATTTTGGGTAAGCGTGATTTGATTCTGAATAATTTAGTAATTTATTGACTGGGAATTCTAGGGCTTGGGATTTTGCTGCCTGTGTCATTGATCTATTTTAGGCTTCTCTGGTGGATGGGAGGGGGGAGAAGTATAATTGTGTAGAGTCCAATGTAAACATGTAGATCGTACTGGCTTGTGTTAGGGTTAGATAGAGGGATAGTAGAAAAGTGGCGACCGGTTTAACCCCCGAGCCTCTTCCAATCTAGCAAAGAAGAAAAGCATCACAAGGAGATAAAGACGATGACGATGGGACTAGAAAAGATAATACTAATCATTCCGATGATATCAAAAAGATAAAAACAATAATCAGACTACAGTCTGTATAATCTGGAAAGATCATTTCAACACGAAAAATGACCCAAGACACCAAAATGACCAGGACCGTGAAAGATTCAAACAGCAAAAAGGGGGGAAGGGTGATACAGCCGGATTTAGTAAAACGGGCTAATCCCATGATTAGTTACCAAGTCTGTGTTTGTCACCTGTGCACGAGTCATGACTCAGAAGACGAGAAGGAGAAACCTCCAAAAACCAGGACCTAACTTTGTAAGAGTGTCAAGGCAGCACAGGCCAGAGGAATGTATCAGATGCCAACCCCAACCGCGCTGGAACGGTTTAGGGTTACAGACATACCAGAGAAAACGCGACACGAGCGAAAGACACAGAGGGAGTTAACGCGAGCTACTGTAGGGTACAAGTTTACATTTCTTCTTTTTATTTACAAATCTTTCACATCTTACACCCTTTCCGAACCCATTATTACCCATCTTACCACACTGAGACCTACCAGTAGTCCGTCATCCGGTGCGGAAACGAAACCCTATTTCGATCCATCTCGCAGGTTGAAGGTGCATTAGCGTCCCCGAGGGTTCCAGGGTTGACATCAGCGATGAGCCAGCGAAAAGGGGGGTTGACCATCCTGGGAGAACATCAGATGAGAGATCCGCCAATGAGACCATGTGGGTTGGCAAAGGTGGATGGAGACGATGAGGACGATCGCCCGCAGGCATGCAGAAGATGTACCCGTACCAAAGGGCACTAGAGACGCTAGAGCGCGGGAGAGTAGTAGGAGGAGTTAGTAGTATAGTAGATAGTGAATTTGGGGTAGGGTACCGGAAATGTGGGGGGTGGGGGGGGATCGACAGGTTATTTAGAGGAGGACTTGCGGGATATTCATGTACATATTCAGATGCCGACAATATGATATGACGTCTGTTATATTGTTTGTTCGATGCCTTCGTGCTTGTAGTGTAAACATATCTGGGTGACGGGCGAAACATATAGAATCGAATACGCGGAATACGGAGCACGGGGCATATATCAACCGGAGAATATCAACGGCACGGGGATATCGGGTCCTGAAGATAATCGGGACAAAGATGAAGAGCGAGAGCGAGAACAAAAACCAACGCTATTACAAGTCGTCAATGCGCGAGTCTGCTCGACGATGTCGTGCAGACTGCAGAGTGCAGAGTGGTGGCGATCATGTCGGGCGCGGATCGACGAGAGCTTGGACCGTGCAGCCGTGCAGGTGCAGCCCGGCGCAGGAGCCCTTGAGCTTTGATGATGAAGAGGAGAAGCAGAAGAGAGCATCAAGAAGAAGGAGGGGGTGTGGAAGTTTCAACCCCGCCAACCCTATTTGTCCATTTCCACCCGTTTCACCCATTTGACTCTCCAGCCCCGACCCTTTCGAAGCCTGACGCCGCAAAACGGTGGTCCGTGACCTGCAGGCTCCAGTGACGCGATAAAAGACATGATATGTCGTCTCCTGCACTAGTGGGCCCTAGAGGGCTGATAAAAAATCAAGATGACTGCGTAGCTGCCGCGTCTTCATCCTGACTCTGAAGTTGACAAATACATATTTCTAGGTGTGTGTCGGGCACAAATGAATACCGAGAATGTGGCGGCGTGATAGAAAAGAAGAAGGAGGAGGGGGGTCAGGATGGAATGTGTCTGAGATGAGCGGCCAATAGATGGCGTCTGTCAACCACACCTTTTCAACTCTTTTAGTGCAGCTCGATACAAAAACCGGTTGGCTGGCTTTTACTTCCTTGCAAAAGACTGAGCCACAAGAGAACGCGAGAACATTCCCATGCACCATGCGCATCATCGGAATGTGTCTAAGCCACCCTAGTGCCATCCCGGGAGGATGATGATATAACTTGGCAGTTTTATCATAATCGAAGCCGTAGTATCCGAGGACTTTCATGCTAAGCGGGAGGTCTAAACACTAGCTCCAATGCTAACACACTTGCTTCATTCCTGAGTAGGTCATAATGTCCGTTTCTATTGTAACTAAATCGTCAACTTGCATGATAAACACGGTGGATCTCCGTTTTTTACAAGCAGAAAGGCCGTGGATCACTTCACGTCCCGTCCCGTCAAGGTTCGGAGGGTATCGCCGGTACTCCCATGGTAATGCAAGGAGGTGCTCGGTGCTCGACCGTGGATGAGAAAGATGAGGGAGCATGGAAATGATATCCACTCCAGGGCACATGCATGTATAGATAGCACTTGTAGTGGTCAGTACTACTATACTATAGTAGGCATATCATCGTCCTCCCATTCCAAATCCACATCCACACGGTCCTAAACGCGGCCGCATCGATTGTACACAGCCCTACGATGACGTCGAGAGCATCCGGGTGTTGCCGCTCATGCAGTGGAAGCAAGTTACTTCTCCCACTTTACCACAATATAATACTTTCAAATTGTAAGCAGGTCCATCCTTTAGGCGAGAGTTCCGGCTGCATGTGCATCAGACATACTACGGAGGAATATCGCCGTTTCCCCATTCCCAGGAAACCACACACCCCTCCATCTCACCAAAAAAGTTAAAAAAAAAAATGCGGAAAAAAGCAAGAAATCAAGAATGAGGCTAGCAGTCAAGCAAGAAGGCAGGATGTTACCCAAGGGCGGCGCGGCGCGGCGGGCAAGCCCTGTTCGGCTATCGGACAATTCGACAGTGTTGCACAGGTCGGGTAGCTACAGGACGGGCTTATGCAACATCACATCGGCTACGCATCGACTAAAACTTTAGTATTCTGCGTCTAGATGAATGGGCTAGGCAGAACCAGGGAGTGTTTCCGATACGAGGGTGGAGGAAGTTGCGGGGAGGAGTGGACGTAATGGGGGGAGAGGGGAAGTAGAAAAAGAAAAGAGGGGCGAGGCAAGATAATCTACGATAGTATACGTGGTAATATACTTTGCAATATACTTTTTCCATGCAATATATTGATAAGATGGACTTCTGCAGACTAACAGAAAGTTGATCGCATCGGTGATTCTTCCACCGATCGCCACAGGGTGTGCACCAGCCAGAGGATCGACATGGAGAGGGTGTGATAGGTTTGAAATCGATAGTGGGATACCCATATTGCATACAATACAATGTATAATTTAGTACTCTATACTAAGGACACTATGATTGGTTTAATCTAGGTGGAGGGCACGGAAAGTCCCAGCTGGGCATACCGCATGAGCAACTCGACCAGGTAGAGCTTGAACTGTTGACGCTAGTTGGGAATGAGGCCAATGAAAAGGAAAAGAGTCTGTTCTCATGATAAGTAATAATGTAGAAAAAATCCATGACCCATAGACAAGCAGTCATGAGAGAAGTATTCCAGGGTTAAACAAGAAAGTAGAGAGTATCTCTGGATTTGAAGTATACCAAAACAATAATGGGAAATGCGGAGTGGTCTGTGCCCCGCTTCGGCTTAGACCCCCTGGACCCAACTTCATCACCTCCGGATTCTCTCATCGAACTCCGCATAGTCAAGAGATACCAGCACCTTAGGACCCAACCACTAACATCTACACTAAGGTAATCAACCAAAGCCCGGGCCTGGCTCGGTCCGATAATACCGTCATCTGACAGCTTCGTCTTTCCCCCACAGGCCGATCAGGGTTGGTCGCATCGGTAGCTTCACGCCATCTCGTCATCCGCCCTCCATCCTCCTCCCCCCCCTCTTCAACCTTCGACCATTCCTAGCCCAGCGCTTCCTGGTCCAATCACTTCAAACCACTGTCTCAGCTACGATCGCCCACTCCATCCCTCTTCCAAGTTGAAGGTTCAACGTCTATCCGCTTGACGATTCCAGCCGCCTCCATCCCTCTGTTGACGTCGTACGCTCTTCGATCCGCCCCTGCCGCATCGGAAAGAAACCCTCCTGCATAACCCCCGCTTCAGCAGTATCGCAGCTCGCCCTAACAAGCCTAGCCCTAACCGGAAACTCGCTTTGAAAGATCCGAGTAGCTCAGGCGCCAAACAGGGCATCCAGTCTGGGGCATCGGGCAAGGCAACCGTCCAGGAATCTTAACCACGAGCTGATCGGGAGGATCGCCCACCAAGAAGGTTTTTCGATCGGCTCGCGCATAATCGCTTTTCAGCTACGCGGCCTACTACCAGTCCACACATCGTATCGGCATCGGTCCCTCCTATCACGGCACTGCGAAGGACGTTGACGTTGGTCGTTCAGACCCCCGTATTCACTCGGCACGAGCACCCTCCCCCTCTGGGTACCTGCGATTCCCGCTAGGCAGAGTCAGTCTCTGTGCCAGAACGCTGGGAATAGGTCGGAAGCCGGATCCGCGTCATCTGCTCCTCACAGGCTTGGGTCTAGTCGCTAGCTTCCCCAGTCTAGCCAATCTGCTAGACCGCCGCGCATCATCTGGCGCAGATCATCCTGCACTTCATCGTGCATAGTCCCTGCAGACGTTTTTTCTCTTTTGGCTAGAGCCGTGTCGTACAGCTCCTCGCCATTTGTTCTTTCTAGGTCTTTCCTCAGCCACGGGCCTGTCTTGCCGATAGATTGAGGCCGTGCACGCTTTGCCTGCTCGTCGTTGCCTACTCTCTACTTTTCCTTTCCCGGTCGATTGGAAACCCGTTGATCCAAGTCTTAGCCCAAAGTCACAGTAGTTTTGAGGAAACTATGGCGAACAACTCGTTCCGCGACTCGGTCAACTCGCTGGGCTGGTCGCGTAGAGACCCGGATTTTCCCGTCCGCACTAACAATAGCTCTGCGGAGACGCCGTTCCTCTCGCGTCTGCAGTCGTTGAACCCATTCAGTCAAGGTGGATACGTTCAGCTTCCCACGCATAATGAAGGCCCCGGTGCACCGCTACCTGCGGCTACTCGACGCGAGGAGGAAGAGGGCTTCTTTGCTTGTAAGTTGGATGTTGTGTTTGTTCTTGGTCATTTATCTTCCTGTTCCTTGATTTGATATGAGTCAAGCATGACTCGTGACCCCATCCCCCGATCTTACCGTTGAGCATGTCTGTACATGAGATGCAGGTGACGAGCGCGCAGTTCCTGCGCCGGGAAGGATTCCACCATTACCTACACCATGCTTGTCCACAGTGTCGACATCCGACAGGAGCAACGATCATACATCGTTACTATAGAGTACAGGCTAACCGATTTGAATACAGTGAGTCGATGGGATCGAATGCTCATCTTCGGCGCCTGCAACCTGGGCGCCGCCGTTTGCTTCATGATTTGCTTCTTCCTCTTCCCAGTGCTTACGCTCAAGCCTCGCAAATTCGCCGTCCTGTAAGTGTCTGTGCTAGTCCTTTTCACCTCCCACACTTCAGCCAAACTCTGCCCTACCCTACCCTTAGTGCTATCAAGTTCAGCCTCGCTTTAGCCTTCCATCCCCCTTCCCCCAATCGCCACCCTCTACCTCTCTACCTCCATACATTCCATACATCTCACCATGTTCTTCCCTCTCGCATTCGCGTTCTGTCCTGCATAGCCACACTTTCTCCCCTCCCATTCAAATCCCGACACCCTTACCCCGGTCACTCGCGCCGTCTCGCTCGGGCCATGTGCAAGTTCGTGTGGCCGCGCTTGACGCATTCTATTCGTCGCCTTCATCGAACCATCACGCCTACCTACGCCTTAAGCCAAGCCCCCAAAATCCACGCAAGATGCGCGCGTCCTCTATCCAACTTCGCGATCGAACTTGTTTACTAACTTGTTTCCCTTCTTCTTTCGCATAGATGGTCTGTCGGCTCAGTCCTGTTTTTGTTATCATGGGCGGTCCTCATGGGACCCTGGTCCTACGCTAGACATTTGGTCTCGGGATCACGGCTGCCGTTTACGGCCGCCTATTTCGGGTCGATTGCCCTGACATTATACTTTGCTATCGGGGTATGTACTTTCAATTTTTTCTCGAAGTTTCGTTTTTTCGAAGTTTTACCTATTCCCATTATCTGCTTCTGGTATCGTCGAGTCGAGTTGGGCTGTCGATCATCTTCGCCCTCTCCCTCTCCTCCTCTTGTTCCACACCACCCTCCCCCTCCCCTTATCGCCACTTGCCCTATCATCATCCTAGTACGATGGTTGCACCGTAAAAGCTTGCAAAAGCAAAAGCAAGGGGAATCTTGCATCCTGCAAATCCATCTTGCAGTACGACGTGACTATACCCGTCACCCCGATGAGCTTGATAACCACCACCCCCTCCTCCACCCAGCAACAGAAAAAGGGATACCTGCAGGACAGCATCAAGACAAAAAGAGACCCATGCAGGAGCCGGCAATTGGCGCAAGATCACCTTGCCGTTCTTCCGTGCAACGTTATCAGGATTCTGCGTTACAGCCGCGAGACTGATATGGAATGGGCTCACCACCCAACAACGCCGTGCTACGTCTGTAAGGCGGGACTGTCCACACTCCTGAGACAGGTTTCACTGTACCTGCGCATCTGATACTTTGATACTGCCAGTGTTTCTATGCTTGCTGTCTGCGCCGGTGGTGTATGATCTTGATATTGATGTCGATAGCGATGTCGAGGTTGATCCTCAATAATCCAGATTAGACCGGATATCTTCAGCTGCCTATCCCTTCCCCTATACCCCTACCCCGTTATTGCCTTCTGCACTTTCTACCGTCGCGCTATTACTATTGCTGTCCCGTCTTTTCTCAAGAAACATACTAACACCCCTCCCAGCTCCAAAACCTCTTCCTAACCCTCATCTCATCCATCTTCCAACTCGCCGCCCTCGTCTGGTATCTCGTCAGTTACTTCCCCATGGGCAGCACGGGATTGCAATTCATGGGTCGCTTCGGTGTGTCCCGGGTTTCTGCTTGGGTTAGTGGGTGAACACCGAAGAGGTAAATACGTCGTGGGAGCTACAAAGTAGGATTCGGATTCCCTATTCTATTCAGGTGGCTGGGAGTGTTGATTGATCAGTCTCTCCTCTGAGTTTGTGTATTGTATATGTAGGTTGATGGTAGATAGAATTGAATACTCCCGTCTAATCACTATGCATTATCGGACTTGATTTGTGAATCTATCTTCAATCTAAAGAAGGATAGCTGAGTACTAAACCTGGATAGAAGTATGCAATATTTCTCTCGTTAATTTCATGTAGAAGCTATCCAAAGCTATTATTCAACAGCTACAAGCATGCAGCTAAAATGCTAATGCAAAAAATAAACTCAAACCACAAAAGCCATCCGATCACTAATACCTGCAAACACTTCATCATCATTGATGCTTCCCCCGCATCATAACAACACCAACCAACCCATCAACAAGCTTAACACCCGGCACCTCCGCCTCAAAGATCCCCGTCTCCCCACCCGATCCAACCTCGTGCCACCGCTGCAACAAATCATTGCTCTCCTTGGGCTTGACATCCGGCGAGGCCGTGCCGACAGTGATATGAGGGATAGCGTTCGCGCACGGGAAGGTCGAGTCCGCGGCACCCTCGTTTTCGCTTTCGGCGGGTACGATCCGCACGACGAACGCCATGATCCGGTTATCCCATACTAGTCGTTCGAGACGGACTCGTACAGGGCCGAGCTTAGGTGGGGTAGCGATGGGGTCGTTGCCGGGGTTAGCGGTCAACACGTCGATGTACTGCTTCGCGTACCGGTCCCAGATCTCGGTGTTATCTTTGGATGCGGCGCGGTGGATCAGCGTGACGTGGAAGGCTGCCTGGATTCGGCGTGAGTTGTGAAGTTGGTTGTACAGGCGGGCTGTCTCGGGGGATGTGTTGGTGAAGAGGGATTTAAGGGTGGAGGTGATTTCAGATGTTGGGACCGAGATGCTGAAGTATTCGATCTTGCGGGCGAGCATGGCGGGAGTCGCCACTGGCCCGGGCTTCTGCTGGGCTACAGCCACGGGCAGGTTCTTCTGCTTGTTGGGTTTGTGGGTGCTGTAGCCTTTGCTCAGATCCTCCATGACCTCGTAGTTGCTGATGGCGGCATCGATGGCAGCGTCGAGCTCTTCTGAGGTAGGCATAGTGGGGATCACACGAGGGTAGGCGGCATGCAAGGCAGTAACGACGGTCTCGAGGTTCTGGCGGGAGGAGGCGCACACGTCCAGATCGATAACATGCTGGAAGTGCATGTCGGGATCCCGTTCGACATCAACACCCTCAAAACGATGTAGAAATCCGTCCATGATGCCGACGATTTCGTGTTTGTTTTTGGAGCCGGCGCGAATTGTCTGGTGATTGTCACCGCGTTCAAGAACCCGCTTCCGAGTAACCTCCTGGATCGCAGGGAGAAGCTCAGCCTTAGGCTCATGAACGTAGTGCAGAGCAACAAACTGAGTCTCGGCAATGACGGGGAAAATGTCCTCCATGAGCTGCTTGCGCTCCCGACGCTGGTGGTTGTTGCGGTCTGCAATTACAACGGGATGCATCGCCATGGCCTGAGTGATCTCAAAGGCAAACTGCTTCGGCTTACCCTTCTGCTTGGGGATATTGTCATTCTGAACATGACCCCACCCAAAGAGATGAACCAGGGCAAGCGCAATAGTTGTCTTTCCGCATCCCAAAGAGGCGATTGGGGCGATGATAATGTTGTTGGTGGCCCCATTAACTTTGTCGTTCGCCTCCTCCATGGCGATGATTTCAGAGCCCTTCAAACCACGCTCCTGCAAGAATTTCTCCCGTAGAGAGATGATACCATGGTTGTGATTGTACTCCGTTGTAAGCTTAGGATTCCTGATGAACTCCCTTCGTGCAAACTGGAGATACTCCTCTGTGATCTTGTGATGCTTCTTAATTTTGGGCAGCTTTCCAGAGATAACTGCCTTGGTGCATTCACGCCACTGCCGGTACATCAAGTATGGCTCTTCAAACTTGTACTTGAAAAACCAGTCCCGGTAGCCGCTATCACGGTCACTGATCTGGCATCGAACCACGAACCCTTCAGTCTCGCGGCCGTCCCATGTACCAGTTTCCGCGCAGCCCTCGAGGAACTTCTTCACAGACTCAATGTCATCGTAAACCACAAACTTTGCCTTTTTGAAGCCCCAGGCGTCTGCAAATTCGTGGACCTTGTCTCCTGACATGGTAGCAAACTCCGGCTGGTTGTAGTTCAGGCCGTGAATGTAGATGCCGGCGGCTGCCTCATCATAGGCCAAGACATGTTCCTCGAAGCTGTCATCGCAAAGCTCTCCAACTGCCGTGACATTCATCTCGCGCAATGTGCGGGCCAATTCCTTGGAGGACTTTCCGACTGTCGCAACATGTCGCTCCACCCACTGCTCACCGGCCTGAGCATGGCTCATGTTGGTATCAGAGCGGACGCCAGTAGAGTGCTTGCTACACACTAGCAGTTTGTCTCCCTCGAGAGCGGAAATGAAGATAATGCAGCCATTTTCCTTCACGCTCAGCTCATAGGGACCCCGGGTCTTGTTCTCAATATTTCGCCACTGTGTGTCGGTGGTCTCGTTGACATTGAAGAACTTGTCGTAGCCGCGCACCGCAATCTCGGGGATGTTGTCTTTCCGCCGCGTTGTGAACAGACCACGGGCATATGTAGGCAGGTCAGGTCGTTTGTAATCCCAGTCCATGAACTTCCAAGAATCTACGGTGACGCCCTTAGCGCCCGCGACATCGAAAGTGGTCTTTTTGCAGGTGTAGCTTCGCTTCTTTTCGCTCTTAGACTGCTTGCGGGCGTCATCGAGGTCGCGCACAAGCTGTGCGATCACTGACGGATCCTGCGTCGCCATGATCAAAATTTTATCGTGGTTGCGATTTGTGTGAGGAGGAATCGTAATCGAGGGTGAGATGGAGGGGGGACACGCGAGGTGGGGTGTGGTGGACGGCAGGAAAAGGGCAGGGACAAAGAGCGCTGGTTATGTCTTGGTCTTGGTAGCTGGCAAACAAGGTATTTTAAACAAAGAAGTCGATCGCACCAGCCTCGAAGCGGTGGAACAAGCAACTTCCAAGCTCGTAAAGAAGCGAGTCATTCGTGAAGAGTCACAACCTGCGGGGAGCCAAAACGGTAAGGCGGCCAGCCTTATCGCTCTTTTTTTCCCCGCCAAAATTCTTCGAGCTCCGCCTGGCAACTTTTTTTAAAGCTCAGCCCACTCGTTACTTCGCCTCAAACCGTCAATTCTAGTCACTCTATCCCCTTCCTACAACTTTCAGTGACTCATTGTGGGGCACAAGCATGGCTCAGCCTAATCCTTACCTGTTGGCCTGCGACAACCCGTCAGCGCTACTCGAACTCTTGCGTGCCAATCCTGCGATCGCTTCTTCCCAAGACGAAAACGGGTACTCCCTGCTTCACGCCGCCTCTTCATACGGCCATGTCGATCTCCTCCGTGCGCTAGTGAAGGAGTTCAATGTGGATGTCAACCTCCTCGACGAAGACGGCGAGACCTGCCTGTTCGTGGCCGAGGTTCCCAGGATCGCGCGATGCCTGGTCGAGGAACTCGGCGTGGATTATAACAAGACCAACGATGATGGCCTCAAGGCCTATGAGAAGATGGAGGCCGATGAAGAGTTCCCTCAAGTGGTCGCCTACCTCCGTGAAGTCGCCGGCGCTCCTGCCACAGCGCCCGCAGACGGTCCGGAGGGGCCATTGAACGCTCCGCCGCCCATTCCTGGCAACATGCAGGTGAACATTGGTACAATGTCAGAGCAAGAAGTCAATGCTAGTGAAATGGAGGTTGATCCCGAGTTCAAACGCCGTATCGACGAGTTGGCAGCTCGCGAAGACTTCAACAGCGCTGCTACACAAGAGCAATTGCGGGCATTGGTCATGGATGCCATTTCTGGTTCCAGCATTGAGACTGTGGAACGTGAAATTCGGAGGAGGACGGAGTAGATGGAGGGCATGTTGTTTTGATGGTTTTACTTCCTATACCCTGGTGCCGTTCCGTCAGGACTTGTACCTGCGAGCTGAGCCTCCACAATTCATGAAGCCATGCTGCAAGGCCCGACATGCCTTCGAGATCTCTATCACACTCAACCGGATTCCTGAGATTCGGGGCATTGTGCCCAAATACGCAGTCCCTGGTGACCGTGTTTTGGCGAATTGGAGATCTAGGAGCAGCGTCGGATTGCAGACCGGCATAGGAGCCTGTTGTTAGCCGCCTTCGCGAGGAGCACTATTCGCAAGGCTGGGCTTCAGTGGAAGAATGAATATAACGAGATGAATGATAAATACAATATAGAAGATATCTAACGAGTATTCTCCTTTCTATGATCCATGTTCATCTATCAATCATTCTTTTTATCCGATAAGCTTAGTCTTAATCTTATCAGGAGTCTAATCAACGAGCCGCCAAGCTTAACTTAAGGTGCCCGCATCTCCAACTTTCTCTTAACCCCACACTTCTTACACTACACGTTCTACACCTCACCGGCATCATGTCTCAACCAGCCTCCCCATATCCCACGCAATCCTCCTTCTACTCGACCACGACAATCATGAACCCATCCATTAATCCCGACACACCTCCCCCCACCACCACCCAAGCCAAGTAGCCATGAAGCCAGCCGACGAGGCACCCCTCAGAACATGTCCTCTATGCCGACGCCGCAACAACCACAGCCTGGCTACCGACCCGATCCTCATTCAGCAAACAGTCAACAAGCGCAGTATCAAGTCAACGCTCAACTATCCCTCCCCGCACCGCCTACAATCGAAGAGGGCTGGCTACCAGACATCGTAAAGGACAAATCGTAAGACGCACCCCTCCCTCCCCCCCCACAACACAATCCTCCTAACTCTATCCTCCCAGAACAACCGACCTCCAATCAATCCTCCAAAACCCAACCCTCATCTCCGCCCTCTCAGCCCAACACCCCTCCCACACAACCCGCCAACAAAACCTCGAATCCCTGCTCCAGGTAAACAAAGACCTAGCAGCCCGTCTCCTCGAGCTACAATCCCACGTATCCGACCTACGCAGCCAAACAGAAACAATGCTCCTCACGCACCAGTCTCTGGAAGTCTCCTGGCGCAAGAAGCAGACTGAGATGGACGCTGCGTTGGCGCCGTGGTCGCCCAAGGCGTTGTATCAACGGCTTAGTGCGGCGATTACGGAACAGGAGGCGGTTTGTCAGGCTGTGGAGGAGAGTTTCTTGGATGAGGATCATCATGGACGGGCGACGGAGAAGGAGATTACGGATTGGGTGAGACGGATTAGGGTGGAGGCGTCGAAGTTGGCGGCGAGGAAGGAGGCGAAGGCGCGGTGGGATGAGGGGAGGGTTGGTGGTTGGCGGTGATTGAATATTTGGACTAGTCATGTATAAACTTTGATATACCCATTCATCATTCCTCGCTCTCTGGTAACGCCGTGTTGCCTCCGAATCTATATTTACCGTGGATATACCAGGACACTACTATGTCACTGAACAGTAGAGTCCTGAACGGGATCCCAAACACGTTCTTACGGGACTTCAAACTAATCATAATCGTCGGACTAGGGGTTGTAACCAGGAATGTCCATGGTAGATGCCCCTATCCACCGGCCGACACAATTCTCCCCTATGATATTTGCGAGAATCAAGTATTGAGGAGACTGTGTGAAGCTCAAATTCGAGTACCGGCGATAAGACCTACGGAATAAATCTTTAGACAGGGTGGTCATTCAGGGTTTCCAGTCTCCCGAGTATGGGTTTAACCAGGATGTGGTGAAGACGCTCTTTAAGGGCATGCAGCTGATCGATCATATTCAACTACAGTTCTATGACTGAGTCCACAGTTGCCAAATCTACGCTTATTGCCAAGTCTTGAAACGTTGCTCGTCTTTTCCAGACTCTCATACTGGATGTCATTGCCTGAAACTATTTCTTTTTCATAAACACTGCCCTAGATGTCCAGCAGCCAGCGGGCTAGTCATAACATTAACTAACCATTCCAACTTCTGATCAGCCAACTTCAACTACTAGCCCTCAGCCTCACGTTTCTTCGCCTTCTGGCTCTTTCCGAGAATCACCGTGCTCAGGTCACCGACCGGGATCGTAATCGGGAAATCGACAGCCTCAAAGATCTGAGCAATGAAGATCCACCAGATTGGTAGACACAGAGCAAAGTTGAAACCACCGGCGGTCTGTTCAAACAATTAGCAAGTACAAACAGACATTAATAGACTTGAATATTCCATACCTTCTCTAGTGTTGCGGCATGAGCGAGATTGCCCACGGACATCTGGAAAAATGTCGCAGCGGTCAAGGCAAATGTGATGACCAGCAGGAATAGGGCGAGGAAGAGGCAGACGTTTGTTCGGATGGAACAGATGAGGTAGACGAATGTTAGGATGGCAAGGATAGCATAGTACAGACCTGTATATATTGTTAGTTACTGATTCTCATGGAAAGAAAGTACAAGAATTGACGAACCGGTGGTTGCAGCAAATTCCGGTGTCTGCATGCCCTCAAGGGAATTGCCAGTGGGGGAGTAATTGGTTCCAACGCCGTACCAGGGAATTTGAGATGTACCCTGGACAATCCAGAAGGTTCCTGCATAACTTCAATTAATACTTGCTTTGTCCTCCTTTCTTGTGAAAGTTCATTGCTAACATACCGTATGTGAAGAAGAGGGCGCTCGAGAAGGTATTTCCGAGAATCCACTCGCCCACTGCTCCGAAGATCTGGACCATACCACCGAAGAAAATATAGACGGGTCTGTCAAAGAGATCAAAGATAGTTAGAAAATATTCAAACCCCCTTTGGCAACTGTCATTTTCAGAACTCACAGGATAGCGCCGCCATTTCCGCCCGAGTTACCCCAGCCCATAGTCAACATCGCAGCCGGTGTCGCAGCGAGCAAGAAGCCCAGTAGCGAGATGGGAGTCGGGTTACCAAAGGTACGACGAAGGTTACCGGCCGCCGGTGTCTTGGGGCTCAGATAGAGCTTTTCAAAGGCATCGCGGGGAATCGGAAGCAATACACTCTCAGCTGTTTGGTAGCGACGCAGCATCTCAACAGTCGCGGCGTCATGCTTCTCGCTGATGTTCTCGTCCGACATACTGGGCGAAGAAATATTTATCCAATGTAAGAATATATGTGAAAAGGGTTAATCAAGGTGACCGCAAAATGGTCCCGTATTAGAGCAACGAAGAAAAGTAGAGAAGAAGCCTGGAATATCCCAATTATATCATGATCAACATCGGGGAAACCCCGATCTTATATTCCAGGTTTTCATTCCAGCATTACCCCAGCTCCCCTCAACAATTCCAAATTCGATTCCCCCGTGTTCCATCCCCACAAAATCTTGACCCCAGACTCCAAATCGGGACCCCTAGCTATTCCAATCTCGGAATACCTCTAGACTAGGCCCCAGCCCCGAGAGTCAAACCGAGATCCAGATCCAATCCAAAGTGCCTTGCATAGCCTACATCAGAGTCATCTATGGAGCAAGAAAGGAGGCCATTGGGCACTATCATTCGCTAGTGCAACAATACACCAGCGCGCCAGCCCGCCTCCAGAGGCAAGCGGGTCCCGGACACGTTTTTTTGCGGAGATAAACTGCGGGGACTAGTCATCTTCGCCCCCCGAAGAGGGTCTCCCCACGCGAAAGCACCCCGGAGAACCGAGGAAATGCAGGGTTATTCGGGGGCCAAATCGGCTGCATGGTTAGCTGCCTCGGCTTCTAGGGGGAGATTGACTCTGTGAGTGGTTCGATGCTTGGAAGTATAAAAGGTTACAACGCGCCCAAACTTTTCATGGCTTTTGTGGCGCTGGGCGAAAGTCTATTGAAAAGCTTTGCCTTGCTTACTTTGTCTCAGGAAGTTGGGTATGAGTGCACAATTCTGGTCTGATATGTATATCTCCGAGTTATGCCTTGCTCGAAATTGCAGATTGGCATTCCGCACTGGTTTGCGTTTCATTGACTATGCATCTTGGCGTTAATCTGGTGAAAAGGGACCTCGGTCTGCTTAGCCGGTTGGAAGGAGAAATCTACAGTGGCGTCACCTAGGTTCAAGCCCCGACGGAGTTCAAACCATATTCTCAGCCTAACGATCAAGAATTATTGGAAACTCACACACAGTTCTTTCTTCTAAAGGATAGAAGGAAGGAAGTTGATACAACGATGGACCGTTTATTGATCCCAAATCATCTTAACTAAGCAGAAAAGTTTCGGGTTAACTCCGTTTTCCAAGCGTCATGGCTACCTAACATAAATGCATCAAGGCCTCGACCATATTCCAATGCCAGTAGTTTCCAAAGAGTCATGCCCGCTACTACCTCCGCGGAGCTAATCCGTGGCCGGATATATACATAAAGTATGCATCCGAGCACAACCCACTGGCCAACAAGTGTCATCATGCATACGACAGTCTTTATGTTCGGGTTTAAACACCATTTTAACTCCGTCGGATATCGTCGTTCCCCGAGACCCGGACAAACCCCCCCCCCCGGCAAATCCATAAAACTGTCAAAATTCAAGCAACGATCAACCACGGTACTTAGTCAGCGTTTCTCGGTAGTTAGCGCAACATCCCGAGCCCCGACAGCTTCTACGATAAGAATCTCCCGCCAAGACTGACTAGCCGAGCCGTGGTCGCATTTGTATATAAGGATGTACTCCGTAGGGCGCGCCTGTTAAACTAAAGCCGTTGACGATAAGATAGATTATCTGCTCTACTTATCTGTCGGGTGCAGAATTGCCGAGTGGCATCGACCTAGTAGCTGGGACTAACCTGATCAGGAAGGAGGCCGCGGTTGATCCCGCAGCAACGTGTATACCCCGGAATTCATTCCCCCAGTTCTGGTGAAGAAATGCGAGACGAGCTGCTTGGTCATCTTCGGTCGAGCTACCCCTCGTTTGTTGATAAGATAGCCTCCTCCCACTCTTGATAACACTTTTATCGGCTGCCTGGACGAATCCAAAGTCCTATCGACTCCTTTGCTCGGCCGCGATTGTTGATTGCGATAGCTGTTTGCTCTCTCGCTTGTTCCCATTTACGTAACTATCAAGCCATAGATTCGTATACGATGTCGCGTAGGCTTAGCGAGGACCCTGAGGATCGTGATTACGGCCTATTTTGGCCTCTATTCAGTGCTATGGTTGTGATAAGAGCATGATAGTGCCGGAATGAGGACCGGAATACCAATGGGCTTCCAATGCTGTCGAGATAGCGATCTGTTGTGGTATAAAAGGCTTGAATACGAAGCGATGGGATATGGTATTGACTATCAATCATTCACTATAACCAAGTAATTGGCCCCTGCATAATCTCACAATGCGAGGCTCTATTGGCCACGCCCTAGTCGGGCTAAGCATCTCGGGTCTTGGCCTCACAGCTGCCGTACAACGCGATATCGAGATCGTCCGGTTTCATGATCTTGGCCCTGTGACAGCCGACTCTCTGCACAATATTCATGTCGAATTCCTCGATGACTCCTTTGAGGGACACTTGAAGCTGGTATATGGAGACTGTGGCATGGAAAGTCCCATGCACAGTCACCATGACATTGGCAGCCTCTTTATCAAACGAGAGGCAAAGCCAGACCGTTTTGTCTGGATAACTCCCGAAGATGCGCCTCATGCGCACTGTCTCCATGCATTCTCTGGATCGACCCTGCTTGGTCGTTCTTCACCAGTCAGCGTGGCCTCGCCCATCGCCAAGCGCGAGAGTATCGCCGATGTGGCCGATGCAATGGGTCCCTGGTTCGACGGTGTCGCCTATATGAAGTCCAAGAAGAATAATAAGGCCTTTATCACCAAGGCAAAGAACACCTCAGTTGCTATCCTGGGCGGAGGCATGTCTGGCCTCATGACAAGTCACCTACTAGAGTCCGTCGGCATCCACAACTGGCACATCTTCGAGTCCTCGGAGCGAGTTGGCGGACGTATTCGCACCAAATACCTCAACAACACTCGGCCGGACCAATACCAATACCAGGAAATGGGACCGATGCGTTTCCCTGTCAGCATCAACTATGCAGACACCAACGAGACCCTCGAGATTATGGATCACCGCATGGTCTTCCAGCTGGCTGGCGTGCTCAACGAGATGAACTCTGATCGACCTGATCTGCAAGTCAACTTCATTCCTTGGGTGCAAAGTAGTCCCAATGTTCCCGCTTCATCAGGTGGCAATCGCCTACCAAATGGCCGTATTCCCACTGCAGCAGAAGTCAAAGCCAACTCGTCTCTTGTATACACAGCGGCATCATCTAATGCAACTGCCGTCGCTGATGCCGAGGCTGCGTATGCAAACTATACCAAACTGGAAGATCGTGCCACCATCCAAGCAATCGCAACCAATATGTACCAAGCTCACAAGAAAGCCGTGGAAGATGGCATGTTCCACTGGTCTGAAGCTGGGTATCTGCGCTATGCCCTGGGTTACAACGCAAACATCAGCGATTATGTTGCAGGAACCACCGACTCTCCCATTTGGGGTGACTTTTACGACGACGTCTACTTTGCCGCAACCAAGTGGCGCACCATTGACAAGGGTCTTGAATCCCTGCCTCGTGCTTTCTATCCTCATGTCGCTGACAAGGTCACTTTCAACCGCACCATTCAAAGTCTTATCTACAACGAGACGACCGAGAAAATTTCTGTCGCATGGAGAGACGACCCGCTGCAGATGATCCCCAAAACAGCCGAATTTGATTACGCAGTCGTTGCAGCACCATTCAGCAAGGTCCGGCTCTGGGATCTGCCCAGATACTCCTCCCTGTTGAGTCGTGCCATTTCCTCGCTGAACTACGATCCTGCTTGCAAAATGGCACTGCTGTACAAGACCCGATTTTGGGAACACATGGAGAATCCCATCTTTGGTGGATGCGGTTCTGTCGATGTTTCTGGCGTAGGAAGTGTCTGCTATCCTTCCTACAACATGAACGGCACCGGACCCGGTGTTATTCTCGCCTCGTATATCTCCGGCACAGCGGCGCGCTCGACCGCAGCTCTCAACCCCGAAGAGCACGTCGCTCTCATTCAGCGTACCATGGTCGAAGTGCATGGTGATATTGCTGCTGAGCAGTTCACTGGTATTTACGATCGACAGTGCTGGGAGTTTGACCGTCATCAGGCTGGTGCTTGGGCGGATCCGCTTGTTGGCCAGCAGGAGCTGTACCTGCCGGCGTACTATCAGACAGAGTTCAAGACAATCTTCATCGGTGAGCACACGAGTTATACACATGCTTGGATCTTTTCGGCTCTTGACTCCGCGGTGCGTGGAACGACTCAGCTGCTGCTTGACCTTGGCCTTGTTGATGAGGCCAAGTCTATCGTGGAGACTTGGATGGGTAGGTGGATCAAGTTGTAAGCGGCGTTTGCCGTGAGTTGTATATAGTCTCTATGGAGAAATGATGATAGACACGTATAATGACATGATCAGCACATCCTTGCTGCTTCGGGAATTCCCCTTTTCTATTCCACGTTATGGTAGAACCTCTTTACCCTTCCAATCCCAACACCTCCCCCTCCCACCATCAACATCCGGTCGCAATCCCGCAATAACCCTCAAAAGTCTATCCGCCGCATCCAACGGCTCCAGCAAATCCCTCCCCTTCCAAAACTCCTTCGTAAAATCCGTCTTCACAGTACCAGGATGCAATGCAACCGCAATAGCCCTCTCAGTACAGCGGCCACGCAGATACAAATCAAACGTCTTGGCAATCTGATATACGGAAGCTTTGCTCGCGCGGTACGAGTACCATCCGCCAGACGCGTTGTCAGAAATAGATCCGACGCGTGCCGCCATCATGGCATAGATGGCGTGGGATGGTAGCTGTAGATTTCCTTCCGAAATTGGGAATCCAGACGCGGATTTGGTTGGGAGGAATGGGGATAGGTGTTTCATGAGAAGGAGTGGGCCTAGCGCGTTCACTTTGAAACTATCAAGTGCATTGGCGGCGTCGATTTGAGATGGAGATTTCTCGACATGCAAAATTCCCGGAATTGTGAGAGCTAGACGAAGTGGTGTCTCCGGTAATTCTTTGCGAATTTTATCCGCCATTGATGATATTGTTGATTCGTCTGCGGCAGCACGTTAGATCAATTGTTCTGAAGTAGAAAAACGTAGGATCAAAATTATAGGAGGGAATCAAATTTGTTTACCTTTAACATCAACCTCCATTATCCGCAGTCTTTTCTCCGCATCTGAAGGTACCCCCTTGCCAGATAGTAGTTTTCCGCGGAGTTCATCACAGTTCTTCCGCGCCGTAGCCACAACAGGGACATTGGTTTGCGAGAGTAGTTGCTGCGCGAAAGCAAAGCCTATTCCGCGAGACGCGGGCGTCACTAAAGCAAATCCATGCGTGGCTGCTGCCATATCAAGACCGATTGGATGTTGGATTTTGGTTTTGGAAGGGGTAGAGAAGTGACTGGTCGATTTAAGGTATGCATGCTCGTGTATCAAATATGACGTCATTGATATCAACTGCTAACGGATACCCTATCCTGAACCACGCAGGCGTCGAGGCCATGTTCACAGCCGGAAATTTCTTGCCGATACAATTCTTGAGCAAAACTTGGCGCTGTGGTGCTTTCAGCTCACGTTTTGGATGGAGCTTTTTATTGCCGATCTATCGACCCCTCGATGCGACGACAGTCGTGGCAACCATCGGCCATGCAAGGCTGATCGGTCAACTCGATATCGGACTACTCCATGATTGAATCTTTTCGATGGGTGTGGACTAAGCAAGATGCCTAGGTCTCTTTGATTCGCTTATTATGCAGTCTGTTGAATGATACAACGGAATTAAGACCGTGTTGGAGATGCCTCCCTCTGCGGATTGCTCCGTCTTTTCTCTTTCTGCTTGGCCTTGCAAGCTACTTGGTGGTATTTTCCGCTTGCTGCAATGCAGATTACCGCAAACATTTGTTCTTGTGGTCTATACGATATACTTCCTCTTCTCTCCTGCTCTTCCCTTCTCTATCTCTCTCGGGAGAACATAGATCAGAGCTCGCTCTTTTTATACCTGCTGCTATATGTGCTTCTTTTTGCGTATAAGCGTGACCCCTAACGGCCTATCTCCTCAATGATGCCGGATCCGTTCATAAACCGGTGGCGATGAGTTCGTCAAGAATCCTGAAGCCAAAGTGACACATTTCAAGGCCAAGATCCTCCAGAAATATCACAGTGTCTATGACCACTGGTTTGAGCATGTGGTACTCGACGAGCGCCAATACATCAATTCTATTCGAACGAGGCAACACCAGCGTATTGCCCTGCTCACGCGCAACCCAAGTCCCGGCTACTGGGCTTACCGGAACCCCGGTGTGGAACGGAGCTGCCGAGTTCTATGAGTATCTCAGCCTGCTCGAAGAAGATAACGGGAAACACCGTCCGTGAGGTCGCCTGTGACATTCTCCGCACCTCTCAGCAGGTATGATCTAGGTGCGGGTTCTGCCTTGGGAGTTGGCGGAAGTTCTTTATGCCCTAGTGAATTTTATGATGCATGTATCGCTATTTTCCAACGGGAACATCACTGCAGCGGTCAGTCATGGTTGCTTCCCATTCTTGTTCCGGGCAAGGGCTGGGTGGAGAAAAGGAAATCATCATTGGGGCAGAAACTTTTTCAATTGGGATCATGGTCGTCGACGTCCGGTACATGGCACTTGATCCAGCTTTAGACAACGCCAGATATATAACGCCACTCTCAGATCTTACAAAACCTGGGGAGGATGACATGGAATGCCGTGGCGAATGACCTAAAGAGGAAGGCCCGCAACTAGACTATTGGTGTGATGCGACACAGGGCTCAACACACCCCGGACGACTTCGTTTGTGGCATTGGAAGTCAAGATGCTACCGGCGAGGTAATTGCCTAGTATTTTAGTGCTCCGGTTTATGATTTACCGCATTACCGAGCGTGATTTTCCGGGTTCGACCTGGCTCGCGGCCTTACTGCTGGATACTATGTAGAACGTGTTCGTATTGTCACCTCCTAAGTGAGGGAGAATACCGAGGGCAATACTCGAAGAAGCAGCTGGTACTCAGCACCTGCGTCAGACGTTTCTATCCCACGCACAACCTCCATATAATACGAAACGTTCCTAAATTCTTCCCTCATCACTACCTTTCAAAAAGATTTACGTGGTGTCCTGATATCTATAAATGAATGATGCATTTCTAATGTCTCCATGCCATTATCTTCTCACGTGTAACCTCTGCTAGGACATCGTCGCGTGTTCTTCCCCAAATAGTGACCTTTTAATGAGTGGTTGAAGAATCTCGAGAAAGTAAGCGCATATACGCTGCACCCATTGGACATCCAGATCCTTTCCACATCGCCGCATCACTATAAAGCTCCCGTCGAATCATTGGGAACTCTTAAACGTACCCCACCTGTCAGATTCTGGATCCATCTCAGTCGCTAGAATTTCAGCATGAATATTTCGCCAAGAATTCCTCGGCGGCTCATCCAGTAGCGCGATTCCATCCTTCAGCTCATCATTATCGATGTGACATATCCATACCGGATCTTTAAGTACCGTGGACAGGCCGGAAACCATCCTAGTGCTTGGGAAATCACGATCGACAACAACCGGTTGAATCAGTTCACAGCTCTTGAGCTTCTGCTCAAGGGGGCAATTAATTTGGACAGCCCACACAGAGCTGCCACTGGGTGTCTCGCTGATAGTTTCATCGAAATATCTGCTGAAGAATCGAGAATGTGTCGAAAATCGGCACAGTCTAGATCAAGATATCCAGATGGTGGGTCTCCACGCCTGCCACTCAATGCAACATAATCACCGCAGAGGTTTTGAGGCACTCGCATACCGTGGCAGGCTGTTACCGCATTCTGAATAGATTCGTTGAACTTAGGTGGTCTTTCGTCCCAGTCTTGATAGTGTATCGTGATTAGGTGGTCCAAAATCAAACCCCTCCTCTTATTTTCGTCGAACGGCAGGGTGAACAAGACAGCATGCTTTGGGCCTAGAAACGCATCGAAATCGGGATGGTATTCGCCCATTTTCAAAACGATAGGCACCCATACAAGTAGTGGCTCTTTTTCATCTCTAGGAAACCAGACGCCGATCTTGTGCGTGTCTGATGGGCGGTTAGTTCGGAAGTCAAGGTACTGTCTAAAGCTTGTGCGCTGGCCAGTCCAGTTCCCGACATCTTTTGGAACAGCACCAGGTAGAGTAACAGCGATAACACAAACCCTCCTCGGGACGGGTCATTTTGCAAATAACGCAAAGACTCTTCAAGTCTTGATAGAATATTTTCGGTGCGCGGATACATCTGGGATTTAGCCTGGAGCACTGTTAGGCGTACCCTCTTCAAAGCATAGAATATAGGTGCCGATCCAGTATCTGCATATCTTCCCGGAGTTTCTGGCCTTGTCTCTCGAATTTTTCTCTATATTTATGCTGCCGCCTGATCACAAGCATATCGGTAGACTTCATCTCCGAGACCGCTGACGATTGTTGGACGGCAACTGTTTTCGGACATCGTGCTGGCTCCATAAGTACTTTTATTCTCTCCTTGATTCTCTCACATAGTGACCTCATTCGCGGTTGCATAATGCTTAAACTGCGGAAGGGAATACCCCAGGAAGGGTGACACCGACCGTGACAGCCACGAACTCTGAGCTTCAGTGACGACAAAGCTAGAAAGTGCTCACAGAGAAAACATGCCTTCTTGCTACACCCAAGGTACAAACGTATCGGTGTCAGTGAAGGTTCCGCCTCGTAGCGTGCCAGGAGCTGTATTTCGCAGTGAATTGAGGGAAGGAGAAAACAATCACTTTTTAACTGGTCATCCTTTTTAACTACACCTTTGGGCAACTTTCCATCATTATCCGGAAGTTCAAGCTTATTCCAAGCTTGGAATACCGTTTGCTTATGTCGTTTTTCAAGTCGGACAGGATCTGGCGGTGACAATTTGATAAAGATGACCGATCGAAGGCTAGGCAGTAGCTGGGCAATGTGAGATAGGATCCGAATATCAGTCACTATCCTTGCCAGAGTTTGCCATGTCTTCATGACTTTAGGTGGATTCGCCCAATGAAGTATATCTTTCAGCTTAAACATCGTTTCTTGCTGTGGTGAGTGCAGTGTGAGCGAGAGCTGCAAGTTTCACGATTTGACGTAGTTCATCGTCCGTCTCTCATAGAACCAATTTGGACTCAAAATTACGGAACTCTGGTATGAGACGCTCAATCACGGTCAAGGCTAATGGGTGTGGTTCGGAACAGCAGCCAAGGAGACAGGTCGAATCTCTAGGCTGGCTTTTACTAGATGAGCGAGAGATAGGACGGAACGGTGACCCTTTTACAAGCTTCACTGCCGTTGCTATATTGTCTTTCAAGTGACTAGTATTATATACTATCGTTTCGCGCAGAAAATAGTGGTCATCCGTGGCATTTTGACGCGAAACCCCTTGACAGCTGGTCAAAACCTGCAATAAATTCACTGCTCGGTAATATATTACTTACTTTCGCCTCGCCTAGCAAGGAACTTGGTCATTAAGGAAAGATAACCATCGTCTTTGGACCTAAACCAGTGTTTCGGTCGAATTCTCTTTCTCTCTTGAACCGGCAGCAGTAACATGGTTCCCGCGCTTTGTGCGGGCAAGTCGCTCACTGATACAATTTAGAAACTTTTCCCGAAGGAATTCATCGCCAAGTGCCAAATTTGCAGCGTCTGTACTTGTGTTATTAATGTCAGGGATGTCATCATCAACGTCCTCGTCGTCATCGATTGTCTCGTCATCAGATGGTGAATATTTGGGGTGCAACCGCTTATCTGACACGGGAGTAGTGTAAGGATTCCAATAGGATAGAATATGAGATGCCTAAACAACCTTGGCAACTTCATGAATGGCCTTACGCGATGGCCTATCCATCTCTAACTCAAGATAATACAAGACTCTCAAAAATGAAGAGATGGCGAGTCCGAGGAGGTGAAAGGGTGGTCGTATTAAACTGTCGAGAACACTACAGCGGGTTAGGGGCCACTCACACGGCGTATGTGCTGGCAGTGCATTAGGATAGAAGTCAAGTATCTCATGCAGCTCAAGAGGACGGCGCCAAAGGATTGGACAGGAAGCACCCTGCCCTTCACGAATCAGCAATCACCATCGTCCTTTATGGTTTCTGATTTGGTACTTCTTTCAAACAAAAATTACAAAGTGATTAGGTGGCGGATTAAGGGTGGCCATTATCACCCTGCCAGAGATATTTCTACCTCCTTTCCTTTAAAGGGTAGCCCTAGTTGTTACTGTACGCTACTCGTATCATCAACTGAAATTTATGCAAAGCGAGCAGCATCATTCACTCTATCATTATCATTCTATTTCAGACTGTAGTCCGCAAAGTCCAGATCCCGAATCTCAAAAGGATCATCCGGGGAAGAATCACATTTCAAACTAGACCCCGTCCCAGATCCGTTCTGCCCACAGTCACCACCAGCCCTCTCCACCTTCCGCGACTTCAATCCCGATATAATATCCCGATCATACGGCTCCCGGATCTTCAAAATGGTGGAAACCGAAGACTCAGCATAACTCACTGTCAGTTTATCCAAAGACTCGATATCCACATGCGCCAAAATCTCGTCTGGAGAACAAGTTATGACTGAAGAACCCTTGGGCGCACCCAACAACGTCGCCAAAAAGAATGCCGAGCCATACCTCCGCCCCAATTGTTGGAGTGCGAGGATACACTGCGACAATCTGCGGAAACTGGCCGCCCCAACGTGCGGATCCCCCGAGAACATCTCTTGGATGTGGATAATACCCGCTCGCAGGATCATTGCCACGCTCGTTGTGGGTAGGTAGTAGATGAGCTGTTTTTGGTAGAGATCTTGCAGGATGAGGGTGATTTCGACGGCGGCGCGGAGAATGGGGCATTCGGGACCGTCTAGTGAAAGTGGTTGACTGGGGCTATACTTTTCAGAAAGAAAGTCTAGTTGGCGGTGGATTGTGGAGTATATTTCCAGATAAACCATTTTCAGCCATGCGCAGTGCGAGTGGAATATCAGGTCTGCGTTGTGCGCTGGGAGGAATGGTTTTGGACGGAAAGATATGGTTTCAGGGAGATCTTGGAGCCAGTCGTCTAGTTCGAGTTTGGATAGCCAGAGACTTGTTTGGCGGGGTTTTGGGGCGATGGTGGGTATGTTGTGGTGGATTGGTTGGCAGTCCCATGAGTAGAGGTCGTCTTTGACGCATCGGCAAAGTTTGACTTTTTCAAGGAAGATGCGGGCAAGGTTTCGCTCGTTGATGCCATAACAGGCTTTGGCGTATTTCTGAGTGGTGATGTCCAAGTTTTCTAGTGTGAGCATGGGTATTGGTGAATGGACTTCGTCTTTGATTACTGGTGGTTGTTGGAGGCCCAGGGCTATTAGTCGATCGCGGGTGAAGACGCTCCACCAGAGCATGTTTCGAAGTTTATGGTCTGGTTTTGGCTCTTCGGTATGGTCGAGATGAAGACCGGTTTTGCATGCGAGGGAAATACACACGGAAATCCAATGACGGCCATCTTTGTGTCTGTCGGGATCCTCGTACCAATATGTCATGAGTAGCAGGCTTTGTATGACGATGAGATTGTCGTCTTCGACGTCAAAGTCGTAGAGTGCCTGCTATTATTAGCATTCCATCCTTGCCCTCTGTAACCTCTTCTCAAGAAGCTTTACTCACCCGTACGCGTTGAAAGAGCGTCTCCAATGCATGTCGCCGCGACAGAAAACCAGCAGCATAAAGAAACTTCAAGTCCACAAAGATCGCCCCCGCAAACATAACAGCCTGGTACAATAACAAGCTAATCGAACCTTGAGAGTCATGTTGATCATCAAAAATCGCCCTCGAAAAGAGCTCCAAATTCAAAAACGGAATATGTGGATGAATATGCCGAATATATCCCTTCAAAATCTCCCTTGCAAACCCCGGGTCCGGAATATCCAAAGCACCCTTTAGCACCAAGAAGTCCAAATCTTCTTTAGTCAGCCGTGAAGAAGGTTCGCGCAGGTAGGATGGTAAGATGTTATTGTAAGGAGGCAAGGCCCACGTCGGGCCTAATAACCGATGTACTTCGGTTACTAGATTGTCCAGTGGGAAGGTCGATAAGACGCCGGGCTTTCGGGTCATACCCCGAGTGGGCCGGCGTGTGACGGCCATGCGTTCTTTCATGGTTGCACTTGACTTGTCTCGTGATGGCGAGAGGTGATGTGGAAATCAATAGTGGTAGACCGTGATGACCGTCGGCTATTGTGTGTGGACGGACCTCGGCGCTTTTCGGCATAGTGTTGTTTATGCGGGGTGGGCATCAGTTTAGGTTCATTACAAAATGTACAGCGCCTCTTTGATTGATCGGTTGTCTTGTTATCTCGGTTTTGATTATGATGATAGATGATTGATATACGAGTTTTTGGAATTGTTGCTGAATATGGACTGGGAAAGGAGCGTTCCATGGCCTCAATTTACGGGTCTACAAAAGTCGAGGACTCCTTCACTACTGGTTTTGATTAATATCACTAGCTTGAACGGGGTCCTAGTTCAGTGTGTCTTTTATGAAAATTAAGGTAAAATTAAGGTACGAGCTTAGGAGATAAAAAGCACCGAGAGCAGGAGGAAGATGACCGATGAATATCCTATACCCGAGTACATGATATACGTACTGCTGTACTTGATCTCTCCAATGAAAGAAACGATAACTACAACGAAACCTCCCCACCATGATGAGAGAAAATAAACTCCCCAAAATCAAAGTCCCAACTTCCATCATCCAAAAAGTCAAACTGTCCATCTAGATCGCCAAACAAAGGCGTAGCCCCATCCGACACCCCACACTCAGTTTCAACACCCGAAGCTTTCACAGCCATCGCCTCCAAAATCTCACGGCACGTTTCCAAACTCTCCCTCGCCGCATTCATCGCCGCCTCCTCCGGTGACGACCCATCAAACAAGGCCTCAACCTGCGCCGTCGCCATACTAATAAACACATACCCTTTGACATTGGTCTCACCATGGCGCATCCTCTCCTTTGCATACTGTGCTACCCGTCGAGCGTCACGAAGAATCGGCTCCTGCCGGGCGCGATTCCGGCTGCGTGAGACCAGGGAGGCATCTGCGTCGATGTCGGATGTCAATTCTAGGTAGAGGATGAAGGCGCCGCGGGTGATCAGGTCGCGGAACATACCACCTCCGGTGAGGAGAAGGCGAGCGTATAGTTCGTCGTCGATGATGGAGACGATATCTTGGGTAGCGTCGAGGCAATGCTTTTGCGAGTAGGTGTAGAGTGGATTCTTCTTGGCTTGGATTGCGTAAGGGAAGTGGAGGCAGAGTGTGAAGCGGCGGAGGAGATGGGTGAAGTGACTGAGTGCAAATCGGGAGGTGTGCGAGATAACATTGAGCGGCGGAGTGCTGCCAAGGGCGGTCGTTGCAGTGCGACAGGCTGTTGCTAGTTCCTTTTCTAAACGGAGGACTTCTTCGTATGACGGTTCCTCCTGTAGGCTGTTGATAACCTTGGTCACATCTAGTCTCAGAGGGAGAGAGGCGGCTAGTAAAGGGAGAAGTTGTTTCTGTGATGGTGGCCCATGTATTTCGCTCTGAGCTTCCACCTGCGTTCCTCCGAGCTCAAGCTCTTCGTCGCTCATCCTGGATGGTGGCAGGGTATTGAAGTCTCCTGTTGAGATCATGGGCGACATCCCGGAATCCAGCGCCGCCTGGACATTCATTTCGAGGATAGTGTACCACAGTCGTCTTCGGATTTCCTTTTCTTGCAGACTCATCTCCTCCATACGGTTCGGATCATGATGTAAGCCCATCTGCATTGCCATGCGCATTAGAGAGCCCGCTGAGATCCAAACCAGATCGGCCCCCAGCCGAATCACCTGCCGTGCAAGAAGGAGCAAACAGTGAATCTGGATTCCATTCAAAGTGAGACGATCCTTTTCCAAGGGACCGGAGAGCCATGTCTGTGCAATATTAATCCAGTCCCTCGATCTGGTGGCGAGTTCGTCACGGATGGTAGCATCAGCATGCAATATACCCGTCACAGACAAGATGAGGAGTAATTCAACGACGAACGAACTCTTTGCATTCTCCCGGTCGTCCTTATATCTCCTATACTCTCCGATGAAAGACGGGTAGTATAGAATGCGATAGCAGGATTCAAATGTTGCAAAGTATAACCGTACCAGATCATCCATCACCGCACCGTCAGGGAACGAGGAGTAGATGTCAGGAGGGAGACACTTTCGACTAGGACGCTGCCTCTTCGCGTCTCGTGCCAACTGCTTGCATTCAGCCACAGTTTTTGCAGCGGAATCTTGTGCGCCGTGGCCATCACCGTGAAAGATCGATCCATAGCACTTCAAAAGAGGCTCTAGTGTCGGCAGACCGTCCAACTGTTTAAATTGTTAGCGAGGGAGAACGATCCAACAAGATCTGTATATTTATCATACCTTAGACATCGAGTTCATCCAATGCCCGTAGCCGAAAACCCGAGTCTTGTTCAAGGCGCCGTGAATCCGAGTCGGGACGGCGGAAGTACGAGACAGGGCATCGTTAGGCTGAATTGCTCGTTCTGGAGTTCTATGCCATCGTTCACTAACTTCTGGGAATTGTTCTGCATGTTGGGAAGCACGAGGACGTTCCTCATATGTACACGAAGGCGTATTGTGAGCTGTGCACTGCCCACAGGGTTTTGCCCGGTCACAGCGGACTTTGCGGCGTCGGCATTCGATGCAAGAAACGGCGGGACGGCGGCGCTTTCGGACACCCGAAGGAAATTCAGAGTCCATTTCGGCTTTCTGTTGTTCCCTGATGCCTTGTATCAGTAGTACGGGGTTGATTGACGAAGCAGTCCTTGGAGCGGGCGTGACCGATAGCTGCGGTTGCTCCGATACGGCCGAGGCAGAAATCCACGTTGATTGGCGGGAGGGAGTCCAAATAGAGTGAAGGCTTTGGGTCGGGTTCGGGCCGAACGAGGAATATCCCGATACGCCCGATATAGCCGTTCCATACTTCAACCTCTATAAAATAGAATCAACGTCTACCTGGCTGTACGGCGATTTCTTTTCCCTGCCAATAATTTCGATCCTGTGTTATGCTCTTGCGTCGACTCGAAAAATACCCATCCTATCTAGGAAACCCTTTTACAGTCTCTTCAGCTTTCAACGGCCTGAAACGCAATCTCAGCTCCTCAAATCGGTCAATTCTACCATCACAGAAAATGCCTCTCAATGTGCTCATTGTCGGTGCTGGAGTCTGTGGCCCAGCTGTCGCCATGCTTCTCCAAGGGTCTAATCCACAACACAACATTACGATTGTGGAGCGTTCTCCTACGTTACGATCCACAGGCCAGCAAATCGACTTGAAGAACCAAGCTCCCCATATCCTAAGGAAGATGGGTCTGTTAGACGAGATCAAGGCACTTTGTGTGAATGAAACAGGTCTTGAGGTGGTGGATTCCGCAGGGAAGCAAATAGCCTACTTCGGTGCCGCTGCCTCTGGCGAACGTCGTATTGGTTTGACCAGTGAGCATGAAATCATGCGTGGGGATATAGTACGGGCCCTGTACGATGCCAGCATCAAGCAAAACTCGGATTTCAAAGCGAGTCCAGGCCAAGGGATAACATATTTATTCGGCCAGACTATCACATGTCTGGGCCAGAGCGCTCAGGGCGTGGACGTTACTTTCTCAGATGGAAGGGAGCACCGATATGATCTCGTCATTGGGGCCGACGGACAGTACTCGCGGACTCGACGACTTGCCTTTGGTCAGGAAGTTAGCGATGCCGCGTTCAAATCTCTTGGAGTCCACGCCGCATACTTTAGCATTCCTCGAATTGACGGGGAAGGCACTTTGGCTAGAGGTCACCTAGCTCCAGGAAGAAAAATGATCTACACTCGGACGAGCGATCGTCCCGTTACGGGAGCACTTCTTTTTACCATGGACGAATCGCCGAGATTGAAGGCATCTTACAAAGAATCGGTGGAAAACCAAAGAGAGGCATTTGTCGAGGTCTTCAAGGATATGGACTGGCAGACCGACCGGTTCATTAGTGGGTTGAAGCACTCCGATGACTTTTACGCAAACGAGCTGGGGCAGATCAAACTGGACCGACTATCCGCTGGCCGCGTCGTACTTCTTGGAGATGCAGGATACTGCCCCAGTCCTTTCACTGGCCTGGGGACTAACCTGTGCCTCGTGGGTGCATACGTGCTTGCGGGAGAATTGGCACGCCAGGGGAACGACGTTGAGGGGGCGCTCAGATGCTATGAAGAAAAAATGCGGCCCTTCATTGACAAGTGTCAGCAATTCTCTTCCAAGACCATGGGGGCTCTCTTCCCATCTTCGCGACTTGGCATTTGGGCTATGCATAATCTGATTTGGGCTGTGTCGAAGGTCGCTGGACTCTTCCCGCAGTCCCAAAAAGGGGATTACGATAACCATGATGAGCGTCTCCCAAAATATCCCGAATTGAATCTCCCATAATGATCTGGGGAGCTCGGCGGAGAGACTTTGGGATAGAGACGTGCAGTATTTATGTTGGCGTCTTGTTCTAGTGCCAGAGAGACTTTGTATTACATGTATTTCTACGTTTAACATCGTGTATTTAGTTCTAATCTTAGCAAAGATAAATCTCACCTTTTCTTGAAATCAGAGTTGACATCAACAACATCCATTCAGTGAACTGATTTGGAATATCATATTCATTCATAAATTCATTCAACATAACCCATAAGATTTCATGCATCTCCGGGGTAAGTAACTCGATCACAAACCCCACATCAAAACAACCAGACTAACACCAAGCATCACCCCCGAAACACCATTAACGCCAGCCCCATTACTCGTCGGCGCCTCCTTAGCAACAGTTGTAGCCACCGACCCCGTCGCAGTACAAATACTCGCGCCACACACATACCCACTCGGACAACAACCCCCACCCGCCGTATCCGCACAACTAAACCAACCACCCGGGCATTTCCCCGCCTGACTAGAAGACCCCGACAATCCCGTAGTAACGGGAATAGCTATCGTTTTACCATCAGAGGTGAAAGTCGTCGAGGCCGTCGCCGGACACGATGTTGTGTCGCAGTTTCGGTTTGTTTGACAACAGCCTCCGTTGTAGATGGCCGAGCAGGCGTAGAATCCTGTTGGGCAGACGTCGACGCGAGTTGTTAATGAGTGGGTTGTTGTCGTTATGCTTGTTCCGCGGGCTGGTGGGGTGAGACTTTCTGTGCTAGTGGTTTTTGAAGTTGATGTTGAGCTGCTGCTGGAGCTGGGACTCGAGCTGGATGATGTAGAGTGGGTTGTTTGTTGGGATGTAGTGTGTGTTACTGTAGAGACGGTCACGGTTGAGTCAATCGTCACGGTAACCACGGAGATATATGCACCTATTTTGGATTCGATTAGATGTGGAAATGGTTTGTTCGGTGGGAAGAAGGTACTTACATCCGCCTTCGACACATTCGTAACCGGGAATACAACAGCCACCACCCAACGCCTTCGAACACGTCGTGTATCCGCTCTGGCAAGACCCTATCGTGCCAGAGCAGGTTTGCCCTTTGGGACAGCAACCGACATCGCCAGAGCCCGTGTCCGTCACAATAACACACGTATCGCCCGTGCTGCAACACCGATCAGATCGGTTGATAGATGTACACGCGATCGTGTCCGATGGACACTTGAAATCCCGCGATTCCAGTGAACTCCCAAGAACTCCAAATGCAGGTCCAAAGGACGGATTAAAGGCGTATGATCTAGCCACGAACTGTGCCGGAGAAAATCCAGTCCCCGTATTCTCGACGGGTGTCTTCTGAATTTTCCCTTCGCTCGCAGTGGTAGTATTGACCTCTGCGAGATGCCTCTCTGATAACCCGTCCTGCACAGCATCTTCGAAATGCCAATAGTCAAGGTAAAACTTTTCGCCTTGGTCGGTACTCATCTTTCGCACGCCGTAGACGGGCTCATCCGCGAGACGCGCTTCGATCTCGGCATTGCGGCGTTGAATGGTGTTGGCGGATTGTGAATTTGTGTTTTCATGGTCAAGAGCTGTGGAGAGTGAGGCCAAGGCCAAAGCCCCGAGCGCTTGAGACACCCGCATGTTTTGGCAAGTCTCCCAGAGTACCTGTCGTTTGCTCTGAGGTTTTACTGGAACGAGATACGGAGTAGAGGCCTGGGAGTTGATTAGCATGGGCTGAATCACTCAGCATAAAGCACCAGCAAGGCCCAAGCAGGGTCGTACAAAGAGTGGGTTAAATTGAATGTCCTGGGTCGGTAGTCGAGTTGGAGAGGCTGATGCGGGCCTGACTGGCGGAATAGTGGCAGGCTGAAACAGTCCAATTATTGCGACTGGTATTTTCACGTAAACCCGACAATTATTTGAATTTTCGTTGAATGGGATTTGATCGTGACGATCATAACTTATGGAAATGGAAAAGAGTGACAGGTTGAAAGTTGGAGGTTGGTAGGTTGTGTTGTGATTAAATGCGATGGCTGGGGCTGAGACGTCCGAGACAAACGAAAGCGACCTTTGTTCTGATTGATCTCCCCACGGTTTGTAAGGACCCTTAAAGCCATTCCCAAGTCTTACATCCTCTCTAACAATCTAAAAAATATCTACTTCTAAATATCCTATACAAAAACTTGAGTAATGCAATGGTCAAAAAGAAAAAAAAAAGGACTAGATCGCTATCAACTGCCTAATGGTCCAACCCTACCCGGGCCAACTCCATGCTACATATGCAAGCGAGAGATCAAGAAAGAACGAGGGACAAAATCAAAATAGAATCAAATATGACAAAAAGCAAGACATATTGAAACTGGAAACAAGCCACCGCAGAGATCGTGGCAGGGTATCGTCAATAAGTGCCATCAAATACGGAATGCAAGGTGCAAAAGCGAAGCAAAAACAGACAGAGATGGTAAGGAAAAACAGGACATTGGTATAGGGGGACATGTGAGGGGAAATAGAAATAGCAGGATATTTGAAAACGATTCGCACGAGTGGGAAGAGCAGTCAATCTTTCATCATGAGGTTGTGTCGAGGGGTGTCTCGAGGGAGACGTGCCGATAGAAGATGGAGCCTGGCTGGACCAGTTGAATTAGCTGGCTTCGTCAGGAGAGGCATCCTTCTTCTCCGCGACTTCTGCCGAGGCGGTTTCATCTTTGGGAGATTCCCCTTCGGTGGGGGTGGCAGCGGCTTCAGCATCCGGAGCCGCTGTAGAATCACCCGCTCCATCACCTTCGGGCTTCTCTTCAGCAGCAGCAGCAGCGGCGGCGGCAGCTTCCGCCTCAGCCTTCTCCATCTCCGCATTGCGAGCTTGCTGTCTATCCCAAACCTCCTTTCGGATGCGATCATCCTTGGCGTTGCGCAATCGCTCCGCCTCTTCCACGCCACCACTCTTCTTCAGCTTCCCCTCTTGGACGAAAGAGCCGAGTTCCTTCTGGAAGAGGCCGATCCGCCGGGTCTCAAGCTCTTTCTTACGATTCTTCTCAGCTCGCTCGATGGCTTCAAGACGGCTTTCGTGGTTTGGCTGCAGTGCACGCACTTCACCGAGGAGGTTGTCCTTGGCTTTCATAGGGTCAATGGTTGGGTCAATACCAAGAGTGCGGGAGGTAGCACGCAAAGTGACTCCTCCTGGATTGGCAGCCTTCTCCAAAGCCTGCTCCTTGGTAGCTTGCTCGACCAGTGCGAAAGTCTGAGCAGCTTTCTCGAGATCATCCTGAAGGTCGGCTGCGAGATCTTCCTGCATGGTAAGCTGATCACGCTCTTCGCAGACCAGCTGGAGTTCCTTCTCCCAGATCTTGGTCCAGATGGGCTTCTCGCGACCCAGGAAGTCCTGCATCTTCTTGATCTCCTTCATAGCGGTGCTGATATCGCGGTTGACACCCTCCAGCTGGCGTGGCAGGGGGCGAACACCACGCTGGACCACATCCTTGCGAAGGTCCTCAACGAGATCCTGCAAGTCATCGACGCGAGAGACAAGGCGCTCCGACTCATCGGCAAGCTCCTTCTTGCCCTTGTTAACACGCGCACGGCCAGCATCGCCCTCATAGGTAGCATTGGCGGCAGTATCGGCGGCAGACTTAACCTTAGTAGCCTTGGCGCGGACGGCAGTCATCGAACTGGTAATATCCGACGTAAAGTTGGAATAGGTCTGCCGAAGTACGGCAAGGTCCCGGCGCAGACTCTGAAGCTCGGCAATCTGTGTGCGACTTCCAGCAATGGGGGTCTTTGGGGTGCCGCTGGCGCTGGCGGAGCCTGCAATAGATGCGGGCGGAGAAGCAGCGAGACGAGCCATCTCCTTCGCAGCCTCAAGCTGACGGTCTGAAACTCGTTGGATGGCCGTCCCTTGACCCACCAGGGCCTCCTTGACACCTTCCACCAGACTGCGCACACCACCAAAGCTCTCATCAAAGTGCTTCTTCACTTCGTCCAAAGTGTCGACATTCAGAACGAGGACTGAACGGTCCTTAACATCATTCAAGTCCTCCAACTCATGTCGGATCCCAGAAATGGGATCTTGAATATAAATTTCAGGCAGGTCGACGCCGTTGTTGTGAGTATTCCAAGCGAACTTTTCAATGAAAGCGAGTTGCAACCGTCCAATAGTCAGGTCCGCCGTACCTTCGGGCAGCACATACTTCTTGATCTTGCTCTTGTACTGCAAGAACAGGGTCAACTCCTTACCGGGAGATGGCTGGTCAACAGGGAAGTGTGGGATAGAAGGGGGAGTTGAGATATTGGCAGAGGCAAAGCGATCCCCTTTCGGTGTTTCCGGGACCGGCATGGGAATTTGCGATGCAGTTTTCTCGGGATCAAAGGCATCGCCAAGGGAAGGGCGCTTCGGCGGCTGCGGGAAGACCGGTGCTGGTTCAATAGTAGCCGGTGCGTCCGGCAGCTCCTTTTCAATGGGGGGTGGAGGTTGATCAGCCAAAGGTGCTGGTGGTTGGACGCTCTCGGGTTCCGCCGCGGGTGTTTCAATTTGGGTGCTTTGTTCTTCTGCCACCGCCTGGGGGACATTTGCCGCTGCTTGCGACGAACCACTTTTGGAACTTTCCTGGGGACGGTTGGAGGAGCGTTGCCTTGTATGCGTATACGAGCCTCGGAGGCGAACAGCGTTGAGAGACTCTCGAACGTCCCGTCCCCTGTTGGGAATGGGGGAGTTCTGAGTAGGGAGAACAGGGACTCCGTTGGAAGAGGTACCTAGGTGTTTCTGTATCTGATAAGCTGAGAATCGGCGAGATGCACGGCGTTCCAGCTCGCCGCTCCGCTGCAATGCGCCCAGCGCATCATCCTCCTTCGGGGGTGGTGGTGGAGCGGGAAAGGCCGTAGGAGTTGACGAGGCTGAAGATGCGGCGGGTCGTGGAGCCGGTTCGCTTTCCTGGGGGGACGGCTGAGAGAGAATCTGTTGCGTTTCCCGCCTGGACGCCTCGCGCTCAGAGTAACTCGTGCCCCGTGGCTCATGCGTAGGAGAGGCGCGCTGGCCCGCGGGTGTATCCTCGAGGGATCCGTTACTCCCATATCGACGAGCCGACCGCCTCGGTGAAGTCACCGTGTTTTGAGGTATCGTCGAAGCAGCCGCCTCGTCATATAACTGTCCAATATTTGATGGGCCGCTGGGCAAGCTTCCGGCGCTTGCCTGTCGACCCGGCATGCCAGCCCGACCATCCTCCCGCTGCTGTCGAGACCGTAGACGAGCCTGCTTCTTCTTGAGGCCATGTAGGAGGTTGATAATGATATCCCGAATTTGCGGCAGGTACCGGTCGAGGCTTTGTGAGGATGCATCCTGGCTTAGAGTGTCCTCGAGGATGCTGCGCAGGACGTCGGGCACGGGGCCGAGGTCGGAAGTTTCGACACCGATAGCATTAAAGGCCCGGCATGCCAAGTTGAACTCATACCCTAGGCGTACATAAACATCGGATACGTCGGTCTCGGAGGCCTGCTTTCGCGACCACTGGGTCAAGGTTTCGAGGAGTTGTTTCGTTGCTACCAAGAGGTGCGTGACACTCTTTTCGATCTGAGATATTTGCTTATCGGGCTATAGAGGAGTTACAGCATTAGCGTCCGGGGCGTTGACAACTTGCGTTACACTGGCTCGCGAAGGGATATTCTGGAAGCAAATCCACGATCCCCGATAAACGACTTACAACACTTTTGGCGGGTTGGGAGCGCCCCGAGGCGGCGGAGGAACTGCGACCGGAAGCCGATGCCATGGTAGAGTTGGCGACAGTAGAGGATTGTTGAGGAGAAAGGGCCGGGTCTCCAAAGGGTGGATGAGGCCGCGCAGTTGTAGGGGACTGCATGGAAGTGTGGATAAGCGAAGGTGATGGGGGGAAGAGTTGGGTGCCAAGCAAACAGATGACGCCCAGCCTCCCAGCGCGTTAATTAGTGACTTAGCTTAAGTGTGGTAGGGGGGTAGCGAACCACCAACTGAGGGTATCGTTTTGGACTGTGTATCGTCATAACCATCCATACAGGGCTTAGTAGGGAGGGAATGACAGCGAAATGACATTGAACTGATGGGAGGTCGGGGATCTGCAGTAACGGCAAAACCGTATTGTCATTTACAGCCTCAGGCCTCTGGAGTTCAAGCCTTAGGCACTGACTGCAGCAAGCACGGGACCTGCTCACTACTGGACGACTATGCAACGCTATTTGATCCGTACCAGACTACAGCACCACCTAGTCTTGAGGTCAGTCTGATTATTGCCCCCTTCATCTCTAGCGCCTCTGCAAGCCTTCTTATTGCCTGCTCACCCTCGGCTGTTCCCGCCTCCATTTTTTGTCTGGTGCATGATTGACGTTATATCCAAATTATATATCCTGCTATACCCAACTCATGAGTGGCCCTTAGCTATCTCACCGTGCCCTATACGAACTCAGGGTACCCTGGATAAACTCAAGGTTCGACTCAAAGCCGTTGGGCGTCACCGTCTCTAGTCTCACAAGCCTCTAAATTTTGCAAAGCTCCTAGCTAGACCGACTCTTCGTCATTTGAATTTTTTGATTCATTCATAGCTTTGTAACTGTATCGGTAATAAGGAAGGTTCGCTACTACACCCTTGCCACACGTAGTTGTACAGCCCGTACATCTTTGAAGCCCGCCCGCTATAGATCAAATTAGTGACTGAGGAAATAGGTATATCCACAATGGAATCAAGGTGGTTGTGATGCGAGGTGCCTATCTGATATAATACTTATCATGAGCGTTGTCTCGGAAACTGTGTCAATTATTTTCTTTTTCTGCTCTCTGATGGCTCTTCCAGAGTTGATAGATAATAATACGGTGGACAAAGTCTAGGACCCTGGATCCATCGTGTGTTCGGATAAAAACCGCCCCACAGATCATCAAGATCCCTAGTGTACAAAGTAGACTAGTAGTAGACCCTATCGTAGTATGTAGATACTCGATTTGAGGTATAGTCAGGTTTCCACCACACACAATCGCCCACGGAGTGCAACAGTAACGCACAATACTGATCGGTGGGCGCAGTCGTACCGATAATACATTTACAACCGGGCTGAGGCAGGGTTGGAGGCCCAAATAGTGAGAACATAAGAAGTTTGATCTATGGGATTAGAAAGTGGCAAGCAACTTATACAGATGAAGTTGATCGACAGAATGTTTCTGGACAGTCATTGTAAATCAAAAGATAAAACACTCCGATCAAGTATCAACCTTTCTCTAGACAGATTAAACAAGATATCCATTGTCTAGATCAAGTCTTATTTGAGTTGTAGATCGATCAAAGAGTCCAGAACACCTGTCAACCACCAGCCAGCCAAGGGTCGCACACGGTACCGTACGATTACCACTTGAAACCTCCACCCCCGTGACGACTTCCACCTTTCCCCAAACAATTTCCCCCATTTCACCAACCTCAACTCCTCAAAAGATTCCTCTCCACCTCCCATCGTCCTTTCCTTTTCTCATTTACCCTTTTCTCCGCCCCGATCTCTGATCCGGGACTCTTGAGCTGTCTATCGGCGTGCTGATAGTCAACGGCTCCTCCTCCCCCCTCATCCTCTCCCACGTCCTGTTTGTGCAGGCGGTGTGTTGTGGTTGTGCCCATCCTCGCGGCTTTCCGCCGTGTAAGTTCCACGACACCAGCCTGCCCTGACTGACGCACACCAAGTCAATCAATGGCTTCCACTTTGAATTCTGTGCCAGCTGGAAACAGCGCCGCTGGCAATGCGGTCAACAGCTCTGCACAGAACTCTGGCCGACCTTCTTTGAGATCGAGCGCCAACTCCAAGGGGGACGGTCGCCGACAGTCTGGCAGTCCCGTGGATGGTGGTCAACGGTATGCATCAACCACAACTGCCCCCCTCATCTTGCTCCTCTTCTTCTTTTGCCCCCCAAAACCCGATCTCATTCCACCGCCTGGATCAATGCTTCCTGGTTCGCACTCGAGCTGGGCGATGTTTGCCTTTTGGTCCTTTCCGCACTCCTCTCCAGCCAATGTGTAAACTTGGCGCACGTGCATTCAAGCTGCGCGAGCTGGAGCGCAGCTGTGCTTGTAATCGTGTGTCCAGAAAGGACCAATTGTTTTCCTCGGATTTGGTTGCTGCAATCGCTCTTCTTATCTCTATTCCATGATACTTGGTTGGACCCCTCACTGACCCACGCAATGTGATACTGCACAGGCGCACAAACTCCCACAAGGCTTGGACCCAAGGGACCAACCCCATTACCCAACGTTCCTCGTACGCTTCTCCGAATGGCAATGTGACTCGACAGACTGGCTCCCCTCGACCGGGCCAGAAGGAGTCCAACACCCCCGACAGCCATGCTCATGACCGACTGGTATTCTTGTTCGCCAGCTTCATTGTAAGGACTACCCGGGAAATTTTGCAATGAGGGGGGATGCAGAGCTGATTTGGATATCTTGATGTACAGGGCCTGAACACTACCATCACCACTAAGAGCGGGGAGAAGTTCACTGGTATCTTTTCTTCCTCCAGCCTGGAAGCGAGTGATTCCTCGTTTCTTCTGAAGATGGTGCAGCGCATCTCCCAAGAGAACCAGGGAAAGACCAACGGTGTGAGTGACACGACGACTCCATACGTTGGGTCCGCTCCAGAGCACGGCATGGCATTTGATATCAAGGATGTGGCCGATATATTTGTGCCGAAGGTGGTCCCGGCCGAGGTCACTGTCAAGGAATCAAACGGTAAGAGATGCTCTCAGATCACTTCGTCATCGACGGAGATATCTTTGGCTAACAACCCTTTCTTTTGCAGGAGGCGCTGGTTTCAGAACTGATGCTGATATCTCTGGAAATCTTGCGATGCGAGAGCGCACTTTGAAGCGCTGGGAGCCGGCCGAGCATGAGGTGGATATGTCTCTGGAGAGTGCGGCTGGCGACTCGAAGGGGTGGGACCAATTCGAGACAAACGAGCGCCTGTTCGGCGCAAAGACCAGCTATGACGAGCACATTTACACAACCCGCATTGATCGTTCGGACCCAACCTACCGCCAAAAGCAGGTCGAGGCAGCTCGCATTGCGGCTGAAATTGAGGGCACTGATGTTGACAATGCGCACATGCGTGAGGAGCGAGGTCTGGTCGCTCCAGACACCGGTGATCAAGACGAGGAAGACAAGTACAGTGGTGTGCAACGTGAGAACAAGGTCTTCCCGCCCTTGGTGTCTGGGCAACCCAACAAATACACTCCTCCTGGTCGCCGCCAGGCTGGAGCTCAACCTAATGTCCCGGCCAAGCAGGCCTCGACAACTCCTGCTGCTGCTGCTGCTCAGGCCAACGAGGTCCCCCCGGCGGAGAAGCAACAACCTGTGCCAGCTCCCAAAGCTGCTTCGGAGATTCAGCAAAAGGTCGAGTCTATTAAGCCCGCCCCCACTGCTCTTACTGCTCCTGTCGCCAAGCCACAGCGCACGATTCCTGAGAATGCCACTGCCAATGTCGAGACAGAGGTGCTCGACCACTTCCGTCAGTTCGCCAACAGTGAAAAGTTGAAGATGCAGGAACGCCGCCGGAACCAGGCGTCTTATGATCGGACAGTCAAATTGAACGAACTGATGAAATTCTCAAAGAACTTCAAGCTTTCAACTCCAGTGCCTAAGGACTTGGTGCCTATTCTGGCCAAGGATCCTCACAAGCAAGAAGCAATCATCAGCCGAGTTCACCAGTCTGACGACAAGCCTTCCCCGAAGGCTGCTGCGCAGGTCCCTGAGCAGAAGGCACCTGTGCGCCCCGCTGGGCCAACCGGCACAACTTCCCCTGTAGCTCCATCTGATCGCCAGAACTATCCTCGTGGCCGCCAGGGCTATCTGCCGACGGGTCCCCTCGCTGGTCCAGGTGGCCGATACCCCCAGCAACCCATGCAGGCAGGTCGCCCGGGAACTGGTATGCTCAGCCATCGTTTGGCAGACAATCTCCAGCAGCGTAAGGGTGCAGGCATGGGCCCTGTTCCTGCCCCCCTCCCTATTCAGGATGCTCGTGGACCCCCTCCTACTGGCCCTGCTAGTGAGCAGCCTCGTGTGACAAGCCCCATCAAGAGCCAAACTCCCACCACTGCTGCAGCTTCGAAATTCAACGTCCGTGCCATGGAGTTCAAGCCTAACCCAGCTGCCAGCACCTTCACCCCCGGCGGTGCTGCTCCTGCACCTCCTACTGCCCCGGCTGCCGCTGCTAGCGCTGTGAGTGCGGCCAGCCCTAGTTCATTCTCTCGAAACCGTTCCGTGTCTCGCGCAACCACCCCATCTGCGTTCTTTGGCATCAGAAAACCGCAGTCAGCCTCGGAACGCCCGTCCATCGATGATCAATTCAACCCAATCAAGCGGATGAAGAAGGAAAGTGCTGAAGTTGCAGAGAACAAGCCTTATCCGTCTACCGGAGGCATCCCCCCTCCCTACAAGACGGCGCCTACATGGGATGTTCCTCAAGGAAACGAAGAGAAAAACTTCGAGGCGATGTTCAAGCAGCCGGGTGGTGTGCCATCCGTCTCGCCTCAGGGTCGGTCTGTTTCTAGCAACCCAAACCTGCCCCAGCAACATCAGCTGCCCTTCCACTTCCAGCAAGGAAACCCTGGCATGCCTCCCTCCTCTGGACCTCCCAACGGTCCTCATGTCCACCAGGGCCCTCATGGTCCTGGCCCTCATATGGAAGACCATCATCGCATGCAGCTGTCTGCATCTTCGTCGCAGGTTTTCCCCTCGCCTCGCATGAGCCAGAGCCACGTCGGTTATCCCTCACCCATGGCTCCTCACGCTCAGCTAGCTTTCGGACAGCCGATGCCTCAGTTCTACGGGGGTCCTCAGCCAGGACATATGAGGCATTATCAGAATGGTCCTCAATTTTCTGGGCCGCAAGGTAACATGGGAGCACCCATGATGGTGCAGAACCCCTCCAACGGACCCTATATGGGTGTCCCTCAGGGCATGTCTCCTTATACCCCGCAGATGCAGATGTACTCACCTTCCCCCGGCCATGCTTATCCCCAGCATGCGCCCCCACCCCAGCCCCACAGCGGCTATCCCAGCCCCAGCCGTGGCGCCCCCATGATGATGCACCAGAACTCGCAGTCTGGTCAGCCACCACAGCCAATGATGTTCATGTCTCCGGGTCAGCCAGGACAACCCGGATTCGGGACTCAACCGGGCCACAGTGAGTCTCCCCACTCAGTCGGGATCGCCTTCGTCGCTCATTCTCCTCCTCGCTTAGTGCCCACGGGTCGTGGTGGTTACCCCCAGCAGCAACCTCACTTCTCGTCTAGTCCCCACCAGGCACACCATTTCCCGCCTAACCACCGGACGCCTAGCAACGGCTATAACCAAACTCCTCAGATGCCTCCTCAAATGTCGACCAACGCCCCGGCCAACGCTGGAGCTGGCTCTCACGCTGCTGAGCCTTCCGACGAGGGCAAATGAGCCGCCACAATTCGTATATGAATTTACGGAGCGCGCGTCCTGTTCTGTTTACGATGTAGATGATTCTCGCTCTCCTGCGCCGTGACTCGAGATTTGCAGCTTTGCGTGCACTCTCGTCATTTGTCTGATCCCCGGGATTCGCGATCTATCTCTGCCTTCACCTCTCCGCTATCATTGGGTATTCATCCCCCAGTGTACCGTTTGGTCAACGACATGTCGGCACGATACTTGGCAGGTAAGACTCCAGCTGGTCTATCAATAATTTCATGGTTTACTCACCCATGTGAATAGTAAAATGGAGGAGTGGACATATTTAGATGTCTTTGACCACTCTACTCTGGGCTTGGCGATATACCTGACAAACATATTCCTCGGATTTTCTGTTTGTTAGCCACTGTCCTAGACGTCCCATGAACTGCCACATCGGTCACATTTCCTCAACGGAGCTTCCTTAAACCGGCATTCCCTTCCACTTGCAACAATATGACAAGCATCTGGACACGAGGCCCTCCGTCAGAATTCCCATCTTCCCTTTTTTTCTACTGCCGTGCTCGAGATTTGTTTTGCCTTCTACCAATTGTGACATCAAGCGCCTTCAAGGTTGCAGATGATTCATCTGCTTCTTTTCCCTCTTCTTTTTTTTCCATTTTCCGTCTGTGCCTCCTCAGGGTGGTATGGGATCGTGATGGGCTACGCTTCAGGAACTGACATGAGTGAATGATCGGATGATCGGATATGGAGGTGGAGAGGTTGTTGCGAGGGTGGGTGAGTGAGACGTTGTGGCCGATATGTGATTGGTCTTTGCTACAGTCCTACGGGATGCAATGAATGATTATACTCAATGTCAAAGTTCCAACCTGTAGCGTAGTTTTCTATTATGCGCTAAATAGATAAATAAACATGACTTCGACAGGAGACGCTCAGCTGGGACCTGCCATAGCCTTGGCGTCATGACCTGGAGTATAAATCAACCAACAAGTACAAATCGAACCTTCTGTTCGACTTCGGTATCTCTGTAAAGGATAATCATCAGCATCATATCCGATAGGCATCATCTGAACAAGGGAACCAAAAACAAAGTACATCTCCTCAGGTCTTTTCAGTTTCAAATTGGTCGTCATCCAAAACCCCAAAAGTACACCCACTCCCCGCCCAACCGCGGTGCTTCAAACCCTCCAACAACAACCCCCCACACCAACCGCGCCAAACACACCAAAAGCCACCCGTCCACACGACCCCCAACTCTCTCCGCCCATCCACACCCAACAAAACCCAATCCACTCATAAGAGTCTCTCCAATCCAAACCCCGCGCCGGCCCTAAAGCACCCCCTTTCCAATGCAGCAGTAGACAAATTCCCACTTTCGACCGTTGCCATTGGTTCCTAGTAGGCCCTCATGGAGGCAAAGCGAGCCCAGGAACCCCAGAAGACGGCCGCGCATACCCATAGCAAGCCATGGTTAGCTCGCCATAGTTTTGCGTAGATGTGCACACGGGTGATACAAATTACCGAAGCAATGTGCATCTTTGTTCCCAAGGTCATAACAGTATCGATTCCGTGGGTGGGAAAAGAGTGTTGTGCCCTGTGGTGGGGGAAGCCATAGTCTTGGGCTTAGACCTTCTTGCCTTGGCCGTGTGTCTGCGTGGAAGAGGGATGATTCAGGTCCGAGTGGAACGGGGTGTCGAGCGTCGACAGGATCAGAGAAACGAGTGGATGGGTGTTGAGTGCCCCAGCTGGGAAGCTGGAGGTCAGGTTGGGAACCTGGACATGGCTGGATTGAGGTGATGAAGGTCGGGGACGTGTTGCTTAAGGCGATGTCTGGTTTGGCTGGTGCTCATGGAGAGATGCTGGAGCTGGAGAGACGAGTACCTTCGGCTTTTGCTGGCGAGGGGGTTGTTGGCTTCGAGGGTGCGCGGTCTGACCTTTTACCAGGTTCGCATCATCGGAGAGAGCGCGTTGCGCTTGTCTGTTGGTGTGGGGGTGTAGCAGTGAGAAAAGAGATCACCTACCTTTCGAGTGTATCCGAGTAAAGCTTCGGCGAAGCTATTGGGTGTGAATGTCAAAATTCTATCCGTCCATGGCGAGTCCATATCTTGACCACGACAGGCAGAGATGTGTGAAGTAGAGTAAGGTCCGGCAGCAGCTGAACACCAAATAAACGCGGTGGACCCCCTTTAGGCCTGAGGCCGCCCAGGGCTTCCGCGATAAGGCGGGGCCGCATTAATCACCGCAATTCCCCCGTTCAGCTAGTTCCAAACAACTTCAAAGCATCGGATCCTAGAAATTCGCTAGGGTCTAGGTAGTGTCCGTTGATCTACCTCGAACGCCTTCCTTTGAAACCCTCCACCCCGGCCATTGAGCGTCTGAAAGCCCCCGCGTGGTATTCACAAACAAACCTCGGAGTCGAAGTGGCCAGCGCAGCGCCACGATGGACTTTCTCAAGTCGGCCGTCGCGTCCGCGATCGCGAAGGGGAGCTCGTTTCCCGTTTCTATGGGTGATAGAGTGGATATTGGCGATTCGATATGGACACTTCATAATGGGACGAGAAGGGTATGTCACTAGTTCTTGTGGTTTTGTTGTTAGGTTTCTGGTGGGGATGTGGATGTTACTACTTGACACGTTGAATAAGGTGCTGACATGGTCTTTTTTACTATACTTAGGAAGACGGCTCGGCGTGTAGTGTTTTCACATTCGATATTGCGGCGAATAAGTCTCGACTTCCCTTAGCGAAGAATGCGGTGCGCAAGTCGAGGACGTTGAGACATCCTGGTGTGATCAAGGTTTTGGATACGATCGAGGTATGCGCAGCGATATGGAGATGCTAAATGAGGTTTTACGGTTTGGATAGTTGATGCTGATATCTGTCAGAATGAGACGAACCTTTATATCGTTACTGAGCGAGTCGTCCCTCTCGAGTGGCATGTCAAGCGACGGAGCTTGAGCGAGGAAACTGCGAAGTGGGGGTTATACACGGTGTCGGTAAGAATTCTTATTCCTGGGCGTTGGGTAATGAGCGTTTATTAATATGGGATAAATGTCTAGTCTACTCTTAAATTCATCAACGACGATGCGTCCTCCGTTCACGGCGCTGTGCGCGCATCCTCTGTCTACACGAGTGAAAGTGGAGAGTGGAAGCTGGGCGGGTTCGATATTCTGAGCTCCATGAAAGAAGACGATGCTATCATATATGTAAGTTATATGTGGAAAGCTCTCGATCAATAAAAACGACATACTAAATAAGAAGCAGACCTACGGAAGTCTAGTGCCCGATGCAGCTCGCTACACACCTCCAGAAGTCGTCAAGGGTGGCTGGGATGCTATTAAGCGCCACCCACTGGCGGCAGTTGATGCATATGGACTCGGCATCTTGATCTTTGAGGTCTTTAATGGTCATTTCTCTGGCGGGGATCAAGTCGGCAAGACAACGAATATACCGCCTTCCATGCAGCAGAGCTACAAGCGTCTCTGCACAGCAAATCCTAAGCTGCGACTTAGTGCGGCGCATTTTGTTGAGCAAGGGAAGAAGCAGGGTGGCTTCTTCCAGACACCTTTAATCCGCTTGACGGAAGATATGGAGAGCCTGGGACTTAAAGATGATGCTGAGCGCGAGGAGTTTATCAAGTATGATCCTTTTGGTGGCACATTCCACTTCTTTTCATCAATGCTAACCTTGTTTAAAGTGAGCTTGATAATCTCTCCGATGATTTCCCTGAAGACTTCTTCAAAATGAAAGTTCTCCCCGAGCTTCTCAAGTCCGTCGAGTTTGGCGGTGGTGGGCCTAAGGTCCTCAGTGCCACATTGAAGATTGGCTCAAAGCTATCGGCAGACGAGTTCAATGCCAAATTGACACCTGTAATCGTACGGCTCTTTGGCAACCCTGACCGTGCGCTGCGAGTGTGTCTGTTGGATAACCTGCCGTTGATGATTGATAATCTGCCACAGAAGATTGTCAATGACAAGATCTTCCCGCAGATGGTAAGTGGCCCAGCACCTTGATTATTGTTTGTTCCGACTAATCTCGATTATTTAGACCTCTGGCTTTACGGATATTGCTCCCGTAGTTCGAGAACAGACGGTCAAGGCTGTTCTGTCTGTCGTTAACAAACTAAGTGATAGAGTTGTCAATGGAGAGCTGCTGAAGTTCCTAGCGCGTACAGCCAATGATGAGCAACCTGGTATTCGTACTAACACCACCATTTGTCTGGGCAAGATTGCGAAGAACCTGGGACCAGGCGTAAGTCTCAATCTTTGGATGGTGAAGGCTCTGTGCTAACCTTCCTTCAGACCCGCTCCAAGGTGCTTATTGCTGCCTTTACGAGATCCATCAGGGATCCGTTCGTGCATGCTCGAAATGCCGGTTTGCTCGCATTAGCTGCCACAATCGATACATTTACGGAGGAAGATTGCGCTGGCAAGATCCTGCCAGCTATTTGCCCAGCACTCTTGGACAAGGAGAAGTGAGTACTCTTTCGATGACCACTCCAACCGCCACTTCTAACCATAAAACAGGCTGGTCCGCGACCAAGCGAATAAAACACTTGATCTCTACCTCCAACGAGTCCGTAAATTCGGCGGCACGATGGCCGACACAGTTATACAACCACCTACCAGCTCAACCCCCGAACCCAACAAGTCAGATGCCCGCATCGGGAACTCAAACGACAAGTCTTGGGCCGGCTGGGCTATCTCCTCATTTACCAACAAACTCGCCGCCGCAGACGGCGAGATCGCACCCACAGTAACCGCCAACAAGCCATCCGAAAACATTCCCCGTCCAGCCTCCGTCCCACGCCCCACCACATCCTCCCCCTCCATTCAACCCGAGCCTACCAACAAAATCCTCCGCGCAGCAGCGCACCCTCTCTCCAGATCCCAATCCGATAGACCTGTGCCCATAGTCCAGGACGAATGGCACGACGCCGAAGAAGGAGACGATGTCTTCGACGCATGGGGCGCCATTGACGAAGACGACGACAAAGGCGTCGATCCCTTCACCGCAGCCGTGACATCTCCCAATCCCTCCTCGCCAGAACCGACAGCAAGCAAAGCATCTGCTGTCCCCTACGATGACGGCGGTGAACCTGATTTCGCTGGCTGGTTGGCGGCTAAGAATCAGGCTAAGTCGAAGAATCCTCTACCGAAGGGGTTGACTAAGAGTATGCCTGCCGCGAAAGCGGTTGCTAAGCCTAGGGTTGTGGCGCCAGCTAAGAAGATTGATACGAAACCCAAAGATGCGGATGAGGATGATGGGTGGGGTGATGCGTGGGATTAGATGTTGGAGTTGGGGTTGAGTCTTTGGTAATAGATTGGATGATTTGGGATGTTATTTTGATTTTTGAGATGGGCCGTACATAATATAAAGTCCCCAGCACCGCCACCTGATGTGTATGGAGATTTCATAGGATATTCTGTACTACACTTGATCGGTGAGGACAGCGCTCAGCCCGACTTTGCTTGTCAACTTAGGTAGTTGGCTACATCCGGCATTCGACAGGCTATGCCCCAAGAGGCTAACTTTTCGAAACCAAACAGCATGATTCGCAGGTAAATGCGCCCATGTCACAGAATTAATTATCGATTGGTCTAGGAACGTGGTCTTTAGAAGAGGACAAAAGGGTACCCTAGAAGATATGCAGGTGAGTGTAAAAAGCAGACTTCTCAGCTAGTCGAGCTTATTTCCCTTCCAGGTCCGTAAAGAACTCTCGCCCAAACTCTCCACTACTATCGTTGAAGCGCAGCTTCTTGTCGATATACTGAATCTTCTCCATATCACGAGGCGACAATCTAAAGTCGCCCTTAAGATTCGCCTGAATCCGCGACGGCGTTTTCGACTTCGGAAGGACGGAATGACCCTGAGTAATTCCCCAAGCTGAACGAGATCCAATATTAGCACAATTTCGATGCCTTCTTTGAACCATTTCACTCACCTAGTGTGACTTGAGGAGCACTCTTATTGTACTGCTTGCCAACTTCAGCGAGGACAGGCTCATCAATCAACTTTCCAATCGAGCCCTTCTCCCCGTAGAACTGATTCTGATTACCGAACGGAGAGTAGTGCGTGACATGGATACCTTTCTTGCGGTGCCATGTTGTGAATTCACGCTGCTGGAGCCAGGGATGACACTCCATCTGGTGAACTGCCGGGACGACGGAGGTATTCTGTAGAAGTCGCTCCATCTCGGCTTTGGAGAAATTTGAGACGCCGATGGCTTTGACTTTTCCGGTGCTGAGTAGCTTCTCCATGGCCTTGTACGTCTAAAAGAAGGTCAGCAGAACTCAAAGAGAGATCAAATTCAGAGCGGTATGTATGTCTTACGTCGACGATATCGATATCCTCAAGAATCATATTACCATTCCTCTTGGGGAAGAGCTCATCTCCGCGTTTCCAAGCGACCGGCCAATGTATCAGATACAAGTCCACATATTCCATTGCCAGATCATCGAGTGATTGCCGCAGTGCTGGCGCTACATCATCTGGATGATGCTTGTTGTTCCATAATTTGGTCGTGATGAAAAGCTCTTCACGTGGAATTCCGCTTTTCTTGATTGCTTTGCCGACCGGTTTCTCGGTGAGATATCTGTTGCTTAGTTAATAAAGCTATAGATCATCTATATTTCTTTCAAAGAGGGCTACTCACACTCGTGCAGTATCAATGTGTCGATAACCGGCTTTGAGCGCCTCGGTCACGGCGTCTTCCTGGGCCGCCTCGTCCTGCCATGTCCCGAAGCCAATGCCTGGAATTTCCGCGCCAGTGTTGAGTTTGAACTTGGTGGGCATATTGATGGCAGACCTCATCTCACAGAGAATCAAGCAAGATGTTTTTGAGCTGTAAGTGACAGTTGAGACGAGAGGATTAAGTGGGGGTCTCATGAAACGTCAGGTTGACGAGGTTGATTTCCAGTTGAGTTTGGACAGCTGGGATGACGTTCAGATGAGGTCCTACCCTAGATACAAGTCGATCTACTTAGCTCTGGGTTTATTGAAAGAACGAGACTTTCAAATGGGCCATTCATTTGAAAGATCGAGAGTTTATCCATCCATCGATACAAACACATGTTCTGGACAAGCACAGGATGATTCTTCCCGAGGCAAGGCGAGAGGGAAGCTAGTATAGTACTACTAGCAGGAGAGTATTTCTGAAGCATTCGATTTTGGGTATCCACATTGTATTGTTAGGCAATCAACTCAATCGACGGAGCCATCTTGGCATTCGATTGCAGGAAGTTTCCAATACTCCACGATGCACTGCGCTCTGCCTCACCAGCCGAAATCAACTTCCGACAAACAACAGCGGATGCATTTAAAAGAAGCATCTTTTTCCTAAAGTAGCGCTCAAGGTCATTTCCCAAGAACTTCCCCACCCTATAGCTAAGTGTGTTCGATGACTGTCGATCTTTGGAAGCACAGCTTTAGCTAAAGTGTGGGTTTGTGTGGGGTGTTTTGATCCTCTTGCTTAAACAGATAGATATTTACAACCACCCTATTTTTCCATACTTCTGACCTCGAATCAATCATCCTATGCAACGATGCAACGCGCAGATATAGAAATAGTAGAGAACCATTGTTTGGTGCACGAGGAAAGCCTATACTAGGAAATGCATAGTGATAGCTAGTTTTGTATATCATGGCCAGCGAACTAAGTTCTATCAGCAAAGCCAGAGATTCTGTACTCTGAAAAGGCGGACGTCATGGGTAGACCTATCCCGATAAAACCAAAAATGTCCCCAGTCCCATAAATCGAACCGCCAACCTTGGTGTTCCCTATATACTTCGCCCGTATTACTGGATCGCCATCCCCGGAAACCGAAGAACATCGCCAGTGCTACCCCTGATATACAACACCCCCTTTACACCCTCTAAGATAGTCAAAAAGGCGATTAAAGAATGAAGATTAATAGAGTTTAAACCTCTAAGACAGGCCCCCATTAAAAACATAATATTCTTAACAAAAACTCGACAAAAAAACGAACTCCCCCCGCCTAGCGGTGTGCCCGGCCGTCCGTGGAGCTCGAAGCGTCAACACTGGCCCGGTACTTTTTTCTTCTGTTTGCCCAATCCTCCAGGGCACACCTATGGTTCACCAATTTATGGTGGATACCAACTAGGCCATCGGAGAGGGGGGGTGATTGTTTGTCCTGGAATCCCGTGATAAGCTTGGCTATTGCCTAATTGGGATTCTGATGCTAACCGTGTCCCTAATTCATCTACTCCCTTGTTTATGCTCGATATGCCTTATTGATTCTTGGCTACTGTTTTCAGTGCTAGATTATTGTGGGAGTGGATATTGGGATTGGTTATAACGAGGACAATGATTTTAACTATCACTCTAATATGAAGCTACATTATTCTTGCTAGCGGGGGTATATGGAGGAGAAACTCTGGAAAGTTTCACATTACATGCGTCGAGGAATCAGCATCGTATTCATATTCCTCGAATAAAAAACCTCGTTCTATCCAATTCAAAGACTAGGTCCTGGAGAGGACACTACGGTCTTACATGTAGAAGGAAGGATACAGCAGCATTATATGCCTGCTACTAACGCTAGATAACCACTTAGGAGACTGTTCGCGGGCATCCCAAGATCGCCCTATACGTACAGTTTGTTCACTCATCTCTATTACATGCCATGCACGCTGGGGAGGTCTACAGTACTAAAAATCGTGCTGGGAGCCACCAGGGCTGCTGAGCAGGATGCTGGAGGGAACCTCAATAGCAGGGACATTGACTAATCGTGGGAGGGATCAGATATCACGGCCGCCGCCATCAAACGAAGGCTCTCTTCATAGTCGCTCGTCCCGTGGCCCGGATCGACGTCCTTCGGGACACATGTTGCCAGCTCCGACGAGTGGGCCAGTGACGACCTAAAACTCCCTCTTGTCGGTAGCCAGCAGCATGTTCTCGGCTGCCTCGGAAAGCCAGCCGTTGATAAAATCGCCATGGAAGCTCTATGCATTCCCGCTGGACAACCGGAGCGGCGCATCGCCAGACCAGCCGTCGGGCAGGACATCGGACGTGTCGAAAGCGGACCGAGAACCGCAACTGGGGGATGCGTTTTCATCCCATCAGGGCATCGGTTCGCGTTCACCAGCCACGCGCGGCTGGAGTGCCCGCTCTCCAGGGTTGTCGGGTTGACACAATCGGGAAACCGAAGCTGCGTCTGCAGGCGGCCCAGGTTGCATCATGCATCGGGCCATCCGTTGGCGTTGGGCGTCGTCTCTGATCCATACTCGCACCACCAGGTCATGTTCCACAGTTCATCGACCTGCTCGGCCGCCGTCGCGCTGGCGTTACCAGCCACCACTTTGAAGTCGGTGGGGAAGGGAATCTCCGCGGTGTCAATTTTATTGTAATCGGCCTTGAAATATCGGGCCTCGATCGGGACGAGGGCGGTGCCGTTGTTGGCCTAGAGAGTCGGGTGCCCTGCGCACGATTGCATAAGTATGTTCCAGGCGATGGTGATCGCTCTGGGCACTGGGGATAGAACGGACAGTGAACGGACAGATCTTTCGGATTGCTGTTCGTGGCACAGCCATCGAGAAGCGCTTCGGTGGTGGAAGTGGTCGCGTTGACGGCGTCGTTACCGAAGAAGCTGTGCACGTGGCTGGTGTACCTGCCCGGCAGTACAATTGAGTCGATATTCTTGCGCATGGTGTACCCAGAGTTCACCATGGTGTACCCCTACCCCGGTCCAGCGGCGGCTAGAAGCCCCACGATCGCTGTCGTGAGCATGGTGGGGATAAGGAAGGACTGTAGTTGGTAAAATGAATATGAAAATAAATGCTGCCTTTCAATGGAGCGAGCCAAAGAATAAGGGACGAGAAGAACAGAAAAAAAAGCCGACGAGGGTAAAGAGGAATCTTTTCTAACATAGCTTCTATACAGTCGAAGATATATGGGATCTGTTTGGTGGAGAAATGGGAGTTTAAGGGAGGAACCCTGACCCACACGGCGCCTGTCGTCCTTCTGGAGTATGTATCGGGACTTCCGACATACAAAAATCGTAGACTTAATCCATACCCTTTGATTCAAGTTCTGTATGGCTCTTCCTGTGTTATTTATACTGTTCTGCTATCAATGAGATCACGGTATTGGCACATTAGACAATCGCGCCTACTGTCGACTTGACATTCGTGTCGTGCGAGTAACTAAATCCTTCAAAGGGGATTTAATCAAGCACTAAAGCATATGTTCCGAGCCCAGCTTCATACAATAAGAGGCTTCCCTCTATATCCATCATGGTCTCATGGATGTTGCAAGTATGTAAAGGCAGCCAGCTGCCAGGGCTTGGCTGCATCCCATATCCCGTATCTGGCTGACTGTGGGAAAAACCTGATGTATGCAGCACTTTAACTGGCCGAAAGCTCATCCACCAGCTCCTTCACAACTTCAGTGCCTCCTCTTTGACCCGATCGCACAGCACCTTCCATATATCCTCGCCATACAGTCGACGTCTCAGTACCCACAAAATGGACATCTCCGAAGGGCGTCGCAAGCTCGGTGCCCACCGTGGTCAATATACCCGGCGTCATGACTGGGCAAGGAGCTCCCAGGAAGAACCCTTGTTTGGTCCACTCCATTTCGAGCGAATTTGTCGGCACAGGGATGTTATTCACATACTTGCCAAACGTCTGGCTGAATTGGTCCCAGGCTTGTTTGTGACGAGCCGCCCTAGACAATTTTGACCATTGCCGACCCCTTTCGCCGACAATAAAGCAGGTGATAGACCACTGGTCATCTGCTGGTATACTGGTATCTCTTGTGAAACTGATCGGTCCGACCTCCGAGTCAATGATTCCTGATAGGCCGGCCGTTTGCCACCAAGGCTCTTTGAAGACGAATACAGTCTTGCTATAGTAACCCATGACGGTGTTATCACTTAGTGCTGTCTTCTTCGGTGGCAATGGAGGGTTGAAAGTGATAGTCGGGTATAGTGTTGTAGGGACAGAAATGATTGCCTTTCGACCGTAGAAGGATTCCTCGGACTGGGTGACGACGACAACGCCGTGGCCACCTTCATATTGGCTCACTGAGGCAACCGGCTTTGATAAAAAGACAGACTTCCAACCAAGCTCCTCTGCCAGTTTCTTCGAGATGGTTTGGTTTCCTAGTTCATCAGCATGGTTCCAGGGAATAGGCGAATGCGATCAGATTACACAAGATATGGAATGTAGAAGCATACCTTGTCGATTCCGCAGATATTGACCTCCATCTTTTCCATCCGACAAGAGATTATCAATGCCAAAGCCACTCTTGAAATAATGCAGCATGTACAGAGCGCTAACTTCATCACTTTCTACCCCAAGTAGCGCAGTTGAAATGAGATCAGCAATTCTAATTGCCTGTTCATTCTTCGTTCTTTGGACACAAAACTCCTTGAGAGTCAATTGGTCGATCTCAGCGGCATTGTGTGATTTGAGGGGATCATTGAGATCTACACCCGAGGATTCGTCCCTTAGAATTCCCACGAGCTCCAAGAGAAATTCCGGGTCTCCCTTCAAAAGCCCGAACCATTAGAATCGTAATTTCAAGTCGAAATCCAAAAATTACTTACCGAGAGTTGACCGTATGGTACTTTCTCCAAAGAACCATCAGCGAGGTGAATAATCGTATCCCCGCATGCACGTTGAACCTCGGTATCAAAGCCGTACTTTTGGAAGAGCTTGAACATCTCGCTTTGATTCGTGTCATTGATCCATGCTGCACCCAGGTCATTGTATCCCTTCTCAGTGGATTGGACAGTGAGTGTCTTCCCACCGACACGATTAGTGGCTTCTAAAACACAGACGGTGAACCCCGCAGCTCGAATTACAACGGCTGCTTGCAGGCCACTTAGGCCAGCCCCGACGACGACCACGTCATAGACCTTCTTGGAGGCAGTCATTCTGTATCTCAAGAATCGTGGCAAAATTTCACAAGGGGCACTAGATGTAATATTTAATTGGGTGGCTTCGGTATGCCATAAGATATTTACAACGGTGGTGTTCTAGGAGAGATGATCGAATAAAGTAGGTGGTTGGGTGTCCATGTTACACTCGATCGTGGCTTGGCTCGGCCCCGCGGGTACCGAAGAACCCCTGTTAGGCTCATCGGGGCCCCGCATTTGATTTACCCAGCGAGCTGACTCAATTCTTTCGACTAATTATGTATAACAGTTGGAAAAGCTTCGAGATCAAGAGCAAGGTATCCATAAAGAAATTAATCTCGGGGAACTTCCAAGGTTGGGACCCTGCACCTCATAGAATTACGAGAAACCTCATGTGAGACTGGTACAGTTCGCCGAGTCCTCGAACATACTTGCATCTGGCTCGGGAGATGGAGCAAACATTCACGTTTTCCAGAATATACATAAAAAGATCTTACTGTACAAATATGGAGTCACGTCACGGTTATGCCTCCTTATCCAACTTGGTACCATAGATATCCGATGGAACTTTCCGAAAATGACTATAGAAAAGCAGTAACAGACGATCGACAACGTAAAGACCTGCCAGGAGGACAAACGTTCCCATAGTGAACCATAACCACGGTCGTTCTCCAATCCACATGAGCATTTGTGCATCTGCTCGGTGCCACGAGTTGCTCTGAAGATCAGTGATGTAAGGGGCCAACTCGGTTTGATTGACGACCCCCGCGGCCTTTGAATGAAGTGCACTAGATTCAAGTAAGTAGTCCTTCACTACCATGGTTAGAAACAACGGTCCGGCAGATATCATGATAGCACAGTATGGTTGCAGTCGAGCCCAGCTTCGAGTCAATGCATTGTAGGCGGGTAGTTTTGAGATTGCCGATGCGTAGATAGGGTGTCTCGCAGACGCGACCAGGAGGTCATTTGTGATACCCGTGGGATGTGTTGATTTGAACAGAGCATAGTCTTTCACTTTAGGGGATCCAAGTCTGTGCAGAGGAAGAGTGTTGTTGCACACTGTATCCATGTCTAGGTAGATACCTCCATAGTGATATAATACAAAATAGCGAATCGAGTCGGCCCGTTGGATTGGGAATGCATAATTGTCCCAGAGTGGTATGAACCATGAGTAGTGCTCGGACAGAAAGTTGCGCGCTGATTCGTCAGTCCATAGCTAGAAGTATCTGTCAGTGATCTGTGAATATGATTAAGCATAGATGACGATTGTCTTCTTTGTAGATTATCACGACTGGCAATGAACCTAAAAAAACATACCTTATACTCAAATTCCGAATAAGCTTTCTTGCAACTTTTCTGCGGCTGAATCCAACGTTCTGGAATTTCTTCGGTTGCGGTCGTCTGGTGTAGAATCAGAGGAATCCGACTCGACCGAGCTGTTCCATTTCCATGAGATAGGATACTAGGGCTTGGCAACGTGACTCTAGGGCTGAAAAGTTGCTCATTCAGGCGGAGCAGAGTGATCAAAGGCTCCAAAGTATGCAGCAGTAGCAGGACAATTGCCAAGTTGACCACCAATAAGACAAGCCATCCGGTTGCTTTCGTCGGCCATGCATTACAAGAGCTTTCATGTCGCTGATTTGACCCGGAGTCGGATTCGTGATCCAGACGCTCTTCGTCATGTAGTTTATCATAGGTAGGTCGAAAGCCTGGAAATAACGACCATCGTAGATCTTGCCAAGGTCTCATGGTCGCCTGCAAAACCAATTGTTCATTGGGTGACACCCAGAATAATCGGCCAGTGGGTAGCCCAGGAATATCCGACCTTGCGGCGACTCGGCGAGCAATCAAGGGGAGATGTCAGATCACGTAGCTATTCATCGTCAGAAGTCCTAGAGAACCACACTAGATTTCTATCGGAGATATAGAAGTTTCGTTCAACATGTTCCAGTTGGGCGTTTGTCGTCCTGCACGCGTCATCGTGGACGTAGGCGGCCGTAGTGTAACCTCATATGGGGCGGGTAGCACTGTCAACCAAGGTCTTCAAGAAGGGCAAATCTTTTAACTGGTAGACCCAGATGCGGATCCTCTCCATGGTCCTCGTTCCGGGTTCTTGGAAAGGCTTGCTCGGGGAAGACCCTATGAGATCGGGGATTTTTAGCGACGCTAAATGAGCTTTAATTCGGTCAGCCCCACATGACCTTGTAGTCTTACGATCTTTCCATCGTAAGACCAGTTCATTTCTCCGAAGCCACATACAGGCTGTTTTGGATCGATCGTAATCGAATACCTCAGCGGCGTATCCGTCATAAGTTCTTGTTGTCTGAGCGGAGGTCAACTGATTCCAGTGCCAACTGCCCTTGTAATGACAGGCGCTTGGAGCCACCCCGTTTCTTGTTGCCACGCAGGGTCACCACTGCCATCTCCCGCCTCGATGAGTAATGGAGACTCTTTCATTGGCGGATTGCCAAACAATCCAGGAAATTTGTCAGTCACTAGTGGCTAGTTGTAGATTTCTGGTCCCACTACTTAGTTGTGGGCTGTATCAATTCAACAACTGGATCGCGCAAGTCGAGCTTACTATTGGGATGATTGTTAATAGGTGTGGACTGATTGGTGGAAGGTAACTATACGCATGGATTCCAAGTATGAGTATTGTTTGTATGGCAGGACTTTACACATAGAAGCTTTTTGTTTTAAAGGCCAAGGTAGTTCATGACCTTAGTGTTATTTCCCTTTTTTCCTCTCATTGAGAACAAAAAACCCTTTTCTTTTACATGATGTCTACCTCAATAGCAGAGCCGATGAGCGAGGCTCCTATCCCAACTCATGCAGCCTCTGAGCGCCATTCCGAATCAGGTGCAATCATTCGGGACATGACCATTGGCTTTGCTGATGGCATGACCGTCCCTTTTGCCCTTACGGCCGGTTTATCAAGTCTTGGATCCTCAAAAATTGTTATCATCGGTGGCCTCGCAGAATTGTTTAGCGGTGCTATATCAATGGGACTTGGTGCTTATCTAGCAGCTGTCACCGACCGAGATCACTACAAAAGTGAGGAAGCGCGCGAGCGAGAAGAAGTTCTCACGAAGCCCGGGGCGGAAAAAGAAGAGTGTTATGAGATTCTCGACGGCTATGGCATCTCCAGAGAAGCAAGCCAGTCTGTGGTTGAGTGCCTCACTCGGGACAATGAGCAGTGGATTCGGGTAAGTCCTGAATGAACTGTCGATGACCACGGTCACTAACACAAAAATGCAGTTTATGATGGACTTTGAATTGAAACTTGAGAAGCCCAACGTCTCACGAGCATGGATATCAGCAGCTACCATGGGCATTTCATACTTCATTGGTATTTCAAAATCTTTTTCTCTTCTCCCGGCCAGATGAATCCTGCATTACTGACTTGGGTTCAATCTCTCCAACAGGTGGCCTCCTCCCTATGATCCCATACTTCGCTACGAAGAATACTAACCACGCTCTCTTCATTTCGATCGGCATCACCGTCGTCGTATGCATCACTTTTGGTTTCCTCAAGAATTACGCGATCCTCAAAACCAAACGCGCAGGTCTATACGGCGCTGCACAAACACTACTCGTGGGTGCGCTTGCTGCGGGCACGAGTTATGGTATCGTTTACGGGGTAGATCATAGTGGTCTTGCTTCATAGAATCATAGACATGTACTCATTGGCAGCACACGAACCATAAGCATCTCAATATTGTACTGCTAGTATTTTGAGGATATTGTAGGCCAGGGAAAATATAAAGACCAAATAGCCGAGGAAAATGCTCTTTCTTTTTTGGTTCCAGGGTTCATTCAATAATGAGGTCTCTTGATGGTAAAGGGAAAGTTTGCCTTGTTGCGGGCTAGAGTCAATATAGCGGCTAATTACCTCCTCTTTTTCAAGAAACAATACGAAGATTTGGAGGCAGAAACATAGCGAATGCCATGCATATCACAATCTTCGAGAGCGCCGGCTTACCTTCGTTGAATGCTACTTGGGTTCAATCGCATGCTAACCAACGGAGACAACGCCGTGATGTTATGACACGTCATCCCTGTCTACCAGGGTCAGCTATATACAAAAGAGGATTTTCTTGCCCTGGTTTCTCAGTGTAGACAAGGGTCGAATTACAAAGGACGAATGAGAGGGGCTACAAAGCGGGACAAGCGAGAAGCCGTTGGAAAAGCATCAATAGTCCTTCTCGTTAGATAAATGCAAAACACGACTATGATCTCTGAGAACGCATCCACAATTCAGAAAATGTAACTCCAAGGAGTACTAGTCGTAGCCACTAGTTTTCAATATACGGCCCGTCCCTAACCCCCTCATTTGGGGTCATGCGCCGCTTCCAGTGCATCCAATCCAAGCACCAAAAAGCTATCCAGCTGAGTCTGAGACTCTTCCCAAGCCTTGGTATATTCCTCCCTTCCATCTCCATTTCCGTCAAGGCCATACTTCCTTCCTATCACGCTCACAAAATTGTCGTAAGTGGTCGCGGGCTTTGTACGACAGAGCCCACACATGATTTTCTTGAAGCCCTCTGTATTGAACCCAGCACGAGGGAATATGCTCATAACGGCACGATACTCCTCAGGCGAGATTAAGGGCTTCCCATCAGGTCCGGGAAAATTCGGGCCAAAGAAATCGGCTGTAATACCCAGATGAGTGAGAGCAACCTCAGGTGCGGCATAACGAGCGATGGAAGCGGTGGTATGCAGAGCGATAGAGTCCCATATACGCTGTATAGTGGCCTGATTGAGATTTCCGTCATCGGTATGTTGTTTCTCGTTCAACAAAAAGTCTCGGGCGATGTTGGCACCGTCGACTTCAAAGCGCTTGTCGGTCGACAACAGCTCCGGAGTATTTGCCCAACCCATGTCGTGGAGAATGCAACTGACGAACACCATCTCTAGACTAAGATTGGTGTTGTCGCGGAATTCAGGAAGCTTCTTGGCAATTATGGTTGCCCAGTAGCCTGATCGGATAGCATGGCTGTAGACGGTCTCTGTACAGTGTTGCTTTGCATACTCGAAAGCTTTCAGTGCAAGAGGGGATGAAGGAGGCACAATGCCAACCTCAGGTAGAGCCGGAAGCCCTTGAACAGAAGATGTCATATTTATCGCAGTGAGTTTATCTCAATGAGTTCTAATTTGAAAATTCTCGGGGGTCGCACTGGGATCTTATATGTGATCTGTTGATTATCAATTTTGATTTAAGAATCTGGTTTTAGAGAGGAGAAGGCGAAGCATACCAGCCGCGAAGGATGGCAACTCTAGCCTTGTGTGACGTGGATGGCAGTTCTAGCCGTAGCCCTGGCCAGTGGAGACCATCGTTTGGAATCATTCTGCAAGCTAACCATACGCGACCTGTCTCTACGATTGATTTATGAGGAACGTTACATTTCTGGATTTTTGCTAAGCTGATAGGCTTACACGATCATTCTGGGCTATATTCATAAGATTTTCGTCAAACAACCAATCTTTGAATCTCAAAACAAGCTGTTCGGAGTCCCGAAGCTCCAAAACGGAACTAGATATGTAGTACATAGTCAATATATGGCGTCTCTGTCACGATACAAAGCTTATTTAACTTCCTAAACTAAATAAGCCTAGCATGGGGTTCATCAGCTTACAAGTAAGACTATCTTCCAACTTCGTCAATGGGACCGAAGCTGCCTTCAAAGTATGGTGATGAGCTGCGAAAAGCTTTCCTGGATGTCCTCTATTCCGCTATTGATATCCAACCTATCTCTGACCCACTTACCCCATTTTTATGTGAGAAAATAACGACTTGTCAGATCTATTTCGGCACAGATTCAGCTCGACTACATACTCCACTCTGTTTAGGAAGGAAGCAGAAAAGAAGCGAAGCTTAGAGTGGGGCGGATGTTTGCTATTTCGACAAACTGCGTCTGGAGCTCACCGCGCCTGCCGTATTCGGGAGCTCCATTTATATTTTCGCGCTCCACCCGCAAATTTTTTTCTTTCTCCCATATCTGCGACTTTTTGTCCAACAGCAGGGGGCTTTGAGCCTTCCTTCTCTGTCTTTTTCTTCTCAATTTTATCACGAGCAGCTTTGGCTGTGTCTAATCAGCATGTCTCGTTGAACGGGCTGCCGTTTGTCGAGGACCTGATCGCTTAATGCTGCCATTCGGTCCTCGACATAAATTCGCTTTTGAATTTTTTTTTCCCAAAAGGTAAGCTCAAAGCCATATTTTCCTCTTACACGCACCCTCCCCTCCCCTCCCCCTTTGGATGATGACCCTACGACATGCAAAGGCATTCCTCAATCTGAAGTTATCATGTGGAATCTGTCAACTATTAAGTTTCAGCCTTGTCTGACTACACCAAAAAATCACTTTTTGCCATACTACCAGCTTTCTGCCTGTGTGAATTCAATGCTAACAAGCTGCGGGTTTAGGTAAATTCAAACAACTTCCCTCGTCAATCTTTTCCCCTCTGTCGCGGCATGTCCCTTGCATGAAGAAATCTTGAACGAACGGGCGGACAAAACGTATCTTCGTCCCTTCACCCTACAAACCCAGAGCGTACAAACTCTGTGGGTGTCTGGGAGGTGGAATACTTGTTGAGAATTCGTCACCTGATACTTTGCCCACTGTCATACCTCATTGACGTTGCCTTGGATGATAATCTTTGAACAACCTGGTCTGACTGTGCTTGTGTTAGGTATTCTATCCTGCTCTCTTCTTGCTTGATTGCATGCCCCCCTTTCTACATGGTCATATCTATTATGATGAATGTGTTATTCACACTGTTTGAGCTGGATGCTTCGGTATTCTGGCAATGAACATTTATACAAAAATCTGATTTAATGAGGTGAGTTGCTCTCGAGAACCCGTTTTCTCCACCATTGAATTTTCTTGCTGACTTCTACAAGCCTGACTTAGTTGCCATGTTTTGATCTTGATGTTCACGCTTGCATTTTCCATGAATGCCATTGCTGACTCGCTTGATCAATCATCTAGGTTCGACTTTGCCTAGTAGATACCCCTATTCGTTTGTGTAAGTTCTTACCGTTCTTCCTCTACCCAACCTCCCCATTACCTGATGAGCACCAATTATTCGCTGTGTTCTTTCTGAATACATATTGAAGATAAAAAATTATATTCACCTTGGAGAACTGATCTATGTTCTTGTCTACAAAATGTCTCACTAAGTATACGTTGTGATCTATTGCTAATTCGCAATGCAGGTTTTATGATACCCTTTAGCCTAGATCATTTGAATGAAAACAATTTTTCTCAAGACTTATTGCTCATATCTCAATATTACCAGCAGAAGTCATTCAAAGAACGTAGCCACACAGTCCCTCCCACCCGTCTCTAGCCCGTAAACCCGTTACTCTCCCAAGACCTTGCTCAAAGACACCCCCAACAACAACATTTCATCCTTCACTCAACAAAATATCCATGTTTCTTGTGCCATTCCTCCAAGCTCTCCTTATTGTAAAGAGTATGCGTACTCTTCTTACCCTCAGGCCACCGCATCCACGTCGGCTTAGAACTCTCCATAATACAGACCATCTCAGCCGGCTCCGGCAGCTCGGTATCAATAGCTGATGCGAATGGATGAATCAATTCCGGCCAATGATGATCCCATAGCCAAAGCATAGTACTGCAATTAGAGCAGAAGTTGCGCTCGGAAGAGCAGCGTTCCTCGTTTGGAGTTCCGCGATCTTTGATTCCATTGTATTTCCTACGGGCGTGAGTTAGCATCTGCTTTGCAATAGGCGATCATTGGATGGATGGAGACTGGATGTTGGTTGGTGGTGGAAAGCGGTTGTGCATACTTGATCAGGTCTTGGCCTTTCAGCACCTTCAGGCTATCCGCGATGCCGCCCAAGTTCACACTGCCAGGATAGCCGCCGACTTTGCGACAGATGCTGCAGGCACATAGCTGGTAGGGTACTGGGGTTTGGGATTGGAGGGTGAATTCAACGCCGCCACATTGGCAGCTTCCGTCGAGTTTCCTGTGGGGAAAGTATTAGCGTTGCGATGCGGGGAGATCATGGACAATAGAGTGCGGTTCGTGTTTGGAACTTAGAACAGACTTACATGGGCATATTGGCGAAATATCTTCAGACTGGCCTTTTGCGGAGTGCTTTTCAACAATGTATCAACTTGGTGGGTTTCGTAGAAGCTGTGGGAGAAAGACAAACGAGTTGGTGAAACCTACTCTCTCCAGCAACCTCGCACGGATATATATACTTTTGGTGCGTAAGAAGCAAATAGTGCAAAATCCCAAATCATGCAGGTCTCAATAAGAACGGGTAAATGATCGGTTTTAACTGTAGCTCCGGTTATCTTTAGTCCACTCAACTGTCTTTCTCGAGAGGCTTGAGTCCTGATACTTGACCATTGACCTACATCATCGGCAGCATCCTGCGTTCCCGGCGCCCGCTGGTTGGCTGGCGCATGTGTTTGTCTCTTTTGCTCTGTTTGTCTTCGGACTTTGGTGATCGCCTCGACAGACATTATCCAACTCCGCCATCGTTGCAATTGTCTGTGCTGCACAATCCAGTGTTTGACGAAGGAGATAACGATACCTGTCAGAAGTGCTCTCAAGTCACTGCCCAAGATGAGTTTCGGAGCCCCCGGAGGTGGATCGGTCAATTACAAGCCCACACCGTGAGTCTTTGCCAGTGCCGTGATCTTTATCCTGCCACTTGACGGCGATGCGCCCCGTGGATCTGTGACATAGATATTTTGCTGATGAGACGATGCTTCTAATATAGTCCTGAGCGTGGTAGCTTCCCTCTTGATCATGAAGGTATGCTTGTTACTCCAGCACATCCAGCTTTATCCCACAGATGCATAATTCACAGAACTTGAACAAGACTAACAATCAATCTCACTGTCTAGGAGAGTGCAAACACATTATTTCCGGTTACTTGAAATGCATCAAGTCCAATCGAGGCACCAATGACGAGGCGTGCCGCAAGCTTGCTAAGGAATATCTCACCTGTCGAATGGATAAGTACGTACAGCCGATTCCCGCGCGAGTTTATATCTACAATGGCTCCCTCGAAACCCAAGAGAGGAGAAAGAGCAGTTGTCGAAGATTACCGTACTGACCAAGAGTCTCTTCTATCTTCAGGAACCTTATGGCCCCCGATAACTTCCAGAATTTGGGACTGGTATTCAAAGATGACCAACCAAAAGGCAATGATGCCACTACGAGTACAGCGCAGGCACAAAATACAGAAAAGAAAGGCTGATTGGAGGCAGACAGAGTTAGTGGAAGGGCTTTGTACGATACCGAAGACATCAGCCCACCGACAATAAGTCGGGGGCCTCATATTGGCGTTCAACGAGGGCATTGCACATAAAAAATTGTACTATATACCAATTTCATTCTCATCATTCAATAGACCATCTCTAAATATGCATTAACCTCCAATTAATCTTTCTTGCACGTGGCGTGATGCCTTCGAATCTCCAAGCTTGAATTGTGTCATGCGGGGAAAGCGGTTCCGCCCAGCCATTCCCACCAAGCTTCTCCAACGTCGCGCCCGACCCGACTGCTAACGCACTCGATGTCGTCGATCGCACGCCCCCCAGACCCCTGTCTAGTCGCGATCATCCTCATCGTTCGGTCGCGCACCGGTCCGCGCCTCGTTTTCCATTACCCTCCGAACCCGCTTAGCGAGAACCGCTTGAAGTCCACGACCAAGGGCGGCCGGCGCATCTCCCGCACACGCAGCCGACAAGGCTCCAAGAGTACCGACTCGAGCTCGAGTGATGAGAGTGGTCTTAGCTCTGATGAAGATGAGGATGAGCGGGAACCTCATGTTGGTGGGAACACGGTCGCGAACGCAAATCTGAGTGTGAACTTGAATGCTGGGCTAGGCCGCCGGGCGAGCAACTTCGGCATCGACTCACTTACGCTTACGCCGGACGCTGCGTCACCCGGTGGGACAGATTCACAACGGCCCGGGTCTTTGGGGTCCGGCAGGGCTTCTTCGCTAAGGAAAAGGGGTGGCGCATGCTCGGATCCGGAGGAAGATGCTGGATCGGATCGGCCTGAGGATGGGACTACTGGAGGGTCGCGGCCGCCTTGGGAGTCACTTCTAGGCCTACCCGGTAGCGTGTGGGAGAAACTACTCAGCCCGTCTCGGTCCTGGCATAAGAGACGCTTTGAGGTTGGGATTAATGATCTCGCCTTGATCGGATGGCCGGTATTCGTGCGCGAAGATGGGACATGGCGTAAGCAGCGCCGCAAGAAGAAAAAGAAGCCTCGTGCTGAATGGGATGGCGGGGAACTGGGCCACAATGAGAATGCTGAAGATGGTCAGGGTGAAGAAGACCCAGCCATGTCGCCTGATCTGGGTGGAAGTGTTGCTACGATCACCGAGTTGACGCTGACAGCTTCACCTACTGAGGTTAAACGGGCCTCAGCGGCGAGCGGGAAGTTTGGCAAGCAGCAAGAAGATAGTCTTGATCCGGAGGATAAGGACCAAATGACTATGTTTAATGTGGTATTTGTGATGGATCCTCCTCTGCTAGAGTACTCGATGCGAGTCAAGGAGATCTACGAGAATATCATTAAGAAATTTGCCAAGGCGCTGAAGTGGGAACAAGCTCGAACTGACTATGTTTGGAGGGAGTCGCAGCATATCTTGCAGGTTAGGAGGAAAGCGCGAGAAACGAGTATGCCTACCGTCCATATTCTTATAGTTATGCTTTGTACTGACAGCAGGTTATCAGAAACATCGGTTCATAACCTCTATTCAGAGTTGATTAACCAATCGTCTTTGGCTAGAGCAATGTACACAGTCTACACCAGCATCTCTGCGTCAAAGATTGCATCGGTTTCACTCAGCCCTGATGTCTCCATCTCGCTTCAGATTCCTCCATTGACTTCCACCCCGTACTTGGCTGGGCCTACCGACAAAGCATATCCCGGCCTTTGGTTGACAACTGCGGACAGTGCGACTCCAGTTGATGATATCGGAACCGACGAAAACAATGCTCCTCACCAAGTACTTGCGAAGCACTTTGCCTTGCTTCTCCTGGACAGCGAAGCAGCGATTATCAAGGATGTCGAGGCCTCCGGGGGCACTCTAGCACCCGCTCTAGCCCATTACATCCGTTGCTCCAAGCCTACAAAATCATTTGCACAAATATCAGCTGCATCAGGGATCCCACTATCGACGATCCAGATGTTGGCAAGCCACCTGGTATACTGGCGTCGCGCCCGTGCCATTCCTCCAATCCACCAACGAGACACCTACATCGTGTCTCCAAACTGTGACCTGAGCAAGCTCGAAATCGCCACAATCGCCTACCAAACAACATTCCCCACGCTACCCAGTCTCCCAAAGATGCTCTCCGCTCTTAGTGGCACACCTCGACCCTACGGCAGCTTCATCCCCAGCAAAGATCACAAGGAAACCTACTTCTCCATCCTAGCCTGGTTGCTCCGCGGCGGCTGGGTAACCCAACTACGAACCTTCGCCCGCATCAAAGTCACGCCCGAAATCAAACTAGCCGTAGAAATGGCCCTCCGAAAAGAAGAAGTAGACCGATACCTCGCCAAAGGCAGCGTCAGTTCCGTCGCCGACAACGAAGACTCCTCCTCCTCATCTTCAGACGACGAAGACGCAAACTCCTCCTCATCCTCTTCCCTCGCAAGCCACGGCAGCGGCGACGAGACACCCATGCAAGGCCCAGGCAGTCGTCTCGACCCCCACGCCCGCCTACGCATCTCCCACAAACTCCTCGACCGATCTACCGCCCTCCGCCTCTCATCGCTCATTCTCTCCCCGCACCGCGCATCCCCGCTCGAGTCACGCTGGCTCGATGAGATCGTCGCCCGATTCCCGGATCAGCCGGGTTCTTTGCAAGGACTGGAAGGTGCCAGTCCAGATATTGCGCCGAATGAGCTCCAGGGCGTGCTGAAGAGGTATTGGCCTGTGTTTTTGAAATACTTTAATGGGTATGATGCGTTGGAGAAGATTTCTGTGCGGGAGAGTTTGAAGAGAAAGTTGGTGTGGCAGGTGCTTATGCGGCTGGGGTTCGTGACTGGGCCTGGTATTTCTATTGAGCCGGATCCGCGTGAACAGGTGCTCATAGGCGTGAGACATTGGTAGGGGGTGTTTGGCTTCAATTCAGGTTGCTTTGCGAATATGGAAGGTTTAAGGGCTAGGTGTTTGGGATTTTGTCGTCGGCGCGTAGGACTTTGTGTGGATTTTATGTGTATACCATCTCACTCAGGGTTTTTGATACTTAAAATTCCACTATGTAATACTTTCAAATTGAGTATTCTAGACATTATAGACAATCCATTTGGCCGTGACTTCGAGCCACAATCGTGTTAATACGGGCATACACTATAAGAACTCATTCTTTCCACTCTTATGCACGCTGGTGGTAATACAAATACAAGGCCAGCCAGTCCCAAAACCCCGATGGCTCAATGTAAATTGTAATTTAATTACCATCTCCACCCATCTTCCGATGGATTCCGTGTGCCCTCCTTCAGCCCTAATCGCTCGCCTGCCGTATCTGACGTGCGCCAATGTTTCGGCCACGGCCTGATACTTGATACTGGACTAGGGACAGTAGGTTTATGTACTTCATTGTCATTCTCTCCGGATCTGCTGCGGACAGCGCCGGGGCCAGACAGATCACGTGGTCTAGGCCCAAGCCAGGGCCATTTACATTCCTTCGGTCGCAGTTGCACAGAATAACCACGGGGATGGCTGGACTGGGCTTGGGTAGCAAGGGAGTCTGGTACTGTAGGTTGTCCCTGCTTTCAGATAGAAAAGAAGAGATTCACGTGTTATACTGCGAATCATATTTCAAACTCGAATTGCCTTGAGGAAGGAGCATCTTACCACCTTGGGAACTCTTCATCTTCAAACTGGTAATACGAATACCGCGGCCCCGGTAAGACCATCTTGCACGGCCCCGTCAGGTACCCGAGGAAGGAAGGAACCTTTTCATGGTGCGTATATCGAATTCTCCACGACATGTGAAGATTACCGGCTGGGCGTTGAAATGTCATCATAGTAATAGGTTTGTGTATAATTCTTTCTAGTAGCACCTAGAGTTTATTGTAGATCTAAAATATGCATCTATAGACAGACAGTCCTGCAAAACATATCATACGAACCCATGCCCCGTTGCACCGAAACCAACGAGAAGACTGGAGTGTGTCGCCCAGAAAACCAATAGTCGGGCAGCACGACTCCGGTGGACCCCGCGAGGGTTGGCAGGTGTTGGGTAATGGTAATTAAGGAGGAAAAAAATGTGCCGGGGAGGAGAATTGTTCTTAGGTATTAATCTCGGATGTACTCCGTACAGTTATTTATTCTTAATTATTCTTGTGTCTGACGTGGACGCTGTACAGTGTTCTTCGGGCCTTCTTAGCGGATACCAGCCGCTTAGACACCAACGGTTTGTCTAACTAACTAGTACAGTACATACGGTGACGGACGATCCAGTCAACTTCTGATGGTTATATACAGATTATCTGTGATCAAGTACTCCGTATATGGAATAAAGTAGGGAGGATCAATGATCAGTTATAACGCCCGAGTCTATTTTCCAGGCACTGTCATAATGCCATTGGATCAGTGCATTGTTGAGGCTCATGTGTAAGTTTACGGGTTGGACGTCGGATATAGTTCGGCTATCATTCGTTGTAGAGTCGAGGGCACCGTTGACCTTAGGATCTTAATTATGATAGTATTAGAGCATTAGGAATTTATGCAGACTCGGTGAATCTTATATCATGCTATGGTGGATGAATCTATACTAAGGATTGCAGGTAAGTATATAACATGGCAGTAACAGGCGGTAATAAATGCAACAGACTAGATTTGTAGGGTTCTAGGGATATATAGCTCATACGTAGTTAGTTAGAAGCAAACCGCTAGACCAAAAGAAGAGAGACGCAGTGCTGGCCGACGACTGCATGATACTCTCTTATACTTTTGGGGGGCAGTACATTGTGCGACTGGCGTTTGATGCGGGCCCTCAGTCGGTTTGTGTGTGTAGACCAAATCTTTCCGTGCGGGCGTACGGCTACGGCACCGAGGGATTCCACAAGGTCTCCATAGTTGAGATTTTTTTTTCCTTCGTGAAATTCCTCGAGTAAAGTCCCTCCTCCTTGCGATTCTTAGGGTGTTTTTGGAAAGGAAAACCCAAGTCCAAGTAAGTACCATTCTTGGCTATGAATGTTTAATTACATATTACCCATTACCTATCTTTACGTTGTGCCCTTCATTACCTTAATACCTTCCCCGTCTTTCTCTTTTAGAGACTCTGGACTATAGGCGGGCGACTCACCCCGCTACCACACCCTGGCCCTGATTATTACCCAAATAATAATTTTGCGTTCTCCGTCCCTCCTCCTCTCCTCTTACCCTCTTCTTCACTCCTCCCCTCTCTTACTACCTCCAACCCCTCCCCTCTTCTCGCCTGTTCGTTACCACTCTCCAAACCCCCTCCTCCCACCGTATTTTCTTCGTTTCTAACGCTTACCTGATCGATCTGCAGCCGTGTGTCTATCCTCGGGATTTGCTCCGTGGATTTGACGTCCTTCCCGCGACCTGCGATTTTTCCCACACGTGCAAGTTCCTCGGACTACGTTGCTCGGCACCTCTTCGTCTTCGCTGATTTCAGAGTAAACGGAGTGACAGACATTTTTCATCGTCTGTCGCTGAAGCCGCGTCGTGCAATTCCGTTCTCGGACGCTACTCGCACTTTCCCGCACTTTGTGAACCTCACAAGGGGCCTCACCCGAGTTCAGATTCCGGTCAAACGCGACGTTCGATACCCTCGACGTGCAGTTCGCATCCCTGTGCACGACCCTCTACCTACCTTCGAACTCCCGAGATCTCCTCGTCTAGTCCGCAAGTCGGAGGAACCGAACGTGTCTGGACAAGTTACGAGGAACAATTTCGCAGAGTTCACGTCTTCTCACGCGCATTGACTCTTCGGACCTACTGGTTCGATATCTCACTGCTTGCGTTACGACATTGACAGGGCCGCGCCTTCCCATCGCCGTCGCAGACTTTTTGTTTTCTCCAACACCTCACTCACCCTCCGCCGCTTGTGGTCTTGTGCATTCCGTTGCCAAACCACTCTCCCTTCCACCATACATCACCAACGACGCTACTGATGCGATCTGTGGTTTAGACGGTTCATTCGGTTCTTTCTCAAATTCATCCGAACTCCGCCTACCGTTTCGTCCCATCCTGCTCATTTGCCGGACATCACCGATATCGCGTTGGACAAACACTGAGTGAGCGGGAAGTTGCCGTTTGGTGGAAGAAATTCCTTTAAGTGATACTGGTGCTGGAGTTTGTCTCGCGCGTGGGCGTGTGAAGAGACCTCCACACTTGCCGAAGGAAACCTCCGTTCTTTAACGGATCCATTCACAACCACAAAATCGACGATTTTCGTCCCATCAAAAGACACAATGAGCGCTACATTTTCCTACGCGCAAGCCGCCAAGGGCGTTTCTGCCACCCCTGTGGTGCCCAGCAAGTCTACATCAACAGAACCAGAGAAGTCGGATTCCAAGACTGAGGAGCCCAGCGAGAGTGTTCCTGCCCCGACTGAGTCTGTGACCACTGCTTCCGAGACCGAGACGCCGCAGGAGCCCGAGACTGCCACGACAAGTGTGAACAATGATGCTGAGTTTACTACCGTCACCAGCAAGCACGCTCATCGATCCAAGGCCACCAACTCCCGGACTTCGTCCCCAAGTGTTCGGTCAAATGTCGCACAATCGAAGGAGGGTGATGCCTCTAATACCTCCAATGGAACCACTGACGCTTCCTCTGAGAAGCAGGCTCAGTCTGATGCCAAGGCTGACAAGACTGAGAATGGCTCGGAGACCTCTAAAGAGAAGTCTGAAAAGCCCGAGAAATCTGAGAAGGCCGAGAAGGCCACCCCTCCCAAGGAGCTGAAGGCTGCTCCTCTCCCCTCCGTGAACATCTGGCAGCAACGAAAAGAGGCTCAGGAAGCCAAGGCCAAGACTACCCCGGCACCTGCTGCTGGCAAGGGTAAATCCGAGGAGGGACAACAAGAGTCTGGCAAGGCTAGCTCGAAGAAGAAGGGTACCGATGGTGCATCTGAGGGTACCAAGGGCAAGAAGTCCGACGGCAAGGGCCGTGACGAGGCTTTGTCCTCTGTTGCGGACGCTTCATCATGGCCGACTCCCCAGGTTGCTCTGGGTGAGGAGAAGAAGAAGGCCCAAGAGAAGACGGATAAGCCCGAGCGAACTGATAAGAGCCCCGCCTCTCGATCCCACGGCAAGGAAAAGTGGATGCCTGTCAACTACGTCCCTACTGCTGTGTTCAACACCCCTCTCCCAACACCGGCTGGCCGTGGTGGCCGCAAACCCACTCGTGGTGGACGTGACGGTGGACGAGGAGGTGCTCATGGTGCCGGTGCTGCCGCCGGTGACAAGACTGCTTCTGGACAAGCTGCTCCCGCCAAGCAGGCCCCCGGTGAGCGTGGTCGGAACGAGACTGGCAGCGGTCGCGCAGCTTCTCTTCCCGCGCATGCCAGACGCTCCACCAGCGCTGACGTTGCCAACCAGGAGGCTCGTAAGGGCCAGGCCGCAGAGCGTGGCCGTGGACCCCGTGGTGCCGAAGATGCCACCACGAACGGCAAGCAGGTCAACGGCGGCGAGCATTTCCCTCGCTCCCAACGTGATGGCAAGCAGTTCCCACGTAACCAGGATGCTCGGGCTGGTGACCGCAACTCGAAGAATGCTCACCTGGGTGTTGACTCTCAGGCTGCTGCTCGTGCTAACGAGCGCCGTGTCGAGTCGGGCCCCAAGTCTGCGGACGTGAACCGTGATGCTTCTGGTTTCCAGGACTTCAACCGCGAGCGTGGTGACTCCCGCGCTGAGCGTGGCGGCCGCAATGCCAACCGCGGCCGTGGAGCCTACTCCAACTTTGCTCAGAACCCTCAGTTCGCCATGGCCAACAACTTCGTGCCTGGCAAGTTCAGCTTCAACGACCGCCAGCGATCTCACACCGGAGTTCCGAACGGTCAGCAACAGAACAACCGGATTCCTCTGCGCTCACCGTCATTGCCCGCGACTGCTGGCATGTACAACAATGTCTACCAGTTCCCCGCCGAGATCAACACTATGTACCCCTCCTACCCTGCCAATGTGGCTCCTGGTCCTATGAGCGCCATGCCATACCAGCAGTACATGGAGCCTTTCAGCCTCATGAGTATGCTGTCCATGCAACTCGAGTACTACTTCTCGGTTGACAACATGTGTAAGGACATGTTCCTGCGTCGTCACATGGACTCTCAGGGCTTTGTGCCTCTGGGTGTCATCGCCAGCTTCAAGCGTGTCAAGTCCATGACTGAGGACTTTGAGATGCTCCGTCACGTTTCCCGTGGCCTTCGCAACGTCGACTACCAGATTGGTGAGGATGGCGTGGATCGTCTCCGCCCGAAGGAGAGCTGGGCCCAGTGGGTTCTTCCCGTTGACCAGCGGGACCCCTCGGCTCAGCATGAGGGTGCTCCGGTCGTTAAGCACGCCAAGAACGACGATAACGCTCCGATCAACCATAACGAAGGTGCCCCGAATAGCTCGATTCACAACGGACCTCGCCAGTTTGTCCCCAACGGAACCGCATCTCGCGGAAATCGGACGCCGCTTTCGTCTACTGCCCCAGAGTTCCAGCCGGCACTGAATGAAATTGCCAATGTAGGACTCCCCAAGGATCATTCCTCCCTCGCCGAAGAGAGCACCCAGTGGACAGGCTCTTCTACTCCCCCCATGGATAACCCAGTTATTGACAATCATCCCTCAGCGTGCGGACTAAGTTCGCCCCCGGAAACGTCGCATCCCCCTCAGTGTGAAACGGAGTGGCCTTCCTCTAGGTGAGTTGATTTTTTTGTTCATGCAAGTGGCACGCTCCAAATGTTGGCTGACTTTTTGATTCTTTCCTCTCTTAGCTTTGACATGGACAAGGAATGGGGCTCTCCATCCAGTTCCGTTGCCCATTCAGCGATTAAGCTTCCGAAGAGGAAGGCCTGGCCGTTCAAAGCGAAGGATACGCGATCTTATGACCCTAAAAGTTCTCCACCTCTCTACTACTCCCCCGACATGTCCCAATTCTACCACCCTTGGGGATGGTCCCCAGCAGCCAATTCTGCTGAGACCGGCACCCCTTATCGTACCTGGTCACAGTACCTCCTGCGCGATTTCAATCTGCAACTGTACAATGAATTTAGGCGATCAGCCCTTGATGATCTTTTCACACGACACACCGACTATGGATTCAACGCTCTAATGAGTTTCTACGAAGCCTCTCTTCTCAGTCCCATGCCTACTCCCGACCTGGTCCTTTCCGACATTGTCAACTTGTCTGATGACAGAACAACGAAGCTTAACAACGAGGTTTTCGAACTCCTCTGCTCGTCTATGGCAAGTGGTGCGATGGAGGACACGAACTGTCGCAGGCTTGGCTACTACTACAAGGGGGTGTATGGCCAGAGCCGACCGGCGTGGAGGAACTTCACTGCTTAAATTCATCCTCGGTCTCCTTGTTCGTTTCCAAATACGTTTATCTTTTTTCTGGGGTCATATTGTTTATCTTTTTATTTTATCCCCTTGCGCGTTTCGTCTCAGATTATGATCAGCATTGTTGTGATTAAAAGGTCTTGCATGCATTGTCGCCCACTTCCTTTCGCAAGTGCCGAATGGTTCCATATCCCATTTCAAAATTCGGCGCCCTGGGTTTCCTGGTTCACCGCGAAGCCTCGGAGTTCTTCTCTTCCATCTATTATTCTTATCGCGAGTCTCCTCTCTATCCGTGCTGTTTGCTTCGAAATCATGGGGCTTTTTTTTTTTTTTTCGTTTTTCTCACCAAAATGGTTATCCGGAGTCCGGGCATGATATTACTGGGCAAATATCCCCTTTCTTTCTTGCCTGATACCATCGGTACCCCGGGCTCAAAAAATGACGTTATTCTTTCTGATCATAGAGATTCTTTGTGTGCTTCTTCTTCTTATTGTTATCTTTTCTCGCCCATTCTATTCTTTTGATCCAGACCGGTGGTGCCTGGCTCTTCTGTCCTGGATCTCAGCGATTATCAACATGACGGTGCAACGACCCCGAGCAAATGCAATGGTCGAGAACAGCAATGAAAAAGTGTCTTGTATGATGTCAACCGTTTTTTCCTCCTGAGATCTAAATTGGTCCATTCCTGCTGTCAAAGCTGGGTGGATGCGTTTGCAGTTGGGGGATTCTTGCATGGAGGGCGTGCTGTTTGCCGCTGGTGCATACACGGACCAGTTGATTACTTCTTCGATGAAGGTTCATATCTTCATAGCATCTTTATTGGGTACTGAGTTTTGCTGGGATTGCTTGGGTCTTTTATGTGGAGTGTTTGGTATTCACGTGCAAAATCAGGTTGTTTCGTTCTTTTGTCTGGGGTTAATGTGATAAATGTGACATGCATTGTGTGGATTTCTAAGTACAAAATTTTATGGCTCAGCGTAGGAGGTTTAAAGCCTTAGGTCTTTTTAGTTGACAAATATTAAATGCGAATGAGGACGGACTGTTACCTCGCAAGTATGAATACTGGCCACTACAGTATGTAATATGTGCTCTTTTGTGCCTGGCCGCAAGCTGCAAATGTGGAGGTGACCTTGATGCCTCAGGCTTCCACAGGTCATCCACTCGGAGCAACGACAAAGCCCGAACCTCGCCAAGGTCCGGACAGCTCGACGTAACCAGCTTACTCTTCGTCCTTCCCTCCACTATACCTACTCCTCCGTCCCGAACCCCACACCTCTCAAGATGGAGGGTGCATCCCGCCAGACATCAAGGCTGCTCCGGTCTCGCGGTGCCAGCCTCCTCCCCCAACAGCGCCGCCTTCCCCGATCAACCACCGCACCATGCGTGACACCGACACAGACCCGCGCGGTCTCGAATTCCCCGCGAAATCTCGCCCCAGAGTCCATCTTTAGCAACTTTGCTGCAGCTGGTGGCTCGCAGGGATCCGGTCTCGGTCCTACTACCTACTTCTCAAACCGCCAGACTCTTCCTGCCAACACGGTCGTACGATTCGTTCCGCAACAGACGGCGTGGATTGTTGAGCGCATGGGAAAGTTCCATCGGATTTTGGAACCGGGTCTTGCTATTCTGATTCCGTTTGTGGATCGGATTGCCTATGTTAAGAGTTTGAAGGAGTCGGCTACTGAGATTCCGAGTCAGAATGCTATTACGGCGGATAACGTTACCTTGGAGTTGGACGGTGTGCTATACACGAGGGTTTTTGATGCGTATAAGGCTAGGTGAGTAGCTCTAGTGAACAATGGCTTGTATGGATGGATGTTATGGGCCATTGACTAACCGATGCCTCTGCTCCAACTAGCTACGGCGTCGAGGATGCGGAATACGCCATCTCCCAGCTTGCGCAGACGACGATGCGTTCCGAGATTGGTCAACTGACACTGGACCACGTTTTGAAGGAGCGTGCCACGCTGAACACCAACATCACTCAGGCCATCAACGAGGCCGCGCAGGACTGGGGCGTTGTCTGCCTGCGTTACGAGATTAGGGATATCCACGCACCCGACGGCGTCGTGGCTGCCATGCACCGTCAGGTCACTGCAGAGCGATCGAAGCGTGCCGAGATTCTCGACTCCGAGGGTCAGCGCCAGAGCGCGATCAACATCGCCGAGGGTCGTAAGCAATCCGTGATTCTTGCCTCCGAAGCCCTGCGCGCCGAGCAGATCAACCGCGCTGCTGGTGAGGCCGAGGCGATCAAGCTCAAGGCCGAGGCCACTGCCCGCGGAATCGAGGTGGTTGCCGGCGCCATTCAGGATGGCCAGGAGAGTGCCCAGGGTGCCCTTAGCCTGCGTGTGGCTGAGCAGTACGTCGATGCCTTCTCCAAATTGGCTCGCGAGGGTACTGCCGTTGTGGTTCCTGGTAACGTTGGTGACATGGGTGGCATGATTGCCTCGGCCATGTCCGTCTATGGCAAGATCAACGAGACCCAGGCAAAGGGCCTCGCTGCTAAGGCTCTCGGCCAGAACCGTCCTAGCAGGAAGTCAGACGAGTTTGAGGAGGTGGAGAGTGATGTCGATTTGGCCATCGCTGATGAGCTGTCGCCAGACGGTGTTGCGCAGAGCGTGCTGGATGGATTCGATGAGGCCAGCAAGAAGAAATAAATAAGCGCATCTGAAACGAAACGATCAACCCCCTCTCCCTCTCTCCACCTTTCATTCTTCCTCTTCTCCTGATGTATGCTAATATCATTCTTCCCTTGTGTTCTGCATCCTGTCCCAACCGGCTCTCTTTTACCGCTGTATTACTCCCTTCAGTTGAATATTCCTCTTCTGGCCTGCCTATTTGAATCGTTTGGCATATTCCCATGGGGTCAAAAATCGCACTGATGTCTCTGGTCTGCGCTGCGGGATAACCCGATTGGTCTTTGTACTTGTACATAAGGATATTGTATTGCGGCATTGACAGGGAAGCCAAAGAGGAAAATAAAAAACAAGGCCAGTGTATGATAAGTGTGTAAATCAATTCTTGACATTATTATCTTTTGTTTAGAATTACAGTAGTGAAGATAGTGCCCTCCGCGGGATAATTCTGTACCCGAATTAAAGTCAAACGCGAAAGGGAGCTCGGGCCACGGCGCCAAATCTGGAGATCGCGACTTTTCGAACGGGCGCGCTCTCCTTGGACCTCAACTTCCATCATCATCCCTCCCACCCACCCCGAAGGTATCTGCGGACGCCGCGCCAATTTGAACACCGCCACATCCCAATTTCGCCCGGGATCCAACACCACAGGGGTTGTGCTGGTGCTGTCCGACTGCCCTGCGATGTCCAGCCTGATAAACACCTAACGCTCATCCTACACTGCCGCCAATCCGCAACCGACCCTTCTCCGCTGCCGCTCGCTCATCTGGAGCTGGGATCTTCGATAACGAGCCGTGTTTTTGTACTTGGATTGTTTTCATACGATATAAGGGAGCAGCACTGACTGCCCGCGTTGCGCAATGCATATTATCAAGCCTGTCTGGCTCACGCATGGAGGTACGATTGTCTCTTCGGCGAAATCGGTTTTCGTTGGGATTTGGAATGAGAAAGATGGCTTGGAGGGCTAGGTGGTAGACTTGAGCTACCGCTAGGCTAGTCCGTGGGAGAGTTTTTGAGAATACGGGGACTAACTCGTGTGCTTCGATAGGTGAACGGAAAGATTTCGAGGTCTACAGTTGCGATGTGTCGCCCGATGGGAAGAGGCTTGTGACCGCTGCTGGAGGTGAGATTTACCGGATATCTGATGGACGAGGAACATCTTCGGACGAAAGCTATATGAAGAGGTGGCGGAAGGACGAGGCTTGATGCTAACCATTTCGCTTTCGATGCACTTTAGATGGATACGTTCGTATTTGGTCCACGGAGGCTATTCACAACACCGGAAACCCGGAATTCGCGAGCAAGCCTAAGCAGCTTGCCTCGATGAGCAATCATTCCGGCACGATTCATACGGTTCGCTTCTCGCCAAATGGGAAATACCTTGCCTCAGGGGCGGATGACAAGATTGTCTGCGTGTACACGCTTGATTCGAATCCTCCCACACACTCCACATTCGGTAGGTTTTGCGGTTGGCGAGATTTTTGGCAGGCAGAACACTAATGGAGTCTGAAAAATACAGGTTCAGACGAGGCACCTCCAGTTGAGAACTGGCGCACGATTCGGCGATTGATTGGACACGATAATGATGTGCAGGATCTTGGGTGGTCGCACGACTCTTCGATTCTAGTCTCTGTCGGACTCGACTCGAAGGTCGTCGTATGGTCGGGTCATACTTTCGAGAAGCTGAAGACGATAGCTGTGCACCAGAGTCATGTCAAGGGAATCACATTCGACCCGGCGAATAAGTACTTTGCGACGGCAAGCGATGATCGCACTGTGCGCATCTTCCGATTCACCTCCCCTGCCCCGAACTCCACCTCCCACGACCAAATGAACAATTTCGTCTTGGAACATACCATCACCGCGCCCTTCGCCAACTCTCCCTTGACTGCATACTTCCGCCGCTGCTCGTGGTCACCGGACGGTATGCATATTGCTGCTGCGAATGCCGTCAACGGTCCGGTCAGCTCCGTGGCCATCATTAATCGTGGGTCCTGGGATGGAGATATCAACCTCATTGGTCACGAAGCCCCCGTCGAGGTTTGCTCATTTTCTCCTCGCCTCTACTCTCGTGAGCCGGTGAATAAAAATCAGCCCGACAACCACGCCGCACAGCACCATATCACTGTGATTGCGTGCGCAGGTGCAGACAAGTCACTCAGTGTCTGGATCACGAGCAATGCACGCCCAATCGTGGTTGCACAGGAGATGGCGGCCAAGTCCATCTCGGATCTGGCATGGAGTCCTGATGGAAAGTGTCTCTACGCTACGGCCCTGGACGGCGCTATTGTGGCGGTGCGTTTCGAGGATGGCGAGCTAGGCTGGGCTGCGGAGATGGAAGAGAACGAGAAATCGCTCACCAAGTTCGGAACGAATCGCAAGGGTGCCGGTATCACAGAGACTACCGATGGGCTTCTTCTAGAAGAGAAGAGCAAGGCTGGTGAACTGAAGGGCGTTGAGGGCCGCATGGGCGCGCTAATGGGTGATGGCCATGCAGAGCCCGCTGTGAATGGAGTATCCGCTCCACAACCGTCGAATGGCACTACGCCTGCTCGAGTCCCATCGCCAGCTCCAGATTCGACCAAGACTCAGACGAATGGAACCTCCACGCCGGCCACAGAAGCGCCGAAACCAGACCCTTATCTAGCAAAGTTGGAGAGGTTGAAGCAACGGCCGACGTACACGAAAGAGGGCAAGAAACGTATTGCGCCTTTGCTCGTTTCCGGAGCTGGAGCTGGAGAATCATCACTCCCCCAGGCTCGACTGATGGCTTCCGTCAGTAGTCAGGTGAAGGCAGATACTCCTACGTCACTCGTTGACCTTTCCAAACCATTTGATGGCCTACCAAAGGGTGGTCTGACTGCTCTACTCTTCGGAAACAAGCGCAAACTTGCACAGCTGGAAGGCGATGAAGAAGGGCAGGTCGAGAAGCGTGTGGCTGTTGCCAGTCAGAATGGCGCTACTCCCATCATGGCAAACACTCTCGATGGCCTGCTTCCAGCAGTCGTGCAACCCCCAGCTACTGGCCAACAACCAACTCCTGATTTTATTCGACCTGCAGTTACGAACCCGTGCATGTCGATTAGTCAGGTCCGGCTGGCGGTGCCCAAGATTCGCAGTCATATTTTGCGCGCACTTGATCCCAATGGAAAACCTACAGAACCGCCGGCCCAAGCTGGTGACTCAAATGCTAAAGATAAAGGCCGCATTGACGTCGTGTTTGAAGCGCGGAATCCCTCGCCGGCTAGTCTGACTGGACGGGCAGTGGACCGTGAGCCTGTTCGTTTGACCTTGTTCCGCGGCGAGCAGCCATTGTGGCAAGACTTCTTGCCCAAATCTGTGCTCCTTGTCACGGGTAACCAGAATTTGTGGGCAGCTGCTTGCGAAGATGGCTCTATCTATCTGTGGACGCCGGCAGGTCGCCGCTTGGTAAGCGCGCTGGTCCTGGAAGCACAGCCGGTTATTTTGGAGTGCAATGGTCCCTGGATTCTCTGCATTTCTTCGGTTGGAATGTGTTATGTCTGGAACGTGAAGCACCTATCCTCTCCCCACCCACCTGTATCCCTGCAACCCGTTCTTGATGCGGCCATTCACACACTCGGCGGAAATCCTACCGCAGGCCCCGCCGTCACAGACGCGCGCATCAACTCCGAAGGTCGGATAGTTGTATCGCTGACAAACGGCGAAGGCTACTCCTACTCACCAGCAATGTACACATGGCAACGCGTCTCAGAAGCTTGGTGGGCCGTCGGCAGCCAATATTGGAACTCCACCGATGCGCCGGTGGGCAACCTCCAAGCCAGAGAAGCCAACCAAGATACCAAAGATGCCAAAGCAGCCGTCTCCGCCGGTATAATCCCCTTCCTGGAACGCAACACTACCAACGAAACCCTCCTACGTGGCCGTGCGTACTTCCTCCAACGTCTTATCAAGGTCTTACTCTCGCGCGAGGGCTACGAAACATTCGAGTCCAGCGTGTCCATTGCCCATCTTGAGAACCGCATGGCGGCTGCTCTGTCACTAGGTGCTAAGGAGGAGTTCCGGTTGTACCTGAACATGTATGCCAAGCGTATTGGTGCGGAAGGGTTGAAGGGGAAGGTTGAAGAGTTACTTAAGGGGTTGATTGGTGGATTGTTTGACGATGAGGATGGGTCAGAGACTGCCTCCAGGTTGCAGGCTAATGAGCGCGAGGGTCGTAATTGGCGGGAGGGTTCGGATGACTTGTGTGGCTGGCCACGGGAGACTTTGTTGAAGGAGGTCATTCTTGCTCTTGGTATGTTTCTTCCTTATTTTGATGCGTACAGCATAGCATCCTTTTGGTGATTTGTCTTACTAACGTACGTCTGCAGGTAAATATCGCGAACTTCAGCGGGTCACGGTCCCCTACGCTAAGCTTCTGGACATGGTTGATACCGTGTCTGAAGCTGGCGACGCGATGGATCTATAACGTTACCTTGTCTCGTCCTGTGGTTCTGTCTTTGCCTTGATGCTCTATGTTGCCATTGGCGTTTTATATTTGGATTTGTTTAGGGCTCTGAGGGTTGGATACGGTGGTGGGCTTTGTTCTGCATGATTGTTTTCTTTCCCACTACTGGGCGTCTACCACTACTGGCAGGACGTGAGGTGGGCTTTTTCTTGCTAGGCTATGTATTTTTATTATACCTATTCCTTTGCGCCTGATGGGCTTGGATGCTTCTACCAAAAAGGAAATATATGAATTCGTTCTAGCAGTGGTGTCTTCATTCTACATGTCCTATTCCACGTTATGCTTTTAGTTGATGTAGTGACGTCGTTGAAAAAGGGCAGGGCTCAATTATCACGTGGGCGGTATTAATATCAGACCGGCAGAAAACTTGGATGAATAGCTGTAGCTTGTTCCTTTTCCACGCGATCAATCGACATTTTGTTGCTGTTTCCAGCTCTTTTCCAAGCCAATTGACCTTGCCCACTATTCCTGTGGGCGCCGCCATCACGTCTCTTTCATCTTCTTCCGTTTTTTTCCTTCGTATCGTCGATCGATCCGCAGCTGGTCCTGCTTTTGCCGCGCGCCATCCCTGCGCCCGCTTCCGCCTTTACTCCTCCTCCTCTTCACCCCACCTCCCACCTCTCTTCTGTCGCTTCTACTCCAGCAAGAAGAAGAAGTCCAGTAAAATGCCTCCCAAGAAGGCCCAAGTTCAAGAGAAGGTCCTGCTGGGCCGTCCCGGCAACAACTTGAAGAGCGGTATCGTATGTGAGCAGCGACCCCACCCTCTATTTTTTCCCCCTGTGGTCGTTTTTTTTTTTCGCACAGCACAGTCCACTTTTTAATTCCACGAAAAACTATTTAATCCTCCTTCCGCCCTTTTCCCCTTCTCTTTTTCTTTCCCTCCCTTCACACTTTCCCAACCACACAACAACCAAGACTCACCATGTGATCTATCTAGGTTGGTCTTGCCAACGTCGGCAAGTCGACGCTCTTCCAATCTATCACCAAGTCCTCTCTGGGTAACCCGGCCAACTTCCCCTATGCCACAATTGACCCCGAAGAGGCCCGCGTCATCGTCCCCGATGAGCGGTTCGACTGGCTCTGCCAACACTACAAGCCCAAGTCCCAGGTGCCCGCCAATTTGACTGTGTACGATATTGCCGGTCTGACCCGTGGTGCCTCCACTGGTGCTGGTCTGGGTAACTCCTTCTTGTCGCACATTCGCGCCGTCGATGCCATCTTCCAGGTCGTTCGTTGCTTCGATGATGCCGAGATTATCCACGTCGAGGGTGACGTCGACCCTGTCCGTGATCTGACCATCATCAGTGAGGAGCTGCGCATCAAGGATATCGAGTTCGTCGAGAAGGCTCTCGAGGCTCTGTCCAAGCAGACCCGCCGTGGTGGTCAGTCGCTGGAGATGAAGAAGCTCAAGGAGGAGGAGGCTACTACTGCTAAGGTCCTCGAGTGGCTTAAGGATGGCAAGGACATCCGTGAGGGTGAATGGGGCCCCAAGGAGGTACGTTTGAAAATCTTTTCCTTCCCACATCTTACATCCACCCCTTCCCCCAAAAAAAAAAAAAAACTCCAATGTTTTTATGATGAATAAGCGCCTAGCGCGATAATCCCAGCTCGTTGAATCCCTCATTTTTATATCACGTTCGAGGGCATCTTGAAATTAAAGTACTGCACTGAAAAAAAACATTGGAGTTTTTTTGATTACAACCAAAAATCATCTCAATCGCTTTTCAGTTCTTTCATACTGACAAGAATTGAACTCCAGGTCGAAGTCATCAACCCTCTGTTCCTTCTGACTGCCAAGCCTGTCGTCTACCTCGTCAACCTGAGCGAGAAGGACTTCATCCGCAAGAAGAACAAGTACCTCCCCAAGCTGTTCGAGTGGGTTAAGGAGAAGTCCCCCAACTCGCCCATTCTGCCCATCTCTGCCCAGTTCGAGGAGCGTCTGACCCAGATGGGTGATGACGCTGCCGCTGAGGAGGAGTGCAAGAAGCTTGGTACCGCCTCTGGTCTGCCCAAGGTCATCACCACCATGCGTCAGGCTCTAAACCTGGCCTCCTTCTTCACTACCGGTACCGATGAGGTTCGCCAGTGGACTATCCGCAAGGGCATCAAGGCCCCCAGCGCTGCTGGTGTTATCCACACCGACTTTGAGAAGACCTTCATTCAGGCTGTTGTGTACAACTACAGCACCCTGAAGGAACTCGGCGACGAGGCTGCTGTCAAGGCTGCCGGTAAGGTCATGACCAAGGGCAAGGACTACGTCGTTGAGGATGGTGACATCATGCTCATCAAGGCTGGTGCTGCCAAGTCCTAAGTGCTTTTCAGTAGTTCAATAAATGATATCTTGTTCACTGTACACATCACTACATGAGTCCTTCCATTGTAAAGAGTATTCTTCCTTAGTAGATCACTCATGCTGCTCGGTCTTACATAAAGCAATACAATCTCTGCATTTAAGTTGGCCATTTTCCTTGCTCGGTATCCAATATCTCCTTCATCCTCCCTCTTTCCTCGAAATCTCTCGCCGCTCAGTAAACACCATCACGTGACTCTCACCGCGCATCCCACTTCACCCACCCGGAGCAATCAATTATCTCCAACAACTAGCATCATGTTCAAGAAAGAGTAAGTGGTACCTTTGAGGCCCGATTTAGCCTGTCGGAGCTACTACAGTCTTGTCCACGGACTCTATCCCGCCCATTAAGGCAGAGCAATGGAATATCAGAGCTCTCACACAAGAGCACAATCTCCGAAGACAGCTATTCAGCACACCAGAGATACATGCATGCTCGACGTGTGCAGCTTTGAGACCCTACCCTCAATAATTGAATGAATATATTTACTGACATGTTTTTTTCCCTCGCAGTATCCCACCAAGCAACCGCTCCAAGGTCAAGTCCTCCGCAGCTCGCGCCTTGCGGCAAAAGCTGCTGGAGACTTACCCCGGTTTCGAGCCCTACATTGAAGAGATCATGCCCAAGAAGGCCTCTCTGGAAGCTGTCAAGCTGTACGCCCCCCTTGCACCTTCACTCCTCACTCTCAAGCCTTTCTTGTCAACCTACACCAGCAACCTCCCCGCCCTCCCCAAACCCAATACCAAACCAGACAATCAAACTAATCCCCAACCAGCCCCGAACGCGCAACCCTCTACACAATAGAATCAACCCCCCTCTTCTTCCAACGTTTCGACGACCCTCCAATCCCCCACCTCCGCCTAATCCACGCCTACCCCACCGCCCTCCCAACCATCCAAATCGACCGCGGCGCAATCCGCTTTGTCCTCTCGGGTGCCACACTCATGGCTCCCGGCCTGACGTCCCCGGGCGGCCGCCTGCCTGATGCAGAGCATGCGCTTGAGGCGGGACAGGTCGTTGCTGTTAAGGCCGAGGGCAAAGAGGAGGTTTGTCTTGTTGGTGCGCTCAAGGTGGGCACGGAGGAGATGAAGAGTAAGGGGAAGGGGGTTGTTATGGATGAGGGGCATTATTTGGGGGATGGGCTTTGGAAGATGCAGTTGGATTAAAGAGTGGGAGAGGAATGGGGATGGGATGGGAGAGATGTGTTATGACTTTTTGGGATTTGGGATCGGTTGGTTGAATATACCCCCGATGGTGATGATTATTTTATGTTGGTATGAAATGAGAAAAGCTATGAATTATTGGATTGTCTTATGTGTTTGGTGCAGAATGTTATAGGGTCTAGAAGTGCCGGAGAGGAGGCCGGCTCTGTGTAGTTTGGTCAAGGGCAATAGCTCTTAGGGTCCAAGACAAATCCCATTAGTCGTTTGGGCTGCATTCTTGATTTCGATTGTCAAGCTAAGATGATGGGTAGGTAGGTAGCTTGGCATATGAACAGAATAGTGCGCTAGATTAAAATTATATACAAAAGAGTCCAACGGACATGGTGATGGGATATTATGCTCGATAGTAACTCATGAGCCCTCGCGGCTGTCCACAGACCGCGCGTATTCATCAGACACCTCTCCATCACGCCCATTCAGGCGTGGCGAGAGCGACGAGGTCGGAGAAAGAGATGACCAAGACGGCGTGCGCACCGGAAGACTTAGCCCCAAGCCCCTCACACTTGCCGCCGACGCAGTTCTCGAACCTAAGCCTGAATGGCCACCATTGGGCGACGGTCGTGGACTAGGCCGCAAGCCAACACGACCAATTGCACGCCGCAGCATTTCGCCAGATGAATCAAGTGCAATCAAGAATCGGGCAAGCTCGCCGCAAAGCTCCCAGTCTGCCTTCTGAGATGCTAGGCCGATGAGACGAACGACGTATTCTTCAATGTGCCCATCGTGGCCAAGTTCTTCTTCGTCTTCAAAGGCCTGGAGCACGAGCAGATAACCGACGGCTGTCTTGAGCGCGTCGAGTCTGAGGGCTTGCTCGAATAGGACCTTTGGTGGGGGGAGGTATGTGAAGAGGGTGCGCCAGAATCGGAGTTCTGTCTTGCGTGTACATTGTACGACGATGTCGAGGTATTCAGGCGTGGGGAGGGATGCCTGGAGGAAGGCAATGACGGTGGGGAGAAGGGGTTCTTCGCGGATTATCGGGCCATCGGCCTTGTTGGCACGGCTTTCGTTGTCTACCTCGTCGTCTAGGACGTGATGGAGTAGAATTTCGAGGCCGTGGGCGAAATAGGATAAGTGAGAGAAGTGTCGACACAAGGAGAGCGCAGCTGGTGTTCCAAGGTGGACGAGACAGTACTGTAGGAAGTATGGAAGGAAAAGATGTGTCTGTCACGGGTTAGTGGATAATGGAGGACAGAAGACAAGCGAAACATACTCGGATGGCGAATTTCAAGCTGGTGAAGGTGACATCTCGCCGTTGTGTCATTTCGGATTCCACTCCGAGTACGACACCCTTATTCAAGATCACAGACAAAGGATAAAAGTCCAACGGGATATTGAGAGGAGTCGGCACCGTCTCTTGCTGCAGAATGTCCTGAACGTCATTCCAAGCCAGAAGATCCTTACCTCGGAACATCCACAAGGAGTCCCGAAGTGACAGGCTGCTGTATGATGGCTCGAGGGCCATCTCGGCCGACGGGCTGGACGGTAGAGACTCGTCGACTTGAGACGAGAAATTGAAGGAGAGTTGGTCTCGCATCAAGATGTAGTACTCCACGTCATGGGAAATGACACGCATGTCATATTTGAGATCGCCACTTTCCGTCACGGTGGGTTGGAGGAGAACCAGGTTACCGTCGACCAGTAGGAGTACTGACGCTACCTTCACGTCCTGCGAGGGATCGCCATTCCCTGTTCAATATGTTAGATACAAATGCGTAGACCAAAAGGCCGTATGACGAAAAGACTCACGCATCTGATCCTCGGGCAAGACCCAGCTGATTGCTCGGACTCGAGTAGGTGCCCTGACAATTCCGTTAAAGGCAATCTGTCCGACTGGAACAAGAGTTATCTGTGTCTGCATTGAGTTGATGATATAGTGGTAGAGAATGTTGTCGTAGGTGTAGACCAAGAGTGAGTCTTCCCCCGAGGGACCGATAAACACCACTGGTGACGGGAGGTATTCGATGTGCATGATAGAGCTGTTGGTCAGCGCATCTTCGCGCGAGTAAAGACGCAGCTAGTTATGCCCGTTAGATTCATTGATGCAACTGAAGTTTTGATGAACGAACCTCGTAGGAGCCATCGCTCTCAACAGCCGCAATCAGGATATGCCCGTACCAGCACATGCCTCCTCGCACCGCAAATGAGTTTTCCACTTTAGAGTCCTCAAAGACTTTCCATCGGCCACTGTTGATGCTGTAATGTGCCAATCCACGCCGACCCGCGATTGCCACATAGCGTCCATCCTGAGACACCACACAGGATCGAATCGGCCACTGCGAGTGAAGGTATGCGGGAGGATACTGGGCATGATGCCAGAGTGAGTCCTTGCCAGAGATGGTCATCAGATCAGGCAAGTCATGTCCACGATACAGTATGAACTCAGTCCCTGTTTGTAGCAACCCTCGAGCCAAATTCGCGGCGGAAAAACATCCTGTCAACGCGCTGCGCGCCGTCTCTAGGATCCAAAGACGTCGATCATTTCGTGCTGATAGAATGATGTCGGAACCACCACCTATCCAGGACCCATTTGAGACACCCGTGAGCCAGTTCTCTCCATTGGAAGTTGCCAAATTGGGGTCAACAAAGAAGCTGTTACCACCAGGCTTCCCGAAAACGCTCCATGTTGTCCAACCATTTTCGTAGCCGGCGAACAAGCAATATCCATCAGGAGAGTAGTTCATGAATGTCAATGCTCCGGTTGATGAAGGAGATGCTGGAAGGTCCAGCTTCTGGGAAAGAGGCACGTTCCCTGTATAATCTTTGGCAGTGTAAACCAAGACCTCGCCATTTGCGCAACTGACTGTAAGTAAGGAAAACCGAGCATTGACTGCTACTTTGAGGGCCTCTTCCCCATCGCTCTTGGGGTCATGGAAGCAGTGGCCATGGAATAGCTTTTTAGGCGCCTCGGACTCCTCTTGACCCCCAGGTGCTCGTTGCACAGCATATGCCTGACCGTTGCTGGTGAGCCAGATCAAGAGGTTCATGGCGCGGTCATAGACCATATCGACTAGTGAGACCTTTTTTGGTACATTCAATATCCGGGTCAGCAACTCGGATTTTGTCTGTGTTCCACTGGCCTCTGGAGCCCAACGAATGCACTGAATCGCAGGGGGCTTCACCGTGGCAACGATGAGCTCCTGGTCCAGCGCTAATGCCTTGACAATCCCCGACTCAATCTTAATCGCCATTCGAAACCTGATACTGATATCCCCAACCACGTTCGCCTCTTCCACGGCCGAGAAATGTGCCAGTTGCTGCCGGCGGGGATGTGTGGAGTGGTCGAACCTTTGCTGGTAGACTCGCGTCGCAGGGTCCGAAGCGACCGAATAGGTGAGGAGATATCCATTGAGGGTTTGTACCACAAGGATTGTCGAGTCGGGATGCATAAGGACTGCCACATTTGGTCCGTAGGTTGTCATGGAGTATGCGGACCGAGCTACCGCGGCTACTACTGCCGTGGGCTGCCGAAGGAGTTTAGTACCGAGTTTAACATCGAATACCTCAAGCTATAATGGACATCTTGCAAGACATACCCTGGTCTGCCATAATGAAATTGAAGATTCAGTTATGGTCGCAAACATATGGCCTGACCGAGAGACACACAGGCCACCAATTGCTTCTTGCTCCCAGTGGGAAGCATCCTCTTGGGACGGGGGTTGTTCGGGTTTAAGATCATCACCCCGGCCTTCTGGGTTCTCCCGTTCGCGAGCGCCATCTGTTGGTTCTTGGGAATCTGTAGAGCTCTGCTCTTCCGCCAAGGGATTGCTATTGCCCTGGCGATTCACGTCGTCCGAGACATGGGCAATGTTGGGGCCGTTGACCGCATAGACCCGGGGCACTCCATTAGGCCAGTACATGGCTCGGCTCGCAGGGGGAGGGAGAATTAAGACCGGCGCTGAAGCTCACATGGAGTCATTGCGCTCCATAAACCGTCGCAATTCAAGGCCAGACTCCACCGGCGCGGAGGTAAAGTAAGAAGACAATCTAAAGGAGCAGTTCCCAAACAGACAATCAGTCTGGTCAACGGGGACGATAAGCTGTATCACGTGCAGGAACTTCTCCCCCGCATTGTCATTTTTCCTCCCCTGAGATGTAGACAGCCCCTCCATTCTCATTCTGTTCTTTCTTCATAGACAACTGCCATCATGGTAAGGACTCGCATACCCGTATTGTATACGCTCCTTTCAAGCTGACCCGATATACTCTCGTAGGCCCCCACAGAAAGCAAGAAGCGCCTGGCTCTGGCCATCATCGACTTCCTCGGCTCCAGCCTGAAGGACGGCACTCTCACCGCCGACGATGCCGAGTCCATTGAGATCGCGCAGTCCTGCATCGCGGATACATTCAAGGTCGACCCCAGTGATGAGGCCGCCGTGAAGGAGGCCGTGGGTGGCCAGTCTTTGGCCAACATCTACAGCGTCTACGAGAAGCTGCGAAGCAAGTCTACCCCCCAGGCGGCTGACGCGGGAACCCAGGAATCACAGGAACAGAAGCCCAAGGCTGGTGCGCCTACTGCGGAGTCCGACAAGCTGAAGTCCGAGGGCAACTCTCTTATGGCCAAGAAGGATTACGCTGCGGCCATTGACGCCTACTCCAAGGCCCTCGAGATTGCTCCGGCCAACCCCATCTACCTCTCCAACCGCGCTGCCGCTTACTCCGCCTCTGGCCAGCACGAGAAGGCCGCCGACGATGCCGAGGTGGCCGTTGCTGTTGATCCCAAGTACTCGAAGGCCTGGAGCCGTCTTGGTCTTGCTCGCTTCGACTTGGGCGATTACCACGCTGCGAAGGAGGCCTACGAGAAGGGTATTGAGGCGGAGGGCACCGGCGGCAGTGAGGCTATGAAGCGTGGTCTGGAGACCTGCAACAAGAAGATCGAGGAGGCCAGCCGTGCTACTGAACCCCCAGCGGAGGATCTGGATACTGCTCCTGGTGCTTCCCGTGGTGCTGGCGGTATGCCCGACTTGTCTTCGCTGGCGGGCATGATGGGCGGTGGTGCCGGTGGCGGTGGTATGCCCGACCTGGGTTCCATGATGAGCAACCCCATGTTCGCCAGCATGGCCCAGAACCTCATGAGCAACCCTGATATGCTGGGCAACTTGATGAGCAACCCTCGCCTTCGTCAGATGGCTGAGAGCTTCGGCCAGGGTGGCGGCATGCCCGACATGTCCAGCCTCATGAGCGACCCCAACATTGCTGAGATGTAAGTTTGGTCTTGTGTGGTGAATTTTTACTCCGCAGTATGCTAATGGAATGGTTTTAGGGCTCGCAACATGATGGGCGGTGGTGGTGCTGATGGTGCTGGTGGTGCTGGCCGTGGCCAGTAATTTATGGCTTGGACGACCAATGGATGACATTTGAAAATAAAAGACACGATCTTGATGCTATTGTGGCGATGCCAAGTTTCAGCAGCGTTCTTTAGAAATGAACTATTCTTATACTGAATCTTATAACGATACCTATTGATCTCTATGCATACATGACTACCGGGCCCCGTGACGAGAAAATAGGAAGTCTGACCGATATACTGAAATTGCACCGCACTGATCACGAACTAATGGACACAAAAAAGCACGAGCATCTCCATGCTGAAACTCAGTGAGCCACTTCCTGTCCATTAAACAGGTACTCCTTACTCAAGGGATAATCCACATAGCCCACCGCTGACTGCATGACATAGAAAGTTTCCCTATTATACGGACTCAGCTTCAGGCCCTCCTTCACCCTGAAAATGAGGTCCGGATTTGAGATGAACAATCGCCCAAAGATGACGATAATGTCCTTTTCTGGATAACTCTCATCCACAAGCTTTTGTGCCTCTAGAGGTGTATAGCCACCAGCAACAAGAAGAGGACCATTCCAGAGATCATATGCAAAATCCAGTGAATCGTGGGCATCAGAGTCCATAGCGCCGGATGTCCGAGACTCCACGAGATGAAGGTATGCGATATCCGACTGACTCGCTTTCTTGATGACGTCCCTAAATTGCGGAATCGGATCATCCATCCTCATACCTTGGAATGTACTCCAAGGGCTCAGGCGAAGCCCAACACGCTTGAGACCAATAGCACCGACGACAGCCTTGATAATTTCGTCGAGGATACGGGTTCTGTTCTCCACACTGCCTCCATATTCATCGTGGCGTTTGTTGCTGACATCTTGAATGAATTGATCCAGGAGATACCCATTGGCACCATGGATTTCGACGCCGTCAAAGCCCGCGCGAATAGCATTCTTCGAAGCCTCCACGAAGTCTCGAATCATTTGTTGGATCTCATCAATGGTCATAGCACGGGGTACTGCAGCGCCTTCTTCAATCGGGATAGCACTAGGTGCTACGATTTCGATGCCTTCTTTGCGGGCTACTTCAATATCCGCAGCACGACCCATTGCGAAAACCTGGCAGAATATGAAGCATCCACGGCTGTGGACTTCATCAGTGATTGTTTTCCAAGCGGCGACTTGATCTTCACGCCAAATTCCCGGTGCGGAAGGGAAGCCACCACAATTTGGAGACACGAAGGTTCCCTCGGAGATGATCAGGGTTCCGGGAACTGCACACCGTTGAGCGTAGTACTCCTTCATCAATGGCGTCGGTACTCGTTCATGACTTGCACGGCAGCGAGTGAGTGGAGCCATCCCGATGCGATGTTGGACGTCCATGTCGCCTATCTTGAGGGGCTTGAAAAGACAGGATTGAGGAGTCATAGTCGATGGGTTCTTTAGATAGTTGGTCTCAAATGTGGAATATAGAGCGAAGTATTTTTCATTCAGCCAGGAGTTGAACTGAGTATTTATAGCCATCATTAAACGCAAAGCGGGAGCTCTCGGCACCTGGTTGATGTTTGGTAAATTGCTCTGTACATTTAGGGCACAGAGATAATTCCCGGAATGGAAATGAGATGCTTCCAGTTAAGGTTAGTTCAGTACGCTATTCCATTTTGGGACAGGAAACTAGGTATGTGGCCAATCACAACACGGCTTGCTCAGGTGAGTGGGTACAGAGGCTCAAGAAGGGCGATTACAAATAGTTCAGTATGAAGCAGTTGACCGGGTCTATGCTAATTCTATGATTGCACTCTCTCTGTTACCATCCAAATCGAGCACAATAAGATGGGAAATTTTTATCATGGTAATCACAGCAAGTTTCGGCCAATCTTAGAGCTAGGAGAGGCCTGATTAACCTTCTGGCGTGCGACTTGTCTGCTCCAACCTATATTCGACAATACATTCCTCCCAAAATGCCCTAATCTGCGACATGAATGCTTTATCTGACCAGATGAACTGCCGAAGAATAGCACACAGCTCTGCCCAAGAGGTATACAGGCCTGCGAGTCTGGTGCTGAGGCTCAGATGTAACAGTTTCTTGTAAGCAGTTCGTATTGATCCCGTGGGGGCAAAAGCCCCGCCGATGTGCAGAAGCCAGATAAGAAGCTCACGTAGATTATTCCATGTTGGATCCTCTTTTGCTTTCTGAAGCTTGCTGAGTAATTGTAAGGAAAGGTGTGACTACCAACGTCAGAAGAGCAATATATAATGGAACTGGGGTGATTCACATACAGGAATAGTCGAAGTGCGCCAAACCTTGCAGCGCAGCATCGTTGAGCAGAGATATGCCGCGATATGGCAACAATCCGAGATCGGTGAGCCATCGGGCAAATCTATTAGCCTTGACTGGATAGAAGCCTGATGGTTATCGATATGGGCCATCGATATTACATCCACTGCGCCAAATAGGGCAGAATCCCGAATGCATTGCAAGGCATGGATATCCTTGAGTATCTCGGAAAAGCTTTCGTCTAGTAAATGAGATAGGGGTTGGAAGCCAGGTGGTAATGTGAAGAATTTGGGGGAAAGAGGGTCTCTTCTCCACTGAAGCTCCGAGAAGGTTGTGTGATCGAAAACCCGGCTCGAACCTGCTATAACTGCAGAGTTCAAGTCCGACCTGGACTTATGTTAATGAAGTATAGCATAGGTATGTATTGAATTACCGACCAGAATATTGCACGCTTGATGCCGTCGCTCAGATAAACGCCTTTTCTTTGGCATATTTCGAGAAGTTGATAGATTGCCCCCATGTGAAGCCGTACCTGACGTGGCACTCCTTTTTGAGCCTATCGAATTTAGAAATCTTGGTCGTTGCTTGTTATGGATTTACGTTCCAACCTACCTCTACACCAGCGAGAAGTAGAATAGCACCCATCGTCGACTCCATGGTAGACTTGTTCGGAGAATTAATCCTTTTGCGAACGGAACTCAAAGCTGCACTTTGATACTCAAGACACTGCCTGTTCAAGTGACCAGCGGCAATTGAGAAGGAAAATGTGAGCATGATGGCATTCAGGAGAACATCATCATCTGGCCCTGTTCGAAGAATTGGACGGAAATTCTGGAGCACAAGCTCATCCAGAACACTCAATACTGCGTTTCCAGCTGGTGTGGTTATTTCTACATCGTCTATTAATATTGACATGTGTAAGTTGAGTGTTTGCAAAGCTCGTCTTACCTCGATTTAGCAATTCATTTAGCTTCGGTGACTCCGCAGCTAGCCAATGGAAAAAGCTAGGTGGGGCTGAGCAGGGAATGCCTGGTTGATTCACAAGAGTTTGTTCCGATTCCCGTCTTTTTATAGGTCGTTCACTATCGTTTTTGGGTGATACTATGCGAAAATTGTCACCCAGTTTTGACTGCGCCTTTCGCTTATTCTCGAGACCTCGGGCTACAGCATACGATCGAGCTAGACGACTCGCTGTGCGGTCATGCGGATCATGTATGGTGATGAAATGATACTGGTCTCCTTCCCAGTAAATATTTTAGCGGTGGGACACTAGGCGTTGAAGGCTTGCGGCTTTGACTTACCTATACCGGGCTTCTGGGGACCGACCATCGTAATGGAATGGCGCTCAGAGCTTGATGGGCGACCTTTATTGGTACTGGAATGCAGTTTCCCCCACAAAACAAAACACATTCACTGTAGAAAAGATCGAAGGTCATACCTTGATTGAGATGCGTTGAATGGATGATCGTCGGTAGGTTTTTGATTACAAATCGGAATTGTGTGCTTACTGCTTAGATACCACATCGAGTGGATATTTTAGCACGAAGAAGGGGCGATCTTCGAAATGCAGGAATAGAGAAATAGAGATCAAATAAATGTCACAGTAGAGATATGTCAAAGTTTAAGATGCGAGCTACTGTTCGGGCCATATCTGGAAGCCCCACCCCGCCGTGGGCAAAAGTTTCTATGTCTCCTCTGGATTTAATGATTGAAGGACTATAGGTATCTAAGAAATCTGAACATCAAGTAGCTATGGGAGCTTAACAAAAGAAAACCACCAACTATAAGATTGATCCTTCTTCGTTTGGTTCTGTTCTGCGCAGTCATGGTTTCCTTCAGTTCCGACACGAAGCCATTGGGGCGCTGGGTGTTGGAAACGCTCCACGTCAATTTGATGAGTGCCGTGATACTCGAAACTTATCCATGCCTTCCAGCGCACCCATACACTTCCTGCGCCACACGATCTTCATAACCACCTTTTCATAATAGATGTACCTTTCGTATAAGCAGATGGGTGCGCTGGAAGGCACGGATAAGTTACTTAACTGAGACTTTCTTTCGTGGCCCCAACTGCCAAGTAGCCTTGGCGTCATTCAGTGGGCCTGCGACATCAAGCTGCGGCCTGCCGTGATACAGAATGTGTTCCTAGCTAGTACCGTAAATGTCCTGAACATTTAAATTGGGTGATCTCTCGGCACAATCTCATCCTGTCCCTGATGAAAAAACTCCTTCGAAATTGGACACTCTAAATCTGCTTTTGTTTGGAAGCTGTTCGTGGTTGTTTTGGGACCCTTCTTAATGATTTTAATTTAGAAATGGATCCAAGGAACGTTTATATCCGAGGCCGTATACGAGTCAAACCGAATAAATAATGAATACGTGTCATGGGAAAGGCTGAATTAAGTTCCCCTTTTTGAAGCAAAAATTGGCCTCCGATTTTCCTACTCTCCTGGCTTTTGAGAATTACTGGTCTATGTTCCTTCACAATCAGCAAGAAAGTTAGGAATAAAATCAGAATTCCAGAATACAGGACCCTCACCGCAATGCATCTACTTGCAAAAGTTACTGGCGGCGAAGTTGACGAGTATTACGATGTTCTCGAGGCATTTTTTGCTGAAGGGGCCTACGGTTCGGCTTGGTGATGACGTTCCAGCGGACACACTCTGCAGGAGACCCGTGGAAGGGTGATCCTTCAACAGACGACTATTTCAACAACGGTTATTGTAGAGGGCTAGAGCAGGTCTCCTTTTCGGATTCTCAAGGACACTTTTATTTCTCCGATCATGCGGCTGCAGATCTCGGTATTGGACGACAACTAGTCGTCGATTTTGAGGTGTCTGAGCAACTCCTACAGCTCTTCAACGGTTTCTCAAGCAAGTAGTGACATAGGGAGTCCCTAGTCAGATCCCTCAACTCAACGGTCTAGCCTTCGACAGTTCCATTATAGATGCTCCCAACGCTCAATCAAAGGAGCCAGATAGAGGAATTAAGGCCCCCAATCTCAGAGGAAATCACCTCAAACTCAAATTTGTCTCCCAAGAGCAACTGGATCGTAAAGCTAGAACCCCTCCTGATGATATAGCCGGTTCCAGCAAACCTGACAGCGCCCACGGCGCTGCTGGCACAGGAAGCGAAGAGAGAAGGGAGACTGAGTCAATTGGTCTATCTAGGAACAGGAAGACGAAGACGACTAGGAAAGGAAGAAGAAGCAGAAGGGAACAGAATAGGGTCTATAAGGCCCTGAAGCACAAAGGAAAGGAACAGGCCTAGACCTGGCAGGAAATCACCGGCCTGCTTTATGCAGGGCCAAAGAAGACGACAAACCCTGCAAACCTTTGAGGTCAAAGGGATCGAGTCGTCACATCCCCCGAGGTCATCGCATATCTTTCCAACTTGACTCCTTTCCAGCAGAATATATGCGATAGCTTCCGCGGTTTAGGCTGGATTGATACCGACATTCGCAACTTTCTGATCCACTTTGAGAACGGGCGAGAACACATACGGGCTGAACTGAGAATAGAAGGGCAGAGTGAGATCGACATTCAAAAACTCGAGGATCTCTGAGAGGCAGATATGGAGGATTTCTCGCACCTCCGACGTTCTGGCGCCAACCGGGCCCCTGAGCAATACCAGTCTGAGCTATACCTGTTGCATGAAAACAAGAGGCAACAAAGCTCCTAGGCCTAGCTTGTCCGTCCCGGGAGCCGACGGGCGCTTCCGCGTTGTCTGCAATCAGGTGGTTTTTTCCAACAATCGGCTGATTCCCATGGTCGAGGCCTAGGAAAGAGGGCCAGGCAAAGACGTGACCGGGTCCCTGCTCTACATAGAGAAAATTGTCGAACTTAGGAGTGGTATCTTAGTTACCACTAGCAACATGCTTATTCATCGAGCACCCACATGTCAAGGGGATGGAGCCGATACTTGCGGGTAACTTGTTTCGGTTGTTCCGTCTCCCCATCTTTCTTTGCTTCTTGTAACTCCATGCTTTTTCTGGATGTAACTTTGGCATCCTGCGACAACACTGTCCAGTATCTCGCAGGTACTGCGGCTTTCAGTTTGTCCTTGTGCGCCGGCTCGCATTCCACTCTTTACTTAGAAGACAATTCACTCGTGTTTCCCCTCTCTATTCGCGAGTTCCTATACATATGCATTCACATATCTGACATTTTGTCTAAAATCTCTGTAGTTTTGTGCTCTACCAGCGTGTCGAATTCTGGGGGACAGCCGCTGTTGCATGAGGGCTCAACGTCACCGGTGAAGCAACCATTTAAAGTATGCCACAGGAGACAACAGAGTCGGGCCGACGGAACAAATGGATAAATAATGTAGATACAGCACATATAGTACTATTCGCACATCACTATGAACATTTGTTGAGAAAACTCCGGTAATTTGGAGACTAGTGCGTCTAACATTCAAAATTATGATTTTTACCGCTGGTATAGTATTCTGGAGCGCGACTGATGCGAGCCTCTTGTTCAGCGTACGAATCGGTCATATTGGTGGTTGGTAAAAGGGAAAAATTGTGGGAAATGGGAAGATTTTTTTTCATTGGAAGTTGGACCACCCTAACCCGGTAGGGGTAGGGTGGTCAGTGCCACGGGTATAACCCTGACCTATCCTTCCTAAGTGTACTGTACAGCGATGGCGAGGCTTTTGCTTTACCATATAAGCATGAAACCTGTAGATTTAAAGTGCTCTTGACGGCATCTCCGCTCTAATACCTTGCAACCATATTTCAGAAATTGCGATAACAAATACGATACTCTAGTACCCAGTGGTGGTCGGCTAATAGACGGGTTCGTATTTAATTAGCGTAGTATTAAGGATCATCACCAGGGTCGGCTGCGACGAAAAGTCTCAGAAGACCGAAGCCTGGATATTTCAAATCCTCTTCCCACTCTCACGTGCTAGTCGGTAATGGCTTTTGTGGAGGTGAGAGTGTAGACTGTATAGAAAGCCGAACACGAGGAGTGGCTCTATTTTATGAGCCAATGGTTAAACGTTATCTAGATCTAGACCCAGCGACCGTATACGTTACAGAGTTCGTCAGCATGTGACTCACATCTATTACGTGATGACGAACGTTATAAGTGATGACCGTGTATAAATGAGGAGCTTCGCGCCGAGCAAACAAGCCTATTGCATCCTGTCGGAAAATTCTCGGCAATGAAATTCTCAACGCTAGATCTTTTGATTTGCTCTACTTGTGGTGTTCAGTATGACGTTAGCGCAGGGTTGAACTCATGCAAGATCTGTGACGATCCACGTCAATACGTTCCTCCAAACGGGTGAATACGTCTTGCCTTTGCCATTTACTCCAGAGCTAATGTAGAACTCAGCCAATCTTGGACATCACTTAGGAGCTTACAGTCATCGACGGAGAAATATCGGAATGTCTTCTCTACTGATCAAAGCCACCCTAACTTGATTACTATACATACCGTCCCAAAGCTTGCAATCGGTCAAAGAGCCTTCCTATGTCTCGGGGATGCTGCGTCTGGGAATGTTTTGTGGGACTGTATTACTTATCTTGACGAGGAAACCGTTCAACACCTGCAAGCACTAGGCGGTATCCGAGCAATTGTAATTTCGCATCCCCATTACTTTTCGACCAGTGCTCAATGGGCCGAGGTCTTCAATTGTGACCTATTTATATCTGCAGAGGACGAGCAATGGCTTGGAAATAGGGGTGACAATAACAGGCTAAAACTTTGGAAAGGAGATAAACTCCATATCCCTTGTGCTCAGGATATATCACATGGATCGGACTTGATTGTGATTAAAACGGGAGGGCATTTTCCCGGAAGTTCCGTTCTCTGGTGGAAGTCTATGAAGAAGTTACTTATTGCCGACACGATTTTGATTGTTCCAAGCGGACTTTACCATACCGATCGCCTTCCCGGTACTTCTTCTTTTACGTTCATGTGGTCCTATCCAAATTATGTGGGTTGTCCTCTTTCACCCGCGCATTACATGTAGCTAATTATGTTGCAGATACCTCTTGCCCCAGACGAGATATATGGTATTTGGAAAGCCATCAAGGATCTTGACTTCGAGGATACCCATGGTGCCTTCTTAGGACAAGAGATCAGAGGCAACAGCAAAGCCATGGTCCTTGAAAGCGCAAAAATCATTGTTAGGGCTTCTGGTCATCTACAGCATCCGTTGCTGAATGAAGTCTAGCCGCCTATTGAACTTCGTCTCCTCTTTTCTGTCCCTTTTTCTTTAATTGTTTGTATTCAATTTGCAGTTGCAGCCCTAATTCATACTGGCCTATATTGAACAGAGTTCTTAAACCAACTAGGAAAATTGCCGCTCTTCTGTGGCTACCCTAGCAGTGTATGCAGAATTTGTCCTCTAAGTGCCCTGTCTTGTTCCTTCCTTATCAATTTCCTATCGGGAATAGGCTAAATTCTGTGTCGAGGCCCTTAAATACAGTTTAGGGTACCTATGCATCGCCTCTCAGGAGCAGAAATTTTTTCTGAAATCCTCCTGTATTGTCTGTTAGAGGCCAGTAGCATCAAAATGAATAATCAGAGTCAAGAACTATATTTCCTGCTGTATACAAGATATCGCGCAAGGAAGCCAGGGAGAAAACTGCTGAACCCCCTCGTCTTCAAAACAACCTCGTATAGTGGTGCAGGCCTCTGGTATCGCAGGTTCTTCTATTATAGCTGCCTGCTATATACATAACTCTTCAAGTTCCAATAGATCCTCTGGTATAACAACCCAGGGATGCAAGGCAGGGATTCCCAGAAGCCCCCAGGGCCAGCAGATATATTCCCAGGCGCGTAGATGACGTCTCCAGGAACATAAGCCGGGGTCCTGGAAAACGATTGTGCCTTCCTAAAAGCTGTGTGCAAGTTCCTGGGTTCTACGTAGGCCCTGGAAACTAGCATCCATACTCCTCGGATCGATGGAGACTAGGACAAGAGCTGAGCTGCTGCCAATCAGCAATAAGGCTCGTCATCATTCCCACAAATGGCCGACAATCATTATTCCCCAAGATCGATATAAGAAAAATCCGGCAAGAAATAACTACTAACTGGCTCTTCCAAATGCTGCGTTGCTTTATGGCAACTTAGAAACTATAAGGAAGCATGTCCATGTGACGCTTCTGCTGGGGCAGTCTAATAGAGAGGCCTATTCGTTTTCAACATGGTTCGGATTGAATTCATATTGAACATATTGCTACTTCTTCAATCAATCAATCAATCAATCAACACTCTATTAACCTGTTGCAGCCTAACTAGTGGCGTAATGGCTATGCAGGCGCTCCCTCCGGCGGAAGCAAGAGTGATCCGAACGCCAGACCCGCGCATGAAACAGTAAATACATAGGAAAACGGCGTCTTGCCATAGAAATCAGCCCAAAAATCAGTCCAAAACAGTATCAGAACGCCCTCCAAGCCCTCAGTCCCACGATATATCACTCAATTCGCCCTCACATTGGCCTGTTGTCTTCCCAGTATCTCCATCCCCGGTATCTCTCCTGCTTCGTTCTCAATTGGTGGCGTTCGTTGTTGATGTTGGATGTATTCTTCCACGACCTCTCGGTCGGCCGTGGTTTTGGCGTTCCTCCTACCCAGCGTCTTCACCCCCTGTGCCGTTACCAGATCATCCTGGTAGATCGTTTTCGTTGCCTCCATTCGGCGGCTCTGGCTCGACTTCGACGTGCCGGAACTGCCCTAAGAGGCCTGTTTGTAACATAAATTCGGCCACGTAGCGGGTGGCCTGCGAGTGCGATACAATTGCATCGTAATCGGTCGAATCCCCAAGATCGGTCATCCGGATCTTGTCAAGGAAGGTCTGCCTCAAATCAGCGTACAACAGGCACTGCATCAAGATGTGTCTCAGGGTTTGAGACCCTTCTCCACAGTAACACTCATCTGATTCGACCGCCTTGATTTTGAACAGAAAGTGATTCAGTGCAATGCGCATTGATCGCATTTGAATCAAAATTGAAGTATAAGGCTTCGAAAGGGATTCGAATAGCCGAAGTACCTTCTTGTCTGGAGCTTTGACTAGCCGCTAGTTCGGTTTGCCAGTTCGCTCCTTTGCCCACTCTTGTGCCCATCTCTCTTTAATGCGCCGCCGCACTCGACGCTTTGCGGTCGCTGCTAGAAGGACTCGACCGGCGGACCCCTCGGGGTAGGGTTGTTCCGCTCCGTTCTCCACACCTCCCGTTGCCGCCAACTTTGCTTCAACGTCGGCAGTCTCATTGCCAGGAACGCCCACGTGTGCGGGGATCCAACGGATCTCGATAGGAATCTGATCGAACGTAGGCGTTAGCGATCGAAGGGCCCGTACGTGATCGTATATTGTAGTGAGCACGAACTGGCCCGACGATCGCTTTGGGTTTTGCACCGCCTAGATAGCGGCCTAGCAATCGGAGAAAATAACAAGCTTTGTAGGCCTGTTGTTATTGTTTTGCTGTTGTTCGACGAATTTAGCGATCGCTATTTCAATACTGTTGAGCTCGGCAACGTACACTGTGGATTCGTCGGTTGTTCCAAGGTGCCTTCGGTTAAAGATACCTTCACGCGGGGTAACAGCCGAGGCACCCACCATACCCTCATATCCACTTCCATCTGTGAAGAATAAGACCGTCAGGGTTCGGTCTAGTGCGGCTTGCTAGAACAGAGATTCTATCTCAATCTTGTCATACAAGGCTCGCGCAGCCTCTGCATTCTTGTCGATGACGCATAGGATCCGTGCCTCCCATAGCGCTAGAACGAGCGCTTTACGTGATTCCCACACGCTTCCTTTAGGGTCCAAAATACTATCTTTCTTCCATCTAAGGGCTTCGAGAGGGCTCCATCCACCTTTCTTACGCTCCTGTAAGGATCGGGGGGGCACAGCGAAGGGAGTCTAGCTAAGCCCACGCGGCTCCTGTTTAGATTCGTATTGCCGTTTCCTGGATGATTTGGTCTATAAGTAGGTGTATTGGTGTGATAAAGAGCTCCACGTTGAGTGCTGCCGCACTAGTGGATTTGAAGGCACCGCTGATAAGAATCGCTGTATATCGTTGAACTTTAGTAAATTCGTTGACTGTACGTTTTATCTCCTATACAGGCATAGATCTAGCCGCAGGGCAGTACCATACAGATATTCCGTAGAGCATCTGTGGCACTACGACTGCTTAGTAGACCTTTCGCATTACCGCTAGTGAGGCACCCCAAACCGACCCTGTCATCGCCCGGAGGGCTTCCAGGCTACTGTTAGCCTTATCGAGTAACTTTCGGCGGTGTATATCGAAATCGAGGTGTTTATCGAGCCAAACCCCTAGGTACTTAGCAGACTGTGTCGGTTGTATTGATAATTCGTTGTACTGGACAGGCATCTAGTCGTTACCCTCGGGGTGCTGTGTCGCGTAGTCGAGGATATCGGATCCAATATAGGTTGTATTATTAGCCGCCGGCCCCTAGGCTGTCTCGTTCTTATTCAGGTTAGTGAAGTGAATTAATTCGAACTTATCGGGTGCGAATCTTGCTGTATAGCGTCTGGCCTATCGATTCGCCTTACCGAGTATTTTCTCTAGTGTTATAGTGTTGTTGTAGTATAACTCCGACTCGACTAGGACAGCCACGTCGTCTACCTAGCTAAAGCCAGCAGACTACGCAATACCTGTTCTAAGGCCGCACGCAGTAATCAGAGGGGCATTAAATAGTAAGAACAGGATTAGCGAGATTAGCGATCCTTGTGGGATACCGGTGGGCGTAGGGAAGCTGTCCGAGAGATATCCTAGTAGCTTAATGCGTATACTTCTATTACGAAGGAACGATGCAATCTATAGCGCGAACTAGCCTAGCCGGAGCTGCTTAATGTTATTTAGTAGCCGTTCGTGTGAGACGTTATTATAGGCACCCGCTACGTCGAGTAGTAGCATCGACACCTTCTTGCCTCGCCCCTATACGCAGTGCACGCGGTCGAGAATCAACTAGATTGTATGATCTACTAATATCCCCTTTCGGCCGCCGAGGTAGGTTTTTAGCAGTAACCCGTACTCTTCAACGGCCTATACAATACGCGTAGCGGTAATAGATTCAAGGATCTTGCCAAGGGTATTCAGTAGGGCAACTAGCCTATACGACTTCGGCTGCCGAAAATCGCGTAGGCCGCCCTTACGAAGCGTCACCGTGATAGAGGCCTAAAAGTGACGAGGATTGTAGCCCGTTCGCATATACGCATCGAAGATAGCCGTCAAAACTGCCACGAAGTCGTAACAGTTATCTGCTAGTATCTTCCACACGCGGTTAGGGATACTATCCTCGCCAGGCGCTTTATCAGGTAGCGCACGCTTAATCGCATCGGTAACCTCTTGCTGTGAGATCGCTGGGAAGGTAAGTTGATTCGGAGGTAAGGTTAATTCGATATCCGAGAGGTCGGCTTGCGGGGGCTATAGGAAGAAGACTCGACGGAGCAGGTCGACCTTCTGCTAGTTCGTTTCTGCTAGGCCTTCCTGTGCGTATAAGGCAGGGATATTGCTGCTAGTTAACTGATCCCTTATTCAGGCCCATTTTGACACTTTCCAAAGGCCACGGGGGCCTTTATTAATCGTATCACGTACCCACTAGCGGAAGCCCTGCTTCATCGCCTTCCCGATCACCCTGCCCTTCGCGTTTCTCACTAACTTATATTCATCCCAGTCTTCCTCGCTGTGCGTTCGCATATAATACCGATATTACCTGCGTAACGCCCCGATTGCCTCTGTGCACTCGGGGGTCCAGCCTTAGCGGGCCTACGCTGACGGCTTTGCCCAGGGTGTTGATACCTAGGCGGCCTGTTGAATGATATCGAGAAGGTGGTCAACAGCACGATCAATATCATAAGGGGATGTTGTTTAACGCATCTAGCCTTTGTTCTAGAGGTTCGCTGACACGAGGGCAAGGAATTTCTCTACGTCTATAGCCTTCCAATTCCTCCGTTTAACAGGGTCTGCGGCCGGTGGCACGTTAATTTTAAGCAAGGTAAGTATTGGAAGGTAATCGGAATCAGCGTGTACGCTATCATCAACCTCGCACGCTATTATCTGCTCTCGCAGCGAGTATAACGCCAGAACGAGGTCGATCGTTGATTGATGGCCTGCTTAGTCGCGTATAACAGTGCTGGGTGTTAACCAGTTATCTAGACCGGCTATCTCCATAAGATCTAGAAGATCCTCCGCTCCCACATCGCGTGGTGTATCATCGCCGCCCTAGGCTAGATGATATAGGTTGAAATCGCCAAGAACTAGGTAAGAAACCCCCTTTTGCTCGCGTGTAGGTGGTAGCGTCTCCTGTAGCAGGCGGAGAGCTACTCCTTGCTGCTGATCGTTATAGACGTTGACGATTCGAAGCTCCCCGGATAGCTCGGTCTTAATACGGATCTCCTGGCAGTCTCGAGAGTGTGCCAAGTGAGTGTGTTCGCCTATCTTCTTCGAAATAAACATACACACCCTCGCCCTGCCGCCTATTTCGGCAGCCGCCGGATACAATAGCTCATACGTCTGTTTCAGCGGGTGGTAGGTGTTGTCCTGGAAGGGATTCTCCCAGGGCTCCTGGATAGCGATAATATCGGCGCTGATAACCTCCTCTTTACGCAGGAATTGCGCTATAACCATGTCCTTCGACCTGTGTACGTTATACTAGTATATCTTAAGCTCGCGGCTCGTCGGTTTCCTTAGTATGTGTTAGCGGTGGTCGTAGTAATTCATTAGCGGTTCGATCTAGAAGATTTCCTGCTATACACCCTGCGTCTTCCGCCGGCGCGAATATTAAGAGATAGATTCTCACTGTGAGGCTGCTTGCGCTTCCTATCCCCTGCCCGCGCTAGCGGTGACGATGGCTGGTAGTCTTAATCGTTTTTGTGGGTTTCTAGCTAGCGTTCAAGGTCTCGTATATTGACCTCATCTAGCTCGGAGCTAAGTTCTGATTCGACCCGTTCCTGGCTCGCTGTTTCCGCTAGTTCCGTCATACGTGCTGACTTATTGCTGTCACTGCTGCTAGTCTTCCTTTCGGCGATATTCCTAGCTCTGGCCTCGCGTGCCTTAGCAGTGCGGGCCCTAGCCCTTTCCGCTCTCGACTGGGTGCTACTGCTAGTAGCCTAGGAGCCTTCTGGTTAGAAGTTGATCGTATCGGTTGGTAGTAGGGCGAAGGTGCTTCCTGCAGAGAATTGAAACGCGCTCGGTTCGGTCGAAAATTGGAATATCGGTTGATCTTCCCTTGTCGGTTAATCGAGGACGATCGGTTGCTTCTAGGAGCGGCCCTCTATCGGTAAGGCTTTATCCTCGCTAGTCTCTATCGGCTAAGGCTTAGACCTCTGTGCCTTTCGTGGTCTCCCTCTCTTCCTACCGGATAACGCTGTTATCACCGATTTATCGCTCTCGTTAGTTGTATACTGGCTAGTCTGCATACTAGTCCCAGTTCTTTTTGTGGTAGGGCCGGTGCCCTTGCCCCCGTTGCTAGGGCGTGCGGCCGGCGCGAGACCGCTACTCTCGACGCCGCTAGTAAGCTCCTCGCTCGATAAATCCCTCGGTGTTCCCCACGAGCTGGCGGACGAGGAATATAAGGACGGCTGCGGTTAGTCGATGCTGTATAGGGCCGGGACATAATAATATCTTCCACGGTACTTCGATAGTTCCCTCATACGCTCCACCTCTCGCTGACGAGCCTCACACTCCGTACTCCACGCAGCGTATACGCCCCCGCAATTAGCACACTTGTTCTCCGACGTATCTTTGCGAGGGCAATCCCGAGACTGATAGCCCTCAGCGCAGTACACGTATTTAACGGTGTTAGCACAGGTGGTTCCTATGTGTCTATATTGCTAACAGTTAAAGCACTACCGCACACAAGCTAATCGGTCGTAGACCTCAACCGCCAAGTTATCACAGTCCCAGAGGACCCCCTTATCAATCGCCACGTTAGCCAGCACTAGAGAAGTAAATTCGATGACTAGTAAGCCACTCTTCCCGGACGGGATACGCAGCTAGCTAACTTTCGCGATATCGGCCTTATCTCCCCAGGACTGCACGTTGTTCGCTAAGAGATCCTTGATGACTCTCTCCTATAGTATCTCCTCCGAGGCCTTATTGATACCGAGTGATCTCACATTGACATCGTGTACAATATCACCCTATGTCGGCATACGGACGAACGCCGTTTTGCAGAGACCCTTCGCCCATTTCTCTCGATAGATTCGCATGATCTCGGCTTCCTTCGCATCGCACACGGTGAATCGGAGATCGCCTGATTTCAGCTGGCGCGATACAAGGATCTTCACCGATACGAGGGCCGGCGTATCTGTGGTTCTGGCCGCCTTCGCCCGGGCCTGGTTCGCACGCTTGGTGAGCTCGGCGCTCGTCAGACGGCGGAATACGCTGACCTGCGAGCGATCGCCAAGACACACCACGACCTCGCGGTCACGTACTACCTCCGCCGGGCGCGTTAGGGAGCTGCTCGACGAGCTGTAGGAGGATTGGAAGTGCGCTGGCGCTGGCGCGCGCGCAGCTACCTCGGCGAATGATCGAATCGTCTGTCTAGCTGGAGGCTCGACAGCCGCTTTGACGGCCGTAGTGATCTCCTGCTTGAGGTCTCTGCGTAGAGCCTCGAGCTCCTGCTGCCAATCCGTCAATGGCGTCGACAGGAGGTCCTTCGTCAGATCTTCCACCTGCCGGAGGAAGCTGACGACCTTAGGGGCTAGTCTTGCAGTATTCTGACTCCTTCCCAGCTCTTTGAGAAGGTCGCGTGCGCCGTGGTTGACGTTCAGTACGCGCTCTCTGTTCGATGGCAGATTTTTCAATGGACCGCCGGAGGCCCCAGGGGCCGGCCCAACCCCCCTGGAGGCGCGCAACATGGCAATATCGGTCGAGGAAGCTCGAGACCGGTATCAAACGATAGCGCAGGGAGTTAAATTGAATTTGCCGTTGCTTAGAAGTTGCCAACTGGCGTGGTTCCTGAGATATTTCAAAAATTCGATTCGGCGTGGAAGTTGTTGTGTCCCTTGCTACTTCTTCCCAAAGCTGGATAGTTGACCTCGAAGCACTATTCCGAACTTCCAGGGGACTATCTCCGCCACGCAACGTCCCAAAGCAGAACTTGAACCATTTTATTTCTCCCACACCTAGAGACTCAATCTTTCACCAGAAGATAGTTCGAAAACTAAACCTGTGCCGCTGTGCCACAATGCAAATCATAGTCACGATGAATACCATGGATCCGTACCTGACCAATAGCTCCATAGTACATCATGCTGTAGTATAGAAGTGGCCAGCGCGATAGTCAAACTCTGCAAACAATGTGTGGTAGCCATGGACGCCATTTTCAATATCCCCCACTTCCCAAAGGGAGAGGGCAGCTAAGCTTTAGACAAACTAAATATAACTAAAGTAATGTCGTCCTCTGCTGTTCTCTCATAGGAATCTCGGAGCCACAATGATCATGCTCTTAGAGACGTTTGTCTTTAGCTTTTCGAACGTGATGTGTAGCATAGTATCATTTGATATTGTAATACTGGATCTCGCCTGGCCCTGCAGAATAACCGCAAAGCGCCCTGGAGTATCTCAGAAGTACGGCGTCGTAACACAGCCTAGCAGTCTACTAGAAGTCTCTCAATAGATCTTACACCTACACACATCTTAAGCAATTCAATTGCTTTTATGAATACTAGTCCGCACGGAGATACCTCTGCTTATCATATAATCCCACGGCTGGTATCAAGGTATTACCACTATCCTTAATTTCAGTACCTATCGGATATGTTCTCTCGTTGTTATGATATACCCTGGCATGAGGTTATTCCTAAGTGTTAGTGCCTCAGGCTTCCCGGACCTGATAAGCCGGCAGGCTTTCTGTGGAGGTTCGCTGGGGCTTCGTCATTAGTATGTGAACGAACTCCTGCAGGGAACACCCTTGACAGAGGTTACACAAGCCTCGTGTTTCACCCCGCTCCCATTTCCCTACCAAGGATACATCTCCTTCCTGTTTGAGCGATGAGACTGTATATAAATTGACCCATGTTGAAGAGGTTTTAGGATCCTCAAGAAACGGTCTTTGACTATCTCACACTATTGACTTAGCCCCATTTCTCCTACCTGATTGACAGGCCTCTATCCTGACTTATAGCGTATATCCTAACACGCGACTCCTGCCGAGGTCTAGTCCCGCGGACGATCTATTAGCTGTTGCTTATCCTACACTACCTCTTCATTTCTGTAATGCTCCCTGGAGATGAAGGCGCGCTGCAGCATATCATCCGTCGCCACGCAGCTAACTGGGAAAGAGGGTTGTTCTGCAATATAGTGGACTAACTTTGGGTGTTTATCTCAGGTCATCTTGATAGTTAAGGCTCGACAGTAAGATTTCTTTCGTGATCGCATCACCTGTCAGTGGACGGCAGCTTCTGGTCTTATTTCGTATCTTAGTTCCGGGCTAACCCCTTACAGCTTTAGGCTACAGTAGATTGATAAAATACTTCGTATAACCAGATCAATTATATGCGTAGCGCGCTATAGTGTGTAGGCGGTGTAGATCGGGCGGTCTGGACGCAAATGTACTACGGTACAAATACTTGTAGTCAATAACTGTATGACCGTACGGAGTAGTCACTACCGTATAGCTCGGCGTCCAGACCTCCGACAACGCCGACTTTGCCTCGTATACTCCGTAATGGCTGTCAGTTCGGCCACAGTCTTTATTACCAAACACGACGAAAACGGGACCGTCGGCGTGATGGTAACCTCCGATGGCCGACCTGGAGCTTTTCTTGTTTTCCTATAGAAAGGAAGGGTTGACCGGATTAGTGGAACAATCCTCACGCAGACGAGCATATCGACCACCTCAACCAGTAGAGGCGGGCGGAACAACAAACGGCGATATATCACCAACACCCTCAAAAAGGCCACACCAAAGCAACTATGGCTACTAACCTGCCCCAAAATGTTAGAGCAGTCCTCCAGCCGGACCCTAAGGTCGACACCCTTATCCTTACCGAGACGGCCCTCCCTATGCCCAAGGAAGGCGACACCGAAGAGCACCTTGTGCAGATCAAGGCTACGTCGCCCTGCCTCAGCGAGCTCACTTGGGAGCGCTACTTCCCGGAGGCCTTCACCACCGACCGCGAGCGCGTCCCCGGCACCGAGGGCGCTGGCGTCGTCGTCACGGCCCCTGCTAGGTCCCCCTTCAAGCCCGGCGATGAGGTCTACTTCCGCAACCATGCCGACCGCCGTGGCTGCCTCAGCGACTACACGCTTATCAATAAGAGCAGCCTCGCCCTCAAGCCTAAGTCGCAGAGCTGGGTCGAGGCCGCCGCCACGCCGCTAAGCTCCCTGACCGCCTACCAGGGGCTCTTTGAGCACGGCCTGCTCAACCCACGGGCTATCGTCACTCAGGGCGGCGACGCTAAGGCTCGTGAAGCTAACGGCAAGGTGAGGGTACTCATCACGGCGGCGAGCGGCAGCGTCGGTAGCTGGGCTGTGCAGCTCGCTGCCGCGGCAGGCGCTGGCGCTATCGTCGCTATGTCTGGGCCCTCCAAGGTTGACGACGTGCGCAAGGCCGGCGCCACAGATATAATCGACTACACTAAGCAGTCGGTCGCCGATTGGGCTGCCCAGGACCCGTCCTCGACGCAGTGTGACATGGCGCTCGACTGCGTCGGCGGCGACTCTCTCGCCGGGTGCTGGACTGCCGTCAGGGAGGGCGGCGTGCTGCTCAGCGTCTCCGACTCGCCCGACCGCGTCAGGCCCGCGTCCGTGGCGTCCAAGAAACTCGCTAAGGCGACCTGGTTCCTCGTCCAGCCGCGCGGTAGCGACCTCGCCGAGATCGCAAAGGTAGTCGACGCGGGTATAGGCAAGCCGTGGATCGACAGCGCCGTAGAGTTTGAGGACTTCCAAAAGGCGTTTGACAAGGTGGAGACGAGGCATGCCAAGGGCAAGGTGGTGATCAAGATCACGACATGACGGCCGGGCTGTAGATGAGGTTGGGCCGTGGAGACGAGAGGCTATAGTAGTAGACGCAAAGGACGGGGTCGATTCGCCACTCAATGAACCAATTGAATCATGTAGCGATATGGAATATAAAAATGTGATGATCTGATCAAATGTTGAGACTACTTTTGTGTACGGTGGGTGAAGGAAAGGTGTAAGACAGCTTGGTGTTAGTATTTATAAGCCTTTGTTTCGTGTTTCGTACGTACGTAGTAATAATACCCTTCTTTATACGGGTACGAATACAAGATGCTATGTACTGTAGCACCAGAGGGCGGTACAACTAGGTTCTATACAAACTGAGCAATCTAGGCGACCGTTGGCAATCGCTAACTTCTCTCCTCCTCTTTCAGTTGCTTCAGTGCAGGGACTGGCGCTGCCTGGTTGTCTATCTCAGGCCAGATTTTATAGGCAAAGCTAGATAGTAAGATTTGTTGCGTAATCTCCTTATACCCGGCGTAGTTCTTCGCTTACCAGACCATCCCATCCGATATCTAAGAACCCGATTATAAAGTCTCCAAGAATCTTTCGGTCGACGCTTCGCAAATAGATTTTAAGGAACTATATCATAAATCAAGATTTCCTCTTCACCACGCGACCACGGGCTAGCAAAAGTGGGAATACGGTAACATTGATTCATTTACCGAACGAATTACTTCGGCTACTTACAAGCTTTCTGGAGGTAGATACGGATATCGCTTCGTTAGCTCGGACCTGTAATTACTGCTATAACTCTCTCGTCGCTTTTCTCTATCGGCAGAATGCCTTGAACCAAGAAAGTTCCGCTCTGCTATAGGCGGCCGAACAGGGGATAGAGGCAACAGCTGTTATCAGTATCAAACAATAGAGGTTATGTTAAGGTTACTGATATTCACGGCCGAGCACCGCTGTTCTGGGCTGTATATAAGGCCACGAGGCTGTGGTACAAATTTTACTAGAAAGTGAACTTCTTTAAGCGGATATCGGGGACTCTAAAGGTGAGACACCTCTGCTCGCAGCTGCTCAACATAGTCAAGCAGCGGTAGTGAATCTCCTACTTAAGACTGGGTGTGTCGCTAGGCCGGGAACGGCAAAACTAACCGGATTCAGTAAGTCACAGGTCCCAATATTACAATGTAAATATACATACTTTAACTTGCCTTTTTATCAAAGATCTTTCTAAATGTCTTTCTAAATGTCTTTCTAAATGTCTTTCTAAATGTCTTTCTAAATGTCTTTCTACATGTCTTTTGAACTGATTTTTAATAGCTTCGGGGAAGGGCTTAGTAGATATTATAAGAATATATAGGTACTTGGTGCACCTGTTATCCACCGTATCCGAAAGTAGATTAGTCTGTCATGCGAATGCACAAGTTGGCGTGCGATTTGCCTTAGCTTTCCTAGAGTATCTAGTTAGGTAGCGGTCTTTGCATAGCATTTTGATAAGTTTTATACGAAAAGTCGTAAGAAAGTGTTATAGATGATAAGTTAGAGGCTCAAGCGAGCGAATGAAGCAGAGCAACGAAATCAGATAAAGGCCACATGTAGGTCAGCCGAGGCCATTCTCCTAGCATGGGGACTCTGAATATACCACATAAAATTACTCCTAGTCACGGGCTCTCTAGCATGCCATTGGTAGTATAAGATCATGCTAGTCACGAGATCTTTACGATATGGTATTTCAGGCTAGTATCAGAAGAGGCCAGTCCAGCTTCCATGCCAAGAATCTCAGGACCCCGCTAGACAAACAAAATCAACATTTTTTTGTTGATCATAGGCAGTCGCGAAGATTATATTCTTCCTTGAGATATTTACACATAATTTGATGCAACTCCATCTGGCTGATCTCTGCACCCGCCAGATCACAGATCACGTACAAGTGCATACAGCCAACGAAATCCTAAACAGCCAAACCGAATGGCCCACATGCAAATCAAACAGTGTCGAGGGGAGAGTGAAAATGCAAAAGCACAAGACGCCACAAAACACCTCAAGACCAAATGCCCATCAGATCAGCTCAAAATCCAACGCAGCCGAGTCCGAGTCTATGGAAATGGAAGGGGTGTTTTTTTCTTGCAAGATCCGTTCGGTCAGTAACAGCAACAGGTCCACAAGATAGTAATGAAACATAATGAAACAAGGAGAAAAGAACATTAATACATGAAGAGGGAGAAAAAAAGGCTGCAAGGGAACATGGCCGACACCGTGGCATCTGTGGGCAGGCAAACCGTAAACAAGCGCCAGATCCCGCCTGTTTCGATTTCAAGCAGTCATATTGTACAGTCGAGAGGGCGAGAAGTGAGAGGTGGTAGGGAAAAGGGTATGGCCCCAACTGGAGGATATAGTCTTGGGAGGAACAATGGCGGATAATCGCGTAGTGAGAGGAGATCCGCTGGAGAAGCTTAGATGTAGTCACGAGCGGCCTTCTGCAGCTCGATCAATCTCCAACCCCGGGTCTCAGGGTTGCTAACTTCTTCGGGTATACGGGTCAGACCAATAGCGTAGGTAACCAGCTGAACCTTGTCCTCCATACCAGCGGCAAGCTCGCTGGTCTTAACATTGCGGTACACGTGGACTTCCTGCGCACGGCAAGTGACGACGAACACGGGGATCTCGCCAGGCTCCAGCAGACGGGCGTTGGAAATGTCGACGCCGCGAATGTCCAGAATACGGCCGTCAGATTTGAGACCGGCAGTAGTGTATTGCTTGGCAAGAGCGGCGTAAACGGAGAACTGAGCATCAGAGAGCCAGAGCTTCAGAGTCTCGACATCACCCTTCACGTAGGCATCCAGAACCTCGGGAAGTATGTATTCACGCAATTCACGCAGGAACTCCTCCATCTGGAAGTTGGGATCAATCTCACGGAACTTCTTGACAACCATTGCAGTCTCGTTCTCAGCAAAGAATCCACCAATCCGGTCGGTAATGCTGCGAGCAGTGCTGATGAGCGGGTTCTCAGACTCATCGTAGACATCCCTCATGGCAAAGAGTTTCTGCATCATAGGGTTGGAGTCGCGGAAAGTGTTCCATGACTCCTTCCAAGCGGCATCCTTGTGAAGAGTAATGTTGGTACCGGCACTAGTTGAATCATTGATTAGTGAAAGATCAACTGGGTCTAATGATAATTCAAAACTTACTTGGGATCCTCCTCCATGGGTTGCAGAGGGCGCTTGCCAGACTTGAGCTCCATCTCCTCACGGAGTTGACGCTGCTTGCGACGCTCCTCTTTCTCAATCCATCCACCGTAGCGCGAGCTGCTGCCATCATCAATGGCCTCCTTCACGCTCTTAAAGGCCTCGGTCTCACGCACTGGTCGGGTGGCCTTCTCGAGTCCAGCACCAGTAGCGTTAACACCCTTGCGGACACCCTTGACGACAGGAGTGTTCCAAGTCCAGGCAGCACCCTTTCCAATTACCTGACCGGTTGTCTTGAGAGCTTCAGATGTGCGGCTAGTCGCGGCTCCCGAGGCGGCCTGGTAAGCCGCACGTGCGCGCTTGATGTTCTCATTTTCAGAGAACTCTTGTGCTGAGGAAGCCAGTGCCTTGGTGGACTCGTTCCACTCCTTGGAGGCCTTGAACTCGGAGTTCAGGGTCTCACGGAAAACTTGCCAGGGCGACTTGTCACCATGGGGTGGTGGAGGCGCCTCTTCCTTCTTCTCCTTCTGCTCCTCGTCCTTGCCTGACTCTTCCTTCTCACCTTGCGATTCGGACTTGGATTCGTCGGTCTTCTTCTCGTCCTTGGGTTGTTGCTGTTGCTGGAAGAGGGGAGTGGCGGCGTGGAAAGATCGGGTCAAGGGGATGGCGGCGAAAGGCGAGACGAGCTGGGTCAACTGAAGAGCGTTCCTTTGGCTGTTACCAGACAGCTTCAAGGTTTGAGCGGACAATGCCGAATATGAAAGAGCCCGAGATCCTTGCGAGGCGGCTCTGAAGGCCGGGACCTGGGAGCGCAAAGTCGCCGCCCGCGCGGCGGTGGACATTTTGGCGGAAATCATGCTCTAGAAATAATTGTCGCGAAGGAAACGGATATGAAAAACAGGAATAAGAAGAGCAAAAGATATCCAGCCTAGCCCGGATGTTCGGGGTGAGATAGTTGAAAAGCGGAGGTTGGACCGAGGAGAGAAGTAAGGGAAAAAGTCGAGAAATGCCAAGACTTTCGAAAAACTTCCAGTGTTTCCTTTCCGCCACGTCGGTCCGATCACGGCTCTTGCGATATTTCCCGGCCGGCTACGACGTTTACTCTGCTCAATTGATTTATTCGGAATCAATTCAATCGATTGTGATATTTCTTTCCGGAGTGAACACTCCTGGTCGATTCTTTCACCGCGTCCCTACTTCCGCGTGCCTCATCCTCGCCGCGGCACCGGCCCCCGTTGCCGCAATGAACTCCTTCTCGATGAACGCCCTCGCAAAGACATTGCCAGCGGTATGCCGACAATGTCAGCCGCGCACTGCATCTCTGGGTCCTATCCGACCCTTCTCCTCCTCTCCGAAAGACTCCTCCAGCCTGAAGGAGAAGACCAGGACAATTGAGAACCAGATCCTTGATCGCCAGCCCGAATCTGCAGAGAACTCTTCTCCCCTCTCTGCCATCTCCAAGATGATGACTGGCGGTCGATCCTCTTCCTCTTCGCGTGTCAGTGCCGACTACGCTCGACTGGCCGAAAGCCTGGAAGCCGACATGATCAAGAACCCCTACGCCGACCGCGCCCCTCCTCACCACCTCCACGTCTACGCACACAAGCACAATACCATTCTCACACTGACACGGCCAAATGGCAACCCTATCTTGTCTATGGGAACTGGTCAGATTGGATTCCGCAAGGGTGGTCGTGCTGGCTTCGATCCCGCATACCAATTGTCCTCCCACGTTCTTTCGCAAATCCAGGAGCGAGGCCTCCTGATGGATATCAAGCGGCTAGAGATTGTCTTCCAGGGCTTTGGAAAGGGCCGTGATGGATTCACAAAGGTGCTTCTTGGTAACGAGGGACGCAACATTCGGGGTCTTGTTAGCCGCGTGACCGACTCGACTCGTATCAAGTTTGGTGGTACTCGTAGCCGCAAGGTTCGCAGACTGGGTTGATTGGAATTCTTTCCCGTTCTTCTTATCTCTTCAGAATTGGAGGGGATAGGTGTGGCTTGTTCTTTTTGATCTCTCATGTGGAGCGCTGTATATCGCATGCGGAGGATCGTCTTCCCCATTGTCTTACCGGCATACATGTCTGCCGAATTATTCTCTGTACAATAGCCAAAATGTGTTTAACTACTCAACAAGCATACCAAATGTATTTCTCTGATCTCTTCCATGTTCATTCGTTACGGTTTGTAAGGCATCTAGGCCCAGACCCTGGCTGATAGAACATGTCTTAGTATTGCCTAAAACGGCATAGCGTTGCCAGCTCCCGCAGCGATCACGTTCTCGAACTCCCTGTTCTACTCGATTCACATTGCGCCGCTGTCGTGCATTTCCTTTCTGTGGTCTTTTCTTGCGTTGCTGCTATCGATTGACATCAAGAAACCGGCATTGCCACCCATCCACTTGTCAGCCGCAGATTCAGGCGCCTCGATTACCCCGGATTGCTGCCTGCAGCTGAATGCGCCGGAGCTCTTCCCCGCGAAACATCTACATTGAAGACCAATCTCCCCCCACGACTCCATTTTAATACGCACGACTTGATGATTGCCGGAGCTCTTATACCGGGCCGTCCAAAACCGTTTGGATGCACCCTCTAAACCCTTTCCTCCGTGCCTTCTTCCGAAGCACTGTTCCGGGGCAGTGTATACCCGTGGAGAACCATGTCAGTCAAGCTCCTGCACCCCTTCGGATCGACCGGAGTGGCCGACTAATGTTAACATGTGTGTCCTAGGTTCTACTCGTTCCCACGACGGAATGCCTTACCGGCTCACGCGACCGGGAGTCCAGCCTGTACTACTCGGACCTTGTCGCGTCGGAGGAGTTCCTAGGGAGCCATGTGCTGCGCATCCCGATCAACCCCGGCTCAACAAATGGGAAGGAGGAATCCAATGTGCGCGATAACAGGGGGAAGGCCAAACAAGTGACGACGTTTAATGGGAGGACTGTGATCATCAAAGAGAACTCAGTTTACAGCAACAAAGGTGGGCATAAGCGGAATAGAGACGTCATGGAAATCATTGTGTTGGCTAACAGTCAATTTTTCTTCAGGCTTCAAGTCCCTTACCCAGGCCCAGCTTCTCTCGGATGCGCTGTACTATACTTCGTCAAGCGAGTCCCGGCCATGGCTTATTTACTACATTTCGCGCCCACTGGTCGGGTCGTACGATCCCGCCAGAGTCATTCCGGCCGCAGTACCAGGGACCATGGTGAAGAAGATAGAACCGACCCCTTCCGACAAGAGAGCGACAAATGGAGGATCGATAACGCCACCGAAGCAGGAGATCAAGTCATTTGGTGATTTGCTTGCAAACTTTCCGATGATTGCGAGGCAGATGCAGCCGGGGCTGGAAAGGCTTTTTCGCGAATTTGGCAAGGAGCTTGGCAAACCGTTACCTCCACCACCATGTCGCTCGCCTTCTGCATCCGGAAGCGAATCGGAAGTTAGACTGTCCAGAGTGCACACCCTACAAGATGAAAGCTCGTCTATCCGCAGCTGGTCATCCCGTCGAGGCCGTCTGCCCTTCAATTCGGAAGAATATTTCGAGGATGACGAGGATCTCATGCGTCGTAGCCTGGAGACCGCAGTGACTGCCGCTATCGATCTCTTCAGGCTCGTTGATAAACAGCAACTGTCGCTTCTCGGAGCCACTACTGATCTTACGGGTCCTCTAGTTGAGCGGCTCATTGAGCGATATGTGGCAGAGCAAGTACACGAACCGCTTCTCTTCCCTCGCTTATGCGCTTTCCGACAACCGGAGGATTCAGAGCTGGACTCTAGAATTCGGCATATGGAGAGCATTGACGTCACCCAAGTTGGTATTTCAGTGGAGGGTGGACAACAAGGCAAACGAGAAGTCATCCGGCGGCTTGGACGTGGAGTGGAAGAGTTTCGCAAAATGGCTGATGCGAAGAGCCCTCATGAGATGCTTAATACCCTGCTAGAGACAGTCAAAGTGATCTCATACCCCGGAAGCTATGACAATGTCGATGGGCCAGCCTCTGAGAAGGGTCGATCTCCTCTGACGATTAATGCTGATGTCTTGGTCTCGTTGCTGCTAGTTGTGGTCATTCGATCCCAGATTCGACATCTTCAAGCTCGTTTGCTGTACATGCAGCATTTCATCTACATTGACGATGTGGATAGTGGTGAGATGGGGTATGCACTGAGCACGTTCGAAGCAGTTTTGATGTACCTTGTGACCGACTCGGCTGGTCTGCATCGCGCGAGTACACGAAATAGGCGGCTATGGCAAGCCACCAAGGCAGGCCGCATATCTGATATGAGGAGCATCCTTGAACCAAATGGAGATCATGAGTCAATTGACGAAGCTGTCCCGCGTGAGCCTGAGCGAAAGTCTGTGCTTTTCCGCACTGATAGCTCGTCAGAGCCAGAGGAATCACCTCATGAGACATCATCCCTGTACAGCCACTCGTTCTTCACCAATGGTCAACAAATCCCGGAGGAGGCCATTGACTCCGATGCGCCCCCTCTCGCCCACGTTTTCCCCTTCCAGACGTGGAGTGGCGACTCACCTACGAAGGACTACCAACGGCCAATCAAGAAGGTCTCTATGGATCTCCGCAGTCTATCAGAGTCATCGGCTGTCTCTTTTCTTTCCAGAACACCCACCATTGGATCGATGACAAGTAACATCGAAGGCGATACGTCGTTGGAGACTCTGACCAAAACACAGGATCCGGCCGGAGATTCAATTCCCATGATGGCAGTGGAGAGCCGCCAGACCGAGTCGTTGAAGTATCTACTCAGTTTGGAAGAGTTCTACCCCTTGGAGGACATTCTCGAAGACACAAACGCGGATGGAACAACCCTTCTCAATGCAGCTGTGCAGCTTGCTCATGCTGAGAGTGTTGAAGTTATCCTCGACTTTCTCTTCAGCAAGACTGACGAAAGTGTAGTCGCCAAGTACCTGACCAAATCTGATGTCCATGGTCGCACAGTGGGTCATTACTTGTTCAGCACGCCTTCTCTACTATCCCGGCTTGGCAGACTCCTTCCCTGGCGACAGCGTGATAAGCATGGCCAAACTCCACTCTTCGCTCTCTGTCGGTCATATGACCACCCCGAGTACAGAATGATGGTTCAAGCCGGCTTGACAGCAGCACAGAGAGCCCAGGGAAATGGAAAACCTCTTCAGCTCGATGACCATGTGGACGCCAAAGGCAACACATTGTTACATATTGTCGGCGATCCAGATGTAACAACGCGGATTCTTCAAGAGAGCGACTGTGATCCGAATGCAACTAACGACAAGAGGTTCACGCCATTGATGATGGCTAGTAAATACGGGCGAGTGGATCAAGTTCGCATACTGTTTATGGATCCCAGAGTCGATGTCCATGTCAAGGAGGCCCGAGGATTGACTGCCGTCGAACTGGCAAAGGATGATGAAGTACGGAACCGCATCGATGATCTAATCCTGCTATCCCATCCGCCATCCGCATGTGGTGATCCTTCCGGCAGGGTGACTACCGTCGTTCGATCATTCTTCGTCGAAGATGCCACGGTACGCTTTATCCTCAAGTCTGGCGCACCTTATCCACCATCCGAATCAATAGCATCATCGCGTCCAGGCTCGACAACATACACAGTCACCACGTGTCGTCGCAGCTTCAACGATTTCGAGAATCTTGCCAAATGGCTTGCCGTAGAGCACCCTGCCTCCTATGTGCCATCTCTGTCGAATTTCCGCAACCCCTTCCAAATCCACTCAAAACCATCTCGCTCCGTCCTGCACGACCTTCAGGAAAAGCTAGATCGGTTCCTGAAAATTCTCCTCACCCATCCAACCTTCTCCACACATGAAATGCTGTGGGAGTTCTTCCTAGTCCCCGAGCTACAACCCGAGATGATGGCCGATCGATCCAGACGCAAGGCAGCCGTCCTCACCGAGACGATTGCCGACGAGTACGCACCCGTTTCTCTCGAGGGTATGCGCGACACAGAGCAGTTCATCTCTCATGCCCAAGATATGGTACGCGGTGTACACGTCAACACGCGTAGCCTAATTCGACGGGGTCATGCACTACAAAACAGTGCCTCCGACCTCGCGGATGCAGTCACTCTCTGTTCGAGCGTACTCTCCACCCTCAAAGAACCTACCAACGCCCTTCCTTCGACCTACATAGATGCCTTTATCCGCTACGGCTCCTACCTCTCAACCTCAACCTCCGACTCCTCCCCTCTCCTCCAATTCCTGGCCGCACTCACATCAATGGACAACACCACCGCCGCAATCCTCACATCCCTCTCCCGCCCACTTACCCTCATGTCCACCCTTACCTCCACAAACAGGAGTATCTCCCGCTCCCGCTCTTCCCTCCTCTCATCCTCGCTCCCACGCAAATTCAACATCAACCTCCCAGGCTTCGAAGAGTCTCGTCAAAAATCCGTCCGCGATCTCGAACAGAAGATCCGTGACGGCGAGCTCCAATCCTCTCGTCTTGCGAAAGAAGTCACCTGGAACAAGGACGTTGTTGTCGGCGAGTTAGCTGGGTGGACGACGTGGCGGGAGAAGGTTGGCCGTGATGCGATCCGCGCTTTCGTCAAGGATACGCTTGTTCGGGAAAGGGAGCGGGGGAAGAGAATTGAGCGTTGTTTGCGGAGTGTACGTGAGATGAAGTCATGAGTCTTTTCCAAGCGGTTATTTGTTTTTTCTTCTCGGCATGACATGTTTGGATAGATCTGCAATGGATACTTGTGCTTTTCATATTTCATTTTTAGCGTGATTCGTTGTGGGTTGATCGGTTTCTTTGTGCTTGGCTTTTTTCGTTGTACATTTCATGACTCTACTTCTTTTACCTGACATCAATACTTGGATAGTGGAGAGGAACATGAAACGAAATATACCTTGTTTGGACAATGATAGGTTATCTCTTAACAAACACAGAATCAGTCACTGGCAGGGTCGAGTATCGAAAATATACTTTGACCCGTGTATACAATATCTCCCATTCACAACCTTCATCCAAGAACAACACGAACCCGACCGATCCTGCATCGCTAGGCATTGGAAGGGGATTCCCAAAATACACCATACCATCCATAATCAATGAGGAAAGACACACCCCCAAAGCACCAACCAAAGCGATCAACCCTCCAACAAGCGAAACACAGCCGATGAAGTCGACTGAACGGAAGGCAACTAACTCAAACTGTCAGACCCCGACTCAGCAACTGGAGACCCAACAACCGTACTCTGCGAAGACTGGCTCCGCTCACGAGCATGATAACGTCTCAAGCCGGTGTTATCACCCTGACTCAACTTAACACCAGCTTGCGCTGGTCCCTGCGCGGACAGTCGACTGGAAGCCCGAGAGCCATTTGACGAACGAAACTGGGTCTCTCGACTGGCAACAGAGCCCGTCTCAGTTGACCCGGTAGTTGTTGTCCAGAGCTGCGACGACTCAGCCGTGGGCGGTACGGTTGTTTCCCGACTAGTCAGGGACTGACACTCGGTTGAGCTGGTAATTGTAGTCCACAGCTGCGACGAGGACATCGATGTCCGGGGCGTCGCCGACGCCGGTTTGGACGACGAGTCGTTCGCCGCTGTACTCTGCAAGGAAGTCATCGCCGTAAGTTCCGACGAAAGCAAACTTGGCCGAGCTCCATCAGTCGAGATCCGAGTAATAGTCTCGATCTTGCTCAAGCTATTGGTCGAAGGACTGTAGCATTTGTTCAAGCTCGAACGCTCCGCCTCTTCAACCACAAACGTGATGGACGGCGACTCACTGCGGCTGAACATGAACGAGGTTCGTTCGTGCGGGATATCTTTCATGAGGAAATAGTCCAAGGTCTTGCTGGTGTCTTCGCCGAGAGTTATCTCCGACTGCCCGAAGTCTTGGTTTTGGTTCCAGGATTTGTGTTGACGGTGTCGTCTTTTGTGTCGGATGTACCATATTGCGAGGAAGAGTAGTGCGGCAAAGGTGACGACGCCCAGGACGGTGGCTGCGGCAATGGAGGGTTTACCGTTGAACAGCGAAGGGGATCTGCTGGTGATTGAGGGTGGGTTTCTTGCCGAAGACGGGTCTGCGATGACTTTGAACGCTCTTTCGCTCAAGGGGTGATCATCTTGTCCATTGTGGATTCCAGGTTCTTTTGTCTTGTCCGGTTCTGATTTCTCGGGCTGCCAGATGATTTTAAGAACAACCCCGATCTTGGTCACCATCTTTGAATACACTCCATGATGCTGTGGCCTAGCCAAGGCCTGCGCGGGCAAGATCGGGGGCATTGCAGTGCCGTCCTTGGTGATCCAAGACCAACAGCTCCTGTGGTGTGATTTCGAGAATCAAGTACAAGGCATTGACTTGACGAAATCAAAGGTGGAAGAGCGGCAGCCATGGAAACCAGCGCAGCGAGAGCGATGGCAGGGTAGTTGCCTACCCAGCTCCGGCAAATAGCGCCCCATTGTAACTTCCTTCAGCTGATTGCCGTTGTGTGTTTTCTGACAATGTTGACATAAAAGATGGTTATGGCAGGTACGTCCCTCGATGGACCCGATCTTCGATTATGACGTGCAGAGTGTTGCGTAGGGTAGGTATGAAGTATAAGGCATGGTGGCGCCACAGCCTCATTTTTACGAGCAAGCACGACCGAAACCAGAATCCGAGCACACGACACAGTAAGACCAATTGAATACCCCGCTAATGCGTCTGTACATTAATCTGTAAATAAACTCCCCCGGTTTCTGAGTGGCTCTTCCACTTCCAGTCCCAAAGGTTCAAAACTGACTAATCTTCCTTATCGGACACCTACGTCATCGGCCAACTGGGCTTATATAGTTGCCTGTCCACCTTGACGTAGCAGATTCATCTTGCTAAGCTCCAACACCATCAAACATATTATCACTTTTAATTATTCTTATTATCTAGACTTTTTTGAATGATCGCCATGCCTCTCGTTGTTCCCGGTATCAACTCTACCATGGGCGATAAGTCCGAGTGGGTCAATAAGCTGATGGGAAAGAAGATCAGCGAAGGTGGAACTGATGAGGTGGTAAGTCTTGAGATTCTGTTTGAAGCAAGAAAGGTCCAGGGTGTACTGAACACTGATTCTGCTTTTCAATAGTCATTTGCGAAGAAAGACCTTCCTAAGTCCCACCGTGTGCTGAAGCCCGATGATATGAAGACGATGGATCATAACCCTGACAGGTATGCAGAGCCTGGGAGTATATTTTGGACAGAGATGGTATCTAACACGAGAGTTCTAAATCTTCTAGATTGAATGTCCACCTTGACCACGACGGCACCGTCCGAGATGTGACCTACGGCTAAGCGTTGGGCATAGAATTGTTCATCTCGACCACATCCATGATGCTACGAGAATATAATCTAGATCTAATGCATAACTCTTGAATTTTACTCATTAAACTCATTGAACCCATGTATAATCCTCTCAAAAACCTCACATATTCAAAATATCTCAATCTATTCACAGAAACCTCTATAATTGCCCCAGCCACAACCCAATCAGGCCCAAACCTAGGTAATCCCCTACTCGGCCTTCCACCGCATCAAAGTAATCGACAACTTAGGGAAAGTATAGTTCCCCTGTCCATCCCACTTCGACTCCTTAACACCAACCTCCTCCGCATTCCCCTTCATATTAGTCGCGGCAACCCCATCCCCAGTAACGGTAAACACCTCGACCTCCCCACTAACCCCCTCAACCTTCGTCTCAAAGCCCTTCTCCTCATGAATATTCACAACAACAAGATTAGCATGCCCATCCTCCCCAACCGAAGCACTAACATCTAACCAAGGCGTCTCCATCGCACTCCTCAACCAAACAGGCGCCGTCTCCCCCTCATACGTCCCACAAGAAACATGCGCAGCAACCGTCCACCCACGCATAAACCGCGAAAACAAATACAACGGCCACCAAGTCGTCTGCTTAACGATTCCCTCGGGAGTAGTCATAAGCGGGGAAATAACATTCACGGTCTGCGCGATACAAGCCATGCCTACATCGCGGGATTTGCGGATGAATACGTTCAGCCAGATTGCGACGGCGAGTGCGTCGGAGAGCGTGTAGCTTTCTTCGGCGCCGCGGCTGCCTTCGGCACGGATGGGGTCCCATACGTTCCATTCGTCGAAGCAGATTGTGGGGCGGGGTTGGGAGGGGGGTACGCCGTTTTCGATCCGGGCGAGGTCGATGAGGGAGGAGGTTATTTCGATGGCGCGTTCGGCGGCCAGCGGGGCTGTGGCGTTGGGGAGGTGGCTGTTTGAGCAGGTGTACATGTGGATGCTGTGCATGTCGATGAGGGGGACTGCGCTGGTTGATAGGGCGGAGTGCGCGGGGAGAAGGCATTGCTTTAGGGTGTAGTAGTCCCAGGTTGCGGTGCCGTCTTGGCCGCAGAGGATGAGGATGAGGCTGGGGTCGAGGAGTTTGAGAGCTGGAAGAGAGATGGGTTAGCATATAACGAAAGATAGGTGCATCGTGTAGACGGAGGAGGCTCACCTTTGGCCCACTGCAGTGCCTTGTGGGCATATGCTTCCTTGGTCATCTGTTCGACTTGCCAGGGACCCCAAACCTCGTTTCCGAGGGCCCAGTATTTGACCTGATATGTGGGTTAACGATGGGATCTCTGATTCATGATAGGGGATGACATACATTGTATGGCTCCTCACGGCCGTTCTTGCGGCGCATGTTGGCATAGTATGTGTTGCCAGTGCCGTTGCAGTATTCCACCCAAGCAAGAGCTGCAATATTGATGATCAGTTATACATCTCTCAAGGAGGTTGAAGGATGAGAGTGTCTTGTAGAGCTGCATACCTTCGTCCAGAGTACCAGTTCCAAAGTTGAAGCAGAGATAGGGCTCAGTGCCGAGCTCCTCGCACCACTTCATGAACTCGTCCGTTCCAAACTGGTTGGTCTCTGTGCCCAGCCAGGCAAGCTCGGGGCTAATCATAGGTCAGCTATCCTTCCTTCCATCAAGCAGCAATAGACATGGATCTTACCGCGAGGGTCGCTGGTCCTTAGGACCAACACCATCGAGCCAGTGATAGGTAGCACAGAAGTTGCCTCCAGGATACCGAACAACAGGAATGTTGAGGTCTTTCAGCGCACCCATGACGTCCTTTCGGAAGCCATTCTCGTCGGACAGTGGGTTACCGGGGTCGTAGATGCCGCCGTAGATGCATCGGCCCATGTGCCTATGGAGTAAAAGAGTTAGTTCATTGTCCAATGGACCCAGGAAGTATCAATTCCGGCAGAGCATAGCAAGTAGCAAGCATTACTCCATATAGACTCTGAGAAAGGACAAGGGAGATTCTCACTCAGTAAAGCCAGCATAGATATTGGGGTTAATCTTCGAGACGCGACGAGAAGGATGAACGGCGATGACCGGGGTCTCATGGTCGCCGAGCTTAGTGAAAGAAGTCATGATGATGATGGGGGGCTAGAGCTATTCCAAGCCAGACGAGACGAGAGAATCCTTTGAAGATGTGTAGAAAAATTTAGTTTCGATCCTTTTTTACTTTGAGAGAACAAAAAATAAAAGTCCGTTCAGTAGTAATGGATCTTTTGTCCCGGTTTACAGCACGAATCCCCGGTTAGCTTCCACTTATAGAGCAACGAGCAACAGAGCAACCGAAGCTAAAGGCCCGAATACCAAGACCCAATGCCCCGCCCCAAGAGCCAAGAGCCAAAAAGAAAACCAGCCGATCGCTTGTAACGGTTAAATAGCAAAAAGTAACCAACAACTCACTTTGTCACTCCCGAGGAGAGATTAGATTATGGTTAAAAAGAGAAATTGGAGTCAAAGGGCGAAAATGCCAAAGCGAAATACTGGTCGAACAACTAAACAGCAAAAAGTCCTAGTTCGTTCCAAGCTTCCCACGACCTCAGCTGCCAATTTATCTCACGCCCTTGAGCTCGCAGTCCTAGAAATAGTAAATCTCCTGCGGGGCAGAGTCTCGACCCCATCATGCCGAGGATATCATCTTGTACCACCAGACCCGGTCGGGAATAGTAATCCGCTTAGAGCCACGCTTAACGAGAGACGGTGGATGTTCGCCAATGAGTTGAATTCGCAGGGCTGGTATCTGTATGGTAGAATTGGGGCGGGGCGTTTTTTCCCATCAATCACCATGCGTGATTGCGTGGTAGAAGTGGGCTGTTGGCTGGTGCTTTCCTCCCCCTCCCCACATAGAGACAAGTACGGGAAAGCCGAGTTAGCGAGCCGCCCCAGTTTCTTGGGATACTGGAGGGAATCTGGAGACCCAGACCAGACCCTTGGCGATGACTCGTGAATTTGGGAGTTTGAGGAATTAAACGTTCGGCGGTTTGGTTAGTTGTCGTTGGTCGGAGGTTTTAGTTGAGGTTAGTCGGGGGCGTGGACCACGCGATGGATCAGTATGGTGGCTTGCAAGATGGGATTCTTCCGAAGTTCCCCAATGTGATGAGCAACGGGTGAGCGGCAGAGCAGAGGAGTGAGTATATGTAGACTTATTTCCCTCCTCTTGGAGTGTTGATTCAGCTTTGAGCTATCTGTGGAGATTCCCCAGATTGTTTTGCCCTCCCCGGTTTCTTGCTGATCGTGGGTCTTTACTTTGTGTTGGTGGAATTTATACTATTCGACTATCAAGTGCTACGAGCAAGTCGTTCAACATGCGTCTCTCGCCGTCGTGGTACCAGGTATGAGATCATACTATATCTCCAATCATCTTTATCCACGATCTAATTCATGATTTAGTTCCTGGTCGGCGTGTTCGCCTCCCTCGGTTCATTCCTCTATGGATGTACGTACCTCCGCACTCCATACATGTCAAATCCTATACTCACACCAACTAGACGATCTCGGTGTTATTGCAGAGGTCATCGCCTGTGACTCCTTCATTGAAAAGTTCACCGCCAACTCTACGCAGAGGTCAGATTCCAGTATACCCCTTTTGCTCAATTCCTCCTACTAACCAATCCAAACAGTGGTCTGGTTGTCTCCATGTTTACCTGCGGTGCCTTCTTTGGTGCTGGCTTCGCTGGTCCCAGTGCTGATTACCTAGGACGACGCAAGACCATCTCCTTGGGTTGTCTGATGTTTTGCTTGGGAGGCGCTCTGCAAACCGGTGCCCGAACCCTGCCTTATCTCTACAGCGGTCGATTCTTTGCTGGATTCGGGTAAGCATTTCTTTCAATCGGATATTTTCATCTTGGGGATGAGCATAACTAATTGCTTTCGCAGTGTCGGCTTCTTGACCATGGTTATTCCCCTGTACCAGGCTGAGATCTGTCACCCCAAGATCCGTGGCCGAGTCACCGCGCTGCAGCAGTTCATGCTCGGTGTCGGCGCCCTGTGCGCTTCGTGGATCTCCTACGGCACTTATATCGGGTTCTCCTCCACCAACAATGCTCAGTGGCAGGTTCCCCTGGGTATCCAGGTTATCCCCGCTGTCTGCCTGGGTGTGCTGATTGTCGTTTTCCCCGAGGTATGTATCAATTGCCTTTTTACATAGCGTGTATATGTATACTCGAGTCTCTAACACTTTCTAGTCTCCCCGTTGGTTGATTGACCACAATCGCCCGGATGAGGGTCTCAAGACTCTTGCTAAGCTCCACGCTCACGGAAACGAGTTGGATCCCTGGGTGCAGGCCGAGTATGCCCAGATCCAGGAGAGCATCACCTTTGAGCACGAGAACGAGGCCAAGTCCTACGTTGAGCTGTTCACCAACCGCTCTTCTTTCCGCCGACTCTTCCTCTGCTGTGCTATTCAGGCTTCCGTGCAAATGACCGGCGTTTCTGCTATCCAGTAAGTCTATCCCAGTCTACCAATGCCTAGTCCATCCTATCGCCCAAGACACAACACTAACATCTCCTAGATACTACTCCGTCGACATCTACAAGCAAATCGGCATCTCCGGCGAAGCCACCCTCCGCTACCAAGCCATCAACTCCATCATCGCCCTCGTCGCCCAATTCCTCTGCATCCTCTTCATCGACCGCTTCGGCCGTCGCTGGACCCTTATCGGCGGTAATCTCGGCAACTGCGTAACCTTCATCATCGCCACTGTGCTCCTCGCCAAATTCCCCCCCACAACCAGCAACTCCGGCGCCCACTGGGGCTTCATCATCATGACCTGGCTCTACAACTTCTCCTTCTCAGCAACCTGCGGTCCGCTGTCCTGGATCATTCCGGCCGAAGTATTCGACACGCGGACTCGGTCGAAGGGTGTTTCTATCGCGACGGGTATCTCGTTTGCGTTTAACACGATGATCGGTCAGGTTACGCCTATCGCCATGGAGAATATCAAGTATCATTATTACTTTGTGTTTGTGGTTTGCAATTTTACTAATGCGGTGTTCTTTTATTTCTTGTTGCCGGAGACCAAGAAGGTGCCGCTTGAGGAGATGAATTATATGTTCTCGCATGCGCCTTGGTTTGTGCCGGGGAGTAAGAAGGAGGATTATTTGCCGCATGATTTGGAGAGGAAGGTTGAGGAGCAGGAGGTTAAGCAGAATGCGGTGCATTATGATTAGATGAGGGTGGGTTTGTTTTGTTGGGGTTTGAGGTTTGAGGTGGAGGTCTTGATGAGGGGGAGGGAAGGAATGAGAGAGTTGGTGTCTGGATTGTGGTTGACGAGATTAATATATGGAATAAGAGTGTTGTTTAATTGAATTATATTTCAAATCAATCTGAATCGGAGTCTGATCCATATCCTACCAGTCCGAGTCCTGCAGGTGCTGGTTTACCTGGCTGTTTGGTCTCTGTGGTTTTATCCGGTATACTCGACTGTGTCTGCGTCGCCAATGTACTTTTGACAGCGTTTTCAGCCGCCTTCGCGCTTTGAGCATCATTCACAGGTGAAGACGTAGACTTAGTAGCTACCCCCTCAGTCTTCGGCGAGGCACTCTCCTCCGTAGTCGAAGCCTTACGTTTCTTCCCCGGAAGCAACAAATCCTTTCCCTTATCCCTCCTCCTCTTCCTTGCAGAAATCGCCCAATCCTCCTCCTCCGCAGGCGCAGGTGTCGACTCCGACGTGGTAGACCCCAACATGGCCTTCTCCGCCTCCTCGCGCTGTTTCCGGAAGACTTCCAGTTGATCGGCTGTATCCTTTTTCACAGCCTCTTCCTGTGCACGAGTCGATTCCAGGACCGAATCTAGAAAGTCCACCTCGTCCTCGTCCAGCGCGCGGAATTGGTTCTTCAATCGCATTTTCTCCTCGAATTGTTCTTGTTTCGCCACTGTCCATCACGAAGGTCATCCTGACATGTCAGCCGCGCGTTCCTAGTGTAAGGTTCCGGTTCATTCCTCCTCGACCAGCATCTAGCTGATGGCATGGTACTCCTCCGTACAGTAGACCAAGACTCGTACCCGTAGGCGAGAGTGTCGCTTCCGGGCACCACCACTCCCAATGCCACACGGAGAGCCAAGAAAAGAGAAGCAAAGAAGAGGTTCGAGCTCACTTTTATTCTGCTGCAGCACCTCAAAAAGACTCTTCCCATCCTTCTGCTGCCCAGCCTCGGCCTTCTTCCGCCGCTCCTCCTCCAACTCTTTCTGCGCTCTTACCCAGGCATCATCGCGCTCCACGGGCTCGTCGTTTGTCCCGGCGGACACGAAACCAGATGACATGATGAGGTCTGGAAAGTAAGCCGGGGAACTTGCAGGGGAGCGGGCGCGTGGCGTGTGGGGTATCTGATCTGATCTGATTTGATCTGCGTTCGTATATTTCCCGAGGGATGGAGGAGCTTGGGGCTCCGGGCGCGTGAGCTGGAGCTTGAGCTTGAGCTTGAGCTCGGGTATAATGTGTCGGGGGAGCTCGGGGAGCGCGCGTAAGAATTATCCGCAAGGCAATGGCGGGGGAGGATCGGTGGGGAGTTGCGTGTATTCGGGGAGGAGGTATTGGACCGAGAGAGACCGAGAGTCAGGTGATTTCGGGAAGAGAAGATGGAGGAGGAGTTGAACTTTGTCGGGACTGAGGATGGTGGAGGTTGTTCCAGAATTGTGTCAACTGTCGAGAGGTTGAGAAGGTCGGGCCAATTGAATCTTGGCGGAATCGGGTTGATTGGGTCCCTGGATTTACCCGGGCTTAACTGGAGGATACATACGGAGTAGATGATTATGGTAATAGCTAAGCAGTATAGTTCATAAGACACGTGGAACGCATAAAAAAAAGCCTACATTAGTTATTATGCTTCATATTGGTAATCAATCTTCTCAATCTAACTAACTACCGAATCCATTCCATCGTCATACTACTACACACCTTCCTACTCTGTTATCCCCGCTACTCCCCGCCTAACACCCCGTGTCTGATTCGTGCAATATACTCCAAAAGCATCCAAAATGGGTCAAGTCCCTTCCCCACTCCGATACCAACGCCTCGCGTTGATTTGATATGATTGCGGTGATTGACTGCGATCTGCCCCTCCACTGCGACATCATCGCGGCTTGGACCTGCCCACTTTACCAATGCCCGGATTGACCTGCTGTAGGGTCCATACATTGCTCATAAAAGACCCTTTGCCAGCAAATTCATCGATGGATCCTCCTACCTCCTCCCTTCAACTTTACTCTCCAATCTCCCAATTCCACCTATTACCGCCATAATGTCTAACGAACACACCAAGTAAGCCCTCTTCTCTCCGCTGTTATCATCCTAGTCCCCGCTCACGCGATCCATCGCTAACCCTTCCCGTTCTTCCCCTCTCCAGGAAGACATACACCCTCAACACCGGTGACAAGATCCCCGCCATCGGTCTGGGAACTTGGCAATCCAAGCCCAATGAGGTCCGCGAGGCTGTCAAGAATGCCCTGCTGAAGGGTTACCGCCACATCGACACAGCTCTGGCCTACGGCAACGAAGCCGAGGTTGGTGCTGGTATTCGCGACTCGGGCGTGCCCCGTGAACAGATCTGGCTTACCACCAAGCTGGACAACACTTGGCACCACCAGGTTGAGAAGGGCATTGAGTCTTCTCTTAAGGATTTGGGTGTTGATTATGTCGATTTGTACTTGATGCACTGGCCTAGCTCGACTGATCCTGAGGATAAGTCTAAGCATTTGCCTGACTGGAACTTTATCAAGACATGGTAAATACCTACCTCCCTTCCTACACAGATACATCGAACACATATTGGTGTCTCCCTGACACAGACCAAAATGAATCAGCCACTAACCCCTTCCTCCAGGCAAGAACTCCAAAAACTCCCCGCCACAGGCAAAGTCCGCAACATCGGCGTCTCCAACTTCGGCATCAAAAACCTCGAAATCCTCCTCAACGACCCCTCCACCAAAATCATCCCCGCCGTCAACCAAATCGAGCTCCACCCCAACAACCCCTCCCCCAAACTAGTCGCCTACAACACCTCCAAGGGCATCCACTCCACCGGCTACTCCTGCCTGGGCTCAACCAACTCCCCACTCTACAAGGATCCGACGCTGTTGTCGCTTGCCGAGAAGAAGGGCAAGACGCCGCAGCAGGTGCTCCTGGTGTGGGGTATTCAGAAGGGGTGGAGTGTTATTCCCAAGTCTGTGAGCAAGGCACGGATTGATGGGAACTTTGAGATTGATGGGTGGAGCTTGGAGGAGGAGGAGGTGAAGCAGTTGGATGGGTTGAAGGATCGGTTCAAGGTTTGTGGGGATGCTTGGTTGCCTATTAAGGTTTTCTTTGGGGATGATGAGTAGAGTAGAAGAGGGCGGATAAGACGTGTTGATTATGGGTTTTATGAATGATAGAGAATGAAAAGAGATTCTGATAGAAGAAAGCTTTGGTTAATGATCTTCAATTGTGTAGTATTGGTCGAATCACCAGGATAGGTGGAAGAAACAGAGGGATTAGAGGAAGTAGAGGATCTACTAGAACAATCAAGTACACAGAGGGATTAGAGGAAGTAGAGGATCTACTAGAACAATCAAGTACACAGAGGGAGGAAATGAATCAGGTACAAGCTTAATATCAGAATCCCAATTAGGCAATACCCAAAGTTATCACCGGGTTCCAGGTCCAACAATCAACCCCCCTCCGATGGCCTAGTTGGTATCCACCATAAATTGGTGAACCATTGGTATGCCCTGGAGGATTGGGCAAACAAGAAGGAAAAGTTACTGGGCCAGTGTTGACGCTTGAAGCTCCACGAACGGCCGGGCACACCCCTAGGCGGGGGGAGTTTATTTTTTTGGAGATTTTTCGGTAATACCATTTTTCTAATGGGAAGATGTATCGAAGGCCATTATAACATATTAATTCTTATTCGTAAATAGTTTATTAAGCAGTATTACAGGGTGAAAGTGGGTTGTAGTGCGGTACTGGGGTGGATGGCGATGTTCTTCGATGTGCGGGGATGGCGATGCAGTAACAAGGTGAAGTATATAGGGGAGGGCAAGGTTGGCGGTTTGATTCATGGATGTAGGGGGATTTTATTCAGGTTGAGTTTTGGAATGTTTGCGTGTGGGGCCAGTTGGATAGAGATAGCTCACTGCCAGATAGAAGAAGGAAGGTAAAGGCTATCCCCTGGATGCATTCTGTGTAAGTGTATACATGTGGCTTTTACCGGGCCTGGGGGCTTTCATTGTACAGCACCACATATTCGAGTTTCTATATTCGAGTATCCCCCTCAGCAACGAAGATGCTCTCTGACTATTATGAACAGCACAGCAAAGTGCTGGACTTGATAGAGGTCTTATGAAACATGATTGGCATTATTTGCATTTCCATCTCAGTGGAGTGTTCCGACCCCACGTGAGAGACGGCATTAACATAAACTTCAACATCTTTCACCTCCACCCAGCCCGGTAATGCCCCCTCGGTCTCCCCCGTCTCGGCAGCGTCCTCGGAATCCAACACCGTCTAATACACGGCCGAATCATAATCCTCGGATAAAACCTCGGCGCCGTTGCAATCTTCTCCTCCACCCAAGGATGTTTCTCATTATACGAGAAATGCAGCGGGTCCACAGCCAAGCCAAAACTCTTCCAATTACTCTTATTATAAGACGCCGGCGCAAGCGGATCAAACGGTTTCCCATCTATCCCCGGAGCTCGTGGCCCAAACCAGATTCGTTCTGGATGGGGGATCCCCGCGAATGTAGAATTAGACTCTTTGGCGTTCAGCCACTCCCGATACACCCATCTTGTCATGGTATCGCGGGTCCAATTGTGGATCTTGTGTTGGAATGTTGATGTGTGGAGTTGTTCGAAGAAGGTGTGTGTTTCGGGTAATTGTTGGCTGGATGTTAAGGCGAGGTGAGCGTATTTCTTGAGTGTGGCTGTGTCCGTGGGATTGACGAGTTGGATATATTCTTCGCCGATGTGTCCGAATAACCCTGAGAGAAGCATTTCTTTTCGGGATAGATGGATCATGACGGGGTCTTCCAGACAAACGTAACACTCTCTCAATTGAGAAAGAATCTTCCAATCGCAATCATCACCCCTCAACGAAGAACGCAAAGCACTACTCAACCTCGTCTCAGCAATCATCGCCCCCCGATACTGCGCCGCATAATGAAAGAAATACAGATCCGGATTCTCCAAACCCCAAAACATCACATCATCAAGACCCGGACTCCAATACTGCGCCACAATATCCGTGCTCGCATCAGACCACATACTCTCAATGTACTCGGGGACATTAGGGTCCTCGTCTTTGAAAACCACTCGGCCCGTTTCATGGGCCACGGCTCGGGATTCCCGACATACACGCGTGACCACAGGTGGTTTCCAACTTTCCCGTGATGCCCAGCTGTTGCCGTGACAGCGGGAGTCCTCATAGACGAGGCATGGGAGCATGATGTCGAAGACGCGAGTTTTCGGGAGACATTCTTTCCAGATCATGCGGCGGAGTTCGGAGGGTAGAGTAGGGAATAATTGGAATTCGTCGGCCATGGTAGGCGGGGATCGGGGATGGGGGAATGGAGGAGACAGAGACCCGAAGACTGAGCCGTAGCCAAATCCAAATCCCTAAAGATTTCCATTACTGGTGATTCTGGGATCATTCTATATACACTCAGAAAAAAAAATACAAACTTGTTGTACATAGACTGACTGCCGAAGCCTCGACTGCGGCTACTCGCCACTTATGCCAGAAACCAGGCCGCACTTTACCGGATTAGGATTAGTTCTTGGGCGAATGATCCATTTTGCCAAAGGTCATGCTGATAATGCATCACGATGTCCAGGATATAGAGACTCGGTTGTAGGGAGAGTGGCGAAAAATGTAGTCTTCATCGGCCTAGATTGCTGGATTCCCTTCTTATAAGACTCGGGGGGTAAGACACGGGTCGCCAAGTGTGAACAATTCTTCTCGGATGAAAACACCGACCATAGAATCGGCCGGGGAGGGAACTCGGGATGTGCTTTCAGCTTTTTTTTTTCGCGCTAGTCACTTATTAGTGGATGGGCAAATGGACCAGAATAGGGCCACTAGGTTATGTACCAAACGAGTCGCATGAGGTGTTGCTGAGACTAGAATTATTCGCCGTGCGTTGAGTTGCTTAGAAGGGTCTGCTGTATTAAAATACTCCGTAGTCACATCCCTGATGTCTGTCCAATCCACGTGGATCCAGGGGTACCGAGCTTTCGCCCGGCTGGTACCGTGGCCGTCCATCCAGTGAGATTACAATATCATAGGATGTAGAATGTATGCCGTGATGCACGGGACCTATACTGGCCAAATCCTCAAATGTCAGGGAATGCCAAGGGACCAACTGAACGGGATCGATCTGACTCCCGAGAATACGGGGGAAGTGCGTTTGAACTCTTTGAACCTGACCAAAAGAACTAAAGATGCGAATGCGACCGTGGAATATCCACCCAATTAGCAATTACTAATGTAACCTTTTTTGGCTTTCCTTTAGCGTGACTGTTCCAGGAGACACTTCCGTGAAATGAGAAAGGGAATGTGAACAAAAAGCCAATTTCACATGACAAACTCGCGCGGGGGAACCAAGTGGCTGACAATGCGCGGCCTCATCTCCTTCATATTGGATTATCGTTACGAGAGCTACAGCCTACAGGACTCGAGCGGCATCGCGGAGTATCGGGGAGGTCTAGACAAAGCTCAAAGCTCAGAGCTTCCCCCAAGCCCCCAGAGTCAGAGTGGGCCATTCTTTCCGCCTGGTCGCGTCTGTGTCAAAGACAAAGGCGATCTTCCCCAGATGATAAAAGAAAATAGCATCACTAGTCTGGAGTTCGAAACTTGCCAAGACGATTGCTCGTGCAAGGGAAGCTGGGGTAAAAATGGGGGTCTTGACATCCATGAAAGGAGAACCAGCCTCAGCACGTTCGGTAAGTAAGTGCGAGCTCGTTATACTCTTGCTGATTGGATGTCATGTCCGATTTCCGTCTCAGGGGAAGAGACTAAGGAATCCCTTTGCATCACGGACCTTCTCGGGTATGCGGAGAGCCTAAGAAACTCTCTCACCGGATCCGCTTAGACTCTCGGTTGCTTGGAGAGCCCTTTTGACAAGCGGCCATATGGGTTGCAAACTCTGTTAAACTACCTGGTACGGTAATGGCTAACCACATCTGGTTCACAGCGGTTGGGAACTGGGAATGGCAAATTTAAAACGAGGCCCGTGGTTCGCGGGGGAACACGTTTTCGGCCGCAGAGATTTGACGATTTAAACGCCCCCCGTCGGTCGCTCGTCCAGTTAAAAGGCCTCGGCTGGGGAAGGGAAGCGGGGTTTTGTTGGTTTAGGATGGAAGTGTCCCCGAAAGCAAAAAGAAGCGAGGCGGGAATTGGAAATCGGATTTGACACTCTTGAGGAACATGAAGAGAGATGCAGTACAGTATCTGGATAGAGAAATGGTTACACAGATCTGACAGAGACAAAGTGAGAGAGGCAGTGAGAAAAAGCAAAGGACATCAGCGCGAGTCAGATCTCGAAGCTGGCCTGACAGGGAAAACAAAGAGGCAAGTTTCCCATTTCGTGTGGAAAGGTCCGTCTCGGACTTTCTGATTCTTTCTAGTCTGGTCTGACCCTATTCCCTCTTGAGTCTTTCCCCATTATTCCACTATTGTCCCACTATCCCACTATGTCCTCTCTTCCCCTCCCCCCGTATTTTCACACGCGGCCATTTTTCTAAACCTTCACCTTTTTAGCGCCATCTGCTTCTTCTTTTCTTACTCTGTTGCGCTTTTCTTTTTACCCCCCTCCTTCCCTCCCCCAGACTCGAAATATGCTTCTTTGATAAATCTCGACTCGTCGCATCTCATGAGCCCAATCGCCCAGTCACTCGGCATTGATCGGATCCGACCGTCCTGGTTCGTCTCTCGCCATGCCCATCGCTCCACTTGCCGATGATGGGGTCGGCACCTATTCGGGGCAAAATCTCGTGCTGATCCTAAGTATCGTGACTTTACTCGGTCTCGCCATCTACAACTCCATTGAGCTGGTCATTCTCATCCTCTGCACATTTCGACACTGGCACGGTCTGTACTTTTGGAGTTTGCTGCTGAGCGGCTTGCTCGGCGTGGTTCCACAGGCTGTCAGCTTCCTCTTGAAAGACCTCGTCCTTGCGCCACTATGGTTTTCTCTGACTCTTTCGACTATCGGCTGGTATTTCATGGTCACCGGCCAAGCCATCGTGCTCTACTCACGGCTGAATCTACTGGTGAATGATCCTCGAGTCTTGCGCCGCGTCTTGATCATGATTATCACAAACGCCATTATTCTTCACGTCCCCACCACTATCCTCACTTATGGCTCAAATTTCGCCAAATCAAATAATGCCGTCTGGCAGCATGCTTACGACATCATGGAACGCATCGAGCTCGTCGGCTTTTCCGTGCAAGAGATGGTCATCTCTTACCTCTACGTGGTGCAGGTCATTCGAAACCTGCGCATCGTACCCCCAAATTCTCGCATCCAGAAGGTCCACCGCAAGACGCTTTACTACGTGCTGGCCATTAACGTCTTCCTCATCCTCTTGGACGTGGTCCTCCTCCTCATGGAGTTCACCAATCGCTACACCATTCAAACAGCGCTCAAGTCGCTGGTGTATAGCATCAAACTTAAACTTGAGTTTGCAGTTCTCAACCGCCTCATCTGTCTGGTTCGGCCTGATCAGGTCACTTCAGATGACTACTGGCAGCCCTCACCGAGTCCGAGTCCTCGGGCCGCGAATGGACTGGGCCATGAGTTGACGGATTATGGCGGGTTTTCTCGAGTGGAGTCTTGTGATACTACGACGTTGAGGAGTCCTAGGACACAGGTTGTCAGGATTAATAATACGTTCAAATAATGGCGTTGGGGATTTTTGTGAATATGGTGCAGATGATCTATCTGAGAAATAATGATATGACTTAATGTCTACCTTTTTAGTGAACCCTTATGGAATGTATTGATACGTGATATGTGATATGAATGATCTTTCTTTTGACTATCATAAAATTGAGACCAGTCTGAATTTGTATCGAGAGTAGATTGACTCGAGGAGATTTGATTTTTACCTGTCAATGCTCTCATCTCGTCCCTCATAACAGAAACACTTGACTTGACGGCTGTCTGCGGGTAACGACAACCTGCCATTTTGATGAGAATTGTAAACTTGAATAACTGTAAATCCCATCAAACTCACATTTTCCAAGTTTACCCTCTAATGGGAACTCTGATATCAGTCGCCAACCTCATCTCACTCCCACATTCTCTCCTTCGTAGATTCCATACTGCTGACCCACAGTGGATCCTCACCAGCCACTCCGCCAATCATGCGGGGTCACATGTGTGGCAATGCACCGCCACTGGGGTATCCTGCCTGAGGCGTCCTGATAAGCCCCGACTCCTCGTCATCAGGCATCTCCTCTTTCCATCCCTCTTCACGCACTCCAGCGTGTCCATCCATCATTAAACCATCAGTATGGCGCCTGCCAATGGGCACCTGTTGCTCCCCAAAATATGGAGAGCAGCAAGGTACGTTCTTCACCCCTCCCTGGACCCCTCCGATGACGATCTGAGTCATCCGCTGACACCGTATCACTCTCTTCAGGTTCGCCTATGAAAAGGCTTCCAAGGCTATAAGAGCCAAATTACCAGAACCGGCACAAAATGCTTCACTGCGATACCAACCTGTCTATGCTCGCATCAATGCCCGCCAGCCCATCAATCGAGCCGCGGCTATCCGACAGGCACGCAGCCGGTACTTCTCGACCCGTGCCGCTGGTGCCTTTGTCTCTGCTATTCGATCTGGTATCCAGGCCGATGTCAATGCGTACAAGACTACCCGAGTTGCTTCGAATATCAGCAAAATTACCAGCCGTGCTCCGTTTGCGTCTACGCTTCGTCCGAACTTGACGGGGGGAACTCTGGGTCGTACGGCGGGTGGATATACCATCGGGGCTGGGCGATTCGGTGGTGCCCGGTATTTCTCTCATGGACCTGCGGCCCCGGCTCAGGTGATTCAGAATGTTTCCCAGGGTGTTCGTGCGTTTTTCTTGTCGGGTCAGAAAGTCCGCTTTGATGGGGTTGATCCGAACACGGGTGAGAAGCGGTATAAGGCTGTTAGTGTTTTGCAGGATCAGGCTGGTCGCAAGATGACCGCTGTCCCTCGCAATGTGTCTGGTTCCAGCCTTGATTTCCAGCTTTCCCCTACCATCACTGCGTTCGGCGCTTTCAGCGCTTTGAACAAGAAGTCTGGATCTGAGGCTGTTCAAACGCTGACCTCGGATTGTCTCATGGACCTGCTGTCGGCTGATTTTGCGCGGGCTCTGAAGGAATTCGCTACCGTGTTGAACGACTTGAAGCGTCTCTCAACGCTGGGTGATTTGCCAATCTCCCTGCACGATCGCTCAACAATTCGAGTCCGATTCCCAGGCTGCGATGCAGAGACCGTCGAACGCCTTTGCGATGAAGTCGGCGTTCAACGAGGCCGGATCACCCAAGACGAAGACTTCAATCTTCGAACTGGCGCTGATCTAGCACTGCTATTCCCCTTCGCTCCCAGCGTAGCCGCATCCTCAGACACAGAGTATCTCTTTGAGAAGGCTTCCAACCCGCAGACCCACCCATCCAATGACATTGACTGGCATGGCATGCTCACACCGGAATTCGGCAGCCCCTTCACTGGAGATTCGGGCCTTGACTCCGGACCTGCGATCAGTTTTGAAGACAAGGAGTTATTCGGCAGCAATCCCTGGACATCCTCGCATTCTGCTTACTCGAGCATTAACATTAGTGAGCTCGGGGATCGGCCGTTCTTCCCAGAAATCTCTAGCGCGGGTCTGCCGGAGCGGGAGGCTATGGTGGAGTATGACGTTGAGGGGATCTACAATTTCCTGGCTGAATGTGAACGTGCGCGACGCTGAGGAGGTCTACACTCAGACTTGAGTCTGGGGTTTTTACATCCGTTTTTTCTTTCTTTCTTTTTCTTTCTGCCTTTACTGCATTTTACTTGGTTTTTTTGTTGTGATTCAAGCTAGGCCGGTCCCCCTTGATGATACTGTAGCGCGATACCACTCCACTCCCTTGAATATTTTCTTTTTAAACTGTCTATCTCAGTGATCGATAAATACCAAACATTTACAAAAGCTTTCCTATCTTTTCCTAATAAATCTCCCCTGTAACGACCCACCAATAATCAGTACAGTACAAAGCAATCTCCATATCCTCAAGTCCCTGAAGAAACTAATTCCCCGGATTTCCCCACTTCGCCAGCCACGCAGTCATGGCGCTCTGCAGATAGAATGGTCACATCTAAGGTAGAACACAACCTGAAACAAAAACAATCAATAACTGTGAGTTTTTCCGTGACTAAACTCTCCTCAGTTCGGGCCATACGCCGTGCTTGATGCACCTGTCCGCCTTGATGTTTGTCCTCCTCTTCAGTAGCCAAGAGAACTGATGAAGATCGACAGGATATGTCCACTTTTGCGGCGGGGAGGTATGTCCGTGAAACGTGCTCAGTTATTAGTCTCGGAGAGGGGGGTTTTATGAGATGTGAGTACCTGAGTAATATGTAGGTTCTATGCTTGTGCAGGATATCTAACCCCAATTTCAATTTAGCCAGACATATGGATGGATGTACATGGCGTTAAACCCTGATTGAATTAGGCATGGGGGCGTCGGCCACCGGGCGGCATGGCGTCAAGCCATGATGGATTGTGGAAGTATATAAAGCACCTTAAATCCATTCCATTCAACACATCAGCCTCAGGCCTGGAAGCTAAACACACAATCCTTCAGTACATTCATCCATTCCGCTGGCGGTCCAACCACCAACATGAAATCTTTCATCTCCTTGATACCCCTGCTGGCCCACTCGGCAGCAGCAGGAGTAATCCAAGCGAGGGCAAGCGCAACAGACTCGAATGCAGCGGTTACTGCTGCCCCTGCTGCTGCGTCAACTGGTAATCCCTTCTCTGGATACCAACTCTACGCCAACTCCTACTATTCATCCGAGGTTTATGCCTCTGCTATTCCATCTATGACTGGTGCGGCGCAGGCTGCTGCGAGTTCGGCGGCTGTTGTTCCGTCTTTCTTTTGGCTGTATGCCCTATAACCCTTTACTATAGAAATGCCTCCAGCCCATGCTTTATGCTAATTCTGATTCTGTATGGCAGTGACACAGCCGCCAAAGTCCCCACCATGGGCGAATTCCTCGCTGACATCCAATCCAAGAACGCCGCGGGAGCAAGTCCACCGTACGCCGGTCAATTCGTGGTCTACGATCTCCCCGATCGTGACTGTGCTGCGCTGGCGAGTAACGGCGAATACTCGATTGCGGATGGTGGTGTTGAGAAGTATAAGGCTTATATTGATAGTATTAAGGCTGTTCTTACGGAGTACTCTGATGTTCAGACTATTCTTGTCATCGGTGAGAATCTTATTACATTTAAACGTTGCCTGCGGTTGGAGATCTTCTTTTCTAACATATATGATAGAACCCGACAGTCTGGCTAACCTAGTCACCAACCTCAATGTCGCTAAGTGCGCAAATGCGCATGACGCGTACCTCGAAGGCGTCAATTACGCCGTGACACAACTTAATCTTGCTAATGTGGCTATGTACATTGACGCCGGTAAGCATACACATCATACCTACAGACACTTGTTAAAGCTAGATTCCACCCCATTCTAATATTCTCATCCTAGGACACGCCGGCTGGCTAGGCTGGGACGCAAACCTCAGTCCTGCAGCAACCCTCTTCGCCCAAGTCTACAACAACGCATCCCAACCCGCCTCCCTCCGCGGTCTAGCCACCAACGTCGCAAACTACAACGGCTGGTCCCTGTCTTCGTGCCCGTCATATACATCCGGTGATTCAAACTGTGACGAAAAGAGATACGTCAATGCGATCGCCCCTTTGCTGAAGAGTGCGGGTTGGGATGCGCATTTTATTACTGATACCGGTACGTCACTAACCCCCTATCTTTTGATTTGACTCGCATTACACAAAAAACTCTTCCCTAGCATGATGATAAACTAACGTGTGCTTATGTTCCTGTTCCAGGCCGAAACGGCGTCCAGCCAACCCAACAATCCGCCTGGGGAGACTGGTGCAACGTAAAAGGCACCGGTTTCGGTGTCAGACCAACCACTGACACGGGTGACTCCCTCGAAGACGCTTTTGTGTGGGTGAAGCCCGGTGGTGAGAGTGATGGGACTTCGGATTCGAGTTCGGCGAGGTATGATGCGCATTGTGGGTATAGTGATGCGCTTCAGCCGGCGCCTGAGGCGGGGACTTGGTTCCAGGTAAGAGAAGAAAGAATCTTGGATAATACGGGTGTGAGTGAGTTGAATTTTGCTAATGGTTTTTGGGCAGGCTTATTTCGCGCAGTTGGTTGAGAATGCGAATCCCTCTTTCTAGGCGGGTGATAGGGTTGGGGTTGGGAGGGATTGATGGGATGAGGGGGAGGATATTGGTTACAACTTCGAATCAATGGGAGCTACATACAATTCATGAGAAGCCATCGCTCTTGATATTCTCTCAGTGTAAAAGGAATCTCTACTGTAGATACGGGAGCCCTTGCGGTGAATTGATTGAGAAGGCCATGATCTTCAGTTCGCTCTGGAGCATCAATCAATGCAGCCGTGTCTGGACATCACCCGTGCATTGATTTCTGCATAAAAATCCTAGTTACCAGACCGCAATTCTCAGTGCAGCTGAGCTTGATGTCTAATATCCACTTGGGAGCTCACAAGCATTGCAAGCACTGTTGACGCAATCTTGTTCTGCATATCTTACACGTTTTCTTTCTTGATCCCATGTGCATGCCGAGAGCGTGGTGCGTGGTTGATGCAAGCCACCCCCGGAGAGGTGCCAGCCATGCAAATTCGCGGGGCGAACAATCGACTTTCACACTCGCAATGACAAGAGAATATCGTGTCATAATCCCTAGGATCTGCGAGATCTAGCCACCTCACAGCACAGAAGATCACTTGGAATGCGCTTAAACCGCTTCCAGGGATGATCGACCGACAGGCGATTTTATGCAGCTTCATGCGAGGTTCGTCTTATCCACCGACTGAAGTCAAAGCGCGGTTAGTTGAGACATGGTTAGTCAAGATCCCGTGCAAGGAATTTAATTTCGCTCATACAAATACAATCTTCACGGAATCAATGAAATCATACTGTGGGTTAATCATCGTGAGATTTTCTATCCACCGCAAGGCAGAACGATTCTGAACTGCACGTTCGACTATCGACCCTTGCAATGAGTGACTACATACTCCTCAGCAAAGCTCAATGATGCCATTTACAAGCCGCGATCAGACATCAGAATCAAGAATCTTGGAGAGAGCTTCATGATGAGCTCTGGTAGCATACGTAACTCACAGTCTTGGAGCTTCTTGAGCTCAGCTCAGCTCGAATAGAAATACCAGCTCAATGCAGCCTCTCTGACTGTTCTTCATCAAGCCAAAGCATCTCTAAAGACTCACAGATCTTGAGCTCAAGGCAAATCTGAATATTCAATCATCCTTTCCATTCAAGTTCAATCCTCAAAATGCGCTACACTCTGATCAACGGCCTTCTTCTTCTGGCCATTTCTCCTTTCACGTCCCTCGCACTTCCTGTCGACCCCAACAATCAAGGTGGACAGTGGGATCCTAGTGGCCAATACCGAAAGGGTCACTACGATTCAAACGGCCACTTCATCCCTGAGGAGGGCAGTAACCAAGTTGGCGGGAATGAGAACGGCCAGAACTACCAGAACGGTCAAAACTAGCAGAATCGTCAGAACTGGCAAGACGGTCAGAACGGTCAAAATGGCCAGTGGAACCAGAACAATGACAGGAATCGCAATGGTCAGAACAACAACCACTTGCAGCGTCGTTTTCTGCCTTCTCAATCTCTTAATGACGATCAGCTTCGCAAGTACGGGAACTTTGGATCCGGTCATCCTAATTTCGGTGCTCCTGATGTGAACATTCCCGGTACTGGCATTCATGCTCGCAACTGGCCCTATGATCAAAACAATAACCAGGATTGCTGGACTGATTCCAACGGGCAATGGCACCAGGTTAATCAGAACAACCAAGGCGGTTGGACCGATGCAAATGGTGTGTGGCACAAGAACTCCAACAGCGACCAGAACAACAAAACCAGGGTGGGTGGACTGACGCCAATGACCAGTGGCACGCGAACCAGAAGCGCGATATCGTTCCCGGTGTTGGCGCTCCTGACCACTATGACAACTACTGTGAGCAAGAGGAGGCAAACCATCACCAGGAGCATGAAGGGGACCGTGAAACCGCTGAAGACGTTACCTCTGCCCTGCTCCCCGGTCCTGTTGTAGCTCGCAATTACCCCCAGCATCATAACAGCTGGAACAACAGCGACAACGACAACGATGGCTGGAACCACAATGTCCCTCAGGCCAACCCTGTCGAAAACTATAACGATGAGGCCCATGATGATGACCACCACAATAAGGATCACCACGAGGACAAGGGCATCGATGCTACTGATGAAAAGTTGGAGTGAATATATTTTCAAACAGAGACTTGATTAAGAATGACATTGACTGGAGACTGAGTTTGATGAACACGACAGTGGGGGGTGGGGGTTGTTAATGCTTTTTATGCTGTTGCTGATGTTTATGTTTTGATGATTACCCGAACTGCATACGCTCATTAATGTTGAAAACCTTCTGGCATGGGAATGGAATTGGGAATATGGCGAGGGAAATAGTTATTGATCGCTAAAAGAAAGCATTGCGAAGAAAATGCCACCAGTTTTCATTCAATATCGATGTCCAAACGTGAGTAGGTAGATCCAATATCTCCCCACTTGATATTCGAAAAAGTCACCGAAGTCTCTGGATGCTGGGCCTGGATAAGTGCGGGATCACCTTCGGTGCTATTGCACGGTCCGGCACTCCCACTATCCAACCAGTTCATGAAGGATCCGGAGTCATTCCAAATACTAAATATCAGAACCATTCCACGACCAATCGCTTTGCCCATTTGCTTGAGGCCGCCCTTTTCCTGGAAAAAGCTGGCGGATTCTGCGCAGTACCCATCGGTGATTGAATTGATCTCGCTGCCGGATACGTTGACAACGGCATTCTGAATCACTTTTCCATTTTGCACATACAGTCTTCGAATTTGTGACAGTGTGCCTCGCGAAGTATTGTCATCGGTCACAAATTGTGTCACCACGGTGAAGCGCTTGGTAGTGTCGACCTTCTTCCGATATCCATAATAGTCGTGTGCACCCAGTGCATATGAGTTGAAACTGCAACCAGACTTGTCGCAGACACCACTGCCCCCACATTCATCGCCACTGCACTCATAGAGACCAGTGATATCGCAGGCGTGTGGCGTATAGCTAGTAGAACGAGCATTGGCTTCCCAAATATCCATCTCGTTGCAGCATGTACCAGACGAATTAACGTTGGCCACACCGTTGATCCAGGGGATGTTCGTAAAGCACTGTGCATCGCAGTATCCTGTACCATATTGTGCGCCAGCAGGGTTGAGCTTGCTCCGACCACCAGATTTGAGCATCTCCGAGAGGTAAAGGGCGCCATTCATTCCGCACACCAGGGAAGACACATCCACGTCAAAACTCAGCTCTTGGTTCAAGAGTTTGAGCATGTCATAGTTCTTCCCACTTTCGTCGAGCAAGTACACTCGAGGCGATACGGAGGAGATAGCCCCATTGGACTTCAAATACTGATGGAGAATCAGATTATCCCCTTTGGTAGTCACTCCGTGAGATGCATAGTCGACTCCATCCAGCTCGCAGTTTTTAGCGCACGATTCTTCAGTCGAGCAAAGGTTTGGATTTAATCCATTACTCCCGTCTCCACAAGAGACGCTGCTGTTTCCGACTTGATGCAGTGGGTGCGATAAAGCATCCAAGACGACTGAGGTATCTTGCTTCACACAGCCCCCTTTTGTGCTGCATCTCCATGTTTGCAGCTTCGGGTGAACTTCGGGAATTGACCCAATTCGTTGCGCAGCAGCTAGCTGGGCCAGGACCGCGACGGCGACCAGAAGACTTCGAGTCATGATGTTAATCGCATTGGGGATAATTGAAGTGTTGATTTGAGTTGAAGAATTCAGATCATTATATAGATCATGGATGATGAATATGAGGCTAATGCACGGTTTCGATAGCTAAACCTCTAGCTTGCGGGTAAATAGTCTTTTGGATGACAGTTTCAAGTTAATGAAAAAGGGGCATTAGCTCGAATAGAGCCTGTCTTCAAGTGGCCCATCACGAGGGAAAAAAATGCGCTATCCTTTAAAAATTACGGGCCAATACTCCGACTAAAGGCGTCTCAGCATGATGAATGGAGGAATGACCGAAACGAGGATCTGTTTACTTCTCCTTCCCCCCGCATTTCGGGATGCCCCTGAAGAATTTAGCCGCCTTAAAACGCGTACGGAGTAGATCCACCCATTTCCGCCTCAGGGTCCACCACCTAACTACTTTCAGAGAGGACATCTATTACAATTCTGTAAGCTGTGGCTGTAGATCATTTCAATGCTAGAGCAAATGTTAGAAATTTGGAAGGTACCGTAATTTTTGCATCTGGTGAAAGAATTCTCCTATCCTGAACCTCAGCGTGGTCGAGTGATTATATAGTTCTCGCTGCACACCCCATGTGTAGCAATCAACGTCAAGATTCTACACAGATGAAAAAGGCGCTTGTAGAAATTTCCCAAGGGTTAGAGAGGACAAATAACATGTTTACACGTTTATTCAACCCCATATCGCGCTTGGCATGGCATCCCCCGCAGGAGAAGAGAGGGGGGAAAGGGCGCCAAGTTCTAACAAGTGCTCCCCCTGGTTCTTGTCCCTGCCATTTCAGCCTGAATTTTGCCGACAGTTGAGTACACTAACCGTAAGGGTATATTTTCGATTTCCATATCTATCCATTGCAAAAAGGGATTGACTGATCAGACGGATCGACGTAGTAATGGGAGTAGTTAAATCAGTGATCAATTATCCCAACGCTTGAACCCTGGGTAGGCACAGAAACACGAACAACTGGCCGGTTTCTCCACTCAAGGGATTCAACGATGAAGGAGCATAATCAATGCCTTTCTAGGGTCGTGATACCTAGGCAAAAAAATTTTGTTGACCGAGATTTACCCACATGGATTTCGTGTTGCGCCCGAGTGAGGAATTGTGAAAATTCGCCGTAGTTCGATGTCTGGGAATAAGGCTGGCGTAAACACTACGAAATCCCTAGTTAATCACCACTAGAGAGAAAAAGAACTATTCAATTAGAGGTAAGGTGAGTTGTTTCTCAAAATATTGGACGTTACGCAAATTACCTGTATACGTACCTGAGCGCTGTTGAGGTGCTGTAGACCAGAGCCCCAGTCGAGAGCATGTAGTTTGGGAGCCAAGTCACTAAGTAATATGCCAAACCAAGGAAATGTGGTTCACAGCTTAAGATGTACCTGTCACTGGATTCTTGCGATCTTTTTCGCGTTCAAGGCTCGTATGTCCATGCCGCTGTCAAAAATTTGGGACCAGAGGGTTAGGAATGCTATCTTATAAGTACGCGACTCGGCCCTTCATTAGGAGTCTGGGTGAAATCTTCCTTCTGAAAAACTTCAGAAGATATCGGAAGTTTAACAATGTATTCTTTATGCTTGTTGTCATTACTTTCTTTGGGCGCGTATGTCACGGCCAAACCAAATGCCTGTCCTATCCTCGGGCCAGCCTTCCCAGCTCCCACAGAGATCGGCAGGGACCCAACATTCATCGCAGCAACACAAAATTTGACTGCACAAATAAAACAAGCCATTGAATCTGGCGAACTGGCTGGCAACTCAATATCCGTGCAAATATTCAGTGGAAGTGATTCATACACTGCTTATGGCCTTTCCCACACGGATCATTCGGTGCGAAATGGATCCGTCGGAGTGCGGGAAGTGGACGAAAATACTATATTTCGTGTTGGGAGTATCTCGAAATTATGGACCATGTTGCTATACATGACCTTCAATGGCACCAAACATTTCGAAGAGCCAGTATCCAAATATGTGCCCGAGCTGCGAAGCCCCTACAACAGCTCCCAGCAGATTGATCAGATCGAATATGTGAACTGGGATGAAGTAACGATTGGTGAACTTGCTAGCCACCAGGCTGGTATTCCAAGGGATTGTGGGTTACGCACCATCTGATTTTTTCTAATTCTCTACTGACTGTATCTTGCAGATGCTTTCATGGATTTGGCAGCAATGGCCCCTCCCCAGGCTCTTTCTAGAATGGGATTGCCATCGCTGCCCAAGTCTGAGCGACTACCATGTGGAAATGCTCCGTTTCCACCATGCAACAGGCAACGTGAGTTTATCGAGTCAGATGGTGTCTATGGATTTGCTGACTGACAGCTATGCAGAGTTTTTTAACGGAATTCTTGATACTCAGCCAATTGCGGCAACTTCTTCTACGCCGCTGTACTCAAATGCCGGCTACCAGATTCTGGGCTATGCATTAGAAGCAATCGCTCAGAAGCCCTTCCATGAGATTCTCAGGGAGCGTATTATCGAGCCCCTTAGCCTGTCCCGTTCTAGTCACAGCATGCCTAATCCAACTTTGGCGGTAGTCCCCTCGGATCTGACTTCCAGTCAATTTAATCTGGATATTGGAGATGCAATTCCGTAAGTTCTGGATTTTCCTTTCTCTCTGAGAAAACTGAGTAAGGACTTGCTAATGCAGTATCAGCGCTGGTGGTATCTACTCTTCACCAAAAGACATTTCCACGCTTGGCCGCGCCATTCTAGCCAATACTCTAGTTAGCCCCGCCATGACGAGACGATGGCTGAAGCCGGCAACCCATACTGCATCTTTACAAGTCTCCGTGGGACACCCATGGGAGATCATGTCCTTTAACGAGCCTCGTCTTGTCGACCTCTACACCAAAGCTGGAAATATCGGAATGTATAATTCCATCATGGCATTATCTCCAGACCACAATGCCGGCTTCGCGATTCTTACCGCGGGCAACGGTAGCTTTTCATTACCATTGAAGCTGAGTGAGCAGGTTGTCGACATTATGGTTCCTGCCTTCGAGCAGATGGCCAAGAATCAGGCCGGCCAGAGGTTCGCAGGGACATATGCCCTGGAGGATGGTATCTCCAACTCGTCAATCACTCTTGTTACGGATGATGAACCAGGATTGAAGATTACAGAATGGATCAGCAATTCCGTGAACATGGGTCAAGCCTTTGCAGCTAAAGCGGGGCTGCAGGACACCCCTTCTCTGCTTAGTATGCGTCTGCAACCTACCAGTCTCAAAAGTCCCGGCCGAGTTTCATTTTCAGCAGTCATTCAAGGTCTGAGCGAACAAACAACATCTGGACCTATGCTTTCCGCCTGCCTTACTTGGCTCGAGCTTGATTCCTATATCTATGGGAATGTCGGTATGCCGGAATTTGAGTTCAATTTGAACAAGGAGGGTGATGTGGTCAGCGTTACTCCTCGTGCGCTGCGCATTACGCTTCCAAAGGTCTAGATGATACTTTTACTTCCGATGGAACGTCTTTCCATTGCTTGACGAGCAGCGCATCTGTTTATAAGAACCTAATTTTGTGACTCACTGCAGGAGGGCGGGTCACTCTGTACTATTACCCCCTTTACTCTAATCTTGATCAAAATTACAATTATTTTATGATCTGAAAATTTGAAAGCCGCCATACGATTGCTACAGCTCAATCCTAGAGTTGAAAAACCAACTGAGCAATTGAGAAGATGGAATCCCATGTTGTGCTCATTTAACTAACAGCTTCGAAGGCAACGTCAGAAATTCTCCAATAAGGTTAATGAGCAAACTCTTACTGATGTACCCAAACCAATTTCAACGAGTCTCCAACAAATCAACTATTCTATTCCACAAAATTAACGAATGATACTTTCAAACAAACCCCAGCCAGTACAAACCATATAGCAATACTTCTTATCGCCACGTGACCCTACGTCATCGGTAGCTCCGAGGCCGGGGCCACCAAGATGCTCCGAGATGTCCATTCCTCAAATACCTTTGCAGAAACTGAACAGCTCTCTAATACCCAGTCTTTATTCCTCAATTGCAAATATCTACCCTTTCAAACATGGTATACATCTCTCTTCGCGCCGGCACGCCTGCCCTGTGCCTCCGCCGCCTCCGCAGCCTACAATCAGCCCGATTTACCCGCATCACCGCACCATCTCGCGCTCTTTCTAGCGCCCTGGCCAAGGACACTGGCAGAAATAGCACCAGAAAAAGCAATGCCCAAACTACACGCCCTTCTATTCAATTCCAAACCCTCACAATCCAAAACCCACAACCACTCCTGACCAGAGCATACTCAAGCACACCCCGCAAACCAACAGCAGACCTCCTAATCGAAGAAATCCAAGACCTCTACGAAATCGCCAAAGACGAATTCGAAATAGCCACCGACAGCACAGACGGTGCAACAATCTACGCCGCGTCGGACCGCGAATCTGCGCGCGATGCGTTGAACCAGCTCTGCGCCGCGTATCATTTGTACACGGCTCGGCCGGGCGAGGATGTTGATAGTGGTGTTAGATTGGCTGGGAATGAAGGAGAGGGAGAGAATGGGTCCGGGGAGGATAGAACTGTCGTTGAGACGAATTTTAATCCGGAGGATGTTGGGAAAGACGTGCGTGATGAGGTTAGGAGGAGGGTTGGGCAGCGGATTAGAGAGTTGAGGAATGCGGTTGAGGTTCTTGAGGAGAGGGCTCATGCTGAGTAGGGAGTACCTACTGGGTTGTTGAGGGATAGATGTGGGTTTTGTATCATAGGGGGGGGTTTAAGACTTGGGTTTACCATGGATGGCGGATTGATATATCACTCAGTGCTATCAAGCATCTGTCAGATAGTCAAGATAATATTATCCTACTGCAGTAAATACAATTAGAATTGTTTTTAACCATGGATTCAATTCGATTATGATTCTATCAAAATGAAGTGATAGGCGCGAAATTCCTCGCCGCACTAGATTCAGCCATAAACTACCATCACTGAGCCACACCGCACTAAACAGTGAGAGATTAAATTTGGTAATAATATGTCCGGAGAAGCAGAGTCCAGACAGCATCAATGATTGGTTTTATTTTCGTATCATCAGAACGCCAGTCACCGGGGGAAATTCCATGGGGCATCACAAATTTCCTTTGAATTGCCTTCCATCCAAGGAAGGATGAGCTGCGCCTTAGCGCCGCCGTAGGCCGCAAGGTCGTGAAAAACATAATAGTCGGGTATAATATCCGAGTTCTTGACAGGTGGTTCGTTAAACAACAGCGAAAGAAGATAGAGTAAAATGGTCGGGGCTAGGGGATGGGAGTGTTGAGGTTATGTCTGATTTGTGTGTTGTCCGTTGGTGGCGTTTCAATTGGTCTGAAGCGGAGACGCGAGTCAGCGTAAGTCACTAGAGAAACAAGCAGGCGTACATACCAGGCCTAGTAAAGCTTTTTGTGCAGCCGGGGTAATGACATTTGTGTTTCCGTTCGCCGTGAGTGAGCCTATGACTGGACATGTTTGATGACTGTCGAGTTTGTTAGGGATCGAACTTATCGCAAGAATTTCAATCTGGAATACTCACATCGCCAGTCTCGAATTTGCATCCAGGATAAGTGCATTTGAATGGCTTTTCGCCGGTATGAGTTCGCGAATGCGTTTCTGAGGTCATTAGTAATCGACACAGATATAGAGGGGCGAAAGAACATACTCAGCTCGCTACTATCGGTGAAAGTTTTCCCGCAGTCTTTGCACTTGTATGGTTTGTCTCCACGATGGCTGCGCTCGTGGCGATCCAAGGTTGCTTGTCTGGCGAAGGTCTTTCCACAGACAGAGCACTTGAAGTTTTTATCTAATTCATCATTGATTAGCGTGATGCGAATTCTCGAATAACCAGTGGGAATCTCACAATTACTATGTGTCAGGAAATGGCCTTGAAGCTTCGACTTTTGTGAAAAAGGTTCATCCGGACGGTGACATCCTTGCCAGCAGCAATAGTATCCATTACCCTTCGCACCATCAACGGTATTCATATGCGCGGAAACAAGGTGATCTTGAAGAGCGCCAGAATCCGCAAATGTAGCGCCGCAGGGAGCTTGAATCCCGTGAATCGACGTTACCCACTTGCAGACGTGCAACTCGTTATCCTCAGCAGAGAATTCTGGTGTGGTCAACACTGACGAGATGTCTCTTTCTAGAGGTGGAGGTGTCTCTCTCGGACTTGACATGAAGTGCGAGCTAACGCTGGACCTGGAGTGGCGCGAATAGGGGGAGTAGGGATGAGTGTGGTGGTGATGGGCTCGGCAGCGGTGGTGGTTCCGATGAGGGCCGTGGACGTGAATGTCGAGGTCATTAGGGTTTTTAAATTCGCTGTGGACATGATGGTGCCCCGTGTGGAAACAGTTCAAAGGATCTTCTTTTGGTTGCTCGATGGTATTAAGGTCAGGTTGTTGGTGTGGGTGATGATGATGATGTGTGGGGAGGTTTTGGTCGTGGCAGACAGCAAAATCAGAGCACATTCCAAGCATGTGAAAGACATCTGCTGGGTTTACATCTGCTGGTTGAGGAATTGGTTGGTGTTGATGCGTGAGCATGCCCTCCCAATCTTTCCGGAAGTCCTGACATCCGAGGTGGTTGGGGACATTCTCATCACAATGGGTTGCGTGAGCCTGGTACGAGGAGAGGAAGTCGTACTGATAGCATGGATCAATCATGTTTGGCAAGGTATATTCTGCGGGTTTCCCGAGTTCGCCGACAGGATGATGGCCCATCGCGGCCGACGGTAGGATACTAGAGGTATCCAGCGACAGCGGCGTTGTCAGTCCGAAAATAGACTCAAACGTGCAATCTTGGTCGGCAGTACTGTCACAACAGTGATCCTCGAAGCAGACGGGGTCCGTGCTCTCGCAATGGTCTTCGTCGCAATTCGCAACGGAGCACACGGTCGAGGCGTCGCAATCCACGAAGCCGTCACAGATTGACCCACAGTCTATATGGCAGTCATCGGCACAGGCGTCTTCATCACAGCAGGTCTCGTCAACCTCACATCGAGCCAGCGATGTATGATGCTCAACATCAGTGCAATCCCATTGGGGCTCGCATGGAGGGACTGAGGAATCCTCAGGGGCCTTGGTATCGATATGTAAATCCTCCCAGCGGCACTCAAGGCAGAAGTCGCCTACTTGGGGTTGGGATGTCATGTTGGGCACGGTTCAGGGCGAACGACCACGGGGAATAAAAAGGAAAGATAAGGGTCCGTTCTGGTACGGCAAAGAAACCTCAGGATCCGATATCGTCCCGCCGAGATGGGGAACCAGGGTCAAAGAGGAATAGCCGAGAGACCTAGGAAAGTATGCGACCGCAGGTAGACTTGTTGGCCGCCAAGAACGATATTACCTCGACAAAAGTAAATCACGTAACCGGCAAAAGTTTCAATGCCGTCGTATTCCCTCCACGAAGTACCCGTTTTCGCTGTAGAATTTCCACAAGCGCTGGTCCAAGCGCCAGTAAATTGCAAATAGTCTCACAATTGTGTCATATGCTAAGCCCGTGGGCAAGGAGAGTGTACAACGTTGACCGGGGGATCACCGACGCAATCGGAGAAATTGGCGAACGATCGTCATGCAGCACAAGATTTCAACAGGGAGCAGCGAGGACCTTGTGAGATGTCGCGGGCGAGGATATGTATTCAAGGCAATATTTTGACTTTGCGAATATGCGAGGGAGTCGAAAATGTGGGCGATTCGTTTAGGGGGGTTTGCTAGCAGCCTATGCGGACGGTCAGAACTCTCGTGAGGACCTTTGGGGACGCAGATGGAGGATGGGGACCTTGGGGGTTAGGCGTCATGATCTGCCGGCGAATGGTAATGTGCTCGTTGGCAAGCAGTTAAGGCGGGTCTCGTTGGGAACATAGCTGGGCTTATTCAAGTTGTGGCCGAGGGGTAATGGACCACGCGAGAGAAGATATTCCCCAGCATTCCGATGTGGTCTGGCCGTGGAATTGGAAGTTTGTTCTTTTTGTTCGTTTTCCATCTGGACGATTTGGTCGATGACTAAGGGAAGACCCCTCGACCCACACATAGCTCTGCCCGTGTATACCGCCTTTGGTGTATCCTAGCATGAAGGCATATCAAAGCAGTGAGAATATTTGAAGACTCGGAAAAAGCGAGATGATTATCGCATGAGAAATGCGACTACACTAACATGAAATTTATCCCAACTCACGTCTAACCTTAGGCCATTTCCCCAGTCGCAAACAAAGTACATGCTGACGTAACCCCACGTGCCCCGGATCATCCCCGGCTATCGCGTTATCGCAATCGCAACGCTAATTCCAACATGCACCGCGCTGGCCAGTTCAAATCACCAACCCAACCAAACCACCTTTTAAATTGGCCAGGTGCATACCAGAGCTGGTCTCACCTCAAGCCCACAACTCGGCAATTACCTCCGGAGGCCTCTTCTGCCCTGCTATCTTCCCGCACAAGACTAAAACCAAAAGGCTATCTGCCTGCATCTAATTATACCTACCTACCCCACTCACAAACAAAAGCAACATGGGTAACATCTGCTCCCGCTCCTCCAACGAGCCCGAGGCCTTCGCGGGCCCCGGTCGAGTCGTCGGTGCCCCGCCAGCTGGCCAATCGACTGCACCGCGCGCCTCAGTTCCTGCCAAAGGGAATTGGCAAAGTAGTCCGGGGCGGACACTCGGCGAGTCCTCCCCGCAACAAGGGGGTGGTGATGAGGCGCGGTCTAATGCTGCGATAGCTGCGCAGGTGAGTCGTGCTTCTAAGAACTATGGATTTGAACACTGGTATTGTAATGGATCAATGGCTAAAACTAGTTCTTGCAGAAACGAGCTGAGGCTGCATCCGCCTCCAGCAAAGGGAAACTGGGCACTAAACTCGCGGCGCAAAAGGCCAAGACTCAGACGCAGACCTTGAATGAGGTCAGTCAGACGGAGCGGGCCGTGCGGGATGCGGATGGGGCGGAGGAGGCGAGACAGTGGAATTGAGTATGTTGAGTACATGCCTGTGCGCTGTAGCTGTCGGCGCTTTAATTGTTGCTGGCGTTTGGGATTTGCATATTCACGGGACCTTTCTTCTTGAGCGTTGAGCTTGGCGATGCTTTTAGGGTCATATATTGATCAGTTTGGATTACATCTTATTTTTTCCATTTCGTTCATGACAGAGGACGCTTTTTATCAGCGCCCCTTGTTTCACATTGGTCTATCTATCTGGGAATGAAAAGAGACCCTTCGGAAAGAAGCTTCACATTTCCATGCTATGATACAACCGCCTCATACAAGCTACCACAAGCGCAATCATTAATCCTTGCCCACCGAAATTCGTCCTAAACAACGCTGTAACGTCCACTGGCTGGCGCACGCGCGTCGCTATCAGCAGCGGCAACGGTACCCTCCTTCAGCAGACGCATGAGCTCACGCATCGCGTTGGTGACGGAAATCTCAGTGTCGCCCTCAACCAGAATGTACAGCTTGGGGTTCTCGTTGGGACCAGGCTCCTTGCCAGCGGCATAGAAACTGCCCTTGGTGGTGATAGATGTGGCCGTGGCTTCCAGGATTTTGGCGACATTCGTGCGGTTGGTAACGGCCCAACGAGCTTTTTCTGTTCATGGAAAAAAATGTTAGTAAGAGTTCATGAACAATCAGGAGTTTAGGGGTAAAAGTAAACTTACGGGGAAAGTCGTTGATCTCCAATGTAGCATGGAATGCGCCTGCATCTGGTCCACGATTGTCGATGGGGACACCTGATCTCATCACACCGGCGCGACTGAGACGAGCGTGGATATCGGCCACGGCAGATCCAACCTTGTCCAGAGGGTTCTTCGAGGCAGCATTGGGATCCTTCTCGGTCTTGTGAACTGTAATCTTGCCGTCCAGATCAATACCCTTGGGAACACCGACGAGAAGTGCTGGTGCTGGAGCAGCGGCAGACTGCACCGCAGAGAGCGCCTTGTTGAAGCGTTCGTCATCGGCCTTCTTCTCCTTCTCATCCTTCTCCTCATCTTCCTCACCCTCCTCGCCCGTCTTGTATGTTCGGCGCTCACGCATACGCGCAGTCTCTCGTTCCTGGTCAAGACGCTCCAGACCTTTACCACCGAAGCCAGATGCGCTGGCCTTTTCTTTACCAGCCTTGACCTTCTCCAGGAAGTTGTCAACCATCTTCTGAACCGGCTCGGGAATCTCCTGTCCACTCTGCTTGAGTGCCTTTGCGATGTCCACAGAGTATCTCTCCTGGGTGTCTGTGAGGAACGTTACTGCAGTACCGGTATTTCCGGCACGGCCAGTCCGACCAGCGCGGTGGACGTAGTCTTCCAAGTGATTTGGTGCATCGTAGTTGACAACCAACTTCAACTGCTTCACGTCGAGACCACGGGCAGCAACCGAGGTGGCAACAAGGACGGGGAAGATACCAGCCTTGAAGTCTTCAATGGTAGAATCACGGTCGATTTGATCCTTTCCGCCGTGAATAGACATGCACGGGTAGCCCTTTCGCATCAACTCCTTCAGCAGGTTATCGGCAGACTCCTGACGATCGACAAAGATCAGCGCCCGCGCATCCTCATTTGCATCGTCAGAGTACAGATTGCCCAGCAGTTCCAAGAGGCGAACGAATTTTTGATCTTCGTTGCGCACCTCAACCACCTGGGTGATTTCAGGAGCAACAACACTCCTGCCGCCGACCACAATCTCAATAGGCTTCTTGAGTGACTTTCTGGCCAATGCCTCCATGTTACGGGGGAATGTAGCCGAGAAAAGAACGGTCTGGCGATCCGGTCGAACGTTGGCCAAGATCTTCATGACCTGAGGCTCGAAGCCCATGTCGAACATACGGTCAGCCTCGTCGAGAACCACGTAAGTCACACGGTGAAGATTCGTTACTCGGCCACCGTTTGCAGCGAGTAGATCAATCATTCGACCGGGAGTGCAAACAACAACCTCGGCGCCACGCTTCAGCTCCGCAATTTGATCTTTGATGGGAGCACCACCGTAGGCACAGACTGCGCGAAGACCGAGTGCCTTCAAGAACGGCTTGCAATCTTTGTGGATTTGCGTAGCCAACTCACGAGTCGGTGTCATGATCAGACTAATAGGACCTTCCATGTTACCCAGAGGCCGTTGATCTTTAATATGCCGGAACATGGGAACAAGGAAGGCCATGGTCTTTCCGGAACCAGTTTTGGCAACACCGATCACGTCACGACCGGACATTATACAGGGGATGGCTTGGGCTTGCACAGATGTGAGGCCCTCGTAGCCCAGGCGCTCGACAACATCCAAGGTTTGCACGCCCAATCCGCACTGTGCCCATTTCTGTACAGGCTTGGGAATATCCTGTCCACGTACTTTGATGCCATCCAACTCATGGCGTAGATTTGCCACTTCCTCTTCAGTCATATCGGCAAGATGTGAGGGCTCGTTGTAAAAGTCTTTACGGAATGGCTCGTATTCGACCTTTGCGTGGTCGACTGTCGGGATTTCCTTCTTCTTTTTCTTGCTTGCCATGGCGAGAACGTCGTCTGCATCTTCGCCACCGACAGCTGTGAGATCGACATCGTCATCGTCGCTGAACATTGCCTGGGGTTGCGTGGCCTTCTTCTTAGCGTAAGTTGCGCCAATCTTCTTTTTCGGGGGAGCGGTATCTGCAAGCTCTGACATGAATGCATCCAGAGGATCAACATCTTCATCAACCTCCATCTCGGTAGACTCGGCCTGCTGGTTGGAAGCATCTTCCATGTGGATATCGGCGTTCATTTCGGATTGCTGAATTTGAAGTCGCTCCTCGCGTCGCTCGGCGGCTGCGCGCGCAGCAGCCGCAGCTTCTTCCTCGTTGTCACCGTCTTGCATATCGACATCATCGTCATCACCGGCGTCATCCGCACCGACAATGGTGTCCTTGCCGTCATCGAGCGGGGGAGTTGGAAGCCTCTCCAATTTCTTGCGAGTTGACTCTTCCTCACCGAAGCCTAGAGTTCGAGTAGCCGAGGGTTTATCGGTCTCAAAAGCCAGTTTGGAACCGAGACCAAATCCACTCACATTGCCTTTGGCTTTTAGGGGAGCGGATGCTGGGGCAGAAGGCGCTGCAAGTGGTCGCACCGGAGCCTTTGTGGTCTGCGGAACCGCGACATCAATTCCAAGTACAGCTGGTGTGACTGCCGTCCCATTCGAGGCCGCACTCTTCGCAATGGCCTTGGGGTCGAACTTGCCAGCATAAGGTGCTGGGGACGCCGTGTCGGTCGGTGTCACGGGAGCCTGTGGCGAACCCACGGCAGGAGACAAGCCAGATCTCCGATCAATCTCATCCAGAATGCCACGTCCACCACCGGCTGCGGCCTGTTCTTGTTGCTTCTTTTCCCGCTCAGCAGCTTGCTTCGCCTTCCACAGTTCAAGTTTTGCCAGTCGCTCGGCCTTTTTCTGCTCGTCTGTCTGGGCGGCGGGGGCCGGGGCAGGGGTAGTGGGTTTGGATGGCTGCCGAACGTAATAAGCATCATGCGTTCCGCTGGTGAAGGGGTGGTCATGGGAACGTACCTCTTGAGTGCGGGATCTGGACCGTCCAATGGCGCCACGGTCACGGCTGTCACCCCGTCTAGCCTTGTGCTTCAAATCAGCAGAATCATCTGTGCGCCTGCGATCTCGGTCGCGTGAATCATCTTTCCTAGGTCGATAATCTCTGTCGCGACTCCTGCGGCGATGATCGCGATCATCGTCTCTGTCTCTGGACCGTCGGCGTTCGCGAGACCGATCTCGTCGGTTGGGGCGGTAACTGTCTTCTTCGCGTCGGTCTATCGATCGGTCTCGGCGGCGATAGCCATCTCTGTCACGGCCGTGGTCGCGATCACGATAACGCCGCTGCATCGTTGAGAAATGGGTTAGAGATGAAGCTGAAGATGATAGCTTGTAAGTTCGAGTGTTACCCACCTCTGGGCTGCGGGACCTGCGATAACCCCGTCCTTCATCCCGTCTGTTTCTGTCGAAGCGATCATCCTCTCTGCGATTCCGGCGAGACGAGGAGTATGTGCTGCCTACAGGAGATGGTGAGCGAGGATCCCCGTGGCGAGCCATTGTCACAGGCCAACGATGAGTGAGTATTACTGAAACTCAAGAGCACCGGGACGTTAGAGCACAAAGAGCCTAAAAAGGATCACCGCGCTTCCATGAAATCTCGTTCGAGAGTGGTCAGTGGCACCGTCGTGGTCGTCGGGAGATAATACACTGAAACTTGGAAGTGAGGCTCCTACTGTGCTACGCTTTTTGCGACTGGGGTGATCGCTGTCACGTGGGGGCGGATCTTAAATATCACCTGACATGGCACTAACCCCAAAACGGCGAGGACCCAAACGAAGCTCAGACATGCTTGTTGCGCCCGCTGTTTTGGCTGTTTGGTTTAGCCCGCCCAAGTACCCAAGTGGCTCCAGCCTCCCCTACCCGCTTGCGTCAGGAACCCCTTCCACACCTCCATCTGTGCTTCTCCCTCGGTCAATTTACAAGTACATCAGCAGGCAAATTCTTTGTTTGTACTTTCAATACAGCTAAATTTACAATCGCCGACAATGTCTCTCCAACGGGTCGCTCGCGCGAATGTGCTGCGACACCTGCGCCTCGGCGATGTCTTGTCTCACCAGACTCGCGTGATCGGAGTGCAGAATCAGCTTCGCCGTCTTTCTCTCGCCACCAATTCCCGATTCTCGACTCCGCTGGCCGGATCTATCTCTGCTGTTACTTCTCAACAGTCGCGATCCTTTGCGACAGAAACCGCTAGTCCTAAAAAGTCGACCAAGAAGTCAACAACCAAGAAGCCCAAAGCGGAGAAGAAGAAACCCAAGCGCGGGTTGACGGAGAAGCAGAAGGAGGCCAAGGAGAAGAAGGAGAGCCGCGAGCTTGTCAAACAGCTCAAGGAGACTGCTCTCCAACCACCAAAGAAGCTGGCCCAAACGGCCCGCACTATTGCTACCCAGGCCAAGCTCAAGGAAGTTCGGGAGCAGAACCCTTCGCGCCCTCAGGCGGAGATTTTCAAGGAGGCTGTTGAGTTGGTCAACTCCCAGCGACTGGCCGAGGCTGACGTATGTCAAATCAGAATGTTTTGAATTGGGAGTATGTCATGCTAATATACTGCAACAGCGATATGTCAACCAAGCCGAGGAAAACCGAGCAGCCAACGAAGCCTCCTATGCAGCATGGCTCAAGGAATACACGCCTCTTCAGATCAAACAGGCAAACAGTGCTCGCAAACACCTCCGCCGACTGGGCCATTCCAAGTTCTATGGTATCCAAGATGAGCGGTTGGTCAAGGCTCCCCTCAATACCTACATGTTTTTCTTGAAGGAGCGCCATGATAGCAGCGACTTCAAGCATCTCCCCGTGAAGGATGCGGCGCTGCGGATCGCTGAGGAATGGAAGGGTTTGACCGATTTGGAGAAGCAGGTAAGCATTTCCCTTTCATCCTTCAATGCATGGCACGATTGTAGGGAGGAGACAGGCTGACCACAATTACAGCCCTACATTGAGAAGGCCGAGCGTGACCAAGAGCGCTATCGCGAGGAATACCGAGAGGCGTATGGTGAGGACGCACCTCTGCCGAAGCCCAAGGCGTCGTCCACCTAGATGCTCGAGTCATGTGTATACCTAAGGGAGCTCTCTCCTGTGTATTCTGTGATAGTGGTCATGGTGTTTAGAACTGGTTGGGATGGAAAAGGGTTTGGATCTGGATTGGTATGGCCTTCCAATGTCTTTGTGTTGTTTCGAAATCCCCCCTATGTCGCTCGATTCCCTTTTCCTTTGTCACTGTATTGTAGCTTATTGTCCATGCGCCATTGTACTGTGTTTGTTTACCCAATGCCACCCATTTCACACTCAATTCGAGAATTTCCTATCAATTGTAGATGGCAGCAGACCAGAGAATGATTGGCTTGAGTCATCTCTTCACGTGGACACGACCACTACCAATTCACTGTATTCCTCCACAATTAGGCCGGAACTTCTCGATCATTCCATCACTCTCTTCTACCCAAACTCGATGGTCACGCTTATGAGTCAAGGGCACATAGTCCTCCACAGCGGAGCCCCCTCCCCGCACTGGGTGGACGATTTCCTCCGGTGCAAAGTGGCGGTGAGAAAAACCACCGATGCATTTTTTGGCGTGCAGGGCGCCAAAACAGAACAGACCCTTTTTTCCCTGCAGAGGGGGGTTAGGGGGTAAAAGAATGTTTGAACTTGGTTTTCTGCCCAGTCTGGATGCTAGGATTATTATGGGGAGAAATATGTTGCTCTGGGAATAAGGAATTGTGATTGCAGCTGCCAGAGCATGAAGCGGCTCTTATATGTTGAAGGAGGGACTGCCTGAGGTATGTTAGTCCCGTGCAGATGGTTAGAAGTACGTACAGTGAATACATTGTGGTAATGTAGTACTTTGTATGTAAATTTGTAAGTATTCAAGTGGCGATACTTCTATGTAGGTGTGTTGGGCCGCCAGATTCGACGGGACTATACATAGTCCTAATTTCTATACAATAGCCTCGCTCTCTCCACTATTTCGGCTGCAAGCTGCACTCATTGTAGTTGGATTGTATGCAGACGGGCCTACCCGTGGACTAGTTCGTCGGGCATCCATGGTCATGGTATGATTTTCCCCATCAAGCCCACGAGGTGTACCGTGGATTGAGGGGCCAGTTGATCCCTGGCTTGATGCCGTGAAATGGGCAATTTGTACACAATCAATACAATACTGTTTGTTTTGCATATTTGCATATGATGTACGGAGTACCTCGAGTTTACTCTTAGGTAGTGTACAACCCCTATGCCCAGAGTAAAGGAAAAAAGAGTTGCAGAATGCAGGATGCAGGCGTATACCATCCAGTCTCGAGGCGGGACTCCGATCCCCCTGCTTTGGACGTGCGCTGGTGGAGGGGGATTCGGGTTATCGATAGGCTGGGGGGGGGGCAACGCCGCCTGTGCGTAGTGAATGATGGGGGAAGGGATGTACAGTACATGAGTACATAGTCAGAACTATAGGAGTGACCAAGTCTGCCAGTGCGCTACGGTCTCCTAATCGCCTACTGTAACTGGTTGGTGGGATGTGCGGTGCTTTGGTGGTTGCAGGAGATCGATAGGTGAGCACATGGGTCAGTAAAAATTGCACGAAATAAGAAACCATAATCTGCTCTAAAAACTTTTATGTTTTCTCTTCTTTTCTTCTGCGTGGGGGAGGAATAATTGCGAGGTATACGGATTACCCGCTGTCGTTCGTCCCAGCCTTTTTCTTTTCTCTGATTCGGCAGCTTTTTTTTTTTTCTTTCTCGCGGTATTGGTATTATCTCGGGTCGCCTTGAACAGGAGTGAGTGAGTGACTGGAACTACCATTGCGAAGAACTGGTTGAAGAAAGGGAGAGAATCCTGCGCGACTGCTCCTACATTATAGAGCAAAACATTCAATAGCAAAGGGAGGAACCGGAGAACAGAAGTATGTACGGAGTACAGAGTACGAAGTGCAGAAGTGCGGGCTAAGATCACCGATGATCTGTGATTACCCTCCACCGCCCCATGCTTTTCCCATCCCTGCCTCCACCAGCTAATCCCTTTTCCTTTAGATCCTTTCTTCTTCTTCTCCCTCTCCAAGGATTTGTGATTCACTATACTTGAACCTCTGAGTCTCACAGAATCCCTGAACGCAACCCACCTCGAACCATCTAATCGCCGTTCCTATCGCCCGCGTTTTACGCTCTCCCGAATCTACTACTCGAGTCCCTCGAAATCGCGCCGGTCGTGTTGGGTGGTTAATTTGTTTTTCAACGCCTTGATTGCTTGGAACATCCACTCGATCCTCAAGCGATTCACGCCTTTATTATCTTGCAATCCCTCTGCTTTGCCGCGGGGCTATACTCGACTTACGACCTCCAAGCGACGTTCTCCTGCGGGGGGTTCGATACCAACCCGCAACCCCATGTGTTCTCTCCCCATAATTCAGTGGACGGGTCTCTGATCGGGCCAGCCGTGGAATCAGCGCATGCGCTTTTACAATGGAGGTTCTCGCGCCCGTGGCCTGTCATACCTGCGTGGATAAGATCGCCGAGGAAATCGCCTATCGCCCCGCGCGCTGGGAACATGCCGTGGAAAAGTTGATTGACGATGTCTGGGCGGTTCTCGTTCAAGGCCGGACGGGCTTCGATACGACGTGCAAGGACAAACGTGCTGAGAAATTGGGTTTACTTTGCCCCGCGCTCCCGTGGTACATCGAACCTCCGCCTTCCTACGACGATGCCGTGAACGATTTGCCTCCGGAATACCCTGCACTACCTCCGCTCGCGGAGCGCAAGACTGCGCTATCGCCTGCTGCGCCGCCGACACCTGCTACGAAGTCGCGAAGTCAGTCCCGCTCGCTGTTTAAAGATCAGTCTTTAGATGTCTATGTTGATTTTGAGAGCACGGTCGGGGTTCGCGAGCACAAGAAGAAAAAGGGTGGTGGAGCCGGTGCGGCGAAGAAACCCACTGCACCCCCACCTCCGGCTGATACTGGAGGCAGTTCGAACGACGCTCCAGATGATCAGGCGAGCGGTGACGCAAACAGCGGTGGTGATGCAGGCGGAGGAGACGGAGGCGGGGATGATAGTGGAAATGGAGGAGGTGGTGGTGGTGATGGCGGCGGTGATGACTGGAATACTTGGGGAACCGTCGCCAGCACCAAGAAAAAGACAAAGAAGCAGGAGGAGGAGGAAGAGGAAGAGCGAAAAGCTGCCGAGGCGTCTGCGGCTGCTAAAAACACTCTCAGCTGGGCTGATGATGCAGAAGATGGCGGCGGCGACGACTGGGATGGTTTTACCACAGCAGGAAAGAAGAAGAAAGGCAAGGTAAGTACATATATATCCGGAAATTCTACAAAGTTTCTTATACTTATTCTACCTTGCAGGATGAGGCACCTCCAGGAGCGTTTCAGGATATAAGCCTGGATAGCGGAGCTCCCCAGCTAGATCTCAATTTCGAAACTGGTCCCAAAACCGGAGGAACTGGCTTCAGTTTCGGTGGATGGGGCAAAGACTGGAGCACTGGAGGTGCTCCAGCTGCCAGCAAATGGGGCCTCGGAGCCATCGGAGAATCACCCCCGAAAGAGGAACCCAAAGACAACAACCCCTGGGGAGCCGCTAAGAAAAAATCGACCAAGACCACCGCAGGCGGATTCGACTTTGGCGATTTGGGATCCCCTCCAGCCGAGGAGACTAAAGCAGATGACGATTGGAGCACTTGGGGTGTCGCAACGAAGGATAAGAAGAAGAAAAGCTTGCTTAATCCTGAACCTGCCGCCGAACCCGACCCTGAAGCACAACCTGAACCTGCGCCTGCGCCTGTTGAATTAGAGCCGTTACCTGAATTGGATCTCGAGCCCGAGCCCGAGGTCCCTGGGTCTATCCTTACCGAAGCCTGGTACATCGGTCTTTCCAAGAAGGAACAGCGCAAGGCTAAAAAGGACTGGGAGAAGAAGGTGAAAGACGCAGAAGACGAGCTTGCCAAGGTCCGCGAGTCCAACGCAGCCAAACAAACCGCCTACGACGAGGCAGTGAAAGCCAGAGAAGAGGCCGAAGCTCCACCTGCCCCAGATCCGCCTGCTCCAAAACCCGAACCCGAAGCTGATAATGACTGGGGATGGGCTGTTCCTTCGAAGAAGGACAAGAAGAAGAAAAGATCGATCTGCTGGCAGACCCCGAGCCTGTACCTGCACCTGCACCTGACCCTCCACCAGAGGATGACTGGGCAGGTAGTTGGGGTACTGCTGGTAAGAAAGATAAGAAATCCCAGAAAGAACCCGAACTAGTCATTGAAGAACCGGCACCGGAACCTCCTAAAGCTAAGGAGCCCGAAGAGACCTGGGGTGCCTGGGGTGTGGCTACTAAGGACAAGAAGAAGAAAAAGGGCAAAGAGCCCGAGCCCATACCCGAACCTGAACCTGAACCCGAACCAGTTCCTGAACCTGAACCCGAGCCCGAACCTGAGCCCGAACCTGAACCTGCCCCCGTGCATGACGATCCTCTATATGACAACTGGCATAACCTCTCGTCCAAAGACCGGAAGAAGCGCGAGAAGAAATTAGTCCAGAAGGGCCGCCTCCCTATCCCTGGAAAGGATTTCGAACTTCCTTCTAACAAGCCAGCCGAGCCCGAACCTGAACCCGAACCCCCAGCTCCTGAACCTGAACCCGAACCTGAACCTGAGCCCGAGCCTATTCCTGAGCCCGAGCCCGAGCCAGAACCTCCAAAGCCAGAAGATGACGCCTGGGGAGGTGTCTGGGGCACGACTAAGGATAAGAAGAAAAAGAAGAAGGGCATTGAAGAACCACCTCCACCTGCGCCCACTCCTCCAGCACAAGGCCTTACTCCGGAGCCCGAGATCCTCGATAACGCTGATGATATCTGGGCTGACCTGGGTGCCAAGTCTAAGAGTACTAAGAAGACAAAGGCAATCGAATCGATCAAGGAAGAAAAGCCAGCCGCAAAGGGATTCTGGGCATCGTTAACCGGAGGTTCTGCTGCCAAAACGAAGTCAACAAAGGAGAAATCCAAATCGAAGGAAGAACCGCTCGCAGAAGAGGAAGATCTTCTCATCGACGTTGGAGATGATCCTCCAAATGAACCCGAACCTCAGCCAGAACCCGAGCCCGAGCCTGAAATTGTACCAGAGCCAGTCAAAGAGGAACCTCCCCCCGAGAAGTCATCGAAGAAGTCTACGGCCAAACTATCTGTCGCTGAGCGTATCAAGGCACTCGAGCAGAACAAGAAGGAAAAGCTTAAAGAGGCCAAAGCAAGCTCTAAGTCAAAGACCAAAGAACCCGAGCCCGAGCCCGAACCTCAACCTGAACCTGAAGTTGAGCCTATACCTGAACCAGAACCCGAACCTGAGCCCCAGCCTGAGCCCGAACCGGAACCTGCCCCCGTTCACGATGATCCTCTCTACGACGGCTGGCATACTCTATCATCTAAGGACCGGAAGAGGCGAGAGAAGAAGCTGATTCAGAAGGGACTTCCCATTCCTGGCAAGGATTTCGAGCTACCATCTGATAAACCGCCCGAACCCGAACTTGAACCCCAGCCTGAGCCCGAACCTGAGGCGGGAAAGCATATCTCTAGAGATTCCGTTCCCGGGAGTTTCCCTGACGAACCTGAGATCGAAGTCCCAGCTGAACCTGAACCTGAACCCGAGCCCATTCCCGAACCTGCCCCCGTGCACGACGATCCTCTATACGAAAACTGGCATGATCTCTCCTCTAAAGACCGGAAGAAGCGCGAGAAGAAATTGATCCAGAAGGGCCTCCCTATTCCTGGAAAAGACTTCGAACTTCCTTCTGAAAAGCCAGCCGAGCCCCAACCCGCACCTAAACCCGAAGCTGAGCCTGTACCTGAGGCTGAGCCAGAAGATGCTGGTGCGCCTCCAACACCACCACCAGACGTGGAAGAACTTCCAAAATCTTCTAAAAAGGAACGTCCTCGTGTGGATCGTGCTGCTAGCGGCACTGGTTGGGGTTTCTGGGGCGCAGCACCTCCACCGAAAAAGTCCATCAAGAAGGAGAGCAAGGAGAGCAAGGAAATTAAGGAAGTTAAGGAAACCAAAGCGGTCGAGGAAGCTGAGTCTCCCAAGAAACGGGACAAGGAAAGCAAATCTGCAGAGGAAGTTGAGTCTCCCAAGAAACGGGAGAAAGAGGAGCGAAAGGAATCAACTCGCGACCGTGAACGTGAACGTGAACGGGATCGCGACCGCTCCCCTGTAGCAGCCGTTCGTTCCAAATCTACGAAATCGCGTCCCAAAGAATCAGATGCTGAGGTTGAGAAATCTTCGTCTGACCGGGAAAAGCGGCGTGAGCGAGAACGAGAGCGAGAGCGCGAAGCGCGCTCTTCTAAGCAGCAGCGTGCGACCACCCTGTCCAACTTCGTATTTGGTCAGCCCCCGCCAAGAAGCAAGTCATCCCGCAAGCCGGAGTCCTCATCCAAAAGACCTTCCTCCAAGCCGGTATCCCGGCGTCCTTCGATTGACCCGGAAGATGAAGCTGCCATGCCGTCGCCGCCTCCAGATGAAACACTCGAGGTAACCGATAAGGCAGCCAAGTTGATGGGCATCAACGCGTCTAAATCCAAACGCGACCGCCCACGTGCTGAGCGCCGGAAGTCTAGTAAGCAACAAACACCAGGCATCAATGTATCCACCCCCGAACTATTGACTAACCGTGTATTGATGTAGCTCCCCGCGACCCATATGCGATTGATGATGATGATATGGTCTTGGTCGATATGGAAGTTGCTGATGGCCAGTCACCCAAAGAGGGCTCGAGAGGGTCAAAGCGCAAGTCCAAAAGAGAGGTACGTTGCATGCAGCTCAAACATATCGGGACCTTGCAGAGCAAACTAACCTTTCTTCTCAATATAGTCTCGCACAAAACCCGAGGAGGACGATGCCGTCATGGTCGATGCTGACCTAGCTCGCGGTGGTCCAGACCTTCTTTCAGGACCAGATGATATGGCTTTCGTCGATGCGCCTCCTCGAGAGAGACGTCTGAAACGCCCGCCGCCTAGTACACCCAAGAAGCAAGACACCGGTGGGTTCATGGGTATTTTTGGTTCACTGCGAAAACCGGCGCGTCCGGAGATGCCAGACCGTCGCAAGTCTCGCTCCTACCGTGACGAAGAGGCCAGACACATGACCGAGCCAGAGCGTGATGATCGCCGAGTGCGCCGTGACCGTGACCGTGATGATCGACGCCGGCGGTCCGTGAAACCCGATACTGATGTTGAAGGATTCACCACGGACGCCGCTGGCGCTGCCGCAGGCGGCGAAACCGAGCCCGAAGACGCCGAAGCTCGAAGGGCAGCTCGTCGGGCGAAGCGCACATCCCGACAAGCCCCATCCGAGACACGAGAAGCTGAAGTCCGTGAAGCCGAAGCTCGCGAGGCCGAAGAGCGACGCGCCAGACGTAAAGAGAAGATCCGCGAGCGCGAAGCACGCGAGCAACGAGCCCGCGAAGAAGAAGAACAACGCCGAGAAGAAGAGCGACGAGTCCGCCGCGCCGCACGCGAAGAACGCAAAGCCCGCGAGGAACAAGCCGCCCGCGAAGCCGCCGCAGCCGAAGAAGCGAAAGCCTTGGAGCGCCGCGAACGCCGCCGCCAGCGCGAAGAAGAAATGGCCGCCAAAGTCAAACGCCGCCGTTCCCGCGCTGACGACCCCCGGTCGACGGATACGGCTACGCACCAGATGACCAGCCCGACGGCCGTCGCGGCTCTCGTACTACGGATGACAAGGCCCGCCGACGGAGATCGAAGGCTATGCCTGCGGCAGAGCAGACGCGGGCGCCGTTGATGACGGGTGGCCTCAATCATGGGAATACAGGTGGGCCCAAGAAAGACAAGATCTCCACGTGGGTCTACTCACAAGCTGAAGAACCCCCTGAGCCGCCGCCCATCATGCCCACCGTCATCGACATGCCACCGGACGCAGCCACAGCCGCCGAGAACGCTCACTCGCTATCCTCGGACGAAGAAGCGCGCCGTGCCGCGAGGAGGAGGGCTCGCCAGAGAGCTAAGTATGGTGATATGCCCGATGGGGAGGTGGTTGATGATGTACGCTCGAGACGTCGTGAGTCGCGCCGCGAGGGTGTGAAGAGTAGTTCTGGGAGTGGGGATTATGAGCGTGAGAGGGGGATGCGGTCTCAGCATGGGAGTCGGCATGGTGGAGCTCCTGCGCCGCCGAGTTCGGGGGCGAAGAAGTCGAGTTGGTTTAAGAAGCTTACGAGTTTCTAAGTTACTGGGAATGGATAAATGGTGCCTGGTAATTGTTTGGTGGGTTAGTTGATTTGGTGCATTTTGACCATTTTGATTTGACGGATTCCTCCAACCTCTCAGCTGGGAGATTGTTCCTTGGTTGGTGAGTCCTTGTAAACGGTTGGAGCGTTGTCTATTGTTTGTTTTGTTTTGTTCTATGTTATTTACATTTTCTCTTTGTCTACAGGGCTCTGCACATGCATTGCTCCAGCACACCTACTCTACTCTGACGACAGATATGACTATATGACCTCCCTCACTAAATGAAATGAATCACGTTGAACCGAGACTTAATTTGATCAATTATCTATGAAAAGACCTGAAACTAAATAGCCCTCCATGTTCCTGGCTATTATCTTCCTATAAACGCTCAGCACCCTCTTCCAAACTGCGCCGCCGATTCTCAAGATAAAACCGTCCACCCTCATACAACCCAAGATACAAACTCAACGACACAGCCGTCCAAACACCCCGAATCATCCCACCCCTAAACAAACCACGAACACCCTCATCGCGTACAATCTGCTTCCCAACAGCCCAAGTACCTTTCCTCGAGTCTTTCACAGCCCGTCGCACCGACTCTGCGCCTGTATTGTCACTCGCAGACAACATAACGCGCGTCTTAATCACATCTATAGGTGTGGTAATAACCGATGCTATAGATCCAGATACAGACGCTGAAAGCCCGGTTAAACCAGCTCGCTCGATGAGCTGGTCTCTTTGGCCCGACGCATCCTTATTACCACCAGCACCAGAAGCAGAAGCAGAAGCAGAAGCACCAGCACCAGCCTTGACAGCTTTGCGCCTCCTATACCTCTCAATAACATGTGACCGGATATACTCAAACATCGGGAATTGAATACCCGTAAAAGGCAGGTTCCGTCCAAGTAACGCAAAATACCCATTCCACAATCTCCACGGATGGCCCTTAAATCGGGCAAATACCTGACGCATGGCACTTACACTAGTACCTTGTGTTTTGGCATTTGAGTCACTTTGGCTAGTGCTGACCATTTGCGCATTTTGCTTAAGTACTTCTGCGGGCGTGAGCATGAAGCATGATACAGCCTCGGCGGTTGAAGAGGCGATTCCATTGATAATCGGGCTTGGGAGGGAGTGCGTGAATGGGAGATGGAAGCCTGTCTTTGAGGATTGGGTGAAATATTCTGATTTGCCGCTAGTGGGTTTTATTCTCGTGGATGAATCGTGTAATGCGCATTTTATTGCTTCGTATGTGGTGAAGAATGCTCCCGCTATGGTTTTGTGATGGATGTTAGCTTCCAGACATCCATGACAGAGCCCGACGTGGAGTACGTCAGTCAGTGAGTGGCTAATAACTGACAAGAGGGTATTGTTGAAAATACAACGCTCCAAACACCTTGATATAATCCGCGAAAGAGAACGTCTTGTCTCACCGCGCCTGTACGTGCATCTTTGAAGATCCTCTCATAGTTCGGAGATTGGATGCGAGTTTTGAGTGTGTCTACTGGGTAGACGATGAAGTCGACGACAACTGCAGCAAATGCGCCAGCCTGGAGAAATACTTTTAGTTACTACTTTTGTACGTGATGATTTGACCAGACGAAAGCTTTTCGGGATAAATCCAATGAACTTGCTTACAGGCTTTGCCCAGCGGTAAGATATATAGCTCGGTAAGACTTACTACCCAAATATCTGAATGAGTGTTGTACATGAGTATAGTCAAGGCAATACCGGGTATATGCAAATGATAATGCAGAATGACCCTTTAGAAAGCTCTCAGTCTATACAGCTGCCCAGAATGCGATCTTATCTGCAACTGATAATCGGGATGCCATGATGAGCCCATGAGGTCATATAGTACGCACGTGATATATTCTGCCCTATCTTGATTAGGGCTAGATAAAGGAGAGGTCCAGATCAGCTTAGATGCAAGTGAAGCTACGAAGGAAACAAGCAGTAAAATAGATCTCAAAGAACTCGCATAAAGAAGAACGTATTTTCAAAGTCGTGTCTAGAAAAGTCATTGTGTTCTATGGGCGGATGGCGAGTCCATATCTCGACCACATAACGGACTCGACCTCGTCACGGATAACAAAGAAAACAAAAGAGGAAGTCGTATTAACATCCCAGAGAACATTTTCCCTCCCTACGCCGTAATAAGGTTTCATGCAATACCCAAAAGCCCTGAGGTCGGTCAGGGTTCATCTCCTCCCGTCTCACACTCACACTACCCAAATCAAGAAGTTGGTAATTTAATTAGCGGTCTCCCCGGGCAGCAGGTTGCCCTTCACAGCAAACATCTTGCCAGTCGTGGCGGAGACAAAGTTGTCGACCTGGCGAGAGAACTGCTCCACCTGGCGGGTGTTGAGCATGCTCTCCAACCGGCTGGGCTCGGTGGGGAGCTTGAACAGACGCTGCCACTCGTCCTCGGGGAGGAGGGGCTGCTTGAGCGTGGCGCGGGTGGCGTTCTCTTGGGCGCGCTTCTGCTTCCAGTTGTTGATCTTCTGCTGCTCACGGCCGAGCACACGCTGGTAGTACTGGTAGTTGTTGACCTCGGTGTTGTGGGCCTCGATGCTATCCAGCAGGAGGTCGCAGTTCTTCTCCAGGAAGGGGTCGATGCTGAGAGACAGGTTGTCAAGGTTGGGGGTGAGAGTGGTGGACTTGGAGAAGGGGCTGGCCTCGAGAGCGCTGAGCGAGGCAGGGAGTTCGGTGGGCGCCGCAGGGGTAGGGCATTGGAGCTGGTGGATGAACGAAGTGATCAGGTGGGAGTTGTGGATCTCGACAGGCAGCTCCTCGAAGATATCTTGGTGGCGGAGGTTGGACTTTTGCAGCCTGTAGAGAGAAGAGTCAGTTATAACCGGCCAGTATCTGTATATGGCGCGCTTTTTCAACGTACTCCTCGGAGTTGAACTTGTTATCCTTGAACGCCTCCATGAACTTGGCCGAAAGGCGGAAAGCACGCAGGCTCAGGCTGCCCTGAGCGCTGCGGGACACATCGTGCACCAAGGCGACTGTCCGCTCGTTCAATTCCTTCTGGTAGAAAAACTGGTTCTCGATCACGTTCATGTTGACAAAGTTGCCCATGTTGGCGCTGGTGTACCATCCGGCGTTGTTGGCATCGATGTTGACCTCACGAAGCATCCGAACCATCTCAGCCTGGTAAGCGGCGTTGGACTTGGCGCGGGGGGCAGCAGCGGCCGGGTTGGGAGCGGCGTTATCGAAGTGCGACTCGGTGGGCGTCTCAACAACGGGGAAAGGGAAAGTGTTGGTGATCTCAAGGGTGTTGTCGACATCCATACCGACGAGGGAACCGGTCGCGGTAGTCGGGAAAGTCTGGGAGCAGTGCTTGATGATTTTCATCACCACCTAAAGCGTCGGGCATGAGTATTTCTCGCTGGCGAGGGTAGGGAAGATTTTCAAGATTCGGGGAGATCGTACCAAGGCCTCGACCTTGACGGCCGCGATGGGGGCTTGTGCTCTATTGAGAGATTAGTACTAGCATAACAATATAGAGATCAGAAATCACATACTCGGCCATATTGAAAGGTGGTTGCACCGTGTGGAGGGGGTGAGGTTAGACTTGGAGATGGGGCGGATGCACGGTTTGTGTGAAAGGAGCCCGTCGAACAATTTCCTTTTAGGTTTAGCGTCGTATGAATGATGTGGTAATACTGTATGGTGATAATAGTGGCGGCGAGGGGCAGATACAATGGTTTTACCAGTCTTACATCTTTGACCATAACCCATACTGTATTATCACTCTTCTTAGTAGAAAGGGTTGGCATATACTAATTTGAGCTATACTTTCACTTAGTTAACTAGAAATAATTCTCTTAGAACAACTCTGATAGGCTTGTCTCTCCCAACTGTTCCTGGTAATAAATCGCGGAGACCGTCCCACTTCCGAGCCGCCTTATCGATATGACCCGACCCGATAGAAAGCGTCCATCGCCCAGCTTCATCATAGAACTCTCAACACAACTACACACTCCACCATGGCGACCCAGACAAGCAAAAGAACGTTGACCTACGGACGGCATAGCTCCCTACAGACCATCACCGCAACACCTCTCGAGCAACATAAAGATGGTTACTGGGTAATGTATGACCTCCAATCCGATCCCCGCACCGCAATCAACCAATCTCAGAAAACAAGACAACAGCTATTAATAATACCAATACTCCAGCTATATCCACGGTGGCGCCTGGCGTGATCCAACCATCACAGCAGAATCAATTGAACCAACCCAATCCAATCTCCAAGCCTCACCGGAGCTCCCCATCACAGGCTTGGCCTCGATCGAGTACCGACTCAGTGCACACCCAAACCACCCCCAAGACAAAGCCACAACACCCCCCGAACAATACCGCAATGCCAAACACCCCGATCACATCCGCGATGTGGAAGCAGCGCTAGCCTTCCTGCAGAATACATACAACTTCGGGCAGCGGTACATCCTTGTCGGACACAGCTGCGGCGCAACACTAGCTTTCCAGGCGGTCATGGGCGCGGTAGCAGGACATCGGGAACAATTATTCAACGGGAGTGCAGATGAGAGCGACCAAGAAACCGAGCCGGTGACTTCGTCTCCAGAACCCCTTCCGCCGCGTCTGTCTGCGCACCCAACAGCTATCGTCGGTGTCGCGGGTATCTATGACTTACGGCAGATCGTTGAAACACACCGGGATATCTCAGAGTACCGTAGGTTTGTTGAGGGGGCTTTTGGAGCGGATGAGTTGCTTTGGGATGCGGTGTCGCCGGCTCAGATGGTTGGGTCAAGGGGGGTAGAGGGTGGTTGGAAGACTGGGCGATTGGTTGTGCTGGCGCATTCAAAGGATGATGAGTTGGTGGATCAAGGTCAGCTTGAGACGATGCGGGAGGCGCTTCGTGCATGGGAGGACAGGAAGGCGCAGGTTTCGAAACAAGAGTTGACTTCGAATGATCGCCGTGTGCAAGTCCTCTCACTTACTGGAGAGCATGATGAGGCCTGGTCCAAGGGCGAGGAACTTGCCCGTGCGGTTAGGTGCGCCTTTGAGGAGCTGCGGAAGATGGGATTATCGCCTTAGTCTCAGTTACTGGGTGGCAATAATTGAGATTAAAGCATCCCTAAATCATGTACAGACCTACATGGTTGTCAGCGGCGAGTCTCTCTCAAAGCTGGCACCTTTTCCGGATATAGAATAGCATTTAGAAGCATTGAACTCTACTGAAGATACCGTCTGAGTTTAGTTCCTTTATTTCCTTTATTTCGTATCTCCACAAGGGAGCTTACACGGAAGAGTAGGGGGAATGATGTAGATACATTGTCGGGAAGAACAACTACAAGGCACGCCATATGGGCCTTGGAAACGCCATTAATCGTTAAGCATACCACGGAAGATCAAAGCACAGGAAAAAAGAATTTCCTCGTTACGCCAAAATGTTTGCTCGTGTAAGATCCAGTACCACTGTATGATGGGGCCGCTAATCAGTTGCCCAGATCCATGCGACCCGATGCCGCGTCGCCAGCGATCTTCTCAGTCTTGACGGGCTCGTTCTCCTCGCCATACTCGAAGTTCTCCTCCTCGCTGTCGCTTTCTTCGACGAACTTGTGGGCCATGCCGAATTCAGCGAGGCGGTCTTGCATGTCCTCGCGGCAGCAATCTTGCCAGCGCGCGAGAGCGGCTGCGGCGTGGACCTTGAAGCCGTAGATCCTGGGTTCATAGCGGCGCAGGCTCTTCTCAGGGTTGAGGGCAGGGTACACCTGGAATAGGATGGAGTGGAAGGACGTGCCGAAGTAAGCACCGTCGATGGAGGCGTGGCGGGAGGATTTGGGGTTGTAGATGTCTTCACATTTAGGGCAGTAGAGCTTGACAGTGCTCATGTTGGGGAGGTCATGTTGGCCCATGGGCAAGAGAGGGTGTCCGTCGCAAAGCACGCGGGGACACTTGCCAAAGTCGCATTTCTTGTATTTGTCAAGCTAGAGAGGTGTTAATTGAGGTCCTGCAGCATTCGTCGCTAGTCTCTAGAGGCGGAAGATCTTACCATCTTTGCAAGACCGCGTGTAGTAACGATGTATCGAGCATGGACTAGGCCATAGAGATGACGAGCCGATTTCTCGATTTGCTCCCGCAGGTCATCGTCGGCATCAAGGTCGAAAACGTCGGTCACCAGGTCTAGAGCATATTGGTAGTAGGCGACCTCGGTGTTCAAGCCCGTGAGGTTGAACCGGTCTGTCAGGTAATCCTCATCGATTTCGCAGAAGTATTCATTTCCCCGCGACGAGACAAACTAAACGATAAGAGATGACAGATTAGCGGTGTTCTAAAAGTCGAAATTATGATCCCATGTTTCAATTAATATGCGATTTCATAGTTTCCACTGGTACACCGGACGCCGAGAATCCATGGTCAAGCCATATATCGAAGGAACAATTGGCGACGAGGCAGTTTCACGTGTAGACCGTCCTGCGGGGGTGGCGGAAGACGCATCGCGCAATATCCAAGAAGGGGGTCAACCTACCCAGTCTCTCCAGTAGCTTGTGTAATCACTATCAGTCTCACTGTTGAAGTCCTCCATCATGTTGACCATAGGGTATGTCGGGACGCGATCCGCTCAGGCTGCTTCCTCGTTTTCGGAGGGTGGGTAGGTGGCAGCGCCGAAATTCGGGCGGATCAACCCCGGGGTGCTGGAAGCCCCGATTGCAACACGGCTGGGCAATTCAGGTGCTGAGTTTTATCTCGACAAGCAGAGATTCACGGTCGATCCTCGGTGGACGAAGGTGGGGGTGGATGAGCAGCTGATTCGAGGGGAAGGTTAAAGTGTGCCCGCCGTTCGATAAAGTGTGGGCTGGGCGGTGGGCCGTTTTCTGCAGGCATTGGGGCTGGTGGAGGTTGACCGCCTTGGGGTCGACCATACTGGAGGCTTCGCATCCTTGACTCTCCCGTGCTACTTATAAAAGGATTATTTGCAGTTTGCTTCCAGGTAACTTTGGTCGAGTTGGACTCATTGGGCTCCTAGTTACTACCATATTGACCTTTTATGGCATATTATGTCAATATATCCTGAAATGAGATCCAAAAGGGATCTCTCTACAATGCCATCTCTGTATGTATCTGAATCGCTCGAAGCTTTTACTACTCCCTCATTTATCACGAAGGTCTTCCGTAAGATTATAAATACCTAGATCCTTGTCCATCCCAGGAAGAGCATACACGGCACTCTCCTTCCCACCAAAGACCCACAAAGCAGCCACCCCTCGATAGTCCATGCCAATTTTCTCCAAGACCCTGCGACTACGCAAATCCGTCGCAGAACAGAATCCAAAAGCAGTATGGATGTCTAGCTCGACCCGTGCGTATTCAAGCAGCCCCTTGGCCGCCTCAGTCGCATACCCTTTCCCACTCTCATCAGGTAGTATCGTGTATCCAATATCCGGAGCGAGATAATGCGGGCCAGGCGGAGCTCCCTTCATCAGAGAGACACATCCGATAAGCTTCGGGGCCTGAGAGGCTTCGACGAGAGATACGAGGAACTGGCCATGTCGGTTACGAGCATAGTCTGCAAAAACGCGCCATCGGATAAAGGCCGCAGCTTTCTCGGGAGTGTCGATGCCGGTCCGACCACATGATTTGGTAAAGTCATCTGTATTCCATAATTGAACCAGGAATTCGCAGTGGGAAAGGTTGTCAGGGTCAAAAGGATGGATGCGTAGGCGTGAAGTCGAGATGGCAAACTCCGAAGGGAACGGGGAGGAGGCTGGCTCGGTGGTCATGGCTATTGTATGAGTGTGTAGGGGTGCGAACAATGCTTAGTCTACGAAACCTTGCCTCTATGGTGAGAATTACCCGAATGCTATGGTAGTTGAGGGGAAATATACCCCCATAATTCGGGAGTGGGGGCCAGAATGACCTAAATGAGAGACTGGAAAAACAGCGTTCACAGTTACCAAATACTCCGTAATATTCTTCTATATGTACTGATAAGCGTTGATAAGCAAACCGATGTTGAGCTTGATCTATGGATACTGGAAAGGCCTGGATTGTTGCTACTGTCGTTGCTAATCGTTTTTTGAATGATCTCTTTGATTCCTACTCCGTTCTCCTCTGTTCTTACTCTAGCCCTAGGTCACCTCCAGGGTAGAAAGTGATAATTTTGGTTCAAGTTATTAAAGCATACATCACGGGCACCGGGGTAGACAAAATTAAACTCATGCTTTTCGACCCTTATGGTACTTGGTACTTGATTCCTAGAGCCTTGAGTCTCAGCACATCTGTTTAAACTCCGCCTCTTGCAAAACGGGTTTGGAAACTCTAACAACTTAAGAAAAAAACGGTATAGTTTTTCGTGGTAAAATGTACTCAAATCTATGGAGTAGAGTACTCTATAACGACATCTCACATTTGATAATCGGCTTCTAACTGATTGTGTGGCAACTCAGTCAGCTGCCAGCCCCAGGTGGCGGGTGAGATACCACCTGTGAGCCTTCAATGTCCCCTAGAAAGCCAATCACTCCTAAGAGTGGAATCGCCTAAGTTTATCACCAGTCCCAGCCCCCCGGCCGTCCCCCCCCAAATCTGGATTTCCTACCGGCGCCCCGTTCCTTTGGTTTGAACCAGTGCTACACTCTTATCTCGATTATGGGTTCAGATCACCTAACTTTACATAAGGTCAGTCCGACTCCAGCAACGGAAATTTCCGACCGGGCACAACGCACACTGGGAGAAATTGTAATCATCAGATTTGTATTTATACCTCTCGTGAAGGTGAGAGTGGCAATTAACAGGGAACCTAGAATGTATAACACGCGTTGGTCAATATTTTCATTGCAATTTGTGATGGATATTTTCCGGGTCCGGCTGGACATGGGAAGAAGCTTCTTCCAAGCGTTCTGGGCAAACCTTGGCTTTTAACACTCGATTGCGGTACAAACGGCGTGGCACCAAGATCTGACCACCAGACGGTTCCCTCAAACTCTACTCCGTAATAGCGAGAGAATTCTTCGAATCCTTCTCTTCTAGCCCCGGCTCACGTGGGCTTTTACACTATTTAACTTTTTAGGAGGCGGACTCCGCAGATACCCCGGTGCCATCCAATGGGCTCTTCGCGTGGCGTGTATTTGCGTTGAATCCATCGCCTGAACAGGAAAGTAGATACTGGTTCAGCCTTTTCAGCAGGGCCGGACATACGCTACGCTTCTAATCCGCCTATCATTTTATCCGATGCGAATTTCCGAGGTAATAATTCAAGACTAATAACTAATTCAATCCAAGACAAGACAAGCCTTATCTTTTCCCCACAGCCTTGTTTAAATCCCCAGTGTCCCCACCGTTTACCTTTTGGTCGTTCCGATCGCCCTTTTCTTCTTTTTCTCCCTAGCTATACGCTTCCCGGATAGCCTAGCATGGCGTACGATCCCGAGAAAGGTCTTGCCGAGACCAAGTACCCCGAAGCAGAGCAAAGCTCGCTGGATGTCGACAACGATGCCGCCCTTTCGCACCAAACCGGCATGATGGCCAAGTGTCGGGCGCTGGAGGCCAGGATGGACAAGAGACTTGGTATCGAGTCGGAGGCTATCGTTCGCAAGCGCCCAGAGGATAAGAAAAAGGTGCATTGGATTGAGGAACTATCAATGGCGTTGCTCTGGGCTAGTGGTACAATGAACACGTCTTGCTTTGCGACTGGTTTCCTTGGATGGGAATTTGGTCTCAGCTTGAAGCAGTCCATTTTGATCACCATCTTTGCCTCGATTCTGGCTGCGACGCTTAGCGGATTCTGCGCTACTTTTGGAGCTGTGACTGGTCTGCGCCAGATCAGTGTTAGTCGATATAGTTTTGGTTGGTGGCCCAACAAGCTCGTCGCTCTACTCAATGCTATTCAGCAGATGGGATGGGCTGCCGTCTCATGCATCACGGGCGGTCTTGCGCTCACTGCTGTTTCTGACGGCCATGTCTCGTTGATTCTCGGCATCGTTATCCTGGCTGTCGTGGCGCTGGTCATCTCCTTCGTGGGATTGAAGGCTATTCTCTTCTACGAGAGATGGGCCTGGATCATTTTCTTTGTGATTTTCATGATCATCTTCGGCCAGACTGGCAAGTATGCGGATAACGCGGCTCCGGCCACTGCCACCGGTGCCAATTTTGCCGGTGCTGTTCTCAGCTTGATCGCTATTGTTTACGGATCCAGCGCATCGTGGTGCACTATGGCAAGTGATTACTATGTTCACTATCCTGCCGATGTGAGTCGTGTCAAGGTCTTCCTCATGACCACTTTCGGCATTGCGATTCCTACGTCGATCGGTATGGTGGCCGGTTGCGTTGTCGCCTCTGCTCTGAACAGCAAGCCCGAATGGTCCAGCTCATACGAGGAGGGATTGGGCTATCTTATCCAAGATATGCTCTACCCCCGTGGATTTGCCAAATTCCTCCTCACCCTTCTTGTCCTGTCTGGAATCAACGTCAACGTCATCAGTATTTACAGCTCCGCGATCTCGTTCCAGCAACTTTCGCGCCCCTTTGCTCGGGTTCCTCGATTCATTTGGACTATCTTCTGCTTCGTCTGCATTCTCGCACTGGCCATTGGCGGTCGGCAGAAGCTGAACACGTACCTGCAAGACTTCTTGAGCTTACTGGGATATTGGTGCACCAGCTACGCCGTGATTCTGTTCGAGGAGCACTTTGTTTTCCGCAAGGGTAACTTTGAAAATTATGACTTGGAAGGATGGAATGACCCGGCACGACTCCCGATGGGTATCGGTGCATCTGTGGCATTTGCTCTCGGTGTCATCGCATGGGTTGTGGGAATGGATGAGACTTGGTTCATTGGACCATTGGCCAAGTTGATTGGTGACTATGGCGGTGATGTTGCTAATGAGTTTACATTTGTGGTGACGGCACTGAGCTATATCCCGGCGAGATACTTGGAGCTTAAGTACTTTGGAAAATAAGTACCATGTCCAAGACTAGGCTGCGAAGGCAGCAAAGTATCACCGAGGTCTCTCTCAGGGCTTCATTACCTATTTATCAAATAATTAAGTTTCTTCTCCCGCAGTACTTAATGACCTCTTTTTAAGCTGCGACCAGATGCTGTGTAGGTTCAATATTTTGTAAGACTCGGTGTGGTGTCGATTCAATCAATGTGTATGGGCGGGTGTGTGCCCGTGGAGCGGTGTATGTGTCTCTGCGGCTGTGTCCACCCCTGTATTCCCGCTCACTTCGGTACTCGCTTGGGTTGAGCAAATCGCCCTATCATATGTGATACCAGATGAATTGAACGCTGGGAAAGAGAGCTGCAGATTTAGGACGGGCTCTATATGCACTGCATGTGGATAAGTGGGTTTGATTAGTGGATGCTCCCCGCCCTGCCAAACCAACGCGGGAACCCCTGACGCCGGCGTTCGTCGCGGATAAACTTACGATAATGCATTGCTAGACCTGGAGTCCTCGGCTTACTCGATTTCTAGTCCCACCATATGCACCAATCTCAACCCCTCCCTGATCAATGGTCCATTGACAGGCAAACAACCGACTGATTGCGTTGGTCGCCTTGCATTAGCGAACAGTCCAATTGGGTGGGTCGCCAGCGCGAGACAAGCAAGCCAAGCAATGCCGAACCCGATAAGATTGGCCGGGTAGTGGAGGCACTCCCGCCCATCAGACCAGAAGATCATTTTTTTTCCTCCCTGGACACTGTCGAGTCTCACACAGCCATGGCCCAGCCTTTGGGAGACGAGGAGAAGGGGGTGCGATTCTCTCCAGATGTACAATCATCTTCATCGGACATTGCGCCTGGAGATCCATCCATTCCAAACCCCCCAGCATCCAAGTCGGGCAATATACTCAGCCGGCTGAATGAGCGTCTTACAGCGCTGAATTTGTTCGAGTCTCGTGGTATCGAGCGTGTGCCGCTTCATGAACGCCATGAAGTTAAGGCCTCTGATTACCTGCAGATGAGTCTGCTGTGGTTCAGTACTAATATTACGGCGAACAATATGGCTCTCGGGATGCTGGGCCCACTGGGTTTTTCGTTGGGGTTTGTTGATTCTGCTCTCTGTGCAACGTTTGGCGCGTTGCTTGGGGCTGCGGGTGTGGCCTATATGGGCACGTTTGGACCAGCTAGTGGAAATCGGACCATGGTAAGTTAATCAGTGGCTAGGAAGAATATCATCAGCTGACAAGAAATAGGTTGTGGCACGATACTTCATGGGTTACTACCCAAGCAAGATTGCTTGTCTTCTGAACATCATCATCATGCTAGGTTATGGCATGATAGATTGTGTAGTGGGTGGGCAAGTTCTATCTGCCGTTGCCGGGGGTCGTATGACCGTCATCGTGGGCATCATAATCATTGCCGTCGTTACCTGGGTGGTAGTTTTGTTCGGCATGCGCTTGTTCCATGTCTACGAGCGATGGGCGTGGATCCCACAGATCATCGCTGTATTTGTACTGGTCGGTAGTGCGGGTCCCAAGTTTGACACTTCGATTGTTTCGACCGGCTCATCTCAAACCATTGCTGGAAACCGATTGTCGTTCTTTTCACTTTGTCTCTCAGCTTCTGTGGCTTGGGCACCTGCAGGCGCAGACTTTTACGTCTACTTCCCGCCTACCACGTCAAAATGGAAAACTTTTCTAATGACATTCCTGGGCGTGGGACTGGCTCTTACCATCGCTAACGTGATGGGGGTCGGGCTCGCGTCAGGCACTCTGACCCATGCATCATGGGGGGACGCCTACAGCACTTCATCGGGGGCCTTGATCCTCGCTGGTTATGAGGGCCTTGGCGGATTCGGAAAATTTATGGGCGTCCTCGTCGCTTTGGGCCTTATTGCAAACAACATCCCCGGTACATACTCAGCTTCCCTAGGCTTCCAGATTATGGGCCGTCATCTGGCAAGGCTTCCGCGATGGTTCTACTCTTGTGTCGGCGTTGTCATCTACACAGCATGCGCACTCGGTGGGCGGAATCACTTATACGAAGTTTTCGACGATTGGCTAGCGCTGATGGGATACTGGGTGACTATTTATCTAGTCATCGCCGTGGAAGAACATCTTATTTATCGCCGATCGGTTGGATTTGACTGGGATGCGTGGGCAGATCCGGCCAAACTGCCGATCGGCATTGCGGCACTGTTGGCCTTTTTGATTGGTTGGGTTGGGGCTATTGTATCGATGGACCAGGTATGGTATGTTGGACCGATTGCGAAGATGGTTGGCGAGGATGGCTCGGACATGGGTATTTGGGTTGGTGTCGCTTGGGCGATGCTGGTGTACCCGCCGCTCCGATGGGTGGAGCTGAAGAGGTTTCACCGGTGATCGGTTTGTGTAGTTACACATAGACGGTCCTATATTATGAGGAGCATTATATGTTGCTTCTTTGTGCGATGCTAGTAGTCTTAAAATACTCAGTTTCCTAGCCCAGTCTAGAACAGCCACGATCCTTCCCGCCCGGGTGGCGGCCCTCCACAGCCATACCCTGCTATAGCTCCCTTATATTTATCATGGAATATTCTATGAATACGGGCGTCTAATCCGAAGCAAAAAGGTCCAAAGTCTGTTAGATGATCACTCTCAAGGATGAACAACCTGGATTAACTACCAACATATCTTTTCTCTGGCTGTGTCTGACTTCAGAATTATGTGGAAGGGCCTCTGAACCCAGAGTTCATAGCCGTGTTTTGACCTATCGGGAATTGGAATTCCCTCTGTTACACCTTGTTGGGATCTACAGGGCCCATAACCGGTTTTCTGGTTATTTCTCGGTATGACTAAACTATAGATCTGATAGTTAACTTAGTTAACTATTTAATCACTAAGTTGAATATAGTATTGAGAAAGAGAGAGAAAACACTGATACGTAGCGAACAAATGTTGGACATTCACCATAATTCTTAGATCGCTGCCTTTCGAAGTTGCTTACTTTCTTGCAGTATGTAACTACGAGGGTCTTCCCAAGTCGCATCTCAATGGCATCTAAAATTAGATTAGGTAGCATTAAGAAGATGTGGTGCTTGGCGGAGAGATGCCGAGAATAGATGACTTGTTTGAGATGTATCCTGCCTGATCCGATTTCTCGAGCTACGGTGGCATGACGTTAACAGAATCATTTATCCGCCTAATGTCTTCCCACAATCCCTCGTATAACGGTAGAACCTGGTAACTTTCGGCAGCACGTGGATCTTGGGGCGTACAACGCGGGGAGCCCTGCAGCAAGCGGGATCTGATTGGACGGGTCTCGAAAATGTCTTAAATGTAGATGTGGGGTTGTCACCACCGAACTGAACACTTCTTCAGGTGATGTCTCACTTACACATACACATCTAAGACATGCCCAACAGACCGAGGAGGAGTAGGCTTCCGGTCTTCTTACCAGGCCACCAGGTCATGCTGTACAGTTACATTTGCTAATTTAGGGAACATCCGTTTTGAGCAACATCTCTGATGATCGACGAGCTGAATCGGTTGGGATGAGGCCAAGATCAATGACTTCAGAGTGTTAAGAAATACCTTAAATAGCTTCAATACTTCCTCCTCTGAGTTCCATTATTATTAGATCAACACAGAACAGCTTCCATCCCATTCAAACCCTTTACAAACCTCTCTACCTTCCAACCCAAAACCACAAAATCGCAACCATGCAACTCTCTCAGCTCCTTCTGGCCACCATCCTCGCCGCTCCCGCGGCCCTCGCTGCCCCGGTCGCTTCCAGCGTGTCCATGATGGCTGCTAGTCCCGAGTGGACTATCCAGAGCATGAAGCGCGTCTGCGCTACCAATGATTCCTCTTGCACCTGGACCTTCGGCATCTACCCCGGCTCCGGCGATGCTACTGCCTGCAAACTCGTCGTGACTGCCAACACTGCCTCCCAGGCCAATGGCGGTCCTTCATCATGCGGCGACTACACCGTTACTTCTGGCTGGAGTGGCCAGTTCGGCCCAGGCAACGGCTTCACTACCCTGTCCGTTGTCAACAACAAGTCTCGCCAGATCATCTGGCCCGCCTATACCGACAAGCAGCTTGCTGGTGGCAATGTTGTCACTCCTGACCAGAGCTATGCCCCCGCTGCTCTCCCTTAAATGATCAAAATAATCACAAAGTCAGAACTGGGATAGCGAGATCCGAGGGACCCACTGAGAATCTTCGGCTGTGGCGTCCAGTTTTGGATTGACGGACTGCACAAATCTTGAAGTGTACATAATTAGTGAGCCTGCCAAGGCTGAACCCACAGCGACATAATATACGCAATAAATCAGATGCAAATGTTCCGACAATTACAATATAAAGAATGTAGCTTGAGTGGAATATAATTTGTAGCCTTAGGCTCAACAGTCTGGTTAATAGACTCACCTATTATTATAGCTGCAACTGGACCGAATCAGACAACAAACCCTTGAAGCCTGTTACCAAACCTGCGACCAGGTAAAAATGTACACTAAGTTTCTCAGGCCTTGACCCCAATCACACATGGCAAAGACCCAGCAATCCTTCAACCACCAGCCGCAATTGGTAAATATCAGGGCTTTCTGGTTCCCACCCCTTCAGCATTGAGATCACAAGCATTACAGCGTCTCTCCATCGAGATGGTAGGTTAGAGTCAGCCTGCAAAGACCCTGGTGAGGGCGTCGATTGATATGCCCGGTTGTCCTCTGGTACATTGTTTCCATAGTGAGATTCTGATTGGTAATGCAGCTTCATAGCTAATAAAGCCAAGGCACTACGCGTGCAGCTGCGTATTGTTAACCAACTACCTTGATGCCGGTGGAGAAGTCCCTCTGTATTTGCCTCGATTCGACGGACTGCATTCTCGAGGTACTCTTTGGACAATTGCGAGGTGGGCTCGGAGGACACAGATGATAGGTTTGGGATCACCGCTGAAGGATTGGGGTGGCGGTTGTTCAGGATTTCTGAAATGGCAGGGAAGCGGAGTATTTCAATAACATCGATATGATGTCCACGCAGAACCCAGGGCAAGATGTCGTACAGAGGCTCTGTAGACGTTGGGGAGAAACGCATGGAGGGAGGTAACCATCGCAACCTATACTCTTCGATTAGCGTACATCTTGTGCCTGTTTGAATGAAGACTAATTTACCATTCTTGCAGCTGCAGATCGAATTCGATGACGCTCTGCCAGAGAGCAGAGTTTCTATCAGATGTATTTTTCACTTGACCATTGCCGCCATCACTGTGATCATAGCGGTAAGTGAGGACTCGATATTGCATTCTCTTCAACGCAATTTCCCCCAAATAAAAAAGCCATCCGTTGACTAGGAATCCTCTATCAGCTTCTGATGGTGATTGGCCTAATTGAGCGCTATTTTCGGAGCAATCGAAACTGGGAACAGTTGGGAAGATATTCGGATATTGGATACCGCTGATACCAGATCCTGGGAGTCCCAATTCCAGGCGAACTTCACTGAAAAGGAAAAGTAAGCACCATTATACCAACCACGATAGTGTACTTACATCTCACTCTTCAAGCAACTCCAATAAAGTGAATCTTCCAAAGCCCTCATGTTGGCGGAAGTGTCTTCGCCGTTTTCGAAGGCCCCGTTTCCACTTTCTGCATTGGGCTCGTATGAAAACCCGAGTCGTCGCCGACAGGCAAAGTAACCCAGGCACTGGGTACTGGCTTGGACGAATGCTTTCCATGCTGCCATGATGCGCATGGTATACATCAAGTAGACACCTGACATGAAGGCACACTGCACGGAAATCAAAGAGTTCTCACAGTACAGAGCGCCCATGTGATGCTGAGCCCCTTGAAAGTAAAGATCCGCAGATCGAAACTCTGGCGCGTCGCGTGGAACCATAACTTGGCCTGCAGGCGCATGGTCTGTGAGAGATATGGAGATACTGCTGATAGCAAGGACAAGGAGCTTGTAATAGCAGGCCGTCAGGATTCGTCTCCATGCAGATTGGTGTTTTACTCACCAGACGACAGAATCTCCCCCCATGCCTATATGAGGAGTCCAGGAGTTCCTCAGCGTCACGTCGAAGCTCCACAGGGTCAATAATGGGATTTTTGACATTGTTATGTATCAGAAAATTCTCCACCAAATGAAGAATAGTCTGCCGTTTGAAACTCTGGGAATCGTGGCCCAGCGTAGCAGGCGCGATGTGAGTTGACACTTGACCTAACATTTCCACCAGGGTGGCAGAAGTTGAGATCCCTAACTGATCAAGAGATTCTTTGCACACAGGCCATCGTAACATAGCCTCGATTCCCATTTCTTCCGTGGCCCGATACATAACGTCCGGCCCGGGAGGGACATCAAGCAATGACTGAATGCTTGCTACATAGTTTTTGGAGCCAGATCCTGGCGAAGTTCGATTTGAGGTCGTCGAAAGCATGGGGAGATTTTCATGATGAGCTGAGTGATTTGAAACAGGGTCTAGCAGTACCGGCGATACGACATCATGCTGGGTCGTCTGAGATTGATGAACACTCGAGCCGAAGCTCCCAGATTGCTCAGGGCTAATATGCTCCAAAAGCTGACGAGCGCAGCAGTCATGGGATTGATTTGAGACCGCTCTTTCCAGGCTGTCTAATCGTTTCAGTATCTCAATACTAGCCTGATCGAACCTATATTTCAGTCAGCAGGTATGTCAAAACATAAGAGAGGGTCTATTGTAGCTCTTCTTGCCTTTGAGGACTTGGCTGGGTATAAGTGCACTCTCCACCGGTCTTTTTGCAAAAGCCGCAGACAGGCCAAACATTGTCACATTTGGTCTTTCGAGCGCGGCAAATCAAGCAGGCATTGCCTGCTTTGGTGCGCTGGTATGAACCGGCAACTCGAGCAGGAATACCATTCTCTGGTGATTTGCGCTTCCGCCCAGAGCGTGCTTCCTCCATCTCAGGGGAGACGACAGGAGACAAATTAGACGTGGAGCTTGATTCAGTCCGAATGCCTTCACCGAGCAACACGTCCCATCGCGTGGGGAGCGGGGACGGAGGCCGCGGGGCCGACTAAACGTGGACCAACGAGACGGCATCGGGGGAACTACAGACTGCAGCACTAAATACTGCGGAGGCCACCCGTGGCACGAAACATCGTCACGTGATATAAAAACGTGCCTGGACTGGAGGTGGCGAGCATGTTAAATCTTCCTAATGTAGAATAAAAAGGGAGGTTGGAACCAGAAAAGCCATAGGCAGAAACAATTTGAACGCATAAAGTTCAAATAGACTTTCGGTGTACGAGCTATAAGTAGTTAAGCAAGCCACGCGAGAATCAACAGAGACAAGGATCTGGTAAGCGTAACAGTTAAGGCTTAGAGCTCTAGAGACTATTCGCAAGGTTCTAGTCCTACTTCCGAAACTATTATTTGGGCCGAACTTAGAAGGACAAATCAGCGACGTAATTCAGTACTTTGATTTTAAAGCTACAGCTAAGATGCTGTCATATCTACTTCTTCGTTAAAGATCCTGCATTGATATCACGTCATAGTATGTCTCTGCAATAATTAGAATAGTCTACAGGCTCCTCCTCTTCCCCGCTTTCCTACTACAATATTGTAGCGTTCCACCATATAATTCTTCCTCTCTACTCATTCTCCGTAACACTGATGACCGTCGACTTGAACTTCCTGGCAGAAATATTGCGGTTGAACAAAATGTCACTTTCACGATAAGTGCGATGCTTCAGCTCAGGGAGACCGAGGTAGGCCCCGACCCAACAGACGCAAGCAGTACCGGCCCAGACGTAACCGCACTTGCCAGCAAGATCCCAACCAGTAGTGTTAAGCATCTGCGAGGCCAGGTAAATCATAGGGATTTCCACGACATAGTAAGCGGCACGTCCAAGACCGGTACTCAAAGCTCGAAGACGGACCGATGAGGTCTCGGAAATCACGGTGTACGAGATAGGACCGAGGGTACCGGCAAACACAAAAGATATGATGATACCCAGGCAGGCTTGAGCGTAGTTAGTCGAAGAATTCTGCGGAATTGAAGCACAGATGCCGAGAATAATCAGCAGAAGGATGTTGGCAGCTGTGCCCCAAAGGTAGATAGTTCGACGGCCAAACCAGGCCGTAATAGGCCACGAACAGACGTTGGCAACGAATCCCAAACAGGAGTTAATCAGGCTGAGCTCGAAAGAGCGATTGGACGAAATTCCAGCCTCTAGAAGGGAGTCAGTTATCTGTGCTATATTCACAACAGGATTCTACTCACGCTCGAAGAAAAATGTTGCCTGGTTGGCAATGAGGTTTCCAGCCAAATTCTGCGACGCGTACATTAAGCAGATAATAATTGTTCGCCGTAAATCAGTACCCTTGAACATGTCGAAGAATTTCGCATTGCCGCCCATCTGAGCTTCAATTTCAACGGTTCGCTGAACCATGGCAAACGTCTGTTGGGCCTTCTCTGGGTCACCAGTACCGAGACGTTTGATAGAACGAAGGGCCTCATCCTTGCGTCCATGACGAATCAGCCACCAGGGAGATTCTGGAGCGAGGAAGACTAGGATCATAAGTGGGGTCTAAACGGGTCAGTGATTGTGATCCCCTTACACTAGACCGTTCAATTAATCACTTACTGGGAAGATCCATTGCAAAGCAAGAGGCACTCGCCAAGCCCACTCATCGTTCCGCTGGTTATAACCATAGGTGGCAGCAGCAACAATAATTCCACCAATTGACCAACTCATTTGCAGAGTCGCTGTGCAAGCACCTCGAAGAGCAAGAGGCACAATCTCACTGGCGTAAGCTGGACTGTTGGCAATGAAGAACCCCCATGGGACGCCTTCTAATGCTTGTCCGACTGTCAGAACAGCCAGTGAATCGGCCTAGAAAAGTTGGGTTAGAAAATCGCCCACGGAACATCAGGTGCCTCGCCCTACTTACAAAGAAGGAGATGAAGATTGTCGCATTCATGAGGACCAATGCCAGCAATGTAGTCCAGCGATAGCCGAGACGGTCCGTGATGGGTCCAGCGGCCAAAACACCGACAAAGGCTCCGCATTGACCTGCCTGGAAGAGAGCACTTTGCCATCGAGTGGGAATGGCGTAAGTATCGGTTGCCGCATCGAGCAAGACACCGTATTTCCGTTGAAATGCGCCAAGCGCGACAAAGTTGCCATTCAGGAACATATCAAACGACTCCATGACCTGCAACGAGTCAGCGCTTACTCATGTCATATATTTCGTCCATGATATGCAGTATGAATCCCTGCAAGACAAACCTGAAAGCTGGGAAGGGAAACGGACAATGGTAAAGCACATAACGAATGCCCATAAGCAAGCCCAAGGGTGGCTTTTGGCCGCCTCCCATACGCCCATCTCATGCTCGCGATTTTCACCGTCGAAGGCGTCGCCCATGAGATCCGAGGTGGTCACTTTCTCAGAATGAAGAACATGGTGCTTTTCGCCCCGAACCGACTCAGAGTCGGGGGTATTCTGGATGTCCGTGGACATTTTGATGGGTGGCAGTCAGGGATATCCAATGTGTGAACGTGGAGCAGGTACTGAGCCCGGTGAAAACGAAGCCAGCTGGGAGATTTTATATGAGGCGACCCAGTGATAACTTAAAACCCTTGAACCATCTAGCTTTCCCCAGGACCGAGACTGCGGGGAGGTCGGGGGTGGGGCTGGCATTGGAGCTTGTTTGGCTGCCAGCCTGCCATGGTCGGACGGTCCATCTCATTCCAGCGGCCGGTTAAGCTAGCCGATTAGTCGGCAAGGTCAGTACATAGGATTGCAAAGTACGGTTGTATCCGATTAATCAAAAGCAGCAAAAGAGTGGCGGGTTAGAAAAAGAAGGCGTTTTTAGCGCGCCAAGGGGGTAGCCGACATACATTAGCTCTTCGGAGCCTTCCACCGACGTTCCCCGACACGTCCCGCCACCGACGTTCCCCGATGCGAATCTGGAGAAGACGCCCTAGGGAGCAGATCTTGGACATACTACATTACACTTGGAAGCGAAGAGGCTTCTGCATTCTCAGAAGACAGGGACGTTGTATTAGGGGATTTTGATGGGAGCAAATTCCCTAGAACAAGCAAAGTCGCTCTATGATTCGGTGGAATTGAAAGTTAGTGACACTATTAGGGATACGGCGTAACATGATCACACCTTTGCTTGTTTACAAATCTAGCGTTATCTTTCTAACCACGATCAGATTTTTAATCCTACCGTGGTCGCCCAGAAATCCTTGATTATCAAGTCATATTGAAAGCTTAAGTTAGTTGGTTAGCGGTAAAAGAATGTTTATTTCATCTGTACCGATCATATTCGAGACGTAAGACATAAAATAATTATGCGACCGAGTGGAGTTTTGTAGTTTTAATCAATAAAAAAAGACATGAAACAAAAAGAGTTCTATTGTATGATTATCGACATAACTATATTAGATACTGGTATGTGAAAAGCATCAATAAAGTTCGAAGGACCAATTGCATAAGTACAGTTTAACCCAGATCATTAATGAAAAATATTCACAACCACGTTCCAGTGGACATAGAGAGCTGAGCATCGTTAGAAACGGTGCAAAAAATTCGTGACTAGCCAGAAGTTTAACCACGCCACGCTGTAACCCGCACTATCTCACTCAAAATCACCTTGTTTGGGCCAAGGGTGTCGAAAGCTCTAATATCTACAGAATTTACTATACTAGCAGAATGCGAGATGTTGCATTTGCATTACCTAGTCTCGGCGAAGCTATGGCCAATCACAAAAAAAGTAGAAACTCTATGACTGAATGTATTCCGATCGCGTGTCAAAGTCTATCTTGTATGCTGTCTTAATGTCCGTTTTCCAACGCAGCTTCTTTAGGCACGACGTGCGCATAATAGTACGCTTGCGCGCCATCAATGATCACTTTGACCTTTTCGGCGGGAATCTTTGCCTTGCGACCATAAGAGTATAATCCGTTCACCTCTTGTTCCACATCATACCTGGCTCAGATGTTAGCGTGCGACGAGGTTGGAGAGAAGTCCAAAAAAAACTTACAGCTGAGTGTACACAAATCCACACGAATGGCCACCGCGCACAACAGCCATGATCAACTTCTCCAGTCGATCGAGAAGATCCTTGGAGTCAGTGGCGGTGGTATAACCCCAATCCCGTTCACCCGCAGTTGTACCATCCGGGGGTGCAATATTGACACCACCAAACTCGGTACAAATTACTGGAGCACCTGGCGTATGCTGGGTGCCGGCATCGATAAGAGTCGACCCCTCGTAAATTGGTGGGGTAAACATGTCATGCTTCGCCTTCTGATCCAGGATACCCCCTTCCATCTTGGCGCATGACATGGTTAGCTCTGGCGAGTCTGCGTAGTCGTGATATGTGGTAAGATCAGTTATGACATGTTCCCAACCGCAGTTGTCATTGATTGGGCGGCTGGGGTCAAGAGTCCTAAGTGCCATAGTCAGCTCCGAGAATTGACAAAGCATGCAATGGAAATCATCCCAAGTAGCTTACTTACTTCGTCATGTAATATATGGATCGCATGTGATTGCGCTGCTCAACGCTATCTTTCAGCGAAGTGTAACCCCAGCTTTCATTGCCGGGAGTCCAAGTCACAATGCACGGGTGGTTGATGTCTCTTTTTACGGCAGCGATCCATTCGTTATTGAAAAGGTCGGCATGGTTCGTGAACTCGTAAGCGTTCGCGATTTCTCCCCACACTAGATAGCCTAACTTGTCCGCCCAGTAGAGGAAGACGGGGTCCTCCACCTTTTGATGTTTTCGGCAGCCATTGAAGCCCATCGCCATCGACATCTCTATGTCGGCTTTCAATGCGTCCGGGCTTGGAGGTGTCATTCCAGTTTCGGGCCAATAACCTTGGTCGAGGACTAAAGCCTGGAAGAAAGGCTTCCCGTTGATTTGGAATGTACCGTTTCCTGCTCTCCAGGAGATGCTTCGCATGCCTGTTGTGGTGCAAACTTCATCGACCAGTTGATCGCCGATATACAGACGCAGCGTCAAGTCATACAGGATTGGGTGATCCGGTCCCCAAAGGGCAACACCATCACGCGTATACTTGTCGGAATTATGTGGCAATTCTTGCTTCAGTGACGCCGGGATCTTCACATCAAGGTCGAGGTTCACAGAGTCCTTGTCGGCGGGGACGTCGCTTGTGGCCTGGCTAACAAGGACACCAGAAAGGCTGGCTTTAATTTCAACCCGGTATGTAGCCGTGCACCATTTTTTGCCCACCACTGCAACCCGCGCATGAAGCTGGCCATTCTCGATATCATCCGAGCGAAGCACAGTGCCATAGCTACCGCAACCTAGCCGGGTGATAGGCACACTCTCCAACCAAACAGGGAGCCAGATTCCACTGGTCGGGGTATAGTAGATCGACTCTGGAACAGGACCCCAGTATTGCTTTCCGCGCGGTTGGGTAAGGTCGGTAGGTGAATCGCGGACGCGCATAGTCAAACGACATTCGTGTTTGCCGGCAACTGCATCTGAGATGTCCAGATCAAACGGAACATGTCCGCCCTGGTGACTACCGACAAGCTCTCCGTCTACCCATACAGAGCACTCGTAATCAACTGCTCCGAAGCGCAGAACCAGACGATTTCCCTTATCCTTCTCCTCCGACGTTCGAATATCCTTGATCATGCGCTCGTACCAAAGGACCTCATGGGCTTCCTGGATGTCGATTCCTGATGCAGGGGTCTGAAATGCATAAGGGACTTGGATTTCCCGTTTAGAGTGAGCTTCCGCCTCCCAGGGGATTCCCTTCAGTTGCCAGAGTTCTGACAAACCGAGATCAGAATCATCGAAGATGAAGTTCCATGCGCCATTCAGGGAGGCCCAGTTCAGATTCTTCCTTTCGAAATCGGGTCGTGGGTATGCCATGGCCTTGGTGGCGGTTGAGACGGTCGTGGTAAACGAGCGATGGGAGATGTTTGATCAAACAAGGAAAAGTCAAATGACTAGAACGTTATTGAAAGAAGATAAATGCGCTTGGAAGGGCAGACTACGTTTAAATCTTTGATTAGATAATTTACCAGAATGTCATTCAATTGCTGAGAATGTGCCAACAGAAGTTACAGATATGGTAGGCCCAAATATCGGGGAACGTCGGGGCAGAGCACAACTTCCGTTGTGGACCGGGGCCCACCAACAATGCATCGGGCTGTATTATTCCCTTGTCCTACCATGCGACCACAGATTGACCACCTAGCTTCCACATAGCAACTGGGGTAGTGGGGATGCCTCTTGTACCTTCAATCTGCCAAAGTAGGAGAAGCGACCACCTCAAGTGTGGTCATGCAAGAGCCGATATGGGGGCGCGGGTGGAGTGATCGAGTGCCGAAAATTATCCGGCTTTTTGTGCTTTTAGACGTGAAATACCGAGCCGCAGGGATCAGTGAGGAATAATCGCGGAGAGCGCCTAATACCTAGAACTTGCGTTAATCTCAATGTTCATCGACGCGAATTGTTTGATTTGTCTCGGACTCGTGTCACAAGCCCTCATTCCAAAATCATTTTCCCCAGAAAGGCTCCACTTACTTGAGAAATGCGGGGAACGAGGAACGAGAGTACGGGGACCGTCGGCGTAGTTGGCTGTCAATTACCCGATAATAGCCCGAGAGACACCCGTGCACTATGAAGCCCCACGTTGCGAAATACACCCAATACCGATTCTATGACCTATGGATTGACAAGGCCATCATTCGGCCTGACGGCCCGGAACGCGGCCGAGATGGGTTCGCGCAAAAGCGTCTCAGGATTCCTTCGCGGGGAAAAATGGATGTCTTTTGGACTAACGAGATGGACTCTATCTTTCTCAACAATGACCCTAAGTTCATAATCATGCCGACGTCCCCCGATGACCGTCAACCAAGAGCCGAAGCCGAAGCTAAATTAGAACAAGGGCCGTTTAATGGTACCTACCCTTGACCTTCCTTATGTCATTGGCCAGTCTCATGTTTCATTCATCTCCCACTGAATTAAGCGTTGCTTCCATGATTGGTCCCCGCGTTATTCAGAGCTACGCGATGTTTCCCCGAATTGAAATTGTTCATAAAGCTTACAGCACGTGGACAAGAATTACAGGATTATATACACTAAGTGTTCCATCAATATACCTACTGCGCCACATAGTACAGGCTGGGGCCCGTTCCATATAGGTACTTTTATTTATGGGCCAGTTCCTAAAATACGCTCTGCCTTGCGCCACACATGTGCACTGAATAAACCGGCATTCTTACTGCATTACACGTCTCTCTGACGTCAACGCTCAAGGTGGACGGCATGGAAATGCTCTCCAAGCTGCCTCTGAAGGAGGTCACTATGATATCGTGCAGCTACTGCTAGAGGAAGGAGTCGATGCCAACGCTCAAGGTCGACGGTATGGAGATGCTCTCCAAGCTGCCTCTGAACGAGGTTACTGTGATATCGTACAGGTACTGCTAGAGGAAGGAGTCGATGTCAACGCCCAAGGTGGACGGTGTGGAAATGCCCTCCAAGCTGCCTCTTTTCGAGGACACAGTGAGATGGTACAACTGCTGCTAAACGAAGGAGCTGACATCAACGCCCAAGGTGGATGGTATGGAAGTGCCCTCCAAGCTGCCTCTGAACGAGGTTACTGTGATATCGTGCAACTACTGCTAGAGAAAGGAGCCGACGTCAACACCCAGGGCGGAGAGTATGGAAATGCCCTCCAAGCTGCCTCTTACAAAGGACACGAAAGGATCGTGCAGCTACTGCTAGAGCATAGAGCCGATGTCAACGCCCAAGGTGGACGGTATGGAAATGCACTCCAAGCCGCCTCGTACGACGGACACGAAAGGATCGTGCAGCTACTGCTAGAGCAAGGAGCCGACGTCAACGCCCAAGGTGGACGCTGTGGAAATGCTCTCCAAGCTGCCTCCTACGAAGGATACGATGATATTGTGCAGCTACTGCTAGAGCATGGAGCAGACGTCAACGCCCAAGGCGGAGAGTATGGAAATGCACTCCAGGCTGCCTCTTACAAAGGACACGAAAGGATCGTGCAGCTACTGCTAGAGCAAGGAGCCGACGTCAATGCCCAAGGTGGAGAGTATGGAAATGCCCTCCTAGCTAGCTCTTATGGAGGACATGATAAGATCGTGCAGCTACTGCTAGAGCATAGAGCCAATGTCAACGCCCAAGGTAGGGAGTATGGAAATACTCTCCAAGCTGCCTGCTATGAAGGACACAAGAAGATCGTTCAGTTACTGCTAGAGAAAGGAGCCGATGTCAACGCCCGATGTGGATTGTCTGGAAATGCCCTCCAAGCTGCCTGTTACGAAGGAGACGATGAGATCGTGCACTTACTGCTCGAGAAAGGAGCCGATGTCAACGCCCGAGGCGGAGAGTACGGAAACGCCCTCCATGCTGCCTCTGAACGAGGGCACTCTGATATCGTGCAGTTACTACTAGAGAAAGGAGCCGATGTCAACGCTCAAGGTGGATGGTCCGGACATGCCCTCCAAGCTGCTTGTTATGAAGGACACGATGGGATCGTTCAGTTACTGCTAGAGAGCGGAGCTGATGTCAATGCCCAAGGTGGAGCGTATGGAAATGCTCTCCAAGCTGGCTCTTATGGAGGACATGATGAGATCGTGCAGTTACTGCTAGAGGAAGGAGCCGATGTCAACGCCCGATGTGGATTGTCTGGAAATGCTCTCCAATCTGCCTCTTCCGGCGGAGACGATGATATTGTTCACCTGCTGCTAGAGAAAGGAGCCGATGTCAACGCCCGAGGCGGAGAGTACGGAAACGCCCTCCAAGCTGCCTCTGAACGAGGGCACTCTGATACCGTGCAGTTACTGCTAGAGAAAGGAGCCGATGTCAATGCTCAAGGTGGATATTATGGAAATGCCCTCCAAGCCGCCTCTTACGAAGGAAACGATGAGATCGTCCAGTTGCTTCTGGAGAAAGGAGCCGATGTCAACACCCAAGGTGGAGAGTATGGGAATGCTCTCCAAGCGGCCTCTTATGGAGGACATGATGAGATTGTGCAATTGCTGCTAGAGAAAGGAGCCGACATCAACGCCCAAGGTGGATGGTATGGAAGTGCTCTCCAAGCTGCCTCTTCTGGAGGGGTCGATGATATCGTGCAGCTACTGCTAGAGAAAGGAGCCGATGTCAACGTCCAAGGTGGACGGTATGGAAATGCCCTCCAAGCTGCCTCTGAACGAGGGCACTATGAAATCGTCCAGCTACTGTTAGAGCGCGGAGCCGATGTCAATATCCAGGGTGGTTACTACGGAAATGCGCTACAGGCGGCGTGTTCTGAAGGACACGGCGAGATTGTGCGAATGCTGCTGGAGTCTGGAGCTGACGTCATCGCCCAAGGTGGAGAGTACGGGAATGCGCTCCAGGCTGCTTGTTCTGAAACACACGACAAGGTTGCACAAATGCTGAGAGACCATGGAGCCGATGCGGACGCTCAGGATGGCTTTTACGCGAATGCCCTTCAGGCTTCTTGAAGGGAACGGCAGCGGCAATACTCTGTACATTCTTCAAGCAGACTTCGCTTCATAGTCTGCCTACACCATATATTCTATGGGAATTGGTCAGCCACGGCCCAGACAATCCAGATTCTTTTTGAACTCTTTATACGATTTCCTACGCACACCATGTGTACCAATTATACAAAGCGGACTACCATCCTATACTACTACCCGTTCTCCCATTTCTTATTTTCGTCCCATCTAGGCGTTTGTGGCGTGAGAAAATATGTATTTACCGCTGCAGTTTCTAGTCAACATCTTGAACCTGATAATTTCTCCTCTTCATCACGACCAAATATTGACTTCGCAGCGTCTGCAGGTGTGTGTATGCATGATCACTTTTTAGTTGTCGTATAGTCGATAATCCTCAAATACGGAGGCATCCGTCGAACCCCAGTGGATGCTGACAGTCCAGCGAAACTTTGTATGGCAGCCACTCGTACTCTGCTCTTGGCGTTGACATTTCCCATCAAATTTCTCTCTCAGTGCTGTAATCCCATGGTGATCGCGAGCGTTGATGTCGACGCGAGATTCCGCCAAGAGCAACTTCACATGGTCATCATGCCCGTTACAGGCCGCCCACATCAAAGGTGTCCAGCCCGCATTCATTGTCGACTCAGTTAACACCGACATCGTCGCGATCGATCAAAGACTCGAAGACTTCGTAATGGCCATCCCATGATGCACAGTGCAGAGGCACCGTGCCGATAAAGCTTGCTTGCGATGGAGGTGGAAGATTGTTCAGGACTACCGCGCCTATGTGATCCCACGGCAGTAGGTATATTTGGACTGGCGCTTAAGAAACCGTCTTATACCGTCTTGGTGTATTGCATCAGGAGCTTACTTATTCCAAGTCTATAGATTTTCTTTGTAGCTCGTTCTTGGCAGCAGCAAAATCGAAAAGCGCTCGTCAAGTTTGTGTCAGCAGGCTTCAATGCCACTGGGACTCTAATGACTATCTTGCTATCCTCCCTGAGACGCACTAAGTCTTATATGGTAAAGTGGACAGTTAGGGATGTGTATAAAGCACGCTTCTATTCAGGGATTACTTTAGACATCGTCAATATTACTCCATGTATGTCATCGCTCCTCCTAGATGCTATCCCCTCATCTCAAAAGTTTGAAGGATATATAGGTCCAACGCCCACATTTACGAGTAGTGGTACTGTGCTACAGCATTAGTTGGATGGTCTATTCTAGAGTTCAAGGCCTGACAGCAAAATTTGGAGTCATTCCTGTCGCGGCAGCTTCCTGTTGGTGGTTGTTTTGTTCTGGCTAGCTTTTGTCCCTTATTCTCTCTCGTGCCTCGACCTGCCTGTACCGACCAAGCTGCCTTGAGCTTCTCCACTTTATTAGTTAAGTTATGTTAAACATGAATACACTAAACGTGAATCCAAGGGGACATTCCCCCAATGGCGACTCGCTTTTTCTCCTTCAGATCGAGGATTTCATTTTGAGCTTTCTTCAGCTCTTCATCTCTAGCGTGGATTTGCACATGCTGATGATCGATTTCTTCAAATATGACAGACGTGGCTTTGGTTTCAGGACTTGACACCAGCACAGCAAACTGCTTAAAGAAGCTCCGAAGGCCATCGCTATTAAAAGTAGAAGACTTTTGAGCATTAGAAGACATTATGAGAAGGCTGTGTTGTGTTCTGAATAGTCAAAAGACTGTCAGTATGAAGAAGAAATATTTCTTGATCTGTTAAGGAAATAGCAAGGAAGTTCGAATCAAAGTGGCTAGCCCTAGCTACCTAGATATGCCTATGGGCTACAGGGAATAAATATGTCTCTTTATCCTCAGGAGGTCGCAAACCAACCTGTGTTGAGAATGCTATCCTGGATAGGCTAGATAGACTATCTGAATCTGAGCCCGCCGAAGTGTCCGAAACGACACCTATACTAACAGGAAACAAGTGGGCATCAATATCCTGATCTGGTCTCTGGCACATAACTTCGATATGCGCGCTGCTGGATCCCCAGGTTGGGAATTCGGCTGGCACGTTCTCATGCCCCCGCACCAAGGAGTTAATAAGTAGACCCAAAATCATGATGACTCCACAAGCGGTTGCCAAGACCATTCCAAGCGGTGAGTAACCAACAGCTGAGCCATTAAAGGATGGAAAATGCACCAGTTCGCCTGCAGTGTCGAAGCCGATGGTCTGAACCACAAAGAGGCTTTGAGACACGAGCCAATGCAAGACAATCATGATAATCATCAGTGTAATTGAGTAGGTCAATGGTAGTGAGAGTATGTAGGACGATCGTTGCATGCCACTGGGCAAGGACACACGTAGTGGCTTCTTCCCATCTGGTCTCAGAAAGCGTACCCACTGGTCGGCGACAAGCTGGCGTGTCAAGATATTGTTGTAAAGAAGGTAGAGGAAACTGACGAGAAGCTGGACAATGTTGGCAAGGAACACGCATGTGATTAGACTGTAGTCTCCCTTCTCGCTGTTCATCCCGAGGAAGCCAGCATTGACGCCAAAGCCTTGTTTGGCGATGGTTAGCGGAGTTAAGTCAACGCCTCGTGCCTTCCATGATACCACCGCTTGGATGAGAACTACCAAAGGGGCGAGTATTCCGATGATGAATCTAGCGTTACCAAAGTCAGCTTAGGCTCTTTAATACAGTGTCGAAGGTATCCTATAGCACTCACAATAACAGTGATACTGCCCACACCTTCTTGCTCACACTCTTGAACCACGAAATCCGATGCCGAGGGTTCCAGACTTGTGGGTAAACGGACACAGACCGGTGGTTTGATAGATCGCTGCGATGCTCTAGATATTCCGCAACGGCATCACCCATCAAAACCATAGTTCTTTCCACTTTGGATCGTCCTGAGGTCGAGCGAGATGCCAACCAGACCACGGAGATGAGAAAGCATTGTATCAATGTGCACACGCTCACGACAGCGAGTACTTGCACTCCATAGTGCAAGCCGCATTGTTGACTAATGTCGCTCTGAGCACCGACTATGCAGTAATCGACCTGGACCCTGAACGGCCAACCCGGATCCTTGTGTTGTGTCCATGCAAAAACCGTCCAATCATCTACCAGTGTGTTTGCCCACTCGCTAGTACACAACAAAGTCATCTCGTCTCGGTTATAAGCTTCGCAGATCCACCAGGGTGCTCGGCTCCACACATCCCAACCGGTATTCCAGCCGTGGAGGAGAGTGTTGTTGTTATTTTGAGCGGATGTGATATTGGCGGCGACAATAACCAGTGAACCTTTGGAAGTGAGCGGATCGATGTAGGCATCTATGCAACCTTGCTTGTCCAGTCGCGTGAAGTTGTCCATTTCAGCGTACAGAGCATGCACTGAGGCCCAGTTCTTACCGTTAAGAACCGCTGGCAAAGGGTCTAGAGACCAGTCTCTACCTGCCTCTCTGAAGTCACTTGTAAGAATGGCTCGGGCATAGCTAACAACGGGTGTCGAAGTGAAGATGACAGAGTTCCAACTGGAAGTGAACACGCGCCCAAGGTCAGCGGTCTTCATTGACCCAACGTCACAAAGCAGAACTCACAACAAATGCAAGCATACTGAAAGTACCCCCAATCCAAGCCACTGAAGAATGCGGCCCCTTGTTATGTATTTCAGGTTTCGCAGACTCGGTACTCCAATGTCTAGCGAGACTCCACGAGTATGTGCGGCATCCATTTCCCGTCGGGATGGAGCCACCAAGATCTGCATGCAATAGCTCCCGGCACCCAGAAAAAGAGATGATAGGATATTGAGAAAGACGTGTGCAGAACTATCGATTGTTCGAATGTCGGTGCAGTCACCTATGCGCAAGGTCCCCACACCCAGTGAGTCTGGAGGGAAAAGAACAGAGAAACAAACAAGCACAACTATGTTGGTGATACTGACAGCGACTGCCGTGATCAACTGGTTTCGGACCATTTTCGCTCTTTTTGATGCCTCGTTCTTCCGTGTTTTGGACCGCGGTGATGCCTCGTCAAGCTCGGGAATGTATTGACCAAGCATTGCTTTGTTGGCGAATTTGTAGCAAAGCGGGCTCGAACCCTTGGTAGACTCATTGGTATGGGGCCCTTCATCTTCGCCTGGGTTTATTGTACTGATGGATTCTCTTTGCTCTTGGGTTGCTGCTAGATTTACCAGCCTTGGGTCGGTATCATGGTAAATGTGCTCGTTGGGAGGCTCAAGGAGCGCGTCCTCCTCGTGTGCTGGCTCGCGTGCTCGCAGCCCAATGGCCGAAATATTGCTACTATAATATCGGCCGGCGTTCATCGTGTCATCCTCTTTAGGGGGGTGGGGGAGGGGCGCGCTTTCAAAGTCGAAGTCAGCGGCATGTACTTGAGGATTATATACCCCAAGTATTCCATCAATATACCCACTGTGCTACATAGTACAGGCTAGGGCCCGTTCCATATGGGTACTTCTATTTATGGGCCAGTTCCTAAAGTACGCTCTGCCTTGCGCCACACATGTGCACTGAATAGACCAGCATTCTTACTGCATCACACGTCTCTCTCCGGCCTTGGGCAGCTGAGGCGCTCGAAGGCAACCAGAATATCATACGGTGGTGTATTAGCTTGCCTCGTTGTTCCTGTGCCAAGACCTACTGGGTGTAAAAAGAAAGCCACAACATTTTGATCGGCGCAGCTTATACCCAGTCCAAGCAAGCGTGTTTGCTTATGCAGTTAGCTTTAAATGCGTTCGGCGAGACCAGGTGTAGAAAAAGCAAATTATACCTTGGTGCTCGACTGCAAAGTGGCCACATTTGAAGACGTTGGAACAGTGTGACTGGATATGCCCCGGCTTTTGGTATTTCCTGCAAAGCTTCGTCCGGCCTTCGCGGCAAAAGCGCCACGTATTGTGGATTTACTTCTCCTATACCACACCGGTGATGATAGCACGGTTGACCACGACTGGGCTGGCGAATTCGATCAGGATCGAGCCCTCAGCCCGAACATCCGGTCGCGTCACTCAGCCAATATACAGTACTAGATCCTGGCACCTTCGCCCTTATTGTTCTGTCTGAGCAGTTCGGTTGAGAAGTCGGCCATCGTTTTCAGTGTAAGATTCATGGACTTTACGGGGATGTAATATACCATGACTCCCCAGGACGGCTCCGAGATTACCGAGCCAGGCCCGAATGCCCCTATTCAAAGTATCTCGGCCCCCGCGGCACTGTTAGCAATCATCACCACGTTGTCTATAGTAGTTTCGGAGCTACTTCTGAATAGTTTCCTGCGACGATATATAGTACTAATAATCTTGGTAAAGTTCTGTTGAATATTTAAGACTAGCTCGTTCAAAAGCCATCGCATAGGATGTAATCCTTAATGTCCAATCTGGTCTTCCATCAATATGCTTCCCTACAACTTTCGCAAAAACTCTAGAGTCCTTTGCCTGTCTTCACCACCGAGCAATTCATCCTCAACCTATTCACGTGCACATCTTTCTGCATACAAAGCGGCGTCACACCATGTTGATAAAGACACGAGACAGAGCTGTCACGCAAGAAGACTATGAGGTCAGTGGCAGTCTAACTGCAGCATGATTATGTGTTTCCAAAGAGGGTTCCAGAAAAGGATCTTTAAGAGCAAAGCGGTGGAATTTGATTTCGAGCTGCCCTATACTAGCGTGTTAGGGAATGCCTTCAGAGCGGGCTTACACACTTTAGCGGCCGAACGAAATTAGGGTTCATTCTGAGGCCATGTAAAGGGATAAATGCAGCATACCAGGCCAATGTAGGATGTTCTCAAATCACAATTCTTAATATGGTCGCGCGACAGACGGTGAGTCTCACCCAGTCTCACCCGCTCTCACCCCTCATTTCACCCTGTCTATTGTGCACTCACCCTCGCTCACACCACTTGTCCCGTGACCGCCGCACTGACCCTCTTAGTTGAACTCTTATTATTATTATTTGGTCGCCTTGTGCATTCTAAAAAAAACCAGTCTCCAGTCTTGGCACTTACACACAGCCACCACACGAGATGCAGGTTCGATAGAACCAAAGCGGCTGTTTGTCTAGCTTCATCTTTTTTTTTACTCGTTGGATTCGGTGCCCTTGCTGCCCTATCCTTCCAGTCCCTTCAGTGCGTTCAAAATGAGCGGTCTGAAACACAAACCATTCTATTCTGTATCTGTACCTGAACGCCCTGCACCCCGTTGAAGCGCGGACGTGTCCATATATTGATTCAGCATAAAGGCGACTCCGTCGTGACTATCGGTGCTCTTATCACTATTCTATCTCTTGGATTTGATCCTTTTGTCGAGCAAATTCCGACATACCCTATCAAGGGGTTATATGGAGAAGACCATGAGCGTTCGAACTTCGAGCGCGTCGGGAAGCCAAATATAGAACGCAACTGGTATAGTGTCACCTGCTACTATTCTTGCCTATTTATGGGGTCCAATCTTCAAATACCAACATGGCCGATCGACAAGGGCCTGGAGAAGGTGATCCGAGGGTGTGCAGATGGTGTGCAGAGGGTGTGCAGTGGGTGAGGCTGTGAGTAGCAGTGAGAGGAGCTGGGATGCGGTCGGCGAATCACCCACGATGATTATACCTCAAAAGACAAAGCAAAGAGCAAAAAAAGTGGATCTCAAGACTTGAAGGGATTAGCCGCCCGGTCTCAGCCTTTGCATACAACCTGTTGCAGAGATCCTCTGATTGGGACAACACATCTTGTGCCAGAGGCTGCGCGGCACCTGAGCTTCTGCACCTCAGCAAGTCTGTACCACAAAAGATGAGGCTGATATAACAAGAAGAGTCAGCATGACTCGATCACTAAGGTTAGGTCACGTATAAGAAAGGACCCTAGGCATACTCAGGGGTAACCCATGGCTATTCACTTTCTACCGAAATGGAGAGCACCGAAATCCCTTCACCTCATGACCCAACACCGCAAAGTCAAGAAGACCTCTGTCATCATGGGGAAGAAAACGATACAAGGCAATCGCTTCAAATAGAAGAGACTCCACCGGCCGATGAGACGGACGCTGCGTACCAGCGACCCGATGCGACAAACACTCGGATTTCATTTCAGGAAGAAGAGGAAAAGTTCATACCGCTGGAAGAGACTCCTTCAGGTTATCCGGAGCTAGACTGGAAACCACTCGTCCTACAAAACTGGTGTCTTTTTTTGGCCACCGCTTTTTTTGGGGCATGCATGACCGGACTGGTAATTATCGTCTGTTTAAACAATATCGCACCCGAAATGCTGCACGTTGCCCAGACCTCTAGCCGGCTCGCCTTTCGCTACGTGCCCGCAGCCGCAGGCACCGTCACGACAGTGTGGTGGGGGTCCGTGGCTCGATCCTACCTCCGCCTCATCCCATACATCACCATGGCATCTGCATCGACTGGCCTTAGTGGCCGAGCGCCGCAAGGCCTACTCACCTTGCGCTCTGTGAGCAATCTATTGGCTTTTTTCCCAACACCAGCCGCTTTGGCCCGTCTCATCAAGGAACGCCATATCCTCACCATGGTCACTTTCTCAACGTCGTTTCTGGTGATCCCTTTTCTCACGCCGCTGAAAAACGCCCTGTTCCAAACCACGCAAGACCCCGCGGGATGGTCAATCACCGTTTCAAATAAAGTCGCCTATATTGCTATCACGGTATACAGTCTGCTAATGGGAACCACCATCAGCATACTGGTGCGGCTGTGGTCGGTGCGCACAGGTTTGAAGTGGGAGGCTAGCTCAATTGCCTCTCAATTGGCGCTCGTGCAGGGTTCCAACATTTACGAACCTTTCTATGGACTGGAATTTGAGGACCCTAGTCACCTCTACAGAATTGCGGGATCCTGGCATGTGGAGTATGGCGTGCTGCGTCTCGGCTACTGGATGGTTCTCCGCAACGGAGAAGAGACGATATGGCATGGTGTCAGATTCTACAAACCAGAAGGTGCAATCACTCAGATGATCATTAATGGTAGAAAGATGCTGATAAGATCTTCAGTCGTTGAACAACCTCCAACTCCACGAGACGAAGCTGAAACCCCAACCTTGGAACAGCGAGGGACACACGAGGAAGGAGGAAGTGCATCACCATTTCTGGGGGACTACAATGTCACGTTCTCCCGTAACATCGATGGTCAGAGTACAGATCTGGACAAATAATGAATAATTTTGAACTCACAATATACAGAAGCGCCACTTCACGCCGATGGATACTACGTTGACCACCCAGAGCGCTTTCGCTATAGAACCGTCTACTTAAATCACATCGATAGTGTACTGGCATTGATACTCGCCATTGGGTTGGCTTTTGTCGTCATCTGTATTTTCGGCATGTCTCGAGGCATCATTCAAGATGGGTTTACTTTCACACCCCCAGCCCCCATGGCCGGCATTGCACTGGTGCGAGAAATCCTCTTCGCCTTCCTGCCTTCCGTACTTTTCAGTTTATTCTCCATGGAAATGTATGCCTCGTCCTATTTCTACCGCTGCCTACAACCTATAGCCAGCATGGAGACCCCTGTCCCAGCCGAGGAGAGCGTGTTACTCGACTATATTGGTCCAAACGCAGCCAGTGTCACCCTAACAGCCACACTGAACAAACATTGGCGCGTGGCATGGTTTACCCTTCTCGCCACCCTATCCAGCCTTCCGCCGATCCTCATCGCAGGCACATTTACAGCCAAGGAAGCGCCCGGTGGCTGGCATATGACCGTCGCCCCAGCCAGCTTTTACACGCTATTTGCCGTGCTGGTCGTCTACTGCATCTCCCTCGTTTTCTCTAGACCGCCACCGGAGTATCGCACCCTCATCATTATCCCCACTCTAGCGGAGCTCTTGACCCTCTGCTATGATAGTCATATAATGAACAGCAACGAGTTCTATGCCCAGGACCCGTCGGACCGTGAAATCCACCTTGTCTCGAAAGTGCATCTTGCGAAGCGCAAATATCATTTCGGCCTCTATTTGGGCCGAGATGGGAGACGGCATCTGGGGTTTGATGCAACGAGTGAAAAGGCGATCGAGAATGGTGTGTCCCCGGTATATGGGATTCGGCCTGGGAGGGCTATATACCTTTCAGGCAAGCCAATCTGGTTTCGATATCCGAATGTGTCATATTCAGATGGAGAATAGATCCTCTGACTTGTGGGCTCTGTTTTGGGTTCCCCTGTAATATATTTCATTAGAATATACGGCCACTACGCTTTGCAATACATCACTGCAGGTATATGTCACTATATTTTAGGAATGGAAAATATAGGAAATTAGTCATATTCATGGTATATTCAACTTGTTATCACACCGGTTCTCGCCCAGTCTTTATAACTGAGGCTTCTATCATGAAGCTGCCCAGGCAAAGGCGAGGTGGCATAGGGAAATACATAAAAATCTTAAATATGAACACCCTCGCTAAGATACCATGGGCGCTTGCAATCTGTCTGGTTCTGGTCGATCTCTCAATCGCCCAGTTACTGCTCGGAGAGCACCGTACCACAAAAGGTGACTTTTTGATAGACCTCTTCTGGGTCATGTAATAGTTTCTCTACAATATAAATCAACGTAAACGTGTTGTATGTTACTGAGAGACGGGTGCTGAAAATTCATAGAAAGATACAGTAAGATGAATATTTTCTATTCCGCATTCGCCAGAAAGTGAAAATCCTTTTCAGAGACATACGGATGCCCGCCCTGTATGATTTCATCAAACCGGCGACCGATTCGAGTATAGTTTTGTCCAAAGCGACCGAGTTCTTTCAATCTGATCGACACCCAATCTTGGTATATTCGGTCTGATGTTGCAATGCCAGCTAGGAATAAAGGCCATGTAATGCGAACAATCAGGTGCGGCCTGGAGCGATGTAGCTTTAGGCTCAACTCGAGAACCAGCGATACTGCGGAAGAAAGAGGTATCAGTTTGGTGTGGACCTGAGTTCCCGGATGTTTGTTGATGATGTCCTGGAAACAAAGGTGGAAGAGGACAATGGTGCTGTAGAATGTAATTGCAGCCCAGTGGCTTGTCTCCAAAACCCGGCGAACTTCACCAATATCGCAGGACTGAGAAGATCTGACGGTTGTAAGGACGGTGTCATATTCCTGTCACTGGTTAGATGCTGAAGAAGAAAGGTGTGTGGGCCCGGTGGTGACCTACCAGCGCGATGACGTTGATCTCATTGATGATTTTCTGGTAGGGGGATACTTCGTCCACTGTTGTCTCAGTAGGTGCGCCTCGCTTGAATTGTTCAGTGATCTTGAATTGCATGACATGACTCCGATGGTAAAGGGTCAGTGCCGGAAGATTCTCCATGTCATCCAATCGGGCAGACATTGGGTATGTCTCGCCCCAGAATCGAGAAGGTGACTGTCTACTAATTCGATATAGTTCTGCCAGTGTCAAGGGTATTGTTTCATCGGTGTCGTTGCCCAGGAAAAAGTGAAATATATCCGAGTCCAGACGCCCAGTCGTAGGCCCGAAAAATAATGCTGCTGGGGTGAAGAAATATAACGTCCAGAGGAGAAAGAGAGGTACTGAGGTACATCCAAGCCCCTCGGCAGAATCTGGCTGTGAAATAAGTGGACCAGAGCTGGCTTCAGCAGCTTGTTCACCGGTGGCTGGCGATATAAGATCCGCTGGTGGACGGACAGAAGAGGTCCCATTATGGAAGGTGAGGGCAGGAGATGACTTCTGCAGGGGTCCAGAGTGTTCGTAGTGCTGCTGAGCGCGGCCCCTGAGAAATGGGACAACATGATTGTGAAGGAGGCTCTCAATGCCTCTGATATGGATGTTGATCGCCGCAGCACCGCTTCCAAAGCGATTCTCGTAGTCGATCATCAACCACAAAGTAATGAAAATAGCCTCGATTTTCTGTGGCGATTTGACACCGGATCTCAGGGCTTGACGAAGGCTTGATAATGCTCGACCGTAATGCATCCGCCCGTCGAGCTCACAGGATTCATTATTAGCCCCGGAACCTGAGTTCAAACTGCTGATAGAAAGCGCCTCCTGATCATAAAGTCGTGATCGATGTACCTCCCTTGCAGTACTCGCCAGCATCATACTCATGACCATAGGCTCATTGACGGCGATTCGGTGGTACGCGTACGAGATCGTAGACCATGGCCAATGCTTGCCGAGGACGATGACGAGGGTTGAATTTTGGAGGTAACTGAGACAATCTCGGTCAAAGGCAGATAGAGTCAAAGAGTTTGCCGCTTGTAGGACTTGATTACGGTCCCCATTTCCTATTCTATGCAACGGAAGAAGTGGCGCTTGGCAGGAATTGACAGATTGCTGCGGGGGAAGTCGTTTTCGACCAGCTTTGTCGGACCGGCCAGCATCACGCGGGGATGGTTTCTCGGGGTTGATTCTCAAAGTCGAGGATGATGCAGGAGAGGAAGTCTTGCGCGGAATAGGTCCGCCTTTCCACTCGCATTTGATGCGTGCTGCTGTGCATCGTCGGCACTGAGGCTCCTGGCCTTCGACTGGATGCTTCTCCTCGTCGCATTTCACTTTACGGATGCGACATGTTCGGCACCCTAGCCAAATCTATCAGCTATACCCTTCGCTAAAGGACAATCTCCAAGGTTAATCAAGGGATAAGCGGCGTGTGGATCCCTACCGGTCTTGGAACGTGTCTTGCCCTGCGTATGCATCTTCTGGGTACCGACCATGACAGCCGTCCGGACCCCATCTGGTGCTAGAGGATCTTTATGGGTCCGTTCAGCAATATCGGGTATGCAGCTCAGTAGTCTGGGGTAATTCTGTTGCGCGAGCTTAGGCGAGCCTATCGCCAAAGTGGAGGGTGACTGGCACTTTCAGGAGATGTCGAAGGAGAAATGGTCCAGTAGAGGCCAGGGAAGTGCTGTGCCTTATCTGCCGAGTGGAGGCAACCAGACTTGAAAATTAACGACGATAAGAAAGAGAGTTGCCGAACCAACGCTGCCGATTGGCTGTGTCGGCTACGGATCGCTAACCATATCAAGAAAGGCGAAGCGTTGCCGTTGCCGAGTGGAACTGGACTGCCAAGCGGGGAAATGGTGAGCTCAAAGATACCAAATTATGTAAAGTCAAACGCGAGACCCTGATAAGTCCAGCATTTCCTTCCTATAAAATTATACGCCGCAATCTTATCATTGCGCGTACCTCTCATCCCTGTCAACTTTGATCAAAGTACGCAAAATGCATGTTCCCGAGGCGCAACGACCCTTCCTGGAGAGTGTTCAGGAAGCACTTCGACGTTACGATGAGCAGCTGAAAGATATCAACCACAAGGTATGCAGTCCAGTAGGAAGTAGACTTACCTGACAGTTAACCTCGTTTAGATTTGGTCGAATCCTGAACTTGCCTACCAAGAATACCAGGCTCACGATCACGTCTGTGAGCTCTTCAACAGCCTCAAATCGAGTGGCTATCAAGTCCGTCCCAAGGCATACGGTCTCGAGACGGCTCTTGAGATTGAGTTTACTCACGGAAGTGGCGGACGTGTTGTTGTGTACAATGCGGAATATGGTAGGGAGCTTTGGACCAACATCCCAAACAGGCCAATATATATTGACACAAGTTAGATGCCCTCCCTGGCATTGGTCATGCCTGCGGCCATAACTTGATTGCAACAAGCTCTATCGCAGCTTTTATTGCAACATGCGAGGCGATGAAGGCACAGGCACAGTCTTCCGGCATCTCGGGATTCACCGTCCGTCTTCTGGGTACTCCAGCTGAAGAATCTGGCGGTGGTAAAGTGAAATTGATCGAGGCCGGAGCCTACAAGGACGTAGACGCTTGCCTGATGGTGCACCCAGTTCCAATGTCACCTAATCGCCCTGACGTGCATGGTGTTGCGACCGTCGTTGAAGGAGGATATTTGGCCAACGACAAAGTCAAAGTTACATATACTGGAAAACCGTCGCACGCAGCAGCGGCGCCCTGGGAAGGAATCAACGCCCTTGATGCGGTGGTCTCAGCATACGTGAACATTTCTCTTCTCCGACAACAGATCTTGCCATCTCAAAAGATCCACGGTGTCATTGTTAATGGAGGTGCTCGCCCGAACATCATCCCGATGTCCGCATCTGTGGATTACTACATTCGTTCTCCAACGAAGAAAACCCTGAAGCCTTTGACGGAGAAGGTGATGCAATGCTTTGAGGCTGCAGCCACTGCGACAGGCTGCAAAGTGGAATATGAATGGTATGAACTCCACACATCATCAGCAACTATCATTCGTCTAATAGAAATTTTAAGGGGCGTTGGGTATGATGACCTGAAGGCCAATATGCCCATTTGTGAGAGCTATGTCTCAGCAATGCGGGCAATGGGTCACCACACTCTGCTTGATAACTCTGAGCAGAAGGGCGCACTCGCGGGGGGTTCAACTGATATGGGTTCGTCAACCCCCTTCCCCCGGGTTTCTGATTTACCGCGGCTAACAGCACATTAGGCAATGTATCGTATGTCGTACCTGGCTTCCATGGCGTTTTCTGTATCCCAGCCAAGGGCGTCAACCATACCCCCGAGTTCACAAGTGGGGCGGGCTCCCCGGAGGGATTTGAAAGGGCTATCGCCTGTGCTGCTGGAATGGCCGTTGTCGGATGCCAGGTGCTGGTTGATGACAAATTTGCCGAGGCAGTCAAGAAGGATTTCCAGCGTGAATGATAGGATAACTTACTGTAGCTGTGTAGCCGATAATCTGAGACAAATGAAATTGATAGTGCAAGTTTTCCTCCGGCCGAGGTCCTGATAATCAGATCTAAGGATCCAGACATGAGAAAAGATCCCATCAAATGGAGCCGCCTGAGCTACCTAAGACCCACCCTTGTTATCTGGGGAAACCAGCTTAAATTCTGTTAGACCCCATCAACTTATCAGAACGACTAGCCTAGACTATCTATTTCTCCCTATCTGCGTGGCCGCCATGGCTTTAAACTCGCCAAGCCACAAGTAGCCTTGCCGACCGAACCAATGATGATGGACCCGAGGAAACCAGTCATGAGCACAGACCTTTATCTAAGGATTGACTTTGCGGGGTTCTATGATTATCTTGGAAGCCAAGCAAAAGGTCACGTTGGTATGAGGAGATACCGATTGTCCAAGCTTAATGATGTATAAATAAGGCCCTGGGAGCCAGGTTCCTTGAAGAAATTAAGTCTTTCATCTTGTTCAAAACTCCATGAAATAGTTGACTGAGACAATGGCAGGAACACTCGCTAAGAAGGAATTTGGCATTTCCGGTAGAGAAATGGACCAACAAAGCGTTGACAATGGAGCGCTTGAGCAACTCCAATCCTCATCACCCCATTTCTCCTCTGCTGCAGAGAGAAGACTTGTGCGTAAGATTGACTTCACGTTCGTACCTATACCTTAGAAGCCTGCGAAATCCCATCTATACTGACACTGTTTTTTAACAGAATTCTCCCGATCATGCTCGTGGCCTATATGATGGCCTTCTTGGATAAACAGACGCTAAGCCATGCTGCGCTCATGGGGGTTCGAAAGGATCTTCACTTGATTGGAAATCAGTATAGCTGGACATCTGGAATCTTCTATTTCGGATATCTGTTTTTCTCGTGAGTCAACATTAACACTCCTCATCTGGTCACGGGTTTCTGACGTTTATGGTCCAATAGATATCCGGCCTCATTGCTCATGATCAAGTTTCCTCTGGGAAAATTTTTGGCCGTCAACTTGTTGGTCCTCTCCATAGCCCTGCCTTGAACTTTGCTAACAAATGACAGTATCTTATGGGCCATAGTTCTTGCTTGTCATGCGACTACGAAGAACTTTGCCACTATGATGGTAGCTCGGTTTTTGCTTGGATGTACTGAAGCAAGCTTATCGCCAGGGTTCACTCTAATCACCTCTCTCTGGTATCGCACATCTGAACAGCCCCTTCGTGCCGGTATCTGGTTCTGTGGAAACTCGCTTTCTCTTATTTTCGGGAACCTCATCGCAGTCGGTATTTTGCAAATTAAGAATAGCCTCAAGGCATGGCAAGTGTGTTTGATACTTCTTCAAAACCGTGAGAACTTTGCTGATTCCATTCGTAGTGGCTTTTTATCATCTTTGGGCTCGCTACTTTTCTGTGGGGCACGCTGATGCTTTTCCGACTTCCGGATTCACCTACAGATGCTAAATTCCTAACGGAAGAAGAGAGGGTGATAGCGATTGAGCGGATGAAAGCAAACCAAACCGGGTATAAAAACTCACAAATTGATCGCCGTCAGATTGTTGAAGCTTTCACAGACATTAAGACCTGGCTCCTTGCAGCCTTGATTCTTGCTTGCAATATTCCCAATGGCGGGTTCACAACTGTGAGTGACTTTACACGCCTCAGATATTTCTACAGATCAAAATCTAAGAGACCTCAGTTCAGCGGATTGGTCTTGCAAGGGTTTGGCTTCGACACTTTCCATACACTGCTACTCGGACTTCCTGGGGGTTTTATTGTGTTTGTATTCGTGTTGCTGGGGTAAGTTTATCTATAATTTCCTGCCAACGAGAATTACTCATCAATCATTGTAGGGGCATTGTTTCCTCAAGAGTACCCAACAGTCGATGCCTAGTCATGGTTGGCATGATAATGATCAGTATCCTTGGAAGCGCATTGGTCTATGCTGGGACTTCTACTGCCACACGCTATGCTGGTCTTCTTCTGATGGGCGTTTACTCCGCTAGTATGCCTGTATCATTGGCAATGATCAGTTCTAACGTGGGTGGCTTCACGAAAAAAACAACCGTCAGCGCTATCTACTTCATCATGTATTGCACTGGCAATATCGTCGGACCGCAGCTCTTTTTCGCACGTGAGGCCCCAAAATACCAGGTAAGTTCATATGTTTCAGCAATAATTCATTTTTTGCACTGAATGTTCATACTAAGTTCATTATAGAGCGGGTTCATGGCTATAATCATCTGCCTCGTCATCTGCGTCATCGTTGGACTTGCCTTGCTGTTTTATCTGCGATGGGAGAACGGTCGGCGAGATAAGAAGAGCGTGGGTGCCGTGGCTACCGGTAACGAGGAGAAGTACGGCGGAGCAACTCAGAGGGAGTTGATGGATACCACAGATTTGAAGAATGTGGAGTTCCGCTATGTGTACTAGTGTCGCGTGGAAAGGGATCAATTCTGAATATTGGATATTTTTCCATACATAGATCAGGCTCAATCCCTATATATTCTATGAATTTCTCACAACGCCACTTCCATGATAGGGCCCTGGTATACATTCCGAGCCCGTAAAACATAATACGCAATGGCGAAGATGACAACGCCAACGGTTCCTACCACGCTGAAATTCACGTTCTCGAGGCTTGGATTCATCAACGGAGGCCAGAAACTAAAGAAGATGATTATGACCATGTAAATGCAGGCATAGATGTTCACCAAAATACCTAGGAGACCCGGCATGCGGAACGGTCCCCAAACTAGTGGTGCGCCTGGAACATTGATCAAAGTTACCTCACTCTCACCATACTCGGTAATATTACCTCGACAACGGCGATAGAGAAGTAGGACTGCAACGATAAGATATGATGCATAGAGACCAGACACGGCCATTGAGGTTATATCATTCAACGCAACGGCTGAGCCGATGTTGATCAGGCCGAGAAGCCAGGCGACGGTCATGGTAAGATAGACGGAGTATGCGGGAAGGTGTTTGGAAGAGACCTTAGACAAGTTTAGTTGGTGCCAAATTAATAGCTCAGTTGCGCCTACTCACCCGACTCCACAATCGCCACCCTGGGACACCTCGATCACGCGCAAACGACCAAAATTGGCGTGATGTTGCAGTGAGCATACCAACAACTATACAAACGGCCATGATAAGATTGATCGAGACCATAGCCAAAGCCCCGGGTATAGAGTTCGTTGCTTGATAGAAAATTTCGATGTAAGGGTAGCCGGTCGGAGTGTTCAATGCATCGTCGATATTACCGAGGCAGAAAAGCATTGCTATCAACATGCCAAATCCGAGAGACCCATTGATTGCTACACTGAGCATGATAGCGCGCGGAATTACTCGTGAAGCATTGGAAACCTCTTCAGCCATCTATAATACCATTAGTCTTTGCCCAAGTGGACCTCTGGAATCTTATCACTTACATGTACCGCAGCATCTCCGCCAGAGAAAGCAAAAACACAGCCAGTCATGCCCACGAACCAGGACAGACCTTGGCTAGCAAAGTTACCTCCATTGAGGAATTCTGTGAAAACTTCTTCCTTTGTCTTGTGATCCGACAAAGTTGTCAACGGGATGAGAATACCGAAGAATCCCAGAATATGAACGACCAAGATGAGATTTTCGACTCGTGGTAAAAACCTGCCTCCGACTAAGTTTACCGCAAGCGCAAGAAGGAGACTGGCCCACATGATAAGTGTACCATGCCAGGCCTCAGGTTTGTAGTATTTGTGTGCAAGTATTGCAGCGCCTTGAATCTGTGTCCCGGAAAGGTAAGCCGTCGATGCAAACGCCGCTTGCCATCCAATGACAGCCAGCCAACCTATGGAATCTATCAATATGGAGGTAAGTGAAGACTTTTATCTGACGCTTACCGGTAATATAGCTGGTGAACTTCATCGTACTGCGTGGTGAAAGCATCGCACACCAATGATATTGGCCTCCAGACGTGGGAGCCCTAGACTAGGGTCAGCCAAGAAATGATTTTGATGTGTGGGAAAACTTACATTGAGGACAGTTCCGACAGCAGCAGGAAACAAGAGATAGTTCCTACCCAGGCGAAGATAAAAGCATATATAGCGCCCGCGGAACCGCCACTATTCTCTGTCAGCGATGAAATGTAAGGGTAACAATAAACAGCACGAACTTAGTCAAAGCAATGATAAACGTGCTATAGAATAGTTAGCTTTCAGAGGCACAAACAGCGTTGTGGTCGTTGATCATCTCACTCGAGGATTCCTTCCCATGTTCCTATAATTGTACAGCTGAAACCCAAAATGGAGAGAATACCGAAAGTTCTCTACCGAGTATAATCAGTAATTAACCATCACCTTAACTCTTAACAAGAGTCAAACGTACCTTTAACACTGGGTTTTTACCTAGCCTTTGAAGCTGGAGATTATCTCGGTCGCGAACAGAAGGACAATCCGAAGCCTCATGATCGTTGTATATTGGCGCATTCTTCAAATCATCAGACACCATTTTCGCAGATAATTTGGCTTTTACTCAATTCACAGAATGGGAGAATAAATTTCGTGGGAGAGTGAAAGAACAGAGTCGAAGAAAAAGGAAGAACAAAGAGACTGGGCGAAAAGAGGGGAATTTAGGCTAGGACCGAGCTCGCTTCTGCATGATCCCGGAACTTGTACTATTTGGCAAGTTAGCAGTTACCACTACAAAATGTACTATTGTGAAGATAACCATCTAGACTATACCTTGCTGATGACTGGTAGAGTGAGGTCAGATTGAGGGGAGAGGTTTGTGACCAGCTTGTGATGCCGTTCAGCTAGTAAGCCAAAGTTAGCATGAGTTTCCTAATCAGGAAGGTGAACCTACTGTGATGCTTATGATTTAAGGTTAAAGTAAGGGCGGTACCCCAAGCGGTCACATTCCAAGCTCGGCAAGGCCGGAGTGAGCTGACCTGAGTTTATACAGGGATTACTTGTCAGCTTGAAGGGCACCTATCGTCCGCCGCTTGGGTGGCTAGGGTCATGAATAAGCAATATGAAATTTGAATCATATGGTCACATTGGGGACCTGATTTTGGACCTACGCTATCTCAAAACCTAACATAGCGCAAAAAACCCCTGAGAAGGGCATAATACAAAGGAGATTCAGGGGCCGCAATTATGGCACGTGGAAAATGGATTTAGAGCTCGATTGACTCGAAATAGGCGGAATCAAAAATTTTCTCAACCCCTGCTTGTGGTCGTTAACATGAAGAAACCTTTGCGTTCCCTCCAGGACCTAATCCTGCACTTGTATGGGAGCCGCTTGCAATAAGAAAGGCAACATAGAAACGCATTCGAAATCGCTAATTTCGAGACAAACACCTCAATTCTCATTAATGAGTGTTGGGTTTGACAATTCGCGCAACACCCACTCTCGGTGGGGACTCGACTCACAGGCGACAGCAAATTCCGCTGGCGGATCAGTTTAAAAAAGAGGAATGTAAAGTGTTTCGCAATTATGGATAGCGTAAGGAACAGTGTCGCGACCTTGAAGTTTCTGGGACGATACTTGGAACATTTTGAGCTGAGTAACAAGCCCAACCGTCTTTGGGAAGTTGACAAATTTCAACACCGGTCCAACCATGTCCTTGTAAGTCCATCGGCTGATATGAGATACAAGGAAATGGTAACGACAGCAACAAAAGTCCGCGCAGGTACTGCCCGGGGTATCGTTATCTCACGATCTCAAATACTTGCGATACAGTGACGTTCCTGCTGATTCCATCCAGTTTGGTGCTAGTTGGCTCAGAGCGTACACTAGAAATGGAGTTCTGGCGGTGTTCGGGACCAGCAGCAGTGGAGATAAGATGTGCTTGATCGTTTTGGCTAGGCAGGAAGAAGTTTTCGGGAGTTCGTTGGGCAGCAGAGCGACCGGAATGCATTTGCCAGCTTCCCAGCTCATGGCTTTTAGAACAATCGGTATTGTTGGTGTTGCTTCGCATGTTTTTCACAGCGGTGAAGAAATGGTTCATCGCAGGTAGGCAGGCACAGATTAAACCGATACCTGCTTCGGCGTTACTATTGAAACTATTTGGTTAGTGGTGACTCTGTGATAGGAAATATCGGGAAAAGAATAGATCATCCTTACGCAGTCAGAACGCAGTGAATCCAAAACCATGTTGTGTTCGTCGTGTTGCTTTCCACCACCATGATCACCAGTCGCCAAATACTGAAGCCCGTAGCAAGTCCCCCAGCACCCAAAATTCCAATGACTCGCATCTTTTTGGCCGATGTCATCTGGAGTGACCAGATCAATGGGACGGGCAAGACTAAAATCCATAAATCGCCAGCGATGCTGATAACAGAGTCGGCTATAATAACCTTCCGCTGGTCGAGACATTTGCCGCCGTTGAGTGTACCCAGCCAGTATGCTGAGATAGGTTCACAGAAGAAGATCTTGATAAATAGTGCTGGAATGTAGTAGCACAGCATGATGACAATGCTGATGTAGATGACTTTAATCTTCCGGCGATGTGGAGCGAAAACTCTTCCCATGACAGCTAGCAGCGCGACCTTGATGATGAAAACCATCGGAACATAAATCAGCGTAGTTGCGTATGAAGCCTGAGTTCGAAATGATTTCCTTTCTAGTCAGCGAGCAGAAACGATAGTGAAGGGGTTCATTCAGACTTTTTGGAACTTGATGAACTCGGTTTCAGGGACATCCCAAGCATTATATCCACCACCGTAGGAATTGACTATATTATGATTAGCAATGACGACGTCGTTTACGTGGAAAATAAATCCGCACGTATAAGCATGCATGCGCAAAACCCCATAAATAACGCCTTAGAAGTAGTCAGCCCTAGAACCGACCAACAGAAGGCTGAAGGAAGCCATACCCATCCAGCAACTGTCAAATCTGTTAGAGGATAGTCAGTATCAGAACGGATTTCAAAGTGATGAAAGACTCCTCCTACAGTCTTCTGCATTGAGGTTTCGATGATATTGGGCTTTGATCCATATCCGTATAACCACGAATATCGTGACGACCACAATACACAACAGTTGAGTCGCGAGATTCACTGTGTGCAAGACATCTTTAGGATGTGCAAAGTTAGAACTCTGCCCCTCCGGTGGCGGGACGGCTGGTCGCTGTGTCATTCGCGTAGTTCACAATTTCTGTGGTAGGTTGAGCTTTGTCGGCTATTCACTATAGAAGTAATCGAGCAATGTAATACCCTGACGCCGCCTTGAAGCTTCCACACTGAATTAGCAGTTCAGAATAGCTGAAAAAACTAAGGCCAGGGAGAAGCCAGAGAAGACCAGGTAGTGGGTCCACTCACAATTGGCTTCGATAGTCCATGGTGTCACTTAAAGTAGGTCGGAGTATGCTAAATACCGATATCATTGTCTTGAGCTCCTCCATCTTGAGGGTGATATCTGCGGCCCCGGCTGTGATAAAGATCAATAAAGGAGGAATCTGCTAATTCTGCAGTGCTATCAGAAAAATTAAGTTCAGCGAAGGAATCAACTTGACCAGCTGGAGGCTAGTTAGGTCGAAGATCGTCGGAGTTCGGAGCGTTGCGAAGCCGCGCGAGACTTGTCCGCATAGAATGTACTCGAGAAGACCCACAGCGGGCTAGAAGTTTGTTGTTACATTCCTAGCGGAGAACAAGCGACAGTAGTTTCATAATTTTCTATGACCAGAGCTGCTTGTCGGGAGTGGAGCAACTTAGAACGACCCAACACGAAGCAAAATCCGAAGATGTTGATTTGACGGAGATATATCCACCAACAACGGACTTATCGAGTCGCAAGTGGATGGATGCAGCTGAGCTCGGCCGGCCATGACTAAATGCCACAACCCAGTTCATATTGGAGGGTGAATGAGTGCCCAGAGCTACACCACTAAGGCAAAAATTAAGTTCAGCGAAGGAATCACGAAATTTAGCCAGTGGGGCTGGCAGCCTGGCTTGGTCCAAGATCATCCGGGGCGGAGCGAAGCCGAGCGAGCCTTGCCCTAAAAGTTTACCACCGGAGACCCACAGCGGGCTGAAAGGTTCATCGTTTGTGATGAGATTCTCGCTGACCTTGGACATTCGGTGCCGAGGTCGAAGGCCTAATTAGGAGTGGCTATAATGTGTGCGCAGTGCTGGGGAAGAGATAAAGGCTTGAAGAAGCAACGTTTTCCATCGAATCTCACTTTCACTGACTGCACACTGCACATTAATTGTAGGGCGGTTTTTGGCGAACTACTTAGAAAATTTCCAGCGGATGTTACCTTTTCACCGGTGGAGCAACACTGATCGTGATTATGCAGTGGCAGCAATTCCCACTGAGGAGAGAAGTTCCTGTATCGAGTCAACGGTGGGAACGATGCGGGTCGATGCTGCCCAGCGTTGCTGATAGCCAGTAGGCAGTTGCCTACTCCTTAGCCGTCCGAGCTTAAGCGTTAGCCTATCGCGTCAAACAGTGAGTGGGAGTTGAGCTGAAATATGCTCAACGCGTTCCTGCTGTGCATGCTTTAAGAGTTTCTTTCAATCAAGTTCCAGTATTAGACCCCTGCAGGGGCCGAACGTGGGTCTCCATCGCACGCGGCTTCTCCGCTAACAACAGGGATAGAAAAGTTAATTCTGTGCATGCGATGGTCTTCTTCGTGCTAACCGAAGCTCGCTTTTCGAATTCGGAAAATATGCTATCATTAAACTGAGACGATAGCCAATGGAAGGGGCTCTGAGTTACCAGATGTGGATGACCGGACTTGGCGTTTTCTATGACCGATTCATGCCGGCTTCGGCGCCTATTCGGTCTACAATCATATTGCCTCCCCTTTATGCTTCCGTGCTGATTCCACTCTAGAGTAATCATCACAATATCACACTATCACTGTGAGATTGCAGTTCAGTCTATCAATCTATCGACGAATCATTTGCTAGAGGCACCTTTGTATTTCAGGAGGAATTCGAGTTGTCGGCACAGGAGAATGTTGAGCCTTTAGTAGATATTGATTAGCAATTGGCGTGGTGCTCCACAGATGTCTAACATACCGATTGTTCCATCGGCGTAGGCCGCCTTGATTTGAATGATGACGCCGTATGTTGCACCAACAAGGAAAAATATACCGAGAAGGATCATTCCTATATGGAGGACGAACTTGACCTTCTGCACAAGAGATCCCTTCAAGTAGTGACCATGGTCGTGTAGCCAGAGTAGCCCGGGGAGGGATATAGCGAGCGGCGCAAAGCATAGAGATCCGACTAATGCGATCAAGTAATTGAAAATGGGAATAGCTTCAGCGAGGATGAAAGATATGGCGCCCAGAACAACCGTACAGGCAAGCCAAGTCCCCCAATGGATCATCGAATTTGCCTGTAAGTGACGAGTTTTGCCTAGAATCCGAACAAAGAGATATTTTGCTCCAACCTAAATACTAAATTTAGCTCAAATGTCCATATAGAGGGGAATGGAGATTTTCTTACATGAAGATAAATCGTGGCGCTCACAATCAGTCCTAGTAAGGCGACTCCGTAGGATACCATCTTGATCGTTTGACCAGCACTCTATACAGAAATTCTCGTCAGTTCACATAGTGAAGATTGGATTAGCAGGGGGTAGATGAAGGTGACCTACCCCTAATGAAGGGCTGGCGACCCACTGGCCACACCAACGGTAAACAACCAAGCTAAAGGCAAGATATGACGCGGTGACTAGCACCATGCAAGGGTACAGCGCTTTCTTGTAGTCCTTTGGGTTACGCATCTCCGAGATAACGGGCAAAAAGGCGCTTGTGCCGGCAGAGGAGACGAAAATTGTGCTGGATGCGACCATGCCGGCAGCAAAACCTGGGTTGTTGATAGCCACATAACCAAGGTCGTAGGGGCCTGTCTGTGGAGCGGCAGCTGGTCGGTCTCGTGTGGTGACACCGATGACCACAATCAGCACAGCAGCATAGATTGAGATGAAGCCGGCATATGTGAGCCATCCAACATGAGTAAGTTTGCGAATTGAGGCTGTCGCGATCACTACCACCATGGCCAGAAATGACCACCAGACAGTACAGGCGGCATGATGTGAGAGGGCGTTCAAGGCCGTGGATACCCCAACAATTCCACTGCCTGTGACCAAAACGTAGCCGATGATAAATAATAGGCCAGTGATTTCTTTGCCGACCACGCCGCCCACCACCTCTGCCATGTCTGCAATGGAGTGACAGTGAGGGCGACGCAGGCGAAAGTTCCCAAGGATCACAAAGGCATATGTGTTGAGTACGCCCCAGGCCACAATGCTGATGGCACCACCCACAGCACCGAGGGAGAGTAGTGCTGAAGGCAGAGAGAGCACACCTGTCGCAAAAAGAACTTTCACAAACAGAATGCAGGCTTTGAACCAACCCACATCGCGAAAACTCACACCATCTGCGGTCTTCTTGAAGACTTCAAACTCTTCAGCCGAGTCCGCAATGCTTGCATGCTCCGCATCGGAGGTATCAAGGCCTCTTTGCTCCTTGTTGGTCATTATTTGATGATTTGAGAATTCCAGAACAATTTCCAGATTGAATCTGAACCAGGGAGGGAAGCTACAACTCTGCGTTCGCAATGTGAATTAGGTGGGGTGCATGCATGCGTCAATGCACCAATTGGAATCATAGCCTGTTGCTCATGAATTGGTAGAGAAAGGGGCATTTCTTTGGAATTTTCGCCTTGCTTTTTTTCCCGACTCTTTTCTTTGTTTGTGGCTTTGTTTTTTTGGTGGTCGACGGGATCGCCCGCGTGGCCCGAATTTGTTCGTTGTTCGGCCCCAAAGAGGGCTAGCTACATGCACTTGCATGGATAGAGTTAACACCCTCCACTACGGTACTCCACCTTTTGTTCCGATGCTAATGACTGTCGCCACTCTCCCCCTGGATCCTCTCGTTCGCCGATTTTGCTCGTCGTGGGAAGGTGTTTGTACTCCGTACCTTCAGCGCCCTTCCACGTATCCCCAACGGGAGAAATCTAACAATTAGATTTGGCCCGTCTTAGCATCTTTGGCATATGGGGTGTGATGTTTCCTAAGACTAGGTTTGGTCATATCTTTCCAGTCACCCGCGAACTTTGTGTAGATTGTGTCCTCGAAACCTAGGGATCATGAAGCAGTACAGATATATGTTAGAGAAACAGAGATCGGCTTATCTAGGCATATAATATCTTAAGTTTAGTAAACAGGATATACTTTTAAGGAATAATCAATCTGGAGGACAATGCTCAAACTGGTAGCATGTTATGTCATCATCAGGGTGGAGGGGGTCGAAGACTGATGAAACGCTGATAAACGGGCCTACCCTATTCATTACAGTCGTTACCCCTCATCCTTTCTTCAAATCCCAGTCCCCAACCCTTTATTGACTTATAGCTAGCACCATCTTATCCTCATCAAACATCGAAGAAGTCGGTCGCTATGAATCGAGGATACCAACTCGGTGTTGACGTTGGTGGTACTTTCACCGATGTATATGTCCTCACTCCCCACGGTCAAACCGTCCGAGCCAAAGTCCCAACCACAACCCCAGACCAAAGCATTGGTATTCAAAATGGCATCAAGAAAGCACGCGAAACACTCAAAGCCCAATTCAACTGGTCTGGAAAGTTCCAGTTTATTCACCATGGTACTACGACAGGCACCAATGCTGTCCTAGAAGGCAAAGGCGCCCGTACCGCGCTGGTAGTCACGGCTGGTCACAAAGATATCCTGGCTTTACGTCGCTCTCAAATCCCCGGTGGTCTCGGTGCCTGGTTACACTTTACACCACCAGAACCCATCGTACCTTTAGAACGGGTAGTACAATGCAAGGAGCGGATGTCGGTGCATGGAGTGCCGGTCAAGGCAGTGGATGTTGAGGATCTTCGACAGAGCCTCCGAGTGTTGAAAGGTCAAAATCCCGAAGCTATTGCTATTTCACTGTTGAATTCACACAGTAATGCCTCCCACGAACGCGTGGTCCAGGAAATCATTCGCGAGGAGCTTGGCTCCGATGTGGCTATTATTTGTTCTGCGGATGTGTTGCCCGAGGTGGGCGAGTACGAACGCACAGTCACAACCTGCACAAATGCGCTCGTCAAGCCGGTGGTCCAGACATATCTTCAGAATCTTGTCGATAAGCTCACCGTGGAAAGTGATACTATCCGGGTACTCAAAAGCGATGGTGGCTTAACAAGCTTGGTGCTGGCCGGTGAATTACCCGTCACTATTCTCATGTCAGGACCAGCTGGAGGAGTGACTGGAGTGGCGGACGTGGTGGCTCGTGGTACGCCGTACAAGAACCTGATCACTCTGGATATGGGTGGCACCTCGACAGACTGCGCTTTAATTTACAACGGTCAGCCTCAGCTACGACGGGAAACCACCATCGACAACATCTCTGTTCGCTCTCCTGCCGTGGATATCCACACTGTCGGAGCCGGTGGAGGCTCGATCGCGACATATATGGAACTCACAGAGACGTTACGTGTGGGCCCCGAAAGTGCAGGCGCATCACCAGGACCTGCCTGCTATGGGAACAACGGGAACCACGCGACGGTAACGGATGCAAATTTAGTGCTGGGGTATTTACCCCAAACGCTGTTGGGAGGAGACTTCATGTTGAATATGAAGGCGGCAATTGCGGCCATGGAGAACATCGCATCGCAAATGAACCTTCCCGTCTCACAGGTCGCAGAGGATATCATCGCTCTCACTAACGAGACCATTTACGGCGCACTCCGCCTCGTCTCCGTGGAGCAGGGTTATGACCCTCGAGAATTTGCTCTGGTGGCTTTCGGCGGTGCGGGACCTCTGCATGCGAATGCCGTTGGTGAACTACTGGGGGCATGGCCAGTAATTATCCCTCCTTCACCGGGTATTCTCTGCGCCCAAGGTGATGTCACTACCAAGATGACCCTTGAAAAATCCGCCACCTTTATCCACCTAGTGTCCGAAACGACCGCAGCCATAGCGCGAGATCAGTATTCTCTGCTAGAGAAACGGGGTCGGGAAACCCTTGGGAGATCAACAAGTACATCTTGGTCCATCACATGGAAGACACAGTACCAGGCAGACCTCAGGTACAAGGGCCAAGCGTTGACAATTACGGTCGATCTGGAGGCAGATGAGTTAGCTCTCAGCACTGAAGCGTGGCATAACGTGCTCCGGGAGAAGTTCGACCGCCAGCACCAGCAACTTTTCACTTACTGCCTACCGAACTTTGAGTTGGAACTGATCCGGCTGGGAGTTATTCTCATTGATGACTCGCCAGTCGTTGATGTTCCACAAATTGCAAAGGCGTTATCCAATGACCCACCCCCGACAGCGAAAGTTGGGGAGCAGACCGTTATCGTGCAAGGCCAACAGCAAAAATCTATATTGTGGGATCGCTCAAAGATCAGCCAAGAGGGTGTCCGGGTAACAGGACCATGCATCATCACGGAGATGGACAGCAACACATTGATTCTCCCCGGCTATTATGGAGAGATTGACAGCGTGGGGAACATTTTGATCAATCCATTAGAGAAGTCCTCGGATGCGACCAGTCATACGACCCAGTCTGCTAGTGATCTCGTCAAAAGTACTCCCCTGCTTCCCACCCTAATCTCTGCTGCCCTCGCCTCTATCCGAGGCGAGATGGATAAGATGATGCTACGGTGCAGCATGTCGCCAGCCATTCGAGAGCAACAAGACGAATTCAATGTCATAACGAACAGCAAAGGACAGATGCTGGTTGGCCAGTTTGGCAGTTTCATCACCCAGTTCCTCGAGGTTTGGAAAGGGACTATCGAGGAAGGAGACGTATTCATCACCAATGATACCTACCAGGTGCAGGGGGCCATTAGCCATCTAAATGACGTTATCGTTTTGTTGCCTATCTTTTACGAGCATCGAATCATTGGCTGGGCTTCACAGTTTGGTCATCTCACGGACGTCGGTGGTATTGTTCCCGGAAGCATGTCTATCAACGCCACGTCCGTGTTCGATGATGGTGTCCAGATTCCCTGCCTTAAGCTCTACAGTCGCGGTGTCATGAACTCTGATCTAGTAGAGCTTTTGTGCAGGAATTCTCGTCAGCCCGACTGGTATCGCTCTGACCTAACAGCAATTGTCGCAGCATGCTCTATGGCCGCTAGACGAGTTTGCGAATTGGCTACTCGGTTTGGCTGTGAGGTCTACCTAGCTGCCTCAGATGAGCTATTGCACCGGAATCGTGCTGGATTCGCAAAGATCATTGAACGCCAGTTCGACGACAAGGAGAGCAAGTTCACGGACTTTGTTGACGACGATGGTCACGGAGTTGGACCCTGGGCTCTCTGCTGCTCTATGAAAAAGATTGACGGCCACAGGCTACGGTTTGACTGGAACGGGACTTCTCCGCAAAGTCAACACAGTATCAACTTTTATCTCTCGGAGACCATGTTCAAAATGTTCATTGGGTATTATCTCATCGCGGCTGCTGCACCGGGCACTGTGATCAATGACGGATTCCACGACCTTATTGATGTGTATATTCCCGAAGGCACTGTGCTCAAGCCCGTCCGGCCTGCGCCAATCTCTTGTCGCACTCATCTCATGGGTCGTACCCTGGACATTATCCAGGCCTTGATCGGCCAGAAGAACGAAGCATATCAGGCCGCAGCAGGATTCAGCGACTCCCCTCACTTCTTCTATTCCGGCTTCAAGCCTGACGGCGAATGGTTCCAGCTTTACCAGATCGGATTCGGGGGCGTCCCCGCACGACAGGCTGGTGATGGTCCTGATTGCCATTGCCTTTTCCCTGCGATCAAGTCCATCCCCACGGAAAGCATCGAGCTCAACTATCCATTGCGTATCGAAGCAAATGAAAGCGTCGCCGACAGTGGCGGTCCTGGGTTCTACCGGGGTGGAAATGCCCAACGCACTGAATATCGGTTTTTGTGCCGTGGTGAATTCAGTCTCCACGACGATCGGTGGTTCACCAAGCCATGGGGTTTGAAAGGTGGCAAACCAGGCCAGAGATCACGAAAGACCTTATACAGGTACTCAAATTCAGCTGAAAATCCACCTATTGAGATTCTTCCATCGAAATGCGACCACATCCGCGTTGACATTGGTGATCTCCTCGAGTGGGTTACTTGGGGTGGAGGCGGGCTGGGCGATCCTTTGACACGACCTGCTGAAAAGGTCGCACTCGAAGTCCATCGAAAGCTTGTTACGTTGGATGGAGCGCGCCACGGGTACGGTGTTGTTGTGAATAGTGACTTTACAGTGGACTGCTCAGCAACTGAACAGCTCCGGGCCAGGATGCAGATTGAGCGTGCTCAGTCGGGTAATCTTTCGATTTATGATCGTGGTGGAAGTATCGAGAAGTTGCGGGAAAGATGCCTTGAAGAGACAGGGCTTGCTCCCCCTTCGCCTCAATGGGACGTCGAACTTTATGGGCCGCATGCAGGAAAGGAGTATGTCAAGACGTGGTACGCCGATATGAAATTTCAGAAAGGGTGGAAGATTGAATAGAAATTTTACCTAAGAGTAGAGTTGAATTAAAAGAACTCGACATGAAGATGATGATTGGAAAAACGAGTGGGGAGAGAAAATCCACACTGCGTGTAAATTATACCGCCTATCGCTTTGTATCGATTGGGAGTATGAATCCACTGTAAGGGGTGAGCATCCGAAAGTCTACCTAGATGCTCGCTCGTTACTTGTGATGGTTTAATAGTAGAAAGAATTGTGATAATAATGTGGTTTTTTGTATTTTAAGAAGGACAGGCAGACTGCGATGCGAACTATGACTGCTCACTGCGAGTAGATCTCTGTGATGGCGTCATGGAACAATAGGTGGAATTTGCAAACATTTCTAGCGAAGTACCAAAATTGATGAAACAATCTTTAAGGATCACCAGGATACGCATCTCGACCCTGCTGTATTTCTCTTCTCCGATGATGATTTAACATGGTTGGGCCCTTAGATCGTATCGAGGTCAGCAATAAGGTGCCTGTAGACTCGTCCACAAGCTGGTTGAGAACCTCAAGTTCCTGCTGCAGCTACTCGTAGTTGGAGAAACGGCGCTCAAGATCGATGGCTTGCTGATCGAATTTTGGGCGGCCATGCATTGGAAGGTGGCGGAGTTGCTCTGTGAGACCCGGCGACGCTCCGCGACAAGCCCGCGCCGTTGGGCTCGAATGACCCTACGTAATTTATTGACCCTTTCAAAGTGTTCAATTATGCTTTTCAGCACTTTCCATGAGATGTGACGCATGCGTGTCCGCTTGAGAGGTACTGGGGCGGAATCCGGGTCCAACGAGCAGGAAAGTCCGAGCTAGGTGCAGTTGCAAAGTCCATTGGCTAGTGCCATTGTCTAGGTCTGCCTCTGTGGAGTCATAGACGTCAACTAGCTGCTCTGGGTTCTCCTCCTCCAGGCTTTGTTCCTATAAATCATCGATGCCTACTTCGGGGTGGGGAATGAGAGGGTCTTTTGCGAAAGCTGCCCGAAAAAACAGCGGCTTCTCAAAATTTTCGCGCAAGCATTGATCCAGGGTCACACCGGCGTGTGGCAGGGTCCCTGATGCAGTGGGCAAAAATACCGTTTTCAGATTCACACTAAGTACAAGAAATTGGCTGCGGCGTTCTAACGATTGGAATGAAGCTGGCCTCCATTCTGGTAGTGAATAGGGTCATCTGTTCTACAAGGAGACGGGGTTCCAGTCCATTGCATATTTGACGCGGATCATCAGTTCCCACTGAGAGCGCCTTTTGTAAAGCTCCCTTAGAAGGGGTGTATTGGAGTGTAGATTGATTTCTGCAACATCGGACCTGTACCGCTTCACAGATGTAGCCCATGGCCCGGCCGGGGTCAGGGAAGAGCTGGTGCTTAAGGCAGGGATGGCCGTAGCTAATCCCATGAAGTCTTCAACGGCAGCTTTTCGCTCCTATTTGATTAGTTTTGAAGTCAGAGGGCAGGCAGGTAGGGTGAGTTACGGCTCGAGAACGACTGGGTTGGTTTTGGTAGCAGGTGGGGGAAGGCTCGTAGCCAGAGGCATTTCTGCTTATGTTCTGTCAGTCTTCAGTTTTTATGACGACAGCCAGGGAAAACCGCAGTAGCTTACACCGCCATGGTTGGTCAGATTGGATGTTTGTCAACGAAAACGAGAAGGACAGATGACGTGAATTTGAGATGAGGGTAAAGCTGTAAGGGGAAACTTGATTGGAAAGAAGTAAGGAAAGAATAGTGATCAAGATGATGCAGAATAGAAAAAGATTGGGAGATGCGAGGTTTGCAAAGTGGGAGCGAGATTGAGAGGATAAGATCTCGTATCTAGGAATCGAAAGGCACAATTCGGCCCACAATCTGCAACAAGGAACCTTCCAGCCAACAATCTGCACGAAAGGATAAGCTGCAGATAATCTGCATGCTGGCCCTGCATAATTCTCTCGGGGGCTACCGAAGGGATCTCTCCATCATGATTGATTCCATGTTGCAAGGGATCTCAAGAGCCTTGCTCTAATCATCTACCTATAGTTTTGCAAAAAGGCCAAACGTGGTGACCAATGCGGCGGCATTCATTCCGAGTTTAGACGTAGCTGGGCCAGATTCAGAACTTGCACCCCGTGCTAAGAATAAAAGAAAATACCAATTTCAGGCTGGCAAACCTGCAACAGATTGAGTAAGAAAAAGAACAGGAACAAGAACTTACACATCGAACAGCCAGGACGAGCGAGGGATCAATGCAGCGGGGCTCTCTAGCGACGAGGATGGCCCGTAAAATGGTGCCCCCCTAGATAATGTACGGTCGAACAGAGATATCAGGTACAAGAATATTCAGGGGCCAACACCATATGATCGATGTGGGTTCCACGTATATCATATCTCCATCCTCCCTGTAGGCTTCATGTATGATAATAACAAGGAAATCATTAGAAATCTCGTAGAAGCCGGGATGGGGATTTAAAGTACCTGTCCTAGTTGTTCTATTTGAATCCCCGAAAGCACATTCCCTGCCTCGGGACCGAGAACAGTGGCTCCACGATCTAGCTCGAGAGCCCCAAGAGTAACATAGCTCCTAGGGTAAGTGGTTGCATTCCCAAATTCGGATCAGTCATTCACAGGATCACTGATTGAGATCCCAGGATCCTTCGTCTCGTAACGCACTCGGGCCGGAAGCCTGCGCGTAAATCAAAAATCCCCGCAGCAGGAATGCCTCACCTAGATCCTCAAAAGCGAAAATCTGGCCCTGGGATCTTGAATGAGCGTTCTCGGACCGCTGCAGCTCCCGGGGCTAGTTAAGATGATCCTAAAACCGACCGTGCCGCAAATAGGTTATCCTATTTTATGATTGAATTCATCAATTCCCATTCGCACGGCCGCAGAAGCCACAAATCTGAGTGTCTGCCCTCTTCTCCAAGCCTACGCCTTGTATAGAAAAAGATAGAGCGGTGGGCTATGCAGAGATTGGGCGTCAGGCTTCGGGGTTCACTCAAACATTCGCAATGAGTAACGGTGAGAGGCTATACCGGAGAGAGCAGCATCTCGGTCGAAGAAAGGGGCCTTTGTGAGCGTCGATGTTTGTCTTAATGTGAAGCAGTAGCAGGAAAATTGGATGATATTGAAGCTATGAGGAATCTAAGTTTGGATGAGCCCTGGGGCTCCTAAAGTAGTGTGGGGCTCCACCCCAATCTACGAAGAGTTTGCTCGCAACGAGGAAGGGGGTACCGAAGTCCATCGTTCGTATGGGTCTTGGTCTCCGGCTCCTATACATATCGGAATGTATCTCTATGGTATCGTCACGTCGAGTCTCATTTCTGGCTATACAACTCCTTCATCTTCGATAGTCGACGCTTTCCGGCGAAGGAGAAAATCAAGAGTGGAGCTTTCAAGTTCCTCAATTCTACTGTACAGCCAACATAGTACAGGTGCACTCAGAGGTGACTCTATGGATAGTAACTAGATCCACGCGCGACCGTACTCAACAAGTGAGGGCGGGTTGACGTAGACTTACTCAGAATACAACGCGCTTATCAGTCTCAGTTTCAAACTATAAAGCTAGTGCTAGAACTAAAATGATGGTGATAATAGAGCACGCTATCGAGGTAAACCGGTGATCCGCTACGAATCGTTTCAAGTGTTGAAATAGTAGTCGTTGATACAGGGTTGAAGCTTGAACAAACGTCGGTGAATCAAGATACGAAATGCATCGCTGCTTCAACAGATCTTAGTAAAGGAACTTCCAGCAAACCTCATTTTGGATAGACATAAGGCTATTTAAAATAGCGACATACAGAAAATTTCACGCTGTTGCAAGGTGAAGGCGTCCGCAGCAAGATTATATAACGACCCTAGAAATAACGCTGCCGACCAACTAGCCAAGAACGCCACCAGCCCGGGCAAAACCCACCCATTCCGCCCGCTTCTCACTAGAGAGAGGGCCCTTATCCGTCGGAACATGTACGCTTAGTGGGAGCAAGAATAGAAATCGTCCACCAAGTAACCGCTTACGGAAAGTCGACAACACACTACCAGCTAGTTACATAAGGAGGCTATACAGGAACCTGCGGAACCGAGTATACCTCTTAATACAGTTGCGCACAGTCCACAATTGGCTATCTAGCTACCGCAAGAAGGTTAGCTACAGTAACGATCTCGAGTGCGTATACAGCGCGCAAGAGACAGTGACCGATGTGGATTAAGCGTATTTAAGGGATATTCGAAGGGAGTTACGAAGAGAAGTTGGAGACGCATTCAATAGAGTGTCGAGTCTGCTAGGAGGCGCAAAACAAGGTGAGAGAGGTAAACCAGACCCCGTTTCGCGAGCCAGGACGGTCAAAATCGTGTGGGACTTCGCTGAGGCGTCACAAAGGTTTTGCGGTTGCGTGTCAGGAGGGCAGCTTAACAATAGGACCGGCATTTAGGCTACGAGGCCCTGGCGAGGGTCTAAATTCGATTTCAGGAACTAGAACACTCTATATGTATATACACGGATATGTAGTTTTGTATCCTGCATATCTTCCGTGAGGAAATAGGATAAAGGATTTCACGCATACTCCTATATATCTTTGGGGAACAATATTTATTTAAAGATAAAATTTAATGTCTTTGTGTTCATTGCATAGAAGTCAAATTGCGAAATAGGCCCGATGTTACTGTAATGTACCTCCCCTCACCAGTGCTCTTGAGAGCACACGATGAACTAGTATATCACACGTAATAGAGCCTTCAGGAATCCATCTTCTTTAGCAGCCGATCTAGGGAAAATTTTGTTTGTTTCCCTAGTATAGTTCCGAAGAGCTGTAACATTTGGATACTGATCGACTTTTTTGCCGATTCGCCGAGAATCAACTAAGTCAACCAGATTGACGTGCACATTGGCAAGTGCCTATGAAGTTAGACATATAAACAGAAAATATTGTGGGGTACGCATGGCGAGATGCAATACCTTGCGGCATTTAGAGATGCTCTCAATTGAGCGACAAATATCCAGCTCAATGCATAGTGCCTGCCAGTTTTCTAGCTTTGTGGCATGGGAACCATAATGGACTTTGAACTCGGAAGCAAGAAATAATGACATTTCCTTTCTATACTTTCTCGAGTCTGTTTTCCAATGCATTTGACGTGCGAGAAGATGGAATTCGGAACTCAAACACACCTTGGGGCTTCTCTTGAAGGCTGGGAAACGGATGAAATAATCAGTCTTTTCCATACTGAGAATAGCGATAAATCAGATGTATGACACTGAAAGGATATCTATGAGTGCGGAAGAAGTTTTCTTTGAAAAACATGACAGAGACATATTCAACGCGCGTGACCCGTCTTGCCTCACTTAGATGCATGAATACCCAAAAAGCCCGAGAGCCAATAAGAACAATTATCTCAGTCTCAAGTATACAGTCATTACTCGCAGACGCGCCTGCCGGGTGATAAATACCTCGAAGTACCAAGTGAGGATTTTACCAAGATCAATTGGAGTTAAGAGACCTCACCCTCTGAATAGGTCAGCCTGAATATAGAAGAGTCTAATGTAGTACTATGCCAAGGTATGGCGAGAATATGCGGTCTGATTCCCGCTTTCCGATCAGGATAGTGGCGCACTGGCTTCTGCTTGGTCAGCCTGCCTTGTATTAACGAACACCGCTGATTTGGTTCCACTCTCCAAAATTCCTCTATTGCCTAGGAGTCTGAAGTTGACAGCGGCGGAGCTTCATAGTTTTAAATGTCGCGTAGAGAAAAGCCCCGGAAATTATCCCGGTGGATGCATTGCAGACTCTGTGAGTCTTACATACATAGCATCAGTGCAAGCTGATCTCAATCAGGTTTGACCCGATCGGGGCACTACCGCTAACAACCTATTTTCATTATAAGAGTGTCCTCACTCATCGAAAACATATCTCAGAAAGGCGCTTCAGGCAGGCAAATCGAGCTGTGCCCGGACAGAAAGGGAACAAAGAGCACTACGCGATCGTTACAGGGCGTGTCAAGGAGCCCACAATTTATTCGTCGTGGTGATTCAACCTCGCACTGGTACTGTAACAATTCCGAGCTTGATCTGCCAAAGATGGCAGGGGAGATGCTCATCCTCGCATAACCGGGTGCGAATCAGAATGGAAGGCTGTAGGACCCTTCAAGAAGCACACACCTGTATGGAACAAATGAGAGTTGCTAAAGTGAAGGAAGTTATTAAGCCTAGAGCGGGAAAAACTATTCTATTATGTGGGGAGGGATTTTATGCTGTTGCGAATGGGGAAGCCTAGGCACCTATCCCTTTTTTCCGTAGATAATTCCGAGTCTCCTGATGTGCAGGTGTGTTCAGGATACCTTACAAGATTTAGGGGCCAAAGTGGCTCCGAGAAAGAAGTCACTAAAGAGAAAGGCTCATGCCATAAACCCTTTAGAACGATGGCCCAAGCCAAGGCATTCATTGAAGATTGGAGAGAAAGATACGCTGAAATATAGCGCGAAATGATAAAGGCTGCCTTGGATTGAGGCTACAGACCTCGCATTAATGATGCTTGCAGACCTCACAAGATGGAGTCGATAATTAACAAATTTTCATGCAAGACTAGTGGACGCTCTGAAGTTGACAACATCGTAGAGAAGACTAACAGTCAGCTTTCTTTGTAGGAAGATAACAGAACAGGCGATAAGAAAACTGTATGCACCAATACTCGTATTAATTGGATCCCATTTGCAATAATTTTATTTGGTTTTCAGTTCATGAATCATTTCCAAAGCATTCCTGGTTGTCATAGGGTTTAGTATGCTTCGATAGTGGATCGGGTGGGAAGCACCAGTAACCACTCAATGGGGACGCAGGGCTGAAGAGCAATGGTCTTCGGTTCAGCAATGAGGACAGGCAATAGATAGGGAAAACCACGAAAGACAGATGATCAGATTCATAGCATTTGCTCCAATATACTGAGCCAATCTTATTGAAGGCAAGACTAATCTAGAAAATTGATCTGTATGCGAGTCCCCAAAGCTAGTGTGTTTACCAATCAGTGACTCTGGGGAAGGGGTGTATGGCATAAATAAAATTTCCAGATCTGGGACCAGCCTTACATTCGAGCCACAAGTCAACTTAACGTTGGTTACATTTGAACCTGCTTCAACAAAACTTATAATCAGATGATCCATGGGGGTAGCCTGCCGAACTTCTACAAAAAACACCAGGAGGCTCTGAATGCTGAGGCAACCTATCAGGACGGCGGCAAATTTTTGACCCATGTAGACAATGAGGAAGGATTTGGGGGTTTTCCGCCTCATCGAGGCATTTCTCAAGACGTTCTCTTTTCCTACATGCCTCAATGAGGCAGCCAACCCAGTTGGTGGTACTTACGCTCCGTGCTTGATGGTCCGTCAGGCTGAGTCAAGGAGCCTCAACCGAGATGCTCAAAATTGCCTGCTTCCATCCACTGTAGGTGCCACACCGCCGTCCCGACCCGCTTGGCTTTTGCCAAGTTAGTGTGTTATATGTGGCAGTGTTGTTCTGGACTAGTTATATGATTGTGATTGGTTCCAGCCCCGCACGAAGCTCTCGTGATTGACGGCCCGCAGATTTCTTGCAACGACGCACATAATATAGTGACGTGGTGATGCGTCAACCTATCATTTCTACAAAGCTGAGAATCTAAACATTTGCATTATGTATGCCATTTCTGGGAGACTGGGGCCATTAAAGCCACCTATTCTGTGATAAGATAAAAAGATAACCTGTTCCAGGGGAGAGCTATATAAATTAATTGAGAGATCTTCGATCCTTTGGAATATTCATGCGGCACAATTCCTTCAAAACTGCAATTATTTTAATTTGAAATTGTTCACCAAAGAAAGCCATGGATTCATTGAGTTCCGCTTCTTCGTGCGAAGACCTCATCCAACAGCTCCAACGGCTCATGACAAGCGACGCTTACAGCGAGTTGTTATTGATTGTTAAGGAGAACGCCATATTAAGACAACATGAAAGAGACCTTAACATCACCAATGAACAGAATCTCAAGACGCTTGGGCACTTGCAGCAAAACTTGGAGACTGCAACCGAACAAATTGCCGAGTATTCTACCCAAGTCGATGGTTTGACCCAGGAAATTCAGCGTTTACAAATCGCACTCAATAATGCTCAGGGAAACATGAAGATCAAGGACGAAGAGTTGCGTGAGAATAAAAAGTCAACCACTAAGCTTGCAGCAAACTTGAAGCAGAGAGAGACGGAGCTTGCTAATTTCAAGCAATGTCTTAACAAAGAAAGAGAGAACTCCAAAACAGAGAAGGATGCGAGAATAGCCACTGAGCATGATTTGACGCTGCTGAAAAGAGAGATATCAACTCTTTCGGAAAGGCTGCAATGTTTGAATCAGTTCACCGTCGACTTAAGAAAACCGGACAGGGATATAATGTATGTTCAAGCATGCAAAAGTATATAACTGACATTGCTAACCAGCATAGACGAGATCAATTGCAAGATATGTTCAAGCTTGTCCATAGCCTGATTGTTGAATTCTTCGGTCATGATTTGGAAAATCCGGCTTTTCAAGACCAAACCACTTGGGAAAACCTCCGCAACCACGATCTTTTGAAGCGTATTGTTCCTTTGCCTTTATCAAATACAACATCTGCGAAGGATATGCGAGTAGCTGCTCTTATTGGAATTTGCGCAGAAGCAATGTCGCGGCACATCTTCCAATCTACCTATCTTTTGGACGGAAGTCAACTCCACGAACTCATCGATGCGCTACAGTCCTACGACTGGAACCAAGGGAGTTACCTACGATCGGTTCTCCTTCGATCTCTCATCACGGAGCAAAAGGAAAACAGCCTTAAACGTACCAAAAGGCTTGTAGCCGAGGTTTTGAAGCTTACGAAACCACTTTTATCGGCCAAAAGACAGGTCCTCTTTGAAGATGCCCTTCTTGTAGTTTGCAAGAAAATTACCGAGCAATGGATGCAATTCCAAGAGTTGGAGGCAGCAGTAGAGCCAGACTTTGAGTTGAACGACGATGCTGGTGATTGGAAGTTATTCCTGTTTCCAAAGCGAGCGATGAATAACAATGTGGAATTCCCGCAAGATCCAGACCCGAAAAAAGCTGAGGCGAAGCTGAGTATGATGCAAACTAACTTTGTCGTATGGCCTGCATTTTTTATTTCCGAAGCCGGAGAATTGGAACTTTTGCGGCCAGGTTTTGCTCTGAGTGAGGAACAGATGCAACCTGCGAAAAGTGAAGAAAATGCCATTTCCTCTCGCCGAGCCCGCCAGGAAGCACGAAGAACCAATCGCAGGAAAGCAAAGATTTCAGCAACCTAAGGCAACGGCATTTCAGATCTCACAAGATAATGAACTCTTGCCTAGGTTTCAGCTCAGGGTATTGGAGGTAAGGTCGGAGTCCAGAAGGTTAGCTGAGACGAACGTAGCTCAGACTTGAGGTGTTTGTCTTTCTCTTTCATTCTTTGTTTTTTTGCGTACAGTACAATGACATGTGATTGGTCTACTCTGCTCCATAGTGAGGCTAAGAAGAATGTTTGGATACTTCTTTAACTAGTTGACTAGCGAGATGTTGAAGGCGCCTATAACGGTGGGATCGAACCATTTCTCTGCGGAAAACACAAGGACGAAGAATCTCGCAGATCTATATCCGATGAGTTAATACTTCTTCTTCCTTGCAACGGGCGTCGACCCTCGTGAACATCTTCCAGTAGGATAGGATAGCTATTGAGTATGCAGGACTAGCTGCAAAGTTTGATGCTATCTCCTATTCCTGAATGAAATTCTCATTTCTCTGTGGCCGACAACTACACAACATGGACAGTGGATTCCATTGCTAGGACGAGTACGAATGTCCTTTAACTGGTCAGTCCACGAGCGTTCGATGGGTGTCGCAGTCTGGTCCAACTTTCGAGTCACAAAACATCGGTTCATCCATCTCACGCGAAACCAACGACATCGACAGCGCCAGCTTCCTGTGGTCCTGCTCCACGTGGATGAAGCGACTGTCGCCCTCTACTAACTGGCCAGCGTGTGTGTGGCTTATGTGCGGCAGGTAGTCAGGTGGGTGCCGCCAGCCTCACAGTTTGACCGCCACAGGAAAAAGGCCCAATCACAACCCTGTCGCACCTGAGGCTACGGGAATGGCTTTTGTGATGGCTGTGTCGAGGGCGCAGGCACTGCCCCACATTCAAGTCATCGGCTGCATCCTACGATCATGATTATTCTATTGGGGTATCCTTTCATCCTTCCACTATCTGATTTCTGCCAGCTGGTGTTATTGGAGAGCGATTATACCGACCTCATTTCTCATTCCCAAGGTTGTCAACCAAGACTCGGGCTGAGAATGTCGGGTGCGGGTGATACCCTTTTCGTCACGTCAGTTGCAGCCAGTAGGTAGATGTTGGAAGTTCATTGCGTCTATGAGGAGTCTACTCAGAAGCTAAACCCTCTACAGTCATCTGCCTCTATCGCATGTACACCGTCTTATGATGACTGGTAAGAGAGACAGCGTTAAAGACCCTGGTTCAGGAAACATTTCGATTCGCGACCTTGAGTGGACTCTGATACGTGGGTCCGGGGATATTTCACCCAGGGGACAAATGCTAGTCGGAGGGTATCCGGCGTTGATGAGGGGGGATGCTATCGCCCGCAAACAGATGAAAGCCGTTGTTATGCAACTGCAGCTGGAGCTCAGAAACTATCTACACAACTCCGATCGTGAAAATAAATATGCGAAATGCAATATTTGAAAGTGGCCTTCGATATTAGCCGTGAACGTGCAATCGAGGTCATAAGTGACATGTGCCTGCGTCTCGAGCAGGTGGCACTTTTGAGCACTCCGAGTTCCTTTGATATGTCCACGAGTCTGCCCGCTAGCAACTTCTCTTCGAGTATCGAGAATCAAATTCGAACCATTCAAGGGTGGCTCCTTTTACAGGTCACAGATGCCAAGCACTGGCCTGTTGAAGCTGGTCCTTGGTCAGACTCGAGTATTTTTCCGAGGCCGACTTATTCCCACCTCCCGAGGGAGAATCCTCAGTGGACAATTTGCATGTAAGAATGACCCATCAGCTTTTTAAAGATATTTTGAGAGAAGTTGAATCTATCTTACGGCTTGTGGACGACTTCCCAACCGTGCGGCCATCGGCAAAGCCCTCCGCGATATCAGATCCTACATCCAAACAGGTTAAGGATGAAGATACACGAAAAGGAAAGCTTCCTGTTGAAAAATATGAAACAGTGTTGTCACAAACTGAAAATCCGTGGAATTCTTGATTCCGAGGGCCGATTTGAGGTTGAGCACGAACTGAAGACGGAAAGTCTGATACAGGGCGAACCCATCGAACGAACTCAAGCCCCCTTATCTTTGCCACAAAGAACTCTCGTGACTAATTATTTCATGTCACAGACCAAAGGGTTCATTCGTCCCTCTCTCGACACATCATCGGTGTCGTCATCTCGTACTAGCAAATGGGGCTCTCTAAGGTCATCGATGAGCATAAATAGCTCAACGCAGTCTTCTAGCAAATGCAACTGGCCTCCAAGTATTGACAACAACTACTCAGGTTTTTGCAAAGGGGCCTATAAACTCTGCATTGGAATAGGGAGTTTCAAAGTGCGAAGTGAACCAATCGGTTATAATTATATGGTATCAAGATGGCAGTGCTCCGGTTGCTATTTCACTATGCCACTAAGTAAATCAGGTGACAGGTATGGCCCCAGGTACAGCCAAGAAGCTTTCGTGCACAAATCTACCGGTATCCGATACCGCTGGCTATTTCTGGCCAAGTCTCATTTGAAGTGTAAGAGGCAAGTCTCAGTTGGTGACACTGGCTCGTCTGTATCCTTCGGCTGTATATTTTGCTGCAACGAGGGATGATCTCCTACACCCCGGCATTTGACTCATTTGATGAATTCATGGGGCATCTCGGGTCAGATCATCGGTATCAGGAAGAGCTTTCGCTTTTTGAACATACGCGGGTTGCGGTTGGAAGAATTGCATCCGAGCAAGAGGAGTGGAATCTCAATATTCCGCCCGGAGACAATTTTGACGGACCGAAGTACCGGCACCGATTCTTGACGGGATTGTGTCTTGATGAGAGTAGCAAGCGCCAGACAACATGTCTATCGACACTTGTTCTGCCTCGATCTGTATCACGAACGGAGCAGAGCTCTAGACGTCGGTTACTTGGTTCTCATTCTCCAACTGAGTGTAAATTGACGACTTTAGTTCCAGGTAGCGAGTTCCGGATAAGCAAGATGAATCTTGTCATAGCGAAGGCTTGGCAAGGGTGCCCAATGCCTCTCATTGCTACTCTGCGGGCCAATCAATTACTCGGCACAAGCGGGAGCTTGGTGAGGGCTCATAGTTTTCGAGAGCAAGTCAATCCCGACATCAAAGGAGGTGAGCCAGTTAAGTAGTAGTCTGCTCCCAAAGGGGACGGTGAGGAAGTTCTAGTGATATGTATCCTAACGAAACCACGGGTTAATGTATAGCAATATTTATGCATAGCTGGGAACGGTGACCGCGGATTGTCCATTCTTTCGGCATGGGGGAGCCAGTGAGCTTCTTATTTCTCTTACAGTTTTGTCGTGCTATAGATTTAGATTTTGCTCTAGAAAGGAACTACCATAGTACTTTACCAAATACGGCGGCGAGTAGCCCCCATCATGGACAAATGCAGTATGTTCGTAATGAACATGTGAGCAAAGTGTTGCAAGCGGCCAGGGTATCCGTCAGTGCTAAACTCTTTAAGATCTGCCGGCCAAAATATCGCACCAAAATCTGGTTGTAGGGACACAGCTAGCTCATTTGATTTCACCTCTTCAACTGCCTGAAAGTCCACCAAAGTCACCGCCCGCGTCTCCCGATCGTACATCACGTTGTGCTTGCCAGGATCCACTAGGTGAATAGAGAGGGATTGTAGGATTCGGATCGCCCTTGAGCACTCGCTGTAGATGTGGGATTTCTCGGCAGATGTCAGGCAGGCTCTTCCATAACACGAACAGCTGCTCTCCAAATCCGAAGGAAAAGCCCGGATTCGTCCGCTCGAAGCTGGTCGAGCCGTTGGTATACTGCAAACTATTTTTTGCAAACCTCCTATCAGTATCCCAAAAGCCTCGGATAACGGACGCGGCATACCTCATTTCATGATTGCGAGACCAGCATTTTGCGACATACCGGAAATGGCCAGATTGAACTTCGTACACGGCATTCCCCTGCCGCCGCAAAGTAGAGGTTGAAAGCCGGGTTGTGCACGTAACAAAGCCAGTTGCCACCCCATTGTCACCAAAAATGATCGTGTCTTCTGTGAGGCCGCGGATGTTTATAAGTGACTTGGTCGAGTCGCCGACCCTGCTCCGATATGCTGAAGGTGGCTGAGAAGCGTTGAAAAAAGGTTCAATTCGGGAGTGGAGCTGTTTTTTTGGCATTAATGTCTGTTCTCTGTACAATTTTGACAGAACGTACACTTACCAGTCTTAAATCGATTCCCACTTTCTCTTCGTTATTTGGGTTATGGGCAGCAATAAATGCGAAGCCCGCAAAGCATTCCCTCGGGGATGTAGTTGAGGCATCCTTGCTAGTAGGCATAGAGAGGTGAAAGGCATAATTCTGGTCTCTTTTGATAAACACAGTGGGCTCGAAGGTAGATATAAACCCGTAACGAAGCTTTGACAATCGCATGTACGAGACAACCTGGCCTTTGAGATTGTTAGATGGTCTTCTGGCATGCGCTAGTGAGACCTTTGGAGAATTTAAGTAGAAGAAGATTGTAAACACAGCTGGAAAGCAGAATTTGAGGCGCAATGCACCTCGGAGACAAAGTGAGCAGTGAAGGGTTGGTTGTATATTAGAAGAACTCAATTTCATCGGCACACTTTGCACATACCGATATATGGCTCTAGGTACGCACGCCCGTCTAAATCATACCTCACTATGACGGTCCCCAGGTCCACGGTCCACCACGCTTTAGCTCCCCAGCGGCCACGAGGGTGGCCGATTCTGAACCTGATGAGTCCCCATGCTCACACATTGTCAGAGTCAGTTCGGGAACACTGAAGTGGTATGGATGAATCGCCCGGAAATCACCAAATGGAAGCGGCATGTTCGAAACTGAGAGGGCTTTGGCGACTGGATCGCACACGTGACGGACAAATCGAGTGGTCAATCTCAACTCGCTCCCAACAAAATATCGATCGCCTTCCGCTTCGTCCGTCAGGCTGATATCGGCCGAAAAGGTCAACGAGCTCAATGCCGCAAACACTTGGGATTCAAAACCGGGCCACTGGTGCATATAGCTCGCACAGAGTGTCTTATTGAAACCGATGGCCCGGCGCCTCGAAGCTGGATCAAGTTTGGGAGTTTCCGGGCAAGAAGGGACCGCGGCGATTCCATGTTGATAAGGCAGAGCTGTAAGGTTTAAAGGAGAAAAAGTGAGATGAGGGTTGATGATATGGAGATTGAGGGGAGAGAAAATATGGAGAGGGTGAGATGGAAGTTCTTTGCCTGTGTACTATCTATGCCTTTTCTGCGCACCACAGCTACAGAATAATGGCAGGTGCCTTTCCGTATCGGGCTTAGCGCCTCTGTGGCTGATAGTAATTGACTTTGATTGGCTGCGATTTTCCCTGTCTCCTTAAGGTTAAGATTGCTTCAGCTTGTGATTGGTCAGCTATCTTGGGCAGAAGATAGACTGGATGACTTGATCCGCCTCTTTTGGCAAACCGAAGCTTAGTTAATCTGATAGTGGGGCCCAAGGGACATGTAACTGCTCTTGCGCGGCAAATCTGTGCAATATTAGCTAGATTCCGAAGCTTTGTCAAACGACGTAAATATCGCTCAAACTCTGAATAGGCAATGAGATTCGCTTACACATTCTGCATTTTAGTTTATTCTACTTAGTTGAAAGCTCTATAAACTTAAAGACAGCTAGGATCTAGGGTCAGTCTCAACAGGGCTGTAAGGCTAAATTGAATTTAATTCAATAATTCTTTCACTAAGAGCTTCAATCTCAACTCTGATCTCTGTATAAGAAGCTAGAAAAGTCACAGTAGTAACTGATCAGTTCTAAACATAGACCGTACCACGCACATATCTCGTTTTTCAAGCTTTATAAAAGACTTTCCTCAATTAGAGGAAGGGTTTTCACTACCATCAACCTCATTAGAAAGAGGGATTGGCGTTCAAAAGCAACTGCTCGAAGTAGGCCTGTAAAGTATCAGCAACAGAACATTTATGATAACCATCAAAAGAGGCATGGGTTCAAGCTCACCTGGAACCAAGTTCCGGCTTCAGGAGCAGGCTGCAAGGCATCACTGTATCCGCAGTGGGCGTCATAACGTGCCGAGGAGGTGTCTGAAGTACCGTCACATTCTCCACCAGGCTTGACCCAAACAAAGGCATCCTCGAGAGCATCGCCAGTATTCGTGGTGGCACGAACACCGAATCCAGTGCCAATGACGTTGCACCAATCACCCCAGGCCTGTTGCTTGGTTGGCTGGACACCGTTACGGGCTATTAAGAGGTTAGTACATCCCAATTTCACCTACACGCGAGACAAAAGTACAAAGGATGTAGTACTTACAGGTATCGGTGATAAAGTGGGCATTGAAACCTGCAGCCGAGAGCAGAGGAGCAATGGCATTGACGTAACGCTTCTCGTCGCAGTTAGAGTCACCCTGGGTATAGGATGGGCAGGTGCTGATGCTCCAGGCATTATAGTTGGCAACGTTGGTGGCCAATCCACGAACAGCGGCAGGGGAAGACGCGTTCTTGTACACATTGGCGAAGAGAGTAGCGGCCGGTCCGAGGTTAGCCGACCAGCCGAGCCAGCCGGCATGTCCTAGACACACCTCAAGTTAGCATATCCTCTGGCATCCATCAATAACCAAGATCTCCATGGGAGAAAAACATACCAGCGTCAAGATACATGGACACGTTGGGCAAGTTCAGCTGGACCAATGCATAGTTAGTGCACTCCAGATAGGCATCATGAGCATTAGCACATTTAGCCACATTCATGTTGGTAACAAGGTTGGCAAGACTGTCGGGCTCTGGTGAAAGTTAGCATGGTGAGTTTCTAAATCAAGGCATGGGGCACCAACCAATAACCAGGATAGTGTGTACGTCAGAGTACTTGAGAAGTTGAGCCCTGATCGAGTCAATGTAGGCCTTGTAGTTTGCAACACCGTTGTTGGCGATAGAGTACTCGCCATTGCTGGCAAGCGCAGCACAGTCACGGTCTGGCAAGTCATAAACCACAAAGATACCAGCAATTGGCGGGCTAGCACCGGCCTTGTTCTTAGCCTCAATGTCGGCAAGATAAGTTCCCATGGTTGGAACCTTGGCAGCAGTGTCACTAACGAAGGTATTAGTAAAGGCGTGTATAGGAGCCATTACCCAGACCTACAGCCAGACAAAAGATGGGACCTTAGCGACGGCGCTAGCCTTGGCCGCCAGAGAGCTTGACAGGGATGGAACCGCCAGACTGATAACCTCGGAGGAGTAGTAGGGGTTTGCATAGAGCTGATAGCCGCTGAAGGGATTGCCACTGTTGGTAACAGTGGGGGCTGTGGTAGTCGGGGCTGTGGTGGTAACTCCGGTAGATGTCTTGGTGGTCACGGTGGCTGTGGTAGTCACCATAGTAGTCTTCGATGTGCTGGTGGTGCTCGTAGTGCTTGCACCTCCTGCAGTGGCAGGGATACATTGGGCATAGTCTTTTCAAGAGATCAGTGCTCTGTTTTGGGGGTCAAAGAGAAGAACCAAGATACATACAGGGGTTCTGAGTGCTGCAAGTTGCCGATGCTGTGCAGACCGTCGATCCCATGTATCCACTACCGCCACCTAGAGAAACAATGAGCATGTTATATCCAGGAGAATCAGCAATAGCAATCCTTACATTGTCCCCAGAGAGTCTGCTGAGCAGTGGCGATATGAGCCAGGACCAACAAGGCCCAACCTGATGTACGCTGCATGTTAACTGAAGCTTTGGTTTTCTGATGTTGTCTCGAGAATGCTGGGATGCAGTGCTAGAGGAACAAAGAGGAGATTCTGAAGGAAATATATACGTACGAGACCTAGAATGTGACGGGAGTGTCACCCGGTTCTCCGATGATACTGGATCTCAAAGCTGCAATGGCCACGGAACAACATCTCAAAATGGCGCGGAACATGGAGAGTCTTCAGGCTAACTTAGTTCGAGGTATCCTTCAGATGAACTGTATTACTACGTCAGAGTGGAAGACTGGTTAAATTATCAACTATCGTTAAACCTATCGGTTTACTTCAAATCATGCACCCCCTACCGGTAACAAAGACTTTATTACTACCGGCAGTTCGATGGCTGTAAGTTACCCCAGGATCATCAGGGGTGGTTGCCACGGTCGAGCAAGCCCTATACATCACGGGGAGGTCGAAAGCAGTAAGCGTATATACCAAAAACGAGGAGCCGGCATTCTTCACCCGGCTTGCAGGGTAAAGTTTGTTGTGTGATAGGCGGGGAAGAAGGGCTCGTCGGAACCCCTTTGCCACTAGTCCAAAAAGTACCACCGGTTCTTCACTACCAAGCAATAGTATAGCCATCCTCATACTCGAGGGATCTACATAGCCTAATCATCCGGGTATTACTGCTACGGGACGAATCCCGTAATGATTATAAAGTTTTTATGATACAGTTGCTAGTAAAATCATCTGTCCACCTTGTTAGTTCTATACAATTTTAGGCGTTTCACATTAAAAGCTAAAGTCACCTTGACTGATTCAGGGAACCGGGTATCATACAAAGATTAACTTGATCTTGCTCTCGGGTCCTGTTGGCAGTGTAAGTAGTATTTGACTTGTCCTGTACAATGCGGCGTTCTCCGAAGAGTATTCTTCAAGTTTTCCGCTAGTATGTAGGTTAAGTTCTGTGACTTAGTAATTACTAAGTGCCAACCACCCATAATAATGTGCTCTAGTTAAAGCTGGAGCAGGTAAACTCTCCGGTCAGGGTGGCTCTAATCTCTGTACAAAGTGCGGGCATTACGCTGACTGGCTGATGCATTTCTGCAGGTGCCACGGGGGCGGAGCGCCTCCCGACAAGAATAATGAAGGATACAGTCCTGTAACCCCTCGATAAAATGACTTTAGTTAAATTCTGACACCTCGATACGAAATGAAAGAACTGCCTAGCCGCCAACATTGTTGTTTGAGTGAGGGGTTACTGTAAATGGAGCGGAGTTGTGGCCGGTAGTCAAATGTGACATCGCTTGTGAAGGCTATCAGCCCCCAAATCCCTGATTCATTGAGCTTGGGTTGCTTCGATGGCGATCATACCGCTCTACTAGGGTCATTCTCGTCGGTTTCATACTCCATGCGAGTAAAAAAATATTGTCGTGACTAGTTTTAGTATCCCGTGTCAGGATTCCTTTTCACACCGAAGCTGAAAACCCGTCCAGGAGCAAGCGTAGTAGTGTAGATATATATTCTGCTGTGAATGTAACATGATTCAAGCGATGATCTGGTTTGCCGAGGAATTTCTATTGTCAAGGTTGCCGAGTACTAACTGGTGACCGTGCATTGAAGATTTTAACCTTTCGAAATCGCATCAGCGGGGTAGTGATGTAGGGTCTCATGAATCGAGGACGCCGACCGTGAGGATTTCGAGAGTGTGGGGCAGATCGCCTGCTCAGGTATTCGCGAGCGGCCAGGGGCAGGGAGCGGAGAATTGGCTGATATTAGCAGTATTTGACATTCTAAACCGCGTGATTGATCTGTTCTATTTCGTTTGTACCTATTAGCGACTGCCGAGGCTCACTTCGCCGAGAGGATAATTTTGGTGGTACCTGAGCGTCTTTGAATATATATTCTTTCTTAAAGAGCCTCCCTCTCTAATTATTGTTGGGAAGGAAAGTCGAGGGTACTGAATGAGGTATGCAGTCTTCACACAAGTGAAACTATATGACAGAAGATGGCAGTCGCCACGGACGGTTTAAAGCCGTAGATGCTTCCTACCATTGGTTCCGTGTTTACTTTTTGGCTGGCTTCCTCAAGTAGCTTTCATGATGCTCGTTAGGAATATGGACGTTTTTGGTACAAGGAAGGCAAGAATAAATTTTGGTAGATGACCGAAATGAGTTTCTTGTACTTGGAAGTCAATGAAAGCGACGATAGCGACATGACAGAGTAAAAGGCGCATCTAACGATTTCCAGATTGGTGCAGAAGCAGGTCGCCCCTTGTTGACTGGTAGGATGGGTTTGTACTTGAGCAATTAGAATTGTTTCTTGGCGGGACGCGTAAACTTCCCCGCCGCGGTTTGCAAAGGGGAAAACATAACCTTATGTGTAGAACTTAATGCGCTTCAATTGGGAGGAAATGCGAGTCTTTCATGTCGACATGCGTCTCTTCACATATCAAGAGAGCACCTGCCTCTTCCCGTCCGTTTCCTCGAGCGGCGAACATCAGTCAAGCGCTTCGTTTTGCATACCAGCAACTCCCATTCGAGGTCCATCCAGCAAGGTTGCGAATAGAAGTAGGGATTCTACGCATCCCAGGTTTTCCACTGCTGGAACGCCGCCTACAACAATGAGCTCATTCGAGTCAGTTATTGCTCAGAATTCACACTATCGAATCATGGATCCTCAAATGCTTGTCACCTATCGGCATTCTGCTCTTCCGGCCGCCGGCTCCTAGCCGTAAGTCGGGCGAGCACATCGCCGGTCTTGTCTGGTCTAGAGCCCCTCAAAGGCCATTCCGAGTGGATTAGATCGGCGTTCCTCGCTCTCGGCGCCGATTGCTTGTCCTCAATTCTGGAAGCTTTTTATGACTAACTCTATAATATTGGAAAGCTCGAAAGCTAATCTCAGCGGATCCAGTCGATGATTTTCTCTCTCAACTGGCGACATTGAAACTCGAAGTCTCCTTCACGGGCGTTATGCAGAGTAAGATAGACTTGCATCTTACATCCATCTATGTACTATTGTACTACTGTAATGCCGCGCACATCCGAAGAAAAAAACACGGTCGTCCAGTTAGCTTCGCGTGATGATGAACTGTAGGCGCCAACTTAGGTGACCACCTTGCAGATAGACTACTGAGGTCAAAACAACATTACTTAAATATTTATACCGAGAAGATTGTCCGAGCCGTTGTAGCGACTTATATACCCGAAGCTCATGGCACCAGGGGGATAATACCGCAGAGAAGAATTTGAACAAAAAATTTCCAATGCCGCGTGTCCCGCGTAAGTGAAAACCCAGTCTTACGTGTAGCTAGCTACATTAGGGATTCAGTAGTGCACAGTACATGAAGCGAAGGATACAAATCTGGTATATGCTCTGCCAAGTTTGCGATTGATCTGGACAGTCAACGTAATTTTATCAGACAACCTACCTGTATACTGTCGAAAATCAGCCATCCCTAGAAGCGGGAGTCACATCTGAGATTTCGCGCTTTCTGAAACGCGGTCCCATCGTGGCAGTGTCAAAAATAACCTGAGATATGACTGGATTAACTAAGTATTCCATGACGAAGCTATGTACCCACCCCCTTATATCCATTATCCTTCCTTATCCGGTCGTAAGAAAAATAATTAGGTTGCCTTGTTCTGCGGGGCGCCGTCTCCTGGCGGGACATGGCCTTTCCATCTCTACGGTTATCAGCATCAAATCCCACCACAGGCATTGCTTTGACTGTGAGGTGTTTGCCCATCAAAGATGCCGATTCTGAGATGGCTTGCTTTTTCTTTACTTCGCCCGGCTTATCGGTGCCGTCAAGCTACTCGAATCTACCGCCCTTATTCCATGCTCCGATAGCAGTATCATCAAAACCAACAAATTTAAGATGACGCTGACGCCGGATAATTACAGCCTTGCGATCGAATTCGACGGCGAGATTAACTACTCCGGAAAAATCATAATGAATGTTGATTTGTTAGTCTACGGCTACAGTTTCTTGACTACGCAAGTAGATCCGTGCAACTACAACACATTATCTGGGTTTTGTCCGTTGGTACCAGAAAATATGACAGTGCCATCTGCGACTCTCTCCCTTTCAAACAGTACAATCTCAGACATTCCCAGTGAGTTTTTCTCTCTCTTTCTTGATTCAGGCGTGAATCTCAGAAGCGAATATTACCTCTTGGGGAGATGCTCTGGCTAACACGCACCAATTTAATAGGTATCGCGTATAGCATCCCCGATCTCGATGCCGTCGCCCGAATTACCATATTATCCAAATCAACAAATGAAAGTGTCACATGTATTGAGGCCCGCGTTATCAACAGCACAACAGTCTACCAGGCCGGAGTAAGCTGGACACTTGCGATTATCACCGGGCTGGCCCTTTTTGCAAGCACAATCCTCTCGATTATCGGCTATTCCAACATCGCGACACAAATCTCGTTCCGCACATTACTGTTTCTGGGCTTCATGCAGAGTCAAGCCATGGCGGGTCTCACTGCGGTGGAGTTCAAGCCGCTGGTCCAGAATTGGACCCAGAATTTTCAATGGACTATGAGCATTGCACATGCAGACTTTCTGAACACTATCACGACTTGGTTTCAGCGTGCGACAGGAGGTACAGCCGCGGATTTATTTTCCGAAGCCGGCGATATTTCGGTCGGTCTCCTCAAACGGTCCACAAAAATGCTCGTAAAGAGAAGCGAGCCAACAACAGATGGTGGTTCAGAAGTCCTACTTTATGGCATCATTCGCATGGGATACGTTGCAGGCATTGAGTCTACCAACATCTTTATGACCGGATATCTGGTCTTTTATTTTATTGCTCTAGTTATGCTCCTGGCAACTATGGCTCTCAAGTTCGGTTTGCCTCCAATTTTGAAGACGAATAGAGTAAAGTCCCGTCACACCTTTGGTGCCCAGGTTGACTGGCAGAACTTTATGCGAGGGAACCTCTGCCGAATCGCATATCTTAGCTATCCCCAATTCTGTGTCTTTAGCATGTGGGAACTATATCGACGAGATTCTGCAGCCGAAGTCGTCCTCGCCATCACCATATGGCTCGTCTTGACTATCATCCTCGGCAGTTCAACATTCAGAGTGTTCCAACATGTACGGTCTTCGAAAGGGTTGTCGGGAACCCTTACTTACCCGCTCTATTTTGATCCGGCGTGCCTCACGAAATGGGGCTGTCTGTACGTCCATTACAAGGCCGAGACGTACTACTTCATCATTCCTCTTCTAGTCTACACGATCGTGAAAGGCATGATCATCGCATTTGCACAACATAACGCCATGGTGCAGGCCATAGTTCTTCTCATCTTCGAGGCTGGATTCCTCGCCAGCACTGCAGTCATCCGACCATACATGGACAAGAAATCCAACACCTTCGCCATAACCGCCGCTGCCATCAACTTCGTCAACGCTATCTTCATCCTAGTCTTTTCCGACATCTTCAACCAGCCAGATCTCATGACCGGGATCATGGGCGTCTTATTCTTCCTCTACAATGCGATATTCACCCTCATCCTCACCATCTTCCTGCTGATTGGGCTCTTCTACGCCGTTCGGCTCAAGGAACCGAATCCAGGATCCCAGCGTTTCTACGACAATCGCGCCTCCTATCAATCCACAAAAGGACTGATCGAGATGGAGAATCGACAACCAGATGAACTCCTCGCTCTTCAGGAAGTGGTGGCCACGGCGGAAGAGTACCATCAGCAACAGCGTCCATACTCACCCTTAGGTGGCAGTGCGAAATCAAGCTCGGGACTTCATTTGGATTTGAGCAACAATATGTCCTCGGAGTCGCGCTGGAATATCGACCACGGACATGATGGGAGTATCTATAATGTGCGACGTAGCACGGCGCCACCTTCGCCGTTTGACGACCCGATTGAACCAACGCTGCCGTTGATTCCTAGCAGTTCTGGGATCTCTGGCCGTCGGGTAAAGGAGTGATTTTTACTGCGTCATGGCCTATGAACAATATATTTCTAGCGAAGGATATCCATCACTTTTTGATATAAATTCGGCTTCCCCCTTGACTATTCACGAAATCAACGTTTATACACCGTGAACTCAAGAACTATAAACACAATGTACGCAGCCAGAAGCGCCAACCCCGCAATTCGACTCGATCCAAGGAAGACAATACCAACCAAACACAGCGCAGATACCCAAACCGTCGCCAATTCAAACAGAACAAAGTTATCTGCATGGTTGACCGGTATTCCAGTAACAGCAACAACCCCCATGCAGATAGTCAACAAGAAAATGTTACTTCCTGCCGTGGTAGCAACCACAATGCCACCCTGTCCTCTGGAACCACTTAGCACTGAGATGAACTTCTCCGGCAGGGTGGTCGCAAAAGCGATTACTGTCAAACCGAAGACAGTACCGGATAGCCCCAAAGACTGGGTTAGGGCACCTGCGCTATGTGCGATGATGTACCCGGATAGAGAGAGTGCGAGGAGCCCGAAGAGCAGTTGACACAGGTGGTAGAAGAGTGACATCGTAGGCTTCACAGTATGACCTTCCAGGACGGAGCTTGGATCATGCAAGAGTGGAGAGTTCTCCGACATCCCGTCCTGGCCAACCGCACGATCATCGCGTGCGATAGGCAGATCATCATCACTATCACTGTCACTCTCACTATCCGACAATTGCGGCGCTTCAGTAACACCCTTATAAATCGCATACCCAATAGAGAGTATATAAACCACAAACCCGCCAATAAGAAGCCAACCAGTAACCACATTCAACTGATCAAAAAACGCCAAGACAACAAAAAGCGTCGTGATGAAAAGCAAAAGCGCCGCGTAAATCTTCGCACTCCGATCAAATTCCATCGCACCGGGATGAAAAAGAATACCCAATGAGAAAGCGCCCAGGACATTCGAAATCGCAGATCCAACTACATTGCCTAACGCGAGGGGACTGTGGCCTTGCGCAATTGCTGCGACGACAACGGCAAGCTTGGCATACGCGTCAGTGGTGGAGTTTGGGAGAATTTTGATTTTAATACTGGAAGGCAGGAGGAGGAGAGATGCATACCTCTTCATATTCGGCACCGGCTGTTAAAAGTGCAATTAGAGTTGGTGAAATGCCTAATCGTTGGCCCACGATGACGGTGTGGTCGAGGAATTTGTCGGCGCCGTAGTCGAGGACGAAAACGCCTGCGATCAGTGTTGCGGCGTTGAAGCAGATATTGTCCCAATTCATGGCTGAGGGATAATATGGAATCAAGAATACCTGCACGAACTGTGAGTGCCAAGCTGTTAATCAAGCTTTGTAGATTGAAAGGGATGCTGCCTTGGGTGTTGGCAGAGACGGTCACATGATCAAAGCTTAATTGTGTTTGGCTATTTTGAAATCTAGAGTTGAGAATTAAATATCGTTTGGCTTGTTTCACTGTCTGGCCATTGGGTGCTTCTATTATGATGCTCAATTGTATTCACAAATTCAACAAAGGTCTATGTTCCTCATCGATCTCGCTGATTTTCACCCGTGTCCATCTGGGGAGGTACTCCTTGATATATCCCCGGCAGATTGACCGATACCCTGAGGTACGCTTCACCATTTAGAAAGAAAACTTGACTCATCTAGCCTTTAGCTAGCCATTCACAAAAGTACACAGGTTTTCCGAAGACACAGCATTGATAATAAAAACAACAAATGTTTCATTCAAGGTGTCCCCAGTCTCGGGTGCTAGGTGGACCACATGAATGACTTGGACCTTAAGCGGCATCTCTGATCAAATGAGAGGGACGGTACGTTGAACTGAAGGCTAGAATACAGTGCTAAATAAATAGTATGGCCTGCAAAGCAGGAGGGGTCCTCGTCAGAACTCAACGTCTGGAAGGTGACCGAGACGGGATGCCGCGGACAGCGTTTTTGAAGGCTGAATCAAAGAGAGTTCCGCAAGTACTTCGCAGGAAATGAACTCAAAAAGTCCATTAGTCTACACTAAATGCCACAAGATGCAGAGCAAATTTCGCGCCCGGCGTCATTATATTTTTAGTAACTGTGCAGCTACACATAGACATCCGACGCAAGCCACTCAACCCCAGGAACAGTATTAACCATTCCAAAAGGAAGCAAAAGGTCAGGTCAGAGCCAGCACAGAGATAAGGTATCAAGTAAGAATAGAATCGTAGAAAATAAAAAAGGAAATTCCCATCCGTACGCAGTGTTGAATGCAAGACCAGATTCCAGGTCGACCCACGCCAGTGAAACAAAAACACATCAAGCACACCTTCTCCACTCCCAGTGTGGAGACCACTTTTATGCCGTTGAAGGACAACCACTTTTAGGGTTCAAAGTTGATAAAGAACCCGAAATGCCAATCGTAACATCGTCGAATCATGTTGAAAGTCTATTTCTCAAGAAGAAAGCTCATGGAATATCGGACGCAATTGGAAAAGAAGAGATTAAGTGGTTTGTTTAGTAGCGGTAGCTGTGAAATAAAAGTTAGCAAGGTTGTTCTCAGAGAGGGGTGAAAGAAAGGGGGTAGATCTTACATCTCGCTCTTGTAGGGGCCGTTAACGTCAAGGCTGAGGTACTCAGCCTGGACGGGGGTGAGCTCAGTCAGCTTAGCGTTGACGTGCTCCAAGTGGCAGCGAGCGACCTGCTCATCAAGCTGCTTGGGCAGAACGTAGACACCGACGGGCTTCTTGCCAGAGGAGCCGAACTCGATGTACTTGTTGCCGAAGGCAACGTCCTCGGCCTTGTAGAGGGCGATCTGAGCCAGGACCTGGTTGGAGAAAGAGCAGGACATGACGAAGGAAGAGTGACCAGTGGCACAGCCAAGGTTAACCAGACGGCCCTCGGCGAGCAGGATGATGTGCTTGCCGTTCAGGAGGTAGCGGTCAACCTGGGGCTTGATGTTCTGGACGGACTGAGCGTTGGCCTTGAGCCAGGCAACGTCGATCTCAATGTCGAAGTGACCAATGTTGCAGACGATGGCGTCGTTGCGCATGGCCTCGAAGTGGCGGCCAACCAGGATGTCACGGCAGCCAGTGGTGGTGACGAAGATCTGACCGAGGGAAGCAGCCTCATCCATGGTAACGACCTCGAAACCCTGGACGGCAGCCTGGAGGGCGTTGATGGGGTCGACCTCAGTAACGAGGACGCGGGCACCCATGGAGTGGAGAGCCTGGGCGCAACCCTTGCCGACATCACCGTAACCGGCGACGACACCGATCTTACCAGCGATCATGACATCGGTGGCACGCTTGATACCGTCAATGAGGGACTCACGGCAACCGTACAGGTTGTCGAACTTGGACTTGGTGACACAGTCGTTGACGTTGATGGCGGGGACCTTCAGCTTGCCCTCCTTCATCATCTTGTACAGGTGGTGGACACCGGTGGTGGTCTCCTCGGATACACCGTAGCAGTCCTCGAGCATCTCGGGGTACTTGGCGTGGACGAGGGAGGTCAGGTCACCACCATCATCGAGGATGAGGTTGAGCTTCTTGTCATCCTTGAAGGCGAACAGCTGCTGCTCAAGGCACCACTGGTACTCCTCCTCGGTCTCACCCTTCCAGGCGAAGCTGTAAATAAAACAAGTCAGAAAAGCATATTCCAGGTACAAAGATAAGGTGATTTTGGCTTACACAGGGACACCGACAGCGGCAATGGCGGCAGCGGCGTGATCCTGGGTGGAGAAGATGTTGCAGGAGGTCCAGGTGACCTCAGCACCGAGGGCAACGAGGGTCTCGATGAGGACAGCGGTCTGGATGGCTATTGAAAGGATCAGAAAAAGCTCATACGTGGTCTGTATCAATGGAGCTTACTCATGTGCAGGCAACCGGCGATGCGGGCACCGGCGAGGGGCTGGTCAGCACCGTACTTGGCACGGATGGCCATGAGACCAGGCATCTCAACCTCGGAGAGCTCGATCTCCCGGCGACCGAAGGCGGCCAGGGACTAGAAAGAAGGAGACAGGTTAGCCATTGACCACGGAAATCAAGACCAGAATGGAGTTTTGGTGGAAATACATACGATGTCAGCGACCTTGAACTTCTGAGCGGGGGCAGCCATTGTGTATGGAAGTGATTAGAGAGACTGTGCAGAGGAAGGTCAGTATGAAGGATGATGAAGATTGTAGAAGATGAAATCAGGAAAACGAACCAAAGGGGGGGTATAAGAGAGATGAGAGAAGGAGGAAAAGAAAAGGAGGGAGAAGCAGATCTTTGAGGAGGGGAAAAGTCTCTGGCCCCACCTACTGCCTTTCACGGTGCACCACCTCACAACTTCACAGGTCGGCCAGTGCTGGCTGGCTTAGTCATCTTGGGTAAGCGGGGTCGGGCGTGGGACTCGGTCGCTTAGTCAGATCATCATCGGCAGTCTACGGTTGCCGCATCTCGGGGACCTTGGAGGAGTTGACTAGATTGATTGGAGGTGATGGGAATGCTTGAGGACCCTGAAAGAGAGAGAACTTAACAATTCACTCATCTGTAATATCACATTCATATGCTCAGTTCTATTTCGATGAAGAATCAAATCACGGAGACTGCACCCTTTCAATAATTGCCCCAGCAAAACAAACACTGCAGAACCGATCAGCCCCATCGGGCCCCATCGGAACTCCGTCTAGCTAGAAAAGGATCCCCGAGACGGTAATAAGCAACAAGCAGAGAATAATGGAGAGGGAGATAAGACACTTCCATCCTAGGAGAGAATAGAGAAAGGGAATCATCATGCATCATAATAGTCGTAAATGTCATCCAGTGTACGAAAAACAAGAATGAAGGTAAAACAGGAGGGGTAGGTAAAAAAAAAAAACACTAATAGGAGATCGCCGGTGCCTCACTCGTTGCCCCATAAGGATTTCCATCATTATAAGAAAAACCACTGCCATGACCATGATGAGAGTCCGGGTATTCAATCTCATCAGGCCACCGGCGACGACTATTTGGAGCGGAACCCTGACTGCGACAACGACGCATCTCCCGTTTAATAGCACGCTGCGCACATTCATCCCGGAAGTGTTTCGTTTCCTTGCGTTTCTCATTAACCTCTTTCCACTCCCCGTACGCACCCTTGATACCCAGCGCCGCAAGCCCGACGCTAAACGCATCAATAGTATTCGCCTTGATGCGCCGCTTGCGCGCCTCCTCCTGTGTAATCTCGCCATCCTTCACCTGTTGCATGCGTTCTTTGCGTTTCTGGATCCCGCCGTAAACTCCGTGGGCGGCGTGGATTGTAGCCACGGTGGCCAGACCAGAGGTCAATAACATGTCCCGCTTCAGCTTCTTGCGTTTTTCTTTTTCATCACTACTGTCGCCCAAGTCAGAATCACTTTCGGAGCTAGAGTGGGATCCCCGGTTGGAAGATCCCAAGCCCTTCATCTCGCCACGGGGTGCACTAGTAGGTGCAATGGGGGGTGCTTTGTTGCCGTTCAAGGAACGATTTCGACCTACATCTCTCGAGCCTCTGCCATGCCTGTGATTCCTGCTGCGGTAGTCGGTCTCTGTGTCTGAGTCTGAATAGGAGTCGTATCGTGAGTCTCTGTCCCGGTGATGACGCCGCTCCCGACGAGGATCGTAACGATAATTCAGGCTCTCATCATCTCGATCACGGTTGCGGTCGTGGCGACCACGGTCGGATGCTTCTTCTCCAAAGCCCAGGGCGGCCATGCCCTTGGTAATGTACTCCGAAACGCTCTTGCTGCGCTTCTTGGATCCACGTCGATCATCGTCGCTGTCTCGGTCACGATCATCTCGGCCGCGAGGTCGAGAGCGCGAGCGCGACATACGGTCATAGATCTCTTTGCCTGCAGCCGCAAGAGCGCCAGTAGCGGCGAGGTCTTTGAGGCCACTGCCGGAACGGCCACGGCCATCACGTCCCTTGGAGGAGGAACCACCGCGGACGAAATGGCTAGCGGCAAGACCAGCGAGGGTAGATTCCACGACGTGACGCCCAGAGTGCTTTTTGGGGTCCTTATCGATGAGACCGTCGGCACCGGCCGCAGTGACAGCTGCAGTGAGGATGCGTTTACCCTTGGCACCAGTCCAGTCGCCCGGATCCTTGCGAGACTTGAAGGCTTCCACGGCACCGGCTGTCAAGGCAGCGCGTGCGGCCTGAGCAAGGCGCTGTTCACTGCGTTGACGGTGGTTGCGATCACGGTCACGACTGCGGCTACGAGATCGAGATGACGAGTAATCACGACCACGGCGACGTGAAGAGGATCGGGCGCGGCCACGATCTGTGCGGTCTGTACGGTCTGACTGTCTGGAAGCAACGGAGCCTAGGCCAAGTGCGCCGAGGGCAGTTTCGCCAAATGACTTGCGGCGTCTATGACGGGATGGAGATGGGCTGGATGAAGAAGCAGAGGAGTATCTAGAGCGACGGGGGCCTGCGACAGGGTTTAGTATCCCCAGGATGAAGTGCGTCGCACAGGAGGCGAGAGCCTCCGTGAGGAAGAAGGACCACTTACGGTGATCATCAGACTGCCTGGTTCGCCGGGTTCGGGAACGGTAGTAACCATTATCGTAGTACGGATCGTAGCCACCGACAGAGGATGCGCGGCGCACATTCTCATAGACCGGGCGTCGCGAGCGACGAGAGTCGTAGCCGCGCTCATAGACATAATCAGAGCCTGGGGGATAGTCGCGCTGGATTTCCTCAACCGAGCCCTCACCCCCTCGAGGGGAGTAGACTTCTCGATCGTTCCTTGCATTAAATCCCCGTGGATGATCGTCATAGTAATCTGCAGCATAACCGGCGGCTGGACGGCCACGGTCGCGGGGCGCATAGTGGCGACGATCGTCGTAGTACGCCATCGTGGGCGATGGGGGAAATGGATGGGAGCGTAGACCGATGAAAGGTTGGGAGGAGGTAAAAGGCAAAGATCAAATCAAAGGTCGACTTATGTGAGCTTTCTACCGTTCACGGGGACGAAGGTTGTTGGAGAAGAAAAGATCGTAATGAGGCAACAGGGAGACTTTCTGGAGTGAGCGAGGCGGGGCAGGGTGGCGTGACGTCGTTGGGTGACGGGCGACGGGGCGAGAAGGGCGGAGCAGAGCAGAGCAGAGGACCGACTGACAGACACAGACAGGCAGAGAATCGATTACTAGAATGGTTAGAGGCAGGAATCTGGTGAGGCTGAGGACAACTTGGCAGTGGCTGAGAGACACGAGGTGAGAGCTGAAGACAAACTTCCATCCATCGTTAAGGAGAAGGTTACAGCAAAGTCCCTTCCCCTCGCAGGGCCCATGTCCTCTATAATATATTGACCCTTTGGCCTTCTTTACCCCATAATGAACCGTATGGGTCTCCGCGATGACGTTGTGCCACTTACGAGTTACGACCGGAGAGGCTGGCGTCCGCAAGGGAACCCCGGGGGAGAAATTCTACCCTCGAATGAGGAGCGCTCGGATCGAGTCGTGAATTGTTCTATCAACATGTCATGGCGCCCGACGTCATGTTGCATGGGCCATCAAGGAAAGGGGACCAGCCCTACGTATCCTCCACCACCCCTCCACCATGGGCGCCCGGGCCTAGACGCCACACGTTGGCACCCTTCGGAGAAGGGTCGCTTGACCGCTGATATGATTCTGAGGGGTTGCAATGCCCGGTCGAAGGGTAGTGAGTGTATTTTTATTAGAAAGACAGCTCTCTCCATCTTGATATCAACAGTCAACAAAGGTTCCACGGGTCAAGACTCGGCTGGCCCCGCGGGGCTGGGCAGGGTCGAGTTTTGGTTTTGGTCTCCATCCAACCCAGAAAATCGAATGGAATGGATCGGGACCTTTACTCATCGCCGGGCCGAGACCGCTCAGGCACACCAACTAACGACTGACTTTAGTTACAATGCCAAAGTCCAACAAGCCTTGAACGGTCAGCCTGATCATCAACCAAGCCATACCCTAGCACTGCCAATCTTTCTTGTTTGTTTCTTCTTCGATTTATCTTTGGTGGCTGGTGGTGGCGGTGGCTGTCCTCACTGACTGATTCGTAGTCTTTGAGCCTGGATAGAAAACTATATCTGGCATGGCACGCCCTATGGGCATTGGCTCAAAATTACCAACCCCCCCCCCCCCCCCCCCCCTCCCCCTTTTAATCGCTCAGTAGCTTTCTAGCGGTGCAAGTTTTGACTTTACAACCACATGTCTACCCAACCCCAAACCTTTTCGGTGTTGTGTCAGACTGGACCGAACAAACGAGTATGAGCTGAAGTATTACCAACGTGGATTGAAAAAACACAACTATCCACCCGGGCTCCCTTTCCTTCTGACAATATTGTTGAATTTTACAAAAGACTATAGTAAGACTAACTATTTATGATTAAAATTGACACAGCATGTTCATAGGGGGCATAAGTAGCCTTTATTCACCAACGAAATCCCAGGCGGAGCCAACGTCGCATGGAGAGTGCAAGCAGTACTTCTGGCATCCACGAGGTCCTGACCATCCCTGGACTTTGATCAGTGAGATGGAGTCCAAAATTAAAAGGAATGCAATTTGATCTCCAAGATAAAAAGTGCTCGCATTAGAGGTTCAGTGAATACCCGGAAAAAATGCTCCTTTGGATTAAATGATCATGTAAAATGAGAGAATTAAGTCAGAGCAACGATGGTGCACAGCGAGGAATAATTTGCATACCTTGCCATGATAACAAGCTCTGAGAGGCCCTGATGTTTCTATATGGGGGTCTATGATGGAGCGAATGTTAGTCTCACGAAATTGGTTAAGATCAAGTCACTCTTTGAAGCTTCCACTCGCGGACTGTGTTCGACCGGCCCGATTGAGAGATACATTTGCCTTCCGTATTTAACTCAGAAACAGTAGCCTTGAAACTTCTTGTAAGAACAGTCGCACTCCGATCCCTGAAATAATTTCTCGGTGACCAGCTCTAGATTCAAACTGATAGATCTAGACTCGGCCAAAGGCAAAGCTCTGGTTTCATACAATTTGGAGTTTATGAAGCCTCACACATATGTTCATCACATTTCACATCACGTATAAAATACATTGAATTTCGAGTATCCATAGGCAACAGGATCGGTAATTTCATTTTAAATATACTCCTATGGATATGAGAAGGATAAACATTCGCTTATTGAGCCTCGCGGGCTCACAAATGTTCCCTATAAAACCCACATAATACGATGGAGCACAAATTTTGAATACCCCAAACTCAGTGAGGTGAGCGTGACTGACATTGGAATTGACATGAAACCACCATGATGATTACCGCCGCGGGCCAAGAGAGACACGAGATGAGTGTAGGTCGCCCCAAGAACTCTTTTTCTCTTACCATTCCCAGGACCAGCAAGTCTGATAAGATCTACAACGTAATGTGCAACGTGCAACTGCCACGTTATACGGGTTCCCCCAGCTTCATCCACCAGCCCTGACTTGGATATCTACCGCCCTTTAACTCTACACTTAGAGCAGAAGTATTCACAAGGTCATCCCATTCATGGAGATCCCTCCTCAAGTTAAGTACTATACAAAAAGGTAGGTACTTGGCAGACACGCCCCATATCGAAACGTCTTGGTCCTGACCCAAGACGTTCGCAAGATTAAGTTTAAAAAACAAAGACATGCACGTGCATTAATACATGGGGGAGTATACAACTGAAGACAAGAAAATGCAGATAGAGACAGAACATGGATGATGGCAAAAAATACAAAGAAGACATGGATGAAATGGTATGATTGAGGGCTCCTAGAGCCGACCTCGCGTCGAATTCTGAGATGGGATCCGGAGGGGTGGGCCATGATGTATCAATACCATGGCCCTGATTCAGGTCATTGGTGCATGTCGTATCGACGGTTCCTCAAAAATATGGGGCGCTGTAAAATTGATGATGATACAGCTCACTGCACAGCAGTGGTCAGGGCCATGCGCGGGTCATCGAAATGGTCATCGCTATGCAAGACAAGAGACATGTCATATAGAGACAGGTTTCCGGGGCTACGGCAAGCATTTGCCACCATGTGGTACCCATCTCTCGGAGGGGGCCCAGTTGGTTTTAATGTTTTCAGCTTTCCGTTTCCTGCCCGTTTCACGAAGGCGTTTGAGACCCACGGCTAGGATGAGGTATTATCGTACTGGCGTCTGTAGACTGGCTCACCGTCCGGCTATGAGCTTGGGGCGCATAACCCGAATCAGGTCGAGGCAGTGTCCACCGAGACTCGGCATCAGGCTCTGAAGGTGTAGATCGCATATCGTCTGAATGTGTACGGTGAGTGCGGATGTGCTGCTTCATGTTGTCCTTGCGAGTAAATGCCTTTTTGCAGATAGGGCAGTATACGCTCTTCTCGCCTGTGTGCTTCTTGCCGTGGCGGGCTGCGTGGCCGGATGTCGTGAATGTCGCTGAGCAGCCATGGCTCGCGGCGTATGGACAGGGGTACTTGTTCTTGCGCCCAGTTCCGCGCGAGTTACCGGGCTGGGAGTGCGAGGACTTTGCGTCGGTTGCTGTGCTTGCATGAATCTCAGGTGGTGTTTGTGGGCCGGCTGGTCCGCGAGATGGGTAGCGGAATGGATCCCGTCGCAGGTCCTGCCGGGCGTACGGCTGGTAAGCTGAAGATGAGGGCTGGCTGCTAGGATAGTCGTAGGCTGAGCCGTCCGAGGAGCCTGGTGATGTGGGCTGTACGGATTCTGCTACAGGGTTGAAGAGATGCTGTGTGCCTCGTGGTGATGCGGATGGTGACTTGGATGAAGTATGCGGACGGGCGTACTGCTGGTCGTTGATGGGGAGAGGAAGTTGATGGGGATGTTGTTGTTGGTGGTAATGCGAAGGCGAGGTGTTGGTCCGGGTCAGTCTCGGATTGGACCGGACTGCAAACGACGGGTGGTCGTCATTGTTTAGGATTGATACAATGCTCGTCATACCGCCAGACATTTCCTCGACGCCTCGAAATGCGGTCACCGAGGCTGGATAGTTATACTAAGAAGGGCACGTTCACAGGTCAGTCTGGGTTGCCTACAGCTTTGGGTGAAGAGGCTTGAAATGATCCGCGGGATCATGCTGATAGGGTAGTGTTGAGCCGGGAGGGTGACGGCCTGAAGTGTAGAGAGAAGGGGAAAATAGGAAAAATGGAGAGAGAGACAGAGGAACAAAGCTCTGGTCTCTTCCAGTCCATCCCCAGGGATAGTACAGCAAACGTACCAGCGGCTCTTGAAAGATGTTTGTCGCCCGCGTTGTGTAACAAGTCGACAACATTAGACCCTAAGTTGGCACTTGCCCAGAGATCTGCCAGAAGCCCGATGACTCGAGCCTGTGCCCCCTCAAAAAGTGGCGATAATCAAGAAGACGACTCTTTAAGGTTCGGGACTCCCTAGGGTTTGTCGGAGTGATGCTGAATGGTTCGAGACGAATCGGTTCTTCCCACACCGTTGGTTCCTCTCAGAACATTCCTTTCTGAAATTCCTGTGCTTCGTTCCGCGCTCTTAGTAGTCGACTTGGGAAGCACAATCGTCTACGACAGTTGCAAACTGGACTGGGGAAATTTCCAGGGGGCCAAGGAGGGGAAAGTAGAGTGGTGTGTCGAAATTCAACACCGGTCGTCCACTCTCTGCGGGTACACTAGTAACCTCGTCTTCCAGAGAACAAGGCAGGACTGTTGTGTATGGTCCTGTTAAACAAATGTAAAAGGGGGTTTGTCGCTGGCGAGTTCCAGGTCGAATCTAAACTCCTTTCCTCGATTTGGTGAAAGCCGGCTGAAAATGATGCGATATTTGATAAGAGATGCGAGCACAGAGATGATTGATCGTCAGGTGGGGGGCAGGAGGGGAGATAGTTTAGCCCGTGTCGAGTTTGGAAGGCAAAGTTCAAGAGCGCCCTCAATGATGGGAAGAATTGAAGAGAAAATGGGAAAGGATGGGATTGGAGGGAAAAGACCCTAAGAGATAAGAGAATACAAATGGGACGTTATTTGAGGAAGAGAGAAGGGGAGAAAAAGGATGACGAGTTTCGCAGCCAAGTCCGATTGAGGAACGAATACATACTAAATATGCGAAGCCAAGCTTCCAGGGTCTGTCTCTGGCGAGGCTCCCCACAAGCTCTCTGTGTAGGACGTAGGGTATTTTCCATTCGATACCGCGTTGGCTATCGTACTAGCCGTTGAAGTGGAGCTCGGGCGGATCACGTAGAATTATTATTATCACGACTCCATCGTGGGTATTATTGGGATTATTTTTGAGTTCTCCTTGGATATTATGAATGCGTCATTGAGATTATGATCCGTACATTACTTGTATTCTAGCATCTTGGAGTTATATCTGATAGACTTATATCAACGAGGTATTTAATTAAGCAATTGAATCCATCAATCATGAATCAAGAGAATAAACTGTACTTAACTCCGTTATAGACATACTGTACCGTACTCCGAGTACCAAACCTGTATATGTACCGCCCAGAACTGTAATCTTCCGATTAGTCACTTCATGAGCATCAGCAGTCCGACCCTCTCAATGGCCACAAGAATAATAATTGTAAAAATCCAATCTTATAAAACTGTTAGTGAACGACAAACCACGTAAGTCCCATCAGTCCAGTCACTGGCCCAGTGCCCACCCCATACGGAGCTCACATCCCAAGAGGACCCCTACCGGACTATCCACCCCTGGGACTACGGCGTTTTCTGTGCAGACCCGTTTTCTTGGGCTCCGTTCCTTCCGGCCCGCCCCATCACGACCCTGGCGGGGACAGACTCGTCAGCCAGATCTCCTCTGGCGTGTTCTGAGCTCTGTATGGAGGTACAAAGGGAATTAGTCTGGTATTATTCGTAATCTCATGCCTCGAAACCAGTGATTTACGACGCTCCATCCAAGCCTTTACTCCTCATCTTTTTTTCCGCTCTCCACGCGGTACCTGAGAATTGTGGCTGAAGCAATCTTCTGGAGCAGCGCGTCGTTGTACTTTACTTGGCACGGCATTTGCTACCTATTTCAATTAATCGGCCAGTATCCAATTCCCACTGGGCCAGCTATGTACCTGGATTACCACTGTGACTAGGGCTTCGGTTGACCAAAGCGAACTTGTACATGTACTCCACTCTACCTGAAGCCGGAAGATATGGTGAAAAAAAAGCAAAAAATCTAGAGAAATTTTCCTGTCTCTAACAAGCTTATCGGTAAAACTACGGACAAACTTCTACAGGGCAAATGATTTAGTCTATACCATCCACTTCTTTTTTTTTCTCACTGGATCCATGGACCCTGAGAACCAGGAAATGCTAACTAAGCGGCGCAGGGACTTCCTGTTTGGAATCCACTCGATCGGACTATATTTTAGCCACTTGATCAACCCGTGAACCTTCGACGTGGTACATACGTTGTACCGAGTCTCGTCGATACAACTGGAAAATGAAGGCGTGTAAATAGTGTCAACCATCTATCAGTCGAATCAATTGTGGCCAGTGCCGTAAGGCGAGGCGCCAGAGTCTGGGGGCATACGTAAGTGATGATGTTGCGCTCGTCGCTATGCCTCATTAGGAACTAACCTCCGGCTCCGAGCTTAAGGCGGTGGAGAATTGATTTCTCAATCGTCGAAGAACGAGCTCTGGCAGGGCCTTTGTTAATGACTGACAGGTCATGACTGGTTGGTATGGTCAGTATTCAGGGAGTAATAAACCACTGATTGAAGATTGATATACTCCGTACTTTAGGGTACAAATACCTGAGAGCCTAAGAGCCCCTGTGGCTGTGGTGAAAAGCGTAATAATACAGAGCCAACGTATGTTTCTGTTCTGGTATTCTAATTACGACTCCTTGGCCAGATCGCCGTGCGGCCGTAGGGCGAAGGATCACGCAAATCAGCATCAGAAGCCAAGAAATCAGGAATTAATCTAATGTCGGAAAAATCAGATAAAATCAGCTGTTTCAATACATACCCAATTATCGATCGTCCAGTGATCAACTACTCCGTACTCTTTGTCGACTGTCCCCTGCACTATTCCCCCTCAATTCGCAACCCTTAATCTCTTTTCCTTTTTCGACCGTCCAGCCCAGGGAACTCTAAATGTGCTTGATGACAAGAAAACGTGGCGCCCTTACGTCCCGATCTTCGCAGCATCTGCTTTAAACCTCTTTCGGCACCGAGTTCTGAAGGTCACACTACTAGGACACAAATTTAGATTCTGACACTATTGTAAGATAGAATTGTAGATAAATCTCAAATCCAACCCTGCTAAATGTATGAATACACCCGGTACTAGCCACAAAACTGTTACATACCAGTCCTGCCGCGTCCTCTTAATATTGCTGGCGTATACTCCTACGTCTTGTATCCCTCTGTATCATCGATCATAACAATAACACTGTACTCCGTAGTTACAATGGTTATACCAACAACAACTCAACAAACTATTTAGGGCTCAGGGGGCCACCCGTGCAACCCTTCGTACTCGTACGCGTCCAATGCCGCCCCGCCCCGAGAAAATCAACTCGCGCGGGGACTCTCCGCCCAGCGTACGTAAGTGGGCAACGTATGATCAGTGATGCTTTTCATCTCGTCCCTGTTCACTCCCCTTAAAGAACATCACCATGATGGTATGAAAGAACAAAGCGTCTACGCCCCCAGTCAAACCTATGTCTATAGCCAACGCTGCCTGCTTTACCATGTTCGAAATAAGCCCCAGAACAGCGCCATAAGACCCGCCTCCACTCTTATTTTTCTATTCTCCTGCCAGCCAGCCCCCTCCCCTCTCTTCCTACTGTAACAGGATCCCGTGGTTACAGTCTGTTTTCTTTGGCTGTCAAGCTGACCACCCGATCAGCCATAAGCCAGCCACACATGGAAGTCTACGCCGATCAGCCAAGCTTCTGTAATCCCGATCTCGACCCTGACCGGCAAGGTTGTGGTTCGTGCATGACCCTCCTTTCAAGACGTGCACCGTTTAGGTGAGAGAGAAGGAAGGAAGGTGTATCTAGCCGAGCGGTGATTTGCTCTTCGTCGACGAGGGACGGGGCATACGTATGCAGTCTACGTATATCCACTCCGTCGCTGGGACTAGCCGCGCCCGATCTAGTGATTATGCTTCATGGCTTTAGCCTGACTAGGTTCAACTAGGGTTAGGTCGGGGGCCTTTGATTCGTGGTTTCGTATGGCCCGGCTCTGGGAGATTAATGCCACATGTTTAACTTGTCAGGACTCAAGGCCCTTTTTTTCTTTTTTTTTTACTCCGTAGTTTCGTTTTAGTTAGTCTAACTTCTACGGAAGGTTATGGTTTGACTTAGTGTACTTTCCTGGTCGGCGGTGGCGGGACCCTTTTTTTCTCCCTCGTTTCTTTGGATTACTTTCCCTTTCGACTCTTTTTTTGGTATTTGAGTTGTCGGCCTCTGGTGTGTAAATCAGCCACCTTTAGCGAGCACATCCCTACCCACGGAGCCTATTTCCTTGTAACTTCTGGTTCGGATAATCCGAAGCTCGCCTTCTCGGATTCGGTTTCGCCATTTCAGCCATCTTACCCTGAAAATGCAGGGACTCGCGGCCAGTCCCCTCCCGCATACTCAGAGCAGCCTAGCTTGGCGTCAACTGCTTAGTCCCGGCGCTCGCTAGACCTTCATTCTGCCTAGTCTGATGGGGTCAACTAAATTGTGGCTGCTGCGACCGCTGCACTTGCCACGCCAGCCCACGCGGCCTTTTTGCTTGCTATCTACCGTTCTGTGGTAGGATCGAGGTGGCTTGGGATTTATCGAATGGCCCTTTGACTTGTCATCCTGACCTTTTAATGTTTGGGGTCCAGAGACTATTTGGCCTGACTCCTCGGTGTAGCTATGTACTCCGTAGTGGTGGAAGTTTGGACCCAGCTTGCTAATATCCAGTACTATGGTCGGGGTTCCATCACTAATTACTGCTGCCTTTAGCCAAGCGACGTATTATTTACTCCGTATTCGTACCCTTCTATCCTGCTGTCATCAACACCGGAGATAACAATCACCGACAATCTGCATAAAAGGCCTTGCATCGACTGGATCTATCATCCACAACTAACTAGCTAAGCCCCAGTCGTTCTCTAGGCACCCACAATACTCTAGCATTCATCCTGCTTTGTGCATGGCATTACAGCGGACACAGCCACAGCCCCGTCTTTTCTTCAGTGTTGCCTAGCAGTTCTAGAAGACACCCCGCCAAACTATTGAAGCCAAGGTGTCTCGGCACTTTGGAGACTCCATCGGCGATCCGGGAGCCGACTCTCCGACCTTCAAAACATTGGTTTTTATGAGACGGCGTCCTGCGTATGCAAGCTTCTTACTACTGTATCTGCATACATCACCACTCAATCTCGATCTCCTCGTGGCGCCTACTATCTCGTTCACGATCAAGATCCTGTCGTTTTTAAGTCAGTGCTTTTTCGACGGCCTACGTATTCGCACTGCGTAGGTTGCTATGGTTAACTAGTCAATGGATCAATCTATCGCTCCCGCCGGCCAGATTGCGTCGCGGTGGCACGTTTCACGACCCTTTGCTAGGCGATAATATGCTTTGTGGGTTTTTGCAAGGAGCTGACGACAAAATCGAAGATGCGTCCCATACCTGTTGTGTTTTAATCTGTTTCCCTGCGCAACATTTCCTTCTAGGGTGCATTACTGTATAGTTGAACCTACTCGGGCTTCGCCGTCCCTGGTTCGACGCATTGCGCATTGCACCCTTCCCTAAACCCACGCTTGCCGCTGACAGATGCAGGACATGCCCTGATTCTCGTTTAGACAATGGATCGCCAGCCATCATTGATGGGCCCAGGGTTACCGTCCACGTACGACGACCCTAGTTTACTTTGTGGAAGCACCCAGCTATTGATTGGATCTAATACATACATACGTCTTTTGTGGGGCCAAAGAGCTGGAAGCGAGTGATCTCCAAGCGCTATCAGATACATACGCAGCTTTGGTTTCATCAGAAGGTCAAGCCATGTATCGCTAGCCTGGGCACTCCTCACTTTGTATGGCTAAGAAGGGAAATTAGGCCTTCCAGTCCCTTCAACAATTGCCTCGGTACTGGTAGACTTCTGGAGCATCCACTCTCTATTTGCTATCATTCTATGCCAAGAGCCCACGAGTCCTTTCAGATTAAACCAACACCTATAGGGTCCGGCCGAAGCAAAGCTCAAGTGGAGGAGGTGGGGATGATGTGGAAGGTTTGGGAAGAAGAGACTTCGCCCCCGGCACCCTGTGTGGCAGAGCAGGAACTGGATATAGCTGGTGACGAGGCCATGTGCGTACTTCACCAGCCTTCAAACAAGAGCCATCTGGGACGGCCACTCGGTGGATGTGGCTGAGTCAGTGTAAAGTTTCATTAAAAGAGCAAGGCGAGGCATGTAAACGGACTGACGGAGCTTGAAAGATACAGACATGGAATTTACAAAACACGAATGGCCCAATATTGAATTGAATCGTAACAAAATGGACGAATAGGCTATTGTCAATGGTCTAGGCCAGTCGCTGTGGGGAGTGGTTTGGGCAAATCGAAAGTTCTTTCGAGTCCAGTGCTGAATGAAGGCTGCGTAAGCGGAAACGTCATATTGGGGGTCGGACTATCAGGCTTTCACGCGATTCATCAATATATCATTTAAGCGCCAGCCGTGGGAAATTACCCATAGGCTTGATAGGTTGGCCCCTGCATATTTAGTGGATTGATGTGAGGGTTTCGACAAGCCTATTACGTGGAGTGTGCCTTTGAATGGGGGCTGCTATTCGCGGCAGGACAGTTGCCGGATAGGAAACCGGAGCATTTCTGCATTTCTGGTAGAGGTTTTGAACATTGGACCGCATAAGCACATTCGAGATTGGGAGTTGCAAGTCTCGAGGACTTCCGTTGACCTGCATATGCGAGCAGCGCGGGCTTCTCAGAATAGCGGGTGGAGGCAATATGTGCTGGGTCACAGGCATTAGACCCGCTATACTTGAGCAAACAACGATCACCTTTCTCTGACCGAGAACGCAGAGATAAATAGTTTCTGATATCTCATACGATAAAGGATGTCACATTTTGCGTGGACTGTTAGATTAATCTCGAGTGAATTTAAGATATAGGGCTAAGTTAGGTCTAGCGGTTTCTGCGCAGAGAGTGACTCCTTTCGTGCTTTTCACTCGCATAGAACCAAGCGAGGTGCTTCAAGATTTGAAGAGGAGGTTTGTAGTTCTTGCAGAATCTCATTGTTGAGCAAGACAACCATAAGTTCAAATCCTCGATGTATACTGAGCTCGTAGGTACAGCAATGATGGGAAATGCTATAGGGAAATGACATCGAAGGTGTAGTTGAGATCTTATGTTGTGATATCTCCTCAATCGAATACCTATATAAAGCTGACTTTGTTCAAACACCTGAAGGACACTGGTAGTTCGATGAAAATACCATTCTGCTCTATATCTCACAAACAAGAAATGATTCAGAACTAACAGTGAGATACGACTAGCTAGGCATTATGACATTTCCTGATCACTGTTCATCAGGTGTGATATATACAGATCTTTCAACAATCCTCTACTCCACGCGGACCGATTCTGACTCCAGTAGGACCAAAGAATGCCATCCATGGCGAGTCGTTCGAGAAACACAAGCCTTTGATGTTTTCAAAGGGAAGCTACCAATTTTCACGTATCAAAGAGTCGGAGGTCATGTTGGTCGAGTAAAGAATTTTCCCAGAAATTGCATCCCAGAATTTGAGGATATTTTCCCTGCTTTCGGCGGAAGTCACGGTTACGACAACCCTTCCATCTGGTGATAACGTCCATGCCCAAAGCCCCGGGTTATCACAGACTTGCAATCTTGTCATGCGGCCACCTGAGCTTTTTCCAATGTAAATACACCCTATCGGGCTTTCAAAGGCGATCGACTCTCCATCCAAGGAGAACTTGCAAGTATCCTTCTTCAGCAGGTTGCCCATTTCATTAGTTGGAGGCTTGTCGGCGAGGTTGCCAGTCGCAATATCCCAGCTCCATGTATGAAATGTCGTGGCACACAAGACCCGTTAGGCGTCAGAGCTGGAAGCCAGCCCGACCATTTCATCGTGCTCGTGTGATTGCACTATTGAACGGGGTACCAACTTTGTATATACCTCGCCAGTCGAGGTGTGCCAGAGCTGTATATCGTTCTGGGATGACCAACCGCCTGCCACCAGAAGCTCACCACCCGGAGAGAAGGCTATGAAATGGCAACGCCTGTCAGGTACAGACATGGTCTGCGATATTTGGCATGAGTGAGGGGGAAATGCAGGGTCTTGCGCTGCGGCACGTTACGAGGGTGCAAGATCAGTGCGGCGCTGGAGCTCAGGACTGCCAGATATTTTCCATTCAGGGAAAATACCGGGGAATACGTTTCCTTGGGTTTATAGAGTAAATTTCCAGCTTCAACTCTCCTGACCTGAACATCTTGATTAGGCCCAGGAATTGCAACCAAGGTGCGATCTGGTGTAAATGTAGCTCCGAGTGCGTGGGTCTCGAATTTCATTTTCAAACGAAAATCTTCCCGTTTCAGGCCATCTATGAGTCGCTGTATGGGCACTTCTCTTTTGTCAGCGCTGTTTCCATTCGAGAACATCTTTTATTTCCTCTTGCCAGGAGCTGTGTTTTCTGTTTTTCGGCGAATTGAAATTGTGCTCCAAGCTGCAAAACTCTCTCCTATGGAAACCTCCGATTTTCCCCTCATGCTGGTATGTGGAATATCAAATGCTTTAGGCGTGCTTGATGTCTCTGTCTTTCTCTTGACCATAGATGTGTTTGCCGTCTCTGTATTTCTCTTCCCATCTGTGTGACAATGCCGATGGGGCTGTTAATCGCCCAGCAGGCTGTGGATGCATAAGTGCAAGGACAAACTCAATACCCAGCCGGGCTGCTGACTTTGAAATTTGCCAGTCCATTAGAAGGAAAGGTATCCGGATGTGCCACGTAGTTTGCAAGCGATCCAATGTGTTTGAATGTTGGCTTTCTGGTAAGAAGCTCAAATATGATCTCCCCAAGCGCCAAAATATCAGTTGTATACACACTTTCTCGCTTGATAAGCCCGTAGATCTCAGGGGCCATGTATCCCTGTGTGCCGCACGTTGTCATGGAAGACCTACTGCCTTTTTCAATACGCCTCAAGATCCCAAAATCGGTAATCTTGATCCACCATCCGCTTGGACGGTGCGACTTGATCAAAATGTTCTATGAATTCCAGAAAGTCAGAGTTCGCAGGCTTCTTTCCTTTCTTTCTCTCGTTCAACTGCTCGCATCCAACAGCTAAGAAAATATCACACTCACGTGAGGCTTTACATCCCGATGGGCAAACCCATTTTCGTGCATCATGGTCAATCCCTCGAGAATCTGGCAGGCAATTTCCTTCACTTCGGCTTCTGGCAGGTGCGGTTTTTATAAAGGAACGTAAAATGATCGCGGTCTTCAAGCCATGCCATGGCGACATACAGCTGCTCGCCTTCCTTGTACCACCCAAACGACTTGACGAAGCATCGTTCATACTATCCAAATCAGTAAAGTCAATTGATTAGATCGTGCCTTCATGAGACAAACACGTTTGTGCGAAAACTTGGCAATGGCTTCCAGCTCACGACGATAGTCAATGGGTCCATATTGCTGGTCCACGGTCATCTGTTTCACGGCTCGCAGGCTGCCGTTTCGGATTGGGCCATCCGGTTGTCCGCCGCTGATGCATTTTCCCAACCAAATGGCCCCAAAATCACCTCCTACTATCTTCCCTTTCCTGCTGCCAATGCTCTGACCTATTGATGACTCGTTGTTGACCTGTAGGGTCGGACTCGCAATAGGTATGGACGGTCGAGTCTGGAAGGAAATAAGTGTCTAGTTGGGAGTCACGAATGAGATTCGAGATTTGGGCCATCTCGAGAGTTTAGGTATTGATCGATTGAAAATTTTGGATGAGAAAAGTGGGAATAAGTAACACCAAATAAATAGTCCAGCGCTTCCTCTCATCACTTGTCATTCTGTTAGATTGGCCCTCACGAACTCCCTGCTCTTACATTAGTTCGACATGGTAGGGTAACTTCACTCATATCTCCCAGATCCTCTCTCCATTGGAATAGAGCCTCCATCTATGGTACAAACACGAACTTTGTAAGCCGGCGGCAAAGGCCTGAAATCCGCTAACTGATTCTTGACAAGTAGTTTCAGGAGAGCATAATTATGTAAATGGGACATGGGCGTCATTCGCGGATGGAAAAGATTGGGACAGGCTTTGTATAGTTTGTCAGAAGATCCCCTTGGTGTTTTGAAACCTAGGCCACGCCCGGCGCTTAGGTCCTACCTCAGTTTCTCTAGCCCTAGCTCAATTCATACCTACTAAGGATACAATGGATGGGAACGTACTTGCCCCTGGTCTAGCCGCGCGACATGCATAGCCGCCTATACATATCGTCGGCGTATCGCCTGGAACTTCATTTTGTCGGCTTCCATGAGGCTTGTACGTTCTCGCTGGTGTTTGCAGAAACGATCCCTTCCGGGACCTGCCTGTCTTCCCTGCCGAATTGAAGAAAGTCGGCTTTGTCGGGATACAGAACTTCCCGACTGTTGGTATGATCGGTGATCAATTTCGCCAACACCTGGAAGAAAGAGATATGGGCTATTGTCGGGAGGTCGAAACGATCAAGATCGCACATCGGCAAGGGCAGGTCGCCACGCCGCCCGTTTCCATTCCCAAAGACGCCATCGAAATCGCCCAAGCTGTCGCAGATATCGTTGTCGCTCATGCAGGTTTCATAACCTCTGGCTCGATTGGAGCGAAGACTAGTCGGTAAAGGATTCGTGATGCGGCATGCAGTGTTAACCCAAAGATTCTGGTGCTCTGCCATGGCGGGCCGATTGTACGTCCATCAGACGCGCAGTATATTCTATCAAGAACCAAAGGAGTGCATGGATTCTTCGGAGCAAGCAGTATAGAGCGGCTACCAGTGGAGATGGCAATCCAGGAGAATGGGGCGGAATTTAAGCGGTTGAGGGTGCGATAGGCGTAAACAATCGGGATCTTTTCTTTCCCCTCAGGGACAAACCCCACGAACTGCCGGATGATCCAACGTCACGCGCCCCAAGTTATTTAACCGGGCTTCCCCATTTGTGCCGCAACGGGCAAGTTTGGTCCGCAAGTGGAGCGGCGGGGGAAAGCAGTCAAGCTGGAGAAAAAGGACCGAATCTCCGAAGTCGCCTGTCGGCTAAATTAGCTTTTGCTTCTGGAAGTACAACGTAGCATAGGTGGTTACAAAAAGGCTTGCGCTTTCCTTCCACTTCTTCATCTTCCCAGGACATCTTCACATATCCTTCAAAATGGCAAACCAAAATCGTGTGTTGGAGGGCAAATTCGGCATTGTCACGGGTGGATCGCGGGGTAAGAAGACCCCCTCGGTTGCGATAAGAAAGTATCCGCTAACAACCGCCCTTTTTACAGGAATTGGCGAGGCCATTGCCCACAATCTCGCTGCGAAGGGATGCAATCTCTTGCTGAATTACACATCCGAGTCCTCGCGCGCACACACAGAAGAGCTCAGCGCCTCGCTGGCCTCGACACATGGCATTCGTTGCGATAATGTCCAGGCCGACCTGAGCAAGCCCGAGGAGGCTACCCAGGTCATTCTCGATGCGGCTAAGAAGAGCTTCAGCTCATCGAACAAGTTCCAAATCGATATTCTCATCAATTGCGCCGGTGTCGCAGGCGATAACAACCTGAACGACCCTGTCCGCGGCCCTATCCGTACAGAGCAGTTCAACTGGATCTATACGATCAACGTGCTTGCTCCACTGCTCCTCACACAGGGCGTCGCCCCCTACCTGCCCACCGATCGCAGCGGCCGCATCATCAATATCTCCAGTGTTTCGTCTCAAATGGGTTTCGTGGGACAGTCGATCTATGGTGGTACCAAGGCCGCGCTCGAGTCAATGACTCGCACCTGGGCGCGCGAGCTGGCGGATCGTGCTACCGTCAACGCCGTCAACCCGGGCCCCGTAGTCGGTGATATGTACTTTGCAGCGGGCGAGGACTTCTGGCGGGACATCCAAGGGTTCCAGGATAATACTCCTGGCAGCAAGCTGGACTTGACGGACCCGGAGACCACGGCTCGCTTGACCGATGAACAGAAGCGATTGATCGAGGAGAAGATGGGTGGTCGGAGGCCGGCATTCACCAGCGAGGTTGCTGGTGTTGTGGGCATGTTGACGACTCCTGATGGCCAGTGGTGCACAGGAAGCTTGGTCTGCGCCAATGGTGGCATGAAGATGGTTATGTGAGCATGCGTCATGGAAATTAATAAAACGGTCCAGATAGTTACCGCAATGAACTCAACCGATTCCAACGAACTGTTCCGTGGTCCACGGATATACGGAAAGAAGATCAAGGCTCGTAGAAGAAGATGCTTTTGCCTTGCGGTCCTTTGCCTGATCCACCCCGCGGCCATTCTATCACATCCACAAGTTCCTAGAATAGGCTCAAACCAATTGCCATCCTCTTTCCGCTTCTTTCTTCCTTCTCCTTCCCCATTCCGTCTTACTTCAAGTTTTCCCACCTATATCTGCGCTGCTCTTTTCCTGCTTCACAACTCTCTCTCTCCTTTCATCCCACCACAACTTACCTAGAGACCTGCCCGCTGATCCTCCCCACGCATACCACCTGTCTCTGCATAGTCACAATCCTCAGCAACTAATCCGAAGATGTCGCTCGCCTCCGCACAACAGACAAATTCCTGCAAGCCCTGCCCGTGATGAAAATCACGATGTGGCAGCTGCTGAGCACCAGGCAGCCTTCCGTTTCGACCGTCTCATCGACCTGATTCACCACTTCATCCATGGGTATGGCTCGCTAGACCTGAATACCGACCAGATTCCAACTCGCTGAGGCAGTGGCCAACGCAATCATGGCCATCATCAAATGGATCCCGATCATCTGTCAACAGCATCCCAGTTCAGAGACTCGACTCGAAGGCCTCACAGCTCTTGAAGAGATTGGCAACGTTATCTCGTCGGCGGGACCCACCGAGCTGGGCTTGCAAGTACGGATGCAATTTGATTGCAATTCGCTACTGGAGAGGGCGATGCTCAGGATCGTGGACGAGATGGGCCCAGAGGAAAAGCTCGCAATCTATGAAGATGAGCCCCCGGTGCTGGCAAGAATACTACGGCTGAGGGAGGAAAGGCGCTATTGCCTACTCTACGATAACATGCATTGGGTGGTAAAGGCACTCCAAAACCTATCGGATGCATCCTAAACGACCACTCAGATGATGCTGGATATTGAAGCTGAAGTGAGGTATGTGTAACGAATATCGGCATAACCTTCCTGCCAAACCTCAGAGTTAATATACGACGCAGGTCAATGAAATTTCACAACGGGCATTGTTGGGTAGAGGTTATCTAGTTGAAGAATAGGAAAGACGTTATGCCACGTAGGTAGCTCCGGTCTTGCACGCCTCACCTAGGCCATTTCTCCTTGTCAAACAAATCCGGGGCAAAATACCGCTCGAGCAAAAATGCACTATAGGCAGAGTTCTAAGTCTACGGCCTTCTCTTGTTTCTGACACTCCTCCTCCACTCTTTCTTTTCTTTCCACCCACAACACCTCACTTGAAAACCTGCTGGCTGCCTTCATACATTCCAACTTCATCTCCACTCTTTTTTCCTCTTCACACTGCACCTCACTTAGAGACGTGCTCACCAGCCATCTCTCCTACATTGCACCAGTCTCTACTAGCCCTCCTCAGGTTTCCACCAGTTTCTTCTCAATCCTCTTCAGATTTCCACCAGTATCTACGAAATTCTCCTTTGCTCACCGAAAATGTCGTCCCAATACGACGGACAGGCTCCAGAAAACCCTGGTGGCGAGGAAGCTCACTACACCGCAGCTCGGAATCGCCAGGAAGCCCTCGACGGCATCCACGGTCTTGACAACATGGCCCTCGAATACCTCATCGCCTGCGCAAACGAGGTCCACCCTGACCTCCGCGCCATGATCCTGCACTCCATCCACCGCGTCGAGGGAAACCGCCTATCCGCATCTCCCTTTCGCAATCTTATCAACGCGGTTTGGCAGTCCATTCATGGCCGCCCATCGGAAGGCATCAGCTCTGACGAAAATTTCCTGCTCGCCGAAGAAGTCGCGAATGAAATCATGGCTACCATCAGAATCATTCCCGTTTTGTGTGAAGAACATGCCAACCCAGAGACTCACTTTCAAGCTCTCTCGGCCCTACGCCAAATCGGAAATATGATCATATGGGCTGGGCCTACCGAGTTGGGCCTTCGAGTGCGGGGCCACTTTGATGGAAACTCTGCACTCGAAAGGTCGATGCTGGGGGTAGTCGACCAAATGACCCCCGTGGAAAAGCAGGCTATCTGTAATGGGCGGGTGGATCGATGGGATGACAGCCCACTGCTGTCGAAGATCCAAGAGCTACAAAATGAAGGCCGATGGTGTATGCTCTACGACAACATGCACTTGGTGATTGAAGCCCTTCATGACACGTCGCTGCCGGATGACGACGAACCTGACGATGAAAATTGAAGCATTCATGAAGTGAGTATGAAGACGGCTTTGCTTACCTGTTTGTCGAAGCGGAAAGTTAACATGCTGCGCAGGATGAAGAGGGTGGTTACCGGGCCGGGGCGAAGGGGACCAGCGGAAAATCGCCATTGTTCGCCTTCTCCTTACCATCATGCACGCGGCGTCTGATCAATTTCCAAATGACAACTAGATGACCGAGCGTGACATGTTGACAAAGCAGCTCGACCGACGATGATACTCCGATACATGACGAACCGTGATGAGAGGACTGGCATGACAGGATGTTGCTAGGAGGGCTTGGAATCGGAATTTCATCAAATGGCCATTGTTTTTTTCCCCTCTTATCTTACCAATGGTCGGCCATAACTAGTTCACTGGAGAGGATAGTCTAAAAATTGAACGTGACTGGTTTTGGTGCCTATGGGAACTAGCCTCGCCAGCTTGTATCCGGACTGTAGTTCACACGTGAGCCAGCAACAACCTCGGGGAGAAGTGTCGGGTTAGCGAATAGCATCTCACGCAGCGAGATGCCATCAACTAGCCTCCCTCTCCGCCATCACTTGCACGGTCACCATCGCACCTCCATCCATGACATTGAGCACGCCATCCAGGAATGACCCAAGGCCGCTGAAAAAGTTGTGCTTGCTTCCTAGAGTCTCTAACTCGCGTAGTCTGGGTCCCAGAGCGTCTTGGTTAGTCATGTCCTCAAAGATCAGTACGAGTTGAGGAAGCTCGATTGCGTTGGTGATGTCAAAAATCGCCTGCTCGAGAACGGTGTTGGACGCGAACCACTTTCTCACAGCAACATGGACCAAAGAACTTGATGAGGTTGCGAGCATCTCGCCAATCTTGCAGAGCGTTGAGAGGGCACCGTAAAATGTGCCTTGGACTGGGAATTTCACACACCTTGCCACCATGGCCTTGATGGCTGCTTGAATATGTTCCAGAAATTGAATAACATTTCTGGACAGTTCGGAGTCGCTCGCTGTGTTGTCTAGGTATGAGTTGAGTCGGAACTAGGTCGATCTGAATTGGTGGTCAAAATCGGACCTGTCTCTCTGTCTCTGATCTTTTCATTGAATTCTCGCCAATCTTGCCAGTCATACGAATCCCATTCATCATGATCTTCATCCCGATTGAGGTTCCTCAAAACCTCCAGCGCCTGTCGTACTGGGTCGAAGTGGTGGCCGAGCTCAACCAGCTGTCGGAGTTTCGACATCAAAGAGTCTGGGTTTGTGGAACTTTGAATTATTTCACTCTTCTCGTTTGGGGTCATGGCTCTGATGATATGCCAAATTATCAGAACGATTTTATCCTTGTCATCGAACCGTTCCCATGCCAGGTGTCCGACCGTGTTATTTGGCGACTGCGCCAATGCACTGATGATATCACATAGGCTGAGTAGAGCACCGGAACGGGTCTTCGGGTTAGGGAGCTCTAAACATTGCCCAAATATTGTCGAAATGTACTCGTGGACCTCGTGCCTGACGTTGGACACTTTGCTGTCCTGTTCGAAATGGGTGCCGGGTTTGGGCAAGGATCGCAGCTTTTCGATCAGCTCCGGTCTAGGAGGGAAGTCCACCGCTGTCAGCTATTTCTGTCCCTCGGCTTGAAACCCGATGGTATTAACTAGATCCCGTATATCTGGATGTGTCTCAATAGCTGTTTGGAGAATTCCTCGAAGCGCAGAATAGTCCATGCTCTCAAGAGCGATAGAAGCTTCGTTGTGAGCTCTTCGGGAACAGGATGCTCCGTGTGATTTACCCTCTTCTTGTAAGACATCGAGTTGAGGGGAATGGAAAGTTTTCTCTGCAGGATTTAGGCGTGCGGGTGGTGGTGCGGAAGTTTCCGTGTCCCCTGAGCTGGAATCCATCGCGGTAGCTAACAATAGCCTGATTGAGATGTGTCTAGCAAATTTTACCAAGTCAGCATGTAGAATGGAGCAGCCTTTTCTTGGAAAACAGATAGACAAACCTGCACAACTTCTTGAACGAACGGGTGCACTTGGTGTTAGGAGTTGTGGAACAGTGTTGACAGGCTGATTGAAAGCACCCTGATAAGCACTATCTTATCAAGCGATGGAAGTATTCTGCCTGTTTATTATTTTACCGCCTTCCATAGACTGTACCGCCTTCTACCGCATAACTGCCATAATGAGGGCGGGACATAACTCAAATTCGAGCATAATTTTCGCCCTCCTAATTGATTGTCCAGGAAGGCATTATGATGCCAGAGAAGGCACGACTTGCCCATTTGATTGATCATTTCTCGCTACTGCTCTCTTCATCTCCACCTTTGAAAAATTTCCAGCCTCATTAAGATTTGAGTATGCTGCCAACAAATTCTCTTAGCCCCGGACCAGGTGGAGTTCATTTGATGTCTCAGCCAAGCTCCACCATGCGGGGGAGGCCGAGGTTTGTATGTAAAGCAACAGATGGTCGGGAAATCTGACGAGGGTCTCACTATCTTTAATTATGCACGAATGAACATAGATTCTGGGAACATCCTAGGTTCTACCTGCCCATCGACTCAATCAAGTGCTGTCTCCAGGGCTCTAGTGATTGTCCTAGAACATAATTCTAGCAGAGCGGGATCTAACGTGTTTTGTTGGGATGCGCGGGTATAAAAACGTCATGGAGAGACATAACAGCATAGGAAATACAGTAGGTTTTTTAGTGTGCACACATTAGCATCGTCATAGTCCCTTTGTTAGCAGGGTGCTCTTCTACCCACACTGTAGTTGGAGCCCGAAAAGTCTGCATGTTGAAAGAGGCCTAGTTTGGTTAGTCTAGACTTTACCCGATGGACCACATCCCGGCGACTATACATTACTATAGGAGCCTGACTTTACTCGATGGACCACATCCCGGCGACTATACATCACTATAGGAGCCCGACAGTCATTAGATCACGTTAATTATTCTTGCGATCAGCTGTCAAAGTGATCTCCTGAACTATTTCTAACTATACCTTTGGTTGTGATAGCTAACTTAAGACGTCTTCCGATCGATCAATGGAGGGGCGCTATAGATTGCCTTGTCAGTGTTTTGAATGAATTGGGGAGCCAGAAAGTTTGGCCTTTTGCGGGGACGTATCGTGGGGGAAATGTGGAGGCAGGGTCCAGGGAACCGGGATAACATCGGCTACTAAGAGACGAATCATAGCTTCATTAGTATGCCAGGCGAGAGGTCGGCGGCTTTTGAGAACCGATTGCCGTTACACGCTGAGTGTGCGAAGATAGCTTTGGCGTCGACTGAGAGTGTTGTTGTCGATATTAGGTTCCACGTAAAGTCTGGTCAAATGCCGACATGATAGGGGTAGCCATGACTTGGATGGGATAAATAGATCGAACAGGACCCCGGACTTTAGATTGGATATCAGTATCGCAGAATAAGATCTGTATTGGGAAATATGCGGTCCTACCCCCTTTTGTTGGCCACCAGTGCCTTGTATGTCACCGTGGGCAAATGTTCCAGCCATCCCATAGCTATTCCGCTGCCGGCGAAGAACAGTGAACCTATTCCCAAGGACCTGCAATCTTTCTCCTTGGAATTTGCGTTCTTTCCAGACTATGCTGGCAACAAGTCCTCTCCAAATGTGTTCTCTCAAAACTTGATGGAAAACTTCAAGTACCTTACGGGTGTTTACCCTAAGATCAGAGTCGGGGGTACTTCCCAGTATGAGCTACTGCCTTCAATTACTAGGAAGAAAATTTGCTTATTCTTTTCTTTATCGCAGAGACAATTCTATCTACGTCTCTGACCAAAAAGACGGTATTGAACTTGTCTTTAAAAACCCAACCGACGACCAGCCAAGCCAGATCAATTATGGCCCCGCGTTCTTTGAGTCATACGAAGCCTTTGGTGACATGAATTACATTCATGGCTTGAACATGAAGCAAAATAGCACTATCCAGCAACTTACGGATGCAGCCGTGGTTGCCTGCCGCTCAATGGGTACCAACCTGGATTCTTTTGAATTGGGCAATGAGATCAACATGGAGGCACCAAAGTATCGGCCTGCGAACTATACGCTTCAGAGTTATGTCAATGAATGGAATTACAAGACTGCAGCCATCAAGACTGCTGTCGAAAAGGCATGCCCGGGTGCTTCCCTAGGTTTCATGTCACCCAGCTTTGTTATTGCGGATATAATCAAGAGCAACTGGACTGCTGAAGCACTCTTCAAGCTTGGTTATGACCCGAAGAATCTGACAAAGGATCTGTCATTCCATAAGTGAGTCTGCCAATTTACTCACTTTTGGGTATGTTGTCAGAATACTGATTAACCGCCTTTTATTTCGCAGCTATATGGGCGTATTCGCACCGCCCCTGGCTCCGGTGTCTTATGACCTTCAACGTATGGCACATTCTGTCTAAAATTGGAGTGTATGAAAGCTAACTGAACTAGACGTCCTCATGAACCACACGAATATTATGCAAAGCTTGGCACCTCATATCCAGCGTGCAAAGAACCTTGCCTACCTGGGTCATCCCTATACCCTTGGAGAGACCAATTCGATCGCAAACCAAGGCCGCAATGGGGAGAGCAATGTCTTTGGTGATGCTCTATGGCTTGTTGACTTTTCTCTTTGGTCTGCCGCGAATGTATGACTTCATTTTCAACACCAAGTGTATAAAAAAACCACTAATATGGGTCTACAGAACATCAAGCGCCTTCATTTCCACCAAGGTCTGAACTATCGATATGCATCATGGCAACCGATTGCCAGCAAGGGGCAACCACCGAAGACAAGGGCGCCATACTACGGCCAGATCATGGTCGCATCTGCGATTGGCAGCGCTCAAGACACTCGCATCGCGAACATTCCACTGACCGAGGACACAGAGGCTGCATATGGAATTTATCACGGAGAGGTGCTATCCAAGCTTGTGGTCCTGAATCTCCGTGCTTACAACCAGACCGCGTCGAGGAACCGACCCAGTCGGGAGTATGAGTTCAAAGTTCCGAAACACTTTAAGCATGCCAAAGTAGACATTCTGTCTGCGCCAGGCAGCGATTCTGCGGAGAGCATTACCTTCGGCGGTGTCTCGTTCGATTATGAGCTCCTGGAGGGAAAGCCAGTGGTTGTTGATGAGAAGGAGGATACTGCCATCATAGATCACGGGGTACTCCGGATCAGTGTTGCTGACTCTTCTGCTGTGCTGTTGACAATATCCTAAGTCGTGTTGGGAACCTTGGATGCGGATTAGTGAAGGGGGTAGTCGCTAGAAAGAATAATAATCATGTCAATTATGCTTCCTGGAACAGGCAGATGTGTATGCTTAATTGAGACATCTTCCTATGTTGCGCATGAAGTCTTGTGACTTGAAATCCTGGATTGCACCAATTTGCCACAAGTCCATAAGCTCTGATGCGACCTGTCAAGGGATGTCATCGTGAGCTCGGAGGCCTGACCACGATCTGTCCCCACCTTCTACCCCCACCACTCCGATAGCCCTTGACTAGCCTATGCCCCACTGAGGATCTTCGTAGAGAGAGGAACTATCAAAAGCCGAGTGGTATACTATGTAGTCACTGGAAAATCGAGCGATTGGGCATTTTTACACAATGTCTCCAGCACGACATATAAGGCCCCGATGCACACACGAATGACAACCTCGGATAAGAATGTGGACCCGTACGGGTTCGTCCAGTCGGGAGGCAAGAAAGCATGCAAATCGAAAACTAGAGGGAATCTCATCACATGGATCGATGCAACCTGGAGTGATGACAATGCAAGGTTGTCTGCCCATACTTGGAATCGTTCATGGCCAGTTCACTGGCCAGTCATCTCTTTCCAACCAAAACCTCTGCGCTGACGATCCTAACCTACTTGGACTAGCGGGATCTGTTGTGTAACAACACCCAGCTGCGCCGTGGTCCACGAGAAGCTGAGGAACCCCCCAATGAGACAGGAAATTGGCCAATAATTGCCACTTTTACGATCGATGATTACGATCCACGCATCGCTGCCATACAATTGGGACAATATGGAGGCAATCCCCGTCCTGGGGTCGCTCCCTCCGAGATCGTCCCGACCCTACACGCTGGGAAACAAAACAGAAAGAAGGGGCGACTTGCAGAACACGATCCACTCGATGCAAGGATGGTCCAAATGGCCTTGATTCCATCAATAAAGTAGTCACGATATGGTAGGCCTGCCAGTGATGATTGGTGACGGAAAGCAGGATCCGTAATTGTTATTGTATGAACAGATTGCTCCATCGAGTGGCGTAGCCAGCCATACATCACTAGCCTGTGCGGCTGGCCTGCCATGTCGATCATAGTTCATGCGATCGATGCGATCGATCTACTGCCGAAATTTTCTCGCGCAGACTGGCAGTCTTTTTTTCTGACTCTTTATTTCTCCGCTCAGCCTGCATTCCACGACCCTGATTCTCTAACATCTTGACGGCACCCGACAGCCATGGATGAATGCACACCGTTGATCAGGTCGTCCGGCCGACCGGAGGATGACCCCGAGAGGCTGTCCGAGGCAAAAGTCGAAACCAAGTCTGGAGTAGACATGGTCTTCTTTGTGATTGCTATTCTAGGTAATGCGCCTCTCATCAATCATGCAGATGTCCTGACACGACTAATATGAAAATTGTCAGGCGTATTTCTTGCCATCGGCGACGAATACTTCGTCTTCACTACCAGCGGCCATATCGCGTCGGACTTTCACCGTCTTTCCCTTGGACCTTGGCTCATCACGGCGTACAATCTGGGATACTCTGTCACGCTTCCTCTGGTTTGTTGCGATTTGTTTCCCCTAAGCTGAATGATTCGAAGGCTGACAGTCGCAGTATGGACGAGTCTGTGAGATTTATGGCTACAAGACGACTTTGTTGGTAGCCTATCTTGTATTTACTCTTGGATGCGTCATTAGGTATCCTATCACCACCCTGAGAAGGTTTCAAGTGAAATCAACTAACCTTTTGCATAGTGGCTTGGCGCCTTATCTCGGAGTTGCAATCGCTGGTCGATTTATTGCTGGTGCCGGTGGCGCTGGCATGACCGATTTGATCAGCGTGATTATCACTGGTAAACTAAACGCTGCGTGCAGATAGATCAAGTTTGCTGATGTTCCTATTCCAGAAATGGCCCCGTTGAGAGAAGTCGCCGTCCTTCGATGCTATATACAGATGTCTGGAACTGTTGGTGTCACCGTAGGATCGCCGCTCGGTGGACTCTTAACCGATCTATTGGGTTGGAGATGGTCCTTCCTCATCAAAGTCCCACTGGGATTATTCTGCTTCGCTATGGCCGCATGGCGATTGCCTTCAGCTACGAACAATGGATATTCAGACATGAAAGAAGGAGGGGAAGTGGACGACGAGAAGCCAGAACTCAACTTGCCAGGCATCTCACTGTTGGGTACTGTGATCGCCGCGATCATGGGAGTATGCCAGCTTTTGTCGGAAGAGCTGCCTCAAAAGGATATTCTCATGACGTTAGCAATCGCAACAGTCGTCATCGGAGGAGTTCTGTTTGGCTTGAACGAACGCTACTGGGCAAAAACTGCTCTTGTTCCGATGTATCTCCTCAAGACAAATGGCATCGGCCTTGCATATATCGCTCAGTTCCTGGCGATGTTCACTTTCTGTGGAGTCAGTTTTGCCTTGAGCCTTCCGGCTTGTTGAATACCCACGAGCTGACAATTGCTATAGTTCTCCAGTAACTTCGCCGACTTCTGGGTCCGGACCAAGAATGCCTCCGCTAGCCTAGCGGCCTTGTCGATACTTCCTCTGGCTGCGGCTAGTACCGTGAGTGGGCTGATAGTCGGCAACATTGTTCGTCGGTAAGTTGCTGCACTGTTCGAGATAGTGGGATCGACAATTAACGTGGCTCACAGAACGGGGAAATACAAATCGCTCTCGATCAAATGCTGCATGGCCATGATCCTGGGAAATATGCTTTTAGTAATCCGCCTGCCCCAAGCTCCTTATTACTGGGAGATCCTCTTTACCATCATCATAGGCGTGGGCATGGGAGGGTTCTTCTCCGTAACATTTGTCGGACTATCAGCCTCGATTCCCAATCAGATGTCCGCCACTGCGATGACTGTGTACTACTTGGCGCAGCAGCTGGGAATGATGATGGGCATCACCGCAACCTCTGTGACCTGCCGGATGGTATTCAAAGAATATCTTGAGCGGAAACTTGCCGACTTTGCCGGATCGATTCAGGTGAGGTTCCCTGGATATATCCGGTCTCTAAGATGCTAATTGCCAATCTGATGCTGTAGATCATCCATCATGTGTTGAGTGACAGTCGCTTCGGATTTTCTTTGCCAGAACCGTTGCAAACACTGGTGAAAGACAGTTTCTTCCAAGCCTTTAGGGCTGTCCCAGGTAAATTCTCAGCGTCAGGACCGATTTTTACATTCCTATTAACTGGGTGATAGTCATGACCTCGATTAGCATGGTATTGGTTCTACCGATCCTCTGCTATTTACCCGAACGATCTCTCGAATAATTCCCGCGTCTTGTTTTTTATTTGCTGGACTCTCGCGTCACGAGCGAGGTGTTTCACGCGTCTCCCCGGAGTCAAGTATGGACCTTGCTTGTATGAACAAAAGTGATTTGCACATATTTGAACGTTATGAATAGCGCGAAAATGACTGGCCAATCTGAAGGCATCTCTGTAGTTGTAATCTCTTCTTGTTTAGCTTTGTCCTTTTCAATCCAGAGCACTCAATCAAAACGATTCCTACGACCAGGGACCAGGTGGCATCCTTGTCTAGCGTTGCAGGGCTTCCGTGGGGGCCGTCGGCGCCATGACTCGGTCGCGATAGGACTTGAGTCTGGTTCTTTGAAAATAAGCGCGGCTTTAGTGCTTATTATATGGTATTTGCGATTCCTGCCGGGTGAGCGCATTATAGGCACATCAAGATTCAAGCCTTATTTGGATCTTCTCGTACCCCAACACTCAACGACCCTGGCCATTCGACCTCACAAGCCTGTGCCAGCGAACCCTGTGAGAGTGGATCTGCTTTACCCTGAAGTGCCGTACGAACTAATGAACATGCCCGAGCAACGCCAATCGCAGTAGGCGAAGTATGCCGCTAAAGCAGCTAAGGGTTTAGCGGCGGGCAGGACAAAGAAGTGCGGTTAGGCCTAACTACTCAGCCCCTCAGACCCTTGTCACCCTTCGGAAAATGAGCTGAGAGAATCAACAGCCGCATGAGGGGATGAAGCGCGCTCTGTGTTGTACCCTCGGCCTATTTTTAAATCCGCGCGGTAGACGGGGGAGCATGGCGAGTTTCACACCTTGTCAAAGCCAGTCAATGGCGACTGGCAGCTTCACCTACTCCTTCGAGCTTCTCCCCAACGATCTCCCCGTCTCTCATCGCCCCCACCATGGCCGAGTCGCGGGAGTCAAAACACTCGCTTTTGCCCTCGGAGGAAGACTTGGTCACTGCGAAACCACAGCGCTCGTGGAACCCACTCGGCGGTCGCGCCTCTATCAGCAGCGAGTACGCCTATCTTCCGCCACCCTCCACACATGAAAGCTTCTCGGAGGAAGTGTTTCGTGAGGTGGGATTGGGTATCACGGACCCCTCCGGCGACACGCTGCCTACCCAAAGCAGACGCGATTCAGTCTCGAGTGCTGAGAGCGAGACTACTACAACCACTCCAGGTTTCTTGAAAACGCCTCAAGGAACCCCAGCTATCTTACATTCACACCATGAACCGGGAAATTGCCCGACTCGAGCGACGGTCCTTCAAAGCCGATTCTCGTGGGTCCCGGTGACTATCTTCGTTCTGGCTTTCTACGCGACTGTTTTCTCTGGCATATACCTCGCCATCGCGATTCGGAAGCCGAGGTGGAACAATGTCAGCAGTGATGGATCCCTGGCCCCTTCGACGGCTAATTTGCTGTGCGCGTTCTTTGCCAAAACGATTGAACTGGCCTATGTTACGATATGTGTCGCATTCTTAGGCCAGGTTTTGAGCCGGCGGGCCTTGATGAAGGATTCGCGGGGAATCAGCATATCGGACATGAACATGAGAGCATGGATCATGCAGCCCGGATCAATGATCGTGCATTGGGAGGCCCTTCGGTACTCGGCTTTGACTTTCTTGGGCGCTATCGCGTTGGTTGCAACCTTTGTGGCAATGCTCTACACAACGGCAGCTGAAGCTTTGGGTAAGTCTGTGAGCAGAAATAAAAAGATTCTGCAGTTCTGACCTTTACCCCATAGTATCACCAAAACTCTCGATGGGCCCGAAAGTGAACACCATTCTTTCGGGTAAGGTGTACACCAGCTTTGGCAACGTTGAATATCTTTCGTTGAACTGCAAAAGCCCAATACCACAATCAATGGACCCCTGGGCCCGCAACGAGACCTGCCTGCAAATGGTTCACGTCGGTCAAGCATACCACAACTATGAGCAGTGGATCACTGCATGGACAAATTTCATAGGCAGTGGGAACGACACGTCGAATCGTCTGGACTCCCGGCCAAAGCCAACCGGCTCGATGTGGGACAATACCACCATTACAGGCAGCTGGATTGAAACGATGAACCTGACCGACCTTTCTCAGAAGCATGGCCGTATGGTCAACAATATCACAATGGCAATGCCACATGGCGGAATACCTATTGCGGCTATGGATGAGAATAATGATATCCGCCAACCACAGGATGCTTCGGGCGAGGGGAAATACAGTCTGGAGGCCTCAGTGCCATCACCCGCGGTCAACGTTCTCTGTGTAGGCATGAATAAATCCGAGCTCTCACCCTTGATCTACTCTACATGGCCAAATGTGCAATTCAATGCCACAACATGGAGTGCTACACCACCAGACGACATTCCTCGAACCCCATCCTGGCTCAACCGCACCGTCGTCGATGACATCTTCGGATTTGGCGAGAAATATGGCCAGCGGCCTCCCATCTTCGGCACGTATCCGGGATCCAACAATACAATCTTGAACACGACCGGTCTCTGGCCAGCGAATTCACTTTACCTGCTCGGCAAACCAAGCGTGTCGCATCCTGAATATGTACTCTGTGCCATTCGTGCCAAACAGACTGGAGTATGCTCAACACGCTATGTTGCAGCGTCCAGCGGAGCATTCCTCAACTCTAATTGTGAGAATAGCACGAATCTTCTTCAGTACAGCCGCAAGCAAAAAGACTTCGTTGAAGGTGTCTGGCAAGCGGACTGGAAGAATGTTGCCAGCGAATGGGCAAACTCGCTCAGTCTAGGCTCGGGCATTACCAACGCGCAAGCTAGCAACGAGCGTCTACTCATGCAAATGATGCCCGCATACGACTCGCAAACCAAAACGTATTCTCTGAATCCATCCCTTCCTTCCATCGGTGAAGCTCTGGCCGTAATGGCCGGCAGCACCCTCGTCCTTTCCTCCCAAAACGCTCCCTTCATCCACGACTTCAATTACACTGTTCCCGATGACATTCTCCCCGAACCGGTCTATCAATACTTCCCAGCCTCTCTGCAAGAAGTAGGATACGCTTCAGGCGGTACCGAGCGCTGGCAGGGGGTGTTCTACGTGATTCTCGTCTTCGCCTTCCTGACCTCTTTCATTTGTCTGGGTTTCGTCATCTTCGAAGCGCGCGGCCATCAAATCACAGACTTCACCGAGCCGCAGAACCTGTTCGTGATCGCTGTGAATAGCCCTCAGTCTTCGCAGTTGCAAGGGGCGTGTGGAGGTGGTCCTGTCGGCCGACAAATGAAGGAGAGATGGTATATTGGTATGGACGAGGCTGATGCGCACTATTACATTCGAGCCAAAAAGGATGGACAGACCCCGTACACGGAGGCTCGATCTACGGCGTATCAAGGGCCTGAACAGATGGAGGTTGAGGATGGGAGTGGGAGTATGAAGGCAATTAGTCCGGCGATTGATGAATTTCGTCGGGTCTCGAAGCGATCTTCTTTTTTGGCGAAACTCTACTAATGTGTAACTAATATCTATGTTTGATGGAACATGCCACTTTTTCATTCTAAATGACATCCATGACTGTATTCATTTCTTAGTTAGTTGACGTCAGCCTGGGCCCCCCAGTGCCTTAATAAGCGCTCACCGTGATCCTTCTCTGCATATTCCAAGCACTCGTTGGTAATGTAGCCCATAGATTACTTTGAATCCTGGCTCCCCTAATCATACATCTTGAGGATATTCGTTGTGGCTAACCACCTTATGACAGTCACGTGCAATACTCCATATTTCCGGGGTTCCCCGACCGTTCGGAGTACATTTCACGGTCTCACCACTCCATGGCAATTTGCCGGCGCCTATGACAAGTAAACCCAATGACTCGAAAAGGGCGCGAGCTGGAGCCTGTGCGGCTTGTCGGTGAGTCAAGCTTCTTCAAAGGATCAATCATGTATTATCGTACTGATATATTACCAGCACCCGCAAAAGGCGTTGCATTCCATCTTCCACATCGGACGGATGTCGGCTGTGTCAAGCACTGTCAATCCCATGCACGCTAAGGCGAGGCCCTAGCCGGCGGGTAAACATGACCACGCCCAATCCAGAAGAAGCAACACAGAATGTTCGACGCGCCGAAGAGAATGTACTCGGTGCTTTTGGCGCGCAGGAAGTTCTGCTCGAACTTGTTCCCCTATATTTCCAATATGTGCATAACATTGCCCACACTATTTTTCATGAGCCGAGTTTTCTGCATCGCCTTCATGAAGGCAAGGCATCTATGACACATGTCTATGCGATGTGTGCGCTTGCTGCTCGGTTAGTTTCTTTTATTTTATTCTGGGCCAATAGCTCTAATGACGTGCTGGCAGATATTCCGAGAATCGGGTATTCAACAACATTGCCCGATGCGCTCGTGGGAAGATATATGCGACAGAAGCAATCCGCCGATGCCACCAGCACATGGTCGCCAGGGGCCTAGAAACTGTGCAAGGCTTTCTTTTAATCGGGTTTTATTTTGGCGGCGAAGGTGATATTCGAGGAAAGCATGTATACGTAGGCCTGGCTCGCCTACATGCCGAACTCTTGTCTCCTGCGGATACTGCGACGGTGGTTCTTCGAGAGGAACGTCGCCGGACATGGCTCACAATTTACATTGCCGTACATTGGTCTGCGTCCGATATGGCAGTAGAACCTGTCTCTCCCTTTCATGACATGGCGCCTCTCCCAGAGATAGATGACGCCGATTTTCAGACGCTCGGTCCTGAGCAGCTCGTCGAGTCGAGGACTTCGCCTTCTTCAAGATGCGATATGTGGGCCCAGATGGGTCGGACGCTGAATATATATACGAGGATCAATGTCTTACTGCGGCGTCTAAGTCAGAACGCAATCTCCTTCGAAGAATTTTGCAAGGAAGCTGCTGTGCTGGAGCATGGTCTTGACCAGTGGGCGAAAAATCTCCCGCCTAATTTGACATATTCGTACGACAACTTCATGCTCATGATCGACAAAAAAGTTGGCAAAACATTTTTGTCCATGCATATCGGGTATTATCATTTCCGACAGATGCTCCTGTTCCCATTCCTGGACACACGACTTGCACGGTGGACTACTCGGGACCGAGCGGCCAAGTGCAAGGAGAGCGCTACTATTGTTTCGGATATTCTACAGTATTCCCAAACAACACCGCAGTGTAAGATGGAATACTTCATTTATGGGCATATTGCGGTCGTCAGCTCTAGTGTCCACCTGGATACACTCCTCTGCAGCGATGATCAATCAGATCTGAGTTCGGCACGACAGCGTCTTGTTTTTAACTTTCAGTTTCTCATGGGTCTGAAGTCTTACTGGTCGGTGGTTGAACATTATGTAAGTTTTCATTTGCTTTTCGCATAGATAAGCTCAAACTTTCCTTCGTTGCTAATATCGCTAACTCTGTAGGTGACTCATTTACGATCCTTCCAGAATTATTGTAGGGACTCCATGTCCGATGCCTTCGTCCTGGACAATTGGATGGCCCGATTCCTCACCGAGCATTCCTCGGCGCTCTCGGAGAGGCGCGATAACAGCGCTCATCCACCCGCCGCCCGTGTTGATGAACCATCTTCATACCAATCTGGACTCAACGACGGAGTGCCATCTGGGAGTAGCTCTGATTCCCAGATGGAAATTGCTGGCAAATCTGGGGTTATCGGGACCAAGCCTACCCTGGATCCAGCAGTGGAGTTTAATGACCTGTCTCAACTTCTAGATGGTCGAGGCATGAGCGGTGAGGCAATCGTGAATAGCGCTCTGAATTGGCTTTTAGAAGATGATCTGAGATTGGAGCAATTGCCATGATCAGAGAGATATCACCCAAAAGCTGCGCTCTATTTACATGCATTCCGTGTCTCCAAGAGCGTTAATTCAGCGGCTTGATGCAACCCCGGCAGGTGGACTGGATTCAGATATCACGCCGGGGCATCCTTTATTGATTGGCGCTGGTCATGCTGCCTATCTCACACCCATTGGTCAAGTGTCAAGCCATCAGTCTTTGGTGAGACGGAGGGACTCTGGGTGGTTTTGAGTGAAAGGCTCTCGGTTTCGCTCAGCCGGAGAACTTCCACCGCCACTAGTTTCAATAACGCGACAAGCTCAATTGTACAACGTCCTCGTGATAAGATCAGGAGCTTCAAACTATTTTCAGCCTAGCTGGTGGGTTCTCGACCCACTTATCTATCCGTTCAACCCCGGGCCCCGTTCTATCGTGGTGCAGGGCCGACCATGTGATATACATATCGTTCAATCAGACATCTCGTGCTATCTATTGGACAATGGTTCTCATCATTTTCGCCGATCAGACTCTTTTCACGCAGTTAGTTAGCTCGAGCATATATCCAACTTGCTCAACGTCATAGTGACAACTGTAAAGGCCATTCTATTGAACCTGGGCTTAACGCCTCTCAATTACAAAATCCGGGGTGAATGATGGTGGGGATCGAGACCAGATATCGGACTTGATAACCGACTCCACCGTCGGTTCTGGGGTCGGCTCGGTTTTGTATGACCTATTTGCCCAGCACCTCTCAGGGATTCAGGTTCGAAAAGCCCAAATTCAAGAATCGTCTGGAACGGTTCAGACATATCAGTGTTCTAGACTGAACGTGGATTGCTGTGGAACCTACCATTGGCTGGTCAGCTTGCCACAAACGCGGTCGGGCTGAAGGCTGGTTTGTTTAGCTATTTACGGAATAGTGAGGTCGATAAGCTTGAAGCCATCCGGACCCGACGGGGACGCCCAGCCGATCAGGTGACCGGTCCCCAGGTATACTTCCTGTTTCAGTTGGCCACCTGCTTGCAGTTGTGTAGTTGTGCTTCCCAAAATATCGTGGGCTAACGGGCATGAAGGTTTACGTCCCGTTGACATCGTTCGGACGTGGTTTGGGTCCGCCGTGAACCGTGGTCAGCTGTGGCGTTGGGGTGATCGCGATAGCTTCATAAAAAAGCTGCCTTCGCCAGCTTTGTAGTCGGTATCGGTCTCAGACAACGATCAAAGAATTCTAGCTTTTTAGAGACTTTCTAAGCATTCTCATCTCTTCTTAATAACCCCCGGTTATCAAGATATCTTTGTATTCACAATGTCTTTCCTGAGGAATTTCTTCGGCACTACCACCACGGCCCCTGAGGTCCAGAAGGAACAGAAGACGCCTGTTCGCGCCCTTCCTGCTTCTTGGTATACCTCCCAGGACATGTACGAGCTTGAGCGACGATCTATCTTCTCTCGCAAATGGCTCCTCACTACACACAAGCACCGCGTCCCCAACGCCGGCGACTGGGTCGAGTACGATGCTGCTGGCTTCAAGTTCATCGTCTCCCAGGATGAGCAGGGAAACATCAAGGCTTACCTTCATGACAACAACCTTTCTCCCGTTCATGTGCACATCGACCGCAATGGCTTCATCTGGGTCAACCTTGACTCCAACGAGACCCCCGAGGTCGCCTGGACCGACGACTTTGATGGCGTCGATGAACAGCCCCGTTTCGACTACTACAATTTCGATGAATACGTCTTCGACCACACTTGGGATATGGAGGGTGACTTCAACTGGAAGATTCTGGCCGATAACTACAACGAGTGCTACCACTGCCTAGTCGCACACCCCGATATCCCGACCATCGCCGACCTGAATTCCTACTACGTCAAGACCAAGGATGGCCACATCCAGCACTACGGCGCCCAGCGCCAGGACCAGATCGACAACGGTTTCCGGATAGCCACTACCTACTTCTGGCCCAACGCTTCCTGTAACGTCTCGTGAGTATTCCCACACATTTATCCACTCTGATCAAGAATAATCAGCTAACCCACACCTCCAGTCCCAACTTCTTCTTCATGCAGCGCTTCACCCCTGTCAGCCCAACCAAGTCCGTCATGCGCTACGAAGTCTACCGCCACAAGGACGCCACCGACGAGGCCTTCACCCTCATCAGCGACATGTACAAGCGCATCATGTCCGAGGACAAGTACCTCTGCATCCACACACAGAAGAACCTCAACGCCGGCGTCTTCGTCAACGGTCTCCTCCACCCAGACATGGAGCAGGGCCCACTGCACTTCCAAAGCACCGTCCGCGAGGTCGTTACCCAGCACTTCAACAAGGAGCAAGCCGCCGGCCATGAAATCTGGCCCGCCAAGCCACCAGTTTCCGTTGATGCTGCGGCTGTCGATGAGACTGATATCACGTTCCGGACGGGGATGGACACCTATGCGGATGCGGATAATTTGCAAGAGTCGTTGGCGAGTAACCTTGCCCCCGCGATTGCTGTTTAGAATATTGGATGGAACTTGGGAGGATATAATGCCCTTGAGATTGGGTATAATGTGCTGATGCACTGGATTTTGGTTAATTAGCGTTGGATTATTTTTGTTAGACCTCACAGGTAGAGATTGACAAGACATTTTTTGGCTTTGGCTTTTGATTTTTCGCTTCTTTGCCTTTTCCTTGGCGATTTATATTTACTTAATAGCTAGATAGATGTTATTATATCGATGCCCTTGACTACCTTGACTTGATTATTTGTGTAAATCCTGTAGCACAATCTTATGTTTTCCAGTTCTGTGGGAGGACTCAGCTGGATACGCTCTGTATCTAGATCAGCCATGCTACCTTACTGTACTGAGTATGTCAGTGTCGGCAGATACTAGAGAGGTTCAAGTAGGAGCAATGTTCAATATACTACCATTGTGATGGAGATTCCTCGGTCGCCCTCGAGAAGACCTCCGTGCAGATTGTTGACCGGATTTCCCTGGTTGTTCTCCTGTTTTCTAGATTGTTCTACTGGATCGGCTCTTCAAAAGGCCCTTTCTTGTTTCTTTTGCTTCTGCGTCATAAAAGATTCCTCCAGAGATCCCTATAGATTCCAAGAATGATCAAGTTCCCTCGCTTTTCTGGCTTCCTGTGCGTAGCAGCGTAGTTTCGCTGTCAGGATCCTAGACATCTCAAGTCATTGCTTACACCATGTAGAAAATACCGATCCAGATATTTCATCTCTATACCACAGTGGACCCTCACCCGCACGCAGCTTAAAGTGGAGACTCGCAAGGTTGATATATCAGCTGCCTGGGCAATCATGATGATCAACGGAACCAGCTTGGAGATGAGATGTATAAAAAAACATTTGGGATATAAGTGTAGAGGGGAATAAACAAAAAAGGAACAAAAAAGAAATCGCCTCAGGCCAGGATTCGAATCTGGACCTCTGTTGGGTTTCAAGGGTCTCCGAGTGAGGGACTCTCGAACGGGGAGTTACACCCAGCGTGCTACCAGCTTACACCACCTGTGGCTGTATTTGATTAATGGAGGTTTTTGACCGGTCATAACCTTGAGATTCATTCCGGAATGTTCCTCTGTGTTCCTCCTTGAACCCACTGCTCTCCATTACAGCTATAAAGGCTTCTCTTCACCACACCCCGGAGGTCCTTGAACGAGTTGTGATATCAGACATGCTGACTGTCAACTCCACAAGCTGTCTATCTGAATCTCCGAAGGAAGAGATAGAACATCTGGGTTAACTACATGACACACGGCGGAACACGACTGTGTCGTGACCATCCTGGAATTTCCCATTTAGGAAGGCAAGCTGTTTTCCCACCGCCAGCGCAACTTTCCACCCCCAATATTTTCTTTCTCTTCTTCCACTCTGCCTCTTCATTATCTCATCCTCATCTCACTGTCAACACGATGGCTTCCTCAAATGTTACTACCACGCCCTCCCTTGCTGGATCAACCTCCCCCGGATCTCTTGTCCATGACATACCCAGTTTGACCGCAAGACTCCAGACTGTTGCTTCAGCCCAGCCCCAGGCCTACATATGGAAAGTATCACTCCTTGTGCGCTGAGCTGATGACGTTACCAATGCCGAAGATGATATCTCGGGTTCAAACTGGATGCGCTATATTACTTGGATCAACCATAACCGAGAAATGCTTCACACCGTTCAGCCCTCGGAACCCATCCTAGCTTACACAGCAGTGAAGGCTATGCTAGAGCTTGAAATCCGAAATGAAATTTTGTAGCAATTATCTACACAGATGCAGCAAGGAACCATCAACGTTAGTGACACAGGGGGATCGTGGCTGCATTACTTCTTTTCGCCGCAGACGCCGTCCAATTCTCTCGCAGCTTCGCGGAATTGCGAAGGCCAATGGAATTTTCTGAATTTATCAAATATTTGCTTGGACGTGAGATGTCTGAAAAATTGCTATTTGCGCGGAGCGCTTCCTACCATCTCTAAGCATCTGGGCAAAAGTCCTCATTCTTCACACACATGCGGTTAGGTTTTTCTAAATCTGGCATCTATGAGAATTCGGCATCTAAAGCCGTCACTCGCTACACTACTGGCATCCCCAGGCCCATACGACCTCGACTTTCCGACCTTTGGTAGTGTGGGAATCCAGGAAATGAAGACCTTCAAGAACATTGGCATTTACAAGGGTATCTACAAGTGCAATACACAGTATTGTTGAAAACAAGAGGATCCGATCGTATATATTCCGGGAATACCGCTAAGCCGAACGACTCATGAGAGTCAGTAAATATTTATCATGGTAGTACGCGTACGGCAAGTCAAAAGCCAAGCACAGCTATACACACACCATTATCACTATACATACTGCCCCTACCCACTCCCAAAAGCCGGAAAATACTGCCTAACAACCCGATCCAACTGTTTAATAACAACCGGTTTAACAAAATACTCATCAGCCCCCGCCTCTTCCGCAGCATTTCTATCCGCCGAACTATCCTGGCCTGTCATAACGAACAAGAAGGCATTTCGCCAATTGTTAGATTTCTCAAGGGCCCGGATTTGTTGTGTGGCCTCGATGCCGCCGCATACGGGCATTTGGAGGTCCATGAAGATTAGTTGGATGGAGGAATCTGTGATTTCGTCTGAGGCTGAGTTTGAGTTTGAGGATGAGGTTGATTGTTTTTGATGTTTAGTAAAGATTTCAACAGCTTGGCGGCCGTTCATAGCGGAGAGATAGGGTAGACCTCGTTTCGTGCAGTATGTTTCCATCACGCGCAGATTGACAGCGTTATCGTCTACTATCAATGTCATTGGTCGTGGGGAGGTCCGGAGCGGTGGGTGTAATGTGCTGGGTATTTGTATCTCGACAGGAACCGATATGTCTGCTTGTGTTAGTGAATTTGTGGTGTTCGTGCTGATATGATTCGTGATGATAGTTGATGAAACTGGTGCGGCGCTTTCGTCTGTAATTGGGTTTTTTTGTATCGTTATTGGCGTGACGATGGGTTTTTCGAGTGCATTTGGTTCGTGTAAAGGTGGTTTGGAGGTACTCTTGAGGAAGTCGTGTACTTTTTTGAGAGCGGAGTGGAATGTTGACGTTAAGAATGGACCGTTGATGTACAGGATGTTATCCTCGGTTTGTTGGAGGAAGTGTTTCTCTTCTGATATTGGGACGAGGCAGATGGCGACTTGGTCGGACGGAATTTGTGAGAGGGATTCACGGTGCTCTTCCATGTCGTGTCCAGCTTCCAGAATGACCAGGCTGTTCTCTATTGTTCCCGAGCGAGTAAAGCCGTTGCGAATTAGGAACGATGCAAGATAGTCACTCAGTGAGGAAGAACCAGACACGGCTGGGAACTTGAAGAGCCGCGAGGGAAGGCTATCGAACTTCACAGCTAGAGACTGCGGCGGTTGCGACGAGAAATCACACTCGACTTCACGGAATATAGCTCTAAAATGTGAACCGCGACCGATCTCCGAAGAAACCAATTCAACGGAGCCGTGGATAAGTGACGCAAATTTCGAAGCAAGCGTAAGTCCCAATCCAGCACCCGCCGAATGCGGATCAACCTTCTCATACGCCTCAAAGATGCGCTGTTGATCATTGACATGAATACCACGACCCGTATCTTCAACATCAACAATCAGTTGCTTGCGATCTGCTTGAATCGACGCGGTAACAGACACATTTCCCTGCGGGGTATGCTGAATCGAGTTAATCACCAATGGAAGCAGTGTATCCCGAAGGACACCAATATCAATGCAAATCTTCTCGCAAACAGGTGCCGAGTCTTGCGTAAAGAAAATCGAACATTTATACCGCGTATCACCCATTGTCACCTTGGCAATCTCATTTCCAATTTCCGTCTCCAGTTCGTCGAGGGTATGCGTAGCGTAATGCCGTTCTGCCATGGCAATATCAGACCATTTGTTAAGGGCAATCAGGTTATTGATGATAGACGTGAGATCACGACCTGCCATCTTGATAATATTGAGGTACGTGAAAGGCTCTCGCGAATTAATCTCCGAGTCAGCTGCTGATTTTTCAATGACAGTCGTAGGCAGGGTTCCTTCGCTCAAGGTCCGTGATTTGAGTTCTTCAGCTAGAAGTTCCACGGAACCCAGGATGCCGTGGATTGGAGTTCGTAGTGATGCGAGAATGCGCGGAGGAATTTCTCTTTGGCTATCATTGCTTCTGCGAGAAGACTTTGGCGCCACATTTGGGAGATGAGGTCTGCGCAGGCTTGAATGAACCATGCATCTGCGTCGTCGAAGACGAGGTGGAAGTCTTTTGTTGCAACTATCAGTAGAGATGATCCTGATATACTTTCGCATGGCGAAGCGACGATGCGCACTGGTTTATTCGTCGGTGTGGGGAGGTGATTCGAATTCGTAATAAAGTCATCGAGGTATTGCACGTCTTCCCAGAGACCATCTCTAAGCTCAGAGACCGGAATCGGATCGCATCCCTCAAACTCGACATGCGTTGCTCTAGATGGTTGTAGACGAATTATCGCATCGGGGTAGATAGTCTTCAAAATCTCGAGAACTGGCTCCATAGCCACGGCCTGATTAGTCTCCTTCTGCGCTTTAGCAAGAAGCTCAGACATCCGATGTCTTTCTCGCTGCCGCCTCGCTCTCGTACATTGCACGAGATCCGAAACAACCCAATCAGCCAGACGAACAAGCGCCTGATGCTGTGCTTTCGTCAATGGTTCCTCGCTCTTACTCGAAGCCACACAAAGTGATCCAAGACCAACAGTGTGCCCGGACTCTGTTTTCAAGCGAAGCGGTACCCCAGCATACGCATAGAGCCCACCACTCTCGAGATAGGGGCATTGTTGAAACCTCCAGTCTTCCATAAGACTTGGCAAGAGAAACACATCCTAGACGCAGGATCATCAGCAAAATGGATATATCCCAGCACAGGAACTACCTATACTTACACCTGGAGGTTGAGTAACCGTATGCGCACAAAGCGTCTCCCCCCTTGGCAAAATCCCCAACTCAAGTCCAACAGTAGCCAACCTCACATAAACATCCACATCCAAAATGCCAATAACCGCAAACTCCCAACCCGTCGATTCCTGCGCCAACTGTGCTTTCTCCTGCAACCCAGCCAAAAACTCGTCTTCTAGCAGCACATCACGAGTATAATACCAAAGCACCGAAAGCCTCAGCCTCTCATGCTCCGCCAAAAAAGCGCGTACATATCTTTCCGCAAAATCAGGCGGCTTCTCCGGAACCACAGAGGGTTCATTAGCCTCTGTGTTAGGGTAAAATGTTGATTTGACGCTCGACGACCAGGCCTGGATCGGTCGATCGACATTGTCCCGATCTAAGATCGGGCCAACGGTCTGTGGGCGTGAAAGTGGTGGCGGTGCAACATGTTTTGATCGCAGGATTGTCCCGTCTGCCTTTGGGAAGAAGGATATCTTGGGATCAAGGATACTGCATGCCATTTTCTGCTATGTGAAGGCGCGTAGCCTCTTATTCCTCCTGAGCAAACAGAATCTCACCTTGTCTGTCTGGCTCAGTAACCGGTTTTTGGACATTTCTCATAACACGTGACATAGTCATGATTCTGGGGTTCAGAACGATGCCAAGGTGGATGACGGGTAGAAAGGCCGGTCTAGACCGTAGTCATTGTTCCTTATTTCTACAATTTTACCCAATTCGCCTCCAGCATCCATAAACTAAGAAGTAACACTGATTTAAGGTCGGAGATCAGGGCAACCAGGCACCCATGAAATTGGAGTATGTACAAAAGCACTCGCAAGTCACAGACAAGAGTCCAATAGAAATAGTGACGAAACAGGACGGCTTCAAAGCCAAACTAAGCACAGCGCAAGCGCGTAGCAAGACAAGACAAGACGGTATTCCAAAATGAGGCAACGCTAGGGAATGAGAATGACTTGCACTCGAACAGAACAGGACAAGGAAAAAGATTGACAGACAGACGCGGGGTGAGATAGATATTGGTCCGATAGATGCGAGGATGAGAAAGCGATATGCAGAGGAGATGCAACGCCCGAAGCCACGCAACTTTTACAGACACCGGTAGCCGGGACGCCATGCAAGGAATGAAAAATAGATGGTAGAGAGAGTAGAACAGATCAAGGAGGGTGAGGGGATGAGTGACAAGGTAGGGAATGGTGTAGAGAGTGAGATGTGTGCCAATGCAATGCAATGCAAGATAGCCAGGCCTAGCGTTACCGCTCGGCTTGAAGATTCAACCAGCTCATATCCGAGTTGACGTTAGTGCTGCGGCCCGGCATCGGCAATTCATCGATATCATCGGCTATCGCAACGCTCGAGCGGCGGCCTTTCGAGTGTCGAGGGAACTGCGGGTTCGAACTGGGCAAGTCGCGCGAGCTACTGTTGTAGAAACTATAGTTGCTGCTAGCCGGGCGGCCAAGCCAGCTGGTATGCGCGCCAGTCCAGTTCGTATCATGTGGGTCATCGTCACTGGTCACGCTGATCGAGTCGGCGCTGGAGATCCGCGCGCTCTGCCCTTCTGGAATGGCGAGACTGCGACTCGAAGATGCGTGCTCTGTTGTAGGGCTGCCGCTGTAGACACGGCCCAGGGGCTTGGGCTGATCCAGGAAGCCGAGGTTCAGCGGTGTCAGGTTTGACATGGGCCAGGCGCTGCCGCGGTAGTCGGACTTCGTGTAAATCGAGCTGGTGGTGGAGCGGTCCGCAGGCATTCCGCCGAGATTCGTGGTGTTATTGTCCTGGAAGTACTTGCCCCAGCCTTCATCGGTGGTGCGATCACCAGGCTTATGTCCCAGCTCCGAGGGGGTGGTGCTGTCGCGGTACGCGCTTTCAGAGTACATGCTTGATGGCGCGAGACCGCTGGACGGAATCGGTGAGAGCGGGCTGCTCTTGCGAGGTGTGGCAGAAAGGCCATAGCCAGAGTTTGAAGGAGGCATGAGAGACTTCTCTCCTGCATACTTGCCTGAGATAATTGCGAGGGAATCGGCTGACATCGAGGCAACAGGAACAGGACTCTTTGCCATGGGGTACGCACCACCAGCCAGGGGTTCTATACCCTGGTCCTGGAAGCTGAGTCGGTCCTTGTCAATACCACGGGACTGGCCGTTTCGCTCTCTCTTTGTTCTTTCGCGTTTCAGCAGCCAGAGAAGCAGAAGTAGGATGATACCAACACCGCACACGGCACCAAGGACAGCACCAATGATCACTTTAACGTCCGTGCCAGAACCACCAGCGGCAGCGGCAGCGGCAGTGGTAGTCGAGCTAGGGGTAGCGCTGGTTGATGTCGAAGGAGTTGGTGTCGCCGTAGGGGTCATGGTGGTCGATGTGGTGGTATTCGTAGTCAGAACGTGCTGTACACTCTTGCCATAAAACAATTCCGTCGAATTCACCCAGCTATTGGATGTCTGGTTGAAAATGGCGAGCGAGTCATTGCTCTTGCCACTGGAAAGAACAACCAGGCCATTGCTTCCCTGGGCCAGGCCATAATCTGACCACTTGTAGCTGGGGGCAAGGGTGTCATTGTAAGTTGGATAACTCCCCGTGCTCCGCTTCTTCGACGAAGACCCGACCGCCACAGCAGGGCTTTCGGGCGTTCCATCAGAGGTGATGAGCTCGAGATTGGTCACAGAGTTGGGAGAGGCATTCATGTCGAAATATTGCAGCACCTTGCTATCTCTGGACCCAGACAGGAGAGAGAGCGGAGTGGAAGTTGAAATGGCGGACGGGAGGCTGACAGGCGAGCTTTCCCATCCTGTTGCGAGATTGTACGTCCAGACAGCTTTGTTGCCGCCACTGCCATCATTACCACTAAACATGCCAACGTGAGTCGAGTTCCAGTGGAGAATTTGGGGATTATTTAGCGATGGAGCTCCCTGGTTGTTCACCGAAGTCGAGACATAGGGAGATACAGTCGAGATGAGATAGGTTTGGGAAGAGAGCGCGGTGCTGGTGCTCGCGCCTGTGGTGCCAGCGTAAATAATGATCGAAGAATTCGACGCGACAAAACCAGCACCATGGCCCGTCAGGTCGGTCATCAAGGTTGTTCCAGATCCCAGAGTTTCCCATTTTGAATCCTTGAAAGAAAACCGCTGGAGGCCGGTATATGGGCTGGTTGAGTTGGTGGTGGTCCCGCCAACCACATACAGGGCTTCGTCTTCGTTCTGGCTGCCCTCTATCCCGCCTTTCAGACATACCGGGTTGGAGACGGATACGCCGGAGGGCAACGGATTCCATGTACCATTGACCTTTAGGTCAATCGATACAAAGCCAGTGGGCGTGTAGACGTAAAGTGTGTTACCCGAAATCACCGAGCAATGCCCCTCTAGGTTGATTAGAGGTTGGGGGACGGTCATGACGAAGTTGTGAGGAAAATGAACGAAAATGGTGATACCAGACCAACAAGAGAAGGCGGATGGCCAGCCGGCAGGGAAGAGGAAGGGTATTCCTAAATCAAACCAAGAACCACTGGGTAGAGAATGGAGGGTGTCTACCAGAGCACTATCTCATTTCGGCTGGGGAAAAATCGTTGGAAGATGCCGGCATCCGGAGTGGAACGGTGAGTGTTGGTCGCAATTCCAATGAGGCTGATAATGCAGTTGACGTATGGTATGTTGGTTAAAGATCCGATAGATGTCACTCCTTTGTGCAAGAATGTGGTTTGTGGGGTTAAAGTCAAATATCGGGGCTGTCGCGAGTCATCCAGCTCGGGAATGTCGGGGGAGGCTTGGAGTGGGTTGGGTTGTTGGCTTCGGGATGATGTCGACTGATGGGAATCGAAAGTCACAGAAATGAATCGGACAAGCGATTTCGATAGTCGAGGGGGAGAATGATTGGAGATCAGCTGTTGCAAGCACAGTAAAGTGAGTGGTAGCGAACGAGGTAGGCGATAGGTCGCGGCGAACAGGAAGCTGTGTCGGACGAGGATGAGTATTGGACAGCATCACAGAAAATCAGAGACAACTGGAGAGACTGACCGAATGAACGAGTGCACAGCACAGATTTGAAAACAATGACAACAACAAGGCCAGCAGGATCGAGAGGGGGGGGGGGGGGGGGGAGGGAAGGGCAGCAGGAAGAGAGGGAGAAGCGTAGCAGGAGACCAGGTAAGACACCCGTTGAGCCCCCTAACAGGCTAACAGGCGGGAGGTTCACCAAGTCACTTTACACTGTACAGTACTGGAGTACACCTACTGTACTAACAGTACTCCGTACTGTCGTCCCCCCTGAACCCGCCCATTTCGTCATGGGCTCAGTTCCTTTTTGAATGGATCGACCATGATTCATGGTGAATAATAATGGATTTGTGTTGATATGATTGTTTGTTTATTCTATACTATCCAAGTACTTCTATAAGATAGAAGAATTACTATCTAATTAATCTCTATAGCTATGGTAAATTCTTAATCTCTTATACTCGGTATAGTGTATACCTCGTATACTATTACTCGTATGTTTGATTTCCTGTTCCTGTTCCTGACTCGAACCCCCCTGTCTTCTTGCCCCCTTGTCTAGTGGGGCGCAGGAACCAACCCATCGAACCAACAGCAGCCCAACTGCCTCATGCTCCCCTCTTTTTTTTTCTTCTTCTTTTCTGGACTGAAATGATAACGTAGTTCCCGGCTTACCTGATAACCCGGTTAACCCGATAACCCCAAAACACCATACTAAATGCAATTTTTTAGGTCATAGCATATCAACAACTAGAAGCATTTCTTTCTTTGATTTTTAGTGTCATATAAATTCTGAGCACTAAAAACGGTGTAGCATGACTCAAATATTTTGAAAAGGGTTAATTACCTATATTACCAAAATTACACTCCGGTCCAGTGATGTAGATATATATATTAATATTATACCACTTGGAAAAATTTCTCGACCTAATAAATATACTTAGCATGGTATATCAAACACTACGGTATCCCTAAGATGACATTCTTGGCCTTTGGGGTTGAAATATGAAATTATGAAAAATCCCATTTAGTATGGTGTTTTGGGGTTATCGGGTTAACCGGGTTATCAGGTAAGCCGGGAACTACGTTATCCAAATGCAAGGTTTACCCTCCTCCCTCCTTACGGAATACATACACAGAAGACACATCAATCACAATCCATTGAATAATGTCAACAAACCCTTCTTTCCCCCCTTTTCCCAGTTCTCTCCCAGCCTCTGCGCTCCCTCGCGATCCACGGTTGGTCGCGGTGGAGAGCCAGAAACCTTGGAAAGTGGGAAACAAATCCATCACACTTGGCCTGTGCGCCGATCGCCCGACGAAAAGGGAAACGGAGAAATTCCATTCGATACGCTGAAGAAATTGACATGATGATATTGTAGGCAGCGTCTAAATACGGTCCTATCGCGTGCGAGATACGTCCATTGCTGAATCTCATACGAGAGCTATATAGTCACTTGATGGGATATAGTCAACTAGGTAAACGATTATCATCTTCTATGTTATCCCGGCACTTCCTAGGCCCATAGAATTTTCATGGAAGTCAAGCCCCCGTGTTTCGCCCCATCCTCAAAAGGGTTTCGTTGCCTCCACTTGGTCCCGGTTCGGGCGTTTGGGGATGGATCATGGGGGCTACGCGACGTAGAAGGTGGAGATCAAAGGTCTCGGTACAGTAGTCCATATTCCTTCCTTCTAGGGTATATTAATACATATTAATACTGTAGGATAACGGATGGTCATCTATCACGATCGAGTCGAGTCAGTACTATTCTGCAAATAGTGTTGACGCATGGTACTCGTAGTTTGACTGGGTTGCGGGGATAGACATCATACTATCCCTGCAGTACTACTGTATCTCTCATAGGACAGATTAAATTGCCCCGGTGGAGACTACTATCTCAGAGGGGACCAAGCAACCTCAGAAATGGTCATCGAGAACAGCCATCATCCTACGAAGGGTATTCATGGGGTAAGCAGAGAGTAATCCAGGGAAATACTCGTTCATCCAAAGCAGTGGTAACACGGGAGAACCCGTCGAATTTTGAAGCACTGCCAAGCAGTCGGAAATTACTTTGGTATAACACACGGAGGACAAACCCAGAACCAAACGAGTACAGTAGTAGTATTCTGGCCCAGATCCAAATCCAACCATCCATATCGAAACACAAACACACCCATTCCCTCCTCCACCCTTCAACCCTGCGTCTGCTTCCACTGGTGGGCCCGTTGGAGCAGCCGAGACAGGTTCGCGGCGGATTTGTCGTCGGCCGGGAACACGTAGTCCATGTATTCCTCGTACCGGTCGTCCTCCAACTTGCGACGCTTCTTGACCCGCCGCGGCATCTGTTTTTCGATCTTGTCGATGTCTTCGGGTGAGCCGTGCGTGTGCTCGAAGGACCGCCAGGCATTGAGAAGTTCCACTCGCTGTTGTTAAAAGTTAGCTTGAGTCCAGACGAATCATAGCATGTATGACTGAAATAGAGTAGCAATGCACATACCTCTTCCTTGAGCTCCTTGTCCTTGAACACCTTGTGCGCCCGCTCGAACACTGCCCGTGCCCGACGCTTGGCTTCGTCGCTGACCGGCCGGGTTTCTTCGTCTTCTTCCTCCTCTTCCTCGTCTTCGGGGATGTTGATCTCGAATCTGGCATAGTTGGTCCACACCTTGACATGGTCGGTCTTGGCGAGGAGGCGTTCGTATAGCGCGCGCACACGTTCATACTCGCCTTCGTATTCCTCGAATTCAATGTAGGACTTCCACACAAGCTCAGGCATGTCAAGCGTCGGCTGTTCGACACCGAGTTCGAAGAGCCCCCGCGCCCGCTCCAAATCATCCAGCCCGCGTTCAAGTTCTGCATACTGAATCCAGGCCTGGCTGTTGGAGGAATTCCACTCGATCTGCTTCTCGTACAGGGTCCGGCACCGCACGAACTCGAACAATTGTCGCTCGAGGTCGATGTAGCCGCGGAAGAGCTTATCCTTTGGACACATACCGATCGCTTGGCCCAGCGTCTTGCGCGCAGCCTGAAGCTCCATTTGCCGAATCTCAAACTGGGCCTTCATGAGCCACACCTTGGCAAAGGTGAACTTCTTATGAGGGATCAGCTTGATGCATTCTTGGTAGATCTGCCGTGCGCGGTCCATGTCCTTGGCCTCCATCTCTTCCCAAATGGCGTAGAAAATCCAAAGATAAATGTATCGGCGCCAGTGGCGCTTTTCTTGTGATGGTGGAATCTGAGCAATGGCTCGCTCGTAAATGTCACGTACGCGCTCTGGGTCGCCGGCCGTTTCTTCAAGTCGTGCAAAGTCGAACCAGATATCGTAATTGCGGGGGTTCTCCTTGAGCTGCTCTTCATAATGAACACGGCGCTTGGACAGAATGACATCCTCCACACCTTCCCGATCACCGAATTGCTTTTCAAAGGTGGTATAGGCCTTGTGTAGGGTCATCGACTTGGACCGTGGGAGACGATCTAGGGCGTATTTGTAGATTGCCCGCGCACGCTCATATTCCTTCAACTTGGCCTCGAACTTGGCATAAGCCACGAAGAGCTTCTCATCCATGAAATCCTCTCCCAGTGTCTCAATGGCCAACCCATAGACTTCGCGGACCAGATCGCTTGTGCCAGACTCCTCCTCAAACCGAGCCCACTTGATCCAATTCTTCGGCTCGGGATGAACAATAGTAAAGCGCTGGAAGATCGCGCGCGCTCGCTCAAACTCATTGTATCGCTTCTCCAGCTTGATATATGCACTCCACGCACCCTCTTCGGGCTCCCATGACATCCACCGCTCAAAGACCTGTCGGGTACCGGGGATGTTGCCCAAAGTCTCCTCCATGTACACATACTTATACCAAAGCTTGTCCACGCGGGGTAGGATCGTCACGGCACGGTCGAGGAGGTTGCGGGCATGATTGATGTTGCGGGTCTTCATCTCGGCTTCGATATAGCGAATCCATAGCACGACGGAGGTCGAGTCCACGTCCAGTGCGCGCTCGAAGATCGAACGCGCCCGACGGAATTCCTTTTGTTCCAATTCCCAGGCGGCATAGCGCATCCAGTTGTTCATGTTAATGCGGTTACGCCGCACATAGTCCTCGAATTCCTTGCGCTTTCGGCCTTGGAACTCGTGCAATTCCTCGAGATCTGCGAAGCGCTGGGTCGGCGCCTGAAGACCGGGCTCCTGGCGATCAACAGCCTCACGCAGCAGCTGCTCTGCAGAGATTTGAATGGGCGCCGGGGCCTTGTTTTTGACCCGAGGAGGGCCTCTTGATGCCTCCATGGTGAAGGTTGTTGTTGGAGTGTCTCGACTTGAAAGATTGCGTAGAAAGGTGCCGCAGTTTGGAGATCGTGTTGGAGAGGTTTAGCTGGGATTTGCTTCCGAACTGAGTCGTGAGGTGGGACAGTGAGAGTCAAGAAAAGAATCTTGAGGGCACAATGTCACGGTAAGCTCCTAATGATAGAGAACTCACAATGGCCCCTCTCAACCCGAACTGAGTGATATCGATGCTGCGGCGGCGATTGTCCCAAGAGTCGCCGATGAAATCGCCGGGCCTGCGCTTGTGGTCCAACTCGCCACCCGCAAACTTTCAAGCTCTCCCATGACTAAGCGCAGCTGTTCTGCCGCAGTTTCACGGTCGTTGCTCCGATTATTATCCCAACTTGCGTCTGGCTCGGGTGGCGTCTTGGGTACACTTCACTATCTTGTGAACGCAGCATTTACTTCATAATCAAACGCTACCGCCATCATGTCCGCCGCTGACGAGCTTCTGCGCGACTTTGAGGACGATGAAGAAGACTTCCAGGACGACGAGCAGATCGAACAGGACGAAGACCTCTTGGAGGAACAAGTCGCACAAGAAGCCGCAAAGCCGTCGAACGAGTTCGATCTCTCCGTCGAGACTGCCGACGAACTGACCCGTCTACACAAAGTCTTGCGCGATCACTATTCCATTCGATTCCCCGAACTAGAAACCCTCGTCACGAATTCGATCAAGTATGCGAAAACCGTCGCCATCCTCAAAAATGGACCCCTCGATGATATTAAAGCCATCTCGAACTCGGCGGACAATATGGCCGGCGAGCCACTCAAGTCTGTGTTGGATGGACCTACACTCATGGTCGTTGCGGTGGAGGGCACAACAACTCGCGGCCGGGAGATGACCGACTCCGAGCTCAAGGTTGTCCTCGATACCTGTGAGAGGATTCTCAAGCTTGATCGCGAGCGCACTGCTCTCACGGAGAGCATTCGGTCTCGTGTGAACTCCATTGCACCTAATTTGGCCGCGCTTATTGGGGCCCATACGGCTGCGCAGTTCCTAAATCAAACCGGTGGTTTGCGCGAACTTGCCAAGATTCCTGCGTGTAATTTGGGCGCGCAGGGTTCACGGAGGCAAGAAGGACTTGGATTTGCTACAAATATCGGCATTCGGTCACAGGGCTTCTTGTACGATTCTTCGCTTATCCAAGAGGTGCCAAACGACCTGAAAAAACAAGCTATTCGGATTGTCGCTGCCAAGATGGTTTTGGCCACACGTGCGGATATTGCCAACTACAACAAGGATGGCTCGCTGGGCGAGGAACTTAAAGAGCAGTGTTTCAAGCGGTTAGAGAAACTTACGGAGCCCGCACCAAACTCCGGAGTCAAGGCACTTCCTGCACCAGACGACAAGCCATCTCGGAAACGAGGTGGACGACGTGCACGCAAGGCCAAGGAGGCCGTCGCCATGACCGAGCTACGAAAGGCACAGAATCGTGTTGCTTTTGGCAAGGAAGAGGCAGAAGTTGGATACGGTACTGGCGAAGGTACCGTGGGTCTGGGCATGCTCGGCCAACAAAACGACGGCCGGATTCGCGCAACACAGATCGACCAGCGTACCCGTGCCAAACTCAGCAAAAACAACAAGGGATGGGGTACTGCCACCCCTTCCAGCGGCACTGCCTCGTCCCTGCGTGGCTTTGGGCAGGGTGGCCCCTCTGGCACCGCTAGTGTGCTACAATCTAAGGGTCTCCGCTCATCAGGCGTCGGATCCTTGTCCGCCACTGCAGGTACCGCCAGTACGATTGCTTTCACTCCCGTCCAAGGCCTGGAACTTGTCGATCCTAAGGTGCAGGCTGAGATGAATCGCAAGCGCAAAGCCGATGAAGATCGCTGGTTCAACTCTGGAACATTCACCCAGGTTGGTGGCGGCCAGAGCAGCATCAACATTCAAAAGGATCGCGACGGATTCAAGGTGCCCGCTCTTCCGCCTAAGAAGAAGGTTGACACCGGGGATGGCAAGATGGGGCCAACCCCCAAGCCGTGAGGCGGGTTTCATTGTGCATCATCATGATTTTCATTTTTGCTATGTACTTGCTGGTCTGAGCATTTATTTTGGGCGTTTAAAAAGGGAGTGACGATCAGGGGAGAGCAGCTTTCAGGCAGATTTTGCTGCCTTACTCCATCGAGCACGTGATACCATTTCTTGTACAGTAGATCGGCCACAAAGGACCAATCAAAGATATTCAAATCTAAATGAAACAACATTCTTAGTCTATTCAGGATTATATTTGCTCATATAAGAAACTGCTTACCCATCGACGTAGCATTGGACCTGCAGGATCACCCTCATACTACACCGATTCCCCTGATCCACGCCCGGCGCCACAATCTCAATTAGGGTTTGCACGCTATGAACAATACACGTGGAGTACCACGTCAACGAAAGTGGGCTTCATTTATTGAAAATGAGAAATTGACTTTAAAAAAGATCGTTCGGAGTACAATCTTCCTCCGATGCTGTCGAGTATCCGGCAATTTTCAATGGAGACCCGGAGTTCATTAAGTTTCTTATCTTTTTTTTTTTTTCGAAATCTTTGTTCGACCCAAACTTCGGGGGCCCGCGGTGGCACTCGGTCCCATATGGCGTGCTCCAGCCGTAGCTTTTGCTCAGCGGTTCTTTCGCAATCTGATGGAATGTGGTACAAAAAGGAGAGACCGTGGTAGCGGTGAGCACGAATTTCTTTGCTCTTATATATGTTATAAAGAGGATTGATCCTGTGGCGAGCTTTTTCGATATTTTTTGGTCCTGACTTCATACGTACCCTGCATTCAATTCTGTACCTGGCATCCAGCAATCTTTCTTGTTTTATATTGCATACCCTCATATCGCGCCACCACTTCCAACTGTCCATATTACTGTGATAGACTCTTGAAGAATCAGTTCTTTTCTATCACCTCTTCAAACATGACCGTCGAGACTGTCACTCCAGCCATCAAGGCATCCATCAACTTCGGCCCTATCAAAGGTCAATCAAAGACGAAAAAGGACCTTAAACACCTTCGACCTCACACGCATATCTCATCAAACTTCGACGACCTCAAATTCAACGCCGCGGCATCCCTCCAACTCCAATGGTCACAAGAAGAGCAGCTATCTACCCCTTCAACAATCGCAGATACACGACTCATCGCCTCTCCATACAACGACGCCCCCCATCTCCTAGATGTAGAGACCCTAGACACCCAGAGTCGTCTCCTAGCACTAGCACTGTCATTTTTCAAACCTGTCCGAGACGACTATGCGACGGGTGATTATCTTGAGTCATTCAACTGGAACGAGGTCTTCGACCTGGTGAAAGCTTTTGCGCAAGCAGAGGGTCATGTCTGGACGAGACAGTCGTTCTATGTTGTCTCTTTCCGATCTAAACTTCAGCCGGGCGTGGATAATGGTCATCTTCATGCTTTGGACGCGTATTCGCATCAGGAAGCTATTGCCAGTGGGGGCTTGCTGAAGTATTGGTTCGGTACGAAGAATGAGGAGAGACGAAATTTGGCAACTTGTACGTGTTCCCTATCTTGATTGAAATGGGAATTTTGATGGAGAATGATGCTAATTTTGATATAGGCATTTGGCGCACCAGAGAAGACGCTAGACTTGGGGGTCGGGGACCTTGGCATGCGAAGGCGAGAGCTGCGGCGAGGGAGTTGTATGAATCGATTGTCTTTTCTACGATGGAATTGGTTATTGAGGATGGCGTCAAGTCTTGGCATATCGGCGAGTGGAAAGATGGACACGCATGAAAGTAGTCTTTTTGAGTCCATTTGATTTGCATTTGTTAGCGATCGAGCCATTATTTATTTGCCGCAGTTGTTTGTTTGAAATTCATAGACGTCCTAATCAGATGTACTGAATACAACACAGTCCTCTGAATGTATTGATCTTATAGACACTTCGTTGGTATGTACTGACAAAGCAGAATCAATGAGCCGACATTTGCAGATATCTTGAATGGAGTTGGAAGCTGCGCAATTGAACGAACGCTGAGAGACCTCCCAAGACAGTTTCATGCTTCTGACGTGTCCTTGTTCAACTCCATATCCTTCAAAAGGAACGAGAATCTAAAGATTGGATGCAATGCAAGTGTGCAAAAATTTTATTTTATGATCAAAGCATAATCTGCAATCTAACTATTTCTATCCTTTCGGTGTAGAGAATGGACTTCGGCATACTTCCTTCTTAGTATTAGCCCATAATGAGTCTCATATTGGGTTACAGAGATAAAAGAGCTTAATTCCACTACAATGTCCTTAGACAAGTTTTCGCTTTATCACTACACTCGAAAGTCTTCATATCAACTCCAATGATTCTATTCATTTCTTCCCATTCTGGTTTCCGGCTGGATGCAATCCACAATATACCTCCTATGTAGCCAGGAACACGACACAAGCTAATAACACTTCGCAATCATCACGGGGTCAAGTAAAAACAATCTTCGAGCTATCGTTACACACAGGGTGTCCTCTTGCCATTACAAGAAGAGAAAGAGTATTCTTTTCCGCAAGTGGACCAACTTCTGCACCCCACTCCTCCCGAAAGGGTAAATATTTTCCGCGCCAGATGCGGGGAATATTGCTACTTTTGCCTAATGTCTCCAACCATCGAGACATAATGCAGTCATCAGATGTCCCATGAGCTTCACAGGGCCCACGATCAATGCCGGACATATTGGATATGCGGGGCAGAGCTGACAATCTTGTTGATTTGGTTGGACATGCCTCTAGATTGGTCCTTGTTTACCCCGCCGTCGTAGAGACCCGATCGCAGACGAGATATAAATTTCTTGACCCTGTGTCCTACAACATATTTTCCTACTTCAGTCAATATTTTCAAGATCTGTCCAACCTGGTATCCTGGAACAGTTGCCAGATATGGTCGCTATCATCGCAGATCAACTAGCCGTTTATGACGGCCCTTTGAACTCGGAGAATGCTGCTCTATTGCGCCCATCTGACCCTTCACTCCCCCTAGAAGAATTGCGCAAGAGATATGACGAAGACGGATACCTCTTCCTCAAGCATGTTCTCCCCCGCGAAGATGTTCTCTCCGCCCGTGAATCATACTTCTCCTCCCTAGAGCCAACCGGTGTTCTCAAGCCCGGTACCAAGCCCGTGGAGGGTGTTTTTGACCCAGCAAAGTCTCACGAAGATTACCCCAGCATTGGCGCAGGACACATCGGTGGTAACGGAAGGCCAGGAGGTGATCGTGCAGCAGCCTTCGTCGACCTTGCCCTGGACGCCCACTATCAAGATTGGTATGCTGAGAAATTCTGTAATCACCCAGCTTTATACGATTTCGTCGCCAAATTCACAGACTGGGGCAAAAACACGCTCAATCTGCGCCGAACTCTCTTGAGGAATAACATCCCCGGCTCCAAGCCTATTGGCGTACACTATGACCAGATCTTCCTGCGCTATGGAGACCCTACCAGTGTTACAGCCTGGGTACCCATGGGAGACATTAAACTAAACGGTGGAGGCCTGATCTATCTGGAAGATGGTATGTTTCCGCTTTTGAACCTGGCATTTACCGGCTGTCTCTAAGTTATGTGCCACAGGTGACCGCATCGGAGTCGAGATGGAAGAAGCATTCTTCGCTAAGGCGAAGGAGTCTGGGTTAACCGATGAGGAAGCACGGTCGGCTTTTAACTCCAACATGATGGCAACGGGGCTGCTGTCAGAGTTCCCGGATGGGTTTGCCCGGGAACATGACCGGCGCTGGCTGGTCTCGGCCTATGAGGCTGGTGATGTTGTTCTGCACAAGCCTCATATGGTATGTATCCTACTTTAGGAGGTCAACTATTGCTTGATTGGACTTGTGCTAACAAATATACGTTCTAGATTCATGCTTCCACTATCAACCATGATCCTGATAATGTGATTCGCCTGGCGACTGACCTTCGTTTCTGCGACTCCTCAAAGCCATTTGATGAGGTACAATCTTCCCGCTTGTGTTTACTGCATTATAGTGTGACTGACAGGACTCCACCACAGAGATGGATGAACCACTACAGCTTCAATGATGGTGTATAAGGGCAAATAGTTCATAGCTTGGAGAAACACGATTGTACATGTTACTATTGGAGATTCATTTATCAGGATGCTCAGTATATCAGCCGCACAGGAATCCATAATTTCTAAATGCAATCACAGCCGATGAAGTCTTGATGAAAAATCATGGGGCGTTGTGCCGTGATGTCTATCCTATTGCTGGTAAGATTGCATCACGCATAGAGGCGGGCCTCCCCATCATTCCTGGTCTGTTTGAACTCTGGCCATTTCAAAAATAGTTTCCCTTGATGCATTTCTAACCTTGTCATTATGACCTAGCAAGGACCATCTATATTCAGGGCCGTGTTTGACTCCTGGAATGTTAGACTGTCATTCCCAGGGATCCGCGCTCCCGCGGAGGCATCCCTAGATCGAGCAGATGTCCCCCTCAAGATGTAGTAACTGATGAAGATGCCATGGTAACAATAAAAAGGCGTTGATAAACTTTAAGGGCAAGTCAGCGAATTAAACGGAGTAGCAGAGCTTGTTCAAAATTCACAGGGCTGGAAATTGGTGAAACTATCCGAACATTGGCATCCTAGCGTAGCAAGCCCTCATTCCACACGAGGACGGAAATTGCTCCACTGGTTCAAGGATAAGGGTATATGAATCACTAGTGGATCCTGATCTACCTCGCGTGCGGAAGATCCCACTTGACTCTCGAGCCGTCCTGTACTTCCATCGCGTCCCATCTCCAAAGGATTCATCAATAGACAATTCAAGCGCATCAGGGCTGAAAAAAAAAATCAATACTCTACAAAATGTCGCTACCATCGTTGAGGCCATCCTGGTCAATCATTGGGGTCATGGCACTTCTAGCCATCTCCACGGTTTACGCGCATCCAATCCAGGAGTCGACAATGGAAGAACAAGCCCGACCCATGCCTGTTGTACTACCTCGCGATCCGGTGTGTTGAACCTAGACCTATTGTTCGCATCATACCCAGCGCATACTGATTCTCGCCTACAGAGACTCATCCCCGATACCGAACACTACCTTTCCGAGGTCTTCGATCTGCTGGGCGTTACAGAGCCAAAATCCACAGAATCAACACCAACAGAGACACCCTCAGAAACACCCTCAGAAACACCCTCAGAAACACCCTCTGCTACTAGCGTTCCCAGCCCCATTGTCAAGGCCGAGCATGGGCAACCGATAAACGTCGACGCGACGCCAGTCGTCAGTGGCAGTGGTGTTACCTACTCGGCTACGATTAAGCACGGAAACCAGAAGCCTATTGAGAACATCCAGATTGGATCAGGTTATCATGGTGGAAAGAAGCTGGCTGCCTCGGACTTGCCGATTATTTTTGCTGCCGTGGAGACTGAGATTGCGTCTCGATGGCGGGATGTGATTGATAGTTCGGATGAGCTTGGATTGGATGATGAATTTGCTTTTTGAATTGGGAAAAGGGAAGAAAAGGGAAATGATAGGATGTGATTTATTACGAGAAGTTACTGTAGCGTACCTAGCCATTCTGAATCATTGACAGAAGTTATATTTGATGGTTTAGCCATTTTATCAGCTCCTTATGGTCGCTGGTTTAGTCCACCTACGCTACGTTCTTTTTGATAGAATATCAGACTGGCTTCTAGCGAGAGAAGAACGTCATTTGAGCTCGAGCCATCTGAGCGGCAAGATTGAGGACAGCTATGTATAGAACACCCTAAGATTCAAGAATCGTCAGCAATATTCTCCTCGGATGATGCAAAGGCCGACTTCCACAGGGTTATCACCGTAGTCCCCAGGATTTGAAATCTAGACGGCATCCCCACCCTGGTGGTGCTCAACTGTCGGTGAAGTCATCGGTCTACGCCATCTTAACTCCGATGCACCAATCTACGATAACATATGTCACCTTTGTCCCCACTATGGTCGCAGAAACCGCACTGAATAACCCCGTAAAGCATATTCGGAACGGGCATATTCATCTCTCCCCCGGTGGGATATATGAACGGCCCTAGCGGAGATTCTGCAGGAGACGGGGTTAAGGTGCTTATTTGTTCATGGGTGGGGTCGGGAAGAGCTTGACTCTCAAGTATAAACGAGACCCGCCCGCCACAAAACAAGCTCTGCCAAAGTTTATCATCCTCGATCCTCACTAGATTTACACCATTAAATACCACCTACAACGCACAAAATGCCTACCCTTGTTGGAAAAGAGATCGGCCCCACTGGCTATGGCACTATGAGTATGGCTTTTTCCTCCACAGCTTCCATTGACTCTTCCAGGGAATCAGATTGTATGTCCATACTAACATCACTCTAGGAATGACCTGGCAGGCTCAACCGCCCAGCCAGGAAGTCTGCTTCGAGACTCTCAACAAGTCCCTCGAGCTCGGGGCTAACTTCTGGAACGGTGGTGAGCTGTACGGCACACCAGAGTACAACTCCTTGCACCTGTTGAACAAGTACTTCACCATGTACCCTGAGAATGCAGACAAGGTCGTTCTCAGCATCAAGGGTGGATTGAAGCCCGGCCAGCTGATTCCGGATGGCTCGGAAGAGAATATCCGCCGCAGCGTTGACGAGAGTTTGCGTGTGCTGGATGGAAAGAAGAAACTTGATATTTTCGAGTGCGCTCGTCAAGAGAGCAAGTATCCCGTTGAACACACCATCGGGGTTCTTGCGCAGTATGTGAAGGAGGGCAAGATTGGTGGCATTGGTCTGAGTGAAGTGGATGCGGAGACTATCCGGAGAGCGTATGTTGCAATATCTTGCTCTACTGATGGGGATTTTCTATATGCTAACTACGTGTCTAGACACAAGGTTCATCCTATTGCCGCTGTCGAGGTGGAATTGTCCCTCTGGTCAACCGACATTCTCGAGAATGACGTTGCAAAGACCTGTGCTGAGCTTAACATCCCCATCGTCGCCTACTCGCCTCTTGGCCGCGGTGTCCTGACAGGCGCAGTGACCTCGCTGGATGACATTCCCGAGGGTGACATCCGTCGACACATGTCGCGCTTCCAAGAGATAAACTTCCAGCAGAACTTGATGCTTATCAGCGAGGTCAACAGCCTGGCTTCTCGCAAGAATGTTGCTCCCTCCCAGATTGCCCTGGCTTGGATCCGCACACTCAGCAACAAGCCCGGCATGCCCACCATCATCCCCATTCCCGGCGGTACGACTGTTGACAAGCTGGTTCAGAACATGACTGGAGTGGACAAGCTCACGGATGAGGAGATGGCTGAGATTGATGCCATCTTGAAGCGGCATACGGTTGCTGGGCCGCGCTATTAAGAGAAGGACCTAATTGGATAAATAAATACTTCAGAGTTTGTTAGCCAACAGCTCTAGCTCTGAAAATCGATAGCGATTGATGTCATGAATACAATTGTATGTATTGTATATGTCAGATCAAGTGTAGAAGAGTCAACAACCAATCTCACAAAGCAAGACCCGAGAGAAATGCACGGAGATTGTCTGCATTGCAGAATTCTTCTTGTTGTTCATCATTAAGAGGAGAGGTGGTTGTGGGAAAAAGGAGGATCGAGGGAGGCGATGGCTTACCATAAGAGTATATTCGGAGAAAGTCTCCTAGACTCAATTTGAGTATGTTAGTTGAGATTCCTCCATTTTTGCCGGCAATTGGCCTGTTGTGGGGAGGAGAGGTAAAGAAGAAGAAGAGAAAACGAAACAAGAAAAGAAAACCGACTGGAGCTCGGAGTACCCTCACGTGATCTTCCATCGCCAGACCCTCGCCTTGCGACGACAACCTGCGCGACTCTCTCCACCCGATTGTTGCAGCAATTGCTAGACTCTTCCCGTCGGTGACTTGGCTATACACACACAAGGTTCCAGTCAACTACCGTCACAATGGCATCCCGTGAAGCTTCTCCCCTGTCCTCCATCGGCACCGCCGACGACTCAGATCACGACTCCGTTAAGCACGAGAGCCGCGCTCAATCGCCGTCAGCTTCGACTATGCCCCCATCAAAGCGCCGTCGCACAGGGGTAGCTTCCTGGGACCGGCACACCCCCATGTCCTCTCTTCAAGATGAAATCCCTCCTCCACCCTCACCAACAGCCTCCATCTCCTCCGATACCTCCGGTGAGATCCCGAACTCGCCTCTCCTCTTTGGTGCTGCGCTGGGCGGAAACACCCAAGAGGATGATTACAGCGGCCAGAGCGGCGATCAAGTAACCGTGTGTATGTGGGATGGATGCACGGCAGGTGACCTCGGCAATATGGATGGCTTGGTGCAACATATCCATAACGAGCATATCGGGACCCGGCAGAAGCGGTACTCGTGCGAGTGGATGGATTGCTCCCGTAAAGGTCAAACGCATGCCAGCGCATATGCCTTGCGTGCGCATATGAGGAGCCATACTCGAGAGAAGCCTTTCTACTGTACCCTACCTGGTACGTGACCGTCAACCACCTCCTGACTGGGATCTATGACCTCCTTTTTTTAGTATCTACTTTCTAACATACGTTCATAGAGTGTGACCGCAATTTCACCCGCTCGGACGCCCTCACAAAGCACATGCGTTCTGTCCATGAACTCGACAACCTGCGCCCTACCGAGGTCAAGGCCGCGGCCGTTGGCAGCGTGACCGGTACCCCAGCCTCGAAGCTCCAACGCATCCGACTCAAGCTCTCCCAGCCCGCACGAGAACCCGGCAGCGAAACAGAGCACCCCAATGAGCCCGTCTTGACGACCATCACCGCACACGATGACACCGAGGACACAAGCATGCCGGAGTTCGGGCCTGAGCTCGGCTTCGACGAACGCGAGCTCGCCATTCCTCCACGCGATCTACACCGGCTCCTGCGACGCCAGATCTTCTGGGCAGAGAAGGAGACCGCACAGCTAAAGGCCGAGTGGGACGAGCTTCGACCAAAGCGGGAACAGGCCTGGCTGGAGAAGGAAGCTATCTTTGACGATGTGATTGAAGCTGAGCTGCGGCTCTTCAGCGCAATTGTTGGTGATATCAGCGGTCCTTCAGCGGTACCTGGCAACCTGGCTACTAGTTTGGAAAAGCTCCAACACCAGCAGTTGCACTTCAAGCAGCAGCAGGAGCAATTACAGGCCAAGTCGGCGGAGGTTGCTGAAGGTGATGTCGATGCTGCTGCTTGACCTTCCTGGCTCTGACTGAGTCTCCTATTTCTTTTAATCTTTTACTTATGGCGTGATTGGCGTTAGGATAGCCTTTGATATCTGCTTCTGTTTCAAAATGGAGTGCGAAGGGAAAGCGGAACGAACATCTGTACGAATATATCCTTTATTTTCTCTCCATATCTTTCGGGGAATGTGCTTTCTAGTGAATCATTGGATCGTGGACTCTTACTTGTCAAGTTTTATCTTTCTTGGATACGATGCCAATGACCATATAATTCGCTCTATCTGTCACTTAGTGGGCATTTCCTTAATGACTGAATCAAACCGCCGCATTTCCAGTCTACACTAGAATGCTAGCACCAGATCTAGAAGAGAACTAGGAAGGAGTTGATAATTCAAGCCGAGACCTAACGGCAAGGCTCTAGCCAGTCTCGATTCAATTTGATCTAACAAGACAATGAACAAACTGTAAAAGACGACTAGTGCTCCCACCAGCTAAATGATCTTATAGAGGCTAAAATAAAAGAAGTCAATCGACGCCATGGCGGCCACTTCATAGGATACATGTGCTTGGAAAATGAGAAAAAGAAGCAACAGAAAAAGAAAAGGAAACGGCCGTGGCTCGATAACAACATCGCCTCAAACGCGCACCAGGCCATGCTTTAAATGTGAGAACAATCAGAAACCAGAAAGAAAAGAAATTAAGAGATTACTGAGGGCAGATCATGTTTAACCCGTTTCAGCAAGACCTCAGCAGAGACCGTGTCGGGGGTGGGCTGTAATTTGCCAACAGAAAGCAATGTGAGAAACAAGAAATAGGAAACAACTCCTAGGGAATTAGAAGAAACAGAGCACCAAGCACGCCATGCAAAACATCGTCTTGACGTTTGAATCATATTCAGATAGGTCAAATCGGAGATCTTCTTTTCGGGCCGTGTAAGCATTTTTGGTTCCGCGAATGGCAACCTATTCCGACGCCGTCGCAATGCCATGCAACTCCTCGCATCCATATGTACTGTACTTTTAATCAAAAAGAGAGGTCATTGACATTTCATCTGGTTGATTAACACCGGCCTACCTAGCTGAGGGAGGGAGGGAGAGGGAAAGGGAGAGAAAGGAGGGAGCTGGTGGCCCGGGTGTGCCAGAGATCGAGGGCCCGGGGGAACATGCACTTCATTTTGAGCCGGAAGGCTCATCGTGGTATCACTATCCACGAACAAAACAAGAGATAAGCCCAACTAGGTAGTTGAGCGGCCGGATCTTTCAGGATCATGACCCGTTGGAAGCCTTCTTCTCGCTCTCGGCCTTGTTGGTGGCTTCCATGACCTTGTCGAACATCAGCTGGAGTTTGGATCCGCTGGCCTCCTTGTTGGGCCAATAGTTGGCGGAAACATAGTCCCTAAATCCATGTCAGCATCTTACACCCAGCAACATCGAATGAATTGATACTTACCATAGACGTCTCTCAAGGGACGGCATGGATTCTTCCCCCTCAAGCGTGTTGCGAATGAACTTCCCAATCTTCACAATCGTGTTGCGGAGCTTAAGAGCTCGCTCATGCTTGTTGGGATAGTTCTTCGCGGTAATCATGGAGACCTGCTTGAGGTTCGGCACAATAGGCCGGAAGAACACCTTGGCCATGTCCTCCTTGCTTGAGCTGCCATTCTCGTGGCTCTTGCGGCGACGAAGGTCATCGGCAGCGTCGGAGGGACGGTGCCGAGGACGGTCACCATCCTGCCCTGACCTGTGCCGGTCATGGCTTGGAGTATGATGCCGGTCACCAGAATCACGGGTGTAGGAGCGGGGTCGTGACCGGTCAGCCTCACGGTGACCCTTGCGAGCAGAGGGAGCGGGAGACGCAGAAACACTACCACTGCCAACGCGCGATGTCCGCTTGTTGTTCCGGTGGTGGTTTTCAACTGCCCTTTTCGCGTTGACATTGCTGCCATTGCTGTGCTTGTTCCTCATGACAGAGAGCAGATATTCGGCGCGGCGGACAAGATGAACGGCCCCAGGGGATTTGGTGGTCTTCCCTTCTCCTTGAGCACGCTGAGTCTTTCGCTCCACTCGGTGTTCCTCCAGGAAGAACTTATCACCAAGGCCCAGATCGACGTCATCGCGAATCTGAGTCCAAGCACCAAATCCATGGCGTGCAATACCGACGAGAAGCATGCCATCCTCACGAGCGCCCCATGGACAGCTGTAGTCAGCCAACTTGGTAGCTTCTGGAAGACGGAAAGTCTTGAAATCGGGCAGAGCGCTTGTGATTTTGCGCACGAGTCGCATATCGGGCGGTCGGTCGACAATGGTCCAGGCATTGAGGCGCTTGACGCCGTGATGGTCAAAGAGGACAGCCTTTTGTTCTTTCTTCGTCAAGTTCTTGCCGGATTGCTTGATAGCTTCCATTTGGGCCAGATTCTCTTGAACGAGTGAGGCGGCCTTGCCTGTGATTTCACGGAGAGCCGCATAAACCGTGTCCCGGTCTCGATTTTGCAGTCGGGCATCCTCGACGATAAGCTCTTCGCAATCTGCCCAATCACCGTAACGCAGGAAGGCTCGCGAAAGAGAGCGGTATTCCTTCTCCTCGAGTGGACGTTTTGGATCAAGGGAGCTGCTATCGTCTTCATCATCTTCCATGGCGACTTGTGCCCTCGCCTGGCGCTTGGCTTGGCGCTCCCCGCGAGTCTCTTTTGATTCAGTGGGCGCGTGGCGCTTTCGGGGACGGTTTTCCTCGATGACCTCCGCGAGATATTTCTCATCAGCCTTGCGCTTCTCTTCCGCTTTGATCTCGTCAAGCTGCTCTTGCGGGATAATGTCATCCCAAGTGAGATCATCGACCTTGATGTCGACAAAGTCAAAGGCTTTCAAGAATTCTTCACCACCGTCCGCCTGGATCGACTCCTCCTGCTCAGTGTGATGCAGTTCAGCGTTGGCAAGAACGGAGTCAATATCAAGCTGCTCAAGCTTCTTCTGGTTATCAGTTTGCTCGAACATCCTCTGGCCACGACGTTTGAGGATGCGAGATATGTCTTCGGTGGAGTTGGGTTCGTTGACCACGCGAGCCATCTTGTTCTGCATCTCGGATGCTTCCTTGTCGGTCACACCACGCTGGATTGTGATGAATTCCAGCATGAGCTTGTTCCGAGCTCTCTCGATGACTTCTTCCTCAATAGTATCCTTGGATACAAGTCGGTAGACACTGACAGGTCTGGTTTGCCCAATTCGGTGAGCTCGCGCCATGGCTTGCAAGTCGGCTTGAGGGTTCCAATCGGAATCGAAGAGAACGACGGTGTCAGCGGTCATCAAGTTGATTCCAAGACCACCGGCTCTCGTGGAGAGGAGGAAAGCGAAATCGGTACTCTCCGGGGCATTGAAGTGTTCGATGGCCAGGCGACGAGCAGCAGAAGGAATGGTTCCATCGAGCCGTTGATACTTGTAGCCACGGTACTCCATGTATTCACTAAGAATATTGAGCATACCGACCATTTGGCAGAAAATGAGGACACGATGGCCGTCAGTCTTGAGCTTGCGGAGTAGTTGATCCAACAGCATCATCTTGCCACTGCTGGTGATCATGGCACGAAGGATGTCCTCTCGCCTTGTGCTACCTTCCAGAATTCTCGCCTCTGCATTGGGGAACATGAACGGGTGATTACTCGCTTTCTTCAGTTCCATCATGATGTTCAACAATGATTGTTTCACGCCTTTGGCACCATCATTCAAGGCAGCGTAGTTCTTCGTCAGAATATTCTTGTAGTATTCCAGCTGAATATCGGAAAGTTCAACACGAATGATCTTCTCCGTCTTTGGAGGAAGATCTGACTCGACCTTGGATTTGGTACGGCGCAGCATGAATGGTTGAATGGCGTTGGTTAGCTCAGCCAACTTCTGTGACGCGTGCTCCGAGTTAAGATCCATGTCAACATCCACATGGACCATGCCGGGATTGAGGAAATCCATAAGAGCAGACAGCTCGGCCAGATTGTTCTGAATGGGAGTACCCGTGATAAGAAGACGTGCCTGACACTTCCACTCGTTGAGCTTGACGTAAAGCTGCGAGTCACGGTTCTTGAGACGATGAGCTTCGTCAACACCCATGAACTGCCACTTGAACTGACCCAGGAATGGAGAGTCGTTCATGGCGTATTCGTATGTAGTGAGAAGGACATGGAACTTTGGCCGCTTGGGATTGCCATCCACCATCAACTCGTAATCGCGTAGTACAGAGCGCGCCTTCTCGCTGCCATTGTAGACAACATAATTCAAGTCCGGCGTCCAGTTATCGAAGGTGTCAGCCCATGCCGGCATGGTTGACAGCGGCACAATGACAATGAAGGGGCCTTGCTGTCGCCGAACATGGCGCATCCAGTTGATAAAAGAGACTGTCTGTACCGTTTTTCCAAGTCCCATCTCATCTGCCAGCACAACGTTGCGGTCTTTGACCCAGTTGAACGCCAAGAAATTCAGACCTTTAATCTGGAAATCCTTCAGTTCACCATTCTGCAAGAAGTCTGGCGAGGATTGAATGCGCTCAAACGGCCGGCGCGTAGCTGGGTTCGACTCGTTCTTGTCGGAAACAGGCACGCGAGCTGAGCGGTCGATGTAACGGTCGATCTCGCTCTGAGCAATATCACTGACCAGATCTTCGGCCTCCCAGGTGCATGAATCATAGAACAACCGTTTCCACTTGACGAGGTACTCGGTCGTGCCGTCCTCGCCTTCTCGGACACCGATGACGCGTTCAACGTGTTTGTAGTCTTCAATGGCCTCAACGTCTCGTTCCCGATCGAGGTTCCACTTCTCTCGGTCCTCTGGAGGTGCGTCAGGGTCATGGAGCAGGCGAAGCTCCTCATTGAGCACCTTGCGGACATAGTTGTCCACGCGACGCGTGCTGCGATAGTTGGCGAGGGACTCGTTTGATTCCCAGGTGGCATGAACGTGAGACTTGTCCTGCCACTTAATGTAGAACTCGAAGTCTTGGCGATCGACATCTGGGTTTTTAGGATCCACGCCTTCCTTTAGCCGATGGTTCAGAACGACATCAACTGCAGGGCGGGTGTCCTCCACGTAGCTCTGCGCCCAGTAGTTATCCATGACTTCATCTGCATCTTCCTCAAAGATCCCGTCATCTTCATCTTCATTGTAATTGGACACCTTCGAGGCGTTTCGCGTGGAGAAGCGGACTTCAGCAAAAGAGGGTTCTGTGGCTGTAGCCTGCTTTAGACGACGCCGTCGTGCCTTGTTTGCGCGGGCGCCCTTTCCACCATATTCGTCACTATCAGTTTCAGAGAAGGACGAATTTGTGGCCGACCGCGAGGTCTTGGAGGGTTGTTGGGACGGCTCCTTGCGGCGGCGCTTAGAGCGAGGCGCGACTACATCGGAATCGGAATCAGACGAGTCGACAAGATGACGGGTTTGGCGCGCGCGACCACTGCGACGGAGGCCATACAGATCGGGGTTTTGGCGCATGAACTCGACCTCATCTGGCGGCGACGATTTTCGCTTGACGCCGCGGTCTGGTTCTTGTGCTGAAGAATTTTCACGGCTAGACTGGCCGAACTCATCACCACTGTTTTCCATCACAACATCTTCATCTTCTCCATCTGAAGCTTGTGACTCGGCCTCGTATGAGTCGTCTGCGGCTTCGGCTTCGGACGATGACTCGGAGACGGGATGCGACTCGAGGAGTTCGGACGGATTGGGTTCGCTTTTGGTGGTGATATCGAACTCGGCCGGTGCGTCTTCATCCGCCGTGGAATGCGAGTAGCCATTTGGCACTGTTGAGGAAGTAAGAGGTCCTTGACCCGATGGGATCACCATGCTGGAGGCTATGACGAGAGGGGCAGTCAGCATTGAAGCTCAATTCCGTGAGGGAGACACGCCAAAGAGACGGGAGACGGTAGAGAAATGATGCGCGACTCAGACCGCAGAGCAATTGAGCTTGATATCGGTGGAGTCAGGTAGCATATACAGATTGATGAAGATCGATGGTTTTTTGATAACGGGGTGGGATGGGCATGAGCAGGACTGAGGAGGCAGCCACGAGGAGATTGAATCCGACAACCCACTCTCAGAGAACTATCCCATCCGACGTGCGTCAACCGAGTCAAAAAACGCCCTCGATCCCGAGAGACAATAGTGAAATCGGGGATTCTGACAGTGGGTCGAGCAACGCGGAGAAGTACGCGGGCAACCCGGTCAAGCAATACAACCGCGCTTTGAGGGAAAGCATATAAAAATCACTTACACTCCATAGCGTGGTGACCCCGCAAGAGGGGAGACTAGCGTATCAACGTGGGAAAGAAAATGGTGGGTGGGAAGCTGCGATGACGGCGAGCGGGTGTGGAAGGTAACGACGAGTGAGGGAGAAGAGTTGGGGGAGGTTTGATTCGGTTTGGTTTGGTTTGCAGAACGATCGGCTCGGCGGCCTCGGCCCTCAGGCAGCAAGCCTCGTCTTCTTTGGTACTAGCGCCTTCGCTTCTTGACCAGCTGGCAGTCCCGTGACCGTCCCGAGTCACGTTGTCGGACCAGCTCGAGTTGAACCCGGAGGAACCTTTCTTCCACTCCGAAATGCCCCACCAATCAGCGTCATGCGAAATAATGCGCCCATTCAGGGCGGTCGATGCGTAGCTGGCCTCAGGCAGCCCAGCCCACAATAAGAAAGGAAGCGTTCAATTCTGCCCCTCTCGTCGTCGCGATTGTCCTGTCATTCACACGTCAGTTCGAGCCTGCGCAGTAACTTGGTGCTACTTTGCGCCCAACTCTCTTGTCTGCGCCGGTTTTCTCCGCCCGACCTGACGGCTCTTGCACGCGACAACCTTCGCTGTCAAACTCTTGATACCCGCCTTTGATACCTGATTGTGGTTTTTCAAAACCCAAAGCCGCCACCATGTCCGACAAGCTTACTCGGTACGTTTGGATAGCTTCGTCAAAGAAAATGTGCGCCATGCTAACCGTGATCTTGTCTCTAGTATTGCCATTGTCAACAGTGACAAGGTTCGTCTCCAACTACCCCGCTAACTGCATTTCTCGCGCTTCGAATCCTCTCGTTCATGACCGGCTTACCTGAAACGTCCTCGATATACAGTGCAAACCGAAGGTATGAATCTGGATAACTAAACGGAAGTTGGTTCCAATGGCTGATTTGGTCTGCTCTAGAAATGTCGTCAGGAGTGCAAGAAGTCTTGCCCTGTGGTCCGCACGGGTAAGCTTTGCATTGAAGTGACCAACGAGTCGAAGATCGCCTTCATCTCCGAGAGCCTTTGCATCGGTTGTGGTATCTGCCCCAAGAAGTGTCCTTTCGGTGCCATCAACATTATCAACCTGCCCACCAACCTCGAGAGCCAGGTCACCCACCGTTACTCCGCCAACAGCTTCAAGCTTCACCGTCTGCCCATGCCCCGCCCCGGCCAGGTCCTCGGTCTCGTCGGAACCAACGGTATCGGCAAGAGTACCGCGTTGAAGATTCTGAGTGGCAAGCTCAAGCCTAACTTGGGCCGCTACGACAACCCTCCTGACTGGGAGGAGATTCTGAAGTACTTCCGTGGTTCCGAGCTGCAGAGTGCGTGAAACTAAACAAATGTGATCAATGAAAGGCCATGACTGACCAAACAACTAGACTACTTCACCAAGGTCTTGGAGGATAACCTGAAGGCTGTTGTCAAGCCTCAGTATGTCGATCAGATTCCCCGCGCTGTCAAGGGCCCCGTTCAGGGTGTCAAGGACATCATCAAGGCCCGTGTCCAGCTGGACAACATGAAGGAGATCATGGATGTGCTCGGTATGGATTTCGAGTTCCCTCTGCTTTAGAGCGTCAACTAATCCAAAAATTTTAGAGCTGAACCAGGTTGCGGACCGTGACATTGGCCACCTTTCCGGTGGTGAGCTGCAGCGTTTCGCTATTGGTCTTGTTTGTGTCCAGAAGGCTGATGTGTAAGTTTACGAGAACCCCCAGTTGTGCTTATGACCGCCCCCTTACCGAAATTATAGGTACATGTTTGACGAGCCCTCGTCTTATCTCGATGTCAAGCAGCGTCTGGCTGCTGCCCGTACCATCCGTGGCCTCCTCCGTCCTGATGATTACGTCATTGTCGTTGAGCACGATCTTTCGGTCCTCGATTATCTTTCCGATTTCATTTGCGTTCTCTACGGTCGTCCTGCTGTCTATGGTGTCGTTACTCTGCCTTCTTCCGTTCGTGAGGGTATCAACATCTTCCTCGACGGTCACATCCCCACTGAGAACCTGCGTTTCCGTGAGGAGTCCCTGACTTTCCGCCTGGCCGAGGCTGGTGACGATTTCATTGCCGACAAGGCCCACGCATATGGTTATCCTGCCATGGAGAAGACTCTCGGCAACTTCCACCTCAGCATCGAGGCTGGCCAGTTCACCGACTCTGAGATTATCGTCATGATGGGTGAGAACGGAACCGGAAAGACCACCTTCTGTAAGATGCTGGCTGGTGCCGAGAAGCCCGACGGTAACCGCTCGGTTCCCAAGATGAACATCAGCATGAAGCCCCAGAAGATCACTCCCAAGTTCCAGGGTACCGTGCGCCAGCTCTTCTTCAAGCGTATCAAGGCTGCTTTCCTTTCCCCGCAGTTCCAGACCGATGTCTACAAGCCGCTCAAGCTCGATGACTTCATTGACCAGGAGGTTCAGAACCTGTCTGGTGGTGAGTTGCAGCGTGTTGCCATCGTCCTTGCCCTTGGTATCCCCGCCGATATCTACCTGATTGACGAGCCCAGTGCCTACCTGGACTCCGAGCAGCGTATTGTTGCTGCCCGTGTCATCAAGCGTTTCATTATGCACACCAAGAAGACTGCTTTCATCGTCGAGCACGATTTCATCATGGCTACCTACCTGGCTGACCGCGTTATTGTCTTCGACGGACAGCCCTCCGTGGACGCTCACGCCAACACTCCCGAGTCTCTGGTTACTGGCTGCAACAAGTTTTTGAAGAATCTGGATGTCACTTTCCGTCGTGACCCCAACAGCTACCGTCCCCGTATCAACAAGTACAACAGTCAGATGGATCAGGAGCAGAAGTTGGCCGGCAACTTCTACTTCCTGGAGGAAGAGAACTGAAGAGGGCATCCCTCACAAGCACCAACGCCGGCATCACGATGGTGATGGCCGCGATTCTGAGCAGCGGCGCAACTGGCGACGCAGCAACAGAAGAGTCAGTTGGCGAATGGCGTTTCCCGGTCTTTGCAGGACCTTGACGGGGCTGGGTAGAAAGCTCCGTCGCCCGGTCAGGGTTTCCACTGGGAATGGAGAGGATTTTTTGAATGTCGAAGACGACGATGATGGATGATGGAGGGTTGGATGTGAACGAGAACATTGGTTAGGAGACAGTGGCATGTTCCGTTAGTCTTCGCTCCACTGTACTTCTCCGCATCCCGAGATCATCCATCATTTCACCTCGTCATCATCTGTCCGCCCTTTCTCCGTTTTCATGGCTCTGGGGATTTCGGTTTAGGTCCGAAGTTTCTGGCGTTTAGACGGGAACACCAGCCATCTGATCTCGCCCAACACTTTTTCTTTACGATAACATGGTCGGGGGACTTTTTTGATTGGCATGGTTGTTTTCATCGGAGTTAATTCTTTTGTATTCTGGGCTGAGGGTTCGGTTACCAAAAAGCTTTCTATGACTTGATGATTGATAGAGGTGGATATCTTCTTGGGTTGTGGTTGAAGGCCAAGTAGGAGGGAAGATGGTCATTGTTGAATAGCTGGGGTTTTTCTTGCATCTGGTCGATCCATCATGTACATGGTTTTCAGACCTGCTAGTATTTTTTGCAAATTGTTATTGTTATCTTTCCTCGAAAAACGATCCCCCAGTCATCATTTTGTAAGCTGATGCCATCCATGGATGTCTCTACTTCACCCTAGTGGCGTTAGGAAGCTCACCTAAGGTTGGCTAGACTTAGATACCTTTCTTAAGACACTGGAGGTCGGCCAGATTCTAGGAGACATTCCCGTTTTCAATCAGGCTGCAACAAAGAGGACTCTCACTACCTACCTAGTCTGGATAATTAGTTAGGTACTGGTCATTTTGAACGCGACGTTCAGGTTTTGCCAGAATTGAGGTTGGAGGTTGTTACCAAGAGGCAGCGGATCCCGCCCCTAGATATATATCCTGCATCATTATTTCCACGAATGAACCACCGAGACAATAGAATCTCTAGTAGCCTGCCCCATAATCGCCTATCAGGCGAAACAGGACGGGGATTCTGAGGAAATATAGAAAGTAATCTGGACTTCTTCACAATCAAAGGATGTGCATCCTGATCGCCCGCACCACCTCAGAGACCTAGCCGGGTCGGGGCGACCAGGTGAATTCTAGGTTCCAGTCTGACAAGCTGTCAGATAGAATCTCACTTCCCTGGTAGGTATAGGTGGGACTTTATCATTGCAGGTATTCCAATAGCGTGACTCAACAATATGTCTCTCCTCGCATTGTACCTCTTAATCATGTGATTCCATGCAGCCGCTTCAGGTCCATGCACTGATCCAGAGGAACAAAGGGATGCGTCTCTTATGAGGAGACATTCCGCGATCCAAACCAAAGTGTATCAATGAACTATATGTTTGATCGCTGTCATGAGCGTATTGGCTAAAAAACAGGCTACCGAACTGTACTTGCTTCGAACTCTTTTGCCGATGCTTTACTAATATGGTCTGTAGCCATAAAGCGATGATAGGCTACCTATCATTGATCGATGCCTCGAAATGTGTCGAAATCTTGTGGAAAGAGCTAGAATTACAAGATTGCTTTCCCGACGAATCGATCAAAAAGTACGAGCGGGTATTGGAGTCAAAATGGACATGCGTCACCAAGCTCAACGCTCAGGTGAATTGAAAATACCACGACAGTGACAAGATATCTATACTGACCCGCTCTCATCAGATCGCGAAGCTGGTAGTAGAAAAGGCCCGTCTAGAGTCAGAGCTATTATCCCCTTCAACAGCTATCACAAGACCAACTCAAGATCCAAACAAATGGCTTCCAAGCACTCCAACTTATACCTTGGAGTCCCACCGAGAAGCCATCACGTGCATCGCTTTCCATCCAGTCCACTCATCCCTAGCATCCGGATCAGAAGACTGCACTATCAAAATCTGGGACTGGGAATTCGGCGAACTCGAAAGAACACTCAAGGGCCATTCACAAACCGTGACAGACCTCGACTTCGGTGGCCAAAAGGACAAAATACTACTTGCATCGAGCTCAGATGACTTGAAAATCAAAATCTGGGACCCCAGCAACGACTACGCCAATATTCGAACTCTTGCAGGCCATGATCTACCCGTTACATCTGTACGATTTCTGAAATTTGGTGAGAATCGTCTCGTCTCAGCTAGTCGAGATGCATCGATTCGGATATGGAATGTGACAATGGGATACTGCATCAAGACGATATACTCGCACGGCGATTGGATATATGGTCTTTCGCCCTCTGTAAATGGGGAATTGCTGGTTACGGGTGGTCGGGATCAAGCTGCGACCATCTGGGATGTTGCATCTGGTCAGGCTAAAGCACTTGTACGCGGTCATGATCATCATATCGAATGTTGTGCTTTTGCGCCAGCAGCGAGTTATCAATCCTTGGCTGCAATGAGTGGAGTGAAAGTCAGCTCATCACCTGGAAAAAATACGGATGCAGAATTTGTGGCTACAGGTGGTCGGGATAAGACCGTGAAACTGTGGAATATCAGAGGCAGGTTGATCAAGACTTTGGTTGGCCATGATAGCTGGGTTCAAGATCTTGTTTTTCATCCGGGCGGGAGGTACTTGCTCAGCGTGGGTGATGATTGTACTGTTCGGTGTTGGGATTTATCCCAGGATGCAAGATTGGTAATGACGGATGAGCAGACGCATAGGAGGTTTGTTAGTTGCATTCGTTGGGTTCCCAATCTGGAAGCTCAAGACGGAGCTGCAACGGGGTTGCGGTGTGTGGTTGCTACGGGAGGTAGAGACTCTTGTGTACGAATATTCAAATGAAATGGATGGTTTGATGATGGCGTAATTAGATTGAGATCGTATTTCACATTGAAGACTGCAGCATGGAATGTGGTCTACTGTTCTTCTGCTCCATTCGTGGAAAAAGGTAAAGCCCGCCTTTTAATTTCCTACAAATAATTTCAAACTAAGTAACACACGCAATCAAACTCGAGAAATAGTACAAAAAATCAGCGATAAACGAGCGCCCATCTACCCTTCTGCCTCTGACCCACTAGCTCTAAAGACTAATGAAAATCGAGATATCTAGCAGCTAGCCGGGCTAGGAACGTTCTGGCAGCTGCCATAGGTCTTACCACCAGTGACCTTGACGTTACTCCAGGTCCAGCCAGAGCAGGCACCACTGCCGCAGACGATGGCAATGTCATAGCCGCTGGAGGCGACAGCACCGGTGCCGGAAATGCCGGAGATAGTAAGGCCGGTGATGGGGACACCGCTGGTCGGGGAACCCTTAAGGTCACCGCCCTTGTAGTTCTGCTCGATCAGGATACCGTACCTATCGATAATTGTTAGTTCGATGATTCAATAGGAGTAGGTCGTGGCGTTGTGTAGCTTACTTGGCGATAGAGGACAGCGTGATGCCAGAGTAGGTAACGCCCTTGATGGTACCGGTGGTGCCCTCGGTAGCCTTGACACGGATACCTAGAAACCTCGTTAGATCTGGAGTCGACGCCTACGCGTAATAGCAGTGATAAGGGGTGCTTACCATTGTCAGACTTGGTGACAGTAGAGTCCTTGAAGGTAACGTTGTCAACGGTGTTGTCCGAGCGGCCGCCAACACTGCCAATGGACAGACCGTGACCACCAGAGCAGTAACCACCGCTGAAGGTGATGTCCTAGCGATGTAGTTAGAAATTACACGCCCAAAAAGTTCTTCTCTCGCCAGGTCTTGTCTTACAGTTCCAGAGTTGACAGCAACACAATCGTCCTGGTTGTACACGGTAGCACCGTTAATAACAACGTTGGAACTGCTACCGATATCGAAACCATCGGTATTGTGGCCGCCTGCGGAGTCACCGGCCTTGTTGTCGATTGTCATGCTATTGATGGTCAATCCATCGCAGCCATTGATACTGACGGCCTGAACGGGGGTGTTCTCGATGTAAAGGTTGTTGATAACGGACGCGCCGGTCAAACTGTGGGCAGCGAAGAACTTAGGCTTGGTCTTGCCACCGTTACCTCCCTGGCCATCCCACCAGCGCGCACCGTCGGGGTTGAGCTTCGCGCCGCTTGCACCGGTGACAGTGATATCCTTGCCCTGGATCTGTAGCATAGGACCTGTCCACTCCTTGTAGCCCCAAGTAGTGGTACCTTCAAAGATAACCTAAAGCGAATACAATGAGTCCATGTGCTAATAAAGGAGATATTGGAGTATCAAAAGATCTTACATGGGTTCCATCATTCAGGTTGCTCAGGTCCAATGGGACACCCGAGGGGACGGCCACGTTGGAGAGAACAATAGTCGCGCAGGACTTCTGAGAAGCGCTGGCAGAAGCAGCACCATTGGAGCCGGAGAAGGTACAGGTGGCACGCTTCTCAAGACTGGGAGCAGCGGTGATGGCCGGCTCCGCAACAGGCGTGGCCGCCGCGCAAGCTGCCAGAGCTGCGATAGCGAGATAGTTGACAATTTGAGGCATGCTGATGGTGTGAAGTCGATTTCCAGAATCTTTTCTTGATGTTCAAAGCCTTGATTGAGTTCTTGACACTCTCCACCGACGAAAGAGCTCCCTTTTATATGAGCTCCTCAGCTCCATAGGTAGAAACAAGCTAAATGATGCTTCGGACGTTATTCCTGAACAGGATCAGAAAGGGTCCAACATAGTGCTGCATGCTCAAATGCCTTCCAATCGGCAGTTTTCCCATCGTCATGCTCATCCTGGCAAACGGGGTTCTTCTCCGCACTTTGTCGAGGATTAATCACTCCGTGGGGCGCATTATGACGGAGAAATCGACGGCAGAGAAAAGGGGTCTCATGCCTTGGAGACCAGGATGTTTGGTTCATCAGCCTGAACATTCTAGGTTAGCGCAGGGACTCTTCAGGACTTATACGTTTCACCATACCCTTACAGGGCAGGAACCGGGGTTTCCAAGGTTGAAAATAAGATTTGGGCCTCCACATCCGAGGAGTCTAGTCTCGGAATTATTCTGCACAGGAGGACGATGGCGTGGGGACGGTCCACCTGGTTGGTTTCTACAAGGCGGAGATCTTTGCCTCCGGAGTATATTATTCCGTCTGAAACTGCTAGTCCGTAGTCGTATACAGACAACTCCCACATCCGATATCCGGCCACTTTGACTGTGATTTATGTTGTTTGTGAACACGCAGGATACTTGTGCACAGAAGTGCCATGGGATGGAAGAAAGTCAATGGACCCCGATGAATGGACAGGGCAATACTTGTTGATTTGAACTGTACTGGACCATATCCAAGGGGAAAATGTCCAACTAGTCTGTCGATATACACACTACCCAATTCAATCCTCCTCAATCTCTCCCTCCTCGCTGCCAGAGTGAATAGCCTTCTCATCCTTCTTGCTCTGCTCTTCTGGGATCGCAGAGCGTTCCCGCCCACTGCGTCGAGGACCCTTGCTACGATCCCGCTCACGGCTATCACGGCGATATCGCTTCGTTGACCGACTCGCCACACTCTCAGAGTCACTCTCCCGACGGCGACGACGATCTGTACTGGCCGTGCTGCGAGTTTCACCGTAATCGAGCTCGTCGCGACCACCACGGGGATCTCCACGAGTGCGATACAGGCGCTCGCGTTCGTCTTCTCGTCGGTCGCCAGGACGGCGCTCAAAATCACGGTCTCCTCGATCACGTTCACGTTCACGGTAACGCTCGCGTTCGCGGTCTCCTCTATCACGCTCACGATCCTCACGGCGCTCACGAGAGGGGGAGAATGCGCTGACCTTGCGGTAGGATCGTTCACGGTCCGCCTGGGCTTTGCGGCGGTCGGCCTCGTACGCATCGGCCTCGGGAGTACGGCTGACTCGACTGCCACCACGTCGCTCACCACGGCTGCTGCGGTAGTCGCGATCACCGCGGTCATAATCGCGACGGCGGCTGTGGTCGCGGTCGCGGTCACGATCACGATCACGGAGATCACGGTCCTTCTCGTCTTCCTCCTTCTCCTTAAGACGGCGAATGACCTTCTCGAACGCGGACTCACGCAGTTCATCAGATTCCACAGCCTTGTACTCTTCGTACTTCTCGAGGCGGGATTTGACCTCGTCCCAGGTATCTGCCAGACGCACAGGGGGCTCCAGACGCTTAATCCGAGAGCGAAGTGCATCAACTGCGCGGCGTTGGTGTCGATCTGCTGCATGTTTCTCCTCCTCATCACGGCGGACGGCCTTCTCTTGAATGCGCTGGAAGAGAAGACTCAAGATATCGGAATCAATCTTAGAAGTGCGTCGATCAGAAAGCATGATCTCGGTGAATTCCTCAAGCGTAGTCTTGGCAGTAACCTCGTAGTGTTTGTCCTAAAGGCTTATGAGTATCTGAAGAATAATTTCAACTTTGGGTAAACTTACGTCAAGGACGTCCAGAACGTCATTACGAGGGCCACGCAGAGAACGCTCCTCTTCCTCAACCATATCCCAGAAGAGATCAAGAGGGGTTGATCCAGACTGGCCGAGGATTGCCTGGTACCGGGAGTCATCTTGGATTATGGGACGAATGTCCATCCATTTGCTGCCCGCCTTGATTTTCCCCTGGGACTTGAGCTCCTTCAACAGCTCCAAGTATCCTTCACGGTTACGGCGATCCTTTCGGGCCCTGACTGCCTTTTGCTGTTGGCGAGCGTCATTAAACGCACGCTCCAAAGTCTTGATGTGGTTTTCAAAAGCAGTCAGAATGTCAGACTTGGTCAGTGTCTTGAACTTATCATCAGCTTTGACTTTATCGTTGGATTCAATGACCGCTTCAGCCTCCGACCAGCGCGTATATGGCTCAAGGTTGAGAGAGTTGAGAATGTTCACGAGCTCGTCCATAGCCGCCTTGCGCGTTGCGGACTCTTGTTCAGCGTGTGCTTTCTTGAGCTCAACGACGTACTCCTCGAAGAGTTGGCGCCGTTCATTCTCATCGTCGGTAGCTCGGAAAGTCGTCTCGCCCTCGATAATGGGCCGGATAGTCTTCCAACGACTGTAGTGTTTGATTTCAGGATGCCGCTTCAGCATGGTATTGAAATCTGCGCGGAGCTTAGCGAATCGTTCTTTCGCCCGGTCCTTCTCCTGCATGCGAACCTCGGCCGCGTATTTCTCAAAAGCTGTCTTGCGATCAATCGGATTCTTCAGAGCACGATACTGGGGATCTTTAATAGTCGCGCGCATCGTCTGCTCCCAGGACCACTCGGGCTGAACGTTATTTCGCTTGAGCATTTTCATGAAGGCACTTTCTGCCTCTTCAAGGGAGCCATACTCGGGGTCGGCCTGTGTGGCCAAAGCTGAGGCGGCTGCCATTCCGCTTGGATCATAGGAACCGTATCCTCCACGACGGTCGCCATATCCCCGGTCATAGTCGTCGCGGTCACGGTCACGGTCACGGTCACGGTCACGATCGCGATCACGGTCGCGGTAGTCACGGTCTCGGTGGTCTCGGTCTCGGTCTCGTTCACGCTCACGATGTGGGTGTTGCGCGAAACCACCTGCAACGAAAGCGGGGGCGCTACAAGATGTTAGTTCTGAAATTTCTAGATAGGTAGTCAATTTCACTTACGCAACAGGAGGAGCCGGCGCTGCGGGCACTGGGGCAGCTGGAGCCTGTGCGAGCGCATTCTTGTAAACCTCAGGGATCTCCCACGTGCTCGCCTTGGTCTCCGTGTTGTACCAGTATTTGCGCCCTCCTTCTGCCGTATATTCCTTCCACGGTTGATTGGAAAGGGCACGCTAAAGAATCACCGGAGTATTGTTAGTTTAGTTCAAAGTTGTGCTTGATTGTAGTTGGGAACAAACCTCCACGGGGGTCATCAGCTCAATTGGCTTTGCCCATTGCGTCACTTTGGTCTGCACATTGTAATAGTAGACCCTTCCTTCAGCATTTCGGGCTTCCTGCCATAGGACAGGAGCACCCGGCTGGCCAGGCATTGGATTCATGATGCTTGTTGAAGGGTGAAGAGTCGACAAGATGAAAAAGAGATCCGCGTGGAATTAAGCTCAGGTGTTTGTGCTGTTTGCACCGATCAGCTTATCAGGGCACTGGTCCTATCTCCTTATTGCCCGCAGACACGCCAAACGCGGGAATCCGTTGACAACTGTTGCATGCGACAATCTCTGTCGCAATGCCTGGCCTGGAAATCCCGGGCGAGTTCCTACGACATGCTGTACTCGATACAGTGGTGCCTCATGCTCCGGCAATCGATATTGAAGGGTCATTGACCTCGGCCCTGGAGGACGGAGCAGACGATCTACCCTCAGTACTTTCCTCTATTCCCCAAAGGTCCCTTCTATTTTTCGGTACGCAAGAGGTTCTGTGCTTCCATTTGCGATCCCGGATTGATTGACTAATAGTATTCCAGACGAGTCTCTTCCCGTCCGCGTTGTCCTGCGCCTCTCCGATTGCACAGATACCATTTTGAAGCATAATTTACCCCGTCTCGAAATTCGATTAGATGTATTCGCAGTCGACCCTGCAGAGACCGTGGCGGAGAATCCGACTCCAGCTAGAGATATCATTTTCTCCGGAGTTGTGGACACAAGGGAGGAACCATTGGTGATCTTCAATGAGTTCGAAGGCGAAGATGGGACAGGCAACCATGTCTACCTCATATGGAGCATGGAGACATTCCTTAGTGCGTTCGCGATATGAAGATGCAGGAAACCTCATATGCTAATATTCCTCAGAGCGCCCTCGAAACCGTATCCCGAACCCATCCCTCCTGTTCATCGCCTCCGCGAGCCTAAATCCTTCGGAATCAAGCCGACAGGAAGACCCTGAAGACGACTACCTACCTCCACTCGTCCCTGCGTCGACGAACATGTTCCAGCCCTTGTCTGGAGACAAAGCCCTCGCCCATAAAGAGCCCTTCCTTCCAGCATCAAGGTTGTTGCGGGTCGTGCCTACAACATATCAGGAGGACCCCATTTACAACGTCCAGCAGCAACATGGTCACCCCTTTCGCGTGGTTCCTGCAGCCAGTGCCAGGATTCGCTACTCACGATTGAATTCCTACACTGGTCTTCCCACTACAGTTGCCAGTCTGGACTTCGAAGTGACACCATTTTTGATGTGTGAGGTCTGTTTTGATAAGGCGGATGTAAAGTTGTCCGAGGGCACGCTTGAGCCTCTGTCGGCCGTACAAGGACTTGAGCTCCCAATAAGCTGCCGGCCTCGAGACGATGTGACCCTAATGTACAAACTTACACCCGAATATGGTCCCGAGACCAACCCATCATCGACTGCCATGATGAGCATGCTGGACATCTCGCTAGGAGCAGTCATTCTCCTATCCGACGATTGCAAGCCTCGCATCACAATGCAATGGCGAACCAATGTCGATTTCTCGTTGCCCCTTAACCCAACATTTGGCGGTCCCAGCCAGGCATTACAGAGAAGCAACCGCCCTACAAGTCTAGCCATGCCTCAGGGCTTTTCTCAAACAGGACCGAACCCTAACAATCGGTCCTCCCTGCGAGAGCGAGCTTATTCAGTTACTGACGTGGGAGTCACCATCTCATTCTCTGGTCCTTCCCGTGTGCAGGTTGGATCGCCATTCTCTTGGGACGTCTTCATTGTCAACCGCTCCAACATCCCACGTAAATTTGCCCTGATTGCGATTCCCCGACGGAAACGTGTGGATCCGAGGGGCCATATGGCTCGCCCCTCGTCATCATCCATCTCGAGCCGGAAGGAGGATCATGTAGCGGAGGCTGTCACAGATGACAATATCGTGCACGCGATGCAGAAGAGTGTTGCTGGCCAGGAGGCTGAACTTATCAGTTTGAGCACTGACATCCGTGTCGGGTGAGTTCTATTAACCTGCTCTTGATATCATATATCATTGATGATCGACTTCCAACTAACACCCTCGATTAGGCCCCTCTTGCCTGGAACGTGTCACTCAACCGAACTCAAGCTCCTACCCCTTGCGACTGGTCCCCTTCAGTTGGAAGCGGTACGCCTCGTGGATGTGAATACGAATGAAACGACCGATATTCGAGACCTGCCAGACATTCTAGCCGATGACCAGCCTCGAGTATCTGCATGACTGTATTGAGCGTGGCATAAAATATGTTTGTATGTTTGTATGTATGTATAGTGAGTACGATATGCTGTAATTCAATCAGTTCAGGTTGAAGAACCAAAAATCCATGAGCCGGTGTCTAAAAAAAGAACGAAACAAAATGTAAGATGTACAACCCTATAGTAGACAGATGATAGGGTGGAAGTTAACCGCGCAAGGCTGAGTCCGCCCGAACGTCACCGCCCCCGAAGACTCCGTTGTCTGCCGCAGCCCGTGACTTCGGCCCCATTCCCGTTAGTCATGAACCTCTCCCGTCCAGCCATAGCGGAGTCAAGATTGCCCACTTTCAATCTGGGGTAGACCTCGATCTTCACTAGATATATTTCCGTCCGCGCCTCTTCCATCGGCATTTCCAGGGGTATTCCGACACTTAAGGCTAGCGGGCGGTCCAGGTTCAACATCGTTTCAGGTTCTCACTTGAAGTTTGCGTCATACATACGCGAGATAGCACCTCCCCGGCGGAATTGTTGCCTTCAACCCCATCCATCATAAACCGGTTCCAACTCCGCCCTCCGTCGCCATGATTACCTCTGCAAAGCGGAAAGTCCTCGATGGACTGAATAGAAGATATATCTACGGTCGCGTGGTTGGTTTTCTCTCGCTATCTTGTTGCTTGTGTGTCCTCTTCCAAGACGCCCGCGCTGACCCGCTCCGTTAATGATAGCCACTCCTGCACACGATCATATTCCTCATCGAGATGGCTGTTGCTACGCGGATTGCCACGAAATTCAACTCTTACTATGCTGAGAAGCCAGGTAAGGCGTCAACCCCCCGTGGGGTCCTGAGGGTATGTACGTTGAGTGCTAACCAATTTTTTACGATAGTTCTCACGACGATGGTCACCAACGCTGTAAGCCCGCCCTGTTCCTGAGATACCCACGATACTCTATGATTGGATCCGACGATTGACGGTGGATGGTTCATATAGGTGCTTGGTGGCGTCGCCGATACCGTTGCACAGTTGATTACCGCCTTCCGGTCTCGAAATGCTCAACGGTCCCACGAGAACGACTTCATTTCGATAGAAATTCCCGATTTCGATAAGGGAAGGCCACCTGTGATCGGAGAGATTGGGGCTGGAACATACTCCCCGGCGCCATTCGACTTTGAGCGTGTCACGAGGTTCATGGCATACGGTTTCTTCATGGCTCCAGTCCAATTCCAGTGGTTTGGCTTCTTGTCTCGGGCATTCCCTCTCACCAAGGTGAACCCTAGTGTTCCGGTGTTCAAGCGTGTTGCCTTTGACCAGTTGATCTTTGCGCCTTTTGGTATGGATTTGTCTGTCGGCCGCCCCAGTCGAATTTCGAACTGACACTGCCTTCTCTAGGTCTGGCGTGCTTCTTTACCTTCATGACCATTGCAGAAGGAGGCGGCAAGAGAGCTTTGACCCAGAAGTTCCGGGATGTATACTTGCCGACGTTGAAGGCCAACTTTGTACTTTGGCCGGCAGTACAGATTCTCAACTTCCGAGTCATTCCCATTCAATTCCAAATTGTGAGCTTCCAAACTCCCTCTTCAGTCTCTTCGACTGTTTCCCAGTACTGACAATCCAAACCAGCCTTTTGTTTCGTCTATTGGTATTGCGTGGACCGCATACCTCTCACTCACTAACTCCGCTGAGGAGTCTTGAGTACGCTCATGACAGCGAATATCACGTTAATGATTTGCCCTGCCACCATAATTGTCTTTGCTCGCTGTCTATCTGTCTAGGCGTTCTGGTCTCGGTTGGTCATCGTTTCTGGCTTTGTGTACAGGGGATATCACGTTTCGCGAGGAGGAAGGACATGGTTGCATTCAAAAAGGACACTGGGTTTGTTTTTGCGCATTGGGAGTATTCATTTACAGTACTTTCTTTCGTTTGTCGTTGTCGGCGGGTGTTTGGAAATCACCAAACGAGGTCTTCTTAGGGATATATTGACGTGTTTAATCCTTCGGCTTTGCAACGAAGCTCTCGTTTTTCACAAGTGGAACTGATTGTATCACAACACCCGCGGTCATCAGCGTAGCGGCTATGGACAATTCCAGCCCAGCCAATTAGAATCCGAGTAGAGCACCATTGTCTAGCGATATCCCCAGAATCCCCCGACTCCGAGGCTATCGAGGACCCCAGGACGCCCGGACTGTTCCGTGTTGACGGGGAGCTCTGACATCAGTCCCGCATCAGCCCGATCTATGTGCCCGGAGGATGTCGGGTTACCTAAAATCAAAGTAGAGTGAGCTATAGGAGTACCTAGAAGCTGTACGAAAACAGTATAACGTTCAAGTCACTTGAAGCACTCGAAGACATCATCGGAACGTACCCCGTTGTTACCCAGCTCAATGCGGCAGTCGCCCTCTTCACCGGCGAGCCCCACCACGTCCCTCCACGAGCCCCTCCATCCTTCTTGTCGCGACTCACCGTGGCCTGATTAAGACTCCTGATTCTCTTTGTCTGTATTTCCCCCTCCTTCTCTCTAGCTCTGTCTCTGCTTCGCATCAACCGTCTTCAATTGTCGAGGTACTGCTGCGTGAACCATTCTTGAGAGCTGGAGAACACCCCCGCTGACATCACAGACACAGAATCCTGCCGACAATGTCTCTCTCTAACAAGCTCAACATCACCGATGTCGACCTCAAGGATAAGCGTGTCCTGATCCGGGTATGTTAAAATATGCTAATCCCTTTGTCATGGATGTCAATGGCTCATTTTACCCCGCCATAGGTCGACTTCAACGTCCCTCTCGATGCGGACAAGAACATTACCAACAACCAGCGCATTGTCGGTGCTCTGCCCACCATCAAGTATGCCATTGACAACGGCGCTAAGGCCGTCATCTTGATGTCCCACCTTGGCCGCCCCGACGGCAAGGTCAACGCCAAGTACAGCCTCAAGCCCGTCGTTGCTGAGCTCTCCAAGCTCCTGGGCGGCAAGGACGTCATCTTCACTGAGGACTGTGTTGGTCCCAAGGTTGAGGAGACCGTTAACAAGGCTACCGGTGGCCAAGTCATCCTCCTGGAGAACCTGCGCTTCCACGCCGAGGAGGAGGGTTCCTCCAAGGATGCCGAGGGCAACAAGGTCAAGGCCGACAAGGAGAAGGTTGCTGAGTTCCGCAAGGGCCTGACTGCCCTCGGTGACATCTACATCAGTAAGCGACGAATTTGTCCTTTCAGCTGAACTCTAGAGTCCTTATACTAACTTCCATTTCCTTCCAGACGACGCCTTCGGCACTGCCCACCGTGGCCACAGCTCCATGGTCGGCGTCGACCTCCCCCAGAAGGCCGCCGGTTTCCTCGTTAAGAAGGAGCTGGAGTACTTCGCCAAGGCTCTTGAGAACCCCCAACGCCCCTTCCTTGCCATCCTCGGTGGTGCCAAGGTCTCCGACAAGATCCAGCTGATCGACAACCTGCTCCCCAAGGTCAACAGCTTGATCATCACCGGCGGCATGGCCTTCACCTTCAAGAAGACCCTCGAGAACGTTAAGATTGGTAACTCCCTCTTCGACGAGGCCGGCAGCAAGATCGTCGCCGAGATCGTCGAGAAGGCCAAGAAGAACAACGTCGAGATTGTCCTGCCCGTCGACTACGTGACCGCGGACAAGTTCTCCGCAGACGCCACCGTCGGTGCTGCCACCGATTCCGAGGGTATCCCCGACGGCTACATGGGTCTGGACGTCGGCCCCAAGTCCGTCGAGAAGTACGAGGAGGTCATCGGCCAGGCCAAGACCATCCTCTGGAACGGTCCCCCCGGTGTCTTCGAGCTGAAGCCCTTCGCCAACGGTACCGAGAAGACCCTCAACGCCGCTGTCAAGGCTGCCCAGTCTGGCTCCATCGTTATCATCGGTGGTGGTGACACTGCCACCGTGGCTGCCAAGTACGGCGTCGAGGACAAGCTCTCCCACGTCTCCACTGGCGGCGGTGCTTCCCTCGAGCTCCTCGAGGGCAAGGAGCTGCCCGGTGTTGCCGCTCTGTCCAGTAAGTAGATGGCATACTAGCGGAGGAGAGAATAAGATTGCGTCTCCCCCCTTTAATGTCAAGTTGCGACATTTTCACGAAACTGTAATGTACACAGCCAAGATTTTCCTTTCCGATATAAATTCACAAAATTTTTACGTTCAATTTGGCGGTTTTTTTGTCTTTGGATGTATGACTGGTAACTAAGCTCTGTTTCTGGTCAGATACGAGACCGAAGCTTTGATGGCGCAAGATATTGGAGATGAGGGTATGTAGGGAGACCTTGGTGGCAGGTAACTGCAGTGGAATGCTTAGCTTTACGAGATATACGATTAAGACCACAGCTACTACATGTACAAGCGCAGAAGCTGTAGAATGTGTAGCAAGAGTCCAATTGCATTATTCTGACCGACTTGCTATTCGACATTTCACGAATTACACCCGCCCAGTTGCCCATAACCGAGTTCCAGAAGTGCAACGCAGACATCAATGAAACAAGCTGCTCGAATAAACGTGCTTCTACCACATCATCAGGTAGAACCAAATGCGTTGGTAGCCGGACTAATCATCTCACCTGACCCGGCTTCACTCCGCAGTCCTGGGCGTCTCTGCTTGTGTCGGGGCCCACTGTGTTCAACATCGTCTTCCATCGGTTCCAAGGGGGGTATAGTGTTTGTAGCGTGAGAGGCGTTCAGCGGATTCGGAGGGGGTATGTCATGTGTGGAAACGCGGGATGGTCTTTTCGTATATTATGTTTTCCATTGTATTATCTTGTCTAGTGCGATGCTTCGACCTTCTTGAGTTCCTCCCTGTGACACGGATGAGGGTTAGCTACAGAGTCCAAAACATAATAATAAAATCCTGATTTCACAGCCAGGGCGAGAATGTAATCCCGACGCTGGACAAGGTCCCAGGTATCTCACGTCTGGCGTAGTGTAGTTGCCACCAACAGGGTAGATTGTAACATACCTCAGCTGCTTGGAGAAGTCCTCCGCAGCATCGTCATCATCCCAGCTCTCCTCCCACAGATGCTCGTTGCCCCCGTTCGCTGCTGACCCGGCGTTCTGCTCGGCTTCCTCCTGGGGCCAATCTAGCGGGGGAAACGGTCAGGGCATGTCCACATCTTCTGTCACGTCATGGGAATTGTAACTCCAGGATAGAGGGGCCTAGCTTACCCTCGACGGGGAAATCCTCAAACTCGTCATCTTCCTCGAGCACTTGGGGCTTCTGCTGTTGTTGGGGCTGCTCGGAGGCATCGGCCTTGGTCTGGGATTGGGTGGAATTGGACATGGTGTATGTGGCGGATGGAGAGGGCGGGTGTAGAGAAGATGGAGGACACGGGTTGCCTGGAGGATTTGTATGCTCTCGTGAATTGATGGGAGTTGAAGACGAGAGGAGAGCGTGGTGGTGGTGGTAGTAGTGGGGGAAGGATGGAATGTGATGGATGATGCTGTTGTCTGGATGGGGAGCTTCCCACCTTGGCGGAGAGGCGGCCTCAGGCTGCCATCGGCGTGATTGGAGATAACTACGCAGTGGAAGACAGAGCGTGACAATGAAATATTAATTCGATAAATATGAGACTAACTAGTTGTTGATTTACGAGCTTGGGTTTACTTCTCGTATTATCATTAATTATGCTACCCTTTTCGGCTATTCCCAGTTCCTCCTTGACCTTAACATAGGAGCATATCTCCCATTTTATGCGGCTGCTTCGCCCCCCTCCCGGAGCCATCGGCACGCCACGAAAAAGCCCATGGAAACGACACTGCTGATTTTGGGGCCAAGTACTCCACGACCGATTACTTGTCTTGCTCTCTCTACCCCACGGTCAATTTCGTTATCACCATGGTTCCCTGATTCTGAGACAATCCTGGAGTTCCGTCTTCTCTCCTCTCTCACTTTCTCTCGTTCTTCCTCCCCCGGTTCCCTTCTCCCCGCGCTATCACTACCTGGCCGTTCTCGGTAATCCGTTGTGATTCCGTGCATGGGATCGTTGACATTCTTCCCAATCCGTCCCTATCGCTTTGGCCTGTCGTTGCGGCGGAGGAGAGTATATCGATAGCGCCAACTCCGATTATCTTCCAGGTCTTTGTGGCTTTGTGAATCCTCTTCGACCTACCCTAGCGGTGCGCGACTATCATCATGTTGCGAGTGGGGTCTTGGTTGTATGGCAAAAAGCCCGCCAATGCCTCGACGCAATCGCTGGACTCGCTGGCCGAGTTGAAAGACTGTATGTTGGACCCTGCTAGTGCGGATGGGACTTGGAGATACCATGTGGTAGATGGGCTGTGCGGGCGCAGCCCCTTCTTCCTTGATGTGCCTTGTGCTGACGGTGAATTCTTCGAGCGGGAAAGTGGATGAGGCGATGAAAGGTAACTAACTTATCCATGTCCAAAGCTTCGATTATCCGAGCCGTTTACTAATGGGATGATCATCTGAACAGCGGCGACGTTCATCCTCAACGACGATGTCGATAGCGCCGAAGCTGGCTTGGCCAAGGGAACTTCTACCTTCCACAATGTGCGTGTGTCGGGCATAGGCGATGACGTAGCGCAGGAGGAATGAGGAAATCAATACTGACAATCAGTAATAGCTGGGCAAAGGAATGGTGGCTTTTGTTCGGGCAACGCTGGGCTTTGAACAAGAGATTATGCGACAAGGTCTGAGACAATTGATTGAATCGCGAGATGATCGTCGCGCTAACTGTCCATAGCTTCCGAACGATTGAGCGAAGCGGAAACCTCAGCAGCCAGCGATCAACACCGCGCCCAACATAACTCCCACGCCCCCAATGCCTTCCGCTCGGAGATTTATGCTGCGGGTAGTGAATATGCTCTATGTCAGGCGATTGCACAGCTGATGGGCGCCGTTGTGGGTGTCCTCAATGAGAGTCTGACGGAAAGTATCAAGGCCTTTTACCGCTTGCGCAAGGCTTATATTGCCCTGGACGCTATTTTGAAGATGGAAGAGAAGTTCATGGAATTGAGAGATCCTAGCCGAGTTCTCCTTCCTAGCTCGAGTGACCTCTCCACGGCTAGTAGTGCTAGCACCGACGTCAAGTCCCCAGTCTCATCCAGCGAGGTACTCAACAAGGTTCCGTCTGCGACAGCTCAATCTGTTATACCCAATGAGAAGGATATCTCCAAATCATTATCCGGGTTAACAGTGAGTCCAGAGCCCGAGCTCGCATCTGGTACTTCCACACCCGGCGGTTCCAACATCATCAACCACGACCCCGACTCGGACATCTTCCAGAACGAGATCGACGTGTTCGTGCACTCTGGCGCCAACTTCTGCTTCGGTATCCTTCTGCTCCTCATCTCCATGGTCCCTCCTGCTTTCAGCAGGCTACTCTCCATCATTGGATTCCACGGCGACAAGCAGCGCGGACTGCGAATGCTCTGGCAAGCCAGCAAGTTCCACAATATTATCGGAGCCATGGCGGCCTTGGCATTGCTTGGCTATTATAACGGGTTTGTACGTTATTGCGATATCATGCCTGACCCATCTCCAGGCGAGGATGATGTGGAGGGCTACCCTCAAGAAAGGTTGACTGAACTGTTGACCGAGATGCGATCCCGGTTCCCGAATAGTCGTCTCTGGCTTTTGGAAGAGTCGCGGATGAAGGGTGCCAATAAGGATTTGGAAGGCGCTTTGAACCTTCTTAGCTCAAACAACAAAAGTGCTCTCAAGCAGGTTGAGGCACTGTGCGTTTTTGAGAGAAGTTTGAATGCGCTGTTCTTGCACAATTACGACGTTTGCTCGGCATCGTTTATCGAGGTAAGTTTCTTGTCCACGGCTTCTTCTACCCTCCGCACCAGCCCCAGTACCAAGCTGACTTCTCAGTGCGTGGATCTCAATTCCTGGTCCCGCTCACTGTACTACTATATTGCCGGCTCCAGCCATGTTGCGCTCTACCGCCAATTTATCGTGAACGACCCCAAACAGGCAAAGGAGCACGCGCGCAAGGCGGCAGAATATATCCGCAAAGCCCCTCCCTTGGCCGGCAAGAAGCGCTTCATGGCCCGTCAACTTCCCTTCGACGTGTTCGTCACGCGCAAGATTGCCAAGTGGGAAGCCCGTGCCAAGGAATGGAACGTCGAGCTGGTAGATGCGATTGGCGTGGACCCCATCGAGGAGATGATCTTCTTCTGGAACGGACATAGCCGCATGACACGCAGCCAGCTGGAAGAATCTCTAAGCTGCTTGTCATGGTGTGAAAGCAGCGAGAACAAAACCTGGTCTCGCGAGGGACCAGAGGAGAAAGCTATCTTGGAGCTACTCCGGGCCGCCGTACTACGATCTCTGCACAATCACGAGGACGCGAAACAGATCCTCAAGACCAAGGTGTTGACCCATGAGAAGTCCATCTTCAAGGGCAATCTGAAGGATGACTGGGTCCTTCCAGCTGCGCACTTTGAAATGGCGGCGAATGTCTGGATGGAGCGGTCGACGTACCAATCTCTGCACAAGCTCTCGGCAGATGTTTCTGAGAAGCCTGAGCAGGACCGGAAGCTTGTTCATACTTGCAAGGAGCATCTGGATCATGCGGCGCGTTGGGAGAGCTACGAACTTGATGCTCGTATTGGATTGAAGGTTACTGCGGCTCTTGAGGCCGTTCAGAAGTGGGAGGATATGCACCCTGCGGCCTAGGGTGCTATTCATGGGGGGTTTTATATGGGGCGTTGATTTGTTCATAGCAGCTCCAGGCGGGATGTATCATAAAACCATTAGACTAAATGGCGTTTTGGCAGATGGGGCGGAAGATCATATGGAATCCTCCTCTTTCTTACCTTCTCTTCAACGATGTCAATCACGGAGTAGTAATAACAGTAGCAGCAGAGTGACTTGGCCAAGCATTCTGGGTGCTCATGAGAATCTAGGACAGTAGCTCGTCATGGCACAGTGATGATACTGCAACCAGAAGATCCAACAACGCGATCTTCACTCCCAAGATCTACAAGATAAGCATCAGTCCTCCGCAATCTCTCTCTTCCCCTTCTCGGCATACACTTTATACCGCCGAGCTCGGCTCTAGCGCCGAGTCAAGATGCCCCACATCTCACGATCTCGTCGAACCAGCTCCGTCGTCGGATAAGACGGCTCGTCGGCGTCGGACGTCCGATTAAAAGGTCTACAAAAGAAAAAGGATCAAATCAATCGGCGCCACCCCGACAAAAAAAAAATAACCAGTTCTCCATATATGCCCCGTATCTCGTGGACTCATCAAGCCAAGCATCTCCAGTGGACTTAGTGTATGGATCCCATGACGTTTTGAAACGTCTAAATCAGGCCCACGGATCCAGTTTGTACCAATCCGCGTCCTTCATCGGCGGGCAATTCCTTATCCCCGTGCTCGGTGCTCGGAGTTCTTGTCGCAATCAACTTTTTTTTCTGTCGGAGCTAGAATCTATTCCTTTCACTCTTAAACAACTATCTTCCACATTCTCATAGTTCGTCGCACTTGTGCGCATGAAATCAGCAGTCATGCCCGAGCACACAGAGCACGAGCACGAGCCAGAGCACGAGCCAGAGCACGATTATCACTCTACAACCTCGACGGACGACATCGAGTCGCGCGATATGCACCATCATCATGCTGACGAGGAAATCGGTCAGGCCTCTACACAGCTAGAGAAACAAAGTACCGCGGCATCAGGTCTTTCGGTATTCGAGCAGCGCGCACAATCGGTTGTATCGCGCATTCGCAGTCGAGATCCAGGGCAGACGGCCAAGTTTACGCATCCGTTGACGCATACGAAGACGAGTCCAGATGTGATTGTTGATTTTGAGGGTCCTGATGATCCCTATAGACCGTTGAATTGGAGTTTTGGGAAGAAGGCTGTGACCACGGTGTTGTATGGGTTGACGACGATGGGTATGTTGAATTGGACTCCCCCGGCATTATCTCCAATTACGTGCGGCGAAAGGTGCAAGGACTTTACTGATTGGAGTCATCTATTGCAGGTGCGACGTGGGCTAGTTCTGTGTAAGAGTTATCATGAACTTGGAAGAGTGTCTGTGAGAATTTACTGATTAGGGAACTATAGATACTCCACGGGCCAACAACAAATTTCCAATGACTTCGGCGTTTCCCTGGAGGTTTCGACTCTAGGAACTTCACTGCTACTTTTCGGTCTGGGCTTGGGTCCCCTAGTATGGGCACCTCTGTCGGAGGTATATGGTCGCAAGCCGGCTGTGCTTGCTCCTTATTTCATTGCCGCGATCATGTCGTTCGGTACTGCAACTGCAAAGGATCTGCAGACGATCATGTTGACTCGATTCTTCACGGGCTTCTTCGGTTCAGCACCTGTGACGAATACTGGTGGTGTTTTGAGCGATATTTGGACAGCCGAGCAACGGGGCGCTGCGATTGTTGGATATGCTATGGCTGTTGTTGGTGGACCAGTCCTAGGTCCCATTGTCGGCGGTGCAATTGTTCAGAGCTACCTCCACTGGCGATGGACTGAATATGTGCGTCTAACTTCTACTTCTGTATCTCCATTCTCCTTCTAATAACTCCTAGATTACCGGCATCATGATGATGTTCTTCCTTCTACTCGACCTCATCTTCATCGACGAGAGCTACCCACCCGTCCTCCTCGTCTACAAGGCGCGAAGACTTCGTTTCGAAAGCGGCAACTGGGCTCTCCACGCCCGGCACGAGGAGTGGGACGTAACCCTGAAAGAACTGGGAAACAAATATCTCATTCGACCCTTCCAGCTCCTCGCCACTCCAATCTGCTTCCTCGTGGCCTTATATGCCTCCTTCGTCTACGGTATCCTCTACCTAAGTCTAGCAGCATTCCCCATCGTCTTCCAAGAAATCCGCGGATGGAACCAGGTTGTCGGCGCACTACCTTTCCTCGCCTACCTCGTCGGCATCCTGATCGGCGCTGTGATCAACTTATCCAACCAGCGTTTCTACCTCAAGCGCTTCAAGGCAAACAACAACCGCCCAGTCCCCGAGGCAAGACTGCCACCTATGATGCTCGGTTCCGTTCTCTTTGCCGCGGGCATGTTTGTCTTTGGTTGGACAAGCCCAAAGCATATACACTGGATAGGCCCTATCATCGGCGCCGTCATGATGGGCTTCGGCTTCTTCACTATCTTCCAGGCTGCACTAAACTACCTGATTGACACCTTCCAGAAAGCTTCTGCCAGTGCGATCGCTGCAAACACCTTTCTACGCTCTGTCTTCGCAGGTTGTTTCCCGCTGTTCACTAGCGCCATGTTCCATAATCTTGGTGTACCCTGGGCAGCTAGTATTCTGGGCTTTATCTCCGTTGCTCTGATTCCTATTCCATATCTGTTCTATACATATGGAAGGCGGATTCGAGCACGGGGAAAGTGGTCACGAGACTCTCTATAGAGTATACTATCCTAGCTTCCTCACGCAATTATTAAGGACTTCAAGGCTGCCTTTCGGCCCTTTAGGCGGCGGGATAGGGCTAGGGTGATTATCTTCTGCCGCAGTAAAGCCCTAGTTAATAGCCTATTTGATGCCTTACAGCCTCAGGCAGCTAAGTTTCATGCTGATCTAGCTGATACGGATAAGCTTAGTCGAGAATTCGAAGGGCAGAATGACATAGGAATCCATTGGGCCGAGGCTATGCTAAGCTACCGCTTTTGAAGTGGTGCCGATGAAGGTATTGATCGAGCCCTTGTCTTTCTCTGAGGGGAATGCCATGTTTCTTTCGAAAGTAAAGGCTCAGCTGGGAGCCTTCACTGGAGATGGCGTATTGGCAGCGTGTGCATATGACAACATGTTCACCCCAATCTAAATATATGGGAAGGGAAGGCCATTTGGTGAAGGTACTGAGTAAGCGAGCGACATTGTCCGACAAGGAAGACAAGGTGGACTTTTCAACTTGTTTCACCAGTGCTGGGGAATACAAAATCATTGAAAAAAACATCGGGGGATGAAGCGACGTCTTTTTTTTTTTGGGAGAACGCGATCGCGACCTTGTGACCAGAGGCTCTCGTTAATACGGAGTAGATGGTACGGAATAGCAGAGCGGGAAATATAGCGCCCCGATTGGTTGAGACGCGGAAAAATCGTCTGTAATAGCAGACCAGGTCGCTGCAGTCTACCGAAAACTCTATTATGGGGCGCACGGACGGAAAGCGTGGAATGGTCGACCCTTCCCGTGGGAATATGACAGTAGGGTAGTCGTATGCTTGTTAAGTGGTTCAAATGCCAGTGAAAGCATCACAATTCAACGACGACAAATCTTGTATTAATACGTAGCAAAAACACTATCCAACAATTATCAAAAATTCACATCCCCATTACAGCTCCAATTGTTTCTCAATTCCAGACTGAGTCTGGTACTGTTACTGGGTCCGATGGAATCAGCGTCGATACTGATATATGCGGCCAGATCAACCCGTCGAATACTAGATTAACCACTTGAGAGTACTGGATCTGTATCGAAGTGACAGTGATCGTCTTGGGGACAGTGATGTCATGCGGTGGGCTAATGAGGAACACCGGCACGGGCTGGTGTGCTGGTGAAGCCGGGGAGATTTTCATCGGGGCTTGTCCGCGCTTGAAGATTGGAACTTGGAGCTTATGTTGCACCGTTTCGATCCAGAAGGTAGCATTCATTTGGCTTGTATTAGCATTTGGATTCATGATAGCAGGGTCGCCTTCTAAGAATGCGATGTTCGCTGTTCCACCCCCGAACACCGGAACCAGAGGCCCCGTGGATACTGTGAAGGCGATGTTCTGGAGAATAGTCTGTCCTTTGATGGCGTTGCGCAAAACGGTGTTCGGGTCATCTAGTATCTCTTGAGTGATGGTGCCGGCAGCAATGAATTTCGAGAGATCCTGCGGGCGTCGAAGAGAGGAGATAACTGAGGCATTTACGCTATCAATCGGCACTGCGCCACCATCACCCTTTAAAGGGAATACCGCCAAACTCGCTGGTGGGATCTCGGGTGGACCTGAGGTATTCGAAGTAGGCGCCAGGCATTGAGCATTGATAGTTGTGCCATGTGGAATGGACCCCATGCGCACAAGGGATTCACCAAGAACTGGAGTATTGTTCGTGGGCGGGACGTTCATCCACAATCCCGTCTCGAAGTGAATGCCAATGGGAGAATGATCAGCCTTCCCAGTCTCCTCGTTTGTCACAGCGCTGACAGCCTGTACATAAGATATGCCATTCAGAAAGATGTTGCTCTGCGACATAAGCCCGCGGTTCGGCACGGCGCCAAAATCTTTGGAGAACGTTATGGCGTCATCGATCAGATTTAGCTCCAAGATGTTGTCGCGGGGAAATGTTGTATTGGTTCCGCTATGCGGGCGGAAGATTGTGTTGAAGCCTGACCCAGTAAAGCTTCCATTGAAGTTCTCCAACACACCTAGCCGCGATCGTGGCTCAGGCGCAGTCACTTCCCCTAAGAATGGGACCGGCTCGATCTGGAAACCGGGGGGAAGAGATATAACTGCCATAGCTACTGTCGCAGTTTTGAAATGATGTCAATCCAGGCGATTTGTTCTCAGTTAAATTGGGACAGAGTGGATAATTAGATTCCAGAGGATAGACAGAGCTTGCGTATGGCACAGAGGGCATTAAATACGATTTAGGGAAAATTCATCAGAGACGCTCTACCTTGTCCCATGTCGCTCAGAGATTCCATTGCTGGCCATTTGGCTAATCAGATGCTGTGTTTTGGATCGTTGTCTAGTGTTGACATAGTTCCTTTTGTGTGCCTGGGCACTCTCTAAAGCCACAATAGATTTTACGGTGCGTGAAATACTGTAGAATGCCAGAAGAGCAATAGCAAGTCTTCAGCACTGGAAGGGCGGAAGGAACACCGGGCAATGTAGGGAAGGTTTGGAATGTGTCGACATCGCGGATAGGACATCCTAGCCGAGGTGATGCATATAGGCTTGGGAGAAAAACAGAAATATGACTTAGGTTAAAGAATGATTTGCAGCAGGACGTTCAGATAGAAAGGAAAGACGGTTAAGCAATTTTGCCCAAAAATTCAAGAAAATAGTCATGACATAACGTATTTCACAAGCGAGTGGCCACCTCTAAAACACGTACTAAACGCGATATATTGTAGTCGTTTTGCGATGTATACGGGGGTTAACTCGGGTCAGCGCAGTGGGGAGCCGTTTCCGAATATGTATTCGTAGAGTAATCGGCAAATTAATCTATTCTAGCATTTTTACGCCTTCATCTATTAGATCTCGGTATTTAATACGCGATGGCTATTGGATAATATCTATACAGACGAGCTCGATCCAATCTTCCTTGGTGTTCAAGTCGTCTGTTATTATCCTAACTCCACCGTTTCGGATAACTCGGAGAAAACCTACGCCTGATTACCCCTGTGATCGACTCCATGCCACAAAATGCCAAATATGTGTCCTAGGATCGGAATACCGCTAATAACTAACGGTGGCTCACGAGGATCGTGTTGCGACCTATTAAAAACAAAAGTACCTCAGTGCTACGACAACGCCGAGGATCAAGAGCTGTGTTATGTCGATCATAGCGAGCTCTTAGATCAGGAAATTCCTATAGACGACAAGTTTGGGGAATGGGGTGAGCCTTTAAACCCCGGATACAGATCTTGATTGTCTCCTTTAAGCGTTCCAGTTCACTAGTTTACTTAGTTCAGCGTCAGCTTAGCATGCTTACAACTGACTAGCTCAAAATAGCATATGTAGAGAAAAGTGCCCCACTAGTGTCAGAGTCGAGCAGTTTGTGATTCAGCCGTGGCCCAGAGCTGGTGGCTGAATTGTGGGCCAATTACTGAAAAGGTTCTAGGTCAAAATGGACCTTGCCCCTAAACGTGATAGGCACGCGGTTCGCGGTAAGAAAATATGAGGATGATCGCAGGGTACGTGGTTTTATAACTCGCTTATGTGGAATCGTTGACTTCGAAGTTACATAGCAGATTGAGATCTGGCCATATGTACCATTCGGTCGCATCACGCATTTCGTCGTATTTCCAAAACATCACAAAGTTAGCTATATTAACCACCTAACATGAAAACGTGATTACCACTGGCCAGCCCATTTTTAAAGGTATTCCAGCCGTGTAGGAAGAAGATGGAGTTACACTAAGTGACCCACTCTCATTGTTTTGTGTAGGATCTAGGGCTGCCGTGGAATACCCTCCCATTTTCGGAGTGAACGCAATATTTTTGGGGTTATCCCATGATTTAGCTAGAAGCGTGGATCAGACTTATCTGTCCAATGGTTTGGCAGATCTCTCGTATCGACGGTAAAACGATCTGCACGGTTGAGTCGGGGTGACCCGAACCGAATTATTGGGAGTGGAGGTGTTGCGTGACTGCGAACCACGGTTAGCTCAACTTCTTGTTTAAACTTCTACTCCGTAATTCCGGTGAAATTGATGTGATTATGTGATCTGCCTGCTCGAAACTATAAACTCTATTATGGGTGGGGGCGCGGGAACTCCCTAGTGCTCGCCTACTATAGGAAATTTTTCGCCCTATGAACTTACCTTGCAGAAATAGAGGGGCTCAACCACCGACCTGCATACCATACGCGCCACAACAGAGCCTCTATTAAGGCGCGACACTCAGCTACCGCCCAAGAATTTCCAATTAAAATGGCATGACTCCCGCCTTCCGATTTTGTACCGTATATAGTTGGTGTCGTTGCTATTCGTCGCGATCGTGGCATTGTGATGCTCAATTATAAGGCCCAGGATTCAGCATCGCTTGTGGGAAAATATGGGGACGGAATGTGGACTTGGAAAGTTTTGGGTTCATGACAACTGGCACTTCATGGCACTTCAATGCACTTACTGTGCAATCTCACCCCGTGCTTCGACGCTTTCTCATTACTTTTCCACGCTCCTTTGGACTCAGAAAGGAATAAGCATATTACTCAATATCTTCATTTGCACCTTCCGTGACAAAGCCTGTGCTATTGTTGCAGAGGACTAACCCTGGTAGGCCAATATGGTTCTCGTTTGTGTTGCCCATGGTTCCTGCTTTCTACTGCCGCTTCTATTCGTTGCTGATGCGTGGGACCTATTAGAGGGACAGGTTTGGCGCCCGTTGTCTAGTGGCTCGCTATCAGAGATGGAGGTTGGCGTCCGTGGTCTCTTCATTGGAGTTAATGGGTTAGCTCGACTGTTCCATCGGACTGCTTGCTTCTGCGTTCCCGCCGAAGAGGTAGGTGTCACTAGAGATGTCGTAATAGAGCCGAGATTTGGAATGAAGTAAACATCGTCCACGCCAATTGCCAGTGGAGGTGTGTCAGCTGTGATACCAAGAATGCGTCCGGTGATAAATATGCGGGACTGCCTTGCAAGAACGGGAAAATTTGTCCAACGGTTGCCATTCCGGAAGTAAATGGAAACTGTAAATGTCACAGATACCTTGTTGGAAACGTTATAGACATTCGTCTCGAGGTCGTAATGCAATAGATTAGACCTACTATTCAACTGGCCCCCTCCGCTTCGGACAATTCCTAGTAAACTAACAGTAGGGAGAGCGGCCTCTAGTCAGTGCATTTCATACGTATAAGAATCAGAATTGTCGCCCGGATGGCTAAGGAATCATTTAGCAGCGGAGAACCAAGGATGTCGTTATGATTCGTATCGTACCAGTCAACTTCATGGGCGTGCAAGATTAGACGTAGAGACCCATCCTGATCGACAGAAGTTAAGAATGAGCCCCAACCATATATGAATCTGTCTGGTCCGTAGGGTTGAGGATTCCCCGGCGAGGCAAAGAAATGTATGGTCGTCAGAGCTCAGACAATTCAACATCGTCGGAGTAGAGGTTCGTTTGAAACGGAGGGTGTAAGGAAGCCTCAATTTGTAGAGTAAGTCCCTGGTTGGGTTAGAAGTGTTAGTTCCCACGCTGTTTATAAAGTCCCTTAAGTGAAGAATAGCCGGCAAGTTGGCCTGAGATGGCATGATGGCAACAGATTAAATAAGGATGTGGAAAATGAAAGTTAAGAGGTTACGAGCAATACGAAGCTTTAATATAAGATGTTCACAGCCAGAGGGTATATAAGCACATAGAGCATCGTTAGCGTACAGGACACGAACTTGATACGAGGTTGTGAATATAGTAAGTGAGGAGTACAGCATATCACTATTAGTTCGTCGTCATAGCAGATGAAGGATTATACAAGGTAGTAGTCACCGCGCTAGTGAGTAGTACGGAAGTAGGCCCAACCTCACACGACATTAGTCCAGAGTAAAATATCTTCGACGTAAGAGTAAGGCAGGTTCAGTAAGCCAATGGCAGTGAAGAACAATCCTCACACCAACTTTGGCTGAAAGCAAGGAAACTTGCGCGTGAAGCCAAGGTAGAACCAATCAGACAGTAACGCAAAATCCAATCATAGGGAATAACACAAGCCAATCATCGTCATTTTGGACGAATTTCGCCACAAATTTGTATGGACTTTTGGCAGTCTGTTGGGTCGCGAGACTTTATAGTTTTTTTGTCACGTGCGGGACGTTTCCCTTCCTCTCACTGATTACTGCCAAGCCTTTCATCATGACACCTTTTGCTGGAAGAATCGATTTGGACTGTGACTATATCAGCATTTCTGCATATACGCGATTTATGAGAAAAGTTATCTTGATTTCTAACGTTTTGACCACAGTACGGAGGTCCACGTCAAAAGAAATGAGCAGCGCATTGACCAGCAATATTTAAAATACTGTATTAGAGGTTTCCAATCCCTACTAGTTACCTTACATATCCTCCCAATCACCCTGCTCGCTCTCCTGCTGCTTCTTCTCCCTGCCCTCTTTATATTCGTTTCTGTAAGGATATACTCTATAAGTCAGGATAGAGGCCTGTCAATCAGGTAGGAGAAATGGAGCCAAGTCAATAGTGTAGAAAGGTCAAAGACTGTTTCTTGAGGATTGTAAAACCTCTTCAACATGGGTCAATTTATATACAGTCTCATCGCTCAAACAGGAAGGAGATGTATCCTTGGTAGAAGGATAGGAGCGGGGTCTTGTGTAACCTCTGTCAAGGGTGTTCCCTGCAGAAGTTCGTACACGTACTGATGACGAAGCCCCAGCGAACCTCCACAGAAAGCCTGCCGGCTTATCAGGTCCGGGAAGCCTGAGGCACCAACACTTGGGAATAACCTCATGCAGGGTATATCATAACACCGCCGCCCGTTTTCTAATTAGCCCATTTTCTAATCAGGATCACTAACAAGAATCAACGACTACTTTATAAGTTGCAATTGATACCCTACTTGGAGATAGTAGAAGCAACAATATTAGTAACATTAACAGTGAGACATAATAAATATCAGCAAGCTTTCCCCTTAGGCTAATTTTAGGGGATGAAAAATGTGACTGTTTTAAATCAGCCTGGATATCCCGATTAAGAAGTGACGTGCTTGATATGTAGGGCGTCTATAGGCGGTAGTTAAGGCGGCTCATAATTATTATTTCCTGAGGTGGCCGCTCTAAGCCTCCGTAGCTCGTGTGCAAGACACTAAGCTAGACGCTCAGCACGCATCTTCTTCGTTAATCCAGGCTTCCTCGTCGGCTTCGTCTTCCGAAAGCCAGCTTTCTTTAGTATACGGCGCACCGTGGAAGCAGAGATATTGATTTCTAGCTTGCTAAGATCGCTAGCTAGATCAGCGCACGTCTTTTCTCGACCGTATCGATCTAGGCGCACCTTCGATAGGATAATATCAATCGTAGAAGGATCTTGCTTGGTAGGCTTACCAGAACGAGGTTTATCTTCAACGAATTCGTTATCAACCACCGTACGATGCGGATCGAATCCTCGCTTGATTGCTTTTGCATAGATTCGATTCACAGAGGGGACGGATAGCTCTGTTAGGATAGTGATCTCGGTACACCATTTGGTAGTGTAGGATTTCAAGGCAACTACCGTTGCGCGCTTAGCAATTGTGGATTGCTTTGCAGTATTATTGACGTGTAGTACTGTAGTAGTAGTAGTAGTAGTAGTAGTAGTAGTAGTAGTAGTAGTAGTAGTAGTAGTAGTAGTAGTAGTAGTAGTAGAAAAAGCAATGAGATGAGAGAGAATAAGAGAGATTGTGTGTATTCGCTTGGTAAAAGACTAGTGATAAAATTTTGCTTGTCAATGCGCTGCTCATTTCTTTTCACGTGGACCTCCGTACATTGAAGCTAATCCTCGCAAATAAGTGCTGCATGCTAGTTCTTCCACACACCAGCAGCCCACGTTACGTGTTAATATTCCCGACCAAACAGCCCAATCACCTCTCAATCTATCAACCAGGATAAATCTGACTGACGAACGCCACCGGGAATGGAAACTAAACCCGATGAAAAACTTGATGTGGCTGGCTAGCCTGCATTATGTACATAATGCGGTGCAACAAAGCTAGCCAAAGAGCGTAGGTGTGGCGTCGCACCGAGAAGCTGAAGAGTATACGGGGTATATCCGATGCTTGAGGGGGATTCCTTCCACGAGTAGCACCGTAATCTGCTACAGTGTGAAATCATGATATTTGAGCAAGGTAGTTGTCAGCTGAGTGTCCATCTCTCATTGGCTCGGATGCACCGATGGAGCTGACCCTTGCCTCTGAGAGATGGGAGTCGAGAAGGCTTCTCGGCACCTTTCAGAAGACCTGAGCGTTGGAAAGAGGTGGGGATGCCAACTCATCAATTTTCTCTGGATGATTTCTGCTGGGGTTTGAAGCCTGTTATGATGCCCTGGATATTTTATAAGCACTCCCAGCCTTTCTGTCCGGGTTCTATGCTACTGCTTTGGAATTCGCGCCAGATCTGGAAGCTGCCTACTACAAGACCTTTCGACTTCGTTACTCTATTATTCAGAAACCACTTTCAACATGCTCCATACTCATGAGAAATACGTTTTCGGTAGAAGTCCGAAGGAAACAGAACGGTAAGCACAATTCATAAATTATGAATAAAGAAGCAAAGGATACAAATCTAATCAACAGATCGTCACAACATGCAGACTCGACAAGCAGCACGATCTACTAACGAAAATAACACAAAACACCCTAATTCACCCATCGATCCCTAAAGAGAACATCATCTCGGTTGCAGATTTAGCGACGGGAACTGGGTAAGCCAGTGGCCTGTGTCTCTCGTATAATCTCCTAAAGAGCTAACGGATCAATTCGACAAGCATCTGGCTCAAAGATGTCGCACGGGAATTGGAAAAATCAAACCAAATCCAGCGTTATTACCATGGGTTTGACATCTCACCCGATCAATTCCCCAAAGACTCGGGCCGCGTCCAGTTCTCTGTTCATGATATCACGAAGCCGTTTCCAAAAGAACACTTGAACCGGTATGATCTGGTCCACGTGAGGCTACTGGTCGCAGCTATCGATGAAACGCGTTACCCAGCTGCCATAGCCAACGTCTACTCGATTTTAAGTAAGTCCACCATATCGTTGTATCGTATTTCTATCCTAACACCCCTCCAGAGCCAGGAGGCTATCTTGAATGGGAAGAAATCGACGAAGAAACGTACATATCAAATAACAACCCCGTCATTTGGGAGATCCGAAGATGCTTCAATTCATCACTCAAAGCCGAGGGTAAATGTTTCCAAGCATCAGCCAAGGTCCGTGACGAATGCATCGCAGCCGGGTTCTTGGATGTGATCCGACGGGCATATAGCTCTGACGCCAATATGAGTCTCCGTGTTGACACAGAGCTACGACTGACGGCGATCATTGAAACCCTCTATGCAAGTCTATTGTTGCGATCCGGGCAGGTGGTTGATGAGGATACGGCGTCATTACGAGCTAAGAAGTTGATTGAGGAGCATCGTCGTCTCTGTGATGAAGGAAACTCTCCACCTTTGAGATTGATGAGAGTTGTTGGTCAGAAGCCACTGCGTAGCTCACGTCTTTGAAATTGAATGTTTGCTGTTGGGAGATTGGTTGGTTGATTGGGAGCTCAAGATTAGAGAAAGCAGACAATAATTTCCACCTGAGGAATTTACACAATCTGGCCTAAAGCAGGGTAGGTATCGGCTTAAGAGATTACTTTGATATTATGACTACGTCTTACTGCGAGACTGGAAGAATGGGGTTTGGTACAGACAAGTTCCATTATACTAGATAACACGACATGACAACATGAGAGGGAGCGTGGGTAGTGAAAGAGAGATGGCTGGTAAGACAACCACAATGACATTAGTATACAAGAAGACATGAACATCTAACCGAGATTCGTATATCCTGATTAGCTCCAATTGAGGACAAAGGAAATATGGAAAGACATTGAGCCGTAGAGAGACAAAGGAAATAGGAGATATCCAACGATGGACTTTTTGTTTTGTATATGCGATCCTTCCGTGGGAGGATGCTGTTTTTTTCTTTCTTTTTTTGTTTGTGTGTTTTGGTTGGAATGGATGTGGAACGCTTTTTTGGAAGGAATTCCAAGTTGTGCGATGGTATCAGGCATGGCTTGAGACCATGTTGTTTCGCCGCGTCAGCTTGCGAGCGAGCATCATGGCTTTCTCCCAAGTCTTCTTCTTTTCACCACGAGTATTGGCGACTGGGTCAGGCGAGTTTGCGTTAGCAGCAAACTCAGGAGGGAAGTCATCCTGGTGCTTTACATTGTGTAGTGCTAGTACAGCCATCTGGCCAAGGAATGAAGGATGCTCAAGAAGGTCTTCGAGTCGGACTTTGAGACCTTCTTGCTCGAGAAGCCATGTGAGCTGAGCCATGTTGAAGATGTCACCGCCAAGATCGAAGAATGATGAGTCAAGTTGGAAGGCAGCCTGGTGATTGGGTTTGTCACCAGCATCGGGATCCGCTGTGATAGTGGATGCACGGCTGGGAAGAACTTGATGCCATGAGCGTGACAAGATGTCTGAGTGTACAAGCAACTCGGCAATGGAGCGTGACTTGAGGTGAGCGCTGAGGAAGTGTTCATCCGAGGACCGTGGTAGGTCATCCACAATCTGAGGGGGCAGAGAGCGCAACATGCTTGGCGATGGCAGGGCAGTGGAGGGGTTTGCGACTAGAGACTGTGCAATCTCGCAGACCATGTCGAGAACCTTGTTCGCAAAGGCTGGAATGATGGGACCCTTCTCGGAGTATCCAAGAGTGACGCTGAGGCTGCGATCGTCTGCAGGACGAGAAACCAGAGTCAAGTCTGCAAAGTTGTCGTTGACTCCGGCACCACCCATGCGATACTTTGTGCTGTCGAGCTCGAGGGAGCCCTCATAGTCAACGTTCTGATGGAACACCGATGTGGTGAAATACGTCCATGCAGGCCAGTCTGTGCACTGCTTGATAATCTCCCGGAAGCCAAGGGACTCAAACGGCATGTTTGAAACTTGCTGATCCTGAAGGTAGCGGAAAAGTTCAAGACCATTCCATTTTTCATCAAACTTGACGCGTACTGGAATGACGTTGACGCAGGGCCCAACAGTAGTCTCAATGCCTGGAACGGTAGCGTTGCGACCGCTGATTGTCAGGCCAAAGACCACATCAGACTGGGCGGACAGCTTGGCTAAGGTGATAGCCCAAGCAGCCTGCATGACAGTTGCGACAGTGACATTTCCAAGAGCGGTGGGAGGAATCTCAATGTTCTTGCGAATTTCAGTGAAAGCACCCACATTCTGGAACATGGAAGTTCCCTTGCGACGCACAACCTGCGTCATTTGCGAGTCCTTCAAGAGGTTTGACCAGTGGTTGTAATGGTCCGGTCCGATTGTACCTGGAAGTTGGCGCAGATAACTAGCATAGGGTGTCACAGGAGGGAGGGGGCTGCCTTCATATCCAAGCTTGATGGCGGACATGATCTTTGAAAGACACACACCATCGTACTGGGTGTGAGAAAGGCGAATCATGATGCGGTGCTCATCACTGTTCTTCTTCTTGACGACGTAGAATTGTACGTACTGCTCTCCCTCGCGAGGACCATATTCACGGTCACGCTGCTGCAAGTTCATCGTAAACTCGTCCATTCCACGGTCAGTCTCGTAGACAAAGATACTGGGACGAATCTTGCGAAGCACGACCTGGAAGAATTGGTCGTGGAAGCAAACGAAGACGGTTCGTAGGATATCGAACGCGTCAACGACCTTCAAGCAGCTCTCGCGGAGACGTCGCAGGTCCAAAGGTCCGTTGCCTTCCAGGAAGAAATAGTTCAACATCCATCGCGACTTGAACAGAGTTGCAGTCAAGGACATGGCCTGGAAATCGGTGACTGGCAGGACATCTGCAATACCACCTTTGAAGACACCGATCTTTGGACAGATACCAGTCTGCACCGAAGCATCATCGAAAGCCCTCATCGGCCGCAGGACGGAGATACTTTCAGAAGACGGAGTTGGCGCCAATGTGGTGGGTTTGCTGTCGGTGAAAGAATCGACGTCCTTGTGAGGAGGCTTCAGATCGACATCCAAGATTTGCTGAGTGACATTGGATGCACGAACGGTCGCAAGCATGTCCTCGAAAACAGGGTTGTTGAAAACATCTGCAACAGTAAGAACCAAACCGTCCTCGCGGGCAGCGCTGACCATCTTCATCGCAGTGATACTGTCACCACCTAATTTGAAGAAACTGTCCTGATGTCTGACAACGTTCGGCGAGATGCCTAGGGCAGTGCTCCAAAGAGTCCATAATCTTCTCTCAAGATCCACCAAAAATCCGTCCTCACTGGATCGCGACGTCGCAGAGCAAACACCAGAATCATCCGCTCCTTGAATACCCTCCAATGGGTACGGTGAATCAACTCCATTATCAGGGTGCCCATAGCGCGACAAACTCTCTGGTTGCATATGCGGCACCATCAACTTTCCATCTCTTAACATCTGACCGATGATCTCATGCACCCGGCTGTCAATAATTTTCTGAATTGCAGCACTGTCCAAACCTTCAATGCCCGACTTCACTTTCTCGTTCAGTGTAGACTGAGACTTGGCCCATTCCGACTTTTGTTCCTCCACAAGACTGCTCCCGAGCTTCAAGGATGAAAGACTTCCAGATGGCGACTCGATAAAGCTGGTGAAAACCTTGGCAATGCTATCAACCAAGCCCTGCGCTTGGTCATCGCTCACCATGTCATTCCAGTAGCGCAACATGATACCCTCGGCGCCTCGGGAGATGTCCACATTGACTGTAACGGCATACTTTTGTAATAAAATCAGCGGAATGCATTGATGAAAAGAGGAAACCGGGACGAAACTTACCTCACTAGGGTCATGAGCATGTTGTAGTTCAAAGGACAGACCTTTCTCCTTGTTCCCACCGGCGACCGTGTGGTTCTGAATGGAGAGGGTAGTGTTGAAAAGAGACTGGCCCTGCCAGCCAAGCGCATGTTGGATGCTGGCGAGGGAGCAGCTCTGGTGAGGTATACTGCGGATATAATCCCCGTTGACCCTCTTCGAGACATCAGCGAGGGTCTGATGACCCGAAAATTTGACTCTGCAGCAGAGCATGTTGATGAAGATACCGACCATGTCCTGGATTCCGTTGACGGGCGCATCGCGTCCGGCGGACAAGTATCCAAAGCATACATCGTCGGAGCAGGTGACCTCTCGGAGAACGATGGCCCAAGCCGACAAAGTCAGATTGGCCAGAGTGACCGAGGCCTGCTCGCAGAAGCTCAGGAGTTCTGGGTATCGCGTGAAGTCCATCAAAACGCCCTTGAGCTCACGCTTGGCTTGAAGACCAGCCGCGGGAGTAATGTGGCATGGGTGGACACCACCAAGATACTCCATCCAGTGATCGAGGGCGGCATGCTGGCTCTGGGTTCTGATGTAGCGAATATACTCGCTAAATTTGGGCCCTGAACCCTCAGCAAGACGTCGATCATAAGCCAGAGTCAAATCACGGAGCAGAACATCCACGCCGCCACCGTCGATGATGGCGTGGTTGATTTCAAGTTTAACCAGCACACGCCCACTGGTAGTTTTGCAGACGGTGAGCTGATGTGACAACTTGGCTGGTCGCATGGCGTTTATATCCCGGAGTGAGATGCCCTTCAACTTCTCTTCGACTTGTGAATCGAGGCACTCAACACGAAGAACGTTGTCAGACAGTTTCTGGAAAACAAGCTGGTCGAAGGATCCGCCGCTATAATTGCTGTCAATGAAGACAGTCCGAAGAACTGGGTGGCGATCCACAAGCATTTGCCATGAGCGAGCAAGCCTGCCGGGATCAACCCTTCCGGAGCGGGTATCCGTGATTTCAAAGACAGTGTGGAACATGTAGGCGGTGGGATCGCGGAGCTGGCTGAGCAAAAGACCTTCTTGCATTGGCGAGCAAGGATAAATATCCTCCACTTCCCTCTTGCTGCGAATGCTGAGCTTTCGGAAGGTATTCGTGGCGAGGATTTGTAGCCCATTGTAATTGATAGGCAGCAGAGGGTAGTCACTGAGAGTGGGCTCTGGGGTGGTATTTCTGAGGACAGACATCTCCTTTTCAAGCGTCTGCTTGCACTGCAGGATCCAGCGGCGGATTTGGGGCTCTCGGGACATCTTGCGATTGTAGGCAAATGAAACGTTGAGCCGCTCCTTCACAACGATAGCGGAGAGCTCAAAGAGAGCGAATCGGTCTGTCTCGGGCCCCATGTCTCCAGCGACAGCAAAGTCCGAGCTGTCAAAGACGCTGCCCTGGTGGCGGAAGAGAGAATCCGCCCGCTCAAGCTGCTGCAGCTTTCCGAGGTAGTTGAATAGTATTTCCAAGGGGACATCAAAATCATCAGACGACTGCTGATCGGATGCAAGAAGGCTCTTGGCAAAGTAGGGGCGGCCGTTTTCCGTGATCTTGCGACGTGTGTCTTTGACACGCTTGATGGTGTCAAGAACGGTTCCTGTCAAGATCTGTGAGCAACTGCATTCTGCAAGTCTAGAGTCGGAAATGGAACAACACCCACCTTGTTTTCCGTCGACAAGAAGCGGAGTCATGGTTGTGAACCAGCCAACGGTTCTGGAAAGGTCAATGCTTGCATCCCAAGGCTCGCGACCGTGGCCTTCATTGTAAATGGTAGGGAGATTGCGATCAGTAAAAATCAGACCGAAAGAGTGAACAATGGCAGCAAGCAGGATGTCAACAGTCTCGGTTCCGAAGACCTCATGGCAGTCGTTAAGAAGGAATTTTGTGGTATCCTCACTCAAGCTGAAAGACTCGATTTTGAGGTCACCATATTGGTTGGCTGTATTGGTCATGCCCCAGTAGCCCAAGTTTGGCTTCTCTGGGGTGAAAGGTAAAGAGAAATCGGAATCATGAGTCTTTGCGCGCTCAAACTGCATGGCGCACCAGCTCTGGAAAGACAAAGCCTTCTCATCAGACAGGGATCCAGAGACGACGAGCTCCTCAAGGTCCTGGAGGATGATTCGCCAAGAAACCATGTCAACACACAGATGATGAGCAACCAGGAAGAGAACCTGGCCACCACTGCGGAGATTGAACAGATCGGCTGCAAAGATAGGTCCATTGAGCGGATCCAGGCAGGACTGGCTTTCAGCAATCTTGGGGACCATTGCACGACTGTCGGTCACGGAGTGCACGCGGAAGCGGTAAGATCCATCAACCTCCTGTGTATTGTAAGTATCTTGGGAATGGTGCGAGAAAGATGGTGTACGTACTCCGACGGTTTTCTGTTGCCAAATTGCGTTCTTCCCTTTACTGAAACGGGCTTGCAGCATGGAATGTTGGCTAGTCACAGCCTGAATTGCCCTGCGGAGCACTTCGCCTTCAACTGGCCGGGCGACGCGCACAGTGATGCTCTGGTTGAATCGAGCTGCACCCATGAGAGATGTTGAGGACTGCATGTAGAGCTTTTGAACAGGCGAAAGCCCAAAGCCCTCCCCAGACTTCTCCTCTCGCTGACTGGCAGCTGGGGTCTTTGAAGTGGCAGTCTGGGCCAGTTCCTTGACAGACTTGGACTGCAAGATATCATTCAGGGTGACAATCAGGCCCTGCTTTCGCGCTCTCGATATCACGGCCATTCCGGTAATACTGTCTCCGCCTGGATGAATTTGTTAGTGTCAATCACGATTTGGATTGGGACTTGGGCATGCAGGTTGGAAACTTACCCAGGCTGACAAAAGAGCGATCCACATTGACCTTTTGCAGGGAGATGTTGAGAACCTGCGCAAAGATCTCACGAATGATCTTGAGGGAGCCAGTCTTGTCCTGCTCTGGCTGTGGCTTTTCGATAACGCCACGCTTCATCCGGTCGAAATCTTGCATGATGCGCTCGTATGAATCTTCATCAATGTTCTCGAGCCAGGCGGAGATCTTCTTCCGATCCAGTTTTCCAGAAACGAGCATGGGAAGCTTCTTGACCAGAGCCCATGTCTGAGGAACCATGTAGACAGGGAGTTGGGCTTCAAGGGTCTTCTGAACCTCAACAAGAATAGGCAGGCCCTTGTTGTCAAATTCTTCCTCGTCAAGGAGCTCGCAGGGTTTGTCGGAGATCAACTTGTTGTCAGCGGCGATCTTGTTGGCGGACATGACAGTTACAAGGCGCTGCTTCAGAGGACCAGTCTTGGGCAGAATGACAACTGCGTGGCGAACGGCATCGTGTTCAGAAAGCCTGTGCTCGATCTCGCCGAGCTCCATGCGCTGTCCGTGTAGTTTAACTTGGTGATCCTTGCGGCTGATGTACTCAATGGAGCCGTCGGGGTTGTAATAGCAGAGATCGCCTGTCTTGTAGATTCGTCGGGGCGATGGAATTGAGGACTTGAAGTCCTTGACCCAGGCAGGATCCTGAATGAAACACTCTGCATTCTTCTCGGGATTCTTGAGGTATTCCCGGGCCAAGGCTGGACCTTCAAGCGCAAGCTCTCCAACGGCGCCAAGTGGTGCGAGGCGGTCGTGGTTCTCAGCATCGACAATCCAAGTCAAGGTGCAGGGGATACCATAACCGATGCGAGCTGGATCACGACTGGCGGCGACAGCAGTATCAACCACAGCGAACACGACAGTCTCTGTAGGACCGTAGCCATTCATCAAGTGAAGGACATTAGCCCACTTGGTAATGACCTCCTGCGACATCTTCTCACCTCCCACAATGAGAATTTCCAGTGAAGGCACCGAAGATGGTTCAATGATGCTTGCAATCGATGGAGTGAGGAAGGTCCATGTAACATTCAACCGGCGAATAGCACCAGCCACGTCGTTGAGCCGCTCATCCTCACTTGGAACACAAATGCAACCGCCCATCATCAAAATTGCCAATGTTTCCATGATGGCGGCGTCGAAAGTCAGAGAAGCGAATTGGAAAACCCGCGAATGGGGTCCCATCAAAGTCATTGGAGCAAAGGCCATGATACTGCTGACTGCGTTGCGATGCTCAACAACGATACCCTTTGCGCGTCCAGTCGATCCAGAAGTGAAAAGTGTATAAGCCATATTGGAAGGCTGGACCTTGGTGCGGTTTTTGGCTGGAACATTGAGAGAGCCATACGCCTTCAGAGTGTCCTTGCTGATTGGAATCACTGTTCTCACCACTCGAGTGTACCGATTAGTGTAGTTTGGCGTGCAAAGTATCATGTTGGCACCAACATCTTTCAAGATCTCCTCATGTCGAGAAACGGGGTGATGAGGATCCAAGGGAACGTAGCCACCACCAGCGATCAGGATACTGATGAGGGTCACCATCGCCCAGGCAGATTTGTCAAGACAAACAGGGACGAACACCTCCGGGCCAACACCGCGAGAAACAAGGTATTTGCCGAAAGAAGAGGCCAGGCTCCAGAATTCCTTGTAGGTGAGCTCGCCATCCCACGCACAAACTGCGGGCGCATTTGGTGTCGCCAGACATTTCTCCTCGATGAAGTCATGGACACAGCGGTCAACTGACGGAATCTCACGTTGATTCCAGCGAGCAATCTCCATCTTGTCCTCGGGGCTGACAACTTCCAAATCTGCAAGCTTGCCGGTGCTGGTCTTGGGGGTTGCCATGAGCTGGCGCAGCACATGACCGAATTGCTCCGTGAGGTGCTTGCTCTGCCATCCATTGATGACGAGCTCATCATGGTGAACAGTGAACGAAATTTGTGTCTTGTAAATGCCACATTCAATGACCAGTGGGTGGGTGAAAAAGTCTTCGCTGGTTTCACGTTTTTCATCAATCCAAATCTTGCTGTTCAGCTCACCTTCGGTCGGCTGGATAACCAACAGGTTCTGGAAATCGCAGCCAGCAGAGGCGTCATTGTTCAGCGAGCGGATACGCTGAAGACCAGCATGCAGATGTGGAATCATGTCGGTAGTAGATTGATGAATCTGGTCGAGGTACTTGACGATGGACATCTCCTGGTCAACCATGATGCGAGTAGGAACGGTTGAAAGTACGGGTCCGGCAATGTCACCAACCCCAGGCAGATCGATATTGCGACCGGACAAAGTCTCACCAAAGCATACATCGCCGGTGCCAGTATGGGTTGAGACCACGATGGCCCAAGCTGCGCGGAGAAGAACTGGAAGAGTGAAGTCGACACTGTTGGCTGGTCGCGAAATCTCCACGGAGTGGTGTTGAGTATTTCCAGCCCGAATAGCATCAGGCACGGAGTTCTTATTCTGAGGGAAAGGAGTGGCCGACATGCTCGCCAAGTGATTCTTCCAAAATGCGTCAGATTCCTCCATATCTTTCTTGTTGATGTACTCGATGAAGAGGCCATAGGAAGTTGCAGGCATCTTGTTCTGTGAGGCGGTGTAGTTCTCCTCGAGCCTACGGTAGATAAGGGGAATACTCCAGCCATCGTACAACGCGTGGTGGACTGACCAAACAAAGAAGCAAGTTGAAGATCCTCGAGGCTGAACTATTGCATATCCTGCCAGAGGAGCACCGTTGTGCTTGGGAAGCTCAGTGGTATCGTGGGGCAATTCATCAAAAGACTCGGCATGTACCCACTCGATGGGCGTTTCCTTGACAATGACCTGTGCAAAATTCATCGCTTCAGTGTGGACGATTCGAGTCCGAAGAATGTCCAGATCTGCGACCGTCTGCTGCCAAGCAGCCTTGAAGCGGTTGATGTCGGCACCATCGGCAAGGCGGAATACTGGCTGCGCAACGTACGCACCGTGGTGTTTAATAGACATTGTCAATAGACCTTCCTGCACAGCGCTGCATGGATACACATCACAAATTGTATCCCTTGACACGGCGCAGTTCTCTGTCACTTCGTCCAAGAGACTGTCGATGTCGATAGATGATGGGAGAAGTGAGAAGGGCTGAAGAGCAACTGGTTTGGGGACAGGGGCTTGAGTTGTTTCAGAGCAGCTCTTTGCCATGTCGATCAAAACTGGTGACTTGAAAATAGTGGCAACGTTGAGAGAAATTCCCTGCGCCTGGGCAGCACCAACGAGGTTCATGGCAGAGAAGGAGTCTCCACCCAGAGCAAAGAAGCTGTCTTCATTAGTAACAGACCCGGCCTCAAGGTCGAGGGTCTTCTCCCAAAGGTCGCGGAGCTTGGCGTCGATACCGTCCGTGGAGGTCCCTTCTTGGCTGGTGGAGGCATTGAAAGTAATGTATGACTTGAGAGTGTCCTTGGACAAGGTCTGCACCATGGCACGCAGTCTGCGGCGGTCGATCTTGGCAGACGAAGTGAACGGAAGGTTTCGCAGAGGGAAGAAGAGGCGAGGCATCATACTCTGAGGCAAAAGATCTGGCAAAGAGCTCTTCAACTTCTGAATAGCATCCATGTTGGAAACGGAGATGGGCAGAAGGAGGGGATCATCGCCAGATATGGTGGGAGTGAACTGATCGGTGCTGCCACCTTGGAAAGAATCTTGGTCATGAATGGTGAAGAAGGCTGCAAGACCCTTAGCGACGGTTCGCTCCTGGGGAATAACAACGTCAACGGCAACTTGAGAGCCCTCAGGCAGGCAGCGAACACACTGGTGTTCAATCTCCTCCAACTCGATGCGCTGTCCATTGAACTTGATCTGAGTGTCCTTGCGGGAGATGAAGGCAATAGTACCATCACTATTGTATCGGACCAGATCACCAGTACGGTACATGCGATCTTTGCGCTTAAACAGCCCTAGTAGCCCGTTGTGGTGGCTCCAGGTCGGATCATCCACAAATGCGGCTTTGGTCTTTTCTGGGTTGCCAAGGTATTCTCGAGCGATGTTACTTCCTTCAAGGAGCATCTCACCGACGGCACCAACGGGAAGCAGACGGTTGTAGTTGTTGGGATCGACAATCCACACTCTGCAGTTAGCGGCGGTACCAATGGAGGTTGGGTCATCGTTGACGCGTTTACCCTCCCAATCGACCTTGACACCGACTGTGGCGACAACAGTGGCTTCAGATGGACCGTATGCGTTGATAACAAACCGATCATGCCAGCGGTCAATGTGGTTTGCGGGCATCTTTTCACCACCAGTGATGATCGTCTTCAAGGTGGGGACAGTCTTCGGCTCCAAGGTATTGACGATTGCAGGAGGTGAAGACATGTAGTTGGCTTCCATGCGCCGAATGGCACCACCAAGGTTGTTCATCCGTTCTTCCTCGCTGGGCACACAAACACAACCACCGGTCATCAAAGTCATTATAATCTCAAGAACGCTGACGTCGAAGGTATAGTTGGAGAATTGAAGTGCACGAGTGCCAGAGTTCATGTGAAGAGCGTCCATCATGGCAATCGCGGTCGTACTCAAGGCAACATGCTCGACCACAGTCGCTTTCGGCTTTCCGGTGGTACCGGATGTGAAGATAGCATAGGCGGCATTTTGGGGGGTGGGTCGGACACCAGAAAGAGCAAGAGGGGATTCGGGAAGCTGGGAGATGGAGTTTTGGGAGACGCCAAATGCCTTCTTGCACAGCTTAGCAAGCTTTGGCTGAAGAGATGAGGAGCAGAGAACGAGATCGGCGCCAATCTCATCGATCAACATTTGCAAACGACAGTCAGGGTGAGAAGGATCAATAGAGACAAAAGCACCGCCAGCCTTCAGAACAGCCAGTTGAGCGACAACAGCCCACGCCGACTTCTCGAAACACAAAACAACAAAGACTTCAGGCTTGACTCCCGAGTTTGTCAAAAAGCGTCCAAGACGACTAGCAACTATTTCCAATTGGCCATAGGTGAAGTTTTTGTCCCAGGAGCAAACGGCTTCAGCGCGGGGATGAAGGAGAGCTTGCTGCTGGATGAGCTCGTCCGCACACCTATCCATTCTAGGTGGAAGAGTAGCATTCCAGTCACGAATTTGACGGCAGGACCTTTCGGGGAACAAATCCAGATCGCCGATGGTGCGGTAACGGGGGCTGGAAGACATCATGCCATTCAAAATGTGGTCGAAAGCATCAATAATGTGTGTGATTTGGGCAGAGGTGAGAGTATCGGAGGAGTAGGTGAAATGGATCTCAGCAACAGTAGTGGAAACAACAGCCGCTACAGCGATCTTGAAATCCTTGATTGTGTCCGAGTCGCCCGGATCGCCTTGGGGGAGGGAGGATGCAGTGCGGTAGGTGAGGAGAGTGTTGAAAAGACTAGCATCGTCAAGACCGAGGTGATGCTTGATGACAGCAAGATCAGCGAAGTTCTCGCGACCCTTCTCGAATTGGGCCTTGGACTGCTGGAGTGTCTCTTCCAATTTACGGTCGTTGCTCAGCATGAGACGGCAGACCGAGATGCATTGTGCGTCCGATTCCGTGGAGAAGCCAAAGCAGACATCGTCACAGCCGGTGTAGCATCGCAAGACAATACCCCAGGCAGTCTGGAACAATGTTTGAACAGGAACACCGGACATTTTGCTGAATGCATGCAACTTCTGCGTCTGCTTGTTGAGAGTCCGGGTTGAGCGTTCTAATTCCGTCGTGTCGTGGGAGATGGGCGGGAAGTTGCACGGCTCGACATCAGCGAGATACTCTTTCCAGAAGTTGATGTGGTTATTCGAGATGCCGGAACCAAAGGATGCACGGTTTGCGGCCCTGACGCCGGCCCAGTGTTTGATGCTGAATGATCGCAGCACGCTGTCGGGAAGAGCTTGAAGCGAAGCCCTCAGAGCCTGGTAGTTTAGCTTGCCAAATGCAGTCAAGGGAAGGGTGGAAACAGGGACATAGGCACTTGGAACCTTGCTGGCTGGGAGCTTGCTGGCCAGATGGGAATGCAGCGAGGCGATGATGGACTTCAACTCAGGCGCGGACTTGGGGATGAGTTCCTCATCAGGAGCCCCAGTCGCGGATCGCAATGATCCGATGAAGGCGACAATGCTGTCTGAAGAATCTCCTGATAGTCTCATGATGTCCACGGCACACGTTCGTTTTGGTCCCAGGAATTCATCCACAATTTGCTGTGTGACCATGCGATCGGAACACATGCTGCGAGGACTCTTTCGACCAAGGAAGACCAAAGAGCCATCGGCATTGTACCTGACAAGGTCACCGGTCTTGAGGAACTTACGGTTCTTGGCACCAGGGAAATCAGAAATCCATGCAGGCTTCTCGAAAAACTCGGACTCTCCATCCTTGGTGCCAGCTAGGTAGCCGCGAGCAACAACGGAGCCCTCGATAGCCAGTTCGCCCATTGCACCGATGGGAACAAGGGCATTATGGTTAGTCGGATCAACAACCCAGGAGACACTAGAGATTGCCGATCCAATGCAAGCCTCTGTCACCTGGCCGACAACCTTGCAGTGCATGGATGCCGTTGAAGCTTCGGTATTGCCATACAGAAGATGGACCCGGAGACTTACTGACGTCCAGTTCTGCAAGAGTCTTTCGGGTGCTGCTTCTCCAACAAAGGCCACGGTGTTGAGACTGGGAACATCTTTCGGGGTCATGAAATTGGCGACAGTTGGAGTGATGCAAGCCACGTTGGTATGTAGAACACTCATAGAAGCAGCGAGGTTGGCTGGCTCAACATCGGCGGGGATGCACAGACAACCGCCGCGGCTCAAAGTTCCCATGGTTTCAAGCAAGAACAAATCTGAGGTATGGGCAGCAAACTGCAGGGTCCGTGAGGAATCCGAGAGGTTGAGGCAAGATGCAAATGCCTCTGCGCGGGTCATAATGGTGCAATGCTCGAGCACAACGCCACGAGCACGGCGCGAAGTGCCCGAGGTGAAGGCAACATAGCCCGGATCAGACGAACCAGCTGTCACAGGGAGTGGCTCATCATTGAGATACTCCAGAAGAGACTCACTGACAGGGATGACATATGGAATAGTCTCCTCGAGAATCTGAGCCTTCTCAGGGGAGGCGAGAGCAACTTGAACAGCATTGTCAAGAACCCACTTCTCGATGAGACCCATGGTCTTTATGTCGTCCACAGGAATGCACCCACCACCCGCCTTCATGACAGCCAGCATGGCAACAGTATTCCAGACAGATTTCTCAAAGCATGTAGGGATCAGACTTCCGGGACCAACTCCAAAGGTCACAAGATAGCTGGCCAGTCTGGACGAGTACTGGTCCAACTTGGAATAAGTGAGATTTCCATCCCAAGCGGCGACAGCCAAAGAGTCCGGCTTTTGCTTAGCTACCTTATGGATGACTTCATACGTACACCGATCAACGTATTTGGGAGTCTTCTTGTTCCATGCCTGGATTTGAGCCTTGTTGGAGTCACTGACGCAGTCGAGTTGGCCGATCTGGCTCTCAGAATTGGTCAAAATGCTCTCAAGGCAGCGGAGGTATGTGTTCGCAACATTGCTGGCTTGGGCATCGGAGAGATTGGTAGTCCAGTAATTCAGGTCAATCCGAGCATTGGTGTCCATCGCCTCAATGTTGATGAAAACCGGGAACTCAGCTGGATCGTGGATGGAGCCAATCTCCACACACTCAATGTCGCTGCTGACAGCATCCTTGGCACCAGGTAGACGGCGATATGAGACGCCAGAGTTGAACAGGTTCGCATCTGACAGCTTAAGTGCATGCTGGATGTCGATGAGGGAAGTGTGTCGGTATGGGAGGCTCTCCATGTAGTCATTCTGGATTTGCTCCAGGACATCCGTGAGGAGGGAGTCGCCGGAAACTTTCATGCGACAGACCATGAGATTAATGACAGGGCCAACGACCCACTGAACGCCATCGGCTGGCACATCACGAAGAGAAGCCATGTAGCTGAAGCTAACATCATCCGAGCCACAGAACAGACGCAGGGTGACACCCCAGGCCGCATTGAATACATTGGACAGCGTGATTCCCTTCTTCTCACAAAGGCTTTGCAACTGAGTCAGAGAGCCAAAGTTAACAGGAACGGATCGGAGGCTCTTCTCGACAGGCTTCTCGCCATCCGTGAGAACAGGGAATAGACACGGCTTGGCGTCGGAAAGGTACGAGCGCCAGTAATCAATGCTAGCTTCCTGTGGCGCATCGAGCAGATATTGCATGTAGCCCTTGAACAATGGCCGTCTGCTTTCCTCAAGCCTGCCAGAATAAGCCAGCTGCAGGTCGCGCATCAGGATAGAAATCGAATTGCCATCCATGGCAGCATGGCTGAGTTCAATGCGGCAGAAGAGCTTGCCACAGGGGGTCTGACAAATACTGAACCTGTATGCAGGGGAAATCTCACTGTAATCCTTGGGTGTCTGAGCATCGAAGGTAGCCAAAACATCCTTCTCGCTGGAAGACTGGAGAATGACTGGAGAAATATCATACTCTTTCAGCACGACTTGGCAGAAGGGATCCCGAGGAGTAAGGTTCTCAGCAAAGATGGTCCGGAGCATTGCGTGGTGGGAGACGACATGTCGCCATGCCTCCAGCAGACGATCCATGTTTGGCTTAGTTGCTCCGCTGCCACGGATCTCGAATGTATCATGCACAGCATAGTAAGAGCTGTCCCTAGTGCGACCAAGGAGTATACCCTGCTGCATGCGAGAGCAAGGATAGATGTCTTCCATCATATCTGGGGAAGTGATACCAATTGCAGGCAACTTTTGGTTCAGCAACTTATCCAAGCTCTCGTAGTTCATAGACAGCATTGGGAAAGAGCTCAGCGTCAAATGAGGCGCCATTGCTGTGAGTTGCTCTGCCAGCGAAACCAGTTGCTGCTGGCAGTTGGAGACCCAATCATGGATGCGGTTCTGGTGCTGCATGAACTTGTTGAAAGAGAAGGTGAAGCGAATCTTGCCAGCAACAACCATGGCTGAGATTTCAAACAAACCGAACCGGGGCGTGTCCTTTCCGAAATCGGCAGCATCACTACCTTGACCCGCTTCACCGGCCATTTGATCCACAAGCTGGAATAGCCCATCGGTACGCTGGAGGTCACGGTGCTGGCCGACATAGTTGAAAGACATCTCGAATGGGTGTGGGTGGCGACCACTCTTCTTGCCTTCGAGTTGAAGCACACGGCTAGCAAATTCCGCCCGGCCATTGTCGGAGACACGTCGGCGAAGGTCCTTGACCTGGATGAGAGTGTCGATTACACTATCCGGCTTGTAATCCGAGATGAAGATCGGATGAAGAATAGTGAACCAGCCAACAGTGTGAGAGATGTCGATTGAGGGATCCCAGACTTCTCTGCCATGTCCTTCATTGTAAATTGTTGGCAAGGATCGATCGTTGAAAGACTTGCCAAATGAGTGGAGCATCGCGGCCAGGAACAGATCAAGTGGCTCAGTGTTCAAGGCTTTGTGGCATTCCATAATGATCGAGTTTGAGTGGACAGCATCAATCTCGAAAGATGCGCAGTCCACATCGCCATAGGTCGTCTGGCTATTCTTCAACCCCCAGTATCCAAAGTCGATAGCCGGCAGCTGATCGATTGCCGCCTTTCTCTCCTTGATCAAGTCCTTGCAATGTTCCTCCTGCAATTTGCACCAAGTCTGGAAAGGCAGAGATCCGTTCTCGCTCGAGGCCTTTCCAGGATTGACGAGGAAGTCTTCCAGATCTTCTAGGATAATTCTCCATGACACGATGTCGACCACAAGATGATGAGCAGTCAAAGACAATACATGGCACTTCTCCTGACCCTTGACGCGGAAGTAATCAGCGGCCAATAGGGGCCCAGAAAACGCGTTGATGCAACCTTGACTGCTTGCAATGAAGGTCTTTGTCTCTTCAATGGTGTTGACGCTATTAGTTCGGAGACGGAAGGAACCCTTCACGTCTTGGGTAATGCGCTGCTTTGAAGCCGTTGCGGAACCCGAATCATCGAACCGAGCGCGGAGCATGGAGTGACGGGAGACAAGTGTTTCAATCGCCTGGCGTAGGGTATGTTCATCAACAGGCTTATTGAGACGAGTGATAATGCCTTGGTTGAAGTGACCCTGACCTTCTTTCCGCACACCAAAATGCAGGACCTGGATGGGAGAGAGTTCAAATGGTTGGTCGACAGCCTCCTGGTATGTGGTCGCATGATCAATGGCTCGAGCCCGCGACGCCAGATCCCGAATCGACTTGCTGCGCAAAACTTCTTGAACTGAAAGAGCAAGGCCGCGTTTCTTGCACATTCCAATACAAGTCATGGCAGCAATCGAGTCACCACCCATGGCGAGGAAGCTCTCTTCTAGGCTGACGTGATTCTGGGGGATATTGAGAACGCGGCTGTAGACAGCGACCAAAGCCTCTTCATTCTCATTAGAAGGTTGAGATAATTCTCCTCGATGTTGAGGCGCAGAACCAGCCTGCGCAATATCGGGATCCTGCTCCATTTCGGCCACCCAGCCTGCAATGCCCTTTCGATCAAGCTTGCCAGATGGTAGCAAAGGCATGGCTTCGACACAGAGCCAGACCGAGGGCACCATATACGTAGGTAGACGTGCAGACAGTCGTTCGCGAATTTCCGGCACGATTTTCGATTTCTGTGTCAATGATAGCAAACGCAAGGGCTCTAAATCTGAGTCCGATTGTTCTGCAAGGAGCCCCACCGAGGAAATGACAGCTGCGAGCCTGCCCTTGGAGAAACCGGACTTGGGAAAGAAAACAGAACAATGCGTCACGAGAGTGTCCTTGTTCAATTGATTCTCAATTTCGCCCAGTTCGATTCGTTGACCATGAACCTTCACCTGGGTGTCTTTGCGACCGACGTAGTTGAGCGCACCCGTGTCGGAGTTGTACCTCACCAAATCTCCGGTCTTGTAGAATCTGCGGTTAGACCCTCTTCCAGCATCAAGCTTCACCCAGGCAGGATCGTAGATGAAAGAGTCGTTCGTTTTCTCGGGGCTGTTCACGTAGCAACGAGCGAGCGTCGGCCCTTCAAGAAGTAGTTCTCCAGGACAGCCCACTGGCACAAGTTCATCATGGTTTTCAGGATTGACCACCCATGAGCGAACTCCGATGGGTAGGCCGATATCTTTACAATCGGTGGTAGGTGTGACATTCGAGTTCAGCACGGATGCGACACTGGCCTCGGTAGGGCCGTAACCATTGACCAATTTGATTCTGGACCATGTCGCCAGTTGGGACTGGGACATTGCCTCGCCGGCCAAAACGAGACTCTGCAATCCGGGCACGCTGTCGATTTCAATAAAGCCGATGAATGACGGGGTAAAGCATGCTTGAGTGACCCGGTGCTCATTTATGAACCCCACAATGTCATTCAATCGTTGTTCCTCGCTAGGAATGCAGACACATGCACCGTGGATCAGGGGTGTCAGCGACTCAGCCAAACTGGCGTCGAAAGTATGAGCCGCAAATTGGAGGGCTCGTGTCTCACGGAAGACACGCAGACCAGGGCCATGCACCATTGCGCTTGACAAGAACGCGCGGTGCTCCAACAAGGTGCCCTGCAAAGCCAAAGTCAGTGCTCGCGTTCCTCAAAAATGTACCTTCTCACGAGGTCTGCGCATCTTGTTATCCTGTTCCATATCTGAAACCAGTTGAAAACATACCTTGGGCTCTCCCGTTGACCCGGAAGTGAACAAAACATAGGCGGCATTCTGGCTGGTAACACCCGATGCAAGGTCGACGCCCTCCGCAGGGTCCGATAGTCCTTCCAGAGTATCAGCGCAGAGTGGAATTAGAGTGTTCGCAATAGGTCGAAGAGCCTCGGCGCGCGATGGTGAACACAAAACCACTGCCGCCTTAACAGACTCAATTAAACGTTGCAAACGCGAGGTTGGGTGGGTCGGATCCAATGGGACGAAGGCGCCGCCCGCCTTCATCACGCCAAGCATCGCAACGATGTTCCATTTCTTGCAGCTGTCAGCGCCCGAGTCATCACACAATCACACACATATTCCCCCCACATAGCCCATTGTGTACTTCTGGACGGACCTGCATGGGATCTTTGGGACAATGACAACGACGATGATAAAACCAAGGCAGAACTCACCGATTTATCAAAGCAAAGCGCAACACGCACTTCAGGGCCAACACCCTGCATGCGGAGATGGCACGCGAGCTTCGAAGCCAACCCATCGAGCTCTGAGAACGTCAAACTTCCATCCCACGCACTCACAGCCTCTCTATCAGGGCCGCTCAGGGCCTGGTCATGAATGGCATCGTGAATGGTTCGATCGTACAGCTTTGGAGTATGCGAATTCCAGTGGCGGATGCGCTGCAAGTCGTTCTCCGAGAACAAATTAAGCTGGCTAATAGCGGTGTTCCCAGGTGAAAGCACTTGCGCAAGCATCTGCTCAAAGATGTTGGCAACGCTTTTCATCTGCTCCCCAGACATATCCCCGTTCCGCCATTCCAGGAAGAGGCTGATGTCGCGGCGCAACACCTTAACATGGAGGCGAACTTGGCACTGCACCCGATTCAACCGAAGATTAGCAAATATGATCTCTTGACATGCAGCATACAGAATCGGAGCGGTACGATATCGGACCAGCATATGCAGGAAGCCGACCACGAAATGAGCAATCAAAAACAAAGAGATACAAACGAACCTGGTCGGGGAGAGCGGTTGCCAAAATTGGTTGTTGGGAAAGTGGCGATGAGGGTGTATCGTTCGCCTTGCGATATGTGCGCAGCATCAGGATGGTGTTGAAAGGCAAGTAGCCTCCCTCAGAAGCGCCCTCATCGCTTCCCGCACCCCCACGCTGCGAGTCGACTCCATCGTGGTCTCGCACTTTATCTACAATTTCCTGAATGGAGTCGTTCTCGTTGATGGCCAGCCGGAAAGCTAACAGATTGGCGATACTCGACCGCTGTACAGGGTGTCGAGAAGAAATAGAGTCGCCGTCGATGTGTTGATAGCCGAAGCAGATATCCTCGGAGCGGATATAGTAGTGCAATACCAGGGCCCAAGTGGTCTGCAATAGCGATTCCAGTCGCCCTTCGTGCCATGCGGTTAATAACTGCGCATGTTGCGAAGGCGTCGGTCTCGTCTTCATCGAAATCGGGCGTTTTGGCCCGTCGATCGCCGGAGTGAAGCGAGGCAGATAGCAGTGAGAAGAATTAGCCATAATGATGGTTTTTGGTAGTCGTAGAAATAAATGCTGGATGCTATGCTGTCGGATAGAATAATGCGAGTGTGGGAAAGAAAAATGCTAAAGGTCGGTCTGGACTTTTGGCTGTACGATAGCGCTGTATAAAGGGAGGTTCGTCGCGGTGGCTCGATCAAGAACGAGAGACGGACGGACAAAGACACACGGAATCGTGTGGAGAGCCTTCAATTAAGATTGGAATTAGGGAAGGAATCAATTAAGAAAAAAATCCAAGTAAGAGGAAGAAGGGTATCTCGCACTGAGTGGCCCACGAAGTCGGATAGTCTCAGATATTTTAAAAGAGCAGACGGGTGTATTTTTCCCAGCCTGCCAACCAAAATAGTTACGCCATCAGTCATCGGGACTACAGATGCATGGCCATGCTCCAGCTCGTTCACAAACGTCGCTACGCAGTCTACGGATGTACAGGTACCATAGGTACCAATAGATACAGTGCATGTTGGGCACATTGCCTCGAAGGGAGGGCAACATTACAGTAATACAGACAAGACATCACTCTCATTAGCCCCCAATAGCATGACACCGCTGGGTGGGCAACTGGCAATTTCGGGATCCCCCATGTATCTTCCTTGCATGGGTTCGGATCTAGATGATGAAGGGTTGGAGACGCCACGCTGAGTGGATCTCATCCTGCTGGGCCCCCCCTGTGGAACCAGGTCAGACACTACCAGAACGAATCCTCTCGGCCTTCTCTTTCTTTTTTCAAGGAGAATTTTTTGTGACAAGTTTTCTCTGGTTGCTTTTTGGTCGTACTGCTACTACCAGTGACAGCCTTTGCCCTACACCGAGAAAATGATACCGAAGTATAGCCCAAAGAAGCAAAATACACGGACAGTTCCATCTGTTCCGTTTAGCGAACGTTCTGCCTTCTTTTCATGGGCCAGGCTCTGATCTGATTACTACCATCGCTGAACACTTTTGTTCCTTTTTACGATCCTTTTGGCCACCAATATGTTCCAATTAGTTATATTCAATATGCAATTTCCCGATTCAGATGCCCTAAATACGGCGCTCCAACGTGGTTCAGCAAGGTGGCTCTGCCAGGCCATCAAAGCCGCGCTCTCCATTGGACCCGCCTCGTAAAATTGATGTCAAAGGGCGCGGTATTTGTGATGCAATATTCCCTCCGCATGTTCTACTGAATCGGTAAATTTTCCTTGCAATTGAGGGGTGCTTCGCTCATTCCACTTCGGTAATTGCCAGCCAGATGATGATCGCATAGGGATGATGACAGACCGGCTAGTGCATGGCATTGAGCGTGGAGAGCATTCCTTCGAGATCGAGATTGAGACGGGATAACCTCATCCTGTCCCGATCAGCAGGGTCTGATATAGACTTTGCATTGCAGTCCGTGGGTCCACTGGGAGGCCTCACGAGTTCTCGTGAGGTTATTACCTGGACCCTTGAAGTTACACCGACTGGGTGGAAGCGCCCAAGATGCATTCCTGCACACATGGCGAACCTCCACCAACTCAGAGATCTCTCATTCACTTGCTTATTAGTAATTTAGCTGCGACTTTCAGGCCCAAGAGTTGCTGTGGCTGCGGCTGCAGCCTGTGCAGTACACGAAGCATAAGGCTCATCAGAATCGGCAAGGTTCGAGCCCGGACGGGGAGACTGACCAAACGATTTACCGCGCATTTCAGGAACTACTACTCCGCACACCGCGCCTCGGGGTTAAGAGGGGCTGATGGTGATCACGATCGGGAGCTCCGTGCTATGTCTCCGTTTTGTCTCGCATTCCCTCCCCTTTCTGCCTGAGAAATTGCAGTGCGGACTGAAAACCGGTGGATAGTCGGTAAGCATGAGCTGTAATCGCTTAGATGAGATGATTTGTACGTGGCTTTGGTTGTAATCTTGATGAAAATTCTCTATTTTAGGGTGTTTCTGAACCATACATACGATACGGCGATGCAATCTGATATTTTTAAGTGGAGTGTTACTCTGAATGATCTAAGTCTATTCCTTTGGGTTGAAAAGCGAGTGCCGAAATCCAGTAATGTTTTCTTTTGCCCCTAACAAAAGCGGGTTCGGGGCAACACTAGTGGTTGGCGAGCAAGTCGGGACATTACTCGGATAATGTAGCCAGCCTGGGAGGATATCAGATTCAGGATGAAGTAACCATAAGCCAAGCAATGAATGCGATTGGCCGCAGTGCCAAGGCAGAGTGGAGGGCTAGTCCCACCAAATGAAGTACAAAGCATAAATCTAGATTCATACAACTGTTCTCAAGCATATCGACCGCCTGTGCCTTTCAAGGTCTCCATGTCTCTTTCGTAGTATCTCAATGGACTCGAGGCTTTGTGGTGGAGATGAGGGCGAAATTCATGGCGCCAACGGACATAAACGAGGAGGTATTCAAGCCACTGACTCTGCTCACTGCTCAGTGGCGCCCAGTCTTTCCCAGTTGAGAATTCTGCAAGGGATATTTTCCAAGGAAGAGGTCAAGGGGAAAAAAGCAAAAAAAGGGCTCGTCAAGGCAAGACAGGGAGGATCGCGGGTCGATCCGATGGGGGCCACCCGCTTGGATCGACCTATCAGATAGGGATGCTAAACTTGTCGACGAAGGGGAAGCAGCAAGTACTGTACCTTCGGGTGGTGGAGAAAGCTGTTGTTGAGTTGCGATCAATTTGCACCATTTACTTACAGTATGATTATTATTATTAGTGACTCGCATGATTTCTGTCTGTCAATAACGCCTAAGTTCCCCCTTTTTTAGCATTATGGTTTCTCCTGGTCTCCTTGGACTACACGTCAGATTATCAGATTATCCATCAATCGATAGTGCATTTTAGTGAAGGGATCTAAATGACAGCAGAACAATGGACATGTATACACACACTACGATCCATAGTCCATTACAATTAGTTATAATTTAAATTTTCCCATGAGTAAGCCTATGAGGACTGTGTAAACAGTGAAACCTTTAGGATTAATTCAGCTAAAGACTCACTAGCAATACCGCCCCAACAGCTCGGGGCAGCTAGGAGTTCTTCTCCCCGGTCGCAACACCTCGCTTACCAGGGATCCATCGTTTTTGCTTCTTCACGTAACATTCCGAGAGACGCGACAAAAGCATGGTTCAGTAGTGGAGAGAATGTCATACGCTGCAAATTTCTCCGTCCATGTGTGTGGCAGCCGGTAGTTTTGTATTTCTTTTTGGCCATCGTTTGCCGGTTGATCGATCATGCTTCCTTGTTTTTCACGATCTAATTTCCCGCTTCGTGTGATCGTCGATGAAGCAAACAAGGTCCGATGTTCCAGAACGCCCACTTGTGAATCCTATGATTGGCTTCAACGATGCCAGCCCCATTTACCTCCCGCAAAGTGGCCAACCCCTGTCCGGGAAGACACGCCGACCGTCTAAGGATAGCCAGGTTGGCCGTTTGACGGTGGATGAACAACCGAGCCAGGTCAAACACGATCCACTGGGTCCGCTCATCAACCGGATAAACTCAAGAACTGTCTGAAGAAGTGGAGATAGTCACTGAGGGTGCCATGGTGGCTGCCGGGGGCTAAGCCAGGATAGCGCCGACATTAGTGGTGAATCGTCAAGATCGAATGAACCACTCAAGATGAGGATTTCCGGTGGAGGCACCGGCTCTACGATCGAACTAAACGGAAAGAGAACAAATTTGACGAGCCCTGACCAGGGCCAACGCCAGCTAAGCCAACTAGACCGACTCTCCCGCCACTAACGAGTCTAATGCCCGTCAACCGGTTGGGCTCCTCCAATAATGCCTCTGAATCCCAGTCAAGCTAGAGACTAGTCGCGCACCACCACAATTTGCACAGGACAGCAGGCGCCCGACGCTAAATGCTATTGTTATGATGATCGACTGAGGCACGCCAGCATGACAGGTCATCTCCGATCTATCTATCGCTCGGTTCGCGACCCGAGCTAAAGCTATCGGCTATTGATTAGATGAACTTGTTCGCGGACTCGGTAAATAGGTCAAGAGCCTTCTTTATATTGTTCCATTGTTCAAAGGGTATCAGAAAATCTGGGTCAGGGGCAAGCTGTGGATTGCAGATTTGGAATTTCCTGTGTCTGGTGGGTCTTTTTCTGGGCCTCTGGGATGAAAAAAAAAGTACGAAGCTGCACCCACTTCCAGCCTCGCCACTCCATCAACCTCGCTGCTTGTCGAGAAAAACCGGCTCATCCTGGTCATGCTGCATAACCCTCGCTTTGCCAGGTTGCTTCCGGCACGGTTGCTGTAGGTACAGGCCCTGGAACATGCACAGCGGGCTGACTTTCCACGGGGAACTGCCACGGGGAACCTCCCACGTCGTCAGGAAATCATGGCGCTCGTCATGCCGGTTGACATTGAAATGGATCAGGTTTAATTTTCGTCCGACGGTCTTGTCCGGAGGCATTTGGACTAGTAGGAGTTGATCCGTGGCCGAGCAGCAAAACATTTCGATTGAGCTATATCCATCGATATTCACACTAAAATAGCAAAACCCACAACGAGGCTCCAATCTTCGAGGATGAAAACCAGTAAATAGTGGTCAGTTCTCCCGTCGCGACAAAAGCAAAACCCGGACATGACAGGTGGAGATGGCCAGTGGAGACGCGCCCGGACACGATCCGAGGGCATACACTACTAAAGTATAGTTCATTTGTGCACGAAGGCATGGTAGAAGGCGAGGCCGACGTCAACATAACGACAGTATCCGCAAACTACCACAGGCCAATGATTATTCTAGTCTGACATTGGCCGGGAATGTTGTTTCTCAACAAACATATTACTACCAGAATATATCGTACATGCCACCCTATCCAGACTATCCTTCAAGGAGAGACCTACATGTCCAAGATGTCGTGTCTGCGAGTTACCCGAGGGCTGAAGTTGTCGTTGTGCAGTCTAAGATATATCCATCTCAGATGAGCTCTAAGTCTCTCACCGGTTGTACAGCCAGACAGCCAGATCCATGGCCTTGGGCATCATTCTATCTGACTTCCCCTTCCAAGTCCATGCGGTCAAGGAAGGTTCACAAAAGAATCATTTTCCGTCAGCTGCAGTGTTTCAAAAAAATTCGCGTCAGCAGTCATCTTTCAAGAGTCATTTCCCAGGGATCCTCCATCATACAGATGGGAGGCGCCCTCGCATGAAGGTAGGTTCTCATTTGAGCCTGAGGAGCAGTAGGTCCTGGGGGGTAAACCCGAAAGGGAGAATAGAATTAAAGTAGAAAAAAAAGATTTCACCGTCTTTACAGTCGTTTTAAGGCCATTGGCTCTGTTCTATGTATATTTGTCCCTGTAATGTTACACAGTCTGTCCCTCGTGTTGGTCGGTCGATCGATCCGCTCTGGTGCGTCGCGAGGGCTTTCACTTGACTCCAGGGGGCGAAGCTCTATTGAGGGTGCTACATCCCCCACATCCCTAAAGGGGAAAGGTCAGAACTAGCTGCCCGAAATGATATAAAAAAAATCAAGATGGGAAAAATAAAATCAAGGTAAAAAAATAAAATCAAAGTAGTACCTTGGTTCTTTGAATGATTTAGCATGAGAAAAACACCCAATGGTTACCCACTCGGGTGTTTTCTGCGAAAATAACATGGAATTACGCACTACACCATTGTAAAAAAAGGAAATTAGAAGTAGGAACCATGCCATCGGTGGCACGGATTTCGACCAGAGGGACCAGACCCTCGAGACTCTCATAGGGCATGCCCAGTAACAACATTGTAAGAGGGTTGCATCTGGACAAGCCCACTTGCTTGCAGGGACCCAGTGGTACCCAGGACGAGACAGGAGCGGAGGGGAGATGAAAGGTCCATAGGAGCTCAGGAGCGTAGGTATACCCATTCTCCTGGATGCAGTAGTAAGCTCCTCCTGCACAGAGGGATGCGTACTAGCAAAGACCTGGCACCTTGGCCCGTCCCTATGTACATATGCCGTGCCTAAGAAAGCACCTTTTTGGATGAATCAAATCTTGACCCCAAGATTCCCCGAGTTCACCCCCCTAATGTCATGATCTCTCCAACCCAACATCCATCCTACTAATCTAACTACTCGACATTCGTGGCCCTCTTTTTTGACTACTTTCTCTCCAACCCCCATCTTCTTGACTGCATTGATGGTAGCTGGAGGGTATAGTCATGGCCACCTCTAGTTCTTCGAGGCCTTCGTGCCGCGATCTAGACAACACAATGCGCGTGGATGCGGGTTCATGTCGCGGGGGATTTGACTTTTCGCTTTTGTTCGAGGAGGCCATCCTCAGTCTTCTTCCCATCGCATTGATCTCAATTCTGGTTCCATTGCGAGTATGGCAGCTTTCGCAGAAACGACGTAAAGTTGTGGGCTCATGGTTGCTTCCAATCAAACTTGTAAGTCGGCCTCTTGTTGATTCCGGTTGAGACTATAACGCCTACAAACTTTGTGGCGGTCAATCTAGAGATTTATTGCATTTCTAACGAGATCTTTGTCGCAGGCCGCTTGGGTGTTTTTTGTTGGACTCGGAATTGCGCAAACCGTCCTGTGGGCTTTGCCCACCGCCGATAAAAGCAAAGCTTCCATTGCGACTAATGCTGTGCTCACCGTTGGGGCGTTGATGCTCTGCACTCTCTCTTATGCGGAGCACACGCGGTCTGTCCGACCATCATTCATTTTAAATACGTACCTGCTCTGCAGTCTGCTTTTCGATATCGCGCGGGCCAGAACGCTATGGCTCAGGGCTGCGGATGGGTTTAATGAAGTCATCGCAATTGTCACTACCGTTGCGGTAGGATGCAAATTGCTTCTTGGAATTCTGGAAGCTATTGAGAAGCGTCATATTCTGAAGACTGAGTTTGCCGGTTACCCACCAGAAGCTACAGCTGGCTTCTACAACCGATCGCTCTTTTGGTGGTTGAACCCGCTCTTCAAGAACGGCTTCAGCAACATTCTTTCTGTGGAAGACCTTTTCGTTCTGGACAAGGAGTTGAGCTCCGAGAGACTTCTGGCTATGTTTGAGGAGAGATGGAGCAAAGGTAATGACAATATGACTATCGATACATTTCATCATTCAAAGTGGGCTAACCGTCTCCAGTGAAATCCAAATCTCCAAACACCTTGCAATTCGAATCGTTCAAGGCTGCCAAGTCGCCCCTTTTGGCAGCTGTTCCGGCTCGCGCATGTGTCGTTGCTTTCAACTTCTGTCAGCCATTGCTTCTGGCTCGATCACTCTCTTTCTTTGATGAGCCCTTGAACAACGCCACCAACAATGTTGGATATGGGCTCATCGGCGCCTACGTCTTGGTCTACACTGGCTTAGCTGTGAGTATTATCTGTCCGAACACTTCATAGACAGTTCTTAACAGTATGAAAAGGTCTCTATGGGTCAATACCAACACAACACGTATCGAGGCATCACCATGGTCCGTGGTATCCTTGTCACGATGCTTTACAAGAAAGCTAGCAGCCTGAACCTCAACGAAGCTGACCCAGCCAGCTCTCTCACTTTGATGAGCGCTGATGTGGAACGAATTACTCAGGGCTGGCAGACCATGCACGAGATTTGGGCCAACTCCGCTGAGATTGGTCTGGCTATTTATCTGCTAGAGCGACAACTTGGAATTTCTTGCATTGTTCCAGTCTGTGTCGCTCTGGTGGCACTAGTCGGATCTCTCATTGGAATGTCTTTCGTGGTATCTCGACAAGCCAAGTGGCTCGAAGCCATCGAACGGCGCATTTCGTCTACTTCGGGCATGTTGGGTTCCATCAAAGGCGTCAAGATGCTCGGCCTGCAGGATTCATTCATGAAATTTGTACACGGCCTTCGCATTGACGAGCTGGAGATCTCGAAGAAGTTCCGTACTCTTTTGGTGTACAACATGGGCTTCGCGTGGTTGACTCGCATCTTCGCCCCGATCTTCACCTTTGCCGTGTATGTTGCCATCTCGGATTCTACATTGAATGTTTCTCGAGTTTTCACCTCCTTATCGCTCTTTTCACTCCTGTCTGATCCCCTTCTTACGCTTGTCATGGCCTTGATGTCGTTTGCAGGCTCAGTTGGATCATTCGCTCGAATCCAGGAGTTCCTCGACAAGGAGGATCATTCTGACCAGCGACGCAATACTCCTCAAATCCCATCTCTCGAAGATCTTGGCGATGCCAAGCTCCTTTCCAAATCTGGTGATCTGGATTTGGTTTCAAGCAACTCCGGCTCAGTTGAGTCCTTGAAGCGCGGCTCCACTTCTTCCTTCTCGTCTAATGCCGCTATAATCCAAAATGCCACCTTCGGATGGGATGCTGAAAAGGAGGCTATTTTGAAGGACATTAACTTGACTCTTCCTCGTGGCAGCTTCACTATCCTCATTGGGCCTTCTGGCTGTGGTAAATCAACGCTTCTGAAAGCCCTTCTGGGAGAGATCCGTTGTAAAGAAGGCAAGGTGGAATTGACTTCATCAAGCGTGGCCTTCTGCGACCAGACGCCCTGGCACATGAACGGCACTATCAAGGACAGTATTGTCTCCATGTCAGAATACGATCCAAAGTGGTACTCATCCGTCATCCAAGCATGTGCGCTGGAAGAAGATCTCTCACAATTCCCTCGTGGTGACCGAAGTGTCATTGGAAGCAAAGGTGTTGCTCTCAGTGGTGGCCAAAGCCAACGTATTGCGCTTGCCCGTGCGGTCTATGCCCGAAGAAAGATTATTATTTTGGATGACGCTCTTAGTGGTCTTGACGCCATGACTGAGAGTCACATTTTCCACCATCTGTTCGGAAACATGGGTCTCTTGAGAGAGATCGGTACTTCTGTGATCGTCGCTTCATCTTCTGTCAAGCGTCTGCCCTATGCTGATCACATCGTTGTATTGGACAAGACCGGTCGCATCTCTGAGCAAGGCAGCTTCAGCGCACTCAACAAGTCCGGTGGATACGTCTCCAGCTTTGACTTGGGTGCACCGGACTGGGACTACAAGCCCAAGAGGTTCTCCGCGTCCCCGAGCTATAGCACTGTCGACTCTGTTGAGAAGGAGAAGGAGGCCATCATCCCTGAGCCTGAGCATCGTGACAGTGGAGGCGATCTATCCATCTATACTTACTACATCGACGCAATTGGGTGGCTACCTGCTTTTGTCTTCATGGTTGCCATGGCCATCTTTGTCTTCTGCATCTCGTTCCCCAGCATCTGGCTGAAGTGGTGGGCCAACTCCGACACTGCAGAGCCCAAGCAACACATTGGGTTCTACCTTGGTATCTACGTTATGCTCGGCTGTGTCGCCATGATTGCTTTGATTGTGGGCTGCTGGCAAATGATCATTACCATGGTTCCCAAGTCTGGTGAAAGCTTCCACCGCAAGTTGTTGAAGACTGTTCTCAGCGCACCGATGCTGTTCTTCTCAACAACAGATAGTGGTAATATTCTCAACCGATTCAGCCAGGACCTGCAACTGATCGACATGGAACTTCCGATTGCTGCCATCAATACGGTCGCCACTTTCTTCCTCTGTCTTGCTCAGATGGCCCTTATTGGCGTCGGCTCTAAATATGCTGCGATCTCGTTCCCCTTCGTCCTTGGACTTCTGTTTCTCATCCAGAAGATGTATCTGCGCACTTCTCGGCAATTGCGTTACTTGGATCTTGAGGCTAAGGCGCCTTTGTACTCCCATTTCACCGATTGTCTGCAGGGCCTGGTTACACTTCGAGCCTTTGGCTGGCAGCATGGCATGGAGATGAAAAACATCGAGCTCCTGGATTACTCGCAACGGCCGTTCTACTTCATGTTTGCGATCCAGCGCTGGTTGACACTATCTTTGGATCTTGTCGTTGCCGGTATTGCGGTGCTGCTGATTGTTTTGGTGGTTGTCCTCCGTGGAACCAGTCTAGGCGCTGGATCCGTTGGTGTTGCCCTGCTCAACGTCATCCAGTTCAGTCAAAGCATCAAGCTGATGGTGACCTTCTGGACCAACTTGGAGACCCACATTGGCTCTATTATGCGTGTGAAAGAGTTCACTCAGAATGTCGATTCCGAGGATCAGCCTGGAGAGGACGGTGATATCCCTCCCGACTGGCCATCGAATGGAGCAGTGTCTTTCCATTCGGTATCTGCGGCTTACAGGTACGCTTTCCATCATAATTTTCTCGTCAGATCCGATCATGCTAACAGCTCATCTAGACCCTCGGAGCCTGTCCTTAATGACGTATCGCTATCCGTCGCCGCAGGAGAGAAAGTTGGAATTTGTGGACGAACTGGAAGGTAAGAAGCCTCTACTCACTATTAGTCACGATTTGTCTCATCCTAACTATACCAAAACTATAGCGGCAAAACGTCTATGATCATGAGCCTCTTCCGGATGATCGAACTAACAAGCGGCATTATCACCGTAGACGGCGTTGACATCACCAGCCTCCCTCGTCGCGAAATACGCTCACGCATCAACGGAGTCTCGCAAGACTCACTGCTTTTCAAGGGCAGTGTTCGCCTCAATGCCGACCCCACAGGCTCGCGCACCGACCGAGACATTCGCAACGCGCTCAAGAGCGTACAACTTCTCCCTGTGATCCTCGAAAAGGGCGACCTCGACTCGGACATGGATGAGATCTACCTGTCACATGGGCAAAAACAACTATTCTGTCTTGCCCGCGCGCTCCTTCGCCAGGGCAACATCCTGATCCTCGACGAGGCGACCAGCAAGTGAGTACAAATCCCATTTGTTGATCTTCCCCCTGACGTGGTTCCCTCGCATCGACTCATCTCTACCTTGTTTCTTTTTTTCGGAATTTTTTTTCTTGTTTTCTTTTTTCACTCCTGTCACTCCCCCTGCATAAGCGGCCTGATCCGAGCGCCACATTACGCTCGGATCGACTATACGGCGCGCTACCCAAGAGACGACGAGTCGAGCACACGTACCTTGATCACCCCTTGCAGCCTTACAACAACGCCACATCAGGTACCCAAGAAATTTACTAACAAGTCAATTTCAAACAGCATCGACACCAAAACAGATGATATCATGCAACGCGTTATTCGCGAGAAGTTCTGCAACCACACCATCATCGCGGTCGCGCACAAGCTCGACACTATCCTCGACTATGACCGCGTTGTGGTGCTAGATGCCGGCCGGATCGTCGAGACCGGAGAGCCATACGCGTTGCTCACAGATCCGAAATCGCATTTCGGTCGACTATATGCCAGCTCTATTACGACCGAGGACACATAATAAGTAGATCCAATGATAGTCGTCCTCGGCTTGTGTTTATTTTGTTTCTGTCTACTCTCTTTTATCCCATTGCATTGCACAGTTTGAGCATTTGGCATTGATTGACCAAGGCCAAGTTTGCCCTGGCGCGCTTATCGAATTCCAATCCTTCATGGTACATATCGACTTCAACATACGAATTTTGTTTGCCAGGCCTTTTTGATTATATGCTCTTATTTTTGATTTCTATCATTTTGATCCTTTTCTTGACTCTCGTTCATCCCAGTTGCAAGTCTGGTTACTTCTTACTCTCCTTGACTCCTATTGATTTTTTACTTGGGCCGTACCTACGGCGGATGGATAGAATTGGGTGGTTTGTCGTTGTATTAGGCATAATTATGCTCATGCCCTCTTACTCTTAATGATAATCAAAGGAGTAATTTGAATGTCAAATAAATTATTCGACTCAAGTTCTATCTCCTAAACGTCTAAGCTCAACGTGGATGTAGTCTTGGAATTTTTGGTTGCAATTTTCAAATTTCAACGGATGAGGCTTTCAGTCTGCTGGCCAAGAAAGCTGTCGAAAAAAAATTAATTCTCTCGTTGTTGAATTAAGATGACTCCTCTACCTATAGGCTTTTGTTTCTTTGACTATCTGGTCATTCAACTAGAATATGTTGGTTGCTTGGGGACTCGGCACTCTGCCTTCAGCTGTATTGCCGAACCACCGGGATATATATCTTGCACCAGAACCATGGATGCAGGCTCATCACAACCACATTACCACTGAGACCACATGGAATCGATCTAAGTGGATCGACCCACAGGTTATCAAACACCAGGGACCAGGGTACCATTGAAGCAGTCTAAACGTATGTACTTTTATGTCTAATGCGAAAATGGCATTTTGATAGACATGGGCTAGCCCTGCTACTTACCGACGTAGGGCTACAGACTAGCATTCCGCCTCGAGTCTCGACCAGCCTCTACCTAAATGGGAATGGATCTCCATTCGATGGATCTCCATTCGATGGATCTCCATTCGATGGATCTCCATTCGATGGAATTAACCCAAAAGGTTTGGCGAATACCTCCGAGCTACCTATTGGGTAGGACTCCTAGGAGACCAGTAGGTGCAGGAATACTTCAATCATTAGCGTAAAATATTTAAAAATTTAGGCAGGCAAGACAGAAAACTAAGATGGGAAAACAGTCCAGATCCTATTTTGCACCACATCCGTATAGATGAGACTACCCTATGGAAGAAAAGATCAAAAAACTAATCAGGCATGATGCCCGCTAAACTCCTCCTCGACCTCCCGCCACGAAAAGACAAAAAAGGAAAAGAGAGTACAAATGGGAAAGAATCTCCTAGCGGTCCCCGTCAACGCTATGACAGAACCATCGTGTCATCATTATCGACTTCCTCGTCTTCATCGCCCCAAAAGGCCAAACTCCCAGTCACCGCGCTCTATACGGCTGACACGGTCGAGCTCGGATTGATACTCGCGACGAAGGTGGTCGAGGGTAACAATGACCCTTTCTTGGGGGGCTCGACTTGAGGTTTGAAGGATACGCTGGGGCGTCTGCCGCTGATTGAGGAGCGACTGTCTCTGCGAACGGTGGGTCTGATTGAGGCTCCGCTTGAGGATCTGCGTCTAGCTTCAAAGGGAGTGGGGGATGCCACATCCGCATCTTCCATGAAGACGTTGCCGTCATCATCTGCCTGTCGGCGATTTTGCTGTGGAGATGGCGTGCCTGCAGAGAATGATGCGAGTGGGCCAGTTTCGACAAGAATGTAGGCTTCGCCCTTGTCAACGGAGGCGAGCAGGTTGATCAGCGACAGTAGCTCGTGGCGGATCTCCTTACTCTCAAGGTCATCTTCGGGTACACCGGTGACCTCGACTTCTCTCCTGCTTGTGCGGACAAGAGCGGATGAAGGTGCGTCTCTTGCCTTGCGCAGACGTTGTACGTTCCGGTAAGCAATCTCAGCAGCACCGCGATAGTCATTGCGCGCGATGCGATATGCTTGCAAGATGCGGGTGTAGTCGGTGGATGAGGCGTCAACCTCGTTGTTGTCTATATCGGTCCACGAGGTGAAAGCGATCTGCTTGTGGGCAAGAGAGACGAGAACCTCATCAACATGAGAAGCAATGTTGGGCACAAGCGCAGTAGGGAAACGGAGGATCTGCTTGATTCCAGCAGCGCCGGGTCCAGACACGGCAAGAATGCTGGTGATGAGAGAACTTAGAGCGGACCTCTGTAGGGCAAGGTCCTGGTACCGGGCCAGAGCGGAGTAGGCCTGGTCGAACTGACAGGTCTTGATGGATGCGTGGAAGAGGCGGGAGAGCAAATCGGTTCGCATGCTCGTGTACTCGGGGTCGTGCTCGGCCCAGGCCTCCGAATCGAGGGCCTGCAGCGCCAGGCTAGCAAATTCCGCGACATGGGAGAACGAGCGTACTTGCTCAAAGACTGAAAGGATGTGCTGGTAATACTTCGGGATACCATTGTGGAAGCAGTTCACGGAAACAAGGTCCAGGAGGGTTGATGACATTTCGTGCAGGTTACCTAAGGGCTTGCCACAAGCTACAAAGGGAGTGTTAGTAAGGGGAATATCCATGTTCAGGTCCAGGGAGTTCAACTTACACAGAAGATAAGCCGCCTTGCGGAAGTAAATGGCTGCAATGTCAAACTCGGCCATCGCCACATGCAGGCGGCCCTTGACATAGGTTGCCCAGGATGTGCTTGCCTGGAAACGCAGGAAGTCCCATGCGAGATCAATATCGTTCTTAGCAATAAGGTCGCACTGAATGTAGGCCAACGCGTTCGGATAAGCCACTTCACCAGGTCTCGTAACCCAAGCCAGGACATCCCTGATCCCGAGAGTCAGGGTATAACTCTGCGGCACGCCAATCGCTTGACGTGGCTTGATGTCTGTGACGAAGAGGTCTTCCAAAATGGTCGCCGTCCGCAAATTTTTGTTCTGGTTTGACTTCTTTTCCTTCAGAGAGAAGACCGGGGTCGACGCCTCCGCGCCCGTATTGGCGGCACGGTCCGGGCATTTCCGGACGTTCGAGATGAGCCAATAAATCATTTCGTACTCTCGGAGTGAATGAATGAGTGTGGAAAACAGATCGGCAGCGTCGAAGTTTGAGCGTTCACCCTGTTCAATCTCGCCGTCCACAAAGGTGACCAAGATCAACAACTCATAGAGGATCTGACGCGTGAGCACAACTGTCTCGAGTGCACCGCTCACGGCGACACGAGAACCGAAATATGTGGAGAGAAGTCCTGAGTCCTTGGCACTGAACCCAGAAGGAATAGTGTCGATGATAGCATAGAAGGGGTCCCCTGACAAATTCTCAGCATCTAGGTACTCATTCAGCGCTGCAACTAGACCTTCAAAAGTCTTGTTGGAAATCCGGTCACCAAATTCGCAGCGCTCTCGGAAACTATCCATGCGGTCGACAATAGATGACGAGGGTTCGCTGAAAATTTCGACTTCGAGGGCAGCCCGGCATGCGGCATCGAGCTCCGCAGAGAACTTCTTTCTGAACTCCGCAGCCACCTTCATCAATGAAGAAGCTTGTTCATATAGGTTGCCAAGCTCAGTATGAAGATTGCGGTGTCTCCATCGATCCACGATCTTGGGAGCTTCCTCGCGTAGGTCAGAGCTAGAGTTGTGTAGGAGCAATTCGGCAGTATTGCACTCTCGTACCACTGCGCAGGAATCGGAGAGAAGAAGCCAAGGCATTTCGTTGAATGAGTCGTAAGCAAGGGAAACAGGTTCGAATCTGCGCTTGTTGAGGTCTTCGGCAACTTGCCAGAATTGACGCCACTTGGCATCTGTGTCCATCCGGAATCGAGCATAGTCCATCTCATCCTCGGTGTATTTGCGAAGGGAGACGGTCGCTGCAATGGTAGAGCAAAGCCTCTCCGCCAGCGGTACATCCTTCTTCAGGACTCCAGATGAGGTTGAAGACAACGGCCTGAGCGCCTCCTGATAGACCGCCAAAGCAGTCTCGAGAACTTCGGGTAGGTATCGAGTTGGGTGCAAGAGGTAGGCAAGCCACTTCTCTGTCGGATCCTCGACATCTTCAAGGGTTGGCGCGGGTAGTGGCTCTTGTCGGTGAGTTTCAAATGCTGTTGAAACCCAGTTGTTGGACCAGTCCGCCACCAGGGTTTGCAAATCAAAGTGAAGGGTATAAAGTTGATAGAGACCATGGTTTCTCCATAATACCCACAACTCCATTCCCTTTCCTTCCTCCACCGGCTTGACCTGGAAGTCCGCAATGCTCCAGAACATGTTGCCCGTCACATCTGGGTCAACAGGTCGGAAGACTGCATCGGCAAAGAGGTCCTCAATAACAAGATCAGACGTCAAACCACCCTTGACAGCCCAGAATTTAAAGCGTCCTTCCTCGAATGGAGAGTATGTGACGACGTAGAACCGGTGACCACCATCCATAGCCCTTTCTGCATTGAATACCCGGATGAATGAGGTTTCAGCAGGATTCAAGGTATATGGTACCGCATCGGGGTCCATTGGACGGCCCAAAAGATCCTTTGTCGCCGCAAGCTTGTTCGTAGCAAGGTTCCAGATTTTCAAGGTGTGATTCAAGCAAATAGCGAAGACGTAGGTCTCGTCGGAGGTTGTAGCGATGGCATTGGCGACATTCAAGTCAAGACTGCGTCCATTGTGCTTGATCGAGGAGGTTGCGTGCCACTTTACGAGGCCCCGAATGGAGGCGCCCCATGTTCGTTCGTCGAAGGTAAGGGGTGTCCAGTGCGAGCCTGTTTCAATTTCAAAGTCAGCCTGTATCTCAGTACTGTCGAGATCTTTTCAAGGGTCTTACCATCATCTCCAGCTCGGCGGGTCAACCGCAGAAGCGCTCCGTTATCAAGGGAGATGAACAGCTCTTGCGGGCTGCTCGCGTGAAGTCTGTGGGGGGTCGAGAAAGAAAGAGGTGCAGGAATGCACGTCTTGCACCATTCGCTCACATTGTCATCGATTGACTCTGTCCTCCGGAAGAACTCTGGTCGAAGTGAGAGTGTATGGAGCTGCTTGGACGCCGTAATGACAAAGACGCTGAGAATCTCATGCTCCTCCGCATCTGCCAGCGCCACGCCAGATGGAAGAATTTGCTCTGGGAAGTGCAGTCGCAGGGTGACATTGTATTCGAAGCGCTCAGTTCCACTTTTCGTCAAGTCCGCGCATTGGATCTCCAGCACCTTGTTGTCATTGACCACCCTCCACACGAAGGTCCTCGGGTAAGGCTTGCGTTTGCGGAAGTAGACTGTGCCCTGTGTGGCAAGATACCGTCTGGCGAATTCGTCTTCATCTTTCGCGATCGGAATTTCGGGCTGGTCGGTGGCGGAGGAGATCGAAAAGCGAGTCCGACGGGGCGCGCTCTCGTGAGGTGAGACCTGGATGTTGGCGACCGTGGCCGGCGAGAATGGCCGGAGGTCGACCCTTGTGTCTTTGTAAATCTTCGCCATGGTGAACAACTGCGAAGCCTGTACGAGATTCAGGGCCGACTCAGAGTTCCATGGCTGATGGCAGACGGGAAGGTTGCAGGGCGGAGAGCTGGAGCTTCAAAAAACAAAGTCTTGGCGCGGGCGCGCGACCTTTCGACCTTCTTTCACCCAGCTACGGCAGTTTGCTAGCGCCTCGGACCTACAAAATACACAACACCCCACCATCGATTACCTGTATTGGAAAGTCTAGGCAAGAATGATTGTTCAATGGACACAATTGGAGCTGAGTGATATTATTCTACCATATGAACAAGAGAATTCACAACTGGATTTCAGACATAGCTCGCTACCACAGTAGCCACAAGAAGGATATTGGTTAAAACAGCAGGTCAATTCAGGCTCATAACGTCACTAACATCGTGTCAAGAATAAGTAATTGGAGGAGGAGCTTAGTCCTTCTCCAGATCCTTCTCACTGGGATCACCAATGCCATCCTCATTAATAGCAAAGAGACAGTCGCTTTCGGGCAGGCAAGGGCTGTCATAGATCTTGCAAATACGGGTCTCACCACGGCCCTTCTTCAAGCTGAGCCGTGTTGTGCTAGCATGGGCAATGATGTTGCCTCCAATGGGTTTCTTAGGGTCGGGGTTGAACATAGCACTGGGGCCACCGTCGACTTGGGCGACAACCTGGTTGGTGATGACGACTGCGATGCCAAACTCATCCGCAAGATGCTGCAACGTGCGCAAGAACTTTGCCAGATGGGTCTGCCGTGATGCAAGCTCACCACGTCCATTGAAGTCTGTACGGTAGAGCGAGGTCGCCGAGTCCACGATCAGCAGTGAGAATCGGGTTTCACACATCATCTGGGAAGCCTGGTTAAGCAGCTGTAGCTGATGGTCGGAATTGTAAGCTCGAGCATAGGCCACATTGTCGAGGACTTCCTCTCCGACGAGCCCGTATCGCTGGGCAACTGCCAGTAGTCGAACTGGTCGGAAGGTTCCCTCGGTATCGATGTAGAGACACTTGCCCTCGCCTCCGCCCATATCAAAGGGCAGTTGGCAAGTTACTGCAAGAGTATGGCAAATCTGACTCTTTCCTGTTCGGAATTCTCCAAAAATCTCCGTGATTGACCCCGTTTCGATACCACCCCCAAGCAGTGTGTCTAGTTGTTTGGATCCAGTTGTGATGGAGATAAGCTCACTTCGTCGGGCGTGCATCTCGGTGGCCGTTGTGAATCCAAGGGGAACGAGTTTGTTGGCTAATCAACGAAGAGTGTCAGCATTTTCATCCTGAGTTGGGGGCCCCATAGCATCACAGACAGTGACTCACCCTCGCCCAAGATCTTGCTAGCCTTTTGCTCTGAGATCCCCTTAATCTGCTCCAACTGACGCTTTGGTCTGTAATTTTTTCATGCGTTAGCTCGTTTCAATTCAAAGAATGAGGGATTTGTTGATGCGGTTGCAATGGCTGCAGGAGCGGAGGAAAGACTCGACACGTACGTGAAAGCAATTCGCTCGACAGTGTGGTATCCGGCATCCAGGAACAACTTGATATCTCGAGCAGTCAAGCCGGCCATACCCTGCGATGTGAGATTAGCCCTCCATACCAAATCAAGCCCGTAGTTCAAGTTCACATCTCGGTCTTACTCACCTCCAGAGCAGAGAGCGGGGTGGGAGCCCCAGGACCAGTCAAACCACCATCATCATACTCGCCTTGGGTCTCTGTGTCGGCGGTCATATTTCCAAGTGAAACGGTCTTCCTTTAGCAGCGCAAGGCTCTTCGAAGCAATGTCTTGATTTGCGAGGTTCTGTCAACACGACAGCACGCGTTCGGTTTCGATATGACGGCCCTCACAGCTCCCGTGCTTTCCGATAATCAGAAAGGCGAAGAAGCAAAGGTTTGGAGGTAATGAGTCACTGGAATCTCTGGCTTGCAAATTGGATTTGTTTGTGGCAAAACCCGTGTTATTCCAACAAGTCAACATTTGACTTCGTGCCAGACGCGTCGAGGCTGTCGCGCGGTCACGTGGCACCCATCGACTGAAAGGGACCAGGCAACAGCAGGCTAAGCAGTAGTGGGATGCCTGTTGCTCGAGACAACACAATCATAAACAACTATGAGGATAAGTCTGATACGGAAAGCTAATTATTGGGACATTCCAAAGAACGGCAGTGCTAATGCTAATCTTCAGGGGTATAATAAATACATGTCTGCTTGCATTTCAGTATCTACTGAGTGTTTCCCGAATCTCCAGACTTCTTAATGACCGACCTCGCTCAGAAAATGACGTATAACAAAAGCATTCCGTTCCAGCCCACCATGATCCCAAGGCAATTTCATCATCCTTCGCTCGAAAACAATAATGCACTCAAAATCTCCCGGTAGTAACCATCATGTCGTGAATGACAACTAGAACCTCAACCCGCCCGTTTTTCTCTCGGCTCTGATCCTCTGCAACTCAATGGTCCCACGAACGAGATTACGTGAGGATCGACTTCCGTTTGTTTCGGCTTTGGGTGTTCTGAAACATCGGATCAATCTCAAGTCGCTCAGACGGCTCGTTCATGTGGATTCGCTCGTTGAAGATGGCGCTCATCTTTCGTCGGAACTCCTCGGAGGACCGCTTGCGAAGAACTCCTGTGATTGCAGAGTTGGTCAACTAGACCAGTGACTTAGTACCGGCTGCGGTTTGCACTTACTGGAGATCCGTGAAGCCCGGCGCCGCTCGTCTAGTGAATGGGCAACAGGTACATTGCCAGCTTGGGCTAAACCCAACTCATCTCGGTCACGGTTACTTGCCACTGGCTTGGTGTCGAAGATGTGGCCAGCATGCCAGATTCGGGAATGAAAACTGGCACGCTTCTGGTTCTTCTTGTCGCCAACGAAGCCCTCGCTGTGGCGGTTGAAGGTACTGGGCAAGCTCGGGGCCTCGGACGACATCGGAGGAGTGTAGACTTCAGCGGGGGTATGAAGTTTCTCTTCGTACTTGTCAGCTGTGACAAGGCTTGCCTCGGTACTCAATGTATTTGGAGTATCTGCCCGTAGAGGGTTCTCTCTTTTTGCGCTCTCCATGGCCATCAGAGAGGCCGGAAAGGGGGGGGCAACTGGGGACTTTCTCAGGTCAGGGCTGAGTGGTTGGTCTGTAATTGGGGTTTCTGGATGGACAGTGCTCGAATGCGGAGTGTTGTTTTTAGAGACCCAGATGCCCTCGACCTGCACGCCTCGTTCAAGAGCCTTGGCACCAAACGGCACATCGTCTTTCGATAGCATGGGGTAAAGCTCTGCCTCTGGGTCCTTCTGACGCGACTCGGCATTGGCATATCGGCGGGTCATCCAGGTGTTGAATGCGAGAACAAAAGAGGCATATATGAATACAACAACCTGTATCCCCGTCAGCTGTCTGCCCTCCATCTCTTCGTAGTAGCGGGTCTTGTCGCACAATCAAAAGGGCCAGGACCTTTTTCATAACAAATGTCAGCATGCAGACGAAGTCCAAGGAGTCAGGCGTCAGGCGACATACAAAGCTCAACTGCTCCCACAACGCCCAGCCAACCCAGAACGCCATGGCAGCTTGAGGGACTACCCGTCCCCAAAAGGAATGTGATGCTGGAGAATGTGTGGACTTGGAAGAGGTTTTGATGGCCTGCAAGTGTATGCCAAAAAGGTCTCAGGAGAGTAGCTACGTTGTTGGGGAAGGATTGATGTGGACTCATGGGTATAGTGAGGGTTTGAGATTGATGGCAGGGAGTGCCTGCCTGATTTGGAAATATCCCAACCAAAGGCCACTGCCTCAGCCGTCGACCATAACGGTGCAAACAATTTGCATTTAATCGTGATGTCATCAATGCTAGAATCGGTCTTTGTTTGCCAAACCCCGGCGTCGGTTTGCCTTTTGTTTGAGTGCCTCATTCACCATCCACTCTGGATACCCTTGTTCATTTCGGATCGCAGTTTGAAATTGACAGGCAATTCAGAGGTGTTTCAATTCTAGAAGATGGGCAGGCAGTACATATATGGGAACGACAAAAATGGACAATAAAAGATAAGGCAAGCGAGGAAATGCCCCCCAACGCGCCCCCTCCCCAAAAAAGAGGGACAAAAAGAAACTCTCCCTCGGGGAATCGAACCCCGGTCTCCCGCGCTTATCGGTGTTAATGACAAGCGGAAATCATGACCACTAGACCAAGGAAGACATTAGCCGAGTTACCGCTCGACCACTTGGTGCTGTGTAAGAATTCGCAGATTTTAAATTTATGACCCTGACTCATACGGTCGTCTCTTGGCCAACAGGAGATCTCACTTTGTTCATGCCAAACTGGAAGCTTGTTGTCTACTTATCTTAGCGTTTGTCAATTTCGCTGAGCAGAACCCTTTAATGGACCCTTTTCCTCAATGGAAATAATTCCTTTTGAGTGCTATATATATTTCTCAAATGTGGTTTTGCCGATAATTCATTTTCTTTTTGTCGAAATATATATCCGGGTCAGTTGAAATCATGAGCATATATCGGAGTGCGCGAGGAACTTGACCTCTTCGAAGAGGTAAAGTTTATAATCATCGTTTTCCAACTGAAAATTCCCCAGCAAACTATTTTCGTCGCCACGAGTGCAAAAAACTTGCGCCCAAGGTTCCATTTTAGCCTCCATTATGCCAATGCCGCGGTGGTTAACCTATATCCAATGGAAAAAGTTGCCTTTCTTCCTCACGGTGACGTGGAATAAGGGATAATACCGCTTCGTTAAAATCAGTGAAAGACGGTTGGATTAACAATGCTACACTTTAAAAGCCAGGAGGATATGCCCCAGAATATGCCCTGTCAACCAACCACATATTTTCATGTTGATTTAAGATCAGGTTTCGTGGACTGATATCTTGATGTGTAATGACAAACTTGTAAAGAGTATAGAGCGATGGGCCAATCAACGGTAGAATCGGCGAAGGGTCTGATAGTATGCCCTTCACTCATTCCCATTTGATATGAAAGGCATGTTTCCCGGAAGCTTATGCCTCAACAGACGCCGTCGACCTTGTTTCTGGCGCTTTAAGTTCCTCTTTGGAACAGATCGACACAGTATGATGATCACAGGTTGAACTTGGATATCAGATGGCTACCCAGCTATTATGGATCTACAAGTCAGGGAGTTCATTTGATCAGGCGAGAAAAAAGATAGATTCCAGAACATAGTGGGTCCTGGGCACCAAAACTGAATCTTCAAGATATTCAGAGCAATGTGGCCTCAGTCTCCTCTCAAAATGGGAATCGAGGATAATTCGCGTTTGCGGTGCAAACGTTTCGATTTACTCCTCGGCTCTCAGTCCTCAATCCCTTACGTAGCTCTGCAATCTGTGGGTAGGAAGTACACTAAATAGAGACCAAATCTTGGTCAAATGCGATATTAATATGGAGAAATGACCATGTTACCCGACAAGGCTGATAAGTATCGGAACAAAATCAAGAGATGACATCGCAAAAGACGTCCGTGTTGATTTGGCCCTACTAGAGCGTTAGGTATCTTCCTCTACTAATTAGCAGCTGATTAGACTCTCCTCAGAGCCTTGGCAACATGCAGATATCCCGTAACATTGACTTTGGTCATCGTTAAATTGACAGAAACTGCTATCAATTTGGCCATTGGAGGCTTCGCCTTCACAGCATGCGAGTGCTCCTTTTGAGCAGGCGCTACGTGCAAGCAGAGGACTAGCTATAACCTCACATCCTGCAATTAACAGCGTGAGCAGTGGAAGCTCGAAACGCATGGTCGGAAACGGAGGTAGAAGTTTAAGTGTATGAAAGGACCAGAGACAAAAGGGAGGATTCTAACAAGGTTAATATAATCCTAAGAAGGGTCACATGGACTTCACGTCAGACCCTGATTCAGTTTATTGCTTCGATCTAGGTACAGTCATATGTTAAATCATGCGCTATACATGTATAGTTGTAACCTCTCTGGCCAAAAAATACAATAACTCCACAGTGCACTGCATAGCGTTGCTTAATTGAAAATTTGATTTCCCGTACTTGACAGCGGGTCTACTATTCATCATAGAGCGGTAAGATAGATCTGGTAACTGGGATTCAAGCGGGTCCAAAATATGGTATTTTATCGGGAGATCATCCTCTAAGGCCAGGGAAGGGACTACAGTAGATACATAGCTAGTGCAGATCAAAAAGTGGAATCAGTCGAGATTTGTAGTTTTTCAAACAAGCGGTGTGAAAACTTGAATCTTGAGCTAAACTTCGCAGACTGATCCACCTTTGGATGAGATTATTCATTAATCGATGAATCTTTCAAAATCTTACATACTGTCCCTGGCCAGTGGCCACAGATTTATTGATATATCCATCGTGGCGTCCAATATTGCCATGTGTATCTCAGTGACCAGATCAATCTTAGGTCTGTGTGATGCATGCATATGTAGCAAATCTCTTGTTAAATACAGTATGGACTACAGTAATATACGGGATTTTGAATCCAGTATTTAGTTGCTTCTGATTGGTTAGACTGACATCCTGAATCTTTATTGGTAGCTGTTTTCCACTGATGGAACTTGTTTCTCTTTTCTGATCCTGCGCAATAGCCAGTTTGCTTCTCAGTTCTAGTCTTTACCATCACTACCATAAGCACTGTTTGAAAAGATGACCGTCCCTGTTATCGAGACCTCTAGGCGCCCTTTACTAATGCGGAGAATGGTATCTCCGGACTATCGATATCGCCCATGACCACTTCGGTTTCTATCTTGCCTGGGGATCCGCTGCGTAAATCCTGCCAACTATGTACATGCTGCAAGCGCAATACCTGGTACGGTCTCCGCTGGAACTACACCCTGTTTCAGTTGTGTTGATTTTTGGGCTAGGAATTGGAGGATACGCAATATTCCGGTCAGCCAACAACCAGAAAGGCAACATTCGGAAATCAGGGGGTAAATAGAACGAATCGAACGTGATCAAGTGTTCTTACACAACAGCGGGCGGGCAGATACACCAGGCAATTCTTCTATGCTCGGGTTTGTTACCTCACTGCCTCCTTGTGTACAGGATTTGATGTAACTTAAATATCCAAATCATCAGGATGGTGGGGATCTCCGCGACACCCCAATTATCTAGATGATCTGCTTCTGTCGTATGCCATGTGCGCAACCTGTGGTCTAAACCATGTCTTGCCGTGATCCTATGCAATCCTTATGACGGCTGTACTGACCCACCGCTGTCTGTGCGATGAGGCGAAATGCTCCAAGAAATATGGGAAATACTGGGAGGCATACTCTACAAAAGTGCCATGGAGACTAGTACCGGGAATATGGTAGTACATCCTTGGGGCTCGAGGAAGGTAGCGCAGTGGATGAACGCCACGCAGGGATAGAAAGCTCGTCATCACCTTGATTTAGTTGGGACCGACAGCAGTATAGCAGTAGATAGTGATGGATTTCAACTGTGTTCAACAGTACCTTCTAGAACTCGAGACAAGATTCTCAGCAAGTACAGCAATGCACAAGTTGGGTCACCAAAGCCAAGATACTTATGTGTCCTGACGTCCAAAATCTCACTACACATGTCCGAGCTTCGTTTGAAGAACAATAGATGAATAAAAACGCAATATAAAGTTGGGACTGCGATGCAATCGAATAGAGATAGTCCAAGTAATACCGTAGTGGATCAGAATAAGAGATTCTAAATTGGTCTACTCACATTGAACTCCTAGCCTTTCAATAGATTTTTCTGCGGGGATGAGCTCGGATCTACGACTAAGAATCGCTGAGACCCTACCGTGGGTCTCAAATTCCCAAATAGGAATCCCGAGAAGATCAGAATGCCGTCTCGCACGTGTTTAAGTAGACGGTGCTTATCTTTCATGGGTATACCCCTCGCCTCTTGGTGGTAGGACTTCGGCGTTTTTGCCCTCCCGAGGCGCATATTGCTTACCATACCTAAATCCACCTCATTTTCATGCAGCACATTCTCCAGAGAAGACAAATTTAATCAAGGATAACCTCAAATATGTGACTGCATGTGTCTTCAAAAGTCTCGATCATTGCGTGCGATAACCGGTCCACCTGTGGGCGCTACCCGAAGAAAATCGCACCCACTTTTTAAACTGGACCTGCTCCATAGTTCAGATTTTTTTCCTAAGATTCCTTCTAAGAATCCTATAAATGTTTAAAATGCTATCGTTACTTCTTTCAATCGAACAAGAATTCAAGACTCGAAATGGCCATCTTCAGCTGGCTTCGTCAATTCGGTGGCCAACAGGCCTCTCGGGCTGACGAGGACTACTTTTCGAAGGATGTTCTTCCCAAAACTATTGAGCCCGCAGTATTCTCTGTTCCTGGAACATCGTGTCCCAGTACACCATTCCCAGAAACTCCTAATACTGCGGTGGCTTCTCCTACTGGGAGTGAACAAACCTTAGTTTTGGGGAAGCTTCCAGAGGAGTTTGGCCGACTGGCATCTTGGAGAGGCTCCTTGATCTTGCTGGTGACTTCAGGCTCCCAATTTCTTGACAACGTTTTCATGACGAGTTCTAACATGGCGCTGGCGTCGATTCAAGAAGAATTCGACGTGACTAGCTCCAACTTGCAATGGATGATTTCTGCGTACACCTTGACATTTGGCGGTTTCCTCTTGTTGGCGGGAGCTTTGTCGGATCGGTGAGTTTTCTAACCCGGACAATGATGCTGAAGCAAGAACTGACTTTCCTCCTGTAGCTATGGCAGAAAGAGGATCCTTTGTCTGGGTTTATTCTGGTTATCAGTGTGGACACTGGCCATTGGGTTTGGACAGTCATTCTTTCAACTCACAGTCTTCCGTGGAATCCAGGGAATTGGCGCCGCAATGACTGTTCCATCCGCAATTGGGATCATCAGTTCTTATTTCACTGGTGTTGACCGTACCCGGGCACTCTCAATCTATGCCGCTTCTGGTACTTTAGGCTTTTGTGCGGGCCTCATCTTTGGTGGCTTCCTGACGTCGTCTTTGGGATGGAGGTATATCTTCTACATCATTGTCATCATCACCGGCTCTTTGGGGACGTTAGGTCTTATTGTTCTGCCTCGCGATCGCGTGAATACCAAAGCGAGAGCTAGAATGGATTACCTCGGGGCCGTTCTTTCCACAGCTGGACTCATCTTGCTCCAGTTTGTTCTCTCTGGCGGAGGTATCTATGGTTGGGATCAGCCATTCATCATTGTCCTTTTGATACTTGCCGTTGCCATGCTTGTTGGGTTCGTCCTGCTGGAAAAATACATCAGCAATCCGTTGATGCCGCTTTCGCTCTGGAAGATTCGCAACTTCGCTGGTCTTTGGGTCGCAGGCTTCAGTAAGTTGTCTCTATACACTTATTGAGGATCTCACTAACAAACCATAGCCTGCTACGGAAGTTATCAGAACGTCATTTACTATATTGTACTGGCAGCCCAGCAAGTGGATAAGCTATCCGCTGGAGATACTGCGCTTCGATTCTTGCCGATGGGTGTTATTGGATTCATCGTATCCCTTGGTACTGGAAAGCTTCTCGAGTACATGAACGGAAAATACTTGCTTTTAGCAGGACTCATCCTCACCGTCGTGGCCCCAATCCCGAGCGCTTTGACTGTGACTTCAACAACCGACTTGTATGTGCATCAAACCGACTTTCATTCCTTTTTGAAACTAACCTCAACAGTTGGGTGAATGTTCTTGCCACGTCACTTATCAGTATCTCTGCTGTGTCTCTTATTTTTGTTACGACAAGCACGACAATTCTGACGACAGTTCCAGTCGAGGTCAAAAGTTTGTGTGGTGGAATGGTGAGCGATTTTTGCTTGTGAATCGCTGAACTTGGTTAACTGACACATCTTTAGTTGAACACTGCATTCCAGATCGGCTCCGGTGTCGCGTTGGCCATCTCTGCTGCCACCACAGAGGCAGTCGACATCGAAAAAGGGCACGGCATCGCGCAGCAATACTCTACCGGACTTTGGTGCTCTACCGGGCTTGCCGGTCTTGGTCTCATTATTGGGCTCATTGCCGTCCGACGACGGGGAATTGGTCCAAAGGACAGGATTGGCGGCCCCGTGGCCCTGTAATACCATTAGCAACTATTCTCAACTGGCGTTTTTGATTCAATTTTAGACTAGACTGCGTTGTTTTTGGTTTGGATAATGAGGTTATGGCACTTTTTATGACGGATAGATCCTGATTACAATCGCGACAAGTTCATTGCACACTGTAACGAATGAAAAATTGAATTGTACTGCCAGATACTGCTAAGTGCCCGTAGTGGAGATAAAGTCAATGGTGAGCTGGACCCACGACCACGACCGCGACCCATCCAGATAAGCTTGTGCACCCTGAACTGGACCAATCTGAACTGTCTAGACCACCCTGTGGCCCTATGGCAGACCTGCCCCCATCACTTATCTCTAAAAATTGAGCTGCAAATCTCTGGTCTCGGTGGCAATATGCATGCCAAATATTTCAGACCCGCAATAAATGGACTTTCGCCCTACGGGTTCTCCATATGTACCCTGCCACACCCGAAGATCGGTTCCCACTCGGCCCGTCTGAGATACTTTCGGCCCGCTTTTCCAAAAAGTCAAAGGGAAACTTTGCCGAGTGGGAGAGTTGGCTAAAGCACGAGGGATTATTCAAAAAGCGAATCATGAATCCGAAAACAGGGTCGCAAATTTACCTAAGACTTGATGATGCGATCTCAAAATTGGCAAAAGAGAAGTCCAAAAAAAATACGCGGTTTCGTTGTTAATCGCGATTCTCATTATTTGGCGTGTTGGCTCGAACCCACAGCTTGGTCTGCAACGGTTCTCGCCATCCACTACCTACCCACTCAGGGTCCTTATCTCAACTTAGATCACAGGAGGCAAAAGTCTCCTCAATTTCATATCTGAAAAGACTTTTGCCTATAGAAAGTCGTAGCCGATCAAATGAAGCCAGAGGAGAGCTAGTGCTGTATCTCAGATCTATAACCTGCTTCTTTCTAATCCATCAAGGCATCCAGAACGTGAGATGAGCTTTTGGGCAATCAAAGCCACTAGTTTTTATTTCCATCCACGAGCTCGAAAGCTGTTAGTGAACATCATGAGTTTTAATTTGTGTTCGATTCTCGTTTCTTGTCATTTGCGAACCATACCCACTTTCCAAATGAATGTTAGCTTGTTCCCGCATGCAAAGCCACCCACCACGACTCCGGCCTTTTAACATTGCGGAGTTAAAGGAAAAGGCGAAAAAAAGAAGAAAAGAGTTTAGTTAACTTTACCTACCCTTGGATAATCTTGTTAGAGTCCTAATAATTCCGGTAAACATAGAGAGTTTATGATGGAGATTCCCTCGTGATGGCTGGCTGATTCCCTGTTTGTCCAGTTCTGTCAGCCTGTAAGAGGCCTCTGCTTCTCCCTTCCTGTTCTGCCTTAGGAGAAGCCACTGACCCCAGAAGCGCACTGGAATCTTCGCCGTCCACGGATTGTGATCCAAGAGGAAGATCCGACCCCTTATGATACGCCGATTATGTGTGCTCAAGCATGGAACACTTCTTCTTATCGAGGACATCGCTTTTGGACCAAGCGCGGAGGCACGGATGCTTTTGGAGCATTGATCATCTTTTCCCCCGAACTGGACTTTGGGATCGCCATTATGGGGAACACGGCCTGGACGACCAATGCGGTCGCTGAGATACTAACGTGGCATTTGGTTAACAACAGACTTGGTGTTTCTCCCAGGGAAAGATTCGACTGGACGAAAAAGTACGCATATACAATCTTAGAATGCAGCCTGAAGACTTGCTAACGCCAAGTTCTCACTCCAGGTGGACAAACTTTGCGAAGAAAATTGAGCATAAGGTCCGCAATGGTCTGAACGGAATCCATTCAACGTTCTACGAGTCCTGAGAGGCCCATACAGCCTACTCTTCGGCTGTCAAAGTACGCCGGGCTGTATTATCACCCCGGATACAAATACTTGAAGATCGTGACCATTGAGTCGGCGACTGCGAGATTCGCTACCGAAATTCAGGCAAAGAAGACTGACACCAAATTCTGAATCAAGTGCGACTTCCTCCATGCGTCTGCGGAGAAGTGGATCATGTACATGGATTTGATGGATGCACCGACCCTATCGATGCATAAATTTGCTGCGGTGGAGTTTCGTATTGGAATTGATGGAGAGGCTGAGTCGATGGGAATTAAATGGCGGGATGCTTACAAGGTCGATGGATGGATTTGGTACAAGAGAATCCGCGATGGAGATGCATTGGACTGAGCCTATATGAACTATGGACTGGAACGGTGGCTCCCTGGAGCGAGACTAGGCAAATAGGGCAGATAGGAAGCAATGAAATTGAAGATAAAACCTTGATTCTCTAAAAGGATTAAGTGATAATCCACCAGACTTCAAAGGTTCCATACCTTTGGGTTTGATATTCCGAATGCATCGTAAGGATATTCCGTAAAAGATTTACGCGGCTTGCCAGGCTCATATGCGTCAAGAGCAGCAAGGAACTGAGCCTGACCCGGGCTGCGGAAACCAGTATCCTCAAGGGCCCAGGTCGTTCCAGGAATACAGACAACCTGAGGGACCAAGTCCCGGAAATGCTGAAGATCCTTTTCCTTGATCTTGGCTCCAACACCCATGAGGAGCGCACCAAAAATGATGGTCTTGTACTCGCCGGAGGTGAGGTTGTCCCAATTTAGTTTACCCTCTTTGGTTCGAGACTTGGCCTTGAGACGCTCGCCAAGATTGTTCTTGTCGAAATTGGCACGGACAGAGGGAATGATCACATCGGCTAGATGCTTGGCATAGTCCGCGGTCTTGTAGCGGGCGAGGGCGTCTTGTGGGGCGAGCATGTCAGTTTGGTTGACGGTTTGGGCGGGGCGGTATTCCCATTTCTTGGTGTTGACTCCAAGACTTGAGACTAGATCGAACGCAAGGTCGATGTCCATATCGCCCTCAAAGAGGCCTGGGGAAATGAGGGAAGCTAGGTTAGTGATGCTCGAGATATGAGAAGGGGGCTAGTTGGGGGACGTACGGTATCCCCATCGACCCATTTTAAGAGGTTGGTTCGGGAGTCAGGGAGTGTGGAGAGGTGGAAGTTGGGGTAGACGGACGTTGCAAAGCGCAGAAGGTTGGAAAGGAAGAAAACAAGGGTGTTGAGTGGTGAAATAAGAAACTTGGCGAGGGGGAGGAGAGGAGGATGACTGAAGAGCGTTTGTGGAAGAGACAAACGAGAAGCCTGGGATTTTCCAACGAAAGACGTTTCACTGTTGCACTGAATATGCTTACTGCCAGGCATTCAAACATGAAGGGTGTTGATTTCTACTTGAAGCGTCGAAAAATCGCCTTCTTGCCCTTTTGGGGTCTCCGGTCCTCCTGTCTTGGTGGGTAGAGATGACCAAAGTCTAGCTCTGGGGAATTGATTTAGAAAGGAAGTGCAATTGAGTAAAATAGTTATCGAAAACATGATTGCAACCTGCTTGTCCTTATATGGATCATACTGTACTCAATATTTGAAGCTAATTGCGTCTGTAGAAAGAAGTATCCAACTTGTCGGACATAACTCGTTTGTCTAGTCCAGCTTCGCGTATCCCATACAATTCTCAATTCAACATCTACCTGCTACCAATGGCATATTGGATGACAGTTATATTCTATACTAGTCCCGTCTATTTCGATGGCACCATCCGGTAATTGTAACCGATGCTGGGCAGACTAGTCCCTTAGTCTACTAGTCGAGGGTCCACAGTTGATCTAGCCTGATGGATACGAAACGAGATACGAGGGTCAGCCTAGAGCCTCAACTGTGGCACTGCCCCCAGAATTATCTTCTCCTAAATCTCACTCCGTCACAGGAACCCCTTTACCCATTCGAAGACCCGAAAAGTTGATATCCATCTACTTACAAAGAGTCCCTGGAGTATTTGTTTGCGTTTTACCATTTACGTCGTGGATTAACTATGGGCCGCCTCCACCGCGACGATCTCGCGGACGCCGCCTCGTCGCACTCGCTGCATTCCATCGCCGACGATGACGAGCTGCCCCCTCCTTACACCGATGAGCCCGATCTTGATCCTGTTCCTGCTTCCAGTGCTATCGCCGCATCCTCTTCCCGTCCGACCGGTACATTCCGGCCCCTCCGCATCGTCGACGCAGCCTATGCGATCCCCGGCACCAAGGGCATCCACTCCTACGACAAGCGTGTCGTGACTCTCGCGCCGAACCTCTCCAGCAATAAGGATGAGCTCTTCGAAGTTATCCGCAGGCAGTTGAATCTGCCTGTGCGGCCCATGCTGCTCATCCAAGGCACCCATTCCGAGTCCTCCAACGATGGCAAGCAGAAGAAGAGCAACACTGTGACCGACTTTGAGTTCCGCCTGGATCTTGCAGAGACCATGCTGACGGGATGGGAGGGCGGCCCCATGCATATAAATTGGATGGAAGTCGATGTGATCCGGGATGAAGACGGAGTTTCTGCGTTCCGGGGTGGGATTCTGCGGTCGCGCGCGTACAAGGCTCCAAAGGCGCGTCGGGTTCTTGATCATGCCGTGGATAGCGATGCTGCCCTTCTCGGTCCGGATACTGAGGCTGGCATTGATTTTGATGGTGAGGAGGAAGAGGAGGAGGAAAGCGAGGCCGTTCTGAGCGCCCGCGGTAACCTCAAGCTCTGGTGTGAGCGGTTCTGTCTCGACCCAGCGCATGTGAAATCGTATGGCTTCCTCTCTCATCCGAATCCTCCAATTCGGATTTCTACAATTCTTGACTAACACTTCTGGAAACTCCTAGTTTCACTATCTACCGAGAGCTGAGGGGCTTCGATCACCAGGCCATGCGGAATATCCTTGACTCTCACATCCGCGAGCTCAACTATCGTGGCACCATCAAGCAGCATTTCACACAGGCCCACAGCTCTGTCACCGTCTACTCCCCACACTGGATCAACCGGGCACGCACCAACAAGTATATCTGGTGGATTGTGGTCCTCCTTCAGCTCTGGATCATCACCTGGCCAGTTATCTGGTTGATGGAAAAGCGATACGAAATCGCCTTCGCGCGTTGGAACGCCTCGCTGGACCCGCAAGCCGACTCTAGCTTGGTCAAGTGCTACGCGCAGCATCGCAACGAGTCAGCCCTGGCTGAATGGTGGGCTCCAGCTGTCAAGCAGGCTGCATGGACGCGCCGGTCTGGCGACAATAATCTCGTTACGAGGTTGGATGCTGAGCGGATGATGGGAATGAGCACGGAGCAGTTGATTAACTTCCGCCCTCGGGAATCTGAGGCAGAGCTTGAGCGGCGGGGACGTGTCGCCAGAGGTGAAGGTGGCTTTGTCGACAATGTCGTGGGATTGGCCCGCGGCATTAGCGAAGTGGGACAGGATTGGAGGTTCACCATGGGATGGGGTGCTAATACTTGATTGGGTGAATATTCTGGTATCAAAGCGAGCTCTTTGGTTTTTCTTTTTGCTATCTACGCTTAGGGCTCTTGAAGCAGCCGAGCCACGTGGATCGTGCTGATGATGCACTTAATCTATCCTGGTTTCAACTGCTCAATTTGTGTTCCACTGATGCTGATGGGGATTACGATTGATCTTATTAATATTCATCCTTTGCATAAATTGGCTAGGATGATGCTGGGTTTGGCGCCTGAAGTCTAAGCATCGCCTAAACCCCCCACTATACAACACCAGGAAGTATCTTGACCTTCAAGTCAAGGCTGACGTGAGGGGGCTAGTCCATTCCTTTGGATTTGAGTCTAGGTGCTCGATAACTCGAGCAACCTTGAGTTTATTGTGGTGAGGACATGAGCATATTTATAGTAAGCAAGCGCCAGGCTTCCAAAAAGAAAACGGTATAAGGCTGTGTATGCGGCACTGCTCTCCACGTGCAAACTCTCTTTTGATATTCTGGGGAATAATGAAAGCAGGCAGTGCACAGCCACTCGAATGATAGGCGGTGAACTTAGCGGTGAATTCCAAATTCACTTTATTTTAGGAACTTGCTGGGGTCAATTATACTTTTTTCTGGTCATAGCGTCAGCATCCCGCCCGTAAGCAGAGCTGAAATACTGAAAGTCCCGACTCCCGATATGATCGTCCTTATTTCCTGATCATCCCATCTTGATATCCACTCGGACGCTCACCCCTCCTCTCTTTTTTGCACACTACTGCAACCTATCCTTGTTTTTATTCCCCGATTGACCCTAACTTAAATCCCCGAAGATGATGCGCAAGAAAGAAACTTATACCAACATCACACCCATCCCCTCAAATGTGCCCCGCCAACTGGCCCTGGACATTCTCCATAGCCACGGCGAAATCATCACGCTTAACCCGCTCGTGCTCTCATATCACGCTATCAGGGCCCCACGAGATGCCGCCGCAGATGAATACTACTCCACGTGGTATGAGATCATCGAGCGCGTCCAGTATCTGCCGGGTCTAGGCAAGATGGGATCAGGCAAGGTCAGCTTCAAGGGCTGTTTCCACGATACCGAATGGGGACTGGAGACGCATACGTTCGTTCCGCTAGGAATCGATATTAAAAGCAAATGGCGCATTGCAGGCAACCAACCCGATGAACAACGTAAATTCAATGAATTCCGCCACGATGCAGCCCCCGAGAACGGACTGTATCTCCAAGAAGATATCGAAATCAACTGCAATATCACGTTGATCTCCTTCGTCAAGAGTCAGCTCAAGGCCGCTTCGAAGGTGCTGGTGGATCGTCTGATTAAAAAGGCTGAGCTACTTGATGCGGGTGTTTTGCAGGCGATTATGGAGGATGGGAGACTTAAGACGATTAATCCCGCCGATCTATCGAGTATGGCCCGGTCGGACTCGTTGGCATCCCGGAGACAGTCTGATACAATCTCGCTCAATTCTTACCAATTGCCTCGTTCGCCGACGGTGTCTTCGCGACAGGGCTCTGTGCCGGGGGCGTCGCAATCAAAGCACCCTCTTGCACCGCCACAGTATGGTGAAGGCAAGAGCTTCGCTGCAGAGTTGCCTGCCGATTTCCATCATCCGCAGCAAAATATAGGTATGTATAGTTGCGGGAAATCCGAGATCGGAAATGCCATTGGCTTACGTCTCAACCTAGATCCATCGGCTTATCGAGGGAAATCGTACACGGCGGAATTACCTGCAACAATTGAGAGACCGGAAGGGTATCCTCAGTCGAAGAACTTCGTTCACGAATTACCTGAGTCACGTTGAGTGAGATTGACGGAATAACGAAACTGAGATACCCTTATCATGCGCGTGCTTGATTGTATATATGACTTCTTTATTTGAGTTTATGATGAGCGAGGTCGCGTTTATGATCTTTCAAGGCTGAACTGTTTACGCGAGATTGATTGTACATTTCGATTTTCATGGCGTTATGTGAAAGGCTTCAAAATTATCTGCAGGGGTGTATTACTTGGGCAATTAAATTATTTTTCTTTTCAATAGGTCAAACCCTGAGCCAAGGGTGTCCAGCGATAAAGAGAAAGCAACTCTCTTCGTCGAGCCTTATGCTCATCCCAAGAATGCGGCCCAGCCTGCTGGGCATCATACAACATCGACCTGAATACCTTGCGGAAGTTTTTCTACAGAAAATGATAAGCTTTGACTCAAACCACCCGCGATCAAGAAATCAACTTACTTGGAAAGTAGTATCGAGAGTAACAACGCTAACCTCGTGAGCTCTGATAATTGTTTCGCACACCTCTTCCACCGATCGATTTGGACCAAGCTCTGGCATTCGATCCACAAATAGAAGGAGGATGAAACTGCCCTGGAGAAGGTAAATTCCGAATAAGTAAGGCATGAATGTCATTTCCGGGTCGATGGTCAGAATTTGCGAAACAACCCCGGATGCACTCAAGGCGTGCGAGGCACAGGTTAAGAAGCTTTCGGAGGTGATCCAGTCGTCTCTGTCTTCGATCATTGAGATGGGGTCCCATTTTCCATGTAACAATATGTAGAAGACATGCAGTAGGTAGGTACTGTAGATCTTTACAAGTTGGAGCTTTGGATCCTTTGATGTCCCTGTCGTGGGAGAACCGAATTGGTCCACGCCCTGGGAGGGCCCTCCATTGGATTGTCCAGAGAAAGAATGAAGGGCGCCGTCATTGGCGAGATATGATTCCGCTTGACCATCCAAGTCAACGAGCTCTTGCTCTCGCTGTGCTATCATTGTCTCTATACGGTGCACAGCTTCATGGGGAATGAACTGTCCAAGTGTGGGATGGGCCCGAACATGATGCAAATCGATGATATGGCCCAGTACTCTCGCCAAAGGCAGAAAATATTCAAAGAATCCAGAGCCCGATATTTGAGTAGGAGGCCCCAACGAACAGGCCGGGATACAGTTCAGATCTGCCGTATCAAGTGATTGCCAAAGCTTCTCCGGCAGGGGCGTTCGCACGCAAAAAGTGCCTTCAGCAATACTTATTCGCATATTGAAAGACAGAGCCAAATGTCGGTCTAGGCAGTAGACCAGCCAAAACAGACGCCTGCGCTCTTCCTTTGCGACCAGCCATCTTCGGAAAGTAGCATCACCATTGTATAGACCATAGAAAACAGGGCCGAGATCAATGTCTTGGTCCTCCATGCTGAGTCCACTAGCCCGCACTAGCCGAATTAACTTGTCGCGCCATTTAAGCGAGTCGGCTTTATAGTGACCACCCGATATTACTATCGTCAGGATCGTGACGGCCAGAATCGTATCGGTGGAGCCTAGCTGTCGTGGTAGTAAAGCCTTGCCGCTCGCTTGTCGATCTGGGGCTGAATGTGAATTACTTGGTGTGCCACCGCTGGGATGGGGGTGGAATTGCCAACCGTCTGTTGCGAGTCAGCAGGTGCTTTTGCGTTGTTTCTGTGCATAAAATGCTTACCCGATGTGCGAAAGTAATTATCTGGATCTTCAGGTTGAAGCAGGTCTAATGAAAGACGATAGAGATCCACGCTCATGCGCTCTCGGGCTCCTGGTGTGTCAAATATCTTCATGTCGGCCGTCTGCGCAACACAAAATAGAATCACAGCGAGAAGAGCCGATGATGTTGGCCGAGGATCAGTAGGGTGAAGGACCGATGATGGGTGTAGGACATGGGCAAGCAGGTAGGGAGAGGTTGACTTGAACATGGAATTGTGCTTCTCATTGAAGTAAATTTCGAGCATCTCTGAAGCCTCCTCTGCTGACAGGAGTCCATTCAAGTGCGGGAGGATCGAATCGAGGCAGCGGTAAGGTGGTTTCATTGAAATTTGGTCCGTCATTGACCCGGGGACTTCATCAAAGAGATTCTGATGAAGACCTGCCAATGAACCGCGATGATCGAGTGACATCTTTGAACGAAGATTAGCCGGCTCGAATTCTCAGAATGCTAGTCAAGAACCAGAAGAGTTTTGGCTTACACGACTCGGGGACATTGCTGTTTGACTTGTTTCAAGTCGTACATTGCTCAGTGGAGTCTGGAAAAGCGTATTTAATGAATCTTTCTGCGCAGAGAATGGCGGATTGTTGGTCGCAAATTTCTCTGCACTAGAAGGGCTTGTGTTATGCCCCGTGTCATTTGCATTTGCATTTGCATCGAGCCCGTACGATCTGTTCTCCAAAGAAGAAATAACCGAAGGTGCATCCTGATTTGAAGTATTACTCGAAATCACGGTATCTCCAGGACTCCTTGACTGATTCTGAGGCGAACTGTTCCCAAAGTCCTGGTCCTCTCGTTGCAGGTTCCGACCGGGATCTGTCCTTGGACGGCGACCACGCTTTCGGACAGCCTTGGTGTAATGACATTCTTCTTTGCGCTCTGAGAATATCGGTCAGTGGGTCAAATTTGAACATGGACCAAAGATCTGTTCTGTACCTGCGCAACGACGGCTTTATGTGACGTGGCTAATTAGCACAAGCCTAAACATCCCCCCTCTTGGTCCACTTACCATGGTCGCTGCCCATCGCATCTTTGTTTGGAGTATGTGCACGAGTCGCAAGCTCGTAGGACCCTAGTTTGGCTCCGGTGGGCCATGTTGAGGCTTGTCATTGCAGATAATCAGGAGTGATTGAAAATGGGCCGCGAGTGCGGAGACCAAAAATGCGGGGAGATATGGTGGATTCTCACGACCAACAGGCTAAATCCCCGATCGTCTCAGCCAATGACCGTTTTAATCCGAGACTACGACCCTGCCCTTGCAGGCTTTACTAAGAGATCTACGACCTTTTTTGCCTAAATTGGACCTGCGAGCATTTTACAACTGATTATATTGTCGTCTGGAAGAAATCATGGACGCTGATTTACCACTGATTGGAGATGTACTTACAGCTATCCCTTGCAAGCGCCGGAGAAGACTGAGGTTACCTCCAGTCAGATAGTTGAGGCAATTCGGAGAAATCCGTTGAACCAATTCTGCCACTAGCGCCTTTGCAATGATGGACGAGTCCAGGTAGTCATGTATTATTGTGGGTGATCGGCGTCATGATTCATGGCATTTAGCCTCATAGTCTAGCAGCAGCTGGCTGTTTCGTGGCCACGTCCCAGTCATCACCCGGGCTTGGGAAGCAGTAACCGTACCATGGCCCCAAAATGTTGTGAACAGCGGCACGGAGTCGGTCGTCCTCCTTGGCTCTGCGTACGCTGACCTCCGTAGACGAACCAGTGTCTGCCCAAAGCCAGCGAGGCTCAGTCGATACGAGTAGAACCTGCCGAGCAGCTGCAATATTGTCTTCCAGCTCAGATATGGAAGTTATCCCCATGATGGTTGTAATACGAAACTCGGGAGTTGAGAGAGACTGGCCCCGGCGAATAGAATACCGGAGCGCTAGCGCTGCCATAGACTCTCCCTGTTCTGCGACATAGTCGGCCGCTTCTTTAGCGGCACTTCGTAGACCCGGAGGCGCCGGATGCCAGTCCCCCAGATCTCCCACTGGCACGCTGTTTGCGCGAAGAAGACCAATAGCCAGTGGACTTGAGTTACAGACACAAGAAACACCAGCTTCCCGGAAGGCATCCAAGCCTTCTTGGGCAAGACGGTCATTCTGCAGAGTCATCTGGGCCCAATTCTGGATAATATCAAGGGGTCGAGAATATTGAATTTGAACGCGGCGAGCAATTCGGGCGAGGATGTCTATTCGGTACCCCGAGATACCGACGTATCTGATATGGCCCTCGCGTACCATCTCGAGTAAGACCCCGATGGCCCCCATCACCTCTTCTTCCGGGACGAACTCGACGTCATGGCAAAACACAACATCTAAATAGCGCGTGTGTAATCGTTGGAGTGAACGCAAAACTGACTGTCGAACCCATGTTGGAGAATAGTCGAACTGTGTCGCCGTAATTCGACCAACTTTGGTCATCAACAGATACTGGTCGCGAGAGTACTGGCTCACAATATCGGGATGTGACAACGCTTCACCAAGAAGTATTTCCGAAGGATGATAATACGCAGAGGTGTCGATGGCGCGTAGTCCTAATTGAAAAGCACGCTTGAGAACTTCCAGAGCCTGTGCCGAGTTGGGGTTCCGGTATATTTGGTGACTGAATCCAGCGCCACCCAGAATGAGCGGAGGGAGTAGATGCGATAAAGGTGTTGAGGCTTGGGCAACACTCATCCTGAGAACTTGTCTGTGCGAAAACTATACAAGAGTGGTAGAAAGCTTCGTGGAGAGCGCGGGGAATTGTGCGATGTATTCAAATAATGCAACCATGAGGCTGCCCCCATTACCCCCATTACGAATCTTAGCCATTTATCCGATAGACCTCTGGGTCCTAGGCAGTAGGTTGCATTTTGGACGCGAGCCGACTTGAGGCCGAGGAGACAACACAGCAACACAGCAAGGTAAACGGCGGATCTCTCCGCTGTAAATACCCGTCGGAAAAATGCTGATTGGCTGGCGCGCGTCCTGTCAAATTTTTCCGTTCTTCACCTTGCGGCTGCCACGATTTCTATTCATGCATAAATGATTCTCCCTTGGGACAAATTTCTCCTTCGAAGTGGGATCATTGCGTTCTTCAAGGCTGTTTTGTAAGTGGGATCGCTGTTCCATGCATGCGCTATCGTTGGAATGGCTTCGGTCATCAGACGGGAGTTTCCAAAATTCGCGGCTTGCTCTAAGCATTCGTGCATATTCTAGAGGATATTGTTAAACTCAAAACCCAAATGTTCCTATGATAGCGATGCAAAGAGCCATCCTGTTCAACTCTGGCTTTGTGATAATTGGACAAGCTTCAGTTAGGGGAGCAGCATCGGCCTCATCGGCCTTCAGCGCACATCTTCGATGCTATTCGGTCGGGATTGATTTCAAACTTGGCTAGAAATAGATGATGTATTCAAGTGTAAAACGAAATCTTGCATCCTCCCTAACAGCCTAATAAATCGAACATGAGTTCAGGCGACAAGTGACTGAGAGAATATTGTGGACTAAACCAAGCTTGTTAAGTAACCATATAGCCGTCTTGGCGACCCCGCGAGGACGATCAACCAGGAGGGCCATTGATTCATATGATTAGATAGCTATAGAGCAACTTCCCTAGTTTCTGTTTATCGACCAAATAAGGACTAACATTTGCAAGAAGATTGTCCTTGATAACGTAAACCGTTCCAAGGTAGCGAAGAATCACGGTGACAATTAACTCGCTTGAGGATTATCCCGAAACCTGCAGAATAGCACCTCGGGCTCTTAAAGCCCACGCCGAAGCTCAAAAGTTGGGGTAATCACCAGCCAGCTAAAGGTCGGCAGTCGGATATAAGAGTAGCACTCGGCAATTGCCGAGTTATAAGTAGAGGAGCTCCCTTTCTACGAACAGAATTCGTCAAGATAATTCAGCACCACATGGCCGAAACAAAGATAGTTCCATTGTCCGCGCCTCGCATCACTCCAGCCAATTCAAAGCAAGCAGAAATCAGCTACCCAAGATGGTTCGGTGGCTCGGCATCTTGCATGGCGGTAATGGTGTCGCATCCGTTTGATCTGAGTAAGTGTTGACTCGGCAAGATCTCAGGAAGACGACAATTTAACGCAAAATTGCTGCAGTTAAGGTCCGCATGCAAACTGTCGCAGACGGTGCGAAACAAGGCTCAGTTCGAACGGGAGTACAAATTATCCAGAATGAGGGTGTTAGAGGTCTCTATCACGGCGTGAGTATCTACTGTGGTGACATTTAGAACTTGCATACATCTAAACTAACACCGATTTAAGCTTTCTGCTGGATTGATGAGATCTTGTGAGTACTAAGAAATCTAGACTTCAAACAATAACCTTACATTCTCGCAGTGACATATGGAGCCTCTCGTATCGCCCTATACGAAGAGCTCAAATATTCAGCAAAGAAATCAGAGAAGCCTGTCACTACACCAATGCTAACCATGATGGCAGCGGCGTCGGGATTCGTAGGAGCTCTATTCGGCACACCGTCAGATATTGCCAATATCAGGATGCAAAACGACAGGTCTTTACCTATTCAACATCGCCGGAACTACAAGCATGTGTTGGATGCCTGGGTCCAAATGAAGCGCCACGAAGGTTGGAGATCTTTTACCCAGGGGCTATGGCCAAACTGCTTCCGCTGCGGAATCATGACTGCAAGTCAGTTGGCATCTTATGATACGTTCAAGACATTGCTGCGAAAATGGACGAGTGTCAGTGCAGAGAGTCCGGTCATTCACATCTCTGCTTCGTTATTGGCCAGTCTCGTTGCAACTTCGATTTCTAGTCCTATGGATGTGATTCGTACGCAGCTGATGAGTGCTTCCAAACGAGTGTCGGTTTTGAGGATTGTGACTGATTTGACTCGCTCTGAGGGTTATCGGTGGGTGTTCCGTGGTTGGGCACCTAGCTTTGTGCGATTGGGTCCCCAGACCATTGCGACCTTGGTGGCACTGGAGCAGCATAAGCGGATATACCGTATCTTCAAGTGTGGTGGAGATTAATCATGAGGGAAGTTTGACTGCAAATGGAACGCATAGACTCATTTGTCGACGGATGTGTTCTGTTCATCCTCGGTTGTGGTGTCATGGGCCGCTCCGGTTTTGTTTCCTTTTTTCTTTGGAAACAGGTGGGTCTTTTTCTTTGCGACACAAATACAGGTTCGACTTAGACGGGCATTGAAGATGATAGTAGTAGTGGTCTTATAGAATTAAATTATTATTCGACTATGAACTTCATCGTCCTCGTCGTAGGAACGCCAGCTGAGCCTGCTCAGTACCTTTCCGAACCGACTTAGACGTCTGTGGGAGAAGTTCAAGCGTTTGAAGAAGAATTGACTGCAGATTCTCGCACGTCATCTGATCCATCTGACCATCATCAAAGTCTCGTTCAATCCCTTTCCACAATAGCTGGACACCAGCAAGAAGGTGATGGGGATAAGGATCGATGGCCACTAGTGGGAACGAGCCAGCACTGCTGGCCTGGCCTTGTCGTGTGGGAATCGTGAAGTGATTACTGAGACCGAACTGGAGGCAGTTGAGGAGACTGCCCTGTGCGTCTGACTTTGTGACACTCATCTTCTCGAGTATGTCTTCTCTTGAAGCAATCTCAATGGCATCAATCATAATGAGGATGCTCAAGTGGTGATGCACCATCAGCTCGTCTGTTTTTGCAAATTAGTATCATCAGTTTACATGGTCAGATTGGATTTCTGAGAATAAACTCACACCAGCGAAGCTTTGTATGCTGCGACAAAAATTGAAGTCGCCTCTCGCACGCCGCCAGCAAGGGGCGATAAGTGACATTAAATTGTCTGATTGCCTCTGCGGCGGAGGTATGTGCGTGGTATACGGCGTCTTCGCCATGACCTTCGCGAAGCGCCTCCTTCAGAATTGTGCCCATTTTCCACACACGGAGCTTCCAGCAATGAGCTGCACCAATGATTTGGTTTGCTGTTTCTTCATTGACCAATACTCCATGAGTACGCCATCTCTCAGACTGTTCATGGAATATGTTCGTGCAGGTCTGGACCATCCTCCACGAGGACTCCGCTTCCCAGCCCAAAAGGCCGGAGGAAAGGACAGACTTAGTATTAAAAGTCAAGGCCGACGAAGTATCAAACGTCATGGCAGCCCAGTATATCATACTTTCAATGTGCATAAACTCGGATCGAATCTGCTCCGGGGTGGATATAGGTGTCGCTTGATCTGATAGAAGAGAGACCTTCGAACCATTGAATTCCAGACTTCTTTGCCGCGCACGAAGATACTGCACTTGTTGTAAAGCAGCTTGAACGCATATTTGAGCCGGTACACCACTTTCCTCCTCTTCTTCGGGTATTCCGACCGGTACGGGGACCATAGCAAAAAGGTATAAGCTCAGCATAGACCGATAACAGGGTCGATTCATGGACTTGAGAAGGTTTTGTCTCAGTTCCCTCCAGAGGGACTGAATCAATGGTGTTTGCGCCAATTTTTGATCAGTCGAGTGAAATGTCAAGGGAAGCCATCGGGCTGAAAAGGTCTGAATTGCTTGGTTCAGCGTGGTCTCGATCTGCCATTCCTTTACCAATTCGGCTTGTGTTGGAGGGTGTGACCTCGCACCCGTCGGCCCTTGCTTTTCCAGGTCCTTCATCAACTGGTCGAATTGTCTACACAGCGATGAAATGCTGACTGATAGAGATAATCCTGGATGATCGCTTGCGCCGCCTTCTAAGTGACCGTTCTCCCCGAACCTGACCTGGGTTAGTACCCGGGCGACACAAATGTTACGCGGTCTCAGGATCTGCTTGTCACTCACGAGAATGGACAGCTGTAGTTGCCCAGCCAAGACCCAAAGACCTGCTCAAATACATCCTCATACATTGACCGAAGCCAGTCCGAGACTTCCAGACTGATCAGTGAGGAGCGGGCGGAGGGTGTAGGGGTCCCATGGTCGCCGGGTACTGGACTCTCATCCACACTAGAAATATGAACAAGAATCGATAAATATCACAAACAAGCAAAATATGGCGGGAACAGTCTTACCCAGTTCGAGGCGAATCTACCCCAGGGTCGTTGAAATGTGGAGACAGATTGAATCCGTCCTCCTGGCTCCTGCCATACGACGGCGGCGGGGAAAGAAGCGGATTCCAGCGATCTGATGAAGGACTGGACCCATCTGCTCTGGAAACGACCTTTTTCATCCACTATACAAATATTGGGTCAGCTTCTCTCCTAAAATATGCAGTCAACCGCAGTGAAAGCAACTATCCGCACCTCAAAGCTGCAGTGTCGGTTCCGAGCCGCACAGCGGCTACAAGTGGCGACACTCGACTCTCCGGTCGCAGAGCGTCTTCGCAAAGCGTCGCAGGCAACGCGAGACTTGCGACATGCATCGCAGCTGGAAAACTGTTTGCGTCGATGAACCCGATCAGTGTGCATTATGAATATGGCTTGATAAAGTGCAAGTCGAATACAGCTGTGGGGGAGGAATCATCCCTGTAATATGAGCATTGGCTGGGTCAGGGTCTCATCCCCGCAGGCTAACCGAGTGGCACTGAGCCACGGGCTGTTGGACGAATGGGCATTGGGCACACCGTGTCGATAGAGACGTTTCGAGCTTCCCCGCTCGGATCTCTAGATGCCACAGTTCATTTGTTCCATGCAAGAAAAGAATCTGGGGGATTGGAAATCTGGGGAAGCCTCTAAGAAGAGCGCCTAACCAAGACTGACTTTATGAGGTTACATATATCTTCTCCCCTACCACGGTCAACCCAGTCTAGTATCTCCACCACGCCCAATATCTCCCTAGGAGAATGCCATCTAACACTTGAACTTTCAGGCCTGAAGTATCATGTCATGGTTAGTATGATTTTCCGGACAGAACTCAGCAAATATCTTCAAGAGCTGGCTTTGCCATCCAATTCCACTGTCTTGGCCCACCAGCATCCAAGATGTTGATTATCCAGTTTCATCATTAACTAAGCTACCTTAAATTCAGTCACAAAACGCTCGGCAAATTGGTGGAAGCATTGCAGCTTACAATGGTGATAGGCGCACACGGCCATGCCTTGACTGTTAGGGCGCCAGAAGTTTATTTAGAACAGATTCCTTGTTAGTGCACTTTATCTGATCGCGAGGATTCTGGACTTCTCCTCGGAGACCTTGCAGGTCTCAAGGCCAACTGGGTCTTCTTGTATTTCTTCAATCCTCTATTAATTGTCCACGTCCTAGGGTCCTTGTTGTTCTGTTCCTCTTCACCAGCGAGATCTCCTCTACTCATCTTCGCGGAGCCATAAGAAGCATTTTAACTTCTAGTCCCTGGCCAGTCAGTAGGTAGGGCCTGCCCATCGCGCTCATAGATAGTAGATGGAGTCGACACTGCTGCAATGCCTAATTTGTATGTTATCAGAAGATCTAGTTCTCCTGTCTAGCGACCGGCGACCGCTTGGGAAAAATCGACGACATATATGGGTTCACCACTTCTATCTTGAATGCGGTACCTATTGCTCGGGGATTTTGGTCGATTATCATTCATCCATTATTTCTAGAAGTCTTGAGTGTATTAGTTAGAAAACGATCCGGGGTAGCGCAAGATCCCCAGTCATGACGCGCCCCTTGTCCTTGGCATCGCTTCTGATCCGATGTGGGTACAATCTCCACCAATAACCAGTCCTTTCGCTGGATAAAGGAAGAGACGTTTGTGTCCCTCGGCTCAGAGCCGACACAGAGATGGCGTGGAGACTTAAGCATCCCATAGGGGTTCAAAGCCGGACAAAAGCTGGTTAAGGGCGTGTCGTTAGTTGCAGATCGAAATGCTACTTTTGGAAAAACCGGATCCGAGTCACCGGCCCGTCATGTTATATCTGTCTCCGTTGCCGGCAATTTCATTCGGTCGGTTGTGTTGAAGAATTCTACATTTAGCCGCATGTTATAGATACGCGAGGAGTGCAATTTCCCTTATTTCAAATTCTCTTTGCCAACAAACGAAACAAGCTTGATACCCGACTTCTTCCTTGTCAATTGGCAGAAGCTCTACCGTGAAAAGATGACGATTGACATTACTCAAAGGCCCTCCGGGTCTGTGGTCATTATCGGTGCTGGAACTCAAGGGAGACGACTTGCATTCATGGTGAGTAGATATTTCGAATCCTGCCAACAGCCACATTCGGCTAACAATGCGAAGTGGTCGGGAAGAGGTGGCTCTGTTTGTCTTGTCGATCTCCAGGAGCAGCAATTGCAAGATGGTCTAAGTTATGTGCATCAGCTTCGCAATGCAGCAGTCGATCATGACAGAAATTGGGGTGATGTCACAGTTTCCCAACCTGACTCTCTGGAATCCATTCTTCAGGACGCATGGCTGGTAGTCGAGGTATTAACCTTCCTTTCAAGTTTTCCTGCGCCGTGAAGGTGATCTAACATCATTTGCAAAAAAGTGTGTGCCCGAAAATTGGGCATTGAAGCAGAAAGTCATCACTCAGCTTGACAATTTGGCTCCAGCACATACGATTATTGCTTCCAACTCTAGCAGTTATGGAATCTCCGAGATTATCGAGGGGCTAGATCTGAAGCACAAAAACAGGATATTGAGCGCACATTGCTGTACGAGACCCGCTATTTTCTCGACTTGCTAGAAATATGTTTACTAACGTGTCAATTTCATGCAGACTGGCCTCCAGAGACATCAGGTAAATCAATCTGGGTTGCAGTTCATTCAAACAGGATATCATAGGACTAATGTTGAAATTATCAGCAATCGAAATCATGGGACATCAAAACACTGATCCTGCCGCAATTTCCCTACTCTTGGAGCAATGCAGAGCTCATGGCTTCTCACCATTCCATGTGAAGAAAGACTCTATTGGTTACATTTATAACAGGTAATACGAAAAATTTTGAGATGACCCGGGCTTATTCCGGTTTTTGTTCAAGGCTTACTGATTTCGATTTACAGAATTTGGGCCGCTATCAAGCGTGAGACGCTACTAGCACTTTCCGAAGGGGTTTGCACACCTCGCGAGATTGACGCAATCTTCAAGGATGTTCTGAAGACACCCAAGGGCCCATGTGAACAGATGGATGTTGTTGGCCTCGACGTGGTGTTGGACATTGAAAATCACTACGCCGACTCCCGGGCGGGTATCCCTGCCGAGCCGAGAGCGTACCTCCAGAACATGATTCAGAATGGGCGCTTAGGTGTCAAGAATGGGGAAGGCTTTTACAACTACGGTAGCGAGACTACTGAGACCTGCAATGTGATGAGTACGCCGAATCTATAGTTCGGTTGGATTGCATATACCATACTTGTCTGTTGAATCGCCATGAGAACATAGACTCGATTGCACTAAACCTATTTCTGTGTCTTGATTTCTCAATAAAGTCTTTACCCAAGTCTTGAACTATGATCAGCTCGTAATTTGGAGCCAGATGAAACACTACTCCCATCACCCAGCATGACAGCCATCGACCTACAGTGACTTTTCGTTTATGCCGAGTCGGAACAGCGCGTCATAGCGAACATATTGGCTCTGCATTGCTATCCCAAACATTCACACTTATCTCAATCCATCCATCTGAATTTTGCTTTCGCCTATAAGCAGTGATCTGGGTTACCAGAAGGCGATCCCCACCACGTCGGGAATGGGTGTTCTGTTCCACTGGCTCCGAAGACCGCAAACGACAGAATGAAAATGACAATCTGAGAGCCTCCATCCATAGCAGCTCCGATGAGGTAGTTGTACTTGTTGTAGATTCGGGGCAGTCTGCGGCGAAGCCAGAATTGAGAAAGGACTCCCACTGCAATCGACGACCAAATCCAGGAGGTGTTTCCATAATAAGTGTAGCCCGAATATAAAGCAATGATTGGAGTGTTGATAGGCCACCTGCGAATTCGCGGGAAGATCCTACCCACGCCCCAGTGGATAATTGGAAGAGCTAGACCGATGACAATACCAAGGGGAACAATGAAGTATCGGCTCTTAGCACCGTACATATCCTTGGCCAGAGCCCAGGTAATGGCTTGAGAATTGAGACTTTGCACGAAAGAGCCACTCCAAACACTGTTACCTTCAGGATCAAGAAGAATATCGCGCTGGTTTGTCACGATGGTGGTCATAACAGCGTAGTTCAGGCCAGCTCCCAGAAGAGTTGCGTATATTTGAGTGCCAAACATGACCCGATGCGGCACCTTTGTGTACTGTCCAACCTTCAACCAGTTTGCCAAATTGACTGCAAGCAGGATGACTTGGTGAGACCAGCTAGCAAAGTAAAGATTGGCCAAGGGCCGACCCGGATGAACTGCTCCTGCAACCATCTTTGAGATTTGATTCGTTCCAACTCCAGACCCATAGAGTCCGTACAGAATACATGAGAATGGTGCAATGAATGCTCCAAGGAGAAGAGCGATAATATAACCCCAAACAGGAAGGGTTGTCTCGCCGCGGGCAGTCACGATGATTCCCGCAATGAAGCAGAGAACGAACAGAACTAAGTACCACCACATTGGAACCTCTTTGTATTTGAGCATTGCCCGATAGTGTAGATCAGGTTGAGTCTTGCTTCGCGCCTGCTTCCATGCCAGTACCATATCTTTGCCAAAGAAGATAATAACATGAGTAATCAAAGCTCCAATTGCAAGATTCTGCGTGAAATATCCCCAGACGGTGCTGGAAGTCAAGTAGGGCAGCCCAATTTTGGCAAGCTTGGCGTCATCAATCAATCCCTCGTCGTTCAAGATTGTAGTCGTGGTTAGCTTGGTCCCATCACTCTTGAACAGAGAGCTCGACATGAATGGAAAGGTTTTGGCATTCCAGGCGTTGCTGTAGTAGAGACCTAGCATGACAGGGTACCAGATCACATACGCAATCCAAGTGTTCACCTGTTGCTTGAAGGGCAAGGATAGATACGTGCTCTGAATATATTGCCAATCCAGAGAGAAATTGAGCAGACCCAATCCCTGGTTGGATGACGCACCCCCGAAAATTGTGGAGAGAATAGTTCTAGTCTTGGTCGGGGCATTCATTGACGCCAGGCAAACGATGGAAAGTCCACTGAACCAAGTAATGATATATGATGGGAAGAACTCCCAAATGGCAGCAAGAGCAAGGGCCCAGCCGAACTTGATAAGTCGGCCTCGGTTCGCGCGGACATCGAAGTGGAGATTTTGGAACAACACCACTTGTGGCAAAGTGCTCCAGTACACCATTTCTGCAGGGTATACGATGAGTGGTCGCAATACACCCGCCACAACAAACCCACAAAGGGAGATGGAGAAAGTAGCTAGCACAGCAGTAGACGCGGAAACGCTTCGGTCGTAAAAGAGTCGCTCAACAGCATAGACCTCGACTCCGGAAAGACCATTGTTACCTGACGAAGCGATCAGTGACGCGACAACGTGTTCTTTGATTCCAAATGGCTGTCCAGAGTTAAGGAATCGAAGTATTTTCTGCACCCATCCCTGTTTGAATCGGTCAGGTCGAGGGGTGAACCTTGCCCACGCTTCGCCAAAGACGTAGACCAGCACTTAGATAGAGTTAGATGAGAGGCCACCGGATATTTGCTTGCGATTAGCTTACGCTGGAGGAAAACTGCCGAAACTTGCATCATGGTCGGCTTGAAGATGTAGATCATGGTGATGACACTAGAAAGGGCTGTGAAAGCTGTGCCCAAAACTATCGAGCGAAACGTGAACGAAGGATCGCCGTCATCTCGATCGGAGATCAGGAATTTCGAAACATCATCTCCTATTCTCCCTGGATCAGCAACTGAAAGCAAGAATCATTTATTGAGCACGGTAGTAGTCATACCATTTTCAATCACAGGGTGGCCATTGACGTAGACGGTTTCAGCTTCATCCTGAGGTCCAGCAGAACCATCACCTTCTGCTTCATCAGGTGAGGAGGCTCGCTGCTTTTCTCCCACTGTTACTGAGGCGTCTTTGGTGAGGGCATCAGTTTTACTCCCTTCCGAGCTTTGCAGCACTTCGCTCCTGTCAGAGCTGTCCTCCACAGAAATTGACATGTTGCAGACGGGAAGCCTGAGACTGTCTGCGAAGGGAGCTTGGGCCAAATAGCGCCAGCCAAGCCTCGAATTAAGCTATGTGCCAGGTGGTGCGGGGTATGAGTTGGGAGGAAATCTCCCAGGATCTTTTGTGACAAAAATCCCCATCGTAGGAGACTGCTCTATAGTTTATCTAGTCTGCTATGGATCAACTCGGCTCGGCTATTCTGAGGCGTCATGATGCGATCTGTAACATCAATGGTGAGTTAACAGCGGTCGCTTTGTCTCGGGTCGCATTATTCCGTTAGCGATGAAAAGTTTGCCGCCAATCCAACGAAGCAGACTGGAACACTGGGGACTCGCAGCCATTTTCAACTGCATGGATTGGTTATCGTGCACTGATTTGACAAATGAGAATGGCGCAATTATGCTCGGCAATGCCGAAGTAAAGCCAAACCTCAGTCTAGCCGCTAAAGCTACACTAAAAACGCCCAGGCTGCTTAAAACGTGCTAAGAACGGGGAGGTTTACGTGGCGGAAAATTAACTACACTCAATTGGCCATGTTCGAGGCACAGAATGACCTCCGCAGATTTGGGTTGCATCGTCCTATTCCAGTATAATGTTACAGGCTTGTCTCCAATAGCATTTTCTCTTATCTGTCATGACTTCTTTCTGGTTCACGCTTACCTTAAGTAGCAAGCAGTGCCCCCACCCATTTGTAAATTAATAAATCCTACATCTAAGGTGCTTCAGAGCCTGTTGATCGGGATCACAATACCATTTTTAAATGCGAGTATACTCACGTCTATACGTAGCTCATGATAGTTCTAGAGTTTGAATCTATGTGTTCAAGGCCATATTCTTGTCATATTATTCAGTTCATGATCTAGGATCTATCTTCGTAACGAGCGTATCTACGTGAATGACCCCCACTATTCCTCTTCCCCTCAAGAACCCCCAAAGACCCCGAATTGGCACTCAATCGTTGCGTGAGCAAAAGCCCGGCATAGCTGCTGCCATTATAACTCTAACCCAAAAGCAGCGTAAATTTTGCCGAATCTTGCATCAATTGCAGTCTTCGAGGCCATACTGATCTGGAATGTCAATGCCAGAACGTCGACGGGGAGCATAAATATGTGCCTTCTCACATTGATATTAGTGAGTATGTCGGAGGTCAATGAGCGAGGTATGCGTTATGTACAGAACGCTTACACATACCCTGAACGGAAGACAACTGCATCAGCAACAACCATGGCGAACTCGGCTGCTAGATGCGACACATCTTCGTCGTACCTCTATGGTAGGGATATTATGAATCTATTCGTCATATTTATGTCGATAGGTGTCATGGCCAACTCGCCTCCCAACTATCACATCTCCACCCTGGGCTCTGCCGGTAGCGCAGTTGATCCGGAAACCATCAAGCCAGACAAGGCGGGCAATTATCCTCCCATCATGCACTACAATACCATCCCATCCGATGGGCTGATCGGTGCTGTCAACGGCATGCTTTCTGGTGTGACAGCCTATGCCGGTGCCCAATTGTTCGTGGAGTTTTTGGCTGAGATGAAACGGCCCCGAGACTTCATCAAGGCAATGTGGGGTGCTCAATTCTTTATTTATGCCGTATACCTTATGTCTGGCTGTGTGGTGTATCACCTTCAAGGACAGTACAGTTACAACCCGAGCTATCAAGGGGTCAGCATTTACGCATGGCAGACTGTGGGTAACATGGTCTCCCTTCTGGCTGCTCTGATCTCAGGAGGTCTTTACGGTAACATTGGCATCAAGGTTTTTTACAACAATGTTTTGCTTGATATTTTCAAGGTCCCTCCTCTTACCACTACACGTGGAAAGTTCATCTATGCTGCTTTGGTTCCTCTTTGGTGGATCATCGCTTTTATCATCGCTGCAGCCATTCCTGATTTCTTTGGATTTGTCAGTGTTGTCGCAGCTTCAATGCTTTTGAACCTAACATACGCTTTTCCTCCCTTGTTTGCCTTGTGCTTTGACATTCAGAAGAATGCTCTCCGGGGGTCCGATGGCGAAGGGTTCGATCCCGTGACTGGACGCGTTTCCAGGATTGATACCGCCTCCAGACGCTGGATCCGAGGATTCATGGCCGGTGGCCCGTTTCAAGTGGCTATCAACATCTGGCACATTATATACTTCTTAGCGGCTCTTGCCATGAGTGGACTAGGCATGTACGCAGCCATTGTTGGTAAGTTGTGTTTTGTGCTGAAAGTCCTCTCTCCGTAGTTCTAACTCTTTGTAATAGGTCTGGTCGATGCCTTCAAGATTCCGCAGTTGACCTCGTTCTCCTGTGTGTCTCCACTTAACTTGGGTTAATCTGAGACTTTTGCCACATTGATCGAATTTGGGATTGCCTTGGGGCGACGACTTTTGCTTTCTATCAGTGATCATGCTGTCAAATAATCTACTCTAGCACCACTTCGCGCAGTTCTTATCATGAATAAATATGCACATCGTATTCAAATTATCTCACTTATGGCTTCAGTTTTTCTTCCCTGTTAACATCAAGGGAATACAATATACAATAAAGTCTTCGCCCACCTAAAGGTAACCACTTGTTTCTAGCGGCCAGCCTCTAGAGGCGAGAGAGCAATTCACAGCATTTCCCTCGGTACCAGCGAGAAGACTTTATGATGGGCGATTCAAGTCGCCTGGTTTTTTTCTCTCCTACTCCCTAGTCACTGTTAATCGGATATTTACCTCGGCAGTATATTGTAATGGACCACCCGAGGTGAACCCCAAACGCCTTGCGGGTACGGCCGTAGTGCGGGGTCACCCAGCCTGCGATGCGATTTGATAACCCGCAAACAGCACAGCGCCCCGCAGAGTGATCCCGATTACAAGATCACATAAGATCGCGGCTGAATACCTTGCGTTGAAAGATATGAGACTTTGATAGAACCAAGACCATCATGCCGTCCTACCAGTATACCGATATCAAAGTGGAGATGAAGGGTCAAATTGGTGTTATCAAAGTAGGTCGATAATTATTTGATCCCGTTCGTAATCGTGACTAACCAGAGGATTAGTTTAATCGACCCAAATCACTCAATTCATTTGGCGGGAACCTGCTTGTCGATACTCTACATGCTGTGAAAGAACTCGATGAAAACCCCGATACCGTCTTCACCGTATTAACGGGTGAAGGGCGTTTCTTTTCAGCCGGGGCTGATGTGCGAGGTCAGTTTGAGCCTCGTTCAAAAGTATAGTTCCAGAATTATGAGGCACTGTCGCTGAATATTGGAGTGTAGGTTCGCGGCCACTGGACGAGGGTATGGCCGATCTCACGCAGATCCAACTCAAGCTTCTCCACTTGGCTCGCTTCACTACAAGTAGGTGGACTCTCGTTCCTAATGAAGCATGGTATCAGCTAACTTATGACAGTGATGGAATTAATGAAATCGCTCATCGACCACAAAAAGGTGTTTGTCCTGGCCATGAACGGTCCCGGAGTCGGTGGAGGAGCAGCCTGGTTCCAGGGCCTCGCCGATATCATCCTTGCATCTGAGACCACATATCTGCAAGTCCCATTCAATTCATTGGCCTTGGTTCCCGAAGCAGGATCGGCTACCAACCTAGCCAGACACATGGGCGTTCATCGCGCAAACGACTTCTTAATGTTTGGTCGCAAGCTCACAGTCCAGGAACTGGAGAATTGGGGGCTAGTCAACCGAGTTTTCCCTGTCGAAGGCTTCCATAACTCGGTCATTGAGTTCTTGGAGAAGCAGCTCGAGGTCAACGATGGGATTAGTATGATGGAGACCAAGCGATTGCAAAATCTCCCTCTTAGAAGCGAGCGCATCTTGGCCGTTTACAATGCGACCGATGCTCTTGCGGAGAGGCTTGCGAGTGGAGCGCCAGCTGCGCGATTCCGAGCGAAGAAAGCTGAACTTGAAGGTATGACAATATAATGTTTTGGTGCAGTCCACCGGCTAATTATTTCTGATAGCGAAATCCAAGTCTCGGCTTTGAAGTTGGGGGTTTGGAAAATTTCCATAAATCTTGCTTTTTGATCATGGTAGCGCATTAGCAGCAGCTTCAGTGAGAGCAATACATCATACAATAGACATAATCGAAATGTCTTTGGAATCAGGAAAGTTGCAGCAAGTCAAAAATTGTGAGAATTGCTGAAACGAAAGTGTAAATCCGGCGGCATAGCCTAAATAGGTAAATGGACTAACAATTTGGACAATAAAAAAGGCTGCGATCAGCGCTGCTCGATGCCCATCACAGTTAGAGAGTGGGACTGGATAAGCAACGCGCCTTCCGCATACGCACCTCTCTCCAAATAATTTCAGAAGCTCCCCTTCTCCCCCTCAACCTCATCTCATTCACTCCAGATCCTAGACAAAATGCCTCGAAACGAGAGCAAGATTGAGATATCTGCGCCACCCGCCAAAGTGCGAGAAGTGGTACGTCGTTGTCACCAGGTCTTCCATCCGACGCGACCACAGCCTGGGTACTGATACATGTAACAGCTCCTCAACTTCTCCGCTTACCCAGAATGGCACACCGATTTCATCAAGGGCATCAAGATCCAGGATGAGTCCAAGACATCCGAATCTCTCGTCCATGGAGACAAGGTCGAGTGCAACATTGAAGGATGGAAATTCATCGCCGAGATCAGGGTGGGTACCCGCCCTGGCGCCGTATTGTTGTTTAACTATTCCAGCTTCAACCCAATGCTAACGACTCTTCTCTTGCAAAGGAAAACTCCGAAGGCATGTTCTCATGGCAGGGTCCTCCCGTCTTGACCGTCGCTGGCCTGCATCAGTTCCGTATCGAGCCCACCAAGGACGGAGCAGCCACCATCTTCACGCAGTCGGAGGATCTCAAGGGTCCCTTGGCATTCTTGATGGGCCCATCATTGCTGGGCAAGAAGATGGCGGCCCATTTTGCTGAGTTCAACAGAGATCTTAAGGCTCGTGCAGAGGCCGTTTGAGTTGCACTGGACTCTGACATCGAGGCCAGACACCATCAGCTCGGTCTGTGAGGATGATGATACATATTGCCTTGTAAGCCTGTGGGTCTAGACGCCCCGTCGATCTTTTATTTACTGCACACGCACCTCGGTCGCATATATTTTCTAGCCCTCCTCACGTTTTTCGCTTTGAAAACAGCCCCTGTTCGTTTTGAATGCAGTTTTGTTTTTTCAGATAAATGCGAATACCACTTATGTTACATTTACAATTGTTCAGGAGTGTAGCATTCAAAATTGTGGCTTGCAAGGATTGTTTACCAACGAAGCTTACAGCCCCCAAAAACTAGCTCTCCACTCTGCAGAGGCCAGAACATGACTTGTTAGAAATAGAGAATTATGAAAAACCGATCGGTCGTCGGTGATGTCACTCCGTGGAAAGATCACGATGAGTACAAACATGGCAGAGAGGTAAAAGACATTTGTGTCAAAATATTTTACCGCTGGAACCGGGAGATAGATATGGTTATAAATGATGAAAGAAAAGAAAAAAAAGGTGCAGTCGTCTCACCAAGCAGCCAGCTTCCCTGTAACGGGACGATGTATTCCGGCGACGCCACCCCAGGGTGGAAGTGTCTCTGCAGAATTGCTTCCCTCAAGGTTCACTTCCATTGCTTAGCGCCTCACAGCGTCGTGGATTACTCGCACGAGTGTGGCGGCGACCCCAGGGTTCGTACCGGGCACGCGTACCCGCTGACCGAAGGTCGAAGCAAGGTCGCTAGCTTGGCGGTGGGCCTCCCACTAGGTTATCCATGACAGATTAAGAGTTTCAGAAATTGTTTGCCTTTATACCCCCTACCCCGGTATCTCAGTGGCACCGGTTCGAACCCGGCTACCACCACTGGTTTATTTATGATCCCCTTCGTATACATAGTCTCGGGAATCTCCTCTGTTAATACTTCAAAATCATTTAGTTCTTCGAATTTCACGCCACTTTTAAAACGATTTCCCGTTTTTACTGATTATCTCCAACGTACTGTTAAAGCCCATGCCGATATATTCCGTAGAGGCTACCCGGTGAGATCGCATCACAGCAACATATAATGTTCATTTTCCACAATAATCGATCACAGCAAATCAACACAGACAAATATGAGCAACGAAACCCCTTGAAAATAGCAATAAGTCCTGACAATATAACAGAGAGTATGTCCGAAGACAGCTAAGCCAGCCTCGAGACAGCAACACTCCAGCACCTAAACACCTAAACACAACGAATCATACATACTCACTCACTCACTCAACCTGTTCTCCCTCTTCCTCCTGCTCCTCGGCATCAACTCCCTCCCTGCGGCCCCGACGAGTTCCTATCTGACACAACTTAAACCTTTTGTCCCGGGTACTGCGCATACACATTCCCGAACAGCACTCCCGGTTTTTCTTGCAGATATGGAAATGCTTGGAACATTCCTTTTCACATTTACGGGGAAAGCAATAAGCTCGGCGATAACACAGCCCTTTCTTACAACGGTGCCCAGGGCGGCAGTCATCTTGGTTATCGCAACCGGGCTGGCAGACTCCGTCGGAGCAAACATGGCCCCAGTCGCAATCTTTATTGATGTCACAATAACGTGTCGGTGGTAAGGCTCTCGTCTCAGGAGAAGAGAAAGTGGTAACATTTGCCGTACCGGCAAAGCTCAACATGGAGTTGGTAGCAGAGTTATTTCCAATTCCGCCCGCAACCATGTTTGGGGTCGAATCGGAGATGTTTGTGGTGACATTGTACATAGCAGCCGCAGCTGGCTCAACAGATCCCTCAGAATCTGCTTTGGGGATTGAGGTGACCACTGCCCAAACCAAGACAGCGATAATTGAAAGAACGGTGCAGGTGAAGATAGAGCATGCTATCAAGCCACCAGGTGAAGTACGCTTCTCTTCGTCCAAGTCTGAACAATGCTCAATATCGAAGATAGTCTCGTCTGCCGACTCCTGTGGTGGAGGATTTCCGGCCTCGAGGTCGACGATACCTTATACTACATCAGCGTTTGAAACGAGTGAAAGGAAGAGGCATTTGCTTCTCAAACATACTGTTTTCGTTGGTCATGGTCGATAAATCTCACAGAAATTGGGAGCAACGAGGAATTTGTATGGTCGCAGAGAGGAACCTGGATGGTTGCAAGTGGGAAATGATTGTAGAAAGAGCGTGGGAATCATAGGCATGGCCGCGTCCATTTACGGACTCGACACAACAACCACGGTCATGATGCTTTTGCCTTTCCCAAAAGGGACAAAGCTTTTCCTATCTCGTACCACTCCAATACAATCTTGGAAGTCACCCTCAAGTCACTTGAATCATGGGAGTATGTCGGGATTGCAGAAAGTAATCACAGATTTTCAATCATCTCAACTATTGCTTTGGGCTAGATACGTAGGTCGATTGGACACCAAAAGCCTATCGATAGTGAGAAAGTATCAGCCCATTAATGCTGCTTCTTTTTGCTGCGTATTCATTGCGCTTGGGAAATTAATGTTGCAATATCTAATCTGGGCTTAGTATTACCCAAATCGAGAGCCTGGCATCATCTATGAGGTGTTAGTCCGACTTCTGTTTATGAGACGAATGCTCCGACCGAGGAAAATGAGGAAGAATATCGGACTGCACAAAATACCGATTTCTTTCTTAAAATCCATCAGATACCAAAGCAGATGTTGTCTCAATATCACATGGGCAATAGGCTGCACCGCGAGAGCTCACTTTGCTATTATTTCATGACTATCCAGTCTCTTGGAGTCATATCATAAACTTCTCATGATAGGCGAAGTCAACCGCGTGTTTCTAACAGAGTATGTACACTGTTACCTCGCCTAGACCGACTAAATAATTCAGTGGGACTGTTCGCCAAGGATATCGCCAAGATTAAGGTGGGCACGTTGTCTCCCTTAGATCTTCGTCAGCCCCTTATGGTCCCACTATCACATGTAACTCTTGTCTTAAAGGGCATGTCTTTTACCGTAGCTCGAAGAGCTGCCTACATCCTGAACTGCCCAAAATTCTCAAACCAATTGAATGACTCATTTCGTTTTTCAACTATCATGACATTGATTCAAGAAAGGATGGCAAGTTTATTGGTTATTATTACCTATCGAAATTCAAAAAGGACGCACAACTTTCCTCGGCTTACATTTTATCTCTGAGATTGAAGATTAAAGATAATGATTGCGTATATGGGGCTTCGCTGTCGGCCTGAGAATGTACTCGAGTCTGGGCCATGTGTCTCGGCCCGCCTCGCTCAAAAAGTCGGATTGTCGGGCAACCTTTGGCACTGCCGATAGAACGCTGAATACCTAGCGTAGATCATACAGAGATCGGAGCAAGCTCGAACCCCGGCCATATCCGATTCCACCGAAGGCTTCCTTGTGAAAGCACCCCGTCAAGAGCTTTGTCTCAAAGCCGAATGCGACAAGATTTCTTGAAACGGCGGTACTGATAGAAGTGCAGATATACATGATTAGAGAGCATAGCCAAGACATGTCGCAAGTTATGCATTTGTGTTAACTAAGCGCTTTACTAATGACAGACTGTTTAATGTACTTTGATTGGAAATTCAGCTCCGGACGAATTTCGGCCGATTGTTATGATATTCAGAGGCGCAGATCCTAGAGCCGATCCCGAAATTTAAACTCTAAAAATGCAAAGATGCGAGATTGAGCCTAAATTATGGTGCAAATATCGTCAGGTAAGCACCAGTGGCGAGCGCATAATCAATTAACATCTGTTGAGTGTCATAATTCATGGATGCCCAGAGAAAAATTCTAGTGGAGTCTGGCCGACGGAGCAATTATCAGCCCGATTGACCCATCGACTGAGGACCAACATGGCGGACATAGATTTGTTAGTCAGCCCAATTTATTCACGATAGTTATTATGCAGATAGTGATGCATCAATCTAGTTTAGTGAATAAGCTAACGTTATCCGACTATGAGAAAATTACTATTCACCCGAAAGCCGAGGTTTTCTCAGCTGCCAAGGCCATTTATTCCAAGACCGATCGTTCCTTGCCGGGTCAAGTAAGTTATCCTACCGGTGGATAGCCCGTGTCTCCGATTGGATGGACCAGTTTTAGTCCGGCCCACACCTTGCGAGATGGCTTTGATACCACGAGGCAGACGACGCAATTCGCTGACATCTACGATGATTATGATGACAGAAGTTTTGATGTGATTCACGTCCCCTCAAGGCTTCCGGCTCGGGTCAAGATTACCTTCCGTTCCGCGTCAATTAAAGCTCCCAATTCTTGCCATGGATTGTGATATGGATCCGCCCTGCACTAAATAGGCATCCAAGGCCACCATTATCGGCCTTCTCAATTCCTTCTAGCCTTCTAGAGCTCTGGCAGGTGGATATCAATAGTTTTAAAGTGGATTCGAGGCATCCCAGTGTTGCGGACCCCGCGGGCCATATAGTCACGAATATATCCCATCCGAACGCAGATTTCCATTCACTCTCTACCGAACTCCTAACCTACGTCACTCTTTTCCCTCACCATGCACGCCGTGCAAGAGGAAGACTCCCATGAGGGGGCTTCTCATCATCTCAACAATGAAAAAGGTCATCACAATATGCCCTCTTCTTCAGCCTCTTCCGATACCCTAGCATCTCCTACTAGCCCACGGGGCGAAATCGACCCAGCTGATGCTGCATTTATCACTCAAATGGTGAGCTGTGATCAGCAACTATCTCAAATTGCATCTCGAGTCATTGGTGCCGATAATCCCGCACTCGATCCCGAGAACAAAGATTTCGACCTCTCTCTCTGGTTACGCCATATTGTGCGTCAGCTGAATCACGAAGGCATTCTTCATTCCAAAGCCAGTGTATATTTTCGCAATGTCCATGTCACTGGTACAGGCGCTGCTTTGCAGCTTCAACAGACCGTGGACGGGATTTTCACGTCTCTTCTTCGCCCTCGTGAGACATTCAGTATCGGCTCCAAACCTCCGAAGCAGATCCTGAAGCAATTCGATGGCATTCTTGACAGTGGAGAGCTCCTCATTGTGCTTGGAAGACCGGGGTCTGGCTGTAGTACTTTCCTCAAGACTCTATGCGGCGAGTTGCATGGCTTGGAGCTGGACGAGGCCTCCGAGGTTCACTACAGTGGCATTCCGCAGCAGACAATGCAGAAGGAGTTCAAGGGTGAGATGGTTTACAATCAGGAGGTAGACAAGCATTTCCCTCACTTGACTGTTGGTCAGACTCTTGAATTCGCTGCTGCCGCCCGCACTCCCTCTGCTCGTCGAGAGGGATTGTCTCGCGAAGAATATGCCCGATCGTTCACCAAGGTGATGATGGCAGTCTTTGGACTTTCTCATACTTACAACACCAAAGTGGGCAACGACACTGTGCGAGGTGTATCTGGTGGCGAGCGAAAGCGGGTGAGTATTGCAGAGATGGCCTTGGCGAGGGCTCCGCTCGCTGCATGGGATAACTCAACTCGTGGCCTGGATTCGGCGACTGCTTTGCGCTTCGTTCAATCACTACGACTTGCCGCAGACATCGACGACTCGGCCCATGCTGTGGCTATTTACCAGGCTAGTCAAGCTATCTATGACCTCTTCGACAAGACCGTGGTTCTATACGAAGGACGTCAAATCTATTTCGGTCCTGCAAATGCTGCAAAGGCTTTCTTCGAGCGACAAGGCTGGTACTGCCCGTCCCGTCAAACAACCGGCGATTTCCTAACCTCTGTCACCAACCCTGTGGAGCGGCAAGCGCGCGAAGGTATGGAGAGCCAAGTCCCGCGAACTCCAGATGAATTCGAGACGTACTGGCATCGCTCCCCTGAATATCAAGAGCTTCAGCGCATGATGAAGGAGCACAATGATGAAGTCACCTCGAACTCGGAAAACAACGTCCGCCAACTCAAGGAGCAGAAGGTTCAGGCGCAGGCAGATCACACTCGTTCAGCTTCGCCCTATCTGCTTAGTGTTCCAATGCAGATTAAGATGAACACCAAGCGTGCGTACCAGCGTGTCTGGAATGAGCGCACATCCACCATCACCAGTTTCATTGGAAATTGCATTATTGCATTGATTGTCGGATCTGTCTTCTACGGCACCCCGTCGGAGACGAGCAACTTCTACCAGAAAGGCGCCGTGCTTTTCTATGCAGTTCTTCTTAACGCCTTGACCGCCATGACCGAAATCAACAGTCTATACTCACAGCGACCGATTGTCGAGAAGCATAACACGTATGCTTTCTACCATCCATTCACTGAAGCCATCGCTGGTATTCTGAGCGATATTCCCGTCAAATTCTTGCTCGCGGTCGCATTCAACGTCATTCTATACTTCCTCAGCAATCTCCGTCGAGAGCCCTCACAATTTTTCATTTACTTTCTAATCAACTTCATCATCATGTTTGTCATGAGTGCGGTCTTCCGGACTATGGCTGCCATCACCAAAACCGTTTCCCAGGCCATGACTCTCGCTGGTATTCTGATTCTGGCACTGGTCATCTACACAGGATTCGTCGTGCCGGTACCATACATGCATCCCTGGTTTGGTTGGATCCACTATCTCAACCCCATCTACTACGCATTTGAGATTCTAGTGGCCAACGAGTTTCATGGTCGCGATTTCGCCTGTTCCTCGATGATCCCAGCATACCCCAACATGCAGGGTGATACATTTATCTGCTCCTCGAAAGGTGCCATCGCTGGTCAAACTACTGTCAGTGGTGATGCGTATATTTGGGATTCTTATCACTATTCCTACACGCATGTCTGGCGTAACTTTGGAATTCTGATTGCCTTCTTGATTGGATTCCTCGCAATCTACTTCGTCTGCACGGAGCTCAACTCATCGACCACGAGTACCGCTGAAGTGTTGGTGTTCCGGCGCGGACACGAGCCCAAGGCTTTGAAGGACGGTGGGGTCGATGAAGAAGACACAAATGGTACATCGGTCGTGGCAGCTAATGAGAAGGCTGAATACAATCTGCCAAACCTGCCTCCGCAGCGAGATCTCTTCACCTGGCGTGATGTGGTTTATGACATCAAGATCAAGGGCGAGCCCAGAAGGTTACTTGACAACGTCTCCGGCTGGGTCAAACCGGGCACACTGACTGCCCTGATGGGTGTCAGTGGTGCTGGCAAGACTACGTTGCTGGACGTCCTAGCCCACCGCACCACCATGGGTGTCATCACTGGTGATATGTTCGTCAACGGAAAGCCTCTTGACTCCAGTTTCCAACGGAAAACTGGATACGTCCAGCAACAGGATCTTCATCTTGAAACCGCTACAGTGCGTGAGAGTCTTCGGTTCAGTGCAATGCTTCGTCAACCAGCTTCCGTTTCAAAGGAAGAGAAGTATGCCTACGTTGAAGAGGTCATCTCAATGCTGAACATGGAAGAATTCGCCGAAGCGGTTGTGGGTGTACCGGGTCAGGGTCTCAACGTGGAACAGAGAAAATTGTTGACTATTGGTGTTGAATTGGCTGCTAAACCAAAGCTGCTGCTTTTCCTTGACGAACCAACTAGGTATGACCACCTTTTTCTTCCATTCGAAATGACTTGCTAACCGGATCTAGTGGTCTGGACTCTCAAAGCTCTTGGGCAATCTGTAACTTCCTTCGCAAACTCGCCGACGCCGGTCAAGCAATCCTGTGCACCATCCATCAACCCAGTGCCATTCTATTCGAACAGTTCGATCAGCTGCTGTTCCTGGCTCGCGGTGGTAAGACCGTGTATTTCGGACCTATTGGTGACAACTCTCGCACTCTCCTCGACTACTTCGAAAACCATGGAGCCCGTACCTGTGCCGATGACGAAAACCCGGCCGAGTATATGCTCGAAATTGTCAATGCAGGCACCAACCCAGAAGGTAAGACCTGGTTCGACCTTTGGAATGGAAGTGCCGAAGCCGCGGGTGTGCAAAAGGAAATTGATCGTATTCACGAGAGCAAGAAGAACCAGCCTGCCCACGACCCGGATCAGCTCCCAGACCCAAGGGAACAGTCTGAGTTTGCCATGCCGCTCATGAAGCAAATGCCCATTGTCTTCACCAGAGTTTTCCAGCAATACTGGCGTATGCCAGACTACGTGATGGCGAAAATCATGCTGGGTCTCTGCTCCGGCCTCTTCATCGGCTTCTCCTTTTTCAGACCCGATCATTCCCAGCAGGGTATGCAGAACCAGATTTTCTCTCTTTTCATGATTTGTGCAATCTTCTCTTCCTTGGTCCAGCAAATCATTCCACTGTTCATCACTCAGCGTGCACTATATGAAGTCCGCGAACGTCCCTCAAAGACGTACTCCTGGGTCGCTTTCATGACCTCCTCCATTCTGGTTGAAATCCCATACCAGATCATCATGGGTATTCTCGTTTATGCATGCTACTACTATGCCGTGGATGGTGTACAGAGCTCGTCCCGACAAGGACTGGCTCTCCTCTTTTTCCTGCAATTCTTCGTATATTCCGGCACGTTCGCAGACATGGTCATCGCAGCCTTACCCGATGCTGAAACCGCAGGCGCCATCGTCACTCTTTTGTTCTCCATGGCCTTGACTTTCAACGGTGTCATGCAAACCCCCGACGCCCTCCCTGGCTTCTGGAAGTTCATGTACCGCGCCTCCCCATTCACATACTGGGTCGGCGGTGTCGCTGCCAACCAAATGCATGGACGGGAGATCAAGTGCAGCGACACGGAGATGTCAATTTTCAACCCCCCGTCTGGCGTGACCTGTGGCCAATACCTCCAGAAGTATCTCTCCGTGGCACCGGGTTATCTGGAGAACCCCAATGCAACCCAGTCCTGTGCCTACTGCTCTCTTTCCACGGCTGACCAATACCTGGGCTCTGTGCGGATGGTTTGGGATGAGCGATGGCGTAACTTCGGCATTTTCTGGGTGTACATTGTATTTGACATTGCCGCTGCGGTTGCACTATACTACTGCTTCCGTGTCAAGAAGTGGAACTTTGGTTCTAAGAAGCAGAAGTCTGCTTAGTTGGAATGTAATTTTTTGGGATCGACTATATAGACTGGAATTTTAGAGCAATCAATTTGAGACGCATTTCATTATACAAGCCAATCCCGGGGGAGATTCCTGAAGCAGCGAATCGAGATGTCAATGATATATAGCCATGCTTTTCAAATACTCAATCGGATGTCCAAATGATGGTTATGAAACTAAAGAACAGTGAGGATCCTTCCGTGACTGGATAGGTATTGGTCTCCTCCACGATCTTATAAATTATAAACCCCAGCACTCCGAGGACCAGAATGGTTCCAAAAAATGGGCCCTATTACGTCGACCCATAGCACTTCATTGGAGCTACCTGCTTTTTGCTCATCGTGCTCGAGTTCAGTGGTAGCTTGAGGCTCAACAGTGGGCATCTTAATGACCGTGTGTTCCTCGGTTGACGGGTGAAATAATGAAATAACCGAGCCGCGCGTAGAGTCTCTGGGTTTGTACGATGGAGGCTGCGAACAGGGTGGATACGGTGGAAGACCTGCAGGGGTTTGCTCATCCCTATTCGATTGGCAGTCTGATTATGCTCTACATCAGCAAAAACCCAGGTATGCAGTCAAATGTCTATTCCTTGACAGGAAAAGCTGGGGAATTGATACCGTTAGAACTCTACATTGTGACTTTGTCTCCATGCTTGGTTTTGAATTTGTAAATGGAAGTTGGTCCAAAGAACCAGCAGTCTTTTTAAATTAATTTGCCGAGCAGACTACAAAAACGGGATTTTCAACACGGCATAGTAATCAAACTGGAACGTAATTCATAGTACAAAGCATCGCGAAGACTTCTCAAAGCTAGTCGCGGTGTCAACAAGATATAGCTATAATCATGGAGTATTCACCCAAAAGTGCTGTGGGAAACACTTCCCACGAGGTTGTAAAGCACACTTAGCAATCTTGCGGGGGCCCTGGCGTGATTTGAGCTTCGTCTTCTTCCTGTACTTCTCCTTGTACAGGCTCTTGCTACTGTGCGATTGGAACCTGTTCGCCGGCGCTCGGAGCTTCTTCGTGAGCCTTCGGAGTTTCCTCTTGGACTTTTGGAACAGGCACTTCAGCAACGAGCACGACCTCGACCTCGACGGTTTGAACTTCTGTGCTGGGTACTGCCTCTGCGACTGGTTCCGACTTGACCAGGCACATACGAGCAGCAGGCGCTGAGAATTGATCGACGGGAACGATACTTAGTGCCGACAAACATCCCACCATCAGAAGCGCAAATCCTATTCCCCCGATGAACAAAACAATGATAACGATCACTACCCATGCACTACATGACACCCTCCCCAATGCCTTGAGCAACTTCCACGGCAATGATACAATTTTCCATACGAATCTTCCCAGCCCACAGAATATTATCGCACATGTACCGTCTCCTTGGTTTCCCCTGGTTTCAGCATAGTCCAAGGCAGTGACGATCTGGGGTTCAACAGTGGGGATATCAATGACTGTGGCTCCTTGAGTCATGGGCGTATCATGTAAGTTGCTCGTGGAAGGTCGGGACTTGTAGGATGGAGGATATGAGGGTGGTTGGTACGGTGGAGGGTTGAAACGATCTTGGTCTAACAAATCTCTAGGTTAGCGAGTGCAGTGTTAAGCTCCTGCCAGAATCTTTTGAAAGGTATACCGATCGAGTTATCCATCATGATTATTCCGCACATTTTGTCTTTTCAATGTGAATGGACTGACAGTAGGACTATCAGATATTGACGTTGAGTGGAAGAATTATGAGTACTTGGGAAGGAAAGGCTTTCATCATGAGAAGAGGTCGTAGCCGAATATAGATCCATGGCTTCATACCCCTTTCCGAGACGAATTGGGCGTCGGGGTGTGCATCTGCCTCATGTTCTTGCCTAATACATGCGATTTTGCTTCTAGGAAAGGAATAGAAGTGGTATGGTTTACATCACCAGTTAGGCTAGAGAAAATCTATTAATCTGCTATTGATTCCACAGACCGCGTACAGCTTTTCCTTCTCAAGCAAGGAAAACAAACCCTGCTATAGGTACTGGTCTTCTTGTCGTAGAAGGCCCATCGACCTCCAGGAATATGAGAACAAGATAGAATGTCCTAAGATATTCTCCCTCGAACTAAGCACTCTTGTCAGTATCCAAGGACGAGGTTACCACGAATCCGACCATTCACACTATGACGATGTCGGAAGTATACAGGGCAAAGGCTTTTCTGAAGCATTTTTCTCCATAGCATTTTCCGAGTCAAGTAAAAGTACATTTTGCGCCTCTACACTATCACAGAGCTTTGTATTGACTCCTCAATGCTTATCCATCGGTTGATCAAATACCATGCCGAGGTGCCCACGACCGAACGCCGGATACTTCAGGATGTCACGATCCTGAGAATAACAACTGGGGCAGTGCAATCGAGTTCACATATATGCGATCAAGTAGAGGAGCAGATCAACTACGTATATGGACAAAATTCAGTGTTTTTGCCCGCCGGGAACGTACCTGTAAGTCGGGAGATTTCCTGGTAGGAGCAATCAGGCTAAGACTGGCTAGGAGTTCACTACTCAAATTGCTTTTTTTGCCTAGTTTTCAGTTGGCCATTCAGAGGAACTAGAAGTCGGCCCTGAGCGTAGCTTTAATGCATTGCATCAGCAGTTGCTCACGCGGGCACTGCCTCATCGGGGATCGTGGGGGAGGAGGGGAGGTACTGAGTACATACAGACAAGGTGGAGTCAGGAACTGGATTGTAGAGGCATCGGACCACAGCAGGGATAAGATAGGAACAGCCAGTTGCACGCGGATTGGCTGATTTGCGATCATTACCGGGGGATGATGAGAGAAGCAGTCTGGTTCGTTGGAGAAAAATCCACAAGTGCCGAATGAAGAAGGAAACGAACGATCAGCCATGACGTCGTTGGGGACAAGAAATCGGGGCGGGCAGATGGGCAGATCATGTGAAATCCGCCAGTCTCCAGTTGGTAGTTGGTCCAGTTGGTCCCCTCCACTTTCTCTTCTCTTTCCGGGGTTCCCTGACTCTCGATTCTCTGGTTAGGTTCCCTCCTTTTTTTCCCTTTCCTCCTTTAACCGATTTGTGCTGTTTTCACAATGCCTCCCTTTCGAAATCTTCTCGGTCGCAAGTCCCAGCCCAATGGCCTCGACACTGATGCCTTCAACGAGGCCCATTTATCCCCGAATGACCGCCCGCGGCCCGCTCCCATTACGATGCGCCGGAGTTGTGACGACCAACAGCCTCCCGAGTACAAATTGAGTAGTACGTCTCGATGGGATACCGATTCCGTTATGCGATAGCAAACAATGCTCTCAGGTAGAATTGCATGCTAATCTTTACTGGTCCTATAGTCGTGAACGATAGCGGCGTTTATCTTCCGGTATAGTCCTCCTCGGACACGAACAATGGGACCAAGACCCAAGTAGAAGAGAGACACCGACTGACAGCACATAGCCCTCGCCCCCTGAAAAACAAAGCTTCTGGCACCGATACCCCGGCTCAGCCCGATCAGCAAACCATCGTGACCTGGTCGATGAGAATGAGCCCTTCTCTATATCCCGCGAATCATTCGATTCCTACCGCCGGTCCTTTGTACACGCTCCCCATGACCATTCCCGGAATACAAAACCCATTCTAATTCCTTGCAGGACATCTCTGCGCGCTCCCCAGTCATATACGCCGAAGCCGCGCCCTCCCGGACATCCCTCGACTCCCGCTTCTGCCGCCTGAACTCCCCCTCTATGCGATCCACCAGTTTTGACCGGCCCGAACGCATGGAAGAAGAAGCTTTTGAGGATGTCGGTCTCAATGACGAAGCCAAACCGAAGAAAAAGAGTATTTTTGCCCGGTTCGGCGATTCATACAATGAAACGCAACAATCCACCAACAAGTCGTCTACATCCTTCGGGTTCCACATGCCCGGTAGGAAGCGTGGGCAGAGTGGGGTTGGATCGGAGTTGGGCGCCGTCAAGACGCCGACGACTACAGTAGCGCCCGCTCTCGAGAATGGTGAATAATGGACGACTTGAACATGCATGATGAAACGATTTCTTTTTTTTGGGTTCGACAATGGGTATGGTTCGCTCGGGGCGTTTTAGGTTATTCGGGCGGCGTGATCGACTCACGCCATGTTCCTTTGTTTCACCACTGGGCACGCGGCTGTTCTTGATGGATGCAAGTATCTATCGAGGGAGATGATACACAGCTCTCGTTTGTTGTTTTGTTCTTTCTTTGTATATTCTATCTTTTTTTTGATTCCTTCATCGATCGAGGACTGGGAATACTGGCGGTACTGCAAGACCTTGTTCTCTCGTTCCACCCCATTTTGTTTAGAAAGCTATATACATTTCCACATGGATTATGCAGTTAATTATTGTGAAAATAGTTATCTATAATATAGCTCTTCGCGATAGAAGATGAGTTCTCCCATTTACATTGATTCTGCCTCAAGCGGATAGCTAGTCCAACAGCACCACCAGTTGTTTCTCCCCGGTGGTTGTGGCCAAATATCATGGAGAAGCAGGGTAAGTCTCAGGAAGTCTCACCGATCCAAATTGATTCCGTCGTATCTCTCGTGCCCTCTTTCCGATTTCCTCAACATTTGGTAACCCAGGATTTTGAAAGTTATATCGTGTGACTAGAATTGACCGCGCAAAACAGTCAAGAAGCCAACTCTCTTCACGAGAGAACCATCCCTTTCCAAATGGCACAATACGAAGATACTGCATGCACGAAGACTTATTGTATTTGATTTGATTCCAAATCCCAAGGGCAAGGTTATCATCAGTGGCCGCATTGATGAAAATCTTCCGCAGAGCTACTAGATCCGGCGTGTCGGCATGGCGCAGTGCTGGCTCGGATCGCGCGTCAAAATGAAGATCTAGCACAAGGCTGTGTAGGTTCGTAAGCTTTCCAAGAGCGTTGCATAGCTCACACTCTGCTCGGCTGCCCATTGACTTCTTTATTTGGAGACGTAGCTCTTCCAAAGTTCGCACAGTGAGCTGCTAGCTGGAAGATGTCGGATACATCGAGTATAGGGTATTCCGACAGAGCCCGACCAGACGGCTCTACAATGAGCCCCTTTAATGACGGGCCGTGCTGCTCGACAATTCGAAGCAAGCTTCCAGCGCTACAAAGACTATGAAGACAAAGGTATCTCAAGGGTGGAAATGCTCGTATAGCGGCAATTGAGTCGTCGTGATCGGTTTTGAGATGCATCCAGGGTCGACCGTTGGGACTGGGCTGTATGAAGAGTCGCTCAAGGTTAGGAATCAGTCTCGCGATTTTCATTAAGCCCGCTGGATCATGGACATGCGCAAGGACGAGTGTGCGGAGGTTAGAAAGATTGCCAGCGGCGGCTAACTTAAAAAGGATTTTCTCATGCGGTGCACAGCCAGAAATCGTAACTGATTCTAGTGAAGATATTTGCGGGGATAGGCGAGTAAGGTTCTGCCATTCTTCCCTTAACCGAGATATTAGAAATCTAGAGGTGCTAGTTATGTCCTGTAAGTCGAGATGCTTCAACCCTTGGGCATTGACGAGAAAAGGCAACATCTCGTCGAGATATTCACGTCCAGCTGATCGGCTTTCGTGATAGACTAGCTGAACAGCGAGAGAATGGAGACCCGGTCGTTGATGGATCTTGGCATCGAATGCATTATATTCACCCCAATAGTTATGTGGGCGGAGTTGGTGTTTAACTGCTCTATCGAGCACACCATATGCCACCTCCTGACGCCAGTCGATATTCACCCTGCAATCAGGATGATGATTGAATATGGATTGCTGTAGGCCACTTGTGGACTCGTTACTCGTGACAAAGCGAAGCTGTTCCAAGCGGCTCAATCGAGAGATAAGAGACTCAACTGGTGCCCAGTTTCTCTCGTCGAAACGAAGACCACCAGAGTTGTTGACTAGAACTGCCTCGCCTGTACAGGGATTGCAAGTGGTTAGCCAATAATCCAAAAAGCCATCTCTTGTAGCCGGCTCCGTGTCGATGATTAGACTGGGTGCACATGGTTCTAACTTCCACTGAAAGGCCTTTTCCTGCCCCTTTCCCTCCCCTTTGATGAGACAAATAATGTATAATCTCCTGGCGTGTTCTGTGAGACAGCATCCTTAAGGATTCTGTATCACTTCCGAAACGGCCACCTGCAGGCTTTCCATGTCCCAGAATTTGAGAGTGAGATTCCGATAGAGAATTGGGGCCGCCGCCTTGTAGCAGATGCGGTTTACCCGGCTGAAGGACGACAGGTCTTTGCGTGAGCCATGTCCAGAGCCTCGAAGCTAATTATTATCAGTCAGCATTTATATGAAGGCGAGCTATTTGACTGCATGGCGACGTACATAGAGGCAGATGAGCCTCAGGATTTCATCTGGGACGCGATCCAGAGAGTGCTAAGGTGGATATTTACTAGAGCGACTGACTTACTTTTAGCACTTTTAGTAACGTGATCTGTAAGCAAGCTAGTTATGTTGGTGATATTGCTAGTATCTATGTAATCATCCATCAATGTCTTTTATAAAGAAGAATACTGGGGGGTTCCTGACTTTTTCATGCCCATGTAGTCATGGCCTGTCCAGTTAATTCTCATCACCACTTTAACGGAAATAGTGGCCGAGATAGATCACGTGTGAGATCGAGGATCAAGATTTTGGTTTAAAACACTTACAATGGCGTCAAGTTTTGCCGTTCTCGATGCCAAATCTACCGTTGTCTAGTTACCCAGCGTTGTTGTGTAGTTTAGAAAGTATTTCCCCAAATATTAATTGTTCATGTCTAAGGTTGATGTTCATTCCGCCTAATCGGTGGTTGGCTCTTATCGGTGCAAACTCTGCAAACAACGGGCAAAAAATCTCCCTCCGCCTGCAAATCAAAAAAATTATCCACCAGCACGCCGAGCATCTGCAGCTCGGAAACCCACGCACCTTTTAATCCCTACCCGGCCCAGAGATTGAAACAGAGTCGCTGTGATCTATATTGAGAATGGCTGGTGTTAAGCGTCGTGTCGACGCCGCTGAGGACCGCAATGGAAAGCGGAGCAAGAGCCAGGTCTCCGCACCTGTGAAGAAGTCAAACACTGCTGCGCCGGTCAAGAAGAGTGCTGCTTCTTCTTCTAAAAAGGACTCCAGATCTGGCAAGTCCGATAAGAAGGTCTCTAAGAAGAAGGTTCAACAGGAGGAGTCTGAAGATGACGAGGACGACTTTGATATGGACGATCTTTCTTCGGCTTCTGGAGACGACGACTTCGATACCTTGGATGCCACACCCGATGATGTTGATATGGATGATGTGAGCGATGATGACGAGGACAGTGAAGAGGTTGAGGAGAAGAAGAGCGCCAAGTCGGACAAGAAGGATGGCAAGCAACAAAATGGCGAGGAGGCGAAAAGTATGTTTCTTCACAGGTTATGCTTGCTGCAATGAACTGGGACGAGACTAACACGCATTATCTGAATAGGCAATAACAACAACTCTCGCGAATCCCACGCAAAGCAAAAGATCCTCCAGCAGGAGCGCAAGGCCGCCAAGCCCAACGCCGACACCATCGCCCGGTCCAAGAAGCTCTGGGAGCAGCTCCGCCGCAAGTCCCACGTCCCTCTGGAACAACGTAAGAAGCTCATCAAGGAGCTGTTTGAGATTATCACCGGTCGTGTCAGTGATTTCGTCTTCAAGCACGACTCCGTGCGAGTCGTTCAGACCGCTCTGAAGTACGGTAACCTGGAACAGCGCAAGCTGATTGCGCAGGAGTTGAAGGGTAGCTACAAGGAGTTGGCGCAGAGCCGCTACGCAAAGTTCTTGGTTGGCAAGTTGATTGTGCACGGTGATGCTGAGACCCGCGACATGATCATTCCCGAGTTCTACGGACACGTCAAGCGTCTGATCCGCCACCCTGAGGCATCATGGATTCTCGACGATATCTACCGCACAGTGGCGTCCAAGGAGCAGCGCCGACGAATTCTGCGTGAGTGGTACGGTCCCGAGTTTGCCATCTTCGAGGATGAGAAGGAGACTTCGGATCTGCCCAAGATCTTGGAGGCTCACCCCGAGAAGCGCGGACCTATCATGCACTTCTTGCATGAGCTCATCAACCACATGGTCCAGAAGAAGACCACCGGTTTCACTCTCTTGCACGATGCCATGTTGCAATACTTCCTCAGCACAAAGCCTGGTAGCACCGAGGCGAATGAGTTCATCGAGCTGCTCAAGGGTGACGAGGAGGGTGATTTGGTGAAGAACTTGGCTTTCACTGCGTCTGGCTCTCGCTTGATGTCCCTGAGTCTGGCTTATGCCAACGCCAAGGACCGTAAGCTGCTTCTGCGATTCTACAGAGATACCATCAAGGCGATGGCTGGTGACGTGAACGGTCACATGGTGATCCTCGCTGCATACGAAGTTATTGACGACACAAAACTGAGCGGCAAGTCGATCTTCCCGGAACTTCTTAACCAGAACGACAGCGAGGAGGCTCGCAATGAAGAGCTGCTTCTCCAGCTGAACGATCTGGTCGCTCGTGTCGCTGTCCTGTTCCCCTTCGCCGGCGACCGCGTCAAGTGGCTTCTGCCCGAGGTCGACGTGGAGGTGTTGAAGGAGATTCGTGAGATCCGGAAAGAGACCTCGAAGAAGGAACCCGCTACTCGACGCAGCGAGCTGGCTGCCGTCGCCTCGCCCACTCTCCTCGCCTTGATCGCCGCCCGTGCGGAGACTCTTCTAGAGACCACCTTCGGCTGCCAGGCTATCGGTGAGATTCTGTTCGAATCTACCGGCGACAAGACCGCTGCCCTGGAGGCCGTTGCCAACGCCGCCAAGACCCAGTCCGAGCAGCGTGACTCTGCCGCCTTCGGTCGCCTCCTCAAGTCCCTGGTGCAGGGCGGTCGTTATAACCCAGCTACCAAGTCTGTGGAGAAGACCTCCCCACCATTGAACTTCCACGATCTGCTGTATGAGCAGATCCGTGACGAGGTTGTGGAATGGGCCACTGGCCCCAACACCTTTGTCATTGTCGCCATGACCGAGTCCGATGACTTCAAGGGCAAGGCTGAGCTGCTCAAGACACTGAAGAAAAACAAGAAGGCTCTGACCAAGGCCGCGGAGTCTGGTAAGGGTGAGAAGAAGGCCGGTCCTGCGGCTAGCGGTGCTAAGCTGCTGCTTGAGAAGCTATAGATATGTCTGGGCATTGGGCATTGCTTGATGATGTCTCTTTTTATTTACAGTTTTGAAGGGCGTTTTGTTCTCTCCATGGATGATGTTATTTTGTAATATGTACAAAGGGAGTCGCGAATCAAAATCATAAAAGCATTTCTCTTCTGATGATATCCGACAGGACGACACTGTTTTAAAACTGTAGTTCATTTCCTTTCGTTCCTCCAATCATTCCCGATGAAATTAGTCTCCACTTCTTGGTGGATTCCCGTGGAATGGCAGCCGCGGGATCTCAGGGGTTCGTTCCATCAAATTCAATTGTTGTTATTATCTCTTCGGCCCGAAGATTGAGCCCAGCAATGACTGAAACAGAGAGAATCCTTGCTTTTGGAACATGTATGCAGCTGTAAAGCGGTGTTCATCGTGCAGCGCCCCTTGTACAACTGTGGCCTGAGTCCATAAATGAGCTACTCATGTATGAAGCTGGGGTATGACCACTTTCTACTCCAATTTGCTATTGGCCACTGTAGGCAGAGCACGGGCGCTCTAGACTCCCTAGCCTTCTATTCGGTAGGTGTAATTAAACACCGGACGAGCTAAGAACTCTATGAGCTTCTTACAGTCTTGCACGAACACAAGTGCCTTGTTCACTTGGTTGACTTTGGGCCAAAAAGTGACTTGTATACTTACTCCTTCCCTCCACCACACCGCCGACTACAAACTGTACTTGTTTACAACCTAATCTGCGTCTCCCACCAACCATTCTGCTTTTCGAACACATCAATCTACACCAAAAACCCGACTTTCCAACTGTCTCAGCCAACGGCACACGAATATCTTCAAACGCACTCTTCCCGAACGGGCAATGATCACAGCACGCTAAACCGCATCCACCACGCCCGTTAGGGGCACTTTTTCAGGGTACCACCAAACAAACGAACCGCCTCGACAGACTAACTCATAATTAACCAGTCTGGGAATATCCTCTCTCTCTTCTCCTTTTCCCTCTTCTCTCCTCTCTCCCACCTATCAACTGGAAACCAAAGGAAGGCCCCGGGCCTTACCCAGATCATCACGCATGCCCTCCCTCACTCTGACCGACCCGGACATGATCCTGCCGTATGACGGCAGCGAACGCGAATCCCAAACTCCCTCCCCACCCTCCCAACTCGTCTACTTGACCAACCTGAACGCCCGCTACAACACCGCCGACCCCCAAGCTGGCTCTGGTCGGCCCAAGAAAAATTTTTCCCGCCATCGCGCCCATGACGATATGAATGCCAGTCGACGGCTGTCGGACATTGGGGAGGAGATGTCGCCCGCGCGATCTGAGAAGTTTGACGATGTTGATGTTGAGGCTTCGCGGCACCAGCGCCAGCATCAGTTCCAGCAGAGGCAGGGGTCGACAGGGTCACCCTTGCCGAGGAATCAATTGGCTGTGCCGGGGAAGCAGGATTCGGGCAATGCGGCGTGGAGTAGTAGCTCGAGCTCGACGGTGAGTGCGCGAAGCGGGCGCACCTCGGCCGGGGCGTCCTCGCCGCAGACTGCGCCGGAGTCGTCGCCGAATTCCAATGCGGTCGATGGTGGAAGCAAGAGTGGTAGTGGGGATGGGGTTAAGGTTGGTAAGGGAGTGCCTGATAGTAGCATTGTCGCGTCTGCCGCCAAGGGCAAGGGTCCTGGAGAGGAGTTCTCGTCTGCGATCTTGAGCAGTGAGGCGGAGAGAATTCTTGAGAATGCAAAGAAGCGTCTGACGGTATATAGAGACCCCACGCCAGATAGAGGTGAAGCATTGGAAATGTTCCAGTAGAAGCTAACTTGTTTCGCAGTTGATGGAAGGCAATTTGAATCGTGCTCGCTCGTCGGTGCGACTTACACCTTCGCCTTCGCCGTCAGCGCCGGGCAGCACTTCGCCCATGGGTCTACACCCTGGCGGACTGTATCGGTCGATTTCCAAAACCGATCGCAAGGGATCCGCTCTACGACGCCAGTCCTTCATCTCGGCGCAGGATTCCTCGAACAACCGGCATTCTCGCGTGCACAGCGAGACCAATTTCCCGGCTGAATCAAGCTTGTCGAGTGATACGAAGCGAGTGTCTCGATCGGTGTCGGCAATGGGATCAAGTAGCTCCAATTTCCACAATGACGACCGGTCTTTCCAATATGAACCTACACGGTCATACCTCACGCATCGAGCATCGATCTCGTCCATACGACCCCCGCATTTACAAAACATGCAATCGCCTCAGCCGGGACAGTCTCCAGTCTCTGTTGGATCTCCGGTTCTCCAGTCTCCCGTGATCCGGGAAGATAGCTCGTCCTGCTCTTCGCCAAGAGGCTTGGGCATTTCGGAGGAGGACGAGTCCAAATCTAACGGGGGCGACTTTAGCCCCGTCTACAGCTCGTACGGCCCGCCCAGCCGTGCACAGTCACAGCTGCAGGTACGTGACCTTCAGTACCAGATGAAGGGTCTTCACATCAAGATCTCCTCGCTTAAGGTGCGGACACAAGAGGACAATCTTCGGCGGCGCAGCTTGCAAAGCCTGCGGACGCCTAGTCCTTTGACTGCCGCAGACCCTTGGTATCAGAATGGACTGGAGGTCCGCGACGGCCGCAGCAGTCGTGGATCGAATCCTCGACGGGACGGGAGCGCGGAATATGCACGTGAGACCCAGTCTCGACAGTATACGGAGACAAACTCGAAAGATCGGAATGGGCATTATAATCCAGAGCGTGCGGATGACAGCCCCGTGGAGCAAAGCCCTAACCTTTCGCATGACACGAGCGAATCATGGCAGGGACATGAGCATAACGAGTACGATGGTCGCCAGTCTGCTGCGGAGACCATGTACGAGGATGCCGAAGAGGGCGACTACTATTACGATGGGGATATTGATCGGGAAGCACTGGATGAAATTCTACGCGAACCGCTCGATGCAGACCTAGCCACGCCCCATGAAGAACGCGAAGACGCCTTTGACTATGAACATTTCATTCTTCACAGTGCCCTGGGCAACTTCTCGCAGCAAATGCGTCGTGTCAGTGTTAGCTCCCATGGCTCCGTTGAGACGACGCGACCCACCCAGTCGGTACGACACTCGCGCACCAACAGCTCTCTTTCCGCCTCGACGGATGCCACATTTGCTACGGCTACTGAGGGCGAGTCCATGCCCGAGGACGAGGACGATATTCTATACTGGGATCGCAAGTTCAACCATGAACTGCGTCACCGCCACCATAGCCACCAGGCCAATGCTGTCGCCGAAGACCGCTCTGCAACACCACGTGTTCCACGCGAAGATGGCAATGCCACTCCAGTTGGAGTCTTGCAATCCCCCGCACGAAGTATCGACTTGAACAGCCGCTCTACTGCCGGCTCTGCGACGCCAACATCTCTTGTCTCTTCACTTGTCTCTACAGTACGTGCAGCATCCAGTCCACACCCAGGCTCTGCAACACCCACTTCCGGTGGAATCAACGACGACGACACCCAGATGCTGGAACAACTCTTTGCCAGTCTTGGCCAAGTCTGCACCGATCTTCAAGCTATCACGACCTCACCCGATCCAGATTTGAAGGCTGCGCGTGTACTCCGGCGCCGTCTGGATGCGGCACGGAGAGTTCTTGATGGTGAGCTTGATGCTTGATTTACACTAATCTAATCTTAGTATAATGTCTGCTATGTAATTACTGTCTGTGTTGAGGTTTCTTCTTTCTTTTTTTCTGATGTTTGGCAGCCCTCCCTTCTGTACATTTTACTTGGGTTCCATTCTTTTTTTGTTATCTTCTTGTTGCTTTCCTTCATGATACCTTCTTTTCCTTCCATGATACCCAATGCCTCTCTCTTCTATCTATCAGGTTTTCTTTCTTTCTTTTTCATTCATGGTTGATCCATACCCATAGTATTCTCTATCTACTAAACGATTTGTGTCGAAGCTACTTCTTTGAATCTCCGTCTCTGGCTGTATCACAATAATACCCTATCAAAATCAGTGTTCCAGATGAGCTTTAGTAAACAGCATACACACAGCATATAAGATCCAAATCATATGAAACCTATTCTACTAATCACTCTCGAATCAATCAATGAATCCATGCGCTCATAGCGGATATCCCCCTCCCCCTGGAGCCCCACCACCATAAAACGCGTACAGCAAATGAACAGCAGCAGCAGCACAGCACCAGTCCACCAGCAGCCCCCCATAATTCGAGACTCATCAACAGCACATACAATATCTCTCCATCCCCCCGCGATCCAAATTATCTACTCGCGATCTATCCAAACCCCCTCCCTCGTGGTGGCGCAGATTAAACTACATTGTTGTGCCCCCTTTTTTTTGCCCCGCAGTTTTTCCCCTCCACGCCGATCCCACGCGATAAGCAGAACTTCGTCGCGAATTGAATCGCGATTCTGAACGACGAGACTGGCAGTTGGGTTTGCGGATATCAAGGTAGGATATAAGGAAGAAATGAAATAGTTGATGCTTTGTTTGAATATACTAACAAATCTCACAGATAAACCAGTCTCTCCAGCGCGAGGCGCGAAATACCTACTTCCGACGCTAGAAAAAAAAACATCGAAAAGCGCGCAACATCCATCCACCTGGGATATTTGATATCCGATATCCAATATCCAATATCCAATATTGTCCTAGAGACAATCTTTCATCATACATCACCATCACCACAATGTCCAAATCCCAACCCCAACCATCCCGCCGCCTCCTCATCTTCCAGGAGGCGCGTAACCCGCACAACACAGCCGAAGTGGTCTACCTCCCCGTCAACAAACTGGGACTCCCCATCTGCGGCGATGGGCCAGATCAACCCTCGATTTTGGAATTGCCGTTGCGTGTCTTGAAGGTTTTTACGGATATTTTTAATCAGCCTAAGTATAAGGGGTGGTACGTTCAACATCCATGGATATTCCCTTTCCTTCCATTAATACGGGGGGCTACTTTCATTGCTATCTTTTCGTCAAGCTAACGCAAGTCTTCTACTTGGCTGGTAGGGCTGTTCTCTCGGCCGGTCGTTATCATGATACATCCGAGGAAGGAAAGTTCTATGCGGTTGTTTTGGAACAGACTTTTGTGCCGGGGCAGGTACAGGGGCAAGGGACGATGGAATTGGGTACTGTGTCGCCGTGAGGAAGTAGGCATAGACATAGGAATTACGATTGGGATTAGAATCCGGGTTATGAAGGGCTGGTTTTGTATTATGCATTTTTTCTTGTCTTATTATTCATGCGAATAAAGACTGTACGATCTCCTATTTCACAGATTTGAGTTCTGGCGCAAATATTGACTATTCAGATATTATCACTGTTTATGACAGTACAAAAGTCTCAATCTAGAGACCAGAGAAACGGCCTAACTAGATATCCTTCCACTTCCTGTTATTTGAGATGTCTTTCTAAATGTCTTTTTAATCGAGAGTCAGAACCAAAACTGAAGGATTGATTATCCCTAGTTAATGACCGACATTAGACTCGTTCACCGAAGTACTTCTTGCACATCTTGTTGATCGCCTCGTGGTTACTCTTTCCAAAGTCGAGGTCGCGCATCTCCTTGTGGATGTTGATCTCTTCGGCGTCCAACTTTTCGGGAGAACAAAAGAGGTAGTTCCCGCCGCCGTTGCTGTCGAGCAGCATTCCGCCAACAAGATTATCTTAGCTTATGCCCCCAGTAAACGCAGAAGGGTGGGGTTATCAAAGAAGAGGAGGGTATCGGAGAAGGGAAGGGTATCGAAGAAGGGAAGGGTATCGAAGAAGGGAAGGGTATCGAAGAAGGGAAGGGTATCGAAGAAGGGAAGGGTATCGAAGAAGGGAAGGGTATCGAAGAAGGGAAGGGTATCGAAGAAGGGAAGGGTATCGAAGAAGTAGGGTATCAACTTACGAATGTCAAGGATGGTATGAGACACTCGTCCATAGACCTGGATGAAGGCCGACATCTCGGGTTCCGCGGAGAGCAAGTAGAGCTCCAGCATGGCCTTGGAATCAATGACGCTGTCCGCTCCATGGACCAAGCGGTTGAGGAGGTTCAATTGCAAAAAGCAGTCACGATCGAGCGTCATGTTCTTGGCCTTTACATAGCTGAGGAAGTTACGGATTCTCATCTTATAGCATTTGATGGAATCTTCGGTCAGGGAGTCAACTCGGGTCTCAAGGCGGAAGACGATTCCATGCAGTTCGGTGATCTCGCTCTTCTGGTCCTGCAGCTTGACATTCTGTGCATCCAGCTTCATGTTCTGAAGCTCCAGCTGGGCATTCTGAGCGCGATCTGAGCACTCTGCATCTCCAGCTGGGCAGTCTGGGTATCCAGTTTGAACTGCTGAGTCCGCAACTGGGCACCCTGTGCCTCGAGCTTCATACGGTGAGCCTCCAGCTAGGCATTGTGTGCGTCGATCTTGTAACTTATGATTTTGAGTTTAAGATCCTGGACCTCAGCCCGGTTTTCCAGGTCTTTCATCTCGTCACGCAGTTCCTTCACCTCGAGAATTTGGCTCTGGGTATTTTGAAGTAGCTCAGCCGCCTTTGATGAGAAAAGGGTGATCATGGAGTCGACATCCTCTGTGGAGGCCGAGGTACTGCCTTGAGGCAGCTTGAGCCCTTCGTCCATGACTGGGGCAAGGTGGCTCAACAGAGCAAACCACACTCTCCGTGATGCTTTGGGAGGAGTCGGTGTCCATGCTGGTATCGGTCTCACTGCTGCTCTCGTTGAGAGACTGGGTCGTCAGGGCCCCACGCTGGTTGGTGCGGGCCTTCATTCTTTTCGACTTAAGAGGTCAGAATCGAGGTTGTAAGGTAATGAGATGGTCTCTTACGTGTATATGGTGGTATGTGAGGAGGGCGTATGGGATGAGAATTGAGAGTGGAGGAGAAGGAGAGGAGAGAAAGGAAGATGGAATGGTGGGATGTGAATATCAGCAAACTTCCAGAAGGCAGGAGCCGGAATGGTTTCGAACTTCTCGTTCCTTCCTTGGTCAAACTTCTTCCTTCGTCAAGCTTCTTCCTCCATCAATCTTCTACCTTCATCAAGCTTCATCTTCCTCATCCATCAAACTTATCATCCTTCACCTCTCTCTTACCTTCTCATCATACATCCCCTAAGATCTCATTATAATCTTTCCTACACCACTGATCACTTTCCAACATTTTTTAACACTGCCACAGATCACCAGGTCTCCGCAAGTAACCCTCACCATGCGGTCCATCCGACTGCCTTTCTCCAACTACGACCACGACTTTGACGAGTATATCCTGACCAACAGCCCCGGCGAAAGATGGCCCCGCAATTCGCGCGCTGCTGACTCTGGCTTGGTCAACATGCTCTTGATGCAACCCGCTCTCATGGAAGCCATTGACCAGAAGTTGGACAATGAATCCGGTCCTTTCTACGGCTTGTGAATCTTTATTTCCCTCCTCCTTCCTTCTTATGCGAAATTTTCATTGATGTCACTAACAATTATCTAGTGAGTTCTTGCAAACCTGGCAAGATAGGTACACCGATCAGGCCATGGTCCTTGTCGAGCTCAATCATTCCTCGTCTGAGGCTTCTTCCACCACAAGCGGAGGTAGCTTCAACGGCAGTCACGCCAGGTCTTCGACTTCGGGAAGTTCCAGGTCATCGGACTCGGGGAGCAGCTGGGATTCGGGCCGGGTAGTTCCAGGGGGGGATCGAGTGCAACAAGCTTTACCTCTGGCGGTTGGAGTACCCGAGGCAACGCGGGATCGGGCTCGGGCTCGGATACCAATTCCATGTCGAGCCGCAGCACTCCCAAATCTTCAAAGAAGGATGAAGCGAGCCATGGTCGAAGAAAGCGGGTCTGCCGGGGCCTTGGGCATGAATCGTCGAAGAATGGGCGCCATCACTGCGACTCGCGTTCGCGATTTCGTTATCGTGGCCACGGTGATAACCGCACATGAGCAATTAGCGATTCGGGGAGGAGTCGGTGACTTACGGACTGGTGGTGCATTTGACACGGAGTTTTTCGTTTTGGCTTGGGAGTTTCTATACCCATTTCTGGTTTTTTTTTTTTTTTTTTATTATGAGTTTTTGGGGTTTTGGACTTATCCAGGATAGACGGTTCTAGGAACACCATCTGTCTCCAACTTTGGGGACTCTGGATGAGGATATAGCGTTGATGGATTTGAATGGCGGCTTCGTCCTTATATAACGCCTGCAATTTTTAGCATAGTTGCATTTGATACCACTCGAAATCTCGCGATCACTTAACTCAAGAACTTTGATGCTCAGCGGGAATTGCTAAAACGATGATACACGATTGCTAATTCGACGATACAACTCTTATTCTGGTTGAGCGTAGTAATAGTATTACATTCTTCCACATTGGGGTTCCATTAGTTTGAAATCCCAACAAATTTTCAAAATCATCTTACACTAACGAGTTGAACGGTATCTATGCTCTTAAGAAAGATGATTCGAAAGACATTTAGAAAACCTTTCAAAAAAGAGTAATTGAAGCATGTCTAGTTGGTCCGTTTCTCTGGTTTCTAGACTGGTACTTTTAAACAACTATCAGGATATCCTACTTAGAAGATTGTAATATAGTTACTGCACTAAACCCCAAATAGGTGTGTATCGTGTGATCAACCATCTTGTATCGTCGTTTTAGCACTTCCCATGCTCAGCTTGTTTTTCCTGGTGTAGGTGCACATCAGATCACGTGATACCAGATGCCCTCAAAACGCCCTTACACGCCACCATCTCTTCCAGAATTTACGACCTACGATCATCAATTGCAGGAGAACGTGTTTGAAAAATCGGACATTTAATTCTAATAAATAATCCTAGGAAGCAAGAGATAACAGGAAACCTAGGCAAACAAAATTCGCCCCCGAACCCAAAACACCGCCTGCATCCCAGAGACACCATTTCGAAAAGCACAAAATTCGCTTCCTCGCTCAGAATCCGTACACATGAATTTCGCTTTTTTTATTTTTATTTTTTCTTTTCGGGTGGTATTTTCTCCTCGGTAGAGCCCTCGGTAGAGGATTCCACCAGTGTCAAAAATCGAAAACACCTCTACAATTCTCCTCCCATTTCCTTGAATCATACAATGTCAGCGAGTCATTGTCACTCATGGCAATTCTCAAGGTTCTCGCCTGTCAAGGTGCTTGGCGACGAACTTGGATGTTTGGCTCTTGCGTTTAGGCGTTGTGTGGCAGGAGCAAGGCAGCGCTGTGACGAAGGTCAAGCGAGCGCGAATCTTGGGGGTCGAAGATAGCATTGGTGCGCTCCTCGAGGTAGTAGGGGGTGACCTGGATCATATCGAACCAGCGGATGGCGTTCTCTTCGCTACCATCGACGGCCTTGAGGGTGCCATTGTCTGGGCGAACATTGGACTTGGGAGGAAGGCTGCGCATGCGGAGGAGCATGTGCAGGATATCGGAAAAGCGCTCGGACTGGCTGTAGAAATATGGGGGACGCTTCTCAAGGGGCCACTGTGAGACGTTAGCAAATGAATACTCAAATCCAGGAAGGTTGATCAAAACTTACACGCTGCGCAAATGTTTCGTTATCCCACGACCGGAACAGCCAGCAGGTACGCTCAATGCAGTTCAGGAGGACAACGGCCACGAGGAAGGTTTCAAACCAGCCAGACTTCTGGCGCTGCAGGAGACGACGCTCGAGGTCATTGATCACAGACTTGCTCAGCTGCATTGCACGCTTCTCCGTGGCAGCGCGCAGCTGGCTGCACAGCAGGGCGTAGGACTCAGGGTCCGAGGCTTCCTCGATGGGGAGACGACCCTCATCCGATGGCTGAGACAGGGAGTGCATCGAGGCGGGAGGAAGAGTTGGGTTGCAGAAAGTCTTCCAAGTAAGCTCATTGTCAACCAGGATGTGAGTAGCAACCCAGAGCTCCACAGCGCGCTCAAGCAGGGTGTCCTTCTTAGACTGGCCCAGCTCCGAGGCCAGCTGCAGGGTGGACTTCATGAAATTGGACTCCTCGCGCTCAAAGAAGAAAGGGGCAGTCTTCTTGATGTACAGTTCCAGCTTGCTTGGAACGTCATCGGCATCGTGATCCAGGAGGTAAATCTCCTGGGCAGGAGCAGAGAATTGGTCGTCACCGAGGCCCTGAAGCTGCGGGTCGAGAGCCGAGACAGAGGCACGGTGGCCCTGCAGCCCGCTGATGGTGACATAGACCATGGTCTCCTCGAGGTGGGTGACCTCAATGCGGCCAGCGTAGTGCTCAAAATTGACCTGACTCTTGATAGCATTGGTGTCATGGAATGCAAGAGTGGCATGGAGGTCTTTGCAAGTCAGTCATCACGTCAACAAATAGATACCGAAGGAGACGAAACTTACTCGCGTTGTAAAGTTCAAATTCTTCAGACAGGCGAGTCCGAATACAAGGATGCTTCCAAAGACGAGCACTCTCGACGCTAGCACAGGTGGTACAAGGGGTCTCACCAGAGCACTGAAAGAAATGTCAGTATATTCTCGAAAAGACCAGGGGGTTTGAAAGAGGGGGTTTCGTACTGGTTTCTTAAGCATGCGACAACGAATGCAGGCTCCGCGCTTGCGAACTTCTTGGACCTCACGGCGACGCTCAGCAGAGAAGCGGCCCCGGACCTTGGGCTTAGCAGGCTTGGTGGAATTGCCAAATTCGTTGACGAATCCCTTGGCCTGGGTATTGGGGTTCATTGCAATGGGTCGAGGGAAGGATGCAGCCCGCTGTGTGGCCGCGGTCAGGGACGGGTCATGCTCCTGCAAACTGTCGAACAAGAGCTGCTCCTGGGTCGACAGCTGCTGATTCCATTGACCCATCTTCATTCCGTCATCATCCATAGTCAACCCCTGAGGGACCATCTCGTTTGCTGACGCGGCAATCATCGAGAGCTGTGACTGGCGCGCATTGGAGGTCGAATCGGGGGTCATGGAGTGGTCGAGGGGAGGCGACATTGAGGTAGGGTGATCAGAGGTATGGCTGGGCAGAGCAGGAATTGTAGGAGTACCCGAAGGCTGAGCATTGCCTAGCGAACAACATTTGTCAGTGAGTGATCTTTGGTCGTAAGTCGAACCAGGACCTGATGGCCACTTACCCTGTGCATTCTCGTCCTCTTCCTTCACGTCAGACTGGACGGTGAACTCGGCTTCCAATGCTGGATCAACTACGACGGTCTTTCCACCAGAAGTCACGGACTGAGTATATGCCGGGCCTCGTTTGGTATGATCCGAGGCACCCACCTGGCGGGACGCCTCTGCAAGCACGTTGAGACCATCGAAGTTAGGGCGGTTCCCGAACGAACCGTCACCCTTCTTTCCAGCAGGCGCATTTGGATCCTTGTTGGCTTCGCCTTCTGTAAGATCGGGAAGTTCGTGAAGGCGCAGGAGCACGCGCTGGCGGTCACGAAGTGGAATTGCCTGGCATTTCTTGACCAGGTGGTTGGTGAGACTGTCGATACGACCCTTGGGGAACTTTTCGCCACAGGCCTTGCAAGTGTGCTGGTATCGGTTGCTCGAGTCCTCTAGCTTAGGACCTCGAGTAAAAAATTCGAGAATGAGTTGATTGGGCTTGCGACCCATTTTGAAGAGTGACTGTGAGTGGTCACTGGGTGAATGTGGTGTGGAGGGCGGTAAAGATGAGGTTCGTAGACGCGTGAGTTTCCAGCGTTCACCGACGACTCCAATTGCCTTGTTGGCACGTTCGAGTCCTCGTCAGTGATCGAGTAACACGCGCGATGACCTCGGCCACAGAGCAGCACGCGGTCCGGACGAATCAGAGGGGGAAAGGCAGAAACCCAGCTGATCACAACAACACGTCAGGTCGACGTGGCGGGGCGACGACCTCGACAGGCGAGGGCAGGCCAAGGAACCAGGCACAGCCCAAGTCGAGGTGCAGAGTCGTCGTCGGCGTCGAGAACGACTTGGGACCTACAGATGTTGTCGTCTTTTTTGATATGCGGGCAAAACTGAGGGGGGGGCAGTAGTAGAGGGCGGTCTGCACGGTCGCAGGGGGGAAAAGAAGGTGATGAGGCTTCACCGCACCCGAGGCGGTGATGCGAGGGAAAGGCGGTGATGGATGAGGATGGAAAAGGCGGTGGAGATGATGAAAAGGGGATGGAGGGATGGGCAAGGTGATGGCGGTGAGGATGGTTGATGGGGATGATGGCGGTGAAGAGAAAATGGTATGGAAGAGGAATTGTGGGAAGTCGAAGGCGGTGGGAAAAGAGAGGAGAAAAGAAAGGCGGTGATGGAACAAGGCGGGGTCTGTAAAAGTTTAAAAGTACCGGGAGGGAAAAAAACGGAGCTAGGCAGAAAGGGGAAGAGCCAGGCAACGAAGAGGACCTGGAGATAGAAAAAGGCACCGCGACGAGGGGGAGGAATTAGAAAACAACGGAAGATGATAGAAGTCAAAATTGCCCAGGAGGTCACCACTCGGACTGGCGGCACCTTCCAGCAACCTTGCAACTACACTATGTACATTCTATTGGGAGTGTAGGTATTTGACTTTGGCTGCCTCATACAATCCCATTGTCTACATACATGCATAATCACCTAAATTTCTTTCTTTTCTAGTGGCTTCATAGAACGGTGATGCCGAATATTAAGGAATAATAATTCTGCAATTTTCTCCTTTCTAGCAAATCCGCTGCTCGGGAGGTCTCCAAGGCACCCCCAGCAATGCGAAGATCCGACGCTCATCACGTCCCTCAACCAGTCGACCTGGATTCACCTTAACCTGTGCATTACGCAGCACATCCGTGAAAAGCCCGCGCTGGTTTAAGCACATCCCTTTCTTACGAGCAAGCAATCGCATACTGCGATTGAAGATATCATTGCCCGTGAAGTATACCATCGCGGCTCCAAATTCAGCTCCAGGAACAAACAACAGATCGAGACGCCGCCATACCGTGCTTCCTGGGATCACAGATGCCCCTTGCCATTTAGAACCGTCTCCATTCCGGCGAGAGGTCTGGAGACCAACCTGCAGGAAACCGTCTTGGAACAGCTGTGGCACGACGGTATCCAGGATTAGCGACCGGATCTGCTCCAGGGTAGCATCTGGCTTGGTGATGAGCAGGTCAATATCACCTGAGTCCAGAGCCCCGCGGCGGTAAGAACCTCCAATGATCACCTGCATAGCCTTGTCCACCGCCTGGATAGCCTTTCGCACAACTGCCCCGTGGGCTTCTACCTCCTTGCGCGGGATCCGCTGTGCAAAGTCGCGGTAGCGCTCCAGGCCGATGCGCTGATTTTTGGTCAATGGTGCCCGCTCACGAAGGTCGCTGAGACTGCGGTACCCTTGCGCCACCCATTTGGATGCCTGGGCAAGGCCACACCCATAGATCCCAAGGAACTCCTGGATAATTTTGTCAGCTTCGGTCTCGTTGGTATGGTCCAGTCGGCGCAGGTGGTCTGTCAGCACAATTTCTTCGATCTTGTCCGCCAGCCGTTCTCCAATGCCTGGAATAGATCGTGCCTCAGTTTTGGACGTGACCTTCTTGGTCTGCCTCCGCAGGGCGTTGATGCCCTTGCGGTAAGCCAGCGTCCGCCAGAGATCTCCGGTTCGCGTGTAGTAGTCCAGCATTTGTTGCAAGACTTCAATGGTATGATTGTTCGGATTGTCGTGCTTATTATTGGGGTCGAACTTTTGGATGCAGGCAAAATTGCGCGCCCATGTCTCCACGACAGGCTCTCCTCGCGGTTCTTGCTTTGATCGGGATGGGACAGGGTCTGATGATTCTGACTCGCTATCAGAATCGCCAGGTTCCTCGTCGGAGGAATCGATCAGATCAAGCGGCTAGACCAGCTCGTTAGAGAATCATGAAACTCGCGGAAATTGCGTCCTACTCACCAAAAGACTGGTTGCTTTCGCCTCGGCGATTATCTCATCTAGGGCGTCACGTTGTCGAGTCACTTCGGAGCTGTTCTCAGGGACAGCAGGAGTAGAAACCACCTCTGGCGCAGGTGCAGGCTCACTATCATGTATAACCTGCCGAATCGGTGACTGCGATAGCTCTGGTGTCTGTTGCTTTTCTTTTCTTGGTGCCTTCAATGGTAGTGAGTCGGCCGAAGCTGGCACGGTTGCCGGAGCCGGAGTCGGGGCATCTGTCTGTCCAAATGTCGTGGATCCTTCCACGCGGAATCGCACTTGGGATGGACTCAAAATGGAGCGAAATCGGATGCATTCCGCGGGATAAGTCTCGTTGACAAGAGCCACATTGTCCTAGAGCCACGTTCAGCATCAGCTGAGCTGAGATAGGCACTGGTGAAGCGAACTAACAGGAAAAGGCTCGAGGTTGAGGTGTTTGATGAGATCCGAATACTGTAGATCCTTATCCACAACCACATGCGTGATGTTCTCGGTCCAATCTAGCGCCCAGTGAGCACCGTATTCCCGGGCTCGCTGGATGCGCAGTCGGCGAGAGGGAGAGACATCGTTATTTGGGAAAAAGACTGGTATAAGAGGTTAGTAAGGGAGCAAAGTGAGGTCGGGCTGATAAAAAAGAGGCTTCTCACAGAAGACGAGGTCTTTGAATATCTGCTGCTCTTCGGGAACCAGCTTGATTATACTGTTGGTTCTCCTCTTCTTAAGAGCAGGGCCTCCTCCTCTCTTATGGCCTGACGTGGTGCTGGGCATAGTGCCGGTAGTTTGAGAGCGCTTCACTGTCCTCAGGTTCGATTCAGAAGGCTGTGGTCGCCTTCTGGAATGGGCATCCTGAGCAACGGCTTCTTGGAGTTCTTTGTCCGTATACGAGGGCGAGGGCGCCGTATTTGCTCGGGTAAGCGTGATGCGCTCCGTGTTAGATAAGGCAGCAGTCGAGTTTGGAATTTCAGCGGGCTTTGCGCGAGCTAGAAGATGCTCCAGGGAGTCTTCATCATCCTGGGAGTCATCGGAGCGATCCAAGTCATCAAGCGCGCGGAAGAAGCTTGCTTTGCTTCTCATTCCCGACATGATGGCGGGCTAGTCTGGCACCCGAGAGCGAAAGCAGCGTGTGATCCACAGAGGGGTCATCGCAGTTGGCAGGGAAGTACAAGGTCTGGTGGGATTGGTAGAGTTACCGTGTTACTTCAGGCAACTCCGACAACGCAGTTGTCAGGGTGAAGTACTGGAGCCACAGTTGAGGCACCCGTGGACGCGGCGTTGCGCGAAAACGCCGCCAAGTCACGGGACTGCCCATATAACCGAATTTGATTGAGCAACGGGATTATTAGAAATAGCGAAGACGCATCTATTTCAAGTTGGATTGCATGCTAAGACTTGCTGACTAGAAATTAAGCAAGATTACATACCTGGTTGTTGTAGGGGCTACCTGAAGACTCCATTCATACCTTCGACATATATTTCAGCAAGCGGCTTGCATGCACGGTGAACATCAATACCTAATGTATTTCATCCGTAGGGTTTAGTTCGACAATGAGGAATGTATTACATAGATTACAGCATTTGACTGAATCTCCATGTCTATCCATGATTGAAAATGCTACATCATCAGCTCTCAAAATCTGTCTGGATCATGTCCAACCCCAGGATTAGACACAGGTCATGTGACCTGAACATCCCCATTCGGGCAATTTTGAAGATCATGAAACGAACCCGGCGAAGACTGCTTTTGCCCGAACTCAACTGTCGCACCAAGACATCCTCTCACATACACCCACCAAGATGTGGAAGTCATTATTGCCAACCTACATGCTGTCTGAGCTCCCGCTCCTCCGCAGTGGCCGCTGTCTAAGCTGCCAATTCCGAAGCAACGCAGCACTTTCGCATCTCCGCGCGAAGACCTCCGCGATACGCCACTATGCCTCTACAACTGGAGCAAAAGAATCGAAGCTCGGCAATAGCACTTCCGAGGCGACAATAACCTCCCCGCCGCGCAGAGAGCCCCAGCCCGTGCGGCGCGGCACCCAGTTCCAACAAAACCCGGACATGAAGCCCCAGCCGGGGGATGCGGACTTCAAACCGCCGATGCTGGACCGTCCCATTGGAACGAACACTCCTCCAATGGCGGGCCAGAATACAGGAGTGGACAAACGTTCATTGAAGCAGAGACGAGACGAGTTTGTGGATTATGATCGGCATCTTGAGCGGCGGAAAGAATTGTACGTTCTCGTCTATTACCCCGGGCATGCGGAATTGGTACTCGAAAGCTAATCATAAGTCCAACCAATTCATAGGACTCGCCAAGTCGCCAAACCCTACTTCCGAGAATGGTCAAACCTGCGATTCCTGGAAGGTAAAACATTCCTGTCGAACCCCCGACTCTTCAAAGGCGACAAGGCCTTATACTTCCCCAACATGTCCGGCGTTACACTCGCCGAGCCAAAAGACAAGCAACACACGACATCAACCCTGTATGGCAAGATCAGTGTCGTGAAATTGTTCTCCAGCGTCTGGGCAGAGACCCAAGTAGGAACATTCACAGGCCCCACGCAGAACCCCCGACTGGCAGAGACTCTGGCCAAGAACCCGCAGTTCGCACAGATGGTGGATATCAATCTGGAAGAGAACCGGATGAAGGCGGCGCTGGTGAAGATGTTCATGTGGAGCATGCGCCGCAAGTTGCCCGAGCAGCAGCACTCTCGGTACTTCCTCGTGCAGAAGGGCTTTACCGAGACGCTCAAGGAAGCTGTCGGTATGATGAATTCCAAGGTTGGTTATGTGTACCTTGTGGATTCGGAGTGTCGTATCCGCTGGGCTGGAAGTGGTAATGCCGAGCCAGCGGAAATGGAGACACTCAACTCGGGGTTGCAGAAGCTTATTGCGGAGAGAAAGGCCATTTATGAAGCTGAAATGGCCGGCCGCAAGTAAAACAACCGAACAACAATCGGAAACCGAAGCCGACCTCCAAACAGGGCTCACGCCCCGAAGGACCACTGTATGATACGGAGTCTCCTCTCAAAAATTGGATTTGTACATAATATATAGAGAATGTGTATAATAGAAAGAACATAGACGCCACCGCAAAGCCAAGCGCAAGTATTATCTTCATTCCCGTTGTAACATGGGAGTCCTCAAGGAGATGCCCCAACCCTCAAACGCCGCAATGAAACCACAAGAAATAAAACACAGTCGCTGTACGGGCTGCAGGACGCGCAAGAGATATATGAAAATGAAAACGAAGAGCAGCGCAATGACAACGAAGGAAATCATAAGACGAGCCCAGCCCGCCTACCGGAAGAACACCAGCATCAAAAAGCAGAATCCAATAAAGCAACCCAGGATGATAGCATCTCGCCGCTTCTTGGTCCCAATCTTTCCAATCAAGTAGTTCATACCGGGTACCTGGCTGGCAGCGCCGACGATGCGCCGGTTGATGCTGGCGAGGGTTTCGCGTTGAATTCCAAAGTTCTCGTTGATGGCATATGCCTGGCTGAGCACGCCGTCCATCATATTGTGACTGTTCTCGACGCGCCCCCGCTCTTCGAGCATGTAGTCTGCCTCGGCGGCGTCGGGGTTGGATGCGCGGTAGGCATCGATGTCGGAGCGCACGTTGGAGAGTAGATTGGCGCGGTCGCGCGACTCGGCGATGGCGGATGTCAACCGTTGGAGTTCACGGCGGTGGTCGGCTAGGACCTCGCGGTGGCGGGCGAGGTTGTTCTGTTTGAGGGCGGAGGAGGTGAGGGTAGCTTCAGAGTCGAGGAGGCGGGAGAGTTGTGAGATGAGGGAGTCGCGCTGTGCGAGATTGTTAGCGCTGGTACTTCGTGGTCGCTTCTTAGGGAGTTGGACTTTGGGGGATGCCTGGTGTGTGACGTACTCGTTCAAGGAGATCTTTCAACTGGGATTCGAGCCTTAGCTCTTCCTCCGTGGGAGATGGTGGTGGCTTAGTGAGAGAGCTGAATTGTGCGTATGTATGAAAGAGCTGCTCAGTCTAGTCATAGCATTTCATGTTAGTATTGCGTATCTTGTGTATATGATCATAACCTCGGTGAGGTATTCGGTACCTGAGTTTCGAGCGATCGGGCCTGCTGTCGGAGCTGTGCCCATCCTGAACCTGTGGACGTCATGATGTCTTGATGGTAGATGGTGAAACGGAATCTATCAAAACGACACCGTCTTAATTCACTCGTTCTATCTCGCCCATTTAAACCCCGGACATGCCAGAACAAGGTCCCGCTGCCAGTCGACGTAAGTGCACCGCCAGCGAGCTAACCCAATCCGGTAAGGGGCTGGCTGCCGTGACACCTTAACACCTCGACACCTTAACACCAGGGGCCACAAAGTTTATGCCTTGAAAATCAGACATCGACACAATTTTTCAACTTTCGCCCATCATCACGTGCCCGCTTAGTGCGACCAAGTCGCTTAGCCCTAGTCCCACAACCACAATTTGGTCCATCGGACATCTTCAATTCTCAACGCCGACAACCAGCACACACAACACGCCACCATGGTATGTTCGACTACGACCGCTCCCTGTGAAACTCGCGCTGATGGAATCTACGTCTCTAGTCGTCCAAGGTCAAGGCTGTTCAGCTCTGGGGCAAGAACAAGGAGGAGCTCTCCAAGCAGCTCGAGGAGTTGAAGACCGAGCTTAACCAGCTCCGCGTCCAGAAGATCGCCAACGGCGCTTCTACCAAGACCCAGAGAATGTGCGTACAACGATAATCGACATCCCTACACCACTACACTTTATACGGATGGGTTTCTGCGACGAGCGACCGGGATTTGGGAGGAATCAAGGCAACGAACGATCACGACGAAAATTTCCACGAGACGCCCAAAATCACCGACGACACAATCGCATCGACCAACCACACATCTCTCGGGAACTACGTCGCAGAAACAGAAAAAATCCATCGCAATTCGCCTCCACGGAAAACATCGAAAATTTTCAAGATCGTACACTGACCCGTGATTTCTTTTTCATTTACAGCTCCGAAGTTCGCAAGTCGATCGCTCGCGTTCTCACCGTCATCAACGCCAACCAGCGCGCTCAGCTGCGTTTGTTCTACAAGAACAAGAAGTACATCCCTCTGGACCTCCGCCCCAAGCTCACCCGTGACCTCCGCCGCCGTCTCACCAAGTTCGAGGCTACCCGGACCACCGAGCGCCAGCGCAAGCGCCAGATCCACTTCCCCCAGCGGAAGTACGCCGTCAAGGTATGAGGAACATCCGGGCGGTGGTTGACGAGTGTGGAGTGGGTTTTGTTACCTGTCTGGATGGATGGTTTCTATCCATCCCAGATACGGAGTGTGCACTGCCTATTCTACACTCGACACAACTGCACCTTATCAAGAACGCCAGTGATCCGCAGAATATTCCGCTAACATTCGGCAATCAACAGGCTTAAGTGCAGAACTTTATCGGATCTGGAGTTTTGTGGGTGGGGAAAGACGTTGCTTGCCCTTGGACACATTAAGCAGGATGTGTGATGTGTGGACCTGAGCAGGGTCGATTTTCTCTTTTTTTTACATCCAAAAAATGGAACTTGATTGTGTATCTTAAAAAACGATGCAAATCGACTCTTGACATGACATGACACTTTAGACGTCTTTCTCGTTTCCCCCGGGCTGTGATGGTCAGTTCTGGAATTGCTGTACGGTGAATGAGTAGAGGCTGTATAAAATGGTGTACCCCGACTCTTCGATGCCTTGAATTTTCTTTCCCCTGGTCCATTTGGTCTAGACTTGTCTTGACAATGGATTGTCGTATACTATGGGGGTCCCCGTGGCGGGCTCCTAGTTGTGCCTACCTATCCGTCCAAGGATACACACCCTCAATTAAGGGCTATGCAAGAGGTGATCTCTATATCGTGTCACCACACCTATTATCGTAACATTCTCCCATGAAATAGTCACAAAGATTCCGTAACTGGTCATAAACTAACTGTTCTATTACTGTCTACCAAAAGTAAACCCTACCCCAACCCGGGGCCTACCTACCCTGACCACCCTCAACACCAGGCTCAGGAACCTCCATAACCCACGCACCACCACAAGCACAAGCCCTCAACAAATTAAGCCGATGCATCATCTTCGTCCAAGGCCCTGTCCTAGGCCTTCCTCCATCCCCAGAAACCTCACAACAACGCACACACCGCCGTCTCCTCAAAATTTGCGCACCACCACCACCACTACCACCCGAAGCATCCCCTCCAGGCGCCACAGGCCTTAACGGAATTTTCATCAAAATATCAACATCCTTCCTCTTCCGATACGCCGCCGTCCGCGGATCATTCCCAAACCCAAGCCAAGTATAATCACCAAGCACGATATCCTTCCGATTAATCTCCGCTCGAATCGAAGGCACAGTTTGACTGAGCAGTGTTTCCACAGCGGAAATGAGCACGGGCGGAATACGCGCGTTAACGAGGAGTTCTTTCTCGGGACTTGGTCGTTCGGCGTCGCCGAAGCCGGAGCCTTGGTAGGCGTGTTTGACGGCGGAGTCGACGCCTGCGAGGAATTTTTCGTAGATGTCTACTCGCACCGGAGAGGTTTCGAGGGCTTGGCATATGTCGATGTAGTAGAAGCGGGATTCGGGTTCGAGCATGGCGGGGTTTAGTTGTTCGAAGCCGTTGCGGACGCCGCGGAGGCCGCGGCAGATGAAGCGCATGAAGGCGCGGGACATGCTGGAGAGGAGGATGAGGAGGGGGAGGGATGTTGTTGTTTTCACTGGACAAGGAGAGGAGGGGTTTTAGTTGAGAACTGGGGATGATAGATAGAAGAGATAAAGGGGTTTGGGATGTATGAGACTTACGCTTTTGAGTGAATGCTTCCGAGTCATGTAGGACACTTTCGAAATCGTCTGCTAGATCGAAGATCTCGCTTAGGATGTAATGGGAGAAATCGAGAGCCCATCTCGTGTTTCCGAGGAGGGCATGTAGAATTCCTAGAGGTGATATTAACACTTGACGGTACAATTGATATTAACTTAGATCCTAGCTTACCTGAATCATGTGCCTCGGCGGGCACGTTCTTGCTGTTCTGGAAATAGGCTGCATAGAGCACTGAAGAATGTCGGAGCTGCAGGATAGCCCAAGAAATAGCCGAGGAAAGATTTCGGGGATGGCTTCTTCCCTTGAAGCCCAGACTCGCTTGTAGGCTCAATGCTCGCGGGATATATGCATGCGTCAAAAGCTTTTCCTGTTCGACAGTGAAGTTGCAGTTGACCGACAATGCACGATATACTTCGCCGAGGAATGTGGATTGGTTTTCTGTCGACACTGTTAGAAGATTGTTCGGCTGCCCATCTCGGTGGATTGTGTCATAAATTACCAGGAGAAAGCTGGCCCAGGACGATCATCAGAATGTCGTCAGTGTTGGCATCACTGCCAGAGCCTCGACTGAAAGCCAGAGTCAATGCCGCAATCGCGGCGGAGAATTTACCTGTAAGTACCTGGTCAGACTTGATCCCGGTGGATGGCGATAGAAATTGCATACTCTCATCGTATAGACCACCACTGGATCCAAACGTATGTTCCATCCATCTCAATCGAGGCTGTCCTTCGCTGTCTAGTGCCACTGCAGCGCAGGAGTTTGGAGAGAACGCGATAGCAAGTCCTATATAAATCAACTTTAGATTCTGTGAAACGAGCCTTGGTTCTAAGCGGGGACATACCTGGTGTATCCATTGGGTATTGGAATCCCGCCTGGGCCAAGCAGTTGACCGTGTTGGCATCGTCCAATCCATTGAACATGGTCATGGTCTTTGTCTCGTAGAAGGTAACAGAACTATCATCATGAGTGAGTGCCAGGGCAGGAGCCGTAACATGCTCCATCAGGTCCACCGAGATAATATATTTATGCAGATGAATGTCTTCAAGTCGACGCATCTCAATTTTCGGCTATCAGGATTATTAGTATATTTCACCACAAGAAAATGTAATATTTGTATCATACCTTAGCCTGTGCGTTAATCTTTTTTGATGCAACCTCGTCGAACTTGGGGTGAAATGTCTGCTGTGCCGAATCTAATTGCCATCGAACAATCACACTGAGAGGGCCTTGCTGGTCTGGATGTTCTGGAGTGGCATGGAGGGGTTTGGAGAAGACTCCCAGAATCCAAGGACTAGTGGTAGTTGGGCCCGTAGGACTATCAACCTGTCCTGGGATGACTTGGAGGTGAGTCAATGTGTAGACAGAGTTTGGGAATGGCAATGGGTGATCTGAGTGCTCTTCAGAACCGGGGTTGACGTTGAAGATGCAGCTCGGCATATCAATTTTGTAATGGAGGAGGCGGAGGGAAGGGATCGGCCATTTATTAGGGCTTCTGATCGCGGCGGGGTCCCATTTGTTGGGATTCCAAGAGACTTCCACTCGGTATAGGCACATCTTCTGGCATACAGAGTACGTGGCCAGCAAAATGGTTCCTAGGTGGGATCTATTAGCCATTCCATGTATGTCAAGGTCTGGAGAAACCGTGAGAGACCAACCTTGTGTGGCGACCATGGCTGCATGTGTCAATAACCGATCTGAATATCCGGTATTTTTTAGTTCTGCAGGGACTTCTGCCCACTTGCCATCCATATTTTGGTACATCAGTTTAATCTGGCCTGCTCGGGTGACAGAAATGAGTGAACTTTTCCCGGCAGGATGAGAGGGATGGGTTGGGCGCCATCGGAATGGTGAATATGCCCATCTGTTGTTCAATTTTGCTGCCTGTTGGAAAGCATGAACCTATTTGGAACCTGTCAATACATAATTCCGATCATCTAGGGGCTTATCAGCGTCGAGTAGCAGAACATACCTGACGACCAGGGTTGAGCCACATCAGACCGACAATCTGATTACTATCATCACTGGAGTCATACGTTGCCTGACGCAGGCCTGTAATATTATTCAAGGCCATAAAGACCGAATATATAGATACTCGCCCCAGGCAGTCGACCACAGCCAGCTCCGACCCGGCATCATTCCAGGAAAGATGGACCAGCTGATTGCCACCGTGAGCTTCAGTGACTGGTCCCAGTGGAAACTCATCACTCAAGACCCATTTTCCATTTGAGGAACGAGATTGAAGGTTCCGCACAAATACTCGAACTCCATCGGAGGCGATGTAAGCTATGCCTCCTAGCCGGGACCAGGCCACCTTTCTGCGAAGGGGCAGACATGATTAGTTTTGGATGATAAGATTATCAAAAGATACATCAGATAGTCACTTACTGGCGACAACCCAGCAGGCGCATCTCGTCGAGACATTGGGCCAGCCCTTTGGTGGGCGGGGCGGGTGCCGGGGGTAACCCCAGATCCAAGGAATGGGCCTCACCGAAGAGGTCGTCGACATTGATAGCGTCCTCCATGATCAATGGCATTTCTCAGACTTGGAAAAGGTCCACTATAGAGGATCTAGCTATCATGCAGAGGGCCACTGGAGCCCACCCTGCATGGCAGAGGGGATCAATGCTGGGAATGTCGATATCTTGCGGGGACCGTTGTCGGTGTTGATATGGCGAGGACCGGGATCAATAAGCGTAGCCAGGGACCGACCACAGTGATCCCAATTGACCCTCACAGGCAAGGGCTGCGTAAGGTTTGAGATCTATAGTGAGGAGATTGAGACTGTTTCCTCAAGGTAGACTGATGATGATGTACAGATCCGATTGGTATTGATCGACTTTGAAGCATCACACTGCTGCTGCCCATTTTGGGTGGTGACCCTCCCCGTGACTCTCCCGTGACTCGGCCGGGCTTTTACTGCTGACTCAGCGAGATTCGGGCGGGTCCAAGTAACCTACTTAGCACGTGACTATCATGGTAGCCCTGCCAACCAGTTCTGTCCAATCAAGAGTGACTATAAGACCCACATCCAGTTAGGCCAATCAGCAGTCTGCAACATGAAAACTGCCGGGCGAAGCACAAAGCAACGCAGTGAAAACACAAGAGCCGCCCGACAAACAAACCACAGCCAAAAAATCAATGAAAATGCAGACCAGAAATAGAAATCTTTCAATCGATGGCTGGAAATGTAAAACAAATGGAAATCCGAAGTATATCTCCTATAATAATCTATATATGCATCTCATTCAACCAGGCTCCAAGATCCCCGAGACTTGATCCTCCCCAATCTCCGAAACACTGTCATATTCCTAGTCCCGTCCCGAGCCCCAGCAGTTCGATGTGCCTGTGCATCAAAACAAGCGCGCATCATCGAGTCCCCGCCGGAGGAGTAGTAGTACTGTCGTAGTGAGCACATACCAACAACCAACATCAACTGGCCCATCCCGGGCCATTTTCTCTTAATCAAATCTCCGTGATCTTCTTTTCCTTCGCAACAACCACATTCCACAACTGCTCCCCGCTCCCAACTACCAGTACGACTCTTCCGTCCCAAAATAAAGAGAGGAAGGGAATTTTTTCGTGGTTCTCGACGGGCCCGTGTTCCATTTCCTTTTTTTCCCTTCCCCTACCCCATCTTTTCGCTATTTCCTGATACTCCCTCAGTATCATCGAGCACCGACAGCTGACCTCATCGTCTGCTGCTGCAACTTCTCCCTTTTCTACCCTCTTCCCCTTCTTCATTCTACCACCAACCTCCCAACCTCTCGCTGTCTCCTGAATTCTCTCCATTGATCGTGTGCATGATTCTAAAATCTCTACATGATTCTCTCTGTCTCAATTACTCCGATCTGTGTGTTCTGAAGAGCGGCCTGATCCCTTCCATCCGCACTCCCTTCTGGCCCCCCCTCTTCCGATTTTGTCCAGCTGTTCCAATTCCCCTAGGGCGGGCATCACCCAACCCTTTTTTTCTCTTTCCTCCTACCACTTCGTCCTACTTCCAAGACGGAGACTCACAACCCTCTCCGTCATGGAACCTCTAGATCCTAATGATCTGTCTGACACCTCGGAGCTCACGGAGCTGAGCTCCGCGCCCCCGTCACTGCGGTCATCGCCTGAACGGTACCTGACGCCGTCATCTCAGGACTCTGAGGATTCGACGCGCCAAGACTGCCCGCCTCCCGCGAAGAAGCGGAGACGCAATCCCCTGCCCAAAGAACGCACCACGCAGTATCTGTATCTGTCCAAGTCTTCCTATGAGCAACCAGATCAGGTGAAATTGCTCGTCGACACTCTCCGCCACCAAAAGGACATTGTCGCTATCACCGGTGCGGGCATCTCCACATCGGCGGGTAGTAAGTTTTTCACCCATTTTGCCCCGATACCCGAGTTTCACCTCGTCCAAAACCTAAGCTAACAGCCCTGGATAGTTCCCGATTTCCGCTCCACCGATGGTTTATTTAAGTCTTTGCAGAAGAAGCACAACCTCAGGGCTTCTGGAAAGCTGCTGTTCGATGCTGCTGTCTATCAAGATGATGCCCTAACTGGCCCCTTCCATGAATTGGTGCGGTCGCTGTCGGTTGAGGCGGCCAAGTGCCAGCCTACCAAATTTCACGAAATGCTGGCCAGTCTCGGCAAGGAGAACCGGCTCAAGCGATTGTATACCCAGAACATCGACGGCCTCGAAACTTCCATGAAGCCCCTAGAGACCGAGATCCCCCTCAGCGTCAAGGGTCGCTGGCCTGTCACAATCCAACTCCACGGCAGTATCACCAAGATGGTCTGCCAAAAGTGTCGTTATCTCAAGAACCTAGATCCAGAGCAGTTCTGTGAAGCTGACCCGCCCGATTGTGACGAATGTGCGGACAACGACAAGGCTCGCTTTGTAGCTGGTCAACGGAGTCACGGCGTCGGGCGTATGCGCCCGCGGATCGTCCTCTATAACGAACACAACCCCGACGAGGAGGCGATCACCTCCGTCATGAATGCCGATATCAAGTCCCGCCCTCGCGTTCTAGTGGTTGCTGGTACGAGTTTGAAGATTCCCGGTGTTCGACGTCTTGTAAAGAGTTTGTGTACGGTTATTCGTAGCCGCAAGGACGGCGTGACTATGTTTATCAACAACGAGCCGCCCGCCGGCAAGGAGTTTGACAACTGTTTCGATCTGATTGTACAAGGTTCTACGGACGAGGTAGCCGATCTAGTCAAGCTCAAGAGCTGGCAGGACCCGGAGCCATACGCCATGCCGCTGCCAGAGCCTGTCTTTGGAATCAAGCCTGCCTCCGACGAGGAGCTCTCCGCATCAGACTCCGAGCAGAAGGTGGCTGTGGTTATCACCTCCACACCGAAGAAGCGTCCTCGCAGCGACACTGGCTTGATGACACCTTCTTCCTCTCACGACGAGAAACCCGTGGTTAAGAAGCTCACCCAACGAAAGATCATCAACCCAGCCAGCAGCGGTAAGAGTATCAACAGCTTACTCAAGAGTTCGGACAGCAAGCCGACCGCACCAGCCAAGGGTGGCCGCAAGCCTGCGGCGAAACCCGCCGTTCCCAGGAAGCGTGCTACCAAGCCCAAGACAGCACCTGCGGCTATGAAGCCGATTTCCTCCTTCGCCACCGTCAGCAAGGCAAACAAGGTCACCGTCACTGTCGACAAGAATTCTGACCCGGCCAAGCTAACGCGCTCTCTGCCACTTGGTGCTGCTCGAGGCAATGGCTCGGCCAAACCAGGTCCTCTCTTCCCTGGACTCAAAGCCGGCGTGGAAACACACCAATTCGAGGAAGCCACCACCGGATCTTCCTAATCTTTACATCTTCTTCGACTCTGATCGACTTTTTATTCTTCTTCCACCCTCTATTTTTCTCAGCGTCATCGGATGCATAATGAATGGCGCCCTGGTGTTGACCTTCTTCTCCCACCTTCGCTGTGGGGTTTTCCTTCTTAGACCGCTCTTTTCGTCCACCGGGACCAGCTGAGCGGTCCTTTTTTATTTTACCATTCATCCGTCCTTCGCGAAGATACCAACGATAGACTACGGATTAGTTGCATGAGGTGGCGTTGGCGTTTTCAGTCTGGAGGTCACTTGACTTGTTTTATTTATGTTTACCGGGTGCATTAGGTAGCCGTGGGATGTTCTCATGATGTGCTGCTGTTGCTGTGGAGCTAGCATATCCTACTCAGGTGGTGCTTTTCTTCGGGCATCGGGGTTGTGGGAGATGCCTGTTCCTTTTTATTGTATGCATTACGAGGTAGTCTTCGTCTGTGACAATACATGTGAGCTCGAATGCTCCGATTTTCTCTAGTTGATCTGGATACATTTTCTCGTAAGTTTGAAGTGAGGCATGTATGTGTCGTATACTCGCTTCGGCACCCACGATCACGATCGATCCATTCATGTTATACAGGAGAGATATAGGCTTTCACTTGGCCATCCAGGCCCAGGTCAAGTTCAATGCCCAGCAGTCACCTTTCTCGCTATAGTTAGGCATATCTACACCGTTCATATACTGACAAATAGATAATCCAGCCTTCAAAGCAAAATGCATGAATCAATTCGTCATTATGTATATCCACCTCTATAGCAACGGCGAAGCTCTCCAAAGACTTCGCCCACAGTGCCAAAAGACATCACCACCAAGTCCAAACAAGACACACCCAGACCCAACAACCCTCACATCTCAACAATCCCTCTCCCTCGGGCTTCTTTATCCAAGTTCCAGATCATCCCGCAGCTGACTCGCAGGCCCATCATCATCATCCGTCTCATCAGCATCAGGATCCATCCGTCTAGGCGCCGCATCCAAATCCTCCACCCGATCAACATCCTCATCACCCCTACGCCCATCATCTTCCTCGTCCTCCTCATCGTCCTCCTCGCTCTCCCCCTCTTCCTCTTCCTCTTCAGCCTCCTCCTCCTCATCCTCCTCCTGCGTCTCATCCCCATCAACCTGCGCGCTAGCAGCACCGACCTCATCACCATCACGCTTCACCCGCTTCGCAGGGTTATCCACCATCTCGACATCCTCGTCTTCGCCGCGAGATGCAGAGCCACCCGCTGCAGCGGTGGAATCACCCTCCCCGGCATTACCGTTGGCATCTGTCTTCTTGGTCTTGCGCTTGCCGGCTTTGATTTCCGTGAAGGCTTCGAGTTCTTGTTCGAGGCGAGGGCGGAAGGAGTCGAATTCTAGTTCGGAGAGGGCGTTGAAGACGTCTGCGGGGGCGACGGTACGTTTGAGGGTTGCGTCGTTGGCGCTAGGGGAGGGAGGAGATGGGTTAGCTTGGGGTTGATTCTTTGTTGGAATCGTAGATGGGGTAGGTTGTAGAATTCCTTTGTCCATTCGATCAAGGACGTATGACATTGTAGGTGTAGAAAGGCAATAGGCGTGATTGAACTGGCTGGAGTGTACGTACTGTGACGAGAGGTAGGAGATAAAAACGGTAGCTGCCTTCTGGATAGCCAGGACTGCATCCTTTTGAATCGTCGTGTTGGGCGGGAGCACCGCTTTCGCCAGTCGGATTGTCAGTGAGCGAGGGAGGAGGTAGTCCTATACATCGAAGAGAGGATTCATGTCAGTCTGCTGCCTCCAAAACAATACCTCATTCTTTTTTTCTTCCGAAAGACTCGAGGCAAGGGTATAAACCTGCTCACATCAACGCTGACGCCCAACTCTGCCCGCGCCTTGATCTGCTGCTCCGTCGCGGTAATGGGCTTGTCGACGGTACTCTGCGCTTGCGGGGATAGCTGTGACGGCTCATCTGTTTCAGCCGGTGTCACCGAGGAAGTAGATTTGCGTGGTGGCATGGTGATTTGGCTGTGGAGTGGACGTTGTGTCCTTTTTTTTGGGCTGGTCGAGCCTGACTTTGTAGGTAGTGATGTGGATCAATCGTGGCTGTTGGTTTCTTGGGATTGGAATTGAATATATGTCGCACTGGATCTGTGCCCAGGTCGGGCAGGGATTAGGTAGTCCCCGATAGTCGCTGGGATTGTATTGACTTGGTGTGTTGAGTTGTGAGGTGGTTAGATGGGTGGCGGGTTGATGAGAACGCGAAATCCGTGACGCGAGTTGCAGGTTCGGGGGAGCGCGGTGTGGGGACTGCAACTAGAATACTGTACTCCGTATAGGGACTATCATAAATCACCTCTAACATTAGACACAGAAACTGCATTTGGCTAATCCACATACGAAAGGGCCTTCGCAAGTAGTAGATTAGTACATTGACTTCTAGAATAACCCTTTGTGAAATGCCCATGTATGTATTGATATACACCCATTATAAGAAACCAATACCCTACAGTCAATATCACAGCCCCCCTCTAACCATTGAGTCAACGACATAGCCAACAGACACGTATTATCTTCATCTCCAAGTCTCGCATCAACCTTAAAAGTCCACATCCCACTCCTCAAAAACACCGTAGGAATCTGGAAATCCAGTAATACGTCGCCGCGGCCGGTACTCGGTAGGTAGTCAGTCTGGGCGCCACTGGCATCGCGAATTACGAGATGTGCTAAATCATTGACGGGCGTTGTTTTTCATGGTATTGTAAGGGACCTTGGGTCCTCGTAGCGACCATCCGGGTAGATGACAGAGCCGCTCACTGTGAGGGTTGCGTCGACGAGGCCCTTGTCGTAGAGTGCGAGGGTGTTAGTAGATTCGGGTAGATAGCCGCGTAGGTAGACGAAAAAGACGCGGTCGCTTTGCGATGTTAGGAGGATGGCATTAAGTGTTGTATTAGGGGATCTTACGCGATGATAGGCGTTGGCGCAATCTCGAGGAACTCGACATTAAAGAGTTGATCTTGTTTAGGTACAATGTCGTATGTTGCATCGTTGTGACCGCGGACTATGTCTCTTCGGACCATGATGTCTCTATGGAAGTCTAGATGGCTTACGGTGGGGGAGTGAGAAAGGATTCATCAGATAGTCAGTAAATGAATGTTGGCTTTATTTCAAGTGGCTGCTTACTAGTCTGCGACTAGAAACGTGCCAGGGCTCATAAGCCTATCACAGCAGGTAGAATAGGAATAGTTGTCATGAATTCGCTACTTCTCTCATAGATAGAGTATGGAAAAATGCCTGAACTGCGACAAGGACAAACGACAAAGAAACAATGACAGAAAACAAAAAAAGACCATCCATCATCCAGGAAGATTAAACGCCCACTTTTTGGTATCCATGAATTCTAAAACGAGAACGGAGGACTTCGTAACAGGAGCAGTGACGCGGGGGTCTCGCAACATCCAGTAGCAGACGACCTCTTTTTACTCGGCCATCTCCTCGTCATCACCCTCGCCATTACCCCAAAGGCCCTCGATCTGGAATTCCTTGGCCCACTCCGTAACAACCTGCACATTGTCCACAGGACCGGTGGAAGGCTCCGCAGTCTCAGCCGCAGACCCGGCAACGGGCAGGACAGGGGCATTAGCCCAGCCCTGGATGCGGCCGTCGCGCCAGTCGTTGATGACGGTCATCGCGGCGCTCTCGACATTGGGGACACCACGCTTGCCGAGACGACCGCGCTTACGGGCTACCTGGACCAGGAAATCGGTGGTCTTGTCACCGGTCGGGAAGAGGGTGGTGATGCCGTACACCTCAAGCATCTTGTTAATCAGGGCCTCCGAGGACGAAAGACGCTTGATCAGCAGGTTGACAGCGGCAACGGGGTCCTCGATCTGCTTGGGAGGGATGGCGTTGAGGAGGACCAGACGGGCCTGCTCGTTCTCCTTGGACTTCTTGGTCTTGCCGGCAGCGCTGGGGAAGACGATACCGGGGGAGTCGATCAGCTTGAGCTTGTTGTCGAGCTTGACGCTGCGCAAAGAGGTGGTGACACCAGCCTCGGCACCTGTAGGGCAAGCATTGCTGGAGCCCTTGTTGAGACGAGCGGTCAGGGCGTTGATCACGGAGGACTTGCCGACGTTGGGGTAGCCGATGACACCGACGGAGATGGATCGCTTCAATTGCTTGCTGTGGGCGTAGGACTTGAGCGCGCGGAAGAGGGTCTCCGAGGTACCCTTGACGGACAATTGCTTGTGGTCGAAGCTGTGGGCATTGGGGGCGCCATTGGAAGCCTTCAGTGGGAGGGTAGGGAAGTAACGGCGCAGGTGAATCAACCAGGCCTTGAGAACTGGTGGAGGAACGAGATCGATCTTGTTCAGGATGAGAATCAGACGCTTGTTACCAGCGTCGGCAGCCATGATCTCCCGCTCAATCTCCTTCGACCGGGTGCCTTCGGGGTCGCGTGCATCGAGCACGTACAACACCACATCAGCTGCATCCGTAACCGTCTTGAAAACCTTGTCGAATTGACGCCGTGAGCTCTCCTTGGTAGTGTTCTGTGCGCTGCCAAGCGTGGCAGCGTCCTCGAATGTCACACCGCCCTCCTCTTCGTCCTCATCCATCTCATCGTCGTCGTCCTCGTCCATCTCCTCGTCCTCGCTCTCGTTCTCGTCGTCGTACTCCTGAGCACGAGCCCGGGCAGAAGCAAGCAGCGCAGCCATGGGGTTTGAGTCGTCGCCATCGGCGTCCATATCATCGTCCAGCAAATCACCCTCCATAATCTCGACGGCGGCCTGGGGGCCACCTGAAGTCTGCTTGGCCTCGACCTTGCGAGCGCGGGCCTCCTCACGCATGCGCTCTTGCTCCTCGGCCTTCAGACGCTTCTTCTCTTCAATGTCATGGAGGAGCTTATCCTTGAACGGGAAAAGGTTGGGGATACCCGGGTCCTTCTTAATCTTAGACCGCCATTCGGGGTTCTGTGTAAAGAGGAAAAGAAGTGTAAGTATCGCTTCCAGGTGCAGAAATTTGCCAGGCAAATATTCCAGGGGATAAAAAGATGTATGGTTCAATTACCTTCTTCGCAAGCTTCTTCTGCTTCCTTTGCTTCGCAACAGCAGCCTTCTCAATCTTGTGTCTCAAGCGAACGGGAACCCGCTTAGAACTTTTGCCTGTGAGACGTTAGAAGCATGATCCAAGAGTCCAATACTCTTTCAGTGAGGTAGGAGACTTACCGAGCTTGGTCATTTTGCCTGTATACCTGTTCTCACTGACTAGAGACGAAAAAGGGCACACCGGGACAGTGTCTAGTGCTCCGCAAACTTGAGTCGAAAAAGTTGAGCGCCAAGATTTCGATAAGCGGATAAACACTAATGCCGATCACCGATCCGCGGCGGCGGGACCACTACGCCATTCGGTAGGGGAACCGCCTCAGATTAGAGAGACTGGAAATCATCTTTCTCGTTCATTCCCTTTCTTCTAATCACATAGACATAGATTTCTTTCTTTTGGCTTCTTCTGATTACGCTTCATACACTACAATTATCACATCTGCTGTTCGACCTCTTTCTCGAACTCTCTCTTCTCAACACCAATCTCTCCGATTCATCTCCCCGCAGAACCCCTCCCCCGCCATGTCTGCGACAGAAACATTCTCTGCCCCTGCAGAGGTACACACCTTTGATGGCCTTCTCTCTGATTTTGATGGTACCATTGTTGACTCTACAGATGGTATGACAATCTCTACTCATGGCTACAATCCCCATTGCGACACAGAGGCTAACTATATTTTCCCGAACAGCAATCGTGAAGCACTGGCACCAGTGAGTCAATCGCCAACAATTGCCGATATCTACACAAAATGAATTTCCCTAATACTCCAGCCAGAATCGGTGCCGAACTGGGCGTCGACCCCAAGACTATCCTAGCCACCTCCCACGGTCGTCGCAGCATTGATGTTATGGGACTATACGACAAGACCAAGGCCAACTGGGACTGTACGCTTTCACTCCCTCTCACGCCTGCCCGAACCATCCGGCCTATATGTCTTCTAACACCTTTCTGATAGACGTCAACTACATCGAAGGCCGCATCCCCCAAACGTGGGGCTCCGACGCCGTCGAAATCCCCGGCGGCCGCGACCTCCTCAACGCCCTCGACAGCTCCTCCGCGAAATGGGGTGTCGTGACATCCGGTACTCGCGCCCTGATTGACGGCTGGCTCGGCGTTCTGGGCCTCACACACCCGAAGTACCTCGTCGTCGCCGAGGACGTCGAGCTGGGCAAGCCGGACCCCCGGTGCTACCAGCTCGGAGCGAAGAAGATCGGACTAGAGGGCTCGACGAATATTGTCGTGCTGGAGGATGCGCCGAGTGGAATCAAGGCTGGTAAGGCGGCGGGATACAAGGTGATTGCACTGGCTACGACGCATTCTATCGCGAAGATCCGGGAAGCTGGCGCAGACTGGATTGTTGAGGACTTGCGCAGCGTCTCGGTCAAGGGTGTTGTGGATGGGCAGGTTCAGATTGAGATTCGGAATGCGCTGCAATAGGTATAGAGTGGTTTTGGGGTTGTATTGGGGATACAGATGCAGGGACCAGGGAGATTGGGTTGCTGCTGAGTGAGTTGTACAGCAGGAGATGATGCTTTTGGCTTGAGATAAGCGTGCGCAGCAGGTTGCACAGCAGCTGTGCTGTTTCTTTTTGGCATGTTACCGAGTCTCTGGACGTTGGTATCTCTCAACACTTGCACAGTACCTACATTTTCTATCTATGGTCTCTCTCGTGGACGATATTGCACAGTACCCTACTTGGCCTTGCCTTCTTTATCTTGTGCTTTCGGCTTGATTCTGTGTCAACACTTCTGAACATACTATACAGGCTAAAGCGAGCACAATTCATGATAGAGAACAAGCCCCCTACAGATGGCCACTTCGAATTGCGAGGTTGGGTTTCCTCAGCCTTCGTAAAATGTTCTTCCCCTACACAGACCCTAGAATATCTCTTAGTTAGGAACTCGCATCACTCACCTCTAACCAAACCTACGATGTATTTCATTCCAACCCGTCAGGTCAGAGGGTAGCACGACGACTACGCCCTTCACACACCGGGGACCGACCCTTCAATGCCTCCCGAGATCAAGCCCGAGCTCGTCCGACTCTATACATCTCCACACCCTGCCAATAACATCCTCCAACACCGTCACGAACACGATTCAGCTGAAAGAAATGCAGTCCTCACAAAGGGCGCGCTGAATCCCTCCTACCCTCATAGGCAAGAGTCCCGTCCCAACCGGACACCCCGACAGACGTAATTCTACAAATGCCGCATAATCATAGCCATGCTATACTATATATGCCATAGTACTTACTACTCCGCACATGATGACGACGTGTCAGCCCTGGACCCTGGACCCTGGACCCTGGACTCTACTGTACGTGATACTAGACCAGGGTCCGACTAAGGCTCGGAGTTTCTTCGCCGTGAGTCAATTTCAATCGAGACCCTTGAAACAACGTCGCGGGCGAGGAGTCGGGTGGCGCGCAGCAGCAGCAGCAACAGCAACAGCAGCAGCAGCAGCAGGGGCCATGATCCTTGCAGGATGGACCACCAGTGGCGGTTGCCCGATTGCTATGGATGGGGAATTGGTCGTGGCCAGTTGCTGTAGCTCTGGAGTGTTGTTAATGCTTACTACATACATACAGTACTGGATGTACTGTATGTATGTGCAGCAGTATCTAGCTGCAACGTCTAGCCAAGCAAACCCACCCGGCAACCAACCAACCCCGGCCAATTGCTGCGAACAGCAGTTCATGCAAATTTGGCCACAGCTGCACGCGGGTCCAGTCCAAGGAACAATTTTGCCAGGATCCATCCCCCGATGTTAAGATCTAGACGTGTTGCGAGAGACCATATGACAAAGTAGAGAGGGGGACTTGTGACACTGTCTGAGGCAAAGGGCGAGTGCAGTACAGCTACCAAACAAAGCGAGCAAGCTGCATCGTGCACCCGGTTTTCTGCACGGCTGCAACTGTGACAGGGCGCGAGCTCACGAGGGGGATTACCTTTGGCAAGGGAGCGTATTGTCCGATTGACATTAACTAATCGCAACTTGATATTCGTTGCAGATCTAGATCAAGCTGCCGAGTATGTAGTACAAGACAGGGCTACTGGTCCGGCCGAGAAAGCCGGAGACAAGTTGGGACTAGCTTGCCCAGGTCACATCAAGGGCTGAACAGCCGCCGGGTGGGAAAGAGAGGTAGATGCATGCGATCAAGCTTCCTCTATAGGATTGCTGCAGCGAGTCCCGGTGTGCAAATCCTGCAAGGGGGGTATCTGGGTACCTTGTCAGATCCAGTGCGCGGGTCAGAGCTCGCATCACGATCCAAGAGCCCGGGAAACAGCTTGGGACTGGGATGAGTGCTCGTGAGTCCAAGCAGCACGAATGAGAGGAGGCTAACTCCTCTCGATCGTGCTTGATTCAAAGGTCCCAACTTAGTCCTGGGGATATGTGACGGCGAGAGTGGCGGCTATGCAATATCAGCACGTACATGAAGACTCGAGGCCGAGATACTGATAGGGCGAGTACGGCGGCCGAGTTGTGCTTTTCTTTTCTTTTTCCTTCTTGTTGCAGCTGGCCCTGGTTCCGATCTCGACCACAGCATCGGGACGTGCTGGATCGAACGGTACGACAGCAACCCTCCCCTGATCCTCGCGCGATGCATGCATGATGGTGCTCCCGACAGTGGCGTGGCGGGTCTTTCTCCTCTTGCCTGTTTCAGAGCAGCAGAAAAGAAAGAAACCCTGGGTCGATCATTTCAAGCTGTTACATGCAGACCCTTCAAGTCTCAAGACCAGATTACCTTGTCCCCGTTGAAGGATTCCTTGCACTTCGCCCAAGCCCTGAATTGGCAACTATTGGTCCACGTCCTTGACAAATAACTTAGCGTCCTGTGTCATAATTTCTGCCTGCAGGATGGATTCTGGGCATCACGCACCGCCACAGATTAAGCTTGAAAGTTGCCGTGCCACACCAAGTAGAAGGGGGAGATCGTCAGGCAGAATCGATACTGGAGAAGGTGTAGGTTCAGGCCCTGAACTACAACAGCATACCAGTCACATTTCGAGGGCCATTTGTGGCTTCGATGCGTCTCTAGACCTGCTAGACGGGACATGTCTCTCAGCCTCAGTCAGCCACCATCTTCCTTCTCACTCCTTTCTTCTCTCTTGCCAGCGAGAACAGTCTGCCAGTCTGGGTACACCGAAACTCTCCGAGTCCGCTCTTGCATCGCATGAGCATTGAGCGCAGGGGGGTGGTTACTCGTCCTGACGAGTCAGGGTCCACCTGCAGAGCCACCAGGCTTGAAGGCTTATGAGTCTATGACACAATGTCTGGAGATCCAGGGGGTGTACTCCAGGTGTTACGCGGGGACCTAGAGGATCTCCTCATTCTCTGGTGGGACGTCGATCTTCAGATCCCCTTGGGTTCAGCCATATGCCCAGGCACCAAGCCAAGCCCAGCGCGCTTGAGACACACGATCTAAGGAGAGGGGGAGGGGGGGGCAGATAGTGGAGAGAAGTGATGGAGCGACAGGAAGACGAAAAAAAAAAAAGGTACTATACAGTTCTGTGGCTTCCGTCACACGTCGATCAGTAAGTAACCCGAAAAATCGGGGAATTTTCTGGTGATGATGATGGTGTGTGCTTCTTCTGTTGTCAGTTTTTTTGCCGATAGAAATACATACCATACAAGTGTTACTGTTTAGTGTGCTGTATGGTATGTATACGGAGGTTTAGAGGTGTGTATATTTGAGAAACAGTGTATTAGAAATGATTTGAGATTTTGTTTCGTTCCGGCACAACGGTTCACGCCAGATCGAATCAATAGTCGGATGGAGGCTAAGGGATCCGTGCGAGGCGTTGCAGATCTCTCCAAGTTGAAGCATTGCTCAATCAACCAATGAGGGAGGGATATTTCACCCATCACCTTTTGGCGGGTGAAGGACGGAGAATAGGAGGGATTACACAAGGCACGGAGAAACAAAAGGAGAGCACTAAAATCATAAAATGGGGGGAACTTGACCAAGTCGAGTTAGGCCCAAAATTGGACTGTCACTGTCGATCATTTCGTGCTTGGCCTTGAACTACAGTACGATTGACTAACTCCTGACTGATTTGCACCCCAGTTTCTGACATCGTGAGAGTATTATTCAACTTAACGTTAGTTACCAGTATTACGGAGATGACGGAGATCATAGTCGGCCCCGTTCCGGGTGCAATTGGTCCCATGCGCGCCATATCCAAGTCTAACTAAGTATCCTGGACCATCCCGTCTTGGACTGGCGTTATCCATAGTCAATACTAGTAGATCTAGTAAATCTACTCCTCTGTGGCACTGTGCATCACATGGGGGAATTCCACGAACATGTGGGCAAGGCGAAGGAACTCGAGCTTCTCGGATGATTCTCGGCTTGGCTGAAACCAATAGTTAGAGTGTAACTATCGACGCCTGATACAGTAGTTTTTCCCACAACTGTTCCGTTCCCTCTTTTCTTGGTTCTCGCCATGTGCGCTGTGGATGCGGTGGAGACCACCTCCATAGCTGCCGACCCAGAAGAACTGTGTTTCCAGTTTCCACGGTCCAAAATGAACAGAGTCAAATAGACAGGAACGCAACTCGTGATTGGCGGCCCCGATAAGCGCCTTGATGCACGTGAAGCTTTTCAGTTCATCACGAAAACCTTGGCTGGTGATGACGGTGGTGATGACATGACACACGATCAGCACCGCATAACCACCAGGCCAGACGCGGCATTTTTGGGGGTTTCTACCTGACAGTGACAGACCGTATCGTATGTCTAACAAGGTCCTCACTTATTCAGATCCACGATCGCCCGTACAGGATAACAAGGTTTGTCGGGTGCAGAAGCACGCCACGTTGTAGGACGATTGACGTGAGTGCGGAGCCTGAACTGCCCTAGTCTGTAGATCCCGTCTCCAGCCTACACAGAAGTACGTAGCGGTTCGTCCGGAGAACTCAGTCGTGGTCCATGTCCCACGCTATTAGGCCCCCATTGTCAATCCTCTCATTGCTGGGCCGGCCACGCTACGCAATGACAATTACATATCTCCGGCGATTGAGCGAAAGAAGGCTGATTGGGGGGTCCCTGCTCTCCACTTGCAGGTCCCCAGAGTAGATCCTCACTGTCTCAAGAAAGGGGATCGCCCGGAAATCTTGAAGCGTTGGACATCCCTGCCGCAGTCGAGTCAGATCCTGTGCTCAACAGGGCAATGTGCTTCGTCGATCACTGCGCGAAGTGGGATGAATACTTGGATAGAGGGGTGCCACGCCTGGGGCTTGGGCAGAGAAGTTAGAGAACGAGAGCGAGAGTTTCTTCCGGTGGTCCGGAAGTGTTCTTCTGATTAGCCTGCTCGTGGCGATGTGGATAGCCAGTATCTATGGAGTACGGAGACGCCTTGGGACGATTTTTGAGAGCCAGGGCGGGGACAGAGGGCGTCCGTACGACGGTATCAAAGTTTTTGAGATAGGCATGTGTTTCTGGAACGAGAAGGACCCCATAACTTAGGGTTTGCCAGCAGGGATCGCCTGTGAAACGTTTTGGCTTCGATGGCATGACTCGTTGTCCGGAGTCTGGATGCTCCTTCAAGAACATCATCCTGCGTGGCGGCGTAGAGGAGGCATTGGTACCCTTGGCAAAAGGCATCTCCCCTCACTTTCAGGAACAGCTGGGGATTTTTGGGCGTATGTACTCCGTATGCTTTAGTCTGAAGAATGGGGAGGAGAAGATGGAGTATGCAGGTGTCAAAAAAGATCATCCGGTAAGAACGATGTAGTAGATTTTGTAGTTTGAATGTCTGCGATGCTGCAGATTCGAGCGTTTTGGCGCCTCAAGCTTAGAAGGCATTTGATACGGGTGGTGCAGTACTGTGCAGCAGACACTGGCAGCCTCAGCGGCAGCTTGTTCCAGAGCCAGATTCTCCGGTCAGTCTCGCAGCAAAGCTCTGGGCAGGTCAAGATCTGTACTTTCCGAGTCACCCGGAGGACAGCTGCAAGCTCGGACGTGCGCGCCTGCAAGTTGAGGATCAGGAGATCCCCCGAATCCAAACAGCTTCGATCCTCCGATCCTCTGATCTCCCGATCGTCTGGGGAAAAGAGATGTTTCCGAGTCCTGCCTAAATCGGCGGAGAGCCAACGAGTTGACGAGGAAAACGAAGCAAAGGGGGTGGATTTGAGGCGTCAGCCTCGTGATCCGCGGTGCATGGAGCCTCTCTGACCAGGACGTTTAGCGCCGCGACCAGGGCCAACCAGGGTCTCGGGAGGCGGTGCGAATGGGTGTATCGTTCAACAATGACTGGAGCCTGTTCTGAGTCCTGACTGCTAGTGAGGAATTGTGATTACTCCAGTTCTCCAAGCCTCGAGGCGGATTTGTGGATTTGTGGATTTTCTCTCACTCGGAGAAAGAAGCAGAAAACAAAGCTCGGCAGATCCTGAATGATCGACATGATCGGTTGACTATTGATGTTTAGCTGGTCTTGGCGGGGACCTGCCCATGTCTGCCTCGCTAGCATGTTTTTGGGGGAGAAGAGTGGGTCTTGAGGCTTGAGAGGGGGCTGCCACAGCTCGAATAACAAACTCGCAGGGCCAGCTTCAGATCTCAATAGTGCGTTGACGACATCGTCAGGGTGCATTATCGTGAGAATTGGTTCCCCTCTCCCCTTTCCAGCTCCCATCCAATTTGTCACGTGGAGGACATGCTGTCTCCGCCAAGCACTGGAGAGACTCGAGACTCGAGAGGCACGGTTATAGTGTAGTGAATGAAGTAGTACAAATCGAGTACCGGGGAGCATAGTCCGATCACCCGACCCAACAGGCTGGTCCGGGATGAGGAAATATCTCGAAACACTGGCAAAGAGCCTGTCTTGGCTGTGTGGATGCGCCCTTTCGTCCTGCAAGTCTGCATGGCCAAGTATCTCTGCTTCGTATCTCCAGTACTCTGTATACTGTACTCTGTACTCAGGACCACCAAGCTGATGGCAGCCCATGTTCAAAAGTTGAACTAAGAGCCTTTGAAGAGAAGGATTTGCGGGGCTTATCTTGGCAGACAAGTCAAAAGCAGTAGTTGCATTCTTATCTGGTTGTCTCGTCAAAAAGTATCGCGTCTCTAATCTCGATTACTTCGGGGTTTATACGTGTGTCACAATCTCTATGAAGCTACATTCTATGCAGAATACTGTCGGAGATAGCACTACGTATTTCAATACTACTCTAGAATCTAAAAGCTGTGATCCAGTCTCTTCGATACCTCGTTACTGGGGTACCATTTCATCCCTTGTAATGATTCTTGGCTCCACGATGAGCCACTTTGGGGGATCAGACATGGCGCTAATGCAGGAACTGTCCAACAGGCGGCTGGTTCGGTCTGGAGCGGACATGGTATTTTTTGATACCGGATGTTCTCAAATTTACCCAGATAAGTTCCAAGTGTATCCTTGAGTTCTTCCCGTTCATGCAGGATTCGAGTATCAACTCGGATAGGCTGGATAAACAGAATGGGCATTTCTTCAGGCTTCGATGGGTACAATTTACTTTTCGGAGTACATATGTAGATATCGCCATACAAGCCTGACTCGTGAAAAAGACCCACGGAACGCTACCCGTCGAGGTTATCATTCCTCCACACTGGAACCATGGATCGTTTGTTTACTTGGAAACCTTGTGCCTGACTAAAATGCATGGTCACGGGTGTCCCTTATTCTTCCTATCTAATTTAGCGCCAAGCCCCCTTTTGAATAGACAGAATGGCTGTAGATTAACTAAGATTAACTACTTGTTCTTCACCAGCCAAAATCTGAACAAATTTAACTATTGATTTAGGTTGACATCCACTCCAGTAGTGTACGGGGAACAAATCATGAAATTCTCCTATATGGAGAAATACAGAGCGTAAGATATAAAATACCGTGGCCTTGCAAAATACGTCCATACGTCAATACCGAGTTCAGGCTGGGCAGCGCATCATTGTGGAGCCTAAACCTCAAACAGCGGTTGATCGGACCCTCTCTGCTGATTGGTGCCAGCGATTCATTTTGGATCTCTCCATTTTTGTTGCTAAGGGCTTGCCGATAGACCCCGATACTCGGGGAGGAGAAAAGTCCACTTTTTTGAAGAAAATCTGTCATGGTGATTAGCTGTGGTCTCCCAGTCTTTAACTTAGTTGTCTACCCTAAATGGGATGTTGTTCAGAATTCCCCAAACTATATTCAAGGTTTTTATACTTCTGCTATGTACTGGATACCCTGTTTATGCTCTATACATGATGTCCTACGAACTAGCGCTGTCAAGACTTATGTGCAGTACACGCTCACCAGTCCGTTCAAGGGCCCAGGCCAGATCGGAATTTTCACTCTGGACCCCCGATGAGGTGTGTGGATATCCGTGTGTGTGACCTTTCGCAGCCCGCATCAAGCAGTTGCAAGACCGCCGAGTACCTCCGGCAGCCAGCAAGGCCGCCACCCCCTAGAAACCGCGCGGGTGGTAGCGCGGACTCCACGAAGTTAGCAAGTGGGGAGGGGGGTTATATTCGGTTTTTCAGCCCAGTTGAGGGCCCATCACGAGAAAACGGGGGAAATACGAGTGCAAAGGAGAGTTTGGAACCTTGTGGTTCTAGTATTACGGACATATATTACCTATTACCGCCTGCTGGGTGGGACCGGAACTTCATGACTGTCTTTGACTGGTGGTTGGAGACGATCGCTTGGCCTTGTGCCGTGTGAAATGCTCGAGCGCCGGCTTAACTTCCGTCAATACCGGCACCTGGCGGTTCACGAACACGAGTAATGAGCTGTGCCGGATAGTGGTGGATCGTATAGATTAAACAGAGGAGTGGCGTACGAAGCGTTGGCTGTAGATGGCGTGGAAGCTAACAAGAGGATTGTTTAAAGGGAAATTCAGAAAAAAGATAGTAGAAAATAGTATCATAGTCTAAGATAATGAGATATCTGTTCTGCTGTGTACCTGAATAAAATAAAAATACGTGTACCAGATCGTACCAGATCTCGTACCGCAGCTCCCCCAGTCTTTGCGTACCGCCCCTTACCAGTTACCACAACACCACCATACGCCAATGCTCCGGAATTCATTTTCGACCCTCCTCCTCTGGCTGAGCCCCGATCGCTGCTCCATCACTCCATCACTTTGCTCTCCCTCTTCTCCTCTCCTCTCTCCTCCTCCTCCATCACTCCCTCCCCACTACACTACTACTTTCTTTAATTCTCCCCCCTATACATTCTTTCTTATTTCCTTTTTCTGATTTACTATTCTCGGCCTCGCTCCTTCTAGGCCTGCGTCTCTCCTTAAACAACCGTGTATGCCTTCACTTGGCTCTTTTCTTTTTCTATCTACTTCAACCCACACTCCTTCCAAGCTTGCCACTCATCACACTTGGTGCTGTACCTGATATAGCCTTCCTCAATTGTACCTGCACTCCCCCTCCTCGTGCAGCGACCTTCATTCCTTTAGAACTCCCCGTTCGCCCTCTTCATTCATCTCCCTCCACCTCCACCTCCTACAACAACACCTCCCTCCTCTTCTCTCTACCTGTCTCTCATTCACAGCCATGAGCTACATCCACCACCCCTCATGGAACTACCAAGCCCACCCGGGTCTCCCAATGGACCACGCCATGGCCTATGACCCGACCATGGTGCCGCCGCCCATGATGCACCACCACCCCATTGACGGCTATCTTTACCCCCATCCGCCCATGGAGATGCTCGACTACTACCACCAACCCATCATGGACTACGACGAATACACAGAGAACCTCTCACGTCCTCGCTTGACCAAGGAGCAGGTCGAGACCTTGGAAACTCAGTTCCAGGCTCACCCCAAGCCCAGCAGCAACGTCAAGCGGCAATTGGCGGCTCAAACCAACCTGAGCCTTCCCCGAGTTGCGGTATGTCTTAGCTGTGTTAATCTCGTTGGTGGTCACGGTAGAATGGACTCCAATGCTAATCTCTGTCTTAGAACTGGTTCCAAAATCGACGCGCCAAGGCCAAGCAACAAAAACGCCAGGAGGAGTTTGAGAAGATGCAGAAAGCCAAGGCTGAGGCCGAGGAAGCTGCACGACAAAAGTCAGAGACTATCGATCAACTGTCCGAGTCTCGCCAGGCGTCAGCCGTCAAGGAGGAGCCGGAGGAGTCGGAGGAGTCCACAACCCCCAAGCCAGAGACTACCACCACCGAGTCCGCAGCCACCCCTTCCACATCGGAGAACAGCAAGAAGGATACCAAGACAAAGAAGCACCAGAAGACAAATAGTGAAACAGCCCGGGAAGCAACTTTCGCATCCCTGCAACGGGCTTTGAATGCTGCATGCGCTGCCCGAGACCGCTTCACAGGCCGACGAGGCAGCAAGCAGGAGTCGACGCACGAGGACGAGGCCATTTCTCCCACCTCCATGGCCCCTCCTAGCACTACTTTCAAGTCAGAGGGCAAGGCTCAAACCGCCTACGGTACTGGCTCCTCAGAGTGGCAGAACAACGAAGTGTCGTCGTCATGCCAAACGATTTCCGAGGTGCCTAGCTCCTCGCACTCCATATCGCAGAATATGGACGCCTTTGCTGGTGCTCAGTACCCTGGTCAGCACGAGGAATGGGCGGAACATTCAAAGAATCAGCATAGACATGGCAGCCTTGACTATGGTAACATGCAGTACCCAATGGCCCTGCAGACCCCAGATATCTCCGTCACTCGACGCGAGTCATGTGGTGCTCTCACTGCCCTGGACGGCATCGGGATTCACACTGGTGAGTCTGGGATGCCGCAATCCCTGGGCCGTGTCGGAGGAGCTTCGTGGAAGGAGGCTGGAAAGGAGCTTGATCTTGCCGCACGTCGCAAGCGCCCCCGTCCTGCCGCCATTGGCACCTCCAACACTCGCTCTCTGGCTGCTTCCACTTCCATGTCTTCCCTTTCCCCCACGAGTCGCGTCCCAAGCTCTGCCGGTCCCGGTAACTCGATGAGGCACTCCAAGTCCGCCCAATGTCTGAACACCCGGTATGCCGGTGTCCGCAAGGCATCCGCTGCCCAGCGCTCTCCTCTGAACTTCACATTCGCCGAATCCGGGTCCATGAAGGCCAGCAAGGCCGAGATGCTGCGTCCGTCCGTGTCTTCGTCGACCCTGGCTCCGCCAACTCCGTTGACTCCCCAGGACTTCCAGCACTTCTTGCCCGCCTCGCCGACGGAGAGCAACTACTGCTTGTCTGCGCACTCCACTACTCAGTTCTTCCCTTCCTCTCAGCCGATGCAAGTGAACATCGCGTCGCCTCCAACCACGCCATTGGATATCTATTCTCCCTTCCCGTACCAGCAAGTCGCCCCTCCCATGTCAGCTCCGGCACAGGTTTCTACATTCCCTGAGTATGTGACCTGTGACCCGGTGCCCATGACCGCTCGGAGCTGGGCAGACACTGCTCCAATTTCCTCCCCCGATTTCCAGAGTGGTCTCCAGGTGTCTCATTCGAGTACAGTCTCGCCCATTGGCTTTGAGTCAGCGGTTGACCACTCTGGACACCCGTACAGGATGGTGACGGAGTCCGTGTCTGGCTCCCCATCCTTGATCTACTCGGTTGAAGATGCGGATCTGACGGGCTCGGCAGACACCATTGAGCGGAAGCAGCCTGAGTTTATGATGCACGACTACGAGCAGCACGACCCTCGCTTTGCCGCCCACCACATGGGGCACAAGGCGAAGGCCTACACGTTTGCAAACAATACGACCCAGGGTCAATACCCTCAATGATGGGGTTGACTCCCTTCACCGCCTTCCTTCCCTTACACCAGGGGCGGTTGACTACGAATGAGAAATGTGCTGCTATAAATATGCTTTTGTTGGTCTGGGACGATCCGCTACGCACCTTTTCGTCTCACGCGCGACTTGTTTTCCACCTTGATTTTTTCCGCTTTGATCATCACCTTTTCCCACCTACGGGCGGTCCCTGTTTATCTTCAAATCCCGCCTCCACGCGTGGAAAACCAGGCACTGTTGAAAGCTGTCTCTTACATATCTTCTTTTTCTTCTTCTGTCTCTCTATTATTCGGTGTTGCCCCACCGGGGGGTTTTACATACTTGGAGCATCTTGTGCATTTGTGTTATTGGCTTGGAATATTCTATTTGGGTGTCTGATATGACTTTTTTAATTCTTCCGAGCCGTCGATGCTCGAGACCTTTCTACCTTCTCTGTGGCCTATTGGATCACCTGTTACCTTTTTATCTCCGTTTATTCTTACACCACCTATTGTTCTTTTGCGGATGGGTTGGGATCTTTTTTTTTTTTTTTTGGACATGGGTTTTGGACTTGCATATTTGGCAGCAACTGGCTATCTGATACATACTGAAATGTACCTATCTTTCTATACCTACTCTTTCTCTCTAGCTCCAGGGCTGTCACATAATCAAAAGGGGGGCTTAGTGTCTGCCATGGTTCAACTTGCAATATAGTATCTCTCGAGAAATTTTCTTCATTCGCATGTCATTTCCGACCAACCCTGCGCTTACAGATGAGCCAAAGGCTGTTTTGCCGACGCACGACGTCTGCCGGCCATCGCGATTGGCCGCACCTCAGGAACGGCGACGCAATCGAGTCTTAAATCGACGACTAATTCGGCGTCGCTTCCTAATTAGCCGATGGTGAGTATTGTTGATATGGTTAGTAGCCGATTAGTGTACGTTTAGCTTGTTGTTAGTGGCCAGCCGAATTCTTCCGGAGTTTGCCCGTATAGTGTTGCCCTGCCACGTGCGCCGCTCCGTTGGCCGTCGCTCTTCCGTTGCCCGTTTGCTCGATCCACTGCGGAAAGCTTCAACGTTCTTGCCATCCCACGCTCGTGTGGTATAAAAAGCGATGGCTCTGCCGATCTTTTCGGGATTTCACTCGCTGACAACCTTCCCGGCATCTTCGGTATCGTGGAATTATAAGTGATCCGCATCATGAAGGTTTCCGCTCTGAGCCCGGCCCTTTTGGGTCTTGTTGCGTCCGCGCAGGCCGCTGCTGTCGCATCTTCGATCCAGTACTCTACCGTGACGGGATATTTCCTGCAGGATGAGACTGCGACTGATGCGTCGACTTTTGACTACGTATGTGACTGGACTTTGCTATGATTCACGGGGAAATTCAATGATCATGATCTAACTCTTGGCTTTGGCGTATAGACTGCTGTCAACTTCGGCCTCATCAACCGCACCTACCCCGCTGACCAGGTGCTTAAGCACCAGGGCAAGGACCTCTCCCAGTGGGAGCGCTTCTACCACCAGGTCCAGAAGCTGAACACCGACTCTGACAATGATGTCGAGTACAAGGTGCTTTTCCTTGGCCGCCATGGTGAGGGTTACCACAACGCCGCGGAGACCTACTACGGCACTCCTGCCTGGAACGTGAGTCTACACTTACTCTCTCAGCATCTCCCACGAACCACCCAGCTAACCATGAACCTTCCCGCATCCAGTGCTACTGGGCCGAGCTCGACGGCAACGGCACCTCCACCTGGCACGACGCTGCCCTGACCGCCAACGGCGTCAACCAAGCGCTCATCGCCCACAACTTCTGGCAGAAGCAGATCGACGAGCAGAACATCCACACCCCAGACAACTACTTCACCTCCCCGCTGACCCGCTCCCTCCAAACCGCCAACTACACCTTCAACGGCCTGAACCTGCCCCACAATGCCGCGAAGTTCAGACCCCTGGTCAAGGAGCTCTTCCGCGAGGGCATCAGCATCCACACCTGCGACCACCGCCGCAGCAAGAGCTACATCAAGAACCTGTTCCCCGGCTGGCCCATCGAGAAGGGTTTCACCGAGGACGACGAGTTGTGGAACGGCGTCACCGCCGAGACCAGCGGAGCTCAGGACGCTCGCAGTGCTACCGCGCTGGGTGAGGTTTTCTTCGCGAAGAGCACCAAGGAGGAGGCCTTTGTTAGTGTGACTAGCCACTCCGGCGAGATTTCGTCTATACTGCGTGTTCTGGGACACCGCTCTTTCAGTCTGAAGACTGGTGCTGTTATCCCTGTGCTTGTTAAGGCCGAGAAGGTCAAGGGTGCTACTTCTACTACCACTACTGTGTCGTGGACTGCTAGCCCTCACTGCACCGTGCCGCCTGTGACCAGTGTTACGGCTTGTGTTTGCCCGTCGAGTGCGGCGCCTGTTACCACCCCTTTGGTGACAGATGTTTAGATTATGTAATTTTTAATTGAGGAGGGGGGTGGTTGGTTCTAATATTTCTGTGTATGAATATGGCGTTCTTGTGTGTAGCTATAGGACTCCTTAGTGTTGATGGATCAGTGTGGCTGCCTGAGTATTCAATGTGCGTCAAAAGCTCAGCTCGAGTTCTGAGAGCTATGGCTGGGTGATGTATAAACCCATCACTGATTGGGCCAGTAAGAAACTACCTATCCTGCCTGCGAAATGATGTGGTTGCAGAGATTTCCACTGTTAGTACGCCACGCCACGTATGTAGTATGTACCCCGAATCTTGTATGTGCAGTTGAATTCGCGCATGTTACATGAACATTACTCGGGAAAGTCGAGGTCTTCCGTTGTTAAAACAACAAGCCTTTTCATATCCTTGCTGAATAGAGCGCTGCGTTCCAACCTTTATCAGGCATTGCAGAGAGGGGTTGAGAGATTAGGCTGTTGGGACTATATTTTCTCTACGCATGAAGCAATAGCGGTCTCTGATCGGAATTCTGGATTAATAGATATGGCTAGCTGAGAATATGTGTGGCGCTGGCGGTTTGTTTCTAGACATGAAGCTAGGTGGACATGGCTAGCTGAAGAGGATCCATGTCTTGCAACTTTGTCAACCCCGCATTGGATAGACATTTGCATGCTGTCATGCAGATTGAGTTGGCTTCTTCGCCTGTCTTAAGTACAGTGGGTCCACGGATGAGAGAGAGTACACTGCAAGTAGATGGATTTACATCACAGGTAGATGGGTTTCCTAGCGACTGACTATGTAGCTACTAGACGCTTAAGTATACGATATACTCCAGTGATATACTCGACTCGAGTGCGTACGGGGGTTAAGATTCAGTCGAAAACTGAGAATCTCCTTAGATCGGAGCTAAATAGGCAGGTTTGACAGACTAGTTCGTCGTGAAAACGCCAACGTGGCGTTGTAAGAAGGTTACTATTTGTTCTCCTCAGATCCACTCTGAGCTGAAGAAGTCGTTTTGGTATGCGACTACTGTATCTCGAAAAGTCCTTCGGCGACTCCGCATGTAGAAATAGGCAAGCGGCTTTGGTCCAGTTGACATTTATGGAAAGAACGTCCATGACAACGGGAAAAAGCTATTGAAAAAAGGCATATAAAGTCAACAATCCTATTCTCTCAAATATATCTTCCCTTCATTGCTCAATTCTTTGCTCAGAATCAACAATAATATCCGTCTGTCCCCGCCTTCGCTATTCTATCACTTACAATTTTCCACCACAATGCGCGTCTACAAGGGCAAACTCAACACTCACACCAGCTACGCTACCAAAGATGAAGTGATCACACTGATCACCAACGGCGGTTTCCGAACTGGCTCAACAGCCGTTGTAACCGGTCAATTCACCGTGTCCTATACCGGTCATCCCAAGACGAACTTTTCCATGGTTGGTACCATCACCGATGTTAGTGATGATAGGTTCCAGCTATTCCTGGGTGAAAATCAGTATTACTGGTGAGTCTTGCTCCTACGTACTACATACTATGAATAATTCCAGGGACGATGTTGTCTGTTGTCCTTATTTGTTTTTTATATCACTAATGCAAATTCCTTAATTCAGGTTCGTTGGGACCGTTACGGGCGATAAGATTCATATGACTATGAAGAAGGATGGTGTTGAAGATTACGGTGATGCTGAATTGACCCTTGTTCACTCGGAGACATAGACGAGGCCGATCTGTGGCAGATGATGTTGCCATGTAGGGAACAGGGTGTACTTTGGGATGTTTAATCTGAATAGGCTTGTAAGGGGCGTGGGTGTGGAAGAGGTCTACTTCGTGATATTCTGAACCATGCTCTTTACTCTGCCGTCAATCTTCACTTCCCTGTGGTTTCTCTCTTCCTCTTACAAATGTGCGAATGGAAGATCCTTACAACTTCTGTTGAAGGAATGCCCGAAGACTGTATCTGGAAATGACCATATGTCCACTTAGTAGAGGTAGATATCGTCAAGTACCTACCTACCACTTGCGATTTTGTGTATTCCCGTGACTCGGATGATTTTCTTATCTATGAGGCCTTGAATCTGATCTTATTTTTCGTGAAATGCGCGCAGATCGAGGGAGCGGGTAACCTAACAGGTCCGAAAATATATTTTGACTAATATTGATGGGAAAGTCCAACAACCCATACCTATAAGGTACAAAAGAAATGATCTTAATTCATGAGATTAAATAGAATAGGGTACATCCCTAATACCAAATTGATATATAGCTAAGCTAAGATAATAAGTCGGTAACTTAGTGAAAAATAGGTAACAGTGAATAACTACACTACGTCAACAAAAAGTTGCAAAAAGTTAAGTCAAGCGTCCCCGGGAAGGCTCGAACTTCCAACCTCCTGATTAACAGTCAGACGCGCTAGCCGATTGCGCCACGGAGACAACTACTTGGAACTATGCTCCACTTAATGCTATATGAATAATTCAGCAAATGAGCAAAACCAACCGAGCAAAGTTGGCAGTGAACTAGGCGCTTAGCATGCCTGAGGTGGCGGCATCACCTTAGGTAAGTAAGAATGTACCTAGAACATAGCTAGCTAGTCGGACCCAAGAAATATATGTGCAAAGAGTATATATTCCTAGTAGTCAGCTTCACAACGTTAGGCCTTCTGTTCACATGCACAACTATCCATATGGCTCCTGTCCGAGATGTACTCCGTACGCGTAGACGTAGCTAAGTGGCACAAGCTACGTCAACAGTCACCATTTCCAACACCTACGACATGAACTGACCCAGTTTCCTCTGTCGCTGCCAAGGCTTGCATTGTGATTCAAACCAGTGGGCGACTGAGGCGAGAATGACGTACATGGAGATCCTCTTCCCCTGCCCCGCCAACCTGGTTCACCTCCTAGGTTAGACAGGCAACAGATGCACGTGCCTAGTAGATCGGTAGATCATAGATCTGAAGAGTACCGTAGTAAACCCAATAGTATGTAGTACTGTATCGCCGCTCTCCTGAAAAAAGAAAACCCCGGAGCCTCCCGAAATAAACCCCTCCCACCTAACTTAGTCCGGACATTGAACATTCTATCTAGATCTTTCGAATTAGTTACTGCACAATAAAATTCGAAATAAATAAAATAAAACAAGATGCAAGCACTTGTGTTTGAATCCGTAGCAGGCGTTTCATCTACATACTGTTTAGAAAGCTTGTTCCGCGATATGGACGGGCCTTGTCTAGAACTTCAATCCCTGCGAGAACTAGGCCTGGAGGCTTGGCGCTAGCAGAATCTTGATTCTCCTGAACTCAAAAAACCCCGGAACACTTCTCCACAATAACTAAATCAAGACCGCAATCGTCACTGAGGGTCTAGATGGCCATGACGTAGTGCATCACAGCATGTCCAAGGCGATGAATTCGAGGTTAAATAGCCCATGAATCGCCCTCGAACACTTTTCTTCTTCATCAACAATCTCAATAACCAAACTACCAAACAAACAAACTTTTCCAAACACTTTCAATCTTCAAATTCACAATGGAGACCATCAAGGTTCGTGACTATCGATTAGACCTTCTCTCATTCTCCCTATACACAGCATGCTAACATACCTGCAAATAGAACGCCGCCAACTACGTCTCTGAGACCGTCCAGGGTACTGGTGCCCAGGCCTCCAAGACCGCCAACAAGGAGGTCGCCAAGGACTCTGACGCCAGCCTCGGCACTCGCGCCAACGCTGCCGTTGACGCCCTCGGTGACAAGAAGGACGAGCACGTCCACAACACCAAGGCCGATGTCCACAAGGGTAAGCCATACATGTGTTCTCATCTACGTTTGCATAGGTTCTAATATAAGTCACAGAGGCCGCTAAGCACTAAGTCGACCAATCAACGAAACGAAATGGCGTATAATGACCACGATGGACTAGACGCGGTGCTTCTAGGACGAGCTCTTCCCTAGAGTTGCCTATACATCACGTCTCTTTCCTTACGAATACCCCATCGGATATAAATTGGCACTCGGGCGTTATATATATAGTAAATACACATATTCAACTTCCAAGATGTCTTCACTCGTAGTATCTCTTCATGGGCCGGTGGACCTCCACAAGGTATACCTAAATTTGAAGTTTCATTGTAATGATGGGTATGGCTCAACTTATTGCAGTCCAAAGTATCTTTCAAACCACGTTTAAGAACTGATTATTGTCACGGCTCGGTTACGGAAGACATACCCAGCACGGGGAAGAAGAAGTCGCGTGAGACAGGAAACCCCAAATCTCCAAATGATGCCTGCGGAACCAGGCATCAACATATCTGCTGTATCACCTACATGCGTCGTCACAGATCTGAGACGTACAGATAGCGTTGGAGATCTTCACTTTGCTTATTTGATCGACGGTAGATGCCGTATGATGGTCCTCACTCCGCAATGTCTGAGGCACTGCGCGATCTCTATAAATGGCGTCTCTATTCAGGCCCTTTATAGAGTAGGCTTCGTCAATGCAAGCATGTATATGGGAACGATTCATTTCCTCCAGGGAATGAATTGTTAACTTGATTTCAACGTAAAAACCAGGGTATTATCGGGTAGACATTACCCTGCGCACAGATCTCCACGCCGAAGACCGGAACGAAGTGCGATGTTTTGATAACACATATTAATTTGTCTTGTTTTCATCGGTGTTGTTCCTCATTCCCGATCAGTGCCTTGAAAGTGAGACCGGACAATTATCGGACAACTAGGCGCTTTTTGAGGTTGGATCAAGATTTAACAACTCACTCGATGAGCGACGTCAGCACTAACTAGCCCGGATGATGTACTATGGCGCCGTGTATTCAATAGCCGATCAAACCCTTCAAGATTGATGACGAACAGCTGGCACTGCCAGCGCCCCGAAAATGCTGCTAGCTCTAAGCCTAAGCCAAGAAGAGTATTTGGTGTTTGGCTTGTAAGGTAATGTATTCAGAAGGCTTGGTGTTGTTGGGGGCGGGGCCGGGGGCGGCTGTAACATCGTGACAAGCGTCTCACTCCGCGGGATCTTACTGATTAAGGGTCTTGATATGCAGAGTGTCAGCAATTGTAGCCTTGACCAACCCCTCAGTCAGCACTAGCCCGCGGATGTTTGGGGGATCAGGCTTAGTATCTAGAGTTTGATCCTTCGCTCGCCATAATACTAGTTCAAGACACTCGGTGAACCGAATTCAAAAGTTGTTGGTAAATCTGGGGTTCAAACGATGCAATTACATTTTGTTTGCTTTTAGGCCGATAATAAGCTGCAGCTAGCGGTTGATTTTCGAGAAACCGAACCGCTGAAGTGTCCGCCTGGTTCTTTCGGTTGGAGTTGTCTTACCCCGAAGATATCCAATTGGAGTGATTTATTGAGTAATTCAACCCATAGCTCTGATCTGAGTGAGGGGATACTCAACAAGATACCAGATGCATATCGCAGCAGTGGAACATGCTTAGTATTTTTCCAGGATTTTGCTACATTGGAAGTTTCCGCTAAGTGAGGGTTGTGAATTTCCTGACGGACTTTGTAAGACTACTCTAACGCTGCAACAACATGAGATTTGTGATGAAGTCCATTTGGTGTCTTCAAAGATACTCATACTCATACTTTATCTAATTTATTGACGAGAATTGCCTTCCAATGATCTAGAATGAAATTATGCATTGGATATTTTGTAATATGATTTGCTAGACGTTTGTCTCCTAGTATCCTAGAAAGATTGCTATCATGAGTAACGGAAAGAAGAAAATAGTCTCATGCATTTATTTGACTGCTGGCCTGCCTAGATTTTGAAGGCATATAAGCTCTCATTAACGTAAGAGCGAGAATACCAGAAAATCCCGAGCAGAGCCACACCAGTCGCAATTTTGAGCCCCAGGAATCTAGACTTCTTAACTCGTTGATCCTGTATTGTTTCATTCCGTTTGAACGTTGCCTTTGTCTTCGGCATCTTAGCTTTGTTGGCCGCACTATACGGCGGGTATCTGAAAGCCAGTAGACGATCGAACCACTTCGGTGGACTCATGATAGTCCTCAGGTGCGAGAAGGTCTGGAATCCGTATGGACCGTGATAGTAGCCATGTCCACTCCCTCCGACTCCACCAAATGGGGCACCTGGGAAACCGGCGTGAAGAATGACATCGTTGATTGTCACTCCTCCTGAATTAATGTTGTCAAGTACTGTTTCCTTCTCGTCAGTGAAACTATCTTGAATTGAAAGGGCTGATGAGCGTACATACTCTCTTGGATTTCTGATTTATCGGAGCTGAATATGTAGAGAGCTAATGGATTGTCTTTCCTATCCGCTAGTAAGCTTGGTGTTTCAAGTAGCAGAAATAGAAGACTCACTCATTGATTGTTTGACACGCTTGGCGGACGTCTGATCTCAGAACGGGGCAGATTGGTCCGAAGATTTCTTCTGCGAGTAACGGGTCTAGCGACGTTTGTTAGGACTATCCGAACCAAGGAGTTGTTGAGGGTAATTTACCGTCTATATCAAGGTCTGTAACCACAGTTGGCTTCATCCGACAGAGTTCATCACTTTCACCTCCACCACAGACTACTGTCCCTTTTGTCTGCTTCAAAAGGCCAGAGAGCCGATCCCAATGTCGCTGATTGACGATGGCAGTGGTGATTTTTCGCTCCCCATGTAGGAATTGACTGCTCCAGTGTTTCAACCTCTCTACAAATGTATCATGTACCGCCGGATCCACAAATACATGGTTGACAGCTAAACAAATTTGACCGGCATTTAGGAACTTGGAAAATGCGATAGTTTTGGCTGCACGGTCTAGATCCGCTGATTTACCTATGATCGCGGGAGACTGGCCGCCTAGTTCCAAAGTCACAGGGGTCAGATGTTTTGCTGCAGCAGCACTGATGTGTCGACCAACACTCGCAGAGCCAGTAAAGAAGATGTGGTTGAAGGGAAATTCAAGTAGCTTCGTCGTCTCGTCAACGCCACCGCAGACCACCCTGATTGCAGATGAATCGAGATATTGTGTGAAAAGTTCTCGAAGAAGAGTTTGACAAGCTGTTGTTAGTTCCGATGGCTTGATTATAGCGCAGCAACCTGCGGTGATAGCCGCGATGAGAGGTTGCAGCACAAGTAGAACGGGAAAGTTCCATGCACCGATGATGAGAACCACGCCAAGAGGCTCTTTTCGGATTCGTGCCACACCCAGTCGTCTTGCGACAAAACTGTCACCCAGAGGCTCGTCTGCTGCCCAGGCGTCTATGTTCTCAAGGTGGTATAAGATATCCTTCCGAATGCCGGCGAGGTCGGTGAGATAGGTTTCGAAACCAGGTCGATTCAGATCGCTTTTGATGGCGTCCACGATAGCCTGTTCATTTTCGTCGACTAGCCACCAGAGCTGCTTGAGTTGCCATTTGCGCCAGGCGATATCCTTGGTTTTACCCGTTCGAAACGTGCTCACAAGCGTGGAATGGAATGCTTTGATTTCTTCGACGCTCTCATATCCGTCGTCTGCTCTACCCATCGTGCCGAATAAAATTCGAGATAACACCACACTTGGATAGGAGCTATGTGGAGGAGAGGAACAGAAAAGAAATCATCACTAAATTCGAGGTTAGCATCTTGCAGCTACTGACTTGTCATCAATTAATCGATAGCTTACCCCTCATGATTAGCTAGTTTTGTACGGAAGGAATTGCGGTCATTGTATTTCCGTATTGTTTTAAACCGGTTCGAACACTGTTCTTACCTGTTATTACCACTCAGCCAATTCTGCGCGCATCAATTTGCTTATACCCGATGAAGCTGATGCGGAGATCGCTGATCAAACATTGTCGACAACTTTTCCGCCCCACCTCAGCCACCCCACGGTAAGCTTTGTTGATAGGTTCTTCCCGAGAGAGCTCGGATTGGCTTCGGCTCCAAAAGATACCGGAGCTTGTAGGCTAACGGGGCGTATGCATATGCAGCCAACTTAGTGCTTACCACGACGGAGAAGAATGTCCCGATCAAGCAAGATGAGTATGTGGAGATCTCCATATCTGCGGAGAAATTGAGGAATATGACCTTGATCATGTTGCAAGGTCAAAGCCTACAGGAATCCTGCACTGCTGCAATGCAACCTTGAATACCAGATATCTCTCATCGTAGGGAAATAACGGAGGTCCCTGTTTAGTTCTTTTTGAACTAATTATATTTGCCAACCGCTGGATCTGACGATCCCATCAAACCTGAAGAAGTCTGCAATCACTTCATTTGCCTCAGCTATGCAGCCATTCATCTCGGTGGATGGAGTCGTCAACTTCCGCGATATCGGAGGCTATGTATGCCGGAATCCCGCTGGTTTATCCTCCTTGCCCTCGAATGTCGACGAAACCCCAGAGAAACAGTGGTGCATTCGGCCAGGATTCGTCTTCCGCGCGGCACAGCCATCCCAAATCACCCCTGCAGGGATTGAGATCCTGAAAAAGACCCTTGCTATCCAAGCCATCTTTGACTTTCGGTCAGAGAGTGAGATTCAGCTTGTGTCTAAGCGCTATCCAGACTCCCTCCTCGATATTCCCGGGACAACTCGCCATGCAGTACCGGTCTTCCAAGAAGGTGATTACTCTCCCATCTCACTGGCAAAACGGTATGGAGTCACCGCGGACGAATCCACGAATGATCAGTCCTTTAGACCGGGATTCGTCAAGGCCTACGAGGCCATTGCGCGCAACGCGGCTCAAGCGGGCAGCTTCCGTGCAATCATACAGCACATTCTGCAGGATTCGGCCGGCCCGGTACTTTTCCACTGCACGGTGGGCAAGGACCGGACAGGGGTCTTTTCGGCTTTGATCCTCAAGCTGTGCGGGGTGGCCGATGAGGACATTGTCGCTGATTATGCACTCACCACGCAAGGCTTAGGTGTGTGGCGGGAGCATTTGATTCAACGGCTCTTGCAGAGAGGGGAGGCCACAACCAAGGAACAAGCCGAAGCCATAATCAGCAGTGACCCGAGAGACATGAAGGCGTTTTTGAGCAATGTAGTGGAAGGGGAATTTGGAGGTGCTCGGAACTACTTCGTCAACCTCTGCGGACTACCGGAAGGCGAAGTCGATCGGGTTATCACCAAGCTTGTGGTACCAAAGACTACTAAATAGAGGAATGGTAGAAGTTTGATAGAAAGTAGTGGAAACGATTCACGGCTAGAATTGAGAACCTTCTGAACTAAAATGCGATTTATAGAAACTCATATATCCATAATCTCAAATAGCAACCCAGGAGCCAGTATAGTGTAACGCCTTCCAAACTCAAGAATACTTCATTGATCATCCAGTGACATCCGAGCCAGAATTTTTCGCACGTGAATGTTCTCGCCCAATCCCTGCTTCTCCAAGTCCCCAATCATATCCAAGGCTTCAAGTGTGAGGCTTTTCACAAAGCGTCGAATGTACTCGAACGTCTTGGTTGTTTCCATGTATGAAACTGCAAACCGTTTAAGATCCTCATCCTGGGACTTCTGCTTCAAGACATTGATCAGTTGCCTGTTGCCAGGATTTGACCGGATGCTGTGAATGATGGGGAATGAGAATTTGCCCTCCGTAAGATCCTCACAGAGGCCTTTCTTCTCCAGATAGCTCGTCGACTTCAAGTTCAGATAATCGTCACAAATTTGGAAGATCATCCCAAATTGTTGGACGAGAGGGTTCAAGTCCACCTGGACTCTGCTACCGAGTTGTAGCAAGTCGATGGCAAGACAGAACAGTGCGCCCGTCTTGTTAGCGACCATGTCTAAGTACTCCTCTTCTGTGGGACAGATGAGTGAATCGCGCCAGAAAACATCCATGCCTTGACCACGATGCAGTTGAATGAGGGCATTGACGTATATATCGATTGCCCGTGGGTTGTTCAGTTTCTGAATCTCTCGTAGTGCCAGAAAATAGACGTAATTGCCAGAATTGAATGTTTGCGCCACGCCGAAAATGCTGTGGGCTACTGGCTGACCCCGGCGAAGTACCGAGCTATCTTCAATATCGTCGACGAGAAGCGATGCATTGTGCAGCATTGTGATTACCCTTTCGACAACTTCAAGGTGCTCCTGCGGTACTTGGAGCCAGGTGTTGAAAGCCTGGATGAATTTGGATCGCATGTTCTTCCCCGGTAGACTTTCGAGATAGTCGAAAGGTCCCAGGACAATCTGCTCTTGTTCCTTGGTCCATTCGCGTCGTTTGCGGAGGTTGGAACCATGATTGGTACGAGTTGGCGTGGACTCCAAGGTCTTTTCATGGCCGTTCCCGTTCTTTTGGTGATCCAAAATGACCACTTCGGGAATTGGCATTACCTCAGGAATAGGCGCCAGTGACTCGGGCTCAACGATTTCGATTTCATTTGTTGCGGCCACTCCCTGACTGTGACCATTGGTGTGTATTCCATTTGTGCCATTGGTTTTCTCACCATTTTCGGTATGATGTCCATTGACACCGTTGGTAGAGACTGGTTGAGGATCAGTCTCTACCTCTGTTTGCAAGCCCGCCGCGTTGTTCAGTGCTGACAAGATATAGGCTTGCGATAAAATTTCCGACTCATAAGTGACTTTCTCCACCCACAGACGTTCCGAGCCCACTGTTGTATCCGAGCGAAGGAAAATGCAGCCTTTTTGAGCGGCCGCTTTTATTTCTTGATGCGATACGTCGGGTCGCTCACATTGCGCCGCATATGTGAGCATGAGAACAGCATAGGCAGTTTCTTCCTTGGAGCTTCTGGTACCCCAAGAACCATTTGGATTTTGTTGGTGTAGAATAGAGATCGCCATGTCTTTTAGGAGCACTGAGAGCTCTTCCTCGAGGAAGTCTCGGAGAGAGGGCAATTGGGAGCTCTGGTATAGATGGTACAAACGGGCAATGGCCTGGGTCATGAGCATCCAAGAGTATAAGGGGGATAGGTTCCATTTGTCCTGAACTTTGAGGCCGGGCGACTCCCGGAAATGTTTGTGCAAAAACCTCGAGGCTTTCTCGATTTGCGACGAATACTGAGACGGGTCTTCTGCGTGGAGCAGTGCCAGCAAAACATTGCAGTTGGCTGAGAAGCTGGGATCGCGCTCAAAGGGGTAGGTCTTGAAATGATTTTCGGCCTCAAACGCTGCCAGCATTGCATCTGGCGATATGTGGGATTGTAGCAAGTTCAGTATGAGAAGGGACTTGGCTGTGTCATCGGCATCGGCACAAACCCGAGGCGTGAACCCGACGGTTCCTTTGTCCGCAATGAGCGCATCGTAGAGGTATGCACGGGCCTTCTCAACGGATGGTAGAGACTTTGCGTCCAAGTCGAACCCGGCCTTGAGGAGGGTAGAGAGCGTCCAGGTGATCTCAAAAATAGTGGAAGGAAAGGCGCTAGGGACACCCCCAGAGTTCTTTCCAGATGCATGTTGGATAACATGGCGGATATATTCCTCGCATTCGTCGTCCCATACAGTGGCATGCATCATCACCGCAGCTGTGGACGATGGCGATGCCATATATGAGCCATTCACTTTGTGATGAAGAACGAGATCAAAGTTGATAAGTCCGATGAAAGCCTCTAGAGAATGCAAGGCCGTGGTTTGGACTGGCGCATAGAGAAACTCGGCTTTGAATCGAGCCAATTTCTGGTCGCGTATGGAAAATAACAGATCACGTCCAGGAAACTCAAAGGTGATGCTCTCCTCCGCCAAATAACCTAGCAGCGCAGGGACGAGAATCTCAAACCCCACATGTAGGGTAGATTCTACATCCCAGTCGTGTAGTAGCTGCTGCAAGGCATTTGTGGCTCGATCAATGCGCATTGAAAGAGCATCCTGTGAGATGGTACTGATATGAAGTGGTGTTGTAAAGTGACGCTTCATTGCCAACAGAGAAGCGGCAGTGTTAAGAATGCCGTCAATCTGCGAGGCGTATGTGATCCAACTCCCATCCTCGAGCTGGTTTTGCAGAAGATATCCGAAGCACTCAGGGAACAACCACGTCTTTTGCTCACCCACATCCTTCTGAATCATTGAAACCCATGCAGTGTCGTAAATAGCAGGGCTCATAAAGCCCAGTCCATGGGGATCTTCCAGATGTTCTGTTAATTGATCAAGCAACACCTCCGCCGAACGGTGTAGAAGTTTAGAGTCCATCGTATGGCAGGCAGATCTCCCAGAGACAGAAGACGGGTCCTATTCTATTCTGAAATCCCGGAAATTACTACTTAAACATTTATACGATTTATTCCAAGTTGGATTCGACTTGAGGGTCCCCCGCACTTACTCGTGGTATTTCACCCATTCCCAAATCGAGTAAATCATGGAAGTTGGCCCCCACTAATCATCTAGACTCCCTGGAGAGTCCCGATATTTGGCCGCATCTATTCGGGGATTTTGTGGTTGCATCCAGGCGTGCTGACCTGCAAGTAAGCCATAAGCGATAAGCAATGCGCCAAGAGACAATTAAGACATGCCCCATCCACCATCTGTCATACGCTATATTCAGTGTATCGTTTGGTATTTACGTGGTCTTTTGGTCATGAAATTCGCTAACTATTCCGTGAACCTTGCCATTCGTCAAACTCCATCTTCAGGGATGCCCAACTCCCGTGAAACTTCAAGAATTCCCGGTCTGAGTGATCCCAAGATTGCTGACGGCTGCAGTAGACTCACTTAGCGATTGGACCAGAGACGACGGAAAGGTGTGATCCGGCTAGGATTTCACACCGGCCTTGATCATTTACTGAAAAGGTCACCGAGGGAAAGTGTATCTGCATCAGAACCGGGGTTTATAATTCTCTCGTAGAGTTTCATCGTATTCGCTTTCAGTCGGTCATTGTTCGGAAGATAGAAGAGCCCCGGAATCCTGGCGAGTCTTACTTTAAACACGCTCTGATTGTTGAGATACAAGCCGAAGTCCACGTGGGCCTGCAGCGTTGAACTCTACTTTGCCGTGTCCAAGAAATTATCACGGATTAACCTATCATCCTTTCAAAAGTCGGGAAGTGATAGAGGACGTATCACTTACATGATGGCTCTGTCGTGGATATTCAGTCTATCTTTGCTTCAGACAGCTCTGCTGTTTCTAGGCGTGGTAAGTCGCCCAAGATGTGCATAAATGTTGACTGATATTCCAAATCTAACTCTGAATATAGATCACTAGCTATGTGCTTGGTGTGGCGATCTATCGAATCTATTTTCATCCGCTCTCAAAGTATCCAGGCCCCAAACTGGCAGCTGCCACCCGTCTATGGTGGACATGGCACCAGGTGCGCGGTAAATTCCCCTTGACTGTGCATGAACTCCACCTGAAATATGGTGAAATTGTGCGAATCGCCCCCAGCGAGCTGTCATTCACGGGGGCGGATGCCTGGAAGGAAATCTATGGATTCCGCAGTGGCCTGCCTGAAAATCGAAAGGACCCGGGCGAGAACACAGACGCCGACAAAAGGCATCCAACGATCATTAATGCTGATCGCAAGACCCATGGTGACTTGCGCAAGTTACTGTCCAATGCCTTTTCTGATAAAGTGCTGAAGGGCCAAGAGCCTGTTTTACTGCACTACATCGATCTTCTCGTGACTCGGCTGCAGGAGGTGGTGGATAAGGGGGAGCCAGTCGACATCGTGAAATGGTTCAACGTACGTTTTGTTTCTTGATCTATTGAGAGCATATCCCTGACCATGCAATAGTATGTGACTTTCGACATCATCGGACATCTGGCCTTCTATGAATCGTTCGATTGTCTCAAAAACACAGAATACCACCCGTGGATGTCTATGATTTTCAACGCAATCATGTACGTGCACTATATTCGGACCTTCCAGCGATTCATCGACGTCCGCTCAATCATCTTGGCTATCTTACCCAAGCGGATTGTTGAGCGACGCAAATGGCATATCGGCCTGGTTGAAGAAAAGGTCATGCGCCGTAAACAACAGCATCCTGATTACATCGATTTCATGAGCCACCTTATCCAGGCTGAGGAGAAGGGCAAATTGACAACTCCTGACCTCGTGGCCAATGCAAATCTCATGGTGATTGCCGGTAGCGAGACGACAGCGACAATTCTATCAGGCACTGTTTACTACCTTTGCACTCATCCGCGTGTAATGCAAAAGCTACTCGCCGAGGTCCGCACCTCTTTTGACTCGAGTGATGAGATCAACATCGCGCGAATCAGTGGACTGAAGTACATCAATGCCGTTATTGACGAGTCCTTCCGTCTCTATCCACCAGCTGCAGGCAGCCACCCACGTATCACGCCGCCCGAGGGGGCCAAGATCATGGGAAAGTGGCTGCCCGGTAATGTATGCAATCAATCTCTCCTTCCTTCAGCCAATTTTATCTAACACGGAGGCTACAGACCTCGATGGGCATGGCCCAGTATGCCGTTTTCCGTTCTCCTGCCAACTTCAAAGACCCGGAGCTCTACCTCCCAGAGCGATGGCTGGATACGGATGGTCCATATGTCAACGATAGGCGGGAGGCTCTCCAGCCCTTTTCTTTTGGACCTCGAAACTGCATTGGCCGGAAGTACGGATTCCCTCATATACTATATTTAATTATTGAAGCAGAATTGTGCTTACGAGGTCCTATTTCTCTAGTTTGGCAAACATCGAGCTTAGATTGATCCTGGCAAAGATGCTCTGGCATTACGATTTCGAACTGATGCCCGAGTGTCAAAATTGGCCGAGGGATCAATACATCTATACATCGTGGGAGAAAATTCCCTTGAAAGTCAGAATCACGGCACGAGAGTGAGTATCCTGTCAGATAGGACTACGGCATCTTTGGGGCCTTTGACCAGGCTAGGGGTGAGTGGCGGGGTACGTCACCAACAGATTGAAGGATTTTCCTAAACAGACGTGAGATAAGCTAGTATATTACTCTATGAGAAATTGGGCACGAAATGTTCCCATTCTATGATGAATTAGTATTTCTGGATTAGTAAAAGCCAACTACGGTCATCCTTCTTGCAGCGGGTGACACTAAAGCGTTTCGTCTCATCGTGTGCTTATTTCTAGATCAGGTGTGAGTAAAATCAATGGGTCCATATCTCGAGCGATGTAACCGAGCCCACCTTCGTGGGGGCCATGCATTGACAGATATGATTCCTGATCCATGCGGGGATCAATGCAACGACTAGGAAAGGATAAACAGCGCGACGCCATCCCCATAAATACATAGTGTCGCAATGTATGTAATACACGGAAATATCGGAGTGATACCACACCATACCGTAGCCCCGCAGTGGAGATCAAACATGTAAATGCATGCGCCATGGACTTTTGCGGTGACTTGCAGAGGATAGTCACTGCCTTCAAAAGGGAGGAGCAGGGGAGAAAAATTTGAGGGACAGCGAATCTCCAATTTCTGTCATGTCTGCCGCAGAGGTGGCGCTATTGAGCTGCGTTTTGCAGACGTCAATTCTCTGCCGGCTGTATCCCTCTCAGTCGACAGCCGTGATAGCAGGCTGGTCGGTGGTCACTTCTCTCTTCCTTCTGGCCACCTGGAAGCTTTATTTGTGGCCATTGTGGTTCAGTCCTCTGCGCAACTTGCCTGAGCCACCGGTTAGTTTGCTGTTGCGTGAAGTGAGGGGATCCAAAACTAAAAATGCTGATGAATATACTAGGGTGGCCACCGTTTGCGCGGCCATGTGAAACTGGTTCCAAACGAACGATCGGGCATGCCCCTACAGGATTGGATCAATGAGGTACCAAACTCGGGTTTGATCAGATATCGTATGCGATTCAACAAGGAGGTGATTTTTGTCACCAATCCCAAGGGCCTGTCGGAGGTTCTGGTTCAGAAGAGCTATGAGTTCGCAAAACCTGCGAAGTTGCGACTCGGACTGGGGCGCATTCTGGGAGTTGGGCTAATTGTTGCTGAGGGTAACGAGCACAAGGTATGCCCTTTTTATCTGCTGGTGGGGAGTGAAGAGACGGGATCTGACCATACTCACAGAGACAACGCAAACTCCTGATGCCTGCCTTTTCACATCGACATATCAAGAACCTCTACCCCATATTCTGGGACAAGTCAGTCGCACTAGCCAGAGTTTTGGAAGAGAGTATCACGCAAAATGTGGGCCAATCGACCAAGGTCTTCGATGTAGCAGACTGGCTGGCGCGGGCGACACTGGATATCTTAGGCGCAGCTGGACTTGGCGAGGAGTTTGACACGCTCCATAATCCGGATAATGAGATATGCAGTGCGTATCGAAATGTGTTTGAGCAAAAACCTCCTAAAGGTATTCTGGCTATGGGTCTCTTCTTATTACGCGAGGCACTCACAACGGCGCTCCGTCTACCACGCAATGATAGCATCTCCGCGGCCACGAAGACTCTGACTGGGGTAGCACGCCGATTGATTGCCGGCAAAAGGGCCAAAGTCAGCACCGAAGAATCTGAAGGTGGAGGTCTTGATATTATCTCCGTTGCACTGGCATCGGACAGCTTTACGGATTCTATGCTTGAGAACCATCTCTTGACTTTTCTGGCTGCGGGACACGAAACAACAGCCACGTCAATGACATGGGCTCTTTACGCATTGTGCTTATATCCAGATGTCCAAAAAAAGCTGCGTGATGAAATTCGCAGCCGGCTGTCGCATATTCTTGACGAAGCCTCAGCGGCACCGATGACGGCCGAGCTTCTGGATAGTCTGCCATACCTGCATGCCGTGTGCAACGAAGTCTTCCGTATATATCCCCCTGCAGGGCTTACGCGACGAGTGGCAGTGAAGAATACTTCAATCCTGGGCCAATTCATCCCCAAGGGTACTGAGATCGTGATCTCTCCGCGTGCCCTGAACGTGTCGCAGGAACTTTGGGGCCCTGATGCGGGCATCTTCAATCCAAACCGATGGCTCAAGCCGAGTCAAGCCAACACTGGTGGCGGCCTGACTAACTTCTCCTTCATGACATTCCTTCATGGTGAGTACAATGAGATATTTCTAATCATTGAGTCCCGCTCATTTCGTTTCTTAGGTCCGCGTTCTTGTATTGGACAGGGCTTCGCTCGTGGTGAGTTTGCCAGTCTACTCGCAGCACTGGCAGGTACGTTCGAGATGACGCTGGCCGAGGAGTCTGAGATATTCATCGAGACAGGATTGACATCTCGGCCCAAGGGAGGACTACGAGTGCAATTTCGTCGAGTGTGACTTACTGTCAGGGACTAGGGAATGGGGAGGGGAGTATTGGTGATAAATATTTTCTCAGCATTTGATTTATATTCTGAGCTCCATAGCGTGATTTACAGATATGATAGAAATGATAAAAGAAATGACAAGCTTCTATCTTGCAGCCAAACTATTCCTCATCCATCGGCTGGTGGGGAGAAAGAGTCGACATGACATCCTTCCCAAGATCCTGAAATGCCACCCGCATCCAATCTGGAAGTGCTCTGGTCGGGGGCGAAATATAAGCCAAGGCAGGTGTCATCCTATTCTGCGCTCTTCCGCTCCAAAGAATCTCCGCAACAAGTGAGCCAACATCAGAAGGCTTCAACAGCGTGACAGAGGCAGGTGTCTGAATGCCACGGAACATCTTGGTCTGCACGGCCGAGGGAGCGACACAAGAAACTCGCACCGCAGGTGCACGGTAGATATGGCGTAATTCAGTTTGAAGACCCTCGTAGATTGCCAGCGCGGCGGATTTTGTTGCAGCGTAGTCTACCACTCCGGCCGTGGCTAGATGGGCTGTCTGTGATGCCATGATCAGGAAGTGGCCATGGTTTTGCGCGACCATATCGGGAAGGAAAGTCTGCGCCGCCCAAACCAGACCCAGATTGTTCACCGCAAATGTTCTACAGAAAAACGTAAGTCTCCAGCTTTGGTGGTTTTGGTTAAAAGCAATTTACAATTCAATGTCTCGTGGTGTGGCGTGGAGCAATGGTTTGCCGCGACAAATGCCTGCGTTAGCCACGACGCAGGTGGGCGTACCAACCTCTCTAGAGAGAAGTTAATTCTTGTAATTTTAAAATAAAATGAATAGGCGAATGAATCCTACCGACGGAGAGTCTCAGCGACCGATTTTAGCTCTGACTGGTTTGTCAAGTCGCATCGATAATAGTGCACATTTTTTGCTGGATCGTGGAATCAGTAAGCGGCACCTCCGATATGAAGAGTCTTAGATTGGGCATCAATTTCCTTACGAGCATCAAACTTCAACGGCCGGATGTCGAGCACAATCACAGCAGTCCCGCGCTCAGCCAACTTCAGGACCGTCGCTGCCCCGATTCCATCTGAGCCCCCAGTCACAAGCACAATTTCCTTTTTCCAATCGAAGGTGGCTTGAACACCATTATTGAGAGCACGGGTGTTGAGATACTGGTTGATGTGATAAGCAGCCCACAGGAGAGTAAAGGGCGGAACAACCTTCCAGGCGGTCGCTGGTGGCCATGAGGAATACTCAGAGATGAGTGCCTGCAAGTCGAAAGTCATGGTGGGCTAAGCAATGATCAATGGATGATCTTTCAGAACGATCTGATTCTTCAGTTGCAGGGGGAAATTGTTTTATAGTTATTCCATAATAAGATCCTAGATACTGAGTAAATCGGAGAGTTGCATTACAATATATGGTCTGGTACACCCCAGAATAAATCCAATTGGAAATAATCAGTAATTGATGATACAAAGTCAGAAACATTAAAAACAAGTGAGGAGGAAAATTACCACCAGTGGTGCCGGAATCAGCCGCTGGTGCTTATACCAGGCCAGGTAGCGCTGACCAACATTACCATCTCACGTAGACTAACAAGGTGATCTTTGAATCCTGATTGGATCCACCTACCGCCCCCTGTCAATGGAATCAAACATAGGCGAACGACTTCGGTATTGACTGTCTTACCAGCTGTCCGTTCCAGTTCCGAGCTAGTTCATTGCCGACACTAATTGTTGCTGATGGCGGGGTTCTTGATCAGATAGCCAGTTCGCGTTTTCAGCCCCTCTTGTATATCGAAACCATTTCAACACTGCCTAGAAGATTTGATTACGAGAGAAATAATAGTATCGGGCTGAGAAAGTATCCTGGACCATTTCACGTCATTCTTGTATAGTCATGAGTTGTACGAACCCACACCAAAAATCAATTCATCGAGCCTCGAGAAAACAGAAATTAATAGGCAGTCTGACATCTCACAGTTTCTGAGCCTCCTCAATCACCTTCCGGCCCTCATCGATAACCTTTCTCACCGGCTCTCTGGCCATCATCCTATCCAGCCAGTTCTTCAAATAGGAAAATTCATTAACATCATACCCATCCTCCTCCTTGATAAACATGCCGACAGTAAGCGACCAACTAACCCATGCCAAATCCGCAAACGAAATTCGACCCCCAACCAACCACGGACCTCCTTGTCCAACGTCCTGCTTGCTCAAAAAATCATTCACAACTCCCGACACTCGCTTCATCTCATTCACATAGCGCTCCACTGCACTAGGCACGCTTTCGGGATGGAACCTCTTGAACCAAACCGCTTGTCCATAATACGGGCCTTGACCGGAGGCTTGGAAAAGGAGCCACTGTCGCGCAAGCTGAGATTCGTTGGATCCCGGCTCGAAGCTGATCTTGCGACTTGTATCGTAACGCTCGACCAAGTACTCGACGATCGCGCCGGATTCCCAGAGGGTCAAGTCGGTGTTTGGATCGTAGATGGCGGGGAGACGACCGTTTGGGTTGATAGCTAGGTACTCGGGCTTTTTGACATCGGCGATTGTGATAGGCTGGAACTCATAGGGGAGATCGAGTTCCTCAAGGATAATGGCTACCTTAGGTGGGTTGGGACCACCTTTACCCCACACTTTTATTGGAAGGATATTGGATGCCATTAGGGGGAACTAAATTGAACTGGAAGGTTCAAAGCGTAAATATTAGAAGACTTGATGGAATTGAAAGTAATGTTCAATGGCTGGAATTTGTCTAGCATTATATCATCGAGTAGAAAGTACTATACCGCACATGAAGCCATATTGACATCGAGTGTACAAGACCTTTTATGAGATTTACTAATCAAATGACGAAGCATTGTTTATTACCAAGCATTATTAATGAATGGATTATGAAGAATGTACAATTCTCGGACTCTCGGCTTTTGGAGCTTTGGAGCGACCGATGACGGGCCAATCTATGATCCTACATAGCACAGTTGTGCAGATTCGCTTACATAGGCTAATGGAGTCAAAAGGCTAAAATATCAAGTGTTATACCGTTACTTCGAGGTCAGCTCGTAAGCCGCTCGTGGACTTGCATCACCTTCTCCATTTTCCCGAGATTCCGGTACAGGAGGGCTAGATCTCGACCTATAGGACCATCCGGGCCCAAAGTTCACATCACCCTTTCAAATGCTCGCTCAATACTTTCCTCTGCATCTTATATGCACGTCCCAGGTAGTGCAGCTGGCCTAGTGTTGATGGATGATTCAGTCCTTTGGTGTCCTCGAAACCTCGCACAGGCGTCTCCGACATAAATTCCGCCATGTTCAATCTATTTTTGGCGTAGAGCAATCCTAGCGTAGCAGGTGTTTCTACCACCAAAATGTATCTTGCACTGCCTCGGGCAGCCTTCTTGTCGCGCATAACTCTTGGCTAGGTTTCCTTTCTTTCGAGATACCCCATCATGGTCCGATACAATGGAGCTTCTCGTAGCCTTGCACCACTCGCTTCAAGATTGCTTCAGCCGCCGGATATTGCCCCTTTGACGCATACACTGTCACTAAATTCTCCAATGCGTGGATCGTCACCTTGTCCTCGTCACCTCGCGTTCGTTCATATCCCTCCAGGGCTCGGTCTATTAGCGGTATCGCCTCGTCGATCCTATCTTGGTTATAGTAGAGCACACCCAGATCATAAGCTGGGGTTAAAGTCCTGGAATTGTTGGGCCAGTAGAACTGCAGTCGAGGCGGCGGAAGACGCTTTGTATGCATTGACGGCTGACGCCTGGGGAAATGCCTCTTGCTCCGTTCCAGAATTCCGCAAGTTTCCGCAAATAGTCACGTACATATTATGTTGAGGAAACGTGCTGTTCTGATACTGGTACAGTAAACAGGTACTGAGGGATTACGGTATGCACCCCCTGATGTAGACGTAGACTGGTGAATCCATCTTGGCATTAGAAGGGTACTGTACTGTTGCTTGTACCAGTGTTGAGCCGCACCTTAAGTTTACACTCACTGGCACTGGACCTCATGCATGGGCAGTTCAGGATAATCTTCAGATGATGAAGTCCTCAACTAGTTGCTTCAAAGGTTGGAATCAGATAACCAAGAGTAAAGGTCACCTCCAGGATCCGTTATGGAACATTTCAAGTAGATCTCCACCGATAATTCATTTGAACCTTGATCAGAACCTCTTTTCTTCGATAGCATTAGGTGCAGGGCAGAGACATGTGTACCGACTCAAACATCCCGGGACTCCCTTGGTGATCATCAAGAATCGACTAATGATCGGCCGTTCAAAGCATAGGCTTCCTCAGACTCTTCCAGTGTAAATTCCTGCCACCAGAGCTTGTATATCTCAAACCAGTGAACTAAAATGAAAATTCTTGATGTATTCGCTACAGGTTAGTATAAAGGCTCTTTCTAGGTCTTCGTAGAAGGTACTGGGGGCCTTTCGACTAAACTTACACTATAAAGCCGGTAACCGCCGTGTTCATCTTTGCAAGGGTGTTTAACTGCGCGTTGCCCGTGGAATAGTAGCATTTATGATGGTTATACTTAGTGCCGCAATTCTTGAGGCCCCCTTCCCTATCTTTCTCATCCGCAAATGGCATGGTTCTGACTAGTACAAGGACCACACAGGCCATGGTGGCAAACCACATGAGAGATGATACAGCGTAGGTGAGAATATACCATAAAGACGGTCGAGACTCCGTAGATGGAGCTGGTTTTGTGGTTTTTATGAAAAAGTAAGTCAGAACGACGTGGATGGCGGCCTAGAGGAGCTTTCATATTAGCTCTCGGGTGAAACATTTCGTAGTTCTCAGCCTCCTCTTCGGGTAGAAGTGTCTTCTATGTCGCCCGTCTGCAGGAATTCACTACTTACGCTGGACACAGCATATCCGAGCATCGGGACAATAGAGGGCAGCCCATTCGACAGACGGAGCGACTGGGCTGTTACGCCCAGTACCCAGAAGGTAAAAAACCACTGGCCTAGGATGCATATCCTCCCAAGGCTGTATACACGCTTTATGAGCATTATGGGCAGCCCCTTATGATACGTGAGCCGACTTGCTATCCTCAAATATTTGATGTTTGCAGTGAGGCCGGGGGCCGGAAACAGGCTCCTGAGTGACAGGGGCGAATTTAATTCTTCCATTTTGCTAGGGTGGTTGTATTGTTTTAAGGCTAGCTAGCTTATAAGGGTTTGCAACTTGGCACTGTGACCACCGACTGCTGGGGCTGGATCTTGGAGTCTTTTTTTCCGTTCCTATCTGCCAATCAACGGCCACCAAGCGCTGAAGGTTTACGGCCAAGATTGCCAAGAGCGCTGATCATCTCGTATTTGTTGAATACGACGGTTTGGTTTTGTGCTGAATGAGGACCAGGCTTAGATTCTCTGACTCTTTTGAGGTATAACAGGTACCTGAAATACTCCATAATTCACATATACAATGAGATCATTGGTATTGTGCATTTAATAATGTGATTGATAGCTTCTCCTTGTACTCAATAGCTACTAAGTGGCCAAGAGGGATTGATAACGATTAAAGAACCTACCAGACTATAAAGATAATTTTCTTGTCTTGGCCCGTTGTTCTCGTAATTAAGATTTACTACCACGTATCGGTATTCCGTCTCCGGTAAATCACTGAGGGTATTATCATAGCCCTCGGCCGTAGAGGTTTTATCCACGAAGATAGTAGACATGTCTCCGCTAAATTTATATGTGATATAGGTGTATAAATTTTCCAGCTTCATTTGCTTGGTGACACTGACACAGTCAGAGCTCAGAGCCAGCCAGAACGAGATTATTTGACGGCTATTAGTTTGCAGATGAGACGAAATTTAATATCTGAGTGAGTACCATAATGATCAAGGCTGGGTAGAAGCGATCTAGGTCGCCGAACAGTGCATCCGTGAGGCAAAAGATGCATTACACTACGTCTAAAGACACTATTATGAGATCTATGGACGGAAACAGTACTGAGATTACTAGAAGAGATTTTGCTGATATCTCCTACGAGGCCAGTACACTTCTCTCCACATCATACCAAAAATGTGTCGAGCACATATGTCCTAGGCTAATATCATTCGAAATGCTCGATAAAGTGCTGGGGCGAAACTTTGATGAATTACTTCTTCCCGCTATCTCTACGACACATTCTCCGGGGCGTCATCAGGATTTTTCTTCATTCGGTGTCACCGTGTCCGCCAATTGTGGAAGCCGTTAGGTCGTTCTCTATATTCAATGACGTGAGTCGTGAGTAGTTAATACCAGATCAATGAAGATCGTGAGGACTTGCTACTTTGCTCCTTTACAAGGAATTGTTCTATTCTATTCTACTACATCCTAGGGTAAGGGCATATGTGAATCTCGTTCCTATCGATCTGATATCTAGTCCAGAGAGATCTGAGTGACATCCTTGATTTCAAAATGAGTCCTTAGCGTAAAGGTTGGCTATCAAATACTCATAGAAGCGAGGGCCCTTTGGTGGTTCTAACAAAACTAAACGAGCTTGACGCCGGAAAGACTTTTCCCTATTCGTGCCTGATCAATTGGCCTTTTCTCTTCAATTTGGTTATCATACTACTATGGTACATATGTGTCTAGTCCGACCTGACTCTATCCCCTGGATGCTGTACCATAGCACACTAATTTCACCTCGTTTGCCACAAGCGGGTCTCCGTGGCGCAATCGGCTAGCGCGTCTGACTGTTAATCAGGAGGTTGGAAGTTCGAGCCTTCCCGGGGACGTCTCTTTTTGTCTTTTTGGAGTCTAATTGCTCTCTAAATTCATAAAAACTTGAAGGTGGTTGCTGACAGGCACAATCTTTGCGTTGTGGGTGGGGACCGCGGTTGGAAAACCTCAATTTCTTTTGTGGAAATGGAAGAAAATCAGTTTTGGGTCGTTCATGCCACCAAATCAATTGGTTCCGGATAGATTTGTGATCAATCGTAAACTAGAATCAACTAGAGTTCGAGTTTATATCGAATCCTTCATGTCAACTATTGGGGAGAGGCCTGTACATTCGGTCTATATGATTGGCGTTGACGGCGGCGTAGGATTAAAAGCACCTGTCTTTCTTTGATCTGGATCTATTGACCAGGCACTGCTACCGTTCATTTACGGTATGGAGTAAGCATCACCTTGGTCTCTGGACTTTTTTATTGTTTCATAGGCAGAAGAAGAATAGATGACTCTCACGTCTCGGGGGAAGAAACGGGTTTGATGGGCTTCTAGAAGTTGTCGACGAAGGACCCAGTCCTCGGTACTCTTTGGAGGTAATAGAACTGGCCGGTCGAGGTTGACGAGACTACCAGTTGCTCGCCTGGCGATACAAGAAATTTCGGAAGATCTATGTAAGCTGGTCCTCGCTATACGCGCTTATTCGGGGTACTAGGTCGGCTTGGATTTATTCATTCTGTGCTTGGGCTTGACTCACCTTTCCCTTCTTCTTTTTTGGTCTCGTTGCTATGCTCTGGGTGGGATACACTACCTATTGTGAAGCTTGGGGGTATCTGTGGGTTTTATTATCTACGAGTATTTGGGGCGGTAGCCTTGGTCAGCCCCGATGCCGTGAAGTCGTTGAGATGGATTCGGGCTGACATGGAAGCAACCTGACCTGAAATATATCATCTTAACCTTAACCAAGCATGCGTATGACCCGACCGATAGAAGACAATGGGGTTAAACATTCCGCAAAATTCTTAGCGCATTCGTCATGCAATAAGATAGGAAAATACCTTTGCTCTCAAAAATATGCAAATGAATGGTAACTTAACTAAGTATGTCCTACGTACGGAGTCAATACCTATCGGATCACTTGAGCAATTGACCTGCCCCTCAAACAAAACTTCCCAAAATTATGGCAGAAAAATCTAGATTACAATATATTTTCAAGAGTCAAGCCACATTCCATGAATCGTCTCCGTGGCGCAATTGGTTAGCGCGTCTGACTGTTAATCAGGAGGTTGGAAGTTCGAGCCTTCCCGGGGACGGAGCTCATAGCTTTTTGCTAGTTTTGGAGGTTCATTGGGGGTGTATTTTTAATCATTGAACTAAGAATACGACGAGGAAGAAGATTTCACAAGTCGAGGGGAAGTCGAGATGAATAGGCGGTGATAAATTTGTTTTGTGGGAAAGGAGGTTGCCTCCATTGTCTGAACAAATTGTGTATGAAAATGAAATACCCGCCCAACAAACGCAAGGTGGATACTTATTATTGCCTCCTAGACATGATTTGCTTTGTCGAAAGTCTTACTTAGTACATCAACGCAGAGATAAGCCTTTCTTCAAATGCCTGCATTATCTGGAATAGTCTCCATGCAAGCGGTTCAGACATTACACTAACAAACACATCAAGCCAATGAGATGATACCAAATTAGTAAAACAAGATATGGAAACCAAAGATGGCAGAGCAAGGTATCATTGTCAATTTGAAGCTACCCATAGCAAGAGAGGGGAATATGAAAGCACATCGAGAGCAAAAATAGAACAAACCAAACTCGCCGGAAAGAAGATAACACATTGTAAAAATATGAACAGCAGAATTGGAGATGAAGGATAATCCAAAATCAATATTGTCATTCACATAAGTCGGTCAAATGGAAATAGACAGCAAAGCAAGAAAGGGGGAATCCGAGGAGAACCCTTGAGAAAAAAATTGCAGACGGTAATACAGGCAAAAGAAGCAGAACAGACACGCAAGGTGGAATCTCACAAAGGCAGCTGTCGGATACGCTCCATAGGAAGAAGCATGATTGGAGAGGAACAGACGACGCAAGATAGAAATATAGAAGATAAAATCTCAATCCCCTGGAAAAAAAGTCCGCCGAAAAGCTCGGCAGTGAAATAACTTCTCTATCGACCATGTATGGGGAAGAATAGTGGAGAAAGATGAAAAAGCATACATACTCATAGACGGTAATGACAAATAATAAAGCGGCTGCAGCATCAACGCCGGGAAAGCCAAGCAATAAGAAACGCCGGGAGAGCCCCGAACCACTGAAATGAACATGATAGGAGAATCAAAATCAAAAAAAAAAATAGCACACAAAGACATCAATCAAGACCCGAGCCGAACCAAGTACAACAAAGGGTATAGGGAGGCTGGCCCAGATTAACATTATCGAAAACCCCTCGATGAGGGGTTGTCACACAAGCAGACACGAGATGCAAGGGGTGAGAGGTTAAAACAGATTGGTCACCGTAACATGAAATGGAGGGAGCAGAAAGAAGAGCGGAAAAGAGTTGTGAGGACCTCAAGAAAGCGACAAACGAAAAGAAGGAAATGGCGTCTCTGATGCTGCAAAATGAGTCCCATAAACGCCACTCTAGTTAACGCCAAACCACGATCTAGTAGCCTGACCATCCTCCCAATGGGCTGCCAGACTGACCTGGCTGAGGTTGACCAGGTTGCATCGGGGCACCGGCGCCCGCGGGCCAGCCAGGCATACCGCCGGCACCCATACTCATCGTCATACCCGCTTGCTGGGGATTGCCTGCCATGAAAGGTTGACCGCCAGGGCCTTGCGGGGAGGGGTACATTGCCCGTGCCATGGCAGGGTACCCAGCGGGAGAACCAGCTGCTGCTGCATATTGCATTTGCTGTTGCATTTGTTGCTGCATCTGGGGATGCTGTTGCATTTGCTGGAATTGCTGGGGAATTTGGGGCACCGAAGGGCGATGTTGGCGAGGAGACTGCTGGGGCTGCTGACCGTGGTGCAGTGGCGAAGGTGCTTGTTGCGGGTTCGCTGGCATTTGCTGACCGTACTGAGGCATCCCGACCCCTTGCGGTCCCGAAGAGGACAAAGGCGACGGCTGGGGCTGTGGTGGTGGTTGACCCCACATCTGCTGTGGCTGCTGAGAAGGATACGCGTAAGAAGCCTGGGGCACACCAGCCGACATGGATGGGTTGGATCGCTGGTGCATGAGGTTGGGTTGCATGCCGGCAGGAATTCCTCTGACGGGGGACTGTCCAATTGATTGCTGATGCGGCTGCTGAGGGAAACCTTGTTGTCCAGGCACCATAGGTTGAGGAGGAATCATGTGTTGAGTGTGGGAAGAGGTTGCCATTCCGGCTGGTGGTATTTGGACGGGCTGGATAGGCTGTGATACGGACAAGCCGGAATCGAGGGCAGTAGTGGCCTGTCCCTCAATTTCAGGTACCTCTCGAGGTTTAGCATAGAACTCATCCAGTCCCTTGAGACGGAAGCTTCTTTGAGCATTCAACGCCTTGTTGAAATCGGCAGCGGTCTGAGCCTGATGAATGATTTCGGCTCCAGTGCTAGTTCGCGTATTGTCCTGGTACGGTTGACCGGTCAGCTCTTGGCGTGAGCGCGGCATAGAGTTGTAATCCCGCAGCCGAGGATCGTCTGTCGTCGCCATATGAATCATCGGGAGTTGAGCCAGCGATGTAGAATCCGTAACATCCAAAGACAAACCAGGCGGCAGAGGCTCCACCGCACTGCTAAAGATGACATCGTTGTGAGGAAGTGGCAGCAAAGTCGAAGACTGAGTCTCTACCGGAGGGTCTCGAGCCTTGGCGGCTCCTGGACGTTTCTCCCCGGCCATGTCTTCCTCGGTAAAGCCCTGTTTTCTGGCCTTGCTCTCCCAATAATCGTCTCGAACCCGTCTGCCGTTGACTATCACACGACTGCCAAATTGACGGAACATAGACCTGGCGGAGACGATGGCGATTTGGCGGGAGCGGTAGGAGTATGGGAGAATGTCTTGCTGGATAAGGTCGTCCTTCTCGACCTGAGAAGCAATAATCTTGTGCAAAGAGCGATTCTTGTTGAAAAGCAGGTACGAGTCACGATAATTCAACACTCTCGCGCACTCTGTCGCCAGCATGAACAGCTTGGTGCCTCGATGAGGGACACGGAAAGTGCGGCATTTGTATTCGCGGCCACCTAGGGGATAACCCATAGAATCCACCTTTGTTTCCCCAGCATCATCAAACTCCTTAGGGATGTATTCATCACCCTCATCATTCAATTGATCAGATGTATGGTCCCTGACAGTGGGGAGCGCTTTGACGAGCGTCTTTGTTGGAGTGGGTTTGTCGGGCGGTGATGCAAGCGGCGGGGACCCGGCGCCCTGATGAGGAAGAGGCCGGGTTTGCATTTGAGGCGTTTGAACCGGGGTACCTGCTGGATGGTCGTTGGAACTGGCCCGAGGGGTTTTGGGGGGACGACCGCGTTTGCGACGACCTTGGTCCTCTACAATCAAGTTCGAAAGAGGTTAGCTAACTGCAGGAAACAAAGCACAACGCAGGTGCGATTGGAAGAAAAGATGGCGCAAGCGGAGCGAAGGAAACATAGGTAACCTCCGTGAGGAAACAGGCGAAAAGACACAAGGATGACCAGAGTCCGTCCCTCTTCTTCCACCTCTTATCGCGCACGTACCATCATCTTGATCTCCATCTGCAAGTCCATTCCCACTGTGATCTGGAGTGCGACTACGCTTGACACCACGGGGACTTGGCTCAGCAGTGGATGGTGCCGGCATAGTAGAGACTAGGAGGGGTATTAGTTTACAGGAAGGTGATTAGGAGTGTGACAGAGCGGATGAAGAAAGGGAAGAGGAAATGTCGAGTGCCATTAGCGACCGGTCGCAAGATACCAAACTCGTCATGCGCCAAGTTGCGCAACAAGACGAGAGGTGCAACCGGGATAGCCAGCAAACACACATTGCGCAAGCGCAAGGAACATAAAAAAAGCGACGAAATGATAACCATGCGACCGAGAGAAAGACGGCGAGACAAGAAAAATTCAGACATACCCGAGTTGCTGAGGTTTGCCGGGTCGATGGTCCCCGAGCCATCGACCACCTCGCCTAGTCCGTTCATTGTCGCGTGAGAGTGAGGCGTGCCATACATCGTCAAGCGATCCAACGGCGAGGCCGCGAAATGGCGCGTCAAGGGAACGCGCCCGGGGGGTTAGGTTGAGATCGAGTCGCGAACGAGTTGCGACAAGAAGTCGGTGGCGCAAGTGGGCGGGTATGCTAGGCTTGCATGCAGATGGGGGGTGAGTCGGGCCTCTGAGGTCGATCGGCGGGAATGGTTGGGTTAGATGTGGTCGAACGATGGAGCTTCGGGAGTCGGGATGCGCTGGGAGTTGCGAGAGGGGCGAGGCGGTGAGCCAAGTTGTAGGGTGATGGATTTGGATGCCTGAATGGTGCCTAGTGTTTGTCTGCCTGGTTGGTGCCTGATTTTTGACCGTAGTATCGTTCAACTGTGTGTCGCCTGAGGGATCAGGACCACAACTGCCACGTGATGGCGCTATGCAGGACTCCCCAAAGGGTGGACCGGAGTAAGTCGGTTGATAGGTGATCAACAGGCGCCAAACTACACCACCCAAATCAGATAAGTGACGAGATAATAAAAGCCCAGAAATCCACAAATCCAGAAAGCCAGACAATGACGGTTGACCCAGGACGACGGGTCTCAAGGGGGTGTAGGAAAATGGATGACGGGATTTGGGGCAAGGGGGGAGAAGGTGAGATGCGCAAGTGCAAGTGGAATGCAGCGTCGCGTGATTAGTCACGGGAATGGACAGACCGGGGAGGTATAAAGCCAATTGTCGGAGAGAAATTCGACCAGGAAAGTAATAATAACCCAAGATTATGATCAGTCAATCATAATCGAGGACCATAAACGATAAATGTGAATCAGCCGAATCAAATTAGAAGGATAATCCAATATAAAGCAGGAAGAGATATCTTGAGCCGAAAAGAGAATAATCGTAAAAAAGTAGTATGGATGGAACCTTGCCGATGATAACAAACACTGTAGTTCTCCGGCTCGGGATCTGCCGTGGGGCCGCAATGCATAGGCTATAAAATGGAGAAGGGATAGAATAATGATAATCGGCCTAGAAGATCATTTGAGCATCGGAGAACTCTATAGGCCACAGTGCGCTGTCCGCTGTGGAATTCCTCGAATTATAGTGAAGATCGGATATAGTCCAACGGTGAGGGATCAGATCGAGGAGGGGAGGCCTGACGGGAAAAGGACTGAAAGTTCTTTTTGATCCTCTTAGGGAGGGGCGTCGCGGATACGGCGCGGGCAGGGGTTGGGGGCTCCCAGGATTGGTGGCGAGAGAGACAAATGAGAGGCTTTGCGGTGGATAACTTGCTCTCGCGCTCCTGCAGCAAATGGCTCGAGCGGAAGGCGATTTTCCCGAGGTAGTACAGTGATCGATGGGGATGGTAAGATAGCAGACCCTGCGTGAATAGGCACGAACAGCGTGGACAAAGATTGCATACAGTTATGCACTTAGCATATTCTAGTGTTATTGAGGTAGAGAAATAAGGTGTAGAAAGGGGGAAAGAAGCAAAAGTAATAGTCGTACAAGTTGGATTTCAAATTGAATTCGCGGGGCTTATCACGAGATCCTCGAATGGAGGGGGAGAATGGGATACAAGCATGGAAATTCCGTACTGTGTATTATGAGATATAAGATAGAAAAACGCTACGAAATTGGCTACTAAATATCAGAGAGCTAGAAATCATCCCAGGTCTTGAATAGATCATGGTCTATAAATTTCCTTGCCTTTCTTCGAGTTGCCCTGTCCCTTCACACCTTCATCACACAGTGAGAGAATGAGCTTGATCTGATAGGCCTTCTAGATTTCTTTGATCGTGCCCGGTCGGTTTGAATTGTGTAACTTGAGGTGTCTTAGAACAATACCCCTAGCCACGAATCGAGTTCAGTGAAGAGGCATGGATAGAAAAAGAGGCTCTAGAGTCACAAGGGGGCTGTGATATAGTTGGTGACTCTGAATACTGTTCTGGCAGAGAAAGCTACGGTCCCATGGGAACTGAATACAATGTCCTTATCCTGCTAGCCATGCATATTCACAACAAAAAGCGATAAGATATACATAAATCCAGCCTCATCTCTGCAGAACAGCGCTAAGAGTTACAGCCAATAGCCAGTCGAGACATCGACATGCAAATCGGATTATATCGGACCCAACGGCGAATCTAGCATATCAACGTCCTGGCGCTATAACTAGGGGACTTAATTTCCTCAGGTGAAGTCCTCGAAGCATATGTCTTGTTTTCTGCACCGACCCTTTCTTCCTGGCTGGCCGAAATTCATCGGAAAAAATAGGCAATGAGGGGTTCTAGGCTGATTAGATTCATGGACTGAAAAGGGCCGAGTAGTCATAAGAGCTCAGGCCGCATCTTGTCAGCCGGACGAGACGAGCTAACAACGTTTTAGACCTAGCGGGTTACGAATGAACATGATATGATGCTCGTGCGCTCCGATGCCGTCGAGATTCAAGAGGCTCGAGTCGCGGGGTACAGATGGGATTTTTATTTGATCGAGCGTTTGAGACTTGCGACCCTTGGTATATAGATCTGAATCAAACTTTATATAAAAGAGGTAAGAAAATCAATCAATACTGTAACTAGATATATGCCTTACAGGCTCTATGGGATGAGATAGTCCTGTTCGTAATCTGCACGGGAGCCCCGCCGGGCTGAGTGGGTTCAAGTGGGTTCTCCTCAGATCAGAGCAGATGACCTTGGAATAATGACCCAGACCCGATCACTTGAGAAGATCAACGGCCCATTCGCCTCAATCTCCATATTCCAAATATCCCAAAATACCACTGACGCGCGATCGTCCTTGGGTCTGATATGCCTTGAGAAGAAAGAGCAGAATCCCTTCCTCGACGGCTGTACAAGGGCGGCGATGTACAGAGTTGCACAATACCGACTACAGGCCCACTTTAACAGGGCCAGGACACAATGTACGCCGTCCAAAATGGAAAGCGAGCCTAATGGTCCCAAAGTAGGCTTCTACCAGGTCTCACAGCAGGACGGAGTGCTATGTTGCCATTTACACGCTCGAACTCGATAGCCACTTTCTCTGCCTTGTCTTGGTCACACAGAACGAGCGAGGCGCAACAATGGACTACAATGAACAATGAGGCACGGTTCTACAGCTCCTATTCGGGCTATGGTGGGGATATAGCAGTGCGAGGGGCTCTATGTCCAGTTTGGCATCAAGGCAGCCCAACGCGTCTCCCGGGTTTGGATGCAACTTGTATGTTAGAACACCATGTCAGACGCATTATCTGATGTGGGGATTTCTGATGGACGGATCAGGACGTTGGAATACGTATTGCTGCATAGTCCGCGCTACTGATAGGATAGTTCTGCACGCGCGTACAGTTTAGAAGGTTTGCTATTCGTTGGCTATTTTGTATACAGCAGTTGCTTGATCATAAAGTATAATGGATGTCCTTGCCTTTATCCTATTTCTGCTCTGGAAAAAGAACATATCAAATGGCTGTAATCTCCAGACCAAGTTGAGACCTGGCTCTGATTGGCAGATCCGTCATAACGGTATGCCCAATCTCTAGAATCAGGAAATCTCTTCCAAGACTTGCGCTGAGTCTTCAACTGACGAACAAAGACAACGGTCAGCCACATTCGTCAGCTCGGTATAATGAGCGGTGATGGGTTGACAGCCGCCAAACACAACATCTTTTCTCGACCTCTTCTGATTCAACCTCAACGTGAGCTTTGGAAATCTGCTCTTTGAATACGACGGCAGCACCGGGGAGTTCATCACCTAGATCTCAACATGAAAATGGGGATCATATCTTCCTTCCCGAACGCACTGCTCTGAAGAGCTAGATCTCTATTTACAACAACATTCAAGGCGCCAAAATCCAGCCTATCCTAAGCGTCTGATATACTGTGGGCGGTATGTGTAAGGAGCAGGCTCAGCCCTGATTCGACCAGCATCAGACAAAGCGGCTGCACAGCTGAGGCATGTGGACATGCGCATCACGCGCACCTAAGTCGCGAATCGGTCAAGTCTAGCCCGATCTTCTTTCTTTGTTTCCATAACGAGGAAGCCTGATTACTCGGAGCGTTGTGTGTCGGGGGGGAAGCCACGCGTTGCACAGCGTGCCTTTTGAAGAATAGCGAATCCGAATCCGAACCCAGGCAGTGATGGACAATAGCCGCTGATTCATCACATCTCGCTCGTTGATTGCTGTTCTGAGGGATGGAACAGGCTCGACTGCCGAGTTTGAACCCTGCATTGCGGGGGTGTTTGACTGACATCTTACATTCTGAGACATTTTCACTAGGCTCCATAGGGTGCGAGGACCCAATCAGCCTTGACAGCATGTAGATCAATACAACTCTCTCTGTTAACTTTGGGAAACCTTTCACAGTGATAGACATCAGTCGAAACAGCCGTCACAGTGGCGTTGTCTTTCCATTCCTCGAATGTAACGATAAACCCAGTGACGGGCGGCCTGGACCGCCGCGGTCCGAATACGTGGATTGGGTTTGAATGCTTACCTCCAAGGATAGAAGGGAGATGTTTGAGTAATGAGTATGACGGGACAGGCCATAGCAGGGAAGAAAATCATGGAAGGCGAGAAGCGGAGTATCTAGATTGAAACGCCGATCAAAAGAACTTTGAATGAAGGTTACGATGTAGTATGTAGATTAATGCCTGTTATAGATTCAGGTCATCCTTGGGGACTGCCCTATGGTATTGTCGGTCGTACTCTTGCATTAGTCGAAGCCAGGCATGTTTCAGACTGCAGAAGGATGAGCCAGTGCCAGACGTTGCGCGCGGGGCAGAACCCATGACCGATAGATCGGAATCCGCAGCGTTGCGACCTAAACCGAGTCATCCGCGATCGTGCAGTAGTTCCCGCTGGAATAATTAGCTGGATTTCAAGATCGACAGTCTCCCGGGAGATGAAAGGATAAAAGAGTGAAAAACCAAAGACAAGCTGAATTGTAGATGCCCGTTGTTTTTGTTGGTTGCTGTCAGCTGGGCATCAATCGGGGCGGGGAATTTTCGATTGATAATACGAAAACGACTGAAAACTGGAAATTTATATCAGTCAGATTGAGGCAGAAATGCTGTATGCGTCAGTTAAAGGCAATTGGCATTCCATTCATGTTTGCCTTGTGAAAGGCGATGAACCACTATGTAAGGGCTTCAAAAACGAGCAAGACTTTGGCCCAATAACATTCAAATCTGGAGTAAAGTGTTGTAGCAATTAAAATTCCTCGTAGACTGGCTAGATATTGACTGAAAATTAGCTAGTTAAGACTTTATCAAACACATATACTTCCCTTTACCTTAAACGGTGTCATACGACAATTCAAATCGACAAGTTGTTATTCAAGCTTACTCCTTCAGCCCTTATGATCCGGGATGGAGAAGCTTCAATGATGGAAAGTCAAGCGGATCAAATAATCCATTTTTTGGACTTAGGGACTGCTCTACGTTCTGGTTGCTATCTTTTCATTCTCCCTTCCGTTAGTTTGTCCTTGGTACCCTGCAGAAATCACATATGGCTTTGGCTTGAAGTAGCGGAGGTATTAGATGAACCGCATTTGTTTATTCAGTCTTTAATGTTTATACAACCGCCTCCGCCTTTTTATTTCTCTCTCTCTTCATGCTCATAGTAGGTCCAGCACGTTTGCAGATTAATGATGAAAGAAATAGAACTGCTGAATGAGGTCTGCTACTGATTAACATCCACTTTTAAGTAGAAATATCACTACCGAGTATTACGGACTTAACAGAAGATATAACCGGCATCTGGGTTTGAGAATTTCTCAGATACAGTTCTACTTATTTTCACTCTGAAGCAAAAATCAAGCAAAACATCAAGCAAATTCCGAAGAGACCGTTTGATTTACTACTGATTGCAAAAAAATAAAGGTAGAGGATCACATGTCTTCGGTGCTAAAAGTGTAGGAGACTCTCATATCCAAAAAAAGATCGTGACTGCAAGGTGTTGCGAATTCGGAACACAGTGGACACAAGGGAAAGTGGGGGTAGTGGGCGGCAGTGGCGAGAAGATCTACGGGGAGGCGTAAGTCCGAAAACAAAGAGGCCAGTTGCTGTTATCGGGCGAGTTTTTCCAGAAATCATGTGCTTTTGTGTAACGTGTGTTCTTTGGGGCGCAATTGACAACTGTTTGACAGTAGTAGTTTGGGGGGTTTGACAAGTTAGAATCAGTTAAAAGTCACGATGTCTCCGCCGTGGACCTTGGCCTACGGAAACACTCGAAGGAGTAGGTGAAGCCTCGGCAGGAATGTAAGGCGGGGCCTCTTCAGTCCTAAGGGTGAGGATTCGCCATTAGTCAAAGAGAGAATCCCTAGACAGTCGAGTGGTATGATAGAAGGCTTTGATTTAAGTAAAGATCATGAGTGTATAGCGATTTAGATGCAATGAGAATGTTAGAAAGAACAGCTCAAATGCGACCGACTATTCTCTTAGTAATGCTTGTGTGATTGATTACTATCGTGGAGCCCGGCGGGGGTTCGTCACGATGTTGAGGATGTTCGGATTTCCTGGATAGGTAATCCGCGAAGATCGTGAGTGTGCCCGGTGGATGGAGGATTGTGGTTTGCCAGCAATTTGGCAGTGTTGAATAAAGGAAGATAAGCTGCGCCGCAGGGTCTCCACAGAAAAAAAATTCGAAGCATCAACTGATCAAAAATCTCCACTCTTTTCTGGCCCGATTACCCGGCCCACCACACGGTACAACAAAATTGACCGTGAACGTAGACTGATCTGTAGTTGAACAAAGACACTGGAAATTATTGTGTACTTTTTAACACTAAGTCTATGAATGAAAATGAAAATATTTTGTTATAATATGGAATAGATCACTGGATGGCAAATTCCAGCGTAGTGATGAATCATTATAGAGATCATAACATCATTGATTTCCGAATAATAACTGTCGGAAGAAAATATCCTCTAGTAGTTGACTCACCTAACGCAAGACAAGGGTTGCCAGTTGGTCAGCGCATGAAAGGCCGAAAGCACCGGAGAATGGACCATGCAGCAAAGGCCAACAAAGCACGCCTTCAGAGCGGGCAGGTCTAGAACCGGTGGTGACCAAGAGAGTGGAGGGAAGTGGAGGGACTTAACACCACTGGGTCGCACGGCAGACTTTTTGCCAACAGTGTTGGCGGTCGTTAGGGCCCCTTAGAGGCTTTAGGGAAGCCCTTAGCGCCGTTCTTACAAAGTTGAAAGTGGGTGCTTGGGCCAGGTTCCCCATACCTGCAGATCGGTCCCGTATAAGACTCGCTTGGACTCCTCCCTCTTTTTTTCTACCCTCTCTTTTCCCGTCCAATCGATCTCTAAACGAAATACACTATCCCGATATCAACTACAATTAAGAAACATAATCTTCATCCACAATCTTCGGCCGACGCCTCAATTACCAAACCATCCAAAATACTTCCACTGTCACACCACTCTTCGCCACAGATCAGACGAGAATGACAGTTGCTCGCGGCCTCCAAACTCCTGCCACTCCTAAGCCTGTACCTGCTGTGCCCAATTTCACAAAGAACACCAACAAGCGGTGGCCCCCCATGGCAAACCGAAACGCTCTTCCATATAAGCTCACCGTCATCTCCAAGGAGAAGCTCACTCGGGAGGCCACCGCGCCTGATCCCGACCTCCGCCGCTGCGTGGCTCACTTCCGGTTACATTGTGGATCTGTCCTCTGGACTGAGAATGATATGAAGTCTCGCATTAGCTCCTTCGACTTTGAGGAGACGGACGAAGAAGATGAGAACGACCTTCCCGAAATCAAGATACCCGAGACAAAAAATGCCTTTGTCCGAGTCGAAGCAACTGAGACACCCATTGACATGGACATTGGCACATCTCAATCATCTCAACTACCTCTCGATAATGGGCTATTCCCAGATCAGAGCCACTGCATTGAAATGACCTCAAAAAATAACCTCTACTGCATCTCTGTTTCTCCCATTGCAGGTTAAACTGGGATCAGTCTCATTTCGATTACTCTCACCACCACCATATTACCATTTTCACCTCCTACTCTACTCTTCCGACACTCATCTTAACCATCTCCAAACCGACATGATGACTTACGATGCAACGACGACCATGACAATACAATCAAACCAAATCCTGTACATAGCTACACACACTATCATAATGACAAAGCTTTTGGCTGGCCAATCTTTATTGTTTCTTGTAACAGAAAATGCAGCAACTAAACCAATGATTTAATCATTGCCTACAATTCTCGCCGTTAATTTCTCAGCCATCTCGCGGAAATATTCGGCAACTCGTGACTCAGTTCCACATCACGTGGCTGATTAGGGCTCGCCACTAACATAGCGAACGATCGTCCGTGGCCAATTTAACAATGTCATACATGGGGACTCATTCTGGAAGGAACCAAGAAATACGGATAACGGATAACAGTGGATCCTCCACGAAGCTGCCCAGTACTAAGATTATTGTGTAACTGGGTATGGCTGGCATCCGCAGTACCGCCAGGGCAGTGGCGACCGCCGATCCCGACGGATGTCATCATGCCCGTCATGTTTTCTTTATTGAGAAGCGATAGTTTTAGAGCCCTGATGAAATTATACTCAGATAGTCTTCTATTATGACATATTGCGAACCCCGCAATCATGCAACTGAAGGTCGTCCGGCATCCGCCGCCTGCGAATTAGATAAGGTTATTGTTCTACTCATCATTAGCGGCAAAGACACCCCAGTCCTTGCCAAGTGAATTTAATTATTTCATTGAATACCAGTTTTCTATTGTGATAGAGTAGATAACAGTACTTTTGACTCTCCAATGCACAGGTCCAAGCTCTCCACGCTGCATCATTTCCCCAGATCCTGGCCGTTAGCGTGAACGAAAACTACTATTCATTGGCTGGGATAGCATCCGAGTTCAAGGCCTATTGTTCTGGCATGGGTATTTTCACATTGATTGAAAAAAGTACAATTGAGCGATGATGTCGTTTCAATGATGTCTGATGTTTGGATTGATTCTTGCTATGGTCGGGATGTTGCTCGAAACTGCTATCTTGGGAATCTCGAGAGGATTGAATGCGTACGCACATATCTTGCGAAATCGAGTCCAAGCCTTATGAATGATGGAAATAATAAAGTAGCCTTGATTGACCAGGGTAGAAGAAATCGATATGGCGGCAAGGCACTTTACGCCTTGGAGATGGTCACATCGGCGCCTGCAGTACCTAGCTCAATCGCCCATCCACCTCTCTGCTTCACGGCCTTCCCAGAAACAACATAATTATTAGTGGTACCAGGTGTCTCCACCCAAACAATAGTAGATGACGCCTTTGCCGGACCAGGTACGGCAGTCAGCTTCAAAGAGGTCAAATCAGACGTATCAAACGTAAACTCCTCAATCTGCCCCGCGCTGATCGTCACATAAACACCCAACTGCGCAATATAGACACGACGACGAATAGCATCCCTCGGCTGAACCGTGACAGAATTACCCGACACATCCATATTTCCACCATAAGTCACCAGGCCAACATCCGGATCGTGCACAACATACACACCAGATCCGATCATCATGCCGAGGAAGTTCGGCCCGTAGTCTCCCGAATAATCGTCGCCGCGAAGGGTATCCGGGAACGAGTGGAAGGCATTGTACATGGATCCGTCTTGTCGGATGTTGCTTAGTGGGCCTGTTATACCGCCGTATCCAACGCGTAGAAGATAAGTGTCGTTGGGGGTTTGGCGGAATTGGGAAAGGAGTGGGAGTGAATTGAGGCCGGAGCCATAGTGGTGAATCATGCGTTCGATTCTTTGTAGTTTGCCACCGTAGCTAGATTATGGATGATGAGAAAAGGGTTGAACTGTTGATCGGAGGAGAGCTTACATGAAGTCCCAATATCTTCGGGCATTACCATTCCAGCCCCAGTGAGAAACGGTAGGCATGTACCCGATGATACTGTTGATCGTCTTCGTTGCCGTCTGGGCGAGATTGAAGTAACTGACAGTAAATTGTTGGTTAGGATCTATTGGTCACTTTTCGAGAAAGAAGAACTTACTTGCTCCAGTAATAAATTCCCTCTTGGCCCGTCGAATCCCATGCCATCTCGCTTCCGTAGGGCACGGCTTCAGTGTCCCACGCATCTGCTCGGAGCTTCATGGCAGCTTCTACAGCATTGGCCTCACCAATCCAGCTCTCCCGACGAAGATCAGCTAGCAGCTCTCCAACAACACTTTCTCCCATTAGTCCCAGCCGCGAGTACCCGATCAAACCATTGCCATTCGAGTCGGTTGCAAAACAGGTGATTGTTGTATTGTACGCCTGACCAAGGTACCACTGCCAATTGTTGACCTTGAGAAGCGACTCATCCGCTCGTCCTGCGCGATACAGTGCCCAATATGCCCCAATGACATGGATATAATCGTAGGCCCGATCTGTCGCATAAGCTGCATCTCTATTCCACGACCACCAGTTGCCCCAATTAATAGATTGGCTGTACTGGTACCCAGGAACTAGATCAGGTTCATAGAAGAAGATACTCTTGCGAACAGTGAAGTCTGGGTTCTGGATCTTCTCTGAAAGCACATCTCTCGCGAAAGTTTCCAGCTTGGCTATTTCCGCGGCATTGCTGAGACCGGATTGTTTCATTGCAGTTGCTAGGTAAATCACGCCGCCTTCGTCGCTGAGTCCTGAGATCCAGACTCGCGGGTCTTGTAAAGCCTGTGCTCCGGTTGAATGATCCCAAGTCATGACTGAGGGTGCGCGGCCGAAGGGATCAGAGGTATCGTCAAACCACATAGAAGTGGTTGAGAATTTACCAAGCTTACTGATGACTGCTGGCGCAGAATCGGTGATGAAATAGTGCACTGTCTGGACCTTGCCATTGGTATATGTGATTGTCACCTTGGTCCGACCCCAGACAGATCCGGTGGGAGTCAAGCTGAGGGTGCCTTTCGAGACTTGCGAGATCTTGAATGCATTGTTATCGGATACAACCTCGGAGATATCCCCGTGGAACACGTAAAGTTGAGCCGTCAAGTCAACAGGAACGACATAACCAGGAATGCCGATGGTAAGAGGTGTATTTGTTGATTGAACAGCCTTTTGAATACCACGTATGCCGTCTTTAACAATGGAGAATCGCAGACCATAGGTAACCGACTCGCCGGGCTTTAAAGTCTTGGAGCTTGGTTCATTCCAAGGTGTAACACCGGTCCATTCGTTGTTCGCATACGCCTTGCTATGGGTCTGCCATTCATAAAAGCCTTCAAAAGTCTGACTCCCATAGTAAAGAGGATCAGTACTGGGCTCATCGAGATTTCTCCACGCCTCGAGTGGCGTACTAGTATTGACGAGAGGTGTCACAATCAATGCAGCTCCCGTTCCAGATGTCGGAGTAACTTGGAGATAGCCAGCATCCATTCCGATATAAGGGTCTGTAAGAGAACACTTTGCCGCCATTTCTTCTGCGGCGCGATTGGTAAAGATGCTGTTGAACTCCGTAGGAAACCCAAGGCTACCTATTTCCAGACTTTGCTTGGCTGTGTTTGTAAGAGTGAATGCCAGTCCCAAGTCTCCATCGACATCGGACCATTTTCGGACCACACGAATGGGTGAACTTGATGGTAACGTAGCAGAAAGGTCTGCAGCGGCGAGACCACCTTTGACGCTCTTGACTTGTTTCCTCGCTGTCGAGGAGTCGGCTGAGACCCATTTGGTAGCGCCAGCAATACGATAGCGGAATGTGATGTCGCCATTATGATATTGACCATTGGAAGCTCGGTAGGTGATATAATCGAATGGCAAGAAATCAAAGCCATCGCCTGTCGGTTTCAGCGAAGCAAGAATCTGCGAATCCTTGACAAACTTGATATCGAAATTGGCTGTTGATACTGATGTGTACCCATTGCTGAGACCGAGAGTGTCATTTTGTCCATTTACCACAAGGGCAAACAGAATAATAGAAATCTGCCTCCACAACTTCATGATCAGATATATGACCAGTTTCGGGGGTTTGTTTGATCATCCACAAATCGTGGATAGCCCCCTCGGCAAAAGCTTCATCTTTAAAACCACACTGACAGCGAAATAGTCTTTTCCCACCGGACACAGACAATCTAAGGCATCGTCATTGATGGGAAAACTCCAGCGGAGAATTACTTTCTTGTTAGGGATGTTGATCACTTACCCCACACTTCCTCCGCAGCGTCGTATTGAAGCTGTTTACTCCTCAACTAGTCGGGACCCTTTCCCCCGATGATCTGGGAGTCCAGCTCCCTGATTCTAGACATTCTTTAATTTTCAGAGATCAAGTTCAAGATTATACAGAGAATAGTATTTACAGAAACTCAAATTCGTACCTGACCCTAGCCCGTCCTTGATTGCGCCAAGCTTATTCCCCCAAATTTTGACCATTCGTGCAAAATGTCCATCCTGGCTGATGCTACCTGCATGGAATATCGGCGTAATAATTTATCATTCGCCATCCTCATCAACTGCAGGATGGGATGCCATCTCTTCCTGTAGCGGTTGAATCAATCTATACGGATCGAATGGAAATATGCCCCGGTCGGCAAATGCCTGCTTGATAATTGGACGCGTAAAGCTTTTCTTGCGGGTAGGACCATAATGATAATAGAGTTAGTGCTTCTTCTTCTGCTCGAGACAGTCGTGCTGTGGTTTAAAAGTCTTGTAATCCTGAAAATGTTCCACATCGAAGGGCTGCATGAGATGCCCGATATCAGGTGGAAAGCAGAATGGAATGATTCGGCGACTTTCACAAAATTCAAGGCACTCGAAAGTCAAGAAAGCGGGATGGGCTTCGACGAGCAGGAGACGTGATTGACCGTATGGAAGATTATGATCAGTCCTGTCGTCGAAGCGTTGCAGCCAATCTAACCCATGCTCCTCAGTAAGTCGACCAGCCGGGGGCGCTGATGAAACGAGCCTGGTAAGTTATTCTACGGCCAAGCACGATGGCAAGCGTATTGTACTCAACCTTGTAATCTTGAACAAAGATTGGTCCCTTGGTATCGGATCCGTCGGCAGCAATGCATTCGAGCGAGGTTATCCATTGACGTGATTTGTGTTTGAAGAGGTCGGTAGGCCAGGGTTTGCGGTGACAGGCACTGGCGGTTCAGTCGCCCGGCCGGTCTGGAAGATGGTCTCACCAGCACTATAAATCTTTGCTGGGGGGATGTCGGCCATCAAAGCCCTTAAAAGTCCGAACCAATGCTGCAAGGTCTTGATATCAGATGTATCAAGGCGCGATTTTTTGGGTAATTGCGGTGACTCTAAGTCCTCTAGGAGTCGTTTGTGACACTGGGAAGCCCAGGTCTGCCAAAGAACCCTCTTGGGGTCGCTCGCGGTCCGTCAGAAGACCACATAGCTCTGTTACTTCTCCAATCCACTGGATAATCGCGTCCTTTGGGAGACCACGAGGCGCATTGTAAGCAGTCGAGCCAGGCAGGGTGTTGTTCGCTTGTTGCAACTGGCCACGGGAACATGTATTGATCTCTCGTTTCAGGGCGACGATGTTGGACACATTCAATGATTTGGGATTTGCAAAGGTCTTAGCGACGCGGCCATGAAGCGTACTAGGACCTTGAGGCATGGTGGTGTGTGTAGGTTGGATCAATGGCAGTGACTGAATTTTGCGCGACGCGTCCTTCAGGGGCAACGCGGTACGTGACGTGGGGGGTCACCGCTCCACTTGACATGTCTATTGAAGTAATATGACCTCTTTTGGCAAATTGGTCTCGAAATTTCCTAATCGGAATTGGAGTGACTCTCTTTTACTTCGTGGTTCTCGAGCTTGAACCCAGATAGTGAATGGGATGGGGCTGAGAAATAATCCAATAGAGAGAAGGAGGAAATTGGAATCAAACCTAGGGAAGCAAGTCTCAAGAGGACGAAGCCTTAAGTATGTACATCTATACTCATTGACCGAGTTTCTATGGTCCTCAGAAGCATCTTGACATTGCAAAGCCGAACAACGCACCTGGTAGCGCTTCTCTTCTATTACACATACAATGAAAAGATAGGATCGAGGGCACCCATTCCAACGAACTTAAAATCATTCAGCCGACTCAGGTCCTCAATGACACCAATTTAGGAGGCAACCCGCAGTAAACTTGCCACTAAATTCAATCGAAGTTGTCCTGTATTGGGCGTACATAGTCTAGATGCCTTGCGGAGTGCCTTACATAGGTATTAGCCACCTCGAGCACAGCTAACTAAGTATTACGCCACAAACTTGCGCAATGTGCATGACTCGAGTCAGTTGAAATTTACGCCAATCAATCACTCCCCTAGGTGTTGGGTCTCTGACATGCCCTTGCTTTGTGGTGTTCCGCCCCATCCATCTAACCATGTTCGCTAAGCTTAGGGGCCATGCAGCTAAGCGCTTTGAATCTCCGACATATTTCCCCACTCAAGATTGACATGCATCTTCTCATTAGCATAGCCCCAGTCATTTGATAGATTTAGTGTCTTGGCATATGTAGTTCATCACTTTGCCGACAAGGTTGATCGAAAGGCCCGGCCCGTGAGGTAAACATGTGTACCATGTGTCAGGAGGCGCTGGCTGCGGACCTAGTTACAGATCTCTCAAGATTGTTTCGGCTGCCCACAATTGATTCGACCACGAAGTATCTGCATCTATATAAATAAAAGCACTTAGGATGCGATATCTATCAACGCACTTCAATTATCATAAAACCGAGGCACTCAAAACTGTTCAGGTATCATCCGAGTCAAGACGAAAAGAGGGCTAAGGCAGGATAAAAATATCTCCCAACAAGAGGAGACTACCTAATAGCAGCTTTTCCGGCTGTGCATCATTAGTTCAGTGAGAGGCAACTGCGGTGCTGCGGTGCTGCGGCAGGAAGCTAATGCGGTCAAAAAGTACTATACCTGGGCCCTGTGTACAGGGGGCCAGAGAGACGAGGCGATGTTGGAAAAGTGCTTAAATACGTGGACGTAGGCCGGCTACGAGAGACATTTTTTATCAACAACAAGATATCTTCTTTTTATTAAACCCCGTCCTGCTTGTCTCAACAACTACAATTCATCATGCCTTCGAAGCCAGAAGACAAGGCCATGCATCAGCTGCAGTCTCAACAATCTGAGTTGCTTGACAAGATTGATGAGCTACGTGGTATCGGAGTTGGCGGTCTTGTCGAGCTTCCTCAACTCATCGTTTGTGGTAGTCAGTCCAGTGGCAAGAGCTCAGTGCTTGAAGCCATCTCCAGAGTACGCTTTCCGACAAAAAGCACTCTCTGCACGCGATTTGCGACTGAGGTCATCCTCCGTCGGAAGCCGCAGACAAGAGTGAAAGTTTCGATCGAGCCTGGAGACTCGAGAACGAATGAGCAGGAAAGACAGAGACTTCGAGACTTCACTTCGGAGGCCTTCTCGAGTGACAACAATCTCCAGGACCTGATCGATCAAGCCAGAGCTTGCATGGGAATCAGTGATAACGTTGCCCAAGATGCCGGATTCTGCGACGACGTTCTCAAGATTGAAATTTCTGGACCAGATAAGCCGGAGCTTACCCTTGTGGATCTGCCCGGTCTGTATAATACTCCGAGTGAGGAACAGAGCATAGAGGGAATTCAAATTGTTCGACAATTGACGGAAAGATACATGGCCAAAGACCGCAGTATTATCCTTGCTGTCATTAGTGCAAAGGTGGACTATCACATACAAGAAGTCCTGAATATAGCAAAGGGTTATGATCCGGAGTATGAAAGGGTTCTTGCCATCGTCACTCAAACCGATAAACTTGACGAGGGTTCGGATGAGGAAGAGCGATGGCTACACTACATCAGAAACGAAGGCATAAAGCTGAAGCTGGGATGGCACGCTCTACGCAACCGCTCACATAAGACACGCAACGTCTCTGATGCTGAGCGTGATGAGGAAGAGAGAAACCACTTTGCGAAGGGGCGATGGGCCTCCCTTCCACGGGCACACGTCGGAATTGACCGTCTCCGACATCGCCTGAGTACCATTTTACTCAAACATGTCGCTGGCAGCCTGCCTACGTTGATCAAGGATATTGAACAAAAAATTAATGATCGGAAACAAAGCCTGGATAAGCTTGGAACGGCACGCCCAACCACCAGGGATCAGCGAGGCTTTTTACTCAATATTAGCTCCAAATTCCAGCGAATTACCGCCGAAGCTTTAAATGGCATAGGCTCCAAGGATTTCTTTGGTGGGCTGAGCGATGAGACCCCGGAAAGCGGAGATCCTCGTCGACTACGCGCCGTCATCCGCGAACTGAATGAATATTTCGCAGATGCCATGTCGACACGCGGTTTCCGCCGAGATCTCGCACAAAATGTCTCGGAGCCCCTCTCGGACTCGACAAACCCGAAGTTCCAATCCTACTTAAGCCAGTGGGTGCCGGAAAAGGTCACTGCAGACGATCTGATGAAGCACTTGATGAGACAAGCGGCAAATAATCGTGGCATTGAATTTCCAGGAAATCCCAACCAGCTGCTCGTTGGAGAGCTATTCCGAGATCAGGTAGTGCCGTGGAAACATATCGCCCAGCATCATCTGAACCAAGCCTGGCAGTCAGTCGACGACTTTGTCCAACTGGCCTTTGGGTATCTTACCGATGATAGTACCAAGAATGCACTATTGGTCGGGATTATCCATCCAGAATTGGAGAAACTTAGAGATTCATTGAACAAAAAGCTTGATGAATTGCTCTCTTATACGACAACTGGCCATCCTCTGCCCGTGGGGAGAGCATTTCTTGAAAGAGTTCAGCAGCGTCGGGCTGAAAACCAACTGGAGAACTTACAAAGAAATCTGGTCATGGAAAACACTATCTTCGAGAACTCGAGTGACTGGGACCAAGCAAAATTTACTTTTCAGGACTTGGAAAGGGCTGCCAACCAAATTCAGACGTCGCACGGTCAATTTGCAGTTACTGACATAGTCATTCAGATGCAGGCATACTACGAAGTAAGTTTAAAACATTCAAAAGATTTGAACATTGGGCCTCATACTGGAATACATGCTAATAATCTCGATCTAGATTGCCATTGTGATCTTCATCGACAATGTTGCAATTCTTGCAATCGAGAATTGTCTACTTCGTCCCCTGGAACACATCTTTTCCAACCAAGTCATCAACGACATGGATGACAAAGAGATCGAAAAGCTTGCCGGAGAATCCCAGGAAGTTCGAGAAGAGCGCGACCGATTGAGCGGAGAATTGAAGAAGCTAGAAGCTGGCATGCGAACACTCGGTACTTTTGCTTTGGGCCGGGCATCTGTTGTTGGTAGGTAGTGTTATGAATATCTGAGATACACTTGCATAGGCACAGGCTAACGAAGAATTGGGAATAGACTCTCATTTGACTTCTCCATCGAGAAGCCCAACTCCCTCCCGCAGAGCGAGCAGCGCTCACCAAAGGGGCAATTCCCCCAGCATCCAAATGTAAGCATTTGAGAAGGCACTTTAAACCTGGGCAAGAATATACTGACTTGAGAAATAGTAACGGATATTCATATAGAACGAGCCACTCAGAACAGATTGAAGTTGGAGAGGGCTATTGAGTTTCTGTCTGGTTTCCTGTCTTTTGGTTACATTGTACTTGAAGTTTACCGGCAAATTCCAGCCCACGTTCAAACCACATCATCTAAGCTCATAAGCTAGGCCATAACAATAACATCAAAATTTGCAAGGCACTCCATAGCATGCGTAGCCAATTATCTTTCGGGGTATTATTCTGGGTTGCGTTCTAAACAATTCACTAGCAATGAAGTTCTCTATATACAAAGGGGTGAAAAAATCTATACACTCATTTCATCGTGCTATCGACCAGCTCCCGATAGATCTTCTTTAGATCAGCGATATCGGCCTGAAGTTCCTCGACCTGTTCACTCTTTTCGCCGAGCATTTCAAGAGTTGTCAAGTACCGCTGGTCGATATCAGCAAGCTTAGCCTCGAGCTCCTCCACTCGAGAATCAGCGGTCTTCTTCTCTTCGAGCTCGCGCATGAGGTCGACGACCTGCTGTCTGGACTCATCACGTTGAGTTGTGACGCGTGCAAGTTCGTCTTTGGACCCAGCGCGCTCGCTCTCCAGTCGGCGGACAGTAGCACTCATGCGCTCAACCAACTGTACAGATGGACCAGCACCGACAGTTGATTCGGAAATGATGTCGTTGATACCGCGAGGAGGACCTGCTTGTGTGCCTCCATAGGCGGATGGTGTGGCAGGGTCGCCAGAGCTGAAGAACTCATCTGGTTCAAAGGTGATTGAAGGGGTCTCCAGAATCATGGATGGAGGACCCATGGTGGTGCTAATCGGGGGAGGGGAGAGAGTCCCTTGAGCAATTGAAGTTGGGTAAGAATTCTGGCGCGGTGGTGTGCCGATGTCCGGCGAACCTGGGGGAAGTGTAGACGAGCGCCGGCTGCCAGGGCGGTAGTCTGACAAAATAGAGGGTAGAGCGTCGAGGTTGCTTGACCGGCGAGTGGATGGAACGGGAGAGATTCCACGAGGCTGTTGCAAGGTATTAAGTTGCTCTCTCCAACGGGCACGTTCCTCCTCGAGCTTTTGCGCCCAGTTTGCGTCCCACACCTTCTTCTGCTCGACGAGCTCCTTTTGCGCAGAGGAGACCTCGTCCGTTGCATGCTCGAGTTTTTGCTGCACCTTCTGAAGCTCTTGAACGCGCGCCTCAAGCTGACTTTCCAGGTCATGCTCAGCCTCCTTGGCATTCTCTAATTCTTCTTCAAGCTCTTTAACTTTGAGACTCTGGGAGACAATCCTGTTAGCCGAGGTGTCTTTCCAAGGGTGTTCTTTGAAGCCATACCATTTCCCGAAGTTTCTTTCGCAGCTCCTTTTCTCTGTCTCCAGCCTGGTCGCGTTCCTTCTCCGCGGCGTCGAGCCGGGAGATGTAGGAGCCTTCCAGGGTGTGCCAATTCTCGCTGGCGACTGAATATTGAGTCTGCAAGGTCTCGACTTGGCGTAGCAACTTCGCCTGCGTCTCTCCAGTGGCTCCAGAAGAGGCCTCCTCCGCACGGGCGCGCAAGCTTTCCATTTTGCTTTCCAAGGCAGATTGCTCTCCCTTCAACTCAGTTTCAAGCAAGCGAGCCCTTTCTTTCTCCTGGTCAACCTTTTCCTTCAGATCGGCAATTTCTTTCTTCGACTTTGCCTGAATGATATCAAGCTCGATTTTGGTGTTTGACAACTCCTCATCAAGCTCATCTGCTCTGCCCTTCTCCTTTTCCAAGGCATCTGAGTGGGCCTTGGCTTCAGCAGCTTCGGCGCGCGCAATCGCTCGGCCAATTTGTGCCTTCATCTCGCGAACGGTTTGGCTCAAGGCATCACGCTCATTCGTCACGGCCTCTAGGTCTTTAGCCGTCTTGGTATGCGTTGATAATGAATCATTTGCTCGCTTCTCTGCCGCCTCAGCCCGCTTGGCTCTGCTTTCGGTGTTGAGCAGATCTCTCTCCAACTTTTCGGTCTTTTTCTTCATCTCGATCTGTGATTTCGAATTTTCCGCAAGTTGTTGCCTCAATCTCCTAACAGCAGTACGGGAATTCGACGCCTCTGATTCGAGCTTTTGACCTTCTTTCATCAGTAAAGCGTACTTCTGCCTGATTTCTTCGAGCTCTTTCTCGCGGCTCCCCGGAGAAGCGGCGGCGGCGGCATCCTTTGCAGACTTGGCAGCTTCTCCCGCCAGGTTCTCTAGATTTCTCTGGAGCTCATCAATCCGTGCCATATACTCATATCTCTCTTGTTGCCACAGGGATTCAGCTCCATTTTCTTCACTCGTTCGAGACTCAGACGGAATATCGACGCTTAAGCGAGTACTTTCTCCGGATGCACGTCTAACTGATACGTCACTTCGTTGCGAACTAGGTAGATCCAAGCTCGGTCTACCTAATTTTGAACCCTGCTCATCTACCTCATTCGAAGCCCGAGGCAAGGATTCTGTCCCGGAGATTTCGGTAGATTTGCGTATAGATCTTTCCGAATAGTAGCTTGTTCTAGCCGCACTTGCATGACTCGTGACGCTTTCACCATCTGGCGGAGGGCTCTTCAGATCATCTGTGACGCTCGAAGCGGCTGCAAGACTAATATCAATGTCCATACTTGATCGTGCACCATTGCTCGGCGCTGGACTACCCGCGGTCGAGGAAGCCTGACCGGGTGAAGACTGTGAATTCCGGTTCGCAGTATTCGACTTGACCACGGCTCGTGCCAGGCGCTCTTGGAGTCGATCATTTCTCCGCGCATTGGACGAACTTCGCGAAATTGCTAATTTCCTTTGTTAGCTAATACCAAATTGGGTAGTCTTGAGGTGCGCCTTACAGCCAGCGGGCGATCTTGAAATTGGCGACGCTGTGGGTTCCGCTTCCTTGAGTTTCGTATTTGAGGCCTTTTGTGCTTCCTCCTGGTCCATCAATATATTGTCCAACCGAGATTCCACGCCCGCAACGGCTTGCTGGAAGAAATTTCCCACGCCCCATTTGGACTTGGGGGCCTGCGAGTTTTGCGCCATGTTGGAGAGTGTGTTGTCAGAGGGCGGCGCGGCTTCTAGGCAGCAAATGCCTCGTGTTCAGTTTGCATAGGTCCGGTGGGGGCTGTGCTCAGACAAAGGTGTTCTCGGCGATTGCGATGCGTTAGACTCGGAAGTTCGAGAGGGCAGTCTAAGTCAAAGAAAGGGAACTCTGCGGGATCAGCGAGTGTGTAAACGAACGACTTGGAGTACGATCCAATGTGAAAGTCGAAGTACAAGCCAGCAACCCCGTTGCAAGAAGGACGTCGCACAAGAAGCCCTGGCACAAAAAGCGAGCGGAAACGACAAGCGCACACAGAGTGGCTTTTGTCCGTAATACGGTGTTCCTGGACGAAAGGTTGTCAAGAGACGAGAGGAAATAGTTTAGAGTTGACGATGGAACGATGAGCCACGATCCGTTGGGAGGGCCGACATGTGGTCTTGGCGTCGCCAGCTTCCGTCATCTCCACCCCCCCAAGCTCCTCCCTTCTCGATCACCAACCTCCACTACAACTCCGGCCTGCACTCCTTTCCTCTGGCCCGGTGTACCACTTGATCACCATGTCGCTGGAGCCGCCCACATACCTCAGCTCCCTGCAGAATAACATCCGCGCTCGGCCAATTCCATGGGAGGGCGCCGTCCGTGCGGGCAACATCACGGATGACCACCTCAAGAAGATCAAGGCTGTGGATAAAGTGCGCAAGGAGCAGCGCATTCAGACGATAGAGGCAGATCTTGCTGGGTATACAAGCTTGCTGGCTGGTGGCTCACAGGGCAAGAGTGTTCTGGAGTTGGCCTCTCGGAGAACCGATATCGTGCAGTACATCTTGGTGCTAGCATCAGACTTGATTCAGGGTATGTGTTACATTTGAAGGAGCTTCCCTCTTTTCCTACTAACAATTTTACTTCAAAAGATGTCCCTGCGCTGGCCGACTCACTCGTCTCGCACCCCGAGCCCTACAAGCCATTCCTTCCATTCTTCCAGATCTCTACCAACGCCGAAGACCCGATCCCGCTGCTCACATCTACCTTCCTCACGGCTCTCGTGTCACACAGCCTTGTGACCTCATCCAAACCCGCTCAGCGGGATGAGGAGGCCCTACCTCAATTATACCTTTATCTCTCTACCCTGACCAAGAACCATGACAGCGGGCTGCAGGATATTGGTGTCCAAGGATTCTCCGAGCTTCTGCGGAAGAAGCACTCTCGCGAGATCTTTTGGAACCACCGAAAGGAAACTCTGGACCCATTGATCGAGACACTCCGCGCCGCGGCGGGGACTAAGGATAACGGTAGTACTACGGGAAGCAGCACACGTGGCATTGAGCCTGGTCTTGCTGGAGGCGTGGGTCTTCAGCTGCTATACCGCGTTCTTTTGGTGATTTGGCAGCTCACATTTGAGAGTTCGCTCGTTGGTGACGAGCTCCAAGAGTAAGTGATATATCCAAGGCGGGAGGAAGGAATGTAACCTCGGACCTGGCCACTGACGTTCTGCAGGAGCTACGAAATTATTCAACTCTACACCCAGCTCCTCCGCCTTTCACCAAAAGAAAAGACGACCCGCCTTCTCCTCGCCACTCTCTACAACCTGTGTGTCAGCAACCGGACGACCCTCCTGCCGGTCGCTGTGTTTGTTCGACTGCCAGCTCTGCTGACTAACCTCGCCGGTCGTCACCTGACGGATCCTGATCTCCTCGAAGACCTGAACGGACTTTCTACCATGCTAGACGAATACACAAAGACCCAGACTACCTTCGATCAATACGCCGCCGAAGTCCAGTCCGGTCACCTGCGCTGGTCGCCCCCACATAAGAACCCGACCTTCTGGAAGGAAAATGCTCGCCGAATCCTGGATGAAGGAAATGGCGCATTGCCCAAGAAGCTGGCAGAGATTCTTTCCAAAGACTGGGAGAATGACAAGCAAGTTTTGGCCATTGCCTGTAACGACGTGGGGCATTTGGTGAAGGAGCTGCCCGAGCGTCGCACTCAACTCGAACGAACCGGCTTGAAGACGCGAGTCATGGAGCTGATGGCCGATAAGGACGAATCGGTGCGATGGGAGAGTCTTCGGGCAGTGGGTGAATGGCTCCGGTATACATTTGATGGTTGAAGAAGGGAGATACAAAGACGCTGGCTTTTTTCTTTTTCTTATATTCCAGTCGGGGATTTCGTGGGTTCCCTGAGTTGGGATGAACATATACTCTGGTGGCATGTACTGTGTATTCTCTGCCATAGCGCACATTTGTCCTTTTTCTTTCTCGGACCAGCTTTTGTCTACATGATTTACAGTGTCTTTTGTAGTAGTCGGCTCAGTGAGGCTTGAATAACTAGCAGTCCAGTACACTGTTGGACTGTACTGATAAAGCCCCGCTGATCAGTGGATCCTCATGAGGATTGGCCGCTAGACTGTTAGAACATTTGGGATCCAAATCATGAAGAGTAATCCCCGATAAGAGGAACCAGAGATCAAGTTTAATTTGATAATTCTTCTCTTCTTCAAACCCCTCATCTCTCCTTGATAGAAGCAAAGAATCTGTTCTTATTTACTCCCCGAGAAACGCCGTCTCGGATTCGCCACGCGGGACTCGACCGACCGGAGATCGTGCATTCCCCGCAGAATAATTTCTCTCTCCACACCACCCACGAACACCCACCCCCAGCACTCATGTCGAGATCCTTTACCGGCTGCACAAGATGTAAAGCGCGGCGCCAGAAATGTGACGAGCAAAGACCCATATGTGGGCGCTGCCAGTCCGCTGGCGTCCAATGCAAGTACGCCATGCAGCTGCAGTGGGGAGGACGTGCGTTTTCGAGATCGCGATTCGGGGCCTGCGTGGACACAGGAAACATGCAGAGACTGGGTATGATGCCGGAGGTTACTTGACTGGATATCCACATGCTAACTTAACCCGATAGAGTACTCACCTGGGGAGTTCATCTATACCACCAAGTCGGCGCAGGCGCAAGCACAAGCACAAGCGCAAGCACAGGCTCAAGCTCAGGCTGCCTCAGAATTGACCTTAATCAAGCCCGTCGATCCCTTTTCCTCCCTCTCGCCCGACCAAAAAGCCCTTTTACACCATTTCATCAACGATGCGTCCCAAATCACCGCGAGCCACTCGGGCATGCAGCAAGACATCTGTCGGATGATTGTGCCCATGGCCCTTCAGACCCCATCCTTACTCTACGCCACCACCGCATTGTCCGCAATACACATCCAAGCCCTTCAGAACCAGTCCGAAAGCGTCAAATCGGCGCCAGACATAGCCCGTCTGATGGCGCTCAGCCTGGAACACTTCCGGAAAGAGTTACAGAATCCATCGTCCAAGGACTCGGAGGCGCTGGTAGCGACAGCCCGAACTCTCTGTTTGGCAGAGATTCATTCCGGCGCAATCAATCCTAATTCATGGCGAGCCCATATTGAGGGTGCAAGGGCATTGATGAAGACATTGGGGACGACGGGAGAAAATTCGCTTCGAACGGAGAGCGGTTTCCGCCGATACTTGGACCGTTGGTACTGGTCAATCGTGTCGCTGACAGCGTTGACAGGGAATGGTCCGCCCATCGGGGATACCTCGGACTTTGCGCCTTCAGATTTGGCAGGGCAAAGAGAGTCGCCAGACTATCTGGATGACTATTGGGGGTTCACAGTCGACCTGGCAGCTGTTTTCAGACAGATTGGAGCTGCTGCCTGGAGAACCCACCAAGCTGAGAAGGAATTCCAGAGCCAAGGCTTTGTCGCGGGTGAGATTGATGGTAATGCCGAAGATGAAGCTGCTGCGTTGGAGTCCTCAATACGAGAACTTATGGATCGAGGCGCGACTTCGCTACCCTCGTTTTACCCTGGAGTGGCAGAAGGGCTGTCCGCAGAGAGTGTACAGCACCTCGCTCTCTGTAACGAGGCATTCCAACACAGCGCTTTGATCCAGATTCATAAACGACTTCGAAAGACACCGACCACGTCAGTCCTCGTGCAGCAGTCAGTGCATCGAATTTTGGAGTGTACTGCTCAGATTGGACCATCGGCTGGTCTGAGCCCGTGGGTAATGTTGACGACTCCCTTATTTATTGCGGGCTGTGAGGCACGCGGGGAAGATCGCGATACGGTGCGGCAGCTGTTGGCATCATTACATGATACTATTCGGGTGCCGAATGTGTTGCAATCTTTGAAGTTCCTCGAACAGTATTGGGCGAATCAGCTCGGCGAGGACGAGGATTGGAGTCATTTCTTGGGTATGTAAATCAAAGCTCATCCTGTTATCTCAAGGTCCCCGCTAACAATTTTGCCTAGATCGGATGAGAATTGACTTCATCCCTTACTAAGGCATGGGAGTCCTTGGCAATATGCATCATGTGCTACGATTGACGTTCCCAGACTGATGTCTGGATATTTTGACCTATTTATTTCCGTTTGATATCAGCCAGCCACAGGCGCAATGGCGGCAGGAGGACCCTTTGGAGTACATATTTTGCTTGGCTTTAGCGTTTGGATTTCGTGACATTATGATGATTCTCTTGTTATTTACATGAGCTGAATTTAACAATCATCTGAAAACAATCATGGCGAACTAACAAAGCGAATTTCTCGAGGCCGTGCTGCTTGACGCAGGCCTAACCTGTACCAACTCTTGAGCCCCAGCTTCATGGCCAATGCGGCGGTCCCAGCTCGCCAGCACAACATTCAGCAGTTCATTCGCAACTCCAAGCAGCAAGAAAATCGCAATGACCTGTCCAAAAGTCCATCCCTTCTCCTGAGGATCAAGGGTATTCCGCTGGATCGTCTGTTCCAGCGACACAATTAGATAAATGCAAAGTCCACAGTACGCAGCCCTATTGAGGGTGAAGTTGAGCAGGGCCTGGCCGGAGAGCTCCTCTCGTTGAGAATTGCCCTGGTCATCGGTACTCGTCGACGTCTGCACAAACCAGTTCCAGGTACAATTTCCATGGCGACCCGTGCCGACGTTGCGGCCAGCCAGCGGATCCCGTCTTCGACGAATCCACGCTCCACAAAGACACGGCAGCAAGCAGGTGAAGACAAGAATAAAGCCCGCAGCACTGGCGCCTAGCGTGCCAAGAATAATATATCGAAATACGGGGGACGTTGCCGAAATACTCACGCCAAACACAACATATACTGTGTCCGGGTTGCAAGCAGGCTGGCTGCCGAAATGAGGTGCCGTCACCCAGAGATATACGTTGAACGCGATGAATGCCCCCAGCGCGATGACTTGGATTGCGACAAAGCACCACAGACGCCAGGGGCCAAATCCGGCATATCGGCCTTTACTGATGAGATTGAGACCCAGCAGGGCAAGTAGGTGGACCACACAGATGGCATGGAAAAGGGTCAACTCGCTGCGGAAAGTCTGGTAAATTGCTGTACAGAGCAGTGCCAGACCTTGCATGCCCAGCGCTGAAGATACGCCGCGAGAAAACTCTTCTTCATCTTCACCTGGAGAGAAGACTCGGAGGAAGTAGCTCACGAGCGTACCGCCGAGGCAGAGGGCGTAAATAGATGCTCGGATCTGGAGAATGGGATCAGTCAAGGTCACTCTGATCCCCAATAATATGCAGGGAAACTTACTCCAGTGCCAGATACATCTGGATTGGCCTCGATAACACAGATTGTCGAGTTCATTGTTGATATGGCAGAGTAGAAGCCCAGAGACCTTGGGAACAGTGCACTCACGTACTAATATGTCCAGGACCAGCGAGGTAGCCAAATCGCCCGTTTATCTGACTCTTCACGCTTCAAACTTTTGGCAGCAAAAGACCCTTCAGCCTCCACGAGCTCCGAGCGCAAATGCCCACCATATACCCAGTCTTCAAGCGTGGCTAAGCCGAGTCATTGCGCCACAGCCCAACCCGAGAACCTGCAGAATCAGTCCAAAGACATCACCCAAATCACAACCCTACAAGTTCCCGACAGGTCTGCCTTGGGCCGCCATTGGATCGCATCGCGTTGCCCGGTGATTCTGTGGCGCAGGGCGATGCTGACTGCAGAAGCTCACGGGCCAAGCCCGTCGCCCTGGACTAGTCTCGGTAATGCGTGTCTATCATTGGCTGCTGGTGAACTACATCGGTTAGTTCCCCCCGGCTTTGTTTTTTCCCTGTTCAAGTGTCCAGTTACCTGACCAGTGAAATGTTCCTTGACTGTATTCAGCCTCCCGCTTGGCGCTGTCTCGGTGGTGACTCGCCGAAGCGATGATGATCAGGGCTTCGTATTCCGTCATGGGGTGTGCGCCGGCTGACTACTGCATTTTATAAGAGTAGTTGATGTCCTGCATGAAATGCATAGACCTTAATAAAAGGTCCACTCAATCCATCGCAAAGACGCCTAACACATTCCTTTTTCTCACATCTAAAGCTGAACACAGCTAACATATCCCACCATGAACGACGATCGCCCTCTCCCCGCTATCAATAGTAAATCACCTCTGTTCCCTCAAAAGTCCACCAAACCCACCTAACATAATCTTCACTCTTAGTATGGACATTCGTCGCCCTCGCCGCCCTTGACATCGCCGCAAACGCAGCCGCTGGTCCCGCCGCCGTCGCAACAGCTGTCCATGTGAGCGGCGGCGTGCTCACCGCACGAGCACTACAATTAGGCGCCCTAGCCGGCGTCACAAAGTCCGGTGTTCTGGCATTCGTTGAATTCGTCGCATACGCGGGTATCCCGGCTCCGGCATGGATGCTTCTTATTTTGCTGGCCAGTAGTTTTGGGATCTGTGTTTTGGTTACGGCGGAGATTAGTAACCTTGTTCTTGGAGAGAGTAAGTATAGTATTGGATATGATATTTCTAGGATATGTGAATGGTGGCTAGGGAAGACGCTAATAGAAACTGTTCTTTTCTTGCAGCGCCGAGTGGCTTGTTGATTGCGGCTGTTGTTGCTGCTATTCCGTTAGGTGGAGAATGTATTGGGATATACCAATGTGAGTCTGTCATGCATCCCGGGAAAATGGATAACAAAGCCTATCAAAAAAAAAATCACTAACTCTATCCATTCATGTATAGCGGCTGGAGGTTTAACAGGCGGTAAACCCCAAGCCCAAATCTTCATCATGGGCCTCGACGCGCTAGGAGGCTACGTCTTTGCTCGAATGGCCCATAACGAAGGTATACTTCCGTTCCCCTCTTCCTTGAATATATGAAAATACTAACCGTTCTCCACGCATGAACAGGACACGATATCTGCGCCTACAACGTCGCCGCCGCCGCCGGAGCCGTCTACGGTGCCATAACCGGCTTCTTCCACACTGTGATAGGATGTATGGCTGGAATCACGCATACAACTAGTACAAATGGGCACTATGTGACGACGAATATTTTTGGGACGACGTCTGGGTATGATGAGAATTGGCAGCGGAATGCAGGGTTCTGGTAGTGAGATTCATGGAGGGATATAGTGCCCGAATAATCGATGACTTCCCATTGAAGATTTGTACGTCTATTGTCAGAAGGGTGCTCATGAAAATATTCTATTGAGAATTAAGGAATAAATTTTGTAGAATTTATATTATGATTTTTGTAGATTAATCAACCCATGCTATACTTACCCCTGGACCTGGGCTCGGATAACCCGATGAGAAAAGACCAAGGATACGATATGGCTCTTAATATTCGACAGGCTGCCTCATAGAGGCGAGGAATCTGAGCGCGTGATCATGGTTAGGGTCTTGAGAAGATATGAGGCCTATCATTGCCGAATAAGAAGGAAAATTTGAAAACGTTTGAAAAAAATCGCTCTATTGTTGAAGTAGAACATGCAAAACCGAGTATCTCAAACAGGAAAAAGGAAAAAGCTGCTGCGAAAGAAAAACTGTATGTACAAGAGCAACCAAATATATCATGACTTAATCGTTTAGTAATTCAATATAATGGAAAAAGAAACAAGAGTTCTCCCTAGCACCATCTAGGATGGGCGGTGGAACTTGCTCTCGATCCAAGGCATACCCACAACGGTAGCCTTGCGGACCTTGTTGCGCACCTTAACACCAAGCTCGGTGCCCTTCTTGTGCAGACCGTTCTTGACATACGCCATGGCGATGTTGGCTCCGCCAAGCGTGGGGCTGGGCAGACCAGAGGTGACAACACCGACCTCGACGGGGTTGGCGGGGTCGGCAAGGTCGACGACGATGGCGCCCTCGCGAGCGGGGGAGCCCTTCTCAACGGTCAGACCGACACGGCGCTGCTTGAGAGACTTGGGGCTGGCGAGCTGGGAAAGGATGACGGAGGCACCGTTGAAAGAAGGGTTGGTCTGGTCACGACGGTCACGACCGACGACCCAGCCCAGAGCGGCGTCGGGGGGAGTCTGGGCGGTAGAGATGTCGTGGCCGTAGAGACACATGCCAGCCTCGAGACGGAGGGAGTCACGAGCAGCAAGACCAGCAAGACGGACGGTGTTGCTGTCCTTGAGGAGGAGGTTGACGACCTGCTGGGGGAGGTCTGCGGCGCCGGAGGTGGGGATAGAGATCTCGAAACCGTCCTCGCCGGTGTAGCCAGTGCGGGAAATGAGCAGAGGCGAAGGAGAGGCTGAACCATCGGCCAAAGTGATGTACAACTCACGGCATTGGCCGAAGTAGAGGGTGTTCAAGTCGGTGTCGGTGGTGGAAGCAGAGGTGTTGATGAGGGGCTGGAGAGCGCTGACAGCGAGGGGGCCCTGCAGCGCGACCAGCGCGCGGTCCTCGAGAATCTCCCACTTGATGCTATCCATACCGTAGCGGAAGCGGTAGGAATCGATCTCAGCACGGAGGAACTCCAAGTCCTCAGCGCGGCGGCCGGCATTAGTGACGAAGTAGAAGGAATCCTCCCCGCGGCGGGTGATAACGGTGTCATCAATGATGCCGCCGGTCTCCTCCTCCAAGAGGCAGGACAGGGTTGAAGTATTCGGGGTGAGCTTGTCGAGCGACGAGGGAGTGATCTTCATCAGCAGCGGGAGGGCACCGGGGCCGCTCAGATGGTGCTGAACCCTATAGAAAGCAATTGATTAGGTCTGACTATCCATCGAACGTGTTTTCTGCTGGCAATTCGATGCAATAGACGTACATGTGGCTAACATCAAACAGACTAGCCTTCTCGCGAGTCCAGGCATGGCTCTCGACATGGCTCAAGTCCGCATACTGCAGCGGCATAGAGAATCCGGCAAAAGGCACCATCTTGGCGCCATGAGCCTCGTGCAGATCATACAATTGAGTCTTAGCCAGCGGCTCGCCAGAGCTAGACGCATAGCGAGCAACCTGGTTGTTCACCTGGGGAATCGCAGCTCGTGAGGTGATTCTGGCAACCGGCCTGCGGGGAGCTGCCCGCACCGCGGAGGAAAGCTCCCTCCGCAGAACTGTGGAGCCGACAGAGGCGCGGGGTGCGTTGAAGGCAGCAGCCCTCACGGCGACGAGGTCGACACTCTTCTTGAAGGAGCGAACGCTAGACATGGTGGTTCAATGCTTTTGGAAATTGAATTGACAGGAGAGAAGGAAAGGAAGTAGAGAAAAAAAGGTTGTCGAGAAAGTGGTGTCCTCCGCCGTCGGAGAAGCACAGCGGGAAAATCACGTGGTGATAGGGAGACCTCGGGGTGAACGAAGAGGAGCTGATTCCCCCATTGGGCAGGCGCCACTCCTCGGGGAAGCTACAATGTGTGATGATAGTGATACCTACTCCGTGGTATATATAGGGCTGGTAAATAAAGGAGGTTCACAAAAGGCGAGGTAAGTGCTTGTGACGACGGCGATATAATCACTCGGAAAGCAACACAGAAAGCTGCTCCGATGCCAGTCGCCCGGATTCCATTCAAGGCCGCGGGGTTCTTATGTGCAAGGAATGCTGGCACGGCGTTATAGTAAAGGCAAAGATCACAAAATCTCAGAGATCCAACAGACCAAAGTAATAAATGATACAAATCACTTCCACAAATAGACCGTTCCTACCTGGACCAGTAGCAACATTTGCCAAGCGAATAACGAGAAAATACCATGCAAAATCCTAGACCAGATTGCAAGCATTTGGCCATTCTTGTTCCCAATCATCAAGTCATTAGACCTCTCCTCGATGAGCTAGACCTGCCCGGAGAGATCGCTGCAGGAGAGAAACCATAGTGCGAGACAACACACTCCCCGCCCTGCGGGAATAGATCAAAGTGCGTTGCTGGCGCAAGTAAAGACACCACCGACGGTGCCAGACTGGTAACTTTGGACCACAGACATGACAGAGGCCTGCGGAAGAAAAAAAAAGCAACGTTAGCATGGGTAAAAATGGGATAAAAGGGCCGTCTATCAGACAGACAAAACTTACGTAGGTACCAGGTCCCAAGAAGAAAAGACCCACAAAGATCAAAAAGACATTAAAAATGAACCCACACCAACCACGCAGACCACGAGTCTTATAGAAATTCGGTCCATGATCAGCAGCCCGCATGCGAATGTACGCCACGCCCCAGAAAATGAAACCAAAGAAGGAATCAAACAGGGAACTCATAATCGACAACAAATCCGTGAAGAAGGGAATCACTTCAGCAATGATCCAGGCCATAATCCACAGGACGGCCAAGATACCTGCCCAAGCAGCCCAGCCCACCACAGTGTTGTTACCCTTGTGGCGGGTTCCTTCGAACAAGCGGAAGAAAACGAAACGGGCTGATACGGATGCGTACAGAACGCCCAGGAAAATGATTGTGGGGATCATGAAGGAGAATGAGACCTTCTTGTAGACTTCATCCGAGAGAGAACCGAAGGCGGGTGCCTTCACGTATTGGGTGCCCGTGTAGGCATACACGATAGCCCCGACTAGACTGAAGACAATCACCTCGGCGATCGTCACGGCTGTGACGGACTTCCAGAAGTCACGCGGCTCCTTCATCTCAGCGATGAAACTGGGCAGAGTGATCTGGCCAATGAAAGTGTAGCTGATGTTCAGGAATGCACTCATGCCCGAAATAAACGTCGTGCCCTTGGCGGGAATCGCCAGAACAATAGGGTTTCCCTTTTCGGGGTACCCGGCGGGATGATCTTCAATGGCAGCAAAGATCGTTGCCAGAAGGACAGAGATAAAAGTAAAGAAGGCAGAAAATGTGGCCACTCGGGACAACGCGCTGAATGTGCGAGGCAGAGAGAAGAAAAATGAGACTATCGCAACGATAAGGGAAAAGACGACTGTGCAGACTGCGCCTCCGGACATGGTGTTGAGGTACTCGGCACCGACCATGCAGTGCAGGCCCTGAATGAAGGTGTTGTTCAGTAGGAACATGACCGCAGTGGCCCACCAGGCGATCTTGGAATCCCAGAAGAGATACTGGCCAAGATCGCAGACGTCACGGATCTCGGGGTGTCGCAGACAGAATCGCCTGTAGAGGTACATGTGTCAGCTGTGGGCGGCTATATACTATAGGAAAATATATGGAACGTACCAGACAATCAATGAGGTGTACAGCACTATACCCGCAATCACGATGGTCAGGATCAGACCAGGCACGAGGCCCAGAACGGAGTACGACCAGGGGAATGACATGATAGCCAGACAAATGTACTCGGAGAAAAGTAGGGCGGCAGTCTAATATTGCAAGTTAGCACCAGTCTTTCTTTCCCCATCTTCCCAACAACCACGTTCATAAGCCATATCGCATAGACACCAATCTCACCTTTTGCCAACTACAAGTCCGATACTTAATAGTATTCTCCGACTCCATCTCAATCTGCCGGCCCACACTCTCGCTAGTAGACGAAGAGTCAATCGCCGTAACTTGGTGATGCGACAGCCGGCGGCCCTGGCCCTGTTCCAGATCCTTCAACTTCTGATTCTGTTCCAACTTGTCATTCAGGTCGGGGGAGCGATCGCTGTCGCCCTCATGAGTGTCCATTGCTGCGGTGTCTTCTGGCCGAGCCATTTTAAGCTTAACGAGTCGAGAGTGAAACGGTACCGAAGACCTTCGGATACATGTACCTGTCCGCGGGGGGAGGGTACAGTTTGAGGTTGGGGTCCAACGGGTTTGAGACTTTGGGTTGCGTAGAGGACAAGTTTGGTATTTCCTTCTAGCCTCGTGCTGTTCTCTTGGTGCTTGAAATCAAATAGATCTCTTCACCATTCGGGGAGGTGATGGTAGAGTTCTGGGGGCGCAACCAGGGTAAACGGGATCTACAAAGAGACCCGGGGATAGACTGCAAGATCGCAATGGCCGAATGAGTGAAGTTCAGTCACGACAAGAAGCAGAAGTCGCAAGAAAAGGAAGAGAAGAGAAGCGAGTGAAACAAGAATCGCAATAATTAAAAAAAATGAAAAGAAAAAGGCCAAGAAGGGCCAAATTGGTATCTTGGTATCTCTGGTATTTTCCTATACCTGGGGACTACGCACTGTTGCGATCGTAGCGGCACAGGTGTAATTTAAAGGGCAAATCGGGTATGAATCTGGGTATTGCTTGAATACGGTCATTTTAGAATTTCCCATACCCCACTCTTGATTCTGTTGCCGGAATGGAAAAATCTCGTCGATCTTGCCCATAAGATGACGTGATGGAGGGTAGGACGTCAGCCGCAATAGGCGAACCTGTCAAGCCACGGCGGAGTGATGAAAGGAACGTTGGATGGGATCCGGTGGTTGAAGTCCAGGGAAGTCAGGGCAACTGAAGGTACAACGCGGTTACGAAGGGGCTAAGCTGAAGCCCAGGAAAGCCTAGTCAAGCCAAGCGGCGAAGACTAAATGCGCCGCCCCCGAGAGGAAACGTCAGATCCGAGGACCCATCGTGGACTATCCCTGGGGGAGGAAGAGAATAATCCCTGTGCATCTGACTCGTCCAGAGGCTAAATGGTGAGTCTGTGCCGAGTAAGAAGGGAAGAATATACGTCTGTAATCTGCAGTCTGCATCAGTCTCATGCCAGTGCAGCAGCAGTAGTAAACTTCGGATAAAAAAAGACTCTCAACTCGCGTGGCATGGTTCACGGCCAGTCCGAGACCCGAGATCCCAACAACAGTAACTCGTTTTTGCCCCAGCCTTGCATACGAGCCAAGAAATACCACCCAAAAAAAGCCTTGAATAACGAACGTAACTCACGTACGTACCCAGGGCAAGAAATGGTGTTGCGCCCGCACATCATATCATCAAGCCACGACCTGCCGAAGTGGGCCCGAGTCCGCCCCGCAAGCGGTTATAATCGAATGAAGGCTTGAAAGCCCGCCCCGCAGGCCCCGTAAGGCCCCGGTCGGAAATCAGAAAACCCGTGCATTAGCCCTGAAAACATGGAATGCTGGTACAGTGGTCATTGTGGCCGTGCTGATTCGTGACAGTCATTTTTGTGGACGGTTCTAAACCCGGATGCGGTGTTGGAGTTCCTTGGGGGAGTAGCCTGAGAGGCCCAGAGGGGGGCTCGGCCGGTGCTGGTTTGGGTGCTTTGGCGCTATGGGGGAGGGTCTTGGCTTTAGTCTTGGTCTACCGGCCACTGAGCAATGAAACCTCTGGGTTATAAGTGGGGGATCAACAGTATCGGCCCCCCTGAGAAGCCTGAAAGGGCATTGGAATTGTGGATGTGCAGTGAGCTAGCCTATGAAGGTGATAAGAAATGAAAGTTTTGTGAGAGAGACAATCCGAGAAAGTGAAGTCTCCCAAAGCGGAAAGTGCGGTATTCTCCTGACAGTACCATGGCCATGTGCTGTCTGACTCAGCATTGTTAGCCTCAGGCAGTCAGGCAGTAAGGCTTTCAACAAGCATTGATGAAGGGTCAACAATCATCTACAGTACTCTGTAGTTAGCACTACAATATTGACACAAGAACAGTAAATTAAATCAATACGTCTATTACCACAATGTACCAGCCAAGATATGCCACCATCCTTCATTCACATTCCTTCTCCATTATTACCCAGCCAACCTGACCAAATCTCCCAGGACTAACCCAGTTTCCGCGGCATGGCCATGTTCCAGCCTCTTGCGTGCTCGTCCTCCACGATGGCCTCATCCCGAGTCCACATACACACTCGGCATCTTATATTTCTCCCTGAGATCCCGTGAGTCTGTTTGGCTGGCACATCTAAAGGTTAATCTTTGAGAAATTTCAATTTCAAATACGGAGTACTCCGTACACTAGGGTATGGTGGCGTGCTAAGTCCCGGAGGCGTTCTGGGAGGTGCCGCTCGGCTCAGTATCCGGGGCGCCCTGTGCTATCCACACTTCTACTACCTCCTACAGTACTTAAAGCTGGCCCTAAATAATTACACGGGCAAGGCGCATACTTGCGTGATGACCATTTGCCTCCTTCGATTTTGGCCCCGCTACAGCATCTCGGGGACTCCGATACGTTGAAATTTGGGAGACTCTAATCCTGACAGTTACATTTACGTATGGATATGATTGAGACGGGACGACAGATAAGTGCAAGTCTAAAACCGCATTGATTTTCATCCTCAAGGGCCCTACATCGAGGCCCCATTGATATAGAACTATAGAAACCCAACACAGAACTACCCTCCGTAATAGATATTTTTGATGCAAAGAAAACAGCGTATGTCCAAGTATACAGTTAAACAGACGACATAAACACCCCCTACATACCCTCGTCCTCGTCCGCCAGCAGTGCCGCATAATCGTCGGCAGAGGCAAACGTCGGCAGGTGCTTGAGCTTGCGGCGCTTCTTCTTGTTGTCCGAGGCCTCGGCCTTGGGCTCCAGCTCCACACCACCAAGCTCCATGTCGGAAGGCAGGTCGTCGTCGCTGTTGAAGAATGCCTCGTCGTCCGAGACGTCCATGTCGAAGTCGTCGGAGTCCTCCTCCTTCTCCACCTTGGCAGCCTTCTTGGTTTCCTTCTTGGCAGCCTTCTTCGACACCGGAGGAGCGACCTCTTCCTCCATACCGAAGTCGCTAGCCTCGTCCATATCCTCGTCGGATGGGACGTCTGACTCGTCGTTGAAGATGACCTCATCGTCGCTGCCTGCGGCCTCCTCGTCCTCTTCATCCTCATCCTCGTCAAACTCAGAGTCCAGGTCGTCCATATCCAGATCATCGTCATCGTCATCATCAGCCTCCAGCTCAGGCCGGGAGTCGACGAGAGCCTTCCAAATCTCAGACTCGTTGTCGCTGAGACCGGCGGCATCCTCGTCGCGCTCTGTAGCGTCCTCGTCACCCTTGCCCTTCTTAGCCTTGGTCTTGTCCTTGTTAACACGGTTGAAGTACTCGTGGAAGAAGACATCCTCCGCAGCAACCTCGTCGGCCTTCTTCTTCCAGAAGTTCTCCGAGTTGAGAGGCTGGCCCTGCGACGCAGACTTGCCAGCATCCACCAGGCGATCTGAAGCCTCACCACCAGCGAGAGGCTGCATGATGGAAGTACCACGGGAAGTAGCATTGGCCTTGGGAGTACGGTAGACGAAGCGGTCAAGGAAGTGCGTGAGAGTGTGGATGGTCATGTCAGGCTTGCCGCTCATCACCTCGTGGTCCAAGAGACGGGAAGCATTGACGGAGACAGAGGGGTGGAAGTGGGAGATGTAAGGAAGCTAGAATGCATTAGCGGGCGTAAAAAGACCGTAATAAGCCAAGGACTACATACCAATTCCCAGAGACAGGTCTTGTCGGCATTGCTGTGCTCCGGATCACGCTTGCGAGGGTCGTATCCGTTGTTCTGCTTCGGCTTGGTCTCAACAGGGGCAGGTGCTAGCTCCTCGTCGTCCTCGTCGGGCACGTCGCGGAAGACCTCTTCACCATCGCTCTCATTGTCCTCGGGCTGGTCAAACAGAGACTGGAGGCCAGTGAATGTCTTCTCCAACTCGCGGACCAGGTAAAAGACACCGCAGATAAACGCGGGTTGGTGCATTCCGAGCACCTGAACAATACGCTTAACAAACGCCTTGACACGGCGGACATTCAAATCGTTCTTGAGGGCCTTGAACAGCAGGTTCAGGTAAAGCGACTGCTTTGACGAGGTGGCAACACGAGGATCCAAGAGAGATTCGTACAGCGTTCGGTAGAAACGGTCGCTGGCGACCTGAGTTGATCCAGTAATTTGCTGGATCAGCATGAGAGCCTGAATACTGGTGTTGAAGTTTGACGAGTGGGTGATGCGGAAAAGGGTATCGATGTGTTTTGAGAGTCTAGAAGTAATGTTAGTATATTGGAGATCACACTTCATGGGAGTGGAGGTCATACCGGTCGGAGTCGGCGTCGGTGAATGGCCAGGCGCGATTGACACCGGTCAAGACACCGGAGGTCAACTTCTCACGCATCTCATCATCCTGGGCTTCTCCCTTGGCGGGTTGGTTGCGGCCCTTGCCCTTCGGTCCCTTTTTACCCTGGGGCTTACCCTGAGGACCGGGCTTACCGGGCTGGGCAGGCTTCAGAAGAGAAACGAACATGCCGAAGTAGATGTCCAGCAGCTGCATGGCAACCTTCTCCTCCTTCAAGCTGAGAACCGTCTGGTTCAGGGTGATGATAGCGTAGTACTTGGCGTGCTGGCTCTGACCAGGTCGGAACAGCAACTCCTCAACAGCCTTGATGATGAGAGGCTTCATCATAGGATGTGTCTGCTCAAGCTGCAAGAGCAGATAGGAAGCACGCGAAGCAATCTTCTTTCCGGGGTCACCAAGCTTGTTCACAAGAAGGCGCAGCAAGTTTGCCTCTTGCTCGGGCTTCTCCTTGAGCAGCTCGTAGACGTAGCTGACAGCGCGAGATCGTGAGAACTCAATCTCGTCATTGCACCATACTTCCAGAATCTTGAGGATCGCAAAGTACTGCTCCTTCAAGAAGTCTTCAAACGCCCAGACAATCAGGTGGCTCTTCTGCAGGCCACCAGGGAGAGGGTCACGCTCCGTCCATCGTCCACCAGCACCCTGGAATGCAGCGACAAGGCCAGGCTGGTTGGCAAATGACTTCAAGCGACGGTCTGCGGGCAAGAGAGTACCCTGGGCAAACATATCCTTCAGAGACCGAAGAACCTCGACGGCCTGCGCACGGCTGCGCTTGCCTCCAAGTCCGATGAGAGTCTCGAGAGACTTGGTGTTGTGCAGAGGCGACTCTTGCACGGCAAGTGTTAGGGCCGAGATCTTATCGCTGAGAGTACCGGAAGCCATGATGGTCGTGTAGAACTTGTGCGACGAAGATGCCGAGGCCGACTGGGCTTTGGCGTATTCATCATTTTCCGCCTGGAGGAGGGAATTGGCGAGCTCGTGGATGCGATCGATAAGGTGACGGGGAAGGGCGTTCATTTGCTTTGCACTGCCGACCGGAGGCAGGGGAATGGCATACCAATCGGAACGAGGTAGAATGGCCTGAGAGTATCCAGATTAGTATGAATAGCAAAGCTAGCAAGTAAAAGGGCTTGACATACAAGCTTCGCGAATTCCTTGGGAATAACGACTTCGGGCTCCTTCTTCTTGATCTCCTTGGGTGCGGGGGGTGCTTCCTCGATATCAAAGGCCTCAGAAACATCATCCTCGGGTTCACTAGTCTCTTCAATATCGCCTTCCGAGTCTTCGTCTTGTGCCTCTTCCTCCTCCAAGTCATCATCCTCGGCCTCGGCTTCTTCCTCAACTTCTTCACCCTCCTCCTCTACTTCGTCCTCTGCTAGATCCTCCGGGACAACATGGCCCGCAGCTTCTAGCATCTTGGAGAAGCTCCTTGCGCAGGTCATCGTCGCCACCCTTAACCTTGGACTTAGTGGATGTGCCTTCAACTTCAGACTCCGAGTCGACATCGGCAAGTAGTTCAAGGTCCTCCTCAGTACCGCCCAGTGCCAAAATCTCCTGGCGCAAAGTGTCGTTGCTGTTGTCCTTCTTAACACCTGCGGCGGCAAGCCTGTCCTGCTTGTTCTTCCCTCCCTTCTTCTCATCTCTCGCAATCACATCCCCGTTGCGATCCCGCTTCTTGCCTTGTGCGGAGCCTTCTCGCTTCTTGTCGGCCTTGGGAGTAGCCTGCTTGTCGTTCGTCGCGGGTATCTTCTGGGCAGAAGCATTGGGTTTGTCATTTTTCTTTGACTTTCCCTTGCCAGAGCTCTGATCCTTCAACCGTTGCTCGATCTTTTGTCGGAGGCCAGCGAAGGCGCCCTCGTCTATCTGGGGCATCTGCATTTCGGGTGCGGATTCGGGTTGGGAAACTGAGACACCTGCATCGGCGAGGGTCTCATTTGCGCCCGAAGAGCGCTTGCCTTTCCCTTTCGCCATGGTTGTGAATTCAAGGCTTGGGGTGACTTTTTCTTGACGGAGAGAAAATTGGACGGAGAAATCTTTTGCGGCGGACTTATCAGAACGCTCGGACCACCCGATAAGAAACACTCCCCCCAAGGGCAACTGCGCAACACTTTCCTTGAGACTCGTGTTGGACGCCCGTCAGTCGGGAGTTTTGAAGAAATAAGGCTGTTTATTTGGGATCTATATTCCTCAATGATCCCTGGAATACGCCCCGTACCCAGTCGCTTATCTGGGAGGCATGTGGCGCTGGGACTTCGTGCCCAGCGCTGCCAGCTTCATCATGCAATTGCAGCCGCTAACAGGCTACAGCACGATGGGCGGACTCGAGTATCCAACTTTTGGATTCCCACCGGCGGTATTTCCAAGAAACCCGTCAGTGGAGAGAAGGGTACGCCGATTGTGACAAGGAACTATTCAACCAACAAATGCTAACTAAGCGATAGAAGATGCGAATGACCTCTTGATTAGGGGAGGATTCTTACGCCAGGTGAGCCAAGTAGAACTTCTCTTTATCTAATTTATCATCCTGACTAATTTGGTAGGCTTATTCTGGAGTATTTCACCTCCTACCTCTTGGCTTGCGAGTCCAGGACAAGCTTGAGAGTCTCATCGACAAGCATATGCGCTCTCTTGGTGAATATCCCGCCTTCAAAAGGATTTGATGCAAATACTTACATCTAAATAGGCGCATCAAAAGTTTCGCTTTCCTCAATCTCTTCCCAGGAGCTCTGGGAGCAAACTGGTCGATTGACCGCAGGCTCCGACGAGGTATGCTTTTTTTGGATCTTCTACAGACCAACCATTAACATTAGCCAAGGTATTCCGATTCGAAGATCGAAAAGGCGCTCGTTTTATTCTTGCTCCGACTCACGAGGAAGAGATCACTACTCTGGTTGGTAATTTAACGACATCCTATAAGAGCCTTCCTCTGCGAGTGTACCAAATAAGTTAGATTTGCCCAGCCCCGTCATCAAATATTTTGTGCTGACTGTTCTGAAGCGAGGAAATATCGCGACGAAGCCCGACCGAGGCAAGGTCTTCTCCGCGGTCGTGAGTTTGTCATGAAGGACCTCTACACATTCGACTACAATGTGGAACAGGCCCTCAAGACGTATAACGCTGTGAAACATGCCTATACACAGCTATTTGACGAATTAAAGATTCCATACCTTGTCGCGGCAGCAGACTCGGGAAATATGGGTGGCAATCTCAGCCACGAGTTCCACTTCATCAGTGCCAAGGGTGAAGACCGCGTGATTAGCTGCTCAAACTGTGACCATGTGTACAATGAAGAGCTTGCAGACGGCAAGAGCCACAGCTTCCCCGAAGAATCAGGGAAGGCTGGCGTGCCTGGTTTCCAGACCGAGGAGGGCGTCTCTCTTGAAGGAGGCTCAACAGTCTCAACCGGTATGTGGATGGCCATTTCGCATGATGGGCATACTCTTCTCCGGGGCTGGTTCCCCAAATTCTCGATGCAGAATAGTTCCACGGAACCGGAGGAGCGTCACGTCAACTCCCATGCTGCCAAAGCAGTTGCAACGGCAGCAGGTGTCGACCTTGACCTCAGTGTGGAGAATCCATTGGAGAAGTGGGTGGCCCGTGTCAAGTCTCGCAAATCGTCGGACAAGCCGCGTGTCCTAGACTTGTATGACTCGCAAGTGCGTGTATACCAGCGCCCCCGCTCAGTGATCTGCTCCAACAGTCTGGCTGCACCGCTGCAGACATCGAATACACCATGCTGGACCGTTTCCCTGGGACCTCGAACAAGCTTAGCCTCGTCCGAGTCCACGACGGAGACCGGTGCTCGCAGTGCGAGGAGGGAATCTTGACTAGTAATCCTGCTGTCGAGCTCGGTCACACTTTCCACCTCGGCACACGCTACAGCGAAGTGCTCAATGCCTCTGTGTCTGTCAACTCGGCGGTTCTTGATGGATCTGCCGAATCAGGGGGCAAGTCTGGTAAAGAACTGATTGTTCCCATGCAGATGGGCTGCCACGGAATTGGAGTTTCACGTATGATCTCAGCAGTTGTGAACCGGTTGGCAGATGACAAGGGATTGAACTGGCCTTGTGCTATCGCTCCTTATGAGGTTGTCGTTGTCCCAGGTAAGGGACTGGACTCGATGGCTGAACAAGTCTATGATAGCCTCACTTCAGGCAATTCGAAACCTGTGGACACCCTTTTGGATGACCGTGATAAGGGCATGGGCTGGAAACTGGGTGATGCTGACCTGATCGGCTACCCCGTTATTGTGGTAGTTGGCAATGGCTGGAAGAAGAACCAGACCCTGGAGGTACAGTGCCGCCGTCTAGGTGTCAAAGAAGACGTTTCTCTTGAGACACTTCCCACGTTTGTTCAGAATCTGCTTTCCCAGCTATGAGGCGATCGCGGGATATGAGCCTGTAGCATATTGTACTCTATTGATCAAGGCGCAAAATGGACGTTGCCATTGTAACATAGCGAATTTACCACCATCTATTTTCTTTGAATATTCTTGAAATTTCCTATCCCATCATGCTAGTAGTTATTCGCTTCAACCTTTTTATAAATCAAGGAGAGGACCGTCAAGAGGGTCTACAGCGGGACAGAGGTGCGTGCACTTACTCCATCCCACTCTACAACCAGACTGTGAATTGCCTACCCGCACTATTTCCACATCCTGGTTACCTTCGTTTTCCTCCAAGCTGTCAACCCCCCACCTCCGCCCGCATATTGTATGCGCACAGAGTCCACCACTGGCGCATAAGATTCCAACCTCGAATTCCTACAATTCGGCTCGCCCGAATCAAGCTACATCACACAGCCCACAATGGCTTCCTCAGACAGCTCCTCCGGCGGAGCTCCCCCGGGCTCAGGTACGCCCGCAACCCGCAAAGCCAGCATCACCACAACCCCAATGGCCAGCTAGCTAACAAAATCCTACTCGGTATCAAAAGTCAATCTCGCCTCCCTTTCCGTGCCCCAACTCCGCTCCCTGCAGACCCGTCTCACCTCCGAGCTCGAGCACCTGACGACCTCACACGCGAAGCTGCGCGCCGCGCAGGCCAAGTTTCGGGACTGTGTGAATTCGATCAACGACGGTGTGACTGGCTCAGCGAAGAAGGGTACCGATGGCCGGGATGAGATTCTAGTGCCTCTGACCAGCTCGCTGTATGTGAAGGGTCGATTGACGGATCGGGAGAAGGTCCTTGTTGATGTTGGAACTGGTTTCTACGTTGAGAAGGTATGGTTTCAGGAAACAGGGACGCGCATTGGAGAGATTCGGACAGTTACTGATAATTGGGTTAGACTTCTGAGAAGGCAGTTGCTTTCTATAATGACAAGGTCAAGGGTCTGGATGCGAATCTACAGGAGCTGGAGAAGATTGTACAGGGCAAGAACCAGCAGTTGCGAATTGTTGAGGAGGGTGAGTATTTCCTTGGCCACGGATGCTTGTATTCGAGGCTATGTATCCGGATCGTTGAGCTATTTACTGACTTGTTCTCAGTCCTCCGACAGAAGATGCTTAGCGGCGAGGCGCCAGCGCAGACTGCTGATACGGCTGCATGATAAACATCCACGCGCAGTTTATGAGTGCGAAGATGTCCTAGAAATACCAAAAATCTCGAAAAGTTATACATTCACCCCAATCTTGAAGTCGAATGCGAAAAATCTTTATCTAGTCAAGTAAGACTAGGTCTGAGTCGGTCTATGAAAGGCGTCATTGTTTCACTTCGAAGGTCTGCAGTAAGAGTACATTCTATTCTCGATGTGACATCGATCCTACAATTGGGAGACTCCTGAGTCAAGAATCTTAAACAGCACAGAATTTGGGCCCGTTAGAGTGGGCACCAGTCGGGTAAATAGCTGACTCGAGTTCACTGAACAATCTTTTCTCTTCAAAACGCGAGGTCGACATATCCCATAGTTAGTACGTTACAATCAAAGCCTTGGAAGACGCAGAAAGACATGGTGATCATACAGGATCAGGATTCCCCTCTCAAAACAGTGTCCCAAGCTCCACGTCCATCCAAGCAGCCACATTCTCATCCTTGGGCGGCTGATTCAAGCCAATTGCAGAGCCACCCAGCAGCTCCGCAATTTTCTGGACAACATAGAGGACCTCTATCAAGCCAGCCCCTTCCACTGCATTACTGTCTAGGCTTGACGGGAAGAAAGCCTCCAGACCCGCTCCGTGCGGTTGAATCTGGGCACCGCCAACTCCAATCTCTCCTCCCAAGAGCGAATCCCAATTCGGGTCGTAGAGTGAGGCACTTGCGTATGACTTGATGAATTTGGTCCGTCTATAGATATCGAATCGAGCGAGCTCCAGTACCAAGTTAGTTCTCTTGACCTTGAACCGAATTGCGGACTTTTTCACAATGTGGGCGTCGGGTGTGTCTCTAGGGATCCAAATGTTCATGGCGGCATGGGAGACGAAGTGATGGTTGTCACCATTGCTAGTGAAACGGATACTGGACGCGAGCTCGCGCTGGGATTTGCTCAGAAGTCTCTCCGCGGCGACCTCGAAGAACTCAATGTCGCATTGCCAGTCAGCCCTATGAGACAATTTCAGTGTGGGCTCATCATAATGTTAAGAAGTTGGGTTACCTTCCAAAGTCCACCATGGCGAGCTGCAGTGGCATCCTCAGGGTCTTATCTTCGCCATGACGCGCTTTGAACCAGCGATGACCCTTGATTTCAACTTCACCAGCACGCGCAATCCGTTTGAGGTAAAGCTCCAGACGGAAATCAGAGCCGGGACTTCCTAGAAACTCGATAGTGGCCGAGTGGGTTGGCTCCATGAGCTCCAGCTCACTGAGAGGCCGCGTCTGGCCGATGGGCTCAAGGAGGTCATCCGCGTCGCGAAATCTGTTCAACAAGGTCTCCATGCTGATCTTCTGTCTATCCAAATTGTTAGTTCAATTCAATATTGCACAGGGATTTTCGAGGACATACCCAGGCACTACTCGTCCTCGACACTGGTCATGTCCAATCATGTCCGCGAAGTCGAACAGGTTGACTGCAGTTTCATTGGTTTTAGGGGACATGAATCTGTCTAGAATCAAGGTCCCGAAGTGGAATCTCATCCTCAGGTTGCCATTGAAGTAGTTCACCATGGAAAGCGATGTTCGCATATCCTGCAGAATCTCTTTGAAATTCGCGGTGTGCATGGCGTTCATCTTATGGGCGAAGACCTGACGGCCAGTATACGCATCTTGACGTTCAACTTGGTGAAGGTATGGTTTCGCAACAAGGTTATGCCTTAGGAGGGTGACGGCGTACATCGAGGACTCAACGGGGAGTGGCGCAAGCATGAGCTTCTTGATGTGCAAGTCAGTCCTTCCCATTCCTTCCACCCAGGCTGCCCGAAGGAATTTGACAACGGATACAGAGTCGAAACCTTCATTGTTGGAAACGATGATGTGTGCCGGATTCTCGGGGTCTAAGTAAGCATAGACCTGAAGCTCAGTACGGATACCATCCATCTTCTCAAGAGCCGCTCCCAAGCATTCCTGGGGTGAAGGACCATCAGTAGGCCAAGTGAAGACCAGTTTGTTCTATATGAAAAGATTAGCATTCAGAATATCCACCGCGGCCTTTCTTGTGTCTGTGTCTCATACGGTACACTCAAAGCCTTCAGGCTCTCTTCGAAGTTATTCCAATGCCATGTGCTCTTGCTTGCGTTTCATTTGTTCGATGCTGTGATAAGGACCGATCTTGTCCCATGCCAAAGGTTTGCGTGCATTGCCAGACAAATGGCGTCCAGGTCTCATAAGTCGCTGGGCTGATTTTTGGCGAGTTCGAGATGTTCTGGATCCTGGGGATGACCTCCTCTCCATTTCCGCCAATTGCCGGTCACGGTGTCGAATCACTAAATGTTGAAGCTCTGTTTTGGCATTCTCCACCTGAGTCTCGTTGCCCCAAATGAAAAGTTGCTTCAAACAGTCAACGATGTGATTGTGAACTTTGGATTGAGTTTGATATCATACCGTGTCACTCTCCACAGGAGGCTGGATAAAAGCGCCAGTCTTCTTGCAAACGTCATTGAATATCTCTGTTCTCCCAGGGCGGGCCGTGGTCCTGCCAAACAGTGAGGCTATGGAGGCATCGTCGGTGCTTATTGATAGATTAGCCAACCCGAGCTGGAAAATCATAGATAGAAAGGCCTTACGCATTGTAATCGCCTAGCTGCACGACACCTAGTGATTAGGATTAGTGCTGAACTCTCGACGTAGTACATAGGTTTCTTACAGTCAGGCTTCATATCAGTAAGCCATTTAGATCTTGCTGAAAGAGGACGCGAGGGTGGAGGAGTGCTTCTTGTCTTAGATCTATGTGGGATGGCGCCAGACGATGGGTAGCGATATCCCCTCTGGCCTTGAGGCAATATAGGATAGGCTGCCTGGTGGGTCACAGGAAAAGTTTCAATCACTGGCTTGGCTGACGGTTTATATGTAGGTGGCTTGATCCTGGGTTCTGAGGGTTCCTTTTTAATCAATTTAGGTGTTGCAGGAGGACTGTCGAGCTCGATGAGGTTTCCTTCTGGAACTCCATGTTTAGACTGTGAAAGGACTTTAAAGGCCGAGTAGTCACTCCATTCTCGATGATTTATCCCTCCATTGATATTGGAATAGGGGTCCGGGCTGTGTCCTGGAGCACGGCCTATCTCTTGAATTAGTTACTGTAGGGCAACGAGGCCCTACCAGCCAGGCAAATTCGACATAAAGGGTGACATACCCCGGGCAGCCTCACGAGCTAAGTGATCTCTGCGAGGAGATTAGTAATTTGAGCTGTATTGAGTAGATCATAGACTCATGAAAGAGACTCACAGATCCATAGATAGATGGATTGATTCGGTCGGGGTGGTTTTCGAATGTGGATTTGGCGGACTTAGAAAAGCATGGGGGGTAGATTGGTATCGAGAAGCATCTACCGAGACCAAATTTGGAAAGGAAAAAATTTGGTCAGTGGAGTATGAGGGAGAATTTGAATGTGGGAAGAAGTACAGGATAAGTTACCAAAATAGTGGAGATGGGAAAAAAAGAGGAAAAAGGAGTGGAGGAAGAGCGTAGAGATGCAGAAAACAGAGCCTCAATATACAGTTAAGAAACTATCCAGGGAATAGAATATTTAACTATGTGAAATAGCACAAAACAGCCTCATGGGAAGTACCTATGCGATTGGAAAGTTCCGAAAGACTTGCGATACTGAATGAAACCTTGTATAAAGGGCCAGTCTAAACAGGAATGGATTTTCTAGGTAGATCCATTGTTTGCCCTTAGGGTAACAAAAGTCTGCAACAAGAGAGAAATGAGGATCATGCTATCCTCAAGTTGTATCACTCTGCTGTGAGGACTATTGTTGATTGTTTTCAGGACTCCTGTGTAGATTCTTTGACCCTTGAATGTAATAAGAAATGAGGATGAAGACTGCTACTATCTGACGTGCGCTTATAATGTAGCTGCCAATTCTGACATTAAATTAGCCTACTTATCATTGCTTTGATTGATTGACTGAACTACCTAATATGTAGCAAAGTACAGAGCAGGTGTTAATCTATGGAAACAGCATTGATGATCGGGATCCACATTCTACTGCATGATTGGCGGGTCAATTAACGACGCTAAGCCAAAAGGGGAGTAAAGTGGACAACGCGTGTTTGCAACGCGATTTCATTATTTCTCTGCAAAGCTTCCGTCATCGTCAAGCCTACGGTCTACTCCCATTGAAACCTGGGCGATCGGGCATAATGGCAGTTGACACAGATCACTCGAGCGACGAGGGCTCCGAGAAGCGCCGCAATGTACGAAAGCGCGCCCAGCAATGGATGACCAAGGGGGCCCTGGTGCACGAGGACTCCGATGATGAAATGGGCGACGAGGACCACCCTTGGGACTGGGTCTATGCTACCGAAGAGGCTGAGGTCAAGGAAGATCCAGAGACGAGCAAGGCGAGCCCTGAAAAATCTCGCCGGCGACGATCATCCCGCCCTGCGAAGAAGGGCCCGGCAATTGTGGGCGCACGAATGGGTTCGTTCGAGTGCAGACTGGGCGAGGTCGTGCTCCTTAAGTCTCCCGAGAATGGCAAGGACTGGGTCGGAATCATCACCGAGTTCCTAGAGGAGGAAGACGAGGATGAGGAAGAGGGGGTGATCAAGTCGGTCAACATCATGTGGTTTGCGTCGCCGGACGAGTTCATGTCCACAAGGAACAAGCAGAGAACGGATGCACTGCCCAATGAGCAGTATCTCACAGCGGATTTCAACATCAACCCACTCACATCGATCAACGGCAAGGCAACGGTCATGTCGAAGGACGCATTCTACGCAAAATACCCGAACGGAGCTCCGCCAAAGGACAAAACACAACGTGCCGAATTCAGCAAGTGCATCGTGTGTCGCCGGGGCGTCAACCAAGTGCAAGGTCGATACACCGATGAGTTTAACTGGGAGCAAGTCTACGGAGATCGCAACGTTCATCAACTCATCAGCATGGTGAAGGACGGCTTGAAAGCGGCGCGCAAGAGGAAAGCGGCTGACGACGAGGTAAGTCCCCCATCGTTCTCTACTGCTCGAGCTAGCACAAACTGACCTCAGTTTTCAGTATGTCGACACCAAGGACGAGACTGCCGCTCCATCCACCCCGAGGAAACGACAAAGACTGGCCGCAACCAACACTACACCAAAATCACAGCGCAAGAAGGCTTTGACGACACCCTCGAACAAACGGTACGCTATCATGGCTATGGCAATCTTGGTATATCAGTGAACTAACAGAGCCTCTAGGATCGTCGTAAAGAAGCCTCTTGAATTCACGCCGCTGGGCACTCGCGTCCTCGAACCATCTCATTTTGCCTCGCCCTACCGGCAAGCACGCACATTACTACATGTTTCAACAGTCCCAGAATCCCTTCCTTGTCGAAAAACCGAGTTCAATACCGTCTACAACCACCTCAGTGCTGCTATCATGGAAGGCACCGGAGCTTGTATCTACATCTCAGGTACCCCGGGTACAGGTAAAACCGCAACTGTGCGAGAAGTCGTCGCCCAACTCAATGGTGCCGTGCTGGCAGAGGAGATGGACGATTTCATTTTCGTGGAGATCAACGGCATGAAAGTCACCGACCCGCATCAATCTTACTCTCTCCTCTGGGAGGCATTGAAGGGAGACCGAGTTTCTCCTTCTCATGCGCTTGACCTGCTCGAACAAGAATTCTCCAATCCTTCGCCTCGCAGAGTCTCCTGCGTCGTGCTCATGGACGAGCTGGATCAGCTGGTCACCAAGAACCAGTCAGTGATGTACAACTTCTTCAATTGGCCCGCTCTTCGTCACTCCCGGCTTATCGTCTTGGCCGTGGCGAATACTATGGATTTGCCTGAACGTACCCTGAGCAACAAGATTTCTAGTCGTCTCGGTCTCACCCGTATCACATTTCCCGGATACCGACACACAGATCTCATGGAGATCATCAGCACTCGTCTAGCCAGTGTCCCGGGCAACATCGTCGATCCAGATGCTATTCAATTTGCTAGTCGTAAAGTTGCTGCTGTCAGCGGTGATGCGCGTCGCGCCCTGGATATCTGCCGTCGTGCCGTTGAAATCGCTGAGCAAGAAGCCGATGAAGCTGCCAACGCAGAGTCAGCAAGCAACGACGCTGCGGATGATATTCCTCCAACCCCGAGCAAGACTCCTGCGCGACGCAACAAAGCGCTCACCGAGAAGGGAGCAGGTGATTCACCGGCCCCGAAACCGGCCTCCGGTAAAGGTCAACCTGGTCGTGTTACTATTGCAACTATCAAGCAAGCAATCCAGGAAGCAACTTCCACCCCACTCCAGCAATCACTGCGCTGCCTGCCTATTTCGGGCAAGCTCTTCCTTGCCGCCCTCCTTGCACGCGTTCAACGCACTGGGATCACCGAGTCCACATTCGGCGACGTCCTCGACGAGGCACGCCGTATCGCTGATGCGGCCGTTGCCGTCGCCGGTGCAGCCGGAGCGGGCGTCAAGGACTTCCTACTTGGAGGAGGTGCCGCATCCCGAGTGCGAGCTCTCGGCTTCGCTGCCATGGAGCTTATGAATTCTGGCGTCCTGGCGTTGGAGCAAGGCTCCGGCACGAAGAACATGCTTGGCGGCTCTACAATTCCTGCTCGTGGTGACCGGAGCAGCAAGATTCGGCTTCGTGTCGCACCGGAGGATGTCAAGCTTGCATTCCGGGAGGATGTGGAAGCCAAGGGCTTTGGTATGGGGATTGAGCAGTAGTTCTCTCTTCCGTGGATCGCATCGTTTTTTACAAGCATTGTTGGAGTTCCCCGTCCTGCATTTTGTACAACATTTTACTGAACCAAGCTGTAGGCAATTAGCACGGCATATGATACCCTTTTATCCATACTCTTCCTCAACCCTTAGCTGTTGCGTGTGATGCCCTACTCACGGGTAAATTTGGGAAGTAATTTTTGTCAATGGCACTCAATTGGAGCCAAATGAGTAAATAATACTTGTACAGAACATGATTCTATCCTGAAGCATGGAACCTTTTCTCCAAAAACGAATTTCACCGACTGCCCTCCCTGACTTCAAAATTACAGGGCAAGCACATGAACCACCTTGAACGCCACCCACTGCAGTAACAAGAAAGACCAAGCAGATGAGAAGGGTATTAACAACTGAGAACAGATGGCCCAACGAAACTCTAATACCGCTGTCTGCCGAGAGTAGGAGCCCATGTAACAGGGTGCGTCTCCGGCGTGGCATTCTCATCCTCCTTCCAGATCTTGATAGTCTTGTCAGCCTCACCGGTAATGAGACGCAGACCAGTCCGATCGAAGGTTGACGCCATGATACCCGTCTCGGCATCGAGGGAACCGGGCTGGGCCATAGTATCGATAGACTGGAACTGGTATCCGGTCTTCCAGTCCCAGAATGACATGGATCCATTATCACCGCCAGAGAACATGACGTTCTCGTCGTTGACGGAAAGAGTGTTGATGATGGCATTTTGACCGTCGAAGTTCTGCATAAAGTCACCCTCGGGGCACTTCCACTGCTTGATGCTGCCAGTACTAGCACTGGCAAAAGTAAACTCGGTAGGGTGGGTCGCGAGCGCACGAACACCCTTCTTGTGGTGCGTCAGAACGCCCATAGACTTGCCAGCTGCGAGATCCCACAGCCGGACCGTAGCGTCCAGTGAGCCAGAGATGACCTGAGGGTCTGCTTCTTGGCACTGAATATCGGCAACAGTGCCCTTGTGTCCGGAAAGAACGTGAACGTTGCTTCGTGTGCGCATGTCCCAGACTCGGCATACACCATCGCGACCACCGGTAACCAGTAGATCCAGGCGAGGGTGCAGCGCCAATGTGTAGACACCACTCAGATGGCCGTGGTAGTGGCGAATAACCTTATTCGTCTCCAAATCCCAGCACTTAACCATTTTATCCTCGCCACACGAGAAGAGGTATGGATGCCGGGGTGAAACCGCCAGACCGCGCACAGTCGAGATGTGACCCGTCAGGGTAAGTCGCAAAGCACCCGTAGCCATATTCCAAATCTTAATTGTTCGATCGCCGGCACCACTGGCAAACCACTCGTTATTCGGCTCGACCGCCAATGCTCGCACCCAACCCAAATGTCCGGAGATCACACGCATCAACTTCCATGGCGCATGCCAATCCGGCCGTGCCTGCTTCGTCGCGGATGGTCTCTGAATCAAACTCTTAGGCTGGTCCTCGCCACCAGCAGCGCCTGCGCCCACGCCCGCAGGTCTCCTGACAAGGGCCATGGAGGCACCGCTGCCATCGCCGGAGCCTTGGGATTGGGCTGGCTGGATCTTGGGTCGTTTTGTGCGTCCCGACGCAGCCTTGGCCTGTTTTTCTGCCAGCACTGGGGGCAATTCCATCACATCTTGGTATTCTGCCTTTCGCCGGTAGGACACGCCGATTGTGCCGTCTGCGAGGGTCGAGGGTGTGACCATGAGGTATTCTGTACCGAAAAGATCGGCGGTGCGCTTCGCGGAGGTGCGTACAGCCTCATTGGCCGTTTGAGAAGGTAGGGATTCCATTTTTGTGACGAGATAAGGGCTGTAGATAGGTATGTTCGCGGTTGGGGGAGGTGGAGTGTCGCGAAAGAAGTCCACGCGCAGAGGCTTTGAGCCTCGAAAGGTTATGTGGGCGGCGGAAAACCTTTGTTCGGATCGCAATTCAATTCGTGTATCGCAATAAAGCTCCGTATTCCCGAGTGATACTGGCGGTCGGCTCCAATAATGCAATGGTGAGAAGGGCGATTGGAGTTTGAGGTGTGGTGGATGCGGACGTGAATCTTCTGCTGGGAAGTTCATCGGCCTTGCTGCCTGAGGTGTCAATCATCAGGTGTCAATCATCTCTTCACTTATCGCAGCTCTTATCGTATGATCCTCCACTTTACCATCGTCATGGATCCTGATCAGAGCGCCAAGTTTCCTCTTCATGAGGCTGCCCGTGAGGGCAAGAGTATGTGCTATTGATGGCTGATTTCGGAAGCTACGCTGACAATATGAGACAGCTCAAATTGCTGAATCGCTGCTGAACGTGAGTGATCGCCATCTGTAGAGCTTCGAGCTGCCCCGCAGAACCCACACTTTGCGGCCGGGCATGCCGGGTCTACAACATAACTCCTCAGCCATGGCGTGAAATTTGGACTAATGAAGCTTTTCAGGCAAATCCCAAAGCTGCGCTTGTCAAAGATGACGATGAACGTCTTCCTATTCATTGGGCCGTGGCCTACAATCGACTGCCTATTGTGGAGCTGCTAGTTGGCATGAAGAATTTCGATCCCGATGTTGAGGTGAGATTCTCAGCTTGAACTGAAAACTTACGTCCTATTTAAGGGATAAAGCTAAATCAACATAATATATAATAGGATGGATCTGGATGGACTCCGCTCATGATCGCTGCCAGTCTCAAAGATGCTGAGGGTGATAAAATCATCGACTTACTTCTACGCAAAGAGGCCGATGTCACCATGAAGAGTAATTCTGGCCAGGTTAGTGATCATTATTGAGAACTTGGAGTGACTTTTGGCTAACGGTCAATAGAATGCTCTGCACTTCGCAAGCTCCAAATCCAACATTTCCACGGTCCGAAGTCTGCTAGCGCATAAATGTAGTGCTCGGGTAAAAGACGTTCGTGGCCAACTACCTCTTCACCGAGCCGCTGCGGTTGGCTCTGTTCCTATTATCAAGATGCTTCTAGAGGAAGGCAAGAGCCCTGTTAACGCGACCGATAATGACGGACTGACGGCACTGCATCATGCCATCTCGGAGGGTCATGGTGATGCTGCAATTCTACTCTTGAAGTCAGGCGCAGAAGCTGAAAAGCGAGATGCTGATGGGCGGCTAGCAATTGATCTGGTCCCAGATGATAAAGTAAGTTTGTTCTCGGCTGCTTCTTTTGATTTAATGCATTCGTCTATTGTTTTGCATTCAGATTGTCAGTGTTTCTAATGGTTTATCTTCTCAATCACCAGGTCAAGCAGTACATTTTGCAGACAGCAGAGAGGGAGGGAATCGAGCTACCATGAAATTAACTTGTCATCAAAATCCCCGCTGAAACAAGGTTCTGCAGCAACCGAACGTTTGCTTTTATGCTACCTCGGTGTCTAGCCAGTTTCCCCGCACATCTCGCTCCGCATTGCCGAGTATGTGCCAATCCCCGATTGTCATAATGCAAAATTTGTAGTGTAACATAAGAGCTACTTGAGTGTTTTTCATCATTCAAGTCTAGAAATTAGTTAAAATAAAGCTATCTCTTGTGTACTACATTAAGTGGATTGACGTTGTGACCTGATGCGAGGGCTTGAACCTCTTTAGGCTATGCCGAGACTCAGATAGACGCAGGTGACAGATGAGGGGTTTCGGTAACAAATGCAAGTTTTAAGGTACTCAAAGGTACCTATTTGTGGAACTCTGCTAGACATCCTATATATCCATGATTGGTACCCCCGCAAGGTGTAGCCTACTATTCTGTTCCGCCCTGAGTTCAAGACACTTTCTTCCGGGAGTCAAGATGCCTGTTCCCTCCAGTACCCGTCTTCCAGTAGGAAACAAAGACTTTACAAATGCAACTGTCATTATCATTGGAGCCGGAATATCCGGTATGTTGGTTATTCACGACTAGAGAGGCTGTTTCAAACTAACCGATCTCGTATCAAGGCATGAACATGGCGATAGACCTCATCAAACGGAACAACTGTCGCAACTTTGTCATCCTCGAGAAGAGTAGTAACATCGGCGGAACATGGAATGATCAAAAGTACCCCGGATGCTGCTGCGATGGTATGTCCCCTGTTACTTCAAAACAGTTTTCGTGTTGTTAATCGAAATCAGTTTGGAGTTCATTGTACAGCTATTCCTTCGAGCAAAACCCCAACTGGTCTCGCGAGTACCCAGGCCAGGAGGAAATCTACGTAAGCTGGCAGCTATCCTCTGACAATTGCATGGCCAAGATTGAAACTGACTCGTTGTTCTCTCGTTTACCGTAGGCATACCTCGTCGGAATCGCAGAAAAATGGGGTCTTTACAAACATCTCCGATTCAATTCAGCCGTGGAAGAAGCTCGCTGGGATGACGAAGAATTGAAATGGAAAGTTACTGTCAATATATCAGGACAGAAAGACAGCGAGTTTGGGTCCTCCTATGTCATTGCCTCCGATTTCCTCGTCTCTGCCGTCGGCCAGCTCAACTTGCCCAGATACCCTGATATTCCGGGCATTGATGACTTCGAAGGGAAACTGATGCACTCCGCCCGATGGGACTGGAGCTACGATTTCAAGGGGAAGAAGATTGCGATCATTGGAAATGGTGTGTTATCTTCTCTCTAACCCTTCTGCAACTCATTTAGCGGTTCTAACAATAATCACAGGAGCAACGGCGGCCCAAATCATCCCGGAAATTGCACCAACTGCTTCTCATCTGACAGTATTCCAGCGGACGCCAAACTGGCTAGTTCCTCGCATGGACGCTCCCGTGTCCGCTTTCCAAAAGGCACTATTAAAATACGTGCCACCTATCCGCTGGCGCAAACGTGCGGTCCAGATGGAATTCCGTGAGGATTTCCATGCTGCTATCTTCGATGACAACTCCGAGTATGCGCAGACGATTCGAGACTGGTGCACGGGTATGCTCAAAGCTCAGTTAGCCAACAAGCCCGAGCTCTGGGAGACCTTGACACCTGACTATGCGCCTGGGTGCAAGAGGGTTATCCTGTCTGATGATTACTATCCTGCGTTAGCTCGTGACAATGTGGATCTAGAGACAAGACGTATCGAGCGCATTACGACCAAGGGAATTGAGATTGAGGGCGTTGGCGAGCAAGAATATGACTTTATCGTGCTGGCAACGGGATTTAAAACGGTCGACTTTATGTACCCGATTCAAGTCTTTGGTACGAAGGGTCGATCGGTTGCAGATATTTGGAAGGATGGGGCAAAGGCTTACTACGGTGTGACTGTGGAGGACTTGCCTAATTTTGGAATGTTCTATGGTCCGAACACTAATCTCGGTCAGTAAAAGCGTCTTTCGGGCGATTTGATCGGGCTGTTCTAACGCAAATACAGGTCACAACTCTATCATTCTCATGATCGAAGCCCAGTCGCGTTATCTGAATGCCTTGGTTGGTGAGGTAATTCGTTCACGCCACCTAGGAAAGACACTTGCCCTCATGCCAACACCAGAAGTGATGAAAGACTACAATGACAAGATACAAGCTCTGCTGCGGAGTAGTAGCTTTGCAGATCCCAAGTGCAACAGCTGGTACAAGAGGGACGATGGAGTCATCACCAATAACTGGTCCGGTACTGTCGTGGATTACCAGAAAAATCTTTCAAAAGTGCAGTGGGAGGATTACATTGTCAAAGGTTCCGGTAGTGATCTTGTTAAGAACAAGAGAGCTACTCAGCTGGGACGAGTTCATGAAGAGCCTTACTTCAGCAATACATCTCTTCTTGCCGGTGCGGCTGGTGTCTTAGCACTTGGTGGGTATCTCATCACTCGTGCAAAGCAGCAGAAGGCCCGCTGAGATTAAATGGTTGATGTACTCTTTAGTATAGTTTATGTTGTTCTGGATACAATTCCAAATCGTGCCCTTGATTAGAATCTTTCTCAAGCCAGTCTAGATCCGTACTTTTGATCAGCGTCATCATCATGCCTTTTGTGTCAATTTGCGCCGCTTCATCAATAAACGGTCCAGTCCGACAAGATACTTCTCCCACAGGCCCTCGGAGCCCTAGCCCAGCAGACGCTTAAACCTTGTAAAAAAGGGCACATGTTCATCTTCCTCCTCCATCTCCAATTTACCCAGCGAATCAGGACCCCAGACCTCCCAAAAGTCAGTTCACCACGGCTCTTGGCCCCAGGCAAATTTGATCCAAGCAGAGGCTATGTCATGTCCCATTGCACGTTCCCTGGCATAAAGCTTGTTGTCAAGATTGCCAAATAAGTACACCACGTCAAAGTGGTATGCCCTCCCGTTCAAGAGATTTTCCAGACGGGAGCGTTGGTCAAAATGGTATTTGAAAATGGCTTTCTCACCGCGCAACCGCTCGTTGACATTCGCTGTTAAATAGTTCGGGATCTTGAAGACAGCTTCCCCGCTCACAGTACACCCCTTCTCAACGAGCTCTGGGCCAGGGATATTTTGGGTGCTGTCAAATTCGTGAAGGGTTCTGTTGACGTAAACCTCATCTTGTATGCTTGCCAGTAGTGTCTGCCGAAAAGTTTCGTACGTGTCATTCATGACATTCGTCGTGAAAATCACGCCCTCGTCGTACACGCCACCTATCATGAATGACTTCAACCAACTTGGTGCCTCGGTCTTTGACTGAAGTCGTGGGTCAAATTTATAAAACCACCCATCATTACAAGGATTGCCAGTCCCAGATGGAACTCCTTGGATAATGTGGTCCGCATTCGCCATTTCCTGTTCTGGCACTTTTCTGAGCTGATCAAGAACATCTGAAGCACAGGGATCAATAGGAAAGTAGCGACACGTTGCGTGAAACAATGCCTCATGCTCATCCAAATCCAATCATGCAAGAGTAATCCCCAGGCCGGACATGCAAATCGCCCGATCAAACTTCATCGGATTGTTCGCTGCGATCTGATGGCCAATCGAGACACCACCTGCCGACTGACCAAAGACCGTCATGTTGTTCGGATCCCCTCCAATCTGGCCGATGTATTTCTGAATCCAGTCCATGGCGACTTGCTGATCCGTCAAGCCAAAGTTTCCGTTCCCCTCGAACCCGTCTTCTCTCAGCTCGTTGCTAATCTTCGAGCTAGCAAGGAATCCACCCAGGCCCAGTCGGTAATTAAAACTCGCTACTACGACGGGCCTACCGATCTCGACACTATGGGAGACAAGGTTCACGGCATCGTAGATGCCGTAGTTTGCACTACCGAAGAGCAAAGATCCGCCGTGAATCCATGCGAGTACGGGGGATTTCTCTCCTTTGAGGCTTGGGTGTTGTAGAACGACTATATTCATGACCAAAGCGGTCTTTTCATCTACTTCTGGCTGACGGGGGAAGTTGGGGTTTGGAGGGACTGGTATGAAAATATTTGTTGTATCGTAGCCTGGACCTTGTGGTCGTGGCATATTATTCCTGCGGTATTAGCTGTGAGTTAGAGATGGTTCAATTCGTCTTTAAAGGACCGGTTATCTCACCCCAGTTGAGCCTCGTTGTGGTAGTCATTTTCCCATGATGTTCTCAGCACAGAGCGCGTCCATCGCTTTGATAATGAGGCGTAGGGAATACCGCAATATTGCTCCACTCCTTTGGCATAGTGGAATCCATCCAATGTGCCCAGCCCTCCGATTTGAGTGGATACTATTGATGAAGGCACTGAAATGACATTTTGGTGTGATTTATGGGCTTGATTATTGAGGTGGAGTGGCCAGAGAAGCAATTAGAAGGAAAGAGTGCCTGCTATAGTCGGCAGGTATGTGTTGCAATCCACTCGATTTCGATATGTCCTTCAATCTGGAATATTCAGAGAATCCAGGCGAGAGATATGTCTGTTACAAAAGTCTTTCCTTATCGCAACATCATTCATTGCCGGAGGGTATCGCGAATGATCCGAGGAGTAACCTGAGATTGCCGTCTGGCTTGTATGCGGCTACGAATATTCCGAGGGTATCTGATTATAAATTTCGACCATTATGGGTCCGGGCTTCTAGAATAGCTATCGGTATTATGATAGACGGATTTGGTAGTCTGGATGGCCCCGGCGATTGATTCAGGCTTGGAAGCGATTAGTTCCGTCACAAGATGGAAGTCAGCTGTTGACACAAGCATTTCATCAATATGCTTTCGAAATAGGTCCTGTTCCCGGGTTTGAGTTGAGTCGGTTGACATCTTTGACTTCAGTGACTTGGCTAACTATTTCCAGTTCTGGGCAGGTGTTTAATGCAGACTTGCTATTGAATGCAGCTAACTAGCCAGGAAATATCAGGTCAGGTACAGAGATATATGTGCAAATGGTGTTTCAAAAATCCTTTTCCAAAAATTCGTAGGTATTGATAGCCATCAGTACCTATTCGGCTTCTCCCTGTGGCTAAGAATGGCCTCATCCATCGATGAAGGCAATAATGGGTCATCCGGATTAAATGTTTGGAGGTCGCACAGATATTGATTCGAGACCAGCCCAGAAAAAATACCTCCACCGCTATATATGTAAATTAAGAGCTTCAGCAATTTATTGAAGTAAGTAATGGAGACACCGAAACAAAATCCTGTTAAACGGTGAAACCTCGTTGTCGGTTATAGCTTCGATATATAAATATCTTGCGTGGACCCTAACGCACCCGTCACCCCTTAAAGACAAAGCAAAAAAAAAAATAAAAAAAAAACAGGCTGGCCAGCAGCCCTACGCAGGTTTAAACAAATAAAGGGCGTCAATAGACACGCATGGTGTAACAATAAAGCAAGGCACTGGAACGTCACCACCCGGAACATTCACTAATAATTCCTCAAACATTCCGAGGACGTGTGGTGGGACTGTACGACATCCCGTCTGAGGTCGGGAGTTGGGTCTGGTCTAGCTACGGTCGGGTTTCCCGCTTCGGCGTGAGGAGAGCCGAGAATTAACTGGACACTGTGCTGTCAAACTACTACAGTGGATCTGACGATGGGACCACTTGGTAAAAATAAAAATCTCTCCCTGCGAATAATCCTGAGGAAATCTTTTGAGAAAGTTCCGTATATAAAAAGAAAAGATGCGTCGACAGGTCCAGACTTGAAGCTTGGATCAAACACACGACCAAAGTACATACTCCAGAGTCCAGCCCTTGGAACCTTGACATGTTCCAAGACATGGCTGGCGCCTATCCATGTCCTCGTTCATGTACCCCATATCTGCCTGAATCCTCAAAATCAGGGGCGTTGTCAGACGCTGGGAAGTGAAAGTCTAGATCCAACATCCTAGACACCAGATGAACTCTGTATACAGCAAGTGGTTGGTTGAAACTGGGGTTTTACATCACAGATACACACTTCGTGGCTGGCCGAACAGACACTGTTCAGCTTCAATAAGTCAGACAATCAGCAGCCGATAATCTCGAACATGAAAAATGCCCAAAGTCGAATTCCCACTCTAGGACTAGTAATATCTGATTCTGTTCAATCATGCCTTCATGCCTCACCGACTTAAGCACGGGGCCAAACCGAACAGTTGACGCCCACGTCCCCCTCCCCTCTCACACCCCTCAGGGACCTCCCCGTTCTGCCGCTCAATTGGCCGGGCTGACCTGACCTGCTGGCGCAGGAACAAGACCAGGCTCATTGAAGAAGTCCACGCCGGCTAGGCGTTGGCCCGAGTGTTTGGTGAGGGTGGATGATTGGGTGGTAGACCGCGCCCGCTGGCGCTACGGTTAGCCCTGCAGGACGGGAGCACGTTCACTCATGGTTCTTTGGTCTCGTAGGTTCATATCGTTACATTTTGCTCCGTACAATTGATCAGGAAAGGAACGGCTGGCTGAGCGTGGAAGAGGGGCCCAAGGATGACTTGAGATGTACAGTATGCACGGGCTGAAGAGAGTAACTCATGCGCGTAGGTGTCTCTCACTGGATCAGGAATAAAGGGGCAAGGATCTTTTGATCCACCTAGGAGGGGGATTTCCACGATGGTTATCGATCGGAGGGGAGTTCTGGGTCTGGAAAGGTTCAAGGTTCGGAGGGCGAGGATCGTTGGAGAAATATGGAGAACCCCCTTAATCTATATCGAGCAGACGGGAGGATAGGTGCAAATTTATATCGCTTGGTAGGTACGTAAGAAGGTGCAAGTATAGTAGTGTTTATGGAAGTCAATATATCGTGTTTGAGACTTCGCATAGTAAATAAAGCAGGTAAAATGTCTAAACTACAGATTTACTGATAATTAGTCTTGTAGAATGGTACTTTGTAGAGAAGCGTGTGTTCAGATGCCTCGCAGGTTATATCCGACCGGCATAGAATATGGTTCAATGATAGGGCACAAGGCATAAAGCCTCCAGTTGATGGCTTCTCCACGATACGGATTACGCAGTCGAACGCATTGCCATTCATCATGGTCGATTGGCATTGGAACCAGCCTTGCGTGGCCCAGGAACCTTGGACCCGGGGCAGGAGTTGCGGAAAGGTACTGCAGAAGTAGTATTTTAATATATCACACGTATCAAAAGTACCTACAGGGTACCTTTCTGCAACTTGAGTCTACCCCTGAAATCGAGCGCCCCTCCCCCCCCAGCACTAGCGCGGGTCGGACCCAGCATCCAACCTCTCCCTTCTCGAGATCCACGACTCAAGGGGTCAATTGGCAGTTGCGACTAGTGAAATCCCGTTTCTATTTTCAGTATCCAAGTACCGAAGTAACCGAATAATTCTGCGAGGGATTATCATTGAATTTAAGAAGTGGTTATGGGTTAGATAGAGAGGAGTTTATCATGGCAGTATACACTCGGTGTGGCCGGAACCTCTCCATATGGACCTCCAACTTGGTGACAATCAACATCCCCCCAATTTCCCTTCAACACGTTCATCGGCAAGCATTGTCGATCACCGCCGGCCAGAGCGCACCTTGGCAAGCCGCTCTCAGCGCGTTGATTGTATTGCAGTGCCAATCAGATGCAATCCATCCATGCAGACTGGCCCCGTTCGCCCGTTCGAGAGGGGCGGTTACTCCACCGAGGCTTACTCCTCCTGGTCAAGGGCGCTAAATTGTGCACGCTAGACTGCTTTCTTCTCCCTGCCTCTTTTTTTCTCTTACCCCTGGGAACCAGCTGGGAGGACAAGAGACAAGCAGGTGGCAGAGAGAGACCGCCAATTGCTGGCTACACAACTGTTTAGTCTGTTATCAGCCCACGGGCTACTTGGCCGTAGCGCTAATCGCCCGTCTTTCTCTGGAAAAGCGCTAAGTAACTTACAGTTGGACTCCGTTACTCTTCCTCTCTCTCCTTTTTCTATCTTTTTTTTCTTTTTTTACCTTTTTTTTATGTCTCCAACTTTCAGTCTTTCATTATTTGGGATGATTATCTTTTGATAGTCTCGAACAAACCACCACCAACTCAATCCTTTCCCCTTTGAGCCATTCACTTGAGCGCGTGCCCAATTCTTTCCCCTCTTTCACCACCACCCCCTAATCCCCTAATCCCCTAATAGTCCAATCTCCATTCTTTGTCCCGTGTGAATCGGCATGGACTGTCGATCCTGGGCTATTTTTTGATCTGAACTAGGCTGGTTTCATGGCGTCTCCTCCTGTCGCTCCCACCTGGGGCGGCTCTCCCGCTTCACGGCCCTCAGATCCCATTCCTCATCCCACGTCTGCGACAACGAGTGCTACTACCTCTACTACTACTACTATTACTACTGTGACGACGGCGGCTATCACTCCTCCCCCAGATACTCCGACTAGTCGCTATTCCGTTGCTTCCAGAGCCAGTTCTTCTTCTTCCTCCGGCTTGGACTACTACTCCCACAACTCCCCACCACCACCCCTTTCGTCGCAACTCCACGACCACCACCGTTCGATCTCAATTTCAAGTCACCATTACGATCAATCGCCAGTACTTGCGCAAGCACAAGTACGAGCATCGTTGCACCGAAAGCCTGTCCCGCTGCCGGAGCAGGACCAGCATGCCAGTCCAGTGATCGACCCTGTCCACCTATCCTCTCCCCTTTCGATTAAGAATAACCCCCTCCCATTCCTCATCCTGCTGCTGGTTCTATATCCCCTTCGTCGGTCGAGGGAGGCGACTCCTTTATATTAGCGCCAAGGAATTCTAATAGGTATGCGACCTCATTGTTCCACCACCGTTCCGCTCTTATCTTCCCATCCTATATCCCCCTCCCCCCGGACACCGCACGAACCCTACCTAATAATACCCACCACCCATCTCACTGGCCTATGGCTGCTCTCCATTGCAACTTCTTTGTGACAACGAGAACACACCCACCATTGCCAAGCTGGAGTCGGGCGTGTGTTCAGGGGGGATCTCGATTGACATGGCCAATCCATGCTATCCCGCTTCCCTAAGACCTGGAAGACCTATCATCGCTCACCTTCCTCGCCCTTCTTCAGATATTCTCGTGGCCGACAACCTGCAAAATCCCTCCGTATAGATACCGCCCCAACAGCCGCGTTTCTCAGATCCGTGGTCGAGGACGAAGACGACGACGACGACGAAAGCGCCGACTATTTTGACGAAGATTACGAACACCAGTTTTCGAATGGAACCGGCTTTGGAACCCCCCTCCACAGTCGTCTAGTGAGCGAGCCATTTATTCCCATCCTCAACTCGCCACCCCCTACTCAGCGCCGCGCGACGAGTATGGCCTTGCACCCTCCGATGAATCGCCCACCTCCTTTGCAAATTGATGTCGATCCACGATCCATGTCCATGGGCCAATCCGACCCCAGACAACCCAAAACGCCCGGAAACAAAATCAGCTCCTTCTTTGGCTGGAAAGCGAACACCGCAACGTCACCCGGCGCGGAGTCTTCTAGTACTGAGATCTCCGACGGTGGCCGATCACCAATGCCTTCTCCAATGCCACCACTAGCCAATGTCCCCATGCGGCCCCCTTCTTCATACGATACCAAAGCCAATGGCTTTGGCCCACCTGCACGAACACCATCATTAGGGACACTTAGTGCCCACGACACCGTATACGCGTCCAAGCTAGCCGACCTTGAGAATGAATTGCGCGAAATCAGTTCCGAATTGGCGGGGTCGATTCGTCGGGAAATGGAACTGGAAGACCTGATCGAACGCCTTCAAACAGAAGGGCCGGAAATCAGTCGTCGGACGAGTGATTATTTCTCGGACTCTGGCACTAGTTCGATTCGATACGGCCCGGACCGACAGGAAGATATTGAAAAGATCCGTCGGGGTGCGGAGCAAGAACGAGCGCAATTGAAGGCTGAGTTTTCGTTGAGGCTCCAGGAAGAGCGGATGCAGAGGACTGCGTCTGAATCGCATGTTCAAATACTGGAGAATCAGGTCCAGCAGGTAGGTTTCGGACTTTCGAATCGTATTCGAGGGGCTTCTTGACTGACAGTGTTTGCTAGCTTCGGCGAGAACGAACGGATCTATCAGATCTGTCATCTAAAACGAAAGAGTTGGAGACTGCTTTGGAGAACACGCGGCGGAAGCTGCTCGAAGAACGCCAGTCAAAGGATAACTTTGAAGATCTACTCACAGCCATGCGCGTGGAACTAGAACAGTTGCGGAACGAGCGTGATATCCTCCGGGAAGGTAAAGCACCTCCCGTCCCAGAGATTCAGCCTCCCGCGGCAGAGATGCAACGATTGATCGAAGAGATCGAGGCATTGAAGATCGAGAATGCGTCTCTAGCACAACTGCAAGGCGGACGATTCGCATCCATTGCCGAAGAGGATGGTGTAGGAAATCGCAATTCGGCATTTGGTCTCTCACGATCCAACTCGCTAGCCCGCAAGCCCACCAGTGGCCTGGCGCGATCGGGTTCCCTGTCCCGCTCCAACTCGGTATCTGGTAATAAGGATCGGGAGACGCCCGAGTCGCTGGTCGACAAGGTCAAGGATATCGAGACCCAGCGAGATGCTCTCCACCGTACATTGAGAAGCCTCTTGAGCCGTCACGCACACCAGGAGCGCGAGTTTATGAAGCACACTCGCCAACTGGAGGCTGAGATTGTGCGCGCCCAGGAAGCTGGCCCTCCACGTAAATTGGGCTATGAGCGGGAGGTTCGCAGCCTGCGAGAAGAGGTCAATCACCTCCGCTTGCGCGCAGAGGATGCGCTGGATGGCAAGTGGCAGTGCGAGAAGAACTTGGCGGGTCTGAAGATGGATCTTGACCGTGCTGAGCAAGAGACTAGCTCTCTTCGGGTGCTTCTCCAAGAACACGATACGGAGGTGCCCGAATGGCTGGAGGCGGACCAAGAAAGCTTTGCTAAGGTGATGGCCACCTCATCTTCACTGGAATCTGCCTTCCAACAACTCCAAGCCGACCGGCAACAAGCCGAGGCCAACGGCCAATCGGCCGACATGGAGGCGATCAACATGCGCAGCAACGAACTCGCCGGCTACGTCCACCAGCAACTGCAAGTCAACAGCTCCCTTCGCGGCCGTCTGGCAACGGCCATCGACAAGGGCGAGCGCGACCAGCGAATCTCCGTCGAGCGCATCAACACCCTCCAAAACCGGATGAAGGAGCTCGAAGAGAACCTCCTGGTCGCCCAAAACCATTCCGAAGAGGAACTCAGCAAGCACGAGGAAGAAATCCGCCTGCTGAAGGACAACCAAAATGCGCAGCTCCTGCGCATGAAGAACGGGTCTCGCACGCCCGCCACTCTTTCCCCACGCCCACCTAACACACCCTTCGCCGGCCGGTCTCCGCGCCTGGACAAGACCACCAGCGGCGAGGGCGTCCCCCTGGCGACCGTTGTCCGCGCCGAAGTATTGGAGAAGCACGTCAAGGCACTGGAGCGGGCCATCCGTGATGTAGACATGGAGATGGAAGAAGCAGTGGGACGAATGAACCGCGCCCAGGTCGATGTGGCCCAGCTTCAATCTGACAGGTACGTTGACAGTTTTTTTTTCTCTCTCTTTTCAAAATTAATTCCGCGGATAATGGTTCCGATCCCATCCCGGCTCGGATACGAGATACATCGTGTTTTGGGGCGTTAGGCTAACCCGGTTGGTTCTTCTTACAGGGATGAGGCTCTCCGTCAGACTCGCCGCTTGCAGGCGGACATTCAAGCCGAGAGAGAAACTCTCCGGTCTTTGATGTAATGGGCCAACACTTTTACTTGAATTTGATGTCTGACACTTGATGTCTGATATCTGGAGAGCTATATCGAGCTTTCTTCTGTGGCCTTTTATTTTTTATTTACATTTTACTGCTCTCGTTACCTATACCACCTCATCTGCATCTGCATCGGTACTTACCTTCAGCTCCACGGTTGGGGAAGTCGGGTGTCTGGGAGTTTTGGGTTTATCCAGCGTGTTACACTTTCAGTTGATCTTTTGGTCGACTCCTTTTGATTTTTGACTTTGCTTTGGGATTTGGTTTGTTTGGACCGCTATCCGTGGGCGTGGTACCGCGGAGACTGTTGCTCGAATTGGGAAGAGCAATGGTTGTCCATTTTGCGAGATTGGGTCAAGTCCTCTTCTTTCTGGGATGATCCCACTTGCGCTTGTATATACAGATCACCACTTATTTTTGCTTACTTGGTATATAATCATCAACTGTACAGTACTTCCTATATCTGGGAAGACTTGTATTATTTTCTTTCACTTTTTGAATGCCTTTCACATTTCTTTGACTTGATTGTAGGATTGATGGACTTGAGCCTTTATTGCGGCGCAGGTCTGTTTGTTTGTTTTGCACCGTGCTTATCTCCGAAGCTGTGCGGATTTGATCTCCAACCTTCACCTTTCAACTCTCCATCTTTCACCTTTGTCTACCGTCGCATTGGTATATACACCCCCTTTACTCTTTATCTTCTCTTTGTCGCCTCTCAACCAAAGGCACCGTGTCTACACCTCGGCCTCAAAATAGAGCGACCACCAAACACCGTCGCAAACGAAGCTTCTTTGTCTCGCGATCACCCATATCTACCTCCATCTCGCACCTCAACCCACCATCCGAATCACTCTTAAACCCCTCGAGCCCTCAAACAATCCCTCCCACAAGACATTGACTCTACTCTCATCCAACAAGCAAAACCAAAAACAAAAGCCATGGAACACCTCCCAGGTACGCTCAACAAGTTCCTAACCACCCTCACAAAACCCCAACCAACCCTCCACCCAACCATAACCGAAATTCTAACCACCCTCCCAGAACCCCTCCAAACAATCCTCACAAACGCAACATACACCTACCTCCGCTCAACCGCCCACTCCCAAATAAGCACTCACCTATCCACGCTTCGCACAACCGTCATAACGCCCTACGTCCTCACGCCGCTCTCGCACCTGCTCGCCACAACGCTCGACATGCCGGATCTTATGAGCGTGCTGTTTCTGGCGGGCCTGCTGGTCGTCTCGCTGATTATTCTGGATTATATGCGCCGGTTTGTGGTGTGGTGGGTCATGTGGTGGGTGAGGTTTATTGTGCGGGTGGTATTTTGGGGGAGTGTTGTGGTGGTCGGGGTTTATGTTTGGAATGTTGGGGGGGAACAGGCGTTTAAGGATGCGGGGAGGATTTGGGGGTTTGTTATGGGGTTTTTTGAGGAGGGGATGGCGGGTTTGGAGGGGGCGGTAGTAAAGGGAGGGGGAGTTCGAGTGCTTGGTGGTAAGATGGAGGGAAGAAGAAAGAGAAACTGGTTCTGTTTTTTGGAGATTATTTGATATTGCTTGGGGGCGTTGGATATTGCGGGGACCTTGAATTGGTGGTCTCCCGGTCTAAGGGCTATAAAGCTCATTTTATTCCTACTTCTTTGCTGCTCCTGTTTATTCTCAAGGTTAAATGGGAAATTGGAATTCCAGGACCTTACATATGTCATCAGTCATGAGGTGTTGATTGTCGGTGTCTATGGATTAAATAGTTATTCTCACAACGACTTTTTCTTTTTTAAGCACAGTCACAGAGACAAAGAAATGGCAAACATGAGTTAAGATGAAAACCACAAAGAAACTCCAGAAAGAAACTCCAAACAAATGCTTAGTGAGATGTTGTCTCTGGTACAATCTGCCCCACATCCGTAGCTGCGGGCAGCGCATGGGGACCCGGAATTCGTCACCAGGAGCGGGATTGCGACACGCCGTAGCAGTTAATAGGCTGAGAGGGAGCTGGTAATATCAACAGTGGATATAGTCTGAGTTAGACCGGGCCACGGAATATCTCGGACTCGTCGTACTTGTCGTAGGCAAGTACACCGAGTATAACCGTTTGAGACTTGCGGGGAAGGTTTCGTGACAAGGATTGGGGTTGATGTCGAAGTGTTCGAAGTGTTGAGTATGACCACTGTAGTCCCCAAATTTATGATTCCTCGTAGTTCACCTCATGCTCGTCCTTGGGTTCCCTAGGCTCTTGAGCCTCGTGGTATTGAATGGCATCATCAATATGGCTCAGAACACCCGCAACACTGTCCTCATCCGAAACATCCAGCTGCAAGAATGAGACCATGCTGAAGTCGTCAATCAATTGTGCCACTGCCCGGTTAAGCTGGTTGAATGAGCCACCGCTCATTAAGGCCTCCTTCTCCATAGGGTTCGCGCTGGCGGCCACGTCCTCTTCATCCTTTTGTAGAAGCTGTACATCCACATTGGCGAAGCGCCGCAATTCCCGACGAGACACCATGTCATTCACTTGATCCATCTTGCTGAGGATGTTCACATGGGGAATCTCCAGCATCAGCATGGCGGACATGGCGCTGAGGGTCCCGGCGAAAAACTTGGCTTTATCGACGACAAAGGTACTTTCGAGGAGGTATGCGGCGCAGAGGTTGATATTCAATGGTCCTTGTCGGGAAAGGAATTGAGTTAATGACGGGAGGAGAGGAATATGTGTGTACAGCTCGATCTGGCCGGGCATGTCGAAGATGATTAGGTATTCCTCGCTGAGCGGATCGAGGGCTTCAGTTAGGAACTCGAGATTCTGGAGGAGGAACTCGAAGCAGTAGATGAGACCACCGTTAGGGCCGAGACCCAGTTCTTCCATCACATCTTCGAGGGTGATCAGCTCGCGGATGTCGAGGTCGGGCTGGTAGGTAAAGTTCTCGGCGGCTGGGTCGAGGTTGACGTAGAAGCAGCTGCGGCGGGTGCTTTGCAGGTGCTGGATGAGGGAGTTGCTGAAGGTGGTTTTGCCGGCACCGGCAGGGCCCATTACTAGGACACCGAATTTGGACATGGTAGCGTAGGCTGGTGGTACTGCTGGTGCAGCTTCTGCTGGTGCGCTTTCAGATTGGTAAAACCTGGGCAGCTTTTCATATCAGCTTATCGACCCCGGTAACAAGAAATTTGCACTTGCCGGAGGGGCTCAGATCTGCCATCAATCACCGCCCGGCAGATCAACTTTGTTCACGGGAATGGCGCAATCGAGGGGGCTGACAGGTGCAGGGCGGTGAAGGACCCAGCCCCACGGCGTAGGATTGACAAAGTGTGGGTGAGCCAGCGGGACAGAAAGTACGAGGAACAATCGGACATTGGCAACAATCGACCATGGTGGCCACTCATCACTGGTTCAACTGAATGACTAGTGACTTCGGCTGTACCCACGTGCACCACCACACCACCATTGGCGAGCGGCGTACTCGTCGAGTACATTTATTCTGCCACTGGGCCGCAGGAAAAACCCCACCTGCTTTTTCCCCCTCTTCTTATTCTGCTTTCCCTCTTCTCTCTTCCTTTCTCCCTCTTTCTTCCTTCTTCATTCCTCTTCATCCCTCTTTTTTTTCTCCCTAAAGACTTTCTTTAGTCACACACAATCCGACACAATGGGTTCCCTTGCAAACGGTTCGCAGTCCGGCACCTTCCTCTTCACCTCCGAGTCCGTCGGTGAGGGTCACCCCGATAAGATTGCGTGAGTTTTTTTTTTGCCCCTGAGGGAAAAAACCTCAATGCTCTCCACGACAATCCTAACCTTCCCCCTCTCCTATAGCGACCAGGTCTCCGATGCCATCCTCGATGCCTGCTTGGCTGAAGACCCCCTCTCCAAGGTTGCTTGCGAGACTGCCACCAAGACTGGTAGGTTTTTTCTCACTCTCGGGGTTGCTCTCGGGTATCCTCTCGGGGATACCGTCTGACCCCGTAACCCCTCCAAATTGGCCCCCCTCAGATCTGACATGCATGCCCACCAGGTATGATCATGGTCTTCGGTGAGATTACCACCAAGGCCCAGCTGGACTACCAGAAGGTCATCCGTGGCGCTATCAAGGACATCGGTTACGATGCCTCCGAGAAGGGCTTCGACTACAAGACTTGCAACGTCCTCGTAGCCATTGAGCAGCAGTCCCCCGATATCGCTCAGGGTCTTCACTACGATGAGGCCCTCGAGAAGCTCGGTGCTGGTGACCAGGGTATCATGTTCGGTTATGCCACCGACGAGACCCCCGAGCTCCTCCCCCTCACCATCCTGCTCTCTCACAAGCTTAACGCTGCCATGAAGGCCGCCCGTAACGATGGCTCCATCCCCTGGTTGCTCCCCGACACCAAGACTCAGGTCACCATTGAGTACGCCCACGACAACGGTGCCGTCAAGCCCCTGCGCGTTGACACCGTCGTCATCTCTGCCCAGCACACCGACGATGTCTCCACTGAGGAGCTCCGCACTGTCCTCAAGGAGAAGATCGTCCGCAAGGTCATCCCCGCTAACCTCCTCGATGACCGCACCGTCTACCACATGCAGCCCTCCGGCCGCTTCGTCATCGGTGGTCCTCAGGGTGATGCCGGCCTCACTGGCCGTAAGATCATCGTCGACACCTACGGTGGTTGGGGTGCCCACGGTGGTGGTGCTTTCTCCGGAAAGGACTACTCCAAGGTCGATCGCTCGGCCGCCTACGTTGCGCGCTGGATCGCCAAGTCTCTGGTCAACGCCGGTCTTGCCCGCCGTGCCCTTGTCCAGCTCTCCTACGCCATTGGTGTCGCTGAGCCCCTCTCCATCTTTGTTGAGACCTATGGCACTAGCTCCAAGACTTCTGACGAGCTGGTCCAGATCATCCGCAACAACTTCGATCTCCGCCCCGGTGTGATCGTCAAGGACCTTGACCTGGCCAAGCCCATCTACATCCAGACCGCCAAGAACGGTCACTTCACCAACCAGAGCTTCTCCTGGGAGAAGCCCAAGGCCCTCAAGTTCTAAACGGATCCCTCCGTCCGGTGAACTCGGAGACGTTGTGACGACTGTGATGAGTATGCTTTGTTTTCAACAACTCGAAGCACGTGCATAGACATATTTTTAAAACCCCACAAACCCCCTTTTTACGTGACAAAAAAGTTTGGTTTCCTCCCCCGTTTTTGGAGAAGCCATTCTCTTTTTCTCTTTTTTCCTTTTCCTTGTTTCATTATTCTGCATGGTCGCCCCAAAAGACGGGCCTTACGGCGAAGACAAAATTCAACATGATACCACTATTCATCGGCTGGGAACGGGAAGTTTTTGGCGTTTTTGCGGAGCGAAAGTCTTCAACAACCATACCACCTTTTCACCAACTCGACCAGCCCCTCTGCTTGCTACCGAGTATTGCATTGACCTGCGTGCGGGGATCAGTTCTCGGAGTCCGGGGGTGCGGGTCAGAAGGGAGCCTCGTTGCTTCTTATTTTTGTTCTTCTCAACATTTGTGGCTTCCTTCTGATCCGTGGGTCTGCTGCTAATCTAAACATTAGCAAATAGAAATAATATTCACACCATTTCAACGATTTAGTTGATTGAAGAACAGTTCTTATCTCGTAGATATCTTAAAAGTCTATTGATACTCCCACGTAGCAGATTCATTGCAACTACTTCGTCCATATTTTGCGTCCTAGTATTGATTCCTCGACATGTGCTCATTGGACCGACTTAATCTCTTCAATAGGATCTCCTTGGTTCTATCTGGTTCCGTCACACAAAAGCCAAACCTGCGTATACGAGGACAGGGGGTCCTGCAGTAGTATGTAGAAGCCATCTGTCATCATCCTCTCGTAGCCCGGTTTCTCTGCATACTATTATGCAAGAGCCAGGCTGATTGGTGTGACTGGGTATTACGTGCTTGCAATAATTGAGCGAACGATACACTCTCTGCCCAAAGGATTCGAGACTAGGCCCATTGTACTCCGTAGTCTTGGGTGACGGTGAATTGCGCAAAATAGTTTAGCGTGCCTGTTCAGGTTCAGCACATCTATGCTCTTGACTATCGCTGTGCGTGTTTCAATTAAAGTCCCATACATGGCCGCTTCAACATCGAGCTGTTTTTGCCCTTCTGCCCTTTCCGTTCCTCGTGTGCACCCTGCGAGCGAGGCATGTTTGCCATTGATCTGGACCACCGGGTTTCGCCACCACCTGTACCGCTACTGTGAATCAGCCGGCCCTTTACAGACTTCCGGTCCGTCTTACCTGGTCTCCGCTGCGTTAACTCACCCTGCCCCGCGTTTCTACCAAGCTCTCACGATTATGCTCGATATGAGGCGATTCTGTCCTTAGTCCGCTGCGTGAATGAACACGGTGGAATCTGATTTTGAAAACAGCAGTAGTAACCTGCGATAGGCTCTAGCATCATATAGCTCCACTTCATTTTCGCTCTGATTTCTGTATGATTCCCCGCGAGTACACGTTTAGCTCATTCCACCATAGGGTGTGGAGAATCGTCAGAACGCCGCAGCAGACCTCGAAGTATTGGAGACAATGCGACATAGAAAATGATTATTTTCAATGTCCTCAAGAGGCAGCGTCATTGCGGGATGAACAATGGCACATGTTATTTTCTAGCATGAAAGACTGAGACTTTACCTTATTCCGGACTAGCCTGACGCCTGCTCCCCACCCCCGTTTGATTATTAGCTCTCGCGCCTCGCCAAACTGCTGAGAGTTAAGAGTGGAGTGGAGTGAGTACGGAGTACTGTAGCTTACTTTCCCCCTTCGAGTTATGCAAGCCTCTACCTGAGGTTGCCCGGATCTCGCGTTCTTATTCATCGCTAGTCTACTTCGGCTAATCTTTTTTATTGTTACCGCAACACATCTATCTCCTACAAGTAGAACAATACCTTTTCCGGATGATGACTGCAAAGTCCCGATTCGGTATTGCCTGCAAGACATGTCGTCGAAGAGGGCGCAAGTGCGATCGAACCGTGCCCAAGTGTACGAGCTGCCATCAGCGCGGCGTTGAATGCGAGGGTTACACTCTACGTTGGATAAACCAGTCCGCAGCCAATGACCCGACTCCGCGAAAGGAGCAAGCCTCCGTCGGATTATCTTCGAAAAATAACGACCCCTACGTCAGATGCGTACTGCCACAGCGGCTGAACGCCGCCAGAGTCTTGGAGAGAGAGTCTTTGTACAGCCACTCAGCCAGTTCAACTTCACGCGGCGATGGGACCAATTTACACCTTGTTACCTCACCGCGCCGACCTACATGGATGATGCCCGCCACCTTACTTCCTCCTGATAGTGTGCAGGTCTTCATCAACTACTGTAAGGAGAGCTCTTCATGGTGAAATCTGGCTATCACTCATGGCTTCTAGACGCACGCGAAATAAGTACAGCCTTCTATCTGGGCCATGGCCCTGCGCGAACTCCCTATACGCAGCATATACTACCAATGGCCAGGAATGTCCCCTGTATTCGGTATGCTGTGGGGGCGACGGCGTCTTGCCATATTGGCAACAGACTTCAAGACCACAAGTTGAAATTGCAGAGTCTCCATTTGCGGCTGGAGGCCATACAGGCGCTCAGACAGCAATTGAGAAATGATATGGAGGAAACAGACATTTCTAATATTGCCTGTATGGTGTTACTGGCCCAGCTCGATGTACGTACTCAGATATCTCTTCAAGGCTACTCTAACAGAGGTGACAGCTCTGTTCTGGGGACTGCCTGGAGTTTGGAACTCACTTAAAAGCAGCGAGTGACATCGTGAAGCGACATGGCTCGGACAGAACTGAGCGAGGCTTTTTCGAACAACGTCTTGCATGGTAACGTCTTTTCTTCGTAGCTGCATTCTATGCAACGCTGACATTTTGTTAGGCTAGATATCATGGGTGCGACAACATCTTCCCGAATGCCGCACCTGAAGCCTGAGCATGTCAAAGCCGCCTTGAACAAGTTCAAAACCCCTTCCGGTCGCAAATGGGGATTTGACGTTTTCGACTGCCCTATCGATCTATTTGAGTATATTGCAGACATTACTGTATTGCATAAGCTGCACATCTCTTCACAAATATCATCCGATGAGGCCTTGAGAAAAGCCATCGTCCTTGGCAATGCTGCTTGGACGTGGAATGGATCTGATTTCCTATCCGATCGACGAGGAGACATGATCGAAATCTGGAGACGCGGGGTCTTGCTCTATCTCGTTCGCTTATTCCAGCTATCGGAGGAGACATTCGATACTTCTGATTTACTAGACGATGTCTTTCGGCGGGCCGAAAGACTATCTTCAGAGACGAATCGGAAGTTCTCAACGTCATGGCCGTTGTTTCAAGCAGGTTTAGGTCTACATCAGGAAGATCACGAACGGAAACAATCGTTGCGAAAAGAATTCGCAACCCATTTTGCGACACTTGGATGTTGCAATCCAAAGCTTGCAATCGATGTGTTAGAACAGGTTTGGCAGACCGGCGATACGAAGATTCTTGATTCGCAGAAGTTACTATTTTAGTCACCGAGGATCCAAATTGACACGTTGACAAATACTCCACCTTAAACAAAGTCCTAATCATAGAATATCAACTCATGAAAGAAGATAATGATGGTCTATGGCTTTATACCCCGTCTTTGGTCACACTCTAAACTCCATAGCAAGGTATTGCTTGAAGTTCAAGGACTTTAAAATGCAAGACTAACAGACACGGATTGCCAATTCCTTCAATCTGGATAGAAGCGTTCATAGACAGCATCGATTTCCCGAAGAATCTTCTCCTTGGTCGATTGTGTTGCCCAGGAGACTGTGACCGCGTTTCGGGCCAACATTGCGATTTCCTTGTCGGTAAAGCCAAAGTGTTTTGTGAGTAAAAGATTGTGCAGAATCCAAGCGTCATCCATGAAAGCCGGGTCATCACTATTGACTGTGATTCTGATCCCTGCATCGAAAAGAAGGCGCATCTTCGGTCCGAGCTCGGCGTAGGTTTGATATCGCATGTATGCCCACGGGCAGATAGTCATGCCTATGTCTCGCTTCAGGATCAGATCCATCAGCTCTGGTTTATCGGCAGCATTGAGGCCATGATCGATTCTATCAGCCCCATATTCGCCAATCTCGGAAGCGACTTGTCGGATATGCTCGTGGGTATTGTCCTGTCCCACGTCGCAATGCATCGTGATCCGGAAGCCATCCCGTCGGGCCAGTGTGAATACCTCCTGAAATAGTAAAGGAGGTCGATTGTATTCGTTTGAATCAAGACCAATACCGACTATCATGTCGCGATATAGCAGCGCAGCCTTGTAATGATCCATTGCGTCCTCGGTTGACAGATCGCGTAGTAAACACATGATCCATGAAGAACGGACCTAATTGTTTTGTCATGCTTGAATCTTCTTTGAATATATGACAGTGCATTACTTACGTTGAGCTCGCTCTGGGCTTTGATCTGAGCCTCTTTAAAGCCTCCCATCATAACATCCCAGGCGATACCACGGCTTGTATGCCCCTGGGGATCAAAGAAGATCTCACAGTACCGAACATTCATGGTTGCAACATGCTCGAAGTAGTTCATTGCCAGGTCGAAATAATCCTGTTTGGACTTTAACGTGTCAAATGCTCCGTAGTATGACTCGAAGAAGAATTCACGCTCTTCATCTTCAGTCTTAGGTTCCGCGCTGTTCATGGCATATCTCAGCTCCTCCATACTGTGTAGTTCCGGACTCTTGCCGAATTTGACCTTGAGGCCGTTTCTCTGCGCCAGCTTCCATCTCAGCTCAGGGGTCAGGGTCCCTTCGATATGCACATGAAGCTCAACTTTGGGAATGTCGCGCACAAAATCGTCACGAGCGGCCATAAAGTCTTCTCGAAGCTTCCTGCGAAGCTTCCTAGGGAGCGCGTCGTCGATACCCATGGAAACTGTATTGATTGGCGTTGAAATTTTCGGGCGGTTGTGCTGGTCTTGAACGTTTCGAAATTAGAAGCTGTCATATGAATCCAAGATGTGCGAGGGAATCTGTTTAAATATTTAACACGAATGGCACCCCTAATTTCCCCTTGGACAATTTATATACGTAATTTTAGTGGCTTGGAGTAGTGGACGGCTATGTATGTTTTTTCCCCTCGTGATGATGGCCTAATGTGGTTGAGATCTCAGTTTTGATAGAGATTTTCTGGCTTTGGCGCCGCCTTTCCGGAAACGGTGAAGATCTCAGTCGGGCGGGGAGAATATCAGGCGTGTTTTGCAGTCGTCATTCCTAAAAGAGTCAAGATTTCAGTTCTCCACAGAGTGTGGGGTCACCTGAGGCAACCTAAAACTAATCAGGACATGTAATTCACGGCCGAACGACACACACACGGTCGAGCGGCACCTAACCCCAATAGAAGATTCCAAGATCGATTTACTCGATGATCCCTCTGGCTAAAGTCCGCACACAACCATGGCCTTTTCGGCGTTACCCCGATTTACTCCGTACAATCTTTTATCTCCAAACGCCATTAAGATAACTATTTCCATCTAGCCTCGATCATTCATTGCATGCATCACAACTCCTGATGAGCGTATCACTATTCGAATCCTCTATCGTCAAAGTTATGAGATCGCTGGGCCTTACGGCTTACCTACAAAACAGTATAGAATATTACTCGACGAGAAATTTACGCATAATTTTCATGAATCTCTTGGTCTCGCGTATTCGGTAGCCTTGATTTTGATGAAATTCACGTGTTTATTACAAGTTCGCCTACTACTCGACGAATGACCTCCACTACTATAGTCGAGCTTATAGAGCTACCTTAATCTTCACGTAACTATCCTACGCCGCTTTATAAATAGCCTGTGGGAACGGTTATACCAGTGAAACCTATTTGCCTTTGTAAATCGACCTAGGGTACGGGAAGAGTAAGGTAACCCCATAACCTCTACCACATGTGACACAAGTAAAGGTCATTCGTCGGGGAGTCGCCGAACCTGTAATAAACGCGTGAATTCGATCAAAACCAATCCAGCGAATGCGCGAAACTGACAGGTGGTGCGGGAAAGGTTGATCGAGGAATTCCCTGTACTACTTTGTGGGTAAGCCGTAGGGTCTGGTGATTTCATAACTTTGGCGATAGAGGAGTCGAAGAGTGATACAGTCATTAGGAGTTGTAAATGTGCCAAAGGCTACTTATTGTAGTAATCTACCGGTATGTGATCTGGGCGATCTTGGAGATTTTGTATGCTCTAAGCGAATCGGTATGATCTGGTTTGATCTGTATGATCCAGGAACTTAATTTGGCTAAGGTGGAGGGATTGTATGGTCTAAATGTGGCCCTTGAAGATAGAATGTGATGTATATTGAGGTGGCTGCTGTATCTGCAGTACGGGTGGGTTTATCGAATGTTTAGGGGGGCAATCAGAAAAACGTTCGACCAGACAGTGTTATTATGTACTTGTTTCCTTCTGATGGCTTTTCGCTGGCTATCTTGCTAATAATACCTTGGCAGATGGGCTTTACGAGAAGACTTGAGCGGCATACACTCGAGGCGTTCAATGGTCTATGTAAGCCCTTTAACAAGGACTAGATTGGGAAGCTGATTGATTTACAGAGTTCGTGTGCAACTGCACACTACGCTGGCAATTACCCTGTTCATCCTTTCCCTTTATGGTGCGTTCAGATAATTGCTTTTTTTCACAAAAAAGTACAATACAAGAGGACCTGTCGAGAGAATGAAGTTTATCATATAAGGATTTACTCAGCTTACAACATCTAACTACCTAATGTACGGAGTAGAGTAACAGAGTAGACAATCAAATATTCCATCACACCACGCCAAAGAAAAAGAAACACATCGCTATAAAGCGTATTCTACTCTCACAAATTCGCTCCAACCCGAGTACTCGCAGTATTCTCGTCGATAATGATCGCACTCAACTTTGCCGCCATAGCAGCAACAGGTGCAGGAGGATGCCCACTGGCCTGTTCCGGGAAAATGCTAGCATCCATGATACGCAGACCCTTGACGCCATGCACGCGGCAATCCAGATCAACAACGCTGGTGGCTGGAGACGGGCCCATACGCGCCGAGCCAACGGGGTGATGCAAAGTAAACGCCTTCTCATCCATGAAGTGCAGGAGTTGCTCGTCGGTGATATTTGCAACGTCACTGCTTGAGTCGGGCCACCAGTATGAACTAGGATGGTCGTTTGTGAGGACGGGATCGAAATAGTCTTTGAAGGCGGGGCTGCGCATTAGTCGTAGACAGACTCGGAGGCCGATTAGGAGAACGTTTGGTCGTTGTCGCCTTCGTCGGAGAGGTATTTTGGGTCGAGGATTGCTGATGTTAATTGCTGGTTAGTCTCTTGATACTATGATATGCAGTTGTGGTGATAATAACTTACGTGCATCAAAGACATCCCGACACTTTATGGTCACCGTGCCGTGACTCTGCGGGCGAATACCAATTGGTGCGAGACTGAGGACGCTGGCATTATCAATTGGTCTCTCCTCACCGTGGTGGATGAATGCAAGCGGGGCGCCGATGATCTCGAGATCCCCCGATCAAAGCCTAAGGTTCCTCGGAAAATTACAGAGTCCTGATTGGTCCTGGAAGACCTCTCCGACCATGTTCCTAACCTTCATGGAAGGTTCTTACACCGCAGTTAGGTACAAAGCTAAACTAGATGTGCATTCAGGTACACTGCTAGCTGGTCTGAATCCTCTACTGAGCTCTGCGCAGTTCTTAAATGGTGATTATTAAACGGTTATTAGGCTGACAGGGCCATGAGGTGTGGACTAACAGGAACAAGCGACGTCTGGCATTGTCGGATGTCTGGTAGGGCTGTCAAAAATGCACACGGAATTTGCATTTGTTCACCCGCTCTATCCTTATTCGGGAAGGACTATTGTAGGGTCAAGCCCCCACCTTGCATGCATATAAAAAGATAAATTTAAATTAAACAAACCAATTATAGTATATAATAATATTATTATTTATCGGACTTTGTATCTTCAAATAACCCCTATCTCCGAACTCTACCATAGTAGAAGGATTCAAAGGTGCATTAGCGTTGTGTAAGTTTAAATACCAGGGATATTTCTTAGACATTCCTTTTTATGCGAGATTAGAAAATTCATAGATCTGTACCCTGATTATTAAACATACTACGCCTTCCTGAATAGGTGAGGGAGGTACATAGATACCAAACTTCCCCGATTCGGTAGGTGGCCAGGTTGGGAACCTGTACCACGACGGAGCGGCTATGCAGCCGGTGGTTAATGTCCGTTTTCTGAGCAACCAGATTGCGCTATGGTCACACGAGAGCATGGATTTAAGAGGTTCATCCAACCTTTGATTAAACATTTTCAGCCACAGCTTGGCTTGAAGGTACACACAGACCACATCTCAAATGTTGAAACCAAGTGTAGGACAGTATAGCCAAGAGAGATAATGTAGGGGAATAAAGACAGATTTTGCTCTTGGTCTTTCATTTTTCAATGTAGATACAACATTTGACAAAAGGAGCTATTGAAACAGATCCCTTGCAACCGCAACAGTATTTATTCCGCAACTCCGAGGTGTTTGTTAAGGAATGGGAGGACTCGGTCGAGCGCAGCCTTCACAGCCTTAGGCTCATCGTATAGCATATAGTGCGACACACCAGGGAGCACAACTATTTCCTTTTCCTTGGAACCGGCACGACCATGAATTTCATGGGCATCACGGTAGGCACCGAATCCTCCAGGAACTCCGCCAACAACGGCAATGAAGGGCCGTGTCATAAGGACCTCCGCATGGTTGAAAGCATCCCACGCCAGAGCAGCGCTGTTAAAGGAGAAAAGACCGCTAGTAGCACCGCATGGCGCTTTTCCACGGTCAGTCTTATAGTATTCAGTCGCTTCGATGGTATCGGGGTCGGTGGTCATCTTCTTGGCCTCGTCGACTGAGGGAGGGAGGAAATCGATAACAAAACGGTCGGCACCCTGGGCCTCAAGGGTGCGCTGTTTGGCCATTTTCTCGAGTGAGCCGGCTGGATCAAAGCCGCCGAAAGATTCCCGAACGAGACGGCCAAAGTTAGCGGGCGTGATGCCGACGCAGCATTTGAAGCGGTAGTCGGTCATGGCTGCATTGAAAGCGTAGCCACCGCCGCCACAAATCCCAAGTACGCCAATGCGCTCTGCGTCGACATATCGGAGTGTCTGGATGTAGTCGACAACGTAGCGGAAGTCGGAGACTCGAAACTCGGGGTTCTCGACAAAGCGAGGCTTTCCGCCTGAACCGCCTTGGAAAGACGCATCAAAAGCGACAACTACAAAGCCTGCTTCGGCCATGGCCTTGCCATAGACATTTCCCGAGGTCTGCTCTTTGCATGAACCGATGGGGTGGGCGGATACCACTGCTGGGTACTTCTTCTTCTCGTCAAAGTTGGGCGGGAAGTGGATGTCGGCAGCGATATCCCACGCAATGTTGGGGATAGTGACGGACTTGATTGTTTCGGACATGGTGGAAATAGATTTGTAATGTATTGAATTTCTTCGATGATTGTGTATTAACAAACTGCGCGGCCATCGCGTGCAATTTATAGGTTACATTTGAGACGATATTGTGGCTGTGGCCAAATGCGATGACGTTGTTGACTGCGAAGACTTTCGGATGAGCCACAGAACTTCGGGGTGGGGCCGTTGTAGAGTTGACGGATATTGTACTACCTTAAGTCCACGAGGGTACCTAGAAATGTGTCCGGTTAGTGAGGAAGTGACCCATTTCTGAGATGATACTAGGTGGCTGTTGTTGTCAATACACTTATCGTTCCTTCATTTAGTTCTTCTGTCGGTGCGGATCTTCGCAGAAATCTCTCGCATGTGCTGCCATGTGAACCTTCTCGATCCATCTTCGATAGAAAATTCGAAATGAAAAGGAGGCGTCCTTCCCATGAATCGAACCCCCAACCTTGCTCTCCCCTAAATACTTTGCCCTTGTTACTGCATCGTCATCCACCGACACCAAAGAACATCGCCATCCAACCTAAGTACTGCAGCCAATAAACGGCACCCGCCTTTTCACCCTCTAACATTATCAAAAATGCCATTAAATAATTATATTAATATAATATAACATCCTATAATACATTGCAAAAATAATGTCACAAAAAAATCTCCAAAAAAGAGAAACTCCCTCTGCCTAGGGGTGCGGCCGTCGGTTGAACTCGAAGCGTCAACACTGGCCCAGTATTTTTTTATCTTCTTTTTTTGTCTGCCCAGTCCTCCGGGGCACACCTATGGCTCACCAATTTATGGTGGGTACCAACTAGGCCATCGGAGGGGGGGGGAGTTGATTGTTTGACCTGGAAATCGGTGATAACCTTGAGTTTCCTTTGGACATTGACCCGATTTAAGTTTGATAGTTGGATATAGTATTCCGACATATCAGGATTAAAGCTAGTTGAATCTTCAAGGTTGGTCCTATCCGCGCAAGATACTTCACTGAAGGTTACAAAACACCTCAAACTGCCTGGTCTATATCTTCTTCTGTTTTAATTGCCTCGCTAAGATCTACTGTCAATTAATCATGTTTGAACCAGACTCGTGTCTCTAGTATGCTTGACTTTCACAAAGAAATGCCAGAAGGGCATAGAATTTTACTGGTTTAGACAAATTATTTCCACTAGCTGAGTTCTTTCAATAATCTCTTATCGTCTAATTGCTCCATACTGTAGTATCACTTTTAAGGCTGGAGAAAGCGGAGACGAAAAACGCTTGGGCCTCGACGCGTGACGCCAGAAACGCCAAGCAAAGACTCACGCTCCACCACCATCCACTGGACATTTGACATTCGAGCATTCAAGCATACGGGCAATTGCATAGCGTTTTTTTCTTGCGATCGGTTCTTTCATTCCACTACTGCTTTTATACTTCCGTCCACTGGTCCCCACGACACAATGTACACGCCCTTTTAAACGTGACCATGACCACACGCGCAACTCCCAGCGCCCTGGATCCCCTCAGTTCTTCATCGCTGAACAAGCTGCACGAAACCCAACCACCCACAAAAAAACGCAAGATCGGAGCCGAAAATGCTGCCGGTCAGCTCTCAACAACTTCAATTGTCATTCGGGTGAGTGGTTTCTCGGGTTTGGTGTAAATCGAGCCAGGAAGACCCCTCTCTAATTAACCGTTTGTCGACCTGTCCAGGCCCATGCTGCGTCCTTATCAGATGAACCTCTAATCCTCGAACCAATCTGCCTACTCCCTCGATCTCGGTTTCCGCTATCTTGGCTTGAAGACGCGTCGTGGTCGCGCTCGGATGCGCAACCTGGCGGCTTATTCGGAGCCGACATCCCCGCTCTTGAAAGGGACTTGCGGGCTTGCGCTGAACCGACGGTGCTAGCAGTCCGATTGGCCGCAAGTGGAGGACTTTATGTTGTTGAGCGAGTCAAGCGGGGCATTTACTCTCTTTCAAGGCTGGCACGATGGGTGCAGGAAGGCGACGTTGTCGTCGCGGTCAAGGGATGGCAAGGGTCGAGAGTTGTCGTCATGGAAGTCGACATCGAGGACAAATTATACGCAGCACTGGATGGCATGAACTGGTGGCAGAATGCGCAGATTGAGGAGCCGCCTTCTGATCTGTGCCTGGGCGAGGAGTTCGCCGGGTTGCAGGTGGATGTGGTGTTTGGATCGTCGGGCATGGATGATCCGAATCTGCAGACATCTTTCGTGGATGTACTTGAGCACCGAGGCCAGTCTCTTGCCCCAAATGTGATCGGGGATGATTCCCAGATGAATAGTTCGTTCGGGCTTGGTGATTCGCAAGTCCTTGGTGCTTCAGACTCCATGGATATTGATGCCGCCCCGGGTATGAAGCAATCTCCGGAAGAGCTACTCAACGGGATGCGAGAGCATTATTTACAAGCTCTATATATCTCCAAGGTATGGATACTAGTAATCATTGGTGTCAGTCTATCTCTGACATGTTTCTCCAGACCTCCCTTGCCTATTTTGCCAAGGGACCATTGACCCGCTGTCGAACCGCTTTCCAAAACTGCGACTCCGAGCAGACTCAAAGGCCTGACCAATTCATTGACTTTTACCGGGAGGCTATTTTGGCAGCTAAGAAGATGGACCTCAAATATCGCGAGTCACTACCCGCATCGGTCCGCGAAGCAGTGCTTGCTGTCTCAGACGATGAGGCTGCTGTAACCAAGAAGCGCAAGACTAAGAAGAAGAAGCTAGGCAAGAATGGTCTTTACCCCGAAGAGGATGAATTTGTCCGCAAATGGTGGAAAGACCGAAACATGGTGGATGCTTCGACTCAAGCAGGCTCCCGTGAGGCGGAAACGAGAAGGCACATTTCCGATCTGCGACTGCGCGAGACACAATTACAGATCTTGTTGATCCTGGAAGTCATGGCTTTGGAGTCGACTCTCATTGTGAAGAAAGATTCAAACGGCATCAAGCCGATAGGCGAAGAGACAAGCACTCCCAAGAAGAGGACGAAGAAACATCAAGATCTCAATGTCCTTCTTGAATTGCATCTGGATCGCCTGTGTATCTGGCATGCCGTAAGCATGGAGGAATCAAGCGCTGCTGACTCGGCAAAGGCCTCGTCCTTCACGGACGGCCATAACTCTGGCAAGAAGGTTGAAAGTGACGCTGTGCGTGACTTTTGCACTGAAGTCATCATCCCGTTCTATGCATCTCGACTTCCCGACAAATGCAAGCTGATCACTCGCAAGTTCGGCGTGTCTGGTGGCATTTCTCCTACTGCCAAGAAGACCCAAAAGTCCCGCCGTCCGGAACCAGGGTCTGAGATCAAGCGAGAACCCCCAGCGCAAAAGCCTAGACGATCACTACAGCGAGTTCTAACAGACGAAAGAGCGGCCTCGCTTCCTCGCCATCCATCGTTAAGTCGGTCTAAAACTGCCCCGACTCAGCATGATACAAAGCGTGATTCCATGGAGCCTATGCTGCCAACGGTCATGGGTGGTAGTGTCCGTGGTGGTATCCAGGTCAAACGAGTGGAGAATCGCGAGATCGATCTTAACGCGGCTGCCAGGCAACACGAGAGCAAGTTGCGCAAGGTACAGATGTTGGCTGATCAGAAGAAAGAACTCGATAACGCCATTCAAACTCTTCGCAAGCCGAACAGAGAAGTTGTTGCTCGGGATATTGCCGAGGATGCCACCAAAAGAATGTCTACAGGAGGAGGAAGCTCTCGAAAGTCAAAGAATCCTGTTCGAAATCCACTTGGTGAGGGTGTGCAGGTCATGGCAACGCCACGTGGGAATCGCAGGAAGGATGCAATAGTTGGATTACCCCCTCTACCGCGCAGTCTAGCCCCTTCGCGGTCTTTTGCGGGAGAAATGGAGGATCACTCTCTCGCAGAGTCCCCTGTCATGATCCCGTCGTCAACTCGACGGGCTATCTCATTCTCCGGTGCTGATTCAACACCCTTTGGCTCTCAACGCGCCTCGGGGAAACGGCCGCGCGAGGCACAAACCCAGCCAACTGAACTCGGTTCGATTCAAGAAACACCGACCCGACCTCCGTCTCAATTACACTTCAATAGCCAGAGCACAGATCTAGCACATCGACCGTCCATGTCTTCTGCTAAAGGCATGGGCCTCTTTCGAGTGCCGGATCTCCCTGCACCTTGGCCAGACCATACCGATCCATTCTCATACCCTCAAGTCATGGCTCCAACTACACCCGTGTCATCTCGCCGCAAAAATAATATCCTTGCTCCCGACTCATCCCCCAATCCTGGAAGGTCTTCGCAAGGGCCTAGGTCGTCGATGATTACGGAAACACCTCCTAAGCAGCAGGGCACAAATCCCATGCTCGTACCCAGATCTGTGCCCTTGTTCGCCCCCAGCACATCGCAAGTACCACTCTATCCAGCTGTCATTGGATCGCCGGTTAAAAGCGCTACTCTTGTGCCGGTCACCCCGGAAAAGCCACAGACAAAGTCGATTTACGAGCAGTTGGGATGGGATGATGATGAAATGGACCTGTGAGGTAACCCAAAGCTCCCTTGGCCATCTTGGGAATTGGTCATGTCCCTGTTTTGCATCTTGCGAAGGTATTTTGAGGTAGCATAGATATCCAATATAATTTTCCGTGCTACAAGGCATGTGTTTGCTAACCAAGTGGAGTTTTCCTTGGGTTATCCCCGTATGGAATAACGAAAATTCCGTAGTTTGGGGATAATGAACCAGCCGCCCAGTCGTAGAACCCATTTGCAAGCGAGCTTCTAAGTGTGTTCTTTAAATAACATGTTTTGCATGCAAAGCTTTTTGACCTCTCTTTTATTTCTTGCATCGATTTTACTCTCGAAGCTTATAACCCGCTTATGTACCGGATGGGAAAGCGTCTTAATTAGTCCTGTAACATAGGATCTATAAACCACGGATTATTATAAGAAGCAGCGGATAATATAAACCGAGCTAAGTGTTTAGGTAAAGCGGTGAATACTAGGGGTTCTTCTATGTCTACTACTATCGGCGATAAATTAGCCGGGATATATAATCATATAGAGCACTATCGAAATATAAATTGTTTATACGCTAAAGCTTTTTTTGATAGAATCCAGTCGCAGCGGTGGCTTTCTTAGCGATCTGACCTTTGTCGGAGGTAACTTTGGGTAAGACATCAGAGCATTTCCCAATCTGACTATCTTCAATGCCACTTTTGCTGGCAGTCATCACCTTCTCCAATGCAGTGCCTACCTTGGCAACTAGCAGTTTACCTCAAGTCATCTAGTCTTCGTTAACTATAACACGGCCCTTCAAATCCATTAGGACTGGGCATAGACCATGCAGGATATCGTCATCGTCGGTAGAGTAAGGGCTTGTTTCTTCCGAACATAAATCAAACAACTAACCATAACATCCGGTATCTAGGCTAGAGGCCCTATAAGCAATAGCCAGCCGGTCGGGTCCTTGCTTTTGACGGACGCGTTAATTGCAAACACTCCAACTGGTATTGTGACCTCCTTATATACGGAGAACTCCACCTCATTCCTTGTGCAAAACACCGGATTCTTCAACATCAAGAACGCAATCATTGACAACGTCGTCTCTAAGACCCTGGTTGCTGGTGGTGATGAGGTCTTCCTGGATAACTAGGGCTTCGGCATGATGTCCACTGCATCTGGCACCAGTGAGTTCGTGAACGGACAAAATATCCCAGTGATGAACCGGACAGCCTCCCTTTTGGCGCCCACTGGCTATATCGAAACAACTACTTTACTCGAAGACGCCCAAAGTACTATGATACTGGCTTCTCTATGATTATAGACGTCAAGGCTATAGGTGCCAAGGGTAACGGTGTAACCGATGACACGCCGGTTTTGAATGCAATCCTGCAGAACGCAGCCAACATATCCTCGATTGTCTACTTTCCTTTTGGTATCTATATTATCAAAGATACGTTGAAGGTTCCCGTGGGCAGCCGGATCATCGGACAAGCATAGTCTCAGATCATAGCCAGTGACAGTAAATTCCAGGATAAGCTGTATCCCCGAGTTGCTATAAAAGTCGGTAATGAGGGGGATGTCGGTATCGTCGAAATTCAAGACATACTTTTCACGGTGTCTGAAATACAGCAGTTGCAGTCCTAATAGAATAGAACGTCCATAAGTCGACACAGGGCTCTGCTGGCCTATAGGGTAAGTATCTAGAGAAATTACTAGACGCTTACGGTGACACCGGCTGACGACTAATTTCTAGATTCCCATTTCCGAGTGGGAGGTGCCATTAGATCTAACCTCCAGAAGAATGACTGTCCAAAATTAAGTGGCTCGGTGAACCCTAAATGCGCTGCAGCATCACTGCTTCTCTATCTGACGCCTAAGTCGTCTGCCTACATAGAGAATGTTTGGGTCTGGGTGGCGGATCATGACCTAGATGTCGTCACTCAGGATCAGATCGACGTTTATGTCGCACGCGGTGTGTTGATTGAGAGTCAGGGTCCAACCTGGCTGTACGGCAAGGCTTCTGAACATTGTGCCCTCTATCAATATCAGCTTTCACGGGCTAAAAATATACTTCTGGGCATAACTCAAACTGAGTCGCCATATTATCAGCCTGTCCCTAAAGCTCCACACCCCTTCACTCCTGGCCTGTTCGCTGACGATCCAACATTTGATAACTGTCCCAGCGGTTCAGGTTCTACCCCCTGCGCCTCTTCCTAAGCAGTGCGCATCATTGATTCTGAAACAATCTATCTACTTAGAGCAGGTAGGTGTGCCAGATCAGGGTTGAGTATTGGGTTGATTTCGTATAGGTGACTAACCCATGGCTTTAGGTCTTTATAGTTTCTTCAAGGACTACAGTCAAAGCTGTTTGAACACTGAGAACTGCCAGCAAAGAGGCTTCCACATTGAGCAGAGTACTGACATTTGGATCTACAATCTCTGCACCAAGGCTATTGTTGAGATAGTGACACCGGTGGGTGAGCTCATCACTCTAGCAGCCGACAATCGCAATGGCTTCCTCTCTTCCTTCTTAGCCTGGGTCCGCGTGTCGCCAGACGCCGTCTTTGGTGAGCGCAACTTTACAGGTTTCCGCGTGCACAAGCAAGGCTCCAAACAGCTGGACAAAGTGAGTAGTACATACGCCACGGCTCTAACCCAGACTATATTTTAACCACCAACATACCTGAATATACCAGTTTCGAAAAATCTATCCAATGCCATGACTCGCTCTCCGCGTGGCAGACCCCATCGTACCATGGCTCTGTCGGAGACAGAAACCTAACGGATACGATCTGTGATGCGGGATGCGGAAAATCGCTGCGGAATTGGTTTGATGGTGTCAGTGCCGCGTGTGTCGGACAAAATGTCAGCGCCAGCAGTCTCGCCACAAAGGCCGGCGCAACGATTTGGGCCGGGTATAACGAGACTTGCATCAAGGACAGCACGAGTCATCAATACTGCAATGGTGAGTCAATTTCCTGCTATCTTTTTGATTCGAAAGGTTGCTTCATCAGACTAGGGCTAATGTGGCTTGTTCAGATATCATTGATAAGTTTAGGCTGGTGGACACATACCAGGACATGCCGCAGTCAGAACTCTGCTCGTACTGCTACATCGAGAAGCATCGGGTTATGCAGTCGTCTCCTTATTCCGTTTACCAACGAGACCAGTTCTACCGGGACCGCCTGGAGTATATCTACGCCACCTGTCCCGGTGCATCAGGCCCGACTGCCATCCGCCCCCTTCCAATTGCTCAACCACCCAAGGAGTCCCTTTCTTGCTTTACAGACTCGATTTATACCACCAAAGCCGGTGACACGTGTGATCCCATTGCGCAGAAGCACTCCGTCTCGTCCGCGTTCCTCCAAATGGGGAACCCCGACTCGCTATACAATTGCACAGACGTCACCCCGGGACTCGATCTCTGCATCCCGCTCACCTGCGACACTCTCTACATCCTGCAGGCCAATGACACCTGTCTGTCTATCGAGATCAAGCAAAACCTAAATCTGGGCACCGTGAAAAAGTATAACTCCTGGATCGACTACTGGTGCGATAACCTTCAGACGACCACTTGGATCCACGGACATACTCTCTGCCTGAGCCCCCAGGGAGGCATCTTCAACACCACGGACCCTATCCCGGGGGTAGTCGTCGCGCCGGGATCGAGCACCGGGTACACCAGTCAAGTGATTCCTGCCCCGGCCAACGCGACGGTTGCGAATGGGACCACGCCGTACTGTGGACGGTGGTTTGAAGTGTCCGACGCGGAGGCGTCGTGTGCCAGCGTTTGCCTGCAGAATAGAATCACCATTGATCTCTTCAGGGCAGTGAACCCTAGCATTGCCGGGGATGGCGTGGAGAGCTGTTCGGGTTGTTGCAGACGGGGGTGACGTATTGTGTTGGGCCGATCTACGGATGGGATTCGATTGAGGAGACGGATGTCTGACGCCGTAGGTGCAGCCTCGTTCACTAGGGTTGAATTATTACGGTTTCTGTTCATACAATAGTTCCATGTAGATGTATAGCATCACGAGTATTGTATCACTTCTAACACAATAAGGACATCATAGACGGGCGTTCACCAGAAATAGTTCTACTCCCCCTTGTCTCGGCCTCCTCAATCTCAGCCATATCTTCCGGGTAAATGCCGGCAGCCTCCAACTGCAAATCCATTGGCCATGAGCCATTCCAGATAGGCCGCTCACCAGTGGGGCGCCGTTTCGGCGGCAAGACCAGATCCAAACCCTCGGTGTTGGCCGCCGCCCGCATGACCAGCTTCCATAGATACGTTAGCGCAAACATGTTTCTTCCTATTCATCCAAAATGGGTATATTACTTTGCAAATGCCTATTATCTTACTACCCAGATATACCATAGATAACAAAATTTCCCCTTTTAAAATATATACAGGAATCATATATTACAGCACCATAAGCACAGTAACTCCAGAGGGGATCTGCGCGCCAAAATCACCCATACTTACCCTCTTTCTCTAGAGTTATTATTTCAAGATAGTGAACTACTCCTAGGGCTCATCAAGAAAGCACTAATAAGAGTATATACATTAAGGACAGCTAAGCGGACGGGAAGACCTGTTCTCTACACCCTGTGTCTAATAATGTATTAACTCGATATTGATGGAACAGAGAGCAAGAGAGCATAATATATAAAGGCTTAAATACAATCCATATATATGAAATTCAAGCCCCAATGTGTCTAGCCAGAATCGTAGACGAATTCTCCTACTCCTCATATTCTATACAAAAAGGTGCGAAGTTTGCAATTTCCTCGCCTACAAAGAATTGCCCGTTTAGAGTGAATCCAGCAAAAGGGATAATCTAGGAAGCAAGCTTACTACTAGGACGGAAAGCTTCAATGCTATTGTTGTTCCGTCCACTACGACGAGTAAAATCTTGGATTATTTCTACCCGCTCATTGCGATATTTTTCATACAATTGTGATCGAGATAGTATATCTGCTCTAGTTGTTCCGAATAGGAGAAGAGCGCCGAGCAACGCGCTATCTTCGATTGCTATTGCTCCTTTTTAGGCTATAACTAATTGTTATGTATGTTAGTAGGAGTAGTATTAACTAGGGATAGAGTCAGGACATAGATTAGTTATTATGTTGCTTACAGGGGAGGAATAGATACGCTGTATTACCTAAAAGGGCGCAAGAGCTAGTCACCCAATTTAGAAGATTATCTATGTCGAATAGCTCCTAAATCTTGGGTTCGTTCTGTCGGATTTACGCAGTGTGCATAAACCCTGGGGGGGGTGCTTAGAGGCGCACACAGGTCGATCGAATACTACGATTATGGAAGGATAACGAAAGTTCAATAGAGGTGGGTCGGCAGCGAACGGGTTAAATAGTGTGAAGTCAACACAGTTTAATCAGAATTGCCTTGAGCTCTATTCGTGAGTGAAAAGGGTGTCAAACTTATTTTATTCTGCTAGGGAAACAGGCAGTATTTATAACATGAGGTACATGGCAGAATGTCACAGGAAAGAGTCATGAAAATCCAAAATAACATAGGGGCATACGAGAGTGTGAGGAAACTCGTTGCTCTTTCCATCCGATGCAATAGTTGATAATCAGCATCGTATATCATGAAGCGGTGTATGGGGACACACATTTATGCATCCGATTGATTAGCGCGCGTATGCATGCATGCGCTCGCTTATTGCAGGGATATGCACACATATCTGTGCCCTCCATGATATTGCGGCCCACCCACCGCTTCCGCTTATGGGTGCGCCCTAAATCCCCGTCACCCCTAAATCCCCGTCACATTTTTACCATGCGTCTAAAAAAACCATCAAATTAGATAACTAGCCTAAATAAAAAAGATCTCCTCGCTCCAGGGCTACTCTAGCCGATTCGGTAGACCTATCAATATCCTCCTGGGGCCTCTTTGGCATATCCAAACCAGTAGCCTGCTTATACTGCTTCGCAAGCTTCCTCTCCTCCGCAGCAGCCTCTTTCTCCTTTCTAGTCTTGATTGACCGATTCGCATCGCGAACGCTTAGTATACCAGTTTGGCTAAGCGGTTTAACCTGGCGCTTGGTAATTGGGCGCCTCAAGGGCTCCTGAGCGGCCCTAATTCGCGAAACAGTCGCTTCCGCCATCATAAGCCGCTCGTAGATTATCCTGTGGTGATTGTGAAGCATTGCAATATCTCGCTGAACCTTCGGGTCAAAGGTAGCCACCTTCTTTGATATCTTCTTCTGATTCTTCTCTAGCGCTTCAATTGACTTCGGAGGGGTATTCTCCACGCTTGATGATAGTAAATTTGTAGGCTCCGGTGATGGAGTTCGGGGTTCTCCATGAGCGCGAAGATCAGGTGCGTGAAGAGGAGTAAATTCTAGCTGGCTAGCTAGTTTATCCACTATATTTTGGCCGTTGACTGGCCAAATACCACGATCTTTGAAGGATTGCCGAATAATTCGTTGGTTAAATGCCTTCGCTCGTACAGGCCCAATTACCCGTAGAAAATCCGGTTTACCACATGGCTGACCACCCCAGAAAGATAGCTCATTATTCATAAGCCGAAATTGCTGCTTATAGCTCAAAAATGGCTTACCATCAAGTGGCTGACAGAGATGTGTTGAATGAGGTATAAAGCCGAATGGTATAATATCAGCTAACTCGCATATCTCAAGGAATTCGAGGGTAAGATGTGCTCCGTGGCCATCAAAGAGTAGGAAGCGCTTTTCACCCTTTTTTAGACGGTCGGGTGTAGCAGTAGCTGAAATAAAATGATATAGCCATTCAGAAGCAATTTCATCAGAAATCCAGCCATTCGGTGAGGTAGCAGTAAGTGTGTTTAGAGGTAAATCCTCACTATTATGGAACCAGCTCTCCATAAAGACCCCGCCGCTTTTAAAGATAAATAGCGGATCCATTTGCCAGCCGTCAGCAGCAATACATTCGAGTGCAGTGATAGTTTCGCCTCGCTCAGCTTCAGCAAGGTCAGGGCAGTGCAATCTACCATTAATAACCTTACGAGACTGGCCCTGGCCAGGTTGGAAACCACACTCATCGAAGTTATAGACTAGCCTTGCAGGGATATCCTTTAGCAGGGTTGCAAGCTGATCATACCAGAAAGAGAGAGCCCCTGCATCTTCGGCTTGAATGCGCTTTGATTCCTTTAGATTCTGCTTCACTGGAGCGAGGGATAGGTGCTTTGGAAGGCGTGATATAAAGTAGTATGCCCAATTCTTGCCAACCGGCTGCCGACCCGCATCAGCGCGCGTAAGGGCCTGATTTGCCCACGCTTCTATAAGCTTTGCAGTAGGCGGTAGGTTCCAATCGCACATTTTGACTATCCAAGCAGTCAAAGCCTTCTCCTGATGTGATGTAAGCGCATTCTTGCGCGATTCAGTGGTAGAAAAGGGCGATCGGGCCTTCTTGACGCGATCGGCAAGGGTAGTTCGAGACACGCTAAATTCACGCGCAGTTTTAGCGATATTCGGCTTTTTTTGGTGTAGAACGGCTTTACAGGCCTTCTGCAGGCGATCCTCGTCAAAATTGGAGTATTTAGGCATATTGGGTGGTTGGGAAAGGGAGTTGAAATCGAATGGTAAAAATGTGACGGGGATTTAGGGGTGACGGGGATTTAGGGCGCACCCATAAGCGGAAGCGGTGGGTGGGCCGCAATATCATGGAGGGCACAGATATATGTTGACACGTTCTCTAGTGCTTAATTTAATATCCGCTGAATAGAGGATTTAAAGGTTTCAAAGCACCGGAGTAGCTCCTCTCTACTTGCCCGGTTACTTTAATCTATTAATATTCGTTAGGACTAGTAACTAATATCCTTATTTACGGCAGAGTGTTACCTTAATTAGAGTTTGTCACTTTAGTAGTAGGTACAAAAGCGCCGAAATTCGTAATCGAATAATTAGAGCAAGAGTAGCCGATAATTCTTCTATCTAGGCTAGTCCACTTATATATAGTGTTTCTATCGTCGCTCTGCAGCTCCTTCTCTAGCTCTTTATATAGGATAAGCCACTGAAAGTAAATCTTCCCCTGCAGGAATAGCGGTTATAACTCTAAGGCGACGAAGGAACGAGTCTAAGACTATATAGCACGGAGTTAGTTCGTATAATCTTGTAATATAAGGTAGAAAGATATTACAAATATAAACACTATTAGCACTAAGGACTAGGTCACTAGTAAATAATCGGCCGTCTGCGAGCGTCAGAGTTACCTTCGTGATATCTAATCTAATGATTTTAGAGTTAAGAAATAGCTAGACCGGTATGCCCGCTCCCTTAGACAACACTACGAGATTTCGAAGCGCCGAATAACGGCCTACTTAGTAAATTAGATCCCAGCCCTGCTTAAGATACCAGTAAAATATACTTCTACCTTCGATAACTCTGTCGTTCACCTACAGCACCGGCTTTCTTAATGTTTTCTGCTAGAGATATCGTTATATTCCTCTCTCCCCTGTGTGTGTATATAGAGTGAACTTTGCAGAAAAAGTAACGTTATTCTGAAATCTAAATCTCGAAAAGGAATATAAACAGGATATCACCAACTCTTTCCAGAGGAGTTCCCCTATAGTCAGCCGTTGATAGTCCGAGGCGCGTTAAAAGTCGCTAACAGTTTGGAGCAGCATAAATCACCGCGCTAACCTCCGCGGAAAATTTAGATCGCTCAAAATATCTTTGCCTCATTAACAGACAGAAACCGCGGGGAATATATCAGTCCTTACCAGAACTTTGTGCCCTTGACGCCGAAGAAAATCCGCCGCCGAAAGCCCTCTGATCCCGGCACCGACGATTATCAACGGCTCCATGGTCTTGCATAAAGATTCTCCCGTAGTGGATAAAAGTGGCCTAGGTGCTCTAGCCAATAAGGTAATACAAAAAGAGTTCCAAAATTGTGTTTAAGTCAGAGGGGTCTCGTTGACTATCTATATGTAACCTTGTGTTTCTCAGGGACCTCGCTGAATTAGTTCCAGTTACTCACATCACCCCTGATTGGCTAACGGATCTAAAACGTGTTCCTTATTTACAGGGATCTTGTCGTATACGGGTACTATGAACGACGATGGTTGTACCGACTCATTCGCTTAGTCAAGTTGGGCTATCGTGGCTACGGCTGAAATATATACAAGCGAGTAACAAGTTTGAAATCCCGATAAAAATATCTCTACCATTAACCTAGCCATGTAAATGGTAGAATGACACTTCATATCTGCAAATTCAAGAAAGTGGTTTAATTGAACTTTCGAAAGATCTTGCGGAAGAGAAATATGCACCTCGGCCCGTTGGACCGATTCTCGCCTCAAACTGTGGACTTTTGAATAGGCTCCGTCCAAAACTAAATGGAATACAGAGTAGATTCTTGGTGTCTCGGTCCCATGTTTGAAATTTCACTTGAATATGTGCTTGTTACCCTATTCGGAATGGACACGATGTCCCCTTCGAGATCAAAACATGATCAACACTTACCTACCACACCCGGAGATTTTTAGTGTCGTCAGCTGATATATATCTCCGATGCTATATCTCAATTAGGAGCGTTGCATAGGGGCAGGCTTTCAATCAGCATGCCCATCTCAACTGGAAAAAGTCGTACTAGAGGCAAAAGTCTTTATATAGAACACGCCCCACACTATCTGGATAAATGGCAATCTACAGCATAAATATAGGGCCGCTCGAAATCAGTTTCACCTCTTTGTTCTTTTCGATTATTTCTTGAACTCTATTCTGAAACACGCTAGTCTATTTTTAATTTAGCTTATCGTAAGAACGTGAAACATACTTTCAGAGAAAGTCACATGATTTTAATACACAATACATTCCTTGACTTCCCCAGGCCTAGGATAATTGATCATCATAGGCAACCTTTCCACGGGAACGGGTAAGAGCAAAATACGCTGGAGCAGCATAGCCACCCCTCTTGAACATCCAGGCAAGCAACGTAACATCTAGCTCTGTAGATATAACAGGAGATCGCGAAGGTTGGCTCCTCGGTGAACTTGATCAATCACCTGATTGCGGGGTACACTGCCATATTGGTAGTGCCAGCTTTCTGCCACCAAGCATCTGCACGATGCAAGTATCATGGCAACTAATATATCATATGGCGGCCCTAATTCGGGGTTCCAAGTCGGACAGAACTATGGCCATATTACTGCACAGTTCTGTAGGTGCAGGAACTATCACTCTAACAGAATATAACTAATTAGTGTGCTTCCCTCAGCACAATCGGAACTGTCGTCGAATCAAGCGTGCCTACGGGATCTGCGAACGACTAGTCCCCATGATGATAAGGACCGCATCGAAAGAACGAACGGAGGGTTGCTTAAAGACTTATATTGCTGGATCTTAGACAACCAGCAGTTCAAACATTGGCAAGACAACCGGAGCAGCCGTCTCCTCTGGATCAAAGGTGATCCTGGAAAGGGCAAGACAATGCTTCTGTGCGGTGTTATCGACGAATTAACTCGTTTGATTGGGTATAATGCAAACATCGCCTTTTTTTTCTGCCAAGCTACCGATGTGCGAATCAATAATACCACTGCCGTTCTCCGTGGCTTGATATATTCACTGGTTGAGAAGCAGCCATCTCTTCTCTTCCATGTGCAGAGCCGGTACAACCAAGCTGGCAAAGCCTTGTTTGAGGACATAAACGCATTGAGCGCCCTGTCAAAGATCTTCAAGGATATTTTGAAAGATCCGACCTTGCAAAATACCTATTTCGTGATTGATGCTCTTGACGAGTGCACAACAGATCTCCCTTTCCTTCTGGACTTGGTTGTCCAGGAATCATCCGCCTATTCCCACGTGAAGTGGATTGTTTCGAGCCGTAACTGGCCTGATATCGAAGAGCGTCTGGACACTGCAACCCAGAGAACGCTGATATCATTGGAGCTAAATGAGTCGTCTGTGTCTGACGCTATCCGCAAGTTTATTAGGCATAAAGTCCAGCAATTGACAGAGGTCAAAAAGTATACGGATGAGATCCGTGATACTGTTCACCGTCACTTATCCTCAAACTCGCAAGGCACTTTCCTGTGGGTGGCCCTGGTTTGTCAAGATCTTCATAGAACTTTGCGTATACATGTCCTTAGGAAGCTTAAAGCGTTTCCTCCTGGGCTGAATGCTTTATATAGTCGAATGATCGATCAAGTTCGAAAGTCGGACGATGCTGAGCTCTGCAAGCGAATACTAGCTGTTATGTCAATTGTGTACCAGCCTATCACACTTGACGAACTCACCGCGCTAGTTAAACTACCTGATGATCTCCCTAATGACTATGAAGCGTTCTTGCAGATTATCTCTATTTGTGGCTCGTTCCTGACTGTACGTGAGAACGTTATTGTTTTCGTCCACCAATCAGCAAAGGAATTCCTACTCGAAAAAGTGCGAATCGAGGTGTTCCCAAGAGGCAAAGAAGCTGAACATCTTCAAATTTTCTCGCGATCTCTGCAAATTATGTTCAAGACACTTCGACGTAATATCTTCGACATTCCGTTTGTTGGAATTTCAACCGATGAATTCACACAGCCTAGTCCGAATCCTCTAGCAACCGCAAAATACGCGTGTCGGTATTGGATTGACCACCTTCAGGACGGTTGGTGTGGTAAGGATAAGGATCACAGCCTTGATGATGGAGGATACGTGGATCGTTTTCTGCAGCAAAACTATCTTCACTGGCTGGAAAGTCTTGGGATTTTAGGAAGCGTGCCACAAGGCATAACGGCTATGCTGAAGCTGGAGGGCTTACTTCAAGTGAGTGATCGCTTCAAATACAAAATTAACCAAAATTCTAAATCGGCACCCCTTTTTAGAACAATGAAAACTCAGAGGCCCTGCTATACCGGGCTCAAGATGCGTCCCAGTTCATTCGATACTACAGAGAGGCAATCGAGAACAGCCCCCTTCAAGTATACAGTTCGGGCCTCATCTTTAGTCCAACTAAAAGTACTACGAGGACGTGCTATCAAAATGAGAAGCCAGATTGGATATTGAACAGCCCAGGAGTAGATACAAACTGGAGTACATGTCTCCATACCTTCGAGGGACATGGTCTTCAGGTGAACTCTATTACCTGGTCCAAAGATGGAAGCCGACTCGCGTCAGCATCGCTTGATAACACGGTCAAGATTTGGGATTCAGTCACTGGCCAGTGTGCGTCGACCTTAAAAGGGCACAGTGGTTCGGTCAACTCGGTTTGCTGGTCGCAAGATGGAAGCCGACTTGTGTCATCGTCACATGATAAGACGGTAAGAATTTGGGATCCTGCCACTGGTCAGTGCGTGTCAGTCTTCGAGGGGCATAGTGAACAGGTCAACTCAGCTGTCTGGTCGCGAGACGGAAGCTTGCTCGCATCGGCGTCTTGGGACAATACAGTCAGGATTTGGGACCCCGTTAATGGCAACTGCGTGTTCAATTTTCGAGGGCACACGGCTCCTGTTTATTCCATTTACTGGCAGAATTATGGACGCAATCTTGCATCGTTGTCCATTGATAAAGAAGTCAGGATCTGGGATACGGACACCGGCGAGTGTCTATTCACAATCGAGGGTGGCGACGGCGAGGGGGATGGTTATCCTGTCATGTCAATTGCCTGGTTGCCAAACGAAAGTCGACTCGCATTAGTATCGGTTAAAATGAGGGTCGGGATTTGGGATTTGGCCACGGGAAAATGCATATTAACCCTCGAGGGTCATAAAAGCTGGATCAAATCAATGGCATGGTCGCAAGATGGAAGCCAACTTGCATCAGCATCACATGATAAGACAGTTAGGATCTGGGATCCGACTACTGGTCAGTGCAAATTTACCCTTGAGGGGCATACTCAGCAGGTCAACTTGCTTGCCTGGTCGCAAGATGGGAGTCGGCTCGCATCGGCGTCCTGGGATAATACTGTCAAGATCTGGGATCCTTTAAATGGCAAGGTCATGTCGACTCTCGAGGGGCATAGTGCTCCGATTAGCTCAATTTGCTGGCCGCAGGATGGACGCCGACTCGCATCATCGTCTTTTGATAAGACAATCAGGATCTGGAATCCGGACACCGGCCACCTCGCATACGTCTTTGAGAGACATAGAGATGAAGTTATATCAATTGTGTGGTCACAGGACGGAAGCCGACTAGCATCAGCGTCATTCGACAGGACAGTCAGGATCTGGGATCCTGCTACCGGTCAGTGTATATTGACCATCCGAGGTCATAGTGGTCCGGTATATTCAATTGCCTGGTCTCAAGATGGGCGCCTCCTCGCGTCAGGGTCGGATGACAAGACAGTCGGCATTTGGAATCCAGTAACCGGCCAGAGCATGTCAACCCTCGAGGGACATCGTCAGCAGATCAACTCTGTTGCCTGGTCAAAAGACGGCAGCCGACTTGTATCAACTTCCTTCGATAATACAGTGAGGATTTGGGATCCGATTGCCGGCCAGTGTATATTGACCATCGAAAGGAATAGCGGATGGTTTAGGTCGCTTGCATGGTCGCAGGATGGAAGCCGCCTTGCGTTAGCATCTTCGGATAACACAGTCAGACTCTTTGATCCTTCCACCGGCGAGTGTGTGTTGATCCTCGAGGGGCACAATAATCTGATCTACTCAATTGCATGGTCGGATGACGGAAGCCGGCTCGTTTCAGCATCAGATGACAACACCGTCAAGATCTGGGACTCGGCCACCGGCCAATGCATGTCAACAGTCCATATCAGCTCAGTTGGCACTGTTCAATTTGACAAACTGAACATCAACCGTCTACATACGGGTATTGGCACATTTAGTGTAGGCTCAACGCCTACTACGCATGATTCAACCTCGTTCCCTCAAAAGACTGGCTTTGGCCTGAACGAGGATTTTTCCTGGGTAACCTACAATGGAGCCAACCTCCTTTGGCTACCTGCGGAGTATCGGCCGTCTTCCCCTTCTCTATTTGCTATGTTTTCAACAACTGTGGCAATTAGCTGTTCATCAGGCCGTGTCATATTTCTTGCCCTCTCTCGAGAAAACCTCTTTCGGGTGTCGTGCCAGCATCTACGTTATTGAAATCCATGTGTCCTTCCAACGTACTGGCCCGATTTAGCAAGCCCTTGAATCATCTCGTATACACCTACGACAGTCAAGATTTACCCATCTCTGAGAGATGAGACGCAAGAACTGCCATTTATGTGGCTGAGAATATGGATCCGTTCCTCGATGTTAGCACTGATCAATGCCCGCATTTTTCAGATCGCAAAGGTACGTGCATCTCCCAATAGCCCAGCGCTCCCCAAGACCTTTTGAAACAAACATTTCATCCGCACACTGAGCAGAGGGGTGAGCATGGTGAGCGCGGAGGAAATGCTTTCTGTAGGGTGCGTCAACGACGCTCTTTGCTACCTTCCACCGTCCCCCCCAAAAATGGCGCCTCGGCTCCCTCCATCCAAGCTTACGATTGTTTGAGACATGATACATAGCAGATCATTGACTACGTCACAGATGGCTGAAGCCGCTGAATGCAGCGAGCGCTCAATCATCAATATTCGCGATAATCTGCGCCTGTTCGGAGTTGTCAGAGCTTCCTCAACTCGCGTCGGCCGGCGACGAAGCAGCAGCCCACCAGATGATTAATTTTTTCTACTTGCGCACGAATTCCCACCCATTCGACAAATCCTGTCTGGGTGAGTTGAGAACAGTTGACCGAAGGTGGGAATGCGAGTGGCAAAAGTGGTTGCCAGACAACCAACTACCCCTTCTTCTTGACATGTTTAATTTGTTTGTTAGGAGTAGGTTCTAGAACGAATAATTCATACAAGACAATACTGGCCTATTTTTATACATTTATTTAAAACGGTATTAGATTACAGCCAAACACGGAGTCAGGGGTAGACTAACTAGAGTAGGCATAGTATGATGCAAGATAAAGCTCAAAAACAAATTAAAGAGAAAGAAAAACATGAAGCTAATTTCGAGCAGCCCTGTATCACTTCATCGAACAGGAACGTGGTATGCGTGAAATGGTTTTTCTCTATGATCTATTGTACAATATGGTATGAGCCGAGAGATGCGATAAGATGGAATCACGGAACAGATTCATCGATCGAGCCCATTTGCCTGGCACTATTGCATTGAAGCTCGGTCAGCAAACCTGTTTCCAACCCGAGAGAAAGAAGTCAAAAATATGATACAAACCATCTGCTAATAAATCCCCCGATTCTGAAGCAACTCCTGATACAAGCCCCGTTCGACAACCCGCGACCCCTTTCTATTCTGACTTTCCCCGTAATATCTGCCTTCTAAATAGTCGCTAGTCTGTGTACAACAGCGATAATAGTTATACTCCGCTGCTAGCTAATCTTTTAAGAGCGGCTTAAACTAGTTTCTCGGACTGCGAGTCCAGACTTAATATTGCCTTATCTAAGAGGAGCAGAGATAGTTTGCGGAGTAGTGTATACGTAATACACAGGCGCTGGCGCTAGCCTCTGCTAAGGATTGCTAGGCTTTGATTCCTAGGTCTGTGTAGTATCCTTCTAACAGGGAGGTAATAAAATCGTGAATTTCGGTGTTAATATATACTTAAGTTAATTCTTCTTTTTGTACTCCGAGTCCTTGAGTCCGAGAGTGATATTATTACAGATAGTGCCTTCGAACAGTCGTAGCTCTTAGGCTACTAATAATAAAGATCTATAGTAACTTATAAGGTTAGATTGATAGAGCTGATATCCTCGCTGTTAAGGAAAATAGTGCTATAGAGCGGATTGTAGAATCTCTCGAGGATTAATATTAAGCTAGTCTTGCTATACCTTAAAGGTCTAACAAACACTACGAATTACCTACTTTCGATAGCGTAGTGGGGGAACTGCTGACAGATATGTGAGAGAAGTTTCGGCGGAGATAGATTGGTGGCAGCTGTTCTGATTCTATGCCGTGGAGGTTGGTGTAGTTGCATGTTTGTTTGTTTGCTTATTTTATCTGATCTTTACTATTTGGTCTGTTTGTTTTCGGGATTTCGAAAAAGGATGAAAAGCCTCATGTAGACGATGAAAATAAGACACACAACTGAACAGTCATTACATACATCATTGTGGATTCATTCCTCTCTTAGATTTTTCTGATTTAATCGTCCACGACTACTGATCTCACTACCTATCCTGGTGAAGCATTGCTGAAGCATTTCTGGGGAACCGGAAATGCTTGCCCTCAATCGTCCATTGAGGTGGTATTAACCTCGTCTGTGGCTATGGCCCCCTATCTCATCTTCTGCTGAGAATCTATTCCATTCGTGCCTCGACCTGTCCGTTCCGACCAGACTGCTATTAGCGCAAACCCCCCCGTTTACTGCTCTTTGCCAGTTCCTTAGTAGCCTCGTCCTGCTGAGCAAAGAAGGTCTTTTGGCCTATAACTGAAAGTATGCCGACAAACGCTAAAGAGGATAAAATAAAGTAAATATTAAAATACAGAATAAAGAAAATCTGTTCCGTAGGTTGAAATAAAGGGATATAGCTGCAATTTGTACTTCACGACTTAAACACAGATCTTAGTGTCTGATAAGAGCAGAACACTTTTCTCCACGCTAGAGTATAGCAGGCGGTCGAAGCCCTCTATTTTTGCGTCACCAGGGCCCGGTTCGTTATTTCTTGAGAAGGAAAAGAGATTGTATAATCGAGTATCTCAAGAGACACGGGCACGATAAAAATGGAGGTCCATCAAAAATTAGATCGGAAGATACACAGAACTGTAGGGTAAAGCGCTCCTTTGGGTATAGGCTGAGCGTCGACTGGGTGCTCAATAGATGCCTATGGTGAACATCTGAGTAATCGGTGATGGCTCAGTGAGCAGCTAATCAGACTCACTGAGCGCTCATTGGACCTCACTGATAATCACGTGATGGGACTAAGCAGCTCAGTGAGTCTGACTCTGAGCGCCCTCATAAAAGCGGCGGCAGCTAAAAGAGGAAAGCCCCACCTGGCATAGGAAAAATGTTACGTATACTCCGTAGTGTCCTATATAATAACCAGAAATATGTGGAAAATATCTCGATACACCCACGACGTCCTACCGGAGACTCGTGTTAATAATGACTGCAACACTCCTTTGGGTGCGTCGGGAGGCCTTTTCACAAACCCCGTCACTTTTGAATACTCTCTCTTGGTCTCTTTGAGTCTAATGGGCTCCTTGCGCACCATTTCGTCAATGGATTGACAAAACTCCTTGCCTTCCACGGATCAAGAAAGGCACATATGAATGCGGCTGTGCGAGCCAGTACCACTCACAAATGTCGGGATATCATGGCACTTTGCGATGGCCAATCGGTTACTGCGATTCATGATTCTTGCTACGCTTCCCCAGACAAACAGGGCCGCAGTTCATTTTCAAGTACTACAAGAGCTACTGGTCCCCCAGTATGTTCGACGAATATCGCTTGTGATTTTTCTCTCGGGCACGCTGCCAAAATATCTTGCGCTGATGAATGCCCTTGGGGGTTCAACCTTCTCTGATGAATCAAAGGATAAAAACCCGACAGTTACAAGGCCAAAATGGCTTCCAACGAAGCTGAAGTTGAAGTACATGCTCTCCTCTCACGTAATCCCAGACCCAGAAAGAGATATCCAAGACTCCCCGGAGCTTCACGCTTCAGGTTCAACAGGACATCATAACCGCATATCAGCAATATCTGGAAGATCGCAACATACTCCTGTGTCCTTTGCCATTTCATGCTGAGGGTACTCCCCGGAAGGAAGTCGAGGCTTATGGGAGTTCAGTTCATCGCTGAATTGCTCCGAGTGATGCTGGACATGGAGCATGGATGGTAGTTAAGGGTATTAGCTTGGCAGCTTCCAGGGAAGATTCAATCGAAATTGTTACTTACGCTCTCCTCAAGAAATCCAGGTTTTAATATACCCACACTGCCACTGAATAATTTCATGCATTCTTTCATGAAAAGGCATCTACCTGGTTCAGAGAGGATCCTCAGCAATTCTGTCGGAAGCCCGGAGACCCTTGTTTTTCGTCAACGAGCTAATAAGGTATTGAACTACCTTGGTGATCTTGCTCAAATCAACACGACCAACTCGGTCGCTATCCAACTCACTCGAGTGATGGAGCTCTTGGGTGGATTCCGATTTCAAGATGGCGACTTGCTGGATATCTCACCGGCCCTGATGCTCCGACTTCACCTAATTCAAGGGTGCTACTACTATCTCAAGCGGTACCCCGACGCCCTTCCGGATGAAAATTATCAGTAGAATTCATGACGGGCATGAGCTGTCCATTCTATAGGCCTATGTCTTCCAACCAGGCATCTTCCAGAACGAGAAGGCTGGGCTCAGGCTTCGGGACGAGGACCACGTAAGCTTGTCTACTATCTCTATTGTGAAATGAACACATGTACAGCTGAAGGTATGGTAAGTTCTTTCCTTTTGCAGGCGCTACCGCGGATATTTTCTCGTCAAGTTAACCCGTGGATCATATCAACAGGCCGAACCCGCTGACCAGGCGATGAAGAATCCTTTGGAGTATTCATATGGACATATTGGCCTATGGATATATAAGTGACTTGTCTCCTTTCTAAGCACATCTCTACCATAGCGGCCCGCGTGGATGGCTGATAAGGCTCATTCATAGCGACCCCACTATCATTTGAGAACAGAACAACACGACAGAACAACACGACAGAACCCACTTTCGGAGTGTGGTAGCATTACTCTTGGAACGGCATTCAGACATCACAGCAACGTTGGGCCTTGCATGATGTTTTCCAGTGACGATGAGAAACTGACGTCCTACGCGCTCTCTCTGTGGTCATAGTTTTGATGGCCCCAGCATGATTGACAAACTGGCTGTTTGATGAGGCACTGTCGAGACAAACACGAAATTACGAGGCGACAATGAAACTCTCCGCTTTAAGAGCCATGGCGTTGTGTTGAACGTGCCATCCGTGTACATATGACATCCGCCCTTGTGTGGAAGTCGAGAGAACGAGGTGCTTTCAGCAGAGTTCCTCGTAATCAAAGAGCAAGGAATGATCAGAATTGGAACAATTCAAAGATCTATGTCTTTTCGTGAGTATTTCTATCGAGATTGCTTTCTTTTACTGGCTGGCTTGCGCTTTCTCTACTTTACTAACTCAAATGGGATTGCAGGTTGCTCGTGTGTCCTAACGTGTTTCTGTGACTTCCTCGCATTCAGGTTTACCTGTCCGGTGACCAAGAACTACCAATTACTTATGCCCGAATTTCTCGGCATGTCAGGGCCGATCCCCGACATGGCTCGCAGGTGCGCAATTCTCCTTCCAATGGTGACGGTAGCATGCTGAACCTATTTTTTAGATTCCTAATGTCCGTCAATCCCACAGCCACATGGTGGACTTGAGTGCGCTGGGCTTCAGAAAGCAGCTCTTACATCATGGGTGTGTGATATAAGGTTGCTTTCGAGGCCACGGAGAAAAAAATACGCATTCGCGCCATTCACGCCATCCACGCCATCCACGCCATCCACGCCATCCACGCCATCCACGCCATCCACGCCATTCACGCCATCCACGCCATTCACGCTAATCGCATTAATTGCGTTAAATCATGGCCTCTAATATGGATTCCATCACCAACGACCCAGACCCACCTATTCAGACCAATCCCCTGATTTCAAAATTGTTCTGAGACACTCTCGCTCTTGCCCCTACCACTGGATGTGAATACTGTGGGATAGGGACCGAAGACCTTCTCCGATGTGCCAGATGCAAGATGACATTCTACTGCTGCCGTGAGCACCAAACTGCTCACTGGCCATCCCACAAGGCCGAGTGTTAGATAACCTCCTCCGATGTCCCAGATACAGAGTGATTCCCTACTACGGAAGTGAGCACCAGATTACTCGCTGGCCATCAAACAAGGCCGCTTGTAACATGATCAAAAATCATCGAGTTGCTGCACACGTCATTGAGAGAGTTGATGTGAACCTTCTGATCAGCTTCAGTACAGTGGCTCCGGAAGTCTGGAGACCCTTAGTATCTCGTGGACGGAGTAATGAGGTATCTCTGTGGAGATATTTCTATTTGCTGTCTGAGGAAGGATATGGAAAATGTTGAAGTGAACTAAGGAATGCATTGTACAGAACATAATGATAATACAAAACTCTCTGCTCTCCAAGTTTACCAACCCTTCTGCCATTGTGGTCCAGTGACAATTTGAGCATGATGATTCAAATGTGCAGCATGTCTAGCATGATTTCTGCGACCGCCAACAATTGGTCTCTCGAGTCGATCCAGTTCGTCAACAATGCCACCGAATGAGCGACCCATCACCCTCGACGATGTGCTATCAGACAAAGAAGGTGGAAGATCACCAGGCCCAGTCCCCCAAGCACTTTCATTGCGACCTAAAATGAGAACCAAGTCTTGACCCTGATTGAAGAAGTCATGGTCGACCCAATTACGGGTATACGGTCTTCCATTCAATGTAGCCGACTGGATAAAACCAGTAGCTCCGGTGTTGTTGAGCGAGTTGAACTTACTCCAATTCGCAACGCGTATAGTCGCCGTATTGCCCGTGAGAGGCGAGACGATGCTGACTGATTCAAAGAATGGAACTGTAATAAGATAAACGCTCTGTCCTGGGTTTGGGAAAAGACCCATCATGGACATCGCAACAAATGAGCCCATGGCACCGGAATCGTCGTTGCCAGGGAGTCCGGCGGGAGTCGGAGAGAAGTAGTCTGGAATGTATGTGCGAACCCGAGCAGTGGATTTAGCGGGACGACCGGCGTAATGATATTGGAAGACGGTGAGGAAGGCAGGTTCATTTCCGATATAGGTGATATTCTGATCGTGGAGGTAGTCGAGGCGCTTGACAAAGCTGGAAGGACCACCGAGCATGGGAATCAGAGCTGCCATGTCGTGAGGAACAAAGCTTCGTAGTATCAGTCAGTTGTAGACAACAAGTAGCAATGATAAAGTAACATACAATTGGTATTCCCAGATACTGGACTCAAAAGTTTCTGCAGCAGTATTTTGAAGCGAACAAACACTTCCGCTGTTATCAATATTTGAGCATTTGAGAGGATCCTGGTGTCCCCAGGTTTGATTCAGGTATTTGGGCTGGAAGAATCCAGTAAAGCCAGTGTCTGTCCCATTGTTGAATGATGTCTGGTCCTCTTTGAACAAGTTCTTCCATGACTCGGAGCGCTTCTTATATTTCTCAGCGTCCCCAGTCTTGTTGAGACCCCGGGCCATCTGTGCGATAGCAAAATCGTTGTATGAGTACTCAAGAGTGCGCGAGATACTGCGTGTCATTGTACCAAAGCCTAAGTAGTCGAAGTCTTCCACGGGAATATAGTGAAGCTCTTTCCAGCTCTGAAGACCTCCACGACCCTCATTGGACCAGTCGTATGGCTCCTCTTCAGCGTCCTTCTGCACTGCTGCATATCCAGCATCCCAGTCAATTCCGTTATTGAGACCCTTGACATAGGCGTCGACCAAGATGTTGTCGGCGTTTGAGCCACCCTGTGTGAAACCTGAATGGCAATGTTAATGAACAGCGCCAAATTTGATTTAAATACATTGTTTGACGTACCCTTGCATAGTGACATCCGACAGTCCGGCAGCCACCCCAAATGGCGCTGGGTATCAATAAGAGACCGCACCATCTGGGCGACGGAGTTCGGGTCGAAGATTGTCAGGAAGGGGATTTGAGAGCGGAAAGAATCCCAAAGACTGATTATGGTTAGCGACTAGTCTCATCATCCATCGAAGCTGACAAACCAATAGAAAGAGTCAAAATATGGCTCGGAGCTTGTCCACAGCGGGTTCTCGCCCGTATAGTTCTGGGGGTTGATCATGGTTCGGTAGATACCACTGTAGAAATTAGTGAGAACGGACTCCTGTACACCGTTCCGTGAGACACGAATTGGTCGGAGTTTCTCGGTCCATTGATCAACAGCAGCTTGACGCGTGGATTCAAAGTCGAAGTTGCTGATCTCCGCTTCCGCATGTAAACATGCCTGCTCGATGCTAATGAAGCTCACGCCCACACGAGCTTGGACTATGCCATCTGATGGGGTCTCATGACGAATAAATCCTCCTCCCTAGAAATCGATCTAGCTCAGAATTTTGTACTATCAGAGGCACCATATGCATGCTTACCGGAAGTGGATAGCCATTGATACTCCGAGAAATGGTCAGGTCATGGACTTCGGTACTAGCTCGACCATCGACAAAAATGCCACTATCCCTCAACCAGCCAGAGCTTTGGAAATCGGCACAGAAGTGGAGAGTATACGCTCCACTCCCAAAGCTTGGCAGGAACCTGCCACTACCCGTCATGCGGCCACTAGATTCATCAATGGAGATGGTCGCATTGTCCTGCCGAGAGTCGGACAAATCCGAGAGATCCAACAGGATCAGCGGATTACTTTTCTCAGGGAACGTAAATCGAAAGAGTGAAGTATGATGAGCGGCGGTCATTTCAACATGGACCCCCGACTCCAATGAAAGCGCAAAGTAGCCCGGACTGGCCTTGACCGAGTCCGGAGTATAAGGAGTTGCTCGAGCTTTCTTCGGATAGACGCAGCCATTCACGTCGTCATCCTTGCATTGTGCGTAAGGAAACAAGGGAAAATTGCCGAGAGACGGACTGCCACCTGTACCCGAGTCGTGCATGCTCGAGAACCCAGTCACATTGCTGCCATCGTATGCGAAACCGCCCTGGTTGCTGTCGGAATTGGTATCAGCGCCCGCCTTGGCCATGCCATAGGGCAGCGAAGCACCGGGGAAGACATTTCCTATGGTATGAAACGGTCTCGTTAGATAAAAAAGAACGAAAAAAAGACATTGAGTGGCTTTCAACTTACCTCCGTTGGTGCTGCCGATCAGCGGGTCAATATACTGGAGTACATCGTACTCCTCCACTAACGGGGACTGGGCGGTATGGACCAGCGCGTGACTGCTGGCAAGAAAGAGCGACACAATCAAATGCTGTGATAGCATGATTGCAAAAGAGTGTAAGGTAGAAAAGCCAGCATCTCGCTCGGAAAGCAGGAAGGCCGGTATTTAGGAGGATTGCGATGCCCCTGCGTAGGGGATCGCGGCTGCCCGCCGGCATGCATCCTCTACACCCCTGTCGATCATCCCCGCGTCGCGGTGTTGCATCGAGACCCTGAATTATTTGCAACACTCCATGCACGTTACTGCGCGCTAGTCCTGTGTGGTAGATGACACGATCATCAAAGCTGGTAGATGAGCAGCTGGTACGGTCGCCCGTGGCGATCAGGCGGGCCGATTTGTGAGTCGGCTGATTGGCCTGGGGTCTTGAGCCCCTTTCATGCCACAACCCTTACGCTACAATCTCATCTGTAAAAAGAGACAGCGGATATTTCCGTCAAGAATGTGATTGTGGCTTGCATGTTCGATCCCATGAATGTAAGTTTACTGAAGACACTATCCTTGTCTATCAGCATACTAACATCCTTAGGCTCGGCAGGTAGTTACTTGACAAAGTATACAGAGAACCTCAACATAGAATCTTCCTTATAGACCATCTCCTATTCCCATCGGGTTTTTTTCATCTGTGTTTTTTTTCCTTCAAATATGTTCTAATTGTCTGAAGGTATTCAGAATAATATCCGATGAGGGAAGAATCTATCCGTTTCATTTAGGTCAACTATGTATAAACATGTATACTGTTTCCGAATCTCCAGGATAGATTTTTTGGAATATGGTCTGGAACAGACTCACCTGTTTACCTCTGTGTAATCACTAAACTCTAGTCGTCTCCGACTTCCGCGTGTTTGGGGAAATGAATTGCTGCCGTAGGTAAACTCACAAGCCAAAATCACCGGACTTCATGAATCTCTCCCAGGAAGGCACACGTAGCTAAGTCTGTCCCAGTTAAAGCCACACACAGTAGACATTACCCTCATTCTCAGCGCGCGAATGAAGGTAAAGATATTGGAATATCATATTGAATACCGGTCACCCTACATTGATAGACGGAGAAGACCTAAAAGAAAAAGCCATTCATCAGATAGAAGAGCAAACAGAGCGGGTAATAGTGTTTCCCAGCAACTTTGAGCTTCCAAAGTTGACATGCTTGTGTGAATCTCAAGAGTAAGTGTGGACCAATCAAAATACGGAAACATTGGAATCTGTGATATTCGCATTTTGAATTGTGATTGCGGAGATGGCAAGAATTTTTCACATCCTATCATAATCAGACCTATTAGTGAAGTAATGATGATAGTTACAGTTGCTTGAGTTAGGCACCGCATCGAATAGCTTCCTCCTCATTCATCCTTGCTTAGGATTAAAAGAATTATAGAGATTATCCATAACTAATATAGATTTCTATTCTTATCAAGCCGCACCCTGACGGGACGCGTCTCTCTTCCCACCGTTTACGTTTGCTTAACCTGGCCACGTGAAGACAGATTGTTCTCGAGAATGCAGATTTACGTATCAAACATTTACGGCAGCAGTCAAGGCTCCGCTTTACAACGTGGGCCCGCTGCGTAGGACTATGAAGTCGCGGGGCTCTTCTTCTCTCTTCCTTCTTTCTCTCTCGCAGTCTTCCTTCACCATTTTTCCCTACCTCCATCTCGCCTTCCTCAGTCTCCACCGTTACCCATCACTTTCATCTATTCTTTCTGATTGGAACCATCTCAACTTTCTCATCCTCTTTTGACTCACATCAACCGCACCATCCACGCCCTCCACACGTCACCTCCAACATGGATTCCGCCGTCAACGACCCGATCCGCCTATTCCGACAAATTCCTCATTTATAAGCTATTCTCTACTCCTCTCGCTCGTGCTCCCTCTACGGAATGTGAATACTGTGAGGTGGAGACCGAAGACCTCCTTCGCTGCGCCAGATGCAAGGTGACATTTTACTGCGGCCGTGAGCACCAACTCGCGCATTGGCCGTATCACAACTAGCTCATGTTTTAAACCCTCGGCTGTCAAGCGGCCCTCCTCGATGAGGTCGCAGAATGGACCGTGAGATGCTCTGTCCCGTAAAAAGTGGTCCTTGCAGCAGTATGTAAAGGCACGACAGTGACCACAATCATAGAGTTCTCCTGACTGCTCTAGACAGAAGGCACAGCCTGAGACGAGAATAGACGACTCTCGACTCTCTGGTTCCAAGTCCAAGGAGCTCGGATTAGGAATATTCGAAGTGAACGCCTCATGATCGTGCTTGCTTGCGTGCATTATATCCTCGATGGAAACATCTGAATAAGTGATTTGAGCTATTTTAGAGCGAACAAAAGGTTTGGAAATATGGAAAATATCCTGGAGGGAAAGGATATTTGAAATTTGCGTCGGTAGAGTGTTTTGGGAGGTGAAGAAGGAATGGTGGGGAGATGTCAGGAAGGAAAATGTCGAAGCACCCATCTAAACAAGGAGTTCATGTGAACTTCTTGCCAAGTGAGATAGTGCAAACAGTCTAGTGTTCTCTTATATCTACCTCATCTGACTATTCTTTTCTAATGCTTCCTTTGCAAGGATCTTGCCATGTCATTTTCAGCCTCGACAGCCATGGTGAGCCCATAATCAGCTACCATTCACCCAATACCGTGTATTTCGCCTCAATGTTCAAGATCCAGCATGCTCCAGCAACTAATAGCTAACTTAAGTTATCATAATAGAACCAGGCCGCTATTACCTTGTGTTATCCTCGTGATTTCCTCCTATTTCAAGTCAATATCTTCCTCCGACTCCGCAATCCGGGCCAGATCTACGGCAATCCCCTAGATCAAGGGCTCCCATATGAGCTCAATCCAACTACAGCATTTATTGAATACCTGAAGGCCCAATAACCTCTAAAGCTGCGATGTGGAGGGGTGATATTGCTTCTCTACTTGCCCGATATTTTATACTTCGGTTAGGGTCTGTGAGGGTCACGTGCTGGTCACGTGTAATGTACTTTCGCCTGAAAATTCAGGCGACTTTCTCCGCCGGATCTCGAACTATACCAGAGGCTCCTACGGCTTTGCGAGCTTTTCATGGTGGATATCTTGCGTGAATATGCTCTCACATCTTTGTTCCATCATGATATTACGATTTTTGAAATAGTTACCGCTTGTTTCTGTTAGACCAAGCGACGAGGCCTATCAGCCGACGGCGGCGACGGCGACGGCGACGGCGACGGCGACGACGGTGTCTCCGTACGTCGTAATTTTCCCAACCAAGATTCGGATATGCTTCGCGGTGCCAAATTGGAGTCCATGGTAACGACATCTTTCAAGGTGTTATTTCTATTGACACAATTGTCTACCCGCGGCGGTGGTCTACTGGATCTCCATGATCAAGAAGCGCCAGAAAATGTTGTCAGAATACGTGACTACCATGTTTCCAACTTGATGAAGCTCAAATCGGAGGGAATGAGCTCATCCTACGGCTATATCTGGGGCCTTTGTTGTTAGATGGCTGTAAGCATGGGCAGCACGGCCATGTTCATGCTAGGCATCCACTCGGCTTGCAATGTTTCTACCTTCTGTTATTTGAAAAAAGTACATCAAGGACATAATCAATACGCAATAGTTCTGAAAGCCAATCTCAATAGCCGCTGTCGGTATTTACTCCGTGTACATGCTACAAGTATGTACGGAGTAGTGGAGCGAGTTGTGGAGATGTGTATGCAACGGCGATCCAAACGGTCATGCCAAACTTAAAGCAGACAAGTTGGAAATCCTCAAAGTTCGTGAAAAGGGTCCATGTAGCAGTAATACTGTCTATCCACTCATGAAAAGCATAAATTTGAAAAAATCTAGGCTTAGCCACCACATCAAATTTTCAGGCAACCTGGATAAGTGACGAAAAACCCGGAAAACGCCCAAGAAGGACAGGATGCCGAGGTAAGTCAGCCGCTCGGAGTCCACTCTCCGTCCTCAACCAACCTTTGCCTCCCAACAACTCGACACTGACGACCTTGAACGGGTCGGGTTTGGATAATGCTCCGTCCATCATCTTTTGCTGCTTCCTCTTTCTCCTCTCTTTCCTCCTCCATCTCCTCAACAGCCCGATTGACGCCATTTCCATCTCGGCTTCTCCTCCAGCGCCGCGCAGCCCCCTCATCACATCGGCACTCTTTCGCGTCTCCGCGGTATACTCGCCGTCGACTCTATTCTACCGGTAAGCCCTGTGCTACGATCTAGATCCAGATGCATCAACGGCATCATATCTCCAGGTGGAAAAGTTTCTAAACCGTCGGCTGTCGCAGAACCGAACCCTTCCGTTCATCCGCAAACACCTCCTCCGCCTCCGCGATCGCGATTCCGCCGCTTCCTAGGCTTCACTTCGATCGCAGTTCTTGCCTTTTCTGCCGGCCTTCTATATCAGACTCAACGTACCGTATCACGACTCATGGCGACCGCTATTATCTCCGACGCCGAGACCCTGACGGCCTTCGTGCCCGTGGATGCTCAGGCCGAGGAAGTCAATGAGTATCTCCGCACACACCCCGAAGCCGAGAAGCTTCGCGCAGACCCCGATTACCAGGAGTCGCGCCCGCATCTTCGGTTCCCAGAGGGCATGCGCGCGCGCAGTCTGACGGCCGGCGCTCTGTCGGGACCCAACAAGCTCGTCGTTCCCCCGTTCGTGTTCTCTCAGCGCGAGGGCAAGAATCTGGCTTCGTTCATGTACCTAGGCTCTGATATCTGCGGTCACCCCGGTATCATTCACGGTGGTATGCTGGCTACGTTGTTGGACGAGGGTTTGGCTCGTTGCTGTTTCCCGGCGTTGCCGAACAAGGTCGGTGTTACCGCCAACTTGAACATTGACTACCGGGCGCCGGCCATGGCCAACTCTTACGTGGTTCTCCGGGCGGAGACTGTCAAGGTGGAGGGTCGGAAGGCGTGGGTTGAGGGTCGCATTGAGACTCTCCCTGAAGACGGCAAGGAGCCCGTGGTGCTGGTCGAGGCCAAGGCACTGTTTATCGAGCCTAAGCAGGCTGCTGTAAGTTTTCCTAATTCTTTGGAATCTCCAACTTTAAACTTTGCGTTGTGGCGAAACTGTGGCTAACTGGTTTGGTACCTCAGGCGCTGTCCGGCTTGTACCGTGGCGTCAGCGATTGAAAGAAATTTCTCTGACGTGATCAACTTTGTTCCTGGTTCCTGGCGTACGGGCGATTCGATTTTTCGACTTTCATTCTTTTTTCTCTTATCTTAATTTCTTTTGTGATTTGTTTTCTAGAGAGCATTTTGTATTCCTGTCGGACACGATTGGATTATGTATAGCATAGAATTTTGACTGCATATTATCATTGGTTCTGTATACTTCCCAGACCCCAATTAAAGTTGTCATCGATGGCGCAATTCGTATATAACCGGCAATTCGTATCAAACTCCGCCAAGCCCGCAGAAAACCCCGCGATCATCACTCGTTTCCACTCTTACGCGGCCCGTTTCACCGTCTCTTTTCCCCTCCTGGATTAAATTCTTGGACTCTCCTTCATCCCTCTTCCCTTTTGCACATACACATACCTTCACAATGGCCACGTAAGTCCAATTGAAGCCCTCGAGATCCCAGAATCCCCTCCATCAAACCACCGACAGACCCACAAGAGGCAACTATACTAACCCCACCTTCTTCACAGCAACATCACCTTCCACGCCGCCGCCCTCACCCGCAAGGAGCGCACCGACCTGCGCAAGCAGCAAGGCCTGACAATCTGGCTGACCGGCCTGTCCGCCTCGGGCAAGTCAACGCTAGCCGTTGAGCTGGAGCACCAGCTCCTGCGAGACCGCGGCGTGCACGCCTACCGTCTGGACGGCGACAACATCCGCTTCGGTCTGAACAAGGACCTTGGTTTCAGCGAGGCCGACCGCAACGAGAACATCCGCCGTATCGCCGAGGTCGCCAAGTTGTTCGCTGATTCCTCCGCCGTCGCGATTACCTCTTTCATCTCGCCTTACCGCAAGGACCGCGAGACCGCCCGCCAGCTGCACGAGGTGCCCACCCCCGGCGAGGAGACTGGTCTGCCTTTCGTCGAGGTCCATGTCGATGTCCCCGTTGAGGTTGCTGAGCAGCGTGATCCCAAGGGTCTGTACAAGAAGGCTCGCGAGGGTATTATTAAGGAGTTCACTGGTATCAGTGCCCCGTATGAGGCTCCGGAGAAGCCGGAGGTGTACATCAAGAACGTGGATCTGGCTATCCCCGATGCTGTTAAGCAGATCATTGATTACCTCGACTCTAAGGGCTATCTGCCCCCCAAGCAGGAGTAAACTGGTTTTTACTTTTCCTGGTCTCATGAATGTTTTGATGTGTACGAGCTGAAAATGGGCCTTTGTGAGGCTTTATGGGAGGAGCAGTCGCATACTGTGGTGTGGATCTGGAATGGTTGTTTTTGTCTTGATTCCCCGCATACAGGCGCTGTATATACTGGACAAATATAGATCGCTTTGCAAAGAATTTGGTCTTCGGAACCACTGAGAGCCCCGATCGAGACTGTGTATTCGGTAGATGTAGAACAATCAATACCCAACCTAAAACAAGACAATAGAAAGAAAACAGGCTAGTTTGTGCTCAATGTACCGAACTGGTATATGTACGCGATTCCCCTTTCCCCGCAGCGACAAGCCCAATTAAACAGATGGGGTGTTCACTGGAACTCGAATTCGTAGTAAACATATGGTGTGTACTCTGCGCTTCCCTCGGCGCCCATGTGCATCTCGTTCGGGTCATCCCGTTTAACGCGGCCCTTCTTGTCTCGTCCAAATGCGTTACCCGCAAGATACGAGTACTTCTCTTCAAGGTTGCTCTTGGCCTTGTCTGCTTGCTTCGAGGACGGGGTCTAGAAAAAGAAGAGCAATGTTAGTCAATGACGCCACAATAAGAGCCACCTTCAAGAACCACACGAAAAAAAAACATACCCGAATCAAACCACAGACAAAGTCCAACGGAAGACCATACCGTAGAACAGTCTCCACAAACACCCGCAACACCAGGATATGAATCCAGACCATAACCGCCTCACTCCAAGCAGTCCGGCCTAGACGCAGCGTCTCGCCCCAAAGCTTGCGCTCATCGCCTCCAACACGCTCAACTTCCTTCCGCTCTTCCTCCTTACCACCCTCGACGTACTTGAAGTCGCGCGGAATCCATTTCTGCTCACGGCACTTGTGCACAAACTCGACACTGTGCTTCTTGAAGCTCGTCACGGCGTACAGAGAGAATTCGCTGTCCTCGGCGAGCAATTGTGCAGATCGGGGCACGACCATCGGGGCGACGGTCTCGTAGGTCTTGAGGAAGTCCTTGACTAGCTGGGAGGGTACGGCGATCAGGTGGGTCTCGATGTATTCGGAGTCTTGGACGATGGATCGGGGGTCGATGACGGAGGCGAGGGATTTTGTGGAGAGGTTGCCTCTGCATGTTGATTGAATGGTTAGCTTGGTCCAAGGTTTGGCGATAGAATAGCTGTGGGTTCGCACGTTTGTTTCCGCTGGAGCGTAGCCAGCGTGTTCTTAACTTGGTTATATTGCGAGTACTTGGACCGGATATCATTGTCGATGCTAGCAGCTTCCTAGAGAGTATATTAGCTCAAGTCCCACATTATACGCTCTAATGCTTGAATCGCTCTGCAACCCACCTTGTGCAGCAGATCGATCAACTCCGCCAGCGGCTTATCCGCGCGATACTTGACCTTATTCCACGAGAACGTTCGCAAGTACTGATCAACAGGCTCTGCATATTGTCAGTCCAGAACATCAGCACCATTCTCCGCTCCACTCCTGACACGTACTATCATTCACGACCTTCATGCGATCAATCTGCGCCTCATCACCCTCGAGGATATTCTTCAACGCATCGCCGACCTTAGCCACCACAGCCTGGCAGGAGGTCTCCAGCTTAGCTAGCTCGTCGGCCTGCTGTACCAACGCATCTAGCGTGCCGATCTTGAATTCCGGGATTGGGAAGGAGGCTACGGAGCCATTCTCGGGGGAGACGGTGGTCGATACGGCTTCGAGGGCGTCATCGCGGTGGTGCGAGGGGACGATGGAGGTCGGGAGGGAGACGAGTAGGTACCGGCCGGGCTGGGACATCGTGACAATAGGGACTGGAAGACACGATATGGTTAAAAGGGAGCCCTCGAGGCGGGGCAGGAGTTGGAGGGTTGGTCGTAACAGGAGCTGCGGGAAGCTGGCGAGGTGATGTCGTAGGCGGTCGGGCGGTGATTGGTGCGGGACGAGGCCACAGTATGGAGTCATGGACACACTATCTACGGACACTGTCGCTACTACATAGTTTGCAGTCAGGTAGACTAATGGGATTGGATTTTTCTGTTTCTTTCTTAAGTTCAATCTATGGGTCTATTCATCTCCTATCTTCGTTGTCAAATGCTGCTAAACATACCATGACCAGCCAGCAGCTTATAGCTGATCGTGTTTCTCCAAGAATATTTCCTAATCATCATTACTGTTAGAACTTTTGAAATAAAAAAGACTACTTGATGATCTGTATCTCCTATCTTCCCATCGCTTTGAAAACAAAATTTCTTATGAAAAATATATGGATGAGTTTCGAGGGCATCATAAAGATCGATGGCTTTGGTTGCTATTGTCCCGCCTGCTTCTCATTTGCGGCGGACATGCCAGTGCAAACCTCAAATGCTATTGCCATTTTCAAGCAAACTGGAAAGCCAAAACAGTTACTCGAATTGAACTGTGGGCATTTTAAACGAATACTCTGATTTTAAACAAATGGAATGAGATCCAATGCCGCAAGGTAAATATCTTGAACCTTCCATAGACAACCACAGTGCAGTTCCGCGAGTTTGAGACGCCTACAAGACTTGAAATCACAACATCAGTTGAAGAATAGACTATGATGGGATGCCTGAGATATATCAACACGGAATTTTGAAATCGAATTCGGAATATTTTCTGATAAACACGACGCTGAATTATATAGGATGTGAATGTTTGTCTAGTCTTCAAATTCAATTTTGAACTGCCACGGTACCTTCCCATTCACGATTCTGTATAGGTGCTTGGAATAGGAACCTCAAGTAAGCATTAGCCGTAGGCCTCAAGCTCCGGAATCTTCTTTCCAGCTTGATTAGTATTCAACTGATCTGCCGAGGCTTCAAGTGGATTTTTGGCTTCGAAGGTAGGTTGAAATGTATTATCTACGAAACTAACTGCTGTAGAATTCACATGGTTCATTCTTCTCTCATGAAAATACCTGACCACAGTGCTGAATGCTTCGGCCCTTACTGATTATTTACATCGCAAACTTCCACATAATCCCCTTAGGGCACAATACCTAGGAGACCATAGGTATCTATTGAAATTTCAAGGCTCACACTTCAAGTTCCGAGCCCCCCAGTCAAATAGACCAAGTCCAAACCCCGACAGAATGTCCACGAAAAAAAATCAAAGCCCCATCCTCGCCAGTTTTTCCTGTCCCTTGTCTATAAACAAGAGTATCCCGTTCCCATAACCGACCGCCCAAATCATCGGATACCGCCAATGGAACCACATCGGATGCTCCGCAGCCCTAAACCATCCAAAATGCCTGTCGAGGTTGTAACAAAGATAGTTACATGCGCTGAGAACCAGTAGCGCAGGGATGCCGGTGAAATGAGCGGCATTTTTCCCATAGTAGTGATCAACAATAAAGCAATTTATCAATCCACCCATTGCCCCGCCCATTCCTAACGGGCAGAAGACAAGAGTCCACATGACTTTGTAGAAGAGGTCTCGGGTGCCGGTCATGATGAAGATGCCGACAGCGAGGAAAATAATTTCGGCGAACAGTGAATTAAGCCAAAAGAGGAGGAAAGGGCGAAGGTAGATACTGCGTCGTTTCTGGGCAGTTTTGATGTCGTCCATCGTGGTGATGATGGGTTGGAAGGTGTTCGGGGCGCCATAATGGATTTAGAGACTGTCTGTGATTGACTGTAAATATTGAATGATTGTTACTTTTTATTCATCTTCGTGAATCACATAGCTATACAATTGACTACTGGATTTGTATATTGAAAGTGATCAAAGAACGCAACCGAGGCCTGGTTTCTCACCTCAATGGCCTGCAATCGCATGCTTCACTCTGTGGGCGAGTGTCGCCATGATGAGTGATCATCCCAGCTGCCGAGAGTCTATTGCCGACGAGGCCGAATGCCCACTTCAACTGTTTTCCTTCCCTGTCAACTTGAATGAAAACAGCATTCACAGAATGCCACTTCAAAACGGAAATAATAGAATGAGGCGCGACGCTACCTCTGTCATCTCAAGGAGGGTAGAGCCTGTGTTAACGGCTCCACCAGAGGCCTCGCCGAAACAGACCGGGCGATCTACAAGCCCAGAAAAGAAGGGGGAATCACTAGGGACACCGCAGCTTTTACTAGTTATGCGTATGAAAAGAGAGCCCGTAGAATTTTATGATTCTCTAGTGGAATCCCTGCAAATTATGTAGGGAAGGCCACCTTGTGCTAAGGAATTAATGACCTGCCGTAGACTTCCGCAAAACCCAACTTTAGACCCAACCTTGGTATTGCTGAAAACCAAATAACCTATTTTCGACCGCGCTCTACATAAGTATGTATAAGATAGTCCTAGTTCGGAAGGTCTTAGCATATTTATGTGTTTCGTACTATCCGTTGTCACGGCTAGCCGCAGGCCGATTCTGGCTCCCAGTTTGGGGCATGTTTGGGTGTTACAATAGGAACTGCACGTGATGGCGCTAATGTACGGTGCCCGGGAGTTCTTGGTTGCCCCTCAGGCAGTTGCCGTCCTCAGGCACCTAGGACCGAAAATCCTACAAATACAACTTGTGTCGGAGCAAGCTGATAGGCTGGTAATCCCATAAGCGAATGAGGCAGAGGGTAGGCTCAAGTGGGACCAATCTTGGATGCAAAGGCTGATTGATTGAAAGAATGAATATCATGGGTCAGTCTGAAATACCCCAGATATGGCTCAGATACACAGTGCATATACGACCGTAAGGCCAAGGGTACCAGATTACTACAAAAACACATAGGAGAGTGGGCCATTCAGCATAACCTCTATCCAAGCGGTAATTTACTGTTCCATGTCTCGACAACTTGGTTTGGGCCGCAAGGATCCAACGGTTGTTGATTGATGCTGAAGAACATACCTAGTGTTGTTACTAGACTCTAGCAAACACCTCTTGTTTAATCATCAGACGTATTGCTAAAATCAAACCCGCACTCGCTAGCGTCAAAGCGCCAGCGTAGAAAAATGCCGGTCGAAATGCTGCAAGTCCTGCTTCCGTGCCGCCATACGCTTCTAACAGGTATCCCGCGATAGGCGCGCCCTTTATCGTATATTAGCGTTCTCTCCATCAAAGAATTAGTCTGTAGACTTTGCCTCTCACCATAAAGTACCCAAAGGTCCATGATGTCGTCAGCATAGACATAATGTTAGCGAGATGACCATCTCCAAAAACTGCGCCTACGACAAGCGGCATTAGACTGAAGAAGCCTCCAGAGCTCATTCCATTCAGGATGGCGAAGAAAATAAGCAGCCCCAGCGAGGTTGAGAACGGCCAGATTGCAATTGCACTCATTCCGAACACCGTGAGCGAGACAAGCATACTGTTTACAGGACCCAGAAAGGCATCTGCCCCAAGTCCCATAGTGATACGACCGAGAGCAGAGGCGAGGTTCCATGATGCAAGAATGGCAGCACTGACCTGGCCAGAGAGACCAATTGAAGTAGTATAAAGCGGGAGCAAGAAGGGAGGGACGAAGAGAGGAAATGTTGCAATTGCTCCCATGATGAGCATGATATCGAATTTGAGACTTCGGAAAAGACGCCTGTGTCATATCGTCAGCAAGACAAAGTTTCACTGCACAAATTTCAAAAGCCTACCATTGCACACCCGACATTGCACGTCCACGTCCTACAGGTGCCTTAAGAAAGTATGATGCGGCAAGACAAATAGCCCATGCTGACGCTCCGAGAATCTTTAAAGATGCCTCAAGTCCAACTACAGCAATCAGCCTCTCTAACGAAAGGGCGATCACAGCAGAGCCAACACCAGCACCTCCATAAACAATACCAGTTGCTAATCCTCGTTTGTTCTTGAACCATAAGGATGGAACCGTGGCAGCCGGCTGCGAACACGATCAGCATCAGAGTAACATAACCATAGAAAAGGGAAGAATATATACCAAGAAGAGCAAGGAAGCTCCGACACCAAACAAAATCCCTTGAGTGACAAACATAGCAGGCACCGATTTTGTAGACCAACCCGCGGTAAACTCTCCGAGACCAAGAAATATACTTCCAGTAAATGCAGTAGCTCTGTAGCCAATACGCCTAATGATCCGCGCTACTATCGTGCCAGTGAGAGGGCCAATTGCTGCCGCAACTGACCCGATGAAGGACAAAGTCGAGACACTTGCAAGACGTGATTCGGTAAGGTGAAGCTGTACGATGCCATAGGAATATATCAAGCCAAGGTACACGAAGAATATGGCTGAGCCAGCTCCAACGACAGGCCAGCCTTCTTTCTTATCCCAGTCATCCTCTGGACAGATCTGGTTAAACTGAGTCGGCCCTTCACCTGGATCTGTCATGCGCTGATCCTGGTTGTTGCCGCGCGGCATCTGTTCAAGTCGAATGCCATCATCTCGACCACTAAGTGTACCCATGGTGTACTTTAAGGTTGTGGTTCTCTGTATCACCACTGCTGTTGGAATGCGCCTTTTCTATTGTTGGGGGGGACCTAAGAGACGAAGTACAGAAGTACACGCTGAAAACGATCTATTTAGAGATATGTACAAAGGAGGAAGCTAAGATCTGAAGGGAATTTCAACAGGTTCAGTTGCCAGGTTAGGCGGTGAGTCATGGATCCCGATGTGCTGGATCTTGACTTCGCCAACGGAACGGGGCCTTGGCGGTGGGGCCAGGAAAGAGTCTCTCAGTGTTTGTTGGTCAAGGCGATTTCGAGAATCACCGTATAGTGTTTCTTTCTATAAGGATCCTGCCAGCATTACGGGCCTAGCTTATAGAACCTACGACAACGCATTAAAGTATACCTCTTTCTAGGTAGGTGGCTCTCCGGAAGCTCCGTGCTTAGCATAGCTCTGTCGATCTCGTTCTTCAAGCATCCGCTAGGTAACGTAATTCCCGCGTGACCGAGCCACCCCATCGAAAATCACGTCTTCCCACCTACATACTAACTTCAACCACCTATCATGCCACCAATTCACTCTGAATCCTCGCAGAAGTTGGTCAATCAGGAGGGCAGGATCCTATTAGCCCTTGAAGATCTTAAAAATGGCCGCATCAAATTTATTCGCGCAGCAGCTACTCTATACGCAATCCCACGTTCACCACTGCAACATCGCGCTGTCGGCCGAATTGGACGCGTTGATATGCGCCCAAATCGCTATAAATTGACTCAATTAGAAGAGGATGCGCTTACTGAATAGATAGTCTCTATAGATACACGTAGAGCAGCGCCTAGACCGGCTAATATTAGAGAGATAGCGAATATACTACTAGCTGCACGCGGTAGCTAACCTCCGCCTACCGTTAGTAAAAATTGGCCATCAGAATTTATTAAACGTCGCGATAAGCTTCGAACACGCTTCTTGGTGCGATACGACTACCAACGCGCATTAAACGAAGACCCAAAAGCCCTACAAGCCTAGTTTGCGACCGTCCAACGCGTGATTGACGAGAACGGGATACAACCGGAGGATATCTACAACTTTGAAAAGACAGGCTTCGCAATAGGCCTTATATCTTCGCAGAAGGTAGTTACACGAGCTGAATTCTACTGTCGGAGACGTCTTTTGCAGCCAGGAAATCGTGAATAGGTTGTCAACATGTGGATGTGCGATACCCCGCACTAAGCGTGTTGATACGCAATACACATCGGACCAATCGGATAAACACCCCAGAGCACGACTATACAATACGATAAAAAGATATCAACTATCACACATAACGCAAAGAACAATATGTTTCCTAACACTCTTGTATGCCCCCATGTTATTCTGAGATCTTTATCAGTCCTTTCCTGTGACATTCTGCCATGTACCTAAAGTTATAAATACTGCTTGTTTCCCTAGTTAAATTGAATAAGTTTGACGACAATGTCATAAGTTGACACCATTTTCACCCACGAATAGAGCTCAAGGCAAATTCTGATTAAACTGTGTTGACCTTCCACTGTTCAACCTGTTCGCTGCCGACCCACCTCTATTGCACTCTCGTCTCTCTTCCATAATCGTGGTATTCGATCGACTTGTGTGCGCCTGTAAGCACACCCCAGGGTTTATGCATACGGCGTAAATCCGACAAATAACACTAGCTCTATATCCTAGACGAGAGGTAGCCTAGCACAACTCCAACGCCAGGATATATTCACCTTATATCCTAGGCCTCATCCATCACAAAAAACTACGTTTAACTCAACATCCCCGCATTCCTAGTAAATGTCTTCTTCCACGAAAACCGAATCGGCACCTTCTGCAGCGGGGGCAAAACACCAGCAAACACGGTGTTCTTCGCGCTTAACCATCCAGCTCGGCATTTCCTAGCGAGGAAGTTCGGTTGGCTTTTATCGATAGCGTGAATAAGATTGTGGAGCCTGTTCTGGGTCCTAAGGGTGTGAAATGGGAGTATAATATCTATGAACATCCTGCTGATAATTGGCGGGTTAATGGGATGGTTCCGCCGGTGAGGGAGGAGGGGGTTTGGAAGGAGTGGATGGAGAGGGAGGAGGCTGTTAGATATGGGGAGTATTTGAAAGATGAACGAGAAGGGTGATGAACAGTAGTGAAGTGGGAGTATAGTTCCTAGATAATGGGTGCCTGAGGCATTAAGGTAGGGAGCGAGATAAGACACGAGAAAGAAGAATGAAGATAGCAACACAGCAATGAAAGTATGTACTTAGTAAATTGTATAAACCCTACTAAAAGCTTAGTCGTATATTTCCTCCTTTCAATAAGCAACAAACCATCCAAAAATCTTAAAAAGGACCCTTTCGTAGAATTCATTGTAAGGGAGTCTATTCTCGGGAAGACGTAGACTCCGTCACGCATGTCTCATTAAGGACTCATTTTGCCTACCACACATATCATATTCCCGAGCAGAACACGAAAGAATGCCAGTCTGGCCGAGTTTGGTTAAGGCGGTGCACTTAAGATGCACTCCCTCAGGGGGTCGTCGGTTCGAATCCGACGGCTGGCATTTTGCATCTTTTGCACAATCTTTTTGTGACCGACAAGACGGACAATACAGACACAAGCGAGCCACAACTAGGTTGACCGGGTCAAAGTGAACTGTAGCCTTGTTCAAGGATTTTTTTGCCGGAATTGGACATCACTTCACCACATATATGTCACAGATACTGTATATATGTGTAGTGCCAGGAGAAAAATATGGTTGATTTGAATGTGCAGATTTCATGTTAGAAATTATTTTAGACCGCCCTCGGGGGATCTCATATGCTTATTGGTCGACATCTCAGGAAGGCGGATTCTGCCGCCGGACCTCTTGACTGACTGACTCGACAACAGCCACGACTCGAGGAACCGAAGAGGTAACGCTAATTTACTTCGACAACACCACTATCTCCCATACGAGGAAACTCTCCAAGACAAAAACATATCAATCTACACAAAAATCCGATTTCGGCCGGCGATAAAAAATGCATAACGCTAGAGACACTATCCAATGCTCGCTCAACACGGGGGTGTGAATCAAAAAAGAGGCAAAGTGTGATCACTACAACCAAAAATAAAAAGTAAGAATCTGGACAAGGGCAGAGTCACCACAAAAGCCACCCAAGCAAAAACAAGAATTTTTGAAGATAATAGCCCCCGCAAGACACCAGACAGGCGACTTTTGTTGCAAGACGAGGCCAACGAGGTAGGACCGAGGGAGAATGAGGAGGAGAAAAAGGACTAGCTTCGAACCTGCGGAATATGTAAAGAGAAGCGCAGAGGGGAAGCAGAGAACGCAGAATCAAACAATGACGTGACCGGGTATCTGTATCGAGCGTGCAGCGCTGATCGTAAACAGAGCAGTGTGGAATGAGGCAGAAGAGGGGAGGGGATAATGGGATTGGGCGAGGAACAAGAGACCAAGGAAAGATTTGGTCGGGTTTCTGTACATCTGTACAGAAAAGGAGCAGCCAAAGATAAGAAATGGACATCAAAAGGGAGACATCAAACAGTGTAAATGATCAAGGTAAAGGGAAAACGACCTCGGAAGTCCAAGATCAGTTCTGCATGCCCATGAAGACGTCCTGGCAGTTCTCAACCAGGAACTTGAGAATATCGTTCTTCTTTTGCACATCTGTCATTTCGCGGGCCAAGCTCTCAGGCCGCATGATGGTCGGCGCGAAAACGACGGCGATGTTCTGGCTGGTCATCAAATTCTCATCTTGGCGCTCAACCACACGTTTCAGATGGAATACCAGGAACTCGAGCACGTCGCGGTGCACACGAGGCAACTCAGACAGATGCTTTACTAGAAGCTCAACTCGTGCAGGGGTGTGTGTAATCTCAGCTGAATCGATGATCTTGTCGTAAATGTCGTATGTGATCAATGGCATTGGTAGCTTGCGGAAGTACTGCTTAAGAGCAGAAGTGACAGCATGAATGTCAAGGTCGGGATCAGAAATGTCATAGTCGAATGGAGAGCGCTCGAAGCCATCACGAATGCCCTGAATGGCGGAGGCAGCACCTGATTTGCGGTAGATGCCCTCCATGTCCATTCCTAGAGAGAGTTAGACGAATACGATTATGTTACGATAAAAGAACAAAACACATACCTCGCAGTTCAACCTCCTGGATACAACGGGTAACAATGGCCGGAATGATGCTCTTTTCATGCTCCATCCGTGCCTCCAGATCGGTACCGAAGAGACCTGAGAGAGCATTAGCTGTGATCCAAAGAGATTGATAGATAAAAACTTACCACCTCCAACAACCTCGGTCAAAACTGGCACGCTGTCAGCCTGCGACATCTTGCCGCCTTGCTTACTGCGTTGGTTTCCAAAGAACCCAAAGCCCTGTCGGCTGGGATCTTGAGTCTGAGAACGGGGAAGACCACCGCCTCCCTCTGCATTTTCGCTGGACATGAAGGCGCCCTTGAGACCCTTAACGCCCTTGGCGACATTCTGACCGCCCTTCTTCCAGTTCATGAACTTGCCCTTGCGGAGGTTGACAACTTGAGGACCAGGGACAATTGTAGCTGTGGCAGTCTGGGTTTCCATGTCGTCGGAAATATGGGCAGTGGAGATCGACGGTCCAAGGCTATCAATGGTAGGCTTGAGAGTCTCGAGCGAACCAATGGATCTGTCCTTGCTGTGTGATACAATTCCAAGTCCGTTAGGACCACGTGGGCCGTCAGAGCTGTTCTTGTAGAGCTCCTGGATTTGGTGCACCAATGTATTGTTCAACTCGGCCAGCTGAGCGTTTTTGGACGAAAGCTGCTCGAATTCTGAGAAGGTCTTTTCCTTCTGGCGGTTAAGATTGGCGAGCTCCTCTGTCAAATCATTTCGCTGTTGAATGAGTTCTTCAATTTGCGGAGTGTAGGTCTCCTTGAGCTTGTGAATTGACTCGGCAAGTTCGCGAAGAACACGGTTGGAAAGCTTTCCGAGGTCCAAAGGTCCACCGGCAGCACCGCGTTTCTCAGCCTCCAAATGGTCCGTCAGTACCGTGAGCTCACGCAGAACGATTTCTCTCTGTGCATCCAGGACCACCATGGTGGATCGCTTCTCCGAGAGCTCAGTATTGACTTGCTTCACATCGGCGGTGGCGCGAACAGCAGCCTCCAGCTCCGACACACGCAGACGCTCCTTGCGCAGCTCGTTGCGAAGCCAGGAAATTTCCTCGGCCTGGGCAGTGCTGGCTGTAGGGCTACCAATGTCCGTTCCAATCGAGCTGCCATTAGCAGGCGAGCGGGGATATTTCCCGTCTTTCCCTAGGCGAATACTCTTGTCACTGAAGCTTCGGCCATGACGGACGGAATTGGACATGCGTCGGAGGAACGATTCGCTATTTTGCTCATCATCTGGGGAAAATTCACTGCCGTTGTAGCGCGTTTGAGATGGCGAGCCCGCGCCGTCCATTGTAGTGTTGACCGAGGTCATGTTTTGCTTGTGCTGCTCGGTGATGCTATCAGGCAGTCTGGGAGATCCACCATAAGCAGAGGATGCGGGTGAGCTGACCTCCTTCCGTGGGATATGGTGCTTGCCCTCGAGCGAATCGCCCCGCTTTGGTGGGTATGCCATGTTCGTAGGTTGAGAACGGGTCGAGTCCCCAGTTGCGTGCTCGTGGGGTCTGCGAAGTTCGGTTGAGGGACGCGCAGAGCCTGGGGTCATCCCATCCAGCCCAGTGGCTTCCTTCGAGCGGCTGCTCTCAGGGCTAGTCGCTCCAGAGAAAGCACTCGTCTCTCGCAGCGCCAATGGCAAATCAGACCGAGAGCTGCGAGCAGACTCCGACATGCCAAGCCTAGCTCTTTCCGATTGTGATGTGGAAGGCTTCTCCGGCCACCCGTTGCGGGAATCCATGTCACGTCGACTGGACTCGGTCTCACGGGCTTCCCGACCTTTCTCCTGGTATGCAATATGGGGCGATGGTTGCTCTGATGAGGCACGGGAGGGAGGTTCAAGAGTGTAATCACGGCCGTCGCGAGAGGTTCTGAGAGACGAATCACCCGATCCCATCTGGCCAAAGTAATCCCGGGGAAGCTCTTGCTGGGATTGTGCATTGGAGGATGAGCGAAGGGCCTCGGAGGGGTCGAAGGTGAGAGGAATGAGGAATTCGCCGCCTCCGTCTGCGTCGTTATCGCGCGGTCCGCCCAATTGACGACTGCTTCGGTAAGTGCTCGATGGGAGGATGAGGTTATCTGAATATGATGAGATGGTCAATTGATCAGTTCTCTGGATCTCGGTACAGATGAGAGGGTCGTAGTTTCCTTACCTGTGGCAGCCGGCTGGCGCGTGGGCGAACTCTCAGTTCGTGAATGATCGCCATGGCCGTCTGACCTTCCGTGGGAGGGCTCTGGGACCTCCGCGTATGTCTCGCTGGCGGCCTCATCAATGGAACGAGTTTCCTCCATGCTTGGGGGAAGCGAGGGCAACGACTTGTCCAGTTTTATCCCTGGTCCCCCCGGTCGTTTCCCCACGGCACTTGCTTTTTTCTTTCGTCTTCGTTGCATAAGAGATTCGTGACAGTCCATACAGAAGATTCCTTGGGAAGTCCGGGCATAGCGCAAGTTCTCGATTTTCTTTTTACAGTTGCGGCAACGGAAACACTGGGCGCAGAAAGCCTGGTCGCCTGTGAGAATCGCCAGATCTTCAATCTTGTTACCACAGGAATTACAGCTGTAGGTACAACTGCTGCAGATGAGTGAGCCGTCACCGAGGAGAAGGAGGTGTGCGTCCGAGTCTAGAAGGGTGCCGCAAGTGCTGCATCGGAAACAGTCGATGTGCCATCTCTGTCCAGCTTGAAGGGGGTTAGCACCAGCAGTCGATAGAAAGCATCATGGATAAAGCTGTGGGAAACATACAGAGCTCAAAGGCCTTTCCTTCTTCCAATATCTGATCGAGGGTTAGTCCGCGACATTTGTAATTCTTGTCAACACGATGCGTACCTCTCCGCAACCCATACACGGGAAGGGGACCTCATCCTGCTCCATAGGAGACTCCGGGTGAATAGCCGGTGATTCCATTTTTTAATGATTCCTCCTGAACGCCACTTTCGAGGTTGTCCGGTGGTTGTCAGAGCCTACGCTCTCGGTTGTAGCCGTAGATCGCGGGTTTGTTTGGCAGTTCAGCGCAGTAGCAAGGCGAGTCACTATTGCGGGGGAGGAGATGCACACACGCGCCGTGTGAACATGCGATCGCGCTCCGTCGGACGAATCGAGGGTCAGTCGTCGAGAGTATGGAGAAGGGTCAAAGATGGCACGGCAGAAGTCGATGTCGAGAAAACACAGGATCGGAGAGAAGAGGGGAATGCGACAGGGGTGGGCGGGCGGGCTGGTGAAAGAAAGGCGTGGCTGAAGCAGAGCGAGCTGAGGCGTTAGCCAACAAGTCGACCCAGGGTCTGGTTAAGCGTGAGACAAGTTAGCCCCCTGGGCGGCAAAGAGACCGACGCAGTGCTGAGGGGAGCGAGGTCGACCACGACCGCGGTTCTGGCTGAAATGGCTCAGGACCCGTATCACTCGCATCACGGAGGAACTCCAACTAGCCCCAAGGGATGAGTGGAAATGATCGTACATACTAGAGACGGCACCGGCGGGCTAAATGCTACACGATGTTTCAGGTAGACAAGCGCGGGTGTTGTGACAAGCGCTTCAGGCGAAGTGAAGGTTGGTTGCCCCTCGCGGAAGTGTAACGGTAGGCAATTGGAGGAACGTCAAAGTACTGGGGAGGGGAGGGGAGAGGGGAGGGGAGGATTGGATGAGGAATCGCAAAAAAGAAAAGAAACCCCGCTCGTGGGGAAGAATTGGTCGTGAAGGTGAAAAGGTGATGAAGAGGTTCGAATTAGGAATGGAAAAAAAAGAAAAGAGAGAGAAGAGAGATGTTGGAGGAGCGCAGCACAGGGGGGGGGGGGCATCAGGAGGAGAAGGAAAGGAGGCCGAGATGAAAGTTGATAATTTTACGACAGGACAGTAGGGCCGTGACAGAAATGTCAGCCTGTCTAACTTAATCATACTTAATTTTGATTCCTCCCACTTCCAACTAACTCATCCTCTTTGCATCCTCCTTCAATTTCACTCGAGATTACCCGACGACTAACTACTCCATACATACATACATACATACATACATACATACATCCATATCCCGGCCTACGTGGATACACTCAGAACTGACGACGCGCGAGAACGTGCGGGCCGCATTGCTCCCCATGAGCAGCCCGCACGGCCCAATTGGATCGCCCAAGCCCCAGGGGCGTTAGGATTTAATTAGACCACCACCACAGCCAGATTAGCTCCGAATCGATGAAGCAGTTGTGAAAGTGTCTACATACACTTTTACTATCAAAGGAGGGAGATCACCCTGCATACAAGTCCCGAAATTCAGATCGTAGCATCACGGCACTTGGACTCGTAAAAGGGCAGTCTGCTCCGGTGCTATTTCGGACCAAACATGAGCAGTATGAGACTGTTAGTCTGTGTCCATGGAACGGGCTCGTCTGTCTCAAACAAAAGTCCCCAGTTGGGATTTCTGATTGGCCAGTCCTCCCAACATCAACCATCCTGGTTCCCCCCGCTTTCTCCCCTGAAAGCAGCACAGTACATATTTGGTCGGAGTGTCTAAGGTTGCAGTCATATTAATTCGTATTCCGATCACACTGATATGTCTCGTTTTCTCTTTCAATCCCCTGGTCCAAGCGAAACTCTAGACTAATTACTTAAATAACTAACAGTAACTAACTATTTCAGCTCGGACCGCCTCGTTTCAGCGCCACTCTGAAACACCTGCAGTGTCACGTGGCGGACCAGCATTGCCCCTGGTCTCAGGCCCAGTCAGGCCCCCATCCACGTCACATCCATACGATAAAGATTGGGGCGAGACCTGCACACCTGTTCTTTGATTATAGGTTATTGAGTTGAGGTTGCAACTCGATTATCTGAACACTCTCGGACTCATATATCCATCACAATAGCCCAGAAAGAGCGAATTGACCCTTGTACATTCTTTAGATCGGACTTGATACAGTAGGCTGGTGTAGATAGGCTGGTGTAGGTATGTATGGTTATCTCTGCTGATCCTCGATCTACACTAGCTCCCATTGAATACGAGAACGAACCGCATGGCCGATCAAGATCTGGCACAACTGCTTCTCCATTACAATATCACCCTTGATGCCATTGGAGTTGGGCTGCACAAGCAAGTATGTCGCACACTAGCGAAGCGTCAATTCAATCTTAAAGATAGTTCAAAGCTCGAGAACCTACCTGTCAAAGATCAAAGGTTCTCGAACGAAAAAGTATCAGGGACAGTACCTAGCTCATGCTATATATGTATAGGGCATGAATTGACATAGGATGATCCATCTAAACATTATCCTTCCCCTGACACTCCAGAATCAACCCCGGCTTCCCAGCAGACGCATCTTCATTACTATTCTCCTCCATCGGACAAAACCGCAAATTAAGCCTCCCATCCTTCCAAAAATTCACCACAACATCATAAACCCCACTAGCACCAGCAGGACTCCCCGAATCCACAAGTCCCTTGATAGTGAAACACTCCCGATGACCCGGATCCTGGCTCCAATATTTCATCTTCTTCTCCAGACTTATAACCTTGATCTCCTGGTAGTGATATCCACGTTGGTGCATCGCGTTCAATAAGCGACATTGGTAAGATGCTTGATCGAATTCGGGTGGGATAGCTGCGATCGTTTGTTTGCGTGCAGATCGGCCAGCGGCGATGAGGAAAGCGAGGACAATTGCTGAGAAACAGAGTCCTAGTTTCATGCCGTAGTAGATGTTTCCTTTTGTTTTACCTGTCTTTTCGTCTTTGGTTTCTGTGATGAAGGTGCCGAGGTATGCGGCTGCGTAGAAAGCGGTCCAAGTTACTACAATGCGAGACCTGTAACGGAATTTCCACTGTTAATTTGTTCTTATTATTCTGCTCATGGTCCGGGTCTCAAATCTACTCACATTGTCGGAAGATAACCGACGTGGCGGACGAACCGACTCCATCGAGACGATCGGTCCGGGGCTGCCTTAACCCCAGACGGACCTCTGAAGGTGATGGCCCGGTCATCGGGGACATGGCTATTGGCAAAACAAGGGTCCTGATGAACGCCACGGCGGGCAGCTAAGAGGAATTGCAGGGGCTCGAGGATGTCTCCCTCGGCTGTGTTGTCGGTCATGTGGGCCAGCTTGGCGCTGTCGAGGTTTGACACGGCCTTTTCTGTCTCCAGATTTTCCGCGTGGCTCATTTATGGACGCGTGCTGTTGAAGGATGTAAGGAGCAAGTCTTCACCCTGGTTGAAAGTGGGTTGCCTGTTGGACAAGGCTGAATGGGACTAAAAACCCTGGAAGTGGAGATCATGGTATAGTGGGGCCCTTTCTGCCTTTATAACGTAGGAGCCTAGAAATCAGTCCTTAAGGAACTATGAAGTTGTCCGGAATTAAGAAGCTGTAGGCAAAGCTTGTGGAGAGAATGAGCCGGATAACGCTCGAGGAGATTAGAGAAACCAATATCAGGATGTGAAGTTGCAGAATGCAGACACCCATTACCGGAGTCCCTTTGTAGGGAAAGCGAAATCGTGCAAATAAACTTAAAGAAAGATCTCGCCTAGTAATATAGTAATAAATCTCCTGATGTTTACAAAATAAGTGACTATCCAACTCTATCAAGACTAAGTAGTTAGTTGCCTGAGGTACTATGTGTTTTGATCGACATCAGAGTGGACCTGCAAGATCGTCGCGGGATCATCTCCTCCCGCACATCCGATAAACAACCCAAGCAATTCGGTTCTAGTTAGAGTGGTGATCACGAAGACGAAGAAGCATAGGAAAATTAGATCAATCACAATGAACAACAAACCCAAAATTATACCACAATGCTAGGTGACGGTGAATTCGACGCCGAAAACGGCTCCCTTTGACGCTGTTTGAAGCGTCCCTTTTACCATAATATTAGTCACCAGGCTTTTACGTGATCTTTTCCGCCCACTATTTTCGTATGCTCCTTGAGTGATCGTGATTTGCTCCCTGAGCACTCATAGTGGCTCAGGGTTGCTTAGGGATTATCTCACCCTTCACTCAGGATGTTTAGGGTAGGCAGTCAGGCATATAGTTATGTCTGTTTATTTATGTTATCCGATTGTAGCTATTAATTGCAAAAATAGGAAGGTCCTTCTGTTATACGCTAGGTTATGCTTAAGTCCTCTCTTTTAATACTTAAAGAGGCTATACCCTATTAACCGTAGCTCCTGTTTACTGTACCCCTCGTTTAAGGGTAGTCTAATTTGTTGTCTCTCTAGCTACTAGATTTTCTCTAGGCTTCCGTCTTTACCGCTTCTTTTATTATTCGTTCCTTCTCTTTAACATCATATCCCTCTTCTCTTGCCCTGCAATTCCCCTCTGCTTGAAAAGACCGTTATTCAAGAAACTATCTATTCCTAATTTATTCACGAAAGGCAAAAGACGGCCTTATAGTCCTAAGTGTTATCGCCGACGCTGTCGATAAATAGAGAAAGGCATTATACAAAAGCACCCGAACGCCTCTCGAAATGCTTACCTGCTACCTAATATAATCTTTTATCCCTTCTTCTTTCTGTTTTATCTCAGTCAGCTTTCACTTTGATCTTATATCGAGAGCTGAGGGGGTGTGTCAACATGTGTGTGTGTGCGATTACCCCGCATTAAGTGTGCAGATGCTTTTACACGCTAATGGCTATCGGATCTATGATATTTCATTACCGGTAGACCGCTTCGATGATAATTATCAACCATCACATCAGATGGAAAAGCAACGAGTTTCCTAACACTCTCGTATGCCCCCATGTTATTTCGGGTTTTTATCAGTCTTTTCCTGTGACATTCTGCTATGTACTCAAAGCTATGAATACTGCCTGTTTCCTTAGGTAAATTGAACAAGTTTGACATCTCTTTCATTCACGAGTATAGCTTAAGGTCTACCTGACCATAGCAAGTGTTGACATGCCACTGTTCAACCGTTCTGTCTAATACTGCCGACCTCCCTCTCTCTACCACACATGTGCACGAACGCTTCGTGCACTTCCCGAGGATTTATGCCGACCGCGTAATCCGATAATAACTTTATGACAGGAAAATCAGGAGGTTAAACTTGTTCAATTTAGCTATGGAAAACGGGCAGTATTTATATCTTTAGGCACATGACAGAAGATCACAGAAAAACTTAGTAGAAACCCGAAATATCAATGGGGCAACACAAGAGTGTTAGGAAACTCTTCCTGTAGGAATCTTTTCTTTATAGATCTCTTCGCGGATAATTTAGTTAGAGGTTACTCTTACGGCTTCCTCTATCTACTTAGTTTAATAGGTATGAGGTATATTTGGATAAAGCGTGGAGACTCTCAATTACCTTGTCTTCAGTATACATTATACCTTTGCATTAACGAGTGCTGACCACCCAATGAGTATCGACAAGAGAAAGATATTAAAGTCTTTTTGCACTAGTTACAAGCCGTCTATGGGCTAAGAAAGGTAATTTTTCCCCAATTCGCGACTAGAAGCAGCGTAATGATTGACATTCGCTCAGGGTGTCTGGACTGGTCACGGTTCTTCCGGTGGATTGTAGTATCGAATAATAGCCATGTTGAGGTTTCAGCAGTCTTCAATGCCGCTGAGGCCTTAATAGATAGTAGGTTAGCCTCGCTGATGCCTACCAACCTTATACGGTATCGTGGCATTCGGGATGTGTGAATAGCACACTCCGGCTCAGGGGTCGTCTCAGTTAAGACATCTTCCATATTACTTTTTGGTCGGCATATGATATCGCTCCTCCTAGATCCTATCCCTCATCTCAACAGGCTAGAATATTGATAAAATTAGCCTACGCTAGCTACAAAATATGTTTATTCCGTCCTCTAATTCGGGTATACAGGGGCGCTTTTAGCTATTAATTCTTGACAGCCATGGTAGCCACATAACTCCTTAATTCAATCGAATCTACGCCGAAAATGATTTTATACTGCTATATATGCCTTCGAATTCTAAATTTCTTTTACAACCCCTTAATGTTAAGTGTTTCACTACCTAAAGCGTGCGTACGGTCGATTCGTAAGCGATTCCGCCCGGACTAGCTATAATCACACCGACAAGCTTGATTTTCAATTAGATTATCCTCGCGCACGGCTAAAAGCTTTCCAGCCGAATCTCGTTTGAAGCAGCTTCGCGGCGACTAGTATAGTACCACTTAATGCAGAAAGGGTGCTTTCTAGGCTTAGTATCTCTTCCCGAACGCCTTCACCACCAAGCAGCCGACCAAGCAGCAAATCTAATTCACACCAAAAACGCCGAGAAAAGCGATTCAGCTAGAAGAGAAATATTCTATATTGCAAATTTTCTTAAACAGCGATCGAATAGCCCGTCTACACCGTCAAAAGTTATGCTTGATCAGATTATCAAGGGCTTCTCTCAAGCGCTACATCACCCTGGGCTAGTTGTGAATGAGAAGGCTGATATACGCACAGCGAACGAAAACAAACGTCAAAAGCGTACTCGATCGACTAGCAGATTGCTCAGCAAGGGAGCCTATCAATCGAAGAGGGCCTATGGCTAGTTTAGCAGCCAATTCAGCCTGTAGAAGCTGATGAGGTAGTTTCACATGAACTGGGCGATGTACCTTCTCAGCAGGATCAGCCACGCAAGAGGGCCCCGCCTAGATGCAGTGGATGCGGGAAAATTGGGAATAAGATCAATAAATGTAATAGCCGCTAGTTTAGTGTTAATTGATGAGTTCTGTCTACAGTATCCTGTACTTGAAATTTTGCGTTGTGGTGGGTGGCCAGATCGGCCGGGAATTAAGTTCATTGCAGTGTCTCTAGTAAAACCTGTAGTGTCCCTATCAATTCCCGATCTATTTCAAGCATTAGAGGGATCTGCAACGAAACTTAAAATAGACTAGCGTGCTTCAGGCTACGTCTGGAAACACAGTCTGTGAGCATAAGCTGGGGAATCTGATTTTGAAATTCGGCAGTATTCCTGTCCTCATGATTCTGCTGAGCCAGAAGACAAGGCCCACGCCGAGAAATTGCCAACGGAAATGGATAATCCGAGCGAATAAAGGAAACACAGCATGGCTAACTCAGCCTTGCAAGAAGCCCAGCTGCTGATCTATCACATCACGCACCATCTCATCCCATGATCTCCATCTCATTCCAAGCTCAACCTCTGCTTTGGTCGTATCAGTAGGCATGGAAGGAATACTTTCAACCTCCTCAGTGATCTTCATGCCAATATGGGGGTAGGCTTTGAGTGCCACCTTGGCCACTTCTTTCCAAGTTGTTGGGGGACCGGAAAGCAGATACTTTGAGCCGTCCTTAATCTTCTGGTCTAAAGCCTTGATATGAGCTTCAGCAACATCCTGGACGTGCACACCGTTAATACCGCCGAGCGGAACGCCCCCCATCAAACTACCCCAGAGAATTCCGTTGGATCCTGTTTGGACTTCCTGGGCGGAAGTTTGCATGAGATTGGTACCAAAAACAAATGCTGGATGAATAGTGACCAATGAGAAATGTGGTTTGTCGGTTTCCCAAAATCTCCAGGTAGCGTTGTTTGCAAGCAGTTTGGATGCTCGGTACAACGTCATCGGTGTTGCATCGGGATTGTTAGGATCAACGAAATCGGCCATTGGGTCCACGTTGAAATTCCAGTCGTTTTCCTCTTAGCAAGACGTCAGCATTTTGCTTTTCTGTTTCGTACAGTAATGTGGCCGATGAAGCATTCATGTTACCTTTAATGATACCACCTTCGGGTACTCCGGTAATAGGAATCAACGCCGCGATGGACGAAGTAATCACGACCTTTTTGATGCTTGGCGCTTTAGCTGCCTCCTTGAGCAAGGCCAGGGTTCCCTCCACTGCAGGGGTGAAAATCGCATCCTGATCTGTGCCACGGGCAAGAGGTGATGCTAAATGCAGAACAAAGTCCACTCCATCAAGCTTGCCTCTAAAGGCAGCTTCATCAGTCAGGTCGGGGATAGTGATATATTCCAGCCGGTCGAAGTAGCTTGACAATACTTCTTCGAGCTTCTCTGACCTCTTGCGGACGCCGATTCGAAGTCGATATCCCGCCTTCAGAGCCTCGACCGCGGTGGCGCTGCCAATAAAACCAGTGGCACCGGTGATGAAAATAAGGGGAGCAGACATGGTGATTAGGTCGGGTGGCAATAATTCTAATGGGAGAGCTTTAGCAAAGTATAAGGTCAGAAGGTCGGTCAGTCTACTTAAATAGATTTTTGAAAAAGGATTGATTACCAACGTCGTTCTCGTCCTTTCCCCCGTAGGAATGCGGTCGACATTGATTATTTGTTGCCACCTAATCGGTGCTAGTCTGTCTGAACGCGAAGCCCCTAACCAGGTCCCTGCGGAATAGGCCTTTGCCTAAAAGTTTGCTTCCGTGGCTGAGGATGTCCACGATAAGGGCAAGATCAAATTGTCTGCGAGCCCGAATTGATTTCAAATCAAGCAGAACTGTCATCGATACTTCCAAACTGAGTGACCCACCTTTCCTTCCGTTTTGTATCGTAACGCCTATCGACGCCCACAAAATTGCGCGAAATCGCACGTGAGCTTCCCCCCCCCGGGTTACAGCATGCGATGTATCTGGATTGTATAAACAGGGTCTTCACAATGTCATTATAGGAATTCTGACCCCCTATTCCATAAGACAATGTATTGAGGACAGAGAGGTTTCGCCTCAGTAACGCTCGAAATTGCACGGCAAATTTGACCCACAGATATGCGATATGCTCCGTGTATCTCAGTCGGATATGGGGGGCATTTCAACCTGCCCCATGATGGTCGTTCTTTTCTTTCATCAATCAACCCAGTCATCACGAATTGGTTCCGCTTGCTCTTACCTCATCGCCTGTTAGCTCAACAGGATTAATAGCCCATACTATCTGAGCTTGTTCGGACACTTTACCAAAAAAACACCAACAAAGTGGGTCATTTAGTGTAAACTCCTGTCCATGCGATATGTTACTGGTTCATATTGCGTGATATTTCAATTCCTGCAGCCAATGGCGTCGCTGAATTAGATCAATTCCCAATGGTCGACAGAAACCTCGGTACGCAGTGATATTGACAAATCAATGCCGGCTTTTATTTTGGGATTATTCATCTTAGTCACGTTTTATTAGGCGATCCCAGTAGATAGTCGCACTTGCGCGTGGAAAACGGCGGAAAGAAGGCGGGCGTAATGTGAAGGGCTGAAGGCAAATTGATCCAATACTCACTACTACCGGTCTCTATTAGCAATAGTCGGGCATGATCACTATCTTAGGCCTTTTGTCTGTTGTTGATTGCCGATGACAAATTGCATCATTAGAAATCAAGTTCTTGGGGCTCGGTATTACCAGACGACACCAACTATATAACAACTGTAATGTTGTGAGGGAAATTCATGATAGAAACCCTCATTTGAATATTACAGCAGTTCCTCACCTGGCAGATCCTTGCCGGGCGTTTGATAACTCGAGCCAATCAACGAAAAGCAGTGTCCTCGATAATACTTTCATTATGACCAGGCTGTTTACGCCTTTGCGTGTTGGGCGCATGGAGCTGTCCAACCGCATTGCAATGGCCCCTCTGACCCGCTTTCGTGTCGACGATACCCATATTCCTCTTCCCTTGGTCAAGGAGCACTACGCCCAGCGAGCCTCTGTGCCAGGAACGCTTCTCATTACCGAAGGAACCATCATCACCCCTCAAGCAGGCGGTTATCCGAATGTGCCTGGCATCTGGAACGATGCCCAGATAGAAGCTTGGAAGGAAGTTACGGATGCTGTACACGCCAAAGGCTCCTACATCTACATGCAGCTGTGGGCATTGGGTCGTGTAGCAAATGCAGAAATGCTTAATGCCTCCGGATTCGATCTCGTCGGTGCCAGTGATATTCCCGTCACAGCAGAGGCGCCCACTCCAAGGCCCCTAACCGAGAATCAAATTCAGTCATATATCCAGCACTTCGTACAGGCCGCACACAATGCCATTGCAGCTGGGTTCGACGGTGTTGAGATCCACGGCGCCAACGGCTATCTCATTGACCAGTTCATCCAAGATGTCACCAACAAGCGAACCGATAAGTGGGGCGGTTGCGTCGAAAATCGTGCCCGTTTCGCTCTCGAGGTGACCCGCGCCATCACGGAGGCTATTGGGTCGGACCGCACAGCTATTCGCTTTAGTCCGTACAACACCTTCCAGGGTATGAAGATGAATGATCCACATCCACAGTTCGCCTATCTGGCACGCGAGCTAGCTCCCTTGAAGCTGGCATATGTGCACTTGGTTGAGGGCCGTGTTGACGGCGCCGAGATTGTTGAGACCACGAACGAGTTAGACTTTTTCCTAAAAGCCTATCACGGTGCTGGACCGGTGGTGGTCGCCGGTGGATTCCAACCTGTCTTGGCGAGGGAGGCGGTTGACTACAAGTACAAGGATCACAATGTGATCGTTGCTTTCGGTCGACCGTTTACCTCGAACCCAGACTTACCATTCCGAGTCAAGGAGAATTTGGCTCTCACCCCGCACGATAGGAGTGTTCTATACCTTCCAAAAGACCCCAAAGGATATAACGATTGGGAATTCAGCTCCGAGTTCAAGAAAGTTATGCAGGTTGCAGCTTGACGATGGCGTTCCAAGAATTCCCCATTTGACAGAGCTTCAATAGACTTTTTTATTCATTATTAACTGTCCATCTGAATAGTACAAATATAAACACCATGGTCCAGATCACTATCTCTGAGAACTACGTTGAGTGTTACCCTTGTCATCTAATCAACCAGTCAGCCGCTGAAGCCCAAGAGGGGGGATCCAGCTGCACGGTAGGAGGCTCAGGACGAAAGGGTGAGTCGAGAACAAAGAGAACACTCATCGTAGTTCTCGGGGATAGTGATCTGGACCATGATGTTTAGACTTGTGCTATTCGAAAAGGCAACAGCATGGACAAGAAAGTAGCGAAGATTCGACGGAGATCATCTTTTCCAAGTCTTTATACGGGGTTGACTGATAAAACAAATACTGGCCGAGTCGGACTGACCACGGAGTAAGAAGGAGCTACATCTCAGGCAGCATGGAAGTTGAAAAACGTCGGGGCGGGCTGGAAGCCAGCACGCTAGCACCCGGTGGGGGCGAAAATAACAGAAAAGGCGAAATCTAATTAAGGTGGAAATTCCTATCAGGGGAGGAATTTTATTTATAGGCGGGAAAATCACTTGTGTTGAAAATCGGGGGCAGGCAGGCGGGGGCAGCGGAGGACTATGAGGAACTTCTAGCAGCTGCGTTTCTGGATACTAGAGATAATTATACGAGCGACCCGTTAGAAATTCGATCGGACAACTGTGGTCGAAATGGAATCAACCAGAAAATCTCTCGGATGAATAGCTTGGTTAAAGACGGAACTATGTCATGGGGCAGGTTGAAATAACCTCAGTCTTGTCTGGTTATAACATCCAAGTTAATGGAAAGCTCGAATTACTATGAAAAGCTGGAATGTAGCTGCGGCTTATGATACAATGGACCTGTGTGGCCTTGAAATGGCGTAAGAGACGAGCATGCGTGAGGTAAATTACGGTCGGGGTGTGAGGCGATTCAGTGTTCAACCGCAAGTACGATATTAGGACGATTTCGACCTATGGAATCCATAAAGCGATCCGGCTGAGGTCCTAACCCGCGCTGTTACATATTATACAAACCACGTACTGTTCTGGATGGAAAACCTCGGGATTGATTTGCGAGGCCTTTGCTCCTAGAACTGGATGCCGCATTAATTAAGCCGACTACCAAGAGTCCACTCCGTCAAGTGTTATGTCTCTAACGAGGACGAGACAACACCCACAGATTTTCACGAAAAGATTTCACCCTACCAACCTCTTCCCGTTCTACCCGTCAGCTTACGTATGAAGAGCGTAAAATTGAACATACTTGGACGCGTTTCCCCTAGTTATCCACTATTGAATATATTAGAACGCTTCGGCTACGTTGAAAGTAGTGAAAAGGCCGCACACAGGAACATGATAATGACAAGTTTAGATAGCGCTATTGACTGAACAGTGAGGCAGACTACTTGGGCTCAGACTTGCATTTCAGGCTCCCGAGGTTGAGTATTATCATGCCCACATGCTTGTGTACAGTGCAGGGCAACTTCGTTGTTTAAATTTCGAATATGTTGTATACCCCTGGACTATCAGCAAGCAATTTTGTGATGATTAGATCCCCATCCTGTGCAGCGTAAAAGACGGCAGTCCTGCCTGCATCATCACGCAAATTCAGGTTAATGCCATCGTAAGTCAATAGCTTCGCTACATTTTGCTGACTGGCTACTGCGATGGCGTACATAAGAGGAGTCCGGCGATGACCACCCGATGCATTAATGTCCACTCGTGGGCTGCATAGAATAACATCCATAAAATGGATAATGAATAGTGCTATGGTCCATATGAGAGGGCTAGTTCTGTTTTCACGATTGGCCAAACGTCTCATAATTCTTCAACAACATGAGCCGTGATTGGTAATGTTGAAAGCCCTTAGCGTATGACCTTCCAGGTGAAATACAGCCCCGTGGGGTTTTGGATGAATGTGAACCCTGTCCCTTAGCTGTGACAGCGCTGAAAATGCATGAAATATGCGTGGGAGACCTGGTCGGCCCTCGTTTTCGGAATGGGGATCCGGAAGATTCGGATCATGTTGAGGTTCAACAGCACATGCTTGGACGACGGGCCATCCCGTAACTCTAGATGAATGGCATTCCACAGTATCGTATGAGCTCGTGTTTTTAGGACTAATAAAGTGTCACTGAACTAAAACCAAGATTGTGGATATTGCATGATACCCGAGCCACGGTTATTGAGTTCTGGGATTCGTAATTCGAGAATTTCAGTCGTATTACAGTACGTTCACGGTCGGTGGCCAATCCTCTTGTCATGTTGATGAATGAAAAGTTCTATCAACTTAGTTTTAATTAGTTGTCCTGAACAAGGGTGGATGTGCCCCTACCAAGTCCTCACTCTATATTTGGACGGGACTAGTCCTGAATTCATTCGTTGCATCATTAGACGGAATGATGAGTGATCACACCGAGCCGAAGTTTAACCTTGCCTTCACAGTACTCGGTCTTCTCCTAGGATAGGATCACTTCTCTTTTTTCTCGACACCACCTGTCTACTGAAACCAATTTTTGGGCTATCAGGCGACGTTAGTCAGTCTCTTCTTCTAGCTAACCAACCATCGCTTCTTCTCCTTAAGCTTTTTTGTAAGCAGCATGTTGACCAACTTAGATTAAATCAAGTATTGCTTCAGCCCTTCACGCTGCTAGGTAATTGTACATAGGATACGAGCGAGTTTTTCGAGCTCCTTGGACGAGCTAGCCAATACTACTATGGGATAGAGCTATAGTAAATCTCTATAGTTCGTCATTTGTTTGCTATATTGGGTACGGTACTTTTCCAGTGGAAAAAAAAAACGTCATGTATAGGTAGGAAATTGAAAATTTCTTCTTCCATTTTACATGTTACGATATATCTGGCATGAGGTTATTCACATTTGGGTGCTTTGGGCTTCCGGCTGACAGATTGGCAGTCTCTCGGCAGCAACCCGCCGGCTCTCCGTTTTCAAGACCTGAGTATGTTCCTGTAGGGGAGATCCCTGTAGGAAGGTGAAACAAAGCCTCGTATTTATCTCGCTTCCCTTCTATGTCTTAGAATGAATCTCCTTCCTGTTTGGAACCATCAGACTGTATATAAGTTGAGTCCTAATGAGGAATTTTTACGCTTCTCAAGAAACAGTCTTTGACTTCTTTGGACAACCTGAATTGGTCCTTTTTTCATTCCTAGTTGACAGGCCTCTACCCTGAATATATTCTTACATTACCCCTCAGTTCTTAAGACACATACTCATTCCCCTAACAGTTTTTCTAAAAGCTAGCCTAGTCGCAACCTTTAGTGTTATTTAACATAGAGCTCAATCTAGATAAGGGAAGATCAAGGCCTTCCGTACGCTTCTCCAAGCAGAGGATAAGCGTATAATACAGTTCTTATAAGCTACATCAGGCTGGGCTAAACAGACGCGACGCAAAATCACTCTTGCTTGCGTAGGATGTTAAGGCTTCACAATTCCTTGAAATGAACTTGCCAATTTCTCCCTGCACAACCTTCTGCTATCAAGAGCCTCATTAATATTGCTATATAGGCAACATGGACAGAGCGGTTGCGATCGTCCACCGAGCCAGATCCCAAGGTTGATTCACTGGCTCGATCGGTGGTCCTGAGAAAATGAATTCACTGCCATATCCGCCACTTCGATGGCAAAGTTGAGACCGTACATTGAACCGGTCCGCTCAAATAGGGGGAGTGAGTGTAGTCATGACCTTTTCCAACGCGTAAAAGCGTAGTATAATATTTATTGCTTCTTTTGTTGCACGAATAGTCTCTTCTTATTAACTTGATACACCAGGTCGTGTCTTCTCGTCTTGCAATGAGGCACGCCCAACAAAAGATTCGTGCCTCGAGGGAAGCCAGGACGCTAACTAAGACTAAGGAATACATCCTGTGTGGTAGCTGTATCGAATCAGACAGATCCTGTAAAGCCGGGCGCCGACGCCATAGTCACCTCCATGCCTCTACGCCGAATCTGCGGCGACCAGCTCAGACAGCTTTCATTTATGTCAAGAAAAACACCAGCTAGCCACGGAACATATAGTAAAAAGACCAACCCTACACCATTATGACCCTCGCTTGAATGCAAGCGACCTTGACACGGCCACCGTACAATGTCATACAGTATTCCGCTGCTTCCAGTCAGATGGATGGATGGATGATTTCATTTACCCTGACCCTCGTAGTGAAAATCGATATGCATTCTACCAGTCTTGATAAGCACTTAACCTAACGCTTACCCAATTTCATTTTTCGAAGGTCCCAATTACTGTCTGTGTCAGGTATCCTTATGAGCGAAGAGTCAGATATAATGTGCCCTTAATCCACTGTATTTACTTCAATCTACTAGCCTGCTACCTACGAGTCGGATCAATCTGCCTGTGGACCTATATATAGGTGGTCGGTCGCTGGAATAATTTACAAGTCTGGAGTAGGCATTCACAATGCCACCCGCTGACCAAACCAGGCGTTTCGGGCCCCTATGGACAAATTAGTCATTACCCCCGATCGCTGGTGGGTCAGGCTGAACCTTGGTTAATCATTCTTACCCTTCCGATCACTCATCATGGATGAGAAAAATGGAGCAAAGACGTAACCAGCCCATTGATAGCACCTCCGTCAGCAGTGCTTAACAATCATCAGCGGAAATACGGCCGTCACGTCTCATGCATTCAAGAGGGAGACTTCCGGGCTACGACAGGTTCCATCCACCTGATTTATTGAGAGGAAACCCCAAACCTTAAAGCATAACATATTTTTGTCTCAATATCTGATCGAGGAAATATGACGGCCTTCAAACTTCTAGTCGTGATCGGCATCACTGGAAACCAAGGATCTTCTGTTGCGAGAGCTATCCTCAAGCTTCCAGACTGGCGCATTCGTGGCATCAGCCGGAACATATCTTCAGATGCTGCTCAACAATGGATTTCAAAAGGCGTCGAACTTGTGAAAGCAGACCTTGATGACATCGGCTCCCTCGAGAACGCCTTTCGTGGCGCTTCTGCAGTTTTCGCAGTCACCGACTTCTACAGCCTTATGCTCGATCCTGCCAATTTTGCAGCTGCACAAGCAGCCAGAATTACCCCCAATGAATATGCCTGCAATCTTGAGACCAAGCGAGGAATGAATATAGCCACCGCTGCGAGTTCTCCTGCCGTTGCGGCCACACTCACGCATTTCATCTTCAGCAGCCTGAGCGATACCAAGCACTGGTCGAACGGCAAGTACACTTGGAACTACCACTTTGATGGCAAAGCGGCGGTTGTCAACCGAATCAAGAAGGAGCTGCCTGGTTTGGCTGAAAAGTTGAGCATTATCCAGGTTGGAATGTATGCAAGCAACTGGAAGGGAGGGATGGGACGGCCTACGAAGCAAAAAGACGGAGCATTTCTCGTGCAAATCCCAGATATAGGGGAAGTTCAGCTTCCATGGATTTATGTTGATCGCGACGTTGGCATCTTCGTGGAGGCACTGCTAGAAAGTTCTCCACGAAAGCAGATTCTAGGAGTGTCTCAAATGGCCTCTTGGCGAGAATTTTGGACACTTTGGGCGGAGAACCGGGGCGTCAAGCTCGATATTCAAGTTGTCAGTGTGGAAGAGTTTTTTCAACCCTTGCCGGAGCTTTTAAGGAGAGAATTCCAGGAATCATTGAAATACATCATTGAATTCGGATATACGGGCGGCGATCCAGATGTGTGTTGCAATTTACAGGATATGTTGCCTGGGGCCAAGACGGCCACGTTGAAGGAGTACATGGACCGTGAGAATTGGTCCACACTTGACTGACTGAATGATACATACATTTCATAAGGTAGTCTGTGTACGACTACCTCCTTATAGCTTGTGTACCTAACGGCGTCATCGACCCACGTCGCCAAATATATAATGATAGCCAGTATTGTTTGAAATCCCGTGTGGCTTTGAAGTATGTTGATTTACTTCATCAGTATCGTATGGCGTCAAAGTAAATGTTGGAATATTGAAGGGGCAGAAATACGATATGGCTATTCCAAGCGTTGCCATTCCAAGGTGTATCGGAGGATCTTTAGGCGTGTTTAGCTATCTTTTTCCCAACTGAGCATCATTAGCTTGGGCTAACGCAAAGCCCGGCCTCCAAAAGTCATCATGTGCTAGATTTTACAAATGATGGGTCTGGTTTTCTCTCCACAAGGAGTCAAGGCAATTGGATGCATAGGAAGTAGGTCGAAGAATCAGAGAAAGCAATCAATGGACTGGAAGGCTACCCATGCCCATAACGCCTTATTGAAATGAGTGCCTGAGCTGAAGATGGATGGCCAGAATTTCGTAGTTTAGGAATCGGCGTAATCGACTTCCCCGTTTTCCGTCCGAGGGACTTTGAATAGGCCGAGGCATTGAACTCATAGGGCTCTAATGGAGGTGCTCAGTCATCGGCGAGATGGGAAATAGCATTTTGTACCTCAACTGATTCGGTCAATACAAAGCATGTCACCGAGTTGTGAGGTGTGAAAAGAGATAGACCACGTACCAGAATTCAGTCGAGTGCCCGCTCCACCGAAGCCTCTTTCTGGTTCTCGGATTGCTTAGTTATCTACTATCTACCGCTGAGCCAAGATACCCGGGATGCAAAACCACGCATTAGATTAGATCAAGTTCACCCTGCATCTAGTGTTTGGCAAACCATATTGCGCTAATCATCTTTGGAAGAACTGGAGATCGGGCCCCTTGGCCGACTGACCTCGGCCACCTCCTATTCTCATGACAGTATCAAAAGATAAACTCCGGAAGTCAGTCCCAGAAAGTCTCTGGGTCCCGGTCGAGTAGAATCCCCCACGGGTTTTTTGCGGGACCTTGGGAATCGCTCACAATCTAAAGTTCGGCCCCAGAGTACCGAAGAGCAATCCAACCTCGGGCACCTTCGCATGCAACTTGGAAACTTTCTGATCCACGCTAGCCGCAAGATATAACAGCAAGCTGATATTTCAGCCTGTATAAAACTTGCCGAGGACCTTAAGTAGGATCGATACGTGCTCCTATTGAAGCCTTTGGAATCTCTGCCCGATAAAACTCCCATCCATTCGGAGGTAGACTTCAGCACAAGCCCCCTTTCAGCCGAAACAATCCTCCTCTTCATAACCGTACACGCAACGACACACCTATCTAATTATCAGAGCTGCTCTTCAACTCTACGATGAGAGCTTTTCAATTTGCGGATGTCTCGACGGGACTTCAAGTCACGGATGTCCCAATTCCCAAGCCAGGGAAGGGCCAAGTGCTCGTTCAAGTTATAGCCACTGGGCTCTGCCACACCGACTGCAATGTGATTTCCGGCAAAGATGACATGCTCTTGTCGAAACGGCCTGTTACGCTGGGCCATGAGATTGCGGGGGTAATTGTTGAGCTTGGACCAGATGTCACCAATTTCAGTATCGACGAAAGAATTGTCTCTGCCATAGCGATCAGTCATCCTGTGACACTGCAAGAGGTTTTGACAACAGCCGGTATTGGCTACGACGGGGGCTATGCAGAATATGTTGTCATAAACATTGAAAAAGCAGTACGAATCCCAGATGGTGTCACTTTTGCTCAAGCTGCTGTGGCTACCGATGCTGTCGCCACTGCCTACCATGCTGTTGTTGTCGAAGCCCAGGCGTCGCCATCCTCAACCATTGCTATCATAGGCCTTGGTGGCTTGGGCCTTTCAGGAGTCCAACTTGCGTCTTACATGGGTGCGAAGGTGTATGGAATCGACATTAGCCTCAACAAATACCTCCCTGCTCTAGATTCCGGGGCATTGGTATGTGTCAAAAGCCTCGACAAGCTACCTGGAATTAAGTTCGATGCAATTGTGGATTTTGCAGGCACAGGCACCACTACTGCAGCTGCTGTGACTGCCGTGAAACCCGGAGGACGAATTGTTCTTGTTGGGCTCGCAGCCAAAGAGACAACGTTGAACACTTACGAGCTGGTAGCTCGAGGGGTTTCCCTCAAAGGTTCTGCCGGTTCGTCGGTTGATGAGGTAGCCAAGGTGCTTGAATTGATTGCCGATGGGAAGATTCGGCCAATTTTGGAAGAGATCCCCTTTGCGGATATTGCTAAGGGACTGGATAGGCTCACTAAGGGTGTTACACTTGGCCGATTGTATGCTAACCCAAGCAAAGCCTGAAGTGTTATCCAATTAGACTCTTGACTGTTCATGATCTTGAGACAGAATAGGAATCAAGCCCTCATCCTGGTACTAAAGCGCCACTTCCAAGTTGACTTTAGCAAATTTCGACTTTTATTTTTGTATACCCGGTCAGCTACAAGGACAGAAGAACTGATAATGAGCAGCATTTCCCACCCCTTGGCCCGAGAACCACCGGACCTCCAGTAGTGGCTAAAGGAACTGGTCAAAAGATCCCGCTGTAAGATTGTAGTCAATACGAGCGCTCCGTGATGGAGTTGGTCAAACCGAACCCAGCCCTCTCTCTCACAAACCACCTAGTCGATCGATGATGTCCGTCTGCATTCGACCGGTACCGCCAGAGTTTCAATTCTCAGAGATTATCTACCCCTACCGGTGTTCTGTCGGCTCGGACGCATGATGTGACAAATGTTATTGCAAAATCTCGTTCTTGCTTCTTCCTTTGGGCTCAGGTAAATACTTAGCGCTACTCAGACGTCTAATTTCAATCTCAAATTGAGTGGGAAGAAAGGGTCGAATTCAAATCATTTCATTGGGCAAGAACATATGAAGCTTAAAATTTCAACAGAGCATCAAATTCCTCCAAGGAACCCCAGGGGTGTTTCGTTGTGGATCTCAATTCCGTAGACTCTGGACACGTAGACTCTGGAGGAACGTTGGAATCACCCGATTCAAGCTTCGAGCGCACTACTTTAGGCAAAAGGTTCAGCCTCTTCGTTCGTGCAAAGGTCTTCTTTGGGATTGTAGCCAATCTTCAGTATGTATGCGAATGGGCAGATCAATCAGCTCCGACAGGGATGTTGATGGACTTGTTTGGCTGCAAGGGTCTTCACAATCGATCATCTCCGCGGACTCCCGGGGGACATTCGGATTGTGTATAGCTCCCGTGGGAGGTATAAATCATACTATCTCGGACAGTAGCGAATGCATCACGCTGGATCCAGCGCGGTACGTTACCGCCCACGCTGCTGGGTGCTGAGAGTCGGAGTGCGGGATGAGGATTTCTGCAGGCATACTTTGACGTATGCGCAGTGGATGCACTGCAAAAAGTACAATTAAATCAGCAAGCCGCAGTAGATATATCGAATTAATTTCAATGACATAGAAGACAAGAGATTTAGTGATACCGTGCTCGACGTGGCCAAGGCAGACAAACCTGGTCCACTCTGATGCAGTTTGTACAACGATGGCGCTCAGTGTAGACGCAACGTTTCTTCTGAACATAGCATGTTTGGCAAGCTGGAATCTTGATCGAATGAGAATGATGGAATCTTGAGTCGTTCTATGGAAGGATATCTGACAATGCCCACGGCACTGCTGGCACAGGAAGCGAAGAGAGAAGAGAGGGAGACTGAGTCAAATTGGTCTATCTAGAACAGGAAGACGAAGACGACTAAGAGAAGAAGAAGAAGACAGGAAAGGAAGAAGGCCTATAAAGGCCTAAAGCACAAAGGGAACGAACAGACCTGGACCTGGCAGGAAACCCCCAGTCATCAGAAAAGAAAAAAAAACGGGAATTATATTACCGGTTTAGAAAATAAAGTGCGGTTAATATAGCGTAAAGATAGGAGGGGCCCTAGAAGAGACAATAAGCAGTACGGCTAGCATCGGAGATATTATAGAGCGGAGGGGTATAATAAGACTGAATAAGCTAATCGGCCTAAGCGTTAGGGTAAGCGATTAGGTTCCTTAGGGAGCTGCTCATATTCGCTCCGTGAGCTGCGCAGGGGGCGAGATAATTAACTCAGTCTGTGCTCCGGGAGCCGAGCATATCGCGAGGCGGCAGTTTTACCGTCACCTAGATTACCAACAAAGAGTGAAGACCGAATCCGCGCCGCCCAGCCCGGTTCCCGGGGCCGCTAACTCCGCCCCACTGGCCGTCAGGTAATCAGGTAACTAGACGATCATGGGGAGAGTGGCACAATTCTGCAAGTGCATTGATACCACCCGGATTCGAACCTCCCACCGCCGGAGGTTTACGACGACCTAGTTGTTTGACCAACTAGGCCACCGTGGGTGTCTTCTATGAAAGTTTGGGGTGGAAATCCTACTTAGCCTTGCATGGCAAACAAACTGCGTTAGTTCGATCAGGGCTAATCCATCTATCGTCGCCTATCAGCTTTGATGCAGCCCTGCGCCACATGTCGTGCAGGCCCTGGTTGGACCCTGATTCAGAAGTAGATATTCTGTTTCAAAAAACGTCATACTGAAGAGGCATGGGACGGTTAAGCTAGGCCAGACAGGGAAGATCTATCTGGCGATTTTGACTAGTCTGAAATAGCGAACTAGCTGTCTCAGCGTTACCAGCTGAAACACGACCATAGTACATACTTCCCGCCACCATAAATGCTTTTTGCATGGCCATGTTCTTGGCCAAGCCTGGGGCCGTGCAGATCGTTTGGAGTATATTGAAGAGTGGAGCGCGGGATGGATGTTCTAGGCTTATCTTTCAGACGCGGAGTATCTGCAAGGGAGAGACATTTCGACGGGCATTCTCTAGCAGCGTAGTGCCATGCCGGGCTGTATTGCCGGGGAAAAAGTTTAATTGACAATCACTCATGAAGGCCGGGCTTAATATTTGTGTCACAGTTATAGTTTTCTATTTTTTTGAGTCGTTCATCATTCCTAACAGCTAGGTTATAGTTCTCATAGTCATTGCTCATCAAGGGGAGCCTAATCCCACAATGATTGGCCAGCAGCAGACAGACGGATTCGGATCGCGCCGATGGATCCATTGTTGATCTTCGATCGACGAGGATCAACGACCCCACTGCCATGAGACCCGCCGATGGTGCCGATACAGTAGTCGGGGAGAACCCCAAAGCGGGGTTATATACGAGGTGATGCACCAATTCAGCATCGATGCTCCGGCTGCAGATCTCTCTATGGGATCCACAGTGGCTTCGCAGAGTCCCGAAAGAGCAGGGGCATGTCTTGTATTTGCCAGGTGCTTGGGAGGTATTTACCTTCAAGTAGGTTGCCCATCAAGGTTCCGTAGTCTGTATTGGATGGCATTGCGGTCATCATGTGCTTCATCATCCTCATATTCTTGAAGCACAATGGTACGCATGAGTCGGCGGGGCGCACGGCGGCCAGTAAACAGCTCAAATTGGGCAAAGCCTTGCTCGGGGAGAACATCGAGACCGTCCAATGCTACCCAGCCCCGGTGGGACAGGGCTCGAATCTGTTTCATGAGGGGTGTGTTCAGGGGTTTATAGGCCAGCTGGAAAAGATGAATTAGTTTCAGAAACGTTTATCTCGATGTTGGGGAAACCGAGGACAGTGACGGGATTGGAACTGTCCCTCGTGATTGTGAAGACATACATCGACGACGACACCACCTGTCGGACTCTCGAGCCATTGCGTTGGTACATTAAAGTTAGGCGCGGGTTCACCACCAAGACTGTGAGCTGGAATACCGGACACAATAATCGTTGGTTGCTTATAGGCCACTGGCCATGGCTCATCCAACGAATCGAGTGTGCTGACTCGTGGGTGTCGACCTGGGCTTCGTTCATTAGACACCAAGTTTTGCCGGTTGTAATGATCGGCCAGCTTCTTGGCATTGGCAAGTGTCCGGTTATAGACAAGGATATTTTGCACGCCAAGGTGAATCATGGAGTAGATAGCAGCACGAGCCATACCACCAGATCCAATGACAAGGCCAGTAGAGGATGGGCGCACGGCGTTTGCTGGAGAAAGTCCACGGCGAATACAATTGCAGATTCCAATCCAATCAGTGTTGTCTCCATGTAGACCTTTGACTGGGCCAGCACGGGTTTTTTCGAGGTGGATAGAGGATTCCTCCGAGAGGCGGGGATCAGAGATATCGTTGTTGCGGATAGGGATGAGTGTGTTGACGGCGCCGATTGCTCGGGCATGTGGTGACATGGAATGAAGGAGTGGGATAACCTCTGTCTTGTAAGGAAGACTGACACTGGAGCCTCCAAAGTACGGATTTTCCACCAGCTCATTCAAGCCGCGTAATTCGGGACATTGGAAGATCGTATAGCGATGGGGCATCCCGCAGACCCGGAATGCGGTGTTGTGCATCGCAGGTGACATACTGTAGTTGACATTGGCGCCAAAGAGAAAGTACTGCATTGGATCCAAGGCAAAGGAACTGAAAAGTGCTTGTTGTGCGTCACGGGCGGTGATAGTAGGGCATAGTTGGGTGGGTGTTTCGGACATGAAGGACGGGTGTGTGACGGGTGTGAGGATGGGATTGAAGCAGCGAGACATACGACCAAGAGGGCCGGTGTTGTAGGCGATGAGTGGAAGGTTGGCCACTGGAAGGTTCTCGATTCGATGTCGGAATCTTTGCACAGCCGAGTTGTCTTCCATTGTTTCGGCTGGCTGGCATATTCGCACCACATTGCATCCGAGCCGTTTCGCTCTCTCGTAGATGTTCATGTATTCTACTCCATCCCAGCCACCAGGAAGAGGTTGGAAAGCCTCGAAATGGCCAATTATCTTGGTTGTTCCCCTACACCTGATGACTTGAGATAGCAAGGTATCGTCACGAGTCAGGTCAACAGACAGGAAACTGGGACCAAGCCGCAAGCCATGTCGGACAAGGGTAAGATAATTCTCATCGCTCATGCGAATTTTCTGACCAGGCGAGAGAGAACCTCCAGGTGTGATATAGCTTTCGACGTGGTACATCAACGGCACAATGATATTGCGACGTATCGTTGCCGCCACCTGACTGATCCTATCAGCCAGGTTCGAATCAGCGCCAGGCTGACCGGAGGGGCTTGTAACATCAATGACGAGTTCAAAGGCATCCACAGTAAATTCAAGCTCTTCAATATCCAAGTCCCGCTCATAAAGAGCGGAAAATGGGACTGAAAGCGCCAATGTATTTCGTCGAGTCTCGACAGGCAATAATGACAACGGGAACGAGGCATGCTGGCGGCTCATCTCTGTACGATCGCCAGTCACAAAAGCGATGAAGCTAAGGAAATCACGCTGTACTCTTTTCAGAGTCAGGAAAGGTGTCGGCGTTTGCGCGCGCGAGTCGTTTTTGGGTTCCGGTGATGGCTCATAGCCGTCCTTGACCATTTGTCCAGCGCTGCGGTTGATGGTCTCCGAGAGGTTGAAAAATTCCAGATTTGAACAGCCTCGATAGATCGGTCCAGATAGCTCCAGGAAGTGTCGCACTTTTTGAATATCCCACGCTTTGAGATAGGTCTGAATGCTTTGTGGATCTCGGATGACGTGAATGACAGGATGTGTCTGCGCATATTCCCTCAGCAGCCTCTGGCCACTGCGCTCCATTGACCCTGCTCCGCAAGCAATAACACATCCTTCCTGATTATCTGAAAGCATTGACTCGAACACCCGCGCTTCCTGTTGTCTGTACACCGCATGATCGTTATCCCTCTTGAACGCAGCGCGGGAACACCCAGTGACCTGGTGAAAATATCGATCGGAGTCGATCAGGCGGCGGCCAGAGGTAGCCGCAAGAATAACGGCCAGGCTGGACTTTCCGGTGCCTCGAATACCGATAAGGACGATCGATGACTTGGGAGTGAAGTTGCGGGGGGTCTGCAAAAGCCCATTGTCGAAGAGAACCGGTGAGCCGCGGTTAGACTGCAATTCCCGCAACGAAGTTGCGATCGTATAGGGGTCGCCATAACCCTCTACCTGTTCACTCGCCCGTCGTGAACTTGGTTGCGACCGTATCGCCGGCAGCCAAGACCCCGTTCCCCCAGAGCCATACTTCCGGGGCTGTTCATTGTGGTCGCCCTCCAGTTTGCGCTTCGTCTCGAGGAGGGACATGGTGTCGCGGGGAGCCGGTTCACAAAGGAATGCGAAAGCCCATTACCACATGGAGCGGGGACCAAAATCCTCGGTGGTGAACAGGATAAGGAAAAGTTGCAACCTGGGAAAGTCGGGGTATGGGGTTGCAGAAAGGGAGCTGAAGGTTCGTGAGCCAGGCGACGACGGATTGGAAATTGGGTGACCAGTGACCAGTGAGGGAACCGCACGAAAAGCGAGGGGCCCCGGTCGGTGGGGATTTGCGGGCCACCTTTCTGCCGCGCTGCTCCTCTTCTTCCCCGGAACGAGCGAAAGCCCTCTTCTGCGAAACTCGGTGACTCGGGTGGTGGGCTTCTTTTTTCTCGTGCGCAAACAGCTCTCGCTATACCTATCATCTTCTACATCTGGTCCAATTGGCTCTCGCACTATCCCTCTCCATTGCGGTGACAGTTGTCCATGGACTAGACCGCCACCACTAGTCTGCGCAGCGCAAGCTGCCGTCGGCAAAAGATTCAACTCCCACCATCGCTGGATCGCATCGCAGGAACATGCGGCTGGACCCGACTAGCGGATTCTCGCAATCACCATGAGCTCCGAACCTCGCCAAGCCACCGGGGCTAGCGGTAAGGCAAAGCGACGATTGGCGGATCCAGACGACGAAGGCAAGGCAAATGCACAAGACGACCCTGCCCAACCCAAGCGGCAGCGGGTATCACGGGCCTGCGACAGTTGCCGGTCGAAAAAGGACAAATGCGACGGAAAACAACCAGTCTGCTCGACATGTGCATCGCTAGGCCGACCATGCACCTACAAAGCCAATCCCAAGAAGCGGGGACTTCCCACAGGGTATATTCGGTCGCTGGAATTGCTCTGGGGGCTGGTATTTCAGAAAATTCAAGGCAGCGAAGATGTGATGCGCGCGTTGATGAGATCGATCAACCTACCGAGCCATCTCGCAACGATGGGCAAGGAAGCAGAAGGATCGGATACACTGCTGTCATCGTTCAAGAATAGTACCGTGTTGAGGGATATCGAGCGGATGTTGGTGGTCCTGGAGCAGCCGGAGGAGGAGAGGGAACGAAGTCTTCAAGCATATGGTGATGGCGACACACCCCTGGACGTCGATGCGGTCCTTGCCTCATCCGAGGCAAATGAATGGCAGATACCAGAAGGACTCGAATATCGAGAGACGCCATTCACAGGGATATCGCCCTCACGCACGTCCATGATTAGCTCTGCACCGAGACCCCCTGGGTACCGGACCCGGGAATCTGGTGTGCAAACTATCCCCGACGACGCACATTCACCTACACTCGCCATCTCCCTCAACGCCGGTGATTCTCAAATGATTTCCAGTCGCAACCTTCTCCAGCTTCCCTCCAACGCATGGCCTCTTCTTGATATTTACTTTTCATACACACAATGTTGGTTCCCCATCTTGGAAAAACATGACATACTCCGCACCGCCTATCAATACGCCGAAGGTGATGTCTCCATGTCACGTACAGCGCCTGGTTCAGGGGATCATGCTGCTTTATGGGCTGTTCTGGCTCTGGCCTCTTTTCAAGAAGATTCAACCAATGCCACCCACCTATCCGGTCCCCAAGCCGATCCTCATATCAACCCTTCGCGAATGTATAACACAGCTCGAGAACTTATCCCCTCTGAGATCGGTCCGTATGAACTCGGTCATGTCCAAGCACTGCTCATCTTGTCTTTGATCAAGTTTGGCCAGCAACAATGGACTGCTGCGTGGATGCTTGTGGGGCATGCTGTTCGGATTGCCCAAACATTGGGGCTGGACCGGCCATCGTTCACAGCTCCATCCAGATCCCCAGAGAAGCAGTTGGGGCGAGCCAAGCACGTCTTCCTGGGGTGCTTTGTGCTGGAAACTCTGATTGCGGAGCACACCTCACAATGTCCGTCACTGCGTAAGGATGATCTGGCTAGGGTTGGGGCTATCGGCGAGGATGGGCTGGAGGAATGGCACCCATGGGAGGATCAGACTGCTTTTCGTCCAACCCAGTCTGCTCGTGCTTCCATGCAGCGCGGCCCTCTTCATGCACTGAGCACTTTTAACCGCCTTGTCTCTCTGGTCTCGATTCTGAATGATCTCTGCTATTACAAGCAAGACCCGACGATCTCTCGTTCGCAACTGGAATCACTTGAGCTGCAGCTGCAGCGATGGGTCTCGGCGCTTCCAAAGAGTTATCGAGTTAATTTGGAAAATCGTCCAGTGAAGCTGCCCTCACCTCACATCTTCGGACTTGAAATGACATACCAAAGTATCGTTGCTGCACTGAGTCATCAGATCGCTTCGCGGGAGAGTGACCAACACCTCCCCGAAATACCCCACAAGGGCAAGGCCATTGAAAGCTCCAAACGTCTACTCCATCTTGTTCACGTCTTCATAGAGACCTACAGTTATTCAGCGACAGCACCGACATTCGGGATGATTCTTGGATATTGTCTTCCAAGCTCAGTCTCTCGGAGCCTCGTGTCCGATATGGAAATGGGCCTCCGGGCTCAGATTGAACCGTTGGCGTCTAACCTAAGACAGCTATGGATCACGCAAGATCGATCCCTAGCAGGTCAAACGTCCCTGCCAAGGACTCAACCACAACAGCTGGAAATTCCTCCTCCCATTGAAACCCCAACATTGCAGCACCATATCATGCCAGTATCTACTCCTCGCCATCTCATCTCTTCCGCCGACCTACAGCCGACTCAAAATGAAACTCATCTTCCACCATCCGAACCTTTCCTCTCCACTCCATGGCTCCGTGCCACACAAGGCATTGACGATGGTGGCGCACTTATCCATACGCCCACACCATCAATGACTACTGTCGGTGGCGCCTCAGAAGTCTCAGCACAGCAAGGTCAACTAGGCGGACTTCGACAGTCCAGCACGTCTGCCCCTTCCAAATCTCAAAGCATGATTCCCGATTTCCCGCCGTCTTTTCCCTCCGGCGGGCAGTACTCTACCTATCAAGACCCTTCCCTCAACATTCCTCCCTTTGTCGACATGGATGGCTACGGGCCAGCGCGCCGTCAACAACCGCAGCGAATCGCACCAGATCTGGATGCGTTGTTTGACGAGCTTGCGTCGCTGGACGGCGCTGAAAAGTGAGTTGATAACTGACATGTACTATTCCCTACAGACCAAGTACTAATCTCATACCAGACCTGACAATCAATCCGAGTTCATGCAGAACCTCGGCTTTGTTGCTGAAAATGGAGTTCCAGAACTATATTCCTTCTCCAGCCAGATTGAGCCGTTCTTGCTGGCGCAAACGCAGCAATTACCGGGTACCGCGCCTCCTTCTTCAGTGCGACAAGAGTCTCTTAGCATTTCAGGAACTCCTAAGAGATGATGTATCCGTGGGAGCTTGGATGTTTGGTTGTCTGTCAAAGCCGCTGGTCGGCACTCCACCCGCCGCGGAGAAGGCTTTCAGGAGAGATGGCTCCAGGAGGACCACGTCGTGACATATGTGTTGATGGTTGGACAAGCGATTGTACATTGACAATTAGCCGGTGATAAATAGTATAGCTAGTCTATAATAGGGCATGCGGTCTTCGGAGGGGCCTGCATTAAAGCTTGTCTACCCAGCTTACAGCGCATCCCGATATTCCGAATCTCGTAGCCACTACGAACATTCATTTCTTTGAGGTCAATGTTACTGTGGGTGCCCTAAAAATTTGTTACATTCCTAGGAAGATACTAAGGAAAGTATCTCAATTGGAGGGACACATAAAAGACATTCCGCGGACATCCATTTTAAGCCCACAATCCCAACATCTGAAATTCCCAATTGCCCTACATAAAATGTACAACCAAAGTATATACGCGAACCAGTTTTAACCTTCTAGCAAATCCCCCTCATTCAAAGAGCAGCCTTACTCTCCTTCTCCAACTCCTTAAAATTCACCGCAACATGCTCAACAGCAACCTTATACCCATAAACGCCCAACCCCACAATAATCCCCGCCGCCTTATCACTAAAATACGAGTGATGGCGCCACGGCTCGCGCGCATGCACATTGCTCACATGCAACTCGATAAAGGGGATTCCCACACCGAGCAGCGCATCCCGGATCGCCACCGAGGTATGTGTGTAGGCGCCCGGGTTGATGACGATGCCGTCGATGTTGCCGCGGGCGGCTTGGATGCGGTCGACGATTGCGCCCTCGTGGTTGGATTGGAAGGCGTCGAAGGTGCAGCCGTGTTTGGAGGCGATGGTCCGGCTGTCGTTTTCGACGTCGGCGAGCGTGGTGTGGCCGTAGATGTGTGGCTCCCGGGTGCCGAGGAGGTTGAGGTTTGGACCGTTGATTAGGAGGATTGATTTGACCATTTTGGGTGGTTGTGGATGTGATTGAAGAGGATGAGGGTATGGGTGGTACTTGCAATTGCAATTGGGAGAGAGGGTTAGTTGTGAGAATAGTTCAATAGGAGGATTGTCGATGGCGGGATTATTTGGATGGTGGGGGATGTTCGGCATTGGGCTCATCATGGCCATTCTGATTCGCGGGTGGTGTTTCTCCCCGCAATTTGGACTTCGCCCGGTTGAGCGCTTTGCCGGCGATGCACGGATCCGGTGCTTTTTTTTGTTCGCCTGGTGCCCGGTGCCCGGGGATTTTGAGGAGTTTTGAGAATTGTCCGAGGCGAGGTGACACTGCGGGGTAAACAGACTGCGGTAACCAGTTAGTGCTACTCGTCTTGACAGAATATGAGGATTGCTGGCGGTTAGTACTCCGTAATGGCTATGGTCATGAGTCCACTGTATGTGGTAGTTGTATCCCACATCTTCTCTTACCGGCGCCACGGAAAAAGCTCTCCCCCGATTCCAGCCAACCTGAATTGGATTATGCATACCTTGTCCAAATATTGGTAGTAGAGTCAACTATCATGATCGCTCATCACTATGATTCTGGTTTGAATTTTCAAATAGCTGCAGACGTTGTCTTACCCTGTTCTTACCCCTAATACCATTCCCTATTTCTCTAGATACCAATGCAATCCATGTCCTAACATAGCCATGATATTTCAGAAGGGGCTTGTTTCATTATAGCCAGTATCAGTCTAATGTCTTCGTTTTGTTATCATAAAACGTAAAGCCCGATGCCAGATTATAGACTCTAGTCCCAATAACCCCAGTAGATTGCCTTGTTTATCGCTAGAAGAGTATGATGTCACGACACCAAAACCCCTCTAGAAAGCTTTCATCAATTCAATCACCATAGCTTGAATTGATTTTATCTATCAATACCCATCTCCTCAATAATCAATAGAGGCTTATCACTACTTATTCGGGCCCAAGCTGAACGGTCATGCGAGCACATAACCAGCCAGCCTCCACGTCGGACTCCACCCCGCGGTGGAGAACAGAACCATTGATAAGGCAAACCGGCTACTGACGGTTATTTCGACCTTTTTTTCACCGGTCTCCCATGAGTCAACCGTCTGACACTTCATGCTTCCTCTCATCTCTCCTAATTTTGTCAGAAAGCACCTTGAGAACTCATCCGACCGGAGCTCTTGCCAGCTTCAACCTCTTCAACCTCTAGATCGACTCCGATACCACTCCCGCCATGGCTGTGGGACAGCTCTCTCAGGATGAGCTCGACGAGATATACGCCTTTGCGATTGACCTAGGCCGTAAGGCGGGCGACATGTTGATGGAACGTGTTGAGCAGCGTATCTCTGGTAGTAATGGCCCGCAGACGTTTGAGGAGAAGGAGAATGCGGTTGATATCGTGACTCAGACTGATGAGGGTAAGCTATGCAAAGAGATGTCTGGTTTATCAGAATCAGATTGGACTGACTAGCATGACTAGATGTCGAGGTCTTCATCCGGAACGCCATTCATAGCAAATACCCCTCACACCAGTACGTCTGATCCCTCCACCCATTAATACCACACATGATTAAAACTTCCCAGATTCCTCGGCGAGGAATCCTACGCCAAGGGCGCATCACGCGACTATCTAATCGACGAACAACCAACCTGGTGCATCGACCCTCTAGATGGTACAAAACCCCTCCCACTTATACTCCAATCCAGCCTAAACCCCACATACTAATCCACTCAGGAACCGTAAACTACACCCACATCTTCCCCATGTTCTGCGTCTCCATCGGCTTCATCGTCCAACACCGCCCCATAATCGGCGTAATCTACGCCCCCTTCCAAGACCAACTCTTCTCCGCCTGCATCAACCGCGGCGCCTGGCTAAACGAGAAGCGCCGCCTCCCACTACTCCATAACCCCATCCCGCCCATGCCAGCCAATGCCCCGTCCCAATGCATTTTCTCCTGCGAGTGGGGTAAAGACCGCCGCGATATTCCCGACGGCAATATGCATCGCAAGATTGAGAGCTTTGTGAATATGGCGGCGGAGATTGGGGCGAGGGATGGGAAGGGGGGTATGGTGCATGGTATGAGGAGTTTGGGGGAGTGCGACGTTGGATTTGGCGTATACTGCCATGGGGTCTTTTGATATTTGGTGGGAGGGGGGTTGTTGGGAGTGGTATGTTTGATTTCTTGTTAGAAGGGGATGAGTTGGGTATTGACTGACTTTTGACTTTGCAGGGATGTGGCTGCTGGTATTGCTATTCTTCTTGAGGCTGGTGGATTGGTTACTACGGCCAATCCGCCCGAGAACCCGGATACAGCACCGATTGGAGATGTGCGACTGGGGAGTCGACTTTATCTAGCCATTAGGTGAGCAATCTTCCCTTTTATTATATCAGCTCTCAGCTAACATCTTTTTAGACCCGCTGGCCCGTCAGCTACCGAGACTGGCCGCGAATCTCAAGAGCGGACAGTGCGTGAGGTCTGGCGGCGGGTCCGCCAGCTGTCGTACTCTCGTCCGGGTGCGTAGATAATGATTTGCGTCGGACATGACCTTAAGATGACAGACTACAAGGTATCAGTCGTATGTATATACCATGGGTGTCTACATTTATTCACAATCAGGACTATTTAAAATGTTCCGTATATTCAAAGTCATGATTCCACAACTGACGCCACCTATCTATATATCACATGCAAGGATTTTTAGCTCTATACAATCGTCAAACGGACATGAGAATGAAAAAAAAAAAAAAAAGAAAAGGAGAAAGGAAAATGCAAAAAAGAAGACATCAGGATGGACAATACAAGTCCGCAGACTCCACACTTTACAAGCTGGAGGTCTTCTTGGCTTGAGCCGCCCGCTCAGCAACAGAGCCGTTAACAACAGCCTTGACAGCATCAACAACACCAGGTGTACCAATAACATCCTTACCCGTCCAAAGACGGGCCTGCTCAAGACCCTGCCAAATCAGCGCCTCAGAACCAAGGATGACCTTCCACCCACCAGCCGACGCAAGCTGGGCAATCTCCGTCCAAGGAACGGGGTGGTAGCACATCTCCAGGATAACACCCTGCTGCTTCGCCGCTTCCGCCTCCGTACCCAGGAACGCCTGGATAACAGCGCGGGCATTCAACTCCTCCGCCGTCTTGGGCGGGTAGTTCGGGATACCAGAGACGATGGCAGCGGGGGCCTCGAGACGAGCAGCCTCCGCGGGGTCTGTAACGTGCACAAGGGGAGCCTGGGCAGTAGGATCCGGGTTGCGGGCGCGATCCTCCTCCATGATCGTCGCGACCTCGGCGGCATCACGGTTAACAATGTAAATCTTGCTAGATCCGAGCCAGCGACGCATCACGTAAATCGCCGTGCGGGCGGTACCACCACCACCGATGATCAAAGCCGGACGGCCACGGAACCGCGACGCATCGGGCGCGTTCTGGATCAACGCTTCGCGGATACCATCGCAGTCGGTGTTAGTACCGACGTACTGGGTCTTTCCGGTGACGGGATCCTCGCGGAGGAAGATCGTGTTGCAAGCACCAGCCTGGCGGGCGTGCTCGGTTAGATCGTCCAGGTGAGGCATGATGGCGACCTTGTGGGGCATTGTGACGGAGGAGCCGACGAATTTGGGGTTGGCCTTGATAGACGCGAGGAAGGTGTTGATGGGCGGCGAGAGGGTGTAGGGTGGTGGGTAGGTGGCTGAGGTGCCGGTTACGCTGGACAGCGGGATTTGCTGCCAGTTCAGGCCCAGGGCATTGTAGACGGTTTGGTGGAGGGGTGGGGAGAGCGAGTTGAGGAGTGGGTGGCCGTAGAGATAGGCCACGCCGTCGAGGTGGGAGGGGCTGGTGATGGGCTCCTCGGGTCTTGTTTGAGGAGTGGTGGCTTCGACTGCTGGGGCGGCCATTTTGGATGTGTGTGAGAGAGAGGGGGTAGGTGTGTAGGTGGGATGGATTGGGGGAGGGGGAGGGGAATGTGAAATGTTGAGGAGATTGGAGATATTATTATACACGATACAAACTTCCCAAGTCCTGTGTCCCGCGGCAAGACATGAAAAACTGGGGCTAGGCTAAGAGATCTGCCGTCAATTCCGCAGCAGACGGAAGTAAATTAGTAAATTTTAGTGGCACTCGACTCGGCTTAACTAACAGAACTCCGCATTTCCTTTCCAATTTCCACCCAGAAAGCCCGGACACTCTCCTCTAGAGACTCATCGCCACGAGGCGGTAGCTAAATCCATATACAAATGAAACAATTCATGAGGCTTTAGTCAGGAATTTTTTTCATTTTTTGCCTGGTTCTGTATCTCTTTCTATCTACTATGAAGAGCAGAAGCGATTCGACCTTGGTTTGTAACGTGGTCGACCTATCGGTAATTTCCATTCTTCTTAGCCAGTCTCCTCATTCCAGAAAGGCGAAGTCAACGTTCCGAAGCCAAAGTGGTGTACACTATTTCCGGCTTTTCAGACATCCAAAGAGCGGCGTCCTGTCCCAAGGTAGCTAGTCGTAGGCGTAGTGGCGATGTTGGAGAAGATCGGCGCCTACCATCCATTCAAGGTTGGATTGAGCCCGGCTGAGGCTGTTTAACATTCGAGTGTAAAAGACTATCATTTCTGTCGTGGATACGGAGTCTATATCTATAGACCGTACAATACAACTAGATAGTAATCACTACTCCATATAGTTGTCTTGATTCACGTGATGGTGAGCCTCTTCCGCACATCTCCAGCCGAGATTCTCATTCCCTCCCACCAACACAACCAACACAAGGACATTTCTTACTCCGTGACAAGGGCTGCCCAAAATTCCTCAGAATTCACATCGGCTAATAAACTCCGCCAATGGGGACCAGATGAGTCGAAATTTCGATTGACATTTCCTCCAGGCTGGGCACAAAGCTACCACAGTTACTCTATACAGCCAAACCATCCCCGGAGGATCGCTTTTCCAAGCCACTTCGGTTACCCACTGGATCATGGATCATCCCTTTGGCCACCCGATATCATTGGGCCGAATGTCCATGCCCTTCATGCGAGCCGACCATCCCGACGAATCAAAAAGCCAGCTGTTTACTACCGACCCGGTATGCAGGCTGCGTTGTTCATTGGAGCGTTCACCGGTCGGCTCCCCAGAGTCCATGCCCCCTTCTTCCCCGTGGAGAAATTAACAATGCCCATGCGGCCGTCGAGACTAAATCTAGACGTGTTATCCCCCATGGTTACTGGTTCCACTCCGCGATATCGGAGCTCCCCACAATTTCACGCCCCAGCCAAGCAGCCCAGCAGTGCAGCAGAATTTTCCAGCCCAATTGGACCAATCCCACACCTCCTGCCCAGCCTTGGGCTTGTTGTGTCGTCAATTCCTGCACCAAAAACCTTTGGTGCAAGCCTTTGCCTTTAACCTTTGCGCTTTGTTCGCTAAAACTGTTTTATATCGTTTTGCCGGAGTGGCTTTTTGGGTTTGCGAAAAAAAGGTTGAGTTATACTCTTCTCCGCGTGGCCCAGCGTCTCCACGATTTCCTTTCGCTCCCCAGTCGCCCCGGATACTTTCTTTCCTTCTTCCCCAGTCAAACCTTGAAACTAGTGGCCTGGGGATCGCGTGGCTATTTAGATCTCGCATATTCCTCTTTTTTCATCTGCAGCAAGAGACTCTTTCTCTTCTCTTCTTCTCCATACCCCGGATTTTCCCATCCCTTGCCCATTATCTCCAACTTGATACCCCGTCAGGGCGCAAGTTGCTTGCCTCTTCCTTGGAACGGATTGATCCGACTTCCTCTGGACTCAAGGGCATAGAGCTCTACACCTATTTTGTCTTTTATACCCCCTTTTTGATCATTGTCATTGTATTGAGAACATCATCATGTCTATCCTCAAGCTGGTCGAGGATCGGCCGACGCCAAAGGCCGTATATAACTGGAGGGTCTACCTTCTGGCCGCCGTTGCATCATGCACATCCTGCATGATCGGTTATGACAGTGCCTTCATCGGTACTACTCTGGCCTTGGACTCGTTCAAGTCCGAGTTCCACTTCAACACCATGTCCACCGCTACCAAGAACCTGATCAGTGCCAATATCGTCTCCTGCTACCAAGCCGGTGCCTTCTTCGGTGCCTTCTTCGCATACCCTATTGGTCACTTCTGGGGTCGTCGTATCGGTCTGCTGGCAGCTGGTCTGGTTTTCATTCTTGGTGCTGGTCTCATGTTGGGTGCTAACGGCGACCGTGGTTTGGGTTTGATCTACGCTGGACGTGTCCTGGCTGGTCTGGGCGTCGGTGCGGGCTCCAATATTACCCCTATCTACATTTCCGAATTGTCACCCCCTGCTATTCGAGGCCGCCTGGTTGGTGTCTACGAACTCGGATGGCAGATTGGTGGTCTTGTTGGTTTCTGGATTAACGTGAGTTTCCCAACAAAGAAAACCGTCTACCTTACTGTTTGCTAATCTGTTTGTTTTAGTATGGTGTCTCCGAGACCCTGGCTCCTAGCCACAAGCAGTGGTTGATCCCCTTCGCCGTCCAGCTGATCCCTGCCGGTCTCCTGTTGATTGGTGGTTCCTTCATCCGCGAGTCACCCCGTTGGTTGTTCTCCCGCGGCCGTCGCGAGGAAGCTATTAAGAACCTTTGCTGGATCCGTCAGCTGCCCGAGGACGATATCTACATGATTGAGGAGATTGGTGCTATTGACTCCGCTCTGGAGGAGCAGCGCGCTACCATTGGTGTTGGCTTCTGGAAGCCATTCCAAGCCGCTGGTACCAACAAGCGTGTCATGTACCGTCTGTTCCTGGGTAGCATGCTCTTCTTCTGGCAGAATGGCTCCGGTATCAACGCCATTAACTACTACTCCCCGACTGTCTTCAAGGTTAGTTACACCAGCATGAGAACCTCCTTTTTGCAAGAATCCAACATACTAACCCCCTTCTGCAGAGTATCGGTGTCACCGGTACCAACACTTCTCTCCTGACCACTGGGATCTTCGGTGTTGTCAAGACTGTTGTCACCTTCATCTGGCTGCTGTACCTCATTGACCGCGTCGGTCGTCGTAACCTACTCCTCATCGGTGCCGCCGGTGGCTCCGTCTGCCTGTGGATCGTCGGTGCATACATCAAGATCGCCGAGCCGGCCAAGCACCCCAAGGCCACCATGGACGGTGGCGGTATTGCCGCCATGTTCTTCTTCTACCTGTGGACCGTCTTCTACACCCCCACCTGGAACGGTACTCCCTGGGTTCTCAACTCAGAAATGTTCGACCCCAACATGCGTTCTCTGGCCCAGGCCTGCGCCGCCGCCTCCAACTGGCTGTGGAACTTCCTCATCTCGCGCTTCACCCCACAAATGTTCACTGCCATGGGATACGGCGTGTACTTCTTCTTCGCCTCGCTGATGATCTGCTCCATCTTCTTCGTCTTCTTCCTAATCCCCGAGACCAAGGGTATTCCCCTCGAGAGCATGGACCCTCTGTTCGAGGTCAAGCCTATCTGGCGTGCTCACGGCCAGATTCTGGAAACTCTGCGCGAGGACGAGGAGCGCTTCCGTCACGATGTCCAGGAGTCTGGTCTTGCTGAAGCTAAGTTGAATGCCCAGCAGGTTGAGGATACTGCTACTGAGCAGCCCAAGACTTCGTATGTTTGATGAGATGCGCGGTGTATAATTTGATGTCGGGAACGTCTCTCTGGTGTTTGTCTTGCTATTGTAGAATTGGGGATGGGTTTTTGATCTGTTGAGTCAGATTGAATAGGGTGTGTCCCTATATTGTTGATATATCTTGAATGAACCTAATTTGATGATCGGAATGTCCAATATTCATCTGTTTTCCATACAAGTAGAAAACCTGGTCTTGTTGAGAGCGATTGCAATGGCCAAGACGGAAAGAACTTCCAGTAACGACGAAAACCTTGTGAGATGCGCAAATCCGTCTTTGCACATCAAGATAGAGAGAACACGAGAGAAGGAACTTTTGGAAAGGAAAAAGAAGTTCAATTGGTTATCACAGCCCAACCTTAATCCCTAGCTAAATCATTCAGGTAGTCATTTCACACGTTGCATACACAAGAATAATTCATCATATTCAGCTCACCACTACTGTCTCTCTCGGCCTGTTAAAACCATCAACTCAACTCAACTCACTCACTCACATTCCGCCAAAGGATCAACCGGAATATCCACAGGCAACCCCGTCTGCATCGCCGTCTGCACAGCCTTACAAACAATCAATGCCCTCAGCCCCTCATCCCCCGAACAACTCGGCTCAACCTCGCCCCTTATAACATCCACAAAATGAGCCAACTGCAAATCAAACGGCGCCTCCTCATCCGGCAACGCAATCTTTTCCGCAACCAACTGATTCGCCCAACTCTTCCCCGCATCCCCATAACTCCACTGCGTCAAATCCGGCACACTCAGCGACGCATCCGAGCCGAAAATACGGTAGAAGTCGGCTGCTTCAGTCGCACGGGGGATCATGGGGTTTTCACCCGTGCCGGACTCAAAGTTATGCGCGGAGGGGGTTGCGTCGCAGACGAGGAATGTGCCGACGACGCCGCAGGCGAAACGCATTGTTAGCGCTACGCCTTCGTCTGCGTCGTGTGGTGGACTGGGCCGTTGCGGGAGGGTTTTTTCAGCTTGGATGCGGGTTATCGGTCCGAAGAGGTGGTGCATTAGGTCGATGTCGTGGACGAGGTTAATGGGGATTACGCCTCCGCCGCGAGAACCCGAGGCACGCCAGTCTGTCGGTGCGGCGAAGTATGAGTCTGGTTTGTAGAGGGTCCATAGTCCGTTGACGGCGATTGTTCGGCCTAGGGAGCCGGAGTCGAGGACGGACTTTGTAGCCCGGACGTAGGGGTTGAAGCGGCGGTGGTGGCCAACTAGGAGTTTGAGGTGGGCGTGTTCTGGGGCTCGAGCGAAAGAGAGAAGGGAACGGCCTGTTTCGAGAGTGTCGCTGACGGGTTTCTCGAGGAGGACGTGGACGTTGCCGGCGAGGAGCTCTTTGGCGACGGGGACGTGGGTGTGGTTTGGTGTGCATACGATTGCTGCGTCGGGTTTGTGTGGTGAGGACAGGAGGTCTGCCACGGAGGAATAGAAGTTGGTGTTTAACTTGGTTGCTGTTTCTTGGCCTGTTGGTGCTGGGTCGACGAGGGCAATCAGCTCGGTGGCTGGATTGGCGATGACGGATTGAGCATGGCGGGGACCGATGAGGCCGGCACCGATGATGGCAATTTTGAGAGACATGAGTGGATGTCCAAAATTGAAGATGTAGACAATGGCAATTCTTGTTCTGCCGATTTTTGAAGGAATTCAGAACAATTGCTCTTGTGGAGTCTCAGGGTGGCATGCATGAATCATTCGGATATGTTGAATCCGGAGACCCCAACATGACAGTCATAGTTATTGGGCACCTCGGTTGAAGGAGGGTCTTGGCATGACAAGGAAAAAGTTCTTGCCGTACAAGAGTCAGCGTTATAGAAATAACCGGGACCCGTGGGGATTATATTTGGCGAGCTGGTCAGACATTTCTGGCAATGGGCTTTTCAGGTGCCGCCGATGGAGACGAGACGAGTGGAGTGGTTCTTTCTGGAAAAGAGGTGAAGACCGATTATTATTGGCCCGGGTAAACGAAACAACATGCAGTATCTGGCTTGGGGTATACTATTTCGAGTTAGTTTGGTATATATGATACTAGAGATACATAAGACAGACACTTTGAATAGACGGAAGAGAGTTTTTCATTGTATTACTATTACCGTACTAACTGCTTACAGTATAGATCTGGAATGTCACTCCTAATTCATTTCTTCTTTTCGTTTACCCGCTATCATCTGGCGGGTCAATGGCAGACACTCGTCATTCGTCCTGATGGCGAGAAACTAAATTCTCCTGCTAATCACCATATGAAAATGCGATTCTTGGGGGATATGGGGTCAGGGGATAATGTTTTCTCGCCATTCTGTCTATTGCTAGAAAAAAAGTAGACCCGTGGACACCCGTCTGTCTATTTCGCATCTTGATATCTTGTAGTCGTTTGGTCCCTTTGACTTTTGTACATCTTTTGCATTTTTCTTACTATTGCATCAGAACAACTCCTTGAAAACATCCCGGGGGGTATATTGAGCACTTCATACTTTATATCTCTATCCTTCTTACACCTTCCCTTTTCATTTCTCCTCGGATACACTCAACACCGTCGGGACGGTTAATCCTCATCCGACCGCCAAGATGTTCAACCGCCCCGGTATTGCCTCCATGTCTCTAGGTAGACCTTGGATCCACGACCTCCCTGGCAAGTTGATGCAAGCCGCTGCCCACGGCTTCGAGGGCATCGAGCTCTTCTTCGACGATCTAGACTGCTATGCGCAGCGCACATTTAATGGCGACCACATGGAAGCCGCCCGTCAAACACGGCGTCTCTGCGAAAGACTCGGGATGACCATCATCTGCCTGCAGCCCTTCTCCATGTACGAAGGCCTGATCGATCGCGCTGAGTCCGATCGCTTGATCAATGAGAAACTGCCCAAATGGTTCACTCTGGCGCGGGCGCTGGGAACCGACATGATCCAGGTGCCATCCAACTTCCTCGGCCCCGATCCTACCACCGGCGCCCCCAGGACAACGGGCGATCGCACAGTCATCGTCCGTGATCTCCAGCGTCTGGCTGATCTCGGCGCTGGAGCTGGTTTCCGTTTCGTGTACGAGGCTCTCTGCTGGGGCGACCACGTCGATACCTGGGAGGCCTCGTGGGAGGTTGTCCGCGATGTCGACCGCGCCAATTTCGGCCTGTGCCTGGACTCGTTTAACATTGCTGGTCGTGTATATGCAGACCCTGCCTCACCATCGGGCAAAACGCCTAATGCGGCTGCCGACCTGGCTGCTTCTCTCCAGCGCCTGCGCACAGCCAACATCGACCCTGCCAAGATCTTCTACGTCCAGCTCGTCGATGGTGAGCGCCTCACTGCCCCTCTAAACGAGGAGCACCCCTTCCACGTTGCCGGCCAACCCGTCCGCATGAACTGGTCTCGCAATGCCCGTCTATTCCCCTTCGAGGAGAACCGCGGCGGATACCTGCCCATCCTGGACATTGCCCGGGTATTCTTCGAGGACCTTGGTTTCCGTGGCTGGGTGTCTTTGGAGCTGTTTAGCCGCACCCTTGCTGATCCTGATCCGTTTACTCCTGCTGAGCATGCTCGTCGTGGAATCGAGTCTTATTATAAGATGGGTCGTGTGCTGCAGTGGGATGGTCAGGTGGAGAAGAACACCGTTTCTATTCCGGAGTGTCTTGCGGAGCCGGATTCGATTGTCCAGCACCGTCTGTAAATGATGGGTGGGGATGGCTGGTATTAAATGTTTTGCATCTCATGTCGATATGAGGCCTGTACATATTTTTATATTTTCATGATCGGCATTAATAGCTACTGCTACTACAATAAACTATTTGAGCATAGACTGCATAGACCATACGGATTGATCGGATCGAGATTTTAACTATTATAGTTGCGCAATGACTTCGGTCAAACGGCTGACTCGCTTTATGTTACAGGTATGTTCAGGCATTATTAGAAAGTTCACACCGCATTTTCGGGTGCTACCTAAAGCAGAAGCTGAGCCGTGATCCACCAGTCATAACGGTCGGGTCTCAAGCTTATGGACATGACTCACGACTGCAGCTGTAGTTACCACAAATGGAATGACCGATTTGCCTTCTAATCGTGGAATGATCTAGCCAGCTGGCACCCCCCTCGTATAAATTGTGTGGATGAGTCGTGGGGTCAGTCCCAAGTTAAATGGGATCGAATTGCTGCGAAGATAAGAGTAATCTGCCGTCGACAAACATGATTTTTCGGCTTGAAGACAATAGTAGTTTGCATTGATTAAGGTTGTCTGTCAACTCCTTCCTTGATATCATTTCCAAAAGAATCTGACATGGGTATGCTGACGACACTCTGCTAAAGTGGATGGTCCCCGGACATATCATCCTAACAAATGTGGCCTAGTAGCGTCAATTTAACAAATTCCCCCTCTCAAGACACGCCCGTTTCAACCAGGATCAGCACATCACATGATGCTTTTTCCGTTCCTAGAGACAGTATAACCCATTAGAATTATAACCCATTAGAATTACAAGAATAAAATTGAATCTTCAAAGAGATGCTTCCGTGGAAGACCGGATGACGTCACGACGAGATTTACAGTTTAAGAATGCTACCCCTTCCATTTTGGGACATACTAAAAAAACCAATCGATTCTCTCATGTTTCTAACCCATGTATCCCCCGCCTATCTCTGATGTAATTGACTACGATAAAGAAAATAAATCAGCGGATAGAAGAAGTGTTCATATATGGGTCGATTTCTTCATTAGTGGCACAAATTCATTTCTAAACGGATTCGACTTCCAATTTCTGACTTACGATCGATTTAACTTGAATTTCACAATGTCGGATCAGAGATACTATACCCTCGCGGAAGGTGAGTTCATCGCAATTTTATGGCTGACAATCAGCTGATTGCAACAAGGATGTCCCTTCGCAAGCAGCAGCACTGCTGTTCTCATGCGTGGCCAGCAGGGTGGTGGTCTTGGTCTTCTCCAGGATACTCAGCTTATCGAGACCCTGGCCCATTTCTCTCGTGAGAGAATTCCGGAGCGGTATGCTAAATGTCATCCCAAATAAACGCATGTTAAGCTGATAAGTCTTGTATTACAGAGTCGTCCATGCCAAAGCTGTTGGGTGAGTGAAAAAATTTCTAAGGATTAATACTACGCAAAGTAGTAATTATTAGAATCTCTCAATTTTCATGTTGCAATCTGGCTTGATTTTATTTTATCTAACATCTCACCTCTAGTGCATATGGCGAGTTTGAAGCGACTGCCGATTGCTCAGATATCACCTCAGCTAGTTTCCTCAACAAGGCTGGCAAGAAGACCCCAGTTCTCTTGCGCGTGTCTACTGTTGGCCCAGAGTCAGGCTCGGCTGATACATCTCGGGATGTGCATGGCTGGGGAATGAAGCTTTATACCGATGAAGGTAATTTGGACTGGGTCTTCAACAATACGGTATGGATTATTATACCTTACATTATTATTTCAGTTCGTTACTAACAAGTCGGAAGCCTGTCTTCTTCATTCGGGATCCTATCAAGTTCCCTTCCATGAATCGGTCACACAAAAGACACCCGCAGACTCACCTTCCTGATGCAAACATGGTAAGTAAAGACTAGTAATCTGTGATTTCATCTACAAAAGCTGATTTTATCCTTAGTTCTGGGAGTACGTGCATTAGTATCATTCAATAGCCTGTACTGACTCCTTCTTAGCTTCCATGTGGGTAACCCAGAAGGCATTCATCAGCTGCTGCATCTCTTCAGCGATCGCGGAACCCCTCAGTCAATCCGATTCCTGAACTCCTACAGTGGACATACCTACAAATTCACCAAAGAGGCAAGTAAACCACCAGAAATGTAGAGCTAGTTACTAACCTATCCTAGGATGGCTCGTTCAAGTACATCAAAATTCACATCAAGTCTCAGCAAGGCGTCAAGAACTTCACCGCAGAGGAGGCTACTCGAATTGCGGGTGAAGACCCAGACTACATGATCAGGGACATGTTCGAGGCTATTGAGCGAGGAGACTATCCCAAGTGGGATGTCTTTGTTCAAGTCATGGACCCATCCGAGGCTGAGACGTATCGGTGGAATATCTTTGACATGACCAAAGTCTGGCCTCATAGTGACTTCCCGTTGAGAAAGATCGGCCAGCTCACCCTGAACCGCAACGTAAGTTGAGATCTTGAGAGCCAAGCATGACCAGATTTTCTGGATACTGATAGACTCTAGCCCGGGAACTATTTCGCCGATATCGAGCAGGCGGCTTTCTCCCCGTCAACCATGGTGCCCGGCTTTGCTGCATCCGCTGATCCAAGTATGTCAACCCCTTCAAACAATACCATAGACCTATCCCAGCTAATCCACCTTTAGTTCTCCAAGCAAGACTATTCGCCTACCCCGACGCCGCCCGCTACCGCCTCGGCGTCAACTACCAGCAACTCCCAACCAACGCTGCGAAGGTCCCCGTGTACTGCCCATTCCAGAGAGACGGCAAGATGAGATTCGATGACAACTACGGCGGAGACCCCAACTACGTCAATTCCACACTCAAGCCTACCAAGTTCTACCCCGAAGTCAAGGGAGTCAAGCCTCAGGCAGTCAGCCTGCACACAGAGCATGAGAAGTGGGTCGGAGAAGTGGTCACTTACACCAGTCATATCACGGACGACGACTTTGTTCAACCTGCTGCTCTGTGGAAGGTCATTGGCCGGGAATCAGGACACCAAGACCGCCTTATTGCAAACATTGTGTCTAGTCTGAAGGGGGTAAAATCGGCCGGTTTGAGGAACGAAGTATATGGTTGGTATTTCCCTTGGAAATGATCTAGCAGGGTTCCGCTAATTAGTGATTTTAGCTCTCTTCTCCCGTGTTGATAAGGATCTCGGTTCTAAGCTCAAAGAGGCTACCGAGGCTGCTATCAAGAAATGAGGATTGGCGCCTATGTTTCTACAGCTTTCCAATATTGGACATCTTGAACTCGGAGGCATGATGTGTTAATGAGTGACGTCGATCAGCTCGTCCATCGATTCGGATTCGTTGACAGGAGTGCGGGAAGAGGAGGGGGAGAGACGAGAAAGTACTTTCGCTGGAAAATTTTCTGAGTCACATTTTATTCATAAAAAATAGAAGTGCTTCAAAACGCTCGTTCACGATAGCGTCTTCTTTATTAGCCCGGTAAGCACATTAGGCGAGAGCCGCCGTCAACGGGGATATACTGTCAAAGGCTCCTCGGTGGTGAGGGAACACAGCGTTCCAATCTAGCAGCGTATTTGACGTAGTGCTGAATTATCCTGGACACAGTAAGATGCTAGAATGGGATCGATCCTCCGGCCGTTAGCTCCTCCTGACCAGAGCTAAGTCTACCGCCGCAGAAATGTTGATTGTCTTGATCTTTCGCTTGCGAGCGAATGATTATTTTCTTAGCGTTTGCCGAAGCGAGAATATTTTATCAAAACGCAGTCTCATTGGTAAGGTCTTTTGTTGATATGCTGAAATTCTTAGACCTCCAGCGCCGATGGCTCTCGGCTCAACGTGGTGCTGGAGTCCAATAGTCCCTGCATTGGGATGAAGCCAAGAAGAGCCTCGACTACCAATGATTGACAATACTTCCTTTATGAGATCGAAGAGAAAGATTCGATGTGAGTACTGCATCATCACTCGGTCAGATTCTTCGGATCACAGAGCATGTTTCGACAGTCTAAAGTCTATATCGATAGATTTCGTTGACTGAACTGGGATGCTAACGGCGCTAGTATAAAGTGGAATCTCTAAGTCCCGGGAAAGACACAAGATCCATTAACACACGCTGATCTATCGCAATCTATCTCGCGCCATTTTGCCCGATTCTCGTATCAGTGCACCCCGGATCACGACAGAAACGTTCGCCGGGATAGAGGGTGGGTGTGGTTGCGTGAACGTCAATTCTCGTCAAATCCAAGGCCTCCTCACCAGCCAAACTTTCTTGACGCCCGCGTGTATCATCGGCACGCTCTGTGGGTCGGTCGTCTCTCGGCGTTTGCTGATGGCAAAAGGCTGGCCTTTCGGACGAGTTTCATGGTCCGGATTGTCCAAGCAAGTCTTCTCATGTCGATCCCTGGAATATTTCCGAGCATATGTTTTCCCGCAATAACGACATTTTTTCGACTCGCTGTCTGCTTGCTTTGCCTCCTCGGTCTCTAACACCCCGTGGGTTCTCGACCGATGTATCTCGAGATAGCAGGCTGCACCACACCCTTCGAAACCCCATTCATGGATAGGGCCTTTCGCCCACCGGTGCGTGTTGCGTTCGAAGGTGAAATCACGAAGCTGCGATCAACATCAATTTAGCCACCGTAAGTCGGGTAGGTTCTCTGTTAGGCAAGGTCTCTACTGAAGGAAGCACTCACCAGTTTGAAGTCGTTTGACAGCCTATACTTGGATGCTGTAATAGCGGGACCCCACTCGAGATGTGATTTAGTCGGCCAGTTCAATTTGGTGTTTGGATGCTCCTTTGGATCCTCCGGGTCAAGGCCTCCCGCCCAGATGGGGCATACCTGTTTGGGATCCGCGTCATATAAATTAGGAGGAGGAACTGCTTCCTTCCGATGATCAAGATCCACAGATAAAATCCACAAACCAGCAGACCTAAGACACTCTCCGGTCGAAGCGCGAAAAGCTTCTGAAACGCTCCTTGGTTGGTCGTGAGACCATCCCAACCACGCACAACAAGCAAGATATCCCGATCCTGTTGCTGAGCCTCCTTGAAAAGATCGGTGAAGTATAGGATCACCTCTCCTGCTGGTCTGAATGGCGAGTTCGACTGCAAGATGAACACGAATGTTTCAACGAGACCAGGGAGTATGGTCTCGCGAAACTCCTTGACAGGCTCAAGGGATTTGAGCAGCCAATCTCTTTTAGCGTGTTGGGTCATCAGCCGTGCTGGCTCGGCTCGAGCAACAAAGACGACGATTGCGTTTTGCAAGTTCATGGTGATCTTTATAATCCGTGAAAGGATTTCCTGAAGCAAGGTGTGACGACGTGGGAGATGAAATGAGAAATGAAACGAGAGGTAGTCATTTCTCACTATGCCTACCCTCTGATCATGTGGACGTGGGGTCGTGCCTTCCTAAATGAGCAAGTAATGGTCGTCGTCGCCCGTCCCCGGATTATCTCGTGTCTTCCTTTTTCCCTTCTCCCACTTCTCCTCTCATCCTCTCCTCCTCGAAACCTCGAAACCTTTGCTGCGCGTGTGCCTACCTTCCGTATTACCAATACAAGCAAAATTCTCATATCTCAATAAGAAGTTTAGTTTCCAAAATGCCTGAACAGGGCCTCAAGGAGCTCCCGCTGGAAATGGCTGAAAGAAGTCTGGCCCCAAGGGCATTAATAAGGTATTGTACTGAGAATTTACCTCCCATCCTGCTGAGCAACTTCCAGGTCTGCTTGTTGCCGACGCACGATGGCTATGATGTACCGTACCTAGACTAATGAGTTGGGATGTAACAGAACATCACGAACCGCGCACGCAAGTGCGATGTTTGTCACCAGCGTGGCCACTTCACGGCCAATTGCCCCTCTACCTGAATGGCAACTATCCTCCAGCAAATGCAGGCCGCTGTAAGTTTATTCTAGCTTGATACTAGTCATCCTTTCCATGACCACTAGTGCTTCCGAAGCTGTACTCACATGGTTACAGGGCATGACGCCAGCTGATTTCGTTCTTTTAATATACCCATCACTGAAACTGTCTGGTCCTCTGACCATGGATAGCCTCGGAATCCCCCCTTGACCCTTACGAGCAACCACTCTGCGTCCTCCACGTTTATCGCCTCTGTCGCTGCCACTGGCACCGTCGCCCCCAAGGGCCCTGACGCCTCCGAGTCAGGAGATGCTCCGGCCCAAGGGGCCTACACCGAGCGCTCGCTCGAGAGCCGAATGTAAGTGATAATTCTTGAGAAATGCCATTCGCTCCTTGACTTCACGTGCACAGCTTCTTGTACTAGCCTTTGCCCGTGATAGCCTGCCTGTATATCTTGCCTTTCGTCCCTGTTCACGGTTCTTTACGGTATTTCTCTCCCTGGCGACTCCCATGGACTAACGAAAGATAGCACCCGGCCTGATGACACCAACCGGACCTAGATTAGGGGTTGCAGCCCTTTTACCTCCCCTTTTCGTCCCTCTTCTCTTCCCTTTCCTCCTTTCCTCTTCCCTCCTTCGCTACTCTCTCCTTTCGCTCTTTTCCTCCTTTTTTTTCCCTTTTTTTCTGTGTCCGATACTCGTTGTATTCATTAGTTTTCTGTGTCTCCTACTCTATTTTCCCTTCCCTCCCTTCCTCTCCTCCTTTCATCTCTTTCTTCCTTTCCCTGTCTCTTTTAATTCTCTACTCACAATCAAGAACAGTAGGGTTTAGCCTAACATCTTCTTTATTCTCATAGACTTCCTGCCCTACAGACTTGATGTAGAGAAAACCGCATTGCCTGGCCTTTTTTATTGGATTAATTGGATGCGAAGATTGAAGAAGCATTTACGTTTGTGTCGGCCACTAAAACGCTGCCTAGCAGCATATAGACGCTCTGAATTACTGGCTAACCTACAAGACCCTGCAGCCACGATTACGTGTTTCAACGGGGAAGTATCGTTCACGGTAGCATTCTTATCCAAGTTCATTAATGCCGTTGTCATCACGAGCACGCAAGACTTACTAGCGTGAGTAGCAATAGAGATTCCCCCTCACCGTCAACCTTACTACAGCGTGACTCCCTAACTGCAAGGAACCCTGCTGTTTGGTTCTCTGCAGAGAGTCCACGCGTGGAATGTGTATTAGTATGATCGTGCGAATGAGTTCAAGCCATGGCCAATATCACTATTCATGGCCATGCAACTCGATATCGTTACAAAGGAAGAGGGGAGAATTCGTCAAGTGCATTTTGAAGGAAGAGGTGTGGCAAGTGCTCTCTATAAAGCGCATGATCTCCATGGACATTTCGCCCTACGTATTACTTTAGGAAAGTTCTCGGAAGATATCCACTGGCCCACTCGAGTTGAGGATGTCAAGGAGTTAGGTAGTCATCTGGGTATTCTTGTTAGAAAATATTACATATGCAATGAGTCTTCCTACATAATTTCATGTGTGCCTTTGATACGTCTTTCTAGACGTCTTTCAATATATCTTTCTTCGTATGGCAACTCCACATCAAAGACACAATGCCATTACGGTGTTACCCAGTTAGCGCTATGGGTGGACAGAAAGCACTCGAGTAGTGATTCAACCACATCTAGTTAGGGTTCCTGTCGGTCCTAGTCCAGACAGGACCCTTCGTTGCTTAATTAAATCCAGAAAGTGGGTGCAATCTTTGCAGCCTCGGATTTCTCCAAATTCTAAGCCAGATACATGACAATCTAGGACTTGAATCAAATCAATATCTCAACCTCGATTTTCAACGGCGTTAATGGTGACTTCTCCCAATTCAAAATTGGCGGGGATCTCAACTGTTGTCTGATTGGGTCATCGCCCCACCTTCTCCGTTCTCCGAAGTCATGGAAGCAATTGATGGAACCTTCGAGCTTCACCCCGGCTGAATCGCGCGGGTCCTGCTTTTATTCGGCATTCGCACTGATCTTGACACCTTAAGTCCATTCCACTATACTTCCTACAGGTCCTACCGTCTCTTTTCGCGGGAACCACGACCCCGATCTTCCTCACAGACCCTCCACAACGCTCTCGCGTCACTCTCTCTGACCAGTTACACACCATGGCTAGTAAATGCGTTCACAAGGGATGTGGGAAGACTTTTGCGGATCCCGAGGAAGCCTGCGTGTATCATCCAGGTCCACCAGTGTTCCACGAGGGTCAAAAGGGTAAGGACCTTGGTGCTACCCCGTTCATTTAAGGCTGAGACTAAAGCTAACTTTGCTTAGGCTGGAAATGCTGCAAACCCCGCGTCCTGACCTTTGAAGAATTCCTCGCCATTCCACCCTGCACCACGGGAAAACACTCCACCGTTGACGATACACCTGCCCCAGAACCTGTACAGGCTACCGAGGAACCAGCTGCGCCTGCTCCCGCGACTGCGCCCGCGCCCGCACCAGTGCCTGTGGAGACGAAGCTACCAGAGCGCCCTGCCAACGCTCCCGAACAGCTAGTCGTCGAGGAGACTGACTCGGATGATCCTGATGCAGTGATCCCTGAGAATGCGACATGTCGCCGGAAGGGTTGCGGTGCTACATATACTCCCTCGGCCTCTCGTGATGTGAAATGTGTCCACCACCCCGGAGCGCCCGTTTTCCATGAAGGTAGCAAGGGATGGTCCTGCTGTAAGCGGCGGGTGCTGGAATTTGATCAATTCTTGAAGATCCCTGGCTGCACGGAGAAGGTCAGGCATATGTTTGTGGGCAAGGCAAAGCCGGCTGGCGAGGAGAAGGTCGAGTCTGTTCGGTAAGATTTTGTTGACCGCAATTGCGATGACTACGCTAACATCGACTTCTTTTAGAAACGATTTCTACCAGACTGCCTCCTCCGTGAACGTCTCCCTCTACCTGAAGAAGATCGACAAGGAACGCGCACGCGTTGACCTCGCCGAAAAGTCCATCACCTTCGACCTTCCAACCTCTGACAATAAGCGCTTCCAAGACACATACAATCTATTCGCACCCATTCACCCGGAGAAATCGTCGTTCCGCGTACTGGGCACTAAGCTGGAGCTGGCATTGGTCAAGGCTGATGGCACTAGCTGGCCGGTTTTGCGCAGCGACGACAAGTGGTCTGGGGAGCGCATTCAGATTGGTAATGCAGGCCGGGCGTGAGGGGAGCTAGACTAGGTCGGCATATACCTTGAGTAGAGGAGGTGGATTCCAAAGCTGAGGTTTGGTTGTGATTTCCTACTGATGCCGTTTCATGATGGTGATGCATTGATGACTAGGGTCGAGTCGAAGGCCTATTGAATAATATGAATGAACATGTCTTCGCGACACACAGATGTGACTGTAATCCAAGTTCGTAGGTATCGCGATTGCCCTGCCAAGCATGGAAGTTCCCCCTGATTGCCTCGATATCATGTACTTCCTCGCCACAAAAGGATGGCTTTGGGGGTTCATTGCTTCTCTTCCTCTTCCTGCCACTACCTCATCTTCACATATTTCCCTTTGATGCCGGTAAGTATCTCCAGCCATCAAGATTTACATCACTCCTGTTCACTCAACATCTCCTTCCTCGGTTCTCTATCGAAGCCTATTTCATCAAGACATCGTCATGTCGACACTACCAGAAACAAAGGACTGAGCACGCGAACTGTTCCTACACGGACACTTCTCCGACCTGATAATCAAGTGTCGAGGTGTTGAATTCAAAGCTCATCGGTCCATTTTTTGCACCCAGTCAGCCTTCTTCAACAACATAATCCAAAGTGGTTCCAAGGTAAACTCAAGGAGCGCTCGGGGGGAAGATCCCTCCATCTCAGTCGCTGACTTCTCCAGGAATCTACTGAGCAACCGGTCATCAACATCCAGGGAGATACCCCAGAGAACCTGGCGCGAGTCCTAGCTTACCTCTACCGGGGAGACTACGATGATGTCGGACAAGACCTACACTTCCGATCTACCACCGCCCCCTCTGATGGCTCTGACGCAGTCAAGCAAGAGACCAAGTCCAAGCACACCGGTCCAGCACGGGAAATCGTCCTAAACAACATGAACGTCTTCCTCGCAGCCGAGAGGTTCGCAATTCCTCCAATTAAATCTCTCGCAGAACTCAAGTCTTTGGAATGGGTGCCGCAAACGCCAATTCCCCCGTGGTCCCCAAAGTCGCTCGAGACGTCATGGAAAAAGGTTGCCGCCCGTCATGAAACAAAGTTACAGGATGTCATTCTCGCAGTTATCTACATGCATATTGAGGAACATGTTGAGAATCCTGAGATGCTCGACTTCTTCGCTGCTTTCGGGGCCATGGGGTCACTGATTATCGAGATGCTTGTTAAGAGTGGTCGGGTGAAGTCAATGGTTAAGCCTGACAGTATTGGAAAACTGACGGCGGCTTTTACCTCGATTTGTAGCAGTGAAGATCTGAGTGGTTTTGGATGTGAGGATTGGTGATGGAGAGTGCCCGGTCGAAATGGAGGTTCCCTCTGTTCTTTCTTTGACACGATACCTATCGACGACCTCTTCATGGATCTTGAGAATTCTCGCGGAATGATTGGTTGAGCTATGCCTCAAACTGGAATTTCTACGAGTGTGGAATTAGCCTAGCTCTTTTGGATTATCCCAGGGCTCAAGTTTTAATTTTCGATACGTATCCATGATCTCAATCTGCTCTATTTTGTTACTCAGAATGGCTGGGAATATATATCCCCGATTCGAGGTGTTTTCACTCGTAGATGGAGCCTGTGCGCGAGATACATATTTCAACACAAACGAGCCGATTCTACTCCGTACGTAGATATTCAAGGTTGGAATCCTGTGTTTGGCCACGTCCTACCATGAGAGTTGATATAGACAATCCATTTGTCAGTTCGAGCTCTGATTCATGAAGAATCCAGGGCCTACACCTGCAGTGGATTGCTCAGACTAGCTTAGCTACCTAGGTAGCCATGGAGAGAATTACAGCCAAGGCTGCTTGGTTCGTAGCCCAAGTTCTAGCCACATAAAGCTTAAAAGGTCCAAGCTTCTTTGTCGTCGACTGCCGTGAAGACTTAACGATGCAGAGGCTCTGAGCGACACCGTTGAAGCAAACAGCGAGCCATGATTCGCGAGCATTATTAGGCAACACAATGGTGCTCCGGAATCAAGCATACGTGATGAACCAGGTGACTATGCAGACATCAATAGTCCAATGCCAAGAGCGCGTCTCGACCCTCGCAAAGCAAATTTGCGTGATCGAGATTTGCGGCTTAAAATGTTTACAAAGCTACGCGTGCAAGTGCCGAGAGGATCTTGATCCCCATCGGTTTAACACGAACCAACACCCACACACCAACGACCACACCACCAAACCCAAAGGAAATGATGAAAAAAGGAATGTACCGCCCCCTCCACAGCTGAAGCGCATGAGGCTCCCGTGAGGGAACCCTTGCCTAGCCATATGTGGAAGGGAAAAAGAGAGACGAACTATTCTCCGGAGCCGGGAACGGAAGGAAACCCATAGAGCAAAAGCCACAAGGATAACCCTCAGCAAGCCATCTGTGATGGAGCCACGGGATTGTTTACATATATTGTAGATATAGTAAACCTCTACTGATGATAGAGAAGAAAAGAAAAAAACAAGCAAAGGGCGGCGGGCGGAAGCTGTATTTAAAGACAAAAATTGGCAAACGCGCTAGTGCGGATTGGGTCGGCCGGAATATTGAGGAGCCGGGGTCCGTGAAAATTTGACTTTGAACTAGCTGAATGGGGAAAGTAGGGCTGGCAATGACTAGGGCTTGTGGGGCTCAGGTGATATGGTGTCTTAAGCTGGTGGAAATTGCATGTGGAAGTGTCCGCTTGGAGAGTCCAGCAAAGCCAAGTTGGCTTAGTCGCCTTAGCCTTGGTTGCCGCCTGAATTCGATGGCGGTCTACAAGGAAATTGGAGCGGTCAAGAACTCAACGGGCTTGTTCCAGATCGAGTCCATTCTTGAGAGCGATACAGAGTCCTACTACGGTACTACAGTACTGGCATGTAAATTGTACTAAATAATATCTTTTATTTCCACCCTAGATATTCCCCGTTTTCATGTTACATCTATGACAATGCCCTTAAGGTACCTGATACTCCCTAAACCGGATGGAATGTGTGGACAGGTGACAGGGGCAAGAGCCTTAGCCTTTTCCAGATGGCTTCCATCGAATCAGGCTGTAACCTTGTAACCTTAGGCCCGCTCTTCTTCCAATCAAGGTACGAAAGCACGAGACCAGTCGATCGCTTTGTCTCATTATTCTTCCGTTTGACTGAACCACCGTTTGCCTCGTAACATTTCGTGCACCTATCGAAACTAGCTTTTTGCCCCCAAATCCACCCCGTGTCCCCTTTTGGACCCTTCCCATGCGACCTCTTTCCCCATAGAACAAATCAGAATTCACAAACCTCATCCCATCTTGATCCTTTGAACTACGGAGTATGTACTGGGTACTTAGATCCTGCCATATTTAGTCTCTGCCTTCCCCTCCATCTACTCTGCAGATCTCCCGTTTCCATCTTTCTGTCTTTTCACCAGGCTACAGAGAATTATAATTGTTGAGGCTACGACTTGTTGTCTCATAATCTGAGCCTAACGCTGTAAAAGTCCCCACCAGACCCTGACTTTTTTTCTCGCTCTTAAAGGCGTCCTCCCCACCCCAAGTGACCCTCCCCCCTGTCCCAGTCCACCTCCTGTTGGCACATTCCTACCACCGACTGTTACGACTTCCACTTCGACCACCACTTGCGAACACTCCTCCGACTGTCCCCTCAATCTCCTCTCCTCTCTGCTGCCCACCATGGGTTCCTCCGACACCACCAACGGTGCTCCCGCCCTGCGCTACATCCCCCTCACCTATACCCCGGCCGACTCCCAGGCCTCCGCATTGCGCTTGATCTTGACCCTCTTCCCCCACTGGGAGGGCCCCGGCAACAAGATCGAGTTTGTGCGATTCACCGATGGCATTACCAACACTGTGCGTCCGTACCGAACCCCCTCTCCGTCATACAATCACTGACCTCGACCTTGCAGCTCCTGAAAATTATCAACCGCAAGGCTGGCCTGACGGATGAGGAGATAGACAATGATGCCGTACTGATGCGCGCGTATGGAAATGGCACAGAGATCCTTATAGACCGTGAAAGTATGAGACTCCCAGGACTGCCTCCCAAGGCCCTCCCCCTTTGCCCCCGACTCTGGCCCCATGCGACAAACTCCATGGCCCTCTGGCTCTCCATTGCCCAGTGCGACATTCGCTAAAGTAAATCCCTCTCTCTAGGAGAAACCACTTCCCATGCCCTTCTTGCTAGCCGTGGCCTGGCCCCTCCTCTCCTTGCCCGCTTCAACAACGGCCTCCTTTACCGCTTCATTCGCGGCAAGCCCTGTGGCCACGAAGACTTGGTCACCCCTCCTATCTTCCGCGGTGTTGCGCGTAAGCTCGCACAATGGCACGCTGTGCTTCCCAACACGAGCGCTGCCTCATCATCTACAAATGGAGTTGACAAGCACGATGCCGACATTACACCAATTCAACCGCGCCGGGCAGGCTCCTCCATGTGGGAGGTCCTCCAGCGATGGGTTCTCGCTCTGCCCGTGGCCACTCCCGAGCAGCGGACCCGTCGGTTGACTTTGCAGAAGGAACTCGAATGGGTGGTGGGCCAGCTGGACGACGGTGTAGGCATTGGTGAAGACGGCGTACGCCAAACCCCCCCCTCCCTCCCGCAGACCCAACCCTGGGTTTCCCGTTTTCCCTCCGTTGCACAGCACCACTAACTTTTTTTTCTACCTGTATAGCTTGTCTTCTCTCACTGCGATCTTCTATGCGCCAATGTGATCGTCCTGCCCGATGACGCGGGTGTGCAGACCGAGGATGGCATTGCCCCGGTCAACTTCATCGATTACGAGTACGCCGTTCCCGCCCCGGCGGCCTTCGACATTGCCAACCACTTGGCCGAGTGGATCGGCTACGACTGTGACTACAATATGATCCCCACTCAGTCGGTTCGCCGTCAATTCCTCACCGAGTATACCAAGAGCTACTGCGAGCACCGCGGACTCGACGCTTCTTCGCAGGCCGAGATCGTCGACCGCCTCTACCAGGACGTGGACCGGTTCCGCGGTATCCCTGGACTCTACTGGTAAGTGGACAACTTTAAGACCCTTGGAATTTCCCACCTACGGGAACCGATGAAAGCTACGCGTGCTAACGCTGTTCTCGTTCACAGGGGTGTCTGGGCTCTGATCCAGGCCCAAATCTCGCAGATTGACTTTGATTATGCCGACTATGCCGAGCAGCGACTGGGCGAATACTGGGCGTGGAAGCGTGAGGTCGATGGCAGCAGAAAGCAGGCCGGCGAGGAGATGCCCCTCCGTGAGAAGCGCTGGGCGCAGGAGGCATGAGGCATGAGGCCTGACATGACCCCTCCATCTCCCCGAAGTGGCCTGACTTGTCCCTTGCTCCTCTCTCGCTCCACCCCTCTCGCCCCTCCTCTCCTCGCTCCCTCTCCACAGCATTTGCAGGCATCCCCCCTGATTTGACGACTTATCTCTCTCACATATTCTCCTCCTCGCATTCTGCATTTCGCATTTGCATCTTCATCCCACCTGGCCCAGCGGCACATACGCCCACCCGCAGTAGGCCTCTTTCGCTCGCCACGCCCCACAAACCTTCGCTTTCGACTCTTGTCACGACCTGCATAAGGCCCGGGCAACTTGACGCACGGCTTTTTGCCGCTGGGCCACCCCTGGCCCAGCGGTCCTCTAGTCTCTCGCCTCGCGCCGAGACTAGCTGCCCGCGATGACGCCAACTGTCTACATCATCGCTCTCCACCTGGCGGAGAGTACTGGTGTATCTAGTCGCGCTTAGCGGTGTCGTGCTGTTGTCATGTTGCGCTGCTGCCATCTCATCCCGATGTCGGCAGAGCCAATGATTGCGGTATAGGGCAACCACGTGCTTGAGTGGAGCGGAAGAGGCCCGCTGCAGGCGCATATGTATTGCGACGTCATTTGTGGTCTTTCAACGACGGTGTTGGGCTCCTTTTAAAATTATGGTTATCGTTTTTTAACTATCGATCTTTTGTTGTTGTTGTCGTTGTTGTTGTTTTTGCCTCCATGGTTATTTCTGTCTATCTTCATCGCTTGTTATTCTGTCTTTATTGCACTGCACATACTGCTGGCTTGTGTCGCTATTTGACTTTTGATCTAGCCCGCTGAAGATATAGCAATACATGGAGCCACTGAGTTGATTAGCTAGGTTAATGATAATATCTTTAGTGTTGGAATTTTTCTTTCTAGTATCTTTTGGATCTGGAGTTTTGGGGTTATCATGTTACTGAATCTTTCTGCCTGTGTCTTACTATATCTTGGCGAGAGACCGTGGAGAGGCACCCCGCACTACCTGCATGGGACCAATAACCAGACCTGGAGGTCTGTCTATATGTAGTCTCGAGATCGATTAGTAAAAAGACGGCCTAAAACAACAACAGCCTCATACTAATCTCTCCTCTTATATATCATCCCAACCTACCTAAAAAACACCGAAAGATCATATGGAAAAACCGACAACATCCCAGATCCAACATCCTCAAACAAAGACCCAGTCCCAGTCCCTCCCCCAAAACCACCATCCACATTCAACCCACCACCCGCCCCAGGCGCATCGCGCGCTTCCACTCCGACACCGAACCTGGACCTGTCCGGCACGACATTCTCTGTGGCGCCATGCGGACGTTGAAACCAGAGTTGGTGTAAGAGCCACGCATATTGCGATGCGAGATGTTGTTCGTCGATTGCGATGTTTTGGAGGAGTGTGATGAAGCGCTGGATTAGGGTTGTTGTGTGGCTGGAGCGGGACTGGGATATTACGCTGGAGGAGTGGGCTTTGAAGAAGGAGACTGAGGAGGGGATTTCGTAGCTGGGGGTAGTTAGAACTTAGGGGTTAGTATATTCGTTTTAGAGGGAGGGAGGTATTTTGAATAAGGATTGAAGGGAGGGTTGCTGGTAAAACACCATTGGCAGAGATCTTAGTTGGCGCTCCTAGAATTCCCTTGGGAAAACTCGTAGTAAAAACTCGGCTGCGTCGAGAGCTTCATAGATATGCCTTGCATCTGCACTTGCCATCGTCGAGTCTGGAAAATCCAAAGCACTCATACTCAAACTCAATCCAGCCCTCGCACCCACACCCAGACCCGCGTTAATAAAGCACAGCCTGAAACCCCCAGTACATCATCCCTCTGTCTCTTCAAACCCTCCCAGCAGTGATCCTGTTAGTAGGTATGATTTTGGCCAACGAGTCACCCCGGTTTCTCGCCATTAAAACGCCAGACAAAGCACTCATAGTGCTCTCTAAGCTGAGAGAGCTACCCTTTGACCACCCATATGTGCGAAATGAGATGCAAGGTATTCTCGTCGGACTCAAAGAGGAACGATCTCTAGTATCTAGCACTTCGTGGCTTACACTAATCAAAGAAGCCTTCACCGTGAAGTCTTATTTTCCTCGTACTTTCTTGTGCATCAAGCTGATGATGTGGAGCAACTTGACTGGCACCAAGGCTATGACCGACTACAGCCCTACTATCTTCAAAACTGCGGGACTTTCTGGCTCTTCGGTCAGTCAGTTCGCTACCGGCATCTATGGTATTGTGAGGTTTATTGCCTGCGTTTTCTTTTTGACCGACTCTTTGGACCGGAGGAAGGGACCTTTGTGTACTGGAATTGTTCAGGTAAGCCATTATCGAGACTTCGGATGCATTCTGTTCCTGTCTAATACCAAAACAGGGTCTAGCATTGTATCTCGTGGGGTTTTATATTCTATTCGATCCACCTGTGGAAGTAAGCAATCTAGATCCTGCTGGGTACGTCGCTTTAGTGGCCATCTATATATTTGCCGCCATCTATCAATCTGGCTGGAGTCCTGTTGTATGGACGTGGTGCTCAGTAAATTCTCTTCCCTGATCATCGAAAGGAAGTTCTCACAAAAGCTCACAAAGCTCATTAGGAATACCCGCTGCGCGCATGCGAACTCTGCAAATGGGGAGGCTACAGCTAAGCAGTGGTTATCCAATTTGTTGCCGCAACGGCCACGCCCAGCATGTTCGCAACACTTGGGGTAAAAAGACTTCGGAACTTACTTTGTCTATGGATCATTCTGTTTTGTCGTGGTAATTTTCACCTGATTCTTCGTTCAGAAACAAATGGCGAGCATTACATATTACAGAGACAAAGGGGCATGGCTAACCATACTCTAGGGCTGTCTCTGGAGGATTTGAATGAACTCTTTGCCCAGAATGATATCCGGGCAAGATTTACACCCTCCCGCTTGACTATCATTGAAGCCGATCAAGATTGAATGCTAGACAGTTAGGCTTGGTTGTGAATCTATGAGAACGGTACTTCCCTGCGTCAAATGCAACATAAGACAGTCAAGATAGCCAAGATAGCGGCAATGATATATTGTCCGAACTAGGTTCTTGCCTACTTAGCTCAAATGCTTACGCCTTAAACTGGGCGCTACTACATATATACCTTAAACATTGTTAGTTCGGCTAGTGAGTGATTCCTTGATGGCCAATATATTTGCGAACCATGAATCAACGAGCCTCAGGCAGCTAGAAATTCTGTTAGGCAAGAAAAGATGACGAGACTAATCAAGGACAAAAATCAAACAGCCAGGATTTGAGGATGGTCACCACCACGCTACCACTACGATTTATTTACCACATATTAGCCAAAAAGTGGATCTTTAATTCATGTGCTACAGTATGTCTTTAGCGAACGGCATTACTAATGTAGTGTCAGTCTGCGACCGGTCGGTGTTATTAACCACACTCTCTGCACTTCCATCAATTACGTTGGTTGATATCAAAATATTGATATTGTCTACAAGGATTTTTGATGCAATAACTTGCACCTATGGCCCAGTGGTAAGGCGTCGCTCTCCTAACTACCCTTTCTTTCAAAGAAACGGCTTTGGTTAAGCGAAGATCCGGGGTTCGAACCCCCGTAGGTGTGTAGTGAAGTTTTTGTAACATGGTGTGATGATATCACCACGTCTCCGCCTACCCCACCAACGTAAACTACTTTATTACTTTTTAGATTATTTTTTTTCTTCTCTAATAGCTTCTAGAATCATATTACTCTCGAAATAACTCCTATTATTACATATTTGGTCAATATCTCGTTCAGTTGACCCTACTCACCCATGGTGGAGCAAGCCTTGGGAGTTTTGGTCCGTACCGTGGAACTAGCTTCACCGCTCTAATTCTGCCATCAATTCCCGAGTGGTTTAGGTCCGTCCCCCATTAGTTAGTTAGCTATTCGCAAATCAGGCATAGTCATTCCTTTCTTAGACGTTCATACATACATACCCTTATAGATCCTGCTCTTCATATACATTTCCTCTCTGATCTCGCTCCTCTAAAACATAAATAAAAATGGTTACCGCCGTATATTCCACTATAGGCCGCCGCCGGATCAAGTTAAACCCTCCGTTTCTGTCTCGATTGCTGCCACTGTCAACCGATTCGCATACACACGCATATCTACATTCACACACTAGAGACCTATCGTGTCTATCTACCCCTGGCCTCGGTAGCACAGGTGAGCTAGGAGTCCTTGATCTCTTTTCACTCCTCTGAGAAGGCGATATATATAGGTAGCATGATGCACTGACCCGTCAAGTCTCCTTACGCGTACTCCATCTCTACGAGCCAGATCAATACTGTGCACGAACTCAATAGCTGCAATACATATGCATCCGTTGTATAATTTCCTCAAGTCTCGCAGGGCTACATCTTTCAGAGCTTGACTAGGTAAATCTGGAACCAGGCTGCGACACATTGTAGCATAACAGAGTTGCGACGAAAGCCAACGGTGTTGAAATATATATTTTGTGGTCAACACAATGTTATGTCGCGGTCGGAACGCTGACAAACTCTAGTTAAATACAAGTGGGTTGATAGTCGTGATACAGATTATGCTGGGGAGATCAAGGCATTTGAGACCCTAGGGAACAAGCGTTGAATGGGAACTCTCGGTAATCTGGATAGAGCGACCGTTAGGTTCACTTTTCTGCATCGTCAACCAACTTCTCGACCTCCTGCTCGGTCCATCGATGAAATAGCTTCCGCGCGTCGGAAAGCTCGGCCTCCCTAGGTAGCCCATTCTTGACAGCCTGGGCGTGTAAAACAGGGACATCAAACTCGTATACATCCTTCCAAATCTTGTTTTTGGCGTCCATAATGTCCTTCTCAACGTATTCGAAGGGCCGTCGTTTCTGGAGTTGCATCACAGTGTGCTTGGCGGTGTCGCATAGGCCACAGCCGGCACGGGTGAACAGGGTCAACCGAGCGAAATGTTGAGGCGCCATTTCATAAAGGAGGGAGTTATTCCAGAAACAGATTTATTGCTGGGCCATTACAGCAGGGGGAAGAATTGAGAGAGGGATGAAAAAGGGATAGAATGATATGCGTAGGTTGAAAGTGATTAGGTTGTGATGATATCGCCGACCGAGGGTCGAATCGGAATCGCGGAACTTCGCTTAACCAAAGCCGTTTCTTTTGAAGAAAAGGAATCTAGGAGAGTGTTTCTAGAAAGGACTTATTATTTAAGTATCTCGTTCTTATGTATTTACACAAATTCGATTCTCTTTCGTCACAACCAATCCAATATAGAAATCAGTGTCCCTCGACCATTGTGGATTTTCTGGATTAGTGTTGCCCCAGAACGATGCACGGCATCTTGAAGCCATCGTAGGAATATGAGTGGATGATTTACTTGTATGAAGGTAGATTTAAGAAGAGATGCCTTTTTATATCAGTCGCAATGGTTTTGTAAATTCCCTCACGCACATTCAAGTAAGCTCTATTTGGAACACCTTTTGAACATACGTTTAGATACATTCGAACTACCGGGATTTTCGGCTTGGGTTCCGTAGAGGAATTCAACACACTCTAAAGATCGCCATTGAAGCTCATATTCTATTGTACAGGCATTCTCGCGGAGCTATTACCTGGGTCAGCAATCGCTGCCGTACTTTTGGTTTATCTTATTTTTGTAGAACACTGCGATCAGTACTTTGACGAGTACCCCGTCTTAAGTTTGGTTCAGATCAATACAAGGCTCGCGGCTTTAGGAGCTTATTTCCGATGCGCCATTTCTGCACTGCCGCCTCCCCCAGAACCTTCCTTCATCCTGCAATGAACTAGGATCTATCTAGTATCGCGTAACATGACTCAAGAACAGCCCTCTAAACAGCCTGAAACAAGTGAATCTACAGAGAAATTAGATCCTGTTTCTAGACGAAGGCTACAGAACCGCCTCAACCAACGTGCCAGCCGTAAGTGGCACAGACTCTCCTCCCACCCTGACAGCTGGCTCACACACGTGTAGGTAAGAGAAAGCAGGCAGAAAAACAAAAAGAGGAGCGACAACAGCGTTGGATTATCTATACCAATGAGGCCAATGTTCCTTCTGTGAGAGAAGATGTTCGCGCCAAAGAGACGCCAGAATCAAGTCCAACACCAAAAAACTCACCAATAAGTCAAGACCAAACGAGCCCGTTCACATGTGGCACCTCTCAACTTTCGCCGGTGCGATATTTTAATCAATTAAAGAGGGAACTTGTCCAAGCCGCTGGCAAATTATCGCCTTCACCTGGTCTTATTCACTCCGTGACACAATTCAACATCATGCGAGCCATGTTCCAAAATGCCGCCACCATGGACCTTACGATGGATATTTTAAGTGAAGATATCGCGTCATCATTCAATATTGCCGGTCCGATCACATTTAATCTACCGCCCAGCTTACAGCCAAGCTCGACACAAAAGCAAATCATTCATCATCCATGGATTGACCTCCTCCCTGTTCAATCCTTTCGAAATAGTTTGATCGTGAGAATGGCAGAATACGACGATGAGGAACTTTGTGGAGATCTTTATGGCCTGAGTAGCTCTACTGGAAAAGTTGGGTTGATAGTTTGGGGCGAATCGTGGGACCCATTTGCTTACGAACTATCAGAAGAAGTGGTGAGGAAATGGAGCTGGATGCTGAAGGACTCTCCAGAGCTCCTTATATCTACAAATTATTGGAGGAGGAGGCGAGGGGAGAAGCCCTTGAAATTTTTCGAGCCAAACGATCACTTCATACATGAAATTGAATGATAAGAGAGTAAGAAAAATACTATCTATGGCAAAAGATTCTACCATGTATACTTCTCCTGGATCATCTCCTCACTTATCTCCCAAAGACGCGTAATATTCCGTTCGTCTCGGACATGCGAGTGCATATGATCGTTTGCCACGGCGTTTTGGCTCAAGAACGATCCGTTATAGTCAACGACTAAAAGCCAAATGCGTCAGCAAGATGCTTCGAATAAGATCTGGTTAGTACTGACCTGAGATTGTAGAATCAATCATTCCTGTGATGATAGTCGCTGCTCCTTCTGACTGAGTTGCCCAAGGTTGCATGTCAAATTTGTTTCCATCGGCATCCACAAGGGCTGTTCAAAAATGAGTAAGGATCCTCGTATCGCGCAAGATCTAATGACTTACAGCCAGGTTTTTCCCATTCCTTGACCATTTCCATGAAACCTGGAGGGCAGTGTCTTTGCAAGCCGGAGTTGACAGCTAGGGAAGTTAGTCTTCTAGTAAAGTACGTGATATTGAAGTGATAAACGTACAGCCAGGATCAATGCTGAAGACACGGATACCTTGGCTCTTCAACTTTTCACCAAGCCTTTTTGCGAACATGGTGCGCGCGGCATTGGACTGACCGTACGCGGCCCATGGCTCATAGATCTTTCCGTCCTATGAAGAGGCTCAGATTTTAGATTTTCTTTCTAAATGGGAAACATTGCTCAGGACTCACGCTGAAACCAAGGTCGTCGAAATGAACCTTGCCTTGTCTCATCACAGCGCTCGACGTAATGATAATCGATGACTCCGGGCCAGCTGCCTGGACTTTTGGCAGGAGGAGCTTCACCAGGAGGAAGTTCGCAAGATAATTCACGCCGAACTGCATCTCAAAGCCATCCTTGGTTTTGGAGAAAGGACAGGCCATCACACCGGCTACAAAGACCGCATGATCAATCCTGGGCACATCTGCGAGACCCTCTTTGACTGCTTGGCGAATTTTGCTCAAGTCGCCGAGATCCATGTTGAGAAAGCGTGTCTCGACATTGGGCTTGGACTCCTTGATCTGTTTGATGATTGGGGTTGCATTTGGCTCGTTACGTGCACTCAGGATCAAGAGCTTCGGATCGGCGGCGGCTAGCTGGATGGCAAGTTCACCTGCAATGGACTGCTCGGAGACACCAGTGATCAAGACTGTTGGTAACCGATGAATTAGTTCAGATCAACCACGGGAGTAAGTTAATCGAAGGTTACCTGTTTTGCCCGCAAGCGATTTGCCGTACTTCTCCAGAACGACCTCGGAGCGAAGGAGTTGCGGGACAGACATTGCAGCTGATAAGATTGAAATCGGATAGATTGCTTCAGTGAATTGATATAAAGAGAATCTTGTTATGAAAGAGATCAATGGACATCGAGCACCATTCTTATATCTTTCTTTGAGATCGCACAATCATGGGTGTTGGACTTAATGGAGGCCGTAACTCCGAAAATAATGGAGCCACTAATCTCAAACTCCGAATCAATCTCACAATTATGCCTCATTGAGCTAGCGCCTTGTCATCTATCGTGAAGAACCAATTTAAAGTTAAGATGTGAAGAAACAATATCGGCATTGCTTGTGTTGCCTTATTGTCGAACCAATCACGATGTAGGTCCCACAACTACATTACCCGATTAGGCTAGCGGACTGTCATCAATTTCGGCCCACAGAACAAGCTCATCAACTGAGGCTCAGTATTCTGACATCATGCACAGGGGAATTTTTTAATGATACTACGACTCATTCAAACCTCGGTTAGGACCAGAAAAGACCGTTATTGCGTGTGTCAATAATTGTGCTGAGTAAACCCGATCTAAATATTTTCTGCCGAGGATAGGAGGCAAAACAGATAGTTTATTGATGAAGTTCACTTCGATTATATCATCATCAAACAGATTCCGGCGAACCATCCATGTATAATTTGCAACGGCCTTTAAAAAGTGCTCTAGAGGAAGATTAAAAATGAAATTCAAATACAGTCACAAACAAGGAGGGTGAACCTCACGCATGCTCTTCGAATGTCAACACAAGTGAAATTGGCCTTCGAAACGCCTGATCAGAAAGTGCCTGTGCCTCAAGTCTATGAAACCAATCAGAGGGCAGCCGGTGGCTCCGAAGGCGATCAATAATTGATTTTCCTGCAATGGCGCTGCATATGGAATACCCCAATGCACTATATGCACCATAGAAACAAGCAATATCAATGGTGTCGGCCAATGGCACGGTGTAAACACAGGGCAAAAAAGTGCAATCGGGTAGTAGAATAAACCGAAGGACTCCGATTGGGCACTTCAGGATTCGCGTTCGACGCATGAGTTGTCCCTTATCCCTTATGCAGATCACTCCCAAAGAACCTCTTCAGCCCCCCTGCCGGAGTCCTGCATCAAGACCCCAAAATGACGCCGCCACACACAAACCCTCCACACGCGCCCCAGACATGAAAGAACCATGGCGTCGACAGCAGGATATCAACCCCTCCACGACGACGACACACCACTCAGACCAACCATCATAGCCGGCATAATCTCAACCTGGATCGCAACCTTCCTCGCAGCCGCCGACAGCACCATCACATCAACTCTCTCCGCCACAATCGCCAACGAATTCGACTCCCTCAGCATCATATCATGGCTCGGCTCCGGATACCTAATCGGCCTGACAGCAACACAACCACTCAGCGGGAAATTAAGCGATATCTTCGGTCGGCGGGCTAGTTTTTGCTGCGCTTGTTGCATGTTTACCATCGGTAATCTTGTTTGTGGACTCGCCGGGTCGAAAATGGTTCTCATCACTGCGCGCGTTGTTACTGGTATCGGCGGTGGGGGATCTATCTCGATTGCTACGTTTATCGCATCGGATAATATTCCCCTCAAGAGACGTGGGATATGGCAGGGAACTGGGGCTGTGGTTTATACGGCAGGGATGGGGCTTGGGGCTGTGATTGGGGGTGCTGTTAATGATGCGGTTGGGTGGAGATGGGCGTTTCTTGGGATTGCGCCTGTTTCATTGCTTGCTGGGATTGGAGTTGCGATGTTTGTACCGGGTTATACCGACGATACACAGGGTTGGCGGGAGTTATTGAGTCGTGTTGACTTTGCTGGTGCTGCGACATTGGTCGCGTCTTTGATACTGCTCCTCGTTGGCCTGAACCATGACGGGCCTGAGCTTGTCACTGGCCTGTTCGCGATTACTGTTCCGCTGGGGTTACTTCTCCTCGCTGGCTTTGTGTTGATTGAGTGGCGATGGGCCAGAGAGCCAATCATTCCACTGTCGCTCTTCCGTCAACGGACGGTTGTGGCCGCCTGTCTGACTGCTTGGTTCATGTCGATGGCCTTCTATGCGCTCACATTTTATGTGCCGCTGTACATGAAGATGCTGGGCCATTCCACGAGCCAAATCGGACTGCGTCTTCTACCTGACTCGATTGGTGCTGGACTCGGGTCTTTCCTGGTTGGACTGGTCATCCGAGTGACAGGCAGATACGGTGTTTTCCGGTATACCGTGACTCTTCTGCTAGTGCTAGCATCGATGGGCTATGCCTTGATCTCGGTTAACACGCCGTGGATTCTTCCAGAGGTGTATCTGTTATGCAAAGGCTTTGGCATGGGCGGAGCTCTGACGATGCTGATATTGGCCCTGCTGCATTCCGTACCGCATGAGAGACATGCTACTGCCACGTCTGCCTTGTATGCTTTTCGGTCGACTGGAGCGACCGTGGGGCTTTCAGCTGCCAGTACAATGTTCTACCATCGGATGAACCAGAACATGCTGAACAACGGGTCTAGCTGCCAGGAGGGAGATCCGTGTTATCTAGATGCTCTGCATGGAGCTTTCCAGCTCGCATTAGCCTTTGCTACTGCCGGATTAGTGTCTGCTTTGTTTGTCTCAACGTATGATAAACGTGGAAAGGAGGATGAAGGACAGGAAATGGATGAAAATGAGTGACCATTCATTGCGTTACGTAGGTACAAGGCGAGCAATATGATCAAGTACTGTACTCGGAATGAATGATAGCTTCCGCAGGCAAGGATTTAGGGTTCATCCAGCTTTGATGGATTAGGAATCACATAGTTGATATCTTAGGGCTGGCCAGGTCCAATGATTAATACTATAAATATTATTATTCATAGCCGTTGATTAACTATGAGATTCGGCATCGATGTCCAGGCCCGCGGGTCCCGTCGCAATGATGATCTCGAAGTAATCTGATTACTCGATCGGAACCAGAACGGAAGCAGAAATTGGTTGAGGCCGTCCCCACTCTCAACGTGATCGGGTCCCGTTTCGCTGGTTTTGTGCTCGGAACGGACTGCCTAAACGGTCCAGTGTATGCGGCAAGCTCCATGGACACTTAGTACTGTACATACCAAGCTCAGATGTGTACTTTTTTACTTGCAGTATTCGTGGATATTGTGTAACAGTCTATCTTCCACGCATCTTTCTCGAAGTACTCTTTTTATGAGCCGCATTTGAACTCTGGGGATTCTATCAAAGATAATAAGATTTACCACAGTACCTACGTATATGCTGACGTCATTGTCCAATCGTGCCATCTGAGTCTCTCTCGATCGCAGCGTCAATGATGCTGGGGTAAGACGCAAGCAGTAATATTCTAGAAGATCGTATGATGGATGCATGGGAAGAGAGTGAGCATAGCTACTCGATATAGCTGTATCGATCTATATCTCTCCATCTGTCCGATGCTCAGATGCGACCAGCAGGATGTTGAAATAAGGAACGAGTATTGCGAATAGCTAGCACCTTAAAACCATGACACGGACGACCGCCACCTGGCTCGAGCATCGTCTGTTTCCAGAAAAGATGTCCCAGAAAGATTCCAGGAGATTCCATTTGCTCGTGCGAGGGTGTTTGAGCCCGGAACAGGGGGCCATAGCAACTTCCGAGGTCCCCCGTGAGGGGTCACTACCCAGTGAGAAGGGCTCGGAATATGCAAGGATCTTCACAGGGCTAATAGAGAGTCTTAGTATTGGCAGAGTTGATAATAGTCAATTCAAAAGACTTGGAAACTGCAACGGCAGTATGTAAAGAGGAAAAACACGGGGATCTCCGGGCATTTGATTCGCAAGCGCGGTTCCCCGCAGGCGTCCAGAGTGACTAAGTTACTAAGTGAGTCTCTCCCCGCTCTCCACATTCCGGCAGCGGCGGTCTGGCCCAATCGCGGTCGCGAGCTTAGGAATCAGCAGTGGCCCAGAACTAAAGAGCTGACAAAGAGGGGCCTTTTCCCGAGGATTTGCCCAGATTGAGACTTCTCTCACGGTAATGTGTTTCCCGCCATTCGCTCCGTGGTTGAGGTGGTAACCAATGGTTCACTGGTACTACGACGGAACTTTGGGATCGGCTCACTTTATAAAGTGCGGGGACTTCCCTCGGCTGCCGGACGACCTTTCCTCTTTTCTCAATTTCTTTATCCAAAAATAAACCATCCCTTTCTGTCAACCTCCTCCTCACCCTCCCTCCACATAAAATATACATCAATATGGGTGAATGCCCAGTACACAAGTCTGCCAACGTGGCTGGCCACGGCACTCGCAACCGCGACTGGTGGCCCGAGAATCTGAAGCTTAACATTCTGCGCCAGCACACCGAAGCAACCAACCCATTGCACAAGGACTTTGATTATGCTACTGCTTTCAAGAGCCTCGACTACTATGCCGTCAAGAAGGACCTGCAAGAGCTGATGACTGACTCTCAGGAGTGGTGGCCCGCTGACTTTGGCCACTATGGTGGTCTCTTCATTCGTATGGCGTGGCACAGTGCTGGTACCTACCGTGTCTTCGATGGTCGTGGTGGTGGTGGCCAGGGCCAGCAGCGATTTGCTCCCCTTAACAGCTGGCCTGATAACGTCTCCCTCGACAAGGCTCGCCGCCTGTTGTGGCCCATCAAGCAGAAGTACGGTGACAAGATCTCTTGGGCTGATCTGCTGCTCTTGACTGGTAACGTTGCCCTGGAGTCCATGGGCTTCAAGACCTTCGGCTTCGCCGGTGGCCGTGCCGATGTCTGGGAGGCCGATGAGTCCGTCTACTGGGGTAGTGAAGTCGAGTGGTTCACCAATAACATCCGTTACAAGGCCGAGACCGAGCAAGATGCTGCTAAGCAGAGCGACATCAGCACTCGTGATCTCGAGGACCCCCTCGCTGCTGTCATCATGGGTCTCATCTACGTTAATCCCGAGGGTCCCGATGGCAACCCCGACCCCGTTGCTGCGGCCCGTGATATCCGCGTCACCTTTGGCCGCATGGCCATGAACGACGAGGAGACCGTCGCTTTGATTGCCGGTGGCCACACCTTCGGTAAGACTCACGGTGCTGCCGCCGCTGACAATGTCGGCAAGGAGCCCGAGGCGGCCGGTATTGAGCAGCAGGGCCTTGGCTGGACCAACGCCCACGGCACTGGTAAGGGTCCTCACGCTATCACCTCCGGCCTGGAGGTGACCTGGACCCGCACTCCCACCAAGTGGAGCAACCAGTTCTTGGAGTATCTCTTCAAGTACGACTGGGAGCTCACAAAGTCCCCCGCTGGTGCCAACCAGTGGGTTGCCAAGACCAACGACGAGCCCATCCCCGATGCCTTTGACGCCAACAAGACGCAGAAGCCTAGGATGCTGACCACCGATCTGTCTCTGCGCTACGACCCTGCCTACGAGAAGATCTCTCGCCGCTTCCTGGCCAACCCTGACGAGTTTGCCGACGCCTTCGCTCGCGCCTGGTTCAAGCTTCTCCACCGTGACATGGGTCCCCGTGCCCGCTGGCTCGGCCCTGAGGTCCCCAAGGAGACTCTCCTCTGGGAGGACCCCATTCCCGCTGTCAATCACCCTCTGATCGACACCGAGGATGCTGCTGAGCTGAAGCGTCACATCCTGAACTCGGGCGTTGAGCCCACCAAGTTCATCTCTACCGCCTGGGCCTCTGCCTCCACTTTCCGCGGCGGTGACAAGCGTGGTGGTGCCAACGGTGCCCGCATCCGCCTGGCTCCCATGAACAACTGGAAGGTCAACAACCCCGCCCAGCTGCGCGAGGTCCTGACCGTCCTCGAGGATATCCAGCGCAAGTACAACAGCTCCCAGACCGGCAACAAGCGCGTTTCCCTGGCCGATCTCATCGTCCTGGCCGGTTGCGCCGCCCTGGAGAAGGCCGCCGGTATCCCTGTCCCCTTCACCCCCGGCCGCATGGACGCCACCGAGGAGCAGACCGACGTCGACTCCTTCAGCTTCCTCGAGCCCGTCGCCGACGGTTTCCGCAACTACGGCAAGTCCTCTCTCCGCGTCCGCAGCGAGCACATGCTCGTTGACCGCGCTCAGCTCCTCACCCTGACCGCTCCCGAGATGACCGTCCTGGTCGGTGGTCTGCGTGTCCTGAACGGCAACTTCGACCGCTCCAACCTGGGTGTCTTCACCCAGCGCCCCGGCCAGCTGACAAACGACTTCTTCGTCAACCTGCTCGACATGAACACTGTCTGGCAGCCCACCGACGACAACAACGAGCTCTTCGAGGGTGTCGACCGCAAGACTGGTGCCAAGAAGTGGGAGGCTACCCGCGTCGATCTCATTTTCGGTCACCACGCTGAGCTGCGTGCTCTGGCTGAGTTGTACGGCTCTTATGATGGCCAGACTAAGTTCGTGCGCGACTTTGTGTCTGCTTGGGATAAGGTCATGAACCTGGACCGCTTTGATGTGGTTTACTCTGGCAGCCAGGGCCGGGCTCGTCTGTAAATGTTGAAATGCCTTGATGTTGATGATATGTTAAATTTTTGGACAAGCACTACCTTCTGCTTACCTTATGTATCTCAATTTGAATAACGATGATTGTGAATAATGAATTAGCCTGTTTATTTTTCTTCTATATCGGTCACTTTCCATGCTTGAATTCAGTTTAGTCCCTCCTTGTCTTTAAAGCTAGTAGAGACAGAACTAAAAAGAGGTCTAGAAAGAGGTCATCAATAACCGTCTTATCGTCTGGTAGTCTCTCCAGTGCGTCCGGTCGAATTTGAACCTCAGGAGATCCTGGATGGTTCTGGATGTGAAAGTCTAGCCACTTCTTCACAACGTTGCGCCGCACACGAAATTCCTCGCCGGAGTTGGGGGTCGTTCTCTGTCTGTTTTGGTCGGAGTACGATGACCTGAAGAAGCTCTTCTGGGAGTAGTGGTAGCGCTATATATGTTTCGGCCACGTTCTGCACGAAGTGAACGATGTGGCCACGGTACCAGCGCTGGAACCGGCTCCCACGGACCTGATATATCCGGATTGTAAGGTGGACCTTGTTAATGAGCAGTTCCTCGATAGGGGTTAGATCGGGCAGATGTGATGGCCTCTGCCGGGGGATCATAGAATTATTTCCCCCGAATTTACGGATTTCTTGGCCCTTGTCACATTGGCGACATCATCGACAGATATTATTTTGAAGACCCATGCGACACCATGTCCCTCGACAAAGGGTGCAAGTCTCCGGGCTCTCTGCTCGGAGGGCCTGCCGGAACTGGCGGATTAGCTGAGGTCTGGAAAGAGGTCTGGAAAGAGACGTGGAAAGCGACGTGGAAAGAGACGAACAAAGAAATGTAGAAGGGGAGGAAGAGGGATTTAGAGGGACATTCGAAAGCAGACTGAATTACCTATTTTGGGGAGTTGATACATGAATTCGAAGGTATAAGCCAGCTTCAAAGCGGTACATAATGGAAATGTTAGAGGACCCCACCCACAGTACCCTTCCAACCAATCACCATCCGTTGTCCGTCCAACCTCGCAACCACGTTCAAAGAGGAAATTTCTGCGTATCCGTATCCCCCTTCTCCCTTGGCATCCACCTATGAGACCAGGAGAAACCAAAATAGTTCAACGAAAAGCTTGTCGATCGCTGTCTCGACCCTTGTCTAATCATTCTAATTTAACACTAGTTGTTACAATCCCTGGATTGATGCTTTAAGGTTGTCAGCAGGCTGCAGCCTTTAACGGCATTAAAAGGAACGAATACGACCATCTCTTAAACTACGCGAGATATGGATCTCTCGGGAGGAAAGCCCTTTAGATCCCGGCGGACGCACCGGAAGTCGCGACTCGGTTGTGCGAACTGTAAGAAGCGGCGTATTAAGGTAAGCCTATATCACGCCCTGTGTTTCCTCCTATGACTTGGCATGATCTCAGGTCTTTTCATTCTTGTCAATCATGTTGAACATTCTGCGTGCTGTATTCTGCTTCCCTCGGCGAAAGCCTTGGATTACATCAATTGGCCAAACTGACGACGAGGACAACCTGTCACAGTGCGACGAGAAGAAGCCAATTTGCACCAACTGCGATAATCATGGCGTTGAATGCTCATTCTCACTGGTCGCTCCGACTCCTCCAGCTTCGGAAACACTGTCTCCTAGTGCAACTATATCCGAAACATCGCCTGAACAAAATACCCAACCGCTTTCTCGACGGTTCCGACCATATCCATACTCCAACGGAGGACTAAAGCAGACATTCAAATTATCTAAGCCCAAAGATCAACCTCAATCACCAGTCGAACCAACAGAGCCACCAGTCGAATTCTTACCCTTCAAATCAATATCGCTGGCCGATTTACATCTATTCCATAACTATACCATCTCAACCTATCAGACCATGGTGGAAGACGTCGACAGGAATGGGATTTGGCAGAATCACATCGTCCAATGGGGCATGGAATTCCCGTCAATCTTACATCTCATCCTGGCTCTCTCCGCTCTCCATCTCGCATACAAGAATCCCGAGTCGCGCGAGAAATATATCCAACAAGCCGATGATCACTTCACATTCGGCGTTCGAACGGTCACGAGTGTCCTGTCACAACTCAATGCCGATAATTGTCAAAAGATTTACATGGCGGCCGTTCTGATCTGTTTCAATTACTTTGGCCGTGGACCTCGGCCAGGCGAATATCTTATCTTCAGCGATGCCGGCGCAGGTGAATGGCAGGTTCTCATGTGGGGGGTGAAAACCATTGTCATGTCCTATCATGCCAAGGTATTTAGTGGCATCTTGGAGCCAAACGTCGACGAAAAAGAACCCGTCTTGAGTGATTCTATGAGCATCGAGCTTCATGAGCATACCATCCACGTGGAAGCCTTACAGCGACTCATCGAGCAAGAGACAACAGACGAAGCCGATCGCGCTATGTACACAAAGGCAATCAGTGACCTGCTGATTATCATGCGAGAAGTCTACGAAAAACGATCAATCGGAGATCCGGGTGTGGGCTTGATGCATCTGCTGATTGGTTGGCTATATCGTTTGCCGGAGGAGTTGGTCAGCCTATTGGAACAGAAAGAGCCGCGTGCTCTTGTTATATTAGCGTACTGGGCTGTCATGTTGAAGTACATGGATAGTGTCTGGTTTATGAAGGGATGGTCTGAGCATGTATTGTCGGGAATATCGGGGTATCTTCAACCAGGGTATCGCCCTTGGATTGAGTGGCCTTTGCGGGGTAAGACAGGATAGTTGATTACCTATGATACCCAAATTGAATGATATGTTACACTATGTAATCATGCAAGTCTACTCTGAAAGAACAGATTAGTATATTGTAGCCTGGTGAATTGGGTGACGCTTGCATGGCGGTAAAACGTAAATGTATGCTAGGATTAAACTTTGCTTTGAATGGAGCTTCTTTACATCACACGTGGAGCTGCTATATAGAAATTTCAACGGATATCCTAAAAATAAGTATCTATCTGCCTGAATACACCCAATTTCCAGGGTACTATTGGCACGAAGCAGAAAGAAATTGTTGGCATCAGTACTCAAGCGCGGTTCTATCATCAAACGACCCACTGGACCCACACGTATTCGTTCTTGATATTTCCCAATCCGGTAATCAGGAATAGATCGTCAGGGTGCCACTCAGATGGGCTTGAGAATAAATATGGCAGCATTGTCTTTCAAAAATTAAGCATTCACCTTTTTTCTGACCAAGACTCCATCATGGACATCGTTTATCACAATGGCACCAATGGCTCGGATCCCTGGGTTGAGTTTTACCCATATACACCTTCTGCAACAGCCGGGTATGCCTTCATGGCAATCTTTGGAATCGCGACAGTCGTTCATCTCGTTTTGATGTGTCCGTTCCGTGCTGCATACTTCATACCTCTAGTATTAGGAGGCATCTGTACGTTATTTCTCATCTCAACTCCTAAGAGCCTTGGCTAAAAAGACCGACCAGGTGAAACATTCGGTTACTACGGCAGAGCATGGTCCCATCAATCCCGAACGGAGATTAAATCTTGGGCCCTACAGGAAATGCTCATTCTATGTGCACCACCTCTCGTCGCGGCAACAGTATACATGGTCCTCGGCCGCATGATCCGCGCCTTCGATGCCGAACACCTCTCCAGCATGCGCCCCAAATGGCTTACATTCGTATTCGTCATGAACGACGTCCTATGTTTCTGCACACAACTCGGCGGTGCAGGAGTCCAAGTTACCGGAGACGCTAATATCATGGATATCGGCAAGAAAGTTGTCCTGGCCGGATTGATCTTCTCGTTGTTCGTCTTCGCGTTTTTCGTGGCTATCGCGGTGACTTTTCATCGTCGACTTCAGAATATGCCCACGCCTATTCTCACAATGAATCCGGATCTTACATGGAAGCGGTATATGTGGACGCTATATGTTGCTTGTGCTGCGCTGATGGTTCGAAATCTTGTTCGGACGGTTCAATTCGGCGCCAATCGGACAGCGGATATCAATACGAAAGAGGCGTATATCTACGTCTTTGATGCTTTCCTTATGTTCTTGACTATGCTTGTTTTGGTCATCTATCATCCAGGTCTGCTTATCAAGAAGACGCGCCGGGCGAAGAAGGTCATCGACTTCAGTCAGCCTTTAGCGGGGGATAGAAATTCCGGGCAGGTTCCTTTGATGGAATATGAGCCACGACCGATGGCCACGATGGCTTAGTTCAGACAAGATGGTTGGGTTCTTTCTTTTTTATTGTTCCAGAATATGGCGTTTGTGAATTAGGATACTAGAATGCATTCGTTATTATTGTTTTGAATGCCATTTGTTTTCAAGGATTTTTAGAACATTGTTAGTTGATCACAGTGCCTCGGAAAGTGTTGCGAGTGTTATCCGTTAGCAAAATTCTCAACTCAAACTAGGGGCTGGGAATGGAACCATTCATTGAAATACGGCAGTACCAGAGCAACTGATACTCGGAGCGTCAACAGTCAGAACATTGCCATATATCTATATTCAATATTCAATGCTATTGCTAAACCAATGAAATATTGCAACGCGTGTCGATAGTTTGAGATTCTGGCCCCTCTCGATTGTCCATTCCAGAGACATTTATTAGCTACTAGACTTATTTGTTATGGCTTCCGATCTCAGTATTGAATACTCAACAGTCTCTTCCGTATCTGAGAGCTCAGGTTCATGATTCCCGAGGTACGCCTGGCTGAGCGCTCGTTCCTCCCGCTCAGCAGCCTCAAACTCTTCCATCGTTGCACCGAGAAAGTACGAAGATCCTGGAACCTCATCGGCCGACATATTCGCAGCAGCGTGTTCCAGTATCTCGACAATACTATGATGGCCATACCGCCGAGCAATTTCCAGTGCAGTCTTTCCGAAATGATCACGGGCCAGCGCATTTCCGCCATGTTGCAGAATACATTCCGCCAATTTGGATTGACCCATAGCCGCAGCCAGATGTAATGGTGTTCGACCATAGAGTAATGGCGTGGATGCATCTGCACCAGCCTTGATCAAATGTATCGCCACACGTTGGTGATCTCCTTCCATCGCCTTGTGCAGCACAGTAGACCCTAGGCAGCTCCGAGCATTGATATCAGCACCCCATTTCAGCAAGGCCATGACGGCGCGCTTCTTGCCGAAAAATGCAGCGGAATGAAGCGGTGTTTCAATATCTTCATCTAGAAGAACTGTTCGTGTATTCTGACGGAACCCCATTGCAGTTGGGGGTCTTCGACCGGAATCACTCGGTTTTATGTCGAGGAGAACCTGATTGATCATATTCACGGTATTCTTCATCTTAACGGGACAGCTCTCGTTGGGGTCAGCTCCAGCAGCGCAGAGGAGGTCGACAACTACGGAGTTGTTCCGGGTTGTCGCGAGACTCAAACATGTCGCATTGCTGTCAGTACGCTGTGAAATACTCACACCTTTCCGGAGGAGAGCATAAACAGTCGCCTCATTCGAGCCTAGAATAGCCATGTGGAGGCCATTCATCCCTAAGCCCTTTGTTTGGTAGAGTTCGAGATTGAGTTCCCCGTCGGATTTGGAAAAGCGTAGATTCACGTTGAGAGTATTGATCTCAGAGATAGACATTTCCTCAATGATCTCAGTTAAGCCAATGGTACAGGTGAGATACCAATGCGTGGGATTTTTTCAGACCTCGCCTACTCTCACGATAGAGTAGACTAACGATCCATTCAACACTACCTCTCTGGTCGCATAAACGCCAGTATCGGATTCGTTTCTCCCAATTGTAGAGAGCTTCCGATTTTTGAAGACCGTTGTAAAGAAAGGCTTTGATCTTGGACGAAGCCCCTCGTTGTCGGTCCTGATCACTGCAGCTGACACAGTGCTGTAACCAGAACTCAGAAGCATAGTCTTCAAATAAGCTTTCCATACAAACCTCAGAATCCCCTAGACACTGTGAGTGTTCGGAAATGGGGGAATGTAAGAGCACATCCATGCACCGCGCTAGCAGAAGCACATTCACCTGCGATGTGTCAAACTCAGGCCGTTTTTCCAGGTATTCGAGCACAGAGGTATGTGCGTAACGGAATATTCCCAATTCAGTATCTTCGACAACCAAGTTGCAAGTCATTGCGAGTATATCGCGAGTAGTGAGCGGGCTGTAATGTCCGTCATCCTCGACCGAGACTGCTGCTCGCAATTCCTGAATCTTTAGGGGTCGTTGCGTGGCCATCAACCATTTGAGAACCCGCTCACCAACGGCCTTGCTACGCGCTCCTGATTGTGTGATCTGGTTGTAAATCATATCGTATGTCTCGGCAAGAGATGCTGGTAGTCTCCCCAGCTCTTGAAGTACGTCCTCTTCGCATTTGATTCGACGTGAGTCGCAAAGATTCTGCAGCTGCAGGGTCACCCATCGAAACCTGGTGAATATTAGCTAGACGATCCATCAGAATTTCACTAAAAAACTTACATTCCATGAGCTTCGTAGGTCAGACGAGTGATGATCAGCTCTCGCAAGTTATCAGATACCACACCTCCTAGCAGCCGACGAGAGCGCATAGCCACGTCAACCTCGGTTATCACAAACCTTTCGATGTCATCCGAATTATCGGCTGCATGCACATATAGATTCGGAGATTGCTCAAGTCTCCAGACAATATCTATTTCATCGCGGCTGGAGACGAATATCTTCACCACATTCGAAGACTGCTGAATGATAGTTTCAAGGCCATCTAGGAGCTCGTGCCGTCTTGTGGCATCCGCTTCATCCATAGCGTCGATGACGATAGTAGCCGGGACCTCGTCCAACACGCCCAAGATCATTTCAATCGCATCCTCGGTCGACAGCTTCATTGGCTGTGGGCTGTCCTTGACAAATTCCTTGTGCTTCTTCAATGCAGCCTGGTGTATCGGCTGCTCCACTGATTTGCAGACAAGTTGCCGTGCAATACTGCAAAGAATATGCTCTGGATCCGAACGTTCAGGCTCCATTTGGTTTCTGGCGCAGTAGAAATATGCGATCGGGGCCGATGATGAATCTTTTTCTCCTTGAGCAATGAGGTCGTCCACCACCAAAGATCTAGTGTGATACGTTAATGAGATCATGCCTCCAGCAAGTCTAAATAGAACTTACATCAGCTTTGTCTTTCCCGAGCCTGGAATACCATGTAGCCAGAGAATAGAGGAGTAGCTCGTTGTCTGCCAGGCGGAGAACACTGGTTTCTCCAACAGCCATAGACAAGTGTCTTCAAGACGGCCTTTTCGAACCGCTCGATGATGGTGCTTATAAGGAACATTTGATATCCAATTCAGAACATCTGATCGGTTGGTAGCATTAAGTTTGTCTTGCCAGTCGACCAACAGCCCGGACATTCGGATAATGGGTTGCTCCAGACCCTGAAGCGCTGACGTCAAATTTTGCATCTGCGTCTGAGATGTACGATCTAGCATTGGATGCACCCCTGACATGAATTGCGCAGTTTGTCTCATGTCGATTGCCATCGCCTCCGTGTGTTTTATGATACTAGCCATAGCCTGGTGTCGATCAGCGTCGACTAGGTGTGCATCTTGACTGACAAACTTCTCTGCTGTATAGACCTCACTCAAAAGATCGTCGATATTGTTATCTGAAAACGAGACCGCGCTCTTAGCTAAGCGCATCGCAGTATTCTTGGAATAATAGTGGAGTGCTTTCCCAAGAAAGACCAAGATTGAAGTATACAACTTGGTAAGCGATTGTGCCAGCTGTGTCTCGGCTGGAGTGAGTACATGCGATGCAAGGTAGATACCCTCAAAAATGGCGTATCGGGTTATCATCTTCGCGATGGCATCAACACCCTGCAGCATAGCACCGAAAATACTAGAGTCGTTTATTGTCAGTTGGAGGATCATCCGGATACCAGCCCAGGGCAGCGATGCATGAGTCGGGTCGTATTGCACTGCAATATCCCCGACTTCCTTGAATTTATTGACCCAGACAATCACTTTCTCAAAGACGTCTCGGAGGATGATAATAGAACCGTTCTTGCGCCTGATGCGCCATCTTTTGCGCAAGCATTCTTCCCTTCGCTGCTGCGCCAGGGCGAGAACATCCTCAAGAATGCCTCGTTTCTCCGGATTCTTGAAGTCGATCAAAGAGAGTTCAGCCTCGGGAACTGTCTGTACTGCGTTGTCCCATAGACTTTGATTCTTTTGAATTATCGGTAGCGCAACGCCTGTTCCGATAGTGGCGCCAGTAGAAAGCGGGGGTGATGGGGTAAGAGTAATGGTTGGCACTGTTTGCGCCATGGATCCTAGTAATCGGACAGACTGATACTCTGATCGTACTCGGCAAAGCCCTGGTTATCCAGATGCTGGAAATCGCGTGTGAACATGAGCAGGAGAAGACTGGAGATTGGCGACCGAATCGAAGTGAGACTGAGTGGCCCCCACCTGCCAAGTCATTGAGGCTTGAAATGACCTGCTGGCGCATTGAGCCCGAGGTCGGCTATTGTGTACGAATCTTACTCAAGATAAAGATAACGATTCGTCTGGGCTTTCTTGTCAATATTTTTGAGGTTCCACGTCCAGTCTGATCGAGTCAAGTCTCAAGGGCTGTCAGGTATCGTTTTGGACATGCCAAAGAAGAATAGCGAGGGTGAGAATGAACCATGTTGTAAGCTTCTGCTCAACATCAAGCCCCAGCTGAAGGTTCACCAGCTGAAGGCCCAAAGTGCCGATTCAGACGCGACTGTGGCGTGGCACCAGCTCTAATTATAAGCAACTCAGCCAGATCCAGAACCATGGCTCACAAAATGTACATTCCCACGACCAAGATGCACTTTGCTGAGGGCATAGAGGTGGACAACGGCTCATACCCACATTTTAAGCTGCAACCCCGACTACGCATGATTACTAAATTTAGCAGGATTAGGTCGAACAGGCCAGAAGATTATTCTCAATACGCTCTATCAGAGTGTTACTATCTAAAGAGAGATGTAGATATCATTATTAAGATCCACTGGAGGCTAAACCAGAGCCGTCCATACAAAGTCCCAACCAGCACATATCAGGGCCAGACGAACCCGACAGCATACTCGTCAGAGCGCCAGCATACACAATTACTATACCGGCGATCAAAACATCCAAGTCCAAACGCCATCCCTCGCAAAGAGAAAGCAGGTGATACAAGTAGAACTTCGCACGCCTCACATTTGCCAACAAATCATGAGACGTCGACTGAAGATAATGGACAAGAAAAAGTACATCTGGTTAGAACCACATGATTCCTGCCACCAGACCAATGACCACAGCCATGCAGCTGCCCCGCAGTTCTGCTGTGTGGACAGCAGCGTCTGTGGTCTGATTGCTCGATGTTGTGTGTAGTTTTTGCGTCTGGACTGTAGAACCAGAACTAGCGTTGGTCGCAAGTGACGTATCCTTTGCAGAACGGGCTGATGTTATTGATTGCTCGCCAGTCGCGTTTTGGGGTGTAAGCATTGATTCCAGGTATTTGGATCCTAGCTGAATTAGGGGTTGCACCCGAGAGACAGATGCAGTGTGCTTGGCATTTTCCCAAAGGCCAATCGCTCTGCGGCAGGCCTGCTGCCACTGGTTGCACAAGGCCGGGATCTGCAGTCCCGTTTCTTCTCGGAAAGATGTATATGGAGGCGAAGAGTTATTATCGGGATAAGGCGTAGTTTCGGAGCGGATGTCGTCAGTTGGGGTGGGTAGAGGAGAGGCATTAGAAGGCGTGATAGGGGGGTTGATGATCGTGGGCGCGGCCGAAAAACTTCGGTTGGAAAAGGAGGTAAAGAGTTGATAGTCGTCTAATTGTTGGATGAAATATGTTCGAAATGCGCGAGCGCGTCGACTGAACATGAATGATGATGATGACTCGGGAGCGATATAGGAGAGTCGACTTTTATTCTCGATCGGGGTGACATCGCCAGAGACTATCGGCGCGGTATTGGATCGCGAGGAGCGTGATATCCGACTTCCACGCGTGCGATACTGCGCAGTCATAACCCATGACTTTTGGGGTTCAATAGGAGGTGTATCCGGGGGGAATGCGGCGACGCCATCTTGAATCAGGGGAAGCTCTGTAGGTACCAACGATTAGCATAAACACGAGCTTTTCTCGACGAAATCAAGGTCAATGGACGCACTGCGAGCTCCGCCAGTAAAGTAACTGAAGTCTGCAAACTTGATATTGTAGATACTCGACAGCGATGGCACGAGAGTCAACAATGAGAAGACAATCAGCGCCAGGAGAGGGAGCGCGCCCGGTTTATCCAACCCCGGGCGCATCATCCACGATCACCGGTCGCAACCGGAGGCCGTTGGCGATGATAATGCGAGGGTGTCTATGAGAACCAAGAGACACTAGTCACAGTCGCTTTGAATGCCATGGAGAGGGGTCCGGAGTGGTGGTTTGGGGGCAATGTCTCGGATTTCACCGGGGGGGGGGGCGGTTTTAGCTCAAATCCTCAAGGAACAGAACGCGCCGACGCGCAGAGATGTGGAGGAGGGAGAACAGAAGAGCTCTTCGGAAGACACGGGTAGGAGTCGCAAGAATAAAATTAAATAAGATTTGTCTTGGGAGGGGAGACGATCCAAGAAATGGATGACGGCGATAAGGCTGAGAAGGTCAACTCTCTTGTCGGTTGGTTGCAAAGGTCGATGCTCTTCGTCTCTGCTTGGCGCTATTTTTCTCCGTTCGGCCCGAATGACGTCGACGAGGGTCGCGCAGGTAACGGCTGCAAGCGTCGGGATTGAGGTCTTGTTCCCCCTCCTTTTAAGACGCAATAACCCAGAGCTAATTGAGTCTGTACTTCCTTTTTTTGTATAGATGATAGCTTCGAGTCAGGAATGTCCTCCGTGGCCACGCCCTTTTTTTTTTTGAGTTTTTCCACTCGGCTTCCAGGAATGTTGCCTCAGGCAGCCACATCCCGTGTAGAACCAAGTTTCTCGTCGAGTTTGGCGTTCCGGAACAGGAAATGATACTTGAAATTGGTTCTAAAACCTGGGTCTCACAGGGTTCAAGCTAACTGCTTGACGTGGGTGGAGCTAACGATACTTTGAGGTGAAAGTCTCGAGGGAGGGCCGACCGCAATCTATGATCTCGAGTTCGGGGAATTGCCCGAGACAAATCTAGATTCGACAGAAATGTTTACCAAAAACGAGCGCTAGGCATAATTATCAAAGTTGATTCCTTGTTCTTTAGACATTAGAGGAACTTTATACCCGTCTGCTAGAATTCTTGCCAATAGTAGTCCTTGGGTATGCCATACCAGTGCGATCGATCTACTTGCAAACTACAAAGCCCTGCTGGCGGGGTTGAATACATCAAGGTAGAACGGATGGACCCTTTGGACTAATGTACGCAGTCGTAGATGAATAATGCTTGCCCTGCTGGATGGAGTGTCAAATGAAGATATCGTTCCACAAAACAGGGATGTCTTCCATTGCATCCAGCCGATGTTCCCCTTTTAGACACACTCGATCTCTTTAGCCCTCGCGGCGCAAACATTGCGGTGGAAGGATGGTCTTATGTCCTGTCGCGGCCGGTAAAATCTACTGCAAAAATAGCTAATCGAACTACCGAAGCACCCTGTCTGCCCTACACACAAGCTGCTACAATTTATGCCAGCGAATGATGCCAGCCAAGGATGCCTTTACCGGGCAACTCCCGCGCAGTCATCCCAAAAAAGCAACCGATCGGCACGCCCAGTCTGACAAGATGCATGGCCCTAAATGTCATCATCACCGTGGAGGCTTTGGCGGGCCTATCCGTCTTACACCTTTCGGTTAACGTGCATACAGCATAACAAATATAGAATAACCTTTGCGGCGCATTGCGCGTCCACCCTACTTTGCCTCGACAATGAGACAAACGGAACACAATTCGGGTTTCAACCTTTCTCATATCACATATCTATCATACGACTGGCTATTTGACAGGAAACACCATTGCCCCTCAAACCTAAATATAAACAACTCCAATCATGCCGCTAGCATTAGCATGAACACGCAATGGAGTGCGGGGTATCCCTCTACCCTTCCCTTTCGCCGCGAACATCGTGCTAGGCTAACAGATTTCCAAAAAACGCACCATCCTGGAATAGCCAGGATCGACCAGGCGATTCCAAGAAACTGGGCAGCCACTCTGGCAGGGCCGTCGAATTGCGACCATGAGATTTCTCACCGCCACGACTATGCAGGGACACCAGTGCATGCTCGAGCTGGAAGCTTGTCCCTCCAGCTTGGCCTATACTAAAGGCTCCTAGAGGGATTGTCTCGCCATCATTCGCATCAAGCCGAACTGCACGACTGGGTGAAGCATGTAGAATGTCATGCAAACTCTCCAGAACTTTCATACCCCTCTTAGCCAAGCCATACTGAGGAGCTTGCTGGCAGAGTAGAGCAAAACCATTGAAGAAGATGGCGAAACTGGATCGTAGTCCTTGGTCGAGATTGATCTGCAAGCCCTTTTCTGCGAGTTTTCCCTCATCGGCTTGAACAGAAAGTAAGCAGACTCCAAGGCAAGCCAAAGCGTCGACCAGCCAGGTTGGCAGCATAAAAAGCCTTTCTGCAGCTCCGCCCTCTTCGTCGCCCGTCAATGCATAGAGCTTGGTAATAGAGGAGATCGCTTTACATGTAGCATCCATGAGTGCTCGACGGTGGGAAAGGGTGAGCAAGTCAGTGCCATGCTTGAGTGGTGTATTCGTCTCCCGGTGGAGATGATTGCATGGATCTGCAAAGGCCCTGTAGAGCGAAGCCTTCGTACTGTGGATGGATAGATGAAGATATTCTCTCTTACAAGGAATTGCCGTGTCAGCAACATCCCAAGTCGTATCTGGATTCTCAAGCCAATATGCGGGTGGTAGCGGGTCAATGATCACTTCTTGAAACCGCTGTGCGAATTCGGCTACCACCGCTGGTGCATGTTGATCGTCTTTCCAAGAAGGTGGGCTCATAAATGCGGTGAGGTACCGAGCCAATTTGATATGGAACACCCGGTCGGTGAATGGAGTGAGGATATAGGGCGTGATAGTCAATGCTTGTAGATCATCGTGGGGTGGGTCGATATCGAAATAACCCTCGGGGATGAGAGGCCAAAGGCCAAAGAAGGTGCACATATATCTGGTGCATAGTGTGTCAGCGTGAAATTGAATCAATCTAAAAATCAATAGAATCTATACGTACCGATCCCAGACATAAAGGTTCCAAAACGTTCTGCGTCGAAGCTCCATATCCAAATCACTCAAGGAGATACCCGGATCTTTCATATGTAGGCCCAGCTCACGTGCATCCTTGACAGCAGCACTCAAGACCGCCCAACTAGGCCGAACCTTGGCGTAATTCTGCAAGTAACACACATGGTAGAATCTATGCTGAACTGTGACAATCGACGGTTTTCTTTCAAGTGCTTGAAAATTCCCGAGTTCGTCGGCGAGCGTAACAAACCAATGCTCCAAGTGATCGAGATGAGTACTCAATACTCCAGCGGTAGGATATTTTGAATGCGGCAGATTCTGGATACTGAGAAGGCTGACTCGGAGAACGAGGACCCCGAAGTTGATATCATCTTCTGAGATGGCTTGTCCCGAGTGGTCGTTGGTCTCCTGTGATTTGCACCACATATCGTATCTTGACTGGAACGACGGGGGATGAATTATTTCGTATACTCGGTTGATTTCTTGTAAGAACATGCAAACTAGAAAGTCCGTGATTGAACGATCTGGCCAGGTTCTCCGCGGCCTCGATGACTCGACGTGGTCACTATTTTGTTGAAATTAGTGCCGTTGTCATTATTGAATACGTCATGGGGTCAGAAACAAACAGTGATTCATAAGTGATAGGAAGAAAGCTTAATCCTTGTGTTATATGACCCAGAGCTTCTAGGCTCATGTCATTGGAGTCAGAATCATAAGAAGACAGCGTGGCAGAAGTTTCCCGTTCTTCACTGTTGTCAAGCACAGAGCTTGGTCTGCGAGTAGGTGGATAGCCATTGTAATCACTGCTAATGCTCTTCTGTGGAGGAGCATTGGTGTAGATACAAAGGTGCTCTACTGCACGACCTGTGCAGTGATTACAAGGCTTCTGTCGATTGCACTAGAAACCGGTCAGTGATTGTGCTTTCTTTTGTGGGATATCAAGTCATTATCATGCCTTTTGCTTCCTTCGATTGCACTCCAAGCAAGACTTGATAGGCTTGCGTCGAGTCCGCTTTTCCGCCTGCATTTTCAAAACATTCGCCGAAATTTGATTGTAAAATTATTTCAACAGACAACTAAGCAGAATTGAGTTCAACCACGAGCTATTTATTTAGTATTCAGGTGGTAAGTCGCTAAGACCCAAAAAGGGCCCCCATCTGATGATACCCCAGCACACCTTAAAATACACGTGGCTGCTACTAGCATCATGGAAGAAGTTAAAATCTTACTGCAGAATTCCATGATCTCTGCATATGGCCCCAATATTTGCTGTTGGTAAGCTTCATCCAGCGCTCTAAGACCTGCGATATCAAGCTGGAAGATTCCTAGGAGGCAATCGCAGTCTGATGTCATCCCACATAGAACCGATTAGTAATTGAGTGAGATTTGAATATTCTGACTCAACCTAATTCCTCTATAAAATGCTTGTTCATCCAGATATTTGGAATTAATCAGGCCTTTGTCATTGCTTTGGTCTATTCCAGATGCACATGTGACACTGTGTACTCTTTGAAGCTATACAAACGAGCTAGACGAACCTTGGGACGCCACTGAGTTGGGGGCCGGCGCATGGAATGCCTTAGGTTAAGATTATAAAGGCAGTCGCTCTTTACTCGGGGGCCGGAGCATCGGGTCTCCGCCACGTGGGCCCGCTAATCATCTAACCAATGCAACCGGGGCGCTTAGAGCCTGGAACTTGAATAATAACAAGCGGACATTAATCTAGTGGCCCAGCGAGAAAAGCCTGTCAGCTTCGTTTTTGGCCCCCAAAAAGGACGTTCTGCAGCAGCCTCAAGTCAGGATACGGTTTTCAGAACCTTACGATATCTCTTTGTGTGTTTTTGGGCTTAGAGAACACGGATAGATAGTGAACTTATCGGCCGCTAGCGCGATTTGTCACCTTTTTCTTTTCATTTTAGGAAATTGGTATAAACGTTCATAATGTTCATTGGAAGTTCTCCCGATGCAGATTCAAATTTTAGTGCACTAGCCCTATTATTGCGATCGCGGGATGTATAAGCAGTTACTCAGGATTCAGCCCTGTTTGCACTATTTCTGTCCTTTTCCCTCACCGTCTATTTTGAGTCTTGAATTTGAGATGCGTTGGCCGAGATTTGTCACTGTGCAAGTGCATATCCACCCACACTTGGAAATAGTGGGCCCACATCCTCCGCTTGATAGAACTTGATAAAAGAAGCGAAATGGAAACTTCGTAACCATGCTGTTGATACTGGGCACGTGAGCAAAAATAAGACCACAGACCAATGAGGCAACTAAGAATTTAATCAAATTACGTTCAATCAAAATTTTTTTACAGATTTGGAAATTTGATATTTAGACTCTAATCAACCGCAACCTCCAGTCACTAAACCACATCCCAGAAGCCAGCTTTCTAAGCCCCAAGCCTGAACGCCAGGGTACTAAGTATTCCTACCCACTATTTGAATCCTGAGAGATACTATATTCTCATCGAATACTTTGGTCTATATTTATCGGGGTCAAGAACGTACCTTACGTCATAGCATTCCAACGCCCCTTAAGGAGCATCATAAGAGGGGGTAGAGTATCCCAGTGCTTGATAACCTCCCTGTTTCTTATCCTTCAATTCCCCTTAGGACTTGAACCCGCATTCAAATTATTATATGTACTGTAGAATATTCTTGCTTTATCTGAAAGTCTTCTCGGAAGAGCATTGTGGAATGTAATCAAAACCCACTTGTGGTTTTGTCCAGCCAGTGGCTGCCCCTAAACTCGGGGGCCCTGCTGGCCTTTTGCGATCACGTCCACTCTTTTTGGAAACATTTTCAATCGAAACGACTGGAAAAATTGATAAGCTCAGCCAGAAGGTTCGCCCCCAAACTAACGCTAACCCGCTCCGCGGCCAACCCTTTCTCGGGGGCATCGGCATCTCTCACAATCAGGGATCATATTCCCACAATGCCTCCCGTTGTGTGGAGCACATGCCTGCGTGACACCGGGAGCCATGCAACCTTCAATTGAGAACAGCGCTCTGAGCTAATATTCATCCAATAGCATCTGTTGTAGATAAGTCCTTGGTATACCATAAGCCCCTTGTTGTGACCTTCCGGGGACCATCCCTTGATAGAACAAGCATCCCTTAAGCCTCAGGAATTCCATAGGGCACAGACACCCTTTCAAGGCTCACAATCTCCTGAATCAAAGTCCTCCCTTTGCAATGAAAATTGTTAGTCGATACCTCGCTAAATTCTTAAGCGATTAGTCCCCCGTTGTAGGGAAAAAGTCTCGTGTCGAACCCAGCAATGATTCCACGCCAACACGCCGCCTGAACAGTACGAAGGCATAGTCAGCGAATCCACAGCCTACCAGTTCAGTTCTATCTACAAACCAATGGGACTCCCAGACATATCTCAAGATACCTTTGGCTATGAGTCGAAAACAACTCTCGATCTCCGGAATAGTGTCGATGATGTAACGCCCATCCCGGCGCAGGAGAGCAGACTCCATCTATTCGAGACCCAGCCTTCATCCGAGGAGCAGCAATGGACGCCCGATCTGCGAGACTGGTTGGTCTTCATCAACATACTCATCCTTGCGATGATGGACACTTTTGATGCGACGGTGATGATGCCAGTTCTGCCGGTAAGCCATACATCTCCCTAGATTTTTTGCAATGATGATGCTGATATGTTGAGTTGAAGGAACTGGCCAATACCTTCGACAAACCCCTCGTCAGCACTCTCTGGGTCAACACCGTGTATCTCGTTATCAGCGCTGCCAGCCAACTATTCTTCACGATGATGTGCGATGTTTTCAGCCACGGACCGTTGTGGATTATCGCAGGTGTGCTGAGCACGATCGGCTCTGGTGTATGCGGTGGCTCGATGAGCCTGACCGAGCTTATCATCGGCCGCTTGGTCCAGGGCATTGGCGGAGGTGGTGCAACGGCGCTTTGCTGGGTGATAATGGCAGATACAACCCCAGAGTCCATCCACTCACGATACTCATGCTATATCTTGTTGACACGACTCATTGGATCAATGCTGGGCCCGGCCGTGGGCGGGCTTTTCATCGACAAGGGCAATTGGACTTGGGCTTGTTATTTCAACTTTGTTTTCTGCGGACTAGGTTTGTTGTTGATTCCCCTCTCCGTGGATTTGCGCGTTTCGAAGAACATTCCGCTCCGGAAGCTGCGTATCTTGGATTGGTCTGGGGCCACGATGGCGTTGTTGGGCCCATCTAGTATTCTGATCGGGCTGGGCTGGAGCGGCATCTTGTATCGGTGGCTTGAGTGGCAGGCTTTGATGCCTATCGCTGTTGGTGTTGCGACACTCATTGCGCTGGTGTTGTATGAGTCGATGTGGGCATTGCACCCACAATTCGGTGCGAGAATATTCAGATCTCCGGCAGCGATCATGACCTATGTTGGTTGCTTCTGTCATGGCTTTGTGGTGAGTGATAAATTTTTCCTGTGTGCAGTTGACAAGTCTAACATCAAAATCTAGATTCTATGTCAGATGCAGTACTTTTCCCTCTACTTCCTGGCGACCAAGTACTATTCTCCCACGGTTGCAGGACTGGCACTTCTGGCACTCACTGGGTTAGCACTTACACCTGCAGCCGTGGTAGGAATCGTGCTTGCAAGTGAACCGCAATGTTCCAAATACATCACCTCTGGGGGATGGGCATTAACCATGCTCGCATCCGGTTGTTCCATTCTTCTCGACCGCACAACACCCACTGTTGGATGGGTGTTTCTTTTCTTTTCAGCAGGTCTCGGCCATGGACTCCTTCTGGCAAGCTATAATATCGAAGTGCACAATATGCCCAAGGGTGAAGGAAAATCCTTCACCACCAAGCCGATTGTCATTTCCAACTTCATGCGGGCGTGGGGGATGGCCGTGGCTATACCTATGGGAGGCGTGGTGTTCTTGAACTTGTTCGGGAATAAGCTCCAGCGCCTGGGTCTTAAGCGCGATCTGATCAATACTGCCAACGGATATATAGTACTCATGAATCAGGTACAGATGTCGGATGAACAGAGACAAGCTATTCAGGATGCCTCGGCGACAGCCCTGCAGATTGTATGGGAGCTTATCACAGGAGTTAGCGCTGTGGGTGGATTGTCTTCAGTATTCTTGTGGAAGAAAAAGTCATAACAGAATGTTGAATATCATATTCGTGGGTTTCTCTGGGACTTTTTTCTTTCTCTCCTGTTGGTTTGTAATATAGACTTGCTAGCGATGAACAGTAGTCGAACAGTGTTGTGGATAAAGTCAGACTGGCAAAACAAAAATTCAAGAATAAGCAAATAATTCAATGAGTGTGGAAGGTATGGGTATTCAGGCTGAAAGAAGCAAAAAAAGGAGGCCTGCAAGGATCCCAGTTTCACATGAGACTGCATTTCTCGCGGCGACGCGTGGCTTGACCTGGGTTTGTACTCAGAGGGACTTGAGGTGGAGTGGGGGCGGATGTACCTGAAGTCTCAGGAGATGCCTTGAGGCGTTCTAGTTCCTGCTCTTTCATCCGTGCCTGGGCCTTGAGTCTTGCGGGAGTCACAGCATCCCTACCACCCTTGATAGTCCAACCGTGGAGGCGATCTTTTCCAAGCTCTTGCAGTGTCTTCTTTTCCACGATACTGTACTGGCTTGGATCTTCCCGGTCAAAGTTGAAAGGCGCATTCAGCGAAACCGGAGGATTGGTGATGATCCGCGGAATTCTCAGACTGTTGACCGAGGCGGAATGGAGCATCAACGGATGAAGGAGAATCACATCACCCACGTTGCCGGTCATCTCGTGGAACTCATGACATTCTTTGATGACTCTGTCATAGCAGGCACCACTCTGGTCATCAGGCTGGGCGCGAGGAACCATGTATGGGGAGACTCCTTCCGGATGATTGTACTATCGCCAAGTCAGGTTAGCAAAACGACAGGGATAAATCAGAATCGCCAAGCCAGTTGTGCGTACTAAATGCTGGGCTATCCTCTTGATGCCATCAGAACAGATCATAGTGCCACCGGCATGTTCTATGATGTCGGTAAACAGAGGGATGACCAGCAACCCCTGCTCAGGCGAATCAAGGAAATGGATGAAAAAATCACCATCGACATGCCATCCTTGCAGCTCAGACGGATGGGGCCATTTCCCCTGGGACTCCTCCGTGCCAAGATTGACGATTAGGGCATCGTTCCAGGTGGCCGAGTGCGCCGCCACGCGGTCCTCGCCACCAAGCAGCTCACAGATGGCGGCCCATGCTTTGGGGGCGAAGGTCTGTACGGGCTCCGACTTGTGTTCGGGCATATTAATTCGTTCGGCAGTCCAGGTTGACTTGTCTGTAGGGGAGTAGCCAAGTCGCGTCCAAACATCTGCCGTCCACTCGGCTGCCTTAGCTCGGGAGAAGCAGTTGGTCAGGCGCACGTAGCCATGTCGCATGAAATGGTCGATCTGCTCCTGAGAGAGCTTGTAGTCTTTCGGTTCATTGTTCGAGGCCATGATGTCGTTAAATCAAAGGATATGGAATGAACTTCTGTCTGTTACTTGCACGATGTTATGGTTTCTCTCGAAGTTATGGGAAATGGTTCCAGCGAGTCACGAAGCTGACAAAGCACTGCACCTTCCATTGAGTCTGAGTCATTCATTGCATCCAGAATGGGTTGTCCTTGCCTGTTTAGCGAGAGTCAAACATTGACAATGGTACTGTCCAACTCTGTTTGACTCTGATTTCTGTTACTCAATGGCGTTGCCAAGGGTGATTCCGGCTAAAATGAATATCCAACTTTGACTTTGTCACCCTGGACCATTCTCCGTTTGCTCCTCCCCGCAATTGGCGGCGTCCTGCGCCACTGGTGGGAACTAACCGGGTCAGGCTTCCCCCTGGTTCGTTTGGGCTCATTATACGACTCATGGACCTCGTGAGATTGGCTCAAACTCTTGACCGATCCTTTGCCTGCATCATTATCCCCAGGCTAGTCAAAACCCAACTGCCTTTATGGTCAGCTCATTTGGTCACGGAATTTGCTCCCCGCTGAAGCAGACTGGGCAATTGCTTCCCAGCTGTATGAGGGTAACCTTGTGCTCTCAGACCACAGTTTCACAGATTTTCAAATATCCCACTGGTTTGATACGAGAAACCTCATTTACACCCGAACGCCTCTGAATCTCGCTTGACTTTAAGGAAACGGGGCTGGTCCGTTGAAACCAACACTAGTACATACACTATTGTGAATTTGTGACTACATTGTCATGATTATCTGTGGATTATCGATCGCCTAGTGGGCCTCGGCCCGGCCGACCGTGCTAAACGAAATGTGGGGGACCCGACACGCTCGTGTTCAGAGCATCGAAACCTTCTCGAACCAATTTTTGAGGGAGTGAACTGTTCAGCGAACATCCACGAGGGACTGAACCATGGAATGTGTCCTGTCCAGCCATATAGCCAGATTATACAGTGCCAATTCACCCTCGTTTCACTCCAAACAACTATCAACCCAATCTCCTCCACGTCTCGGGTGAAATGGTCATGTTGGCAACCCTTGGCAAGGAGGGATGCCGGGCTTGGTACAATTCTCTTCCAAGCGAACCCTGGTAATTTTTCTCAGACTCTTCCTTTCAGGGCAAGGCTTCAATTGCCGAGAAGCTAAATTAGCCAAAAAAAAATGCACCAATGGTCTGCTCGGCCTCAAGGATGGCCGTTGCACGCGATGTCTATTGACTAGCGTGACCCCCCTTGGACAACCTTTCCCCTCGTGAGATGAAACTTTGGATTTTTGAGAACAAGGCCTAGTCCCAATCGAGAAAAGCTGGGGTAAGGTTCCAGAACGCCACGCGATATTTGCCGGTTAATCTCACAGTCCAGGGTTTTAGGATGGTGGATTCCAAGGGGCTTAAAGGGCTGGGGTAGCCCGCGACAGAACAATTTACCTCGTTCTCAGGACCTCCTAGCGTGTGTCTTGTTGCATTGACCAAGACTTCAACTCATCAGTATAACGTTTATCGCCGTTGAAAATTGTCTATCGGCATCATGCCTCTCGCCGTAGGACAGTCCGCCCTCAAGGGGGAGGTCGAGGTCGCCCAGGCCGAGATGCCCATCCTTGAGGAGGTCAAATGGTGGCGTGAACCCGGTCTGCGAAGGCTGTACTTCTGGGCCTCTGTTCTTTGCGTCGCCTCTGCGACTACCGGTTACGATGGGTAAGCCTGAACGATCCCATTGGATATGGAGTTAATCTAAGCTAATTGCATAATACAGAATGATGCTTAACACCTCCCAGAACTTGGATTCATGGCAGCAATTTTTCAATACTCCTTCCGGCTCTAAGCTGGGTTTGATGAATGCGATCTACCAGATTGGTAGTTTGGCCAGTTTCCCATTTGTGTATGTGAATGAGTCCTATTACTCACAAAACAAACATCTTATAACTTCATCTTTATAGCCCATACATGGCCGATCGCTGGGGCCGTAAGCTCCCCATCATCATCGGCTGTCTTCTGATGATTCTCGGTGGATTTCTTGGCGCATTCTGCAAGGATTATGGCAGTATGTACCTGCTGTTCGTTCTAAGAAACGCGACAATTGCTGACGTTGATCAACAGTGTACGTTGCCGGTCGCCTGTTCCTTGGCTTCGGCAACAGTCTGGCCCAGATGGCCTCACCAGTGCTTCTCACTGAGATCTGCCATCCCCAACACCGTGGCAAAGTCACTACCATCTACAACTGCTTGTGGAACCTTGGCGCATTGGGTATGTACCAATGTTTTGGCTATACATTACACTACTGACGTCAAGTATAGTTGTCGCATGGATTGCATGGGGCACGATGTACATTGAGAACGATTGGTCCTGGAGGAGCTTGACTATTCTCCAGGTTTTCCCCGCCGTGATTCAGATTGCTCTGATCTGGTGTAAGTGCTCCAGTAATCTTGAATTCGAACATATCTAATCGTGTGGCAGGGGTCCCGGAGTCTCCCCGTTGGTTGATTTCCAAGGAGCGATACGACGAGGCTCTCCAAACCCTGGCTTACTACCACGGTAACGGCGATGAGTACAATGCCACTGTTCAATTCGAGTACCGTGAAATCAAGGAGACCATCCGTCTGGAGATGACTTACCAGAAGAATAGCAGCTACCTGGACTTCATGCGAACCCGGGGCAACCGCTATCGTCTGGCTCTCCTGGTTTCCCTTGGAATTATCTCGCAGTATAGTGGCAATGCCTTATTCAGCAACTACACTAGCTTGATCTACAACAGCATGGGTATCACTGAGCAGACCAAGAAGATTCCGGTATGCACTAGATCGTCTCTAACTCTCATAGACTTGTCCATGAATGCTGACAATGTCCCAAGCTGAACGGTGGTCAAACTTTGTTGAGTTTGGTGGTCAGTATTAGCAGTGCATTCTTTGTCGACCGAGTTGGACGTCGACCTCTCTTCCTGATTTCCACTGCGGGCATGGTTCTTATGTTCCTTGCGTGGACAGTCACTTCCTCGGTGTATGAAAAGACTCAGGATGTCAAGACCTCGGGCTATCCCCAGGTTGTCTTCGTGTGGCTGTTCTCTGTCTTCTATGCCATTGCGTGGTCCGGACTGCTGGTCGCTTATTCGCTCGAGATCCTGCCCTACCGACTCCGTGCCAAGGGTATCATGATTATGAACCTGACTGTCCAAGCCTCGTTAGTCCTTGGAAAGTAAGCAGCCCCACTCTCCCATCTGACGTTGCTGTACTGACCGATGATTCCCAGCTACACCAACCCAATCGCCTGGGAGAACCTGCCCCACCACTGGAACTTGTCCCTCATCTACACGGTATGTACTGCCTTAATTAGATATTCTTTACCAGTCCAAGCGGAATTCTCACTAACACTTTACCAGATCTGGATCTTCATTGAGCTTCTCTTCGTCTACTTCTTCTACGTTGAGACTCGCGGACCTACTCTCGAAGAGCTGGCCAAGATCTTCGACGGTGAGGATGCAGCCGTGGCCCATGTTGATATGTATCAAGTTGAAAAAGAGGTTGAAGCAACTCATCATGAGAGGGCTGCTTAAATATTCTGCTGCCTAAGTGCTTTTACCTGTTGGGGATGATGATGACCCGAGCCTTACCTACCCAATTATACCCGACTCGTTGTAGGAGTTTAATGAATTTGTTTAGGTTTTCTTGTCTCTCAAAATAACCACCCTCTTTAGTATGTTTACAAGAAGACATCACAGCGACTTGAGCTATTTCGAGTCTTTCATCTGTACAATAAAATGGTTACTGAAGAAGTAATTGTCACAGAGAGTTCTGTTTCTCAAATCATTTCTGCCCCCACTAAGCTGATGCGCTTTTCTTAGGCCGGCGCCCAACGGCCGAAGCTTAACAATAATAAGCCGCCCAGGGCCTCCGACTAACAATAAACGCGCATTTCCGCGATCGGGTTATTGCACAGCCGCAACCGCCATAACCTGACAACAATGTCACAATAATAGCTTGGTGGTGGCTGGTTTACTACCCATAGATCTAGGTCCAGCTCTAACAGAACGGAGAAAAATTATCTCAAGATCGCAAATCATACATGCTGTCACCCCAAGAGAAGCGGGGATAGTAACCCAGCCTTCCTGCTTGGGCAACTAAATTTAATTCCGCAGTCACACAGCGCCTCACACAGACGAGTTCCTGGAGCTTCCGCGATGGCAATGATGGTGCTGACAGCTAATCAACGGCTTTGCAGAGGCGGTTGGACGCGCTTGCAGGAAGCTCCTTCCCCAGCAATGAGCCTGCCCGTTGAACCCGACCGGTCGACTATTTACAGTCTGCGATGCCCTCGTCTTCTGCTCTTCGTTCTCATTCTTTCTCGCATCATTCTCGGCTTTATTGAAATCCGTACTTCAACTTCCATTCTTCCCAAGACATCCTCTTGGTTACACCTACCCTTACCAATTCATATTACAAACAACTTCTATACATAATCAACATGCGCATTCTCGACATTACCGTTGCTCTTTCGAGCCTGGCATTGTTTGCCGCGGCTGCTCCAGCTCCTTTTGGCAAGAATCAACTGCCTGATGGAATGCCCTCCCCGAGTCCCGACCAGGTGAAGCTTATCGAGCAAGCTGCTCATGGTACTCTGCCAAATGGTCCTCCTCCACCAGTGATCAGCAGCGAGGGCATTGTGAATCTGAAGTTGATTGCATTCAACGAGCTCTTTGAAGTTGCATTCTTCAATGAGCTTATCACAAACATCACCAACAAAGTCGAGGGCTATGACATTGATGAGGAGGAAGACCATGTCAAGGTCTTGGATGCCTTGAAGGCTATTCTTGCCGTATGTATTAAAAATGTCCATATCCAAATTTCTCATTCACTGACAGTCCTCGTCTTTCAGCAAGAGGAACTTCATGCTCTCCGTGCCAACGATGCCTTGGAACACTTCAAGGTGAACAAGATCCAGCCTTGCGAGTACACTTTCCCCATTTCGGACTTCAAGTCTGCCATTGCACTCGCTGCGACTTTCACCGATGTCGTCTTGGGTACCCTGCAGGATGTGGTGGAACGCTTTGCCCTCGGGCGTGATGTCGATCTCGCTCGCGAGATTGCCTCCGTCATTGGTCAGGAAGGTGAACAACAGGGATGGTTCCGTGCAAGCCAGGGCAAAATCCCCAGTGAACTGCCTTTCTTAACTACCAGCGACCTCAACTTTGCCTTTACTGCCATCCAAGACTTTGTTGTGCCAGGTAGTTGCCCCAATATCAATGAGATCCCCTTGCGAACCTTCGAAGGCTTGAAGATTCTTTCGACTCCCGGCCCTCAGGATCAAAACATCACTGTCCAGTTCAACGATCCCGATCATGAGGCTGACCACTCGCTGTGGTTGACTTATATCAACCAGCAGAACCTGCCCATCGTGGAGCCACTCCGCTTCGTCAGTCGGAACGGCAAGGAGGTTCAGGCGGAGGCTCTTTTCCCCTTCGAAGAGAATGAAATGAATGGGTTGACTATCGCTGCAGTGACCAAGTCTAGTGGTCCTTTCACTGATGCAAGCAGCGTGGCTCAGTGGACCCTCGCTGGGCCTGGCTTGATCATTGTCAACTAAACTGAGACCGCATGCTTTTATTTTCTTTGACTCTGCTTTTTGGGCATTGCATTATTGTTGATGATATTGGTGGGCGCTTGATCAATATCGTTACGAAGGCACTCGATTGTGACTCGGTGTGACCCATGACTTTATCTCTTAGCGGGCGATGGGCGTATATACTAATGCAAGGATTCTCGATTTCGAACATATTTTCTCTTGTAGGCGATAATGTAGACTAAGAGAGACTTCCAATGATATTCCTCTTGTTGTGGGCTTGGACTTCCATTTCAAGGGAGTGAGTTTTATTATGATGCAAAGAGATTCTCAAGTAGAGAATCCCACTATGATCAACTAAATCCTGGATGATAAGTAACACATCCGATTCGAAAGTAATCACCCCCATATCTAGAATACACGAAGACGCAACATCCTTCCCATCTGCTCAACCAAAAACGACCACCCCACCTTCAACCCCTAACACTCCACTCTACCTCCCAGACTCAAGCTATAAGACCAGCTTACAGCTTACAGCTTACCCTGACCAGCATTAGAGTTAACGCTGGACACCACAGAGGTGTAAGCAGTAGCAGAAGCAATGTTCTGGCCCGAGAACTTGGAGAAGAAGCCAGTATCAGACTGGCTGAAGGTGCCGGAGCTACCGAATCCGTTGATCTGGCAGACACGGCCGAGGTAGTTGCTGCAGGCGGTGTTGGCGGAGGTGGAGGGGGAGGTGAACAGCTGGCCGCTGATGGGGGACTCGACGACGGTATCGATGTTCTGGAAGACGTTGCCCTCGGCGAGGACGTAGCCGCCGGAACCGATCTCGAAGGCGTGGCCGGAGTTGTCGTACCAGTAGTTGTTGACCTGGAGAGGAGAAGTTAGTCAATATGTATTTTCTTTGTTGATGGGTTGGATAGACAGGAGAGGGCAAGGGCTTGCTTACGGCGTGCAGGAGAGTGCTGCCCTGGACCTTAGGGGCACGACCGCTAGTGTGGTAGATGTAGTTGCCCTTCAGGGTGACGTAGTCGTTGGAGCCGTCGAGGTAGATACCCCAGTAGTGGTAGCCGTCGCAGGTAGCGGAGTAGTCGGAGGCACCGTTGATGTAGCTGTTGGAGATGGTCACGCGCTTGGAGGCCTCGGTACCCAGGACGATGTGCTGACGGCCAATGCGAGCAGTAGTAACGTGGTCGATCCAGACCATGTCGCTGTTGTCGATGGTGATGGCATCACCACCCCAGACGTACTTGGGGTTGATGTCGGTGATGGCGATGTTCCTAGAAAGGTATTTGTTAAGAGGTATTCGCAATTGCTGGGCTCGAAGGTGTACGTACTGGATGATGATGTTGCTAGCACCGCTGACGATACGCAGACCCTTACCCTTGATGATACCGGCAGAACCGGAACCCAGGATGGTCTTGTGGGAGGCGACAGTAATACCGAGTGTACCGGCCTTGTCACTTTGTAGATTGTCAGTATATGGCATCGGCTGTTTCCCCAAGCAAGGATTCCACTTACTAGGAAACAGAGACAGAGGGAGCGCTCGACTCGTAGTTCTTACACCAGGAGTTCTGGTCAATGGCAACCTGGCAAGCAGACGCGGTGCCCCAGGGAGCGCAGCCAGTGCCGGTAGCGGTACCCTCGGTGCCACGGAAGTCAAAGGTCTTGGTTAGGACAATAACACGAGCCTGGCTATCACCAAGGTACGAGACCAGCTCGCTGGTGGTAGAAGGGTAGACAGGAGTAGCAGAGCCACCACCAGTGACGCCCTTGGCGAAACCCTCTGCGGCGCCAGACACGCTGATAGCAGCAGCGTGGGCAGCGAAAGCTGCAATCAATGCAGTGAACTTCATGGTGACAACGAAGGCCCAAAGAGAAATTAAAAATGAAAGGAGGGGTGGGGTACGAGAGAGGTATTAATCGGGCATACAGCATGCTTCTTATATACCTCCCAAGAGAGCACTAGACGATGAGACGAACATTAGTGTCAAACAACGGCAGTGATAGTAGTGCCGCATGAGTTCTTGGCTCTGGCATCCACAACTACCCACCATACACTCCTGGGTCCAAATTTAGTCATTCTCTTGTTTCCGAATTCCAATGGACCACAGGGTTATTGGAGCGATGCTGGTCATACCGCCGATGGACCGGCGAATAGGGACAAGGCTGATAAACAACCACGAGAGGGATAGCTGCCATTGCGGAGTAGTCGCCAGGGGCAGTTTAGTTCGATTCGGACGACCGGCCGGCGGGGAGGAGAGAAAGGGTGGGGAGAGCAAGTCCACGTAGGTGAAGAGCCGGGTAAATCTGGGCGAAGCTTCGGCGCCGGTGCAGCTCAGACCAGTTTGCCGGATGAGGATCAGTAACCACGCGGTCAAGGTCACGACTGGATCAAGCTAGTCGGGTGGAGTCCGGAGTATATTCCATCAACAGCACTAGTCTCGAAGATGGAACATAACCAAATAGACTCGGCATGGCGGATCAGGAAGAATAATTCCACAACTCGAAATTGATTAAAGTGTGCTCCGGCGAGGTCGCAAAGGGGCGCCACAGGGGAGGTTGTTGGAGGATCAGCTTGGTGCGTGAAGATGTTTCACCATCAAAATCACCGATGACCCACTCGCCTCGATGCAGTACTGATCCCGAAGTCAGCCCGGTCTTCACTCTAATTTAAGGGTGAGTCTGTTGCAACTTGCAGCAAAGGAGTGCCCAAGGAGAGAAAATAGTTGAAAGGTCGTCCGGAACATCTCCGGCAATATGTTCATGCCTCTGATAGCTTATTATTGCATTCCCCTGAATTTCTTCCGGTTGGACTAGGCGGGTATCATCATCAGGCAAGATCAGGGCTGGTGCGTTTTGCAATTCTCAGCATCAACAAGTCGACGAATTCCTCCGTCTTGGCGTCAAATCTGGCGGACAGATGATCAGATCATCTCGTAACACTCAGCCATCACAGCACGGGACTTTCCCCGTGTAAATCAAAGTTTGTCGATCATTGAGGGGTCTGCAACTTTGTGTCGACAAATTTCGCGTCAATGATATCAGATCCTGGGAGTGCGACCGCCAGTCTTGACTCAAGAGTGTCTCGACTCTCGAGGGATCTGCAATCCCTGCCGAATTCTGGTTAGCGTGGCGTAGCACTAAACAGTGTCCACGGTGATCCACACATGTCTATCAGATGGACCAGATGGATGAGATGGATCGGGTCCACCGTCAGCCTCTGCTCTCATTTGCTCCTGTTCTTGAAGGACTTAACTGCCACCGGAAATTAGACATTAATACACTCTGCTTAGTCGTCGTGGAGTAATATATGGCAACGGTTATCGGTTCTGGAAGGTCTGTACGCTCCACCCTCGGATTGATGTCCATATATGGAAGTGCATACTATACGAAATGGCGTGACTGGCATGAGCGGTCAACATCAAGGCTCCTCATTTATATATCAGTCATATACCCACTGGCTAGGTATTAGACCGAAAGAAGCAAGAGTTACACGAATATGGAATATCGAGATTCCCAACAGAATCTAGTGAGTATGAGAATGTCTGAGACTGCAGGCGGTATGCCGACGGTGACATCCAAGAGCCGATAAGAATCCACCAAGGGAAAAGGGGTGGAATCTGAAGAGAACATAAAATGTGCCACGAGTCAAAAGATCTGCCAACAAAAGCATCGAGTCTGAGAAAGTGAAAGAAAAGAGGAGAGAACAAGGGCCGGAAATTTCCCCAACCAAGCACAGGATATCCTCAATGATCACCAAATGAGATTCAGATTACATTCAAACAACGCATGGAGTCAGCAATGGAAATTCCTACCTGCTAAGTTTCTACATGAGATAACTACTGTAGCTAAGACATATGTGGTGATGCCGAATGCCTTGAGATATCTAGCGTATTAATTCCGCGTTAATCAAAAGAGTCCTAGATACAACAGAAGGTGAAAACAGTCCCATTTCAAGGAAACTGAATATTAGTCGGGTCAGTCAATAGATCTTTCTCCGAAGATCCTTTAGTCCACCATAAATACCATGGTGTGAACCATTCCAGAAGCCGACCGCCGATGGTCCCTATATCTTTATTGGACTTCCATCCAGTGGACGAAACCTGGTAAAGTTCTTCAGTCTTCTTGCGTTGAACACTCTCGTAGAACTCGAATGAGACACTTGGAGGCTCACTCCCATAGTGAGCGAGTATGCGTGAAAACTTGATTGCGTCTTCGAAGGCATGGCCGATACTTTCTCCCTTTGGTGGCATCTGTCAAGTACGCATGGATCAGCATAGGCTTCAACACAATAGGGAGAACATGAGGCAACTTACCGCATGAGCAGCGTCACCTAGTAACAAAACCCGATTCGTATGCCATCGACCATTCGGAGGCAAAACATGGATCGGATAAAGCGTCCAATCCTTGACCTTCTCGATCATCTGCCCGATCTTCGGAATACGTGAATCCTGAGATCTCCTAACTCCCTCCAGACGTACTCTCTCCTGATCTTTCCCAATAGACTTCCATCCCTCCCTTGACCCCTGCTCCTCCATCTCCATCAACAGCACCGTATAGATCAAGCTTCGAGCATCATCACAGAACGTCGTCAGTGCAGATCCATATCTCGACATAACAAGCGCAGTATCCTCAAAGAACGGCTTTTCCTCCTCAGCAAACAATTCCTTCGCCTCCACAAACCCATAAGCCGCCGCCCATCCAGAATAATCCGGCTCCCGATCCGCTTCAACCAAAACCCTCCTCGTCGCCGAATGAATCCCATCACAACCAAGCACTAAATCCGCAGTATCGCTCCCTCCATCCTCAAAATAAACATCAACCTGATCATCCCCCTCATCGATCTTCGTCAATTTCTTCCCATACAAAATCCGCACCGTCGGCATCCGCTCCGCAACACTGAGCATGGCTTTCAAAAGGTCGAATCGCATCACCCTCCACCCCTTATACCCGCCGAACCCCGTTCCATCAGCGCCAGAATAATCAATCTCCGCAATTTGACCACCCGTTCGCATTGAGAATAACTGGATCGCGTCTACTTCACAGCCCCACCGCTGGCGTTTCAACTCTTCAAATACATCTAGCTGGTCGAGACAGCGTAGTGCTTTGGGTGTGAGATTGACTGGGCCGCCGAATGTGCTGGGTGTGTCGCGGAGTTCGTAGACGGTTATTTGAGGTTTAATTTCGTGTGAAGAGAATGCTTGTGCGATTGCTATTGCGGAGGCGAGACCGCACATTCCGCCGCCGACTATGACGATGTTCTTTATTGGTGTTGTCATTGTGAGTGTGCTTGAGTGAGGTATGCTTTGGGGATGAAGGGTATGAAGTGACAAGGTCTGGAGCTTTTGAGAGAGATAAGAGGTTCTGTTGAGACCATTTTAAAGGGGAGAGAGTTTTATTTTTATGTGATGAGCTGACCGTTCTTGAGGATGCAGCTGTTCCTGTGCGATCCGAGGCTGAGAAATACGAATACGGACGCCGACGGTACGCCATTCGTGTTCGCCGATGTTAGGATTGGTTGTCCGATTTAAAGGAAGGCAAGAACGCCAATTATCGTAAGGCTTGTTGGTCCCATAGGTCACAAAAATCCCGTGTCTTATGGATTTACATTTCAGCCCACAGGAACGCTGGTCGGGACGTTCTACTCCGTGCATGGTCCACTCAATGTCTGGAAGCTCCGTATCACTGACCAGGTTCCTAATGGCAATCTTCCACCCCAAAAAGTGCGGCGCGTAGCGCATATTCGTAACTTGCGAGAATGCTAAATCTATCTAGGCTTAGGCAAAATGAGAATTGCCAAAGCGACGATACGCGATTGCTAATTCCACGATACACCCTTTATGTTGTTTTGTAGTGACAGTATTTCTATCTTTTAGAGTAGGGTTCTATACGTGTGCACAGAAGTAGTATCTATGCCATCAAGAAAGATGGTTCATAAGACAGTTAGAAAGAGATTCAGGAAGAGATTATAACCGTTTCCAACCCACAGATATCCACCGCCTGTCGGATTGTTGCAATCGGGTTACGGTGCCAGCACTTCAGAATTAGCCAGGAGGTGAAAGTCGTGGAGAAAGACAGGACAATGTAGCCCTCCAATTGCATCGGGCTGGATCAACCCATGTTGCACTTGATAGGCTTTGTACTGTTCACTTGTTGGTACTTGTCGTCTCACTTCTGGATCTCCCTTGGCAAGCATCAAACGGCGGTCTTTATCCCGCTCCTCGAAACGAATGAAATATTCAAGGTCGGAGGGAAAACCCGTAGCCTGGATCGGTGGTCTTATCGAACTCGGTGTGGCAGGTGCCGCATAGAAGAACTGCGTTGTCGGCCTTGGAAATATCATCACCGAGAAGGCCAATCTGTTGCCATTTATAGCGCTGTAAGGTATTATGTTAGCACTCAATCTGTGTACAGTATAATGTTGTGCTGTAGTACCTGGGTGTCCTCGATCGCAATGACATACTCCGCGCTCAGTGTCTCCATCTTGCGCCACAAGCCCAACGGAGATTGGTTTCTGATAGCCCTTGCACTTCCTTCTTAAGAAGGTCTGAGAATTTGTGTCAAGCTTCTCCGATTGTGCTCGCGACGCACGACTTGTCGGCGTGGGCGCAGGGTGTGATAAATGAGCGCTGGGCAAGGTGCCTGACTTGTCAAACGATGTTGGAGACGTCGGGGGTGGCATCACGTCACGATCTGGCAGAGTCATGATTGAGAATCTTTGCATGAGCAGGTATGAGATTGACTTACACCGCTGGGAATTATTCTCCCAAGATATTTAGAGAAATGATTCGAAAGATGATGCGAAAGATGATTCGAAAGATGATTCGAAAGATATCTCAAAGACATTTACAGGAGTCTTTTACCTAAGAGTGATCGAAGCATATCTACTTCCAGTCCGATTCTCTGGTTTCCAGACTCGGAATTTTGAACTGCCACTGTACCACGATCCCTGGTTCATTCCGATGATAGTACGTCCGACAAGGGCGCTCCGTAGCTCGGTGTAGCAGTCCACGGAAATGGGTCTAACTAGGGACTAGGGGATGTACCTTCATATACTTATCCAGTTCGTAAATGTAGGGGCAGCGCGCGCGCGCGAGAGAGAGAGCGCACGCGAGAAAAGATATAAGAGAACGTGTGCCAGACGTAGATTTTGAGAGGATGCGAATTGCCAGGATTCATGCAGGATTTCCCTTATTCGAAGGAGTTTAAGTATAATTGGGCCCTTGGAAGAAAGTATGGAGTATCGTACTAGTTAATAAACCTTAATTATACATGATGCTCAACTATACAGCGGTCTATATGCAATAAACCTATCCCTGTCTAAATTTCTTGGAATATCTGTCCCCCAGTCAGACCATTTACATGATCACAGGCAGGTTGCGCTGGAGGTAACCGCGCCACTCAGGGAGAGTACGCTGCCACTTAGTGCCAGAGGTCTTTTGGAGATCCTCAATAGCACTGGCATACTTGATCAGAGTGGGCTCCGAGAAAGCAGTGTTCATGATAGCCAGGCCGTAAGGCATGCCAGACACGGAGCCGGTACCAGCAGGGACAGTGATGACGGGGTAACCAGCCTGGGCGGCGATCTGGATGCTCTGGGCAACATCGGGAGGAACCAGGAGGCCGTCTAGGGTGCGGTTACCGTGCTTAAGAGCAGCGTCGATACCCTCCTCGCGGGTGGTGCGGCGGCAGTACTCCAGTGCGGAGAAGTAGGTCTCGTTCATGATACCCTTGCTCTCCAGAGAGGCGATGAAGCCGTCCTGGCCGGAGCCAAAGGCAGGGTGAATGCCGGGGAAACCACCCTCGGAGCCGTAGTTGTCCTCGTTGTACTTGACGAGATCCTCGAGGGACTTGATGTTGGTGTTGTTGACCTCGGCGAGGTAGTCGCGCAGGTTGTTGTAGAAGTCGACCTTGATGTAGGAGTACTCAGACTCGTTGGCGAAGCCACGGGTCGAGCCGTAGTCCCAGTTCCAGCCGGAGGGGGAGACGATGTCCTTGTAGTGGGGGAGCTCAGTGCCGTTGATGATGGTGGCGCCAGCAGACTTGATCAGATCGAGCAACTCCTCGAGCTGGGCGATCTGCTCGGCGTCGCCGAGAGCCCAGAAAGACTTCCAGGGCAGACCGAAGACGGCGCCCTTGAGGACGTCCTTGTTGGCCAGGAACTGGGTGTAGCCACCCTTGGGAGTAAGACCCTTCTGGGCAAGAGTGTAGTTGTCACGGGTGTCGACACCATAGATGGCATCGAGGGTGTACACCGCGTCGCGGACAGTCTTACCAAATGTACCGACGGTATCCTGGTGCAGAGACTCGGGAATAACACCAGCACGAGAAGTCAGGCCGACAGTGGGCTTGATACCAACGATAGCGTTGCGCTGAGCGGGGTTGATGACTGGAAATGGAGTAAGTGGTTGGCGGTTCAAAAAAGCCATTGAACAGGTTAAAATCACATACCACTTCCATCAGTCTCAGTGCCAAGGGCAATGGGGATCAGGTTAGCACCGACGGCGACACCGGGACCAGTGCTGCTACCACCGGGGTTGACGGTGAAGTTGTAGGCGCTGCGGCACTGACCACCACGGGCAGTGAAACCCTCGGAGTAGTTGTTCGAGCGCATATCCGCCCACTCACTCAGCGCACCTTTACCCAGCAGGAGAGCACCAGCCTTGCGCATGCCGTTGACGACAAAGGAATCACGAGGCACAACGCTTCCGAGCAGAGCCCAGCAACCAGCGGTTGTCTCCATGCGGTCCTTGGAGGCAATGTTGTCCTTGACAATGAAAGGAATACCGTGCAGGGGACCGCGGACCTTGCCCTTGGCACGCTCCTCGTCCAGCTTGCGGGCAATAGCGTGGGCATCCGGGTTGAATTGCAGGATAGCACTGGGTGGGAAGTCAGTTCTGGTCCGAGCTACGAGAGATCAAACAATCCAATTGCACTCACTTCAGATAAGGCTGGGTCTGGTAAATACGATCGAGATAGCAGTCCAACAGCTGCACGCTGGTCAAAGAGCCATTGCTCATACGCTTCTGCAGATCATCCACACTGGCCTCCTCCAGCCTAAACCCATGGCAAAGGCGCATTGGGAACAGGGAGGCGCCAGGGGCACCCAGGCGAGGGAAATCATAGGCATAAGGGTCCGTCAAGATCTGGGACGCGACAAGAGAGTCGACATCCCGTTCATGAGGGACCGCAATGGCCGAGCCAGCAAGGGCAAGGCCACTCACGAGAGCCTGCAGCATTGGCGACATGGTGAATGAGGTTGCGTCAACGGATGAATTGAATGGAGGAACCCCACCTAAAAACCATGTGGCAAGAGAATACGACGATCTCCAGGGGAGCTTGGCTACATATACCGAAAAGATTAGTGAAACCTTCCCTCACCCTCCTTGCACTTACAAGAGGTGAATTCGTGACTAATCCAAGAATGTTGGCCCACTTCTCGCCAAGTTGATTCACATCATCGACCATTTACTCCTCTTTGCTCTATTTGCGTACGGTAGCTTAGGGGGGGGGGCACAAAATCAATAGTGCCTCTTCAGTATGGACTCTATGGAGTCGTTCGGTGTGCCGTGATATCTCCATTGGCCTTCAATCACTCTCATCGCAGCAGATATCGGACGGATGCCTCGGAAGCCCCGTCAAGACCGTCGATACTGATGGGGAGGCGCTTGCAAGGGCGCTAAAACTTCATCAACCAACCAAAACGCTCAGCTTGCGCCCGTCGGCGCTATCTTCGCCTCCGATCTCCTATCAATCGTATGCTCCGTTCTCCACGACAGAATTGCCCTGAACAACCTTGTGGAAAAGTTTGACTACCTGCCTAAATTTTCATAGCTTCCAATTTGTGAAGAATCGTCGGAGCTTTAGGAGTCAAGACCCACGGGTCGGAGCCGGATCTTGACCAGTTTGCCTCGATCGCATCCACCGATCTGGGTCCACCTTATCCCATCCCAGTCCGTTGAGTGGTCTGTCAGTCATACCAAGTCAATTCTTAGTCTGGACTAGAATGCTGGTGATGACGCCAGCGGAATGAGAATTACGCGTTGAAAAAGCCTCTTAGGTTTGTCGCACTTTATGAACCTTGATGCTTGGCTTTATTAATATGCTTTTGGTATACTTTAAGACACGAGAAATAATTCTTTCGCCAAAACTTAGCCAAGCGATAGACACAGAGTAGTGATTGTACCTGCATCTTCTAAAAACCATAGAAGTAGAACGAATTGTGATATTCTGTTACTGGAAAAAAGCGGCGATATCATCACTCTCGCCCGGGGAGAAATCGAGATTTTCATCAAGAACCACGGACCAGGCTGGCGGAACAGAGCCTGTGAATGCTTCTTTGGGTTTTGATTGATCTGGAACAGGAAATCAATTTAGCTCCACTGGTTCCTGTTTCTCGAAGTCTCGGCAGACTCTCGGAGAGCGACTCATCGATCTCGTTGGCTGATCACTTCAGAAAGAGTTGCATTCTCCCACGAAGACCCGCTCCCGCGTCCACTTTCCTCTCCGTACTCGCTGCCCATGTAAGAAGTATTCTTCTTATCTCAAGCTCGAGGGTGGTTGTTCATTATAGCCGGATTGCGCCTCGCTAGACGTTCGTTACTTGCACTCTCGTTTCTTGAGGCTGTTGGCCATGTCTCGTTAATTTCTTGAATCTGTGCCATGCCATCTTATTGAACGATCAGTCATGACGATTCCCGAAGATATCCTCGCCGCAAATGCGACGGGTAGGATCCCCGATGGCATCTCTCTTTCGTATCTCGCAGAATCGCGGGATCACTCTGCTATTGTGGGCATTTTGTTCATGGTCTGTTTCGCGGGCTTGCTCGTGCTTGTCCGCTTGTATGCACGATTGTTCTTGGTGAAGAAACTTGGTCTGGACGATGCATTGGCTGTTCTCACTATGGTATGTGCATTTCTCAGCCCTAAAATTGACCCCCAGATCGCCCAGTGCTTTTCCAGGTGGAGCATCTGGATGATCATCGCTCTATGCAAAGATCTATCACCCATACATACATCAAAGAATGATAACTAACGGGATCACCAATTGCAGATTGTCTACATCGTTTTCGTCGTTCTCTCAGTCGTCCTGATCAACCTAGGCAGTGGTCGCCATATCGAATATATCCAATATGTTCTTTCCATGCCCACCGTCCGCGAAACTGAAGTTCTCGACTTCGTCGCCCACATTCTCTATACAACGGCTCTTTTCCTTTGTCGACTCTCCGGACTTGCATTCTACTTCCGCATTAGCGCACGCTCCAGCAAGCTACGACTGGGTATCATGATCGTGGCTGGTATCATTACCGCCGCCTATTTGCCCCAGATCTTCCTTTTGATCTTCCACTGCAAGCCCGTGACCGGTCTCTGGCCTTACGAATGGCAAACTGAGCCCATCACTTACAAGTGTCTCTCCTGGGGATTGGTCTACTCTGTCAACTCGGGCGTCTCTCTCGCCTGTGATGTGATGATGTTTGTCATTCCCGGTATCCTGATTAAGGAGCTGCACGTCTCTTTGAAAAAGAAGATTAAGCTCTCCATTGTCATGTTCCCTGGTGTCTTGTGAGTATACTCAGATCTCCCAACCCATCGAATATCCAACTAACGCATTTCCAGTGTAATCGTCATCTCCGCCATCCGTGTATGGCTCGTCGTCGTCGGACAATGGGCCTCCGACGGTAGCTGGGCCTACAACCCCATGCTCTGCGTCGAAAACGCCGAAATCTCAAGTACCCTGATCGCCCTCTCCGTCCCCGCCCTGAAGCCCGTCTTCGGAAACATCTTCAGCCACTTGACCGAGTACACCTCCAGCCACACGCGCTCCCGATCCGCCGGTGGTCGGTTGCGAAGCCAATCGAAGCCTGTGAGTGGTTTGGGATCGTCCACTCGGGATGACAAGAGGCTTCTGAATTGGTCTAAGCGTGGCCATGATGATTATGAGATGATGCCCTCTGAGGTGTCTATTGCTCGTGATGCACACAATCGAGACTCCACGGCTAAGACACCGGGCATTCGTGTCACGAATGAAGTGAATATTACGAGGATGGAGGGCGATAGGTCGCCTTCGCAGGCTTCTACGAGGGCGTCTGCTTCTTCTGAGCGAGCGAGATAGGATCTTGCATATATATTTAATGTAGACTAATTATCACTAAAAGCTTTTCTTCAATCACATTTTCCATACCCGGGTTTCCAGTACTATCAAGGCTAGCTTCGTGCCGGCGGGGACTCGAAATACATATTCATGTGCCGACGGTGTCAGGTATTTGTTTTTGTGAGATTCCATTATGCAGATGATATTATTCTTGGAAGTTCTAGGCTCCAAGAAATCCCGCATTACTTATATCTCTCATTATTGAGCACCAGTCAATGTTGCATTCGTCAATAAAATGACATCTATCGCGAGCCTTGTCTGCCATGCCAAGCCGGACCCCACCCTGTCAATGCATTGGAATGAAGTCACATTTTCATCATTCTGGAAGAGGGTGTTGAATCAATACCTATTGTAGTAACTACTTCAGCTTCGCTCGATCGAAGCTGGAATGTTTGAGGGTTGCCAGGGCAGTGATATTTAATTGTCGGTGTCAGTCGGCCTTGAAGTTCTCGGCGAACCTTCAAAGCGACCGAACCATACGGCCCGCACGATGCCCTGTTAAGTTGCAGCAGGGATCGCTGCTTAGAAATATACGTGCTTACCAACCTATACTTGAACACGGAGCCTCGTGCCCAATTAGGTAAATGAATTCAGTCTTGGTTATTGCATGACTTGGCCTTCAAGAGGATAAGAAGGACTTGTTTGGTCGCTCTCGATCACCTTGTGTTACAATCTACCTCAGTTCGGCGCCCCGTAATACGCAATACGCCTACATCCGTTGAAAGAGCGTGCTATCGATAACCGAAACATACTTTCGAATTGCTCTATCAATTGAATCTTCACTATGACCCTCAAGTATCTCATTACCGGTGCTACGGGCGGTCTTGGCTCTCAAGTGCTTTCCTACCTCGTCGCCAACGTCCCCGCATCAGAATACGCGGCCGCTTCTTCAAGCGAAGCAAATCGCAAGCGATTTGAAGACAAGGGAATCGCATTCCGGGTGGTCAACTACGAAGATCCCGAGGGCCTGGAGGCCGCTTTCCAAGATGTTGAGAACCTGCTGTTTGTGAGCACCAATACGTTTGACGTCGCGAAGCGGGAGAAACAACATCAAAACGTTGTCGATGCGGCGAAGAAGATGAATGTCAAGCATGTAAGTCTGGACATAGCATCCCTCGAATGATTGTAGGAACTTCATCTAATCCGGAACAACAGGTCTGGTATACGTCCCTCGCGTTTGGCGGGTTCGGGTCCTCCGATGCAGATGTGCAAAGTGCCCATTTGCTGACCGAGGAGATGCTGCGCAAGTGAGAAAGCCCATCACAAACATGCAAGTGTAGTGATACCATTGCTAACTGTTCCGCTAGGTCTGGCCTCAATTACACCTCCATGCGCGAGGGCCTTTACACCGACGCATTCCCCGTCTTTATGAACTGGTATCCCAGCACTTCGGTCATGCATCTAACGACTGACGGGCCTATTGCCTTTACCCTGCGTGCAGAGCTGGGCGAAGCCACCGCCCGATTGATGATTCGAGGCGGTCACAACAAGCAGATTGTTCTCCTAACAGCTCAGGAAACCATCACTTTCTCGGAGGTCATCGATGTTATCAACGAGACCACGGGTCGAAACGTGCGGGTCGAGTTCGTTTCCCCGGAGGAGTTTGTGCGATTGAAGGCTACCGATGACGAAGGCGGGAAACCAGAGGCATTTTTCCAGAAGCTGGTGTCGTGGCATCAGTCGATTGGCAAGGGAGAGGCTGCGACGACGGATCCGTTGATGGCGGACTTGCTGGGGAGAGAGCCCACCCCGGCCCGAGAGGCGATCCGGGGATTTTTGAGGGAGAATCGCGACTATGAGTGGCATCAGAACTATGTGAATCGAGGTTAGTGTGGTAGTAGTCAGTGTTAAATGTTGAGCATGGTGAGACCAAGTGTCAGGGTGTCATTGCAGGCGTTGTGATTTGTTGCATGTGAGTGCCGTGGAGAGGAGAGCCACTGCACCGAGGCAGGAAGGAAGACGGTGACGGGCAATTGGTTCGGCCGGGGAAATTGGTTCTTGTTTGCTCGGCAACTGAGTCGGGAGTTGCTGCCTTGCAGCCTGAGGCGGGAAGGTGGGAGACGAGGCGAGTATTGTATATAGAACAGATTTATATGAGGATACAGTAATACAGCTGGTATGGTCTCTTATTCCTACCCCTTCCTAGTCTATATATCTTAATTCTTATGTAGTCTCGCTGGTAGCACTTACCTCGATCGGCAATTGAGCAGCGGCAATACTCACAGCCATTGCTGGCACACAGTAAATCCAGGCGACGCCGTGTCCGCCCGACGCTTGCAATTAGCCCGGCCGTGATTGGCCTATGCTCGCTGACTCAGCACGCTGCCGACCCTCAAACCCGAGGTTAGTATGCCGGACTCCTTGACTTCATTTTGTCGCCATCGTCAGTTCTTCCTAACGGTGAATTCCAGGCCTGACTCCCGGCTCCGTCTCCTTGTGACCCTCTCACCTCCTCTCACGTCGCGATCGTCCGGCGTGCTTTGATATCCTCTGCTTCGACAAGTTCCCCCCCGGGCGGATCTTGCATTTTCAACCTCTTCTCTATTCGCCCGCCATGGCCTCCCTCCGCACCACCGCCCGCCTCTTCGCTGCGTCGCGGCCGCTGTTCCGGCCCGCCAGCTTCGCTCGCTCCTATGCGACCGTTGAGGCCAAGTCGGTCGACCCTGTTCCCTCCGACAACCCCAACATGAAGACCTTCAAGGTCTACCGCTGGAACCCGGACACCCCGACCGAGAAGCCCACCATGCAGAGCTACCAGCTCGACCTCAACAAGACCGGTCCCATGATGTTGGATGCCCTCATCCGTATCAAGAACGAGCTCGACCCGACCCTGACCTTCCGCCGTTCCTGCCGTGAGGGTATCTGCGGTTCTTGCGCCATGAACATCGACGGTGTCAACACCCTGGCCTGCTTGTGTATGTGCCTCGATTTCCCCACAGACCGGTCAATTCAAGGTCAATTGGATCTTCAATGCGCGCAGATTGACTGACGCCCCATCTAGGCCGTATTCCTACCGACACCGCCAAGGAGTCTCGCATCTACCCTCTGCCTCACACCTACGTCGTCAAGGATCTCGTCCCCGATTTGACCCTCTTCTACAAGCAATACAAGTCGATCAAGCCCTACCTCCAGCGTGATACCCCTACTGCCGATGTGAGTGACCTCTCCGGACGACCCGCAACTTCATAGTTTATCGCAGGAACTAATTGATTTTACTCTGATAGGGTCTCGAGAACCGCCAAAGTCCCGCGGACCGCAAGAAGCTCGATGGTCTCTACGAGTGCATTCTGTGCGCCTGCTGCTCGACCTCCTGCCCCTCATACTGGTGGAACAGCGAGGAGTACCTTGGTCCTGCTATCCTCCTCCAGTCTTACCGCTGGCTGGTCGACTCACGTGACGAGAAGACCGCCGAGCGCAAGGCCGCTCTCGACAACAGCATGAGCGTGTACCGTTGCCACACTATCCTGAACTGCACACGGACCTGCCCCAAGGGTCTGAACCCTGGTCGTGCTATTGCTGAGACCAAGAAGATCCTGGCCGCTTAGATCTGGATATAAAAACGGAGTTGGAGATCCTCATTTTTTCCTTTCTGTCACTATGTCTTTGCCAGCCTCTTTTCATCTGTTATCTTGTTTACTACCTTAACCATTTTTTCTCTCTCTTGATCTGTTCCCGGATGTCTCAATAGGTGTATATTGTGGAAATTTGATTCTTACATGAATGCATTCGTGATCCGTTAGACTGATATCGGCCTGTGGAGAAACTTGGTCGTCGGAACGTCTTATTCGGCTATATGAGATCTCGCTCTTACCGGTTCTCTGTCGTACAGCACAACCACCATGACAAACCCCACCAATTCACGCATTTCGATCTGATTAGATGTGACGGTCTTTATATTGCGTTTCATCTAACCTACTTTCGTCCAAGATTGTTGGAGGGCATACCCCAGGCTTCGATTCCCCGGTTATTTGTTTTTACCCCTAAGGCTTGGCACTTGAGGCTGACATGAGCACGTGATCGATGGCGGACCGATCACCCGTCCACCAGTTGATCGAATGCCGAGGCCAGAATGGGTTAAAGGTCGTCGATCGGGCATCGATCAAGCAACGGCCTCCCGGCGTTCGTTGCTTTTTCTTTGGAAATTGGTCACCATGCATAGGTTGGTGACTGACTCTGGCACCCCCACTTAGATGATTTGTTATAACCAACAGCGCCTCGTTGACTGGAATAATTAGTCACAAGTTCCAACGGGTGAGGATCTCGCCATGCACGTTTGACTGTGCCTGCTTTTTAGGCTATCACACGCTCTCGAGTCCGAGATCAAACGGGACGGAACGCGATCCTTGTAAAGACCAACAGCATTTGCGAAGGGCTATTTGCTATACCAGGGCGCTTCTTACGAACGCTGTCCTTATTGAGGACTAGTATAGGGGTTCATGGGCTCGTGCGGCTGTAGTATCGTGGTATTATAGAATGGTTTCTTTGATATCAGGAGGGATCCGCAGCCCCCAGATGCAAAATCACGAAGGCATGTAACCAGTCACAGTCAATGACTCCATATAGTCCAATTAGGTCGAGTCCGGTCTACCCCCTGTGGGTTTGCTTGAACGATGGGCTTGTACCCCTCTTCTGTTCTTTGTTCTCCTTTATCGTCATTGTCTCTTTGTTAGTGATACAGGTCTCAAGTCTTGCCTCGATTATTGAAAGGCGTAGATTCAGCATGATGAATGACTCTATCCTTGTCTCTGTCCTCGGACTGATATCCCTGGTTGTAGGATTACTCACAGCCAGTTATCGACTGTATGCCCATCCGCTAGCTGGATTTCCTGGTCCTAAGTTTGCAGCCGTTACATTCCTCTATGAATTCTACTACGACGTTGTCAAGGGTGGCATGTACATCTGGGAGATAGAGCGTATGCATGAGAAATATGGTACGTCTGCCAGTTCGTCAGATCAAACCGAAATTAAATGGAGTTGGTTCGATTGACTCGGGACGCCTAACATGCATCATATCCAGGTCCTATCGTCCGCATCAATCCTCGCGAGCTACACGTCAAAGATCCATCCTACTACGACGTCATTCATGCCGGGGCCTCTCGTAAACGAGCCAAAGATCCCAAGTACGCCGTGGCTTTCGGGGCACCAAACTCTCTCGTCGGAACCATAAACCATGATCATCACCGTCTTCGTCGCAGCTACTTGAGCAATTACTTCTCAAAGCGATCCATTACTAGTTTGACACCATACATCCACCAGAAAGTGGATCAATTAATCAACCGATTCGAAAATGCCTACCATCAATCAACAGTTCTTCACTTACAACTGGATTTTGCGGCCCTTACCGCGGACGTTATTACACATTATTGCTACGGCTGGAGTTATGGCTACCTAGATGATCCCAGAAGTGCACAGAGCAATGATCTCGTCGACGCAGTCGCAGGGTTAATGACGATGTTCCATATTAACCGCTTCTTCCCTTTCCTATTCACAGTCTTCCTGGCCGCACCACAAGGAATCGTGCGCTGGATACAACCACAAATGGCGAGCCTGTTTGAGGTCAAGGCTAGACTGCGCCAGCAAGCCGAAGATACCCTCAAGAAGAAAAAGGATCAAGATCTTGACTCATATGCAAGCGATACTATCTTTGACGCCCTGGTGAGTCCTAGTGTGCCTCCTCAGGAGAAGACGTTGGATCGCTTGGAAGATGAGTCTGCGTTGCTACTCGGGGCAGGCACGGAGACTACTGCGAGGGCTATTGCGGTGTCCATGTTTCATCTCATGAATAATAAAGAGATGAGTCTGAAATTGCGCGAGGAATTGAAGACTGTGCTCAAGAATCCTCAGTCTAAAGCTTCATGGACCGATCTTGAAAAGCTGCCGTATCTGGTAAGGTCTTCAATGGGCTTCCTTATTTCTAGTTGATGTAAAAATGCTGACTCCCAGCTGCAGACCGGTGCAGTCAACGAAGGTCTCCGCCTAAGTCATGGTATGACCTCTCGTCTAGCTCGGATATCACCTACCGAGCCTATGGTCTATCAGGACTGGCTCATTCCACCTGGAGTAAGCATATAGCTCTCTCGAATACGCTCAACCCCAGGATTAAATATCGATGTGCTAATTAATCGCAGACTCCCGTCAGCCAGTCAAACTATTTCGTACATATGGATAGAGAACTTTTTCCCGAACCAGAAAAGTTCGACCCAGACCGATGGGTTCGTGCTGCGGAGAAAGGCGAGCATCTTGGCCGATTTATTGTCGCATTCACCAAGGGTAGTAGGCAATGTTTGGGAATTAAGTAAGTCACATATTATCGTTCCTCGTACTGCCTTTATAGTTACTAATGATTATTCAGTCTCGCCTATTCAGAAATCTATATGACATTGGCTCATATAGTTCGGCGATTTGACTTTGCACCTTTCGAAACTACTGCTGAAGACCTGGCCGTCTATCGCGAACAGGGCGTTGGTTTACCTAAATCCGGGTATTTTGGCGTGAAAGCCATAGTCACCAATATTATGCAGGACTAGAATTTGATGTCATAATAGCTTGTTTTCTTCAATAATGGACCTGGGAGATATTTGAAATTGCCGAGATTGGGCAGATTTGACCGTTGTGGATATTCTGTGTGGCGATGTCTGATACATACTGCAGTACCAATGTTACAAGATCATCAGAATTTTCTTAATGGGTTAGCAGTGAGATCACTCTATTTTACTGAACATTAGGCAACATGTCATACCATCGACTCTAGGTTTCTAGGTGATCGTACAAGGGAAAAGTCGACTGGCTATGGAGACAACCGCTCCGTCCAAGGGAAGGCGACGAAAGACCACCGTAAACCAATCTATGTAACGGAAATCGGCTAGAACACGTCCTTATCTGGGCCGTTCACTTGATTTCCTGAACAATTGTTTCCAGGACATGTACCGAAACCTGATGTGGTCTGAGGTAGGTATTCGCCGTGTAGGTATAACCCGGCCGGGTAGGGATTGCCCGTGTGGGCTTTCACCTACCCATAAGGGGTGGGTGGGTATTTCCCGAGCACGTCTCATTCTCCTATGGAGGATCCATGTAGGTATAACCCATGTAGGGATTTCCCGCCTGTCGGTCTTAGTGCAGATATAAGATGAAACCGTCAGTCGAGCTTCTCGAGCTGGTCTAAAGTGTTGAATCATACTCCCTCAATCCAAATCATGGACATCCTTCTTGATGTTCTCGACACGTTCGTTTTTGATCGACTCTATGCATCGATATTGCCTGATACCAATACAGGCTCTGAAGCCATTAATTCGAGCCTCTTGAACCAACATGTCAAGGTCTATCTCCCCTTGGATCCATCTAGTTGGGCAGAAGCCAGTCTATTGAAGCGAGACAATATGGCGAGACAAACCTTGTCCCTATTTTTGATGATCTGGTAAGTTGCAACCTGGAGTTGAAAATTTGACCTGTCTAACAATAAATATTCCTATTAGGTTCTTCGGCCTAGCCATGTACCTCATCGGTAGCTTCATCATGTACCACACAGTATATGACAAGCGCCTCCTAAAACACCCACGATACCTCCCAAACCAAATCCAGCAAGAGATCAACCAAGGCCTCTCTGCGATGCCCGTCATGGCTATCCTCACAGCACCTCTTTTCCTTGCAGAGGTGCGCGGGTGGTCCAAACTCTACAATTTCGCAAGCGAGGCACCATTTCCAGGATATAACTGGCTGCAATACCCCCTCTTTATCTGCTTCACCGACAGCGGAATCTATTGGATTCACCGTGGCTTGCATCACCCTCTTGTTTATCGCTGGCTACATAAGCCACACCACAAATGGGTCGTTCCGACACCTTTCGCGAGCTATGCATTTCACCCTCTGGACGGTTGGTCACAAAGTCTGCCATACCACATCTTCCCCTTCCTCTTTCCGCTGCAGAAGGTTGCATACCTGGGATTGTTCGTCTTTGTCACAGTTTGGACTGTTCTGATCCGTAAGTGGCTGTCATTATCGATCTTATGAGAATTGCTCTAACATAGACAAGATGACGCCGAGTACCTTTCCACCTCCGAGATTATCAATGGTGCAGCATGCCACACTATGCATCACCTTTACTTCAACTATAATTATGGCCAATATATCACAATCTGGGATCGACTGGCGGGTACATACCGCAAGCCTGAGGAAGACGCCTTCATAAGGGATCAAAATTATACCGGGAAGATCATTGATAAGGAGGATTGAGGATGCGACCAATAGTTTGTCAGGGTTTTGATTTGTATATATTTTACTAGCATGTATTATTAATTCATAACTTCATGAAGCGCTCCGATAGCACCATTGAATGAACTCATTCAAGTTTCCTAGTTCATCAGTCGCAGCGTTGTCGAGATATGCGAAGCTCTTTTCATCCTTGCTGGCCACTTCTAGCGTAGCATTCAAGAGCCACCAAAGTTCTTCGGCATGTTTAGGGTAGCCAAGATGCAATAGCTGTTCTTTTCCCAAAGATCCCACGACCACATCCCACATCCGTTTCCAATTATCGGCAGCCCGACTAATTGTTTCAAGCGATAGGTACTTGAGTAGGCCCGACCTGGCCTGAAATGCGAGGGAATTTATAGCTAAGAAATCAATGTTAGTAATTGTTGCCCTCCGGAAAATTTGCGTTGCTTGCCGTAAATGAGAATAAGAAGATGCTCGGGATATAATGACGAGCTCCAGGGCGTTGGACCAGCGTTTCTGGGAGTTTCAAGTAACTGCTCCACCACCTCGCTCAAAGGAGGAAGAGGAGTCTCTTCTGAATTGGCTGTGGCAATTTTACCGAAGGACGAGGCATCCTCGGCTTCCCATAGCTCAGCGCTCCAGGCAAAATGACAGTGCATCTCAAAAACCGATAGTGCTGGATGGTTTTTGAAGCAAACGGTGAGAAATCCGTCCGCAAGGAAGACCCAACATGCAATTCTTGAGAGGAGTTAGCGATGACATTCTGCGTAGGAGCAAGCATTGAGCCTTACCTAATACACATCTCCTCTGCCACCAGCATTCTCCATGTCCAGTCATCACAGACCTTGGGAGCTGTGCTGCGCTTCAATTTAAGAATCCCGAGGGACCTTATTGTAGATACCAAACAAGGATGTCTGATAATACGGATGCGATGTCTGGTTTGTATGTCATCTCGTCCAAATTGGAGCATTTCCATTATGAGGGCGCCTTGTATCAACTGCACGGTAGGCATCACATGCGTGGGATCCTCCGGAGAGGCTGCATTCGAGAGGTTCGCGATTTGACGGAAGATATACTCCTCTGCCACGTCGAATATCCACGGCGAAAAATTCGTACCGTCCAAAGGAAGACTATACGCTGCACCGGCTAACGAGATAGCCAAGAGCAGTGAACTGGAAACGTTGCCCGGGTCGAATGTTGGGAAATGAACGATCGGCAAATGCCAGTGCAGAGATTGAAAAAAGGCTGATATGAAAGCTGAAATATTAAAAACGCTCAACATCGCAGTCAATTCCATGATGTCGAGTGGTTGCTGGATATCTTCGGGCCCATTGATCATTGATTTTGATGTTTCAACCAGCTCAGTCATTAGTTGAGTAAGTTGATTTGACAGTTTCGAGGGAAAGAGAACTTCAGATGGGTATTCAGAGAGAAGATAGTCCGTGGATGAGGCAAGCTGAGTGGAGAATTCAGACATATGAAAATTCCCAGAAAACGCCGCCATCGGGTCTGCGGGTACGAGAGCGTCTTCAAGATGAGAATATAAATTTTCAAGATTTCTGCGAATGGAGCATTTTGCAGTCTCCCCTATCGCAAGCCTGTCTTTGTGGACCGATGGGCTGGCAAAGTGTCGAAGAAATGAGAATGGAGCCCCACCGTTTGGAACCCTCCGCGAAGTATTGATCAATGGTGAAGGCGACAGTGAAGAGGAGACAAGAGCAGAACAAGTAGTATCGGCAGATGCCTCAAAACTGCATTGTCTCTCTAAAGACTGGCAACGAAAGCACGGCGATCCTCGATCGCAAGCTGCTTTTGCTGAGAAACATGCTTGACAGGACAGTCGCTTCCGGCCAGGTCGAGCTGCAGGAGGCAGCGGCTGATTGTTCTTTTTGGCGCATATCTTGCTATGTCTTCGAGTTACCTCCCTTTTTTGAAGTCAGCGAAAATCACATTCTCAGGTAGGGCAGAACAAGGTGACGTACGGTTTCTGAAACGATTTATTGCAAAATGGGCAGCTGGAAGTCAGCTGGGAGTTATCTATCACTTGGTCAATTTAGAGCTCCAACATTGCCATATTCGGATCCTTTACGTGTTGTCTCATGGCGCAATAGATGCGTCTTTCTTTGATAGGCTTTATCACACTGCGAGCACTGGAACATGATGTCTATAGACCGGCTACGCGACAGTTGACTGTGAAATCCCCTAGGATTTGGTCACGTAAGCCATCAGTCGAGCTCGGGAGTGTCGGGTCCGGCTTTGCCGACCGAGTCCGAATGCCCGCGTCTTAGGCACGCCGCCAATGGAAACATAATTTCGGCTACTTTCCTTCTTAAAAAAGCATTATCTTCCGTCGGGGCTAAAAGAATATCGCTGAAATTATCAAATAGAATCTGATGCGTCTTGTTGCGGGTATGGACTGCGTAGGCTACGGCAATTATCAGGATTCGCGTGTTTATTTCGACACGAAGCGTACACCTACAGAAGAATATATATCTTGGCCACGGCTACTTGCAGTACTAACCGTCGCCGGGAAGACATCACCGCTGCTTAATGCCAACCCACCAATCGTGTTGACTAGAAACCAATCTTAGGCACTAATGGACATAGATTTCTAAAGTTCAATTTCTCTTTGTATCTAGTTTGATCGAAATCAAGGCCTATCAATCAACCACTATACTTATTTTACTTCTGCAAGAGCTCCCCACCTATACCAGGGAAACGTAGATAATCATGGTGCTAACTTGATAAATTGGGAGAATTGAATCTTATTGTTGTGCAGATTTGAGGTTTCAAAATAAACATTCATGATTTCCCTTGGTTCTACAGTCAAAATCGCCTAGGCCGTCTACAAGAGCCTCTCTTAACCAAGCAGTGGAAGAGGCACTTCCTTAGACCCGATTATCAACAAACTGGCTATGCCCTCATGGATCTGTTGCGATGAAAGAAGGTTCAAGGTGGCTGAAAAGCGCATACTGCCAAGCCTGTCTTGATAAAGACCAAGGGATGCTTAAACAGGTGCCTCAATGCTTAAGATGATCCATTGCACCCATTTAGATGGGCTAAGTCAAGGGTACTGCTGCGCCGTTACATCTGCATCGGACGGGATAGGAATGTGCATGTGTTCCAATGGGCCAAAGCACGGAAAATAAGGAGGCAGGAGGAGACCAAGGATCGCTAACAATGGTCGGCGAAAGTACTTGTGGACTCGTTGAAGGCGGACTCCCGGTTTGATGGATGAGGAGGCGGGTACTGCAAGGGGTTACCCAGGTTGCCAGCAGAATGAGCCCTATCGTGCCTGAATATCCCTATCTAGAACATTTACCATTGTAAAGGAGTCCTTTGTGGATGAAACACACATACTAGTAAGCCATTGTGAAATTTTCGTTAAGGTACGTTAGAAAGCCTGAGTTAAGTGTCGCTTGGAGCTCGCTATATACAGCGACCAGTCTGAACAGTCCAGGGCCATAAAATATTTGACGTAATGAGCCTCAGGAGAAAAATAAGCGGTCGGTGCTGTAAATAGGTGCCAATTACATGAATTATGCGTCCTCTTTGGTCCCCAGCCTCTTTCCAATCATTTAGATAGTCCACCTATATCATGCTCGCCCTCAGAACCCCCAAACTCGTCTCTCAGAAATGTGGGCGTTTGGTGAGAGGAGACAGCTCAATGTTTATAGCAAGCTCCAACCACTAATGAGCCTTGACAGGTAACTCCAAGGCTGATCATTCCACAGATACCACTGCTGATTCGTGGACATGCCGCTGAATTCCAACCACGTCCCTAATTCTCCATACCAAGAGGACTTACCCGCCCCGTATGCTATGCTGCCCTCGTCATCCATTAGAGCCGACGATGATCTTTATCAATGCGCTGGTGTCCGGCATGGAGGTCACAGACGACAAAAATTCACAACAAACCGACGATCAACAATCTCACCATTCTCGCCAATCTCAACATAAAAGCCTACACGCCCTTTACTCCTGGCTGCAAATCCTCTTTCCGACCCTCTACGCTCCTTAGTATTCCCTAATCAGAGGCTATTACACTCCTTCAAGCCTTTCAATATGCACACTTCCTACGTTTCTCTGGCGGTCTTCGCCATGGGCGCCGCTGCTGTCCCAAACATGCCGAAGCCAGACGGCAATCCTTTCGGTGGCAGCACCTTCCCTTTCATGCCCTCCGGAAGCTCCGCTGTGGAGGATGATGATGGCATGTCCAACCCAGTGCCTGCTTATATGGCTGCCATGGAGGCCGTTGAGGAGGCCCAGGGCGGTGCATACAACAACCCTACGCCCATTCAGCAGGCAGCTCCATCGTCGATGCCATTCCAACCGCAGACGCCTGTCGCTCAAATTGCCCCCGAGCCGGTTGCTCAGCCTGTTGAGGAAGCACCACAGCCAGCTCCTATGCCGGAGAAGGCCCAGCCTGTTCAGCCTATGCCTGTCACTCCCAAGCCGGCGAGCGATGACGACCAGGCATTTGATGCACCCATGATGCAGCCCTCGGCGCCTGCTCTGGAGAACCCTATTCCTGAAATCCCCGATTATGCTGTCCCCTCGTCAATGTCATCGGTCGTTGCGCATGTCAAGCCCAGCCCGGCATTCTCTGCTGTGTACGAGTACTCGTCGTCAATGTCTATCATGGTCTCCGTGCCAGCCTCTTCTTCCATGGCTCCTATGATCATCCAGGCTACACCTGCACCTGAATCTATGCCGATGCAGATGGCCCCAGTCACCATCGTCCCCATGCCTGTGTCATCTGTTGTGCAGACCCCAATCGCCAAGCCCTCTAGCTTCACAACCCGTCCCATCGTGACATCGACCTCCCTCACTGCGCCGAAGCCCGCGGCTCACTCCGCCAACATTCACGAGATGCACCTTGCTTCCATGTCTGCCAGCTCTAGCGTTGTGCACGCTACTCCATCTAGCTCGGCTACCCCATCGCCCAGCGCAAATGCTGTGAACGATGCCAGTAGCATGCTCAGCAAGCTTCCCATTGTGGGTGGTCTTCTCTCGGGCCTTGCTGGAATGTTCTAATGTGATGCGACTTTTAATTCATCTCGTTTGCAACTTTTTGTTTTGAACATATCCATCAAGGGATAAGGACGGCTTACTTTTCTGGAGGGGTTTTTTGATATCCAAGAAAATTTTAATCGAAAAGGCGTTTGAGTTGGAGTTGGAACCGGGTTAGCACGCTTCTATTCCTTAAACATAACCAGATTGAATAGTCTGAATACAATTCTATTTCAAAAGATAACTCGCTCCTCATGCTCCGATCTCTCAAGGGTATCTTCCAGTAGCGCCCAGCATATCCATGCATCTCTCAACCGCCTTTTGCATTTCATTCGTGGCCTCTTCAAGCAGAGTTGTCAAGGGAACCTTGCCGGCCTTTTCTTGTTGCACCTTGATGTACTCATTGTTCAAGACCTTGTTGATGTTGATCTTGGAAACACCACAGTCGATGCACTTTTGGAAGATCTCCTTGGTGAAGGGATCCGCACCGTGCAGTACCAGGCGCACCTGCTTGCCCACAGCATTGTAGATGGACTGGAGTCGTTCGTACTCCAGCTGGATACCGCGAGGCCCATACTCGCCATGGACGTTACCGAAAGCCGGAGCCAACCAGTCAATGCCAGTGTCTACAAATTCCTGAGCCTCATCAGGCGTTGTCAAGACACCCTCCAGATCCACTGTATCGGCAATTCCATCTTCCCCGCCCTCGATGCGCCCGGGCTCCGCTTCCGTCGCGATACCCCGCGCATGGCAATACTCGACCAACTCACGAGTCAATGAAAGGTTCTCGGCTTTCTCGTAGTGCGACATGTCCACCATGATACTGTCAAATCCACCCAGATCGGCCGCCCGGCGAATGATATCGGGGGTTTGAGCATGATCCATGTGAACGGTGATAGGGACCGATGCGTTGCGGGCCGCCTCTGCGGCGGCGTGCACCAGGATACCGTCGGCATAGTGCACAGCCCATGGGAAGAGGAGGATCATTGCTGGTGAGCGCTTGGCTTCTGCGGCTCGGACTGTTGCCAGGATGCCCTCCACGTTGTAGCAGCACATTGCGGGCACGCCATAGTGGTTCTCAGCGGCATGGTCGAGGATGCGCAGGGCGCGGTTTTCGGTCGTGAGAGGCATTGCAGCTTGAAGAGGTGGAATGGAGGAGGAGAGTGGGGGAGAAGGGTTGAATTAGGGGTAATAATCTATCGCAAGGCTCAGCTGGAATTCCCCCACTCTGTTATATACGAGAATCATCGTTCTGTCAGACTGTTGCGAAACCTCGCATATTGTCCGAGCCCTCGGAGAAGACCCGAGATGGGCGCTCTACGTCAACTTGACCGCGGCCTGAATTACCCCCACCCCCACGATTCAGGGTCCCAAACAGCCGAAGGGAGAGATCGGCCGAGAGTGTTCTGGTCAGTGCTGGTGCAGCATGAGGCGGAGTGTGGTCCTGTGTCGGAAAGTGGTCAAATATCGCTAGACGGTGGTTTTAACGAAAGTTACGATTTAAAGATGTAGCAGTTGGCAACGAAGACATTGGGGGGCAATGTGAGCGCTAGATCAAAAATGCTCAATAAGCTACATTCCTAGTTTTTGCCATTATTCATTGCATTCACAATTGGTAGAATAGCAAATAGATTTTGAAAATTATGAAAAATGATTATAAACAGATTATGGGATATCTAGACTAAATTCCAAACACCTTGATCACACTGGTGCTTCCCTCAGCACCAAGTCCTGCCCTCTTAGCCATGAGCAAAACACTCATGGCCGCATTGCCCAAGTTCAATGGGCAGTGCAGGTCTCGTGCCTTCTGTACAGCCTTCTCCAGACGGTTAATAACATCATTGACTGTCTCGGAGTTCTGTCCAATGCGGCCCTCGATCATCTCCAGACCCTTGGTCATGAACTGCTTGCTAGAGCCTGCAGCATCACTGACAAGGGTGAAGAACTGCTTGAGATCAACTTCGAGGTACTTGGCGAAAGAAATAGCTTCCGCTGCAGCCACAAGGTTGGTCAATTGCATAACATCAAGCACGAGCTGGAGAGCTTCGGCATTTTCCTCGGTAGATTTGGTATTCGAAACCTTCAGGACTGGCTCTGAGTAATATTGGCGAACCATAGACGAGTCATCAACGGGTCCGTAGCCCTGGAGCAAAGCAGAAAGATACACTTGCTCAGCCGTGGAGCAAAGGGGTGTAGGGAACTGGTTCTGACGGGCGGAGGTAGTGATAATTCCCTAAAAAACTGGTGTTAGTAACGAGTTTTCAAGACAAAGCCGCCAGTTCAAAACTTACCACATCCTTGAGAATGATTGTCAGGGCACTAGCACCGGGGTGCCAATCCTCCTCCAGCATGCGCTGCAGACGATTCTCATGCATCCACGTCCATGAGTCAGACGACTTAATAGCATCTGCAGTTTTTGTGGCATCCAAGCCCAACTGAGCAGCAAATCCCATAGCCTCGCTAGCACCGAGAATGTGAATACCCGCCAGCACCTGATGAACCATCTTCATATTGCTTCCGGCACCGATTCCTCCAGGGACGAGATACAGCTTGTTCGCATCGGACATGGCCTGGAGCAGGAATTTACCCTTCTCTAGAGCAGCGTCTGACGCACCAGCCATAATCGACAAAGTGCCATCAGCAGCACGCTTAGCTCCGCCAGAGACAGGAGCATCGATGAACTGAATGTCGCCACGGCCAAGCGATTGCAGCTCGGCCGCGACGGACTGAGCATAGGACGCAGGGACGGTTGAGCAGAGAAGAAGGGTCGCGTTCTGAGGGAGAGCTATAGGGGAAGTTAGTATTTTGTCCCATTTTCTCATTCAGCGCTCGTTAATACACACCAGAAACAATGCCATCCTCGCCAAAGAGAACAGACTGCACCTGGGGTGCTGAAGCGACCATGCAGACATAGTACTCCTTCCCATCAGCAGATTCTTTCAGTGATGAGGCAGGGATTCCTCCAGCTGCCTTGAAGCGCTCCACTGAAGCGGGGAAAACATCGAAGCCGTGAACGGGGTATCCCTCCTTCACAAGATGGGTGGCCATGCCGAAGCCCATGGCTCCAAGGCCGACAAATCCAACAGCAGGCATAGACATGATGTGAAATCGATAATTGAAATTGTGAATGAATATTCAGGAAAGAGCGACAAATCTACAAGAAAAGACAGGAAATACCATTGAGCGTGGGGGTTATGAGGGGCTTTTCTGGGGAAGCCTCCGCGTGGGATGTTCGGCGGAAGTCCGATTGTCTGAGCGTGGAGTGCCCGCCCGGACCGAGTGGTGGTGTAAGTGAGAATGACATCGTGGTTTTAGCCGGGAAAATGGGTCGATTGAGAGTTCGGCTAAAATGCATAGACTGTTTTACATACTGTACAGAGCAGGATTTGACTCCTACTGTAATCTCTCCTGGCCGAGATAATTGATCGCGATGAGAGAAGGCGTTTCAGACCGTGAAGAATACCACAGTCATGAGAACAAAAATCTATGCTATTTAATGCGGTCTAATCAGAAAGAGACATTTAAATTATGAAGCAATGACAGGTCAATGATTGTTTGGAAAGGCTAAAAATGCTGTGGTAGTGCAGGAAAGTCACATTTTTCCAATTTATATTCAAGAGAGAATCAGCGATGAGATGAAAGAAATGAGGAATCAGAACATACCTCCCACCGAGAATAGTAGATACTTAATTGTAGAAAAATCGTAACGCATCATCAGAAGATCAGCCAGCTGGACCCCAAACTACTCCTGGGATCGTCACAAGTCGAAGAGTGATGGTCATCAAGAAGATCGAGGCCGTCCTCTTCAATGGCCTCCCCACTCAAACGGTCTTCAACAATGGAGTCCAGGGACAGAAGTTGAGGAGGCTTTTTCACTCTCAACGGTGCTGGGCAAATTATCGGAGTGGCTGGTCGATCGACCACCGACGCAGAATCTCGCACTGTCGGCAGTGGCGCATTGGCAGTGTTGGATACTAGAGAGGAAATCAAATGTGAGAACATGTCCACATACTCTTCGTCAAACTTATCTGGTAAATCACAGCCATTGTCCGACTTGTCATCGGCATCTGAGTCGTCATCAAGGAAAGTAAGAGAATTCGGGTCTTCTACCTCGCTTTCATAGTCCAAGTAAAAGCTATCATCTGATAGGTCGAAAAACGAATGCTCTGGCTCGGTGTCAGAGTAGAAACTGGTAGAAAAATTGATAGGGTTGCTGTATGGGTAATAGCTCTCAACTTCCATGGATGACTCGTCGGATAGGTCGAAGCGTGTCCAAGAGCAGAATTTGCTAGTATTAAGGCACTCCAGAGGGTGAGAAGGTCTGTCAATGCTAGTAGAGACAACACCATGCAAGGAATTGCGAGATTTCCGGGCACCTACCTGTGTTGAGGAAGGAGAGATATCTCTTGACGAGGATCCTTGACGTAGAGCTTTCCAAAGTTCAGCAGTATCTTCCTCTTCAGCCATACTACCTTCGGAAGGAGTCTTGTTATCGAGACTCGCTCCAGAGCTGGCCGTTGATGCAGTGCAGCTGTAGCAATCACAGCCGTGGTACTCCTGGGGAATCGGCGAAAAGTAATCTTTTTCTTCCTCGTCAATTGTGTTGATATTCATACGAACAGAAAGCTCGATGATGGGGACCGCCAAGTTCAGACCTTCGATTGTACGATAAGTCTTCAACCCGGAGGCGTTGTGATTTTGTTGAAAAACTGCATGTTGTAGCTCAAAATTGCACTGGCCACAAGTATCAGGTTCAAGTTCTGACAGAAGATCATGGGAAGTTTGAATGTGATTGCAGTATCCCGACAGACCTGCGTGGCTCAGCAGTCGGAGGCTGTTGGTGTACTCCTTACAGCTCGTCACCGTCCAGTTGGCGATGTGCCCGCACGCGGGATAATGGTGGTAGGTGTACAGACACATTGTGGCGTTTGATTGTAGTGGATATGAGCAACGGCTGCAGAGACAATACTGCTTGTTTATAGTAGAACAGGAAATAAGACAAGATGGAGAGGATTGTTGGTTGATGGAGGAGCGATTCCTGGGTACTAAATAAACTGCGACCGTTGTAATCGATAAAGTAGACAACAATCATTCAAAGACGAGTATAAAGACACTTGTGTTCAACAATAAAGAGAAACAAGATCCATTGTGAACCATTGGCAACGAAGCCATTGTTTCAGACCCGCCAAGGTCTTTGATTCGAACATTATAACAATGGACCAACAATAAAGATCAGTTTCAAAATTACCGAAAATTGTGGGAAGAACACCCAACAAAGCGGAGAATGGCAATCCTTTGGTATTGTGCGATAAAAGAAAAGAGATGGTTCTAATAATAGCGTGATAATGATCCAGTAATTCTCGAGGGACGATGGAAAGGCCACCAGGACAGCTCGAAACCGAAAGGGACAAATAATAATTCGCCCATCAAACACCTCAACTTTCAAGTTCCATCAAATACTTCACACCAGAGTCAAGTAACCACCAAGCAGCCGTTTCATGCATCCAGCGCAGCAACGGCTTTTCCAGTGGCATAGCCTGAGCCTCATCGGACCGTCTCCACATCAAAGTCTCACTAGAGAAGACAACTTCACTCTCTGTTTCCCGAACGCTTATAGCAAGCCGACCGTTGATAAACTCCATGTTCTTCATCTTCATTTCGAATTCCACCTTGTTCTTGGTACGCGTGATCACGCGATACACGCCACATACAAGATCCCCTTCATAAAAGTCCAGAGAAGAGAGATGAGATGCCTTAAAACTTCGCTGTTCCTCGGGAGTTCGACTGATGAGCCTGATCATTAAAGCTTGAGGGAATCGTGTAAACGCGGTCATGTTGCGACGGACGAGCTTGGTGAAAAGCCCCTCTGTAGGGATATTCTTAGGGAGCGCATCGCGCGAGACGGACTTTGATGAATGATCGTAGAGTGCAAAATACTCTTCCGTAAATATAGTTTCTGGGACAGATTCGATCTCTATCGGTTTCGGAGATGACGCTGAGAGCTTTCCACGGTGCGACTTGTGTTGGATGCGCGATGACAGCCTTTGGTGGAAAAGGTAGAAGTATACCGCCGAGCCGCCGGTGATGACGGCACTGGCTGTGACTATGAAGCGTATCATAGTGACTAGAGTCTTTGAGTCTTTGCTTTGATTTCTTCGTGCTTCGAGGTGAGAAGAGATGAGCAATATAGGGCGTCGATAAATTTTACCTGGTAAGGTGACCGCATCATCGGATCTGAGTAACCTCCGAACACGAGGAGGTCTTGGCGTCATGCGCCACTAACGCGAACCCATGGAATACATTTCCCAGCCTATCATTTGAGAAGAGATGGGGAGGATAAATGCATTTCTTTGGATTTATTTGTTTGTTCTCGAAGAAAAAGAAGTCATGGGTCCTATAGAATGATGTAGAACAATCATGAACTCAACCAGAATAACGAGGCAAAGTCCCTCGGAACCAAACACCATGGTGGCAATATAACACGAGTGGTATCACTTTAGAAGCGCAGAATAACACAAAAAAACAGGATAATTTAAAAACATGTAGAAATGAGAGCGCTCCAATTTCGACTTTACTGGTAAGTGTGGGTGGGTGGCGCAGACTGGGCCGGTGGTGACTGAACTGGCGGGGACTGAGGACCGTTCTGAGCAGCTTGAGGAGCCTGGGCAACAGGGTGTGCTCCGGGCATCTGGTTTGCTGAAATCTGGAATACTTGAATGCGTCCACTGTTATGCCAGCAGGCAAGCTTAGTACCGCAACCGCCGCAGTAGTGGTCGACATCCTTGAGCGAAGACATCAAGTACGGGATACATCCGAGGCAGCAGCAGAAGCATAGAACAGCAGCCCATCCACTATCGAGAAAGATTAATATCGAAAACTCTCCGCGCCAAGGGCTCTCTTTTTTCAACTCACTGTGTAGTCATGCCAGTCACAGGCTCTACGCGAGTCATCTCTCGGCGTCCACAGGCAGGGCAGTCCACGGGGCAAGGTGCTGACTGAAGGGCATGCAAGGGGACTGCGGTCGCATATCCACTGGGATGGCCGTAGGGCGTATAGTACATCTGCTGCTGGGGATGTTGTTGCATCTGTTGGGGGCCTGGCTGGCCTGGGTATGTCTTTCCATCAGAGGGGTATTGGGCCTGAGCTTGGTTGAAATAGCTCTGTTGCTGTTGAATCTGATCGACCGGCTGGCCATTGTATGCTTTTTCAGGGGCGGTAGGAGGGTTATTGACAGGGATAGGTGCTTCGTGTTCCTGTCGCGACTTTTCGTAGGTCGGCAGCAGAGTGCCCGATTGTTCTGAGGAGGGGGACAAAGGGGTGATGCCAGTAGGCTCGGGGCTAATTGGACCGATCGAATCTTGCGTTTGATGGGAGAATTGAGCGGGCGCAGGACTGGGCATCGGGCTGACTTGCGGGCTAATAGGGTGGTGGTGCTCAACAGGAATGAGTCCTACAAGGGTTAATTGACTGGATCGCAAGTTGCGGGGGAGCTGCATGGATTCACCTTCGCTGTCAGGTCTTTGGTTTGACATTGTGAATGGATTATTTGACTGGTAGTTCTACCAGCGGGTTGTGTGGCAATGGTAGGATGTGCTTTCACGGGTGTATGTAGCAGGAAAGTCTGAATGAAATTGAGTCGCACGATGGGGGCGGCGCTTACACTTTATTATTGCAAGCTCCAAATAAAATTCACGGAGTCGGACATGAACATGGTTCTGGTTCATGAACGTTACCCATAATTAGCGTGTCCTGTTCCATGGTCATGGCTGATACCTGTACGATACTCGCCATGAAAAAATACAGACGATGGAGAAGTCAGTTTGAGGCAGAATTTCTTCGAGCACTGCCTGTTTTTGTCGAATTATTCCGTTAACACTCTCGAAATAACGGATTGAGGCTATGTATTTACCAGCCAGTTGTATTAATTATGTACAATCTAGATTCCTCATGAACCATAAGTTCGATCGGGATGTTTTGTTTCGATAAGCGTAGATTCTTTCACCGTCGCCTATTCGGTTTCAATTTTCTCCAGTCTTCTCGAACAGAGGAATTTGATTTTCCTTACCATATCATGGTCCCTCAAGAGGCAAAAGAGACAGGGAGGCTATGTACATATACTGGTACTGTACAGAGTGTTTGAGCTGCGGCTCAGGCTGTGCCAAGACTGCGCCCAGTCGTATTCCCGAATTTGCCTGACCCTTACAAGCTTGCAAGGGTCCACTACCCCTTTCAAGAATCCTGTGAAGACTTCGTTTGAGTGAGATTTTAATCTTATAGTCTAACAACAAGGGCACATAGTCTTGAACTACCGAAGGTCTTGGCAGTAAGATCTGAAGTTCAACATGAAAAAAGAGATAATATACTTGGCTGGGGTAGGAAACGTTGAATAATGAAGCAGTTACCACAGACCCTATGGAACAGAAGCGCCAGTCAAGCGTTGTAGGTGCCTGGAGTAGTCTTTCGGTAGCCTATGTAAGTTCAGCTAGCCATAAACTGTGGTACTGGTATGTACAGCAGGCAGGTCTTGCTCCCCTTGATACATGACAGTCGACGAGAGCTTCAACTGGCAACACGGGCACAGGAGGAGCCTTAGATCGCTGAAGAGGCCGTGTAATAAGCTCAGATTTGCATTGCGATTTCGAGCATTCGCTAACTAGTGCAGTTCATACTGTATTCCACCTGCTCTGATAGTATTACTTTTTCAGATCAGCAACGGGATATTTGGCCCCCAAGGCTGACTTTTTGTCTGCTAGCAGCCTAGCCAGCGTAACGCCGACCCACCTATTTCATTGTACAATACTCGTACGAGCGTTGTGTACAGCCTTATGACCTGACTTTCTTAAATCTATCCCTAATAGCCGATTGACTAGCAAATCATACCTGGAGGCACGCTCGACAAAGTATAAGCGTCTTGAGTAGTTAACTATAAGCGATCAATTAGGTCATTCATCTGAAGCTCTTAAGCAATTTTAAGCTCCGTGCTAACAGGCGTTTGGTATGGACCACAATAACATGAACCGGATACAGTACGATGTCAAATCGAGAGCTACCCAACGAACATCGAGGAATAGGAAAATGAAAGTTGACCATTTACGAAAGTATTAGAAGGCAAGTATAGACTCGCAAGATAGTATTAAACAGTTTTCTTTTAAAGCATTGTGAAGCACACATTTGATTGACGATTAACGAATCTCCGAGACCTACTGCAGTTTGAAGCCTCGGACTTACCATTACAAGAAAAGAAGATGGCATGCCCGAGCGCCAACCGCGAACAGCAATGCAATCGGTCAGATAATGATAAAGGAGTTCAAAACAAGTTGCTTCGAAGGAGTTAAACGGAGGCAACTCGATTATCCCCGGCTGCGGTGGTCATTGTCATTGCCGTGTATGTGGGCCGAGTTATAAAGGGTCTCCATTTACCCATCATGTCACTCAACTTTTCTCATATCAACTATTCCATCAACCAAGTCAATGCAACGAATGGCCACCACAATTAATTCAACTATAAAGCTAGCCAGCGGCTACGAGATCCCCCGTCTAGGCTTTGGAGTGAGTGCTTCCCAAGTCAATCCAGCGCCAAAAACTAATTGATCTCAGGTCTACAAAACGTAAAACAACCCCGCAGCCTCCCCATCTCAACCCCACCAAAGCTAACAATACTGCGATCAGCCCCCCAGAAGAGACGGAGCGATGCTGTCTTGAAGCGCTCGAAGCTGGCTACCGCCACGTAGGTACTTCAATACTAGCCGCAATTGAATCGCAACGTTTCCTGCTCCTACTCGTTTCTGACGACCAACACAGATTGATTCTGCGGCAGTGTACAAGAATGAAGCTGGTTGTGGCAATGCGATTCGCGCATCGTCCATCCCGCGTGACCAGATATTCTTCACTTCCAAAGTGATTAATATCAGCTATGATGAAGCAAAGGCAACTGTTGACCAGAGTCTTGCCCTGACAAAACTCGAGTACATCGACCTGATGCTTCTCCACAAGCCAATGGCGGGTGGCTCCGAGAATCGCAAGGGTGCTTGGAAAGCGGTACGCAGTTTCACCCCGTATTAAATCTGGGTTTTTTGCTAAAAATTCGATTTTCCCCAGTTGGTCGAGGCTGTTGAAGCCGGCAAAGTACGCTCAATCGGTGTCAGTAACTACGGTGTCCACCACCTGGACGAGCTAGAGCAATACATTCGCGAACTTGAAGCCGAGCGCGGCGGCAAGGGCAAGGGAGGCATTATTAGTATCAACCAGGTCGAACTTCATCCTTGGCTCGCTCGGAAAGATATTGTCGATTGGTGTACGCAGCGTAGCGTTGCTCTCCAGGCTTACGCGCCCATTGTGCGAGGCGCCCGCTTTGAGGAACCGTCCGTCAAGAAGCTAGCGGAGAAGTACGACAAAACGCCAGCTCAGGTTCTTATTCGTTGGAGTCTGGATAAGGGATTTATTCCGTTGCCGAAGAGTGTTACGCCGTCGCGCATTATTGCTAATGCGGATGTTTTTGACTTCAAGTTGACACCGGAGGAGGTTCAGGAGCTGGAGACGGATGAATACAGCCCTTGTGCGTGGGATCCGACAGTGACAAAGCTGGAGGAATAGATGGGGTGTTTGGATGGACCGAATTGACACTGTGTTCTCTGTCTGTCATCCACGAATATGATACTCTAGTTGCCATTTGACAGTTTAAAGTATCAAGAGTTTAAGAGTCAATACTTGTGTTGTCTTTTCCTTGGTAAAGCCGTCTTTGTTGATGATGATGACCAATTTATCGCTCATTATGATCGTCTGTCGTACGGGGTGCAGTACTTTTTTGATATCCTTGAGTAAAGTCCGAATAGTCATTCGCAGTTTACCGGGATTTTCCCCAGCAAATCGGCCTCTGCTGATCCTACCATAGTCTCATTTGACATCACTACCCTCAACGATTCACATTTGACATGCACTTGAATACACTTCTGACTTTTGTCCAGCTCCAGACTATCAACGTTCTATCCGAAAGAGCGGTCTGGCCAAACCTTTGCACTATCAATGCATGGTGCTATTTCCGTTACCATGTGCAATCAACAACCAGGCTTTCATCAGCCAAGTATAGGGTCGTCGCATAAAACTAAGACGAAGAGAGTTTGGTTAAACTAAACTGGCTGAACGGACAGGCCCGGCACAGCGGGAAAATCCACAGAGGGGCCGAAAGGCGTTCATGTAGTCAGACCGGGGATCTGCACATCTACCCGAATGGCTGAAGGGGAGATATTCATATGACAGCCTCATATGCCTGATAAGATTCAAGAACGGAGAACAGAGACTCTTCAGGTGCGTTACCAATCATTCAGGTCAACCTCAATGGCTGACTGAAATGGGATCAGAGGACAAGGAAAAGAAAATAACAAAAGCTGAAATGGCACCATCATCTGACCCTGCGCTGGAATCAGGGACTTGTGCCCGTTCACGGGTCAGAAGTACAATATCGCCACACCTAGACGCGGTCAGTCAAACAGTCGTAGACTAGCAGTCATTGTCCCAGTTTCCCGTCAGCTGTGAGATTGACTATTCCAGCGGCGTGCAGGACGAGCAGGGTTGGGGCGGGGTAGCTTTAGAAGGCCTCGACCGTGGGAGGCTTATCTGCAAGACGCAGCCTAGAACTCTCGAGAATCATCCTGCGCACAGCCGATCATGCGAAGACTCCCAGGTCCTGAATGTCATTTTCTTATTTCCTGCCCTATAACCGATATAACTCCAAACCCTTGAGCGAATATACACATAAAGTTCTCTGGTATTTACTGGGCATCATTTTTACATCTGTAGGGCGGAGACACAAAAAACGACAGATGGAAAGGGAGAAGGACCGATTTGGCGAGGAAGACTTTAGGCAAGGTACGGAGTTTCTTTATAGCGTTTGACAACTGACAAATACTAATATGAAGAGTCGGCTCTGACTAGGTCTCGAGGTTTTGGATAACGAGATGGGTAAGGATGACTGGCTTATTGCCTTCGCACCCATCACCCTCATCTCGACAGGAGGATTCCTCGCGACAAACTTCTTTCGAAATCGCGAAAGCACAGGCGACATAGACTACCTCCTAGAACCGCAATGGGCGCATGATAATGACATCAAGAAGCCATTACAGAGTGCCATCACCCGAGCAGCCCGACACCTCGGATTCATCGACGACTGGGTAAACGAGGAACTCGCTTTTTTCGTGCCGGATCAGTTCCGGCAGCTCCTGTTTGAAAAGGCCGAGGAGCAGAACATTGTTTTATGGGAAGGGACACATCTTCGAGTTTTGGCCGTGCCGTTGGAATGGGCGCTCGAGCGGAAGCTACGTCGCATCCACAATAGCAAGAGGCACGCAAAACGTGCGTCTGATGTCGCCGATGTGCTTGCGATCCTGAAGCATCTGCGGACACAGAATGATGGGCCTTTGGACAGAGAGAATATCCGAACCCTGAATATCTGCTCCTTCGAAATAGCCCCCGACCAGACAACGATGAATGAGATCGCTACTGCTTATCAAGAGCAATATAACGAGGAAGCTTTTTCCTGATAAATGCACGGCATCCCTCATGCGACCGCTCTAAACAGTGTAGAAATGGCCGGTGTCGATGATGATGTTTCTCTCTGCGAATATAGGATTCTCACCCCCTTCTTCAAGCACAAGTCTGCCCGACGAGTCTAGAAAGTCTGTCGGCAGATTGGCCAGCGCGTCCACATCAATCGGAGCCACCCTCCTGGTCCAGCTAGGAGGGGTCTCCGGAGTGAAAGACGGCAAAGGGTCCTCGAATGTTTTCCGGTATATGTGCTTGCTTTTATCGCGCCGCATGCCCAAGCTCATACGCCAGTTGAACGCTCGCGCCAGTTCCTCTGCAATGCAGGCCAGAATGGCGTACCGCACTGGGTCCACGTCATGAGGGTCTGGTATCCGATGCGCTGCCCACGACCCACGCGACTGGTACCAGAAGTACTCCACCTCCGACCCGATCGCATAGAACTCCCGCGCCACCACAGCCTCATATATCCGATATAGAGCACGCAGAGGTGTGTCTCGAGCACGCCACAGCGGTACAGAGCGCATATTAGTGAGGTCGGCGGCCGCCTTCCGGGACTGCAGAAGCGGGACATTGTTCAACATGGTCTTGACGGGGACCGGCGCGGGGAGACGGAGGTGCCATGTCGGTAGCGGAATCAGCAGACGGAGCAAGGCTAGGAAAGGGTGTTTATGCCGGTGACGGAGACGTGTGAGGGTGCCGCGAAGTTGGAGAGGTGACTCGAGATTGTAGACGAATCTCCGCAGACGCATCCACCAGGTGATTCGGGGCTTCGGACGATTCCGAGGCGCCATCATCCAGGCAGGCTAACAGGCTAGCGGGCTCGAGCGGGTTTGGGAGAGTCAGGGCATGATGGGTCACGCTTTGGGGAGTGCTCGCATGGTCAAGCGTTCTGGTGACATTTTCGATGTCATTTCCCCGTGACCTTTGGGCTGGGGTTCAAATGAGCTTAACGATCCGACCAGGACGCTAGTCCTAATTGGGTAATAATAGGTGCCTCATCGGAATGGCTGCAATGCTTGTCTGCCCAAAGTTTACAGATTAGACACGAGTCAAACTATATTGGAATAGTCTCATATAAGGTGAAGTGAGTTCAATATCTCTCACTTAATCAAGCTTTCTGGTTGTGTACCAGTAAGTCTTATCCTTCAATCTTGTATCTACAAGTTCATCTCATGTAGAATACCACTCCTTGTTTGGCACCCCTTCTTAGGTACCAACTATTCTCATTTTCCATGCCCTTTGAGATCAACTCTTCATATATCTCATCTTCAATTGAACCTTCTCTCACATGACTGATTCATCTGATATTGCGACATCAAAGCCTTAAGTCTATGAGGATGTAAATAAACAGCCATACCCAAACTTTTGACTTTCCTTACTCCGTCCCCAGCCAACCAGCTCCACACGTGGACTGGTCCCTGATCGACCCATGTGAACCCACCGAAGCCGCTGATTTGGTCCACCCGCCCAGGTAGCAGCATTCCCATACTTCACGGACCCCTGATTGGAACCTGAACCACTTTTCACTTACAGTAGTAGGGAAAAAAAATGCAACAATCGGCATTCTGCCCTGCCTGAACTGGTTAAATCAAAACGGTATCTCTAACGACTCACATCTCCCTCTGTTCCCAGGTGCAGCCTGGATTGGAATTGCAATGGTTAATTTCCTCCCCGTGGAACAAAACATCCTCCCCGTTGCACAACACAGATTGTATTTCTTACTGTACTTCATGCTAAATTCAAGATAAACTGTTATTCTGTAAGATGACTGGCTATGATATGGTTCTAGCGGGACCGTGGGCGTCGGGCGAAATTGGTGATTTGCTTGGAGCCTTGCATTCCTAACCCTAGCGAGCCTAGCACTATCCACAGTAATAAAGATTATTCAATTCTGGTTACATCTCTACCCAAGAAAGATCATGTCTAGTGGGAACGTGAGAGCGGGGAGGTACCACATCCTGTGCAGTGTCCACGGTACTCGGCACATGCGATGAGTCGCAGGATCGTCTGGCAGGGGTGCTTTAGAGGGTTGAGGCAGGTGCTATTTCCCGCAAATAGACAGGTAGCGAGCGCCGCACAAGGTTTATTCCTCTTCTCTTCTTCGTACTTGTGCAGAAGGAAGCATTGGGTTTGAATGCGCGGGGTTGATCTGAGCTTGTACATCCAAGCAACGGTCATCGTACAGCATCAGGTGTGCTGTGCAACACACAACGAGTCTGCGCTTCAAATTGAAGGACCTCTGAGTTGAATCTCATCATGAAGTCCTTCAAGATGCTGACTGGTCTCACTTTGCTGGCACTGTCTGCGGCGAACGACCTCACCAAGCATGTCGATGTCTTGTAAGTTTCACCAAAATCTCATTTCGTGAAGAAAGCGAGGAGTTCTGACATTCTATTAGCATGGGAACACAAAGCGGGGGCAATGATTTCCCTGGAGCAGCAAGACCATTTGGTATGGTCAAGCTGGGCCCTGATCTTCTTCAGTCTGGTACAGATTCATACGCAGGATATCTACCCACTGGCAAGTTCTCCGGCTTCAGCTTGATGCACGAACAGGGTACTGGAGGTGCTCCCAAATACGGTACTGTCTCGCAACTACCACTGGTGGGAAACATCACCGATCCTCTGTCCAACATCACTGTCGCTAGGTCTGGAACCGACAAGGGCTCTGTTGGATACTACAATGCCCAGACAGCAGATGGCGTTGAGGTTGAGCTGAGTTCTTCTGCCCGGGCAGGAATCTACCGATATACCTTCCCCAGTGACTCGGAGAAGAATATCCTGGTAGATGTCTCGCATGTGCTGCCATCTTTCCGTGGCCAAGGGCTTGGGCAGAACTATGAAGGTGGAAACTTAACTATCTTTGCAGATGGCCATTATGAAGGTCTCGGAACCTACAACAATGGATGGAATGAGGCTCCCAATTGGACCATCTATTTCTGTGAGTGTAATTTATGGAGAAATGACTCAATGGGAGTGCTAATATAACCAGGTGGCTATTTTGAATCTGCTGCAACAAACAATAAAACCTATCTCGCAACGGGTGCATCCCCAAGCATCGAGAAGTCAGGTGGCTCTGTCTCATCCACTTCGAACTCTACTCGAGTTGGTGCACTATTCATCTTCAGTGAGAAAGAAGTAATTTCTCGTGTTGGAATTTCGTGGATCTCCACAGAGCAAGCCTGTGACAATGTGAACCAAGAGATTCCGGCGGGCACGAGCTTTGCTACTGTCGTTGACGAGGCTGTCTCTGAATGGAACGAGAAAGTCCTTTCCAAGATCACCACAACCAATACCAATGATACCAGCCTGAGTCTGCTATACACCTCTCTCTACTTCATGCATCTCATCCCCACAAACCAGACGGGTGAGAACCCCGGCTGGGAGTCAGACGAGCCATATTATCAGGACATCTTCACTTTCTGGGTAAGCTGAATACATCAGACTGAAAAATATCAAGTTGAACACCACTAATGAGCCCAGGATCTCTTCCGTTGCTCAACATCTCTCATGCAAGTCCTCCAGCCGACTGCCTACGAAGAGCAAATCCGCTCATTGATCGACATCTGGCGACACGATGGCTACCTTCCTGACGCACGGTCATCCAACTACAACGGCCGCACGCAAGGAGGCTCCAACGCCGACAATATTCTCGCCGATGCATATGTCAAAGGTGTACGCGGGTCCGTCAACTGGGAAGACGGCTACAAAGCCATGGTCAAAGACGCCGAAGTCACTCCCCAAAATAATCCCGTCGATCACATGGCACCAGACTCATCCAACCACGAGGGTCGTGGTGCATTGCCCGACTGGCTCAGTCTTGGGTACATCACGCCCAAGTACAGTCGCGCCGCCAGCCGGGCTGTCGAGTACGCGGCGAATGACTTTAGTCTGTACCAGGTTGCGTCTGGACTGAAGAAGGACCAGGATGCGAAGAAGTACCTGAATCGGTCTCGAAATTGGCGTAACCATTGGAATCCTAAGCAGACGTCGCTTGGATACTCGGGTTTTGTCGTCCCGCGGAATACGACTGGTTTCATTGAGACTGATCCCTTGAAGGATAGTGGGTACTGGGGAGATCCGTACTATGAAGCGAGTTCGTGGGCATACTCTTGGGCGGATGTTCATGATATGCAGCACTTGATCAAGTTGATGGGAGGTGCTGAGACGGTAGTCAACCGGTTGAACACCATGTTCACCGAGGGTGCTAGTGGATCGAGTGGGATTATCTTCGATTCTACTAACGAGCCGTGAGTATATCTACTTCCGCCCACAACATCGAAAATATCAAACTAATAGACATCGACAGAATGTTCAAAATTCCATATCTATACAATTACGTTGGTCGCCAGGACCTATCTGTCTCCCGGTCCCGCAAAGTCGCCAAAAGTGACTATTCCACCGGCGTGTCAGGCCTTCCCGGCAACAGCGACGCCGGAGCGATGCAAACCTGGCTGTTGTGGAATATGATCGGTCTGTATCCGATCACAGGACAAACAACATTCCTCATTCATTCGCCGTGGTTCGCGTCCATGACTATCGATCTCGGCAGTAACAAAAAGTTAAAAATCACATCAACAGGTGGTGATGGCAATGGTGATAAGGATTACTACGTGCAGAGCTTGAAAGTCAACGGTAAGCCGTGGAAGAAGAATTGGTTGACTTGGGATGACATCTTCGCCAAGGGAGGCACACTTGAATTTGAACTGGGATCTACTGCGAAGAATTGGACGATGGGCGAGTTGCCGCCGAGTCCAGCATCGGAGTAGATCGATGTACTTATAGCATATCACATACCCTATATATACTTGCTTTAGATGCTACAGGCTAAATTCTCACGTTCCGTGATTGAACCCTGTTCTTCATAATCATTGGATAGTTATCCCGTCTCAGCCTATCTATTTCTCCCTCCATACCTTGGGTTTTTATACTCTCTTAGTAATCTTCTTCGTATGCTGCCATTTACGGGTAATGGTATCCGGAACTTCGAACGGTCTTTTATCCCATTAGTTAGAACTTTGTCACCTGTCATTCTTAGTCACCTATGTTGCTTGAGCCCGTCATATTGTTTGATGGTTTTTACTCTCCTCGGTGGACCTGTGATGATTGGGCAAAGAGATGATATGCGGCCCTGGTCCATGGGTGCATGGTGGCGAGACCCCGCATCTGTACTTCGGTTGGAACTTTAGAGCTACCGGTCGACATCATACTTGGAGTGTCCGAGATCAGACTCACTAATGGCCCCTGGCTCGAACAAAAACCTGTTGATTATTAATTCGGGTCATTTATAAGAGTTAGGATCCTGCGGCTCAGCAAATAATTTGACAATCTTCAACTATCTTAATTCACTTGAAGTTTCCAACCCAATTGGATAAATCTTCACCAAAACAGATCCTACAATGGCTGCCATGCTTGAACTACAGAGTGCTACGACCCAATTATACCCTAGTACAGAATACACACTTCCAACAACAAGGGACCCGATTCTTCCACCGGGTTCTTCCCACGTCACCCGCAGCGAAAAAGAATCACTCCTCAAGACCTTACGAGAGAGACAAACCACAAAGAAACCGACAAACAACCAAACAGAGCACGAATTCAAACCTCAAGCAAAAAGAAGAAAGTCCTGCCATGGCCCAGGCCCCCAAATTCCCCGTGGATCCATCAGCCCGGAGAGGGCTCGACACCTAGAACGCAACCGTGTCGCAGCAAACAAATGCAGACTGAAAAAGAAGAGAGAACACGAGCAAATCCAAGGTATATTGGAGAACGAGACAGTCCGACGAGACATGCTACTAGCAGATGTAGACGTCTTGAAAGAGGAACTATGGTGTCTCAAAAACCGGATCTTCGAACATGCGAATTGCGATGATCACCATATTAGCAGCCAACTCTCGAAGATGAATCAAGATCTACTTGAATCAAGCTCACGGCGAAGTTCGTCATCGTCTTTCTCGGATAGTGTTTCTTCTGGTGGGTTGGAGGAAGGGGCGATGCCGTGTTTGGATGTGTCTGCGAGTTTCCCGGAGTGGGGGAATTTCTCGAAGACGTTGCCGGTTTATGATCAGGATAATTGTGGAGGGTATTTTGATGAGTTGCTTGATAACTTTGTTGATGTTACCCAGATTTAGGGCGTGTTTTGTTTCTTTTCTTCATGTATAACTACTGTACATACTTAATTTGTCATGAGACTGATGATAATAAATTTCATAAATCTTTGATGTCATCCATATTACAAAAGTACGATCTCGACCTACTAGATGTGATAAATCGAGCGGATTTTACATGCGATGATGAATGGGTGAATTTTCCGAGCACAAGTGTACCTGGATCTTTGATCAAGATCTACAATTCAAGGAGAATTCAAGTAATGAATAATACACGGGGAAGCAACGGATGGTCTCACCTGCCAATGACGATCAAAACTGGATATCTGGACAGACAGTGTTCAATATTGGGGTATGATAATCATAGGGCGCATAGAGCCGGACAATCTATAGGGGTCTAGAGGAGATACTGCACTGCTTTGAATACATTTCCCCACTACTTTCTAGCAGTTTCATGGAAACGCGTATGTGGGGATCTGCAACCATTCAGACGTTTTCGGATTCTTCATCCTGTCTGATCTGGAGAATCAAAAGTTGGTTACCTGATCGGAACAGCCGGGATATGGCTATGGGTAAGCTTCCGATTGATGGGAACGGATAGCCACCCAATTGTATACTGTAGGGCTGGCGCTCAAGTGGAGCCACCATCAAGCTTACTTGCCACCAAGGTCGAGAGCTCCCGGGAAGTAGCGATCATTGTTAGTAGTTAGTTACTTGTTTGAGTACTTGTTGACTAAGTATTTTCCAGGATATTATGACAGCGGTGGCTGGTTTTTCCCCTTCCTGCTGCCACTGATCTGTTGGCCTTGATATAGCTAATCACGAGGTCCCTTATCATTTTATGAGAGGAAGTACTTCCTGGTTCTATCTTGACTCTTTTCAATATCACTCTTTGTCTTCGGGCGCAGCCGGCCACGACACTGTTATTAAGCTTCCAGATAGGTTCTTATGACGCTTCTGTTGTTATGAATTATGGAGCCTTCTAAAGTATGTCGTGTCTAACTAATCTTTGGCTCTCAAATGCCTATCTCTGGCTCGGTTCACCATCAGTGACACATTCGAACCACGGAGAGGTCAATTAAAATAGGCTGTGCTGAAGCAAATTCACGAGCTTATTTGAAGTTTCGGTCCAGGGAAATGACAGACTCGTTGGGATGCTTCAAGTCTTGACTGGATAATACAACGAGGCGGCAACAGCATCGGGGAATACCGCGCAGTCCAACTCAAGCCATTCCAAGTACGATGATATTGCAGATTTTTTCATAGGAGTACTTAAATTAATGCACTCGAATCATCATGAGACTCAATAGATGCACAAGCGTTGGGGCACGAACCTTTACATGGAGGAGAAAAGCAAGTACGTGGTGATTCTTCGGGGATATCATGAAGTGTTATTAAAGGGTGAGGCTGATTCGGCGACTAAGCCAATTGAATTGAACTTATCACCTTTCCTTTTCGGCAACTTTGAGGTAGGAGCGTATTAGATAGTATGCTAGCTCATTGGATAAAGAGTGCCCTGCACACCGTCTACGCGGTTTACTAAGGACATAACATACGTACATCAACTTGAATTGAATATGGAACTCCGCCAGTAGAACTATGTATAAATTATTTGGACTTATCAACATCTAGACTCGGAGACCGGGTTTTGGTGTGGGTTGGAAAAGCCCCTTTGCAAATATCATCATCCATGATTGCAATAGACGTGGGGGAACAGATCACCAGCAGTTTCAATCATGAAAAAGAACGAATTGGTTCTCGTGTCTCAGATAGGCATCAGTTCCCACGACCAACTTCGTCTCAAACAGCTATCATTGCGGGAAGTCATCGGCTATCATGAGAAAACCCCTTATAAATGACGCTATCCAACAGTCAGAGGAACGCAGACAAGATCCGTGGACATATAACTCTGCTCTTTGCATGTTAACCCCCTCAGACCTGACTAACAGGGCTGAGGAATACAAATATCTGATTTTGAATCCTTGGAGTAAAAAGAAATCTTGCACAGTATTCTAGATTTCAGAAAGAGGGTCCCTCACCGGCGCCTGTAGTAATATCATTGGATCCTGCCGATATTCAGTAATAGGTTGTTCTCTGTAGTTCAGTATCATCTGGGGTAAAAGCTGGAGCACTAGCTGGTATATCGAATAGGAATTCAGCTCTGTACAATTGCCCCACCTTCATAGATCAACACCTTCCAGTCGTGCAGGTTGATTCTGAAGATACATCAGCCAGTATCATAAGACACCAATCCTATACTCCTTTGCCCATCTTCATGCGAAGGGATGGCGAGTTTCAAAGCGTGATGAAGGCCAGGATAGGGCGATGGATTAGATAGAGGCTTGACAACTGTAAACTATCTAGTCTTGCTGCGAGTGCAGACTGGCATCACACCAGCCCATAGACTAAATACTATTGCGGCAGAGTCGGCCATGTTCTGGAGGCTGTTCTCATGAATACTGGCAACTATTAGTATTTCGCCCGTCTTAGTTTCAGCGTGTTATTGTCCTCAAGTACTTCTTCCCACCGAGAGTTCAAGATAAGTCAGTGGCTTGGCTATGATATGCAGCCGGATGCATACGGCACAGAGATTAAATTTCCGAGTCTCAGGGACCTGTTTAGAACCATTTTATGTCTATAAAAACATTGTCTAGACGGCCAGATTCTTATCTTAGTCGGGTGGCGGCTGAAGATACAGACGATAATTAGTAGTCAATGAGATCGTCGGTGGCGCTAATAAGAAAAACTAATTCACTACCGGGTGGAAAGAGATATTTAAAATAGACACAAGTCTGAACTAACAAAAGCCAGGGGTTGGCAAAAAGGATTGAGTTTCACAGTTTCACTTTCACCGAGATGCATCTGGTAAGGCGAGGTGCAGAGGCCCCGAAGCAGTCGAGGTGGTACCGCGCCCGGCCAGGAACGGCGGAGAATGGTAGTCCGGAGAGATCATAGTGGCAAATACATTGAATGTATTGTAAATAGTATAGAATTATGAATAGCTAGGTACTGATCTATTATTTTCAAGAATAGCTTCACAATTGGCCATCCTAAATAACAAACTAAACCCCTCTCTGTCATAATAATCTCAACAGAGCTTTCCTCCCAAAACCGGATTCGCCCAGTTCAGGACACCACCAGGAGGCCCGAGCTCCCCAGCGCCCATCTCCACCTTGCAATCGCAGCTCATCCCCGCAGCCAATCACTCACAAACTCGCACAAGGTTCTAGCCATTGCTGGGATGCGTTGAGAGACAAGAGAGGGGTGTTTCCCGCATGTTGCCTCTCCTCTCCGTTTTCCTTTTTCTTCCAACTTTTTTGATTCCATAAACAATTCGGATTGCACAATATGGCGTCCACTACTGAAATCCCCGCCGACGGAACAGGTACGTCACTGAAGCAGCATCTCTGCTGAGCTGCCGCCAAATTGAGCTACGAGCTCTGCTGGTCCCCCTTTGGGCAAAACTGGGCGAATTGAATAGCTGATTCGTGCTCTACTATCTAGGTGTCCTGCAGCTTGACCCGTGGCTCGAACCTCATCGCGATGTGCTGAAGCACCGCTACAGTCTGGTGGAGAAATGGGCCAAGGCCATCAACGACTCTGAGGGTGGCTTGGACAAGTTTAGCAAGGTGGGATTGAACTTCCCCGTACCCAGTGCGATC